CTATTTAACCCCTTTTGCTTGGTTTCCACCTGGAAACGCACAGATCACAAAACCAAAATAAACCGCCTGGGGCTGAATTTCCACAAAAACCAACCGTACGGGGCAGCGCCGTATGGGGCAGGTGAATTGGGAGACCGCTGAAACCGAGGAGATGTTTCTGGAGGTTGTTTGATGGCGTTGGGATGGAAAATGGTGGTTTCGGAACAACTAGCCATGGGAATTAATCCGGAAAAACACGAAAAGACAGAGAATGAAAGGGGCTTTCCGATAAGGGACATTTCAAGTGGATAAAAAGCTTCCCTGACCTTCAAATTCCAATACTAAGTTTGTTTTGGGCCGCCCCACAAAAGTGGTTGCAAAAACGAAAACTACGTTTCTACGTAATTCAGGTCGCTGCCTTGTGAGGCGGGCCTGTGCGGCATCATTGGACCCCAATTTACGGTTTTTTTTTTTGCCCAGCCAGCTGGACGCATGGCGGGATCTGGATAAGAAGAAGGCATTCTTTTTTTTTTTTTTTTGGTTTATGTATGGCGGTTGTAAGTTTGGTCCAGAAGAAATGATTCTTAGTCAGAGGTGGGTGGTGTACGGGTGTTTCCAAGGAATTACTCCATTAAGCGAAATGTCGCACCCAGTGCATGAAACGTTTCGGAAAAACTCAAGTGTAGACCCGTACACCAACCTTTTCAGGGCAACCAAGAGCGAGCCAAGTGTCAAACGACAAGAAACAACGTACATTTACGCAAAAAAATAATAAAAAAACATACCAGCAGAAAAATAGCAGGGAAAGGAGCACCCCACAAATCTCCAGGCGACCTGGGGACACGTCGTGAGACCATTCCACCCCCATCGTTACACTTTGTTTAGTTAACCGGATAAAATAGGCTCCTGCACGGCGTTTCACAATGCCGCATACGATTCAACCAAGTTATACAAAAAAGAAATACCCAGAACCCAAGGAGTTTTTCCGAAACCAATAAACCAACCAAAATCCAACTAAACTCTAATTCCACAATTCCCCAAAACCCCCCCTCGTTTGAGCCGAACGTGCCGATGCCGAGGAGTCCCCGAAGTATATACAACTCCAAATTCCAAAAAAAACCAGAAAATCCGAGGCTTTTTGCATGTTTTGCGGCTTTTTTTTTTTCTTGGTGGACCGACGGTTTTTACCGTAGTATATGCGCCAACTTTATGAAAGAAAACCGTAAATGCATTCTATTCAGATGTTCCATGTTGCAATAAAATAGACGTTGTGAAGGAGACGAACGCTGGCGTGGGAAGTGGTGTTGGTTTTTCACTTGGTGGAGTCGTCAAACCGGTCGGCCGGTTGCAAAGAACATATAACCGTAAACCGTAGAAGTATCCAAAAAAAAAAAAAAAAAGACTATAAATACATTTTTCAGATTCCTCGGACTCCTCGGACCCCTCGGAGGCCCCAAACACAGCCAGCGTTTCGCTTCCAGCACAGCCAATAAAAAGACATGCAGTGGATGTGGCGTTTACGGTGGCTGCAAATGGACAAGAAGGGGAAGTAGAAGTGGGAAGTGGTTCAAGGCGGGCGGTTTACTCAAATGGGAAGAAGAGTGAAGAAAAGGAGAGGAGGAGGAACGTAAATGGAGAATAGTGGATGTTGGAGGAAACTGGTAACCAGAAGAGGAAGAGGAAGAGGAAGGAAACCAGAAGACAAAGGGAAGGGAATTGAAGGAAAGTGGTTTATATGATTAAAGAATATTTTGTACTTCTCTTTCTTGTTTCTCTTTTTCATGGTTTCTCTTTCAAGTTGTCCTTCCTCAGTGTTTTATCTTTCCCTCTTCCTTCTTCCTTCTTCCCTCTTCCTTCTTCCCTCTTCCAGTCCTCTTCCAGTCCTCTTTCAGTCCTCTTGACGAAACATCCACTTAAAGCAGGGTTGCATTTATAAAAATAGCAAACAGGCAGTGGACGCTTGCAAAGCTGAAGAATCGCTTCGTAGGGCTCATCCCAATGCATCCCAAGCGGCTGGTGGCTGTAAATGTAAGACAAAGTATGTCTAATAAACCAGGAAGGGAAAGTACCAAACGGCACGTAAACCAGAAATTAAAACCTGCAATTGTAACCACCAAAATACCAACCAACGCAATCACTGGCTAAGCTCTATTTTTATCCTCTTTGTTTGTACTTCTTGTTTGTCTTTCTTGTTTGTCCGTTGAGAGCCCCTGGCCTGTATTATTGCAACTTCTGGTGAACAATAACCCAGCGGCAGCTTCTCGTATGGGAAACCCAATTCGTCGATTCGTAGCTCCATCCCACGTTGCCGTTCTCGTATTTTTGGTTTACCTTTGACGAGTGTGCACTGGAAATGGGCAGATACTGGAGGTGAAGTAGCCATGATGGAACGATAAAGAGGAAGGAGACGACGAAGAGAAGAAAGAAGAGGAAGAAGGAAGGTTGTTCAGGATACGACTTGCAAGGTTAATGTCTGGTCTAGAACATCCAGAGGCCCACCATGTAGCATAACCTGTAACAACCTGTAACAACCTGTAACAACCTGAAGCCTTTTAATGGTTGGCTCAATGGGTTTCGTAATTGAACGGCTAACGACTGGCCAGGTGGCTCACGTTCTTATCTGATCGGGGAAAGTGATGTAACTGGAGAAGTGGGCAGTTGGTGGAGGTGGAAGGTGGAGGTTGGAGGTTGGAGCTGGGGAGTTCGGCAGGCCGGGAATGGAGGTTTTTGGATGGGTAGTGAAAGGAAGGTAGCAAAGAGTAGTGAAAGACAGGCAGTGAAGGGGTAGTTTGATGTCTTTCTATGCTTTGTATATTTTGTTAAAGAGGTTCAGGATGTGGTTGATGGGCATTTGTTAGCAGAGCCTTCAAAGCATCATTTGTAGATAAGTTTGGGTCCTTAGAAGCCATGAGCTATAGCTGATCGGAACCTATTTGTATTTTCAGGGTTCCAAGGTATCAGCATAAAGAAGTACCGTCAATTCATGGTGATATATATGTTGATGGGTACCACAAATTGCCATGATAGAGGCCAGAAGAGGAGATTCCATCTCTTTCAACGACCAATTGATATCTTGATAGACAGACCGCTCAAGATATCACCATACCGTTTAGTAATAAAAAAGACCATTGGATCTCCCCAAATTCACCTTTTCATCCGTATCCATATCCACATCCGTATCCAAAGAACCACCAATTCACGTCAACAGCACGTCACTGGTACATGCATTGAGTTTCCAGAACACATCCTTAGAACACCTCCCCCCAAACTCCCACCACATCATCCAATACCGATGACAATTCACCAGACATCTCTAACTACCAAAGGTTTCCCTGAAGGCTCCATCTGCAGAGAGTGGTAGTTGACCGAACGAGGAATGAAGTCGTCACCGAATAGGCAGCAACAAGCAAACGTCAAAGCCAAACGGCCTGCCATTAGTATTTCGTCAAACTCAAAAAACCTGGATCTCCCTTTCCAGGCTCCCGACAATACATGGATCACAATGCTTTCATGAGAAACCTCTACTTCCGACTAGCCAACCGAAACGAGCCTTTAATAATGAGTATTTCTTAGATGGAAGTCATGATAGAATCATTCACGGAAATGTAGGTTCAGAAAAGAAACCATGGGAGACAGATCAAAGCGAGTCAAACGACAGTCTTTCCCAACTTCTGGTACTTCTTTAGACGTCTTTAAGATCTTCCTTAGGGTCGTCGCGGCTTCCCCATCTCATTAATTTATTAATTTGACCATAAGATCACAGATTTTCATCCTCTGCCACCTTCTATTCTTCTCGTGGCTCGATCTGCCTGCCTGGGATCTTGGAATCTGGCTTCATCTTCAATCTGTTGAACTCTCAGTCGACATAGTATCCTTGAGTTCAAAATCGAAGCCAGGCACCTCTCTAGCTTCACTAGATATCCATTGTTCTGTAGGTGCTCTGGATGTTCTGGATTCTCTAGTTCCTCCAGCTCCTAGCTTCCATAGCTTCCTTAGCTTCAGCAGTACGTCCAGGCTCTCTAGCTTCCCCAGCTTCCCTAGATATTAGCGTCTCTTGGTCCTTCAGCGGTTCAAGGTTCTCTAGCGGTTCTCCAGGCTCTCTTCCTCTTACTAGCTTCAACCAGCTTCCTTATATCTTTCAGACCTTCCATGTCCAGAGCATCCTTAGACGTTCGAGAAGTTCTAGCTTCTTTACCTTCTCCAGCTTCTCCAGCTTTCTTAGCTTCTCTTCTCTAGATGTCCCAGGTCCTCTAGGTTCTCTCGAACCTCTGGGTTGAGCCTCTTTAGCTTCTTTATCTTCTTTGGTGGAACTGGCTTATCGTGCTTCACTTTCCAAGCTTAGGGATCTTTAGCTTCCTTAGCTTCTTTAGCTTCTTTAGCTTCCACAGCACCCTCAGCATCCCCAGATTCCAAGCGTCTTTAGCTTCTTTAAGTCTTTCAGACTTTCCAGCTCCCTAGCTTCCCTAGACGTTCTATATGTTCGAGAAGTTCTAGTTTCTTTACTTTCTTCACCTTCTCTTCTCTAGACGTCCTAGGTTCTCCAAATGTTCTAGCTTCTCTGGCTTCTCTTCTCTAGCTTCTCTAGATTCGCTTCATTACCTTCCTTAGGTACTCTAGCTTCTAGCTTCTCCACCTTCCCTGGCTTCCCCAGCCTATCCTCAACCATCACCGTCCTTCTCCAGCCACCTCCCTTCCAGTAGCCTCCCTTCCAGTGGCCTCCCGTTCAATCGCCTCCCTCGAAGCCACCTCACGCTCGGCTGCCGCCTCGCGTTCGATGGCTTCGGTAGCTCTCCTCACCTCCCTCACCGTCTTCACACTATTGATCCCACTAAGATTATCCAACACAAACTGTTCATGCACCCTGGTCAATTCGCCAAGCGGTTTCTTCAACTTCCTTACACTCGCCGCGAGCTCTGCATAAACATCTTCGTCCATCTTAGTTGACTTCTTTAGTAGTTGTTGATGTTCTTCGCGCTTATCAACAACCACTACCACTACCACTACACCAACTCCAACTACATATGGACTCCCTAGATGATGATCTAGACGTGGCGGTGTTCCAAACGGCCCAGCCGAAACAGAAGCCACCAATTTGCCCCCACAAAATAGACCCCGTGGCGCTTGCTACATACATCTACCCAACCAACTTGCCTAGACGTGATTACCAGTATAACATTGTGTACCGTGCATTTTTCCATAATATCGTCGTGGCGCTACCGACAGGCCTTGGAAAGACGTTTATTGCCAGCACGGTGATGCTCAATTTCCTACGGTGGTTTCCTGAGCTGAAGGTGATCTTTATGGCGCCTACGAAGCCGTTGGTGGCCCAGCAGATCAAGGCGTGCTGTGGCATCACGGGCATTCCGCCTGAGAAGGTGGCAATTTTGCTAGATAAGACCAGGCGGAACCGGGCGGCCGTGTGGGACGAGAAACAGGTGTTTTTCACTACGCCTCAGGTCGTGGAGAACGATCTATGTACGGGGCTAGTGGATCCGAAGCTGGTGGTGCTTTTGGTGATTGACGAGGCGCATCGGGCCAAGGGGAACTATGCGTATAATAACGTGGTGAAGTTTTTGGATCGGTTTAACCCAGCGTACCGTGTTTTGGCCTTGACGGCTACGCCGGCTTCAGATGTGGATGGAGTGCAAGAGATTGTGACGAACTTGCTGGTGTCGAAGATCGAGGTGAGGACAGAACGCAGTATTGATATTTTCAAGTACTTGAAACGGAAGGTGGTTGATAGGGTGACTGTGGGACAGAGTGATGAGATCAAACAAGCGGTGGATTGGATTTGCGACGCTGTGAAACCTGTTTTGGAAACAGCCAACCAGCGAAACATCTATGACGTTAAAGATCCAGCGTATATTAATGCTTTTACGGCACTTACGAGCCAGAAGAAGCTTGTGATGAACCGTCTGATTCCTGAAGGCCTCAAATGGTCCAACTACTTTATTCTTCAGCTCTTGGTGGTTGTGGGACAAGCACTACGAAGGCTTAATATCTATGGAATTCGCTCCTTCTATAGCTACTTCCATCTGAAGTATACAGAGTTTTCTGCAAAGTATAACTCCAAAAAGTCGAAAAACCATATGGCTGCAAAGTTCTACTTTCATGATTCAATCAAGAAATTGCTAGATTTCTGTGAGAAGGCCATTGGTGATCCCAAGTTCCTCGGCCATCCCAAACTCGATGTGGTGATTTCTGAGCTTCTGTCGTTCTTCCAGGGCACGGCTCATAAGGATTCTCGTGTGATTATCTTTACCGAGTTTCGAGAACTGGCCTTAGATATTGTACGTGCCATTGAGCAGCAAGGGAGTGAATTGAAACCGCACATTTTCATTGGCCAGGCTAAGGAGAAGGAGAAGTTCGACGAGGAGAAGTTTCTATCCAAGGGAAAGAAAGGAAAGAGCAAGGATTCAGATGATTCCCAGTCCTCGAAACTGTCGCAACCGCCCAGACTGGCAGGTCTGTCAAAGCAAGCACAAACGTCTTCTGAAGAAGCCCAAATGCACGGAATGAACCAGAAGGTGCAAAAAGAGCTCATCAGGAAGTTCAAGGCCGGTGAATATAACGTTCTTGTAGCCACTTCTATTGGCGAAGAAGGCTTGGACATTGGAGAAGTCGATTTGATTATATGCTACGACTCTACATCTTCGCCAATCAAGAATATCCAGAGAATGGGAAGAACCGGCAGAAACAGAGACGGTAAGGTTCTTCTTTTGTTCGCTGGCAACGAGGAACTGAAGTTTGATAAAGCTATGGGCGGGTACGAGTACATCCAGCAGCATATCATGAACGGCAACATGATCTCCTTGTGTGAACAGCGACGCATTATTCCACAAAAGTATAATCCAGTGGTTAACGAACAGTTTATTGAGATTCCAGACGAGAACGTGCAAATCAAGAACGAGGACGACGAAGACGAAATCATCAAGATCGCCATGAAGTACATGAATGGAGGAAGAAAGAAGGCCAAAACTACCACCAAAGAAAAGCCCAAGAAGATTGAGAAACGCTTTTTCATGCCTGATGATGTTGAAACTGGATTCCAATCTGTCAGCGATATGCTTAAGAATCCTGGCGGTCTGACGAAACGACAAAAAGTTGAAGAACCTTCTGAAGACGAATTGATTCCAGATACCGTTTTGGCGCAATCGGATGAGTCCAGTTTCCATAGGTTGACTTCGTCGCCTCCTCCACTTGTGATTCAGTCACAGCCTCATGTCCAGAAGCAACCAACGCTCGATACTATCCCAGGAAAGCCTCCAAAGCCACTGGGGACGAGTCTAGGCGTCAAAAAGAGACCAGCGTCAAACGTCATCAACCAATTGAAGGCTGCGCTGAAACCTGCTGAAGTTCCTCCAGAACCCAAACTTCCCACCCAAGAAACCACTCCTCCAGAACAAGAGGCCGGCGATTCCGATGGAGATTTCGATTTCGACGACGACGACGACGAAATCCTCGCTCTTGCCGAACGAACCAGTTCCATGAACCAGACATACCATAAACCTCCAGCCCAAGAAGAACTCTACCCAAACGAGTTCCCCAATCAAGAAGGACTCTTATCCAACGACCAAAAAAGCGAACTATACATGTCCTACTACACTCCCGTGGACTCCATGGACCTCAAAAACGTATATGATCCAGAATTACTGGGTTCTTGTGGTCCCATTCAGCATAGCACAACCAGTCTTAACTTATTGCATTCCAAGGCCTTCATGTCAGAAACGTCCAACGAGAAAGGCCAGACGCTCATACATAACTACCAATCTGCATCAACATCAGCAAAAAACGAACTTCCCGAGTTTGTTGATTTTGACTGAACGTTTCCCCTGATCATTCTTGTAGAAACAGCCTTTTGCAGCCAAAATCGGTACCCACACGACCCGAGAATTACCCGGCCACCAAACTCGCGAGTATATAAAGAGCCCAAATCCTCCCACCGAAAAAGTTTTGATTCTTCATCTTTATGCAGGGGCATTACGTGTATCAGTGAGGATTCGTCCGAGATCATGTTTTTGCTGGTTGAAAACTATAACCTGACAGCTCCCTGATGGTCCTTCCTTGTGTTGTGATCGTTAGGGGAATTTTTGGATTACCTTTTTATGGAGATGTCACCTTTTAGAGGGCCATTTCAAGCGATTTTTGCCTGTGTACTTGAGGCCAAATACCCAGGAAAAGACGTTATCAGAAGCTGGCCTTTTCAAGGCCCAAAACCTAGGCCACTGGCCGTGTAGACGCCTTGTGCCTCGCTCGGTGCAACGTCTCCAAGTTGCATCTTGAGCTGGATACATGCGGCACATTTTGGCTGTCAAGCCATCGGCGCCGCTTGTAAGGGGCCATAGCAAACCCAGGGCTATCTTTGAGTGCGGTGACGTCGCCAGAAGATGGCGGAACTGTAATTATTGGCCCTGACAGTAGCATTGTTGTAGACACTGGTGGGTGGTGTCCTGTATATAAACTCCTCTGGCGATGAGAGTTTCAATCCGATCGGACACTTCTCCAGAAACAACTTCCTCCACCAAATGTTCAAGAAATTCGGTAAAGAAGAGGTCCACTCTCGTTCCAACATCAAGTCCTCCGTCCAAAGAGGACTCAAGTCGAATTTCGTTAACCACTTCGAGAAGGTCGAGCCGGTGATCGACGATATCATACCCAAGAAGTCTCAAGTGATCTTGATCAAATGTGAACACAAGATCCAGTGTTACTCGGTGGACGACGAGATCGTCTTGTTCCAGCATTTCGACGATTTGGTGCCCCACTTGAAAGTCGTCCATAAATACCCAGAATTGTTCCCAAGTGTCCAGGTCGACAGAGGCGCCATCAAGTTTGTCATGTCTGGCGCCAACGTCATGTGTCCTGGTTTGACTTCAGCAGGCGCCAAGTTGCCAGAAGAGAATTTGGAAGAAGGTACCATTGTCACCATTTACGCCGAGGGCAAGGAATCTGCGTTGGCTATTGGTAAGTTGACCATGAGCACCGACGACATCAAGTCCAAGAACAAGGGCGTGGGTATTGAGTTGTTGCATTATTTGGGAGACGGCTTGTGGCACTTTGATGCTAGTCCATAAGCGACAGGGGAAAAAAAGGGAGGGGGAGTGAGTTATAGACCGTTTTACGGATACGGTTCATAAAAGACGTGGTTCTGGTTCTCGAGTCCAGCGCTGGCCAACGTGGCCACGTCGTCGTCCAAGTACGTTTTGGAGACGTCATCTTCAGGAAGACGAATGCCGTTAGGATAATAGTAAAGATTGAACCGGTGCACTGGCACACTTGTGTGTTTTGTAATGATGCCTTTAAGCCGTAGGACAGTGTTGGAGGGAAGGAACGTTCTGGATAACAAGGAGACGCCATTGGACGTTTTGATGGTGAGAACCATCCGGTTTTCGTTTGTAGGGAGGTTTTTGGTCTCGCTGACCTCGCCAACGTTGTACTTCCTCTGGAGCTGTCTCCACCTAGTAGTATGAATACTTATTTCACCTTTCTGGACCTTGGAAATCACATATAGTTCAGCGCTTCGTATCTCATCCGCCAGAAGAGTGCTGCCGTTGATTTTCAGTATACCCGGTTCGCCTGGTACCAGGCACGGGAGCCGTCCAATTAGCTGAGTCGTCATTTCGTCCACTGATAAACCATCAAAAACAGCACACCCGTCGATTCTAAGCTCCATAAGCACTGGAAACTTTTCTCCAATAAAATCCACATCTTTCCAACTACCAACCGGGTTTTCTCGTAGATCCAAAACCTCTGTGTGCATCTTTCCCCCAGACAACGTACTGATCTGGTTATTGGCAAGTATAAGCTCTCTGGAGTGAATTTCTGGTACTTTCTCAAGCCTATTAAACGACAAATCAAGCAGATCCAAGCCTGGAGGTACCTGAACGCCCAGTAAACTCCCCAAGCGATTTCCAGCAACACATAGCCTTTGTAAGCCAGGAAAACAGCTCAAAAGCTCCCCCAAGCGTTCCTCTTCCAACCCACACGAAGCAGCATGCACCGTTTCTACCAGCCCAAACGTCACTTCCCCAAACCTCCTCAAAACATTCCCATTCACGTTAAGCACCCTAAGCAATGGCATCCTCTCCACCATCTTCTCCACCTCAGCCATATCCACCAACAAATTGTAACTCAAGTCAAGATACTTCACATTCAGCAACACAGGAAGCCTCTCAATGCTTCCACAACGCCCAATCGCCTTCTTATCGACCATCACACTCTCCAAAAGAGCCAACTCGGCGCGTTGTCTGTTGAGCTCTTCAAACCCCAAACTCTCCACCTTCTTTGACCCAAAAACGATCTGTTTCTGCAAAACCAGAGCATTCTCTGTCCCCGTGTACGTCTCCAAAAACACATCCACAAACTCCTGACCAACCTTCAACTTCCTGTTCCCAGCTTTCACAAACGAACCGCTGCCTGGCTGGTCCACTGAAAAGTACCGTATGTTTCCGACTTTTCCGTCGTTTTTGCCCCTTGAAGCGTCGTCCCATTCGATTCCAAACGCCTCCACGTCGTCTCCCCACACTGGCAACCTTCCAATGTACTTGACAGTTCCAAAGGCGCCGTCTAGCTCGACTCTGTCAAGTAGGTTGACCATGGAGATGTACGGTAGTGTATAGAAGACAGATATGGGTATAAGTGGGTTCAGACATTTGGAGATACAGATGTGGTTTTGGAAATTTTAGTGGTTCCAGTGATTTCCTGGTAGCTGGACTACATGAACTACTTGTTACTGGCCATTTTGGCTTGGTTTTCGTTGGTTTTGTTGCACCCTCTTTGCATCCATAATGGCTGCGAAAAGTATCTACATCTCTCTCTTAGCTCCTTCAATTTGCCCTAGTATACATGTAATGTTTAGTTCTCGTCAAGGCCGAAGTTGTTGCCGAGCAAGCCGTCAAGATCAAACTCCTTGGCCCATTCGGAAACAACCGTGGTTTGTTCTACCTTGGCTGGCTCTCTGTCGCCTCTGGCAGCGCTCTTGGGACCGTCGCTTTCAACATGTGCTTTGGAGGCGTTTGGCAAAGTCCAACCTGTGATTCTGCCGTCTCTCCAGTCGTTCAAAACGTTGAGTGCAGCCGACTCGACGTGGGGGATACCTCCTTTGGTCAATCTGCCTCTGGCTCTGGCAACGTGGATCAAAAACTGTCTGGTGAAGTCCTTCAAGTCGCTGGAAGGTAATGCAGGGATTTCGTAGTACGCCTTCAATGCGTCTGCCATGGTGTTGTCTTTAGATAAACGCTTGAGTAACGTCTCCACCACGCCAACTGGGTCTCTGATGTTCTTCGGCGTCACAGCAGAGAGCAATGCAAGTTTAGCTTCCTGGGAGGCCTTCTTACCTGCAACCTCGTCAGGGAACACGATACCTGGAGAGTCCAAGATCTTGAGTTTGTTGTCGATCTTCACTTCTCTCATGGTGGTGGTCACACCGGGCATGTTACCAACGGGACATGCCTTCAGGTTTCCGTGTCTATTAGTCAATGCATTGATGATCGAGGATTTACCAACGTTGGGGTAACCAATGACACCAACAACGATGGATCTCTTCAAGTTAGATTTCGTGGCGTAGCTTTTGAGGGCTTCCATGAGCTGCTTGGACGTCAAGGCGCTCGAAAGGTTCTTATTGTACATGTTGGAGCCTGTGGCGCCTGGAGATGCCTTGACGGGGACAGTAGGGAAGAAACTCTTTAAGAAACTAACCCATTGCGTCAAAACGTTCGTAGGAACAAGATCAACCTTGTTCAACACGAAAATAAGACGCTTACCACCGCTCTGCAACACTGCCTGCTCGACTTTCCTGGATCTCGTGGCCTCTGGGTCTCTGGCATCCAAAACGTAAAGAACAACATCAGACGCTTCCACCACCGCCTTGAAAATCTTATCGTATGCTTTTCTCGACTTCTCGATATCAGACTTATCCTCAGTATCACTCAACTCAATCTCCACATCCTCATCCGAATCAGCCATAGCGTCCTCGTCAACTTCTCCATCAAACTCACGAGCTGCCTGTTGAGCAGATTCCATCAATGCAGAAAGTCCACCTTCTCCTTCAGGTTCCTCATCGTCTTCATCCATGGCTTCCTCCACCTCTTCGCCTCTAGCCAAAGCAGCCTCACGTGCCTGCTGTCTCTTAAACCGAAGCTGTTCCCTTCTTTCCTTCTCAGCGATTCTGTTCTGTTCTAGTTCATTAATGATCTCTTCTTTGTATGGGAAACTTGCAGGAATGCCTGGATCCTTGTTCACTCTGGACTTCCAAGTAACGTCCTTCTTGGCCATCTTTCTGTTTTTACGACGCTGGGCAGCAGCCTTTTTCTTGATACCCTCTCTCATACGAGTGGTCGTCCTCTTGGACGTTGGCTTCTTGACTCTCATGGCTTTGTTTGTGGAAGGTCGATGAGGTACAAGTAAGTTACCTTTTTTTTTTTTTTTCCACCTTAAAGTGCGATGCCTCTCTCATCGTGTACTGCAGGCTTCCCTACTCCATACTTTACCAACACAGATAGAGTTAACCAAGTTTATAAATTCAGAATATTTAGGCAGCCTAAAATTCGTAGTCTCTCTTTGTTGACCGTTTGTCGTAGATCAGTCTTGCTGGTGGAGGCCGGGCACGGACGTACGGCTGGAAAGAGAAGTCTCTCATATTGGCCTTGATATAGGCAGGCAGTGATTTGCGTGTAGAGCTGGAAGATAAAGGTTGTTCTTCGTCGGAGTCGTCGTCGCTTTCGCTGTCAGAATCATCGCCAAACCCAGAATCCCAATCGGATTCGCTGTCGTAGTGTTCGCCAGCAATCGTGATGGTGCTTTGGTCTGCAGTGGCTTCATTCCATATAGCCTGCAATTCAGCTTTAGGCTTTTCAATGAAATGCAGCTTGAGCTCTGCCTTTAAGACGCCTTTGGCGGTTTTGGCATTGCGTATAAACGACCCCCACGCTGAATCCATTGACGCCACTGACTGTTTCTGAACCACGTCTTTTGTATCTGGAAGAACAACCTCAGGACTAGGCCTGGTCACTTCGAGCTTTTTGAAGGAGCTTCCAATGGGCAACGCGGCAGCTATGGTAAGAAGCAATGGGATGTTGAAGATCTTCATGGTTGTAGAATTCGAATTAAGCAGAATGTGGTGGGAAAAAGAAAGTGTATGGTCTTTGTGTTAATGGCTGCAAAATCCGCGAGTACACCAAGAAAACTCATCCTTGCCTGCCCTTCATCGAACCAAGACTCGAAACTCGGTGAAGAGAGTCTCTGCTTTCGTTGCGATGGTTATAAATAGGTCCCTTTTTGGGGTTCACAAACGGTTTGTTGAAAAAATCAACCTGGTGAGGCGTATCATCCATATCGCCCAAGTTGATGGTTGACCTGGTTCTCAACAGAGAGCCGTCGCCAAGCGTGGGCGACGAAGAAACAAAGTGTGTTCCTCCTTCCAAGTCCATGTTAATGTCTTCTTGTTCTTGGAGCTTGATGTAGTTGATGGCCGACGAAAGGTAGCGTTTCACTTCGGGAGGACTTCTGTTTCTAGCAGCAGAGAGAATCCGAGTAAGTGGGCCGGGAATCCTCGAAGGAACAACCTTTCTGAGCACTTTCGAGTAGCCTAGCTTGTTGCCCAAAAAGCCAAACACCAAGATGACAATGATGAAGAAAAGGTAGAAAACAGCATACGAGTGGATTCCCTCGCCGTCGCTGTCGTACCCAGCCTTCAAAGATAAGGCACTACCCGTAATGCCCACTTGTTCAGCTCCTTTCTCGTGGTCCACTTGCGAAGAAGCTACAAGAAGAGCTTTACCCAAAGTCCATGAAAGCTCGTCGCCTTCGATAGAATCAGCAGACTTGAAAGGTACATGCGCCTGCTGGACGTCTTTCATGTCACTGGTTTCTTTATCGTCCTGGGGATCAACCTCTATACCTAACCTGGGGAGTCCAAATCCCTCATGCAAAATGTTGATAACCCACGACGCCTTGAAACACGCGTCTAATAAGAACAGCTCGCCCAAATTCGAGTATTCGCCGTTCTTGGAGTTGGCAAGCACGGTTTCCCAGCTGCTTTCACAGTAGTCCCGTACTTTATCGTTGAAACTGTGGAAGTTGTACTCGCCGCCGCTATGAAAAATGTCATTGGCAGTGTACCAGTATTCAGAAACGCCCACAAACTTATCCTTTTCAAAGTTCATCTTTGGAGCATGCATACCGTTGAAAAGACATGGCTCGTCAGTGCAAGGCATGTTCTTCATGAGCAAGGGGTAGATTTCCTTAAGACAGACCTCGTAATTACCCGTTCCCTTGATCAAATACTGCTTGTTGCCGTACGTATAGTCCTTAATTTCAGCGCCCTTGGGCATACATGGATCATTGACCTTCTTGCCAGTATACTTGACATTCGTAGACAAAAGAAGCGAGATAAGATTATCCAAGTACCTCTTTCTAGCCCTATTAGCACCAAAACCAAGCCACGTTCCTGTAAACACCCGCCAGTTCTGGAGCTCTCCGTTCTGGTTCCTAAGAAGAACCTTAAACAAGTCTTCGTCGTGCTTTTCAATCTCCTCTGGAGAAGGCACAAACGCCACTTGCGTGGACGCACCGCCCATATCCATAAACCCAATCAGTTCATGTTCCACCGCCAGACTATCAAAGTTATCAAACTTACCCATAAGGTAATTGAGCGCCAACCAGCCATAAATACCTTCAGTAGCACCGTCAATAACCTGAACATGGTCCGAACACGAGCCAATCTTAAAGTCTGTATGTTTCTGAAGCGCCTTACACGTCTCAGAAACAATCTTCTCCTGCTGTTGTTCAGGCAAAAGTCTCATTCCAGCCGTAGCCAACACGTACACTGGCGTGTCGTGCCACTTATCCTTTGGAATCACGTCTTCAGCAAACTTCATAAGCTTCTTGTAGTGCTGTTTCCAGATCTTCCCCGGTTTTTCACCAAAAGTAGAAGCTCCAGGCGTGATCTTCGAGCTCCAGCCCTGTTCCTGACTTATCTTAGGAGGCGACCTGAGCCTATCCTCCAGCGCCAGCTCCTTAGCATGGCCCGGATCCTCCCACCTGTAAATCTGGACTCTGGACCCCAGCGAGCCCGAATCAACCACGACTCCGTACTTGTAGCCGCCCATGAGGAAAAGAAGAAGTGTTGATGTGGTTGGAGATATGTCAGATGAGTGTACAGGATAATGATAGAGGAAGAGGAGGAAGAGGAAGAGGGTGGAGAGAAATGTTTGTTTGGAAGAGCTGTTTATTTGGGGTGATAGGGGTGGAAGGGATGAGGTTTTGATGGTTTTGAATTTTGGAGTTTTGGGATTTTGGGGGAAAGTCAAGCTGGGTGTTTGCAACCATTGAAGTGCTCATAGTGAGGTATCTAGAGAGAACGTTCAGGTAAATTGACCAGATGAGGCGATGAGGACGGGTTAAAAGGTGAATTGATCAAATTCAAAGTATAAGAAAACCACTGAGTATTCTAGGTTTTTCATGTTCTTGGTGGATTTGTCCTTTTGTTAACCATGCTGTGTATAGATCCAGTAGGTGAAGAGATCTCCCAGGGCATCATACGAAATGACCAGGAAAGGGACATTTTGGTGAAAAAAAGATAGTTCCTTGAAACCTTACCATCGGTAGTTTCTATGGAAAAGCTGCTTTTCTAAAACTCTCCAATCTGGGTATTTTACGTTTACGCTTTTTGCTTATCTCTTGGAATACCATCCATTTCGCAGCCATTAGATAAGAATCCACTGTGGCTGCAAACACCCACCACTTTTCCACTTCCATGATAAAAAACCAAAAAAAAGTAATAAAATCATCTTCTTTTTCACTCCAATTACCCCAAACAGCATTTAACCCTTCGTTTTATCAAATTTCACGAAAAACCACTCCCTCCATTCTGTCTCTTCACTTACTGTCTTTACCCAACCACATCCAGCCAAACACCCCCAACCCCTCCAACCTCCAAAACCTGCCAAGAACAAAAACCAAAAATCAAAATCTCCACCACTAAGTCATCAAAAAACCCAAAATCCAATTCCACAAACCAACCACTTTACCACATCACCAGCTCCACTCAACCCCCACCAACTCTTCTTCGCACTTATCTCTAAATCTTATCTACCACCATGATTGTTCTTCCTAATACTCCACCCACGCCAGTCCCGTGGAAGGTCGATACGCTGCTTGTGCCGCCTGAACTCCAGGCGATCCGGGCTTCTCTATGTACGTCGTCAATTGCGTCTCAGAGTGAAACGGTGCGTTATATACTGGGGCTACTGGAGTACTTGGAAGGGCTCTTTGAGTTTCTTGCGTTGGAAACACACGAAAAGAACGTGCCTCGGTTTGCTGGGAAGGCGCTGGAGTTGACGCTTACGACGCAGATTCCGTGGCGGAATATCGAGAAGAAGGAGCTGAAGAAGTTGTTTAAGCTTAACTCTAAGCCTGATATAGTGTGGACCTTGTCTGCTGAGATCCAGCTGGTGACGGTCAGCTTGGCTATGCTGTATATCAAGTTGGGTGCTGAGTTGGCCAATGAGCTTATTGATACGGATATGGGCCTGGAGCCTGAGAAGGAGACCGACGAGAAGTGGAAAGCGGTGACTAGCCATTATAAGAAGGCTACGAGTTATAGTTTGTTTGGAACGCAGTTTACTATGGGCAGCTCGGTCATGACCATTGACCCTAGGGTGTTTGTTTTGATCGATAAGTGCAGCCAGATCGGGATCCAGATGTCGATTTTATCGAAGTTCTCCTGGCTCAATAGGAACTCGTATAATCTGAACGAAACGTTTACTTCGAGCAACAACAATGTCTTGTGCCGGGTGGCGATCTTTGTGCTTGACGAGGTGGCGGCGTGTGTGAATTTGTCCAGAGAATTGGACCTGAACGAGTCCCAATACTTCAGACTTAATTATAACGGCTGGGATACGTATCTTGAGGTGGTGCAACGGTACGCCACAGCGTATGCTGGGCTTTTTTTGTCGATTGAATACTACCAAAAGGAAAGCCTTGGCCAGGCCATTGGCCTTATTAATTTCTCCTTGTTGTCACTACAAAGCAAGAGCATGGCAGACTTGAAGCCTACAAAGAATAAGATCTTCAACAAGTTCAAAACGAAAGTTGCAAGCAAACGCAACGAGCTGTTCGTGCAAAATCTTAATTCGATAACGTCGCTTCGGATAGATAAGTCTGTGTTTCAAGAGCTGTCAGGGCTTGTGCTTAAAGATCTCCAGCTTCTTTTTGACCAGCTCGTTCAATGCCATTTAAAGTACACCAAGGAGAATGATAACATAAAGTTTGATGCGATTTCTGACTGGAAAGACGTTCATGGCGATTCCAGATGGCCGTTTGGCAACAAGATCCCTGTTTCGGCAGTGGAAGCATATTGTCCCAAGGCCTTACAACAAGAAGCTCCAGATACCATCAAAGAAGGATTCACAGGACGTGGGTCGTATTTCTAGACCAGAGCAGAGCTCTTTCAGAGCAGCGCTCTGCACTACATGTACTGGTAAATCTATAGTTGAGGTGTATTTATATTACGATCCGCTGATTTATACAATAAACAGCACCGGACCGGAAAAAAGAACAAAAGGTAACGTACATTATCAAGCTAGCAGTAGCAGCAGAGCGGCAGCACTGCTTACAACTTCTGCATAGCAGCAACATCGGTGGACTGGACGTGGTCCTCGTCCTCCTCGATGGAAGCCTGCAAGTCGTCCAAGGAAACCTTCTCGTCCTCAATGACCAAGTTGATCTGCAACTTCTTGATACCGAAACCAACAGCGATCCACTGGTGAGCACCCCAGGTCAAACCGTCAATCTCGACAGCCTTGACGTTGGCCAACAACTCGTCCAAGTCAGTCTCGTCATCCCATGGCTTAACGTCCAAGGTGACAATAGACTTAGCAGCTGGCTTAGGACCCTTGGCGGCCTTCTTGGCAGCGTACTGGGCCAATCTCTCCTGCTTCAACTTCTCGGCCTCCTCGTCGACCTCCTCGTCGTCAGAGCCGAACAAGTCGACATCGTCGTCGTCCTCGTCAGCGGCACCAGCAGAAGCGGAACCAGCTGGAGCCTTACCAGCAGGCAAGGACTCGAACTCCTCAGTGAAAGAGGCAATGTGGTTGAACCATCTGGCAAACTGAGGGTACTCCTTCTGGAAAGCCTTGTAGACGGTGACATCAGCCGAGGTAGCGGCGGTGCTGGATTGTTAGTACAAAATTACATCAAATACCTTCGTGGTCAGCTAATAGATTTAAATCTTCTGTGTCACTCATGCGGTGGGTCTTAAGCACCTCATAAACACGGACCAAAGATTGCGATCATCATTCAACACGAGGACAGTGGATTCTAAAAAGCCAAAGCCTGATTCAATTGACATACCCGTCGATGTAGGACTTGTCAGCCAAGAAGTCGTTCAAAGACTTGAGGGATTCGACCTTAGAGAAATCGGAAAAAGACATGGTTTGTGGAGTTGTGAAAAAAAAAAAAGGAACTTTGTATGTGGCCAGAAGGGAAGAGAAAAAAAAAATTTCAATGCTGCGGTGAAGAGGTTTTCGTGGACCGTTTTGGGCTCTCGCGCACGACCTTCAGTTTAGGGCTGGGCCAGATGGAGAGGTGGAGGAGTTGGGGGGTTTAGAGGGAAGGGGGGAAAGTTAAAGAAGGGGTTTGAGGATGAAGAGGGGAAGTAGGGGGCTAGTATGGACGTTTAAATTGGAGATTTTGGGTGGTTTTGGGGGGATTGGTGGAGGGTTGGTGGAAGACAGTGTGGCTGCGAAAACCAGTGGGACTGGAGTGTAGCGAGGGTTTGGCTGCAAATGGGCGGTAGTGGGTGGAGGCGTGGAGGGAAGAACAATTGATGAGGGTGCGTTTTTTATTGGTTGGATATAGGGGATGTAGGGTAATGGGTTGGTTTGAAATTTAAGGGAAAAGTGGTGAAAATGGGTGGTGGTTGGTTGGTGGGAGTGAAGTGAGGGCTAGTGAGGGCTGGTGAGGGCTACTGAAGAGGGTTATAGGGAAAGACTGAAGGTGTTGGTTTTTTATTGGTAATTGGGTGTAGAGGGAATTTGAAGGGAAGGGATAGTAGAAAGAGGTAAATGGGGGTAGAGTGAAAAAATTGATCTGTGGATGGTTGGTGGTGGATGGTTGGCTGGAAAGAGGTGTATTATTTATGGTATTGGCTTCTGATTGGGCGTGATATGGATGAGGGCTGGAATGACAATAAGGGTGGTAATTTTTAGTATGCCAATTTTTCAAGTCTGAAGAGATCGCTTTTTTTAATAGGTAGGTTGAAGAACTGGAGATGGTGGTCGCTTGTGAGTGGTTATGAGAAGTAGCCTGAGGAGGACTGGGAGGACTGGGAGGACTGGGAAGGCTGGGGGTATTTATACTTTTCGGGAAGAAAAAAAACTGGAAAGAAGAGAATCTGATCAGCTTTTAATTGTCTTTTATTTTTGACTTATGGTGGAATTGGTACTGGTGGTTGGTGATGGTGTAGGGTTATTGGTACTGTAGATGGCCCCTGGGGCCCATGTGGCAAGCCAGGAGGAAATAAGGGAATTGGGATTTAAGAAGATCTGATTTTAAGGTTTATTATGTTGGTGAAGTGGTAGTAAAATCTCTGTCTTTTTTATATGTTCTACGTTTCTGGCTGCTCTGGTGTTGGTTAAGTCTGGCTGTTCGGAGTTGGCAATAAAGGAACTCCGAGGGCCACCATGGTTCTTTACACAAGGGAACGTAAATGTAAATAAAAGATGGATATGCTAATTGTTCTCACTTCGGGACCTTAGGTGGAACTGAGTTTATTTCTTTCTGTACGTTTTTCTACTTCTCTGTGGACGTAAGTGGAGAGCTGAGGCAGATGAGTAGTTCAATGACTTCTGCTTATTAACTAACTGGTGGAAAATAATTAAATACTTCTATGATTCCCGGACCAACTCAAAATGGCTATCTACTTTTGAGCATCTAGCTAACTCACAAGTACAGCTTTAGATAGTGCTTTAAGAAAACAAGAAAAGAGCAGGTACATAGTTGGGGACATTTATCAAGAGAGGGACAACTAACGTCCCAACAAGCAACCCATTACCGTCTGCACTTTATCAAACTAGCTGCTCATCAAAGAAGCCCCTCTGACCACTGAAAGGTTAAAACTGTGCCCATCAGTCTATGTAACGCACCTCTTGACCAACGGCCTCTATCCATCAACTCTCTTACCAATTCAAAGCTGATTGAATAACCGCATTGACAATCAACAAAGAGAAATAACCACCACAAGAACTCGTCATCTCCAGAATGCCTACTTTGGCATACCCACCAAATCCGAAACCCAATATGATCGGGGCAGTCAGAAGAAGAGTTAATAACCGACACAATGCGCTTACTCCCTTGGCGTCACACAAAAGTGATATAAAGCTTCCGATTGCAAAGCCTAACAAAAAAAATGGCATCATCTTACCACCAAAGAGATTAGCAGCACCTTTAGGCCCATGTGTGGTGTTAAGTAGTTCTTCACTCATGCTTACAAAACTTCTGGAGATCTCAACCACTATAAGCCGTTGAGAAGTTGTTTGTCTGAGAGCATTATAGTAAGAATCTTCCCATTGTTTTGCTAATTGTTTTCTCTTCAGGGCAGATGTTGACCTTTCCTCAGCAAATACCTTACCCATATCCACGATAATGCCTTTATAGTACCGATTGTTAAAGGTGCACTTTGTAGGACTGTTTTCTGACTTTCTACAAAGTACCCATGGACCCACATAGTAGTCTGTTTTTCCCAAGGGCCATTTCTCTGTGATCAATGGAGACATACCACCTGTGGAGGCTCCGACGCTTTCAAGCAGACTAACGAGGTGCCTGGCAAAGTCACTCCAATCATTGGGTTCCAGGACACTAAACTTTCGTGTTGTTGTAAGCATAGATGGTACGAATATCATACAAATGAGAAGTGTCACACACCCTGCTGTTAAAACGTGTGATGACTTTTCCTTGATCCAGTTGCCAAATCGTTTTAGCTTCGGGCTGGGCTTCGCTGGTTTAGCTCGTCTTTGCATTGGTATCTGGGGAGGGTTGTTAATTCTCAGGTCAAGTATTCCCGGGTCGATGTTTGGCGAAGACATGGTTGGCTCCAGCGAAGTATAGAGAATGTTAATGTATGTCAGAGGAACAGAAGAACGGGTGTTAACGGTCACTTTTGAATGCGTTGGAGTTGCCTATTCAGGCTTGCTCTCTTTTGTCTGAACGATGTCGGCTTTCTGGGTGAATAAAGATGAGTAAGGGAAAAAAGGAGAACTTAGCAGTTTTGGATCTGTAAGTAACTCAATCAAAGTTTACCCATTCAATCATTTAATTAACTTGTAACTTGGGCCGTCTGATATGAAAGGAGAGGATACTCATGGATGGTAACCCAGAAGTATGAGAACGCAAGAAACCACATTCTCCTGGAGTTGCCTTTATTGGAAGTGCAAATCTACAAATTATGATGAAGGAGTGGAACGACCAGCCAACAGTACATGAGTTGAATACTCATAATAATGAGTTTAGGATGCCCTGAGTTGCAAACGAAAGAGAGTAAGGGTTCTTCGAAAAGAGAGGTTGAGAACCCACCATTGCCACTCATCAAACGTTATCTTCATCGCTCAGAAGGAATAACTAAGTCATAAGCCGTGCACGAAAACCGATCTTGGGCTGTTATGGTTGAAGTGAGAGGATCATAGTTCAAAAGAAGTACAAGTAGAGTACAACTAAAGTACTGATGGTATCCATGGCAACGAAACGAAGTATGAGGGAGAGTCATATGTAGCATTGGCCAAAACAGTCGGTTCATCTTTTCACGTCAGGGCATACCAGATAATGTCGCCACCGTAGCAGTCAACGCCAACAAAAGGAGATCCCTAAACAATGCCCATCAGTCCATAACACACTACGTCTCTATCACACCAGTAGGGCCTTTCTGTCTACCTACTGACCATCCAGTGTTCCTAGTCCAGATCTATAAAAGGCACAGCCATACCTAAACAGAACTACCAAAACCACCAAAACCACTAAAACCTCCAATACCCAAAACTCCCAAAACTCCCAAACAGCCTCCCCTTACCCCTTACCACTCCCTTGACGAAGCCCTCTAAATGGCTGCGAAAAACTGGTATAGCGTCAAACAATGAAGCATTCTCTACAGGACCAGCTCACCAACCATTCCCACCAAACCCATACCAAAGCTTACCAAAAAACCCCAAAAAGCATAGAAAAACCCCAAAAGGAGCATAAAAAACCTTCCCTCCCTCGTCTTCCCTCCCAGCCGCTCCCACTCCATGCGTGGCCTCGCCGGATTGGGCGATTAGGTTGCTTCGCATGAGGCGTCCTGACGCAACACCCATTTTGCAACCATTACGTGCAGCAGAAGGGAAGAGAAAGGTTGGATAAAAAGGGAGGAAGAGTAGTGGATGGTTTGGAATGCTGGTTCGTTTTTTATATACATTTTCTGAAATGCCGTTTTCTGAAATGCCGTTTTCTGAAATGCCGTTTTTAATGCATTTGCCAGTGGATGGAGGTTATTCCAGGGTTCAGCTTCTGTAGATGGTACTTGTTCTGGGATGGAGAAGGATATATGCTTCTCTGGGATATGATTCTCTGGTTTATACTTCTCTGCTTCTGTTGCCTGTTTCTCTGAAATCTGCTTCTCTGCTTCTGTTACCTGCTTCTCTGGGATATGGCCTCGCTACGCTTCGGCGGCTTCGGCGGCGTCGGCTTTGACGTTTCGGCTTCGACAGCTTCAACAGCTTCGGCTACGCCTCAGCTGTCTCAGCTGTCTAGGCCTCAACGTATCTCCAACCGCCCCACTCAAAACTAGCATAACACCTAAACTCATTCCCCAACTCATTCTTATGTTTCGGATGAAAGTCAGTCTCCCTCGTTTCTGGATAACTCTCCATAATAATCTCCCTCATTCTCTCTCCCGTAGACGAAATCAACTTAAACCTCTTATCCCCAGAAGCAGTCACCGACCCGTCATCCTCCACCAACAAGTTCCGTGCTGCCTGAGCCAGCTTCTTCTGACACTGCTCCTCCAAAAACGGTGGATCAATAAGAAGCCTATGGCACTTGTTCCTCAACAACAACGGCACATCGTCTGGTCTCAGATAATCATACGCAAAGAAATGCCCTGGCGCCAAAATGCTAAACCGGGTATCGTACTCCAACAAATATATATGTTTCGTAGGCACCTCTTCAGGCTTGAGTTTCCCAATGGCTGCAAACACAGAAGGCGCCAGAGCAATGCAAACCACAGTCTCTTCGTCAGCTCCATGCAAAAGTGCCCTGGCCAACGTAGCCGCGGTGTCGTCATCGTACCAGAACTGCAGAAGCTGCCAGTCTTCTTGGAAGGCGTCGATGGACGCTGCAGGAGTAGGCAGTTTTTCGGCATCAACACTTATGCCACTGTTGTTTTCACTTTCCTGCGCTACTTGTTGGTACAACTGCTCAAACTGTTTCTTGCGGGCTTCTTCTTCTTGTTTGAACAGCTGGAGGGCTGCGAGCGCATGCGCCGAGAGCTGGAGCGGTTCCTCGTCGTCCATAGTGAAATATAACGGTCTATGAATTTTTAGGATTTTTTTTTTTTTATTCTTTTCGTTGATACTTGCACGATTCCTCCAACAGGTAGTGCGGGCCTCATAAGTACCCCGGGTAACTTTTTCTGCGCACCCAGATCCACCATCTCCATATCAACAAAACATACACACTACGTGCCCAGTGTTTCACATTCCCTTAACCAATGTCGTTTACGTGTACACCAGGGCAATTGGCAGCCCACGTGATTGCGTCTTTGGCGGTGCTGGACGCCGTGTCGCTTTCTGCTCTTTGGCAAATAGCTGCTGCAAAATCCACTTCTGCTGCTTTGGATAACCTCCAAAAGAACATCATATGGGCTTCGCTTATGGGCGCTTCGCCAGGACTAATATCAGCCAAAACTGGGCCCAATGGCTCAGAAGTGCTTCCCATTGACGAAAACACCCCGTACGGAAAACTTCTCCTCCACGGAACCGAACTGGAGATCTTCATCGAGGCTACAGAGAAGTGTCAGTTTAGATACTTGACAGGCACAGAGAACTACCATTCGTTGAAGGTGAGTTTGGGTGATTTCCCGTTTCGTTTGTTGAGGGTGATTGCTCGTCATGGCGCTGAAGGGATTCTTAACCCAGACTTGGCTAGGGAGTCTGACCAGGATGCACGTTCTATTCGTCTAAGGCTTATCAAGCTAGAACAGGCTGGGTTGATCGTGACAAAGTCGGTTTATGTGGATAAAAAACATACGACGCATTCGTGGCATACCAAGTTTGTCACTGCAAAGGTTCAGAATGATAACGAGACTGACGATGATTTGGAGGCTACTCGTGATGTGGGTAAACTAAAAAGGTTGATTGTGGATGCTCTTCAGAAAGCGCCAAACCAGCTACGAGGCTTTTCGGATTTGCGTAAAGAGCTTAAACTCGATGGGTCGCTTCTGGCATCGAAGTTCTTCCGTTCCGTCTGTATCAGGCTACATCGTGCTGGTTACGTTGAAAAGCTTAATGTGGAACTTCCAGAAACAAAACAGCGTTTATATGCGCTTCGCTTTACGAAACCGCTTCCAAAGGACTTGGAGGATTTAGAGATGGACGAGGATGACGGTAATGATATGCAAGATGAGTTTGACCAGGAGGATGAAACACTGCCTGAAGAACAAGCAACTACACCAGTGCTCAATAAAGTGTTTCCTCCATTCACTCAGATCTTCCAGCATATTTATGATAGAGGCGAGAAAGGTATCACGTCAGGCGAGATTGCAAAGGCCTTGCTTGGTACTTCTGACTACAGACCGTACATTAGGCTTTTCGAGTTGCTACCAACCTACTTGAGCAATGGAAAGACCCTTAAGCCATGCAAGAAGTATGTGGACCTTTATGACGACTACACTGTGTCTAAGCTTTATGATAATGAAGGTAAGCTTAGGTTCTACAGGTACTTCGTCAAGCAGTTCTGCAAGGAAGACAAACCAGCACCAAAAGTTCGTCCAAAGCCAAAGGCCTCCAAGGATAACATCGTCAAGTTGAACGATAGGCTTCACTCTTCCCTCGGAAAGATATCCCACGAAGTACTTATTGAGAAGAAGAGAAGGTCTCTACAGACCTCAGACCAACCGCCAGCCAAGAGGCCCAGGATCGAAAAGAGACCGTCACTCGAAATAGAGACTCCTCCAGTACCCGAAGAGATAATTGATGCTCCTAGGCGAAGGCGCAGAACTGCCAAAGTGTCTTACAACTTCGATGACCAATTGTTGGACGATGAAAACAACCTGGAAGACGACTACACCCCTCAACCCGAAGAAGACGGCGAAGCAGCAGATTCTTCACCCGAGCCTTCCCCTTCAGAGGTAGCTCTGGCGGCAACTGAAGCTGCAGATTCGTCAAAACCTACACTTTCATCAACGAACTTACCTAAGTTTGTTCCCCAACCAAAGGAGCCCAAGAAGAGTCGAACAGTATCCCAGGGCTATAAGTCTGAGGGCTCTGCCAGGGCCGTACAAAGAAGACAGCAGTTGCTTGACATCATCAGACAAGAAGGAGGTGCAACATATAGTAGCTCGGTGTTGTGTCGTAAGATCGACGAACGTATGAATAACCCACTGGTAACTGATGTCAAGACGTTGGCTCGTGACGTGATGTTCTGTGCAAAAAACAAAGACTTGGAGATTCAGAAAGTTTCTATTAACCTTGGGGAACAACAAGTGGAGAAGAAGTTACTTGTGCTTACAAAGCCAGAAGAAAGACCTACAGAAGAGAGATTAGAGGAGTTACGTCAAGCATATGCTGCTCAGCATTCGAGAAAGGATATCAAAGTGTTCCAAAAACGTCTTATTCAGCTGGATATGAGATTATACATCGAAAACCCAAAGACAAAGAAAGTTAGTTCGGGTACTGCCAAGAGAAGAGGAAAAAACAGATTACCTGCCTTGGGTGATACGGAACGTGAAAGCCTGGTCAAGGATGAACCTACTGAGGGTGTTCTGAGGGATGAAGGTGATGCCCTTTCTAATCTTAAACGGACCAGGAGACCAAGGAAGGTTGCCGCCCCGGGATCGGCAGATGGAACCCAAACCACGGGTAAAAGAGGTAGAAGAAACATCAAGATGGAGAAATCTGAAGCCCTCATGCTTTTCCGTGCTGTGGTTATATCCAAGACATTTTCTCGTCTTGCCATTGACTTTGATGAGATCGCTACTTTGTTTCCAGATAAAGACGGCCAGATTGTGAAACAGAAGTGGGGTACTGTCAGAAGACTGTTTGGTGGTGCTGACGTTGTATCTCAAGGTGTGCTTACGTTTCAACAAATGATTATCCAGGGCGTCGAAGAGGGCTCAATTACCGAAGAAGAGCTTTCCCATGGCGACTTAAAGTTCTTCCTTGAATACTGGCGTGAATACGACAACAATTTTGATTTACCTTCTTTCGACGAAATGCCACTTTACAACAGCTGGGAAAGGAATGCTAACGAGTACAATTTTCCTAAAGAAGAGGTTCAGACTACAAGTCTTGCTGAAAAAATCGAAGATATCTCGATGCGCCAAAAAGAGTCTTTGCTCAGCCAATCTGTCTTTGCTGAAGCTGACGAGCCGCTTATCAAGGAAAAGAAACACGAAGACCTTCGCTCGATCTTCAAGTCCATCTTCCTGACCAGTGAGGAAAAACAGTATACCAGCTTCGTCAACCGCTTGTTGGAGGAGCACGGAGAAACAGCCATCAAAGAGGCTACCAATGGTTTAACCAGTGACCGTGAAGTTCTTCTTGTTTCCATGGATGACACATCTAAGTTCATTCTTGGTGACAAGTTTAAGAATGCGCTTGTCAACAGACTGTTAACCAAAGACTTCTTCAACCGTGCTGCCTCATTCAAAGACGTTCTTGTGTCTCTTTCCACTGCCAATAAAGGTCTTGTCTTGTCCCAGGGAGTACTTCCTGGTGAAATGGCGTCGTTGTTGCAATTGATTTCTGACTACTCCGTGGACCTCCTTAGGGTAGATCGTGATTTGAAATTCGACAGCTACGAGTCTCGTCTTATTGACAAAGAGCAGTTGGCTTGTGATCTTGTCTTGAAATGTAACGTTGCCAAGGTTACTTCCATGATGCCAAAACCCGTATCCATTCCATTTGAAGGACCCTGCCAGCCAATCTGGTTCGATGTCAATGCCAACTTGAACAAACCATTATGGATCAAAATCATCACCACTCTTTTGAACTACATTGTATTCAAACCAGGCGTTACCGATGAGTACCTCTTTGGCAAGACACACGTGGTTCTTTCTGTCAAAAACTACAACTACATCATGAAGTGGCTTCTGGACACAGAGTGCGTCAAGCAATTATCCTCAGGCGGCTACCTTCCCACAGACAAGTGGCAGTACATTCTTGGATCTGGAAAACCATAAGTACTTGTTTTTTGCAACCACTATCAGGGAGGCACCGAAAAAGGAAGGTGCGTTACTGTCTGCAGTACATGCGATTTTTTTTATATGGGCTCTTCTCAAACCCCATCAACAAAACCCCATCGCAGTGCTAATTCAAATATCATGGGTTTGGCAGGGACCAAGGTGAAACAGAGGTTTGGACTGGATCCAAGAAACACTAACTGGTCAAATGACACAGACAGGTTTGGCCACCAGTACCTTGAGAAGATGGGCTGGAAGCCTGGCAAAGGTCTTGGACTTGTGGAACATGCCATGACTTCTCATGTGAAAGTGTCTATAAAGACTGATAATACTGGTCTAGGGTCTAAGCTTGCAAAGAAGAGAAAGAACGATGAGTTTGACAGTGGAGAATGTGCTGGACTTGATGTGTTTCAGAGAATCTTGGGCCGTTTGAACGGTAAGGAAGAACAGATCAACAATGAGTTGGAGAGACAGAGAAAGGAAGGTATTATCAATGGAAAGTGGGGAATGCATTTTGTCAAAGGCGACACTTTGAAGTCTACCTGGGATGCTGAATGTAAACAGCTCATGCAAGGCGAGAAGAGAAAGGCTGAAGAAAGCGAAGCTCCACGCAAGAGATCCAAGAAGGACAGCTCTGACAGTGAATCCAAGAGCGACAAGAAGAAGTCCAAGAAGGAAAAAAAGGAGAAGCTGGACAAGAAGTCTAAGAGCCTAGATAAGGAAAAGAAGGAGAAGAAAGAAAAGTCTGAAAAGAAGGAGAAGTCTGACAAGAAAGAGAAGAAAGAGAAGAAACTGAAATCTGAAAAGAAAGAAAAGTCTTCCAAGAAGAGCAAGCTGAAAAGTGACGACGAAAAAAGCAGCAAAAGCTCAAGCAAGGACAAGAAGTCGAAAGACAAAAAGTCCAAGAAAGACAAGAGCGCTGACGCTGAAGAAGTCACCAGAGACAGCATGTTAAAGCCAAGGGAACAGGCTAAAGAAGAGATCGCCACGAGACTCTCAGCCAGAGCCAAATGGATCAGGCAGAAGAGAGCGTCAGTCATGGACGCCAAAGCACTCAACGAGATTTTCATGATTGCAAATTAAGGAGTTAGAACCAGGGATAGAAATAGCATTTTAATACATCACGGATAAGTTAATCGCAATCCTTGTAAAGTTTTTTATTTAAGCTAACCGGTTATGTTTACATAAAGAAAGTGGTGAAGCCACCGACGAAGCACATCACCATGGCACCAACAGCAAGAAGCTCACCCTTGGTGATGACACGTGCGGAAAGGTTACCAGAGTTCTTCTTAGAAGAAGAAGAGCTGGAAGAAGACTCGGAGTTGGAGCCAGAACCAGAGCTTCCGCTGCCGGAACCAGAACCAGAAACGTTAGCAGCACCGCTGGCACCAGAGGTAGAACCAGTAACCTGAGCATGAGCGGAAACGGAAGAAACAACAGCCTTACAAGAAGAGGCAGCATCTTGGGTCTTAGCGAGCGAAGCAGAGCCATCAAAGTCACAAGCAGACTTGTGCTCATCATTGTCCTCGTAGTACTTGTTAAGGATGTACGACAACTTCTCCTTGTTGGAACAGAAAGAGACAGCACCGTAGGTACCGTTCTTACCGTTGGAGTTGACAGCAGAACAGTCAATCTCACCACAGACTTCACCGAACAAGTCACCGTAGTCCTTCTCCTTGACGTCATCATCGACAACACACTTCAAGGATTTCTGGACACAGTCACACAAGTCCTCATCTGGGGTAGGAGGCAAGCTTGGAGAAGCAGACCAGGTCTTAGCAGTAGCAGGACACTCAAGGGTTTCAGAAGCCTGGCTGCTCTCATCGGCAGAAGAAGCCAAAGATGGAGAAGCATCGTTCATCTCCTTGGAGTAGTACGAGTAGTCAGACATGGTAGACACGGAGGAGCCATCAGTAGACACGAGACCGTACTTGTTGGCCTCCTCAAAGTACATGTAGACGATACCACCAGACCAGACATCAGTCATCTTGTCGCCGAAAATCGTGCCGATTTCAGTGAACTTACGAGGCCTGATTTCGTTACAACCATACTCCGACATAAACACGGGAATAGTCATGTTCTTGTACTGCTCTGTCTGGGTTTCGTAGCCAGACTTCTCGAAAGAAGAGTCACCACACCATTCGTACATGTTCACACCAAAGAAATCAGCTCTAGCGTCAAGGTCACCACAGGCAAAGTAGTCACCAATGGCGGTACGAATCTCCGAGTCATCGTTGGACGAGTAGCCCACAGGGTAGTGCCAGCCCTTATCCTTAATGTAAGCCTTCATGTCTCTAACGGCAGCTTTAACGAAAGGCGAAGCGTCCGTGTTGGATCTGTTGTTGGTGACTTCGTTACCAGCAAAGAAACCCAACACGTTCGAGTAGTTGGCAAACATATCAACCACAGACGTGTAACGCTTGTACAAGTCAATGTTCCAAGCAGGGCTGTCTCTGTTGATAGATTCAGCAGGCGAAGAAAGATCAGCAATGATATAAATGCCAGCATCAGCGAACGTCTTCATACACTCGTCGTGGTCCTTGGTAGGGTCCACAGCGTATACTCTCAATACATTGGTCTTAGCATCAGCGAGGTACTTGACATCACGCTTACAAGCGTCACCATCAGCGAGCGGATCCACATACTTATCCTGGCTCTCGCCAGTAGTGTTCATTGGGTTCTGTTGGTAGGCAACACCACGAATCAAAAACTGGGAGCCGTTGTTGGAGTAGAAAAACTTGTTGCCGACAATATCGATCTGAGGAAGCTTATCATCGGCGGCAGCGACGAAGGAAAAGGCCCATAAAGCCAAAAGCGAGAAAAACCACATAGCGAGGGAAAAGTTGGTGAATCAGAAGCACCCGGCTACCTCCAGCCTTATATAGACGCGAAAAGTCTTCTGCCCTGACAATGAAGGCAGTGAGCCCATGCCCACCAATGTAGGCTTTGGTGGAAAATCGCAGCGGCTAACTGGACTCTGGTCGGTATGTCGCATGCACGGAGCGTGGCTGTGGGACCTGCTCTACACGCCAGTGTAGAGGAGTAAAAACAATAAAAAAAAAGTAGACATAATACCAATTCCAACTATAAGCTTACTTCCAAGTCAAAGTCGCCGTTTGCAGCCAGAGTGACAGGTGCTTGGCCTGCTTGGCAGACGGTGGTTGACAGTTCTGGGCAGGGACTGGGAGTGTGCTGGGGCCTTGATCTGCCGCAGGTACCGCGCAGTTTTTTTCGCGGCGCAGACGTGGAGTGGTGGTGGATGAAGTGGTGGTGGTGGAAGGGAAGGGAGAGTTGGAGGGAGAGTTGGGGTTTTGTGGTTTGGTGGGTTTTTGGTGGTTTAGTGGTTTTAGAGGGTATGTGGATTTGAAGGTTTTTATGGATTTGCTGTAAATGGTATGGAAGTAAGTGGAGGTTATTGGATGGTGGTTGGCTGCGGTGGTTTCCTGGTATGGAGGAGTGTGTATGATTGGGCCAGCACTGGAGGACTGGAGGACTGGAGTAGACTGGACACTGGACACTGGACACTGGAGTAAGCTTCTGTCCATGAATAGGGACCATAAAAGCTATATAAATACACATATGTAAAAACGTAGATGGGTTGGATTTTATTCGTTTTCTGTTAAATAAGCTACTCAGGTTCCATGGTCTATTGTCTGGCTACTCGTCTGTTGATGGCTGTCTCTTGTCTGTTGTCTGTGTTCTGGACCACTGGAGACACCAGCTAGACGTTTCCACTAAATTGGCCCTGGAGGTACAAAAAAAGCCGTTTCGTGGTTTTGTCGATAGGTAGAAGCCACTGGAAGGCCGTAGGTTGACTGGAATTCACAGTTCATGGAGTTAGTTGGTCCTTTCCTGGTAGTTGCAGCCATTACACGGTATCCGCTCACGTCTGGGTGGAACTTACCATAAGTCGATTCACGCCTATTCGATTTTAATAATTGGCTTCTTCCTCTACTCTACGCTTTTAGATATAGACAAAATAATTAGGTACCCTAACCACAAACCAGTCCTTCTTCCTCTCCTTCCCCTTCACTTCCTCTGGTATTCGCAGTTTGCACCCATTAGGAACCGTTTCCTGCCAAACCATGAATCCACGAAACGCCAACCCTCCACCAAACGCCCTAACGCAACAAACCTCAGCCAAACGCAACCTAATCCCCAATATACATCCCACCCTCCCTTCTCTCGTCCCGCCTAATCTACCCAAATAGGCTTTGGGGGTCTGCCAGGCACCAACCGACGCGAACGCGAATAGCAATAACTGGCATGTTTTACCCTCCAGCTTTGGCGCCCTGCAACGGAACGATGAGGCCAGGGGTAGAAGAGAAGGAAAGGGAAGGTCAAAGCAAAAAAGAAAAAAAGCAAAAAAATCAAAAAAACAGTCGCTTCTGGGTACATTTACTTCTACCTCTACCTCTGCGTCTAATGGCTGCAAACAAACACCTTTCTCATAGTACCATGTCTACTTCCCTACCCAGCCCAACCCCATGGCTACGCCGTTAAGCCAATTACATCCTCTTTTGGGGTACATTACACCTCCTTCTGGTAAAAAAGAACCCTTCGTACAGCCTCCCCGAAACTGGTCTCCTGGCGTTGCAATTCTAGAATGGCTCTCTTCCTACCTATTGAATGCGACATTGTCGTGCTGACCTCTGTTGTGAGCACCAGCACCACCAACAAACCGTGTGCCAATGACACCACCTGGCGTCGTTCTTCATATATTATTTTTTGTAACCCGAACTCTCCGTAGAAGGTTTGCGTTGCTTCTAAAAAAAGTTCGGGTTTGGTGCTGGTTTGGAGGTGTAGTGGTGGATAAACGTGGAACATGGAACATGGACTCTGCTTTCCAGCCAATTCACATTCAGGCGGTGAAGGTGCTGAATGAAAACACGAAACGGGGAACCATTTAGCACCTGAAACAAGACCCTCTGGATTTATACTATCCTTCATTTTCCTCCCAAACAGCCCATTTCTCTACTAAACCTTGTTCTAGGACATGCGACTTGGCTGCGAAAACCACCATTCCTAGATCTGGCTGGTACCCATGAAACTATACTCTCCTCTTCCTTATCTTCTGTTATCTTCGTCTGGCTTCGCCTCTCGAGGCTGGAGCAAAGCCTAGGATCGCGAGTTTTGGTTTCCTTCATACCAAGGTGGCTTCGTTGCTGGTTGTGGTAAACAAACACTGGCTGGATCAGGCAGGACGGGAAGATCCTGGAATCTCGCGTAGGTGGATGGCAGAGGACGTGGAAGAGGTGGTGGAAGAGGTAGTGGGTTGGGAGGATTGGCAGGAAGAGCTGTTGGTATGCATAGAAGGCGTTAGTGGGGTGGTTGGCAATTGGGTGGTGGAAGTGGAAGAAGTGGTGGTCACTAGGTCATGGTAAGGTAAGCACAACACTAGAAGCTGTAAATGGTCGAAGGACGACGGAAAGCAATAAAAGTTGACTTTCCTTTTTTGCTTTGTAGTGGCCTAGTATTGGAAATCCATGATTGTTTATGGCATGGATACCGTTTAGGCCAGTGCTCATACTACACTAAGTTAACCAAAGACACCGACAGTGATTCATTTCCAGCAGTCCAAACTTTATTTACATTAAATCATCTTCCTAGTCTCCATAAAAGACCTTCTCTTCTTTAGATTCCACTTCATGCTAGCTCATCCCACTTACATCCACCTCTCTGCTCCATCTTTCGCAGCCATTTTGCAGCCATTTGTACAAACACCATCTACACCTTCATCTACATCAACCACCCAAAAACATCCATTCCATTCAATTCCTCTTTCTTAAGTACCCACCATGTTACTCAACTTCCTCTTGTTGTTCCCCCTCTCTTTCGCCCTCGTGGCGCCAGAGTACGGCTCCTACAAGAACCCACACCCAAGACCACTCCACAAGTGTGACAACAACGATATCGCCATGTTGGCGGCTTGCAGTAACCAAGTGCTTGCTCAGTTGGACGACTGTAAGGCGAACGACTTGGCATGTGAGTGTTGTGCGCTTCAGTCGATGGATCCTAAGTGCCATAACCTTTGTCCTGGGAACCCTTCAGCTAACTTCCTTTCGGTCTTGGTGAATGATTGTGCTCCATTGAACGATATCAATGCGTGTAATCTTCCATTTAAGAAGACCGACGGCGACGGGAGACCGCAGAAGGTGATGGTGACTGAGCCAGATAACACTATCTTGGTGAAGTCACAGCTTCTGAAACCAGGAAAGGTGATGCAGTCGTCCAAGGGTAATACTGTTTATTCGATGTATTCAGAGTCTGATCTGGATACCGAAGAGGATCTTTTCGAGAGCGACGACGACTCTGAGACGCCCTGGAATGCAACTACACGCCCAGTGCTTACCTTGATCCGAAACCATTCAAACGTCACCGGTATGTATTTACTCAAACTAGCTCTCCAGTCTATACTAACGTCCAGTTTTGTCTGGTGCATCTGTCACGGTACACCTATCGTCATTAACGGCCTTCGGTTCGTTCCTCTTGGCCTTGGCTCTGTTCATCGTGATATAATGGTACTTATTTCTCTTCGTGTGTTTCGTAGACCCAGTCAAGCGTGTGCTTGATACCCTCTTCGAGCGAAACAGCCGGCTTGTAGCCCAAGAGCGTTTTGGCTTTAGTGATATCGTGGTAACGAGTGGCACAGGTGACTCTAGCACGGAATGCCGTAAGACCTGGCTCCTTCTTCAACAACGACGAGAAGAACAGCGACAAGTAGCCTGCAGCAATGGCAATTGGCCGGCTCAACACAATGTTATATTTGTCAATATGGCCGTCAGCTTTCCAAACAGTACGGGCCAAGGTCCAGAAATACGTTGGAGCGTCGTTGGTGACGAAAAACGTCTCACCGCCAATCTCCTTACTGGCAACTGGATCCAACGATTTCTGAGCAGCAATAACATGAGCATCAGCAACGTTACCAGCATACGACCAGTCAAAAAGGTTATTGTTATCGCCTAACTGGAACTTACTCTGGCCCAAGCGAGCAGCAGTTCTAAGACCAGGCACAAGCTGACGGTCGCCAGGGCCAAAAATACCAGCAGGTCTCAAACAAACAGTAACAAGCTTTTCTGGGTCGTTGGCCTCCATCACAGCAGTCTCGGCAATAGCCTTAGTCTCATTATAACCGTCCATATGGACCTCTGGGTAAGGCCACAGCTCATCAGCATTGTACACGTTCTGACCATTGAAAATCACACCAGCAGAGGAAGTGTAAATCAAAGACTTGACAGGGGTTCTCTTGGCAACCTTCAAGAGCGCCTGGGTACCCACAACGTTGACCTTCTGGTAGATCTCTTGTCCAAGACCGTGCATTGGCGATGCTGAATGGACAATCACCTCACAGCCACTAGCAGCAATGGCCTTTTCAATATCATCCTCTGAAGTCAAGTCGCCTTGGTGGAAATGTATTTTGCTCGTGTCAAACGTGAAGTACTTGGAAAGGTTGTCTGGAATAGGACGAATGTCAAATACGTGAATGGCAGTGTTGGGGCAGTGGTCGTAGAATTGCTGGACGAGATGCAAGCCGAGGAAGCCAGCGCCGCCTACTAGTAAGACCGAGTTAAGCGTGGACATTATGGATGTGGATCTGGATTAGGGTGGGTGGTAAGTGGCCAGGTGAGTTGGTGATTTCTTGATTTTCAACACTCACCGCGTCTATACGAGATGCGCCTACAGGTACTCCCTTATATAACATCGTAACTATACAAGAGTGGGATACTCTTTGTTCTTAATTTTTTAAAATTTGAAGAGGCTTTCGAATTGCTTGGCTTCTTCACGTTCAGCTTCGGTGACCTTGGTGCCTTGGAGTTCGGGGAATTTGAATTCAGAGGCAGCGCTGTCTTTGGTGTCCTCAGTAGGTTTAGCGCCGAGCGACAGGGTATTGGAACTGCCGAAATTAAATGCTGGTTTATCACTGGACGTGTTGGCACCAAAGTTGAAGGCGGGTTTGGCGGTGGTGGAAGTATTGGAGCTGCCGAAGTTGAAGGCTGGCTTATCGTTGCTGGCGGTAGAGCTGCCAAAGTTGAAAGCAGGCTTTGTCTCGGTAGATGGTGTTGAGCCAAAAACAGGCGCCTTGTCTGCTTCCTTTGCTGGGGCGCCAAAGTTGAACTTTGGAGCCTCTTTCTTCTCGTCAGGTTTGCCGAAACTGAAAGCTGGGGCATCTTTCTTTTCCTCGGTCTTTCCAAAACTGAAACCTGGAGTTTCCTTCTTCTCGGTGCTGCCACCAAAGTCAAGAGATGGTGCCTTCTTTTCAGCAGAGGATCCGAAACTGAAAGCTGGGGCATCTTTCTTGGCCTCGTCAGACTTTCCAAAGCTGAAAGCTGGAGCTTCTTTCTTGGCCTCGTCAGATTTACCAAAGCTGAAAGCAGGGGCAGCCTTATTCTCTTGGGATGCTCCAAAGCTAAACGCAGGGGCAGCCTTCTCTGCTGTCTTCTCGGTATTGCTCTCGGTTGTTTCCTTCTTGGCTCCGAAGTTAAACGAAGGAGCTTCTTTCTTTTCACTAGATGCACCGAAAGAAAATGCTGGTGGTTTACTTTCCCCTGCTCCAAAACTGAACGGAGCTTTCTTCTCTTCTTCTTGACTCGTCTTCTGGGCACTGCCGAAGGAGAACTTGGGCGTAGCAGAAGCTTCTGGTTCAGCAGTCGACTCTTCAGTCTTCTTACCAAAAGAGAAAGCAGGCCTTGCTGTTGTTTTGCTCTTGTCGTCAGTCGAAGCACCAAACGAAAATGCCGGCTTTGTGTTGCTCTCTTCTTTCTTATCTTCCTCTTCCTCCTCTATCTCTTCTACCTTTCCGTCATCCTTTTCAGCCTCTGGCTTCGAATTAAGGAAAGAGAATGCAGGGGCAGTTGAGTCGGACTTTGTTGCGTTCTGTCCAAAGAGAGACTTAGTCAGATCGCCAGTCTCGTCTTTACTACCTGAGAAAGCAGTAATGGGCTTCGAAGAGCTTCCAAATGAAAATGCCGGAGGATTGGCTTCAGAAGTCTTTGTCTCCTGGGCCTCGTTTTCTTTCTCTTCGGTTTCCTTAGCGCCAAAGTTGAACACAGGCTTTGGTGGAGAAGCCTTTTCCTTCGAACCGAAAAGAGATGTAGAAGAGCCAAAGTTGAATTGCTTTGATCCATTCTCGCCTTCAGTCTTAGTGTCAGCTGCTGTGCCGAAAAGGGAGCCAGAAGGCTTCGAAATATCAGCAGAAGGCTTGCTGCCAAAAGAAAACCCTGTGCTTGCAGTAGAAGGCTTATTAGAGGCAGAGTTGCCAAATAATGAAGATCCAGTCTTATCCTCACCTGAAGCCTGACCAAAGAGCGAGCCCTCGTTACCGTTTTGTTTAGACCCAAATGAAAAAGCTGGCTTACTGTCATTCACTTCGTTCTGTTTCTCCTTGGTTAAGTCACCGTTAGCTGTCAGTGAGCTTTCGGGTAATGCAAATGTCAGTTCTTTCTCTTCAGATTCCCTAGGCTTAAACTCAGAATCCTTTGGAGGGTTGAGACCGAAAAGAGGCTTCAGGTCTTTATTGCTCAGACCAGACGTGCTGTCGGTCTTGGAGCCAAAAGAGAATGCAGGTTTTTGTGAATCAAAGGAGAAACCGTTAGCGGCAGGCTTAGGCTTATCTTTGGAAGTATCTTCATCCTTCTTATCAGAGTTCTTGAGGTTGAAGGAAAATGCAGGTTTCTTCTCAGCGGGTTCAGTGTCTGAGGGCTTGAAGGTGAATAATGGAGCAGAAGACTTGCCATTAGATGTCTTGTCGTTAGAATCAGTCTTGGTCTCATCCTTGGCAGGGCTTGAGAACAACGAGTCTTTCTGCTCTTTTTCAGGAGACTCTGCCAATTCCTTTGCTTGGTTGAAGGCAACAGTCTTGCTTATATCACCAGCAGTGCCATATGGCTTCGAATTCAGCGAGGCAGCTTCAGTGGAAGCAGTCTTGGCTGTTCTTCTTCTATTCTTAGCGTATGGGTTATGAAGAGGCCTATCTGAACTACCCACAGCAACGTCGGAAGATTCCTTCTTCAGTTGATTATCCAAAACAGATAAAAGAGAATTTGCTGTGTTGCTCATGCGCTTGGGCGTCTCGGACTCTGGAATAGTCAAAGCAGAAGGCGTGATATCGCCCTCGGTAGCAATTCGTCTAGCTTTCTTCTGAGATGATCCTGGAGCACGTATCCTGGTACGGTAAGGAGACGGTAAGCCAGAAAACTGGTAAACACGCTTCACAGGAGGAGCTGCCCTGGAGGTGTCGTTGAAGTTATGGTACAGAGGTCTATAGTCGGGAGCAGCAAACGTAGCGTTGGCAGGCGTTGAGCCATCGTACATGCTTGTATTCTTCAACACGTGCTGGTTGGAGAAGGTAGTGTTGTTATGCTGGATGAAAGAGGATTCTCTCGTGGGAGATCTCCTTGTGTGTGGATGCTGCTCTGTATCGTTCAAAGGCAAGGTTACGTTCGATCTTGACTTTTCCAAGAGCGACATGACCCCCTCATACTCTATCTGAGACAAAGGCCGGTCACCCTTATCTTTAAAGAAGCTCGATAACACCTCGTTGGCGGTTTGGTCAGGATTCTGGTCCATAGACTGGTTGGTAATTGAAGTAGCTGCAAACGATTCGCTCAAAAGACGTGAAGAATGGGCGTTTGGCTGGGAAACCGAAGGCTTTCTAGATGCCGTTCTGGACGAAACTCGAGAAGAACCAGCAGAAGCGTTTCTCAGGCCAGAAGAGCCATCTTGCCATAGGGAAGACCCTGAGATGTAGCGTTTCATTTTCAGAAGCAAGCCTGCTTTCGAAGGGTAAGGCAACACCTTCTCCCTTCCTCTCTCCTGGTAGGCTTTAAGAACCCTGCGATTATCCATGATTGCGTGGCAGTGGATGGGTACGGTTGGAAGTTCTGGAGGTGTTGTTTGACGTCTATAAATTTTTGAGTAATGCAGGACGGTTCTGGGTCACGTGTGCATCGCCAAACCGTCCAAGCCAAAAGTCAACCTTCAAGTCCAGAAAAGAAGTAGAGACTGGTGGGAGGGTGATATTGGTTTGCTTTAGATTGGAATGGTGGTTTTTGTTATTTTATTTATGATTTTTTATCTGTGGGTGGATATTTGTGGTGGTTTAGGCTTTTCGCAGCCATTCCATAAACCGCAACGGTTAGACTGAAAAATGTACATGTATGGGAAAGTTGTAGGATTTGGGAATGGTGGTGGAGGAATGTGGAAAGAGAAAGGTTAAGTTTTTTGATAGATTGAATGGAATGACTTTTTCGTTGAATTGAAGAAAAAAAAAAATTGCATGGGTTCAGGGCCTGAGACTGGTATGGCTTCGTCTAGTCTTCATCTAGGCATAGCATGTAGAATGAGGGTATATTCTGGCAGCTTTCCATTCAATTGAATTTGACGAAAAAAAAAAAAAAAAGATAATCTACCAATGCCAATGGGAATTAAAGGCTAAGAATTAATCTAATAATTTTCAAAAGCGTCAATGTGTTGTTTGATCCAGATGGTGGTGACATTTGGTTCAATTGGCCTGGACGAGGAAGCAAAGGTAGAGTTTTGCAGAAGCAGCAGCTGGAGCCTACCAGGTGAATTCAGAAATTAACTACAGAACGAAGGTGAAAATAGCAGCTTGACAGCCATTTATTGGTTTTAGAACAGTCATACACATCGCCTATAGACCTATAGTTAGACTAAGCTCGGATGAGCTAGATACTGCTCTCACGCTACATGACATAAAGTACCATATAAATTAATTCGTTCTTTACAAAACAGTCATCATTGATTATTTTTTAGAGTTTCGAAAACCACTAGCTAAGGCGACCATGTTGGTCCCAGGCAAAGCACTAAGCTCTTTGGCAAAACCAGCCTTAATTGCCGTCTAATTCAATAAAAAAAGCTGCCGGAATCTTCATAGTAAAAGCGATAAATCCTTATCACAGTGGCAAGGGCCTGAAGACATACTATGCGAACAATAAGAAAACGATGATTGTATCTACCTTCTGTCATGTTAAGAAGCCCAACCTTGGAAGCAGGGATCCTTCCCTTTTGCACATAAAAACAAGTCAAGTAGACTAGAGTCAGGACAAGGAGCAGCACATTGATCACGTAAAGATCCAAGGAGGACCAGAACCACAAGAAGTTCAAAAATAGCAAAGCAAATACAAATCTGAGGAACACCGTTTCCTTTCTAGCATCACGTATCTTAGTTTCAAGAGCTGTGAATACTTCAATAGCATTCCCATCAATATCCTCTCCCTCATTAAAATTCATCAAGTCCTTTTTGTACACTTCAAGAACATGTTTACATTTGTTATAAGCTCGGTTGAATTGCTTCATCCACGAAGAGGCAAAGTACCGACTCTTTTGCTTCCCAGGAACTTGCTCCTCCATCATCACCGATACGATATCATGCATGATCCGATGAAGTGGAGGCTTTCCCAGATAGCCAAGTAGACGAATGGAAGCTGTTATATCAGCTTTGAAAAACCCGAAAAAAGAATAAAAGTACACCGTTTTGCCCCGAGACCAGTTGTTTGGAATGGATGCGGCCATGCCGTCTGTACAGCCTGGAGATATCTTTTCAAAAGCTTCCAATACCGACCTGAAGTAGTCGTACCAAGTATCTGGCGAGTCAACGGTACATATGATTAATGCATGGCTTTGAGCAGGATATAATAGGTAGATGAAGAGAAGACCGCTTCCAATCATAAGAAAGTAGGATAAATTTCCGAGAAAGGTCATATTGAATGGATCAAGGTTGTAGTCGGTTGGGGATTGATGGAGGCCTAAATTGGTCAGCTTTATACTTGGTAATTTTCAGAAGGAAAGTATAAGGTCTGAAGCAGAGCAAGAATGGATAGGTAATATTTTGAGTATAGTTACTTAATTATGTTTCTTGAATACCAATTGGTATCAGTAGGGAACCAAATATGGAATTTCATGCTACAAAGGAAGACATTAGAAAGATGAAGATACGGGGAAAGCATGTTTGAAATACAGTGACAAGAAATACCCACTTCATATTAAAATCTCGCTGATGGATGAGCCAAGGAAAGTAAAACTGTAACTTCAACTTCAGCTGGCCTAGCCATTCTCTTCAAAATTGATTGTTCTATTCCCAGAGATCATTTTCCTTTGCCTAGGTCTCTTTGAAATGTCTCTATAAGGCTGTTCTCAGTAGCAATCTGGACAGAACTTTGTCTAAGTGATATTCATTAATATTACATTTATTGACTGTTCTGGGGCATTTTCAACACTTCTTCTAAACCTAATCCAAGCGGTAATTACCTTCAATGAACCTTCTGTCTCGATAAAGGTTATGTAGAACGCCAACAAGTGTAGAAACCTTACTAGTCAAGTCACTAAACCAGGTACTGTGGAATAAATAGGGTCCAGTCATGGATTCCTAGAACCACCCAACAAGTAAAATCCTGCTTCCAGAAAATTTGTTTTTTAATGAATCAAGCCTAACAGTCCAGAAGTGTGGCCCACGTACGGCAAAACCAGACTTTCTAGCAGCCACTGTTTTAGCTATGAGTATTACATCTGTATCATAAGAAGATAGAAGAGTTGATGACAAAAAGCGATTTTCATAGAATCCATGGCATTACTTCCTTCACTTTGAAAGTATAACAAGAACAGAACAGACAGACACTTCCCCATAGCCCAATCTCAAGCATGCCCATACATTCCATCCATGGAAGGTGCTTCGCATATACCAACCACATCAACTCCCCCCCTCTCCACCCCCTCCTCAAAAAGAAATAAAAAACACCGTCAACTATAAATACGATGCAATTTCCCTTCTTCAAAAACCTCCCCTTTTTTTCATTTTCTTCCCATCCCATCCACCGTCTTCCACCTCCTCCACGTCTTCCTCACCTACAACCACTGGCTGCGAAAAATAAGGGTACCGCGTTTTGCAACCATCCACTGAACCACCACCATCCCATCAAAACCCACAAAAATTCAAAAAACCAGTAAGAAAACATCACCACGAAAAACAAAACCCCTTTCTTAATCAACCCACCAAATCACATCTCTTAAATCTACAACTACCGCCAAAAACCACCACCCTTTCGTTTCCCTGTCCTTCTCCTACCGCGAGCCAAAACACGCTTCCTGCATCACATCTTCTACCTTCTCTACTACTACTACTACTTCTACTTTAACCTCCACCATTCATTAACTAAACTAAGGCATGGATCCAGTCTCCGACTCAGATGGCGAGAATTCGCTTCCTTTGTTGTCGGTAGACGCCATCGACACGAGCCTGCTACGGCGGGTGTTTGGGTTCTTGTCCAGTGAGACCAAACAACGCTTGAGAGGAGAAGCTGGCGGGACGCCTTTTGAGGAGGTTTACGATTCGCTTTGCCAGTATCCTCCGTCGCTGCCTGAACGGATTGTGGTTCAGAGTTCGTCGCCTCAGAAGGAGCAGGAACAGGAACATCTGATCATGGAGCTTCCTGCGTTACCTACGGTTCATGAGCAGCATCAAGAGAGCTCTGCTGGCATACTAAACAGCCCTGGTGCTTATGGAGGGCAAAGATCGCTACGAAAAAGGACGTTTGCAAGTCGTCATCCGTATATTGCCGACCAGGCTGACTACTTGGGCATTTGCACTATAGACAGCATCAACGAGATGTTTTCCGACCATGATGACTTGGTTAGCGTGGCCAGGGTGCTCAACCAGCTATATCTCAAGAGAAAGAAACGGTACCCAGACGAAGAACGGTATAAGGCTCGGAATTTCTATGCTCACCTTGGTAAATCCAAAGCCATGGCTCTCGCAGGCGATCCAGATGCTGAAACCATGGATATTCAAGACGATCCTCTGTCTTCACAGCTTAATTACGTTCCTGAAAATAATTCAGACGACGAGGAACAAGACCTTATTCCTTACGAAGGTCTGGAACAGCATAGAGCTCCACCAAAGGTATACGACCTGGCGAGCAACACCGAGGAGGAGTATGAAAGTGGAGATGAAGACTACAGCATTCAAGAGACGTTTAAACGGCCATTGGAAGACGCAACTTCTAATTTGAAGGTCTACAGACTGAGAAAGAAAGCAAAGCGCCAGGAACAGCCCAGGAAGGGTCTTGCTGTACGCAAAATGGGTTCTTCTGCCTCGAAAAGGAACCTTGCACAAGAGTTCGAACAGTTTGTGGACCTTGGTGAAACAGCAGAGGAATACACTCCTAACTACCCTTCATACTTCCAGCCTCAGATCACATCGTTTCAGCTGGATTTATCTGAAATGATACGCTCTGAAAGTTCATCTGACTATAATAGCGACTCTGATACCGACCTTTTCTCAGATTCTGGCATCGCTGATACAACCAAAAGCTCAGATGTCATTGAACCACCACAAACCTATCTCGATGATTACGCTCTAGATGGAGCTGCCGAAGAGGCCGACCATATTAATCACTTATTTGCATCTGGTAAAAGGGCCAAGTCCCGGAAGACCAAACCTACACAATCACGGCATAATATTCAAGCACCTCGACAACGTAAAGCCACTAACGCTGGTAGCCTGTCACATCCTCGTCAACGAAAGTCAGCATCAACTGGAATTACAAGACCTCGTACTGCTCGTCCACGAGGCTCGAGCTATGGAAGGCTCAACACGAGAAAACTTTCCAAGCCTCTTACACAGACCAACCGAACTAATTCGCTGAGGCCATCAAAGCAATATTCTAAGCAAGGCGAGCTGGCAACTAGAAAGAATCAAAAGCAAAGCGTCTTAAGCGTGGATGTCGATTCAGAATCAGACAAGGAAAACAATAAAGAGAACGGCAAAACGAAGCCAAAACAGAAGCAGAGTACTTTCAGGAACAAGAACTTCTTGGCTACCACAACATTTCAAGTGGAAAGCTCTACAAGATTTGTCAAAGAACATCCTGCTGGCTTTGCAATTTCACCAGCATTCTTCAATCCTTCGAAAGCTAGCCTTTTCTCAGATAACCTTTCTGCATCATCGACGTCAATCTTAGCCTATTCTGAAGTGAAACGTATCCATTCTATTGGTGATGGATTCATATTCTTTCCACACCAGGACACAGTATCGTTCATGTTACTTGGAAAAAGCTATGTGTTTGGACTTTTCCAGCAAGAGCTGTCTTCAAGCAACTTGCTTCGCCTTCTCTCGCACTTACGGAAACTCATGAGCCTGGTCAGAGTTCAACTTGAAAGAAGTATTCGCGATGAAATCAAAGAAGCCATACGGGGATTGATCAAATGGTTGTTGATTCTTCGCCAACCGATTCCAAAGCAATCGTGGCATATGTTGAACCTGATTCTTGATGATTTCACTAAGCTTCAGACGAAAGAAGTACGGAAGCATCAGACTTATTTCTACGCTCAAATGCTTCTCACTTACTACGTTGGTTACAAGCTAGAAGCTAGTATTCCAAATACGAGTCATGGGCATCTTTATTCTGAGCTTGAGAAGTTCTCCACAGATTTCTGGTCGATTTTGTTCCGAACATACGACTCAACAGATCTAGCTGCAACCTTCACCAGTGAAAGCCCCAATGAATTATCGGAATGTCTTTCCACGATGTACTTCATATTCAGCAACCATAAAGACATCTGGTGGCCTACGGTGGTTGAAGCTTTGCAGGATTTGAACCCGATCATGGATTCCAGCTTTGAAACAATGAACACCACATATGCATTAGCCTCAATGTGTCCCATGAATAGGTACAATTGGGCTCCATTCATTACTATACTCAACAGTTTCCAGTCCTCATCGAGCGCTGAAGACCACCATAATTTCATCGATGTTTGCGAGCTAGCACACAAGAATCTCAACTGGCCTTTAGATGAGAAATTGGTTCTTACGTTGTATTCGTCTTTTGCGAAAAGAAAGTTCACCAATTTTGATAACGAGACATCTGTGCCTACTTCCATAGGAGTGACAATGTCGAGACATGACATTCCTGATGATACAGTGTTTGAAAGGTTCTTGGGTTTTGTTCATTCCTACATTTCTGAATTAACTGAAAGGAAAGAAGTTAAGCGGTTGGTTACTAAACTCGTGGCATCAAGTCAGTACCATTATCAAAAGGGAAGAAAGTATCAGATCATGTTCATCAATAGGCTCAATTTGATCTTGCTTTTATTTCAGATCTCAGATGTTGAATTGAGAAGTCCGTTTTCAAGCCTTATCGACCAGATCATCAAGTTCAAGGATATGTTTATTTATTCGAGAGCTGTCGATGCTTTCAACACATTCGTTGAAGTTTCCGAAAGAAAAAATCTTGAAATACCCATAGCTGCGTTTCAGGCCATGTTACATTCCTTCTGCGCTTCATACGATAGACTCCAAGGAATGCCCTCACTTCTTGCAAAGTTAATCGATTGTGGTCTACGGGTAATTGACATATCGAAGACTCCCCAGTCTTTAAGGTTCTTTAAAGCTATTGATCTTGCTGCTATACCAGATCGCTTACGTGGCCGTGTCTTGGATCTGTTTCTTTCGTTTGCAGAGCTTTTAAGGGTTCATAAAGAGTATGCATTGGCATCATCCGATCTTATAGACTCACTTACGAAATCTGTGGTTTCTTTCTTAAGTACACAGATGAACAGGCTACCTGTTTTGGATGCCAGACAGGATGCTTTATTGGAAAATCTTATAGAGAAGGCCATTCAAATATGGATTCAGTTTGCTAATGCCAATGGATCCCAAAATTGGAACTTCATGATGTTACAAAAGTTCTCTTATCTCGGGAACAAGGCCCTGCGTGATCGATTTGCATTATATTTCTGTTGGGTTTACTTGAACCAAGGTGAAGTATCACATTCGGCGATCTTTGAAATGGATAAGCTTCTTTGCAGAGCTCTCATTTCAAGCAACTTGTCCAAATACAGTTCCTTGTTGTTCCAATCGTTGAATAAAGTACGTGGATCGCTCATGTCTTGTCGAAAGATTCCTGCTCAATCGCTGGTCCTGGCTCAGGCTCACAAGTTCCAGATTTTAACTAGCGTCATACAAAAAGTTTCAGTTACTAGTTCGATGGTTCCAAGCGAAAAGACGTTGATGATAGCAGATATGGTTAAGGAGCTCGAGATTGAGTTCAACACCAACTACGACAATCCCCACATCACAGAGTTTCTTAGGCGCATGATCAACGTTATGACTACGAGCTGTTTATCGCTTCTAGAGGACGTCGAGGAGTTCTGGAGTATTTCTGAAAAGCTTGGTTTCCCAAGTAAAAGAATGCAATCGTTGTGGGCCGAGGCTACAAATGAAGAGCGTATACTGTTGCTCAATATTGAGTTCGTGAATGCCCTTAAATTCGAGAAAGACTATGCTGAAACATTCAACAAATGGATCAATCCTAAGAACGCCCACATCCTCTTTGCATTACTAGAGATATACATGGTGGCCGCTTCCAGGCACGATCTCTACTGGGCTCATGTGTCTTTCATTATCAGATACATCGAGTTTCGACTCACACAGTGCACGATTGATGTCGTCGACAGGCAGTACGCTAAGCTCTTGAACGTCATTCGATGCATCCCAGCGGCAACCTTCGTGTCGGAAAATAGCACCTACGTTATGTATCAGATAGAGGCTCTTTCCAAAGCAACTGAAATCATGATAGCCGCTGGTTATATCTACGATGGGTACAGCGAACTTGATGACCACCTTTTCTTTCGTGTTGATATGATCCATCACGAAATGGCCGAGCCAAAAGCAGAACAAGCTTCCGAAGTTTTCACTGATATCCAACTCAATCAATTGAAAGGCAGCGATGCTGGTCCGTACCTACCACCGTTCGAGCATTCAGACGAGGAGTACTCCCAGGCGATAGAAGCTCTCCTGGTAGTGTTAAATGAAGCAAGACTACTAGTTCCGAAGAAGATGGGAACTGATCCAGATGATCCTCCTCTTGTTCCCGGCACGAATCCGGGCGACCAGCTCTTCCATGTCTTCAACACAGCTACAGAAGACGTTGACCTCACGTTTTAGCATTAATTAGCATTATACATAAAATACAGGGAGGTGCAAAGGGTGCACCTATTTATTGAAGACCGTGCTGGCTCTTGATGAGCTCGATCTCTGCTTCCATCTTATCCTTACCCTTCTTTACCTCTAGCAAAGCAACACTTGCTCTGATAAGCTCATCGTATTTGGCCATGGTTTTCCTCGTTGGCATGACAGGTTTCCATGTAGTGCCTCCAACAGTAGGAATATCAAGTTCCTGGAGCAACAGATTGATGGACTTGAACACAGACTGTCTTTGTTGCAAACCAGGCAACCTGTGGCCTGAGCGTAGCATTACACCAGGAGTGAGACGGTCATTGGCATGGTAATGAAGGCCATAAGCTTCTTCTTCTTTCGGCGTGAGTCTCTTTGCAAGAAGTTGTTGAATTGCACTTGGCTCGCCTTTGACGTGCTGGCCAGAGCTTTGCTGTTGCTTGAGAACTCCAGATAAGTATTGCTGAAGATGTGTTTGGAAAGCTTTGTCCTTTTTGAATGAAGAAGATGCTGCCATAGGGATAGCAGGAGGCACAGGGTCGTTGCTGGTAGTAGCACGCTGCTGCAACTGCTTCTTCTTTTGATGTTTGTCCATGATCATCAAGTTATTGTACAAGTTTGTGAGGCCCTGGGAGGACTGATATTGCAGAACCAGCTGGGATGCCTGGGGCAGATCAAGCAATGTGAGTAAGTTGGATCTTTCCATGAGCATTTTCTTTGCGGCAAGCTCGAAACGACGAGCTTCAATGACCAACGATTCTTCTTCAGCGATTTCAGCTGGGGTTCTTTTGAGAAGGTTTTCAAGGTACTGTTTCCTGTCGAGCTCAGCAGACTTGGAGAAAGCGTCCAAAGACTCCAAAAGATGCGGGTTACCAGTACCGTTATCTTTAAGGATGAGCGAGCTGATTCTATAAAATTGTTCCTTCAAGTCCTCTAGTTTTCTGTCCTTAGCAGGGAAACGGTCAAACACAACGGGCCATTTGAGTTCGAATGTCTTGCAGAGCTCAAATAGAAGCTTTGTTTCCTCGTATGTCCATTCTGGTTCCTCTGGTTCTTCTGGAACGTCATCAGACGTATCTTTAGATGCCTCTTCTGGGTCCTTAGACGTCTTCTCTTTACTACCAGCCTTAGGACCATTAGACTCTGAACTTTTCGGATCCTCATCCTCCTTTTTCACCTTTGCAGCCTCAGCTTCAGCTTCCTTCGCCTTTTTGGCCTCCTCTGCCTTCTTCTGCTCCTCCCGATGTCTAGCCTCTCTCTCTTCTCTCTCCTTCCTCTTCTGTTCCTTCTTTGCTGTAATCTCCTCCATAAACTTGTCATACTTTTCTTCATCCACAAACTCAGGAATATCTATACTGACAATGAACTTATCAAAGAAATATGGCTTCTCTTCTCTTCCCTGTTCGAGTAATTCACGGCTTCCCTTCTCCCAATGATGCAATGTAGGTCCCACCGTAGAGCCCTGTTTATTTGGAACAAATGGCATTTTCGTCCATGGAGACACTTTCATGAGCTTTCTATCTTTGATTTTTGATCCTGGACCCATCGCCATGTTCACAGGAGGAGTGTTTGGTCCCAAGAGGTTATATAGTTCTCTGGCCATGCCTCCTTTCTGGAGATGGGGCTGCTGTTCAGTTTTTTGCTTCTTTTTGGCGGGCTGGTTGGCGTCATCTCGCTGGATGTTGAGCACGTCCAAGATATCGTTTGCAGACATGATGGATGGCGGGTTGGATGGGGTTGGTACTGGTTGAAAAGTATGTATTGATACTTTGGTTGATGTAGGTGTTCTGTGCAGTACACACTGACTACTACTTGGGTTACTTGTTTGATGGATTGTAATAAATAAGTTCTAGTCGATATCGGCACCGGATTCGACCCAGTCGGTAGTGCCCATCTGTGTAAGTCTACTGAGCGCACGCGCAAAGGCAAACTTTTCTTCGTCGTTGACAAACATGGATGCTTTCTTCGCAATCAGCTTATCAAAACCGTGTCTCACCACCAACTCATCGTCCTCGAAGGTTTCCTCGGCGCCTTTCTTCTTTTGGCGTTGATAAAGTTCATAATTATCTTTCTGGAGGTCTTCGGGCTCGACGAATAGATCTTTGAACGGGGCTGCTCCTGTGGTAGCCAAACAGTCATGTGCATCGTAAACAGCATCTAAGAAGGTAATGAACCTTCTGACCTCGTCTCTGGCTTCTATACTCAAGTATGGAATATCTGTAACAATAAACGCCTTGTATGTGTTGGCCAACGTGAGGTAATCACCAGCACTGAGGTTGTGTCCACATAATTCTTCAAACGAAAACTGTGCAACGTAAGGGTGCGAGCTGACTGGCACAATAAGCTTTCTGCCCCAGACAGTAAGTTCATCATTGATTTTTGGCTCGTTGGTCTGGTCGTCTCTGTTGAAGTAATCAAACCACTGCTTGATGTGTTTGCGGCACGCGGTCTGGTTCAGCTTGCTATGGTACTTCACGCCTGGCTTTGGATAGTGATAAACAGAAGAAACCGGTCTTGGCACCTTTCTATAGTCTGTAGGGGAGTTCAAGTAAATCACACGAGTTTGCTTCTTGATAAGCTGAATGCATGGGATGAACGACACTCTCTGGATACCATTCATGTATAAGTCATCAGGAGCTCTATTGGACGTAGCAAACAAGATCACGCCGTACTCTGGACTCATAAGCAACGTCATAAGACGTCTAAGCAACATGGCGTCGGCCACATCAGTCACTTGGAACTCGTCAAAACATAAAACTGTGGCTGTTTGAGAGATCTCGCTGGCTAGCAAAGGAATGACATCAAGATCCATGTGCTTGTGTTCTATCTTAAGCTGGTGGGACCGTCTGTGTAAGTTTTGCATGAACTGATGGAAATGAAACCTCTTCTTGGCTAGGTGACTAGGCACAGACATGTAGAAGAGGTCCATAAGCATGGTCTTTCCACAGCCCACGTCACCCCATAAGTAAATGCCCTTGATTTCGTTCTCAGGGATATCTATCGTATTCACTTCTGCTTTCTTGGAACCCAAAAACGAGTCAAAGAACTTGGCGATACCTATCTTTGGCTTCAAGCTCTCCACGTCTGGATTCTCCACCTGCGGAGGCTCGTACGTCTCTAATTTTTGATGCAACACTGACAAACTCAGAATGATCTTCCGCTGGTACGGATCATCCTTAAGCCTGTTTTCCTTCACTCGTAGATCGTATAGTTCGATGGGCAGAAGAGCAGACTCTGAGGAAGAGGTCTCATTGCGAGAATAAGCAAGAAACCGTGAATTTCGTAAAACCCTGGTGGCACGTGTAAGTATCAGGGCCTGGAACCGGCCGGCCGTTAATAGCATTTCCTTGAAATGGTTTTATACTCTTTGGAAGATTCTGCCTTGGAAGGTTTGTTGGTGGGTCTGGTTAGGTATCAAGCGAGCCTCAGTGTGCCTGACTGTCTGCAGTACCGAACAAGCGCTGCTTAGCTGGGGCAGCAAATACTCAATTTGGTTGGCAGAAAAAAGGGCCCAATCCGGTGACACATAAACGAGACGAGACATTATCGAGAAGAGTGAGGGACTTGTGTGCAGGCGATTTGATTTTCTGGCTTGACGTTATTTTGCAACCATTGGGATTCAACATATACAAAGAAAGGGACGAGGAACGGGAAGAACACACAAACCAGCGTTGCACAAGTTTTTACTTTGTATCTGTCATCTCAAAGAGCAAGTCGTCGTTGTCGAAGCCTATTTCGTCGTGCGTTCGAGAACCAGTGGGATCAGACTCCACTCTCCTCATAAAGTAGTCGCTTGCATCCTCATCCTCATCGTCAAAGACATCCTCGTATTTGATTGGCCGCTTAGCTCTGTCGTACGTTGATGGCGTGGTGGATAAACCAATCACTTCTTCATTTGAAGGCCCGTGTACGACATGCGCCAATTGGCTCGTAGCTGTTGGAGATGTGGCCAATCTAGAGCTTCTGCCGTAGGCAGCAGAAAGCTGGGGGTTCATTTGCAGCGTCTGTCTTGACGTTCTTGGTCTCAGGCTGGATAAACTATGCTCCAGTGTGTTCAGCTCAAGCTTGGAAGTGATAGACGGTAAATGATTGTCGTACGAGCTTGGAGACACAGATGGAGAGGGCGAGGGCCGAGACTGGGACGACTTGCGGCTGCTAGGACGACTGGTGCCTCTCGAGTTGCCGCTATGGTATGAACCGCCTTGGTTATGCTGGAAAATCACGCTAGCATTCACGGAATCACTCAATTGCTGGTGCTGGCCCTTCAACAGCTGGAACTTGCTCAAGGCATCAATCAGTGAATTGCTGTCTGCATTCCCTGAGTTGGTCTTTGAGCCCTGGGTACTGCTCAATCTGAGATCAGACTTGCAATCAATCATACGGACAAATGTGCTGATATCATCATCAAGGTAGAGCCCGCTGAGAGGAGCACCCGATGATGTAGTCAGTTCAACACTAGCTCCGTATAACGATGCACCGGCTTCATTGGCAAGAGAGCTCCTAGCACTAGTATTACTGAACCTTCTGCTTTGTCTTGAACCAAATGAAGACGAGAACCTGGGAGTGCTGGACAACTCGTTAAGGTCATCATGCAAGTGAGATCCATGTGAGGACGAGATAGATCTAGGGAACACGCCTGGATTGGTCCCGTGGGATCCAGATATGGCAACCGTAGGAGTATTCGAAGATGAAGTAGAGCCTCTTGGGTTTCTCAACAACGCAGCAAGGGAGGCATTCGAACCAGACTTATTGCTCGTGATTGAAATCCTTCTTTCCATGGAAGAACCCGCTCCTGGAGCACCAGAGGCAAATGAAATATTACCTGTAGGCGGAGAATTGCTGATGGAGCCAACTTTGAATGGCTGGATGCTGGGTCTTTGAACGTTGGCGGGCTGGGCGTACAGCACCTGCTTGAGGCGGCTGCCAGACGACTTTGAGGTAGGGGACGTTTCATCATGATGGTCATCCTGGTGGTCAGGCTGATGTTCTGAAGTGCATGGCAGGATGGATTGCTTCGCTGTGTTTAATGCAAAATTCGTAGGCTCCTTGGACGATTTGGTCTCCTCCTGGGAAACCGACGCCGAGTGGGAGTCCAATGCAGAGTTGGATGTCGCTTCGGAAATATGGGACCGATCGAGCAGAGCAGCCAACTTCTCCTGGTCGGTATTCCAGAAATGGTTGGATAACATCTCCTCGTTATCTTGGACGGTAAACCTGTAGTGATTTCTGTAAGCCACAGATACTCTAAGAGACCCAGTGGTAGTCTTAACCGGCTCAAAAGATTTCTGGGTCATATGAGATTCCGTTAGAAGCATTTGATGTGGAATGATCGATTTCGACAAGCCGATACGGCCCTTGGAGCTGATAGGCTGTTTCCCATCAATAATCTTATTCATAAGCGTAAGACCCTTGCCTGATTGCAGACAAAGAATCTTCCGAAGCTTATACGCTGGAAGAAGCCTAGCGTAGCCGTAAATCACTCGAAGCAACACAATGGCTTGTTTGTATATGAGTGGAAGCTCGTCTGAACCAGCAGCAGAGCACACGGACCGGTCAAACTCAATCAACCACCGTTCCACAACAACCTCTTGTTTTTTAAGCCCACCTTTGGCAACCGTCCACGAGTTGCCCGTATCATCTTCCAACGCCACCGTTTCACGAGGATCTAGCTGGCGCAAGTCCAAGTACGTCTCTATAATCATCGGGTGGAGCTGGGAGATATCGGAAAACGACTTCCAGAGCTTCATCTCATCCTTGATCCAGTCGTCTCCAGGCGAAGCAATATTCAAATTAAACCACTTGTTCGTCTTGGAAGACCTACTATCGCCATCTGTCTCACCTCCAGAAACGCCATAGTCAAACACCGTAGGGTCCGCCACCGATCGCGTCTGGAGAATGATCTGGGACGTTTTCGTGAAGAAGTTCTGGATAACCTGGAGAAGCTTCGTGTTCTGCTGCTTTGGCTGGCCCACATGTTTGCCTGGCGCCGAGGAGGCCGCCGTTGATGCCTTATCTGTCATTGCGAATCAGCTTATCAGGGAAGACAGGGAACCCACAGTTAAAGGAAGGCAAAATGGTTATATTAAGGGAATTCTGTGGTCCAGAACGCTGGATGAGTCACAGGGAGGGTCTGGGAATTGTGGGTGGCAAAAAGATGTGGAATGGGTGTTTTGGGTAAGCAGACGAGTAAGTGTGGTTAAAAGAGGCACAGGCCCAGCAAGAGATGGTGTGGAGGAGGGGGAGTGAGGCGAGGAAGGGAGGGGCGAGGAAGGGACGAAGGGATCAAAGTGTGCCAATCACGTGTCGCCAAAGAAATAAAGATCCTTTGTTTTTTGCTTTTTTCTTCAACTGGTACTGCCAATTCGTGGTTCTGGCGGTGGAGCTTGACTCTTATTTTTGGCTTTCCACACTGCGTCTCCTGGTATAGTGTTGCAGGAAGACACTCTTTTTTTTTGGTAAAGTCTGGGGATTTCGCACTGTTGTTTTGGTTCCGTCCTGCACACAAGCCCCAGAATGTGTGTGTGTGTGTGTCACTTTTCCTTGCCCTCTCCCCTTGTCACTATTTAGGTATTTGTTATTCTTTGCGCATTCATTCAGAGTCACATATTTCGCAGCCAAACGGTGATCAACACTTTAGCCTGACCGGTAGATTCCAGCCAATCATGAGGAGGTAAATTCCGTAGACGGATTTTGTAGACGGATTTCGTAGACGGGTTGCCTGTTTTGGAAAGTCACGCAGAATGACACTTTCTTCCTGGGCTGGCCTGAAGCAAGGTCGAGTGACACCGTCATGTTTAAATATACCAGCACGAGATCTCGCTTGCCAACCGCCCCGCCTGAAAGAGTCACAAACTACTTAAGTGCCTGTCTGGCTCTTTCGTTATCCACACAAAGAAGCAATGCTCTTTGGATTTCTCTTCTGGACCCTTTCTCAACATAGGCATTGGATAAGTCGTAGGCTGGTCTTTTGGACGTAGGTAAAAGCGCCGTTTCCATCGCCATCGTACGACTCAAGTTCTTCCACACATTGAAGTCGCTGGGGAAAAGCATGGCAAACTTCTGCCACACCCCGGTTTTCCGTGCTTGCGTCAGTTCGACTTCTGCCAAAAGCTGGGGCACCATGCGGAACGAGTCGGCGATTAATTCCTCGAGTGACAAGCTCACAAGCTCTTCTTTGATAGGCTCGTAGTAGTCCTCGAGCTTGTCGACGACGGAAATGGCTCCGAGGGTAAGCACCACGAGAAGGGAGGACCCGTTTTCTTCAATGAACGCAAAGAGCTGGTCCAACGCTGCTTGCTTGGTTTCTGGAGTACCGTAGGCATTAAGCACCTGGGCAATTAACGTTACCATTCTCTGCGATTGACCGTGTGTTTCAAGAACAATCTTGAGCTCTTCCATTGCCTCGTCGAACTGACCATTGAAGAAGAACGATAAACCAATCACAATTCTGGAAGATAACTTGGCTTCCTTGATGTCTTGGGTCTCCTCTTCCTCTGCCAAAATATCCAATGTCACCTGGGCGTTATCAATGGCCTCTCCGTACTCGGCCAATCCCAAGTAGATTCTCGCCAACTGTGTCTTCGCCTTACCATACTCAACAAGAACCCTCTCACTCTCGGAGTTCTCATACTTTCTCTCCAAAATATCACATAGCCTCTTACCAGCTTCAATGGCTAATTTATACGTGTGACAACGCTCACTGAGAAGAAGCGCCAACTTCAAGCCGACCTCGTCGTTAGGGTGGAACTTAAGGAATGCTTGAACAGCAAAGTTGGCGATACTGAACTCCTGAGCTGCTTCAACATCTCTAGAATCGTTAGCAGATCCAATTCTAGCATTCACAATGGACATGGCATAACAAAGCTGGGCCAAAGGCAATCTTCCGTTGGAAATGATGTAGGCATGGGTAAAGAGTCTAGATGCCACCTGAGTTTCGTCACGGGCCTCAGCTGTCAAAGCATTACCTAACCATGACTGGGATTGCTCTGGCGCCACAGATGTAGCACGGTCAAATGCTTCTTGAGCGAGGTTAGAGTCTCCATAACGCAAATATAAGGCAGCCAAGTTGGTCCAGACTTGAGGGTCCTTGTTATCGAGAACAGATGCCTTGATGTAACAGTGCTGGGCAATCTCTGGGTTCTTCGAAACATAGGTGTTACCCAAACCCAACCAGAATTGAGCGTTGCTGCCTTCAAGCTTTATAGCTTCTTTAATAGCAAGCACAGCTTCATCACGGAACTTATCATCCCGTTCATCGGAACAGTTGAAGGCTTCCAAGTAAGCCACACCCAAGTTAAAGTGGGCAATAGAACGCTCATACTTATTGGCCTTACCAGGAAGCACAGCAAGGGCACTTTTGGCAACAAGAATGTTAAGCATACCAATGGCTTCAACGTACTTGACTTCCTTGAAGAGCGACTGGGCTGCCTCGAGAGACACAAGTCCATCGGTAGGAACATCAACATGCTTCAAAATACACACAACTGTGTCGATTGGGAACTTCTCAATGTCACATTGAACATTGAGTCTGACTTTAAGACAGCTGTTAAGAGACCTCCACAAATTCTGAGACGACTTGTTCACCACCACAGCCTTTGCAATCGCATCTAATGCAGTGTCAGAAGCATTCAAAGTTCTACCAGTGAAGCCTCCAAGCAAGAGCTGAGCACTGTAGCCAATAGATTGCTCGTAAACTGCGTTAAGCAAGCATTCCTCTTCAGGTCTAGCTTCAAGAGCTTCGTTCAAAATTTCAAGACCAATACTGTAGTCACCGATTTCACAAGTCGCAACACCCAACAAGTATTTAAGCATCCACGAATCTGGGTCCATTTTACTGGTACGCTTGAAAACCTTGATGGCTGCATCAATACGTCCACAGTTATAGTAGGCTTCTCCAAGACCGATCCAGCACTGTACATCCATTGCCTTCATACGAAGAGCTGTCTGGAACCACTCAATTGCTTTGGCATCATCTTGTCTATTAAGAGCAGAACAGCCAAGCACTCTATATGGCCATGACTTATCCAGATCTTCATAAAGCTGACTGAACAAGATACGACGACTCTTTTCGGATGTCACAACACGCTTACACAAGATATCGCTGACTTCCCACTCGTTCTTCTCAGCAAGCTCAGTGACAAGATACTTTGCAGCAGTGATTTCAGCAACATCAAGCTCGAAAGCCTTGTAGAAACACTTCTGAGCACGCTGCTTCTCGTTTAAGTGCTGGTGATATAACACACCAAGCAAAGTGTATGAAGGAGCATGGGTCTTTGAATCCTTCAAGGAGCTGATGGAAAGGTCATAAGCGGTCTGGACGTTGGTTTGGTCAGAGTCGTCTTCCCAAAGGTAACTCTTCGCAAGACGCCACTTGATGGAGGCTCTAGTCTCAGAGCTTTGAACGGAGAGGTCCTTTAACCCGTCGAGAGCTTGCTGGAGGTGTTTCCTACCTTCATCGTACTTCTTTTGTAATATAAGACACCATCCAAGTTCCTTAAGCGCAGTAGTATCATTTGGAAACTTGTTAAGAACAATAGTGAGAGCTTCATTTGCACTATCAAGCTCCATCTTCTCCAACAAAATAAGACCCTTTCCGACCATAGCTTGAGTGTTGTCTGGATCACCAGCAAGAATCTTATCGTAAAGATCCAAAGCTCTAGCAAAATTCTTTGGCGCTTCGTGGTATGTGTAAATGGTAGCAAGCAGGCACAAGATATCTCTCTTACAGTTAGCAAGGTCAATGCCGTATGTTCGTTGGAGTTCTGCAAGGTGACGAATAGCAGTAGTACACTTTTCGGAGCCGGCGTCGTATTCTTGAAGGGTAATAAAGTAACTGCAAGTAATACGATGAGCCATCATGGAATTGGTAGCCTTGGAGTATCCCTCAAGCATCATATCAAGAATCTCACCAGGGGAAATAGACCCTGTGGATCCGTTGTTATCATCTTGAAGATTCTCATCTTGAAGCTCTTCCAAGCCTTCTTGAGATTCAGATGGTCCAACCGCCTTTGAAACATCTTTGAGCCCCAACTCTTTCTGGACCTTTTCCTTATCAAAAGGACCGATATCGCTCATGACATATGCATACAAGAAGACACCCAAACCTTCAGTTCTAAACTTCTTGATGAACTGGATCACCTCAGCCTCATTAAGGTCAGACAACTTTTTAGGATCCTGGAGGTCGAAATACAATGTCCATGCGAAAATATCACTAGTACCCACAAGCACCATATCACTGGACAACTGTCTAACCTCAGCAACAAGCTCACTCTTTTCTGGAGCCACTCTAAGGAGATTATACTGGTACTTCAAAAGATCAGCCTCGTACGCCCTTCTAAGCTCGTCATCGTCACACACGTCAAGAAACCTTCTATAAAGATCCGAAAGGTCAGAGGCCAGACGTATGTTCCATTCTATAGCGTGTAATTGAGCCCTTTGCTGGACTGTAAGATTTCTAGGGTACTTCAATTTCTCCTTAGCAAGCACAGTTCTTGCCTGTTCATCCTGTTCGTTCTTAACCACCGTAATAAGCTTCTTGATGGTCTCCTCTGGTTTACCCACCGAGTCGCCCAACAACTCACGTAATGGTTCACCTGGAAGCACCGCACGAAGGTATTTCTCGTGTAATTCAGCATCCTCGTGGTATTTATTAGCATGCAAGTAGTTAAAGAGATCCTTTACAGCATCACCAGTGCTGACTTCTTGATCCACGAGTTTCTGGACATATTGTGTAAAGACATCAAAGAACTGGACGTAGTCGTTTTGCGATCTAACTATCTGGAAGTACCCTTTCCAGCCTAGAAGCTGCTCTGAATCGAGCTCGATAGCTTTCTGGAATGGCTTTTTCGCCTTGTCGAACTCACCTAGAAGCTGGTACGACTTACCCTTGAAGATATGGGCGTAGTAGTTGTTTTTGTCTTCCTGAAGAGCTTCGTCTGCGTAGTAGAGAGCATCTTCTGGGTCGTTTCTTTCAATGGCTGCCTTAGCCTGCTTGAGCAGCTGTTTAACAGACATGGTGTTGGTAGAAGGTTAATGGTGGATCTGGAGAAAAGGCAATATCGGCGTCTTGGTCACGTGAGTGGTTTTGGAAAAGTCCAGTTATTTAAGCCCAGGGGGTCTATCTGCTATATTAAAAAGAAATGTATGCTCTATGGCTTTATTGTATTACTTTGTAGCACTTTCGCTTGGTTTGGCCAGCTTTTGGTGTGAATTGGTGGACAGTTGGTGGGAATGGGTGGCTACAACTTTTCGCAGCCAAAGAATAGGCAAACTACGTGGAGGTTACTAAACTAGATGGTGACTCATTTGGGTCTAAAGTAGAAGGAGGGGGAGTAAAATGATCTCTTGAGGAAAATTTGACTTTCTTACTTCAATTTATGGTTTTTGTATTGGTACTCTCAGTGGGTGTTACTATAGGTCCTCATTCGCAGCTAGTAGTCTTAAGTACTGGTACCCACCTGAATAGATAAGAAGATGAATAACTAGGAATGATGGTGGCTTTAATTGATTCATTTGTAATACTTTTGGACGGATTGCTCTTTGTTCAGGTATTTCTGTTGACTTTTTAACTACCTGGTCTTGCTTTTATGAATGATAGTTGAGCTCCTCCACTCCCTCCTACCAAAGCCACCATTGAACACACAAGGTCACCATAATCAGACCTAAACATCTAAACACTCGGTTTCAAGCACTGACCAGCTCAAACTCCTCCCTCTACCCTGATTCCTGTTAATCCCAACTGTTATGCTTTTTGCAACTGCGGTCATGTGCCCTGCACGTGTACTCCCAGGCACAGAGCATCGGCCCCTATATCCCCAATAACTGCCATTTAACCAAAGAACAGGACAATCAAAAGTCCTTTTATCATTACTCTCAATCCTACTAGCCTCAAATCAACTTCTCCCACCCACTACCCCTTGTAATTAACCGGACATTACGTATTCGCACACGTGACCCGACTCATCTCGGTATCAAAGATTTCCACTTACATACATAAACCATCCGCCAGACCTACATCCCAAACACCTACTTCCCAGGAGCGGCTCATATACTATGGCTCCTATTTCGCTTTCGGAGTCTGCCAAAACCCAGTCGCCGTCGTCGTACCTCTACACAACCGTGGCCAGCTCCCATTTGGGAGAGACATCGGCCATCGTGATCTCATCGTTGATCTCGTACGGCAGAAGCACCGCCAGAATATTGGCTACAAACACTGGGCTTACGTTGAAGCAGGTCAGAACTGTGTTGGTTTCGTTGGTTCAGCTTAATTGTGTGTTTTTCTGGACCGAGGGCAAGGAGGTGTACTATACTTTTGATGATAGAGGAATCCAGAAGTTGTTGTATGCTGGAGACATTGTGACACATATCAGGACGGTTTACGGTGACGAGTCTGCCCAGATTATCCAGAATGTGCTTGAAAACGGCAGCATCAATGTTAAGGAGTACTTATCTTCGTTTTCTGAAGAGATCAAGTATGAGACTACTGCCAAGTTGCTTAAATTATACAATGATGGCTGGTTGCACAGGCTACAGCCTTATAACTACTACCCTCTAGAAGATGTGTGGAACATGCTTTTCCAGGAGACATTGAAGGCTACACCTCGTTCGGCTACCACCAGTGAAATCAAGAGAGTGGCTGAAGCCAAGGCCAAGACCAAGATCAAGTTGAATGACTACCTCTCCAGGGGCACTGATCCTAAGGATGTGTTTACGGTTGAAGCTGGAATGCAGAAATTTGGTCCCCTGGTCACCGTTACTCTTAATCTTCAGAGGTACGAAAAGTACTTACGTACTAAGGCTTTGACAGATTTGGCCAACTCCAGGTTTGGTCTTCTCACCAGCAAAGTCTACGAGGCGTGCTGCTCTTTGGTCGAGCAGAACTCGCCCGATTTGCATCACACCTATCTTCAGATTTCTGGGTTAATTAATGATCCAGAGGAAGAAAGGGCGTACCTTAGCAGCATAGAAAACGGACTCATCGATTCCAAGAGAACTGTTTTCAACCTTCGTGATGTGCCGAGGGCTCTTTCAGAAAACATCGACTTGCGTAATTCCATCTTGACACAGAACTTCCTCAAACCAGCTAAAAGGGTCCACATCAACGGCTCGGCATCTGAATCCACAACAAAGAAAATTAAGCTTGAAGACGGATCTGCACAGGTTGTTTCGGTAGACAATGACGACGAAGAAGAAGACGAGGGGGACTACGAAGCAGACAATTCCAGCGCCAAATCGCTTTCTCTCATTGCCGAACATGCCAGGCTACTAACGTCGTCTGCCACTCCATTCTTATTGGAAGTGTCGCCTGGTTCCTACACCATCCCATACATGCTGCTCCACAAGCATGTCAAACAGCATCATCTCAGCACGCTTGTGAAAACAACGTTGGGCCCCAATGCCTTGAGAGTTCTCCGATGCATCATGCTGATGAAGTTGGTGGACGAAAAAGCGATCCTGAACTCTGTGCTACTCAAAGAGAAAACGGTGAAAAATGAGCTCTACAAACTCACAACAATGAACCTCCTAGAGATCCAGGAAGTGCCCCGCTCTGCCGATCGTGCTGCGCTGAAGACGTTTTATTTATTCCGTCACAAGGCAGTACTGGCGTATCGGTCCATCAGCGATGCGTTGGTTTATGACATGGCTGAGATCTTGACTAATGTAGCACAGGTTAAACTGGATAACAAGATCTTGCTTGAAAAATGCGATAGAGAAGACGTCAAGGGCCATGAAGAAGAGCTTTTGCTTGAAAGTGAATTAAAGATGCTTCGTTCGCTTCAACAAAGAGAGTTGAGTAACGTTGGACGACTCAACCGAGTCATGTGGCTCTACATTGTGTTTGGGGTGCTCTAAATATTGAAATTATTAAAAGTGGTCCTTAGCACCACAAGGACACAGACAACATAAAAATTTTTATCCACAGAAAATGCAATTAAGAGTGTAGCACCAAAGCTCAAGCATCAGAGTCCTGGCCAGGGTTACAGTTCTCGTACTCCAAGATCTTAAACACCTTCCAGATGGCAAATGCAATGACAGAGCCCAACGCTGGACCGACCCAGTAGATCCAGTGGTAGTCTGGGAAAGAAGCGGCAGCAATGCAAGGACCAAAGGAACGGGCAGGGTTCAAACCAGCACCAGTATAGTAAATGGCAATCAAGTGGCCCAAGAACAAAGCGATTCCAATGACAAATGGAGCCATAAAAGTGGCTCTAGCCTTCTCGACCGCCAAAACAAAACAGTCAAACACAAGAGGGCTGTAGCAAAAGCTTCAATAAACACACCTCTAGTTCTGGAAGCACCACCACCAAGACCATTAGCAAAAGCAATCTCGCCTGGAGTCATGGCAGAAGCAGCACCGGCAGCAGCCATACCAGCGATCATCTGAGCAGCCATCATAATGGCACCTCTCACTGGAGGCACGGCCTTAGCCAAAACCAATGTCAAGGTAACAGCAGGGTTCAAGTTACCACCGGAAACCCTAAAGAAAATAAACACACCAACCATGACACCAAAGCCAAAGCCAAAGGAAATCATAAGCAATTGGCCAGGCGAAGAGCCCTCGCCAGCAGGAGGAATAGCAGGCGACTGGTTGGCAATCTGGGCAATAACAAAAGCCGTCCAGAGAAAGATAAAAGTGCCAAAAAACTCACCCAAAAATGCTATGATATGGTTGGAAAACGAGTTACCAGCTGGCTTAGCAGCAAGCGTAGGGTGCTGAGCATCTGGGATATTTTCAGAGCCAGTCTCCACAATAGTTTCCGCCTTCAAGGCCTCGATATCAGAAGATGAAGTCATGGAGAGAATAGAGGATAGAGAATAGAGAACGGGGGAGGGCTGGGTATTTATACTTCCCTGGGGGTCTTAGTCTTGGGTGCCCTAGCCCTGGCTGCCAGGCAGCCAGAGCCAGGTCAAGGGAGGCGGGGGACCAAACGCAACGAAGAGTTCTGCGTGACGCGCCTGCAGCAGGCGTAACCAGAAAGTGGCTCAAAGTCAGAGAATGAGAGAAAACGGGGCGGTACGTGGTTACCTTTGGCAGCAGCAGCAGCCCTTTTGGCTGCTCTAGAAAGCTCCAGGCAAGTCAATTTTCAGCCTGTGTAAGTGAAGTGCGCTGTGCGTGAAGAAGGACCCTGCGGCTGAAAAAATACAAAGCCCAAGCCAGAAAAAGCCAGAAAAAAAGGCTGAATTTGGCACCCAGTAGAGGCCACCGTCCAAGCCCCAGCTGATCCGATTCCACCTTGCAACGAGTGGGAAAGGACGAAAAACAAACAGTTCTTTTCCTTGGTGGCTTTTTCTTGCTGTTTAAGTTTTGGTGCTTGAGTTGGGGCACTGCTGGGTGGACTATCTCCGAGCGGATTGGGCACTGGAGTGGCATCTGGGGCCTGGTTTTGTGGTTCTTTTTTCACTCATCTGCCGCTGCCGCTGGTGCCGCTGCTGCTCACTGGAGTTTATTGCGCTGCAGCAAGAAGCAGTATAATCGCAGACCACACAATGCCGCAGCCGCCGCAACCAACAAGAATTGAGAGACGAAGAGGAAGGAAGGGGAAGACAAGTAGGCACCAAGCCAACCAGTTGAAGCCTCCCAGAAGAAGCCTCCCAGAAGAAGCAATAGACAAACAAAATGACAGTCATGGAAAAGTACAAAAAGGATGTGGCTGGGCAATTGTAAACGGGGCCTGGTGGGCTTTCCTGGGCCCTCCTGGGTCTGGACTTGGGACGGTGTTTCTTTGCTGGACCCCAGCCTCGCAGATGCTTCCCTTTTGGCATAGGCTTTTCGCTTTTGTCTGCGGTGCGGTGGGCTGCGCTGGGGACTCTGCGTGCGGCCTGGACCCGCTTCGGTGGCTGCTTCTGCGGGCCGTGGGTTGGAAATACGAGCCAGGGAGGGAGGGAGCCCCAGGGAGGGAGAGTAGAGACGGCTGGTCAGGCAACCCACCTGCCAAGGAGCAGAACCAAAACCAGGGACCAGAACCAGGGACCAGTGACAAAAGTGACTTTACAGTTACATGTTGAATCTGTTTGTTGTCTTTGTCTGTCTTTGTCTGTCTTTGTCTGTCTTCTCTTGTCCTTCTGCCTCTTCTGCCTCTTCCTCTTCCTTGTCCTTGGTGGTTTAGCCCCCGGGGCGTCACGGCTCCACGGCGCCGCCGTACATGGAACGATGGACGTAAAGGAAGAAATAATGGCGGTATTTTTGGAACACCAGAAGGCAGGTGGGTTACGAGATGGAAGGGGCATATGCTTCTTGGGGGATTATTTTTTTACCTTCTACCGAGGAGAAGAAGCAGTGGAGAAGAAGCAGGGGACAAGGAACCTCAAGGGTATACTTTCCCAAAGGCAAAGGCAAAGGTAAAGTTTAAAGTTAATGCTACTTGGATTAAATGAATAAAGTTTGAAGACTTGTCGTGTCGAATTGTCTTGTCACTTTTGGTTGCTCCAGGTTCCTGAGGTGGAAGAGGGAGAAGCGGTAGAAGAGTTTTCAGGAACGGTGGCTGCCGCAAGGCCCAGCGTTTACACTAATTGGGCTTTGCGGTCAAAGGCTGCTGCCTGGTACTTCAGTCCCGGCAAATCGCCGGCACTGCCGGAGGCTACGCCCACGTCTGGGAAAGAAAATCTTCCACATGCACATTGTCTTGAAAATAAGCAGAAAATAAGCAGAAGGAAGGAAATTGGAAGCTGTGGTGGATAGAGGGTGGGATTTGTAGCCAGTAGTCGCATCAACGTCACCCCACGTCGAAAAAGTGACAACTGGTAGAAGACTGAGGGTAGGTAGGAGACGGTTTGGTTGCCCCTGGAAGCTCCTGGCTCCTGGGAACCCCTCCGTCCCCCTCTTTGGTCCCGCTGTTTAGTCAGTACGATCTTTGGTCATTGTCTGGCGACGATTTCATGCCCTGTGAGCGGAGCGAGCAGGCGCAAATGGAGAGGGAGGCGTAGATAAAGAGGAAGGCGTAAATGGGAGCAAATGGACAGACAGGCGTGGACAGAAGAAGACGTAAATGGAGAGGCAGGCGAAATGAAGTTAATGACATAGAATGGATAATGGAACACGTTTTTAGGAAAATAGGAAAATGGGAGATAAAAACGGGAATTACAGAATTGAATAAGACAAATCCGGGAATAATAGAAAATATAAATTTAGAATAATGGAAACTTAGGTAAACGGGAATCTGGGAATCTGGGAATCTAATTGTTCCCTGGAGAATGTAAAAAAAAAAAAAATACCCACCTCTTCCTCACTTACGCCCTTCCGCCTCTGCCTTGCTCACCAACCAATTACTAAAACTACCTCTGCTGCTTCCCCCAAAACTCCACGGCACTACGGCACGCCGTGCAAAGCATGGAAGACCCGCCCAGGACTTCCAGAAGAAAAAACAGAAACCACGAAACCTTAAAAAATCAATTCATTTGATGCTCTAGTGCCTAAATAAGTGCCCTGGCTGGAGTGGCTGTCGCGGCTGCCCTGGCTGCTTCTCCAATTATTCCACAAAAGCACCTTTTTTCTCCATAACCCTCTGGTTCCTCCCAGGATTTCCCGCTGCACATACAAATTGGACCCGCCCGAAAAAACCATTACGTCTTATAAAACCTTAATCTCAGCAGAGCCTGCGCTGGCTGCCCTGGCTCATCACTCGCCTCAAGTTGAAAATCTGCAAATGCCCCATTCTATTCAGTTTTTTCCATTCTTTTCTTATTTCCATTCCCTCATTTCTTTCCCTTCACAGCCAAACGCCAATTCCTCTTTCCCCTTCCTTCTCTTCCTTCTCTGCCTCTTTTTTCTTGACATTTCATGGCTTTTGCTATCTTCCATTCTTCTCCATTCTCCATGTTCCTGGCTTTTTCTGGCTTTTTCTGGCTTTTTTTCTTTGCTTCTTCTCGGTGGCTTTTCTTCAGTGGCTTTTGTATTGTCCTTTGCCGCTGCACTTTGTCGAAACGCGACCACCCTGCGCCAGTCCCAAACCTGCCTGGTTGAGACTTTTCCATTGATCTCAGAGGCATCCATTTATTTTATTTCTGTATGTGCTGTGGGCGGCCGGATCTTCGGCTCGGGTTCGGCTTCTTTGGCCCGGACGGTGCTGCCGCTATTTTTAGGGCCTCTCCACCGCCACAACGTTCATACCTGTCAATCTAACCTTACTAGGGTCTCGTTTACGAGTAAATGCACCAACAGTGCACAACAGGTGCACAAGCCGTGCGCCTCACGTTGCTACAACGAAAACCTAGCATTTCTCTCTCGGAAATCAGGTCACGTGAGATCAGGCGCGTGATGTGTCACCTGCATCCCGTGACAAGTCCCGTGATGCTGCCTCACGTGCGCGCTGGCGGTATGTCTCAAATGTCATTGCTGCTATTCTAACAACTCCATCAACCATGACAAAAAACTCCAGGCCACATCCTCCTGGCCTGGCTGATAGCTCGTTCTACCATAAAAACCTGCAATTGACAAATACGCTGTACCTACAATCCTCCGCAGACCTTCTCCCGACAAACCAGCCCGACCCCGACCTGCTAGTGTCTTGGATCGATGGATTGAAGAATAGAGTCGACGATACCCTAGAAAAACAACAGCATGAGCTTCTGCAGCTACGCATTTCCACGCATAAAGAGGATTTGAAGGAACGGTACCGCCATCAGGTGTTTCTGGCGCCTTTTGACCAATTAGGTGAGATCCTACAAGCAAGCCAAAAGCCAGTTGCAGAGCGTCAGGACTCTCCGTATCCTGAAGAGCAGAAGCAAGAGGAGGCGGAGGAAAGCTCTGAGCAGGAGATTTTGGAGGATGAAGAGGATGACGACGATATAGTTGAGATTCTCTCTGATGAAGAGGAAGGTGAAGGTGAAGAAGAAGAGGAAGAAGAGGAAGAAGAGGAGGAGGAAGATCTACATCCAGATGAGGCAATTGCTCAAGGCTTGGAACAGGAATTGAGTCGATATGCTGCTGAAGCTCTTGATGCAGAACAGCCTGCTGAAGAATACTCATATGACGAAGAGCTCGACGAGGATCTCGACCAAGAACTAGATGAAATAGATCAGGATCTCGATGAAGTTGACGATGTTGATGAACTCGATTATGACATTCCCCAGCAAGAAGCCAATGTCTTTGCTACTCCAAAATACCAACTTCATAACGGCAGACCGCGCTTGTCGGACTTCCCGGTGTCGTATCCCGAACAAGAATCCGAAGAGGAGGAACATTCAGAGGAAGCTTCTGAGGAGCAGGAACAGTCTGAAGAAGAGCACGACCAGAGCGAGGAGGAACAGCAGCATAGTGAAGAAGAGCAAGAACAGAGTGAAGAAGAGCAAGAGTCAGAAGAGTACCCCGAACAAGAACACTCTGGCATCCAGCATGACCAGGCAGGGCCTGAAGACGACGATGATGCTATTATTGTGCTTTCCAGTGAGGACGAAGCTCAGCCAGAAAAAGAGGTTTCTTCTGAGCCTGAACAGCAACACGAGCCAGAGCCAGCTTCGCAACTCCAATACTCTCAGTACCCATATAATCATCTCGCCCAGGAGTCTGAACAGTATAGTGAAGTGGAAGGCTCCGACGATGCTGACCAAGTGTCTGAGGAAGAATCCGAACAGGAACAGGAGCAAGAGTCTGAAGACGTCACGGACGCCGAAGACGAGAGAGGCCAAACTGGGTTTGAGTCTGACGATGAACCACAACCAGAAGATGAAGACGACGCCAATAATTACTTCGCTACCGCCAACGACTCGCTCGAAAACAGTGAGCTCTTTGCTAATATTGCCCTGGAGGCCCTCACGGAACATATTTTGCAAGATCAAAAGCACCCTATAGACCGTATGCTCAGTGATTACCTTGCGGATGTCGAATCAGATGGTGGTGCTTACAAGCCTAGTACCCATGCCCATGAACCAATGCCAATCTTTGACCATAATGAGATCGAAACGCCTGCTCCAGAAAAGTTTGACTTAGGCACCCTGTCTGCAAGCAAGAAGAGTGAAGGTGACCCTACTGAAGGTTCCATGGCTGATGCCGATACTGATAAGTTTGAAGAGGCCCAAGAAAGTGATGTTCCTGTTTTCAATCCTAGTGTCCCAGTGTTCAAGACTGTTAAACCAGATTCTCCACGAAGCACACTTCAACAGCTTAAGGAGACTCAAAAACGGTTTGGTGTGAAGCTTGAAGCTGTCAAGGATCTTGAAGCGGAACTCGGCTTGCCACATTCTGAATCTTCTGAGAGCGATAGCGATATACATGAAACTTTCGTTGACGCTCCTGCTTATCAGCCTGAAGCTGTTGAGTCATCCAACCATGCCGAAGATTCGAAGGTTCCCGAAGCGGTCCTGGTCCAGAACGACGGTGAAGCTGGTGAAGATGGTGAGGGTGTCCAGGTAAACATGGAAGATGCACTTCAAGCATTCATAGAGGAAGTTCAGCAACGGCCAAACTCTCAGGATGACCTGTCGCTAAAGAACCTTGATCAGTCTATCGACCATGTTTCTTCCAGACTTGCCCACGAAGCAGTTGATGCTTACCTCAAAGACAATAATATCGAGTCTGACGTTGCAGGTGGTGGCGATAACTCTGAAGACGTAATGGACGTTGATTCCGAAGAGGATGAAACAAACGCAAACGTCACCAGCAAAATACCCAAGGTTACTGTCCATACGCTGGATCTTCGGAATACTGACACACCTTCTGACGAGGAGCTGGCCGAAGGATTCCACGATACGCGAGGCAGCTTTCCTCGTCCTGGTTACCCCCAGCTCAAGTTCGATGGCACTGATGATTTCAGTCAATACGCAGACCAACATAACGATACTGACGACTCCTTATCATACGTCTCGGCAATTGAAACTGAGAACTCTTCAGCGCAAGCTTCAAGGCAAGCCTCTTCTGTCAGCATTCAACTGGTCAATAATAAAGAATTGCCATTTGAGGTCATCAAGAAAGCTCAGAAGGACCCTCGTCATATTGTCCCCATTTCAGTTGACCAAGAAGGTAAAAAGTACGAGATGGCACCATGCCCTGCCCCTGGTGGCTACAATGTGACTTTGAAGGAAGTGTCGACGTTAGACAACAAAGAACCTTCCGTCGCTTCCCTGTCAAGTATCATCGTTCATCCTCCACATGACTCTGTGGCTAGCACTGCTACTTCTACGACTAATGATCAAGACGGAAGACATACGTTTGGTGCCTCATCTGCTCATGCTGGACATGGCAATATTTCTGGTGATAAAAAGACTTCAAACACGAGCAATGCTGATAGCTCTGCTGAGGCTGGACCTAATGAAGGAAAGGCTCGCGCTACTGCTGAGGCCGACGCCAATAAGACCAAGGATGGTAAGGCCGAAGTTACCGCTGAAGCTAGTTCCGGTTCTGGAGACGCTAAGGGTAAAGCTGAGGCAACTGCTAAAGCCGATACAAATTCAGGTGATGGTAAGGCTAAAGCCAAAGCTAAAGCCGACTCGAAATCTGATAAAGATGGTGACCAAGCCAGTGCCGAGGCTGATTCGAAGTCTGAGGGTCAAGGTGGGAAATCTTCTGCTAGTGCTGAAGCTGAAACCAAAGATCTGCACGCCCAAGCTTTTTCGGATGCTCTGTCGGACAAAAATGCTTCGGATGCTTCTGCTGAAGCCTCAAGCTCATCAAAGAAGCGTGATGACTCTCAATCAGAAGACGAGGAGAAATCAAGGGACGCTGAATCAAAGCCAGAAAGAATCACGGACACTTCCGCTCAACAACCACTCTTTACGGTTCCTGAGCATCAGGCGCAGCCTCATGAGGAGTACGAGCCTACTGCTGAGCACCCTCCGGCTGGTGATACCCACAATGAAATAGAACAAGATGTGCCTAACGTTGATTATGTTGAACCTACAGACCATACGACTGTTGAAGTTCCAGAAGACGTTCAAACCCCGGAGTCTGAAGAAATGCCTGTCAAACCAGATGATGCAATTGAGATCGACAATCTTACAGGTGACGAAGACGAGACGAAGTACGAAGATGCAGAGCACGAAGAGCCACTTGAAGATAATGCTAGCTCTCGTGGTGAAGGTTCTCCTGAACTTGATGATACTGTTGAGATTGAGCCAAGCGTGGAGCAAAGCTCTGAGCTACAAGAAGAACTCACCATTGGGGATGCGGACGATGAAGTCGAAGCTCAATCTGAGGAACCCGAACAATCGTCTGAAGCTGAATCTGAAGAGGATGCTGAAGAGGATGCACCATTAGTGGTAGAACCTGAGGGTACAGAACCAATGTTCGTGGTTTACGAAAGCAGTACAGTCGTCGAAGGTGTGGAAGCTGTACCGCCAACCTTTATTGAAGAACCCCAAGCTGATGAGGAGTCAGAGCCATCGGATAATGAGAAGGATATTTCTGATGCCGTGGAAGAGATTGTGACTGATCTTCTTTCTCATCTTGATGAAGAGTTGGAGTACCCCACGGAAGTCATTGAACCCGAAGAAGTTGTCGATAGTGTGGTGGAGGTCTTTGAAGAAACTACAGATGTCATTCAACCCAGCAGAGTTGATGAGCTTGATTCCATAAGAAACACCCCAGAACCCGTTGATTCGACCGTCCTGGTGGAAGAAGTCGATGAGCATAGAGGACAGAAGAGAGCTGCAACATCGCTCTTGTCGTCTCCCGCAAAGAAGATCAAATCTGTTGCTGGTAAGTTGAATCCTTTGAGATGGTTCTCTTCCGACGGCTCCTCCCGTCCAAGCTCTGCCTCTTCTGATATCCCCGTGCCTGAACTTGTCGATTTGGACGAGGATGAGAAACTCACCGATGAATCAGACGTCTCCTACTATATGAGCACATCTGATGAACTGGAAGAAGTTGTGGAATCCGATGAGGATATCGAAGTTGAGAGCTCAAGTGATCTAGAGGATCAGTTAGCTGCTGATTTGGCTGAGAGAAATGTTACCCAGGAGATTGGCAGTACTGGTAGAGAAACCGATGTCGGCTCGTTACCTGTTGATATTGAAACTCTTGAAGCCACCGATACTGTGATTGAACAGCCTGCTGACGTGCCAGAGGAAGAGGGTGAGAAAGAGGTCACAGAATCCCCGAAACCTTTCATTGACCAACTTGGAGATGCAATTGTCGATGAGGTTGCTGATGACGAGATTGAACAAGCAGAGAAGGCTGAAGAGCCCAGTATTGAAGATCAAGATGTTAACGAGGAGCCAGACGTTACCGCTGCTGAAGCTGCTGTGGACGACGCGATTGAAGAGGTTTCTAACGAAGTCGTGAATGATGTGGTGGACGATATCGCCGACCAAGTTGCTGAACAAGTTGCTGAACAAGTTGCTGATGACGTCGTTGATGACATTGTTGACGACGCTCTTGAAGAAGCGATCGTTGCTGATGAGCCTCCTGTTGCCGAACAAACTCAAGGAAATGATGATATTGTCGATACTCTCGAAAAGGAACCATTAGTTGACGACGTTGAGGGCACTACTGAGGACGTGGTGGAAGATGTTGCTAATCAAGTCGACGAAGAAGTCGTGGATGATATTGTTGAGAAGGCTGCTACTGAAGCTGCTGATATTGCAATTTCAGCACAACTGAATCCTGGTTCCTCGGCGGCAATTGGAGATCATCTTACTTCTCCTACTTCCAGTACGGTTGACGATGCTAAGGTTGAAGGTAATGAAGCTGGTTCCGATGAAATTAACGATGAAATCATCACTGAAGCCGAAGAAGATGCTGTCCCATCAAACATTGAAGTTGATGAAAAGATTGTTGCACCGCCAGCTCCTCCAAAGCCCACCAGACCATGGAGTGCAGCAAGCCTTGAGTCTATGAGTGAGCTTGATGAAGGCTCAGTTCCCGTCTTGCCACAATTCAACATCATTGCTCCTACCTTAGAACGCCTTGCCGCTGAGAAGGAAAAGGAATCAGTCTCAGCACCTCCTGAAGTCAGAGAAGAGGCCGAGCCTCTAGAGCAGCCAGAGAAGATAGAAGAGGCAGATGAAGAAGCTAGCGACTCGAAAGCTTCCGTTTCTCGACTCATCAAACTCCTCGGGAAGAAGGCAAACGCTCGTATTGATCAGAAGCACCATTCAAGTGACGACACCAAGCCATCGCAAGAAGAGGGCCTTGAACGCAAAGAGGAAGAGAACCAGGAAGAAGAGCCTGTTGCTGAACCTGAAGAGCCTGCTCTGCCAGCTTCCACCGAGAAAGCTAGTCCTGGTCGTCGCAAGAATCCACGTCGTAAAGCTGCCTTGAAAGCTGAAGAGCCTGCTGAAGAGCCTGCTGAGCCGTCTGCAATCGAACAGCCTACAGCAGAGCAGCCTGAGGTCGAAACACCCCAAGTTGAGGAACCAGAACCTGTGGAATCAAAACCAGAGGAACCGAAAGTTGAGGAACCAAAGGCCGAGCAATCACAGAAGAAGAGACGTGGTCGTCCTCCTAAGGTGAAAAGAGAGGCAGAAGCAGAAGCAGAATCAGTGCCAGCCAAACGTTTGACCAGAAGACAGAGAAAGATGGCTGGATTGCCTGAAACTGAGGAACCAACAGTTGGTGAGTCCAAACCAGACGAAGAGCCCACTGAGACTACCGCTGCCGTTGCAGAGAAATCAGAGCAACCAAAGGCAAACGAAGATGTTGCGATGGCCGAGGAAAACGTCGATGCAAAGGAAGAGCAGCCTAAGGATGACGAAGCTCCAAAAGTGCAACCACGCGGCACGAGGAGAAGTACCAGAAGGGCAGCTAAGCAAAAGGAAGCCAATGAAACGAACCAGCCTGCTGACGATGCAGTTAAGCCTGAGACGCAACAAGAACCTCCACTTGAAGCCACAAAGCAGGAAGAACCCCAACCGGAACCTCCCAAGCGTAAGGGTCGTGGAAGAAAGAGGAAGATTCAAGAAGCGAAAGAAGCGCCTGCTGCAGCTGAACAAAAGAATGTTTCCCAGTCTGAGAAAGCAGCGGAACCAAAGACTGAAGAGAATGCGGGTCCTAGATTGCAGCCAGAGCTTGCTGAGAAGATAGTTGCCAACGAGGAAGAAACTGGCGGTAAGCGTCGTTCTACAAGAGTCAGACGCTCTACCAGGCATCAGGACGAAAAGGAAGCTGAGCCCATGCCATCATCTCCAGTTGTGAAAGCTGACTCGCCTAAATCAGAGCTCGCTCCTGGGTTTGAACCTCAAGAGCAGTTGTTATCGCCAACCAAAAGGCGTGGAAGACCAAGGAAAACCAATGTTGCCCAATCATCTCCATCTGCTGAATTTAGTCCACCCATGCCAAAACTGAGAACTGCTTCTGGAAGCAAATGGCATTTGGACCTGTTGGACCATCCGGCATTGAGAACCCGTTCGAAGTCGCCCATCAAGCGTACAATACAAGAGCTTTCGCTGGATATGGAAGAAGAACAGCCCAAGAGAAGAAGACGTAACGTCAAGAAAGATTTGCAACCTGTGGATGCAGAAGAAAAGAGACAAGAAGAAGAAGGAAGAGGAAGACGCAGAAGAAGAGACTAACCAATAATTACTTACGATAGATCTAATGAGTATTATAGAATAAATAATGGCTATGCTAAATGTTTCATGCCAAACTCGTAAGTGGTGAAGAACACCATATTTACAAGGAATGAACGGAGCATGGAGATGCTCAAGCCTCTATAAACACGAGTGCCAAAAACGATCTTTCTTGTCTTTTGTGGCAACGGCTGAGCGCCTCCTTGTTTCCGTAAAATGTTTGTGACAATGTCCTTTTGGATTAACGACTTGGTGGTGTCAAAGGGGAACACTGCTATCCAACACAAGACTCCTGACATTCCTCCAGCGATCATGATTGAAATGGGGGAAGACTGCGACGGACTGGAATTAATGAGAGTGTTGGTAGCCCACTTGATCGCTTCGTAAACAGCAAAATAAACACCAGACCCCATAGCATCTCTCGCAAGATGGTACCTGTAGCCCGAATATAGCCCACCAAAACCCTCGTACCTGAGGATTGTCTTGAACGTCTCAACTGTGCCCACATGAGGCGAAGCAGCTTTGGCAATGGCACTATCTGTGGCCAGTTTCAGTGCTAGAGTAGCGATCTGAGAGTATACCTTGGTGAATTCAAAAGGACAAGCGAATATCGATACACCACATCCAGCAGCAGCACCAGCAGCAAAGCAAACAGGGAAATTACGCACAAAAGGGTGGCCCACGTTCTTCTCGTCTCGCCAGCCATACAACGCCTCATAACAGTACGGTTTAGTATTAGTGAAGATGGTCACACTGAGAGACCTAACGAACGAGGTCGATATCAACGGAGCAGTGATGCCCCTATAGAACCCCCTGACTCCTTCGTTTCTTAGCGTCGAAAGCACACAATCCGAATACGAAGCAAACTGTTTATACGTTTGCATCCGGGTCTTCACCGTATCAAAAGGGAACCCTATGGTAGTGGAAACGAACGAAGTGGTATATGCCAATATGGTTGATTTGTACGGCAGAAGCAGTTCAGGAAACACCCGTATCGCCTTCGAGTGGTCAATGTCTCCTGTAATGGCAGGAATACTGCCCTTCGGGTTATTTTTCTCCATAAGCCAGAAGTACCAGGAAGTAGTATACCATGGAGAGATAAAGACTTGCAGAGAAGGCTGTCAAGGCCTCTGTGGCAGCAGCATGCACTCCCGAGTCATCTGAGTCAGACGAATCACCGATGGGAGTCACCTGGGTGGTCAAAATCGAGGTATTCCAGGTGTTTCGTGATTGGCTGGTTAGTTTTGGGACGGTTTTTTTGTGGCTGGGTGTTTGTGGTTTCGTGGCTTGGAACGGCTGATCTCTTCTTACTGTGTACTATGGTTATGGTTTTTCGCAGCCAAACGGTCTGCTGATGGCAGCCAAGGGGGAAGGGGCCAGAACTATTTGGATAAATAGGGTCCCCTAGGTTTTTTAGTTTGGTTTGGTTAACTTTATTAGGATTCCTTTTTTAAGGTTTGGTTCAGCTCGGATTGACCGAGGCTGGGTGCTGGGACGTTGGCGAGGCTGCCGAGGAATAGATAAGCGCTGAGCCTGGGCGGTCTGGTGGTGGATCAACATGTGAATGGGTAGTGTTTGTTTACGTTTGGGAGGAAGGGTTCGGTGGGTTGAGTTTTGGGAGAAAGTGGAAGAGTGTGGCGGGGGGTTGAATTGGGGTTGTATAGGGAAAGAAGTGATGGTAATGGTGGCTCATGGCTGAACGTCAATGGACGTGTTATGGGCTTGCCAATTGCAATTTTTTATAGAGCAGCTGTTTGATTTGAGTGAAAATAGCAGATCTCAAGCTCTTTGAGTTAATGGAGACATTCTAATATCTGTTGGAATCAATTGCTGAAATGTTGCTGTTGATAAGTGACAAAACACACAGTAATGTGGTCAATTGAAGCGTCAGAAATACGTAGTGAAGTTTCTCTCAAAACCAGCCTATAATTGCTTCAATTGTGGTAATCTAATTCAGATTTGTCTTATTACAGTTCAAATAATAGCCAGATCGATGGTTCACTAGGATTTGCGTTCACTAAACACTTCTACCTCGAGCTCACATCCCACACTGTCTCCTCAGATCCCAAAATTAAAGAGAAGCTTCAAAAGCTAATTAAACCCCCAAGAAGACGACTACCATCTTTACTTTCCAGATCTCACAATTCACTGCCTCGCCAGATCTGGAAATTACAGTACCCAACCACCAATTTATACATCCAGATCTCATAAATACAACCAAAAGAAGCCAATCAAATATTCAAGTAAATTCAAAGTAAATAATCAGATCACCCCAGAGTGACCACCTTCGACTATAAAAGACTTTTTATTGTATTGAAAAGAATTCTTCGTAACAAGCAATTCGTACCTCACCTCACCTAACGGTCCACCACCAGCAGCCAGTGAGACACACTAAACGACCCCCAACCAACCAACCATCAGACCAAACAAGCACCCAAGAAAACAAAAAAATTGAAGTAGCCATAATTACTTAACTTCATTCACTTAGGCACTTTCTCCTTTTTTTTTCCATCTACGACTCCCTTCCCTCCCTCTTCCCTCCCTCCCTCTGGCGTCCCTCTAGCGTCCCCACTGGTTGCAAAAAACCCACCTCACCAACCAACCACCATAAACATCCTCCACCAATTCCCCCAAAAATCCCCCAAACCTCCCCCAAACTCGCCCAACCGAACAACCCCCACCCCTCAATCCCCCACTACCTTCAATTCCCTTAAACCACCACTTTTTCTATTTTTTTTTCAACCATCCTCCCTTCCCTCCCTCCTCTTACTCTCCCACCCCAGCCTCCGATTTCGCATCTTTCTGCCAGAATCACACAAATACACTAAACCTACACATCCGCGAAAATACACCTACCTGTTTCCCACAGCCTTCTCTTCCTCAACCAACACATCCTCCCATAATGAACTTCTTGAGAAGAAGAAAACACAGTGAAGACGACGACGATGACCTTCCCGACTCGGAGTCGGTTTCTCAAGTCCACAAACTGAGGAAACCTCCTAATACGGCGTTTCGTCAGCAGAGGTTGAAGGCATGGCAGCCTATTCTTACACCCAAGACGGTGATTCCGTTTTTGTTTTTGCTAGCCATTATATTTACTCCGTTGGGCATTGCTATCATTTATACCACGTATAACGTGCAGAAGCTTGAGGTGAACTACTCGAAATGTGGAGACGAGGCCACCAGCTCGTTCCTGTCGATTCCTGGCAAGTATACGGGCCACCACTTTCAGGGTACTGGGGATGGGCCAGATTTTAAATGGAAGCTTGAAACGGGTAGGGATGCCCAGGGTGACGATACGCAAACATGCGTGATTCAGTTTAACTTGCCCAAAGACTTGGATCCGCCAATCTACCTTTTCTATAAGCTTACGAATTTCTACCAGAACCATAGAAAGTATGTGGAATCGTATGACGTGAAGCAATTACGTGGCGATGCCGTGCTGCCAGGCGATTTGGACTCTCATTGTGATCCATTGAAGCAGAAGAAGGTGGGCGACGACGAAAAGGCCGTGTACCCTTGTGGCCTTATAGCCAATTCGTACTTTAACGATACGTTTTCCAGCCCTGTGTTGCTTAATTCTAAGAGTGGCAGTGATAACGAAACGTACCACTTGTCGGAGAAGGATATCACCTGGAAATCCGATAAGGATCATAAGTTCAAGAAGACCAAGTACGACTATAAGGACATTGTGCCTCCGCCAAACTGGGCCAAGATGTTCCCAGACGGATATAATGAAACTAATGTGCCTAATTTGCACGAGTGGGAGCACTTACACAACTGGATGAGAACTGCTGGTTTGCCTGAGTTCATGAAGTTGTACTCCAAGAACACCACCGAGAAGTTCAGCTCGGGCACGTACGAGATGTCCATTGGCTTGAACTACCCAGTTTCTATCTTTGGCGGATCAAAGTCGATTGTTCTTACCACCAGTTCGGTTCTTGGTGGTCGTAACTTGACGCTTGGTATCATCTACATTATTGTGGCTGTCATTGCGTTGGTCTGTGCCATTGCATTCTTCCTCCAGCATTTGATCAAGCCTCGTAAGGTCGGAGACCACAATTTCTTACAGCAGGATGGCGGTGCTTTCAGAGAAGGACCTCCTACATCCTACAGAGAGCAGCTATAGTCAAGACGAGATTCACGACAAAAAAAAAAAAAAAAGAAAGAAATGAAAGAAGCAAAATACTACCAGGCAGGGGCCACCCCCCTCCTCCCTAGATATTCATAATGTATTACTCTTCCCAGTCCTTTCTGGACAACCGACAACCCTATACCCTGGACGTGCGCAGCTCAACACATCTACAACTATCGCACATTTTCAGCCAGTGCGACTTCCACCAAACCTCAAAAGCGTACCCTTACATTACCATATTCAACCCCCTTGATGAACGTAAATCCACACCTTCATCATCTCCAGCAGCAGTATCTGCAGCAAGCCAACAACCAGAGTGGGCAGTCCCCACAATTGCCCCAAATGCTGATGCAACAGCAGCAGCAGCTCCAACAGCAGAGGCAGCAGTTGCTTAACCAGCATCTTCAACAACAGCAACAACAACAGCTGCTGCAAGGAGGAGCGTCTACCAATCCGCTTTTGGCTGCTTTGAACGGTAACCAGAACCCATCCATGGGCACGCCCGGATCTGGTAATGTGAATGTCAACCAGAAGGTGAATCCTCTCTTACAGATGCAGTTACAGCAGTTGCAACAGCAACAACAACAACAGCAACAGCCACAGAGAATGTTCTCTAACCAGCAACATATACAACAGCAGCCTCAGCAACAGCCTCAACTATCACAGGGCCAGGCTCAGCAGCCCCAGCAGGTGCCTATAATCAAGGACGTGTGGAACTTCAACTTGGAGTACGAGTTCAACAACCTTCGTAACTTTATTGATGATAAGACGTCGAAAGTGTTCATTTCCATCCACCAAGAGATTCCTGGTATCGTTGCCAGGCCGTTGGGCACGTTTAAACTGTCTGCCGACTACCATTTCCAGTGCTTGAGATCGAACCTGGACATTTTGAACCTCATCCAGTTGTCACTCTGTGCTGTTAAAATGCAAGACGACAAGATCAGTAACCTGGTCATTTGGCAGTTTAACTTTGCCTACGACCTCACACAGGAGATGTTCAACGAAGAGCACTTGTTCATGTTGTCGCAGACGTCCCAGATAAACTTCTCGATGCACATGAGCCAAGGCATCTCTCACTTTGCATTCGCCGAGCTTATGATCGAGAGCGGGCTCCTCTTAGATCCATCCATCAACTGGTTGAGCTACCATTCCGGCTACGACTTGGGCTTCTTGGTGTCTCTTTTGACCAACGATATCTTGCCTCATGACGAGAAGGAGTTCTTCTGGTGGTGCACGAAATACTTCCCTAACTTCTTCGACTTGAAGCACATTGGTAATCAGCTTTTGAGTGGTGGTGGTAATGGCGGTGGAAAAGCTGGCGGTAACTCTAATGCAAATAACGATATTGGTGGACTCAGTAATTCTACCTCGGCAGGTGCAGCTGGCGACATCAAGAAGGGTCTTACAGGAAACAACAAACCCTCTGTCGAGTACCTTGCCGAAGAATTGCATCTTCTCCCTATTTCACCACTCATTCGTCAATACTTTGCTTCTACCTCAGCTGGCCAGTTTGCCGGTCATCAGCATCAGCAAATGACATCCACACTCCATGCATACTTGTTAATGGAGTGTTTCAAAGAGCTTTTCAGACAGTTAGGCGGAGACTTCTCCGTCTTTGAGAAGTACAAGGGCTATCTCTTTGGCCTTGGAGACGCAATCGAGGCCTCCCAAGATGATAAGTCTACGACAACAGCTAAACAGTGGTAGATATCCAATCGATAGATAACCTGTAATGTTTATGTAAATCAACCCTTCCAGATGACATGCACGTATAGATCTAATGTACAGAAAATAAAATAAAACTATTCCTTGTCTTCGGCCTCTTCAGAGACCTCTTTCTCCTCTGAAGCGTCCTCCTCGGCCTCCTCGTCCTCTTCAGCCTGTTCTTCTTCTTCTCCCTCTTCCTCGTCTAGTTTGAGTCTCTTGGCAGATTCTTGGGCCTCCTTCTCGAGCTCTCTTTCTGCTCTCTTTCTCTTAAAGTCAGCCTTCTTGTCCTCACCGGTTCTGACCTCTTCATCCTTAGGTGGTTGAACAAACCAAGGAATCTTACCTCTGTTGAAGTCATTCAACACCTGCTTAGCAACGGCACTCTCATCTGGTTCACCACCCTTCAACAATCTACCTTGTTTTCTGGCGATAAGCTCAATGAACTCGTTACTAGCCCTCTCTAGAAGAGATGGGTCTTCTTCGTAATTGGCCCAGCCCTTGATCTCATAAGTTCTCTCCAAGTGCTTTCTTTCACACTTTTCAAGCATATCAGGAATGTACTGTTCTGGGTTAGAAACGTGCTCCACTCTCACCACACCTCTAAACAAGATATCCGACTCTGTGTCTCTATTGCTTGGTGGCACAATACCCGGACAATCGATCAAGAAGATTCTCTTCATCAAGGTAATGTACTGCCAAACCTTGGTCTCGCCGGGAATAGGTGCAACCTGGCACACTTTCTTCTGGCGCAAGGTGTTGATGATAGAAGACTTACCGGTGTTAGGGTAACCGATGAAACCGACAGAAACCTGCTTACGGTCCGAATGCAAAGTAGAGAATTGACGCAACAACTGGATCAAAGAACCTTTACCGAAAGAGTTCTTAATCGATGCGTGGAATGCCAATGTTGGATAAGATTTGGACAAATGCTTAACCCAAGCAGCCTGGTTGTTAGTAAACAGTTGAAATAGGAGTAATCGGTTGCAATTGCAAGAGAGGAAAAGAAGTGTCGGATTCTATACTACGGACAAGCTTATGTAGGGAGACCAGCTCCAAGCAAGTCCAACTCAAGAAGATTCCGAAATCTACCCTATAGCGTCAATAAAAACTATCGACAGTGCAGACAAAGCCATGGCCAAAACGGCCACAGCACCTTGAAACAAGGGCCTGCGGGCGGGTAGCATTGATCTTCCAAAGACGTAACAGGCAAATGTGTAGTAAGGCCGAAATTAATCGAGACGTTCACCCTGACAAAAGGCTTTGGGATAGAAGAGAGAATTGCGTTTGCAACCGACACCAACAAATGGGAAACAAAAATACATACCGCTACCCAAGTGGGCACGAGATCACACTTGTTCAAAACGTAAATCAAGTGTTTGTGGGCACACTCTTCTCTGATGTACTTCTCCACGCTCTCACAGCGAGTTCCCAAGGGGTTTCTCGCATCCAAAACATGGATCACCACATCGGAAGAATCAATAACCTTATAAAGCTCATTCCAAATTCTCTTGGACTGACCTTTATGGAAAATAGCCTCCTTGGCAGTTTGTGTGTAATCTTCCGAATCCAAGAACGAGCCACCCATAAGACCCAAGGTGGCGTCGAGTTCCTGCTTCTCCTGGTAAGCTTTCGAGTCGTTTTCCGTAAGCTCAGCCAATTCTTCCAAAGAAGAAGCAGCCTGGCTTCTAGGCTTCTTTCTCTGCTGCTTAGGACCAAAAGCGTGCTCGTACGACTCAGTCTCGAGTATTCTAGCCGTAGGAGAGTCAGTCTGGTCCTTTTCATCCAAAAGAGACATGGGCAACTTGTTTCTCTTCAAAAGCACAGAGTACGTATCGTGCTTCTTATCACCCATAGCCTCTCTGAAATGAGTCAAAGCGTCCTGAGCAATCACACGGGTGTTACCAAACCACTTCTTATTTGGATCCACACGAGCATTTGGAAGGTCAGTCGACTGGAGAGCAGCAGCCTTGATGATTTCACCCTTGGCGTTTCTCACCGCTCTGCCTGTCTTGTACATCAGCAAGTGTCTGACTTTTTTGGCATCCTTGTAAAAGTTTTCGCCCTTAACACGAAGGTTGCCATCACGGGTGTCACCCTCACGGACTCTTCTTTGTTTTTCCTTTTTCTGGGTACCCATTCTGAATATGTAAAGAAACGAAGAAGGTGATGAGATGAGGGAAGCGCATCTCAAGAGAAAAATTTAGGACCCGGTCTGGCACGTGATGTGGTGGGATGGGACAGAGGGGGGTACCAGTCGCCATAGTGACTGTAGATTTTGGAAAAAAAGGCAATGTATAGGTATTCTGGGTAGGCAAGGAATGGGAATTTTTATTTTTTATGCATTTTTTGGGGGTGTGTGGCCAAAGGAATGGGGGCTTTATGGATGGGGGTTAACTAGGGCATGTACTGAATGGCTGCGAAAAACCACCAAGGGCTGGGAGAGACAGAAGGGAGTGGAAGGCGAAGGGAAGGATGGGTTGGTGGTTTTTGGTGGTTTTAGAGGATTCAGGTGGTACTTGGAGAATATTTGTAGTGGTAGGGAAAGGAGGTTCTGGGGGTTTCTCGGTGGGTGGTGGCTGGTTGGAGAGGAGACAGAGGCTCAGAGGCTACTGAGGCTAGGGAACAAGGGCTCTATTTGGTACTAAACTCGGTTTAAAGCAGAAAAACGACTAAATGATTGAAGTACCTCTTGTATTCCTGGTGACCAATTCATCGTTGTATTTGGTTAAAAGCAACGGGAAGTGTCATTTACCGGGACTTCTAGTGACCATTTGCAGCCAAACATGGAACCAAACTATGGGTAGAGAGTATTCCTCGGTTGCTTTTATCAAGGCAATGTCTAATATTGTTTCAACCTTTTTATTCTTCTAACTGCTGGTTCTCATCGTTTAGAACCCTGACTACTTCCTCAACTGATCTCTTGCCTGAACCTTCTGCTCCTCTGGTTCATTCCACTTCCCACCATTCCCCAAGTGGAGTGCTCCTTAACCAGACTAGGCCCTTCTATATCCCGTAAGCCTCTTTGGGAACATTGGGGGAGCAACAAGAGACCACTTCCATGTGGCACACTTTCCCAGTTGCCGCTTTGTCTAAGCTTCCAGTGGCATAAATTAACGAATAATCCATGCATCCTAAAACGAACAGCAACCTTCCAAATAACGAAGGTTTTGGGAAAGCTTAAAGATAAAAAAAGGTAATAATTGAAGACAAAAAACCACATTTATTATATCTCGTAGTCTTTACTTATACATCCTAAGGCTCTTTACCTCCCTCATCCAAATCAGCCTGCAACATCCAACCCCAAACTCCAACTCCAACTTCAAACCCCAAACCACCCTCCAACGACTCTATCCCTCCACCACCCTCCAACTTTCCTAGACATAACATACCCTTCTTCTGTCAAAACTTGCTTCCTAAGCCATGATTTCGCAGCCATTCTGACCCAACCCCCACCAGATCCAGCCCCAAGAGGCTGACGGCAGTCCGTTTTCAGGAAGCAACGGTCTGCCAGTAGTTAAGCCTGCTGCTCGTAGATGGTTCGCTGCTTCGCCATGATTTTAAAGCCCCTTTGGTTGTGCCCCTCTGGTGGCCGACAGACGCTGTATACCACTTGGGATGGAGTCCCGAAAGACAGCAACAGGCCGCCCAAGGAGGAGGCTTGGGGAAGGGTTTACTTAAATACGGGAGGTTCTGAAGAAGATGATATTTCATATTTTTTTTGTGTTTTTCGTTGCAGTTATATTCTGTTACTGGGCCAGTTAGACTTCCAGTTAGCCTTCCTACGCATTACTGGTGTCCATCACCAACTGCAGTTACCATAGATCATACCTTATAGAAGATAGAATAGAAAAAAAAAAAACACATCAACATCACCATCACCATCATCAAATCCACAGAAAACCATATTTCCTTACTACCTGCCCCCACTGCAACGTTGCAGTCACCTCACAGGTCCTTCCACCACGCAACAAAGATCCCACAAAACACCGTCTCTTCTTGGCAACTCCACCACGAAAGCAAGCCTGGAAAACACCCCAAACCCTAAACCTTACTTTCCACTTTCCACTTTCCAGCCAATCCAGGACCACTGTGTTTAACCGCCTAGTGTTGCTGTAACCTTTGCTTGCGCCCCTGCACCCCAGATTCATCTTTCAGGTTTCTGGGTTTTGAAAAGTTGATACCTAGCCACTTTCCGAAATGTCCAACTTGGAGTTTATCGACTCTTTTAGCCCGACCCAGGAACACTTTTTGAGGAAAGCGCTATTGGAATGCTGTATTAAGCGGGAGATCCACTGGCTCTCGGTGCCGAACTCGGCTTCTTTACTTGGTCCTCCGTTTAGACTGATCAACCCTCCAAAGGATATAGACTTGCCTATCCTCAGACACTTTTTCCTTAGCTATGTGAAGACGTTCCCGTTGATAGCCAGTAACCCAGAAATGGCCCAGATTGAGTTCTGGAGGGACACAGTGCACCCGTTTGTGGATAGTTTCAACCAGAAACACATCTCTGACTCCATTGAGCGGAAAGAGCTGATCACCAAGCGCCACCAGATCAACCTGAGGCTTTCTTCGGTGCTTATTTTGTTCTACAACTCCATGATTGTGAGTAAGAAGGAGTTTCAGTACTTGGAGAGTGACCATCTTAAGGATTCTGATAAGGGTAAGCTCGATAAGCTTAGTCGAGCGCCCAATGCTACAAAACAGTCGTTTGATGCGTTCCAGGGTACTCATTCTTTGGAAGATTATGGCCATATGGTGTATCTGAACAATATCAATATCAATATTGTTGCGGTGGATATGGTGAATGTGGATATTAGCGCTGAAAGAAGCACATGGACACAGATGTGGAAACCCGTTGAACATAAACGGAAACTGCACTATTTGTTTGTGTTGCAAGTGACATTTAGAGATGGTGATAACGGTGACTACACTTACAAGTCCCATTTCATCAGCAAATCGTACCTGGACTTCAAAAGACTCGAAACCGATCTCAAGAAGAAGTACCCTGGCTTGATGACTACAGACATTAGCAAATTACCCAGAAAGCTTAAACACGACGGCGGCCATGCCGATGAAGATGGCGAGCGCCGTTCGCTGCTGGACAGTTCCAGCACTGCAAGCACAAAATCCAAATCCACAAAACCTTCAGACCAGAAGTATCATAGAGAAAAGTTGCGTTTGGCACTTCGTGGGTACTTGGCGACGCTTCTAGCCAAGCCAGAGATTGCCCATTGCGATGTGTTCCGTTCATTTGTTGATGATCCAAAGCGTAACTTCAAAAAGCTTCTGCCATCGCAAGAAGAGGACTCTGCTCAGAGAATGGAACTCGAGAAACGCCGTTTGATGACGCAGATTGAGTTCCAGGAAGAAACCGCAAAATCTGTCTTTGAACTATCTAAACGTTTTGAGAAGTTCAAGGCCGAGCTTTTGGAGAACCCAGAGCTGCTCACACAGATCTTTAAAGATTTCAGTCAAACCAAATCTCTTGATGAGGTTTCGCCCTTGCTCAAGACGTTCTTTGAGTGGTGTAAGTTGGAAATCGCCGCAACTCTTTACCAAATGTTCCTCAGTCAAGACAACTCCAGTGAATGGTTTAGAAAGTGTTTCAAGTTCCATAAAATGTTCCCCTACAGCGTTTGTTATGGGATCCTCAAGTACACGAACCCCGTGAAGGTGATGACGCGTATGGTTGACGTTCTTCTTGTCAGCGTGCCCAGCGTGAATATGCCTTGGGCGGCAGGAGATGGAAAGAAGAAGGTCAACAACTTACTTTCGATGATCTTCATCATGTTGCTAGACGAGGACTTGGAAGATTACCTGAAGGAGCGCACAAAGTTGCTCGAGGAGGCTCCATTGAGTCTGGGTGAATACAAGCCTTTCATTGAAAGAATCAGGACGTACGTTGCTCTGCACGATGTGGAAGTTGCAGACCAAATCAAAGAAGAGAGTCTCGCCAAAGACGAGAACTTGTTATTGACAATTTTCCAAACCAACAAGCTCGAGCCAAAACTCTCGTCAGCAGACTGGGAAACGTACAAGAAGGTTGCAGCTTCATATGAAAAGTACGTTCTGATGGACGATCACAAACAGGTTGACGATGCAGCAGCGTTTGTAGCGCTTCAGCAGCTCTGGCAGTTGGAGGTGCGTTCACGAGACAAACGGCTCATGAAGCAGTTATGGAAAGAACCGGAATTGACGAAACTCATCAAGAAGTTCCTTGTGATATTCTACAACCCGCTTATGACGGTGATGAAGCAATGCGAGATCCACTTGGCGTTCAAGGATTTCCAGCATTTCATGGACGATCTTATGGAAGAACTCAAGGAGCTTGACGAAGGTGGTATTTACTTCACGTCGCCGGTGGAAATCTTCAACCGTTTCAAAGCCCTCTTGAACAAACACGAGAAATCGTTCTGGCGAATGCTTCGTGACCTTTACCTAAAAGACGACAAGAAGATCTTCACCGGGCTTATTACGTGGATCGAGAGTTTCCTCGTGGCGCTTCGTCGTAAGGAAACCGCGCCTGAGCTGGTGATGGTGGATTTCCTTACAATGAACCCCAAAGAGGACGTGAATAAGCAGGTTTTGGAAGACCAGGTGAACCAGCGAATCGAGGCCACCATGGAGAAAAGACGGATTATCCAAGAGTACCTCAAAAAGCAAGCCCACAAGAAAGAGTCAGACACAGAAGGTGTAAGTAAAGATCAAGCAGCCATCAATGCCCGGTGGGAAAAGCTCAACAACGGGCTTTTCGAGGTGGAAAATACCGGCTTCGGCGTTGATGGCGAAGACTACGACGAACTAGAACTCGCCAAACTCGGCGATCTAGAAGAAGGAGACCAGGAGGCTCAGCACTTGCTCAGAGACCTTGCGCGATTCGATAAAGCGATGGAACAAAACGTCCTGGAAATTGAAAAATTGGCGCCCTGCATGCATCGCCAGATCCACAGCATTTTGGACAAGCTTCCACTCGACAAACGACTTGAACAATCCACCAAAGAGCTTTCCCGGATGTAACTGGCAGTACCGAATCACGGCTGCAAATAATGCCGTTCGAATTTATTTATTGTTTGTTCCTTCATGCAAGACAATGTGTCAGGACAGGGTGTTGTCCTTTTGGGAAGGCTTGAAAGGTTTGTTGGAAGTGGAGGTTGCGAGCGTTAGTTGGGATGGGGGACTGTGTGCAGGACGACCTTTATGGATGCTCAGGCACCGTGCTTTGCTTGGCCTAATCGCGAAAGTGGTCGTGTGAGCTGAAAACACCCGAACTCTGGCGCAAGCCAGAGGATGGGGGTTTGAAGCTTTAATGATTGGTTGTTTCGGCGTGTCCCTACCAAACGTCCAGTAACTACTGCTTTTTTTAAAAGTTTCTGCCTGTTCTGCCTGGCGTTTCACGCCAGCCAGTCCAGCCAGTCCAGTCAGCGGCTGGCCGCACACCCGTGCACCAGGCAACCTCCCCAGCCACTCCATCCAAAACTGCACTGCACCTCCAACCATCCCACCAACCCACCTCAGGAACCTGCCTTCCCTAAACGATTTTCCTTCCTTTTGGTTTATTTTAGTCCTGCCCTGCCGATCCCGATCCTCCTCACGTCTTCCAAAATCCCGCCCGCTCCAGCCAATCACGTCACGCCATTGCCTTCTTCCTTCTGGTCCCCCACTGCATTCTTCTGCGAGGCAGCCTCGCGACGGCATATGGCGAGGAGACTTCCGTAAAAGAATTCACATTTTGGCTGTTTTCGTGTTGTGGGCTTAAAAAAAAAAAAGTCCTCCCCTTGTGTCATTTATAAGCCCACTGGTTTGCCCTTTTTTTTTTTAACAAACCACCACCGTTTTTCATTTTCCATCTTTCGGTTTAACGCGTGCCTGGTTGTTTCATCCTTCCATTTTTTTTAACCGTTTTCCAACTTTTGCATCTCCTCATATATACACTTTTTGTCATTCCTGGAACTCATTGTCACATTTTCCACTGCAGGCTCAAACCCTTTTTTTTTTTTCTTTCTTCAGTGATCCCGTCCTCCCTTCCTCACAATAACATTCACGTTTGTGGCATATTCTTGATATTTTTGGTGTTTTTCCCGTCTTTGTGTTTCCAGCAACCCTAGTCGACTTTCCAAGACTTTTTGTCTTATATTTTTCACTCACACACATTCCCCATACTACTTCCGCTCGCTATGCTCCAGGTTGTGTTGAACAAGGTCAACTCCCACCGGAAGGCCGCCGTGGCGGTGCTTTCGGCCATGGTGTTGGTGAATTTGATCATTGTCTCCTCGTCCAACTACTTTGGCCAGGTGATTGAAATGCCTGAGTTTCTCCAGGGTCTGTTTGAGAACCGTTTGGGCGTTTTGTTCCAGAGAGTCCGTGGCAACCCCCAGAAATACTGGCTTTCCGATTCGAAGCTTCAGTACTTGGACGCTGAGGTGCCTCTTGAGCATGTCATGCCTACAGAGAAGAGCCGTTCCGATAGCACCCTTTGGTTTGATCCCAGGTTTACGCTTTCCATCTACTTGAACGAGTTGATCCAGAATGACGGCAAACAGGAGATGCCGCTGTACCCGTTCCATTGGTCGGACTGGATCGATCTTACCGGTATGAATAAGTACTTTGTGGATCAGACTAGAATGACATGCAACCTGCTCAAGTCTCGTATCAAGGGCAGACCCGACGTCAGCTACTTTTGCAAGGATAAGCACGAATTGTCCAGCGAAGAGATTGAAAGAATGGGCTGGACCTCTTTGGAACAGGTTCCTGACGCTGTGGTGTTTGGCCATTGCAGACATGACCATAATACCTATAACGACCACCGTTCGTATATGGCCAAGTCGTATGCTTTGACTAACCTTGCTAAACCTTTGAAGGTTATCATTTTGAATAAGAACTCTGGCACTTACGAGTTTTACGTTGACCAGAAACAGGGTCCTTCGCAAAGACTCAAGAACTCCGGCTTGGTGGACCGTTTCATCCGCCAGGCTTTGGGAACAACTCCTTCGGCCATCAAGAAGGCTGGTTCTACATTCACTGTCAACCACTTGAAGCTTTATAACAAGTTGCTTGGTAAGGTTCAGCCTAAGATGTTGCCTGAAGACGATGATCCATATGGAGTCTATGCCAATGTCCACAACAAGAAGGGCGATTTGGCTTTGAATGCTGAGATTTTCCACTACGACAGATCTTCCGTGGACGACCAGATCAGACAATACGAGGGCAGAAGCAACCTCTCCCTCATGGAGCAGAACTACCTTGCTGGTCTCCGTGAATGTGCCCCATACGACGATAAGACCGAGCTCACCTACTTTAGAGAGCCTACCCTTAATATCAAGGAGTACCGTAATAAGGACAACGATTGGGGCTGGCATTATGACTGGAGGTTCTTCACCGATGCTCTTATGTACGACAAGGAAGGTTGGACTAGAGCTGAACGTACCGTGAGAACCAACATCATTTTAGAACGTTTGTTGCGTAACTGGAGTCGTTTCGTTGAGGAGAAGGGCCTTGTTTCTTGGATTGAGCACGGTCCTTTGTTGTCCTGGTACTGGGACGGTCTTATGTTCCCTTACGATAACGATATTGATGTGCAGATGCCTGTCATGGAGTTGTTGAGATTGTCTAGAGACTACAACCAGACCTTGGTTCTTGAAGACCCAAGCGAAGGTTATGGAAAGTTTTTGATTGACATTGGTACTTACGTCCACAACCGTGGTATTTCAGAAAAGGAGAACCACATTGACGGAAGATTCATTGATGTCGACTCCGGTATCTACATTGACATTACGGGTCTTGCCAAGTCCGAAGCCAAGCTTCCTCAGGAGTACAAAGACAATCCAATTGTGGAGAAGCTGGACGGAGACTTGGAGGCAGAGGTGTACAACGATAGAAGAAAGCATTTCTACACGCTTGAACAGCTCCAACCATTACACTACTCCATGTTGAGTGGAGTGCCAGTTTTCATTCCTCAGCAGATTGAGAACCGGTTGAAATTTGCATACCCTAAGGGTTTGGATAACTTTGAGTTTAATGGCTGGATCTTTGTGCCCAGCATTGGCTTGTGGGTTACCAAAGAAAAGGTGTTGGACGTTTTGGAGAAGAGTGAATACACCAAGGAAGGTAAGGAGGAGAGAGAGCTTCTAATCGAGGCCACCAGAAACCTTTCTGAGGAACAGATCTTGAAACTTCTACAGGACGACGATACGCTAGTGGAGTACTTCCTCACAAGGGACTACACTGCTTTCCACAATGAAGAGATGGAGTTTTTGTTTGACAAGAACGGAAAGGATAGCAAGAAGCTCAAGGTTGCCTCTGTCCGCAACAGATACATGGAGTTGACCAAGAACATCAACATGAGAAGCCCCATGTGGAAGTGTCTTTTCGAGTATGAAAAGTACGACAGAGTAAAGCACCAGACGGAAACTAACTAAGTGTTTCTGCATTGACTTCACACAAATCCAATCCAACATCCCTTCTGGACCACCTCGCATGCATTCCCATGTCGAAGGCACTTTTGGGCTAGAGTTGCCCCAATGGATGTCCTCGCATTACCCATTCTACATCACCAGTCGGTCTGTCAAGGACCTGGTTCCATCTCGGCGTCATCCGATGCTGTTTAGCACGAGTTCAGTCAGAATGCCTAATTCTACTGCACGTTATAAGGCTGACTCGGGCCCAGTTTGATATTTTTTTCACATCTACATTTCTGTCATTCGCTTTAGCCGGTTTGGGTTTTTTTTGGACCCAACGTTATTTTTTGCATAGTGCCTGCGCCACTTAGGCAATACACTAATTTTTTTGGGATTACTATTGTGGTTTTTGTTGTAGATCGTAGGGGATGTGGAGGCCGTTTCTTTTTGCAACCACCAGGGGATGACATCCGTACACCAGACGGTTTGAGTTTTTTTACACCCATACACCTCGGATACACCCGTGCACCATTCCGATTAATTCCGGATTTCTTTTTGTGAGACCACATGCCAGACCCCTAATTAAAAAAGTGAATCGTACATACACTGATAGTGCAACCACATTACTTTCAGCAAAGTGATCTTTGAACAGAAATGTCGGAAACCACGCTCAGGAAGAGAACAGCAGCCGGTCCAGCGGATGCTCCCGAGCTCTACGGTTCGAACGGTGCAAGAACGGGCTCAAACGAGCTACTAACCACCGAGATAGAAAAGAACCATGAATTCTCCAGTACAGAAGAGCTTCTTATTGAAAAACTCGATATCTTTCTTTCCCTGATTGAAAAGAGGATCGAAAGATTTGAACAGTACTTTAAGGTGATTGGTCTGGAAGGAGCTATTGATGAAGAGGAGGAGAATGAAAAAGAGAAAGACACTGATAAGGAAGCCACCGAGGGCCGGTCCCGTCGAAGCAGTCTGGCGCTGTTGAGCCTGATCACGTCGATTCGCCAGATCTCTATAAGCCATTTGAACCGTGTTTATGGCCAGTTGTATAAGGTGAAGGAGCTGGTGCTCTTGAACTCGTTCAGGAACGCTGAGTACTTGTATAAGACGTTGGATGACCAGTATAACTATATGTTTAATGGCCGTGACGTTTACCAGGAGCTCCAGGATTCAGAGAGTATTGGCGGTGGCCCGGGAGCGGGATTCCCAGGTATGGCGCATAAGGAAGCTCTTCAGAACAAACTTATAGACACATTGCATTATTTTGAAGAGAAATTGGCCCATATTGATGGATATCTTTCAGCCAAGGGCGGCGCTGTCGATGAGGACGAGGCTTCGAGCGCCTTGCGTTTTTTCAATTTCAATAAGGCCTTGAAACACTCGGAAGACGGCTATTTGCATTACTACCAGCTCCCATTGGCGTGGAGAGAAAACAAGTACATTATCGAGGGCTATAGGTTCACCATGGGCCATGTGGATATGGTGAAGTCGATGTTCCACTTTAATCACAACGAAACAGGTAACATCTGGACCCACATGCTAGGCTTTTTCGTGATTGCCTGGCTTGCCCTTTTCCACTTCCCTCAGACGAGCGTCTACTCTGCCAACGCGCTTGTGGATAACTGTATCATGTACTTGTTCTTTGCAGCCAGTGCCAAGTGCCTTATCAGCTCGGTTCTCTGGCACACATACTCGTGTTTTGCCCATTTGAACGTCAGGGCCAGATTCGCCTGTGTTGACTACACGGGCATCACCACACTCATTACATGCTCTGTCGTTTCTGCCGAATACTGTGCGTTGTACCATATGCCTAAGCTTCTTGCGTTTTTTGTGACGTTCTCCATTGCCTGTGGAGTCAGTGGGTTGGCCTTCAACTGGCTGCCTTACTTTGATAAGCCAGAGTGTCGTCACTTACGTATTGCGTTCTTTGTTGGCTTAGCTGCAATGGGCAGCATGACGTTCTTTTTCAAATGGTATTACGAGGGGCTTTCCAATTCGCTTTACTTTTACATGCCGCTCACGTACAAGTCGTTTTTGTGGTATTGGATCGGCGTGCTTTTCTACGCTGGTCTCATCCCTGAACGCTGGAGATATGATGTGATTGTAGATCAAGATGCTCCATGTCGCCATACACATACGCCGCAGGATGTGTTTGGAGGTCTTGAAAACTCTGGAAAAGAGGAGATTGAAGAGATTGAACAAGAGATTGAAGACGTGTCACGCGAGCACATCTCTCCATCGATGTCGTTGGAGAAACAGACAATGTCAGTGATTGAGAAACACTTCCCATCCAGTCCTACCAAGACGCCATACGCGAGCGACTTCCTTTCGCTCTGGTGGGTCGACTACATTGGCCTGAGTCACAACATGTGGCACCTCTTTGTGGTTTTGGGCATTGTGGGACACTACTTCAGTTTATTGGGGATGTTTGATTCGATCGTGCGTTAAGTAAATAACGAGGAAACAGAGACAAATGAAACAAAAGTGCTACAAAATCGAGAAAACAGCGGGCAGCCGTGCCCAGACCCCAAAATTCAAGTATAGCCCTTATCTTCCCGAATTGCATTGTGGAGAAAAAAAAGGAAAAGTGGGCTTGTGTTGATTGGGCAAGTGGCTTTCCCCGTCGCTACGCTTGTTAGGGTTCACGTCCAGAAGCCCCGAAACAAGGACGTACCTCGACAAAGCACGGAGCCGTAGAAACACCAATTTTTCGTGGCATGTACGAGTACATGTACGAGCACCGGGCTGCTAGAAATGTGGAGAAGCGGAAAGATACATGGGGTTATTGGACCAAACAAAAAAATTGACGAATAACATGGAGGCCCAGTGTCTCTAGAGAAGCCACAAAACCCAGCATGTGGGGAGGTGAAGCAGGTGAATTCCGCCTCCAGGGGTCAAGTGAAATTCATGTTTTATTCAACGCACAGATAGCCGAAGGTGCTGGGGAGAAAGCCAACCAACAAGGTTTTGTGAAGTTGAATGCTGGTTGATGGTGGGGTTGCAAATCGGATTTTCCGGTTGGCACAAGGCTGTTTTGGGAACAAGAGCGAGCCACGCCAAAACGCACGTATGGCACGATTGTGGTGGATGCACAGAGACAAAGGGAGGATGTACAGAAATGCAAAAATAAAAAATTAGTAGTAAACTGTGGATATGTTCTTTCTTTTGATATGCGGGGCCGCGTGGGGCGGCGAGGGGCCACCAGGAAAAACTCTATAGATGACAGGAAAAAAAGAAACTGGCAAGCAGGACGTTTGACAGGGGCAGCCCCGCGGAGAAGTCTGCGGATTTCCCGAGCCAGGAAACCCCAAAAAGTACCCTGTTCCAGGTCTACGACCTGATCCTTACTTCTACCAATGTTTGTCATTCACGGTGGTGGCCCATGGGAAATCTGGGAGCGCCTCCATATTAGCCATACTTCTGTTGGCCTCCATATTAGCGCTCCCTTCCCTCCATATTACATTTCCAAGCCTATATATTAGCGCTTCCCTCCATATTACCTCTATACCTCCATATTAGACCCAGCTTCCCTCCATATTAGCCACTGGTTCTTTATATTACCTTGTTTTTACATGTTTGGGGGGATAGCACAGACACATGGCGACCGGGGCTCGTCTCAGCGTCTTCCTCCAGTCCGGGCCCCCATACCGCCGCCAAACCTAAGTAGGGAATCTCGATGCATCTGTTTCACAGGCTCTGTATTGTCTGGAGACACTAAGGTATTTTTTTTTTTTGTATTTCCTTTTGTGTTGCATTTCGTCTTTCCTTTTTAACCCTCGATACGTCAGGTCTCAGATCAGCATCTCGGTAGTGTTGCACCACCAGCGACTTACTGAATAATGCAAAGCCAGAAAAAAAAAAATAATAGAATGGGGTTTATTAAAAAAAAAACAGAAAAACAGAAAAACAAGTAGCCACTGGCCACAGGTCAGTGGTACACCACCGTCGGATGCTGGTTGTTGAACCGACCGAGGATTATCGCCAGAAGAAGTCATTGAAACCTACATCTTCTAATTCCACCTCCACCCCAGACCATCTTCCCTCCTCTCCCTCTTTGTGCTCCTGGGCAGCTTATCACCCTCCCTTGACCTCGTCCCTCGTCCAAGGAAAACATGTCTGTGCACCTAAATCCATCGCCAGCGTCGTCATTATACCTTTACTTTCTGCTACACAAGAAGAAAAGGAAGAACATGCCGCCGCACATCTGCTATTTTCCAGTACTCGACTTCCGACCTGCCAACCATCTACCACCGTCTACACTTCGTTTGTTATTTTGCCAAGTCGTCAAGTCGCCGTCTGGCCAGATGGCCATCTGGCGCTGGCTGCTGCTGGACCCGCCTTACTTTGTGCTGATTTGTAATCTCTTCTCCTCTTGGCCTGCTTCTGTATACCCCACAGAGACGACTTCCGGTAAAGGTTCCGGTCCAGGTGGCCCTTAGAGACAAAAGTTCACTTCCTTGAGGCCTTGACGTCGATTTCTTAGCTACTCTTTGACACTACTTGGTATTCCTTGTTCGAGCTGTCACGCTCGTCCTTGGCCCTGTCACCAGCCAAGGACAAGAAGTCGTGACAGCGATTGTCGAAGGTTGGCAAAGACATGACAGATTTGGCTGCAAAAGGAATAAGATGAACCATAAGAAACGAAAATCTGGATGGGATAGACTTTTGGTGGTACCCTCGGACGGCATCAGTGGGATACCCTCGGGTGTCCGAGGATGGGGCACCGGGCCCTCGGAACCGCTCGCGCTGTATTTATTTTGCTTTAGGAAATCGGAGCAGAATTTGTCCGTGCGACTGCAGCTGGGGCGTCAACTTGCGTCGGTTCATCCTGCGGGTACCCCACCACGTACGTCTGAAATAGACCGGTGTGTGTGCAGGTTGCAACCACCAAAAGGAAAAAAATGTCTTCATCTCTTCACCCTGGTGCTAGTAGAAGGGAGGTCTAGAAAGGTGCTACGAAAACGGGGAAACTCCACCTGTTTCGCCCAGAAAATAAGGTTATGCTAGGTGCCCCCACCTTGTTGGAGGGGCTAGATGCCCCGCGAGCAAGCCTCCTCATCCAGGTAAAACGCGGGGGAAAAAAGAAACTCCGCAGGAACTTCATCACTGTGCACCAGTAAACCTAGATTATTCCCTCACAATGCACTACATACGGCAACATCCCATTTATGTCGCTTCCGAGATTTTCCCATTACACTTTTTTTTATGCCTTCTTTCTTTTTATTATTTCGCGTACGGGAAAACTTTTTTACATTCTGCCTGCACATACCGCCGAGGCCAAGAGGTTTCTGTGACACCTCCAGCCATATTCATCCTGCAGACACGCCTTTTCAGGCGCTAGCGACCCACATGGACAAGACGTCATATCGCTGCCAGCCTGTATATGCCTCACAAGGTCCCAACGCTCAAAAGCAACTTTTCTTTTTTTTTTTTTTTTTTTTTTTTTGTTTCTCTTTCTCATGTACTTACCCCCATAATATCACGCCGCCTAATGTAGTAATCCCCCAGCGAAAGCCTGGATCCTCTCTCAGGTATAAATACCCCCAGATCCCCCCACCAGTTCCTGTTTCTCTTCTTTCTCCTACCATAAACTTATACCCCAATCATGAAGCTCTTTTCAAGAACATCCACTTGGGGCCTCCAAGGTAGACCCTTGAGAGTCATGGTTACTGCTACTGCCACCATTGGTTTCTCTCTTTTCGGTTACAACCAGGGTATGATGTCTGGTATCATTACTGGTGAATACTTTAACGAAGAGTTCCCTGCCACCATGGCTGGTGACCACTGGGCCGCTGCCGTTGGTGAGGACTCTCAGTACGCTGAACCTACTGATGCTGAAAAATCTCACGCTTCTGTCATTCAGGGTGCTGTCACTGCTTGTTACGAATTGGGATGTTTCTTTGGTGCTATTTTCGCTCTTATCAGAGGTGAACACATTGGTCGTAAGCCAATGGTTGTGTGTGGTTCCATCATTATCATTATTGGTTCCGTTATTTCTACTACTGCCTTCCACCACGCCTGGGGTCTTGGTCAATTCGTTATTGGCCGTGTCATTACTGGTGTTGGTAACGGTTTCAACACTGCCACTATTCCAGTCTGGCAATCTGAGATGTCCAGAGCTGAGAACAGAGGTAGATTGGTCAACTTGGAAGGTTCCGTTGTCGCTGTTGGTACTTTCATTGCTTACTGGTTGGATTTCGGATTCTCTTACATTGACAGCTCTGTCCAGTGGAGATTCCCTGTTGCTTTCCAGATTTTCTTTGCCCTTTGTTTGTTCATGGGTATTGTCGGTATGCCTGACTCTCCAAGATGGTTGATTTCCAAGGGTAAGAAGGACGAGGCTTTGGAAGTCTTGTCTAAGATGAAGGGTGTTGCCATTGACCACGATGAAGTCTACGCTGAGTTCACTTTCATTGAAGACTCTGTCACTAGATTCTCCAGAGCCCAGCTCGGTTTCAAGGACTTGTTCTCCGGTGGTAAGTCTCAGCACTTCCAGAGAATGGTTATCGGTTCTTCTACTCAGTTCTTCCAGCAGTTCACTGGTTGTAACGCTGCCATTTACTACTCCACTGTGCTTTTCGAGACCTACATTTTCCAGGGTGAGAGACAATTGTCTTTGATTCTTGGTGGTGTTTTCGCTTCCGTCTACGCTTTGGCTACCATTCCATCTTTCTTCTTGATTGATACTTTTGGTAGAAGAAACTTGTTCTTGCTTGGTGCTTTGGGTCAAGGTATTTCCTTCACCATCTGTTTCGGTTGTTTGGTTGACCCAACTCCAGAGAACTCTAAGGGTGCTGCCGTTGGTATTTACTTGTTTATTACCTTCTTCGCCTTCACCATCTTGCCATTGCCATGGATCTACCCACCAGAGATTAACCCATTGAGAACCAGAACTTTCGCCACTGCCATTTCCACCTGTACCAACTGGATCACCAACTTCGGTGTTGTCATGTTTACTCCAGTTTTCATGGATGCTTCTGCATGGGGTGCCTACCTTTTCTTCGCCTTGATGAACTACTTGTTTGTCCCAGTCATCTTCTTCTTCTACCCAGAGACTGCCGGCAGAACCTTGGAAGAGATTGACATTATCTTCGCCAAGGCCCACACTGACGGCCGCCAGCCATGGAGAGTCGCTGCTACTATGCCTAAGCTTTCCCTTAAGGAGATTGAGGACCAGGGTAACCAGCTCGGTTTGTTCGATGAGGAGTTTGAGAAGGAGCACTTTGACGTCAAGGAAGACATCACCTCTGCTTCTTCTGATAAGCCAGAGGAGGGTGTCATGACTGACAACAAGGCTGCGAACCAGGTATAGAGACCAGGATAATAGATAATTAATACGATACCTAGATAAAACAAAAGTTGTAGTTTACTGTTTACTGTTTAATTCACATGGTCGGCGTTGTCGGCGATGTCGGTGGTGGCCGACTGGCCGTTTTCAGCTTCACGACGCTTGAGCATCGCACGACCCCGAGATGTAAACGTCACAGCGAGTAATATGTATGCGGCTTCAGTAAAGAATGCGTTTCTTTCACAGCCATGGATGCCAAAACGGCATTAAACAAAAAGAAACAAAGAAAAAAAATGGCGCCACTCTGTATGGATGGCATTTGTCGTTTAGGCGGTTAGACGCCTTGCCGCTTGTGTGCAGGACGTGCTGTTTAACGTCAACAAGCGCCTAACGTTTTTTTTTTTTACAGTTTTGTGCCGTAATGTGAAAAAAAAAAAAGGTAAAAGAACAACATGGAAAGTGGAGGTCAGGTTTTTTGTGATTTGGCGATTTAAAGGTTTTCCACAAAATGTAGAAAAAGTGGTCTCAAAGTGAAGATTTTTCAAAAACTCCAGAACCCTCAAAAACTCCAGAAACATAAAGTCCAAGCCAGCCACCTCCAAATCGTCCATCCTTCGGAATAATCTCGATGGAGGTGCATTGGCCAGATCTGAAAAATGCAGTAATGAAGAAATGCAGTAAAAAAAAAAAAACACACAAGATGCAAAAAGGGCAGGTTGTAGAAGAAGCTTCAGTAAATGCAAAAAAACGCCGTTCTCTAAAAAAAGAGAAGCCAGAAGAAGCAAGCATGAAGAAGCGTAGAAGTGAAAAAAATAGAATGGTCAGGAAAAGTCGTTCCTGGTCACTACGTCAGATTTCCATCACTTCCCTTTCTCCATCTTCTGGATTGCTCTTGTGTCACTGGTTAGGCAGCTCTTTTGGGGGAACAGGGTGGTGATGCAACGATACTTACAGTGACGGAGCGACACGAAAAGCCACCAGCCACCAGCCACCAGCCATCCAGGGAGAAGATGGAATTGGAAGAAGGTTGGGTGGCTGGAATTGAATTTTAAGCCTTAAAGTTGGATTTGGCGTCTCATGCGTCCTTTGCGTCCTTTGGCGTGGGCTTACTTCAGTTACTGCTTTTGCTCTGCCACTGCCACTGCTCTGCTTCTCCCTCTGCTGGTGTGACTGCCTTGCGCTTGCTTGTGCTGATACGCCAACCTTCTTTCTTGTGTTCTTTCTTTTTAAACCTTTTCTTCCTATCCCTCTGTTTCTTTCTGTTTCTCGAGCTTGCTATGTATCAAGTGCTATCACTGCTAATGCGGGAAATACGACTCTAAGGCGTGCTCCAGACCCTGCGTTCTGAAAACAGGCAACTTCAGCGGAACTCAAAAACCTTGGCTTGCTCTGCTGCTGTTTTACAGTGTGGGTCAATTCTGGAATACGGAGACTTCGAACGGCTACAACAACCCGTTCAGCAACGCAATCATCACGTTTCCGTTTTAGATATTTCCGGGCGAACAAGCACAGGGGATAAACAAGAAATTGCCGCTGAGGCATATTTTGGCCCTTGTGTGGAATTGTGGAACAAGACGCCCGCTGGAGAGCACCGTGACCGAGTCCGGGTCGAGTTCCGGTTTTTATGTTTTGGTTCTTCTTTGGGAGGTTCTAGGGATCTCGTTACTGGAATGCTTGTAAGGTTAATGTTCTGCAAGGCTGGTAATGTATTGGTTTAAGGCGGCATCAGGCAGATCTGTGGGTTGGGAGGTGGATATTTGGGGAGTAGCACGAAGGTATAAGTGCCAAGGAGAGAAGTAGCGTGATTAGTTGGGAGCAAAGAGTAGAAGATTGGAGGTTTCCGTGGGGATTGAAGTTTATCTGGAATAAAAGGTTTAGTCAATTGCAATTGCAATTGCAATTGGGATTGGATTGAACAATAGTCTCGGGGACAGTTAGATGTTGGAATGAATAAACGGGGACATCTTTATTGATTGCATTTCTAATTGTTAACAGAAACTTCGATCGTTTATAGTTGCCTATGCCCTTTCTATTACTTCTAATGACATTCACCAAGCAGCTGGTAACAGCCTTATTACTCTCCTTAGGCTACTTCCTAACTGCTTTAGGACACCCCAAAATCATTAAAAAGCTCTAACTAAAAACCAACTTGACTAAACACTTCTTTTAAGAGCTATCCATTATCCAACAAACTAACTCTCTCCCTCAGCCATTTTCTGGTAACAATTCCCTTTTCCACATCCTTTTTCTCATCTCATCGCTTTGATCACCCAACCAGCAAGATCTTTCAAGATCTGCCTAAACGAGCCGTTAACCACCTCGAGATGACTCCATGCTATTGCATAACCCATATCTTCTTCACCTACTTGATCTACCACAGTCTAGGAAAACCACAAAAAAAGTCTTAAACTTCTCTCTTTACATTACAAAAGACATATTCTTAAAAACCTTAAGTCCAAACCCTCCCCCTATACCCTTTCTCAACCTGGTCCCTCTCCCTACCACTTCTATGGCCCAACATCTTCACCTGATCGGCAAAATCTCACCCGACGCAAAATGGGCTTATCGTGGGCTGACCTTAAACCAGTGCCAAAACACTCATCACTTGCAAAACTCACAAACTACTTAATCCACCCTAATCGCCTTTTTCGAGCTTTAGTCTTGACATTGACATTCTATTGTTCGCTATAACCCAGGGTGCTTATCGCCGACGCGACATTTCCATAGATAAGCTTTTTCAGGGCACCACCACAAAAGGACATCAGAACGCCGTCCCCAACCAGATTCCGTCCGTCCACCTAATCCCACCCTAAACAGTCAGGCAAACTCCCAAATCCCACTAAGCCCAGCCCTCCACGTGCAATTTCAGGTGGTATCATTCTTTTCCTTGCAATCAGTGAAATTCCAGCTGTCGGTACTGCACACACCCTCCTTCTATTTGGTCCCACTTCGGCGTTTACCCTTCCGTATCTAAACCATAGAAACCCTAGGTGCTTCCTTATCTCCATTACGGTTTGTGTTCTGGCTTGCTGATTGGGCAATTCCCGTTTCACCTGTCGATCTCTTTACCGCCCCGCAAGTTTGGCCTTGTGGCTTTGCATTGCCCTTCGCAGATTACGAGCTTTTGCTTAAGTCCAGCCTTTTAAGGTTAGCCTACCATTGGCCCACACCAACTGTCATTGACCAGTGAAGTCAGCATCACCAGCTGAACTACTTTATATCTAGTTAAGAAATTCTTTATCATGGAGGTGGTACCGGTGATGGAACATAAACGGACCCGTCCTCAGGATGTCAAGGTGCTAGATGATGGTACTGTAATGAAACTCCAGAAAACAAGGCAACGAAGGATTCTAAGTTGTGTGCATTGTCACCTGAAGAAGATCAAGTGTTCCAGAGTACAGCCAGTGTGCAACAACTGCTCTAAACAAGGTATTCCATGTAAGTACTTTGTGAACGAGAGGGTGTCTAAAGGTGGAAGAAGAAGAGGCATCAAGAAAGAACCAGAGCCTGACGAAGTGGCTCTTCCCATGGGCAGCACGCTGTCTGAATCAAGTGATTCTACGAAACTGAGACAGAATTCGGTGACTCAAGAGAATAGGTCTTCACGGTCCCTGGCGTCTGACTATGAAAAAGATGAGCCAAAGAAACAGACTGAAATCATGCAAGATTCTCCCATGACGTACCTTCTAGGTCCCTACTACCAGAAATCAGGCCAACCGCCAGGCCTTTCTCCAGATATGGCTACTCCCAATATCCTCCAGGCACCTATAGTCAACCAGACAAGCAACAACATCACGAATAACTTCTTTGGAACGAATTACGCCAATAGGACTGGTCTGGATGAACAGCCTGAAGAGTACGCCTTCAATTTAAGCACCTTTGCATTTGCCAACGATATGCTCTCGAAGAACCTGCCGCTTACAGATAAACCAGACGAGGCCAGGCCCGGCAGCGAGCTTCAGAGCAGGATAAACTCAAGTTCAAACCTTTCAAACATGTATAAGAATACGAACTTGAACGCCAATCCGCTTTCCAATTCGAACGGCACGCTGAAAAACTTCCTAGATGGGCCTACTGAACCTGTGGTGCCTCTTGCTTATACCCAAAGGAACTCCCAGCCGAATAACCCTGGCCTTCACAATTCGCTTAATGCCTACTCTTCGAATCCAGCCACGACAGTGAACTACCTTTACGGCACGAATACTTATTATGATAATGACAATTTACTTACGGACCTACTCACGCATTTGCCAAATTCTAGAGCCCGTTCTTTCGAGTTGCTTGAACGCTACATCAACTCTGTGCATATCTTGCTTCCTGTGATGGTCAACTTGAGCGAGTTCATCAAGGAGCACGAACGGTATTGGGATCTTTATGACCCTTATAAGAACATTGGGTCTGCTTCTCCAGCATCTTCCCTTCACTCGGGCTCGGACAGCACAAATTCCAAGGACTTTAACCTTCTTCAATTCTACACGCTTTATTTCCCTGTTCTTTATGCATCTACGATTTCCGAATTTGAAGAGTACGATAACCTTCTTTTGAACCAGGACATCAACAAGTACTTGAAGGGTTTCAACAAGATCTGTCAGTACTACAATTATCCACATGGCATCAAGACTATGCCTTTGCTTCTAGGCAATGTCATTATTCAGTCCACGTCTCCAAATCCTTCTACGATGGAAATGTCCCAGATTATTCGTTACGCTAAGTTCTTGCAACTCCACAAAGATCCAGTCATCTCGCTTAGAATTCAGGATTGGAAAGTGATCAAGTTCCGCAGACTCTTATGGTGGGTTATTTTTGGCCTTGACGCCTTGAGTAGTCACAATTTCTGCTTACCTCCAGTTTGCAAGTTTGACGATTTCAATGTGGTGATGCCCGAAGACGAAGATCCTGTTTTTGATGAAAACGGCATGGTTATCAAGAAGACGTTGAACGTTACTATTCTTGCAATGCTTGTGAAGTTTAAATTCGATAGGATTTTGAGTGAGCTTGTCTACCAGCTTCATAATGGGCTTTCTACGAATATCACTCCTGAAGAGACAGACGAGATCAAACGCATGATTGTTAACTTATTCCACTTCATTCACAAGTCCATCAACAAGATCACCAACTATTACCAAGCTCGTCCACCCAAGACCGTTCAGGAAATGAACCTACTTAATTTTATTAAGAACCACTCCTGGAGTTTTGTTGATAGAGCTTTGATGCTTTTGCATAAGAAGATCTTGCTTAGAGATCCCCAAGGGTTCCTCATGAAGGAAGAGTTGCCAACACGAAGTACGAAAAGGCGCTTTCGAAAGACAGAGAAACGACATTATCCCTTAGCAAGTATGAAGATACGTTTGGAAGAATTCAAGAAGCTAACATTATCAGCAACTTTGACAGTTCATCAATTTCCCAGCTTCGTTTCAACCAGAATGAGCTCTTCACTTATGAGAACCTTCACAATAACTTGATTCCTTCCATCTTGCACAACTTGAACGATTTCCTCAAGTACAACGATTTCATCAAGTTTGGCAAGTTCAACTGGTACGTCAAGAGAACCATCCCATTGGACTCGATCATTTTGCTATTCATCATCATGTGTGTGAAGTTCAAGTACGAGTTTATGACGGTGAATGAGTTGGTCATCTACGTTAAGCTCATCAACAAGGCGCTCTTCATTCTCAACAGAAAGTACTTTAAGAACGAAAAGTACAAGAGAATGTTATCGTTGACAAACCTAACCTGGGAGTACATTCTCAAAAAGTACCACGTTATCAAGTTGGTGAGCGTGGTGAACGAATCTAAACCAGGCAGAATCGAGTTCTTTGACTACCAGGTGAGCGGCTACATGAACATGAGTGAGCTTTTCAACATCATGGATGTTCCACAGCCAGCATTAATCAGCAATGGCGTGAATCTCGGAAGTATACAGCACGAAGATTCACATACATTCGAAAAGAGTTCATGGGAAGAAGATCTGGATAAAGACGAAGCGGAACTGATCAAAGCCATGAACCAGAGCGTCTTCCTCAACAAACCCGATCCCAACGAAGGTAAAAGTCTAGCGGAAATCCAAAGCCAACGACACGAACTACTGCAGTTGAACGAGAAGATCTACTACGATTTGCGGAACAACTTTGTGGATATCAACGACTACTGTACCTTCTACTCATCGCTTGAGAATGTTCTACACGAACTCATGGATTATATTAACGAGACCACGAAAGGCACATAGGCTAATAGAAATTAGCATCCCCTCTCTCCAAGGGCCGATCAGCAAACAGAAAATCCGGGAATGTCAGGGTTCCAGAATGTGGATCTAGGAATGCCAGAACCAGCCGGTAAGGAGCCCCTCGGCTCGTACGGCTCGGCCCAGACACCCAGCAAATTCCGTTGCCATCCCTCGTAAGACCCGTGTTTTCCTTCTCTACCCATTTAGCTATCTTGCTGTCATTGTTCCTCTTGTGTAGACATTGTCATCGCACCAGCCCCATCCCCAACCACAGCCAAGCAGCCAAAGATAGCCCAAAGATAGCCCAAAGATAGCAAAGACATAAAAAGCAGAGTAACAATTACCGAGAAGAAAGAACCAGAGAATGGCTCATTCCTCGGCCTAACCCTATTTTAGTTTATACTGTGTAAGCTTAACCAGCAACCACTCGTCTAGCAGGGCAAGGCTGTACAGTCGCGTTTGCAGCCACCAGACACAGTCAAGGAAAGGCCAGACGTCGGTGCTATTGAGTAAAGGTAGAAAGGAGACAAGTGGAAAATGGAAAGTAGAAAAGCAAAAAATAGAAAAGTAGAAAAGCAAAAAACGAAATAGTTCAAATTCAAATTCCACCTCTTTTGTCCACTTCAATGGCTGGACCAGTTGGGGAAGAGGCCTGATCCATGGGGCCCAGCGAATTGGCGCCCCGCAAGGTCAGCAAGGGGAAGCAAGCCGAGGAACAGAAAAAAAGGCGCCAGTCAGAGCTTCCAGAGAAAAACCACCATTCACAAACGTCCAATTGAAAAGGCAAATAAATAAAATAAAGATCGAGAAGAGATAAAATTATTAATAAAGTACCATCATTCCTTAATATTCCTTTTGCCCTGCCTTCTTCAGCCACTTTGTGGTGCTTCTGTGGGGCCCTTTCTGGACCTTCGCTGGGCCTTCCATGGCACGTAAAAATACCCTGGGTTGCGTCGAGGCCCCAAGCGAGAACCGCCAGGTTCGAGCTTGGGTTTTGCCTGTTTCCACTGGAATTGACTGGAATTGACTGGAATTGATATTCTTCTTTTCTACTTCTCTTCTTTTCTTTACTTTTCTCTTTTTATTTATATTAGCATCCAGACATCTTCCATCCTTTGCAAGCAAAGTCTGGAAGATTGCCTGGAAGATTGTCTGGTCTGGAAGTCTAATCGCGCATTCCAGGTGGAGTCGAACAAAGACCAGGAAGGAACAAGGCGTGATCGTATCCTTGAGTGGGCAGCTACTTTTCTTTTAAGCCAGACGATTCTTTGGCTGTTTTTGCTTTGCTTTGCTGTTTTTGCTTCAACACTAAGTGCTTCCCAGTGCCAATCTCCCCCACTCGTTCCCGGTGATATACCCCGGACTTTTCATATACCCCAGATTCTCAATTTTCCACCATCCCTCATCACATGTCAGCAGTGCAAGAGAGCTTCGAAACGCTCTCTGTAAGGTCAATGGATCTGGAAGAACGGGATTCATGGACGGCCCAGCTGGAGGCCATCAATAGCGAAATCCAGGACATTTTGGTCGATGTGCTTGTGGTGTTTCTGCAGCTTCCCGAGCTCACTACGAGCCTGAATGCCATTGAAGCTTGGGCCGCTGCTTTTGAACAGCTCTTCGAGCTTGTGCCGGGTTTAAAGCCTGTTTTCGATATGGCGCCGCTGGACGACGCCGAAATGAGGTTTGAAGGCCGTCCTGGCAGGTTCTACCTGCCCATTGAAGAGGAATACTTCCTTGCGACGTTTTTCCAGGATTTCTGGGAGATGTTGGTCAGTACGGCGAAATTGGGTGACTTGGCCGTGGGCAGTGCCCTTGCCGACCCGAGAGACGACCTGATTAATGTGTATGAATATGTTAAGGAACGGAAAAATGGTGCTCCTCGCAGACGCTCCAGAAGAGAGTCTTCGTTCCGTGAAGGTTCGTCTCTTCCATTTACGAAAAACGAAGTCAAACATGCCAGTGACGATTCGGCCTCGCTGGATCTCGAGGACCACTTATCCTTTTTGGCAGATGCCGCTTCGAAAGCTGATTCGCCTTTTGATAAACTCTTGCACACCGCCGAAGCCATCAACAAAAACTCTGAAAGTCCAGTGAGCCGGTTTTTCCTGACTTTCAAACGCCAGGAGTTTGTGGCCTTGTATGGGTCTGTTCGTGGAACTCCTTCGGCACAGGTTTTATTGGATGTGTTGACGAAATACTATAAGGAGTTTCAAGCAGAGCCACATTTGTTTAATGCTCCTGACTCCGGAACGTTTTTAAAAGATCTCCAGCGGGCGCTGAAGCGGGACGATGGGCGCTCGTCGTCGGTGACTAAATAGTAATGTATTGGTTAGGTGGGGAGGTGTAGGAAGCCAGAGTTGGTGGAGAATGTGAAGGGACTAAGACTCATCCAGATCAAGTGCCTAGATACCTTTGAATGATCTTGAGTGCCTTTTTGATGCAATTGAACAATTTGGACCATCTATAGATGGTTTGATCTGGTGGATCTATAACACAAAAGCCAGATCTAGACAGAGCTGCAAACCACACACGGTGAATTGGAGGTACCTTTTCATCCTCTAAACAAATCAACATAATAACTGGAAGATATAACCTTGCTTTTCTATGGAAAATGAGTAGAACAGCATGTCATATCAGTACCATCTTTGAGGCTCTCAGGTGTAGAGACTGGGCCTACTGTAGTACCATCCATATCACCCAAAACGAAACCTCCTAAACCATGAAGACAAAAACTATACTCTCCAAGTATTCAAATCTCCTAATTCACTGTACCTTAACACCCTTAAACTATAGAACCCACATCTTCACCACCTCACTTGCTTCAGCCGTACACTCTTTCCACCATCCACCCTTTTCCCTCCCTTCCCCACACTTAATCCACTAAATCCCTTTTTTCCATAAAGCCCATCTCTCTCCCTTCCCTCCCTTTGACTCCAATTATTCTTTTCTTCTTTCCCAATACCCTCCCCTTCCCTTCCTTCCACCCTCCCCTTCATTTTGCACCCATTCCTCCACCTACACTGCGCGAAGTATCAACACTCTAAACCAGTATCTGGCTTCCACATACCACTTAACCCTCCACTCAATCCACCCACTTTGCCCATTCTCTTATCCTCACAGTCTTATTTCCAATGGAGGTCTACAGTCTACTTATTCTCAACAAGGCAGGTGGCCTTATCTACCAGAAAGACCTTAACCCTAAGCTTTCCAAGCTCTCTGCTAATGATTACTTGGTGCTAGCTGGTACGCTCCATGGAGCCCATGCTATTGCTACAAGACTTAAACCAGATGGGTCTAAGTCTTCTCATGATGATCCTCATACGGTTAACAGCAACATTTTGGTTTCTGGGAAAGCTCACACGCCGAATGTGAATAAGCTGGGGCTTGCCAATATCGATACTGATCTATTCAGCTTATATGTGTTTCAGACATTGACGGGAGTGAAATTTATTATTATAACGTCGCCTGTGGGCGCTGTGACGGTTACTCAGGCTGGGTCGCCTTCGGCGCTGCAGAAACAGCTTGAGGTGGCCAGCAATATCTATAAACAGTGTTACATGTACTATTGCGATTACGTGATGAAGGATCCGTTTTATTCTTTGGATATGCCTATTAAGAGCTCGATGTTTGAATCGAAGGTTGTCAGTCTCGCCGGTGCCAGGTAAGCGGTTGGTCTGTGAGCGATGGTCAGTGAATGGTAGACAGTGGACCCATAGTGGTTCAGGTGGTCATACGAAGAGGAAGATCACTTCAGTTTGGCTATTAAAGGCTTCAATGGCTTCCAATACGCGATGGCTTGATGGTATTGTCTCGTTTGGGTCTGTCTTCTCATGCTAACCTTTCTTAGGTGAGCATAAGAGGTGGTGAAGTGACATATGGTCAATCGACAAGAACTCTAGTTGACTAGTTTGGGTTACTTGCGTGTGCTGATTATGTGAATAAGGCTCGACACCCTTCTATGGCTACTAGTTCCCCCAGACGGACATGGTATCTTTGATTTTGCACCCACATTACAAGTCTCCGACTTACCACATCTCATGACCAATCCAAAACCATTACAACGGGATCATGCCTCCAAAAAAAGGAACAGAAATAATCTCCTTACTATAAATCAAGGCCTTATTGTTCTTGCAACTTCGTTATCACGGCTGGCTCTTCCAGAGCTGGTCCCAAGGTATTATGCACAACCTCATCATTGAAAATTCCAATACTACTCCAAGAGCATGTCTGAGTCTCCCAAAGAACAGAAGCCCCTGTTAGATACCAGAATAGGAAAGGACTCCCCCTTTACCTTTGGTCAGCGTTTTTTGACTGACGAAAATTCCGTGTTCGACCACAACGCCTGGGACCATGTTGAATGGGGTGAAGAGCAGGTCAAACAAGCTGAAGAACTCATATCCAAACAGTACGATCTGCCTGTGAAAGACTTCGACAAGAACCTTTACAACTCGAACCCTGCAAAGTATTGGGACATTTTCTACCGCAACAACAGAGAGAACTTTTTCAAAGACAGAAAATGGCTCCAGATCGAGTTTCCTTCGTTATATGAAGTGACTGGCGCTGACTACAATAAGCCAGTGACGATATTGGAGGTTGGCTGTGGTGCCGGTAACACCTTCTACCCAATCTTGAACCAGAATTCCAACCCACAGCTCAAAATCGTCGGCTGCGATTACCTGAAAGTGGCTGTTGATTTGGTGAAGAGCAACGAGAACTATGCTCCTAACAACGAAAAGGGCGTCGCTTTCTCTTCTGTTTGGGACTTGGCCAACCCAGAGGGTACTCTACCAGAACATTTGGAGCCTAACTCGTGTGACATCATCATTATGGTGTTTGTCTTTTCAGCATTACATCCAGACCAGTGGAAGCATGCCGTCAACAACCTCATGAAGGTGTTGAAACCAGGCGGTCAGATTCTTTTCAGAGACTACGGGCGCTACGACTTGGCTCAGGTTCGTTTCAAGAAGGGCCGTTTGCTCGACGACAATTTCTATATTCGTGGTGACGGTACGCGAGTGTACTTTTTCACCGAGGAGGAACTCAGAGAGATTTTCTGTACTGAAGGACCTTTCGAGGAAGAGAAGATCGCCACCGACAGAAGATTGCTTGTCAACAGAAAGAGACAGCTTAAGATGTACAGAATCTGGCTCCAGGCCGTCTTCCGCAAGCCATTAGAGCTGGCTGAAGGTAACAACGATGTATAAGAAGTTATCCAAATGGCGGAACGTGGACCAAATCTTTAGAAGCGGCTCTTCAGCCAATACCAGCGCGTCCACGCCATGAATGATAGGTGTGGCGTTGATCAGCTTACTGTTGAAGATGGATGGTACCCATTTCTGCAACAAGTCGTTCAAAGTCGTTGCTCTCTCTTCCGTTGAAGGCGATATTGGAGCCTGAATCATAACCGGAGTACCCGCCACATAGACTTTCACAGGGACTCTCTGAACCAGGTGGCCTCGTGGATGGAGCTTTCTTGCAATAGTATGGAACCCATTATAGTCATGCTGTGAGATGGACTTCCACAAGGATTTCGAGTCCTGCTCGCTCAAACTCATCATAGCCTTGGCATTACCGTTCATCACAAAAGTGGACTGTTTAAGCTGGTTGACAATAACCTGCGATAGCATGGAGAAGTAGTCTATAGACCCATCAGATATAGAGAATGGGATGATATCCCTAGATGGATACGGCAGCTCAGGCGTGTCAATGCCCAATCGTAGCGTCCATTGGTGTCTCTTATCCGAGTTAGCCGGAAGGTAAAGCAAGTCATACAACACACCCGCCGGTAGGTTCCATTTGATGGGCACGTCTTCGTGTTCAAGCCATATGGGGCATAAGTGGAGGTCGTGGTTAACCACGGAATCAAAGAAATTGGCTATTTCCGGGTAATGCAACGGAAAGTACGAGTTCCGGTGGATGTATAGTAGGAATTCCAGGTCTCCATAGACAACCCTAACATTAATCTGGCCATCCCACACTGACTGATTAAGAGACATGAAGTTGGCAAGAGATGCAGGAGACTCACATAGTAGTAGTAGTATCACCAAACGCAGGGGCCAAACAGACTTTAAAGTGTGGAAGGTAAAGATTTGGGATTCAGGGGTAAGGAAGCTGGATAGGTGGTAGAAATGGAAGAGATATGGCTGAATATTTTTTTAGCGTTTCTGGAAGGCAGTGTGGGTCTTATTTGGGTTTAGAGAAGGCAGTTGGGGAAAGTAAGGTAAAGTTTCGGAAAAGAAGGTTTTTCTATATTTTGAAGGCTTTTTTGGAAGAAAAAAGCTGGGAGTACCTATTATTGGCAGTTTCAGTGGATTTTGATGATTATGTGTATTTTAGTGGAGGCACTTTCATCACTGGTTTGTGAATATAGTAATGGTTGCAAAATAGTGCGAGAAACGTAAACCAGCTCTGGAAGACAGAACCACGGGAAGTCTAAGTATTCATTTTCATTGTTCCTTTATGTCTTTCAGTTTACTTTGGGTTTAAGCAATAAAGTACCAGTTTAAAGCTACAAAAGAAAAAAAAAAAAAAAAAGCTTTTCTATGTAGAAACGTGGTACCTTCATTGCTTCCACCAGAAGACCCAATAAGCCAATACTAGTCCATGAACAGTTCCATTCCCATATCCAATTCCCTTCAATGTACCCCTTACAGCTTCCAGGCCCTCCGAGGCCCACCAAGACCTTCCAGACCCTTTGCCTTAGAAAAAAAAACCGACCGTCCAACCGTTTTTCTTCAACAATGGCCCAGCCAAGAACTCACCCAACCTCCATGTTTCAGACTTTCCATTTCCCATACAAACCGTAATCAGTAACCACCCATCAAAAAACAGTAACCATGGCCAGCCCTCACAGTCACAATCCATCGTCCCTTCCTGCCTTCCTTCCAATAACCTCCACTTGACCAGTTGCCTTTATCAGTTAAGCAACGCAGCATATTCCACCTTCCATTGGCTGCGAAACGTCCAAAACCACCACCGTCTAAATCACATAAGCCCCATCGAAGCCTGGCACCGAACGATCCCGACGAAATGAGCCCCAACCGATTTCCATTTTTTACATGACATTCCTTCTATATTTTTTCCTTCCTTAGGTCGGCTTCCTCTTTAGCCAGATCTGGCCATTGTCGTTTGTGTTTCTTTCCTGTTGCGAACCAGCCAGCCTCCACAGATCTACGCATGGAAGCATCAACTGAGGCAAAGCGACTAAAGGAAAAAGCAGAAAGCAAAAGGAAAAAAACCCAAAAGACAAAAGACAAAATCAAAACACATCAGCTTATTAATTTTCCCTTCTGGGTTTATATTTGGACCGGAAACGGCGCCTTGGCGGTGGCTCTTGCTGGCCAAGTCTTTCCCTCCTGATAGCCTTTCGGCGCCAGATGCACAACTTTCCATTTCTTGCCCAAACCAGCCTCCGACATGTTTGTGGAACCGATGATGCCGATGGAACGAGTATATATGCATTGGCGGATCCTGGTTTGTGGGATTCTGGTTTTGCTTTCCGATACACTTTTTTTTAGAGATTCATGTCACAGCTTAATGTACCTAAACAGCGTCGCTCGTTTGCAGCCAAACCGAGTGCCAGACGATTCAGTGAAACCTTCTATGTGAAACCGAAAACCGGGAATGATAAGCCACGGGCGGTTTCTGAAAAACCAAACCTTCTTCAGATGGACTTGCGTCGGTCTCTGCGGTATAATATGGACCTTTCCTCGGCGGTGGCTTCGTATGTGCCTGGGTCGCTAGAGATAGATGATATACCTGCTGTGCCAGTGTACAATAGAGCTACAGGCAAGTTTAGAGTGTTTCTGAGCCCAGAAAGGGGCGGAAGAGGCGAAGGGAGTCCTCAAAGGTCGGATAGAACAGTACAAGGTACCGAATATAGCAGGCTGAGCAGTCTGTCTAGTGAAATGTTCAATGGGGCTCAGCTGTTTGATAAAGCTGAGGCTTTTGAAGGTTCCCTTGGTTCAGCATTCCATGGCGCTCTGGGACTACTATCACTGCTGGATCAGAGACCGGAAAGAAGAGCATTCAGTGAAAACCATGGCTCCAGGAGCTTCTACCAAACGAAACAGCCATTTGGCTCTTCCCAAACTATCAGTTCCCACCTGACGCTAGATCCACGTCAGAACTACCAAGGCAGGTTTTACGATAAACCAGATTTACCACCATTGCCTAAAGCAGCTACGGAATCGATTCTGAGTGGTAGTGGCAGTGAACTATTTTCTTCTGGATCACAGTCTGGCGATTCTAGCCTGGAGCCAGAGTTTCTGCCTCGCCAACCACAAAAACCTGCTCTTCAATCTTTAGATGAACTCAGTGGAGGGTTCCTTGGACACGTACCTAGAAGGTCTGTCAGTACTATCAGTACTTGTCGAACTGTGGAGCTGGGAGCGTTCAATGATGAGGTGGATGTGATGTCTGTGTTGACTAGTATGGATAGCATTGCCAGTGAGGGATCTTTATGGAATGTGCCAACTTCAGAACCTGAACAGTCTAGGCTGGTTACTCCAAAGGTAGAGGAACCTAGACAGATTGCTCCAAAGCCAGAACAAGCTAGCCCTCCAAAGACACCAAAACCTGCTTCTTCACAGAAATACAGCTCTTTGCTTTCTAGTCTGCCAATTGCAAGCAGTCTGCCAGTGCCTAAACCTCCTGCAAAGGATATTCCACTTCCAAAGACCAAGAAACTTCCACCAGTTCCAGCACCCAAAACTCCAAGCCCCAAGAAAGTAGCTTTCTGCCTAGATCTGGGAGCCGAGTACGATAAATCCCGTTTTATGATACCCAAAGAATATAAACTTGAGCCTAAGGCCAAGAAGACAGTCAAACCTAGAGCTGTTTCACAGCCTGATCCTATTTTGCAGCCATTCCATCCCGTGGCCAAAAGACACTCCCAGCCAATCCCCGTTTCCAAGCTTTCCCCAGTTTCTCTTCCAGCATCATCACCACACCCAGCATCGCAGCCAACGTCTCCAACCCGTCTGGCTGCCTCCCAACCTGTTCCTTTCAGAACCAACGTACGCATCAGAGGCCCTATTTAATACTTAAGACTCAGTTTATGACACTTTATATATATTAATGAATCAAGATACCAAAGCACGTAGGTCCAAGCCAGCTTAGGACCATTACAACTTCACGATCAACTCATCGTCTGGGTATAACTTTATCAAGTCAGCAATGTCGTACCGTTGTGCCACATCGTCAGTGATGAAGCGTCCTCCCAAGTAATGTACTTTTCCAGGTGCTGCAAACCTTTGAGAACAAGGTTTTGGAGCTGTCAAGCTTACAAGCACAGAAGCGCCAATATCCACTTCTTGTGCACCCTCATCGACATCCCATCCAGAAGGAATATCCACAGCGACTATAGGAGCGATCTTGTCGTGATTTGCAGCCAAATGGTCAATGAGCTTATCGAAAGGATCACGAACAGGAGGTTTAAATGAAAAGCCAAAAATTGAATCCACAATCACCTTCAACGAAGGCTCAGCCGTAAGTTTCTTCACCTCCTCAAGCGTCTCGATCTCCTTCACTCCCAAGTGACGCAACTGCGTCGTAAGACGCTGATAAAGGTCCTTCTGTGGTCTCTTTGGATAGTAGATCACAGGCTCATAGTGACGCCAGAGTTTCAAGTGACGTGCACACACAAGTCCATCTCCACCGTTGTTTCCAGGCCCCACAAGCACTAACACTTTAGGGGCAGCTGGTGTGGATGGTTGAGGTGGAAACTGTTTATAGATAGCCTTGGCCACAGCAAGGCCAGCAAGTTCCATTAGCTGGTCAATTGAGTAAGCACCGCTTGACATGAGCTCCTGGTCGAGCTGAGCGGCAGCTTTTGCCGAAAGTGTCTTGAACATGGTGGGTTTATATGAGGAAAGTGGTCTGGGGATGCCTGGGGTTATATACCCCAGAGGGGTCTTGTGTGCACACTATTGCTATGGGCCCACCTGGCGATGGGATGAGTAAAAGAGGAAGGGAAGGAAAGGAGGTGGTGGTATTCGGATGGTGATTGGGGAAGGGGAGGTTTTCAGGGTTTTTTGGGAGGTTTGGTGGGTGCTGGAACTGGCCATTATGGTTAAGTATGAATGGCTGCGAAAAGTCGGTTACTACTAATAAGATGGGCCAGGTAGGAGATGGAGAGGATAAGGAGGGATGGTGGGGAGAGCTTGGTAGGACAGTTTATTGAATTGAGTAGTCATAAGTTATTGATTAGTTTTTCTCCTGTGGTTTGTGGTGAAGAGCCAAAAAAGTGTTCAGTACTGACTCCATTCTCTATAACTAGGTGTCTCTCTATCGTTATGTTATAAAGTTCAAACTCATTCCCCTGGTTTCCAATTTAAGCCAATACTAAGGCCGTAAGGAATACTTTTAGACTCATTGGGAATTTACTTATTACCGAAACAGCTCAAGTTTCCTTTAACCGTTGGCAAAGATCAATCGACAGAGCACCATTGAAAGAGCTATAACAGCCTATCAAATCCTCTCAGTTACCCATTAACCAAGGAACTATAAAGAAAAGAAAGACAAGAAAAAAAAAAAGAACAATTATATTCTAAGTAGAGAACCATACCTCGTGGTTCAAAGCCTTCCACTCCAGTAACATTCCTTAACCGTCAGAGTATAAGCCTCCTCAAGCACACTCCTAACATTTCTATCCTTCACCAAAAACGTATGTTACAAATTTATCTCTTCCATCATTCAACTGCTTCAAATAATCTCTTCCATCATTCAACTGCTTCAAATGACAAAATATTCTACTACCACTTTCCACATTATCTAAACTCCATAGTACCTCTATGGCCCTCCCTCAGTCTGCGATTTATAAATAGCCTGCCACCACATGTCCCAACCAGGGAACCACCAATGCCTCCAAACACCTCTTTCCCACCAAACCTAGAATTCCACATAATCACATTCAACTACTTCAATCACTTGACTAATTCCACTTCCATCTTCTTCTTCCACTTTCTTCTTCCAACCCTCTCCATCCCACTGCCTCTTTCCACCTTCTCATGTAAATGGCTGCGAAAAACCGTCAACTCCATGCTCAGCCAACACCAAACACAAAACACCACACCAAACCAGCCAAAACCAGCCATCACCAAAAACAAAGACCATAAAACCAGAAGATCAACTCTAACTCAGTTCCCTTAATACCTTGTCTTTTAAATACAACCTTCTGTCAACCTCCTCCCTCTGCCACTGCCTGGACCATCCTCCACACAACGGCCGCGCCAAATTGTTCACCTAAAAACACATATTTCGAAAAAACAACACCTCAGGTACCTCACTGCCAAACGACTAGCCATGGATTACAACGACCTGGCCTCGATGACAAGCTCATCGCCAATGATCAACTATAGGAAGGACGCGAAGAAAGCGGTCAAGTTTTCGTTTATGGTTGCAGGTGAATCGGGAACGGGGAAATCGACGTTTATCAACTGTTTGTTGAACAGGAAGGTGATGAACCATAAGTACGAGGGAGTGGACGCTTCAGGCGAGACTAAGACGTTGGCGTACACGTCAGCACAGAATGTCAACTTGCCCAATGCTTCGATTTTGGCTACAAACGAGTTTGACGCGTCCGCTGCTCAGGAAGAGCCTGGTATAGCGCTTACAGAGACTAAGGTGGAAATTGTCGACGACGATGGGATCAGAATGCAGCTAAGTATTATCGATACGCCTGGGTTTGGCGAGAACTTGAATAACGAGATGTGTTACGTTGAAATTGAGAACTTCTTGAAACAGCAGTTTGATTTGGTTTTGGCTGAAGAGACCAGAATCAAGAGAAACCCTCGTTTTGTCGATACCCGTGTTCATTGCTTGCTTTACTTTATTACCCCTACTGGTCATGGTTTACGTGATTTGGACATTGCAACCATGAAACGCTTGTCCAAGTATGTCAACATCATCCCGGTTGTTGGCCGTGCTGACTCCTTTACTTTGGAAGAGATCCAGCACTTCAAGCAGCAGATCAAAATCGATATTGAACGCTTCAACGTGCCTGTTTTCCAATTTGACAATTTCGTCAGTGAGTACGACGAGGCTGAGGACTACGACTTGATTCAGGAATGCAAATTCTTGACCAGATTACAACCCTTCGCTATAATAGCATCCGAACAGGACTTTGAAATCAAGGACACTAACACCGGCGAGACCAAGGTCATTAAAGCCAGACAATACCCATGGGGTCTTGTGGACGTGAACAATCCCAAGTACTCCGACTTCCCTGTGTTGAAATCGGTTCTTTTGGGCTCTCACTTGCAAGATTTGAAGGACTTGACCCACGACTTCTTGTATGAAACCTACAGAACTGAAAGATTGACCGGTGTTACCGGTAAGAGCGCTGCTGACGAAGACGAAGACACTTTCCATGATTCTACTGATGCTCCACAGGGCGGTGTCACTAACGCTGTTCCTTCTTTATCCAACTTGGCCAAGTTGACAGACGAATCTGCCTTCAAGCTTGACCAGGACAAGGACGACTCTGACGATAACACGTCGCTATTGCTGAGTCTGTCGAAGAAGCCTCGTTCTATGCTCTTGAACGAGGAATCCAACCAGTCCCCTAAGGTTAAAGAAAACGCGTCATTCACATCATCTGTATCGTCTGTCTCTGACCGTGACAGAGAGAGCCAATACAGTCATTACGAGCGCTCGAACAATTCGTTCAAGAGATTGTCGATTGGTCCTCAGCGAAGCCAGTTGAGACAGATCTCAGAGACCGTGCCATATGTCATCAGACACGAGAGAATCTTGGAGAGACAACATAAGCTAGAGGAGATGGAGCAGGCCAGCGCAAGAGAATTGGCCAACAGAGCCCTGACGTTAGAACAGAGGGCTGCTGCTTTGAAGGCCAAGGAGAAGTTGCTTTTGGAGAAATTGGATGCCTACAAGAAGAAGCAGGCTGCTGCATCAGAAACCACCTCGGTCAACACGGAAGTGGCCGAGGGTGAAGGCGAACAAGAGACGCTGCAGACCTTCTCGATCAGAAAAGACGAAACGCTTACTGATTTGCATCTGGTGGTTAGCCAAAAATAAACCAGGTTGGCTGCCTCCCATAAGCACTGTACATTCCAGTGTTCCAGATGTGATGTAATGCGAAAAAACCAGGAACAAGCCAAACATGGGATGGAAGGAAGGAAGAAAAAAAGAGAACTACCGAGCGCGTCACAACGGTTGTGCAAGCAAAGTTACAAAAGCAAGCAAGTGAGCCTATAAGGTTTGGAGATGATGGAAGAAAAAGGGAAAGTTTGTGGAATGAAAAAGAATTACTGGTATTCATATTTTCTGTTTTGCCAATATTTCCTTTTTTTCTTGTCGAGCGTCGCCATCACTTTCCTTCTTTTTTGCTTGTTGTTTTCCTGCTGATATTGGTATACTTTTTTTTTTTTTTTTTTTCTTTTTTTTCCTCTCGTTTTGCCTTGCTTGAGCCTTACGCCGCGAGTCTCCATTGACCTTTAGCAAACCGCCTATCGCAAAGTGCCCACATCTGGACACCACGACGTCCCATGAATGAAAGGAACAAAAAAGAAAGGGAACTCTTCTGTAAATCTTCTTCTCTCTAACTTGTCCACCGCTGGGCCCCCCTCCTTCGGAATTCGTCTATACCTTCGGATGATTTGGCCCGCGCACGACCCCAGTCTTGTATCTTTTTCGGCAGCGCCTTGTGACAGTGAAGCCTGTTCCTATCAACAACCACCCAGTTCTTCCAGTCCAAACCACCCCTTTTCCAGGAGCTTCTACCACGTATTCTGCGCTTTGATAGCCCTCTTGAAGAAAAACCGCAAATGGATATCACTGGACTTTTGGACTCCGCCTTTTTCGGCGCCGATGCCAACACTCGTAATGAGGCAGAACGCCAATTGAGTGAGTTTGCCAACTCGTCTTTTGGCGAGTATATGGTGTATTTGGCAGATGTCTTGGTGAACGACACGGCCAAGGCGGAAATCAGAATGCTTGCCGCCTTGGGTATGAAAAATCAGTTGACTGCTAAGGATCCACGCACGAGGCTCCAGCAACTGGCCAGATGGATTCTGTTGGGTGCTGACTCGAAGCAGAAGATCAAGCAGAATTCCGTCAAGACTTTGCTTGGAAACGACGAGAAGATGACCTCTTCGGTGTCGCAATTGGTGTCGTCGATTGCCCTTATTGAATTACCTAGAAACGAATGGCCCGACTTGATCCCTACGATAATTGAACATACCAAAGCTGAGAACAGTGTTGCCGTTAAGAGAGGCTGTTTGCTCACCATTGGTTATATTTGTGAAAGCGCCGATGCCAATGACCCCCAGATTCTCGCCCAGTCTAATGGTATCTTGATTGCCATTGTGCAAGGTGTCCAGGCGAACGAGCAGTCTACGAAGGTTCGTTTGACAGCGCTCAATGCGTTGATCAACTCGTTACAATTTATCAAACTCAACTTTGCTAGAGAAGGTGAACGTAACTTCATCATGCAAGTTGTATGTGAAGCTACCCAGGCTGACGACCTGGACCTTCAGGCCGCTGCGTTTGCATGTCTTGCTAAGATTGTTTCAATGTACTACCAGTACATGTCGCTTTATATGGAGAAGGCGCTCTACGTCTTGTCTATTTCTGGAATGCAGAGCGAAGACCAGAACGTGGCATGTATGGCTATTGAATTCTGGTCCACTGTGTGCGAGGAGGAATACGAAATTGCTTTCACCATTCACGACGCTATGGACCGTGGCGAAGAGCCATCTCAAGAAGTCACATCCTACAACTTTGCCCTTTACGCTACCAAGGATGTCTTGCCAGTGTTGTTGAAGCTTTTGAAGAACCAAAACGAGGACCCAGAAGACGACGACTGGTCGGTGGCTATGGCCGCTGGTTCTTGTTTGCAGCTTTTCGCTCAGACTACCGGAATGTACGTCGTTGAACCTACCTTGCAATTCTTCGCTGCGAACATCACTCTGGCTGAATGGAGGGAGCGTGAGGCAGCTGTGATGGCCTTTGGTTCTATCTTGGAAGGTCCAGAAGTTGACCACCTCAAGCCTGCCATTCAGGAGGCTATCAAGCCAATCTTGAACTTGATCGGCGACAACACTTTGCAGGTGAAGGAGACCTCGGCATGGTGCTTGGGTAAAATCGCTGAAGTTGCTCTTGGAGCTCTCGATCTCGAAAACGACTTGCAGCCATTGCTTGAAGGTTTGTTGCACGGTTTGAAGGACCATCCAAAGGTTTCTGTCAACTGTTGCTGGACCTTGATGAACCTCTTGGAGCAGCTCTGTAAGGATGCCGCTCAACAGGAGACAAGTGTCATGTCCGTTTACTACGAGACCTTTGTGCCTGCCTTGGTTCAACTCACCGATAAGTCTGACAACGAATTTAACTCTAGAGCTTCCGCCTACGAAGCCTTGTCCTCCTTTGTGAGCTACAGTGCCTTCGATACCATGGGTATAATTCACAGCATTGCCACTGAAGTGTTGAGCAGGCTAGAAGCCACAATTGGTATGCAACAGCAGGCTAACTCTGCCGAAGCACGTACCGCATTGGAGGAGTTGCAAATCAACATCTTGTCATTACTTACCAACATCATTAGAAGACTCAGCAACGATGTTCTGAGTGCCGCAGACAACTTGATGACTCTTTTGCTCAAGTTATTGGATGCTCAAGAACCAAATGCATTGATCGAGGAGGATATCTTCCTTGCCATTTCCGCTGTCGCCTCGGCGGTTGGCCAAGACTTCATGAAGTACATGGAATCCTTCTCGCCGTTCTTGACCAAAGCATTGCACAACGTTGAATCGCCTACATGCAACACTGCCGTTGGTCTTGTGGCTGACTTGGCTCAGTCCTTGGGCCCTGCAATCAGTAACTACTTGGATGGCTTGATGGACATCTTGGGTAGAGACTTGAACAACGAAAACGCCAAGCGTGACTTGAAGCCTGCTATCTTGTCTTGTTTCGGTGACATTGCAGGTGTCGTTGAAGAGGGTTTCATGCCATACATGGACGTTGTTATGAACATCTGCACGCAGCTCTCCAACATGGTTCCAGAGGACAACCTGTTCGAGACGTTGGACTACATCAGCTCATTGAAGGAATCAGTGTTGGACTGTTACGTCGGCATTGTGAGCAGCTTGAACCAAAAGCCAGAGTTGTTGTTCAGCTACCTCGGGCCTATTTTCCAGTTGATTGAGCAAATTGCCGGTGACATTGAATTGTCAATGGTTGAAAGCACTGCTCGTTCCGCCGTGGGCTTGTTGGGCGACATTGCAGCCATGTACCCTGACGGACAGTTGCGCAGCTTATACAGCCAAGACTGGGTGACGCTGTTCATCAAGAAGACCAGAGCCAACCTTGCCTTCTCTGCGCTGACCAAGGACGCCGCCAGATGGGCCAGAGACAGACAGAAAAGGCAAATCGCATAAGTGCCAGGCCGTCTGCCCCAGATCCTCATTCTCCATCTTCCATCTTCCATCTTCTCATCTCTCATTCTCTCATACCTCATCGTCATCTCTAATTCTTTCATTCTCTTCATAAACTCTCTATATATACTCTCATGACAACTTCACGGTCTCCGGGCTTGATGATTTAATGCATATACCTCAATACTTTTTTCATAGCACTCTCAATACATATAATTATCTACATAAGACGTAGGATGCGAAAAACATCACCAACTTACTACCACCACCAACCTACAATGGAGTCCACCAGCATAGAATCCTCCATTCCTTTCGACCATACGTATATTCTATATGACCCCAATGACGTCATATCCACCATATGTGTCCAATTCTCCCTTCTCCCGATCTACATCATGGTCTTCTACACGTCTTGGTTTCTCATCACCAGAGAGATAGAGCCTGTCATTATCGTTGGTGGCCACCTTATAGGTGAAGTGACCAATAAGATCGTCAAACACATTGTCAAGCAACCTCGTCCTGACTTCCACAAGGACTTTGGCTCTGGTTCTTATGGACTTAGCTATGGCATGCCTTCAGCACACTCTCAGTTCATGGGCTTCTTTGCAGCATACTATATATGTACGATTTTGATGAAGGTGCCGCTTCGAAGGTGGCAAAAGGCTATTGGAGTGGTGGCGCTTGGAACTGCTGCTTTGGGTGTGGCCTTCTCTAGAGTGTACTTGTTGTACCATACATCTGAGCAAGTGTTCGTAGGAGTTGTCCTTGGAGCTGTTTTGGGAACGGGGTTCTTTGTGGTTGCTTCGTTGGCTAGAGATATTGGGCTTGTTGATTGGGTGCTTTCGTGGCGTGTGGTGAGGTTGTTCTGGGTTAAAGATTCGTATTACCATAGCTACCAGAGCTTTGAGGAAGAGTTCAAGGCTTGTGAGGAGAGAAAGAACCGCAAGAGAGAGTGAAGGGTGGTTGAATTTAGAGATAGAAAAGTTGGAAATGTGCATAATAATCTGCATCATATAGAATAGAATAGCATAGTAAGGTTTCATGTAGTGGATGCCTGTTGAGTCTACTTAGCTCATACCAATATGGTCCGCTTTCTTCTAAATATGTACTCATTATAATTCCAGATGCTGACTTGAATCCCCGTGTTTCGCTAGGTTCTTCAGCCGCCGAACCTAAAAAACCCATAAGCCTGCCCTGGCTCTACTACCCGGATCTCGTCACCGCAGTAGATGCTGTGCTGTGATGCTTGAAGATGCCGCTTAGAAGTCATCCCACTCGTCATCCTTGGAAGCAGCTGGCGCAGCTGCTACTGTTTTGGCAACAGGTCTGGCTGAAGACGGCCTTGATGTGACTGGTCTTGGGGTGACTGGCTTAGGAGGGGCTGGTTTGGGAGTGAGAGCCGGCGTGGGCACATTCTGGTATCCCCCGTTAATGTCGTCGTCGTTGCTGGCAGAGTCGAGAAGCGTCTTTGACTCGGGCTTCTCGAAACCAAAGGCATCTTGAACTTCTTGCTTTTCCTTGACACTGAGGTTCAGGAAGAACAGATCAAGAGTGTTGTTGAGGCCCTTATCCTGGACATCCTTTGTGAACGTGTTAAACGTCTCATGACCATACTTACCAGTTTCTTGCATTCTCTGGCCAAACTGGGCCATGGCCTTCTTGGCCTCTCCACCCAAATCACTATCCTGGATGTTCTGGAAGCCAGGTTTGATCACTGACTCGTGCACTTCGTTAACCGACTTGGCCACGCTCAGAGAGAAAATACCCCAACCCTTGGTGAATGTACCAAAAGGATCTTCCTGGAACCTGTTAAACGAGAAACCCGAAAGAGAAGCCTTGGCATCACCGTTTGAAGCTGGCTGAGGCGTGTTACCGAAACCAGAGTACTTTCCACCCTGAGAAGGAGGAAGATTCTCTGGTCTTCTCTCGTTCTGAGACCCAAGCTGAGCGAAATAGGCTTCGTTTCTCGCCCGATCAACCTGAGGAGCCGGCTGTTTAGCACCAGCACCACCAGCACCACCAGAAGTGACAGACGATGCAGAAGATGCTGGAGCATCCTTAGTAGGCAAACTCTCGCCCGAGTGGTCCTTCTCCTCGTACTCACGGCCCTCAACCACACACGTCAAGTAGTCCTTATAGTCAGCAGCGACGTAGTTGTCAAACTTAGCCTTAGCAGGTAAGTCCAAATCAAGAGCGTGTTTTTCAAAAAAATCCTTGCAGTTTTCGTTACCGCCCTTCTCCATACGCAACACCTCCTCAGGCTTAAACTGGTCCATCGTGATAGACCTCACAAACGAAATGTGGACGCCTAAACCACGGTGAATGCCCGCACACTCAAGACAAATGAAAATGCCAAACTTGGGCGACGCCCACTGGGGGTTAAAAGCACCACAGTCAAAGCATTTTTTGTTGGCGCCGTTCTTCTGGAGCAACAAGAGCTTGCGGCGCGTCTCAGGGTCAATAGCCATGCTTTAAGGAAGGGAGGGGGAGACTGTTTAGGTGTTGGAAGGAATGGTTTTCGGTGAGTGGTGATTTTGGTGATGTAGCAGTCGCACAACTGTGCACCAGCAGAGATAAGGCGGGACGAGCCAGGGGACAGTTAGAATGGGAGGATTTGGGGGAAAAGGAAATTTAAAAGATGGGTTTGGTTGATGGAAGAGCGAAGAATAGGAATATGTAATTGGATTTGTGGGATTCTGAGGGGTGGGTGGTTTGGCGGAGGGTTCTTCTGGTGGAAACGGCTGCGAGTCAGATGAGGCTAAGAAAAGTGAAAAACAGCACAAAAGGAGCCACAGCCGATGGCCTGGGAAGTATGGAAATTTGTGGCATCCCAAGAGCCGTTGGTGAGATTTGGGGTTTCATAGAATACTAATAAAATGAGGGTTTCTTTCCTGTGGCTCATTTTACATGGTCATCTGGTCTGCTGGGTCAAGTCAATGGCTGCAAATGGCTGCGAAAGAAGCACAGCCGCACGGCACCAAAGAGGGTGTCAAAGAAGGCACCGTGTTTTTTGAAACCACGAAAGAAGTTTGGTGGATAAAGTCAAGTGTGGTATTTGATTTGGGCTGGTGGTATTGGGAATCATCTTTATTTGTGGATTTTTTGGGCGATGGTGGGAAATGGCGTAGGGTTGTTCTTCATCTGGTGGGTTCCATACACTGAATGAACAGATGTAGTGTCTTTTCTGTTTTATTGTCTTTTTGGTTGGTGGTTTACTGGGAATAGCTTTTGATGGGTCTTTGAGTGAGTTATACATGTTCTTGAAGGTATTGCTGGTTTGGCTGATTTATGAGGTGGACATGGAAAGTACTGGTGAGTGCAAAATGGCTGCGAAACTTAAGGAAGTGGGAAATAGTAGTGGGGGTTCAGTGGGAACTAGTGGATGTCAAAGAAGGAGGTTAAAAAGTGATAAGTTGAGGGGCTTTTATGTCTTTAGTAATACCCCGATAATTTTCTAGATTGGGCATTAATGTCCATTTAAAGGCATTCAGAACATTACTGATGGATCTGATCTACTTGGGGCTCCTAACAGCATGAAGCATAAGGCTACATTACTTTGGAAACAAACACCATTGGTCAAATATACCTACACTTTATTCCTAGATCAATCCAAGAAGCGATGAACTCATTCGAAAGAGCTTATTACGAAATGGAGGCTCGACTTGATCGATTGTGGCCCCGTCAATGTGACATTTGCAGCCACTGGCCACCATCGTCAAGAGCTACATCAACAAATACATCGAAACTTCTATTCCCACAGAAAGTCACCTACCAAAATCCTCTTACTTTTCCTATTTCTTGCTCTCATCTTAATTGCCTGTGCTGATCATAAATTCTCCTTCACCGCCCTACTCATGTCTTCATCTCCTCCTCCGCCTTCTTCTTCCACTGGTCCATATCGTATATCCTTTTCATGGAGGCCCCTCTTTGTCTTCCTCGGTACGGCTGTACTACCTCAACGGTCCTACTCCTTTTCTTAACGGGGACCGATCATATCCCCACTGTGTCCTCGGTCCAACTCAATCCATAATCACCTCTTGTTCTCTTACAATAGACGAACAATGGACTCTCTGCTCCACCAATATTATACCCTATCGCCGAACAATCTTCTCTACATTCTGTCACTCGGCTATTATGCTACCGATTCTACTGAATTTTTCATCAAACATCCTTTCTTGCCTATACGCTTAGAGTTTGGTCAACAGCTCAGAGTTCAATCTGGCAACCTCATGTGGGTACAAGTGGTGAGAGCCTCTGGAGCCCATGTGCCACGAGCCACCATCCACAACTTGGACGGTACCAGTCACATAGTCAGCAGCTGGAGAGAACAAGTACACAGTAGCATCAGCAATGTCTTTGACGGTACCGAATCTCTGGATAGGAATCGACTTTTCGTAGCCGTTAGCTTCTTCTCTCACCAAACGCTTGAAACCTTCGGTCTCGGCAATTGGGCCTGGAGCCACACAGTTACTCTTGATACCCAAAGGACCCAACTCAACAGCCAAAGCGTTGGACAAAGCGTCAACACCAGCCTTGGCAGCACCAACGTGGGCCTGGAATGGGATACCGTAGTAATGCAAAGTAGCACTCACGAAAAGAATCGAGCCCTTGTTCTTTCTCAATTGGTCGAAACAAGCCTTGACAGTGTTGTATGAACCAAGCAAATCAATACCAACAACGGTAGCAAAAGCATTACTGGACAAGTGGTTGAAATCACACAAGAAGTTACCAGCAGCACCGGCAATGACAAAGTCAATCTTGCCCAACTCTCTCACGGTCTTCTCCACAGCCTTGACAAGAGACTGCAATTGTCTCACATCTGTGCCAGCACAGCTAACAACCTTAGCGCCTGGACGCAACTGAGCCATCTCAGCAGCAGCCTTGTCAGTGTTGGCCTGGTTTCTGCCCACAATAGCAGCATTAGCTCCCAAAAGGATCAAGGCTTCAGCCTGTGCACGACAGATAGTACCAGCACCGCCAGTGACGAACACAACTTTACCCTTGAAAAGGTCTGGCTTCCACACAGAAGTCTCGAGGTATGATCTGTCCAATCCCATATTTGCAAATTAAGTTAAGGTAAACTTGAGGGTGCGTTTTAGACGAAAGCTGGGGTCAAAGAGCTTAAATACATAATCTCGCGCGCGGTCAACGGTGATAAACTATCTCCGTCGTATTTTCACGTGTGTCAAGTGTATGCGTGCGAGATGTGGTCCCCCAACTTTAATAGAATGTCACACTAAGTCTTAAGTTCCCCATCTTTCTTAATTCCGCTTAGGTAATCAGTAACCTTCGGCTTCTTCGTCGCGCCATTACCGTTGCAGCCAATGTTGCCATTACCGTTTCCATTGCCATTTTCGTTTGCATCCTCGGGAACAATACTTCGTTTATGGCTGGCAAACTTTATGGGCTCTAGCGGCGATAACTCTTGCGCCTGAGGACCGTCCTGCCCCTCCTTATTTCCCCCCTCTATTGGCGACAGAACGTTATCCTTGTAGTGCTGGTCATTATCGTCAATGCTAGTGGCCGTGGGATCAGCACTTTGGTTAAGCGCATTCTCCACCATCTGAATAAATTCTGAGCCTGTCGAGACGTAGTTGACTCGTTCAATGAAGTTTTTGTGATTATTGTAAACGTTGATCGCCAATGCCTTGAAGTTCTTCTCGTGTCCTCTTCGAAGCAATATCTCGAGAAGATCAATGCACAGGGAGTTGGCAAGCGTGTTGCTCTCGATCACAGTGTCAAAGTAGTCGACAAAGGTGCCCATTAGGCTCCTATCTATAATGTACCGAGTCAATGCGTCGTCGTTGAGGAATATTAATGTCTTGAAGCATCTGAGCGCCGCTAATTTGAGAGTTATCTTTGTGTCGAGGCTTAAGAGCCTCATGACGCCTGTAAGCACATGGTTCTGGATGAAAAATTCTCGACAGAGCCCGAGATCATGTTCTTGGAAGCAAAACGCGATCAAATCACAAAGGTGCTGGAAAAGCATTGGTTCCAGAATCACCCTGTTTTTTGCGTTGTTAGCCATCTCACAGCCTGGATTGTCACCCGAAAGATAAATGAAGTCCTGGAATAATACGCTCGCAACGCGTTGATAGAATGATCGAAAGAACTTATAGTTTATCTCAGCAATTTCCAGATCAGGCCTGTTCGACTTGGCAGTAACTGGTTGCATGAATCCGTCGTCTGCTTGGTTATTATCGTTGGTAGTAGTACAAGTGAGGAGCGTCTTTAGAGCTTCATATGCTTGCATTTTAAGCCCTGGGTTCTTGTCTGTTAGAAGCAAATTGCACAAGACCAATGTGAAAGATGTATCATTGTAAAGCTTAAGCTTTAGGTTTGGGGCTGGAACGTTTCCTCACTTTCACCCACTTCGGGATGTGGTGGGTTGTTCACTGGAGGCTCAAGCTCATCGACCTGATTGTTGTCGTCATAGTGCGTACAATGAACAAGTGACACATCTTGTTCGATCACGGTAACGAGCATTTCTGTGCCGATAATTCGGATAGAGCTGTCCAGGCCTTCCAATGCGAATTTAATCAATTTGATTAAGCCGGCTTTAATGAGTGCCGTAAAAAATTCGGATTTCTGTGCTGAAGGTTGGCCCTTTGTGACAGAGACATATTGATGAAGCATCCTTACAGCATCGCGGCATTTCTTGAGATTCTCAACGTCTGAAATGTCTCTGTCGTAAAGTAGTAAGAGTCTGCCCAAGAAATTGTCGTTGTCATCCGGCTTTGAAAGATAAGTGATGATATCCATCTGATTAGTGTAGATCATGGAGGAAAGCGTGTTCATGGTAGACTCATCCATCCAGCGAGCAAGCACAACGTTCTTCAAATATGAAAGAATGAAGTCTTTGCGAAAAATGCTCATATCTGAAGCCTGGTCAGCCGGCGTAGGGACGTCAATGATTGATCTGAATTTCGACTCATCAAGTAGATAATCTCTGTGACAGGCCTTGAATGTGGGAAAGTCACGGTCGTATTCAAGAAGGCCAACGAGATCAAGAATCGAAACTTCCGACGATAGAAGCTCTTCCATGAGGGCATGACTGTTATATAGAAGGATGCATTTTGCAATATCGCTCAACACGTGAAGGCTGGAAATATCGTGGTTCTTCTCTGCGCCGGCTTGTAGCAGGTAAAGCTTATGGATGTAGTTTGTTTCCAAGATATACTTCAGAATACACGCCCGCGTGTACTGAGAGTTGGCACCCTGGTTGATGATATCCAGAATCTCGTCCAACGCATCCAAAGAAGGTTCTTCAGGGGGATACGAGATTGGGCCAGTGATCAACTCGGTGATCTCGCGAGGCCCGTCTCCCTGAGAGTCGTAAAGCGTCGAAAGCACATAATATAGCGAGATCATCGGGCTGAGACTCTCCTGCTGAACACGAATAATAAAATCACACAAATCGGCACACCCGTCGTTCTCCTGGAACGAAAGCGCCAAGTCCTTGCCGGCCAAATCAGTCCAAACTATAAGCGTTTCTTGCTGTCTCTGGTACTGGATAGATCCCTCCAAGTACAGCTTAAGAATGATCTCCTGGGAGTCTAGCTCGTTCCGTACAATGAAATACGGTTTCTTCGTGATGCCATCGATTTCTCCCTTACAGTAGCCCGTACCGTTATCTAGCCAGTCCTCTCCTTGAAGAAGATACACCTTCACGCGTCGTGGAGCCATCGACTCGAACTGGCGAGAAAGAGACCCGTGGATCTCGTGCAGAGAACGAGAATCAGGCGACCCATGAGGCAGGTGGTGCTCGTTAATGCCGTTATGCTTAATATCTGGAGTTGGAGACTCAGGCTTAGAACCGTTGCTAGACGGTTTTTCTGAGACGTCCAGGGAGTCGCTCATCTTGGCGGGGGTCAAAGAAAGCAAAGTGGAATACCCTGTACTGGTTATAGTATGTTATGGTGGGGAGTAAACAGGTGAAAGGGGGTTGTTTCTCGCAAGATGTAGTGGTAGATTCAATGGGTTGTTGAAGACTGGGACACTGGCGTTGTGTATAGTGGGAAACGGTATAAATGGTAGTGGTGCACGGGTGCCAGGCGTCAGCGTTGCGGAGCCCTCTTTCCATTTGGACCAGGCCAGAGAAGACCAAACAGACCAAACATGGAAAAAAGGTGGAAAAGTGGACGTGTTTTGGTCGTCATTTGCTGTTTTCTGGGTTTGTGGAACCACCAAATTTTATTGTATCGGGTATTTTTAACCACCCAATATTATCACTTTCCCATGGTTTGCAGCCATTGTATCTGCACGGAAGCAAATCCAGCAACCGATCGGTAAAGCAGGTAGTGGGTTAGGGAAGCAAGGGGGATAATATTTAGGGGTGATGGTTTGAAGGCTTTTGGGGGAAAAAGGTGGGGGAGAGGTGGGTTTTCTTTTTTAGGTGCTTAGCGTGGGGGAGAAGGTTATTGGTGGTGGGGGTGGGTAGTGGTTTACGTAATGGCTGCAAACGCACTGTGTAGTTTGGAGATAGACTAGTTGAGGACTTGGAAGAAGGTTGATTGGGTTTTCGTGGTTTGGGGGTAAGTGTTTGTTGCTTTGGTTGGCAATTTCTGTTTTCGTCTTTGTGGTGGAGATGGTTTGACGTGTGTCATTATGCATCGTCGCCAAAGCTATACCTTAAAGGTAGTCGGAGAGGAGCAGGTAAATGATAATAACCTTTACTTGACAGTTATTATTATGGAGCTTAAGTATACGCCTTTAATGGCTCTTTAATTTTATATTTAGCCTGACTCTTCCACTTTGAATAGTAACTATGCTTCTTCCTGACCCATTCAGTCAACAAACAAGAATAAACTATGTTGGATGATACCGACTATTATATCTCATATACTTCTTTTCTTTCAGTTATATTTTTCTTATCTTCTTTGAATTCATAATGTACCGCCTGTCGTAGCCATACTAAACTCCTGGGTTCGGTCTATACTTGTCTATTTACAATCTCCCAGAGTCGTTCATATCCTAACGACAAACAAGAGCAGCGGCACTGAGACTTCTCAGCCAGTCGGCCTGGTCAACGTCATGAGTGTCCTCGACTTCACCCCACTCGTTGGTCTGGAAAATGGTCTCCAAGTTACCGAGCTCGGTGATCTCCTCGACATCCTTAAAAAAGTATTCCAGTTCATTGGCCTTGTTGGGCTGGTAAACGTCCTTAGCCGTGGATTCATCAGTGGCGTTGGATCTCAAGATAGAAGCACCGCAAAGGAATGACTTGGACGTGAGAATGGCCTTCTCAAGCGAAACAAGGTCAAATAAAGGCAACTTATCCAACCATCCAAGCACAATCTCGCGATCAGTAGCAGTCTGGCTGTTACCTCTGATACCATCAGTTTCACAGTCCAAAGTCTGCAATTGCACTTTGTAGTCCTCAGAAGGCAACAAGTTGTTCTGACGACCGAACTCGGTGAAAAACGAGTTGTACTCCTCAATCAAAGGTTCGTACAAATCCTTCTGTCTCTTTCTAAGCTTTCCGTCGTACTCATCCTCCGTAGCAAAAATCAAACACGTATCCGTATCCAAATACCTCAACAAGTCGTGCTTGACGTCCTGGAGATCACCAAGCTTAGTAATCATATCTGGATCAGCCTTTTCAGCAAGGAAAACAGCCTCCAAATCAGCAGCCCTGGAAGTCAAGGATGTCAATGGCAAGTTTGTAGGCTTGATCTTCAAATCAACCAAAGTGTCCCACTCATGAGCCACAAGAAGCGCCAACTGCTCTTTCCGCTCTGGAATAGCGAGTTTATGGCCCAACGGCGTCTTGAGTGGTTTGCCGTCCAAACGAACCACCCATTTTCTTGCTTCTTCCTCAAAAGCAGCATCAGCTTTACCCCAGAATCTCTGAAGCGTTTTCTCCAACCTGTTGGTCTCTGACTTGACATTATTCACATCTCCACCTACAGCTGTCGACGAAGTGTAAGGCTTTTCTGGCGCCTTCGTGGCCAAACGAAGTGTTGAACTGGTCAACGCCCTGCACCCAAGGCCAATTCTGGGCACCACTGGTCGAATAGAGGCTAGCATTTGGTTAGGATGAGTAGGTGCTAAGAGTTGATCCTGGTGCGCACTGAAAAGTATACAAGTAGTGAGTAGGAACAGACCAGTGAAACACTTCTTTACATCCACATCTACACATCCCATATATATCAACCATGTCGCTTGATCCCCAGGCTTTACAGAAACTCCTTGTGGAGATGGACAACCAGCTCAATAAGTCCAGGGCTGAGTTGAATATGTGCAATGTCCAGCTAGAGAGGGTTAACACGAACGTCAAGATCATTGACTCTACTACTGGAAAGTTGAAGAAGCTTACGAATCCTGGCGATAACGTCTGGCAGGGCGTTGGAAAGGCGTTTGTTATGAGAGACGTCGATTCGTACGTGGACAAGATCGGTAAGGATAAGAAGGAGTTCCTTGAGACCCAGGACTCGTTGAAGAAGAAGCAGAACTACTTGGAGACGACGTTGGAGAAGACCATCGATAACATGGCCCAGATCTCTGGTTTCAAGAAGTAGTGGAGTGGAGGAAGGAGAGATATTGGACGGAAGGGTTGTCTGACTGGTAGCTACCAGGGGATGGCACCATTGACCCGGTTCAATCAATCATACTACAAGCGATTTTCGTGTGGCATAGTTATATGCGCCGTTATGTTCATTAGACAGTTAAATAGTTAATCATGGAGACAAGGCTCTTCGAGCTAGGTCTCTTTATAAGCAGAAGCCATTCGTGTAGTCACCATCAGCATCAAGAAGTTTCGTCGTTCAAAAGCCAGTAAGTCTGGCAGTCACTCTCGATGCCAAATCATCACCCCTCCCCTCTTCAATCGCTATCCTCGTCGATTCCCTCGTCAAGGATACGACGCTCCACATCATCATCCTCGAGCTTTCTCTTGTTCAGCATCTTCTTCGTAAGGAAAACATTAAGCTGGTCTTGGATAGTCGTCAACTGAGCTCTGAGAGATCCCAAAGGCGTCTTCAGCGCAGGCGTGGGCTTGTCTCTGTCTTCTCCTCCAGCACTTATGACGACATCTGAAATCTGAGTGGTTTGGCCGTCTGTGGTATGTAGACCGTCTCCTGGAAGAAAGTATGCGGGTTTTGATTCGCCTGGAGCTGAATATGTAGCCGCAGGAACAAGTGTAGGCATATTGTGTTGATGGTTGACTTGTTGAATGGGGATTTGAAAGTTGTGCGAAGCTGCTTCCTATCACCCATACAGTCGTGGACTGGCTGCGAAAACCCGTATACCTGTGATGAAAGATATGAATCTTTTAATCGAAGTTTTCGATTGGAATACGTCTGGCGCTGTTAGAATAGGCGCTGAATTTGACCTCGATGATCTCGTTGGTGTTGAATTCCAACGAAGGAATGTCGTAACAGGAACAGGCCATCAAGTAGCCATGGAATACACGCAAGACGGTTTCGTCTGCAATGATCAAGATGTCACCGCTCATACGCTCCATTTCGAGGATGAGAGGCTCGATCTTAATGGCTAAGTCGTGGTACAGCTCGGATCTGGAGAATCTGTGATGGTATGGGTCTTTCAAGAACTGCTCGTACTCCAGAGGGAACTTCTCCTGGATTTCTTCATCGCTCATGCCAGCAACAATACCTGGGTTCTTCTGGGATAATTGGATTCTGTGACGCACGTTGACGTTCATCTCACGGAAGAATTGGCATGCCTCGATGGTTCTTCTCTTGACAGAAGTCCAGACAACGAAAGAGTCGTCGTCAAGGCCATCAGCACCGGTAGGTGGGTGCTTATCTTCGGTAGATAACGTTCTTCTCATGCCAGCCACATCGGTAGAAGAACTCTTAGGAGTGATGATATCTCTGCCCTTAGAAGCGAGATGTTTCGTCAACGTCCTGGTCAAATTCTTTGCGTATTTGTAGCCTGCCTCATCCAATGGAGGGTCTTTAGAGTAATCCAAATCATTCTTGTAGCAACGAGCAAAGAACACCGAGCCCAGTTTAATTCTCGAGTTCATCAAGAAAAACACCACCTTATTGATCAAGTAGCCGTAGTTCGAGTTATGCAATTCGATTCGCTCACCAAAGTTGATGATTTTAATATAAGACAAGTTCATTTTCTGGTCGACGTCATCCATTTCCTTGTAGAACGGCGTGAGGCTGTTGATTCTTGCAGAGTAGTCCTTGTAGGCATCTTCGTAATTCCAGTTCTCGTAATCAGGCGACGATCTGGCGGCGGTTTCCATATTTTTCATCAAAATCGACTCATTCGTCACAACCGATTCAATAAAAATGCACTGGATGTTCACGCTGGCAAACTTCTCGTGAAGTTGCTGTCTGTGCTCAGGCAAGGCGTTCACAGCATCGTAGATGGCCACCTGGCCCTTATCGTTCTTGAAAAAGTTAAGAATATCATTCAAACAGTCGTCAACCGTCTTGTTCTTAAATGGATCCTCGCCCCTCTTATCAGACATGTACAAGACCTGGTCCAAGTCATCGTTTGGAGCCGTAGCACGTCTGTAATCGCCCAAATGGAAACTATGAGTTTTCACGCCCAACCAACGCAAATAACGCGTTAATGAAACAGACAAGTGGGTCTTTCCACGGCCTGGAAGACCTGCCAAAGCAATACAGATCTTACCAGCATGGAACAAGCGTCCACTCTCTGTAGAATACAACTGAGCTGGAGAAATATGGTACGGGTCGATTTCCTTATGAACGCCGTCCATCCCTGTGACATCACTGAGTCTTCTTCCCGAGCTGAACGTCGCCGGCTGCTCGACCAAGTTTGGCCTCGAGTTGTTATGGAAAGACCATCTTTTCTTCGTTCTGCGGCCTGTTTGCGAAGGATTTCTCAGTAGAGGCGCCGAGCCGAAGCCGTTGAAAAGCTCGCTTTCGTCTTCGGAAAACTGGGACATGCTTAATATAGACAGATCGTGAAGTTGATGGAGATCTGATGAAGACGTTGAAGGGTAAACTTTCTGGGGCAGCAGCTGCGATTCTACCCCAGGCCTGGGCTGGGTGGGTTGTGTGCAGGTCGGAGACTCGTGTCCCCACAAGAAAGCATGCCATGAAACCGGTGAGTTTTGGGCAGATTTTGATAAGGTTTGGGTGGAGTGTAGAGAAAGAACCCCTTTTTATGGTTTTCTATTTTCATGCATTTTTAGTGTGTTTTGGCTTTTTTGGGTGGGGGTTACTGGATGGTGGAAGTGCAGTGGGGTTTGAGAACGCCGTATATATTTGTCTTTTGGCTGCGAAATGGGAATCCCAGGAAGAGAAGTGGAAGGGGACAAGTAAGGAGAGGAAGTAGAAGATAATGGAAATTGTCGGTTTTGGGTTAAACGGGGACATTTTGATCAGGGGAGGGAATGGAAGGGAGGTTTGGGAGTTCGGCGATTTCCGTGGCCATGGAGATGTCATGAGTCAGTTGAGGCTACTGGTTTAGTGAGACTATTGGTAAGTGGTGGGTACTATGGGGAAGTGATTTGGGAAGAGAAGGGGCTTGGGATGAAAAAAAAGGTGGTTATCGTTGGTTGCGTGAAATACAAGATGTTAGAAAAAGCTGATTTAAGATTGTTCGTAGTGAAAATAGTGAAAGAAGACATGTGGTGGTGACAGTGTATGGAGACTAGTTAGTACGTATTTCGCAGCCATTACTGGGCAGACAGTGGAACAGGTACTCCAATGAGAGTTACATCAAATGATGGGAAGGTTAAAGGAATGGTATATTTTATTCGCTAATTTTGCTGTCTGTTACGATTTGAAATAGGTTTTACTGGGAAGAAGTCTGTAAGGTTCTGTAAGTGGTAGTACACTTTAGGTGCCATTACCAGCACCCAGTTCGGCTTCAGTGGAGCTTTACCGAGGACAAGACCAGGTTTACTATTGAATGAATGCAATTTGAGCTTGAAGTAATTGCAACGGAATATAAGGGCATGAAATGGGACATTGAACGAGAAGTTGTCAAGACATGTCTGAGCCCTTTTAAAGTTGAAGACCATCAAGCTTGAACCTTCAGTTGTAGCTTTCAAAAGATAGCCCCAAAACGACGTAGGCTTTCATTCACATTTTGTTCATGATGGCATTCAAATTCCATTCAGAATGGCATTGCCTATGGTTCGGCAATTTGAAGTGCTTTCTTGATTCATTCCCATTGATACCATGTACATCTTCAGCTGAAGACTTCAACCAACTCTACACTCATTTCATAATTCAACCTACAATTCATTAAAACCCGCATTTTCTTTCCAATGTGCTGTTTATTAAATTACAAGGGCTTACTCCAACTTACCACCTCTCTTTTCAATCAAGGCCTTTCTGGCGTCACTCAAGTACAACTTGTTGATAACAACCTTAGATGGGTGAATGTTGATTGGCACAGAGGCACCGGAGGACTTCTCCTTGACCAACTTCTCGAGCTGGACGGCGAACTTCAATCTGTAGACAGCACCGACCTTGCCCTCAGAGCCCTTCTTGGAGCCTCTGACAACAACGACCTCGTCCTCCTTTCTGATTGGCAAAGAAGAGATCTTGTACTTCTCCTTCAACTCCTTGGACAAAGGAGCAGACATCAACACTCTTCTGGTGGTAGAAGAGGTAGCGAAGTGAGCCTTTCTGGCTTTAGAACGAGAAGAAGAGACGTCTGACTGTTAGTATACGAATTGGGATAAAGAAATGGACAAACGGCGGTTTACGAATTGCAATGAGTAGTCTTGTTAGGGAGGTCACTTTCATCAAATTTCATTCTTTTATGGGACTTTTTCACTGGGGATGGGTTGGCTTGTGGTGTTGAAGAACTGGACTTCTTGACATCTCGGGATCTGGAAATCGTGGGAAGCTGGGGGAAAAACGGATCTGTTGCTTGGGAGCAGCTCGTGCTTTGGAAACCGCCGGTATTCTTAAATCCACATACCTTGACTGAACTTGGCCATTATTGATATGGGTTACAGATGAATCTATGAGAAAAAAGACTCTTCACTGAGAAGTTGTAGAAAATTTTCGGGTGCGTACAGGCTGCAGGACGTCTGGGGCCTTTACTGAGGAAAAGTGAGCTTTTGTTAGTGTAGTGCGAGCTAGGGCTTGAGCCCTAGAGACTGGAAAAAAAGCGGGCCCCATCCTTCACTCTCCAGAAGAGGTATGCCAAGTGGAAAGAAGATGTCCATAGTAGTTGGGGATTCGGAAAGACCAAAAATAAAGAGTTCTCTCACCAAAACAAGAAACACTTAGCTGTACAAGGGAAATCAAAAAAAATCTAGCCCACGGCAGGACTCGAACCCGCAATCACCATCTCCGGAGGATGGTACCTTAACCAATTAGGCCACGCGGGCAGGATCTAAGGAAAATTGCCAGAAAGCGACTATAACACCTGTTTTGGAAAAACCTCAAAAAATGTGAAATTTTACTTCTTCATCACCTCCCACTTCCCATGTAGAATACGATTCCGAGGCCGAAATTGGCCTAACACGCCCCTGGGGCCCAGAAAACACATATATATCCAGTGCGCATCAGTAGAGGATCTTTAACTCAAAGTGCCGACCCTAAGACCGAACCTTCTTCCTACCATTATCTCCCAATGTTAGGCATCAGACCGCTTGCCAGGATCCCCAAGATGGGTTTCGTGAGCAGAACTACGCCATTGGCCAAATTGACCATCCCCAGAGCCCATTTGCTTCCAGCTCGTCGCCTAGCATTCCCCATTCTCCCCGGCATTTCCAGAGCCTATTCCACCAAAACGGCTCCTCCACCTCCACCGCCACCCAAGAGTGATAAAAACGCTCGTGGCAAGGCCATTCTCTCCAGAATCACCAGATTCTTCACATTTTCGGCCGCTACCGGTATGGTCATTGGAGCTGTAGCTGTGTCTGGACTCGTCATATACCTCATTCTACTGGAGCTCTTCTTGCCTTCTGGAGATACAAGAACGTTTAATAAGGCATTGAAGGAGGTGGAAAACAGTGCTGCTGCTCAGCAAGCGCTTGGCTTCAACCAGGGCGACAGACTTAAGGCTTTTGGTGAGACTGGTGGAGACAGATGGACTAGAAACAGACCTGCTCAGAGCACCAAGAAGAGAGGCCCTGATGGTAAGGACAGAATGGTGATGCGTTTCCATGTTGTCAGTCCGCATGGGCGTCATGCTAGTGTTATACTAGAGCAGATCGATACCTCTTGGTGGAGTTCGGAGTTCTCTTACATTGCGCTTGAAATGCCTAACCGCAAGATTGTCTATGTGATTGAACCTAAGTTTCTGCCAAAGAACTTTGCTCCACGCGGTGCTGGTTTCGGCAAAGGCACCGGCTTTTTGGGCTTGAACTGGGGTCCTAAGAAGGACTAGAATACTAAGTGAGACGAATATTTGATGTTTTAACTCGCTGTGAGACGTACATAAAAATTTACGAAGCATGAAGAGTGCTGTAGGGTGGTAAGGGGTGGTTTGGAGGGTTAGTGTTGGGAAGCGTTGGTTTGACGGTAAGCACCGAATTGTATGAAAGGGAGTGATGATAAACGAAGTGGCATTACCCGGGCAATTGATTTGGCTCTCAAAGAGGATTTTAAAGAGGATTTTAATATATTTTGGCAATTATCAATTCCAGATCAATTAGTATCGCTACTTGAAATAAGCTGTGATATAAGTTCCATTTACTAAGCTCAATTGAGTATCAGTCTTATTCAATTGGGCTCAAAGCTTGCAAAATCACTCTTCTTTGAGCACTCACTTAAGTATTTTAAATCAAAAGAAGAGAAGACAATGCAATCTTGAGCCTCCTAGTACCTCTTGGAATACAAGTAATAGAATGCAGAGACATATTCACCACCAAAACCGCCAAAACCACCAAAACCACCAAAACCAATCCACTCACCCGATGAGAACCCCATTCACTCTAGAAACCTTGCCAACTCTTCAATGCCATCCATTCTCAACCACCAAATTCCAATCATCATTGGACCTTCCCAGCACCACCTCTAATCCCATACTCCACTATTTCCACACCTCCCCCACCTCCACCTCCCCTACAAATCCATAACCTCCACGTATAATCACAAACTAACCAAACATCACAAGACCATCAAAAAAAGACCCCACCAGGACGACGGCGCCACTTTCTGTGCACCGTTCAAATGGAACCCGACCTTAGTCCCATTCGTCAGGTTCACCTGTCTCGCCAATGGCTGCGAAATAGACTCCCCCAGAGAGACCGAAACTGAAGTAGAAGCCACCGTCAGGGACCCACCCTCCCTGGACTCCCCCTTCCTTTTTCCAAAAAATCAATCCCCTTACATTTCTCCAGCCCCCTAACTCCCCCCAACCTCTCTGCTTTTCCCCCAAAATCACACTCCACTCCGTCTGCCTCAGCTTTCAGTAGCGCCCACGCCAACCTCGTCACTGGCGCGCACCCACTAAACTGGCCATACTTTCCACTTCCTCCATCGCCAGTGACAGCTGAACAGTCCACCACTTCACACACTTTCTTGAATAAAGCCTGGTTTTCTTTGGACAATTCAGGACTATCGAACTCGCTGGGTTCCAGTTTTGGTTTGCACGTGACCAATTCCCCCAAACACCCACAAATTTCATCGTTTGGCGTCCCTGGAAGGTCTGCCAGAACTGGCCATTTGGGGCACACTGGGGCGGTTTTTTTCCCTCCCCAGGCAGTATTTTCAGCTCGCGGTGGGCGCGCAGCAGTGAACCTCAACCTGAGAGTATCGAATTCAGCCAGTTTTTGCAACCGTCCAGTCTTTTCTTCAAACACCAACCCGTAGTGGTTTTCGTTTTCAAAAAATTCATAGGCAACGCCGCCCAGCCACACCCCGGCCATTTCCGGGCCGTATAACAGTTCTGTTTCCGTGAATGGCCGGGGCCTTACTGAGTTGCACCCAAACTCACTGAGGAATACCGGCACCGCCAGCTGCGAAAACTCCCTCGTTCTGGCTCTAAACCCAGAGGTTGCAAACGTAGAATACCCACACCATTCAAACATGTTGATGCCGTAAAAGTCAGCCACGCTGTCAGTGCTATTACTAGGACACTGGAAATACTGAAGAGCCTCTTTTCGTGTTTCTTCGTCGTCGTTGGCGGTATATCCAATAGGTATCTGACGGTACCCTTTCTGCCTCTGGTAGGCCTTGGAGTCGCGAATGGCTGCCTTGACATAGGCAGCAGCCAGGGCATCACTGGAAGAAGTCACCACCTCGTTTCCCGCAATAAACCCTAGTACGTTATCATATCGGTGCATGTTGTCGATAACCGCCTGGAAGTGCTGGAAAAGCTCGGTATGCCACGAAGGGTCGTTTCGGTTAATCGCATGCTTGGGCTCCAGAAGGTCTACCAAGACGTAGATACCGTTGCGAGCCAAGGCATGCATACATGTCTCATGGGACTGGTCTGGGTCTATCTGGTACACTCTGATAGTGTTGACGTTGAGTTCTTTGAGGAGCTCGATATCTGGAAGGCACTTTTCGGGGTGGGCGAGCGAGTCGATGTAGCCCTTTTGGATTTCTGGGAACGGCTGGTTCTCGTAGCCTGGCATCTGCCGCTGGTACGCTATGCCCTTGATGAAGAACTGGGTTCCGGCCTCGTCGAAGAATTTGTTAGAGGCAATGTGGATTGGCGAGATGTCTGTAGAGCTTGTAGTTGACGCTAGTGCCGTAGAGGCGAATAGGAGCGCTTGGGACGCCCAGTGGTGGAAGAACATGTGGTTTGTGGTGGTGAGAAATGGCTGCAAAATGCGAGAAAGGTGTATGCGAGAGGGAGAGAAGGGAAGCAGACGAATTAAGAGAACGACGATGAAGAGCTTAAAGGTGATGGAGAGTTTAAATGGATGGTGAAGGGAACTCCTTCGTCGACTTCCCTCCTCGATCGACTTACCTTGGGAACGTCATTTGTCGAAAGGATGGTCCTACACATCTCTGGAATATCTGTCTATTAGTTACCTATTAATACAGCGGGTTCGCCTCCTTTAGTAGTACATATCTGGCTGCTGCCAGCATATTAGAAAAGTCCTTGGAGTCTGCGAAGCTCCTTCTTACACTTGCACTCGATCATGTAGATATCCAGACCTGGTCTCACCAACAAACCGGCCTTACCGATCTTCTCCATACGGTCACGGATGTTCGACTCGTCAAACGTCCAGGAGATTTCACTCTGCTCGGCATTTGCACCACCCTGGTTCTCCATGATCAAATGGTACATGCCATTGTCGACGCTACCAGCCGAATGGCACACGCTCAACGTGTACATGGCGATAGTCTTCCACGACGACACTTCATGGATCTTCTCGTACGATTCCAACTGCTTGTGGAGTCTCACGGTCATTCTATCGAGCAAAAGCATGTTAGACGTGGTCTCCTGCTGCTGGGGCTCCAGAGGTGCTGTAGGACTCAAGCTGTTTTCTCTGGAATCTTCAAGATGGAGACTTGGGAGTGTAGAAGAAAGACTTGGCTTGCTCATGAGCGACGACATCAACGTCGTGTTTGACTCGGACGACGATGGGTTCTTGTTTGGAGACTTGCTTTGCATGACATCCAACATATCATCCAAATTCTTCGTAAGATTGTTCATCAAGTTGCCATTGAAACAGCGCATTATAATAAGGATCTTCTCCTCGTTGATAGAATTAACTGCGTTGATCTCCAAGTCCAAAGCAGAAGACTTTCTAACCTGGGTGTTCTGGTCCAAGTTCAAAATAAGAAGCGGCTTGTCAATGATCTCGCCATACTCCTCGTCGTACTCCTCCTTAAAGGTAAGCAACCACGACTTATGCAAGTCATAGTTGGTCACAATCTTCACGAAAAGATTGTCGTTGGTAGTAAGCATCTCCCATTTAGCATACTTCCTCTTCCACTTTGAGACCTTCAAGGCCTTAGGTGAGGTTGGAGACATGTAGAAATCAACAGTACTCTCTGAGTTGATGATATCCTTCAACGATTCGGGAATGCTCAATGGTTGTTCGGAAGAATTAGATGCCAAGCTGGTCACCGAGTCGTTGTTGTTTGTAGAAGCAGGCGTTGGAGGCTTGAAGAAATAACTGGAAGTAGACGATGGCAATGCAAATGGAGAAGGCAAAGTTCTGTTGAACGTACTTGACGTAGCACTCAGTGGAGCAGATGAATCTGGGACATTAGAAATTCCAGTCAAGTCAAGAGGTGGTGGTGGAGCCATCTTGGCTTTTGGTGCTTGCTTGGTCTTTTCCTTAGAAGGAGGTGTTGGTGCTTTCTTGGAACGATCAGCCAGCTTAGGCTGTCTCTCCTTTGTAGAGCTGGACGCTTTCTTTGAGGAACCTTCCGGTTGAGAGCTCTTTTGTTGCTTTGGTTTATGCTGCTTTGGCTGAGCTGATTTAGGTTGGGTATTGGCCAGCACGACAGGCTTGGTTTCTGCCAAAGACTCCTTCGACTTATTCTTCTTGAACAACGTGGAAAGGAAATTCTTCTTTGGTTTCTTCTCAGTAGTGACTTCGTTGACGGAGCAGAACGATGGGTTATAGTTTTTGCCAAATTCGTGGATGTTGATAGCAGAACCAGCTGCGTTTCTATAAACATCCGCCTTAGGTGGTGACACGGTCTTGGACTTTGGTTTAACCATTTCAAAAGAAGCTTCAAGGGCCTCATCGTCGTCACTACTGATGACAGATTCCATATCATCAGCGAAGCAGTATTCAGCCTTAGCGGAGCTAGGCGCAACCTCATTCTCCACCAAGTTCATAGTCTTGATAACCTTTCCAGTAGAAGTTTGACCACTTCCAAGGGTCTTTTTCATAATCTCTGTAGAAGGTCTGCGAGTTCTTGATTCCTGATCATCAGTCAAGCTTTCAGTAGGTGACGTGAACGAAGACTGGCTTCCGTTATCTGGAGAACTGGCAGAATCGTCATCAGAACTCAGGCAAGAAATACCCAAGCCAGCGAGCTCTAACTTGCTGCTTGGCTTCAACTTGTTATTAATTTGAGGGAAGATCTTGCAGATTTTAGAGTTCCAAGTCGTTAAAGTCTCGGGAGAGCCCGATATCGTGATTGTATCTTGAGGAGCCTTTGAAAAGAAAGAAATAGCCTGAAGTGTAAGACCCTCTTCGGCGAATTCAATGGCAACTTCGTTGATACGGAAAGGTGGGAACATTAAGGAGCGAGGGTCGTCGTCGCCGTGACGCTGAAGCACAGCCAAAGCATTGAAATTAGAGCCTGGAGAGCGAGGAGCACCGGTGCTGCTTCTAAGGTTCAAAAGAAGCAATTCAACCTGAGCCGAGTTGACAAACAATGGCTCGTTTTTCGTTCTATCGATGATTTCGTCTAAAGTGAATGAACAAGAAACCTTGTTGCCGCCAAAACCTTGAACGTTATCAAACGAAATTTTATTCAAGTTGCGGAGCTTCAAGTGGTCAGAATAACGGTCGAGCAAAGACGTGATCTGGCAACGGAAAGCGGTCAATCTCTCCACAATGAACGGATTGCGCAAACTGGAGATGGCCAGGTCGATGAAAGCCGAGTAGCAGCCCACATGGAGCACTGGTTTAGAGAACTTGGAGTAATCGTAATCCTCAGGCAAAGGGAAACACGATAAGTACCTCTCAAACACGACAAAGGCATCTTCAAACCACACGATAAAGTCATTGACCAAAGACTTAAACACGTCCTTCTCGTCATTGGCCATATCCAGATCACACTGACGAAGCAACGCTAGAAGCGCCAGGTTCTTCGTACACAAGCCACGAACCACGGAAGCCAATTTGGCATCAACTTCAGATTTCCGTGAAGACCTCACCAACGAAAGAATCTCCACCAAGTTATTGTTCTCCTCCAACTCACACTGAGTGAGGGCAGAAACGATCGCTGACATCTTTCCAATCAAAAAAAGAAAGTAAAAAGGAAGGAGTATAGATTCGAGCCAGGCCCACAAGAAAGGTAAATCCCAAGAAAGAAGCTAAAAAACCCCGGCTCCTTCGCTCCTTATATTCAGACGCCGCTTCTGCCCAGAACCGTGTAATGTGTAGCGGCAGTGCAGCATCTCTCTGCAAAAGGCGCGAATAGGCCCATGTTCCAGGGCCAAAGTGGTGTTGGGGGGCCGCATAGTAGCAAAGAAAAAAAGACCGCGTCGCGGCGCCAGAAGCACCTCCTTTGGGTGCAAATGGCGCGGGAGACTTTTAGCTCTGCATTTTGCAGCAACTGGGGATGCAAAAGAAGGTAAGGTTTTGGGGAATACTGGAGGAAATTTAAAAAAGTAAAACGATATTGGGGTTTGTTGTGATGTTTACTTTTAAAATCCTCTTTTTTTGCTTCCAAATTGCATGTTTTTTCCCGTTTTGGTGGACCTTTTGGAGTCCATCTCGCTTGGGCCTGAGACAGTCGCGAGAGGCCCTGAGGCTTTTCTGGCGCGAAAGTAAACAGACACGAATCTTTGAGTCTCGTTTTTTCTGATTTTTTCACGCTAGGCGGCATCAATGGGATGCGTAAATTCATCCAATTATCCCCAGTTCGTCGCCATAATTACGCCAGAGCCGCTTGTCGTGCATCTTTAAATTACAGGCAGATGGGAATAAGAGGACTTTAAATTGCACTTGCCTATTGGGGACGGCTTTGTGCTGTTTTTGGGGAGTCGCTTGTGGTTTCTCGGAGTGTGCGGTTAGAGTAAATAGATCCACCGGGGCTGACGAGGCATGACTCTGGTTTGTTTTCACAAGACGGCAACGGTAAATAGCAACGGGATCATCGAACTGAAAGTGCATCAGATCGTGACCGCTTTGGGCTTCTTTCGTAGCGTAATTGGTGTGTAATGTGTGCCTGTAAAGGTGACTTATTACACTGGAATGGGTGTAGAATATGACTGTTCTGGGGCTGAAGGTTATGGCCGTTTTAGTGCCGGTAATAAACACCCTCTTTGGGTTTACCAGACGTCTTTGTCCACGATCCAGTCGATGGCGTCGTGTAAACCTTCGCCAGTGATCCCAGAAACCGTTCTAATGGTGTACTTTTCAAGTGGAACTTCACTGGCAAGGTTCAATTCGTCTTCAACCATATTCTTCACCTGTTCTCTTTCTTCGTCGCCCATCAAATCAACCTTGTTGATCAAAACAACAAAGTATACGCCAGATAACTGGTCCTGTTGAATAACCTTTTCTCGTAGTTCCCGATACAGCTCCTCGAGCTGATCAAGGTTTGAGCCGTCAATGACCCAAATAACCACATCTGATCGGTCAAAGTAGTTGCTCCAGAACCCTCGAAGCAGAAGTTGTCCGCCAATATCCCATGCATTGATATTGTACCCTTTCCAGGGGAACGTATGGATCAGGAACCCTGTTGTAGGCGCCACATCTCGAGGATCCAGGCCCATAAGGTTACTGACAATAGTGCTTTTGCCAGCATTATCTAGGCCCAATATAAGAACCCTGATCTCGTGGTCTTTAAGCTTCTGTTTACGTATGATCGTCAAGAGGCCCATCGAAAGTAATTGGGGACTTGGATAGATGAAGATAAGGGATGTCTTTTAACGAGGAGGTCAAATAAAGTCAATGGTATTTGGCCAATCGAAGATATTTCTATTTTTCAGTGGTTCTTATTGTCACTGATAAGATCTGATTATGTATCTGATCTGACAATAACAAGCCAAGTGATGATCTACCAATGAAAAAGCAGGAAAACGAAAATCAAATATAAAGAGCTCTCAAAGAAGACAAATATAGGGCAATCTCTTCTCTCCAATGGACTCTTAAGGGGTTGGATCACTCAGTATAGCTCTCTCACAGTACCTATGACAACTTAAGTGAGGCGGCATCGCAGCGATAAGTGCTGTCATCGCACCCGTGCACCACAGCCATTGCTTGCCCCAGATTCTCCATTTTGCCATTTACCCTTCTACCAGATCTTTCCTCATGGGTCGTAAGCAGAAACAGCTGTCGATCCTCGAGTTCTCTTTCCAGCAGGAGAGGATCCAGTCACATATCGACTTGACCCATGAAGATCCAGAACCTTTTCCAGAACTAGAGGTTGCCTCAGAACCCATCCCATGTCCAGTATGCGCCATAAGCATGGAGCCTTGGGACATGGATTTCAGGATAAAACACGTGGAAGAGTGTCTTACGTTGGGGAGTGTGGGAGAAGATGTGTTTGTGAAGACGGAACGCGTTGAATTTGGGCCGCTGGAGGAAGTTAAGGTGGAACTTACACGGCTGCAAAATGGCCTGGTGAAGGTGGAAAATGGCGTGAAGAGTGAAAGCCAACCTGCTCTTTCTCGAACACCGTCACAGACAAAGAAGAGGAAGGCGTCGCTTTCGGCTGTTCAGAAAGATAGACTACGGTATGTTAACTCGAAGGAGGAGGCACCTAAGAGGCAACGGCTGAGGATGGATATAGACGAGTCACCTACTGAGCTACTACCGTCTTCGAGAAAGACACCTATTCCAGAGCTTAAAATTTTGACTTTTTATCCACAGCAAGATGAAAAGTACCAAATCTCTGTGGATGCATTCAATTTCAAGCCGCATGAGTCGATTACTCAATACTTCTTATCGCATTTCCACTCGGACCATTATGGAGGTATCACCAAACGGTGGCCTCGTGAAAGAACGCTAGGTTCGAAGATTATTTATTGTTCTACTATCACAGGCAAGCTATTGACCATCAGGTTTAATATCGATCCGGCTTTCATCTACTTGATGGAGCCTGATGTGCGGTATAAAGTGTACTCTTATGAGAACAGTGAAGAAGAGGCACAGCCGTCTGACTCGAAAAGCCCAGGCATTTATGCTACACCTATAGACGCTAATCATTGCCCTGGCGCTGTTATATTTCTATTCGAATCGGTCTCCCTAAGTGGAGAATCCACATACATGTTGCATTGCGGTGACTTCAGGGTCTGCCCAAAGATGGTATCACATCCTGCGCTACGGCCGTTCCATATCGAACAGGAGAACCCACTTAAGCTTGACAAGGTTTATTTGGACACAACGTACATGTCTGCAAAGTATAACTTTCCAAAACAAGAGCTAATATGTTCAAGTGTTGGGTCGATGTTCAGCGATCTAGTTGCTAACGACAAGCTTTTCGCCGAATGGTTCGGGACGTACTCGCAGAGCCGAATCACCGATTTCCTTTTCAAAGGAGCACAGAAGAAGAAAAAGAAGTTTCTTATTCTAGTTGGAACGTACGTTATTGGCAAAGAAAAGCTCGCAATTGAGATCCTGAGGCAGCTTGATAAATGCCCTATTTACATATCCAACATCAACAGTCGAGGCGACAAGAAGTCTATCATTGCTACCTATGGTGACACTTTCCTCGACGAAGTCATTACTGACGACGACTTAGGGACGCATCCCAGCGCCATTATCCATCTCGTGCCCATGAAAATCGTAGGCCAAGCACAAGAAATGGCCAACTATTTCAACCACAACGAGTACTTCAAGCACTTTGAACGGTGTGTTGGCCTACGGCCCACGGGCTGGACCTTTGACAGTAACGTTACAGACGAAAACTTCGTGGACGCCGAAGACGAAGTGCCCATGGTGGAAGCGCAAGGCCAATCGTTAGTATCCACCGCCAGCGTTCTTTCGTCCGTCCCAGCATATTCATACAAACAAGACGTCCTCCGCCAAAACCCACCCGACAAGATCATCAACAAGTACAAAAAAATCGATCTGTCCACCTGCAAAATCTATACCCTTCCCTACAGTGAGCATCTGTCCTTCCGAGAACTCTCATTCTTTGTGGTGTTCTTCGACATTGGCGAAGTCATCCCCACAGTCAATGCCGAAAACGAATGGACTCTCAAAAGAATGCAAAGAATTATCCGCCAATGGGAGAAAATCAGAGACTTAAAACGCTCAGATAAACCAGTCTATGAACTTCCCCCAGGCATGGTAGCGGCTGCGAAAAGACTCTCCCTCAGCCAACTCTGAGTAGGGGAAAAAAAAAAACCATCCATACAAAAATGAACTTTCCTGCATTCTCTTAAAGTCATACACATCTGTCTATTTCATCCAGTTCTACTTCTCCTGAAAATGGCCCTTCCTACGCTGTGGAGGTCGACTGCAAAGTCTACACGTATTAGTCTTGCTGCGCTTATAGTCACTTCGTCGGTGGTGCTTGTGCTTAAGGTGCACAATTTGAATAAATTGGAGGAACCCACCAAGCTACATGATATCACTATCCCATATATCCAGTTGATTCCTAGACACGCCATTACACATCCATGGGTTTTCGTGACGTCTATTTTCGCTGAAATCACCATCTTGTCATACTTGGTTTCGGCCACGGTGCTTTTCTTTGCTACAAACTATATTGAAAAGTTCTGGGGGTATAAGGAGGTACTCAAGTTTATTGTGCTTGTGGGATCGCTTACAAACTTGACAACCGTCATGGTGGCCATTGTGAGCAATATCTTCCGTAATGACGTGAGAGGCATGGATCAACCTTTGGGTGGCGGGATCTCTTACTTCTTTGGGTTCCTTGTGGTGCTCAAACAGATCATTCCAGAACACAATGTGGTTTTGTTCCAAGGTCTTATCAACTTCCGTGTGAAACACATCCCATTCATACTTCTAGTCATTGTGTCGTTATGGTCGTTGGTCATCTCAAGGTCGTTGTATCCTGCTGTGCCCTCTGTGGTGTCTTTCTTTGTCAGCTACAACTACTTGAGATTCTACCAGACGTTCGCTACCGACCCGCTTTTGCCTGTTACTTCCGTAAGTGGAGACCAGAGCAATGCTACCATCACCAGCGGAGACGCGTCGGACGCTTTTCTGCTTGTTGAGTTCTTCCCCAGCGCCATTAAAGGTCCTACGTCGGTTGTGGTTAACCTGGTCTACGATGTTAGCGTTCTCTTGGGAATTGTCACGCCTTTCAACGACGAGGCTGTTGAGCAGAGTAACTTGCGTGCCCAGAAGATCTCTGAACAAGTGAGCAAGGCCAACAGGCTGATAGCGAACTCTGTTGCAGAGAGAAGAAGACAAGTTGCACTTCAGGTAATTGAAGATAGAGTCGGACAATCGTAAACGATGCTTTAATTTTGATTGAGATAAGGTTTTGTGAGACAATGGACATTTTGAAGATATTCTCAGCCACCGGCGCAGAGAAGGAATTGGCAGGTTTACCCCTGAGGCTGTCTCTGAATGGTTTGACTGATGGCAGTGATTGAAGAATTCAAGGAGCATGGCTGGTTGACGGAGCCCGAAACCGGTTCTTCTGGCCTCAGCTTCACTGGTGCTAGACACTACTACACTCATCTGTCTTCCACAGCACCTGCCACGTCTCATACCATCTACTTCCCACCCCGAAAACTTCCTTCCCCTTATAGTGCTGGCCTCTCCGTCCAGGCCGTTCTCGTGCCTCGGTGGACGCAGCCCACGCTATAGCCCATATTTAGCAATGCCTCTATATTGCCCACTCTACATCAAAACATGCAATAGAAGAATACAAAAACGGCGGCAACACCTCTACTGGTTTGGGATCTTCGAAACACAAAACAGAACAAAAAAAATTCTCACAAAAACACCAAGAAACGAAGACTACCCACAAATTAAAAAAAAAATAACTTCTACTTCCAAACCTTCTTTTCTCCCTATACTACTCCCAAGACCCTTCTGTCCTGCACCCTCCCACCCAGAGACATATCTTCGCAAAACACCAACCCTCCGAAATAGACGAGCATTTGATCCCACCTTCTTTTCATGCTAACTCTTCGGTTAAGGCCTAAACAGAAGCCTGGCTCTGGTTCCAGCTCCTTCTTACCGGAACCAGCCACTTTCAAGGCCATCCGCCCGCGTTCCAACAAAATAGGCTTCATTCTCGTTGCCCTAGTCTTTTTCTGGTTCTTGAACCCTCTTCTGTGGATAAAAAGTCATTGGGCTCCTCCAGCGCCTCGGTACCCGCCAGCACATCCTTACACTTCCGAGCAGGTGATCGAGACGCCGTCAAAGTATATATATCCTGCCGTGGAACATGTTGCTAAACTTAAGGAGCTTGGAGGGAAGAACTTGGTGAGACAGGTGCGGGTGAGAGACGCTGATGTGCCTGAGATGGAGAAAACGGTGTTGCAATCGCTAAATGTGCTTGATGATAAGGACCCAGTGGTTCAGAAGCAGAAGGAGGAGGCGGATAACGCTAAGCTGGAAGATGCTTTGGTGAAGAACACGTTCAAGAACCACGACAAGGTTGTGTTTAGACCAAAGTCCATGAAAAATTATCCCAAAGCGGTCATTGTCACTGCTGTTGACTTTGACAGGTATTCCGTTGACGCTATTACCAAGATCGTGCAAAATAGAGTCGATTACGGCCATCAACAGAACTACGGTGTGTATGTTCGTTGGGTTCAAGAGTTTATTCCTACGATGAACTCGTTGAACTTTTTGACAGACAAGGAAAGAGCCAAGTGGGTCCGTATTTACTGTCTACGAGCCGCCATGTTTGCATTCCCACATGCTGAATGGTTCTGGTATTTTGATGAAGATGGATTTGTTATGAACCAGAAGGTTGATCTCATAGACTACTTGGTGGGACCTGAGGCATTAAAGAGAAGTTTGCTCTTGGAGCAGCCTGTTATCCCACCTGATGGGCTTATCAAGACTTATAAGAACGTTCAGCCAGGACGTATAAGACTCGTGTTTACCCAGTCAGACAGGAAAATCGAGTCTGGCTCTTTCATAGTCAAAAATGACTTCTTGGGCAGAGGTCTACTAGACACTTGGGGAGACCGCTTGTTCCTCAATTATAACAACTTCCCATATGGTCCAGAGTCTGCAATCACCCATGTTCTCCAGTGGCATCCGTTCGTGTTGAGCAGAACTGCTATTGTCCCTGCAAGAACGATAAACTCAAAGCACAGCGAAAATGCTCTTAAAGAAGAAGCTCAAGATGAGTTCCACTACTACTCAGGCGATTTGGTCGTCCAGTGGTCTGATTGTGAAACTCCTCTTAAATGCGAGGAGATTCTTAATGGTTACCATGCCATCTTGAAGAAACAGCAAGAGGTCCCCCAGAAAAATTAGCATTTATAGACGAACTAATTATGACAGTATATCATTAATCTGATCCAGGCTCTACAATTTGTTCTATCAAATACAACTGTATAATTCAAACCAATATAAAATAATAAACAGACTAATGAGATTTAGAAATCCTTAGTAGTGTATGTGTTGGATTCCGTTGGAGTGTAACTCCAGAAGGTGATCTTGTTGTCACCAGAAGACCACCAGGAGGAGACCTTACCAGTGTCATTGTTCTTCACCTTTCTTGGCTGGAAGAGACCTTCGAAACTGCCGTCCATGTCAGCACCAAGGTTATCGTCGAGCTGTCCGCCGGCGACAGCTGGAGCAGCGATAATGACGACAAAGAGAACAAGAATAGCAAAGTACAAGGTACAGTACTTTCTGACAATTCTCTTTCTCAACTTGGCCTGCTTCAAGGAGTAGATTGGAGGTCTGATGAGTCTAGATGGCTTCAACCAGAACAACATGGTGGAGTGCCATCTGTCAATGAGTGGAACGCACAAGATAGGCAACTGAATGAACAAAATCAAGTGAGCGAGGATGAAATCACCGGCAAACTCGGACATTTCAATGATTTTAGCGACGAATTCTCTGGCTGGCTGAGTAGCGGCCATGTAACCCATACCGGTGTTGTACCATCTACCAGTCCAGAAAGCGGTGTTGGACTTGTCGTTCTTGAACTCTCTGGTCAAGAAAAGCAAAGTCAACAACTTGAAAATGACTCTCTGGATGTAGATCATTGTGATAACACCCAACAACATTCTAGCGAAGTTGAATCCTTCCAAGACCCACATGACAACGAAAAAGACCAAGTGGACAATGACAGCAACACCGTGAGCGACACCAGCGATAACAGCACCAGTCTTCTTACAGCACAAGCCCAATAATGGACCAGCGCAACAAGCCATAGCGACACAGACACCCAAGCAACCAGCATCGATAACGATTGGCCCGAGGGAACAGATAATAATTCTCAAAACAGAGTTCACCTGGATTGGCTCGTCAGAGTCTCTACCGTCTGTTGTCCATCTAGTAACACCAGTCTGGGCGTTGATAAAAGTGAAAGCAACGAAAAGACCAGCAGCGTAGAAGACACAAGGCAAGAAGTCAGCCATGAAAACGTTAGATCTGTGAGCTCTGGATGCATCACCAGCAGATTTCTCAGAAATGTCACCAGTCAACTTTCTCTTGAAACCAGTAACTCTGGATCTGGAAAGCTTGATGTAACCAATCCAAGAGTTTCTGTGCCATTTGGTGTTACCACGAGACAACCATCTGATGAAGTCACGGTAGTCAATGAAGAAATCTTCCCAAGCGAATTGATGTGGGTTGAAAACGAATGGAGAGAACATCAATGCAGACAAAGATGCCCAGAACCACAACAATGGTGCTTGCCAGTGTGCAACGGAACCAAACAAGATAATCAACATAGATCTAGAACCCATGTAGATGGCGGAGTCAGCGAATCTGGAGAACAAAATGGAGAAAGGAATACGGGAAGTAGCGAAACCTCTACCGGTAGAAATGTATCTGGCACCACCCACAGTCAAGTCAGTGAACAAGGAGTTGGAGTAAATCTGGGCAAGGAACACTTCGAACATAGGAGACAAAGAAACAAAATGTCTGAAGAATCTCTGAGTAGCCTTCCAAAGACCTCTCTCGATCAACTCTTGGACAACCAAAGGAATAAACGAAATCCAGAAAACAATGAAAATGGACAAGGTATAACGTCTAATCCAGTCAATAGCAGGGTCCAAGTTGTAACAACCGAATGGCAACAATGGATCAGTAACAGGAACATTTCTGTCGTAGTCACACAAGACGGATTCGTGAGCCAAGGAGTTCAAGTTAGCCAACACCAACATAAATGTTTGCAAAGACAATTGAATAAACAAGTTGTTAATGTGGAAACCAGGATGACCATAGTAGAAAGACAAGAATCTGTCCAATGGCAACTGAGTAGACAAGTAGTAGTATTCTCTGGACAACATCTGCTCACCCATACCAGCACCAATCTTGGTGGTAAAGTTACAGATAGAACCGAAACCCATATCTCTACCCTTACCACACTGGTAGTACTCACAGTGCTTGATTCTACCACCTCTCAACATGGCAGTCATACCAGCGTAAATATCTTCGTTCAAGTGCAAACCCTTTTGAGCCTTAGAAACACCACCTCTTGTCAACATGAAAGTAGCGTTCAAGAAATCAGGATGACCATAATGCAACTTACCACCAATTTGAGCCAAGGTTCTAGCGAACAAGGTACCGAAAGTCTGTTCCTTACCAGCAGCAACATCACCCAAAACACCAGAGTTCTCAGAGAAAATGTATTCTCTAGCACCCAAAATAGCGACAGGAGCAGGTTTCTCATCGTTGTTACTCTTCAAGCCAGGAGCGTATGGGTTAACATGCTCAACGTTCAATTCTTCAAACTCGGCCAAAACAGATCTAATCTTCAAACATTCTTCAAGGTAGTTATCCTGGTTAGCATCAATCAACTGAATGTACTCACCTCTGTGGAAAACAATGGCGTGGTTCTGGTTATCGGACTTACCGTCACCCAAAATCGGGTTACCGGACAACTGGATTCTAAACTTAGGACGACGTCTGCCGTTTTCTAACACCTCACAGTGACCATCAATCAAAGCGGAGTAGACACGGGGTTCCTCATCCTCGTTCAAAGGTGGTTCTTCATCCAAGTAGGCAATTTGCAAGTCTGGGTAAGCTCTCAACAAGAACTCAGCGTTCTCCATCTCATCTTCCTTGAACTTGGCCAATCTCTGCATAGAAACAACGAACTTGAACTTTCTTCTGGCCATCTTCTCCAATGCCAATTCCAAACCTTCTGGGTCACCACCGAAGTATTGGACCAACTCAGGGTTTTCGACACGGTACAACAACTTGATAGCTCTGGCATAGTTCATGAAACCGGAAACAGTACGGTACAAAGTCTGGGATCTCAAAGAAGCCCAGATTCTAGTTCTCAAAGTGTACTCAGGGGCGGCAGACTTGAAACCAATACAGTAGAATGGCAAGTCATCAATCTTAGCCTTCAAGCCATCTTCGTTCAGTCTCTCTTCGTCGTCAGCATTCTCGTAAGCAGCAGTCTCTTCAGCCAAAATCTTAGTGTCCTTGACGAAACAGTCCCACTCAACAGGGTGCAATTGCTTCAAGTATTCCAACAAAGTAACTCTGGAGAACTGGTCGTCTTCTCTGATAATTTCTCTCAAGGACAACAAGATCTTCTCGGAGTAGTGAGGAGTGAAAACAGTGAAGGTAGGCATATTGTCAACAGGCAATGGCTCCAAGATTGGGGTGGCCAAAGATTGAGCGAAGAAACTGATACGTCTTTCGGCTTCGGAGTTTCTTGGGAAGAACTCCGTCTCAAAGTTGTTGTCATCCTGGGAAACGAAGAAAGTTGGAGCTCTCAAAGTTCTCTTACCCTCAATCTCGGATGGAACCTGGTGGTACAACAACTTCTGAACGTGGTCAATAGCTAACAAGTGCTCTCTGTACATGGAAATAACGATGGCATTCCAGACCTGAGAGATCAAAACCTTTGGCTTGTACTTGATTTCCATTTCAGTGGTAGCCAAGATCTTAGAGTAGATTCTCTTTGGCAATCTAGTAAAGATGTTTCTCCATGGGGTCAAGATAGAAATACCCAAGTAGAACGAACGACCGATGGAGAACACACAGTTACAGATAATGTACCACATGTAAGTATCCAAGAAGAACAAGAACAAATCAACGAGAAGCATCAAACCCAAAACGATCTTACCCTGCTGTTTACACAAGGTGTCACCGAACCATTGTTCACCGTTACATCTCATTTCCATGGTAGACAAGTTTCTGATAGGATCTCTCAAAGACAAAGTCAAGAAGAAATAAGATTCAGCCAACTTGGCAGCGAAGACAGTAACCCAAAGAAGGTAAGACATCCACATGTCCAAGCCTCTCAAGGAATGGAAGTTGGCAGTGAAGATTTGGGAAGCAACGTATTTTCTGGATCTTCTGTTCATGTAAGAAGTGAACAAACCTCCCAAAGGCATGACAGCGAAGAAAACCAAAGTAGCGATAGCGATGAAGAAACCAACAATGGAAACAGCATGAGCCGACTTCGAGATGGCAGACAAACCAGCCCAGTAGAAGGCGTAAGCGAAAGGAACAATGTTGACAACCAAAATGATAATCAAGAATACGAGACGACGAGTCAAGTGTTGAGCACCAGCCCATTCTCTTGGGACGAACATCCATTCAAAAACAGTAGCCATGACTTCGATAAAAGCAGCGATCATACCACCCATAGCAGGGGCAGCCCATTGGGAAGATGCGGTGGGCTTGTTGTTGATCGTCTGAACGTAATCCTGAGTGTATAAAGTTGGGGAGTTGTAGGCAGTGTACATCCAGTAGATAGTAACGTGAATAATCCAGATTCTGTTGAAGTTGGTAACAAGATGCAACCAGGTTCTAACTTCCTTGTAAGTCTTGAAGAAGATGTTTTGCCATTCGACCTCACCCAATCTCATGTATCTTTCCTCCATTGGAATGTCAACCAAACGGGTGCCATCGTTAAAGATGATTCTGGAAATACCCTCAGGGTACCAGAACAACTGGTTAACATCATCATAACCGATAACCTTGTTGTGGTCCTTCTCACGCTTAACGAATCTACCCTCGTAGATTTCGTAAACTTGAGATCTGATGAATCTGTAGATTGGAGTGATAATTCTGTTCAAGTAGTCACCCTCAGGAACTGGCTCCTGTCTCTGCTGGCACTGTGGAGAGTTCAAGTAATCAAGAGCGGTCTTGAAGACGAAACAGATAAGTTCAGAGGTGAAACGGACCTGGTTGGCCTCACCCCACAATAACAAGTAAAGAGCAATGTCTCTGACTCTCTCTTCCGGACTCAAGGCGTTCATCTTGGCCTTCCATCTGATGTTGGCGGCTTCCATAGAGTAGTCACCTTCCAACTCATTGTTCAATGCATCAATGTCCTGACCGTGTTCTTCAACGGCCTTTCTAGCCTTCTTGGACTTCTTGCTGGCCTTTCTAGCCTTTTTACCGATCTTACCAAGGTTCATGTTGGCGAAACCAATGGACTCATCCAAATCCTGCTGAGAGGCGAAAAACCACTTCTTATAGTTAGCGTTGTCACCACCAATGTAGTCAGCGTGCAAAGACAACAAAGCCTGGGCAGGAGACATACGGGAGGATCTGGAGTCTAACAAGGTCATGAAGTAGTCGAACATGTTTCTCATAGAATCTCTCTGGAAACCGAATTTGTTGGCCAAATCGATGAAAATGTCCTCGATGTGCTCGATCTTGATAGGAGCCTGAGGGTCAGCAGACCAAGCAGGGTAAGGCAAGTTCGAAGACAACTGAAACTGCGAAGGATCGTAGTTAGGGTTGGCACCGTAGATAGGAGTAGAAGCACCGGACGATCTGGCACCAGCGTAACTCATCTGAGAAGGAGTGTACTGGGCACCGTACTGGTCGTAGCCAGGAGTACCAGGAGCGTGGCCACCACCGTAGCTGAAATCAGAGAAGGCCTCTGGATCAGCACTGTAGCCAGCAGCGCCTTGTTGGCCGTAGTTCTGGTAGCCATCCATGTCGTAAGGTTGCTGCTGGTACTGCTGGTTAGGGTCGTAGTATTCACCACCCTGTTCGTACTGAACTGGTTGACCCATCTCATCATAGGGCGCCTGCTGGTAGTATTCACCACCTGGCTGACCACCCTGTTCTTGATTCGGGTCGTAGTAGTTGTGGTTGTTATCGTAAGACATCTAGTCTGTTAGTATCAGCGTTTGAAGTCACACACCACGTTTTGAACAAAAAGTTTTAGGGATAAAGCGAAAGACTGAAGGGGGATCAGAGACAGAAAACGAAAAAACTCCTCAACGCGAAATAAAAGGACCGTGTGAGGCAGGAAAAACGTATGAGAAACTTTTCTGGCTGAGTAAAGAAAAAAAAAAGATGATTTTTCAACCGAGCTGGAAAGTTTTTCTAATACGATGTTTTGCTTTTTTTTTTCGATTTTTGCAACTGTGTCTAACAAAGAAGGTGGAATAATGGGAGTAAAAAAAAGTTTGGAACGGGAACTGGTCTGAGGAAATATGGTTTAAATTTAGAACCGCTGGGCGTAGCAATTAGATGTAAAGGGCAAGGAAGTGCTCGAATCAGGAAGGCAGGGAGCAGCGGCTTGTGTGCAGTGCTCAGGAGAGCCCGGATCAAACGATTACCCACGAGGAGGTGAAATCGAGAGATTTGTGTAGCAAGGCGGGTGTTGTTTGGTATGCAAAGACATCTGATGGCGTAGTTTCTTTTTTGTCGAGTTCTCGGAGAAATGTCGATCTGGTAGGCTGGTGGTGTCAACGAAAAACAGACCCTTGGTTCAGTCCAAATGCAAATTCGCTTGGCCTGAATAGAGACATGAGACAGGCAACATGCCGCGCAGAAGGGTTAAAATCACACAAAGAACAGGCCAAAAAAAAAAAAAAAAAAAAAAACTTGGGAGAGAGAGGAAAAAGCAATGCCAAAAGATCCCTCGCAGCACGTGATGCGCTTGAAATTCCCAGTTCCCACCGGGCAAGTCGAGCTCAGAGAGCTGTTCAGACTTGGTAGAAAACTGAAAAAGTCATTCCAAACAACACACACAAAGCGTAGCAAACACAATAGCCAGCATTTTTGTTCACCTGACATTCGTTTATACCTGATGGAGTATGCCAAGGTTAAGGAAAGGGACGGGAAGGGACGCACCGGGCTCACGTGATGGAGTATCACGTGGGAGGCGCAGAATCCTTTTTGCTTTCACAAGTGATTCAGGGAGCCCTTAGTAGTGGAGTAGGAGGCTGGGATGGCGGTGGATGGATCAAATAAGCCCTTTGGAAGTTCATATGATGGTGGATCAAAGGCGGATCTCAAAAAAAACACGAGTTTGGGAGGTGTTTGGTCCATTTTGGGTACCATTGGGCGTAAGGAGCCCGGGAAAAGACGATAACGTGGATAGTGGTGGCGGCGAACACGATGGAGCTGTCAATGACAGTCCAAAGTCGTTCAATCAGCAAGTAAACATACCTTTCGACAACGAACAGCGGTGAAGAAGAAGAAGAAAAAGGGTAACGAACGCAGCGATCTGGATCAAGTAAGGCAGAGAGGACACGAGCCAGGCACGACCCGAATTTTTCCAGCAGGACGCGAACGCCAAAAAAAAAAAAAAAAAAAAAAAAAAAAAAAGAGGCCGCCCTTCAAACGCAGCCCGGCAGAAAGCAAAAAAAAAAAAAAACGGCAGGACTGAAAGCGACAGAAGAAAGCGAAGAGGATGTGAGAGAAGGGTCCAAGTTAAAACCACTCAAACACCACAAATTTTAATTTTTAAAAACATATTCGTCATGCCACGGCGATTTCAAGCGGGTTCCCTTTTTCCCCAGAATTTTTCCTCCCGTTTTGGGCATTTTAACTGGACCCTTTACACCACTGGAGTTACTGCATTTTCCAGTCCAAAGCAGATCGCAAGGTAAAGTCGCCTGCCTGCCTGATATTTTTCCCTTCCTGTTTCTTCGGTGGAAGTTTGCAAAAAACTGCCGGTGGACCCGAAGGAAGTCCGCGCAGGGGGCCCCAAAAAGTGCCTGCCAGAGGGCAGAGGAAAGGGAAGAGCGAAGAAAAGGTGACAGTGATAAGAAAAAAAAAAAAAAAAAAAAAACAGAAGACGTGGAATCAGAAGGCACCGTGGAAATCAGTTTTTCACTGTTTTGTTTATGCTTTGTATTTTTTTATTTTCTTTTCTACTTTCCTCAAGCCTTGTCTTGAAGCATTGGGGCTTGAAGGCTTGGACGATAAGACGATACATTCTCTGGAACCTGAGGCCGCTGCTTCCTGTTTCTTGTGTGTTTTCTCTGCCTACGCCTGCTTTGTTTTCTTTTTTGTTTGCCCTTTGTCTGGCGTCTTTTGGCGTCCATTCACTGAGGCAGGCATGTCTCCAGGCGCGCTGCCAGGCAGACAGGCAGGCCAGGCTCCATGGGTGCAAACAATAAACCCCCGTCATTTGGCAGTGACCAGGTATTTTTTACACTAGAAAGAGGATAATCTGAATCTACTGGCTTTTCTGAATTTAATGGTGTTTTTAGATTTTTGAGGTTCCCCCGGAAAGTCATTTTGGCGGACCCTTTCTCGTCCACGTTTCCTGCTTCTCGTTTCTGGTGTCTCCCTAGATTCCTCGCGCTCCACTCTTCAATGCCTGTCGCCCCTGCGCAAGACAATCAAACAATCTCCAGTAGCTGCCCTGGCCAGGCAAGATTAGATAGATGGCTAGCATGTTGTTAAATATGAAGGGCAGCCAGTAAACTGGCTGCTAAGCTTCCTCTCCCTCGGTCCACATCCCTCCCTTCAACTTATGGTTGCTACTGTGCCTTGCATGAGCCTCGGGAGTGTCACAAAACAGCCTTGCCTTGGTGTAGCCAGGGTAAAACACGTCCACGCAGTTTGGACGCTGGAGGGCCAATATTGCCACTATTCGGTTAGTCTGGGTGGGCTTGATGGGTTAGTTGGCGATCGGGATGTTTCTGGACCGTGTCACCGAGTCAGCTGGTGGAAAGGGCTCGTGGTGGTGCAATTTTTCACTTCCATACAATCCAACATGTAAGGTTATCTTATCTTATGGTACGACGTGGCTTAATCACAGGGAAAGCTCAGCCTATCAAGCCAAGAATGCTGGCTGACTGTGGTGTTTGCTTTCCTTTGTGAGATTATACGTTTCTACTCTTTTAGGGAAAACACTTCTCGCAGCAATCTAGCGTTTTGCACCCATTTTTGCTGAAACGGGGTCTTGTCTCACATACTAGGGTCTCTTTGCTACTACACGTTCTCTCATCTAGCTGTTTATGGGGCAAGGCAACCTCGCCACTTCTATTTTTTGTGTTTTGTCTACTCCGTCCATCCCAAGTCGCCCAACTCCTTGCGGATGTCTCCCTCCTTGTTGATCTTGCTCACCTGGGTGTCCTCCAACTGCTCGCCCAGCGCTTGCTTCATCTTCAACGTCTCTATGGCTCTGAGCTTCTTCAACAACAGTCTGATCTTCTTCTCTTCCAACGACACCACACCACCGACAACACCGGCCTCTGGGGCTGGAGACGATGATGCGGCTTCAGGAGCCGGACTGGATCCCTCTTCTGCCTTCTTAGCCTCTCTCTTCTTTCTGTTCTTCGCAGCTGTCTTGCTTTCCTTCTGCTGGGCTGGTGCAGCACCTGGAACAGCCATACCTGGGACGGCCTTTCTGGCACCGTTACCACTAGCACCAAAGTTGCTCTGCATCTCCTTCTGGTACAAGGAGGTAGATGTAGTGGAAGCACCAGAGTTTCTAGCATGAGGAGGTCTATAAGCACCAGCAGGTTTCGTAGTAGCAGAGCCACGAGAAGCAGCACGCTTTTCAAGGTAGTCTTTAGCGGACTGTTGAGGCTCTGGTGCTGGTTCTAGCTGTCTCAAGCCAGGGAACTTCTCAATAGGCTGAGGCTTCCATGTAATGGAGAACAACTCAGGGTATTCCTTGAAGTAGATCAACTGGCCACTTGCGTGCCACACCTTCAAACCGTTATCCACACGCAATCTAGGAGAGGTCGTGGCAGTCAAAATGAAACGACCACATGGCGACCACTCGCAAACAGACGTGTTGGAGGCCTCAAACGTGCAAACTTTGCTGAACTTGTTCTGACGGTCGTAAACGTCAACAGTACCCTGCAAGTTACCGAAACCAGCCACAAGCACAAAGCGGCCGTGAGGTGAATATATTATGGTGTTTCTTGGAGCAGTTGGCAATGAGTGGATGGCGTTACCTCTGGCATCGAAGAAAGTCGTTTCAGAAGGCATGTAACCGTAACTCACGGCAAACTCTCTGGCAGAAGGCGACCACGTAATGTCATGAATAGGTCCCTCTCTCTTCAAGTCAATGCGTTCGTATGAGCCAGCAATTCCCAATAAATACAAGTTCGTCTCACCATAGTAGGACTTATTGCTGGTATCATGGTCGGTCGATGCCAACGCGAGCAATGCGGTACCCAAAGCGTTCCACTGCAACTGACACTTTTCAGCCTTGAAAAACGTCTTGGAACAAATAGGCTGGTTGAAACTTGGCACATTATAGATGAGAACCTGGGCAGGCTTGCCACCCTTCTCTGGGATGAAAATAGCCACAGCTGGGTTCTTGCCTGGGCTGATCTGGAAGTTTTGGAATGTGGCAGAGGTGTCCTGAAGCTTGAACTTGTAAGAAGGCTTCTTGATGTCGAACTCATCGCTCACTTCAAAGAAGTGGATCTCCTTATTGTGGAAGTTCTTCGCCATGATCTTGCTATCCTGGGTGAACTGAGGCTTCCATCCACCCTGGTGCTTGTTACTCCATGAAGTGACAACCTTGTTAGCCTGAGCATCAAACACATGAATATTGTCTGACCACACACCGCTTTCACGGTCCAACAAGACAGGTCTTGTCCATATGGCCAAGAACCTACCGTTGGGAGAAAAATGCAAGTCGTAGGCTTCCTTCACATCCACCTCTGCCAAAACCTCTGTGCTGGGCGACCCGTCCTTAGTGGTCACAAGGACAATCTTGGAAGGTTGGGTATAAGCGAAAACTTCACCATTGGTGCTGTAGAGGGCACATCTGACCTCAGCAGTAGGCTTGGGGAAGCCTTTCACCTCAGTGTAGTTTTCTATCAAGTCCACCGATTTCGGCTGACGGCCTGAGGTTAGTAAGGAGCCATGGGAGAAGATGGAACGTACATACAGAAAAATTGGGTTGTTTCAGACATGATGCTGGACGTGTAGATGGTGTTTCTGGAGAAATCTGGCTGAGAAAAAAATGGCTGTCTGGTGTGCGGCCACCAGACCAGTGGAATGGGACAGACCAGGAAGAGGCAAGGGAAGAATAAGCAGCAGTGAAGAAAGTACAAAAGGGGGAATTAATAGAGTGGGATTTGGGCTTCTTTTATAGTTTTTTTGCTTTTAGTGTTTCATTTCTTGTGGCGCCACTTACTGCCCTAGGTAAGGCATCGTGGCTCTGTTCAGTACCACTATCTCTATAGTGATAGTGCCACGGAGTCAGCATAGTCCAGGTATGAGGAAGATGAACGAATAGGACGATTTATAGCTGTAGAAGAAAGGTAGAAGTACTGGATGGTCATCGATTAGATTTAAACAGGGGTCTTTTATTGGTCTGGGATGGAGATGGCGCTTGTGGTTACTGCTTTTCGCAGCCATTCTCTACTATGGTTAATAGCACAGGCAATAGTGAACGTCAACGTAGATGGACAAGATGGTAGGGTGTAGTGAAATGAAGGTTTTTCAAATCCCTCGTTTGAAATGACTTAATTCTGTCACTTCTGTCTACTTTACCAGCAAATGGGCCTCAGTAAGTAGCTACTCTCTCATAGAGATCACAGGTCAGGATCACTAGAGATAAACGATTGCAAGGTGCCTTCATTGACATAAAGAAGTTCAGGGTGCTTTATTTGTGGCCCAGATTGCCCTGAAGGAGCCCTCTATATCTAACAGCATGCTCATTGCTGGTAGAAGGTCTTTTAAGCTGAAACTAGCGGTGAGTAATGTGGCCATTTCCCTTACCTATCCTCCACCTGATCACCTTAGGATACTTTCGATCACATCATCATTAAACTACTCCTTTACTGCGGTAGCAAGGACAACAGGATACTTGAGCCAGCAAGGGGATGGCCTACTACTGCTATACTGTGGACCTATTAATCCAGCTCTAGAGATCCAATGTCAACACCATCAAAAGAAGCAAAGAAGCTATCCTGGAGAACAAACTAAGAGAAAGTTAAGGAGGAGTCTCCCAATCTTTGAGCACGTACCTGCTGCTGAGTATACCTGCCTTGACCCCCACTATAAATGCGCTTTTACTTTTTTGCAACCATTCTTCTTCTTATACCGTTCCCTTCCCATCATCCCATAGTCCTCAATTTTCCCTACAATGGAGTTCATTTATTCAACAGTCAAAGATATCATTACGCCCTTGCCCTTTTTAAGCTCTTTGGTGAACTACTCTGCCTCATTGGTATCTTTCTTGAGGGGCTCCACCAAGTGGATCTTACCAAGTAAGACCAATCAGGAAGAAATGGACTGGGTTAGACGAAACCGAGCTGCCAGAAAAACGCTATTAGCACCAATCGATGAAGAAACGAGTACTTCTGAGCTTGAAATCGAGATCGTCTCCTTCGTTCTACCAGTACCTGATGTTCATCAAGCCAGTTTGCTCTGACAGGGAAGATCTGATAGGGAAGATATGGCTAGGGTAATTTAACTCACCAAGTGAGCTAATTGAAATACAGCTGATGTAATTTTAATAATTGATGCTCTTCTCTTGTTCTTGTATGATCTTCTGAAAGAAATGAACACATGCTCTCTCTCCCACCTTTCCTTAGTCTTCACTGATCGAGAAAGCTAAACCCAGTCTCGGCAGATAGGGCACTTTTTTTTTTTTTTTTGTTGTTGAATTCAATTAAACGTAAAGCTCTATACATGTATGTATCCGAAAGAGAAAAACCATCGAATGCCCAAATCTTCCACGTTTGACAGTCGTTCGAACGCACTACTCCACCTTTATGTAAAGTGACATCACACAGCTTAGTCTTTAATTCAACCAGAAAGTCCTTTTCTATTTATATATTTTGGGGTAAGCAAAAAATAGAAGTGACTGACTATATTTAGTTGTTGAGGAAGACAGTTCGTACTTTTCTGTAGCTCTTGCAGTTTTGGCTGCGAAAAGGAATGAAGAGAAGAAAACGTAAACCAAAAAACCAGTTTCGATAGAAATTCACCTGGATTTTGGAACGAGGCTTACAGATCAGCAGAATAACTGCAGTAAGCAAAATCGAAGAGAAAAATGGCAAAATTCGTGTGGTAATGGTTCTAAGAACAGAAACCAAGTGGCCTTGTAGGATGCGGCTCAGACAGAGACTGCCAGCACACCAGGTAGACAGCGGGAAAAAGCTGGAAAACAGAATTTCAGTGATGCAAAGAGGAGAAAGTCGTCGAGATTTTAAAAGAAAAGAGAACACGAAGCCTTTTCGTTGACTCCTGTGGATTTGGTTACGTTTCCATAGATAGCATTGGTTGAAGCTCTTTGGCTGCGAAAACAACTAAGTCTCTTCAGGAAACATACCTAAATGAAGCTATCATTCGACGTTCAGAAACTCAATTGAGACCAACAATTCATTAAAAACTCGACTTGAGTCACCTTACTCTTTTCTGAGACCTCTTTTGTCTTGGCCCAGCTTCCTACATCAGGCGTTCTCAGGATGGCCTGGATCCCGTAGTTGTCACAAAGCTTGACAATTAAGTTGACTTACTTCTATAGACTTTGTGCTTGGGAACGACGCCTGTAATACTGTAGGCCCCGTGGTAGCACCTGTAAAGACCTGCACTCGTAAGTGTCCCAAAAGCTTAATTAAACTTTAAACTTTGTCAGGGGCTAGATACGAGATCCAGGCGTGCCTCGAACTTCAGTACGCTCTACGACGAAACCTTTCAATATAATATCAATTAACTGGCGAGCTAAATACCGACTATGTCAGAGATGCCACATGCCATGCAGCGAACCGAAGTTCGTTATTTTGAGTGAAAATGCATAACCTTAAATAGTTTTTTTTTTTTACCTTTTCATTTTTTTTTTCGTTTTTTTCGTTTTTTTTATTCCTTTTGGTTCCAAGTTTTTGATTGCCTTCATCCTGATCCGTATTAGTCCTCTCTGAGAGCCATGATTATGCTTGTTGAGGGTATTCCTCAGGGATAGCTTGTTGGGCGTATTCCTCAGGGATAGCTTGTTGAGCATACTCCTCAGGGATAGTTCCTTGAGCCATTGGCATACCCTGGCCGTCTGGAACACCCTCCGTATAGGTCAAGTCCTCAGCGCCATTAGCATCAGGGACATGCTCCATTTCAGGTTGTTCCGTAACATCAGGTGGTGGCTGATAACCAGGCAACTTGGTAGCAGCCTCGGCGAATCCAAGGTTATAAGATTCCATGTACCATTCTTGTGGATCGCCTTGCGCAAGACCCTGCTCAGCAAATTGACCCATAGCGTAGAATGCCTCAGGGAAACTGAATTCCTTACATGCTCTTTCAGCCCACATCAATGCGCCTTGAGGATCAGGATATGGTATGTGCTTACTCAGGCCATTCGTACCAATCATGAACCATCTGCTCAATCCAAGCATTGCCTCAGGATGACGCTTGAACTTCAACGGGGAGGTAGCAGCCTTGATAAACCACTGGATAGACTTGTTCGGGTTGTATTTCCTGTTCAAGTCACCGTTCTCGTAGATGTGACCCAAGCGAACTTGCGCCTGGAGACAGTGAAGTCTAGCAGCTCTGTTATAGTAACTCAAACCCTTCGCATAGTTCACAGGGGCAATCTCCAAAGACTTTTGAACAAACTCGTCCTCTTGGGTCAAGTCGCCAGGATAGATGCCTTCGTAAATCTTAGCCAACTGGAACGATGCCAAACCGGAAACTTCTTCAAGCTCGTCACGGTCTTCAGGGCTCAACTTAATGTCCTTTGAATCCATATCAATGTCCGAGAGACTCTTCAAATACTTGTAATACTTCAACAGACGAGCCTTTGGAACAGTCAAGTAAATCAATGCAACCTGATAGATAGCACGGTTGTAGCCCAACTTTGCAGCCTGAGTGTAGTGGTATAATGCAGTGTCGAAACTTTCCTCAGTCTGGTCTTCCTCAAAAAGCTCAGCAAGCTTGTAGTGAGCTCTGAAGAAGAGTGGGTTGAGCTCCAAACATTTTCTGAAGAATCTGTCAGCCTCATCCTTATCCTGCTGGATGTTGAAGTCCTGTTCAAACTTGGTCACATAGTCATGCATGAGCAAACAACCATGGATGTAGCACACTTCAGCAAAGATTCTTCTGTCCTGTGGAGTATGCTTCTCCACGTCAAGTTCCTTCAACATCTTTTGCAAGTGCGTCACAGCCAGCTTAACGAATGTAAGTTTATTCATGGCAGCCTGTTCGCTGGGGATATTGTCACCCTTAATGTTCACATAAGCATAAAGCTTGTAGTTAACAGCAGTGATTAACATTTTAGCCCATCTCAAACGGAAGTCGAACGTCTTGTGACCAGCAGCAATGGTCAGACGGAGATGCACAAATTCCTCAATCTTAGCGTTGATTGTAGAATCCAGAGACCTAGGCTGCGGCTGAGGTGAAACACTGGTTCTACTATGACGTGGATTACCCTGGTAAGCATTCATGTGCATCTGCTGCTGCTGCAATTGCTGAAGCTGTTGGATCTGTTGTTGCATCTGCTGAAGCTGGAATGCAGCGCCTTCAGGAGGGATATTATCAGAGCTGGAACCGTAAGGCAACATTTGAGAACCAAAAGTCAACGAAGATGGAGATGGAGGCATACCAGGTTGGCCGAACATAGGAGGAGGTGGGCCTGGCATAGGTGGCACGAACTGGCTTTGCCTGGAGAACCTGCGATCCGCCTTCTGTCTGCGAGACAAGTTGCGCTGTTGCTCAGTTTGAGGTGCAATCCTAGTAGGTTTACGACCCACACTGAAGTTCAGCTCACTCTGCAACGAGTTATACGAAGACTTGGATGTAGTGGAATCATTTCTGGAAACAGACTCAGAGTGGTGAGCTGGGGCTTCATTAGCAGCCATGATCGCGGCATGAACGCCTGGTTCAACATAATCCATATTCTGCTGCTCAGTCTCATCAGCTTGATCAGTCAGATCATCAAATGTGCTGTTGAAGAGATACTTGCCATAGTCAGAGATGGCAGAATCTTCTCTAACGAGTGGTCCGTTTGGATCAGGTTCACCCAGCATATCAGAAGCAGTAGAGTCGGTTACAGATGAGTGGGAGTTGGTGTTCACTGGAGGAGGTCTTTCGAGACCCATGCCCAGCAAGCCAAACGATACCAGTTTAGTAGAAGGAGCTCCCAAAGCCGATGGCACAGGAGGATCATCCACAATTTCATCGTCCTCGACTTCAGCAGTCTCATTAGGAGCCACAACGTTCATAGACACAGCTCTGGACTTAATGCGCGGATCCTGGCCCTGAGCGAGAGATGGGGCCAGCGAAGAGCGGTTCAGCTTAAGCGTAGACATGCGGGAGTTGCGCACCAAGCCGTTGGGCTCCACGCGGCGGGTGTCTTGCGAAGCGACGTAATGCATGTAGTTGCCAGAGTTGGCGTTGGCGATGTTGGAGTGCGAGTTGGAGTTGGAGTTGGAGAGCAGACCCATCAGGCCATTAGCACCAGCGTAAGGCGAGTTGGCATAACCGGCAAAAGAAGCCCTTCTCAGCAGCAGAGCGCTGTGAGGCGCGTACTGAGTGTGACGGGCAGGAGGACCTTTATAACCGGCCATTGCCGCGTAATACTGCTTCCATTGGTCGTAGTAAGGATGCTTAGCCTCATCGTCCAGTCCCAGAGACGTTTCTGCCAGGGTTGAAGCCAGGGTATAGGAATCGTCAGCATTTGTCGGGTAAAAAGGCATAGGGACAGTGGACAGCATGGATGTAGAAGCGGAATGGGAAACTCTGACCGGGCGGTTCCCTGCGGCTGGGCTGCTAGGAACCGTAGCCGAAGAGGCCTGGGCAGGAGGCAATGAAGCCCTACCTCTAGGGGCCAATGCAGAGTTTGAGCCTTGGTGATGGTGGTAATTGGCCGCGATGGCGTTCAGGCTATGGGCGTGAACAAGACCCCCGTTAGGGGCACCATTCTGAGCAACAGGCTGCTGCTGGGCCGACGAATGGTAGTTTTGATGCAAATTAGGCCCGTTCAGGTGCTGGATCATGCCCAGGGCGCTAGGGCTGATGCGTGGCTGGAGCAGGTGTCTGTTGAGCTGAGCGGCCGCCACAGCAGCTTTCCTAGGTAGAAGCTCCAGATGGCGCTTGTTCGTATCCTGAGACGAGTGGGACAGCTGGGAGGTGGCCAGGGAAAACTCAGAGGCATCACCAGAAGATTCCAGATTCAGGGAAGACTTGGCCGGGAGCTTTGCCAGTGGCCTGGATGGCTTTTCGTCCGATCTGAACTTCTTAAAGAGGCCCATGGAGACAAAAACGAAGACAGGGTCTGAGGGGCAGGGGAAGCCTGAAGCGAGAGAAAAGGCGAGTTTGACGAAAGCTGAACCCCGATGGAAAGTACCCAGTAGTAGACGTTTATAATTGGCAGTTGGATGATTTTTCCCGGGCGGTAATTGAAACTGCGTTGCGGTGCAGGCCAGCGGCAGGAGACGAGGAGACTAAGGAAGAAGCCGAAGGGACGTTGTCTTAAGTGGGTCAAGAAAAAAAACCAAAAGAAAGGCTAAGGAAGAAAAGATAAGAAGAAGAAAAAAGAAAGACAGAAAAGAAGCAAAATAATACGAGCCTGTGGTGGTTCAGGCACATTTTGTCTATTGCTGCGAGGCTCTTTCTGGGTTTTTATTTAGCAGTCTTTTTTAGGAAGCGAGGGAAGAAAAACAGGCGCCTGAGCAGGTGCTTTTGCAGGGCCCTCTCTTCTTAGAACAAGGCGGAGGCGCCTTCACATTGAGGCCCCCAAGCCAGTGCGCACGCTCACACACTTTGTACTTCACCAATTTGGCATGAAAGGTAAACAGGCACAGCCGAACAATCAGAGGTGCAAACTGGGGTAGAACACAAGGGGCGAGGTTACGACAAACAACAAATGACAACAAAGTGACAAAGCGAGGAAGTATAAAAGGGAGGGTGTTTTCCACGTTTATGTTTTTTGCTTTTTGCTTCTAGTTTCTCCCTGGGTTATCCCCTCGGCAACGTTTGGCGCACTTGCTGCTAATCCTGGCTCGGTAAGCCTGGTGGGCAACTCCCTGAGCAATTGTGGGACACACCGGCTGTGCCGGGGAGAGAAGTGGGAAGAACAGGGGACAAGGGGTGGGAACAAAAAAAGGAACGAGTAATGTAGTGCAGCGGAAATTAAGGTTTAAAAATTAATCGGATGATTTGAGGTTCTTTTATTATTTCTACGTTTTATTATTGAGATCCTAGGGTATTTCCAGATCTCGGGTTTGGGCCCCAGGCTGCCTCTGTAGTGGCTGTTAATTGTTTCTTGCCTGTGCGGAACGTAGAGGCACAAGGAGTAATGTGCTAGGAAGAAGGAGAACCCCAATGGTTGCGAATCCAGGGCCACCCATGGCCACCGTAGGGGGCCATGGAAACCGTGGGTTTCATAGATGAAGTCGTTCTCTTGCTGTTAAGCCTCCATCCCTGAGTAGTAGGTAGTAGGTAGGTAATTGGGAGCCTGGAGGGAAGGTAAGAGGTGGAAAGTTGACTCACTCAGGAGGCCCCTTCGGGTCCTCCTTCGTTCGTCGTTCGTTCGTCGTTCCCTGCCTCGAGCAACTGCTCTCCCGCCGTGCGCTGTGGTCTGAGACAACTGCCTTTCCCTTTCTCCCACCTTGTATTGGTCGTCTTTTCGCAGCCATTCTGACTCGTTCTCAGCGAGTCCCTCCCCTCCATACAAATCATCCTCAGCATTCCCCACCTACCCAAAGCCTATTTCTCCTTTACATACTGGCCTTTTTTTTCTTCCTTCTTATAAAATCCGTTTCATTAACACTTGCTGCTTTTTGAAGCCACGATTCAAAACCCTTGCCGCTTCCACGTGCAATTTGGCGCTGTGGTTGGCGCTGTTCGGCTCTTGTTCGGTGCTTGTTTTTCCGACTGAGTACCGACTGAATACTATACTTTTTTTTTCGCAGCCATAATGCTCTTTGCAGATCGGCAAATCTGGGATTGACCTTTGAAAATAAGCAATCCAAACACCAGCAACTACTTTGGTTTTGCTATTTTTTTAGTAGCCATCTCCAACTACCTACTCTCTTGTATGTCCCTTCCTCTCTTCTGTCTTTACTCTCTTGACAGCTTTGTGCGTCGTCGCGCAGCTTGCTGCCTCGTGTTCTGTGGTCCATGCATGAAAAAGTAGTACCAACCTAATGGTGATGGAACTCTGATTTTGTTACTCGTTCCTGATCGTCGATCTGTGGGAACACAATGGCTGGTGGCTTCTATTGCAGAGAAATCTTCTCCAATGGCTTTGGCCTGTGATTATGGGGACTGTTTCAGGTTAAAGCTGGCAACGGTGAATGTGAGAAATACCCGTCATGCTGCTCTTGCTAGTAGAGAAGCGATGGGCTTCCGCTGAGCAATACACACTGGGCACGGGGGCCTGGAAGTGCTTGATGGGTAAAGATTACCATGAAGAAAATACTCAATTTGCAGGTGAAAGTTGGTTGCCGACGAATATGGTAATATCAGGAAGCGCCATTGGTGATCTCGGGGGACGTGAAGGTGGTAGTACCACATAAGATGAAGAAAGTTTGGCATGGCAAGGAATGTTACTGGCAAGGAATGTGGCAACAGTGGCCATTGATTGAAAGAAAGTACGAAGGCACCATTCTGCCGCTTACAACTGCCAATTCATGATCATCATTTATTCCCAATTCACTATGTGCTATTCACATCTAATAAGTTATCATATCTTTTCACAAGTCTTCCCGAAAGGCCTAATCGCCGCCCGTGGTGGTTGCAGGCCCAAAATCAAGCCAGTTCCATGAACTATTCTTGTTCGCAGGTTCGTCTATAAGTATCTCGTCAGTGGCCTCAAGATGGGCCAAGTTGTTTAAACCGGCGTCTGTGTCCATAGAAGCGAAATCGCCAAGTTGATGCAGTGGTGAGTCATCGGCGCCAATGGTGAAGGAGTCCAGCTGAAAAAGGTTCATATTAAGAAGCTTATCCATCTCATCGGTTCCGTTCTGAATATCATTCTGGTTTACTGTGTCCTGTGCCGGCGAGTGCTGGAAATCTAGGAAGGTCAGAACATGGTCGTCGTATGGGGAAATGGCACCAGGAATGCTAAAAGCGTCCAAAGGCTTTGGAGAGTCCTTGTTGAGCTGGTTGAAAAGACCGGTATTGTTGTTGGATATCACATTGTCCAAGGACTTTCTGCCGCCGTTGTAGCGAGCATCGTAGGCAGCACCGTATCGAGAAACAGGCGATGGCTGGCCATGCTGGGCCAGAGCTGAGTTGTTGAGGGGACGCAAAATGCCGTGAAGTTTATAAAAAAGACCACAGGCGTTGCAAAGAAGGTCACCCTGGGCTGTTTTTCTCCATAAAGGTGTGGTTCTGGTGTGACAGTTGGTGCATTGCAAGCATGGCTTCGAGGAAGAGTCATTCTTATCATTTTTCGAGTTTACCAGCGGAGCAGGCGTAAGAGCCGATGCAGAAGGATGGGACATGCTATACGCTCGCAGAGGGGAGCCCTTTGATTGTGAAGAAGCAGCAGAAGCGTCACCTGGCTGAGATAGCTTATAGTCTTGTTTCAAGGTGGATTCAAGCGAGCTAATGTATGAAGAAAGGAAGGAGTTCAGATTGTCGTTATTATTGGCATTCTTCTGCGGGCCCCTAGGTTTGTTATCGACCAGCGACTGGGGAGTGGAAATTGGGGCCGAAGCCAGAGGGTTAGGAATGGAGCGAGGTTCATTCTTCTTGGGAGCATCCGTATCTTCGGTAGTTTCTTCCTGAGAAATACGGCGAATATGGGCCACATAGTCAAAGTGATCGTCCATATCGACGCTTTTACGTTTATGGACTGGTTTTTCAACAGCAGCACCAGATCCCTGGTGGCGTTTCAAGGCTTTCTGGTTCTGGATACGCCAGGCAATGTTGGACACACGTTTGTTATGAGGAAGGTAGGCCTTGTGCTGGTACATGGAGTGTATTTTCAAAGAGGAGTCGTCGATGTCACTAAGAAGGTCAGCCACCGAGGAGTCTTTTTTCATGGTTTCAGGAACGGGTGGGAGGGGATACGGGGAGTTATATAATCGAGGTGGGTGAGGTAAGTGGAGGAACCGATTTTGGGGTATTGGGTAGAGGACTAATGAGGGGGATGCGCGGACGGCGAGGCGAAACGAAGATGCCCAGCCAGCTGGAGATTAAGGGAAGGGAAGGCGCTGGATGAAGAAGTATATAAGGAATCCTCATTTCCTTCTTTTTTGGTACATAAATTTGGCTTCTCCTCTTTCACTTCTTCTCTCTTTTTCTTAAGAAAAGCACCCCAAGTGCTGCTTATTTGGGCATTTCAAGCGTTACGAGTGGCTGCGAAACAGGAGAAAAAAAAAAAAAAAAGAACGAGCCGCGAGGCAATTGACAATCTCGGGGCTCAACCGACCAAGACCGACCCGACCGGCCCTCACCCCAAAAGACTAAAACAATACCCGGACTTGGTAGGCTAAGGTATTGTTAGAGGGAGAGAAAAAAAAAAACGCCTTATCAAGAGAATCAGAGGTAGAGGAGGTAGAGGGAAATTATGGGAAATTATGGGAAATCATAGGTAGTTCTACTGCTCCTTTCTGTTTCATGGTGTTTGAGAAAGCGAGAACTAAAAAGGAAGAAATCGGCGGGACCGTAGTGGAGCGCCTCAGGTAAGGTTTGAAGATACGGGCACCAAGAAAAGCAGGAAAAATAACGTAGGGCGTGGAAAATAAAAGAAATAGAAGATTCGGATGAAGTACAGGTGATGATGAAATGTGATAAATAATATTCTCTGACGGGGTGACGGGATGGTATTGGGGCAGGGAGAGGCAGTAAGAAGGTCAGTGAGGGACACTGGACACTGAGAGACAAATGGTGGGTACAGAAAAGACACTGAGGGAGTTGAAGAGACAGTGAGAGTAAAGCAAAGGTACAAGGAGTGGCTGGAGAGATGTAAAGACGATCTTATGGTGGTTGAGAGGTTTTGGGTTTTCCAAAACCACCACAATTCTTCACTTTTTACCTTTTTGTGTTCTTTCACTGGTATTTCTTTATCCCTTCCTTCTACCTCTTGTGTTCCTTGGGAACCCAAAAATGAGACCCTGCGGCGTGGGATCTTTTTTCGTCTGGGGTAAAATGCCTCAGTGCCTGCGGTGGGGTACGTTTTGTGAAAAATATCCATGCACGAAATACGAAAGGGAAAGCGAAAGGTGAAACTGGTGAAGAAGAAGAAAAGGAACGTAAATGGAATAAGGGAATGGCCAGTGAAAATAACAGAAATACCTAAATCCATCGATTTATATAGAAGTGGTGGTTTCTTTCCATTTACTGTCCTTCTCTGGAGCCACTACCACTGTGCCTTGGGCGCAAACGGCTCAGATCTTCAGATTCTACGTCTGCGCCTGTCTACCTCACAGTGTCTTTTTTTGTCCAAGTCCGGGATCTTCAAAAGGCATTTTTTTGCTTCTTCTTCTCCTTTGTACCACACCAATGCGCATGCGGATCCCATGCTCCACCGAGCCGTTTTTTTTCGCAACCGTTCTGGCCTCCAACATGGAAGGACTGAAGGTGAAGAAGAAGAAGAAGAAGGAGGAGGAGGAGGAGGAGGAGGAGAAGAAGGAGCATGAAGACATGATGTTCTGGATCAACCAGAGCATCCCTTTTTATATAACTCTTTGGTTTGCACCTTTCTTCCTGGCCTTTGTGTCCCCCACTTGGGGCTAGGCTTAGACGGTGTTTGGGAATGGAGATCGAAATAAACCTACCCTCCCACAATCCCCTGATTTAATGGTCACAACGCATTAAGGCCGCCCAATGGCGGTCAAATGGCGGCTCAGGGACGTTAAAGGGACGTCCTAAGTAGAGGGGACTGCCCTGACTACCACGATCCAACTACACCTAGTCAACCTGGTGTTGCCATTCTGGGGTGCTACAAATTAGGCTTTATAAAGCCAGGTGGGTAGAAATAGGCGGCACCGACCTCGAGGTGCCAGTTGGAGGGACAACCAAACGTATGAGGGGAGGGTGGCAGGAAGAGTAAACCGGGAAGAGCCGTAGCTACTGGCCAACTGAGACATGCCTAATGTATGGACTAAGCTTTAACGCTATGGTTATGGTCACGCATTGCCAGTTAGGAATAGTTGTAAGTGGCTGCGTTGGTAATTGAGGACACTAAGTTTGCTAGCGGCATACTTGGTGTGGTAGTATAAACTAGAATTGTACTTTTGGTTGGCCATCTACTATGTGTGCTACCCTACTGAGGCTACACAGAAAGGTAGCTTAAGTAATGCTAAACCGTAGAACCTGAAAATCAAATAATAAAGCATTTAATGGGTTCCTCTAAATCACAAAACCACCCCTTACATCTTCCTTCCCTTAAATCAACCGCTAAGGATCTCCCCTCCACAGTATGATCTGGTAAACCGGGATTGCCGAGTCGCCAACCTTAAAACAATACACCAACCATATCCAATCCAGAAAACAACCCACCCCTTTAGAACGCCACCCAAATCCTGAAACACAAAAAATCTCCCCTTTAAATCAGCCCCTCTTCTGCTGAAACCTTATCTCTTTCTCACCTGGTTCCTCATACTCGCATTTCGCAGCCATTACACTTTTCGCACCATAACAAGTAACAAGCCCATCTCATCTATATATCTCCAGTTATGGCAGACAAGGTCAGGGAAAACAACGAGTACCTTCGACACAAGGCTAAATATATTGGCATAGGCAATGCTGATACCACACGTGACGAGTTTTTCACCAATGTTCATCGCGATACGCTAGCTTCTATAGCTCAGCATGATAGTCTATTGATGTATAATGCTGTGGCCTTGAATAAGCCAAAGGCGTTTGTGAAGCAGGATCTTATTAAAAGGATGGTTCAGCCGTTAGAGAAAGTGACGCCGAAGGAGGAGGAGAAGTGAGGGAGGCGTGGGAGTGATGGTTGGCCAGACAGTGGATGGAGCAGAGGGAGCAGAAGAGACAAAAAATGGAAGGAGCGTGGAGCCCTCTGGCCTATCGGTTTATCTGGTTCCCCTTATGGGCTGGTACCTTTTTGATGTGTCATGGGATCTGGTGTTCCTTTATTGTTCCCTTCTCATGAGTTGGACATTGGTCCAAGCGTGAAGAGTACCAGTTGACATGGAAATTGACGAGAAACCCATGACAGTGACCGAACTCACTTGCCCCTGGCAGTGCCCGTGGCAATGTTATAGACCTCCAATGCCCCCAAGTATCTATTGATGACGGTATCGTACCACTACTGACCACCTGATAAGCAACATTGTGAATAGCACATGGAAGTGAAGCTTCCCCAACGAATACCTAGCCCCATGGGGCGATCTCCAGTCCAAAACTTTCCCTGGAGATTGCTACACTTTCCTTCAAAGATTGCATCAACAATTATTAGTAGATTGGTCCAGACCAGGCATGAAAGACACCGTGGGAGCTCTAGATCACCAAGATAAGGCCCGATAAGTCCCGATAATGGACCCAAAAACCCTCAAGAGCAATTCCTGGCCGCAAACAAATGACCTTTCACGAACCATTAGCTCATTTACCGATGCAGACCTGGTTCAATATAACCTTTTCCACTAGCCACGTTCTACTGAAATCCACCCCCCCAAAGCGTCATTCACTACACAAAAGCAAGAATTCCCTGAATACCCAGAATTCTAAGCAATCTTCACAGATCGTCCCAAGACCATCGCATGGGACCAAATACTACCGATGCCCATAGCTCTAAACCTCATCTCTTCCAACCACCAACCACCAACCACCAACCACCAACGCAAGCCGCAACAACCCACCCAACTCTAATTGGCCACGATCGTTCTTCTACGAATTTTACGAACGCCTCAGTACCGTCCATTTCCCTCGAAGAGCCCACGTTTTCCATCTTTTCCAACATACTCTAATTAAATATGCGCCAAGAAACGTCACAGCCGCTTGACAGCCTCTATTCGCGCAGCCGATGAGACTGCCTCAAGCATATGGATAATGGAAAAAAACCTTCTTCACTTCATGCAGGGGTCTATCATAAATACGCCATTGGAGCCGAGGTTTTTCCAGCAACCAACAGTTTTTAGTCTTCTTTTTTTCGGCGCTGCCAGTGGCCTCTTAGATTTCCAATAAGAGTTACCGCTGAAACAGATTTTTTTCAAACGCAAGTGCACCAAGTCGAAAATAAAGTCTTCCTGCTCTTCTGCTAATTCCAACCAGAATGTGCCGTTTTCTCGTGAGAAAGTTGAAGTTCAAGGCGGTGAAAAACCGAGAAGTGTAAGCCACTCGTCCGACAATGTCCAGCCTTACAGGTTGACTGTTGACGCGGTGGCGTCGTTGTTTCTGGTGAATGTTGAATCTGGTCTTTCTTCTTCTCAGGTTAGTGAGTTAGCTGGGAAATATGGTCCCAATAATTTAGGTGACGAGGAATCGATTTCCTATGTGGCGATTTTGTGCCACCAGGTATTCAATGCCATGGTGTTGGTGTTGATTATTTCCATGATTATTGCTTTGGCTATTAGAGATTGGATTTCCGGTGGTGTCATTGCTTTCGTTGTGTTCATTAATGTCTTTGTTGGTTTCATTCAAGAGGTGAAGGCCGAGAAGACGATGGGCTCGTTGCGTAATTTGACCTCGGCATCGGCGGTTGTGATCCGTGATAACGGACAGACCCTGACCATCAACGCTGTTGATCTTGTGCCTGGTGATATCGTTTCTATCAAAGTGGGAGACACCATTCCTGCTGATTTGCGTTTGGTGGATGCCATGAATTTGGAAACCGACGAGGCTTTACTTACTGGTGAGTCTCTTCCAGTTACCAAGAATTTCCAGGATGTTTACGACACCGACGAGCTGATTCCAGTGGGTGATCGTTTGAATATGGTTTACTCTTCTTCTGTCGTCACCAAGGGTCGTGCTACAGGTATCACTGTTGCCACCGGTTTGAACACTGAAATCGGTAAGATCGCTTCTTCTTTGCAAAACTCAGATGACGATTTGATCGTCAAGAAGCGCCCAGGTGTTTCGCTTTTCACTTGTATTTGGAAATCCACATTGAATATCATCATGAATGTGCTTGGTACAAATGTCGGTACTCCTTTGCAAAGGAAATTGTCGTGGTTGGCTATCATTTTGTTCTTTGTTGCCGTTGTTTTCGCCATTGTGGTGATGGCTACCCAGGAAATGGATGTCAACCGTTCTGTCGCTATCTACGCTATTTGTGTTGCCTTGTCAATGATTCCCTCGTCATTGATTGTTGTCCTTACCATCACTATGGCTATTGGTGCCCAAGTCATGGTTACCAAGAACGTCATTGTTCGTAAGTTGGATTCCTTAGAAGCTCTTGGTGGTATTGACGATATTTGTTCGGACAAGACAGGTACTCTCACCATGGGTAAGATGATCGCCAGAAAGCTTTGGATCCCTTCTGTCGGAACCTTTTCTGTCTCCAACTCCACTGAGGTCTATAATCCAGAGGTTGGTGAAGTTGGCTTCCTAGGTATGTCACCAAAGGAGATCAACGACATGGACGAAGAGGCCGACTTCAAACCTTTCGACCCTAAGGAGTCCCTGTTTTTGTTCTCCAGATGGTTGGACATTGCAACTTTGGCCAATATCTCCACTATCCAGCCAGTTGAGAAGGATGCTGGTACTGTTTGGGAAGGCCAAGGTGATGCTACAGAGATTGCAATCAACGTTTTCTGTACTAGATTGCAGTCTACTAGAGACAAGCTCATTGGAGAGAGGTCCTTAGAGCACTTCTCTGAGTTTTCCTTTGACTCTTCCATCAAAAGAATGTCTTCTGTCTACGGTGAATCAAGCTCTGATGCTATGGTTTACACGAAGGGTGCAGTCGAGAGAATCTTGGACATTTGTGAGTTCAAGTATGGTTCAAACGATGCTGGTTCTAAGGAGCCACTTACTGCTGCCCACAAGAAGGAGATTGAAGAGGTCATGAACAATCTTTCCAGCGAAGGTTTGAGAGTGCTTGCCTTTGCTGAAAGAAATGTGAACTGTACCAAGATCAATATCAACAACCGTGAAGAAGTGGAAACTGGTTTGACGTTCCTAGGCTTGATCGGTATTTACGATCCACCAAGACCTGAGACCAGAGGTTCAGTCAAACTTTGCCACCAGGCTGGTATTAACGTCCACATGCTCACTGGTGATATGTTGGGTACTGCTAGAGCAATTGCCCAAGAAGTGGGTATTTTGCCTCACAACTTGTATCACTACTCTGATGAAGTGATCAAGTCGATGTGTATGACGGCTACTGAGTTCGACAAGCTCAGTGATGAACAAATTGATAACTTACCTGTGTTGCCTTTGGTCATTGCTCGTTGTGCTCCTCAAACCAAGGTTAGAATGATTGAAGCTTTGCATCGTCGTAACAAGTTCTGTGCCATGACTGGTGATGGTGTCAATGACTCGCCTTCTTTGAAGAAGGCTGATGTTGGTATCGCTATGGGTCTTAATGGTTCTGACGTTGCTAAGGATGCTTCTGATATTATTCTTACCGATGACAACTTCGCTTCTATTCTTCATGCCATTGAAGAAGGACGGAGAATGTCTTCCAACATTCAAAAGTTCGTCTTGCAATTACTTGCAGAGAACGTCGCTCAGGCGCTCTATTTGATTGTTGGTTTATCTTTCTTTGACGAATCCGGTTTCTCCGTTTTCCCCTTGTCTCCTGTTGAGACCTTGTGGATTATCGTCGTCACTTCCTGTTTCCCAGCTATGGGTTTGGGTCAAGAGAAAGCTAGTGACGATATTTTGGACGTGCCACCAAACAACAGAATCTTTACGCGTGCCATGATTCTTGACATGTTTGTTTACGGAACATGGATGGCTGCCTGTTGTATGGCTGTGTTCGTCATTGTCGTCTATGGAAAAGGTGATGGTAACTTGGGATTCAAGTGTAACGAGAACAGCGGTGAAAACTGTGACTTGGTCTTTGAGGGAAGATCAGCTGCGTTCTCTTCTTTCACTTGGTGTGCCTTGTTCTTGGCCTGGGAATGTATTCACATGAGGTATTCCTTCTTCAACATGAGACCTGATCTGGAAGACCCATGGTACCGCACTTTGGCAAGAGACCTTTGGGACAACCAGTTCTTGTTTTGGTCCGTGATTGGTGCTTTCATTTCTGTGTTCCCTGTCATCTATATTCCAGTCATTAACGACAAGGTGTTCTTACATGGTCCCATTGATTACGAATGGGGTGTTTCCATTGGGTTCACCGTTGTCTTTTTTGCTGGTTGTGAGTTATGGAAGTTCTGCAAGAGACGTTACTATAAGAATTTCTCACAGGAAGCTAATCATCTCGAAAGTTATGATCCCTTCCTGGCTTATTCTTCCTTCTCAATAGACAAAGTGGCATAAGGAGATGATGATGTTGGTTTTTTTCATGCTCTGATGGATGCTACTTTCTGATGAGGATTTTTTCCAGTATTGTTGTTTTTTAGAGCTACTTGTTGTTAGTTATTTCGTTTGCTTTTCATAAATACATTCTATTAGAAGATATCGTTCTCGTAAGGGCAGTTGAGACTGTTGTGTCCATCACGTTCACAAAGCCCACACCAATTCTGTCTTCCACTGCTAGGATCAACAGGTTTGGGTGGCTTGTAGATACCTAGCGTCTCGTTTTTGACGTAACTCACAGGTTTCGTGTTTTCCTTATCATCAGAAGCGTAAGAGTCCTCCTTCGGTTTTGGCATGGATTGCTGGAGACGTAGCTTTTCCAACTCTTCAGCAAGTTGCTTCTTCTCCTGTTCCATGGCAGCCAAGTTTCTATCTTTATCAGCTAGGGATTGTTGGTGAAGCAGGTCGACCTCTTCAAGTGATGTCTGGAGCTCACTGAGTTCTTCGAAAGTAGGCCTCATTTTGAGTTCATGAGTGAGGTCTTCTATCTTCTTTTCTAATTCTTCTGATCCTGATCCGCTTTTGTTTGAACCGTTACTAAGCTCTTCTCGAAGCTTAGAAGTTTCCTGCTTGGACGCATCTAATTCTGTTTGAAGGCCTTCTAGACGTTTCTCAAGAGCTTTCTGAGCTTCAAAATCCTCAGACTTCTCTTCCAACTGCTTTTCGAGCTGTTCAATCTTCTTCTTTGAGTCTGTTAACTGTAAGCTATCCACCTGCAGCAGGAGACCGTCGACTTCTTTCTGTTTTAGATCCTCGAGCTCCATCTCCAAGCCAACAATTTTAGCATCTCTCTCCTTAACATTAGCCTGGCTATCCTGAACCACAAACTCTAACGACGTAACATCTTGCTGGAGTCTATTGAGAGATTTTTCAAGTTCCTGTTGTTTTTCGTCATCTTCAGCGGCTCCTGAAGGTGCTTTCTCGGCAAGCAGCTTCTTAATCTCTTCATTCTCTGCTGTCAATGACTTAATACGTTCTTCAAGCTCAGAAACGCGTTCTGAATCACCTTGATTCTCAGAAGCAGCCATGTTTCCTCTAAGTTCCTCGATCTGCTGCTCGTAGAGCTCTTCGGCTTCCTGTTGAGCAGACATCATAAGCTGCAAGCTCTCTCTCCATTCCTCTCTAGCTTTATCATTGTCAGCCTTTTGCTTCGCCAATTTGTGGTTCTTCTGCTCGAGCTCTTGTTCTAGGTCTCCAAGCACAGCTTGCAACTCGTTGACAGTATTCTGAAGACCAGCTAGGATATTGTCACGTTCCTGAAGATCATTATCTTTGCTATTAATAATAGCCCTCAACTGGCTGATTTCCCGCTTGGCAGCCTCGGAGTCATACAGACTTCTTGTTCTATCAAATAAATCACCCAGATCACTTCTAGATCCAGCTACTGACCGAGCACCACTTCCCATAGAATCGCCAGAAGCCACTCTTCTCTTAGCAACCATAATAGGCTGGGCCAATTGCGGACTCTGATTCTGTGAAGTTGGCCTGCTAGCCCTAGACGGTGGTTTCTGGCGTGGAGAAGGCGTCCTTAGGTCCTCTGAATACCCAGACAGAGGCCTTATGGTATCCTCATACTTGGGGAGTCTGCCATTGGCAGTTCGAAGTCTCTCCCAAGGAATAAACAAACCACTCATAGGCTGTTGAACATCGAAATACTGGATTCCATCAACAGATCCATTGTTCTTACCTCTAGAGGCTGCTATGGGTCCCTGGAGTTCTATACCTCCAAAAACACCCGACTTTCCCTGGATGGGTCCAATGTATCTTAGGATTCCAGAACCTCTGGTCGTTCCAGGTACGACTACTCTGGTCCCTAGTAGGTCAACCATTGCTTGATATGAGTATTTACCGTTGAGTATATGTTTATTTACCTTTTGCGCGCCTATATTAATTTTTGTATGGGGGGCAGATCAGAGCTCATCTTCAACAACACCATGAGTGGCTAGCTTTTTAGCGTACGCCCATTTGGATTCCAGGAAACTTAATTGAGGACGGCTGCGTTGTCTAGTACCGTCTTCAATGAGCTTGGTTCCTTGAAGGTCCTTGATCTGACCTTCTATGGCAGAAATGTGTGATGAGTAGAGCCTGATCTTAGAGTTGATCTCGAATATAACCTCCTCGAGCTTATCGACCAAAGTATGGCCAGAACGTTTCTCGAGACTTAATGGAAGCAGCTTTTTCAGCGCTTCGTCGTATAACCGTTCAACCTTCTCTAGCTTCTCACGAAGACGTAGTTTGAGCATCTCTCCTCTAATTTCAAGAGGACGGTTCTTTGTGTTTTCAGGCTTGAATGACTTTTCATACTTGGAAACCAGGTAGAGCAATCTCTCGCAGTTCTTTCTCTTTTCATCTGACTCCTCAACAAGCTTCAACAAGTCTTGCAACGTTGAGTTAAGCTCGGTGGCTGTACCGAGCGTCTCTGACGCTTCCTCAGCTTTCTTGCGTCCTTCTTCGGTGATATTCTTGGCTGTACCCAAACGTCTGTAGTCTGTGGTGTCCTTGTCATAATCAAGAGCCCTGATCTTCTCATCAACCTTACGAGCGTTGAGCCTTAAAACCTTTGTCATGGCATCAGTGGTTTGCAAGACGCTACGCATCTCCTGCTCAACCTTTGTTCCCTCGTTCTTCAGCTTCCCGAGACTAGCAAAGACTCTCAATTCAATGTCTTCCAAAGGTGGAACCACTTCTTCTTCCTCCTCTTCCTCTTCTTTGGGTGGAGAAGCTTGAGGCGACTTCAATCCCACGTCAGTAGACTTCTCTTTAACGGCACTGCTGTCTTCAGGTATTATAGGTTTGGATGCTGGAGGTGATGCAGGCTGCTTTTCTTCGAGGTCAGAAGCTTGTGAATCTCCTTCTTTAAAGTCAGGTGTTTGAGGAAGATCATTCTCCTTTGTAGTAGTGTCATTCTGGTCCTGTCCATCTTCAGGCTCTGCCGGGGTCACACTCACAGTCTTCACTTCGTCTGAAGCTGGAGTAAATGAGGGCTTAGGCAGAGCATCCACAGAGGGTCCGCTAGCTGACTCATTTCCTGTAGTATCCGCCAGTTCTTCACCCGACTCCGATTCTTCTTCACCTTCACCTTCTTCTTCGCCTTGTTCTTCGCCTTGTTCCTCGCCTTCTTCCTCGCCTTCTTCCTCTTCTTCTTTGTCAGCTGGTAAAGAGCTCTTCAAGCCCTTTGTGTCTTCTAAAGGCAGTGTCTTCTCATCGGTAGTCTCCTCATCCTCTTTGCTGGATTTCTCCAGTATGTTCTTGTTCAATGCATCAAATGGTGAAGCTTTCTGTGCAAATGGGGACTGCTTTGATGGAGACTCGTCATCAACTCCACTGGACAAATCCTCTTGACTCTTGTCTTGTTGTAATGATGCAAAAGGAGAGGAGGAAGATTGGAATCCAAACGGTGATGGCTTGTTTTCCAGTGAACCCTCAAATTTCAGAGCAAGACCTGGCTTAATAAGTCCACCGAAAGATGATGATTTGTTCTTATCACCCTCTGCCTTGTCTTCTTGCGTGAACCTTCCAAAAGGAGATGATTGTTCAGTAGGTTCTCCGAAAGGAGATTTATCTTCATCCGCTTTGGTGACTTGCAGTGGCGAGCCAGGAGGTGTTTTATCAACAGATAGATTGCCAAATCCTGATGAGAGGCTTGACTGACCCGAGGTCTTGTTCTGCGACCCGAATTGACCAAAAGGAGAGGGCTTTGAAGAGGTTCCAAATGGGGAGCTGGACTCTTTATCTTCCGAAGCCTCTTGAGATTTTTCACCAAATGAACTGTCAAAACCAGTCGAACTTGAGGGAGAGCCAAAGGCTGGTTTCAATTCATCCTTAGCGCCGAATGGCTTTGAACCGAACCCTGACGTATTTTCGGATGATGAACCAAATGGTTTAGCGTTTGTTGGTTGGCCAAAGATAGATTTTGTTTCTGTCGAAGAACCAAATGGTTTGGCAGACGATGATTCCCCGAAAATGGACTTGGATTCGGACGATGAGCCAAAAGGTTTAGCACCTGATGATTCACCGAAAATCGAGGGCTTCAGACTGTCGTTGTTAGTCTCCTGGGATCCGAAGATATCATTAGTAGAAGATGAAGCGCCAAATGGCGAGGCCTTCGAATCAGTGTTGAAAGCATTGCTTTTTGATGCATAACTGCCGAAACCAGACTTGACTTCGCTGGTATTTGTGCCTTTGTTTTCCGATTTTTGGCCGAAACCAGACTTACCGAAGCCAGACTCGCCAAATCCACCTCCACCGCTTGCGAAACCAAGCTGGCCAAAACCAGAAGAGGATGTTGTAGATGATCCAAAGTCACCAGAACCGAAGGCTGGTTTAACTGGAGATGCTGGTGGAGCTGCTGGCTTTGCCTTCTCTTCTTCTTTCTTCTCAGCGGGAACAGAAGGTGCAGAGAATGGTCCCAGACTCACTGGGTCTTTCTGAGAAGAACTTCCCAAGTCTATGCTCTTGAGCTCAGGAAGAGCCCGCTGTAAACTTAGACCTTCGTTGTGGATCTCCTTGGATTCAAAAACATCCCAAACAACCATATTACCAACATTATTCAAACAAAACAACCTAGGCAAAACTCCATTGGCTTCCTCGACTCCCTCACAAGGCTCCTTGACAATCCTGGTTGTGCCTGTGATATCAATTGCCAAACCAATAGGCAAAGTGTCATCGCCAGAGTCATCGTCCATAGGAAGCTCTGCACGATCAGTATCATTAGCGTGTCCAATGAGCTCAGATTTCTGACCATCATATTGAAGAGTGTTGATCTCTGTGGAAAGAGCAGTAGATACAATGGTCAAAGTCTTGCCTTCTATCCAGTTTTGCAAGTAAGTAGCGTACAATTGCAGCACTCTCTCGACCTCACCGAAAGGAGGAGCCAATGGCACGTCAAACGTAGTAAAATTCGAATCTTCCTCAACTAATAACGTATAGATCGCATCCTCAGGCGTAGGAGAGCTCATAAGAAGCCATTGGCCATCCGAGAGAGGAGTCAATGCATTATATGTGTTTTCCTCGTCAGTATAAGAAGAGCTCTTAGATCCGTCAGCCTTGTAGACAGCAAAGCTGCTCTTGGAAACCGTGCCAACAGCCGTACCCTCTATGTCCCAGGCCAACCCATCAATATCATCAATAGAATGCACTGTTTGGCCATCATTCAAGATACTAAGACCTCCCGATTTCAAAAGAGCAGCACCTAAGCCAGGAACCGTAGGAGAAGGCTTGAAATCCTTCACTTCAGACAAAACATCAGTCAAGTTCTGCGTTCCCAGTAGCAAATCGTCCGTGGACGCTCTTTTTAGCGTACCGTCAACAACAAAGTAAACGTGCTCATTGTCAGCATTTATCGACACATTCGTCGTGTTTGGCAAATCAATGTATTTTCTATCCTCCTCAAGGGATTCAACACGGCCAATGACAACCTTGGCGGCATTGGATGCTATGTAGACCTTCTTGATGTTGCCAACCGCCAACAAGTTCAATGGCAGCGAAGACACCACTGGATTTTCAAAATCAACAGCTTCATCAAACACCTTTATGCCATCCTTCTGGCCATCAAGACGAAACCCGTACGTCTCGGTGAACGCTTCAGGGATTTCACTCATGGTTGTGGGTTAAAAGACGTAGTGTTTGAGTGTGGTTGGAGCTGTGCAGGTTGATGAGTAGGAGGCCATCATGAGAGGAAGTGGAGGTGATCCCGGGGTGGCAGTGGGAGTGGAAAAATGAAAAAGAGAGGGATTTAGGATTTTGGGTGATTTGAAGAGAATTGTATGGTTTTTTTTTTTCTTCAGTTGCTGGTTTGGTAGATGTTGTTATTGGGCTCTTTCGCAGCCAGTAGTAGGGAACGGGGGCAGTTGGAGAACAGTGATTGATATGGGAAAAAATGTGAAAAGTAGAGATATATAGGCAATTGTATTGAAAAGAAGCTTATGGTAATCGACTTCCCTTGTCTTGTGAAATGGGGCAATTGAGGTGGAAGTGTCGAGAGTGGTGCTTTACTATGACCAGTGAACACCTGAAGTGATACTAAGAGAAGAGATGTAGTTTTAATCTTACAAAAAGCTGACTTTTAAATTATTTTCTTGATTTACAATGACGATAACCCTTCTTCAACTGCCTGAAAAAGATGAAGAGAATGCTTCTTTGTAGAATCCATCTAGGATTCATCAATGGTATATGGTTTCAAAACGGGCCAACTTGAAGCCAAGTGCCCTTCAAAACCCCAGAACACAAGCGTTTAACAATAGAGTAACCAAAAGCTTCCAACGTGTTATTCCGTAACAGACTGGTATTACGTCATGGCAGCCCCACCAAACCTAATAAGCCGTCAGTTCTTTCGATACATGAAACGCCAGTAAGTATCATTTCCCATTCAAATTAGAAAGCTATAACATGCTACTTTTTCCAAGACCCTAATATACCATTTCTTTACCTTCACAACTTGCCATCACATCCTACCACAATCACTAAACCCACCTCCACCTCCACACCATCCCTGACAAACCCAACCTTTTCCACTTAAGTGACCAAACTGGCCTAAATGACCTACAACCGCCACCAACTTCAGGTACCAACCAACAAAAGGAGGCAAAAGCCAGTAAACGCCAAACGTCACTCAGTCCACAACTTACTTTGCAACCAATGGCACCCCTCTTATCCGCACCTCTCTTATCCGGACCACAACCTCAGCAGCCAACACCCTCCGCCAAAATACCAAAAAACGTCCAATTTTGCCATCTAAAAAACATAAACCCACTAAACCAGACCTCAGAAGTACAAACCTGCTCTTAGTTTCTCCAAAAATCAACTCCCTGTCAAACTACACCACCCCCACGTTTCATGCGCTTACAGACCCTTTGCAGCCTAAACGCACCCTCCATCGGCCGCCGTCTCCGAATGGCAACCTCCAGGAAATACCATCAAACGACGTGATATTAAAAAGCTCAGCATGATCAGTGCCACGCCAATTCCCTACTTCCTTCCCCTCCTTACCCAAAAACCCCAAAAATCACCATCTCTTCGAAAACCCTCCATTTCTTCCCGGCTCGGAAAAAGTAGCCTCGTAATCTCGAGGACCGTGTCCTGCATGGCACCCGCATCGTTTCTTATTCTTACCGGATTGGGTGCGATTTTCCACCGTGGATTAGGGGAAGGGGCAAGTTGAAACCACCTAAACGTAAGCAAAAACGGTGGAAAAAACGTTATTTTAACTCTTTGAGTTTCCATAACCAACGTCCCGTTTTCCATTTCTTTTTACCCCCAAAACTCCCCATTTTAGATGGACCCTTTCTGCCTGCGAAGAAAATCCGATGTCCTGTGTACTTTCTCCACAGTCACTTGTCTCCCCACACATAGTAGATTCTCACGAAAAAAAAAAAAAAAATACATATAAAAAAAAAAAAGAAGAAAGAAGAACCACACTTTAAAGGTCAACCCACGTCAAAAAGACCTAAAAAACCCCTTTCCAGCAACTCCCATACCTGCCCTACCATGTTCGGCTTGCCCACGCGGAAGAACTCCCAGGCATCGCTGCCCCCTTCCCAGTTTCGAGATTCCGCCAGAAATGCCATTTACCAACAGCTCCCTCTGCAATCACTAGGCCAGAGTTCAGCCACGTCGGTTCGTTCAGCTCCTTCTCAGTTTAAGCATCTTCATAACTCGCATTCTCTGCATCGGCTGCTGGCGCTGAGTGTGTTTTCATGGGGGAAACGGTCGGTTCGATCTGCTCCTTCGATATATTCATCTTCGACGGCTACGATCCCTGAAGATACAGAACAAACAACTACAACTGTTGAACAGTTGATTAATGATATTGCTTTGCATGAGAGTTATTCGAGAGAACAGTTTCTCCAGGCGAAAGCTCACGATTATCCAGATGTCGATGATGATCTGGAAATGTATAAAATCTCCTTGGGCTCGGAGCTTCAGTACCAGAACGTTCCTGAGTCGTTGGTTGATTGGAACTTGAACGTCACCAGATGCAAACTAATGCTTAATCATATGCCTATGGTGTCGTCGTCGCCTGATATCTCATACTCAGATCAACAACTCCCGCAGTTAGTGGGTGACTTGGCTCAAATCTGCCAGATCGTGCTACTACAACCCCACATTTCTGATAAGGAGCTTATTTATACGCTTTACTCCTCCAATTTGTACACAGAGCATAAGCTTGATAATCTGTTTAAGAAGTCGGTGGCGGAAATATCTGTCAAACAGTCCAGACTACTACAGATCAACCAACCTAAACGCCAGCTTCCATCGCCGCCCATCACTCACGGCGACCAGTCCCATCTCACTATCCAATATAAGGAGATTGCTGTACGGAACTATTTGGTGAACCTCGCCGCTGCCGCTACCACTGCTTACGAATATAAAGTGAAATGTGACAATATCAAGAAAGAACTCAAGCTGCAGCTGGTCCACGGTGAGAAGAAGAAAATGACAAAAGACGCTAAGAAGCTCCTCTGGGACGAGGTTCGTCTGGACGTGTTCCGCCGAGCTGGTTTGGAGGAATAACCATGTCATGTCATGTCATATACTTGTGTTTTATTTTATAGACTACTTTACGATGTTACGGCTCAACCCAATGCATATGCAATTACAACTAATGAAATATTTAGTAGCCCTGTCTCTTCTTCTTGAGCTTCTTGAGGTGTTTCTTTCCACCACTGGTTCTTTCGCTCTGGATCTCGTGGTACTTCCTCTTGAAGTACTTACCACCTTCATCGTCATGCAAAATCTCCTCTGCCAACAGTCTGCCTCTGTTCTTCTTGGCGAGTCTAGCAGAGTAGTATTCTGTGTTGCCCTCGATGATAGTACCGGTCTGGAAGTATTTGGGTATTTCCCACTTATCCTTTTTATAGTGTCTTTTTCTGTCCAATACAGCTCTGTTCTTAATAACAAGCATATCACGTTTGAGCTCAGGCGTTAGCTCCTTCTTTTTCATGTTGAACCATTGGCTGCCAGAGTCTGCATCTTGCTCCTCCTTGGTCTTCTTCTGTTTGTGGGTGATGGGGTCATTTATCTTGACAGCAGCGTCTGAAAGGACCTGCTTTTTGGAGTTAGCAGCTTCTGCAAGACGCTCTTCTAGGTTGCTGTCGATTTTTGGCAACTTCTCAAGCCCAGCTTGAATCTGTGAAAACTCATCTGTCTCAGCAGTCGTCGGTTTGGTTTCCTGTGCGAGCTCATCGAGAAGTTGATCTAGACTGAGCGACTCGTCTATCTTGTCACTCTCGTCTCTGCCCGAGTCCGTTTCCGTGACTTCTGCTATCTGCTTAAGTGCAACAGCCATGCTAAATGTATATGAAAAGTGAGCGAAGAGCTTGATGAGATGCGACAGGAAGTGAGGTTCTGATAATGTAGTTGTGGTGTACGGGTGTACTCATGTCCAACGGACCCCAATAACGATAGATCCCACTAAAATATCACCATTACTCCTTAGTTAGACCATCGGCAAGAATATTCTTGTCGAGCTCATCTATTTGCATCTCGTCGGTGGTATCATCATCGACCTTCATAGGCGGCAAACCCATTTCGGTGTTTGCATCGAGCAAGATCTGGTTAATGGCCCAAAGCCTTCTCTTTTCCTTTTTGGCTTCTTCTAGTTTTCTTTCTGTAATTTGTTGGATCTTTGTGGCCGTCGCAAGCTTACTGGTGAGTTTGGTGAATGTGGCGTAAAGCTTGGTAAGATCATTGCCCTCGTAGGCGTTCACCGGATCAGGTTTATAGCTAGCCACGGCAGTTTTCGCCTTTCTGGCAGCATCTTCGTTCATCGAGGTCAAAAGATCGTCTCTGATTTGGTTATTCAAGTATCTCTTATACCGAGTGACAGCCAAATCGTATTGTCTCATCTCCAAAGGTTGGTCATAAAGCGTTTGCAAAGACACATCTTCTTCCTTCAAAGAATCCAAAAACCGTTTGGAAAACCACCATGGCATACGCAATTCGTAGTCTCGTCTAAGAATCATAGCGTACTGTTCTTCAGTTAACGTTTCCAAGTTCTCCTCCAAGAACACATCGCCCTTGTTCCGTTCTTTCCTATATTTCATCAACGCAATGGCGTCTCTGTGCTGATGCAAATCGTGAACGCCCTTGACATGTTTTGCCAAAGCATCCGATCTGGTAAAGTGCTTGTCACATTCTGGAATCGGACAAAAGTACGGTTTTTCACCAGTATGGGTTCTGCAATGTGAAATAAGTGCAAACCGGGATGGCTGCTCCACGTCAAACCGAGAACATCCTTCCCACTGGCAGCTGTATCTCATCTGAGACGCCGTATAAACCTGAGTGTTCTGAGCCAAATGGGAGTTGCTGACATGGTTCACCAAAGACGCCAAGTTGGGGAACTTGTCTTCGCTGCAGCCTGCCCATCTGCAAGAGTGTTCCTCGTCAAGCGGTTTCTTGGGTTTTTTGGTTTTCTCGAGTGCAGACGACATCTGGTCGTTAAATAGTAGTTGGAAGGTGGTTGTCGAAAGATCGGTTTCGGGTAATTTTATGATATGCGCGCCAGTAGAAAGTGGTAGGTAGTTGGATGGTGAGAATGAGAAAAGAGAGGTGGATGGACGAGTAGTAGAGGGAAGAAGAAAGATGGAGGGAAATTGGTGATCTTAGTGGACTAGGAGGTTCTTTCTTGAATAGAGTTAGAGTTTTTATGAAATTCGTTTGTTTTATATTTTTAATTGCATGTTGTAATTTTGACATGTTTGTGACTTTGGTGTGTTCTTGACTGATGGGATTATTGGCTGCGAAAAGCCGTCAATTATGGGTACACAATTGCATGAGAAATGGAAAGGTAGAGAAGTGATCAAATACTTAGAAATAGAGTCTTTCTACTAGGAATCCCTGCTTAAGGCACATAGGAAGGCATGGCAGATGATTTTGTGCTTTTTTGTGCTATTGTGGTCTCATCGCATGTCTATCACTCCTACACTCGTTTCTTATATCATTATATTCTGTCTGATGCTCAGCCCACTAAATCCTCGTCTAATCTGGCAGCTGGGTTCGTTTCTATAAAGTCCAAAGACACTTTGTGGCCCAACAACTCTCTAATGTTCGACACACCATACTTGATCATGGTGGGTCTCTCCAACGATAGACCCCAACCGAGCACACGCAAGTTCTTAGGCAAGCCCATAGGCTCCAACATCTCTGGTCTGAACATACCCGAGTTACCAATCTCGACCCACTTGCCGAGACCCTTGTGGAAGGCGAAAATCTCCATAGATGGCTCGGTGTAAGGGTTGTAGGCGGCCTTGAATCTCAAACCGTCAACACCCATCTTGTTGAAGAACTCTTCCATGAAACCAATCAAGTCTCCTAGCGTGACGTCGTAACCTGCGAGCACACCTTCGACCTGGTGGAACTCAGCCAAGTGAGTGGCATCAACGGCCTCGTTACGGAAAACTCTGTCGATGGAGAACAATCTCGTTGGCTTAGGGTCCTCGGCCAACTTCTTCAACATGGCAGAGGAAATGGCAGTGGTGTGGGTTCTCAAAACCATCCTAAGCGACTCCTCTTCCTTCCATGGGTAACGGTAACCAATGGAGCCAAAGTCACCGTCTTGATGCACAGCCTTGATCTTGTTCAAGTAGTCCTCATCCTCGGGTCTCTTGGCGTTCTTTGGGTCCTTCAAGTAGAAAGTGTCCTGCAAGTCTCTAGCAGGATGCTGCTGGGGAACGAACAAAGTGTCGAAGTTCCAGAAACCAGACTCAACGTACTGGTTAGAAGGCATTTCGGTGAAACCCATGGAGAAGAAAATTTGTCTGAACTCTTCTCTAACCTTCATCAATGGGTGCAAAGCACCGGAATCAGGGAAGACGCCCTCCGAGTTGAAGTTGTAAGGCTTGAATTCGGCCTCTTTCCATGATCCAGTGGTGATCATATCGCTGGTAATGTCTGTTTCGTATGATTTAATCGTCAAAGAGAACTTAGGGCCCTTGGACACCTTGTAGCCGATCTGCTTGGTCATAGTAACCAACTTTCTCTTCTTGAGCTCGGTCAATTCCTTCTTATCGTCGAGCGTGCCAGTAGACTTGATGGTCTTCAAGTTCTCCACAACAACATCCTCAGGACGCTTGTCGACCTTGGAAACCAACTTATCGCCATCCTTAGCGACCCAGCCGTTCTTGAAAGCCTTACCCTGGCCCAACTTTCCAACTGCACCTAGTTTAGCATTGACATCACTGATTTTAAGACCGTCCAAAGACTTCAAAACTTCATCTAGCAATCTGATTTCATGCGAACCAGAAGTCAAGAACTCCTCGGCTTCCTTGGTCAAAGCCCAAATATCCTTTTCGATCTTGTCGAAGGTGATCATTTCCTTGGCCCAGAGGGAGGCCAAAGAGGCGTGTAGAGCGCCCGAGTCGACATTTTTGAATTCCTCAGATTCCAAAGTATTAGGAATACTGCCGTGTTTGTCCACAGCTTGAAGAATCTGGACTGGTAGTTCGGACATGGTTGGTTTGAGTCTATGAGTCAAAGGTGAAGAAATATATATATGAGAAAGATTTTCAGAGGCTGCGATTTACGCCGTCCCGCGAAACACTGGGCACGCCAGAAGGTGTTAGTCAGGGGAGGAAAGTGCCAGAAGAGGGAGAAATTGAATGGTGTGACTAATAAGTGGTCTTCATTACTGCTTTTATGATTCAATGGTATTATCTCTGTTTTTGTATTGGGAGCTGATGTGTCATGGTGGTTGACAGACGCGCGGCTTAATGGTTGCAAAATTCACCATACAAGGAAACGAGAGGTGTTAACGAAGAAGGTGGACGATTTATAGGAATTAAGTTCAGTGTTACCTTTTTCTTTTTCCTAGATTTCCTTCCTTTCTTTAGCCTGGATATTAAGGGCTGCTTCTTTGGATAAGTGGTAAGTATTGGTACATTGACTGTACTATGGTAAGCCTCAATAAGCAGCTATGACTAATGCAAGGATAACAGGGGAAGCTGGTCTGGGGATGAAATAATACTTTTTGGCACAGAATAAGCTAAACATCGGAACTTTACCTTCATACGGACGGTCTAAACATTCTATGCAAATGATAACAAGGGTGACTTCTAGTCACGGTCAATAAGGTTTAGACAATGTGCTTCTCTGATTTAAACTACATAATGCTCTTTGAAAATTCACGGTGAGGTTCATTCTCTAAGATGGCTTTGTTGTTGCCTGTTTGGGTAACCGTTGGGAATCTTTGTGTCTATACACCAACAACCAAATCAGCGTAGGTCAATTGTCATGCTGAAAGACCCAAGAATGCCACAATTGAATGCTGAATCCAGCTTCCCTTGGTTTATCCAAATAAATAGAAGAATATGTAAAGTCAATTGCATGAGTGGGGAACAGAAGAAGGTTCAGACAAAGGTCCAAACCGTACCTTGTTCAGTATTACCTTTCCCTGCCCCAGCAACCCAACGCGTTCTTCATGACTCGATGCCATTGCACAAAGTACAACTTACACTTCTATGAGACACGATGACGTCGAATCAACGAATAGAATCCCCTCGCATGTCTTCACTAGGCAAGTCACAGAAGAGCCATCGCGAGAGATAAGCGCCCACACATTGATACGCAAAAGTGGACCTGAAATTTCAGCCCTGATTTTTGACTTCCAGAGAAGCTAATTAAAGGGAATATACTTCGATTGTTTCAGTTGTGTAACTTCCAGTGCATTGATTTAGTCAAACGGGTGTGGGGCGTCAAGTGGTGGGTGACACAAGGCTTAGGCAATTAGTTTAAGCATACTAAACGTTCAAAACCAGCCAGGGCATTCAGAATAGCAATAGAAGAATGTCCAGGGAAGTTGACAGAATAAAGGGTTTTCTTTGCCTATCCTTAAATATCCATCAACCGGTATCCCAGGAAAAGAAGCAAATGTAACATCAGGGAATGGCAACAGTTTCCTCGTCTAATGTATTCTACGAGTAAACCTTCCCTACTGCTCTACAACACTTGCCACTTACAAGCCCAGAGGTCTAAAGACCTCTGCCTTGGTTTAGACCTCTGCCTTGGCTTATTTGGTCAATCAGACCGAGCGTCAGTGGGCCAGACCTTGCCTGGCAATCATCACGAAAACCATCCAAATCCAGCCAAAACCACCTCTACACAGCGGCACATTTAGCCGCCAGCTAGCACCTTTTTTTTTGCCAAGCAGCATCGGATCAAGAGCACCGATTTTCCCGCTAAAAAAAACCAACGTCAAATCGTCCCAGCAGCAAACCAATAAACTGCATCCCTTTCAGTCCAATTCCAAATGTAACCTCCCGTACGTTGCTCCCTGCTTCCACCTCTGCCTCTGCTCCTGCCTCTTTTTTGCAACCATTCCTGTGCCCTGCGCCTGGCCAATGACTCTTGTCATCCACCCACAGCCAACCCATCACCACCCAGCCAACCCAGACAACCCAGCCAAATCCAAACAAACCCCATTTAACTTCTAATTATAACCAGCAAAGCTTCGTCGCCACTGGGCCCAGAAAACACAAACGCTGCTTCCATCACGTCTTGCGAACCTTAGTCACTTGCATTACCTTGCTCATGCGGCTACACCAATCGGTGTGAGAAGTTCGCATTGCTGCCAGAGAAGCCACGGCTGAGAAGACGAAGGGAAGGACGAAGGATGGAAAGGGATCGAAGGGGAAAATTGATAGACCTCGTAAACACAAAGCATCAGTCACGCCGTTTGGTTGAATTGGGCTTTTTTTTGGGGATATTTGTTCGCTGCTTGCAGATCGCTTTGTACGATTGTTTGTCTTTACGTTCTTTGCTCCATTCTCGAGGCTGTACAAAGATTGCTGCGAAAGAGCTTCTGCGTCTATATAAGAAGCAGGCCCGCTGTCTGTTTTGTAATTGGTACCAAATTATATATTCTAAATATGGGCTGCTGTGGTAACATTCTTAAGATCATTGTTGCGATCTTCCTTCCACCATTGGGAGTGTTCTTCGAGACGGGTTGCTCTGGTGCCTTCTTCTTGAACATCCTTTTGACCTTGCTTGGTTACATCCCAGGTATCATCCACGCCCTTTTCATTATCCTTACTCGATAGAAAGAAAGACAAGAAGCTTACGTATAATGCACATACCTATTCGTCAACACGTGTGTAGATTTCTCTATATATGATTGGACCCTGATGCGTGGAATTAGGCATTGAGTGGCTTGTCGAAAGTGGCCAAGGCAGCTTCCTTGAATGCTTCAGACAAGGTTGGGTGGGCGTGGCACGTTCTGGCAATGTCTTCGGTGGAGGCGCCGTATTCGAGGGCCAAGCCACCTTCGGCAATCATCTCTCCAGCGTTAGGACCAATGATGTGAACACCCAACACTCTCTGAGTCTCAGCGTCAGCAAGAAACTTGACAAATCCGTCAGTGTCCAAGTTGGTCTTGGCTCTGGAGTTAGCAACGAATGGGAACTTACCAACCTTGTACTTGATACCGTCGGCCTTCAACTGCTCCTCGCTAGCACCAACCCAAGCGACTTCTGGGTGGGTGTACATGACAGAAGGAATGTTACCGTAGTTAACGTGGCCGTGGCCGTGCTTGATGTACTCAGCAGCAGCGACACCCTCCTCTTCGGCCTTGTGGGCCAACATGACACCGAAAGTAGCGTCACCGATGGCTCTGATGTGTGGCTTGGCGGTTCTGAACTGAGAGTCAATGACAATTCTGCCCTTGTCGTCTTCCTCAACACCAGCAGCTTCGTGGTTCAAGCCGTCGGTGTTTGGCTTTCTACCAATGGCAACCAACAAAACGTCAGCCTCCAAGTCCTCGGTCTTACCGGACTTGACTTCCTCAACAGAGATCTTGACGCTGTCGCCCTCTCTCTTACCGCTGGTAACCTTGGTTCCCAACTTGAACTTCAAGCCCTGCTTCTGCAACAATCTCTGGGTCTGCTTGGCAACCTCACCGTCCATACCGGCACCAATAGCGTTCTGGAACTCAATGATGGTAACCTCAGAACCGATTCTGGAGTACACAGAGGCCATCTCCAAACCAATGATACCACCACCAATGATGGCCATCTTCTTTGGAACCTCCTTCAAGGCCAAAGCACCAGTAGAAGTGACGATTCTCTCCTCGTCAATCTCAATGCCTGGGAATGGAGTTGGCACGGAACCAGTGGCAATGGTGATGTTGTCAGCAGTAACCTCGTATGGGTCAGAGCCATCGATTGGCTTCACCGTAAGAGTCTTGTCGTCCTTGAAAGCACCGTGACCCTTCAAGTAAGTGACACCGTTCTTCTTGAAAAGCATCTCGACACCCAGAGTCAAACCCTTGACAGACTTCTCCTTGGCAGCCTGCAACTGGGTCACATTGATGGAGGCCTCACCTGGAAGGTCAATACCTCTGTCCTTAGACTCATGCTTGATCTGGTGGTACAAGTGTGTGTTGTTCAAAAGCGACTTGGATGGAATACAGCCAACGTTAAGACAGGTACCACCAAGAGCACCTCTGGACTCAATACAAGCGGTCTTGATGTTGAGCTGAGCCAACTTGATGGCGTGAATGTAACCACCTGGGCCACCGCCAACAACCACGGCCTCGTAGTGGCCGGCCTTAGACGAATTGAATCTGAGAAAAGATCTCAAGGGAGCTGCGGATCTCAACATTGATGCTTGGGATTTTTTTTGTAACTAATGGGGAGAGCAACAAGTATTATATGGCGCTGCCGGGATGTTTTTTTCGAAAATGCCCTCTGGTGCTCGGAGGGAGTGTCTATAAGCTCCGTTTCTCAGAGGAAAGTGCGCTCCTTTTATAGAGGATCCCGGGCCTGGGTCGGGACTTTATCGTCCGAGAAGGAGGGTTGGGGGCATTTTGGGTGGTGAAGAAACCAGGACAAAATGTGAAAAAATAGGTAGCAGGTTGTTTGGGTAGTGAAGGTTCCAGGAAGTCACGTTTTCGGCTCGGAATGTTCCGGAAAACGTGGGTATCTATAAATACGAGCGTTTTCTGGTTGCGACAAAGTCCGAATTTGGGTGCAAAAACTGCGATCCTGACTGGTCCTCTGACTCTGGCTGACTGCTGCTTTGGAGGAACCTGGTCCTTTGACTTCAAACAACCTGTTTCTTTCCTTCAATGTGTTTCTTTCCGTCGAAAACCTTAAGTTCAGCAGCGGCCAAATCGTTGGAGTCTTTCTTTAGACTCTTGACGAGATCGGTAATCTTCTCGCATAGGCCTTTCCGGTCCACCTCGTAGCTGTTCCAGAAGGCTTCATCTGTGAACTCTTCACAAACAAGCCATTGAGATAAGGCATGGATTCGAAGCTCGTAGTCGGCCTTGCCGATTCGATGGTCTTGGTCGCCAATCTTTCGTATGTACCGTGAGGAGTAGTCGTACCTGTCCTTGGTAGAAACCTCGTTGTAGAGAGGATTCATTTTGGGCATATGGACATGAAGAAAGATAGTTGATGGGTCTTCGGATTCGGGAGTTTCTTCTTTGAACCGTTTGACAAGGTCTCGGGTAAACTCGTTCCTCTGGAACATATAGAGCCGCAGGTCTTTGCCCTGGGAACGAAGCCATGTACGCCATTTACGTGCATACGTTTGTGATTCCTGGGGATCTCTTTGAACAAGCGTACTTTCGTCAAAGAACGTCTCTCCAGGCTTATCATGGACAGGTCTGTCGATACCCAGGAACTGCACTTCGAATTCACAAAGGTAGTATGGTTCGTTCATGACATGCAATGCAGGTACAAACGTCTCTCTGTCTCCAGAACCATGAACACCTTGGTAAATAAGCGGGTAGTAAAAGTCCTTGTGGATGTTGTAGTAGGTAGCAAGAGCAAGGCTTCGGAAATGCTCTCGTTTGGAGAACACCAATTGTCCACTCTCCACGCCTCTACCTGATGGAGTACCATCTAAATCATGGAAATAGATTTCCTTATCATGGTCTGCGCCAGCATAATCGCTAAATTGACGTGTGTTATCGATTCCCTGTCTCTTGACGACCTCACCGATATTATACCGTGCAATATCGTAATACAATGGCGAAGTGCCCTTGTGCCAGATATCAGGCCAAAGAATGAAGCTAGTTTCCAAGTAAGGCTTGGAGGTAAGCAAGTAATCGACATTCTTCGTGACAAAGTTGTCTGCGTCCAAAGCAATAGTATGGTCAAAAGAAGACATGAGTAAAGCAACCGCTTTAAGCTGGAACGGATTCTTCCCCAACACTTCAAACGTAGCCAGGCCCAAAACACGTTCAGTAACAACACATTTCGCCAGGAGTTTTGGTGCAATCTCCTCGCACGCCTTTCTATTATAGTCCTTTTCAGTATCAAGCACGATCTCTATAGGTAATTCAGAACCAACCTGGCGAAGCTGCGCTGCAAGCATCAACGCTCCCGGAAGGTGAAGCCCATTGGCACTAATGGCAATTCCTTCTCCAGAATAAAGCTCTTCTGGTGGTCGTGGGATCAGTCGAAGCTCTCTCACCACATGGTCGTGAGTTGTCTGGAGCTCTTCAAACTGGTCATCTCTAAGCGTCACTCTCTTCCTCATGAGCCATTTTTTCGAGTAGGTCGGCTCAATAATCTCGTGGAACGAGTTTCCGTTAATTGGTCTGCCGACCTCAGCCAGAGTGAGTTTTGTGATCCGTGGGCTGCGCTTCACCAAGATATCATCAAACACATGTTTAAAGTACTTCTGTCTGTCAAATTTCAAAACCGTCTCTTCATTGAACTTTGCCTTGAGCTCCTTATCGGTCGTATCCTTAAGGTAATCATACACAATGGCTTGTTTGATCTCAGCCTCGTGCAGCTCCAAGTACCTAGCCTTGAGCTCACCAAGAAGCGTATAACTCTTTTGAAGCGTCTGGTAGAAAAGGTACGTATAATCTTGTTGCATCTGTTTCTCCAAGTCCGTTCTGAGAATCGTCTTGTACTCTTCAGTGTACTTATCAGAGACATCTTTGTGGATCTGCTTCAAGAGCTCACCACCGTTCTTCTCCAACTTTTCAATAAGAGCCAGTGTCAATTCGGCTTTCCCCATAGGCACGTCTTCAGAGAACTTGGCGATCTTCCGAAGACTAGGATTGATCTGCACAAACTCTTCGTCCACCACATAGTAGCGTGCTTGGTCAGTTCCAAACTTCCAGATACCTATGCCAGCGGTTAAACTGGGCCCGTTTACCAAGGCTACTGAGGAGAAGCCGAGGATGTATATTAGATTGAGTAAAGCGAAGGTGGCCAAGACGATGAATAGCGTCCTGCGGTTCTTACCGCTCACGTACACCAAGAGGTCCCGCATGGCCAGATCTATATCGTGGTTGTTATCTGGTGAATATTTATGTAGGCTGGGTAGGCTTCGCGCCGAGCCTATTTTAGTCGGTGCGCGGGTTGGAAAACCTACCACACAGAGGACAAGCTGCCGATATGGCGTTGTGGGATGATAAAAATAGCTCTTTTTTTAATGGTTCACGGCCCATTGATGTCCACACTCGTCGAGCTCGTACACACCAAGTAAGTATGCCAATCTGGTCACCACAAGGTCGATGGCCATCTGGATAGAGTCCTTGGCCAAGTCCACCTTGGACCCGTCGACTTCTTGCCAGTTGACGGCGATCTCTGTGATAGGGATGTTCTGGAGCTCAGCTAGAAGAAGCACCTCCACGTCAAAGATCCATCTTTCTGTGTGCATGTGGGGGAAGATGGCTTGCACAGCAGGACGGTTGAACATCTTGAACCCACACTGCGTGTCTTGGATCTTCCTTATGCCAAATATATACACCAACGTATGGAGGCCGTACATCAAGAAGTTTCTGATGAACGAACGTTTAACCACGGCGTCTGTGTTCACCATGTGTGCTCGCAGTCCAATGGCAATAGCAGCATCGTTGGTTCCTTCAAGGTTGTCAAGCAACTTCTGCACGTCACTAAACCTCGTAGCTCCATCAGCGTCGGCGAAAAGCATATACTTACCGGAACCATGCAAAAGACCGTGTGTCACGGCACCTCCCTTACCTCTGTTTTTGATCAACTTCACCACACGCAACACGTGGGCTGGAAGCTTCAACGTAGCAGCGACTTCCAACGCGTAAGCTGCCGTTCCATCCTTGGACCCGTCGTCCACAATGAGTATCTCATACTGGCCCTTGTAATTTTCATCCAAATACAGCACAGCCTCTTCAAGCATCTTGCCCAATCTGGACGTTTCATTATAAGAAGGAACAACCACACTCAACAAAATACCTTCAGCAGCTTCAGGAGCCTTCAATGATGTGATTCTGGCTGGTAAGTGGTGAACTGTGCCTTCTTCATCGTTGGTAGCATACAACAGCTCTTCTGGGTGTGCAGGACGTGGCTGGTGTGAAAATAATATCACCAATCCATACACCAACGCCAATGCAGTGAAAACAGTAGAAACGATGAAAAATGCCAAAGACATAGCCAATGTATGAACTAACCAGTGTGTGGTACTTTGGATTCCTTCGTTGACAGCAGCAGCCAGGCAGCGCGCTGAGACCTTACTTGTATGCAGTACAAACTCGTCCCTGTTGGGCCTATCTGTTTGCAGCCATTGGAAACCCACTTACTTCGACGCGAGTTTGGTTACTCTGTTGTTGAGGATTCTGGCGTTGTTCAAGAAAATTTCAACAAGTTCCTCAAACCTGATCGTGTCTGAACCGTCTCTGATTTTATCGAAACCACGGAAAATCTCCACGGGGTCCATTTCCAACTCCACCTCATGGGACGTGTCGCTCTCCATGACAGACTTACCCAGTTTGTTCTTGGTTGCTTTGGGAACACTGACTTTTGTGAAATCGAACCTGGTAACCGTCGGCGTGTGGTTCCACGTGTTTCTCTTTTTCATTCTTGTAAGCGAAGGTTTGTTCTTTTTGAGAATTGGCTCAACACTGTTCTCTGGAACAGGGAATTCAAACAGCATCAGTAGACGAAGGTCGTACATGGACATTGGGTTGTGGATGTAAAGATCAGAAACACGTTTCTTTTCAATGGCAACGTACCTGGGCGGCGTCAAGGTATTATCTTTACTGATTCTGACCTTCTTGGGCTGCTCGTTACGTTCAGTGATTTGGAAGAACTGGTCAGTGACATCTGAATCCAAAGTTGAGAACTTCCGGCCCTTGGCGCCTGTTTTACGTTTTTCCTCCTGGAAAGCCTTCTCCAACTCTTCCAAGTAGTTGGTCATCTCTTTCCAGCCCACTTCGTGTACGCCCATATCGAAACGAACATTAGACAGTTTCGTATAAATACACTCAGTGGAAACGCCAAGGTCCAAACGGCGGCCAGTAGACTTGTCAATGATTGTACCGAACTTAAGCTCAAGCTCCAAGAATTGTCTATTGTCAAGAGGGATTTCCACAAAGTTGGCATATATCCACTCTGCAATTGTCCTTACCACAGATGGAGGTGGAAGCACACCAGTGACAGAACACTCCAAGTCCACCGAAGTCATCTGGCCCTGGTTAAACACGTGTTTGTCTGAAACGCCCATATTGCCGTTTTCTGCTGGTTCTGTAGGGTGCTGTTTCTGGACATGTCCTTCCCACTTCTGAGAAGTTGGGATCCACTCTTGTGCCCAAATAGGAGGGTTATTATACCGACGAGGTTTTCTGTTTCTCGAACTGCTTTTAAGTTTATTAAGCGTGGCAATTTCTTTCAGGTCAACCACAGAAGATCTTTTACGTTCAGGCGTAGCTGATCCTTCTCCATCTTGCTTTACTTCAGGTGTCTCTGATTTCTTCTCTTTAGTCTTTTCCACTGGCTGTTCTGGCTTTTCTGTCTTTTCTTCAAGTTCCTTTTTCACTTCTGTCTTTGGAGAAACTACTTCCTTATCGTCAAACTCAGTGCTGACTGGAATAGGTTTCGTTTCTTCAACACTGGTTCTGCTCACATTAGTTGTTTCTCTGCCAGTAGTAAAATCAACATCCTTGTCATTGGTAAGACTGGCAATTGAGCTTCTGTATGGACGAGGAGTTTCAGTGAATGAACCATCTGAGTCTTTGTGTTCAGCTGCTGCTGCTGGAGCTGGGTCGTTTAATAGGTTGTTGATGGAGTGTCTTTGGTGAGGAGAAGCTGATGGCTTGGGCTCTGACGATTTGGATGAATCGTCTTCAGGTTTCTTGGCAGGCTGGGATTCGCCATTAAGAATAGAACCTACGTTCATGGTTGGCTAGGAAGGTCTTGGTTGTCTGAAGTAGGATGGTTCGTAGATGTAGATGATGGAGCGTTTTTGGCGATTTTCACACGTGACGTGTCACGTGTTTTCACTAAATGGAATTTTTTTGCAACCATTACCACTACATAAAAAAAGCCTAGATATTCTATAACGTGCAATAATATTCTTTATGTAGCCTAAACCCCAGATATTTACTTGCCCAAGGCCTGAGCCAAGTTCTTGTCCAAACGCGACTTGACGGCGTCAATGAACTCTTCGGTGGTGACGTAAGAGGAACGGTCGGTCTTGCCCTGGGTCAAAGCCAAGTCCTTGGTCATGATGTTGTCCAAAGCAACGGTGTCAATGACAGCCTTTTCAAGGTTCTCACCAAAGGTAACCACATCCGGTGTGTTGTCCAATTTACCTCTTTGGATGATACCTCTAGTCCAGGCGTAGATAGAGGCGATGGAGTTGGTGGAGGTCTCCTTACCCTGTTGATGCTGTCTGAAGTGTCTGGTGACGGTACCGTGGGCGGCCTCGGACTCGAAAGCCTTTCCATCTGGAGTCATGAGAACAGAGGACATAAGACCCAAGGAACCAAAGCCCTGGGCGACAATGTCGGACTGGACATCACCATCGTAGTTCTTCATGGCAATGATGTAACCACCCTTAGACTTCAACATCTGGGCAACCATATCGTCGATCAAACGGTGCTCGTACCAGATACCAGCAGCCTCAAAGTCCTTCTTGTACTTGGACTCGTAAAGGCCCTCAAAGATATCCTTGAAACGGCCATCGTACTTCTTCAAGATGGTGTTTTTAGTGGAGGAGAACAAGTTCAACTTTCTGTCCAAGGCAAGTTTGAAACTCAGCTCGGCAAAGTCAGTGATGGACTTGTCGGTGTTGTACATGGCCATTCCGACACCTGGGGCATCGTAGTGGTAAACCTGGTGGACCTCCTCGGCAGAGCCATCATCAGGCTTGAAAACAAGGGAAAGCTGGCCAGCCTTGGAGAAAACAACGTCGGTGGCCTTGTACTGGTCACCGAAAGCGTGTCTACCAATAATAATTGGCTTTTCCCAGGTAGGAACCACACGAGGAATGTTCTCAATGACAATTGGTTCACGGAAAACAGTACCGCCCAAGATGTTTCTCAAGGTACCGTTTGGAGACAACCACATCTTCTTCAAGTTGAACTCCTTCACTCTGGCCTCGTCTGGCGTGATGGTAGCACACTTGACACCAACACCATACTTCAAGATAGCCTCGGCAGCATCGGTAGTAACCTTATCCTCCGTCTCGTCTCTGTAGAGAATACCCAAGTCGTAGTATTTCAAGTCAACATCCAAGTATGGAGTAATGAGCTTGTCCTTGATGAATTGCCAGATGATTCTGGTCATCTCGTCTCCGTCCATCTCCACGATGGGGTTCTTAACATCGATTTTAGCCATGGTTGAAAAAGTCTTGATAACGTGCTGGAGAAAAACCTCTTTCAAATCCTGGGGGCGAACTCGCGAGGTTATATACTATCTCCGGGGGGAATTTTTAATTGTCTGGGGAAACCAATGCATATCCAATGGTATCCTCGGCGAATGCGACCTAGAGAGAGCCACAGACGCAGAAGGAATTGTATCCCGATTTGGTAGCCCTAGACGCGGAAAAACCGGGCGCCCTACCTTATCAGACGAAGTTGAGGGGCGTATCTTTTATGATTTCCGAAGCCGGCCTGCTTTTTGAGATTTTGACTCCATCATGTCACGTCTGGGTTTGACTCTTTCTGTGTCGCTCACTGGTCGCTTTCGGGCCTTGAGGGGGGACAAAGCCAAGGGTGGTGTAATTTTTTTCCCCACCTCGTACTGCATACAGGCACAGGGCTTTCGCGCTCCACCTTGGCCCTCATTGTGGTGCGTCGGTAAGTGGGCCTGATCGGTGGGGCCGATGATAAATCAAGTCATGAGGGTTAGGTTTTTGGAGACGTAGTAAGGGGCTTTCGACAACACCTGCAGACGACTTGGAGTGGTTGGGTTTTCTTTTGGTGAAACGGTGCACCGGCGAAGTCCGACTCCGTTTTCGTGTCGGAGTCAGAGTCACAAACGGTTGACTCCCACAATTGAGTTTCCGAGAAATATAATCCGTACCATTTAGTCGCGGGGCTTCCGACTTTGTCCTGCTTTTTCCGGTCCATGCCCGCACCGTTACCCGGTTCTAGCCTGCGATGAGTGAAAAACTGAGAAACCACAAAAAGAAGAATGCAAGACAGAACAAAAAGAATAAAAGCTTATAACTCCTGCTTTCCACAAATGAAATCAATTATTAATTGGTATGTCTCCCCCTCGATGTTGTGATGATAACCTAACTCAGCTCACTCAGAGTGCAAACGATGCTGAGAACTTTCCTAATCCAACTTATTTCTGACCATCGATCTGAACAAGAAATTTTTAACTAACAATTCTAGATTCATGAAGGACTCTTTGGCCTCAATCCCTCTATCTCACGTGTCTGTGGCACCAAAAATTGCTGAACGTGGCGGTTGCCGCCTCCAGTGTTCACCGTCTTGTGCTTCACCGTCAGCTTCGACTGAATCTCTTCTTCGTACTCTTCTGGGTTGAAATTGTCAACAAGCACGTCTGGCAGCACCACCACCCAGCCTCTTCTCATCCTCACGGGCAACCTATACCCTGTACGGCAAGGGATAATGTGCAACCGACGGTTGGAATTGGAGAAGTTCTCTGCCACTCTGTAGATCGCTTCAGGCACAGCGTTGTTGTAGGCAGCACCAGGGCTTCCCACCGGTGACATCTGCAAGTCGGTGTCAACGTTGCAATGGATCAATTCAGCGTCGGTCGATCTTCTGACTGTACCAGTGATGCACATCCAACAGTGCCATTGGGTTCTCTGGAACAACGACGTGCCATTGCCATTTTTGGCTTTCTTACCCTTGAACTCTCCATGGTAGAAACCATCATTGACTTGGCCAGGAAAGTAAGGACTATTCTCGTCCACGGGAACAAACACCAATTCCTCTGACCTTCTGAATTTCTTATTCCATTTGTCGCTGTTAAGAAGACTAGACAATTGCTTAATGTTAGCAGTAGTTGTCCAAATAAAAAGAAACCCTGGCTTAGCACAAAGCTTATACAATGGCAACAGTTCCAATAACGGTAACAAGAACTGGTTCTCCACCAACGCGCCTATCATGATCACATCGAATTGAAGAGCGTGATCCCTAACCCACGAATTCAAAAGCGGTACAATTTGCCTAGTTTCAACTCTCACTCCATAAGGCTTAATAGCATGCTTATCCACCTGCTTCTCCTTCAACTCCTTCAACTTCTTCAACTTGGGGTACCCTTCAGTAGGATTATCAACATTTCTGATAAACTGGGTAGAAGGTTGTCCTGAATGGACATACTCATTCTGGTAATCATTAACAAACGGTTTATGCTTCTGGTTAGCCCCATCAGGCAAAGGAGCATCAAACAACCGTAACACTGGCTTGGGCTTCTCTCTCTTCCTTTCCTTGGTAGCATACTTGGATACCACGGCGTTGGGCGCTGGAGGAGCGTATACCAGGGAAGAAGACATACGAGACCCGTATTTCGAATAGGTGTACATTGTTTAAAAAACTAGAGAACTAAATAAAATGGGGAAAGGGCGTCTACTTATACCAGTTTGCCGAGAGGGTCTGTTTCAGGTGGCGCGCCCAAGACGTTTTTTGCAGCCAAAAATGAAACATGGAGGTGGTTGCAGTACAATGGCTGCGAGCCGTTTGAGACAACCCTCATCTCTAACAAAACAGAAACATGTAAATGATTTCTCTAGGCAAGTGCTTAATGCTGTTTTGGTCTGCGGCAGAAATCCACGAGCGCTTTTTTGTGGAGAACGCCGTAGTACTTTCCGTCTTTTTGTAACACCACGATTCTTGTACCGATCCTGTCGAATATAAGATGTGCCAACGTCAACGAGGCATCGTAGTTGATGAAAATTGGATCTGTGTTGACGTAGCGAGTAACGTTGGTGAGTGAGTTCAAATGTGCTTCGTATGCTTTTCTTTCGTTTTCAAAGTTCACATATTCGTCGTTGGTCCTGTAGTTGAAGTAGTCCTCAGGAGGGACGTCTCTGTATGAGTTGTTGCGCTGGAAGTCAATTGCGAAGCCGAGTGCTTTTAAGTTATGTTCAAGGTACGGCTTCCACGCTGAGTCTAGGTAAGGGCTGATTTTGAATACCCGAACGTAGATATCGTCGGTGATTTCGAACTCATGGGAAAACTCGCTGATTCTGTCTAAACAGAATTCCAACTCCGAGAAGAACATTGTACCCACGCAAACCCCTTCTTTTATAAGAGGAATACAGCCGTCTAAAAGTGACTTTTTGGTTAACAAAGTAAGCTTCGACCATAAGACTCTGGTAGAGACATACGGCGTCTCGGTGACATCGATATGGAGCTTTTCTTCAAGTCCAAAACTGCTCAATTGGGATACGTCTGATGGATCTTCAGATGAAGTACTCGAACCCTTGTTGTTGGAGCTGTCTTCCTCGTCGTCGAGCTCATGTCTGTCTTCTTTCTTGCAGAAATCTCCATCAGGTAAAAGCTCACCAGCAGAAGCAAATGGATCAATTGCTTCAGATTCAGGAGATAAGAATGGGTAATCGTTGGCAATGAGCAAGGCTTCGTATAAAGAGTTCTCTTCGATAAGACCACCAACCCAGTTGGCGACTGCAATTGCAATGGCAATAGGCAACACATATGTATAGGAACTTGTGAGTTCAAACAAAATAGTGACAAGAGTGATGTTCATTCGTGTAACCCCTGCCATGAAAGCGCCTGCGCTTATCATTGAGTAAATACCCAAGTCCACACATTCGCCTGAATTCTCAGCACAAATGTAGTTCATGACCTCGATATTAAGATGCTCGTCAAGCGTAAATCTTTTATTTGCAAGCTGGATAGCCATGCCGAATAATCTTCCGAAAAGTGCTCCAACAACCATGGATGGAACATAAATGCCGCATGGTACCTTCAACCCAAATGTAATGAACGTGAGGATGATTTTTATGACAAATGCAACAAGCAAGCGCCAGAATTCAGCCACGAATTGGTCTTTGTTAGTTGGACACAAGGTTGTATCTAATTCATGTCTGTTACAAGACGTAGCGAGATCCAAGACTAATTCTGAGGACGCCTGTTTTGTATATGGGTTCCAGAAGGTTACCACTCCGGTAGCCAATGCAACGCAGAAGATGTCTACCATTGGATGGCCTTTGATAAACCGAAGCTGGCGGAAAGTCTTTGGCCACCATTTGGTGAAGCGAACAAAGAAAGCGCCAAACAAACCGCCTGCAATTCCAATGATGACGAAGAATGGAAGCTCGGTAGCTTTCCAGTCAGACTCATAGTTAAGCTCAAACAACACTGTTTTATCAGTCCCATATGGGTTCAAGAATTTAAGGAATAACGTAGACGTCATGGCACAAATGAAGATGAGGAATAATTGATGCGATGGTAAGTAATGGTTGATCTCCTCTAAAATGAACAAGACACCACCCAACGGGGAGCCAAAAGCTAGGGCAACCCCCGAAGATGCAGATGCAGAAAGAACCTGCTTTTTCAAAAGATCATTGCCATTGATATAAGGGAAGAGTCTGGTGAAGATATTACCCACACAGGTAGCTAAATGAACGTAAGGCCCTTCTTTACCAAGCGCCATTCCCGATGCAATTGCAAAAATCAAAGCCACAGTTTTAGCAAAAAGGGTGTATGATCCCAAGAATCTTCTAATGACGAAACCAGATAAGATCGTCTTAACTTCAGGGACACCGGAGCCTGCTCCGGAATATATAACTTTGGCAGATTTCTCAGGGCAATCAGGATCCATATTATAATCGTCATAGGTGGAATCGGCGGTCAGGATTGGACTTTCATCCTTCAAATGAGGAAGTCTGGATGGAATTTTCGTGGTAAGTGTAATCATACCAGCAGAAAGAGCCAATGCCAAGGTGAGAATAACGTAGATGGCAAAATCAAGTCTCACGTATTTGCTCAATCTGTTGCCTTCAAGCAAAGTAGACCACGAGACCCAGTCTGGGCATTCTGAAGTAACATTGGAAAACACGCTTGATGAGTCTACGGGAAGGGAACAGCACGACACCTGGGACGCAAACCAGTTTGTCTTACAGTAACCATGCTTAAACCCAACAAAAAGCACCTCAAACTTATCAATAAAGAATGCAATGACGGCAAAGAAAAATGCAATGATGCAAATCAAGACCCATTTACCCAAAAGAAGGTACGAATTCTGGAGGAGCGAAAGGGGCGTTTGAAAGACAGAATCGCCATCATCACCACTCTCTGGGTCTGGTGCAGCTCCCTGTTTAATCATCATTCCGTGGTGAAGGCCATAGTTAAACATATTCATCAGAATGAACGCCTTGGCCCAGTCTATGGTGGTAAAGTCGTCGTAGTACCGCTTGAAACTCGACAAAGGGGTATGTACAATGGAGAAAATCCGTGAAGCCATAGTCTTCACAGTTCTATGGGTATGAACAGACTGGAGCTCTTCAAACTGGCGAGAGGGAAACGGTTCAAGCCCATGGGACGGTCTGTGGCGGTCCAACATTGGCGACCTAAGGCCGATTTTATTGAGCAGCCGGATCCTCTCCAACGAAGAGCCAAACTCTTCCGTTCTAGGCAGTTTGCCCACATTGACGCCCCGTGTTGAAGTATTGGGTCCTCTGAGTGGCGTGCTAGGAAGCGTTACACTGCCCTTATTTGTATTACCAGGCGGCAACAGAATGGTCACGCCAAGCCCGTCTGCGGTCAGCTTCGAGTGTTTTGGCGCTGGCCGCATGTTCAATTTTTGTGCAAATGCTTAGAAACAGCTTATGGGTGTTGTTTTGATGATGGGATCAACGAAATCCGGGGTGCTTCTGATAACACGAAAAAAAGCCATACAAAAAATGCAGGTAAAGAATGCTCCCCCCACTTTCGCAGCCAAGCCAAGACCAGCTGAAACCAGGGAAGTAGAGAAGTAGTGAAGAGAAGGGGTGGAAATAAGGGTTAAAAAATGGGTCAAAAGTTGTCGGTCTTGGTGGGAATCAGGCTCTATTTATACTTGTGTGGCGGGTAGTTTGGCTCGGCTAGTAGGCGTCTCCAGAGGAATAACCGACTGGGACCGTTTATGAGGAATTAGGAATTATTTATTTATAGGCAGAATCAACAATGACGTCTTTTTTTCAGCCGAGTGGGAGAAGGTTCATGAATTGCTGGTTTTTACCTTTTTTTTACGAACTGCCGTGGCTTTCTATTGGCACTCATAGTGGTTTGTTGCAGCAGCTTGCAGAATGCACTGCGTGATGGGTCAATGTGGAGACTTGACTTTTGCAGCCACATTGGATGGAGTGGTTAGTTGGTGGGTATTTGGGAGTTTGGTAGTATGGCGTTGGTAATTGAAGGATGGTAGTGGTTAGGGACTTTTTTGGATGGTGGCTTTGTGGTGGGGATGGTAGTGGAGGTGACGACAAGGTAGGGTAGTGAATTGTATGGTCATCTTATTTGGCGATTTAAAGTTTGGCTGGTAGGTGAGGTTTGACGGTGTTGCCAGGTGGAGTTTCCAATAAGGTCCGATGGGGAGTACGGAGAGGGAGGGTATGGGAATTGGGGAAGACAACTGGTTTCGTGTTTGTATGGTGTCATTGTTGGTGGTGCTGTTTATTGAGTTGCAAGACACGAGATTGTGGAAAGTAGGCAGCAAATTGGGGTTTATTTAATTGGCTTATTTCTCTTGATTTGCTTTTTCTTGTAATTTCTTGTGATTTGTTCCTTCTGTATGGATAAGTAGAGGGTGAAGACCAGTAGGTAGAAGATGTATACCAATTACTACCAGAATGTCTCCCTACCAAGCCCAAACGAAAAGAAAAGTTTTAAATTGGCCAATTTGCTGGAAGTCGATTGATACCTATTCCTTCGTCTGCTTAACTACCTCCCCTTCGACTCATTGCATAAGGTATCCTTCCAACATCATTCAGCATTGAACAACGCCAATTGACAAGTTCCATTTCCCCTACGCCAGCTACATCTCTACAACTGAAGCCCCCAAGACCTTACAATGCCAGCGTGTTCTGTCACCGTCCAACGGTTCAATTGACAGCATTATCACACTTTTTCACTGACCAGTCTGACCCGCCTCGTTCATCCTCTACACCCAAAAGTCCTCTTTTAATGTTTTTATTCAGTCGTACAGTCTATTGTCTAGCTCTGCTGCAATCTAAGGCCGTGGAAGTTGTTTGCTCTGAAAATAGCGTCACCCTCAGAGTAGCCTCTGCCCAAGCCGAAGCCGACACCAATCCACACAGGGAAAGCTCTTCTTCTGAAGAAAAGAATGGAAGCCAAAACACCGCCACCGAAACCCATGGCGGTTTTGATCAAAGTGTTGGACAAGACAAGGTCCCACTGGAAGTTAGTATAAAACATCATCAGTAAGCAAACTGGTTGGTACATACCTTGTTGTTGAGTAGGTTCTGAGAAGTGCTTTCTTGTTTGTCGGCCATTCTGGTTGTTAGTATAATTGATCTATCTAGGCAAAGGTAGGGGCACTGTTGCTGGACATACGTATTTTGCTTGTGAGAGACTTGAAAAACAAGCGAATAGATTTGGTTGGCCAGTTGCCGCGTATGCAGGTTGCTACCAGTAGTTGGAGGAAGACAGTCAAGGGATTGGGGTGTAGAGGGATGGTATGGGGATTTTAAGGGCGGAAGTTGGTTTTGGAAAAACAGGGTTTTACTCCTTGGGTATTGTTTTCTTGTAGCTTTGTATTGCTGGTTGATTAGCGGTGGTGTTTGTCGAGAGGACGCTCACAAGACTCATAGTAGGCAGACGAAAGGGAAGCATTTGGAAAAGGAAACAAAAGAAACGAAAAAAGAAGTCCACAGTTGACTTTCCAGTCTGATAATATTTTTAGTCTGGACCGACTTCAGTGACTTGCTGGAACCACTTCTTCCTGGTCGACGTTTGGAAGGTGTTTCGCAGCCATTTCAACATATGGCCAGACCAGTCCATGACACCAGATGTCCAGATGGTCCACCAATACAGACAATATCTGCTTTTTCCTCAATTTAACAATGTTTTTAATTCAACTCTCGTCGCAAATTCTTCAAAAAAAAATCACTTCCTTTTGTTTATAGACTATCAACCAGTAGAGCCTTGCTTCCTCCCTCCTTCCTTCTCCCACTGGGTATCCGAGGAAAACCAATACCTAACCACCCACACAAGCACATTTAAAACACCAAACAATGGCAGCCATTGACCACCCAACCAAACCCAAACTTGTCCTCTCCAGCCCCTCAAAACCACTTATTGTTCTTATTTTTCACAATCAACGTAAACAACCCATCCCTCCAATCCCAGTCCCCAGCCTCCAGTGGCTTTTCCATGGTTACGAGATCCCGCGATCCATCCAGCACACCATACCTCTTTCAACGAACCAGAGACAGAAATCACTCACTCGCTAGCATCCCTCTATCCCTCTTCCCTTAATTCCCTCCCTTTTTTCCCTTCCCTCCCATCCCGATCGTTGCAAACTGTAGCTGCACATCCATCTTCGATCCACATTCACCAATCCACGCGGGCATTTTCGCAGCCATTCCTGTCTGGCACTGGAGACCCAAGAACCAGAAGAGCCAGGACAGACAAAGCCCAATGAACAGAAAAGCAGAGAAGAAACAAAGAAAAGAACGTAAATCCCAGTCCAACCGAAATTCAAAAAAAAAAAAGAATTGCAGAACACCAAAGCAAAAGACAAAGCCACAACTACCTTCCACTTTCCTTACCCATTTCTTCCCTCCCTCTCCCTTCACTTCTTACTCGATTTGGTTATCTAACGCAGCCTGTCTAAACCAGCCAACCGTTGCCAAACGTCTTTTCTTCTTTGTTTCTTTATCTCTTTTCTTCAACAACACTCCATATTCTGCCTTCCTCACCCCTATCCTTTCATGGGGACGCCTCCCGTTTGGGCCACGCCCCACGTACTTTGTGTTCTCGGTTATCGAATGGGTGCAAAAGGCGATTCCGCATTCCTGGCGTCGCCTGGGAATGTCATTGTGCCACGGCGTGTGCCGGGGAGCTCCAGTTCAGGGTGGCTCGAAACAACAAATATATACTAAATTTGACCGTAAACAGGCCATTTGATCATCGTTTGATCTCTCAATTACTGCTTTTCCCTCTATCCTTGCCTTATGGCGACCTGCTTTTGGCAGCCGTGCGACACACGCTTTTGTGGTATTGGCTTTTTCTCTTTTGGGCTCGCACCTCTCTTATCCGGACAAATACCTCAGCATCATTTTGGTCTCCCCGTGGGAATTCTTCTATTCTGAAACCACCATTGTGGTCCTGGGAATTCCACGAGTACAACGATACTATTATCTTCTCCAAATTCCCTTTTCTTTCCTTCTCTTATCTCCTGGTTGTATCCGGATAAGAGAGGTGTGCTCGCGCCGCGATGCCAATTAAGTAGCTTTACAGTCCTAACAAGGACCGTCCATTTACAAATCCTGCTGCCGTGGTCCAACGGAAAAACCACCTTCACCACGAAAAACCTTGCCTTCTGCTGATTCCAAATCTGCCCCTTTCTGTGCCCCCAAACTCCCCCATTGCCCCCATCTCGCTCCCCCAACCCCATCCCCCACGGTCCCGGGTCGTCCCCATACCCTGTGCGAAATATCAGCCTGAACTTTCACCACCCCACCACCACAACTACTACTTTCTTCGGCCCCAGATCCACCCGCATTCACTCCCTTCCTTTCTTTTTTTCCCCTGTGCCTTATTCGTACTATGCCCAGTTCCAGCTCGTCGCCGAATCCAGCCGCCACGAGCCCGGTGGTCCAGGTGATGCTGGCGTTTGAGTCTGCCTCGCGCTCTCCGAAACATACCAACGATAAAGTCAACGTCAACGCCATCACAGACTCGGAAGATGACCAGCAGCTTACTCCCGCTACAGATTTGCTTACTCTGGCCCACGACCAGGTCGATACTGACCCGATTCGCCAAATTGACAGCAATGAGTCCCCCATTGACCCTCCTCCTCGCCTGCAAGACAAGGACGACTCACCAGGCTTTCTGTCGCTACTGAGCCAGCATACCAATGAGGATGACTATGGAGACGACTCGACGCCTTCGGCATTGCCTCGAATGCCGGGCACTTACGACTTCAATGGTCTCAAGGATGCCATGCCCATGTCTGAGAGCATAGAACGTCTTCAAAACGAGGAGTTGCACCCGCCTTCAAGAAAAGACCTTCAAAGTGTTCAGAACGATATTCAGCCCGGCAAGAAGCCCTCGAATCACTCTTTGGGCAGTCCTGTGGTGCTTTCAGAGGGTGACAATAGTAAGACCCAGTCTCAGGACCAATCACAGGAAGCAGAGCCTCCAAAGGATACCGTCGGTCTCGGAATTTCCACCGAAAATACGCCATTCACTGTTCAAAGCGCTGGGGACTCTATTGAAGTACCTGTTAGGGGTGATCTTCTAGGAGGTGATATCAATCTCTCCAGAAGCCCCTACTTGGGCACGCCTGAAATTGAACAGTATAAGCCTCAGCTCGACCCAGGTAAGCCTAAAGCCGACTTGGATATCGAGGAGATCTTGAAGCAGCGTGCTCGTGATTCCAATACTGACACTGACCAGTCTTCTGCCGAGAACAAATTGTCTGACACTCTCGATAAGATCCCTACTGTCCAAGACACAATTGACGACGACAAGGACGATATGATGAACATGAGCCATTCCACGTCAATTGAGGAGCCATTATCAGGTCTTCTGATGATCGAGAATCCTTCCCAACGTTCGCTTTCGAACCTGACAGTTATTAGAAGCCCTCCTCCTCCACCTTCCTCTCTGGGTTCTCATGGATACAATGCCACGCCAGCCATCACTGGCACCGAAGGCAACCAGACGCCACGCAGTCAGGGCACTATCGTTAACCGTACGCCCCAGCTGAATAGCACGATACGTTACCCACATATCGGTGCTCAAAAGTCCCCTCGTGATCTTGATATGGGCGTCATCCATTCCAACGCTAAACTTTCAACGCCTCTACTGAACGGCAAAAAGAGAAGCAGTGGCAGCAGGGTCAAAGGCGTTTTTAGCTCCATGTTCGGCAAGTCCAAGCTGAATCCTTCGGGTTCCCCAGAATTGAGCATGAAAATTAGTACGCCATTTAATCCTCAGCATACGCAGCATGTTTCTGAAGCTCCAGATGGTTCTTTGGCAGGCTTACCTGCTGAATGGGAAAGACTTCTTCTGTTCCAAGGCATTTCCAAGAAAGAGCAGGAGCAGCATCCACATACAATGAGAGATATTATGGCTCTTTTCTTCGAGGAAAAAATTGGCGAGAAGAAGGGCCCAATGTCTGAGCAAGAAGGAGGCACTGAAAGCCCATCCTTGGGATACGCTAATGAAAGTACTTCATCCTTTGCTCAGTCATCTCCACCTTCGACTCCAACAGCTAGCTCTAGCCTGTCAGAACATGTTAATGCCCAGAGACATTCTGGTCCTCAAATCTCCACGCCTGTTCAACAAATATCTGTTCCAAAGACACAGAAAACGCCCGGAAGCACACAGGCAGAGGGCCAGTTTATTCCAAGTCGTCCAGCTCCAAAACCACCATCGACTCCATCGGCGTATGCTCCTACTCCTCCAGCCTCCGATACTCCTCGCTCAAAGAAATCAATGATGGGCCGCCGTTCTTTATCCAACAAGTCGCTTAAGAAGAGCTCTCAGAAACCAGAAATTGCCCCACCACCACTTCCGAACATCAGTGGCCCCATCCGTGCTGCTCCTCAGCCTCCTTCCCAGATACCAAAGTCCAAGTCACACAGCTACTCGCTTGCCCAGCAAACGCAAACAGCTAACAAGGGCTCAACAACCGCACCTGTTGCCCCCACATCAAGATTCAATGACCAGCATGCTCCTGATAAGGAGTTCAAGGCTCACAGAGCTCCACCTCCACCTCCACCTCCAGTTCACAAGACTCCAGCTCAGGCTCTTGAACACATCACTTCCGACAGTGCTACCTACGAACGTAATAAGTCCCTGGAGCCCAAGAAGTCTCTGGCAACCAGCGAGCAGACGCAGACTTCTTCATCAAGCCACCAGCAGCCTATCAGAGATGCCAAGAAGGCAGCTTTGTTGACGCAAAAGAGAAGAGAAGAGAAGAAGCGTAAGAATCAGCAAATCATCTCCAAGTTGCAGAGTATCTGTACTGAGGGTAACCCTAATGACTACTATAAAGACCTCAAGAAGATCGGCCAAGGTGCCTCTGGTGGAGTCTACATCGCTAGGTCTGTGGCTGGTCCATCAGGCAAGATTGTTGCAATCAAGCAAATGAACCTTGAACAACAACCAAAGAAGGAATTAATTATTAATGAGATTTTGGTCATGAAGAGCAGCAGACATGACAACATCGTGAACTACATCGACTCGTTCTTGATCAAGGGCGAACTCTGGGTAGTCATGGAATATATGGAGGGCGGTTCCTTGACTGAGATTGTCACACACAGTGTTATGACTGAGGGCCAAATTGGTGCTGTTTGCAGAGAGACGTTGAAGGGTTTGCAATTTTTGCATAGCAAGGGTGTCATTCACAGAGATATTAAATCAGACAATATCTTGCTTAATGTCGACGGTCACATTAAGATGACTGATTTCGGTTTCTGTGCTCAAATCAATGAGCTCAATCTCAAGCGTACTACAATGGTCGGTACTCCTTATTGGATGGCTCCGGAAGTCGTTTCCAGAAAGGAATATGGTCCTAAGGTTGACGTTTGGTCCTTGGGTATTATGGTGATCGAGATGATTGAAGGTGAGCCACCATACTTGAATGAGACTCCTTTGAGAGCGTTATATTTGATTGCCACTAATGGTACACCTAAATTGAAGGAACCAGAGGTGTTGAGTTACGATATCAGAAAGTTCCTTAATTGGTGTTTGCAGGTTGATTTCAACAAGAGAGGAACTGCTGAGCAGTTGTTGGAAGACAAATTTATTCTTAACAGTGATGATGTATCATCGTTAGCTCCTTTGGTTAAGATTGCTCGCATGAAGAAGGCTAGCGAGGGCAGTGATGATTAAAGAAGGAGCCTACGTTGCAATAATTGATGATCGTTTATCTGTCGTGTATTCTAGAAGTCCTCTTCAATTATTATTGAGGAAGCAGCTTCACTAAATAAATTAAAATCCACCAGTCATGTCTCTAATTTTATCGACTTCCTCTTGGAGGGCTTTCAAATCGTCTAGTATATTAGCTGTACTGGAACTTCCATCGGGGTTCTGATACATCTGTTCAGGCACTTTTGGAGGCAAAGGTGGCTTCTCGTCCGATTGAGGAGCAGCATTGGAGTTACCACGTCTTCTTGAGGGTGGTGGTGGAGGGGGCCCTGGACGAGAATTACCGAGTGGTGACCTCGGAGGAACGGGCGGACCGTTAAGCGCTGGCGAAAGAGATGCTGATCTGTATCTTTGAAAGGGTTCTTGAGAATTACCGTTTGTCGATTCGTGCTGATTGACGTGAAGCTGATCATTCTGGATATAATTGGGCAGGGACACAGAACGAGATCTTCTTGATGGCACTGGAGGTGGGGGTGGAGGCAGTTTGTCGTCAGAAATGCGTGCGTTTCTAGCTGTGTTATCAAGGGTATCACCAGTCATTTGCGATGTAAACGACTGTAAAGAGATTCTGGGAGCTTGTCCGCCATTCTCTTCTGGCGGTAGGAAACGAGCCATGTCTGAAGGACCGGTGACATTTGATCGAAGTGGAGAAGGCTGTGGTTCTTCCTGTGGAGGTTTAATCATCTGCGCCATTTGAGCAGGCCCCGTCATATTGGGCTTGAGTAGTTGTGGCTGAGGCAGCAGAGAGCCATCTCTAGGCAGCGGGGTGTATCCTTGTCTACCCAAATGAATGTTTGCAGGAACACCGTCGACCAGCATAGTATCCACCGAGTTTAAGTTCTGAAAATGGTTCATCTGTGGCTCCATGTCTCTGAGGATTTGCTTTTCCTCGGGATCTGGCGAATGGATGGGTCCCGGCGCCGAGCGAGGTACCTGTAGACTGCTTTGGTTGCCAGAAGGGCCCGCCTTGGAGGCATTGAGTCTATTCATGAGCTGGTCCATAGGAAGCAGGTAGTCGAGATCACCACCCAGGCCTGGTGGCTGAGCATTTTGCAGCCTGTCGGATGCTGGATCGTGCACGTCGGTGACGATCTGATCGGAGAATTTGACCGATTTGAGTTTCTTCAGTCTTTTCTTGGGAATTCTATCATCGGGACGCTCACCGGTGAGCATGAACTGGGTGAACAGGTCCAAGTCTAATGGTTTAGAAGGCAGCTCGGGCACAGGTTCGGCAATCTTATGCTCTTCTTCTTGATCGTCGTTCTGGCGCTTTTTCAGCAAAATGGAAGGCGGCGTGGGCACATTGGTTTGGATCTTGATGAGTTTTCGGCTGGGTTCCTCGCCCGCTAAGGTATGGGAAACGACTCTTAGCAAAGCGAAGAACTCGCCAATGTTGATGGAATGTAGGATTTTGGAAAAGATGCGGTTTATTTTCTCCTGGGACTCGGGAGAAAGCTTGAAGTTGCTCAAGAATTGATACACGTCGTTCATGGAGATTGTTCTCAGGTTGGTACGTGCCAATATATCCGAGTACCACCTCATATACGTCTTGGACTCCTCGAGCGTAAGCTCCTGGGCGGTAAGCGATAACGATATGGAGTCCTCCAGCTGGCTATGGTCATTGCGTCCAAGATTGTCTGCCAGGGCATTGGCGAAAATGTAGGCTCTGTTATCTGGCGTGGGTTTCTGCAAGTCTGTATTGGAAGTGAAGCCAAACGACACGGGAGGCGGGGCGAGGTTCTCATTGGAAGATTCTCGGGTCCCCTGGAGCGTCAGGTCTAGCCAGGATAGACGAGAGTCCATGCTTTATGCTTGTGGTGGATGGGAGAGGTGGACGATTGGAGGTGCCTTATAAGATGTGGAGGCTGCCTTGAGAAAGGACAAGGCAACAGAGTTTGGATGTGGTGCACGGGTGTGGGTATTTCTTGATCTGGGCCGCCAGGGACGTCGGAATATCCAGGGAAATTGAAATGATGATACTTGGGTGGGTAATGGCCTTGGTTTTTGGATAAAGTGTTGATTTTGCCTATTTGTTTGTGTTTGGGGTGTGGGTTGGTGACGCAGCAATGGTTGCAAATTGGTAGCGGAAACATCGCCAAACAGGCAGGCCGAGGCTGAACGAGGTGGAAAGAGAAGGAGATGTAGAAGCAATTAAGGAGGTGAGGAAGTGGTAGCTGAAGGTTTTTGGATATTTTATTTAAAGGTATTCGTTTAATCAAAAGTAAAAGAAACAAAGAAGAGATCCTGGCTGGTTGAACAGTAGCTGGTGTGTTTCCTTTGGCTGCAAACGAGGGTCCAGAGAGGCCCCTGTGAGGGTCCACCAAAGTACCAGAGATGGGCGTACCTCATAAAATAAACGTGATACTGTCAGTTTCTAGGGGCATTGTGACGGTTTAGGTTATCAGGCGGAGTGTCGTTTTTGAGGAACAGACGTACCATGGTTAAAAAACGGCGGTGCATGTGAGTGAAGCCATCCACAGAGGAAGCTGGGAGAGGTGAAGAAGAGGTGGCCTTGGTTGGTACCAGTTCTCTATTTGGAGAGTTGGATATGGAATTGGGTAAGTAGGGTGGTTTGGAAGTTGAAAAGTTACCAAAAGATTGGTAGATTATGGGTAGTTGGAGGTTACTCTATAACGTTTCAGGCACCAATTCCATCCATTGACTACTTTTTCACTTTCCTTCCAAACTGCAAGCCTATTTCCTTCTTCCGCAAACAGATTTCTTTCTCTCCTAAACATCATCTAACTCTTCATTCGTTCCCCTTCTTCGGTTGTACCAGTGGTAGCTGAACCGGTACTAAGCCAACCGAGGCTTCGACAGTCCAGCGAAGGTTCCACCCAAACCGCCTCCACAGCTGTAGATTTTATAATTGTTACTTCCCAGCCAATGCTTTCACTTCTCCAGACCTCTCCCACTTCGTCAACTGCCTTTGGATGCCAGCAACCGCCTTAAGTCACCTTTGTGCCATATTATCCAGAGTCGCCTTAATGGCTGCGAAAAGCTGAGAACAGAGACCCCCAATTATCTACGCCAAAAACATCGAAAATAAGGTCAAACTGAAAAGGCAAGTAGCTCCATCGTTACTGTTTCTCCTCTTATATTTTCCTTTACCTCTTTCCCAAATCCCTATTTATTGACTTAAGTTTACGTTTCTCTGGGATGTCCTGAACTGCAGCAAAAGTTGTAAACTCAGCGCGGCTGGCTTATCTTACCAACCGACCATGTTAAGAAAAGCAGCCAGTGTGAAAAGAGCCAGTTCGGTAGCGTTGACTGGGTCAGAGTCAGGCTCAGAATCGGAAAGCGAGTCGTTCGAGGCTGCTATGAAGAGAAAATCCCAGAAAATCGCCAACCTGGTGCTGAACGATGATGAGTTGCAATATGATATAGATACGCCGATTCCTCAAGAACAGAAGGAAGAAAAACAAGAACAAGGGTCAAAGTTCTTGAAAAATATATTGGAACAGAAGGAAGTACGTGATAAGGAGAGAGAACGGACGAAAATAGAGTGGCAGAGGAAGAACGCTAAGGGGATGGTGTTTGAGTCTGAGGAGTATAAACAGTTGGCAGGAGACCCCAAGGGAGAGGAAACAGAGCCAGAGACCCCACAACAGGAGGAGCATACGGTCTACGATATTGTCAAGTCAAAGGTTACTAAGCAAGACTTGGAAGATGCCAAGCTGCGCTACTTTGAAAGATGTAAAGCATCAGATCAGATTAAAACATATTAGGGCACCAAGCACAGCTCGGTTTATTTCATAGCCTCTTGCAAGGCGATAGTGTCAGCAAGTTGCTTGCTGTTGTCCAAACCAGTTGGCTGAGCGCTCACGGGCTCTTCTTCAATGGGCTCAACTGGTGCTTTTCCTTGAGACAGACTCTGATTGTGAACGATACGTTCAATCTGGTCGGCACTTGGCATGAAGATGACTCTGGTTCCAGAGCTTCTACTCATGTTCTGCAAAGCGTCCAAGTATCTGATCTGCAAGGCAGCAGGAGAACTCAAGATATCAGAAGCCTTTCTCATCTGCTTAGCACTCTCCACCTCGGCCTTAGCGTTAATAATCTTAGCCTCACCAATACGCTTAGCCTCAGCAGCCTTAGCGAAGGAGTCTTGGACAGAAGTAGGCAAGGTCAAGTCCTTGATCAAGATAGCCTCAATGTGGACACCCCATTCGGCGGCAGTTCTGGCAATCACACCTTGGACAGACTCGGCAATTTCGTCTCTCTTTTCAACAACATCTTGCAATACACGCGAACCAATGACATCTCTCATGGTGTTCTGAGTTCTCTCGGTGATAGCAGAGTGAATGTCAGAAATAGCGAAGATGGCTCTCTGAGGGTCAACAATGTTGTAGTAAACGACAGAAGTGATCGAGACAGACAAGTTATCTCTTGTGAAACACGATTGTGGAGGCAAGTTCTTAGCATTGATCTTGATGTTGACTCTGGACAACTTTTCAGACCAGGTGTTGACGTAGGAAGTACCAGGCTCAACAGTTCTGGAGAGGGCACCGAAGGTCTGAACCAAACCAACTTCACCCTGGTCAACCGTCTTATATGGGTTCTCACAGAGGAAGCAGAAGACACCACAGCAGCCAAAAATCCTACCGCACAGGTTAATGAAGTTCTGGTAGGCGTCTCTTGGTGGGGTCTCATATGTTTTGGCAAAGTTCTTAACCACCATCTCAGGCTTGACGTAACCGTCAGCCTCGTTTCTGATTGGTTCGTTGTTTGGTTTAACTGGTTCTTCGTAAGACATTGCAAAGGAACACACACAAAAAAAGTTGGATGATTTGGGGGACAACCGACGACGCAGGGACTTTATATGTTATTCATCCTAAGGATATGCAAGAATGGGGCCTCCTCACATTAAGAGATTGCGCAGGACGCTTGAGCCGTCTGATGGGGCGCCCTGCAGGAAAGGCTTACCCACGAACCAGCACTAAATAATAAAAGCACGGTAGCGAGGTGCGACGGAAAAAACACAAACAGTCTTTCAATCGGGGAATGAGAAGCCGAATGGGGTTAAGAAATGAGATAGAAGTCTTCTTTTGCTGATGGTTCGGTTCGAGAGTGGTTATCAGGTTAAGAATTCACACGTGACGGTCACTCCTTGCCAATTTCCCTAATTTCTTGGACACAAAAAATTCTTATGCGGCCGTGGCCTCGGGTCCACGTACTGCACAGAATGGCCGCTCGTTTTTTAGTATCATCCTTACACGGACACTTTACGAATTGACCGTGAGGCTGAAACGACTGGGGAATGATCACGGGTGCAAAAAGAGCACGTTTTTGCTTCTTAGGCATCCAATGGTTTCTTTATGATGATGACTGATTTGTCTTATCGGTGAAACCGGAATACCGAAAGTGCAGTGACAGCAACATGATGTGGGGGAGCCGTTTTTGCAACCATTTGGCAAGCGATAAAACCGCCGAAAGTCATGGGGAGCGTTGGTGACATCATTGAATGTTTGAACAATAAATTTTATGGCGTTTATGGCTTTGGGGGACGATAAGTGACCAGTCCAGCTGGTCCGAGCTCCACCTTCCGTTCCCGTCAGAAAGAAAACCTTTCCCTCTCTTATCATGTCCAATGTCTCCAGATTTCGCAACCACACCTCGAACTGGTTTTTTTGAGTTACAGCAACCAACGGCGGGACCTGCGCGAGCACTTCAATCCAAAGTATCATAATGCCCCAGAACCTTTCTCAAAAGTCATAGCATTTCTTGATTAGGCGTCCTCTCATCAATTTTTCATCTTGGCATGGTGCTTTTGTATCTCCTCTATCCCACATAAAGATTCCAACCTTTTTCTTCTGCCAAAGCTGCCCAGTCAACTACACCGTTGCCGTCTGGATTACGAGTCCACACTTCTTCGACTGTTTCTTCGATTCTGGTCAAGTTCTGGACGTGGTACGTTAAACGGGCTTTGCGGAACCTCTCTCTCATTCTCTCTCTATCATATTCCGTGCAACAGGTTGTTCCACACACCAAGAGCAGTAGTGATAACAGAACAATCATGCGTGTATCCATAAGTTGGTCAATAAGCTCAATAGCTTGAGAAAGCAAGTCTTGTTGCTGGAACAGCACTGGAGGCAGACGAATCACACCGCTATGAAGATGGATCTGGCAAATGAGCACATAGAGTTCAAAAAGCTTGGTCTGGAGCGCCAATTCCTTGGGACTCTGTTCAAGAATCTCAAGGTGCATTTCGCTCGGCAGACATGTGGAGATCTTATCTTGGAACTCTTTGAACGTGGCTCTAACAGTTTCAAAGTATTTCTTTCGAGCCTCTTCCACTTCGGTTGACCGGTGGGCGACTGCCAACTCGAGCGCATCTTCGATCTCTGTCCATTGACGTCTGAGATTGACTTGAGCGTTGCCAATCTCACCAAAGAGATTATAGACTCTACCTAAAGCACCCTGAAGTGGATCAAGACCGTAATTTACGTCATCTGGTAAAACGGCTTCGTACTCTTCGATAGGAATCAACGTTCCCTGACGCACAGCATTCAGTGAGAGCAAATCGTGGAACTGGAAGTTGTGAAGAAGCCACTTGATATCGTTATTGTTCAGAAACATCTGACACACAGCAGCCAAGCCACCGAAAGAGTTGATCAAATTGGAACACTGCGTTAAGAACCCGCCCCAGTGACAAACATCACCCGTTGTGACTTCAATACCAATAAAGATAAGGTAAAAAGCGAGAAGCACAAAGAAGTCCTCGCTAGTCAGAGGTACCAAGTTATCGCCAATTTCCGAGCAAATCAACTTGGCAGCCTTTTGCATATAATTCCATGGTTGGGAATAGTCTATCGAAGACTTTTCACGTAGTTGCAACCAGAACCCTCCCCAAGCACACAAGGCATACAAGATGGAGTCTCTAGACTGGGCAAGCTGCATGAATGTCTTTAAAAAGTAGTTCAGCGAGTCTGTACCAATTGGAATAAACGAACAGAACGCTTCACTATAATGCAGAAGAAACTCAACGCCTGTATCGTCCAATTGAGGGACCACCGTTCCAAAGAGGATATTATCAAACGGCATATTGAAGAGCTCAAAAAGGTCAGGAGAACCTTTAGGGCTCAGCTGAGCCGATAAAACAAGCTGAAGACGTGGATCCACATTATCTTTAGGCGAATCAGGTGTCTGTGGCCGTAGAATCTCGGGTTTCGACGCTCTCTTTGCAACCCTATCATGAGGATTAGGCTTCGTCTTGGGCCACTCACAGTCAAGCTTCATTCTCGTACATCCGCCACAAACAGGGAACGTTTCGTCACATTTTTTCCTAAAGTTAGTAGATTTTCCAATTTTTCATTGCTTAACACATACTTTCTTCGACGACAGCAGAGGCATCCCAGATAAGACCTGGCGCGAGGACCAAAGAACTTCACTCCATAGCCTTCTTTTTTATGTTTGTGTCTTTTCAAAGGCAACAGTTTCAGCTCTACAGTCAGGAGGTCTGTAGAAAGAGTATGAAACATCGGGGAAGAGCGCTGGCGGTAATTGGAAATGGAAATGTAGTTTGAAACCACATTTGGTGATGGTGGGGTTGATAAGGCTCTTTCCCCGGCGCCAACTGCCTATTTGGGCGCGCATCCACAGCGCTAACATTTATTCACCTTAAATCCCATAAAGTCAGCACTCAAACTATCAATTTTGAATCAATGAAGTGTGTGGTTGTTGGCTCAGGGGGCGTGGGCTCCATGGCAGCGTATGCGCTTAGCTTGAACGCTGAAACCACGGCAATTGTACGCTCTGACTATGAACAGGTCTCCAAGCATGGATTCCAGATAGACTCTGTGGATTATGGGACAATTGAGAGTTTCAAGCCACAGCATGTGGCACCTTCAATTGGCGAAGCTGCTAAACAAGGACCATTTGATTTTATAGTGGTGACGACGAAAAACATCCCGGATGTTAGCAAAGTGGAAGAGCTCATTGAGCCTTTGATAGGCGCGGACTCCACTATAGTGTTGGTGCAAAATGGTATTGATATAGGTACACCGTTTGTTGAAAAGTACCCTAAAAATATCGTTTTAAGTGGTGTTTCGATGATATCTTCGACAAACTATGGCGGCAAAATTAGCCATGTGGGCCACGACGAGTTGATGGTTGGAGCTTTCTTTAACTCTAACTTACCCTTAGACCAACAAGAAATGGCTGCGAAAACTTTTGTCAAGTTATACAAAAACGATAAAAACGACTGTCTTTATGATGAAAATGTCAAGTATACCCGCTGGCGGAAACTCGTTTATAACGCCACGTTGAATACTGTTTGTACATTGACTGGTGTTGATGTTGGAAGGTTAGAGCTCTTTGGTGGTATGGACCTCGTACGCAAGGCAATGAGAGAAGTGCTTGCTGTGGCTAAATCAGATGGAGTGGAATTGCCAGAAAGTATCATGGAGTTTATGATTCGGTCAGACGATGGGAACTACTATGAGCCTTCGATGTTGGTGGATATTAGAAAGGGCAATTATATTGAATTGGAGGTGATTCTTGGAAATGCCGTGAGGATTGCTCAGAGAAATGGCGTAGAAGCACCTACGCTTGCGTTGGTTTACGAATTACTTGCTGTTGTTCAGAACAAGACTAAGGAGGCCAAGGGTGATTTAGATGTGCCCCAGGAAAGGCCCCTTGGAGGTAATATCTAGACATCGAAGCAGATAGACTGGAGAGAAACCTAGATCCACGAAAATGGAGAGCCGATTGGTTCCTCAACCCTGGTTTCAAAACAGAAGGCCAGATTCAAGACGGAATTAATGATTTAGATGAATAAGAAATGAACAATCACATAGAGAATTAAGGTTTCCTTATCAAGGTCTGGAGACAATACTGTAGCACCATGTTGATAAGAGTTCGTTATCTAAGCGCCAAGTATAAGTTCAGAGCTTCTAACACAATGGCCGACAAATAGCAAGAATAGCCTAACCCGAACTCTACTATAATTCCTATTTACCTCACTTGGGCACCTGCTGGTTCAGTTTCTACTTCCATCTCTATTTCCTCCTCAACCGACTAATCCAATCCACGCCAGCGGTAAGAGCCTATTAAGAGCCACCGTCAGAACCAATGTAACCTGCAAAACCATCATATTACTCCTCTTCTTTCTACTTCCTACCAGTCCCTTCCCAGAGATAAGCGCCACGGAATTTGTGGAACATCTCCTCTGATGCTCAAACGGTAGTACAGCTTTAAGCGGCATACATGGAACCCTGTAGATACTTCAACGGCGTGGAAGGACTAAACGGTAGATTTGAGGGAAACAAAGAGATCTTTTCCATTGCTTATCTACACTTTATCTTACGATAGTTGGAGTATTCTTAGTTTATGGAGTAGCGCTCCATGGAGATCCACCACCGCTCCTTATCTAATGGTACTCAGACCACTCTCTACTTTCTTAGCTCCATCCATTTCATACACCCAATTCACCCATCACTAAACCAACTTTACCTTATATTTACTATTAGTATATATGTTTCACTTACTCTTTCACTTACTCTTCCACTTCCTCTTCCTTCCCCTTCCTCTGGTTTCCCATTACTGTCGCCAACGACCCACTCGGGCAGAGCCAGATCTAGAATACCCACTTCTCCCAGAAAGCCTCCCGCCCAACCTAATATAGAGGTTTAGGGGTGCCTTCTATAGAGTCGGTGGGTTCCATAGAGGACTGGGGTGACGATATGGAGGGGGACCAGGCGGTTCCGTGCCGCGCTTGATACTGTGTTGGGAGGGATTTTGCAGCCATTTCGAGAGAGGCAGAGGAGGTATAAATAGAGGAAGATTTCCCCAATTTTTTAGAAAATACAAATCACTTTTTCATGACAGCATCTTCTCTTCTTTTCTCGGCAAAAGTCAGCGATCACTCCCCATGGTTGTTGGGGGAAAGGGTAACCTCTTGACAGTGGAGGACCCTGCGACCCATAAACGGAGGGAGGTGTTTGACGCTATGGGTGGAGCTGCCGTGGCGGCTTTGGGGTTTGGTGATGAAGAAATTGAAGCTGAAATGGCTGTGGCCGCTAAGGAGTGCTCCTACTCTTACTTGGGGTACATGACCAACTACTGGGCTGAGGAGTTGGCTAAGTTCTACATTGAAAAGTCACCCAAGGGAGCTTTTGCAGCTGCGCTTTTCACCTGTTCGGGCTCTGAGTCTAATGAAAACGGTATGAAGACCGTTCGCCAGTACTGGCTCGAGAGAGGACAGCCCCAGAAGACGGTGTTCATCTCCAGAAAGCAGTCTTACCATGGTTTCACCATTGGCGCTCTTTCTCTCAGTGAGTCTATCAGAAAGGATAGCTTCAGGCCTATTACTTTGCCTGAGGAACAGACTCCAAAGGTTTCTTGCGTTTATCCATACAGAGAGATGAAGGATGGAGAGACCCTTGACGATTATTGCCAGAGACTCTTGCAGGAGCTCGAGGATAAGATCGTTGAGGTTGGACCAGAGAAGGTAGGTGCTTTCATGTGTGAAACACTTACTGGCTCGACTTATGGAACCTCACCTTCTATTCCTGGCTACTTGCAAGGCGTTCGTAAGATCTGTGACAAGTACGATATTCTTTTCTGGCTCGACGAGGTTATGTGTGGTACAGGCCGTGCTAGTGCTACTGGCGGTCTCAACTGCTGGGAATCATGGCCAGATTTCAAAGGCCCCGACTTGCAGCTGGTAGGTAAGACCTTGGGCAGTGGATATGTCAGTGTGGCTGGTCTTTTGGTTTCTCCTAAGGTGAGACAAGCATTTGTTGAAGGCTCTAACTACATTCCTGGCGGCCAGACATACCATCAGCACGCATTCAACTGCCGCGTGGCTTTGGCTGTTCAGAAGAAGATTGACAGATTGGGCTTGAGAAAGAATGTTTATGAGATGGGCAATAAGATGGGCGAGAAGCTCAAGGAGTTGGCTGAGACTACTGAGATTGTTGGTGACGTTAGAGGTCTTGGTGGGTTCTGGTCGCTTGAACTTGTTAAGAATAAGAAGACCAAGGAACCTTTCCCTTCCAAGTTGGGTTTAGGTGCAAAGACCACCGCTAAGCTTTTTGCCAATGGCATGACAAGCATGGGTCTTGGAGGAACCGCTGGAAACGGTCAAGGCGACCACATTTCCGTTGCTCCATCATACATTATCACCGAGAAGGATGCCTACTATATCGCTGAGATGTTGATCAAAACGGTGAAGGAGATGGAGGAGGAATTGCGTGCTTCTGGTGAGCTCTAATTTATATATGATTAATGCAATAATTAATGGGAAATAAAGGGTTGTAGGTGTCGATGTTTTGCAGCCATTTTGTGTCGCGAGAACAAAAATGGCTATAACTCCCTCAAATTTTGCCGTACGGCTCTGAAATTCCTCATGAGTATACGTAATACATGAATGCAAAGTTTTATTGATTGAAAATTTGATATATTTAGGGATGGCTTAAATTACAGTCCTAGTATAGTCCCTTGGCAATCATCTTCAACATAGCCGGTCTAGTATAGTGGTTAGTACAGTTCGTTGTGGCCGAACAAACCCAGGTTCGATTCCTGGGGCCGGCAATTTTTTTGCCAATTCCCACTCAATTCCGTTAATTTTTTTACGCCAACACTAAGGCAGCCAAGAGTAATATTAGAAGTATGATTTTGCCCATGTTTGTGCTTGTTTTTTGCTCTTTCCCAGTGTTCTTGCTCAGTAAGGCACCATCAGCCAAAGAGGCACTTCACTTGGGGAAGCAACAAAGCAAGCGGCAAACAGCGAAGACAAAACATCAAAGACGAGCTTAAAGAGTGAACTTTCCATTATTTTAAGCAGACAAAAACGCCTTATTTGTCACCCGTCACGATTGCCTTTCATTATACTAGCCTCTCACTCTGCTGGACTTACCCTCCACCAACTCATCCAAAACGGCACTCCAAACCCAGTAAATATACCAAGTCGCCCTAAAAGCCTTAAAAAGCCTCAAGAAAATATTAGTAAAATTAGAACACCACAGCCAACGAAGTGCCACTTCCTTCCCTTCCTCACTCGTACCTCTCCAGTCGAGCTCATTTTGCAGCCATTTATTCTCCCCCACCAAACCTCCAGAACCCCTAAAAAACCACCTCATACGCATAGTACAGACCAGAATAACCCCCTAAATAACCCATCCAACTCCTAATTTCTCCCCCTGTCCAAATCCACTGTCCAGTCTGAATCCCATAGATAACCTAGGGCTCGCAGTGACAATGGACGAAGCTTGGCTTGGTAAGCGAATAAACGCGATAAAAAAAGTCAAAAAACCAAAACAAGAAATTTTTATTAAGCCTAAGTAACAACCAAAACCAGCAAACTCCACCTTCTCTAAGCACCTCTTCTAACCACCTCTCTCTTCCTCTTAACCACCCACGGTGTTACCCGCACAGTTGTATAAGGCTCACTACGAAAAAAAAAAGTGAAAGACCCAGAAACCTCATCATGACTTACTCTACATTGTAATACCAACTTACCATAAAACGTATGTTTTCAATCTACCATTCGCCTAAGATGACAAAAACTTTTCGTGTTGCTCGAAGATCACGCTGTGAGCCACAAATAGACTACTACGGTATCTGAGGTGCTTCTTTATTGTATGGACCAGTTAACTAACATCCAGAGAATCAACTATGGCTAAGAAGAACCGCAAGGAACTAAACCGCATCCACCGTAACCCTCTCCCAGTCGAGCTTTCCGTAGACACGCGAGGCGAGCTCCCGTTGGTCAATGTGACCAATGGCGCTTCGTGGCTCTGGCTATGGATCCGTATGGCTTGTATGTACTTATCTTCACCTCCCAGGGCGCCCAAGATCAGGATTGGCTTGGAGGAGCCGGGTGTTTTTGCTGTCAGGGACGTGGGGACATGCAGAGGTGCTGGAACGATGGGTTTTTCGGTAAGGGAACGTTGTCTCGACTGGAACCTACGTTTAGGGCTCGTGTACTGGGTCAGGAACGGTCTAGTGAAGCTGTGACGAGTGAAAGACGTCGTAAGAGAAGGGAATTCAAGGAGTTGCGTGCTCAACATCAACGGTTTGAGACCGAGGAGAGGAAGAGGGAGTTGAACGAGGAAGAGAAGGCTCAGTGGGAGGAGCTTAAGGTGAAGATGGCTGAGGCTAATACTGAATCGAAGGTTGTGGGGGATAAGCTGTCGCCTGTGGTGCTAGAAGATGAGCTTGAGGAGCTTGAAAAGTTGGAGTTTCTTCAACTTGATGTCGTTGAAGCGTTCTTTTTGGTGTATGCATTGGAAGTTGCAGAGGTTCGGGTAGATCCTGAGCTGGAACCGCTTGGAGACCTTGAACTCATGAAAAGAATGGCTTTCCTTGGTGCCCCTGAAGCCACAGACGACGAGTTTATTTCTATTCTTCGAGCCCTCCTTCAGAAGTACGTCGTTTACCACCACTACCGAAGCCTTGGTTGGTGTGTACGCGATGGTATCAAGTTTGGCTGTGAATATCTACTTTACAAGCGTGGTCCTCCTTTCCACCACGCAGAGTTTGGCATTCTTGTTACCGCAGCAGACGAGAGAAGGTCTTGGGAAGAGACCATGGCCGTTGCTCGAGTTGTTGGAGGCGTCAAGAAGACGCTAGTGTTTGCTTATGTCGAGCAACCGTCAATTGAGCAATTAGGTGAAATCTGGGAGACAAAAGAACACCCCAGAGTAAAGCTTATACGTCTTTTGCAGCTGTTTAAAGTCTGCGAGATGGTATACCGCCGCTGGAGCCCTAGCCGGACTAGGGAATGATTATGACGTTATGGTGATGAATAAAAGTAATGGATATTTAGGAGGAGAAGGTGTTGTAGATCTGATGTAGAGGGTTGCAGGTTAACTGGGCAATTGACATCGTGCTCCATGTCTTGTGCTTTAATTAGAATTCAATCCTTGGTGACTAAGGATGGTGGCTTAAGGTCTAAATCGATGGAGCCACTCCAACCTAAAACCCAAATACAACTCCAACCGACTATTTCATTGTCTACGGAACCGTCGGTTAGTGGTACACTACAGGCCCTTAAGCCATCCATCCCTATTCAATCCCAAAACGTAACATTGAAAAGCCAGATCCGCTTTGCCCTCCACTACCCTCCACCACTCACTTACTCTCTAACTTTTCCATTCCGCCTTTGTGTGTCTTTCCTGAACATCCCCAGCCATCTACTCATCTTTCATGAATGGCTGCGAAAAACATACTAATTACACAAAACGAGAGCCATTCGATCAAAACAAGGGGCCAGTAAAACCATGAAATAAAATCACCACAATCTCCAAAATCCTCCAAAAAAACTCCAGTATCCACGTCAACCCCCCCATGAGCCAAAAATCCATAAAATGCCTTCCCACCAGGAAATCCTCTCCTATTTATACCTCTCCCTGGCAAACTGCCATTTTCCTGCTGCGCTCTGTATGGCACATCTCATCGCTGTACCACAGTGCGTAAACGGCCCAGGAGAGGCCCACCAGTAGCACCAACAAAGCCAGCAAAATGCACACACCACAAAAAAAAAGACGATACTCTAAGAGACCTTGAGAGATTTAGAGAGCATCTATAAATAAAAATCATCTACTTCCTCTAGAGAGCCCCTTTTTGTTGGTTTCTGTGGTTTCTGTGGGAGTGTTTTTTTTTGGAGCCGACCTGCATACAACCCACCCTCCACCGTCAGCCTGCTTCTCCCTTGGCCTCTTCGCGAGTATTTAAATACCCTTGGTTTCCGCCAGATTCTCCCTTCCTTCTATGCAGAGAAAGCCTTTTTCTATCCAAAACACATAATGGCAGACATCAGTTCGTTGATAAATCCCCCAGACGAAAAAGAAGAATCGGCGCCCGTGGCGCCTGTGGAGCAGAAAAGTGAAGAACCAAGAGTTTCCGAAGACACGATTCTCGCTTCTTTCGATAAAATCAAAACTCACTTTCCTGCTGCCAGAATTAAGAAAATCATGCAGTCTGACGAAGAGATTGGCAAAGTTGCTCAGGCTACGCCTATCGTTGTGGGTCGTGCGTTGGAGATTTTCATGGCCAATTTGGTGGAAGCTGCTATCAGTGAAGCCAAGTCGGCTGGTGTTCGCAGAATTGCTGCTTCCCACGTTCGTGCTGCTGTGGAAAACACTGAGCAGTTTGACTTTTTGGTGGATGCGGTGCTGAAGTACCAGCTGAAGTGAGAATGCACGTGACCCGTCACGTGACACGCGTGACACCACGTCTCCTGACCTTTTTCCCACGCTACCGGCCCACCCCACTCCACTTGCTCAAAGACGTCATGGCCTCATTCTCGGACTGGCTAGGTGCGGCACGGGTGTGTCTCGGTCTTGACACAAGATTGCAAATTGCCTCAAGTAACTGATAGCAAGTCGAGCGGTGGAGTTACTTTGATAATTGAAAGGCGTTTCGGATGAATGACCAAAAGAAGCTATAGTTCCTGCTTTCTTTAAATTAACGGGCCTATTGTTCCCGTTTGGAAAGGTTGCCTTTTAGGTGGCCTAGTTTGTTCTACTATCTTCCTCCTGCACAATGTGCCAGCAACCATATAAAGGGGTCTATGGTTCCCCAGGCCATCAGTAATTCCAGCTTTCTACTCCATCTCATCGACATTTATTGCAAGCATGGCGTTCAACAAGTCCCACACAAGCTTGTCTTCTAGAAAGTCCTCTTTCTTCAACACTCATCAGTTGAACAACCAGCCTCAACCTGACGTTTACTTTGTTGGTGTCGATGTTGGAACTGGTTCCGCTAGAGCCTGTATCATTGACACGAACGGGTTGATCTTGGGCCTCTGTGAGCGTCCAATCACTCGTCATGAGTTGAAGAGAAACCACATTACCCAAAACTCCACGGAGATTTGGAATGCCATCTGTTTCTGTGTCAAGAGCGTGCTTCGCGACTCAGGTGTAGATGGTTCCGAGGTTTTTGGTATCGGTTTCGATGCTACTTGTTCTCTTGTCGCTATTTCTGAGTCTAAGGACGCTCCAGCTGCTGTTGGGCCTGACTTTGCTGATGACAAGACTAACATTATCTTGTGGATGGACCACCGTGCTCCAGAGGAGACCAACGAGATCAATGCCACTGGCGATAAGGCTCTCAAGTACGTGGGTGGTCAGATGTCCATCGAGATGGAATTGCCAAAGATTAAGTGGTTGAAGCACAACAGACCTAACGGTTTGGATGACTTGAAGTTCTATGATTTGGCTGACTACTTGACCCACAAGGCCACCGGCTCCGAAGCCCGTTCTTACTGTTCTACAGTTTGTAAGCAAGGTTTCGTTCCAATTGGCGTTGACGGATCTGAGACCGGTTGGTCTAAGGAATTCTTGGAGGGCGTGCAGTTGCCTGAGTTGGCTGCAAACGACTTCGAAAAGTTGGGTGGTGTTCCCGGCAAGAACGGTAAGTTTTTGAGTGCCGGTGATATTGTCGGTAAGCTCACAGCCAAGTCTGCCGATGAATTGGGTTTGACCACCGAGACAATTGTTGGAAGTGGTGTCATTGATGCTTACGCAGGATGGATCGGTACCGTCGCTGGTAAGGTCGACCTTCCAACCCACCCTGAATTGTCTCAAGACTCCAATGGCTCTATGGAGACTGCCTGTGGCCGTATTGCCGCTGTTGCCGGTACTTCCACTTGTCACGTTTCGATGACCAAGGACCCTTGCTTCGTGCAAGGTGTGTGGGGTCCATACAGAGATGTGATGGCCCCTGGCTACTGGCTTGCTGAGGGTGGTCAATCTTGTACTGGTGCTCTTTTGGCCCACGTTTTGTCTACCCACCCAGCTCACGGTGAGTTGGTGCACTTGGCAGATGCCTCCAACTTGTCCAAGTTTGATTACTTGAACTTGGTTTTGGAGAACATGGTCTCTGAGACCAAGAGCAGATCTGTTGTCGCTTTGGCCAAGCACATTTTCTTCTACGGTGACTTCCACGGTAACAGATCCCCAATCGCTGACCCTAACATGCGTGCCAACATTATTGGTCAGTCTATGGACTCTTCCGTCAAGGACTTGGCTATTCAATACTTTGGTGCTTGTGAGTTTATCGCCCAGCAAACCAGACAGATTATTGAAGAGATGGAGAAGGGCGGCCACCGTATTAAGTGTGTGTACATGAGTGGTGGACAGTGCCGTAACGGTTTGTTGATGAGATTGCTTGCTGACTGTACTGGCATGCCAATTATCATTCCAAGATACATTGATGCTGCTGTTGTTTTCGGTAGTGCCTTGTTGGGTGCCGTTGCCGCCCAGGAGTCTGTTGAGGAGCATGTCACCAGCGGGGGCCGTGCCAGAAAGAACTCTTTGGCCAAGTCTCAAACTGACTTGAAGAATGCTGGCCAAAAGGAAGAAAAGAGGGATGGCGGATCCCCCTTGGGATCGCCCTATACCGCCCCATCTGCCACTGCCTCTCATACCAACTTGGGCTCTATCGGATACGGTGGTAACCCAATGCAGATGAGCAGATTAGGCGAGGAGCCTCAGGACTACTTCAACCAAAGTGCTCCGCCCAAGTCGCCTAAATCAGGCCGTGCTGCGTCTCTTTCTGGTAGTGACTCAGAAGATGAACAAACGTTATCTTTTGGTTCGAAGCTGAACACTTCGCAGAAGGTTTCCAAGGGATTGGCTGCCAAGGCCAGAAGCGAATTCAAGCCATTGACCAGCTTGTCTGACGCCAAGAAGAAGCAGAGCTCCTCAATCACCACAGCTGGCACCACAGACCCAGGTGACAGATTGTGGCAGACTATGGAGAAGCTCACTGGCCCAGGTAAGGTTGTGATGCCACACAAGGAAGAGCACCCAGACCGCAGATTGTTGGCGTGCAAGTACAAGGTGTTCTTGGATCAGTGCTACAAGCAGCAAGAATACAGAAAAATGGTGGATGAGCTTGAAGCCACCAATTAGACGCCGGATGACCGTTGACCAGGTATATCGGGGTAAAATACGAATACACATGAAGACCTTTAGTATCAGCACATGAGGCTATCTCTCCTTTCTGGCGCCCCTCCTTCCCCTTCAAAGCCTCCAGGGCAAGGCGGGTGTGCCTGAGGCGGCTGAAACCTCCTGGTACAATTGTGGAGTAGAATTGACGTGATAAGCTCTTGTCTACAATGCGATCAACGCACAGAATGTGGTTGCGAAAAATGCGTATAACCATTTGGTTTGGAGAAAAAAGGGACCCACATGTGGGACCAAGAAATGGAAATTTGGGGGAGACTTCCAATGACGCAACCACCTGAAAATACAATTTGTAATTTGAATACTTTTTCCGTTATCAGCCTTTTTCTTTTTTTTTTTTCAGGGCGTTTCCAATTGCTTTCTTTCCATCTCTTTGTGTCTCTTAGTCCATCGCTTATGTCACCGATTAAATGCAGATGAAGCAAAAAAATTGCCATCTCAGAACGTCTGCATTTTGTTAACATTTCACACACATTGCAACACGGCACGTGACCAGATGAGATTTTTCGCAGCAATTGCAATTGCCTGGTGGCAAACAGGGGGTAGCCATTTGGAGCCTTAGAGTTGGGGTTTTGTTATTTTGACAGGCTAGGCGGCATCTACCACCCAGGAATACCCATTATCCCAATTTTTCCTGGCAAAATCGAAGCCTGGAGTGGAAATCTGGGCTTCCACACGTGACTTGGGCTCAATGGAAAAACTGTGGATTGTAATACTCATTTATATAAGAAAGTAGCCACAACCACATTGAGGAATACCGCCTTAAGGTACGACTTCTTTTTTTTTTTTTTTTTCTACGTTTTATTGCATTTTACGTTTTCTTGCATCTACATTGGATCAATTTTCCATTGTACCCACAGCATTAATTTCTCGTCATTACGAGCTTTTCCCATTAATATATATACTGGTGCTTCTAGAAGACCTTTTTCGCAGCCATTTTTCAAGAAGCTTCAAGTCGCCAAATACCTTCAAAAATGGGAGTTCAGGATGCTTTCTCAATGGAGGAAGCTGTTTCCAGCGTTCCTGAGGTACAAAGATACGAATCTTCCAGGGCTTCGAGAGTACAAAGCCATGAGTTCCAGAGAGAACACCAGCCCATCACAACGCCTTACGACCCAAGCGTTGTCGTGCCAGAGTACTATGAAAAAGATCCTAACGTTGTTGATTACGGTAAGGACCTTGTCTCTCACCCGGGCCAGAAACTCAAGAACTACTTCATTTCGCTTTTCCCTATTGCCAAGTGGATTCTTCACTACAACGGTAAGTGGTTGTATGGAGACTTAGTTGCCGGTATCACTGTCGGTGTTGTGTTGGTGCCACAGAGTATGTCTTATGCTCAGTTGGCTGGTTTGCCTGCTGAGTACGGTTTGTACTCTTCTTTCGTCGGTGTGTTCATTTATTCTTTCTTTGCCACTTCCAAGGATGTCTCTATTGGTCCTGTTGCCGTGATGTCTCTTCAAGTTGGTAAGGTTATTGCTAATGTCCAAGAATCTGTTGGTGACCGTTACTCGGCTCCTGAAATTGCCACTTTCTTGTCGTTGATTTGTGGTGGTATTTCGGCTGCTATCGGTATCCTTCGTATTGGTTTCATCTTGGAGTTTATCTCCTTGCCTGCTGTCATGGGTTTCATGTCTGGTTCTGCTTTCAACATTATTTGCGGTCAAGTGCCTGCTCTTATGGGTTACGGTTCTGCTGTGAACACTAGAGATCCAACATACAAGGTCGTCATTAATACCCTTAAGCATCTTCCAGACACAAACGTGAACGCTGCCTTTGGTCTTGTTCCTTTGTTCATCTTGTACACCTGGAAGTTCTCCACTGATTATGCCATGAAGCGTTGGCCACGCAGAAAGCAATGGTTTTTCTACATCCAACAGTTGAGAAACGCCATTGTTCTTATCGTGTCCACTGCCATCTGTTGGGGTGTCGTTTACCCAGATGTTAGAGACTTTGACGGTCCTAAGAAAGATTTCAAGAGCACTATCAAGACCATTGGTGTTGTTCCATCTGGTCTTCGTCACGTTGGTCCTATGACCATCCCAGACGGTATCATCGATGAGATGGCTTCAGAAATTCCAGTGTCCACCATCATTTTGCTTTTGGAGCACATTGCCATTTCCAAGTCTTTCGGTAGAATTAACGATTATAAGATTGTTCCCGACCAGGAGTTGATTGCCATTGGTGTTAACAACTTGATTGGTACTTTCTTCAACGCTTACCCAGCCACTGGTTCTTTCTCCAGATCTGCTTTGAAGGCCAAGTGTGGTGTCAGAACTCCTCTTGCCGGTATTTTCACTGGTGGTGTGGTTCTTCTTGCATTGTACTGTTTGACCGACGCTTTCTTCTACATTGCCAAGGCCACTTTGTCTGCTGTCATTATCCACGCTGTTTCTGACTTGATCTCCCACTGGAGAGCTACTTGGAACTTGTGGAAGGTTGCTCCATTGGACTGCGGTTTGTTCCTTATTGCTGTTATCATTACCGTGTTCTCTACTATTGAGATTGGTATTTACTTTGCCATTGCTGCTTCCGCTGCCATTCTCTTGTTCAGAGTCACCAAGCCTCAAGGTGAGTTCTTGGGTAAGATCAAGGTTGCTGAGGTTGTAAACCCAACCATCAACTTCAAGGAAACTTCTTCTATCAGCTCCACTGACTCTGACGTTGAGATCCAGAATGTCTTGTCCAACACTTCTTACCAGTCTACTGGTGTGAAGAAGTTCAAGGCTGGCGAAGAGAAGGCTGTTCCTACTGCTGCTGAATTGGTTGCACAGAACCCAGGAGTCAAGTTCCACACTAGATGGGTGCCTTTGAGTCAGTACAACACTAATAGTGACGTTCAAGTCGTACCACCACCACCTGGTGTTCTTGTGTTCCGTCCAGTGGAAGCGTTTGCTTACCCTAACGCTTCTCAACAGGTTGACCGTGTTGCTGACGAGGCCAAGAGAATTACCAGAAGAGGTAACCCAAGACTTTATGCCAACCCTGGTGACAGACCATGGAACGACCCTGGTCCATTGAGATGGAGACTTCCTTTTTGGAAGGAGAGATTTGGCAGCAAGATCCAGGAGGAGAACTACGAAGAAGACACAAGACCTATCTTGAGAGTTGTCCATTTCGACTTCTCTTGTGTTCCATCTATTGATTCCACCGCCATTCAAGTCTTGGTCGATATCCGCAGAGCCTTGAACAACTATGCCGACAGAGAAGTTGAATTCCATTTCAGTGGCATTAACTCGCCGTGGGTGAGAAGAGGTTTGGTCCAAGCTGGTTTTGGTTCTTACGGTGAGACTGACTTGGTGAGCGAGAAGACGTACGTCAACATTGCCACCCAAGAAGACGATTTAGAAGACAGCCTTTACTATCCTGCCGTGGGAACAAACACCCCATTTATTCATTTCGAGATTCCAGATTATGTTTGATAGAGGCATGTTAATCACCTTTCATTTCTCGCATCTTTATTTATATACAATTATTTTACATGGGTCAATATATTCGGCGACATAATTTAATTCTTTGATTTTGTAAGATGTAAGAGAAGACTATTTCTTCCAAATTTTTTTGGCACCTCTGGGTTCAATGTGTTTGCGTAACTATGGCTTTAATGAGTGCTTGCCGAGGTATAATTAATTAACCCAGTTAAGGCATAAGCAGAATTCATAAAAACGCAATAAATTCGGTAGACCTGTGGCCCCAGCAAATTTACAATATTACCCTGGTGACCATGACGGTTTCCCAAGGAAAACTTGATTTATCTTAGCGACAGATAGAACTTTAGAATTATGCATAATCACAGTGATGTAATCGATGATAGCAAGCGTTACTATGGCCACACTTTCTACATATCTTGATACACATGAAATCTTACGTTTCGTGGAGGTGCCCAAGAAAAAATTAGTGTGCCACCACATGGCAAACAAGTTTAGTCTTTATGGTTTGAGGTGACCACAGTTTTATTGTAAGAAAGCTCATAATTCCTCATGATGACGAGCACCACCAATATTTTCACGGGACCATGATATAAACTTAAAAGGTTACTTTGGTCTTTAAGAATTAATTTAAGAGCTTAAGTGCTTTGGTCCTTGAAAAAAGAATTCAAGAATTCTTTTGTTTGTGTTGTTCGCTTGTCATTCAATGATTATGTCAATTTTGAAATTATGGGCAAACGATAGCATTCCAATTGCAACCATTCTTTAAAACAAACCTCCAAAGATTACCTACCTTATGAAAACCTCTTATGGCTTCAATCCTTTATGAATTCATGGGTTAGCCTAGGGAAGTTCTAAACCAACCTCAGTTCGAAATACAGCCTGGCCTGAAGTTCACAACGGTACTAAATCACCCATTCTACAAAACACTTGCGGTCTACAACACTTCAAACATATTTTCAATTTGTAGCAATGATTAGGGGAAGAAGATAAACACGCTATACGCTGTATGGTACATACCGCTTAACTGAACAAAGAGCCAATGTCAGCAGGCATCTCATCGATCTGGGTGGAGTAGAACTTCTCGATCTCTCTCATCATACCAACGTCCTGAGCGGTGACGAAGTTGATGGCAACACCCTTTCTACCGAAACGACCACCTCTACCGATTCTGTGGATGTAGTTCTCCTTGTTAGCTGGCAAGTCGTAGTTAATGACCAAGGAAACCTGCTGGACATCGATACCTCTGGCCAACAAGTCAGTGGAGATCAAGATTCTGGAAGAACCAGATCTGAACTCGTTCATGATAGTGTCTCTCTCACCTTGAGGCAAGTCAGCGTGGATAGCAGAGACGGTAAAGTTGTTCTCCTTCAACTTGGCCATCAAGGACTCAACCTTAGATCTGGTGTTACAGAAGATAACGGCCTGGGTGACGGAGATAGAGTCGTACAAGTCACACAAACAGTCGAACTTGTACTCCTCCTCCTCGACGTTAATGTAGTACTGCTTAATACCCTCCAAGGTCAACTCATCCTTCTTGACCAAGATACGGACTGGGTTGTTCATGAACTTGGTGGTAACCTCCAAGACGTCCTGAGGCATGGTGGCAGACAAAAGGACAACCTGGGTGGTCTCTGGCAACAACTTGAAAATGTTGTAAATCTGCTCCTTGAAACCAGAGGACAACATCTCATCGGCCTCATCCAAGATGAACATCTTGACTCTGTGGGTCTTGAAGTATCTTCTGTCGATCATGTCGAAAACTCTACCTGGAGTACCAACGACAATCTGGACACCAGATCTGAAAGCCTCAATGTCATCAGCCATAGAGGTACCACCAATAGAGGCGTGGACAGAAACCTTCAAGTACAAACCAATGTGCTTGATGACGTTCTGGATCTGCAAAGCCAACTCTCTGGTTGGAGCCAAGATCAAAGCCTGGGTGGCCTTCTCGTTCACGTCAATGTTCTGCAAAGCAGAAATGGTGAAAGTGGCAGTCTTACCGGTACCAGACTGAGCCTGAGCAAGAACGTCTCTACCCTCAGTGATTGGCAAGATAGCTCTCTGCTGAATGGCAGAAGGAGATTCGTAACCGTAACCGAAGATACCTCTGACGATCTCTGGCTTCAAGTTCAAGTCGTCAAAAGAGTAGACGACATTGTCGTAGTTAGACTCGATCAAGCCGGCATCAACTTCCTGGAGCTCGTTGGACATGATTGTTTAGGTTTACTAAAGGGGGGTTTTATAAGGGGATGTCCTAAAGGTGGGATTCTTCCTTTTTTTTTTTTAATGAGAGGTATTATGTGTAGTGGTGCTAGGCCCTGGGAATACTGCATAAGGCTCTCTAGCAAAAATTTTTTCATGGCCGGGTAACTGGCGAAGGGGGATAAGAATCGGGACCAAATGAAGAGGTCTGAGAAAAAAATTTGCATGAAAATGCTGCTTAGCTCAGATCATGAATATTCAGCAAATTACTAGTAGGTAATTGGGTACGGGGGCCGGGGAATTGGTGGGGTTCAAGGGATGAGACCGAGAAGAGGTCCATGGTCACGTGACACGAGATGCCCACATATCCCTGAATCAGGCTTTTACGTATCTGGTGGCAATTGGGAGATTTCTACTGGGAAGACAGACCAAATCCGAGAATACGGTGGTGTTTGAAGTTTGGTGGCGTCAGAACGGTGACGTTTGCGCATGAACACCGAGTTCCGCCCACCTTCCTATAAGGGTATTCAGTAGGAACGAAAAAAAGCCTGGAAAATTGGCTTTTCACGGAAAATCGAGATTCTAGTGGTTTCTTCGGTTGTTAAATGGCCTGTTTACTCAAAACTGGCCCTAATGGTGCAATTCCAAAGAATATGTGCTTATTCTTTGTAGTATTTTGCAGCCATTTCTGTTTCGCAGCCATTGAGGTTTTACATTGGACGAAGACGTCTTTCCAGTAAAATTCATTAACTTTTCTATCTGCGTCTGAAACATTATATTTGGGTCCGATTATTCAGGATACCCTTAGGAACACCATCTTAGGGCTTCTGCCCACCTAGTATCTGAAGGTTCTTTCAGCTGCCTTGGATGGACGAAGCTCCCATGGGAAAATCGGATCCAACATGACTTGTGGCTTTTTAGGTTCCTCTTGAAGATCTTCTACAAGGTCTTCAACGTCCTTTTTGGATGCTTCACTCGTAATTGGCACTTCTTCTGCTGCTTCTTCCTCGCTATCCAGTGACTCCTCTGCTTCTAGTACTTGAGGTCCAAGTATCTTTGGCGAAATAGGTACCTTGGGCAATTCCAGAGCTTTCTCTTTCTTCTCTCTAAGTAGAAGATTATGCTGGGGCGTGTAGTTGGATCTATCGTCGAAGACACGCTCAGCGACCTGGGTATGGAAGATACTGAGGTTATCAAGCACTGGTGGAGACTCTATGGGGACTTCTGGTTCCTCGAACTCTACTGGGTCTAGTGGTGCTTTTGGAACAACCTCTTGGAACTCATCAACTTTTGGCTCCTCTGGAGGCTGGACAACTTCTGGCAGTATACTCTCCACTGGCTCGTGCCTCTCTGGTTCCTCCCAATGAGACCTGTACGCCTTCATTTCGTCCACAAACTGTTCTTGTTTGGGCTCCTCCATCGGAGGAGCTTCTCTTGTAGCGTCCCATGATGCATCTTCAACAGTAGGACCAAATGCTGCGATGTACTTAAGTGGATCACATAAATCAGCAGGTGTGAGTCCACCAGACTCCACCACAGGAACATCAGCAACAAAAAGTGGATTTTCATCTTGAAGAGGTAAATATTCCAGATGCTCCGAAGGTACTTTGGCCATGGGAGGTGCACATTCCAGCTCCACAGAAAACAGTTTCTCCAAAGGAATATACACTGTTTTATCCTCCTCCATAGCACCACCACCAACACCAGGAACACTCAATTGCTTTACAACAGCCACATTCCCTCTGGTAAACTCCTCCACAGACATTCCACCCGCCAAGTCCCGCCATGCAGCCCACCATTCATCGGTATACCTGCCCAAACCGCCATGCCAGGGCTTCCTAGGTCCTATAAAGTGCACACACTTGACCAGCGGTTTGAAATGGCGATCAGCGGCCAGCGAGTAAAACCCAAGCGCCGGGCCTGCCACCTCAGCAGCCGTATTATACAAATACGGTACTGGCACCCATCTTCCAGGTTTCTGAGCCTTGATCTCTGGCTGCGAAAAAGTCCATTCTGCGAGCCCAGGCCAATCTGGGTCACTGTTAAACACCATATTAAACAACCCCTGGTCAGCTCCATCATACGAAAAGCCTTCCTTAGCAGCCTCCTTAAGTTCCTCGTACGTCTCTTTCCCCGGCCTAAGCACCATCACCCCACTGTTAAACGTATCTGGGCATCCAGCGTCTGGAGCAGCAGCCACTGCCCCCAGCGCGACCTCTACCGCCAAAAGGTCTCCCACCAGGCCTCCTCCAGGCAGGTCTCTAGGAAGAGTATCGCAGTCCAAGTACAACACTTTTTCATATTCCAAAGCCCAAAGTTCGACTTTAACTAGCGCATGTAAATGTCCGTCTCGCCACGAGCCAAACCCCCAATTTTCAGCCTCCCTCGAGCTCTCCAGCGCCAAATTGACGTCCACTAGCTCCTCCCACACACTGGCCAAAAGCTCCAATTGGGAGTGCGAAAAACTGCCTTTATCCACCAAAAGCACCCTTTTCGCCCCGTGCAACCGGTCCCGCTGCCGCCAGAGTCGCTGCCCTAGCACTAGCGCTCCGGGAAGGTAACCAGGCAGAAACACCAACAGCGCCACCGCCCACATGAAGAAAAGATAAGGATATGTAGTATTAGGAGGGAGTAGATGGATGCTATGCTCTTCCTTCTTCTTCTTTCTTTGCTCTTTGCTCTGGTGACCTCAGGTGGTTCTGTGGACTGGGAGTGAAAAATACCAGTACCCAACAACAGATGTCTAGGAATGCTAAAGTTCAAATGCAAATGCAGGGAAATCAATGACAACGGGAGTGTCAATTGAAAACAAGCGTCTATTAAAAAAACCAAACTTTTGGTCCAGAAGAACGTGGTATGTAGAGTGATAAGGCAAACGGGCTCGGGCTCGGGTTTCCCTTGGGGCCACCAGGGGAGGCAGGTTTCACTTTTTTTTTGGCATTGTCTGAGACACCCACCCAAGTGGGGCGAGCCTGTAACACCCAAACAGGTAACCTGATGGAGTGGAAGGGGAAGAAAGAGGGAGAGAGAGGAAAGGGGAAAAGAAGGAAAGTGAAGAAAGTAAGGGTTTCCTTACTTTGGGTTTCCTGGTTGTGGTTTTGGTGGATGTTGGTATTGGGTTGGCTGTACTGGTTGGTCTGGTTGGTCTGCCTGGTGTGGGATGCGTATGCGCATTGACTCGGATGATACGTAGATCTGGTGATGGAGTGGTGGGGCAGAGGTAGTTGGAGGAAGGTGATGGTGGGGTGGAGGTTTGGGAGTGTAAGAGGGTTGTTTGGGATGCTGGTAGAGGGAAGGCGATGGAGGGGTGGAGAGATGGTTGGTGGTGGTTGGTGGGCAGTTTGACGTTTCGCAGCCATTTAGAGGTGCAGCCAGTGGAGGTGGAGGTAGAGTTAGAGGGAGAGAGAGGAAGGGAGAGAGAGGAAGGGAGAGAGAGATGCTTGAAGAGAAGATGGGCTGATGAGTTTTGGAAATGGAGGTTTGGAAATGGAGGGGTGGTTGCAGTGTGGCTTGGACATGGCGGTAGGGGAGTATGGGTGGAATTGAGGAGGAGCGAGAGATGTATGGCTGTGATGGGTCTTTATGAAGGGTTCCTTTGAGATGGGAGGTACTCGCTTGTAGGCTTTCCAATGTAGTATACTGGTCGCTTCTTCGGTTGGGTCTTTTAGGAAGTGGTATGCTTGTTCTGGTGGATTTGTGAGGCTAGTCTGGGGACAACCATAGACATGGAGACATCTATAAAAGACGTCCGTAGAGTAAGCTAAGGTATGTTTATTTTGCTGCCAGATTCAAGTGATTTCAAAGATACTTAAGTTGTTGAAGAGGTTGCCTTGGGACATCATATACTCTTTCAGCTTCTGGAACACAGACTTGTTGGGCTTCAACGCCTACTAATCAACATGACAAGAGGTTGTCTACAACACACCGTGACGATAATTTCATCAAGTAGGTCACTAGTGTTCTATTGATCCCCTTCGTTATGTTTGATGGTCAGTCAAGGTGCTTTTGAACCGTTACAACAGTCAGACCCCATTTTGCAGCCATTAGACACCATGAAGACTCAACCCAAAATCTGACGTCTTCAAACAGCTTCTTCAAATCAAACCACCATTCTACCTCTCCCTACTACCTACACTTGTTCTTCTTGATTAATGACATTACATATACAAAGGACCCATGGCTTAACGAGAGTAAGACCAGACGTTCTTCAACAAACCGTCCTGCTGGGCCAATCTGTTGATGGAGTCGTCACCCTCACCTCTGGCTCTGATGTAACCAGACAAGGCGTAGGTGGTGTTGGAACCAGCAACGGCTCTGCCCTCGTCGTCAACGTTGGCAATGTTGATCTGGACAGAAGCGTGGTCCTTGGCCTTGATGATTCTGTTGGAAGCAGAACACTTTCTTGGCACGTACAATTCGACCTGACTGTTAGTACTTTGTTTTTGGTGGATCTGGCTGGCCTGGCACTGACTTGACTGACTGACATGGATGGTATGGATAGAGCATGGAAATACAACATTTGGTAAAAGTAAGCATAAAAGTGGATATAGGAAGCTGATTCAATAACCATGGGAATGCTGGAATCTGGAATAATTTGGTGGGGACGGTTCTTTCATGGATGGTGTTGGTCTGGTCTTAAGTTGGATCTTGAGGTTTCACTGGTTTGGATGTATCGTTCATCGTTCGTTTTTTACATGGAAAGTCTGTCTGAAGTTCAAAGTACCGTGGCCATCTTGGCGATTTCACATACTAATTGACCCTTATCGTTCTCCATTTTGGCTGATTCTAGATGATACTGAAAAGATTTCTATGAGTATTTCAAATTTTTTTCGGTATCAGCGCAGCGAGGATTCGGCCCTTGTGTGCAGGCGAACGGGTTTTCGCGCACTGTATATTGAAGAAATTCACTTAGGGCTGGAGCCCTAAAATTGCTGCAAATCACATATAACCTCTGGGTATGCTACTACAACAGTGATATCCTTTCCGTGTCTCTTCCTATAGATGCTAATTAAGTGCCAATACGGCAACAGACTCCACGTGGTGGGTTTGTGGGAAAAAGTCAAATCCCTTGATGCTTTCAACGTGGTAGTCTTTGCCATGCTCAGTGTTGTTAATGAACCACTCCACATCTCTGGCTTGAGAGTGGACGTTACAACTAATGTAGACGATCTTAGCCGGGTGGTAAGTGCTGAGCTGGTTGAGGAAAACGTCGTCACAGCCCTTTCTTGGTGGATCCAAGATCACAGACGTACGTTCAGCTGGAGTGTCGATGTTGGCAAAGATCTGTTCAGCTTTACCCACAATGAAATCAGCATTTTCAACCTTATTGTTCTCTGCATTTCTTCTGGCAAACTTCACACTATCGGCGCTGACTTCAACACCAATAACTCTGGAAACACCTCCAGAACAAGTGATCGAGAAAAGACCAGAACCACAGTAAGCGTCCACCAAGTAGTTAGGCTCACCAGGCTTCGAGTTTGGAATCTGTAGATTGTCCTCAACATACTTCGTGACCAATGGCAAGATGGAATTGTTGTTTTGGAAGAACTCGCCTGCGCTGAACTCAAAAACAAAACCATTGACATACTCCCTGACAATCGCTCTGGACTCCGTCACGCATGTCTTTACCAACTTGGTGTTGTTGTCCTCGACCTCCACAGTGGAGATTTCATCGTTGGTATCTTTAGAGCCTTGGTCAACCTCAATTTGGCCTTCGGAATTTGGCATGATGGTGTTCTCGCGTAGAAGCACAGTAGCTCCACGCTTGTACTTCTCGTAATCCTTTTCAAAACGGAGTCTTTCGTTAGCCATACCTTTAAGGACAATTGGAGTACCGATGGAACATTCCTCGATATCCAAAATTGAACCCTCTCCACCAGCAGTTTCTCTCCATTCAGGACGCCCCTTGGCACCAAACCCCATGTTGGGTCTGTAGTAGTTTTCAGGCTTCTTGTTAGGAACGTTGAAATGCGGCGTAAGCTTCGTTCTATAGTTATACTGTATTGGCGACAGCTGGGTGGCTGAAATGGCAGGAAGCTTAGCGTCCTTGGAAAGAACAGGAGCAAAGAATCTGTATGCATTGGCGATAGTGTTTCTCTTGAACTCAAGCTGTTCCAGGTAGTCCACATTCTGATATTGACATCCAGAACACTTACCAAAGTACTTGCAGTTTATAAGTGAATCGTCTCTCTTATCACCAGGCTTAACAATGGAAAGCAAGTCTGATTCCACATATAAAGGATGAGACTTGAACACTCTGATGTTCACAATGTCACCTGGCAAGCCGAAAGGAACCATAACAATCTGTTTTCCATCGTTTCTCACGGGATGGTCAATCACTGCAAGACCATCACCATTAGATGATAATCGTAGAATCTCAACATCCTTCACTTCTCTATGGTAGATTTCTTCAACCGACTTGTCATTCAAAATCTCTTTGAGGTCATTGGTGATGTACTCTTCAGTAAGACCAATTTCTCCAAGAATCTCCTTCACTTCGAACTGAAGCACTCCCATGGGCAGCGTAGGGTCCACATCTTTAGCCTTGTACTTTTTCTTGTACTTCTTCTGGGGCTTTTGTCTTTTGTCGGTATGCAGATTTTCAACACTAGGCCTTTTGACCTCTTCCATCTGTATAGGACTCATTGATGCAAAGTGGAGTCCTTGGTGGGATGAGGTTGATAGATATTTCAGTCTCATCGCGGTAGCATTTCTTACGTAACAAAGTATCATCGCCTACTCATTGGCTGATAACCTGCATACAGAGTACCATGAAGACTGCCCTGGGATAACGAAAGGTGGCTGCAAAACAACCAAATCACCTAATAATGTCTCTTAAATTAATTCACCTTGAAGATTTCAGTAGCAGTTATGAAGCCCCATGTAGCCATGATTGGGATTCCGGCGTACACAATAGTACGGCCAATGATTTCCACATCATACCTTGGTCTGAAAACTCCACTGATACTGACTTCAACCTTTGGTTCAGAGGGGTGGCTCTTTCCGTAGTCAAGAAGTTCATAGGCATCGATGTCATCTGTAGGACCCACATTGTCCAGGTCGCCTTCTCTAACTGATTTAAGGGCCTTGTTCACATCCATCAATGGTTCGTTAACCATGTTCGAAAGAGACTGGGAACGGATCTGTCTGGATGTCTTGTGTGAGTGAGCTGTAGGCATGTACTGTTTGCGGGGCAAGTAAATACCCAAGAACTTGTATAATGGCGGCAAGATGGTGAAGAGCACTGGCTTTGAGATAGCTTTCCAAATAACCACAAGAATAATGCCCAAGGCCATTCGAAGGGCACTAAGGAAAACGCCATGTTTCTCGAAAGACCAAGGAATGGAAAGAATAGTATTCAAGTCAGTTCCAGGGGCAATTCTTTCAGTGACGATAAAGAAAAGATGACTTAGATCAAGGCCGATGAGAACACCCACGAAAGCCACAGAGTCGTCAAAACAAGGACAATCGTCCACAGGCTCTGGATAAATATGAATAAGGTACAAGTGCCCAAGGACAATAAGAATCACAGTCCCAATAATACCAATTACGGTATCATTCCTAGACGAAAGCAAAAGCCATGTATCGTAAGCAGGAGCAAGGTAACGTCTAAACGCAAAAAGACTAGCGCCAATGGCAGCACCAGTCAAAATATCAAAGAAGCCGTGCATGCCACAGTACAATCTTCCAACGATAAGCGAAAAGTAATATAGCAAAAGCAACGCCGACAAGGACACCACCTGGAGTGTCAGGAACAGGTCCATATAGTCCCATAACTTGGCAAATAATATAAGCGTCACCGCAGTAGCGTTAGCCAGGTGAGACAGCGGCCAGCCGTACTCCTGGGTCGTATATGACGACATGGTGATTCTGTGCAATGGAGGAGAACGTGGTCTAGGCAAGCATAGAAAGTCTTTAAAGAAGCCAGACACATAGATGCCGTAGCCCAACACCGCTACCAAGTCTCTGCTCAACATGCCCATGCCAAACCAAATCGGCACGGGAAGCATTAGCACGTAAAACGTATGTGAAGCCAAGTTGGCAGTCCACGCAAAGTAGTAGTCGAGCCACGGTCCACGGACCTTCAGCTGGATATTGGCAAGCACCTCAGTCTCCTTCCTCACGATGGGAAGACAAAGAGACCTGATATTATACCGAATTGACGAAAGCCTAGATTTATAGTGATCGCTTGATTTGTTTCCAGCATCGTTTGTGCCCATTTTATCCTTGGTTCCCGTAGTCTCATTGGCATCCACCTGGGGAGCCTCGGTATGTTGTTTTCTATGGGTGAGTTCATCTGGGTGGTCAGGAAAAGGCTGGATTTCTTCAACAGACTCGTCCACGGACGACGTGGGACGATTTGGAGCCATGAAGGAAGGGAATTGGTGAGTTGTCAGGTGGAAGTGGGTGTGTTTCTGGAGAAACGGCTGGTGATGTTGCACTTTTGACTTTTGCTTGGGGGAGCGCGAATTGGGTTAAACTGGAGGGAAAGCACAGGGAGGTGAGTTTTGGACGTGGAGGGTTTTTTGGAAAGTGGAGAACAATAAGGGAGGTAAAGGAAGGTTCAGGTTTTGATGGGAACTTCTTCTTTTTTGAGTTTAATGTGTTTTGGGTGGATTGGTGGAGGGTGGTGGTGGTTCAGGGTCCACTGGAAAATGGCTGCGAATCGGCCCGGAAGATAAAGGATGGGAGGGACTGGAAAGAAGTGAAAGGGGGAAATGACGGAGGTGGAGGATTGGATTTTGGTGACTTTTGATGTTAATTAATGCTCTTTTTCACTAGATGGGAAACTGGAGGATAAGTGCTTTTTGGACTGGTGTTGGTGTTGGTATTGGTGGTATATGGCTTGCAGACTACTACATTCCCTTCCTAAGCAACTACTCTGAACTTCACACTTTTTTGTAAGGTAGTTTTTTTTTTTTATGATATTCTTTTGGCTTTTCCAGCTATTGTGGAGCCTCAACGGTAGTAATGATGTTAAACAACTTCCTGGAATAAGTGGGGCATGTGTTCCTTGAAGCTTTATTGCTGGAATGTTCAACATCCGAGTTAGCATACACTGCAATAAGTCTCTAGGGAACTCGGAATTGCTGTCTTTTTATTCATTTTATTGCTTTACCGAGAGATAAACTATCCCTTGCTGGCTGCCAATAATACTATCTTTACTGTGGAAACAACTCACCATTAAACCAACAGACCAATCAACACTACCAAAAATAGAGTTCAAAAGCAACTTGCCAACGCTTCACATTCCCTTGTTGCCCGCCACTTGACCCTTCTTTATCACGCATTCATCCTTTATTAAAAATCCGTCCTTGGCTATGCTAGTTATATAAGATGCTATAGAAACTCGTAACGTTACAAAATCGTACACTTCCGGCTGCTGTTCTTCTTCCTTCTCGCAAATGCAAGTTCGTCCTCGTTATACTTGGACTGGGGATTAGGGCTCAGCTGGTATGGGTTCCGCTGGTAGTCGTCCTCCACCAACGGCAGGTCCAAAAGGACACTCAGGCCCACCGACGCGTGTGGAAAATGGCCGTGCTTGGCACTCTTGTTGCTTCCCGTACGTGAGTGGCCATTTCCACCTCTCAGGTTGCCTCTCAGGTGGTTTCGCAGGTGGCTGCCGCCCATAACCCTGCTGAGTCTGTTTCTGGACTTCTCCACCTGCTCTTCCATCTCCTTGCTCTTCTGGAAATGGTTAAGAGCGAAATTGAACACTTCTTGAATGTTGAACATGGACTTGGCAGAGCACAGAATGTACCCTATGGCGTTGATCTCGTGGGCCAATTGAAGTGGCATATCTGGGTCCATGTCCTGGGCCAAATCCGACTTGGTTCCCACAAGCAAAACCGGCACGCCAGGGCAAAAATGGTTCACTTCCGGAAACCACGTATCCTTGATATTCTGCAAAGACACCAAATTATCCACAGCAAAGCAAATCACGATAATGTCTGAATCAGGGTAAGACAACGGTCTCAACCGATCGTACTCTTCCTGGCCCGCCGTATCCCAAAGCGCCAACTCTATAGTCTTCCCGTTAGGCGCCTGGACGCTTGTCACATAGTTTTCAAAGATTGTTGGCACATAGATCTCGGGGAACTTGTTCTGGGCGTAACTCACCAAAAGACATGTTTTACCACATCCACCGTCACCCACAACGACCAATTTCATATTGTACAGCGACTTCTTGGTCATCTGCGGCAACATCTTATACTTTGGAATCACTGGGCTATCGTTGATCAACGGGCTTCTAGGTGATCTGGGAGTGCTCCTTGTTGGAGAAGTCCTATTATAAGGGTTGACATAATCGTTCTGGAGGTCAAGCGGCAGTTTAAAGGACATATTGGAAAGTAGTATATTTGTAGCAGGTCCTTGTTTTCATCAATTGGTGTTGGTCGCTCTGATGGATCACAGATCAAGAGATCAGCTTGTTTGTTGATGTTTTCTATATTTGGGATCTGCTTAGTACCCGCAAAAAAGTGTGCACAGACTAAGGCACCTACCTTGGAACAGATGGGATAGATTAGGTAGTAGCAAGGGTAGGTAGCAAGAACAAGGTTTCTTTTAGTTCAGTTTCGTGACTTTGGTTCCTGGATCTTCTGTTCACGGGTAAGAATTGGCCCATTCTGGTGTAAAGTATGCGTTTAAGGCTGGTGTGAGCAATGTTTGGGGGTGGTTGGAGGAAAGTAAGAGTGGGTTGGAAAAAAGGGTGATTTTGGGGGTGGGCTGGTTTAAAGGGGGCGTTTTAATAGCGGGGATGGTGTTTTTGGGCGTTTATTCTCGGAAATAGGGAGTTTTGATGGAAGGTATCGGAGTCGCTCGGACTATGTACTTTTGGCTGCAAATGCGCCGATCTGGTGAAGTACCATGCAACGAAGACTTCTCTGTTGGAGGTTTCCAGGGAGTGGGTTGCTGTAAATAAGGTTTCAAAGGAGTGTATTTCATGGGAAAGCTCTTCAGGAATGGAAGGTGGTGGTGGGATAAAACTGGTGTGGCTGTTTAAGTAGTATGCTTAAGCTGGAGCCACACTGACACTGGTAATGAGACTGGTATAAGTTACACTTTGAAGTTATTTCTTGTAAATAGGATAACTTTCACTTTTCATGTCTACCTTCATCTAAGATAAAATATCCTACGGGTTGCTTCGATGCTGAAGTAGGAGGTTACTGGTAGGTACCATGTAGTTGTTCACCAAAGGTATAGTTTAGTCCTAACCAAGTTAACTTCCAGAAAAGGGGTGGATGAAAACCGTTTTTTTACTACTTTCAAAGCATATTGGTATCCCAAAAAGGTAGCTTTGATTCCCCTTCCTGATAACTACTTGACGAAGTCTCTGAGATATAGATATCTACAATAAGCTCTGACTATACTACCCAACCAGTCATCTCCAGATATCTGTCTAAGAAACGACAGAAAAAATCCAAAAGAAACCAACCAACACCCTCCTCCCTCTACCATCCTCCACTTCCACTGGACCAACCCAGCCGTACTGCTGCATCCCATCCCATCCCATCTCATCTCATCTCCCAACGTCCAGACCCCCATCGCCAGTGCCGTATAATCCCGTCCAAGAACTTCTCCGTTGCATAATCCCCAGTAAATGCAAATCGTCTTACTTTGGCCAAATGCGAGTCGGACTCGCTGCTTTACCTGAATCGATACAGCCAGTTACCGAAGAGGAGCCTAAGCTGCGATGAGTAGCTTTCTACATAAAGCTTATCTAAGGGAAGGGAAGTCTTCTTGGCACGAGCTTTGCATTTCTACGACTGGTTTACGACTTTTCGGCTGCAAATACGTTGGTATCCGAAACCTGGACCAAATACATGATTTCTTTCTTTTTTGCCTTTTTGCATTTCTGCATTTCTGCATTTTTTTTCCCCTCTTTTTTTCATCCCTTTTTCGCAGCCATTTACAACCACCATATATCCAGCAGTCACAGTAATCCAACCTCCACCAACTATCCCCTGGTACCTTGGCATCAACTTTGCCTCTTCTTTTCTTCCTCTTTTCTTCCCCTATTCTTCCTCTTCTTATTGTTACGGTCTGGCCAGTCGGCTCGCCCTGGCTGCATATCTGTGCTTATACTAAACCAAATCATTACATTGCCAGATCAAGAACTAACAACTTGCATGTCGCCTCAGCATCAAGAAAACGACCTACTACGGGAACTTAGGAGCTATGGTGGTTCTAGATTTTGAGCCAAAACGCCGCATCCTCGGTATATGTATTTGAAAAAACCGTTAGTAGATGCACCTCCTCCCAATGGCAGATGCAACATGGAGGAATATGAAGAACCCACTTTGTATGGTACATGCCATGTAAGTTGCAACACCGATGGGTCAAGTGTTACGGCTTGTTTGTGCATGGACATGGGAAGCTCTAGATTTTCTTTTTTAGTTTTGGTTAGTGTTGTGTTTGTTGTCACAAGGGGTACTCTACATTGGTGTACCAAGCCATCATAGTGGCTTGAGTGGGCGTTTAACAACAGAGGCGGTGTTGAAGGAGTGGGGGGAGGCACTTTGTGTATGGACTGAGAAACTCTGACTACCGAGGAAACCTTATCTTTATATAACATGAAATTAATAGAAGGATTGCAATTTGGAAGTTATAGGGGGAAAGGGAGGGGGGGTGCAGCCAGTGCAGAGTATCGCATTGTAAGGTAGAAGCGAGGCTTGGCTGCAGGTTTTGAAGGAAGGAAGGGACACAAAACCGCGTTTTTCTGCAGGTGTGGGAGGGTTTTGTGCATTAGAAGAAAACAAACCGGGACGGTAACCCGCGCCGTGTGCAGTCTGTGCAGTAGTGCCAATGCACACTATACATGATTTTAATGTACGTTTGGAGTTTATATGCAGGTTGCGTAAAAATCGAACTTACCATCCAGCTGAAAAATTCCCCCCTCCAACAAAGCCATTGAGAGGTATAGGTGGTTGGGAAATTTCAGCGGGTGCTGATTTACCAGGGGATTTGAGAATTGGGAAGTGGTGGTGCCTTCTTTTGCTCACGTGACTCACTACCTTCCCCACCCCCTTGTTTCAGGTCTGTCTCAGGCGTTAGTCTTGTACTAGTCGTGTAGCGTTTAGCTACCGCGTTGTCTGCAGTCTGTGTTTTCTTTCTCGCGTGGTGCGGCGCGTACGTGCCTACCCAAAGGAGACGTGGCCAGCATACAAAAATTCTCGGAACGAACATACCAGCACTAAAACGTCCTGCAGGAGTCTCTTATTCCTGTCTATACCTTGTTTTGACCTGCAACGCATCATGCACTATGCATACCCGCGCACCTTCACGAGCGCTGTCTTGGGTTTGGGGCTTGTCGCCAGTCTGGGCCAAAAAAAAAAATACCAGCCTCAAATCTATATACTTTCCTCCTTCTTCTTTCTTTTCCTTCCAACAACCCACACTCTTTTTTTCTTTCCTAACTTCAGTCATTCCTTTAAAAATGAAGTCGTCCGCTTTGATGGCCATTGCCGCCTCCATGGCTGCTGTCTCGGCCTCCAACTGTGATTTTATCCAGGGTAACTACTACTGTGCCAAAACAAACAAGGTTGCCTTCCAGAACGTCGGTTTCTCTTCGTCTTACCAGGACGTTGTCTCCATGGACGAGAACTCTGGTAAGTGTACGCAGAAGACCTACGAGTTCTCTGGTAACTTGGCTCCTTTGAACGAGGACTTGTCCTTGCACTTTAGGGGTCCATTGAAGTTGAAGCAGTTTGGTGTCTACTACCCAGCTTCTGGCTCTAAGAACAACAAGAGAGCTGACGATGAGGACTGCTCGACCACCAAGCACGTTCACCACAAGCACGTTAAGAGAGCTACTGCTTTCGTTACCCAGACTGTGTTTGTTGACCAGTATGGTAACACTGTCACTTCCAGTGCTACTGACACTCCATCCACCGCTGACGGTGAGTCTTTCGACACCACCCAGACCAACGTGGCTTCTGTGTCTTCTGACGGTGGCTCTCCAGCTTCCTCCAATGGTGCTGTGGACGCTTCTTCCACTGACTCCGGCTCGTCCTCCACTGCTTCTGCCAGCTCTGGCGACTGGGTCCGTGCCGCTTACTACAAGCCAGGCACCGCCGAGAACTGTACCTTCTTGAACCACCACGGTGGTTCTGGTTCTGGTGTTTGGTCTTCTGCCCTTGGTAACTCTCTTTCTTACGCCAACAAGGACAATTCCAACGCCGCCTCCTCTCCTCAGATCTTGGACGATGTCACCATTCCTTCCAACACTGAGTTTGTCATCATGTCTGGTCTCAAGTGTGGTGACGACTCTGAGAACAGCGACTGTGGTTTCTACAGAAAGGGTATCCCTGCTTACCACGGTTTCGGTGGTGACACCAAGATGTTTGTTTTCGAATTCACTATGCCTTCTGACGGCTCCAAGGGTTTCAACGCTGACATGCCAGCTATCTGGGCTTTGAACGCTAAGATCCCAAGAACTTTGCAATACGGTGAGTCCACTTGTTCTTGTTGGAAGACCGGCTGTGGTGAATTGGACTTGTTCGAGATTCTCCACTCTGGTTCCGACAAGTTGATTGCTCATTTGCATTCCGGCCAGGGCTCTAACGGTTCCGGCTACGGTGGTGGTGGTTCTCAGGACTACTTTGAGAGACCAACCGACAAGTCCATCAAGGCTGCTGTCATCTTGACCGGTAAGGAGATCGTCATCAAGATTGTTGACGATGACTTTGACGCTGTCTTGTCCTCCAACACTGTCGATGGCTGGTTGGACGCTCAGGGCACTGTCGCCAAGATCGCTAACTAGATGCTTTATATCCCTACGAACCGCTTTACATTCTGATTTGTTTTATTTAGCTTGATTTGAAAAATCTTTTTTTACTTCCTTGTAGAAAGCCCATTGGTTATTCTTGCTGATAGAGTTTCGGATTTGTGATTATAAAAATCTGCCGCAACCAAGTGGCTCTTGCGGCTCACCAAGTAAACAATCACCTCCTGTTAGTCTATTTGTTTTTGTACTATTGCTTATTTGATACTCGCTAATACCATTCTGACACAGTCAATAGAAGCCCCCCTTCGTCGTCGACTGAAACAACTTAGCTTAATTTCCAGATCTACATTAATACTTTTTTTAGATATTCGTCCAACTCATGCAATGCCAGTCTCTCCTGATATCTCCTTATGCTTGTTCAATATTTTAACCGCACAAGCGTGAATAAACAAGCCAAGACAAACACACCACTTTTACCCGAGCAAAGTCAACAACGCGTCTTCGAAAGGAGCATTGTTCTTGTAGTTGCCAATGTAGAGCTTTTGAGCAACTTCTCGAGACTTATAAGTGTTGGTACGTGAGAAGGTATAGGCTTTGAGAAGTAGGTTTACCGAAGTTTATAAATAGAATGGAACGGGATTTACTTCGCTGGGTAATCGTCATCCGTGTATGAAGGTGGCATAAGAAGGAGGTAACCTTTGAGAGTGACGTCGAATGGGGACGTCAGTGGTTGTACCTTGAAGGGGTCTGGTGGTTAGACAAAGGAGTAAGCTATTGCAAGGAGTAGAAGGTTTCCAATGGAAATGGTTTAGGTTTCGTGAAACGTCATATTACAGGTGGATTTGAGTTTGGTGGGTCTTTCTTTGTGGAAGTGTTATGGTAAGTCGTTACGGTGGAGCCTGTGAAAGGTTTAATTCGTCAAGGCCTGTGAAACGTTTAATTCGTCAAGAAGCGACAATAACTGCCAAAGAAATAATGGGTTTAAAAAATTACCTGGCATTTACGAGGCGTGGGTGGTCTTGTAGAGTACGTTTCATTGTGGTAGCTTGGTCATTGTTAAGGCCAGTGGATGTAGTTCAATGGTGTGGAACAAGACGAAGCGGTTTGGGTAAGCAGGGAGAGAAAGCAACGTTGTTAGCAGTAACTTAGAAAATAGAGCTTCAGTATTTGAGGTTTCTGGAGATATGCCATGAAACACTATGCCCCAGAAAGATGGATACCTGCCTTGGTATTCAAAGAACCATACCTCATTGTCTTTCTACCATTGGAAAACACTCTATTTGGCTCCATGAAGCCCCACTTAATCGTATCAGCAATCTGACTAGCAGACAATCAGCCACTTAGCTTAAACCTCTTCGTAGCTACAAGAACACTACCTTTACTACCCATCCTCACCAGTCTACCCACCATACCCTCCAAACTGTCCAACCACCCGCCAATAAACCATCAGAGTATCAAAAGAAACTTCCAACACCTTCTAAAAAGCTTCCAAACAGCTTTTAAGATCATGATAATGAAGGCTTGTTTTATGTTTTGGGAATTCACCATCCTGGCCCTCTCTCTTCACCTCTCGCTTCCCTCAACCAGTAGTCAGTAGGCCACCAACCTGCCAAAAGAACTGCCAAAAAAAAAAAAAAAGGTAAGAACCTGCTGTCAGAATTCATACATCAAAATTGCATGTACCAGGATTTCATCTTTTACTACTTATACCGCCCTCTCCCTCCACCTCTCCTCCACCTCTCGCTTCGCTCGAGGTGAAGGTCGATGTGAAGGTCGAGGGCGAGGTCGCAACTACACCCTCTTCATGATAGGCATCGACGTGGGCAGCGACGCCGTACGGATCTGCGTAGGCGACCGCTGCAGCCAAAAACCACTCATCCGAAACATCAACGACACCGAACACACCATGTCCACAGAGCATCTTTGGGTGCAAATCACTCAGTTGCTTGGAGAACTCGGTGTGCGCGAGCCAGAAATGGCTGCAACTGGGAGAGAGGGAGAGGGTATTGGGGCTTCTGAAGGTACTGGGTTCTCTGAAGGTATTGAATTCCCTGAATTTGGACCCTTACGGGATCCAAATTCAGTAATGGTCGCCGCCACATGTTCCATGGCAGTCGTCGAACGAACTGTCTCCCCCCACGGCCCCATCTTCACTCCCCTAGAAGACATTATAGTATGGATGGACGGTCGCGCAGTGAGCCAGGCCCACTGGGTATCACAACGTCTATGCCCAGCTACATTGGCCCAAATTGGTGGGGCGGTGACTCCAGAAATGGGAATTGCCAAGTTGAAGTGGGTGGACGAAAAGTATAAAAATTCAGGGAAAGACGTGGTGGTATTTGAGTTATATGACTGGGTGAGTTACCTTTTCGCAGCCGGTGGGGTGGGCAGTGGAGGAGAGGTAAAGTGTTTGGGGCGAGAGAAGGTGGTGTTTGAGGAAGGTTCTAGGGCTATGGATGGACTGGTGAAGGGCTGGGGGAGGGATGTGATGGAGGCTTTGGAGATCAGTGTGAGTGTAGGGCATTTGGGTGGACTGGAGGAGCTGGTTACTGTTTCTCGCTTTCCTTACGCTGGTGAACCAATTGCACAGAATAAGTTCCTTGGTGGGACGGTTCTTCATGGCTGTATTGACTGCTACGCTGGAATTGTCGCCCAGAACCGTCCAGCATCAACTCCGCCTTCTCAAAGCCTTGGAAGGCTTGAAATGGCTGCGAAATCTAAGGAAGCCTCGTCTGGCAACCAGCACAGCGGGTCTACTCTAGATATGGTGGCAGGAACACTGACATGCTTTATTGGCTCCATTCCAAGCTCTACATCGCCTATTCCAGGGCTTTGGGGTCCTTTTAACCAGCTTATGCCTACCCCAGTGTATGCATTTGGACAGCCAGCTACAGGGAAGTTGTTTGCTGAGCTTCTTGAAGAAACAGGCGAAACGTTTGAGTCGCTTGAAGCTGCTGCAAGTACAGCCGAAGAAGATGCCAATGAACTGTTGGTGGTGCTTTCAAAGAACCATATGTACTATGGCGACCGTCATGGTAACAGAAGCCCATATGGTGACTTCAACATGGACGAAGTACGTCTAGCAGGATCCAATGCCGATAAGGGTGCTAAATTTGCTATTAAGAACAACCACACCCTCCAATACTACCTTCTCATTGAGTTCTTGGTCTTCCAGACGAAACAGTTAGTTGACAGGCTCGGACCGTTGGATGTGGTAAGAGTGAGCGGCTCACAGGCCAGAAATAAGCGTTTCATGCGTCTACTAAGTGAATTTGCATTTTATGGGAAGAGAAAGCCAGAAGTTTACGTTGCTGGTGGTAACGCTACCTATTCAGGTGCTTCAGCGGGTTCTACAATCGCCAGTGGAAAGAAAAGCGATACAAAAGACAAAGTCTTCGAAACCAAGCCTTTGCTGGATACAGAAAAGAAGGTTCTTCAGACAAAATACGATTTCTTCTTGGAACTCAGCAGCTGGCAGAACCGGTTTCGCCAAGCCATGAAAGGTATCTAATGAAACAGTGAATCATGAGATACCACTTGACGTCACAAACAAATAAAAGAAACGCATAGCAACGATTTCATAAAATGACGAATTTCAAGGCTTTGTCTAAAACCATGTAAATATTTATATCCTTCAAGTGGGACGTAAACAAAACGCCGCAAGCTTCGGTAGAAGTTACTCAAATTTTTCACTCGTCCAAGGCTCACATGGCTCCAGCCATCTGGGCTACAAACGTATATTATTAAGAAGCAGTTTTCTTTCTTTTGATGAAACGGTACAATGGCGTTGATTTTCTTTTCAAAGGCAGCTTCGATCCGAACTTTTGTTGGTGTTTTGGAGAATCGGCGTTCCCACCAACAATGCCGATCAGACGCTGATTGCCAGAGCCGATCTTGAACGTTTCCAGAAGGAAACAGACGTTTTGGAGAAGAGTATTTATAGAAGGAACACGGTCGTCGAGAAATGGTATTTATATGGCAGGGAAGAAACTTAAGTGGTGCAAGTGTATCTATTGAAGAGCCGAGCCTATAGTGGTCAATCAGGTCCAGTGTAAACCACCCAATGCCCTTGATTACCCCCATTTCTTCTCTTATTATACCCTTAAATTCTTCTCTTCCCCATATCAGAACCTAAAGAACCTCTTTTGTCCACTTCAACCGCTTATCCACCACCTCCTCCACTGCCTCTGCCACTTCTCTACTGGCTGCGAAACAACAACCACCATTTCCACCCCCAGCCTACTCAAACCCTTCAAATCCTTCAAATCCACTAAATTCTACCTCCCCCTGCCCCCTCTGTGCCTCCTACTTCCCCTGCCGCCAAAACTTTATCTTTGTGCTTCCTGTCTGGTCCATATGTATACTGTGCTATCACCAGTAGGTCCCACAGTGCCGAGATCCAGCGAAGCACCACCATCCAGCCGTTTCAAACCACCTCTCCAGTTTCCCAAACCAACTTAAACCTCTCAGTCTCTTCAACCTCTTCCAATCCCAACGTCTTCTTTGTCTTTGCCCCCATTCATCCCCTCCTTGTTTGTCCTCCTAGTGGTCCATTTCTTGTCGCTGATTCTCCGCACTACTCATCTGTTTCGCAGCCACTACAACTACTCTTGGTAAACCCTAGTCATCCAGTTAACCGTCCAGCTACTACGGCATCGCCGGCCTTGCAAATGTCTACAAACTTGTACTTTGCGTACTCCATCAAAAAGGAGTATAAGCTGCCGCCCTTGGCGCTAAACGGGTCCAGCAGCAGCTCTGTTTCTGACCTGGGGAAGGAACGGAAGAAGTACCTTCGTGCTTGTGATGCTTGTGCTATTCGGAAGACAAAATGTGAAGAAACTCGGCCGTGTCGAAACTGCCGAAACAACGGGCTTGAATGTACTGAGCTCAGAGAACGCAAGAAGATGGGACCGAAGAAGTTGAGGAAGCTGACCATGGAGTCTATCCAGTCGTTGGAGAAGAGTGCCAAGGAGCTGGGACTGGATGTGCCTGTTTTGGCAGCTACGGCTGACCTTCTAGCAGATACACCGACGCTTGAACTTACGGCTCGTGCGTTGGTGCCGTTGACGGTGCTGTCTTCATCGTTGTGTTTACCTGAGATGCTCATCTACTTACGTAACTCGGCTCCTCATAAGCCTGACACTTTGGAGACCCAGGCAAGCGATGCTGCGTTGGCGTCGTTGGCCCTTTTGCTATTGGCGGCGCTTCTGGCGACGGAAATGACCTGTGGAGCTGAAATTGACACTCATATTCAGTTGATGGTGGACCATGTGGCTCTGGTCTACGCTGACGTCTCTCGCCGGCTGTTTCTTCTGCTGGACCAGACGACAACCTCAGCTACGCATTATAATTTGGCCTTGGCTGAGCTACATATGTATGGGTACTTTATGTTCAAGGGTAGTGCTTTCTGCGTCAGACAGTTAGTGCACCTACGAGGAGCCATATCACATTACCAGTTGATTTCCATGTCTCTGGATTCGGATATTTCGGGGCTTTCCGAGCTACGGCGTACACTTTACTCGGCTGAGAGAAGCGCTTGTTTGTTTTCCACAGAAGAGGTGTTCAAATCGACCTGTTTAATCTCTTCTGGCCCTTCCTCGCCCTTCTATTCCGATCCGCTGCTTAAGAAACTTGTTTTGGACTGTGGCCATGATATTTTTAAGGTTTTGGAAGAACATGGCGTTTTCACACGCAGCACAAGTCTTCCTAATCTCTTCTTATGGCGGTATGTTACCTTCCAGAGCCAAACTGGTGTCTACGGAAGCATCAAGATGAACGCTCAGGATGTCAGTCTGAGTAAATGCCAACAAGCAGGCTCTCCAGCGCCACAAAGCTCTTTCGTCCAGCTTTTGGTCACTTTCATCTCCTTCAAGGTGCTTCTTCTATACTCTGGCGAGTACACTCAAACCACAGTGAGCAACGAGCTTCTCGAGTTCATTTCCAGAGCCAACGCTGCTCTTTCGGTCGCCAAAACCGATCCCCTTTTCCCAATCTACCTCACGGTATTTTCCCTAGTCCCCCACTTTTTGGATCTTTTACGATGCTACTTTGAATCAGTCAACAACTCTCCTCCTCCAGAAGCCCACGAGCGTCTCAAAGAGTACACCCTTCTAATTCTCCCATTGTGCAACAAAAACGCATTCATGGGCGTGGCTAAATTGGACCCCGTGTTATCTGATTGGTTCGCCAGAGAATCTGGCGATTTCTGGGTTGAGCCTAGTACTTCAGCTAGTCCTTGTGTTGTATCTAATTAGTGTACTCGGGTCCGTTGCGGTATTTCGCAGCCATTCGAAAGTGGTGATATGGAAGAAACAGACACAACAACAAAGACAATGAAAAACGACAAGACGATATCTCAAAGAAAAACTATAAATCTATATAGAAGAATGTTCCAATTGACCTCTTCCAATTCTGTTCCCCCAGTTTGCTAGTGTGGAGCCAAGATGTGAGCCTCGCACGACCGCTGTTCTGTCCTAATATATTGTGTCGGAAAGTAGATAAGATTAACGACCAACTCACCACACATCATGTCATTGACAGACGACCAGGTACGTTATTTCATAAACATTTAATTATCCCAGCACCCACTAACATCAGGTCAATGCGGAGCTCCGTAAGATGAAGGCCTTCATTGAGAAGGAGGCCCAGGAAAAGGCCAAAGAAATCAGATTGAAGGCTGACGAAGAATACGAAATCGAAAAGGCTTCCATCGTCAGATCTGAAACCGCTGCCATTGACAGTGTCTATGAGCAGAAGTTGAAGAAGGCTTCGTTGGCTCAGCAAATCACCAAGTCCACCATCAGCAACAAAACCAGATTGAGAGTGTTGGGCGAAAAAGAGAAGGTTTTAGATGACATCTTCGAAGAAGCAAAGAAACAATTGAGCTCAATCGCCTCCAAGAAGGACGAGTACAAGGCCTTGTTGGCTGGTTTGATTGAGGAAGGTGTGTTGGCTCTTTTGGAGGAGAAGGTTTCCGTCAAGGTTAGAGAGGGTGATGTGTCCGTCGCCAAGGAAGCTGCTGAAGAGGCTGCCAAGGGTTTCAAGGATAAGTCCAAGAAGGACGTTACCATCACCATTGACGAAGAGCTGTTCTTGCCTAAGAACTCCCCGGGTGGAGTCATTGTGGTGAACGAGCTGGGCAAGATCGAGGTGAACAACACCTTGGAGGAGAGATTGAAGTTGTTGTCTGAGGAGGCTTTGCCAGGTATCCGTTTAGAATTGTTTGGCCCTTCGCCAACCAGAAGGTTCTTTGACTAGCCTTGCCGCTGGTTGCTAGCATTCAGTTCCGTACTCTTTCTTTAAAAACATTTTGACGATAAATACGTGTAGAATTTGAGACTGATAAGACATGTCTTGTTATTTGTAGGGGAAGAAACTCTTGGAGAGGATTGACTATTCGTGGTGAATATTGTTCAAGAGCTTTCATAGAGGAAATATGAAGATAAGAGGCCGGATATCCTCTCCCCAAAGAGCAGAATGGATACTTCAATTTACAAGTAAGGAGCTAATGAGATTTGTTTCTTATTTAAGAGATTTCCTTAGGAACTATCTGGCTGTTTACTAGAAGCACAGTGACTGGTAGGGATAAGCACTATAGGGACCACAAAAGACCAATATCACACCAGAAATAAACACCGCTTACATGATTATGATGCTTGGCTATTAGAGAATCTATTCAATTTATTAAGTACTGTCTATCATTTTTTATAGTACTTCTGTAGTGATCACGGTTAGGTCTCAACTAGCATAAAGAAGCCTCCAGTGGCAACGACAACTCTACAGACACCCATATTTCTCCCAAATGATCACCAGTGGCCCCTTATTCACCTCTTGACCTTCCACATTATTTATCTCCCAAATCCACTTTTTCAACCCACATTCTATTTTTCACTTCTTGTCTGAATGAGCATTATGGTTGCAAAATACCACTAACTATACCCATTTCCACCAAAACTCCAAATCCACACAACCACCATAAAAATCAAAAAAAGCCTAAATCCACCAAACTGAACCCAAAATTCACACCTAAAACCTTCCTCTTGCTTCCTACCCCCTTTATCGCCCCACTTTCTCTTCCCACGCCCTATCGGCCCGGCCATATCAACATGCGCATTTCTCATCTCACCGATAACACATTGCTAAACTACTCCATCCGCCAGGTCTGCCCACATGCAAAGCTTGCTACGACTGGTTCGACATTCCAGCAGACTGGCGCTTACAAGAAGCTTCCGCACGTGCTTGCCTCGACTAAGAGACCCCAATGTTCATAAGCTTTCCACGCCTCTCTGGGGGTCTGTCTCTGACGATGTGCCTAGCGAAGAGCTTGGGTCGTTCCACCATATGGTCCAGCCGATCGTTCCCAGTGACCAGTATGTGTCGTGTACGACGTTTGACGCTGCGGGCAACGTTACTGCTGTGCTGAAGAAGTACCCGAAGATGACGTTTTTGAAGGATAATAACTTGTACCCTCGAGACCTACGTAAGGTGGATACGTCGTCGATCGACGTGGTGCCGCTGATTATGGTTCGGCCGGGGAAGGCCATTATCATTAACTTGCTTCATATCAAGGCTATTATCCAGAGGGATAATGTTAAGGTGTTTGATACTGCTAATCCTAATATGGCTTCGAAGCTTGGTATTTTCATGTACGACTTGGAAATGAAACTCAAGGGCCCTGGCGCTGCTCCGTATGAATTCAAGGCGCTTGAAAGTATCTTGATTTCGGTGCTAAGTTACTTGGAAGCAGAGCTATACGCCCAGAGAGCAAGCTGTGGGTTGATATTGCTGGAGCTTGAAGACCATATAAGCAGGGAGAATCTCCAGCAGTTGCTTATCAAACTGAAAAAGCTTACGAGTTTCTTTCAGAGAGCATCGTTGATTAGAGATGTTCTCGAAGAGCTCCTAGAGAATGATGAAGATATGACAGGCATGTACTTGACTTCGAAACAAGAATTCACGCCTGTAGTGACCCACGAAGAGACTTCCAGCAACACTCTGTTGAACAACTTTTCAGATGTCGAGATGATCCTTGAGACTTACTATACTCACTGTGATGAGGTAGTGCAACAGGCTGGCTCGTTGATTTCTGATATCAAAGCAACCGAGGAAATCGCCAATATTATTTTGGATGCTAATAGAAACTCCTTGATGTTGTTCGAGTTGAAGGTGACAATCTACACTTTAGGTTTCACTGTGGCTACGTTGATTCCAGCTTTCTACGGTATGAACTTGAAGAACTATATTGAAGAGTCCTACTATGGATTTGGCGCCGTCATTGTACTTTCAGTGATCCAGGGCTTCCTTATTACGGCTTGGAACTTCAAGAAGTTGCATAGAGTGCAGAAACTTACAATGATGGACCATTCACCAGCTCATCCATCCACAAAACCATCATATTACCAGTCTTCGTGGATGCGTAAACGTTGGTGGCTGAAGTTGTTGTTTGGAGGACGGACCGTCTATCACCGTCCTACCAACAAGGAACGTGACGTTATATGGAGAATGTTGAGAGACGACAAGCCTCCCAAATAGATAAAACTTGTACATAGAGTTGGAGAATAATTCTTGTCGATAGATGATATGTATTAAAATGTGCTCGTAATGTACAACCCAAAGATGCTCTATTTCTAGAATTGGTGTTTAGTCGCTGCTCTCGTCGCTAGAGGAGTCGTCGTTCTCTTCGGTTTTGTCGTAAGAAGGAACCTCATCAGCAGCAGCAGCTGGGATCTCAGTGACCTGAGGCGACTCAGTAGCGCCATCCTCATCTTCAAATCTCAAGTGGTTAGCACCGACAGAAGCAGCAGCAGAGGTGGAAGACTTTCTTCTTTCTGAAGAAATTGGCTGAGCATCAAGCTCACTTTCAGGCGATACCAAAGTACCTTCCAAAGAAACCATTCTGCCGGAAGTGTTGACAACCTTAACAGTGAACTTGATTTTACCTTCCACCTTGGTACCGTTCTCGTCAGTCCAATATCCGTATGATCTGAACTTGGAGTTACCAGAATCGCCTTGTTCTTCGCCATACTCGTCGGCCTGGCTAGGCACGAACTGCCAATCTTGTGGAAGGTTTTTAAATTTAAGAGATGCATTGAATGTGTCGTGGATAAGCAAACCGATATGTGACTGTGTTTGCATGTAGATGTAGCCTTCTAACACATCGCCTGGTTGTGGCTGCCATATAAGAAGATCCACAGTGGCCCATAAGAATGCAAAAGGAGTGGCATCGTCAACCTTGATCAAGTCTGACTTGTCACCTGGGCTAGAGTTTCTTTCGTTCGACAATGTGACGTTGAAGTAGGACAAAACCACACCTCTAGCCTTAGCATGATACTTCATCACCAAAGGCTCCAAATGCTGAGCTTTGATACCGTTGATGGGGTTACCCAAATGACAAGGAGCTAGCGAAAGGTAGAACTTTGTACGAACAACCTTGAAGCATTCAGAGATGCCTTCGTCATTGACCTTATTAGTGGTTTTAGCGATATTTCTCTTCTTGAGTGCTGGCTCAGCCACATCGGGCGAGCTTTCCCTGACCTCCGCTGGCATTATCTATAAGAGGGTAAAGTTGGGGAAGGTTGGTTGCGATGAGGCTAGGACTGGTGATGCGACTTTGACACTTTATCCGTGATTTTCACTTTTGGAGATGAGCAGGATCTGAAAAGCATCCTTCTCATCGTACTGCAGATAAGGCCAAATTTGATAGTGCGCAAATGGCTGCGAAAAAGGTTACTTCGGATGTGCCTGTTGCTCTCTGAATAAAAGACTTTCCTCCTTTTTCAAGATATTATCTTTGCTTTTGAACAGCGGAGAGCTTCTAGACGAAAGAAGCGGCTGCTTGAAAATGGCAAAATTTTTCATAAGACCACGTGGATGACGTGTAGGGGCGTCTTCTTCAGGTGAGTACTCAGGAACACCAGCGAACCGAACCTTCTTGACAATGACACCTTCAACGCTTGGACTCGAATCTTTCGTAGGAGTATCTGAAAGAAGAGTGTTGGGCGTCGAAGTGGCAGATTCAGTGCTTATACGAGGCTTCACGTCGTTACCATTCTCTTTCAAGGCTAAGCTGTTTCTCTGGGTGTTCAGCTTGGTGATCTGTGCCCTTGATTGAGGGCCCTTGACGTCACGAGCAGGAGCTTCTTCTTGAGGCAACGGTGGAACAGGCTTTTCGGCAGGTCTATGGATCTTGGTGGCTGTTGGATTGTTAGGATCAAACACAACGCTGGTTAAGGTCTCTCGTTGATGAGAATTGATCTTTCCACTCTTGGTGGCCTCCTTGAGGTGAAGAGCGAACTTTTGGTTGGCTGTCAACTTAGGAGCAGCAGAGGCCGGCTCTGTGGTGTCCTCTTTGAGTGGAGTCAACTGAACGGTTTTCGACGCAAGAGGCGAAGTTACATTTGGAGCGTTATTTGATCTCGTGAGACTCGATGTCCGGCGGATACTTCCTGTAGGTGATCTAAGACCGTTACCTTTATCCTGGTCTCCGTTCTGGTTCAAAGCGGCAGCAGCGGCATTGAATGATATTGGCAGGGAGTTGGATCTTCTTCTACCGGCGGTTGTATTCACAGCAGCTTTTTTATCGACACCGTCAGCAGCAGAAGGAGTAGGACTGTCAGAAGTAATTGAGGCTGTTTCCAGTGGAAGGAATAACTGACTTGTGGGCCTTTTACCCACAGAACCGTTTCTGGCTCTGACGTTATTGAGACTTTCACTGTTAAGAGAGGATGTTCTGTTCGCTGGAACTGGTGCTGGAACTCGAAGAGCGTTAGCAGGAGGACTAGGCTTTTTCTCTTTGGTGGGCAGCAGCGGTCTGGGCAGACGGGCTTCTGGCAGGGGCAGTTTTTGAGGTTCGCTTTGCTTTTCTCCTGGCGGAATCAAATTCTTCATACGCTCTGTCGCTTTTTGTTTTGGAGGTGGAGACGTGATTGTATGAGGTTTAGCCTTTTCTCTCTGCAAAGTGAGCTCCTTGAGTTTTCTTTCGTTTTGCCTTCTAACCAACTCAAGCTTCTCACGTTCATTGACTTCGTTAATCTTGAAGAGATTCTTACTAGGTAAACCGTAAGCGTTTCTGAAGCTGATTTCACAAGCCATCCATGCCTTACCAAGCTGATCGAGAGATTTGGCGAGGTTTTCAACCAAGACAAAACTCTGGCCAATGAATCCAAAGAACTCTATAATCTGTTTCACGTTGATTTCCACCCTAAAGTTTAGACGGATGAATCGCGTGATGGTTGCCACGAGAACACCGTTCTTTTTCGATGTATTGAACAATTCCTCGATGTTTTTGAGAATCTGCGTCTTGAAGACAGTGACATTAGGCATGTGAGAAAGAAACTTAGGATCGTTCAAATGATGGTAATTGGAAAGGTAGATCTGACGGCCGTATCGACGCACAATAGTGTACAAATCATTGAGTCTAAGTGCCCATACAAGCACTCTATGAAGAGCGTACCCGGATTGAGGCATAGCTTCAAGTACAGCTTTCTGGTTCTGCTTTGAAGCCGCCTTGAGCTCTTTAAACTTATTAAGCGGGGCTTTATGGCTTCTAATGATTTGCTGAACCAGCCTTGTCAAGACGAATAACGCTTGGAGATCGATATCTATAAGCAGAGCCTCCATTCCATCTGGGCTGTTCAGGTACTCTTGGTCAATGGGGAAAAGGAAAGCAGGAATAGACGAATCCGACGCCTTAAGGGAAATATCAATGTCCACCGAAGGGTTAAACATGGAAGCAATCAAGTTGTCTAGGTCTATGCAGAAGTTCTCGTTGCCTATCTCTCTTTCAGCATTCACCAATCGCTTTTGATAGCCCTCCAAGCAGTTTTCAGCAGTTGTTCTCAATGCCTTGGCTGCCTGAACGGTCGCTTCCTTCAGTGGCATCTCAGACAACGGCGTGACGTCCACATCCTTCAAGTCATATGGTATATGGGTAACCACAGGAGGAATCGATACAGTGGTGGTTTTCACCGGCTTAAAGTTCTCTAGCGCCGCAAGACGAGGCCCAAACTTCTGCTCATTAATGGCAAATAGCGTGCTGGACAAGTGCACAATGTATTGCACCAATACCACACTGTCGGTGTCTGCATCAGTGGAAGTCTCTAGTTCGTTAAGAAGCTCACCAATGGCTCGCACAAGCCGTTCAAGCTTATATATCGCGTACTTATACTGGATAACTCTGGCGTCCAAGGACCCAAAGTACAACGGCTGATGTTTCATTGGGAAGTCAGAAAGTGTGTTTTAGGGTCTTTTGCTGGTTGTAGATAATCAGTGACATGAATTCGCACCCAAGCTGGAGAGGTGCACTTTTGGGACGAGCTGGGGTTGGAAGGTGCTGGTATGGATTGTGGGACGATGGGCGATGGGTGACAGCTAATTCTCTACTTTAGATCTGCAATGGAATTACTTTTCTTTTTTGTGTCTTTTGCCCTGGAAGGCGGGTGATTTGGTGCCTGGAGGTGCACGTGACTTCAGTCGTAACAGGTTCTTTTCCGGGTTTCGGCGGCCATCCAGGGGTGCTAAGTAGTGGAGGGGAAGTCAAAAGGAAGGAAGTTTGATATATGGCTGGTTTTGGTCATTTTGTAGGTTTAAGTGTGGATTGGGCGGCAGGTGTTGGTGGTTGTGGCAGGTGAGAAGTGGTTATGAGCAAGGCGAGATACGAAGGGAAATGGGGAGGTCTAAGGGGGAAGGAAAGCGATGGGGGTGGTTGAAATAGAGAGGTTTTTAAGGTGGGTGGTGTGGATTTGGTTGGCGAAGTGTGGTGGAGTTGAGTGAGCTTGGGTCAGATTAATGGAATTCGTGAAGTGGACTGATGTAACAGAAAGCAGAGAAGATTTTTTTTTTTATAGTTCTCTTTTGTTGGAATATCGTTTGGAAAATATAAAGGCGGGTATAAGAGGCATATGAGAGATCTACTGGATGGTGAAGCTGTATCTTACAGATGCGGATGGAGTACCTGAACTAAGGCGGAATAGTAGTAGTAAAGGAGTCCCTTTGTCTCTATAAAGATTTAAAAGTAATTGAACAATAATGTTAGATATATATTGAAAGGGAACATGTCTTTCTTAGCTCTGCCAATAGACTCTGGATTTCAATTGAACTGGTCGTTATCTTCTATTGTGAAGAAGTCAAATGGCATGAGGAAGAGTCGAACCCATTTATTTAAAAGCAAGCTCAATTGGTGAACCCAAACGACTTAAAAAGACTCAATTCCTTCTTAGAACTTTGATTTTATAATAAATAAGGAAAACCTTGGATACGTTGGCTTTACAGGTATTCACCTCTTCCATGCCCTATTACCTTCATTTGCAGCCACTCATTATTTGTCAACCAACCACCTTTTTTCACTTCAAACCACTCAAATACAAACCTTACGCCCCATAAACTCCCCTAAAGCCATTAAATTCAAATTTACCTCCCGTTTATTGCCAATTACATGGGGTCAAATGGATGGAGGGCTGAATGTCCTGCACACGAGCGTATACCTCTTGCACCCACAGATGCCATACTGAGCAGACCCATGCAGTATATACATCAACAACATCCATAAACACCACCACCAATCGACCTATTTGGTGATAAATTGACCGGAAAAGCTATATTTCTTAATCCTCTGGAGGTCTATATTACTGCTGACTAATTAAATCCTGCACATACAGCCTTCCCACCCCAAATCACCGACCCATAACAAACATCAACACTGGCCATGGATCACGAACAACTGCTTCTAACAGAGCATTTAGGGTTCGCTCCGTTGACGCTAATAGACGAAGTCATCAATGCAGTGAACCATATCTTGTATAGGTGCACAGATGCCTTGGAGGTCTTCCTTAAGAACAGAAGAAACAGTCAGATCCAGGAACTACGAAACAAGTCTACAGATGATTCTGATATTATAATGGACGACACCGAACCGGATAATCCAGAGTTCAAAAAGCGTGTATTTCCACAGGATGAGATTGTTAAAGGTACGGCAGAAGTGGAAACTCGATTTGTGGAGCAAGTGGATTTGGCATTTGACAAGTTCGAGCTTTATACTTTTCGAAACATTCTTCATATTCCTCCAGACCTCGTTAGTGGCGGCTGGATTCGGTTGAAGCACCATGAAGGTCTTGATTTGCTGGCTCAGGAGGACCACCTGAAGGATAAGGATATTAAACAGTTGATGGAGAAAATCAACCTTGAACTTTCGTTAAGAAAGGTTTTGCAGTTGCAGAAGGCAAAGGCTGTAAAGTTGGTGCTGGCACTTAAACACTACAGGGCATGCGTTGCTGCTATTGTTTCGCTGGGCCCATCATCTCAATTATCAGCTGAAAGAAAGGCCATTCTTCGTCAGCACTTGGAGCCTATGAATGAGAACTTGTACTATTTGCTTGGCCAAACAGATACGCTTTTAGAGCAGACATTGAAGTTGGAGCGCAAACTCGGCACAGCAGACTTGACGCTGTCTTCAGACCCCAAGTTTGCACCTTCCTTGCGTGACATGTACATGAACCACAAGTCTGTGAAGTTGTTAAATGAATGTGGAGTTTTAGGCGAAGACGATGGCAGCAACCAGCTCATGTACTCTGCGACAGCCGAAGCCAACAAGGAGCAGCAAGGGTGATGCTGATGAATTTTCCATACTTTGAGGAAGCCAGGTATGGCGATGATGGGGAACCACACTCAATGGGATACCACGAGCAGTAACTTAGTTACTAGAAATTTCCCGCTGAAGCCATTGCCTTCCCTACCTACATTATAGAGCTTGCTTATGCCAATGGAGCCTTCAGTTCGATCCACCCGCATTGGCATCCATAGCCATGCAACACAGAAACCACCCCAAAACCACTAATTTATACACATTGTACAATAAAAAGAAGCCATGCTACAGCTCAAATAAATATTTTTAAAACCTATTTATTACAAGTTGACTCTTTGGTCTCCCTCTTCTACCCTTGTCCCTAGTCTCATTCACGGCAGCATTTATGTGCTTCGCACACCCTGCTAACCAATTAGCGAGCATCAAAAGTAAAGCTTCAACTCTTAGCAGAAACCCAATATGGCCGGAACCTTAAGACCAGATCCCGATCTCCAGCGGTTCAACGCTGCCAAGGAGAAAATGGGCCACTACTTCCGCTTCAGACCAAGATCTGCGTTCTTCAACGTGATCTGGATGGGCGTGGTGCCGCTCTCATTGACCTACTTGGCCTACAGCTACGAAGGCCAGCTTTCGTTTTCCAGAAAGTTCAGAAAGGAAGTTGTTTTGGAGGAAGATTACGTGCCTAGAAAGAAGGACTTGTAAGGAGTTTTTTTGGCTTTTTGTGGCGCCCGCATGGTGAAATCCGTATACTATAATACATGGCATTAGAAGAACTGGGCAATGGCCCGTGTAGGAAAGGAGATGAAGAATTAGTAGCTTGGTGAGTTTTGATTAATGGAAATGGAAGTATTGATGGGGGATAGTGGAAGTATTGATTAGTGAATGTGGTTTTGATGGGTAATGGATAGAGTGTTGATGTCTTACTACTGAAATTGGAAAGAAAGCTTTCAAATGCTCTTATTTTCAGTCTTTTCAATAGCATTCACTGGTCGAAGGATTTATTGCTTTTGGGAGAACCATTAGATATCTTTGATTGAATGTTTTGACTGATGGACTGTTTTACCTCTGACTAAAGGATATAAACATGTTGCTTCCTTTAAGAGGGTAAAAACTTTCTTCCCAATCTATTTTTTAATCAATTCATTGCTTTCTCTCTGCTCTACCAACTACATCTTAATAAACAAATCGAAATAGGTATTAACTTTGAACTATCAAAAACGGAAAAGCCGCCAGGAGACGGGGTACACCGAGTTGGCGTTTTATTTCGAATTCTTCAACTTAACTTGGAACGAGACAAGGCCCAGCTCCATGTTCTTCAACACCTTGGGACTGCGGCACCCAGAGCGAGGCAGACATAAATTAGATGTAGTTTTTGATTTCTTAAGCACCGGGCGGGACTGGCCATTGGCGGTGCGTGAAGCGTTCTTTTTCGGGGCCAAGCCGGGCCCCAATTGCATGCTGAGTCGGTCAGTTTCGTCCTGGAACGAGTAGTTGCCCTCAGTAACATGGAACTCGTTGGAGCACTCCTCGAGAGAGAACGCTGGACCAGCCGCGTTCTGAGAGGAGAACTTCTGGGAGTTGGAGAACGACTTGCACTTGCGGACTTGTTTGGAGGTGCTATTGTCTGAAGCAACAGCGCTGAACGTAGGAATCTTGTGACGAGGCGGCTTTGTAGGCGTAGACGCTGATTTGGAGGCACGAGGCTTTGTGGAAGGCGGTGTTTTCTTTGTCGGCGTATCGTCTTCAAAGTCGAAAAACAGCGATAGCAGGTCGTCGTCGCCATCGTCTATGCAAGAGAAAGAGGCAGGCTTCTCAAGGGCACCAAATGGTTCCTCCTTAAGAAGATCCTCAATGGTGATAGGCTCGTTGCCGCTGGCAACCGTAGAATGCAGCGCCTTATGGGTGAATGGAGATGTTTGATGCAGCTGACCCTGGGAAAGCGAAGGCAGGTAGTTTTCGTTTTTAAGCTGGACAAACGGCTTAGGCAGAAAGTCGTCGTGCTTAAGCTGGCCAAACTTCTCAGGCAGAAAGTCCTCGGGTTTCACATGGCCAAATGTCTTTGGCAGGTAGCCTTCTTGTTTGACAAATGTCTCTGGCTGGTAATAGCCATGGTAGGCAGGGTTGCCGTGAGTACGCGTACCGGGCAGAAGACCACCTGAGAACTGATCGTGCTGGCCCAACTGGCTCAGCAGGTCATGATGATCATGCATTTTAGGCAAGTCTTCTTCTGGGATAGTATCCACGGAAGTAGAATGCTCATGGCCTCCATGGCCAGGACCATGGGTCAGAAAACCCTCAAAAGCGATGTTAAGACCACCAGACATGTCTAGCTGGTTGTCTCCACCAGGAGAGTAGCGAAGTTCCCGAGGTAGACGGTCTGGGGGCCCAGGGTTAGCATGGCCATTCTCAAAGCCAGCAGGAGCAAAAGCACCAGCAGAAACAGGAGTAGACTGAACGCCCGAGAACGCTGGGGTATGGAACGACGCAGGAGAGTGGAAGCCAGGAGTCTGCGGAGGCTGGATATACGGAGTCTGTGGGAACGAGGCGTTCTGGTTGACTGTAGGCGTATGTAAGTAGAAGTCACCCATTTTCGAAGATAGCGAGCCGTTCAGATCAGACTGAGCCCACAGCAGTTTCCTCTCGACGTTAGGCGACGAAAACACTTGCGGGTGTCGATCAGACATGGATAGGAGTAGATTGAAGCGAATGTAAGAAGCGAATGTGGAGGCCAGGCCTCAGGGGGTTGGTAATAACTGGAAGTTAAGCGATAGAAGGTGACGTGAGTGGAGTTTTGGTGAAGTTTGCAGAAACTGGAAAATACCAATTGGGGTCGTTTGATGAACTTCCTAAGGGTTCTTTTTGCTGGTCAATTGGGTGATTGTTGAAGATTAATAGGAAAAAAGAAGGATAAGGTCAAACACGATAGGTTTATGAAGTATGGATATATTCCTCTCTTTTTGTGATTTCTAGCAGGCGAATTCCCGGCCGTGGCAACGAAGAAAAAGCCCAATAGGGAAAAGAAGCCAGTAAAAGGGAGAAAAAAAGTGGATTAAAGATCTAAGGCTGGGGCTGGGAGGTATTTTTTTTCTTTGAGACATTTCCCGGGGGGCAGGAAGTGGTGGGACCTTTTGCTTAGCGAAAGACCCGTGCACCGCGTATATTACTTGCAGCGAAGGAACGCCAAGTGGGCCAGGGTTATCCAGGGGCGTGGGAGAGCCGGGAAAAAGGGTACCCGGGGGTAATTGAGGTCAGGAGATCACTGGAAGTGGTTAAAATTTGGGAAAATTGGTGGATGGTGTTGATTTTTCTGTCCCCTTTCAGGGCCAGGTTGCAGCCGTTTTTCATGCCTGCTGGTGGTTTTCCGCGATTGGGACCGCCCCCCAGCCGCTTTCCTACATGTCTCACCGGCAGACCAAAGGTTGCTACGGCGTGAAAAGTCCCGAGGCACAACGGGGTTTTGGAAGACAATTGCAGAGAAGGAAGAGGAAATTGAGAGAGGGTTGAGAGGTTTGGGGGATAATTGGGGGAGGGGCAAAGCGATTTGGGGGCGGGGCAGGGATAATTGGGGGTACCCAGGGAGGTTTTTTTGGTGATTTCTCGTTTGGCTGCAAACTCAGAAGCTCCCGGGTACTCTTCTTTTTTGGCCCTGGTGCAGCGAACAACCAGCCAGAGAAACGGCACTACGACAAAAAAAGTTTAGCGACGGAGAATTTGATGGAGAAAAAGAAAAGAATATGTATGGCAATTGAAAACCGTGAATGTCGTGAATTCTTGGGTTCGTGGATTCGTGGATACGTGGATTTGGCTGGTTTTGTGGAATGTGTGAAGGGCAGTGGTGGTGGTGGAAAGTCGGCAATTGGCTGGATGGTCTGGCGGTCTGGTGTGCTGAATGTAATGGAACTGGTCAATTGGGAAGGTGGGGATGTTTAGGATTTCTACTGATTGGAGGTGGATAGGTGGCTGGGTGGATAGGTGTTGGTGTTGGTGGTGAAGGTAAGGAATGGAGGAATGTACGGCTGAGGATGGAAGTGTGGGAGATAAGGAACGAGAATGGGATGAGAGTAGGGATTTAGGAGATAAGTGGGGGTTTATGGAATAGGGAGGGAGGGAGAGGATGAGGGAGGCTGGTAGATTGTAGAGTTGGTTATGGTAAGTGTAGACGGTGTAGTGGAGAGTAAGGTTTGAGATTGGGCGGAGCTCTAGAGAAGGAGTGTGTGGCAGGGGTGGCAGGGTATGTTGATTAATTACTTGAAAAGTGGTAGTTGAAGGAGAGAAATGTTTGTTGCTGTTCTGTGTTGGTTGTGGGTATAGGGTTTGGTGATAGTTGGTGGCACGCCAATTCTACCAGGCTTAAACGAATGGAAGCCAGCAAATACGACATTTTCTTGGAAAATAATTAAAATGGCAATAATGAAAGTGCCTTCGTAATTACTGTATCAGGCACGGCACCCTCCAGTGCCGTGGAATTGGACTTTCCTAAACTTCCAGTGTATGTCGCTGGCTGCGTTCCGTAGAAGCCTATGCATAGACGATACAATAGACGAGATGACATGATGGAGGGTAGCCAGGGAATGTACAGTTGTGGTATTGCCAGAGTGGAGGTAAGAGATTGGAGAGATGGTAACTCGCTAACAGAGGAAGTACTAGAGGAACCTCAATTGGTTGGATGGATTTGTGGTGAATAGATGTTTGCTGAATTGGCTCCTGACAGGCTAAAGAGGCTTATAGAACAAAAATAGAAAGAGCTGAGTTATTCATTACAAGAAGATCTACAACAATTGGCACAGCCTGAAAGAGTTAAGCGTAAGCAATCAGCGTGGTTGTTTCAAAAACAAATAGAGGGTCATCTTGGGTGACCTTGAATTGACAATGTAGACATGGGCGACACTTCTGCAAGATACCAACAAACGTGGATTGTTACGGGTTGACAATAGGCGAAGCCGAGATCGTCCCACTGGAATGGAAGGCCATATACTGTTATAGTGGAGGTGATAAACACCAGCAACTGAGTAGGTTGAAATTACAACGAAGAGCAAGCAAAGAAACTGACTAGTTATTTAGTTGGAAGGTTTAGCCTTGTATGGATGGAATGTATCACTTTAGGGATGATCGCTTGCTGACAATTAAGGTTTGGGCGGACTCGTGGTGGGATTCTTTATTACTGGCGGAATGCTAGCCCGAGACGCTGATCTGAAAAAGGCTAATTGACGTGGGACGTGCTGGAGAGGTTGGTTTGGGAAAGTGACTTGCTGGGGGTAAGGGCTGGCGTACAGAGTCAAGAGAGTCAACCCTAGTCAAGGGTTGACGTAAGGTGGAGGCTATGGAGAAGTTATTGGATATGTTGAAGTGTAAGTTTCAGTGATGGTAAGAGGGTGGCTGGAATGGTAAAGTATGGTAGCCAGGGTACTAAGTGGGATGGACTTGAGGTATCAGTTTATCTATATCACCAGTTTAAACAGTTGTCAATCAAGATAATTCAATTGAACTAAGAATTGGTTTTTGGAATGGTTTTGCTGAAGAAAGACCATATCTTGTCCCACTCAAGGCTTTTTCATGCCATGTGTTTCCTTAGAGTTGAGTACTACTCAGTCTCAGTGAACCGCTAGCCATGAGAAGAAGGAACCGACAATTACTATCCAAATTTACAATCAAGGAAATAAAGACAATTCAAGAAATGACCATAAAAGTCGAAATAATACACCGAATCACTTCCTTGGAGCACTCTCTTTACCTAAATAGTCTTCACTTCCTTCCTTCCCATCACTGAGTGTTGATCTTTAGCAACCACTGGGACCAGAAATCCATAACAAACCAACAACCCCTTACCTCCCCAAGCAATCCAAAACATCAACAAATAAAAAACCAAAACTCGTAAACTGACACTTTTTCTGACCTCTTGGGTCGCCGCAGATGTTTCTTCTTTGCATGAGCAACCTTCTCTGCGTTCCAGCCCACGAGCCTCAGATGAATGAGATAAGCAATGTTGATAAGAAACGAAAACTACTTTACTATTTTATCTCTGTGATATCCATATCCTTTCCTATAAAATGGTCTGAATCCGAATCCGTCTATCCCAAACCATAAGTAATTAAAAAACCAACCAAAACCAAAAAAATCGTATGTAAAAGAAGTAAACAGTGTTCGTGATGAAAACCACACGGTGGGGCATCCTTGCCTCTCTCTCTAAAGGAACTTGACAAAGTTCTTATCTTCAAGCCAGCCAACTTTTTCAAAAGCAGCGAAAAGTCTACTGGCCTTGTTAACATCAATACGGCACGCCTTCTGGGCGTCCGTTCTTCTGAAAGGCATATCGCCACGCATTCTGTTCACCTTCTCAAAGAAAAGACGTCTCTTCGAGTCCAAGTAGACGTTTGCAGGTAAACGCAACGTCAGCGCCAACACAACCTCGGCTGGGTGCAACTTATCGACCTGAGGATCATTCTTCAAGTCCATAGGCTGGCCCTTCCATTCAATCTTGAGACTACGGTTGTTACCCTTTGGCAAAGTCTCTTCAGGGTCAGGCGAGTAGTCTGGAATCGACTCGTCAATGAGTGCAGCTTGTTGAACCGCCAAGGGCGAGCTGGCGTAAGAAGTCTCCTTCTTCACCTTTCTTCTCTTTGGAGCAGGCGAAGGAGGCCTGGAGGCATCCATTTCAATCTCAGAAAGCGCCGCCAGGTGCTCACGAACAACTCTACGCGTTCTCACCTTCTCCTTATCGTTTTCACTATCCTCCTCGGAGCTCAAAGGTCTTCTCACCTCAGGACGTCTTCTCTTATTGGAAACAGCAGCGGCAGCACGCTTTTCAGCCAACCGCAACAGCTGCACATTCTGCTGCTCCTTCGAAACAGCCTGGTACTGGCGCAAAAAGTTCATCTGTCTAGCTTTATAGTTACCGCCAAGCTGCGTCCAGGGGCTCACGGTAAGTGTATAGCTCTTATAGTTCTCTAAGCTGAATGGTCTGTCGTTCTCCATGTACACCTTCAGCGCTCTAGGCACCGTTCCTGAAGCAGATGATGCTGGCGCTGGCAGCACAGTGTATGTGTTTTCGTGTTTCTGGTAAGGCGAAGCTGGAGGAGACAAGATCTCGTGGTTTCTGGAGCTGGAGCCCGAAGCTTCGTAATTGAGCTTATCGTTCTTGTACTTCATGGTTTCTTCCTGGTTACTGGGGGTAAGACATCCATCTCTCTGCCCGAAAGTTCTTGAAATGGGCTGGTATAAAAGCGTCATATTGGAATTGGGGGATTGGGAATTGTGATTGTGGATGACTAATTGGAGGTGTTTGTTTGAGTGGGTGCAAAAAGTGATGTAAACTGATAACAGGGAAAAAAAGTGGTGTATGAGGAAGAAATTCCGATTTGTGGGGGGCCTGTGTTTATATATAAGAAAGTAGTAATGGGAAAAAAAAGAAGAAAAGAAAATATAAAGAAAGGTTGCAGTTAGTAATTTCTGTTTCTTTTCTATGGGAGGGTGTTTTTTTTTTTTTTTCTTTTTTCTTTTTTTTTTTTTTCTATATATGGTCTGAATTTCTTTTTTTTTTCTTCTTTCCTGTTGCATTCGCCAAACGTGCAGCGTGCGTCTTCGGAGGTCCAGAGGGTGACTTTGAAATTGGCCGATAAGACCGGAAAAAAGACCTTCCATAGTCAATTCAGCTCTAACTAGAATGATCCAGCTTTTAAAATTTGAATTGACCAACCCAATGGCGAGATAACTGGGAGTTTGTACTGTCAGAAGACTAGAACGAGAGATGTGACCGTTATATAGCGCATGATCGCTGCACGCCCCAGACATTATCTGCAGTACACGCAGATGTCGCCTGCAGAACAGAAATTCTTTTGTGGAGCCCATCTCAAAAGGGAATTTTAAAGAAAAAGCGATAATCACGGTAAAAAACCGTGGATTTCGGACTTAAAAACACTTCCATGCCATTGTATACGTTCCCTGGCCAATTGACCACGTCAAATATCAATTGACCTTGGGGTTTTACCCATTGAGGAACGAAAGAGATGGGAAAGGGCATCGATAAGCCAGGCGCTTTCCTGCAGGACACAAGAATAAAAAAACATGATAAGCATCAGTCATCCTGCACGGACCTGTGTGTGACCGCAGCGACTCTGCACGAGCGCATCATGTGCTGCACACGCCTCCCATTTCTTTTACCCTCTGGATGCACCCTCCACATGCTTCTGGAAACACACCTGGTCCAAACCCACCCTAGAAAGTGCCAGAAATTGCTAGTCCCACCAGGCCAAGACATTCTAACCTGCGCCATCCAATTTCGGTCCAAAACCAACGGCCCAGTCCCTGGCAATCTGAAACGCATCCTCTTTAGTATATGCCTGCTTATCGAATGTCGCACATATAGATGTGCAGCTGACACATGCGACCGAGGACGGTCTGGACACTCCATCGTCGGGACCCCGAAGATGGGAATACCCTGGTCCAGCTGATGGACATGGAATGGGTAGATGGCTGAATTTCAAGGATTTTCAAGGTCCTGGGGGAGGACTTGTGGAAGGTAAAAGTGTGGTAGTGTGGTGACGACCTGCATATAAACCGCTCATCTTCACATTTTTTTTTTTTTTTTTTTTCTCTCCCTTTTTCTTTCCCTTTCCTGCTTACTCTGTTTCCCCTATGACTGGTCCAAAAAAAAAAACGCATTTCCACCATTCCTCGTTTCTATTTGCTCCTAAGAAAAAAAAAAAGGTCCAATCTACGAAACACGCTTTGTGGAAAATGTGTGACTCTGTGTTTTGATTGGCTGGCGAGGGGAAATTCTGAAACGGCTGGGAGGGGTTGGAGGGACCTGGAGGGGCCGCCTGGAGGGTTCGGTCGGTTCGGAGTTTCAGAAGTTGCAAAAAATGACCAGCCCCAGAGTTTGACTTTGGTTTTGGCAAGTATTGATAAATGTAGAAAAAATTATGTAAGCAATTGGCAATTGGCAATTGGAAGGAAGGTAATTGGAATTGGAATTGGAAGGTAATTGGGTAATTGGAATTGGAAACTGGTAGGAATGGTGTTATACTTTCTGTACTTCCTGTGATTTCTGTATTTTCCAAATTCTGTGAATTCTGAAAATGGCACTTTTTTCTGTTTCCTTTCTTTTTTCTTTGTTTACCATTCCGTATTTTTAGCCCATTATCCATCGCCAGTTTCCAGTCTCCAGCGGTAGCAACCTGGCCTCGTATCTAGCAATAGCGTAGTGGTTGTAAGCGTGGGTCCCAGCAACACTTGTCCACGCAGCAGAGGAAGCATTGTGCGAGGTGATTGGGGGAATTGGTGGTTTGGAGAGATGACCAGGAATTGGCGTGACGGGGGAAGGACATAGTTGGGACTGGAAGTGGTGGATTTAGTGAAGAGTCAGTTGTGGAGACGAAGAGGACAGAGATGGGGATGTAATTGATCGAGTTGATTACTTGGTAGTCAATTGGGTTGGAGTGGGCGGAAGTAGTGGATTCAGGGTTATTGGAGGGTATTAAAAGGTCCTGTTATGGTCTTGGATTGACCAATTGGTGCTCTACTACATTGTACTTAGGCTTGCTACTCAGCAACCATATAATTCTGTCCCCCCTCTACATCTCTTCCTCAACCCCCGGCAAATCCGAATCGGAATGGGTTTCGAGAAACAGCAAGACCGCCAAAGCCTCTGTGGGACAATGGCGTGAGCGTGTTGACACTAAGGTTCGGTTGCGTGTTTAGCCGTTTAAGCGTCTGGAAAGTATGTCTCGCGATTTGGATAGCGATAAGGCGGTATTTGGCGAGAGACATGGGGAGAGACAAGGGATTGGGTCCATGCAAAGAATGGTAAAGTTTTTGGTTGACTAGAAAGGCCTTGTGGTTGGTTTAGTATGGGGTTTGAGAGGTGTGGTGGATGGAATGAGAAAAGGTAGAAGGGAGGTGGGAAGAAGATATGAGTGGAAGTCGATGAATGTAGTTTAGAGGGTGATTTGAGGCAGGGAAAGAAGGGTGAGTGTTTTGTGGGTTTAAGGGGATTGTGTTAGTTGGTTTGTTAGACGTTGGTGTATCAATTGGACAAGTAGCGGTAGAAATTGACTAGAGTGGTATAATGTGGTTTTGATATGGACGCAAGCTGATAGAAGGTTTCCAAATGAACTGTTTTAAAAATAGGGCTTCCTTGTTTATGAAGTATTGGTCTTTTATAGTTCATCTGGTGGATGCTTATCAACCTTTCTGGTTCGTATCATATATTCAATTAGGACATGTAGATGCTACCAATTTAACGATTTAGGCTCCCTAGATTCAAGCAGTTAAACGTCTAGGCTAAAAAAAGGATAATTACATCCATTCTATTGAAATCCCTAATGTAAATGCTCTATCAATAATATTCAGTAATTCTGCTTTCCTTGTCAATAGAAGCACTCTGTAAAGCATGTATCCTGACACATCTAGACAACTGATCCGATTAAAATCGAACGATATACTTCCCAAACTAAGGAATATAAATCACCTACCTTTTTAGCAAGGTCCATTTCCAAATTATACCTTGACCATACTTATATGCTCCTACACTATTGTACCTACACTGCAACACCATATAAACCCACTCTGACATTTCCAGCAAGCCAAATCAGCTTCCAATAAAATAAAGCAATGCAATCGACCCACGTAGCAACATTTCTACGAAACTCTTCCCCCATTTTTTCTTATCTCTTCTCTTTCCTTCCTTTCCCCATACTTGCTTGCTCAGCATCCACAATTTTCACCCACCAAAACCCCCAAAATACCCCAAAAATGGCCATAAAAAACACCAAAAAAAGCCCTAAGCCAGCACTATCCAACCCTCCACTACTCCTTCCTCAATTCCCCAATTTAACAACTATATAACTGAAACTAGTGCCCCCCTTTTTTGGCCAGGACACGAGCGGCTATAAGAGTCAGCCTCGATAGCCCCGCGCGGAACTTGACGAATATATAAAGGGGTGAGAATTCCCACTTTTTTTGAAAGGGCAACCGAGAGTTTTAGTTCTTTTGGTTGTGTTTTTTGTTTCCAATATGCTAACAATGAAAGTGACTGACACCGTGGGGCGGCCAATATGAGACTACCAGGGGAAAATCGTGAAGGAAAGCTGGCTCTTTATTCATGGTCACTTAACCTGGGAAACCATGTGTCACTCCTAAAGCCCACAAGTGAAGGGGTGGTTGGAAGTCTGTGGATTTTGCAAAGTGGCGGGCCAACTCGGGCGTTAAAGCTTGAACGGTTGCTGCATTGGGGATGATGGGTCAGTGGGCTTGTTTTCGGACAGGTTTTGCTGCTGTCCTAGACAGCCCCCAGCATCTAGTTCTAGTTGGAGTTCGAGTGTCATGGAGTGAATTTCGTTGGCTTCTTTCTATCTCGGGCCATCGGGACAAAGAGTAATGATCCCACCCATCGGGAGCGGACGATCTTGTGGTTGTTGTTATGAAGTTTCCATTGGTTGGTGCTCGTCCGTCGAAACGAGTACTGATTCGGAGAAAATGGGGCTGACTAACGCTAGACAGCTATGGTTTGCTCGTGAACGGTGGTTACAAAGTTTGGGTGGGGGCCGTTGGCACAGTCGGCTGGCTCTCGCCTGGGCCTATGTTGCCCTTTTTTTGGTCCGCACGTCCATTCCGCTGGTACTATCGGTGTGTACGCAGATGAGAAGGAACAAGGTGCTACCATTTTTTTTTTTCGAGTTTATCTCATTTTTTTTTTTTTTAACTGAAGAAATTCAGTTTTTTTTTTTCGAGTTTTCGTTTTTTGGGTTTTTTAAAGACTGTTCTGCTCCTTGATTGTCACTTGGGAGCGGTTCAGGTAGCCCCTTTAGAGGGCCATGGCAAAGTCCCAAGAGAGGAATGGGTCATGATATGTAAGACCTAAAGGACATTGTCCTACCAAAGGCCGTGAAAAAGTCCCAGAGGAGGAATGGTTCATGTTATGTAAGACCTAAAGAAAAGGCCATGAAAAAGTCCCAGAAGTGGAATGGTTCATGTTATATAAGACCTAAAGGACATTGTCCTACCAAAGGCCGTGAAAAAGTCCCAGAAGAGGAATGGTTCATGTTATATAAGACCTAAAGGACATTGTCCTACCAAAGGCCGTGAAAAAGTCCCAGAAGTGGAATGGTTCATGTTATATAAGACCTAAAGGACATTGTCCTACCAAAGGCCGTGAAAAAGTCCCAGAAGAGGAATGGTTCATGACGCTCCTAGTTGCTGGATTAGCTATCTGGAAAGCCTGCAAGAAGCTTATCGTTTAAGAAATGAATCCGTGCTCAAAAGAAGCTAGTGAACTTCAGCGAGAGCCAAGCATGGTCAACGAGAATGGGGCGTGGATGGCAGGAATAGCTGTCCGAACAACAACAATTTTTATTTTTTCATTTTCATTTTTTTTTATTTTTTGGATTTTTTTTTTTTTTTTTTGGTTCATGGCGCCATGATCGTAAAGGTCGGAAGCGCTTGGATCTCTGTTAGCGGAAGCATAATAGATTTTTTCGTGGTTGAACTATTCATGTAAGACTTGTAGATGTTTGTGGTGTTGGTTGTAGTGGTGAAAAGTTGTAAACGTGACCCAGATCACGTGCCGAAACTTCCCTCACCTCATCACTTACTCCATCACCAATCAACCTAAAACCCCATATATGTTTGGGAAGAACATCCTTCCTCTATTAAAACCTCCGTACATCCGTTCCTACAGCACCAGAATGGTCGATTTCACCGGCAAATATTGTCTAGCTCCCATGGTCCGCAGTGGAGAGCTCCCGACGCGGCTCATGGCGCTTAAACACGGTGCTGATCTCGTGTGGTCGCCTGAAATCGTCGATAAAAAGCTACGAAACTGTGCCAGAGTGGTTAATAAGGAACTAGGAACCATCGATTACGTGGAAAGTCGACTTTTGAAGGTCTTGGAGGAGAAACCAGGCCAGCTGGTGCCGGTTGTGTTCCGTACAGATAGAGCCAAAGAGGCTGGTCGTTTGATACTCCAGATCGGTTCTGCGGATCCAGAAATTGCCGTGGAGGCTGCTGAGAAGGTTATTCAGGATGTGGACGGCGTGGATTTGAACTGTGGATGTCCCAAACCGTTTTCTACCCATTCTGGAATGGGTGCTGCTTTGCTCAGTACGCCTGAGTTGTTGACTCTGATTCTTTCTAATCTCGTGGAAAAGGTGGGTAAACCAAACGATAAGCCTATCAGTGCAAAGATCCGGCTTTTGGACCAGAACGACCCGGCGCCAACGTTGGAGTTGGTGGAGAAGATCTGTAAAACAGGTATTTCCAATTTGACAGTTCATTGTCGTACAAGAAGCATGCGTAACAGGGATACGCCGATTCGAGACTTTGTAAAGCAGATTTACGAGGTGGTGCTGAAATTTGGCGTCACTTTGGTCATAAACGGTGGGTTTCAGTGCAGAAAAGAAATCGAGAATTTCCAAAAGAGCATTGATAACTTTAATGTGGGTGGAATGATTGCAGAGGCTGCTGAATCGAATCCTACAGTGTTTGCTCCGGTTCCATTGCCTTGGAAAGCTGTAACTACTGAGTTTTTGGACATTTGCATGGAGTATAATAACTTCCCCAGTAACACAAAGTATATTTTGTTGAACCAGATTCCTGGCAAGTCGCCAGTGTACAAGGATATTTGCAAAGTCAAGACGAACGAGGATTTCCTTAAAGCCATTCAAAATACCCCAGAGAAGGGAGACTTGGTGTTTGTCAGAACCATGCAGAAAGCAGTGGCCATGGACTCAGAGAGCTTTATGAGCCAGTTTGAGACGAAGCGTAAAGTGAGTCCTGAGCCTGAGATTGTTGAAAAGAGAGCCAAGATCGAAGCCGTCGCTGGTTAAGCCGGGAAACGGATACTTATAGACAACGGATAACCAGCAGAAGCAGAGCTTCTAGATACATTGGAGGGAGCTTGAGCGAGTTCCAGGGCAAAAGCAGGTAAAAGTAAGGCCAAGGCATGCCGTACTACGCCTTTCGATGGACTTGCTTCACAGATCAATCATCACCTTCAAAGCTTAACAACATATACATACATAAAACAGGACAACAGGAATACAAGAAAAGGCTCAAACAACAGATAAAGCCGGTTCAAGCAAACCTTACTAGTATATCTATCCTCTTTCCTCTAGCAGTTCTTGCCACTACGCCATCTCGGTTCATCGTGTCGATTACTATATACAACGACTGGTCATTACGGATCGCCTAGGCGATGCAGAAGCCTGGTTGCCCTTACTCTAAAGACGGACAGAAAAAGAAACAAAAGAACACTTTTTCACCAGGCGGTACCCATTTTCCCCCAGAAAAGAAAACTCGGCTTATCTATTGCAAAGCTCTTCTCAAAGCACACCAGGCGCCAGCGGCACCGGTCATCATGGCAGCCGAGTAGGCAGCAGGCTTGATTCCGGCAGCCAGCCTAAACAAAGCACCAGAGATGGCGCCCGAGGCCAACGAGTTGAAATCGTCGTGTTTACCTCTCCAGTGGTCAATAATGGCATCCACAATGTTATAAGTGATGGCAAGACAGCCAGCAGTGTTACCCAAGAACGGACCACGCTTGGTGATGTGATTCAAAACAGTGTTGAGCTTCAACTTTGGCGGCGAGTCAGCAGGCATCTTGGACAAACCTTCCTGGAGACCAAAAGCTCCACCCACACCAAGACCAAGCAAGTACACCGTACCAGTACCGTAACAAAGGTCATCCTTCCAGTCTCTCGACGCAATCACACCCTGAGCACCCTCCAAATCAGAAAGACGGTCATCGTCAAGGTCAAGGAATTCCACTCCCCTGTCCAAACCAGCCTGAGGGTGAAGACGAGCAGCGTCGGTGAACGCAGGCAGCGTGATAAAGGCGTTTGTCTGGTTGACTTCGGATTGTTCAGTAGATGGCGAAGAGCCCAAAAGCCACGACATGTTGATGAAGGCGAAGTGTGAAAAAGGTGGAAGTTGGAGGTGAGTTTGTATGATAATTTTTTTCAGTGCGCAGAGTGAGTGAGTGAATGTTGATCACCGAGAGTGGAGGAGTGGAGGAGTGGAAGAAGGAGGAAAAGAGGGGGACGTAAAATTTGGGTTGATGAAAAAAGAAGAGGAAATGGGCTGTATTTATAGTTTTCAAAGGAGGGGAAGCGCCAGGGGGTGGTGGTTGCCAGTTGGTGGTGGTGGAAGATCTGGAAACCGTTGGCTGCGAAGTGCAATGGAAAGGCAGAGAAGGGGAAGAGAGATGGGGTGGAAATGGAAAAGGTAGTGAAATGGAAGAAATGGAAAGTTTAAGGGAATGGAGGGTTGGACACTTTTTATTGGCTTTTTTGGATTTATTCAGTTTGGGTGGTTTCTGGTGGTGGTATACTCTCTATGGTGAGTACATAGTACATAGTACATAGTACATAGTGGGTATTTGGTGCAGTGAGTGAGTGGTCAGCTGCTGGATGGTGGTTTGGGAAACTGCCTATGATTTTTGCATTAGTGAGCTTAAGGAGAGCTAAGGTGCTTGAAATGTTTCTTTTTTTAGTTATTTAAGGCTGGCTGGGCTGGCTGGGCTGTTTGGGTTGGGGTCTTGGTGATGCTTCTCATTGTAGTAGTATTGGTAGAAAACGTGAAGAGGAAAGAAAGAATAACGCAGTTGAACTTTATATATATATATATATATATTTATATTATCATCTTTAAAGCGTCTTAGTTAGCTTAGAAAGTGAAATCATTGTTCTTCTTTTATGAGGTACTATTTGGTTGGGATTAAGTATGGGCCAATTTGCAACATTCAATGGAAGTATGAGGACTTCATGAAAAACTGAAAAACATGTAAAAAAGAAAAAAAAAAAAAAAAAACCCCTTTCAGTAAATTGGAAATTTAACTGGCTCTTTATTAGAAAGCAAACTTTCGAATCTCCTTCCATGAGTGGCTGCCTTTCGACTGCCCTGTCCCTCAGCTCTATCTCCATCCCATTAACCATAGTGTAACAAAGGGCCCAAAAACATAACCTAAAACCACCTGTAGAGTTAATTAATCACCACAATCAGTGTGATCATCAGGTATAAAAATAGCAAACACCATTTAGACCCTTTCAGGATGTCCACAATGTCATGCAGATCATCTGGCCTTATGGTACCAACAGCCTGGACTAACACTTCCAGTAACACTACAAACCTACAAAAAACCAGTAAAACCCAAAACAAGCCCACAGCATAAGCCTTCAATAGCCTTTCAGAATGCTTCGATCTCGCCACAGGTTGCTCGTGTGGCATTCGGTTAAGGTTCTCGAGACGCCGGTACTTTCCACAACTCGCTAATAATTCCGTCTGCCAAACGGTTTCCCAACAAAGAAATGGTTCCGCCGTGCCAGAGGGGCAGACCCATAGCTGATCTAAATAATATTTGCGCTTTCTCTAGTGCCGTTGATATATGGAGCAGGATGGGTTGAACGAGGACTGACCATCCAAACACTTCAATAGAACTCCAAAGACCGAACACAAGCAACAACTTTAACCGAAACCCCAATTCAGGGTTCATTCGGAGTCGGAGAATACCGATTGCCGCCGTTGGAACACATTACGTCATGGAACAGTTGATCGTGGACCAGCTCAAAGTGTCAATACGTCACTCGTCAATCCTTATCCGTAGCTTGTGGTTAACCTAATTGAAGCAAGCGTCTAAGTAAGCAACTTCTGCCGAATGTACGTCAAAAACACGATCGGTGAGTTGTGGCCGATGTGGAGATGCCCATTGTGTATTCACAAGCATCTTATTGATACACATAATGGAACACGCTATCTGTCCAAACAATGCAGCTGTGCCACCTACCCTTATCCTAACACTTGTATACATTAATTAAATATTACCTAAAAATCAATCCAGACCCTTGGAAGAGTCGTAGCCATGTTCGAAATGCTCGACATTCTCCTTGAGCTTCTCAACGTCAGAAACCTTGCCTTCTTCTTCGTGGAGGTATGGCAAGGTAGCGGCAATGTGAACAGCTCTCCATGGCTTCCAGACTGGGGTCTCGGCGAAAATCAAGTCGACTTCCTCCAAGCTTCTGCCCTTTGTCTCTGGGTACAAGAAGTAAAACACTGGAACCATGCAGAAGTTGATTCCAAAGAAGATAAGGTAGGTGTGGTGATCGATACTGTTAAAAGCGATAGGCGTAATCATCACCACCATAAAGTTGAATCCCCAGTTGCAGGCAGTAGAAATAGCAGTAGTTGGAGCTCTGACTTCTAAGGAAGACACCTCTGGTGGGTATAACCAAGTGAGCGACAAGAGGGACATACCAAAGAAGGTGTTGAAGGCAAACAACAAGAAGGCAGCACCGATTGGAGCACCTGGCTTGTCTTGTTTAGCCATTTCCATGGAAACGTAAAGGAAAAGCATACTCAAACACTGGCCAGTAGTTCCAAAGAGGAAAAGCTTTCTTCTGCCGACCTTTTCGATAACGAAAATAGGAATAAGGGAGGCCAAGAAGTACTCAGTACCGTTACAGGCAGCCAAGATACGAGACTCCAATGGTTCCATACCGATATAGCTCTCAAAGATAGTACCAGCGTAGTAAGTGATCAAGTTGATACCGCAAATCTGTTGCATGACCTGAGACCAAGCAGCCAAGTTGGCTCTGTGGAAGTTCTTACGCTCGCCCTGTTTGAGAAGGTTTTTAAGACTGAACTTGTTACCACCAGCCTTTTCTTCAGCGTTCAAGGAGATTCTGATATCCTCAATCAACTGTTTAATGAAAGGATGGTCTGGCGACTTGTCGTACAAAGAAGCGAAAACAAGGGCAGCCTCCTCTGGTCTAGACTGTCCCATAAGCCATCTAGGCGATTCTGGGAATTTAAACAAAAAGGCAACAATGGCAATAGGGAACACAAGCTGGAAGGCAATGGGGAATCTCCAGGACACCTCACCGAACTTCTCAGTAAAGTAGAAGGCAAAATCGATCCAGTAGGAAATACAGATACCGAAAGTGATCAACGAACCGTGGATACAAAGCGACTTACCTCTGTTACTGGCTCTAGAACACTCGGCAGCGTAAAGTGGCACTGTAGATGTGAGCAACCCGTTACCCAAACCCGAAATGACACGAGCGACAATCAAAAAGTCTGTGTTGGTGGCGGCAGTTTGCAAAATACCACCGATAATCATAATCACACAACCAGAAAAGATCATCTTCAAACGACCAAACTTGTCTCCCAAGTACATGGTGGAAAGCGCAGCTGCCAAGCATCCCACCTCGTAAAGACCCACTGTCAAACCCTGCATGGTCGAGTGTCCCAAATCGTCGTTATCAACGGTATCGATTTCTGGGAAACGTTCACGGAAGGTTCTAAGCGTTAAAAGCGAACCCATAACGCCCTGGTCGTAACCGAATAAAAGGAAACCAACACCACACAACGTGGTAATGGCTGTATTAAGCTTGGGACCTTTGAGACCCAAGTATTTAGGCACGTCACCACTGCTTTTGATGGAAATAGAACTTACGTCAGACATGGTAGTTAACTAAATAGAAAAAGCAGGCTTGTAAAAAAGAGGAAAACATGGCGTCCTTATATACTCCGAGACAAGGGTGTTCTCCCAGAGCAAAAAGCGTAGCGTGTGGCTCCTGCGCCGCAGCGTAAAGTATGGGGTTTGTCTCGAATATTTTGCGTGGGGGACGTCTGGCGGTTTTACCGGGATGGAATATAGAGCTTATTGCATGTTTGTGATAGCGGGGCAGAGTGTGCAGATCTGTGACGTAAGGGTGCATAGTAGACGCGTACATGCAGTACTGCCCTCCCGGGGTGCAGGCCCCCACTGCATAGGCGAGTTGGGGTCTGTAAGAGACTTCACCAAAATATATGCTGTTTACTGTGGTGGAGCCTTTTTTTTACTCGTGTCTCCGTGGATGGAAACAAAAAATAGCATGATGCGAGAAAAGTCCCGCCGCGCCCCACCATGGAGAGCAACTTTCCCCCACGGGACGGAATGCCAGAATCCCGACTGCAAAAAGGCATGTTGCATTTTGGCTTTTTGCCGTGCAAAAACTTTTGGAAGTTAACTTTTACAAGAAATTTGGAACCGTTTGACAGGTGTCAAGGCAAGACAAGAATTTTCTTGATGTGGATTTGACGGGTCAAGAAAGTTGTGGTAGCAACTTGGCAGGGCTCTGAGTTGGAGAAAAAACACCAGATGCACATTGTTCCAAGAAAATTGGAAAACAGGTAAATACTCGATATACTTACAGAAACGCAAGTGCTCTCAACCGACGCCGAACGGCATACTTCGAATGATAGCCGAAGGAGAGGCAAGGATGAGCCCCGAAAAATGGAGAAACCAATAGCAAGTCGGAGCAAGGGCCCTGGGGAAGCACAAAAGGTTTGTGTAATTCTAAACAACACGTCCAATAAGGAAGCGTCACCAAAGGCTTCCCGTGCCCGCCTCGTTTTCGAGATTGCTATACTCAAAGAGGCTCCCTTTTCGGGGTAAGGTTCTCGACCTTAAAGCGCCGTACATGAGGTGGTGGTGGGAAGCAGGTGTAAGTGGTGGAAAGGTGTCTTTGTCTCCAGTCTCCAGTCTCCACTAGATTGTCCAGGAGGCAAGGCTTTTCTGGTTTGGGGCATCCGTGTACCTACGCCGTCCTTCTCCATGTACGCCTTGCTGTTAGTTGCATCTGAATCTACGACACATTGTCTGCCAAACAAAGGTTTGCAAGGTAGCGAGACATTTTAGCCCCTCCGGCGTTAGACGTAGCCTTTTTGAGATAAACAGAGTGGGCAAAACCTTCTCGTGGGTTGCTCTACACCGTGAGGTCACCAAATGGACCCAAAACGAGATCTCTGACTGGGAGCAAGACGAGGCTTGCTATGTACGGAGTCGTATATATGAAACACGTAGATGTTTTTGTTGGTTTGGTGGTCTGGGGATCGTTTTACGCCTGGATGCCACACAGGGGTGATTCTGTCACAAAAAGCTTAACCACCCAAACCGTCGATGTCGTCATTGGCAATTCTTTTTTCGTCCCGGGGGGTAAGTCTCCCAAAAAGCTTTGGATTAGCCGACGAGTCGACGAGAGTGCACGACTTGTTCACCTGCTCGGAATTGGGATTTAAGTAAACTTGCATCTCTAGTTCCCACATTAAGCCTCGAGCCACTCAGCTGTTGTTTTGGGGTTGTCGAACGTGGACAGAGATAATCAGAGGACAACAGAGGGTGATTCAGGAAAGCGTGCAGATCTTGGCTTAGCGGTGGGGCAATTTTGGTTTTGGAAAGCGTACGTTTTGGGTGGATTAGGTAGAGAGTGTAGTGGAGCTGGGTTGGTGATGTATAGCCGCCAGCTCGGTATTCCAGGTGGCCGCGGTGACCTGGGAGATAGATAATGGGTGAATGGGGAGACTGGAAGAAATTGGAAGCCCAGACTCCTCCTTTAATTGTCTTTTGTGGCTCAGTAGAAATTGATAGATCTTGTGGAGTCCCTAGCCGAATGTTCATAACCGCTACAATCGAATAAACCAAGCCGCAATGACATCACGGTTGGAGTGAAACAAGGCACGTCGTGGAGTGGTCTTTTCAGCCGTGTTACAACGAAATTGTGGTCTTTTTTTGGTCCATAAATCCTGGTTGCTCTCGTAAATATATGTAGCTACTGGCAAAAAAGAGGGTCTGGAGCGGTACCTTAAAAACATCTTGTTCAAGTACACCATTTGAGCAAATCCAAAAACTCTGCTAATTTCATTCCTTCCCATTCCTTCCATCACCATCCTTTCTGACACATTCTTGCGTTTTGACAGCTGCAAGACTGCCCCTCCATCAGGACAAGAAATTTGCAGCCAAGATTTCTTGATACTTGGTCTCGTCCCGCAGGTGAAACCGTTACACTATTTTCTTATAACGTGTCTATAGATTTATAGATGTCTAAATAATATACAACACTTGGAGGCTAGTTCTTTGCCTCCTCAGAATTCTTCTTCTCATCAGAGCCCAGCTCCAAGAGCCCGTCCTTTTGACCATTGACTCTTTCCACACCTTCGCTGCTGTTGTCACTATCAGAGTAAGGCTTGTCGTCGTAACCCTTGAGGTTTTCTTCGTCGACAGCGGCTGTCTCGTGGCGGAAAGGCAAAGTCTGGGCAATCTTGACCGATTGCCATGGTTTCCAGGCTGGAGTGGCAGCGAAAATCAAGTCCACCTCTTCCAAAGATCTGCCCTTGGTCTCTGGGTACAAGAAGTAAAAGACAGGAACCATGCAGAAGTTGATACCGGCGAAAATAAGGTAAGTGTAGTGGTCGATTCTGTTGAAACAGATTGGGGTGATCATGACGACGAAGAAGTTGAATGCCCAGTTACAAGCGGTGGAAATGGCAGTGGTAGGAGCTCTGACTTCCAACGAGGAGACCTCTGGAGGGTATAACCAGGTAAGGGACAAAAGAGACATACCGAAGAAAGTGTTGAAAGCGAACAACAAGAAAGCAGCACCAATCTCACCACCCTCGTGGCCCTGGTGAGCCATTTCCATAGAAACAGTAAGGAAAAGCATACTCAAGCAGCAGCCAACGGAACCAAACAAAAACAAAACTCTTCTACCGACTCTTTCAATGATCCAGATAGGAATAAGCGAAGCAAGGAAAAACTCAAGACCGTTACAAGCAGCCAAAAGTCTGGATTCCATAGGACCCTGGCCAATGTACTCCTCGAAAATGGTACCAGCATAGTAAGCAATCAAGTTAATACCACAGATCTGCTGCATAACCTGAGACCAACCAGCCAAGTTGACTCTCTGGAAGTTCTTACGTTCACCTTGGGAAAGAAGAGCCTTTGGCGAGAAGTTGGCACCACCACCAGCGTTTTCTTCAGCTTTCAAGGAAGCCTGAATGTCCAGAATAAGACTCTGCACAAACTGGTCGCTTGGAAGGGTATCGTACAAAGCAGCGAAAACGATGGCGGCTTCTTCTGGTCTGTTCTGACCAACAAGCCATCTTGGTGATTCTGGGAAAGTGTAACCAAAGAATGTGATACCAAGTGGGAAGATAAGTTGGAAAGCGATTGGAAATCTCCATGAAACTTCACCAAACTGTTCGGTAAAGTAAAAAGCGAAATCGATCCAGTACGAAACACAAATACCAAGTGTAATCAAAGCACCTTGGATACAGAGAGACTTACCTCTGCTGGAAGCCTTAGAACACTCAGCGGCATAAAGAGGGACAGTGGCTGTAAGAATACCATTTCCAACGCCAGAAATCACACGAGCAGTAATCAAGAAATCAGTACTTGTAGCAGCTGCTTGCAAAACACCACCAATGATAATCACCACACAGCCCCAGAAAATCAACTTAACACGACCAAACCTGTCACCAATGTACATTGTAGAAAGAGCACCAACCAAGCAACCAACGGCATAGAGACCAATGGTCAAGCCTTGCATGATAGCGTAACTCTCTTCTTCATTAGAAACAGTATCGATTTCTGGGAAACGAGCACGGAACGTAGGAAGGGTAAGAAGCGATCCCATGACACCTTGGTCATATCCGAAAAGGAAAAAACCAACACCACACAAACCGACGATGGCTTGGTTTAGTCTATCACCCTTACATTTCAAGAAGGTTGGGACTTGCTCCTCGGAGGGCTTCTTATCAGAGATCTTTGAATCGGTTTCAGACATGATTCTGCTCTGAGTTCAAATAGAATAAAAAAATAATAGAATACGAACCAATGCTGGACCAGCGAATAGTACTTCTTTTATATCATTCTGAAAGGCTGCAAAAACCAACAAGTCTTCCCTATAGAAAAAAAAAAAAATAGAAAAAAACCTAGACCGTCTTTCTCGGCAGGCCCCACCCCCGCCGCTGTCAGAGAATGCCAAGGGCACGATGATGTAGTTATGCCTAGTAGTAAAAAAAGGCTCTCCCCGGATCCAGCAGAGATGCTTTTGCAACCACAGCTTGGTGGTTGTTCCTGGCGCATATATTACATGGCGGATAAACAATCCAGCTACGGTATGGTGGCTGCGGGGCCGGCATACAACGCGTAAACATATGCACACCGGAACATTTTTTTCTCACCTGGGCATCCCGATCTGCAGAAGCCCCAGGTATATCTTCCGTATCTATAAGGTCGCTTTATCTGGTGCAACGAACACGCAAAGTATATGTATGAAAAGATCTGAAGTTCAGAGAGGCCACCAGAGTTTTTCCGAGAACTATACCACAATTTGCCCCTCGACAGAACGGTTTTTGCCCCTCTACAATGGAAAAGAAACGGCGAGAAGCCATTTTCATTGGCTCGACATAGAAGCAACACCAAGAAACACCAAGGGCCTTGTGGGTTTTGGGGCCTTGTCTATTTTTCTTTGACCAAGAATGCCCTGAATTTATAAGGACTGTTTTTTTCTCAGTATTCTGTGGTTTCTTTTCCTTTTTTTTCTTAGTACCCTTCTATACAATATGTTCTTCCGGTTTTAGTATGGACGACGAGAAATATCCTACAACTTGACATGGCTTCTTTGCTCATAGTTATCCCGGGTTTCCCCAGGTTTGTTTAAAGCTCTTTGCGTCCAGCGGCATGGTCCGCAAAGCCAAAGAAAACTTGTTGCCAATGTCTTACACACAAAAGGCGTTTTAGAAAACGATGACAAACTTCGTTTCTTTTGCAAACGACATGGTAGATTTTACAGAGAGGACTTTGGAGGCTCTTAGGGTCCATAGATACCAATCCCACAACATGAACAAAACATGGCCAGTCCCTTGGGGAGCCCCACGGAACATGTTTTCATGTGGTCGCTCTTGGCTAGGCTGGGCATTCGTGTCCAGGGAAACCAACCATGTATAGAACAGAGGCTATGACGTAACGGTAACATAAAGCCTTCTATCTTACGTTTGGCGAGAAAAATAAATGTATACGTGTTTGGCGTGGCCGATTGTCTGGAAGATAGATAGCCTTGTCTTATTGTAAGAAGTATAGATATGCCTCGTTAATCCCATTCAAACTTGTATTACGTCAGTGCATGAACTTAGCAAATTGCTAGGTAAACTAAAAAGTCCAGGCTTATCTGGACCCTGGGGCCCTCGAGGTGGTTTGTGGGGTTGGCCATGCCATGAATCCTGTGATAATGGGGTAAGGGATTTCTCACTGTCTGATACTAGGAGTCTTTGTGTTCCCCGCCAAACGAGTGGTTGGCTCTTTGTGTTCTAAAATCCGAGTTGCTGAGGAGATTCCGATACACTGGTGCTTCTCCTTCGAAATGTCCCTCTGTAACACCACTAAAGAGGGTTGTGTGCGTTTCGCTATATCTAACTAGGCAAGACAAGGAGGGTAACACAAAACCAATTTGGTCCATGAACCCTCAAAGCCTACTTGGGTTTCTGTGTCTTTCAAGGGTGAACAACAATTCTTCTACATCTCTATCCGAGAACCTGTTCTCAATTAAAACTATAAATCCAACCATTATCTGTCTAAAGCCCAAACTCTAAGGGCGTAAGTCACACTTCACGCTTCTTAAATTAAACTCTTGAAATACTGTTCTCCTTGTTGACGTTCTCCACGAACTTGGTTTCAGACTTGGTGTCTTCCATAAGACCAGAGTCTGACTCTGGCGAAGAGCTCAGACCGTTAGAATAGTGTTCAGCGTCGGCCTTCTGGTTGAAACTCTCGATATCCTTGGTCTCCTCGAGGAATGGCATGGTGGCTGCAATACCAACCGACTTCCATGGCTTCCAGACGGGAGTGTCAGCGAAAATCAAGTCCATCTCCTCCAAAGTTCTGCCCCTAGTTTCTGGGTATAAGAAGTAAAACACTGGAACCATGCAGAAGTTGATGCCGAAGAAAATAAGGTAGGTGTGGTGGTCAATACTGTTGAAACAGATTGGCGTGATCATCACAACCAAAAAGTTGAAACCCCAGTTACAGGCAGTGGAGATGGCGGTGGTAGGTGCTCTCACTTCCAAGGAAGAAACCTCTGGTGGGTACAACCAAGTAAGCGACAAAAGCGACATACCGAAGAAAGAATTGAAAGCGAAAAGCATCACGGCTGCACCGATGGAACCTCCGTCGTTACCTTGCTCTGCAATCTCCATACAGACGTAAAGCAACAACATACTCAAACACTGACCAGCGGTACCGAAAAGGAAAAGCTTTCTTCTACCAAACTTCTCAATAACGAAAATTGGAATAAGAGAAGCCAAAAAGTATTCGGTACCGTTACAGGCAGCCAAGATACGGGACTCCAAGGCGTCCATACCAATGTACTCTTCGAAAATGGTACCAGCGTAGTAGGTAATCAAGTTAATACCACAAATCTGTTGCATGACTTGGGACCAGCCAGCCAAGTTGACTCTTTGGAAGTTCTTACGTGGACCTTGCTTGAGAAGGTTCTTGACACTGAACTTGTTACCACCAGCCTTGATTTCGGCGTCCAAACTTTTGGCGATATCGTCACAAAGGCTTTGAACGTACGCAGAGCTTGGTGGCTTGTCGTACAAGGCAGCGAACACCTTGGCGGCTTCTTCACGTCTACTTTGACCCATAAGCCATCTTGGAGACTCTGGGAAAGTAGTACCGAAACAACAAATACCCACTGGGAAAATAAGCTGGAAAGCGATAGGGAATCTCCAGGAAACCTCACCGAACTGTTCAGTAAAGTAGAAAGCAAAATCGATCCAGTAAGACACGGCAATACCAAGGGTAATCAAGGAACCGTGGATACAAAGCGATTTACCTCTGCTGTTGGCCTTGGAACACTCGGCAGCGTAAAGAGGAACCGTAGCAGTAAGCAAACCGTTACCCACACCAGAAATGACACGAGCAGTGACCAAAAAGTCGGTGTTGGTAGCGGCAGCCTGCAAAATACCACCAATAACAATGATAACACATCCCCAGAAAATCATCTTCACACGGCCAAACTTATCACCAATGTACATGGTTGCAAGGGCACCGACCAAACAACCCACAGCGTAAAGACCAATAACCAAACCCTGGTGAATGGCATAACTCAACTCTTCGTTGGAAACAGTATCCATTTCAGGGAAACGAGCACGGAAAGTAGGAAGGGTAAGAAGGGAACCCATAACACCCTGATCGTAACCGAAAAGGAAGAAACCAACACCACACATGGTGGTGATGATTTTATTAAGCTTGTCGCCCTTAGCCTTGAGAAAGGTGGGCACCTCGTCACTGTACTGAGGCTCGGAGTGTTTAGATTCGGAGTCAGACATGTTTTTGGTTTGGAAACTGGAAGCAGAAGGTTTCTTTTAGTGGGGCATTTTGCAGCCATTTATATATTCGTTTGCTATCTAAGACTATCTCTTACAGACCCCACAGAAGTGGGCCACTGAATGGGATGCCAAGAGAAGCTGGCTACGCGAAATATACTTTATGTATTACTTGAATGGCTGGGACGTCATTTTCTTGTAAATACGTGGTGGGGCTATAGCGTTCGTGGCGAGTAAGTAGAAAAGATTCTCCATTACGCAATAATGCTTCGGAACGGACTGCACACAAGTGCATGATGGTGTTTTTTTCTTGTACGATAATTCTCCGGGGTGCGTTGCGGTTTCGTGCGGCCACGTTGAAGATATACGAGAAGTAGATGTTGCGCCGTTCGCCGGATAAATCTCGGAACTGCAAGATAATCCGGGTTCCACAATTAGCCTATCCACCTTAAATCATCCTTTTCCACCTACCCTCCTTACCTCAGTGTCATATGCAGCTGTCATTTTCTTTTGCTGGAAGAGAAGGCCCTGGACAAGAAAATTATTGTTCTAGGTGCCGGCGGTCATGTACATCTCGAGGTTCCTATAGGCGTGTTGCCAGCGTTTTTTCTTAGCGACCATAGTCAAGAAAAATAGTCTTTTTTTTTTTATTTCCTTCTTGCAACACGGAAAATGCAAGCTTCCGCTAGGACTCAAGAGCATCATATCCGCATGACGTAACAAGAAATCTGGAACTCTATCCCTAGTAAAGGCACCAACTGAAGGTGAGACAGGGGCACCAAACATGAATATGAAACACTATGAAACATGTAGTTGTGAATACTACAGCTTCGGCGTTAACACCCTTTGCTGGAGGGGAATGATACTTCCGTTTTGACTTTTCCAGGGCTTGCTATTGTTGACGCCCTAAACAGCAACACTACATTTGAGACAACGCACTCCCCGAACAGGCAAACATGGGCGACGCGAAGCGTAGTTGCTTTTTGCTCTAGAGCAGGCGTGAAAGTTTTCGTTCATGCCTAAATTTCGTCCTGGGTCAACAGGAATCCGGTAAGACCGTGGCGCTAGCCGCATGGACCATCCGCTGTCCGTTGTTTCCGGGAGAAGGGCCAAGCGAGTTTAGAAAAGAGGCAGTTTGAAGAGGAGGTGGTTTCATGCTTTGCGCTTGTTTTCTCGATGGAAGTTTGGTGGACTATATCGTCTGCTTCCATACACAGAGCTTATCTGGACGACGATTTGTTTATTTACCGACGAGTGTGTTCGTACGGCTCGTGGAGGAGCCTCTTGGCAAGGGATAGAGTGGAGTAGAAGTAGTAGTTTGTGACATGTAGAAGGAGAAGAAAATTACTTCATGTGTGGGCGCCGTTTGCAGTTTCTAAATATGGCATTTTTAACTTCTGAGTTCCGGAAACAACAAAAAAACGACAAGAAACGGGTACAATAAACTAGTAGAGCCAACCCAGAATTATGCCTTTCCAAGCTGTACGTCTTTTGCTCGCTTCAGCAAAAGTTTAGAGTTGCCATTCGTGCTAAGAAAACTCACCCAGCACAGTGGCTAAACCAACGCTACACAAATACATTACCCTCGGTTTCAGTCCGAAGGCTACTACCGACGGAGTCGACGTGGTGTACGATCGAACGGAAAATAATGTAGCTGACTCGACTGATAGCGTGTACATTAATTAGTTCGACGCCAGGGTTCAAACCAAACATGGAAAAGTAGCCTGATGCTCCTAACGCTGGCGGGGTCTGGAGGTGATAAGCCCTGTGAAGATAAAGCATAGGCTTTCTGAACGGAAAGAGTGTGTTTGGACGCGTCGTGGTAAAATGCTCGTCCACATTGTAGAGTGGCTTCTTCTGTGTTAATTTAGCATCCACAGCAGGAACATAAGCTGATATGAATGTGCTGGTTGGCCAGTTAGAATGGAGGAACGGTGAATAGGGAGACTTCCACAAAGTGTGTTCAGAGAAGCACGACGATTAGTTTGGTCTGCTTTATACTGAGTAATAAACTGTTTAGGGAGTAGGGAGACGGTTTATACGTTGTCGACGCTGTGACGTAACCATGCTGGGACTACAAAGAACTGGTTGAGGGTATCTTTCATCTGCTGTTCTGGTGGTTCCACCGTGTATTTTTTTTTCTCTGGTTTTTGAATATTCTTCGGGGAGTTAATAAGATTTTTGGAAAGAATAGACGGTTTTGAGTTTCGGTTTAGGAAGAAAGGAAGAAAGAATAATTGAGGTTGGATGCGATGGAAAGCACGGCTTTGGTGGATTCCTAGCGGTAATCTGGACGTTTTGGTTTTGGAGAATTTGGAAGTATTGCCACTGGTGGTTTATTGGTATTCAGATTAGTGGCTTTTTGGAGACCAAAAGGAAATATGATTTGGAACTGTTTCCAACACAAATACCTATTTTCGAGCTAAAATCACGGAATCCCCATTTGTTGTCTTATAAAAGTTACCAGAATAATATGGTTATTATTCAACTGATTTGCTTCCATATTCTGCTTTTCGATTCCCAGGTTTCTCTATAACACCACTTTAACACCAGCACTTTCTCGCTTCTGTCAAACACATATTCACATTCCCCCTTGGTCATCATTCCTCTACAGTTCTAGAATCACCTAATCACTATTAGCCACAGTGGCAAGTACTTCATATCTGGAGTACTACATAGTATGGGTCATGGCTGTGACCGGGCTCATTTCTTGTCGACGTAAAGAAACAATTGCTAAATCTTCTAGCAATAGATGGAAAGAGAAAGCTTTCTAGTTGATAGACATATCCACTATCTGCTGAAAAGCTCTCATGGATATGGAAAGGACGCTAAGTGGACGGTAAATGATAAGTTGGGTGGAAAGTTAACTCTTGCTGGAAGATAAGGTTAAAGACTAAATTCAGTGGTTTAAGACAGACTCATGAAGAGCACTTTTCCTGAAACCGTAACGTTCTGTCAGGAGCAACAGGGAAGCTACTATGGGTGATTCCCTATCATAGATGTAATATGGAAAATGAATCTGGCCTTCAACTTGATGTTGTCTGCTGATCACCTGCTGATAACAGATCACCTTCAATATCAAATGACTTTAATCAGATTGAAAAGTAACCCTAGAAGATGATCATTAAGATCATTATTGACCCCAAGATGTGTCCTATAGAAGAGGATATTGAGCCGGTTACTTGAAAACGCCCATTTCAAAAGTATACTTCAAAACTATTACAAAGTTTTCCATTCTTCGAAACGCCTGCTTAGATCCTCTAACGTTACTTGATATTTACCAGCTGAATTAATCTCAGCAGCCTCTTTGGTTTATCTCCTCTATCTCCTATCTCCCATCCCAATCACAAGCCTACAAACGTCCAACTCCCAGATCTCCCTAGAAGAAGCCTCTAAAACGAGAGACAAACATCTAAATCATCATTTCTAGCGCCCGTCTATCTTTACGCTCAAGTTTGTTTATCAACCTACCAACGTGGTGCTCTAATTCACCTAAATCGATCACCATACTAAGCCATCTCTAAAGCCCCTATACTAAACTCTAAACAGTTAGTTCTTCACGTCTTGATCTTAAGATTCACTTTAAACCGAAACCTGGCCACTTACCATTTACTCTTCTTCCACTTACTCTTCTTACACTTACTCTTCTTACACTTCTTCTACTTCTTCTGCTTCCTCTCTTCTACAAGCTCCATTCTCGATCCCTTCCCCTACCACCATCCCTCCCCTTCTCCCACCCCTTTCCTTGATCGCCCGAACGATCGACCGCCTACACCACCACCATTCCAAGCCCAGTCCCACAAAACCATCCAAACCCAACTCTTCCCTAAACAACCACTCTTCCATCTACCAGACGCAGCCACTCTGACGTCAACAAGTCCTCACCAGCCAACCCCAAAAACCATCATTTCCAGAAACCAACCAATACTTATAAGAAATAAACCAGGTCTTCTTCTTCTACTAAAACCAACTAAAGCCTAAATCCATCCACCTGAAACAACCTTATACCCTTTTGGTGACTTTTTGGGTTCGAGTGGCTGCGAAAAAAACCACCGAAAAAGCGTAAATAACGGCCCGTAGCGTGTGGTCACTGGAGGTGCGTCGTTGGGTCTCCAGAGCCCAAAAGGGAGGGAAGGGTCAGAAAGGGGCGGAATTTCCGCTTAACTATAGAAGTTGAAAATGAAAAAAGAAAAAAGAAGACTTTCAGTTTTTGACTTTCCAAAATAACCAACAAAAAAGAACCAGTTTTTCTAAAACTTCACCCACGTTTGCTTTTTGGATTCGCCAGTTTGCAGCCAAAAAAAATGCGCAGCGAAGAAAAACAGGGCCCGTTTTGAGCAAAAAGCGACCACAAAAACTCCGACCGTACCGAGGAAGAATCGACCACGAAGCAAGCAAAAAGAGGAAGAGAGGGTTGGAAATTCGGCGGCGGGTTTTGCCTTTGTATTTTGACGTGGTGGAACGAGGCCAAAACCCGTACACCACATACAAAAAACACCAACAACCCACCAAACATCTTCTCCTTCTCTTCAATCCACTTTTCGCAGCCAAACTTGACTTTTTTCCTGCGCCCAACTTTTCTATGTTGTTGGGGTGGAAAAAAAGATTTAGGTAGTATACTATATACAGTACCACGCCAAAACAGAACCCCAGGCATTTAAATAAAAGCCAGAAACTACCCCTTTTACGTTTTTCGCTATAAAAAAAAAGGCAGCGTCTGTAAGAGACACCAAATTACCAAGAAATGTATGTGAATTCGTTTTCCAGAGGAATTGTGGCTTTACACGAGATATCGTTCGGGTTCAACGGTTTTGGGTCAAAGTGATGGGGTCGGTCCAGCTGGATGAGACACCGAGTTGAAAAATGGCCAAAAGAGCGAAGGAGCAGGGAAACGGGGAAAACAGTGGGAGACCTCGAACTATAAAAGGACCAGGATTTCCAATCTTTTTGTTCTATTGGGTCGCTTTTTCCCAATTCTCTGTCCTCTGTCTCTGCCAGGCTTCCTCGGCGCCTCGGAGTTTCGCGCCAGCCATCCATCTACACTTTTCTCAACACTCTTTGGAAACTCAACAACACTACCAAAAGGTCAACAAAACCCAACGTTTAGACATTCCTCTGGGTCTTCCGCTGCATGCGCACAGGCCTGTTCCGCTTTACTAACTATAGATTATTCTCCCCTGCCGCCAGACGCTTTTCCAGCAGATTCTTCCTTGTACATACCCACTTGGCCCAGCGCCAGCATTATTCCACTACTTCCATCTTTAACCGTTTTTACAACTACATAATGTCGCCTTCCACGGCTCTTAGCAAGGTTCCGCCGAGTTTCTTTGGCTTGAACTCCGTGGACCGTGCCGAACCAGGCCCGGTCACCGAGTTTGTCAAGGCCCACCAGGGCCACACGGTCATTTCCAAAGTTTTAATCGCCAATAACGGTATTGCCGCCGTGAAAGAGATCAGGTCCGTTCGTAAATGGGCCTACGAGACGTTTGGCGATGAACGTGCCGTTCAATTCGTCGCCATGGCCACGCCTGAAGATTTGGCTGCCAACGCTGAGTATATCCGTATGGCCGACCAGTGTGTGGAGGTGCCTGGCGGCACCAACAACAATAACTACGCCAATGTCGAGTTGATTGTGGAGATTGCCGAACGTACGAATGTCCATGCTGTTTGGGCTGGATGGGGCCATGCTTCTGAAAACCCGATTTTGCCGGAGATGTTGGCTGCTTCGCCTAAGAAGATCGTGTTTATTGGTCCTCCTGGCTCTGCTATGCGTTCTTTGGGTGATAAAATTTCTTCCACAATCGTTGCACAGCACGCTGACGTGCCTTGTATTCCTTGGTCGGGTACTGGCGTGTCTGACGTTCAGATCGATAAAGAGACGAATCTTGTGTCTGTTTCTGATGAAGTCTACTCCCAGGGTTGTTGCACAGGCCCTGAAGACGGTTTAGTTAAGGCCCGTAAGATCGGTTTCCCTGTCATGATTAAGGCTTCCGAAGGTGGTGGTGGTAAAGGTATCCGTAAGGTCGATAACGAAGACGACTTTGTTTCCTTGTACCAGCAAGCAGCCAATGAGATTCCTGGCTCTCCTATATTTATCATGAAGTTGGCTGGCTCTGCTAGACACTTGGAGGTGCAATTGTTGGCTGATCAGTACGGAACCAACATTTCCCTTTTTGGCCGTGATTGTTCGGTCCAGAGACGTCACCAGAAGATTATCGAAGAAGCTCCAGTCACGATCGCCAACCAAGAGACTTTCCGCAGCATGGAGAACGCTGCTGTCAGATTGGGTAAGCTTGTGGGTTACGTTTCTGCCGGTACTGTTGAGTACTTGTACTCCCACGCTGACGACAAGTTCTACTTTTTGGAATTGAACCCAAGATTGCAGGTCGAGCATCCTACTACTGAGATGGTTACTGGTGTTAACTTGCCTGCTGCTCAGCTTCAGATCGCTATGGGTATTCCTATGCACAGAATCAGAGATATCAGAACGTTGTACGGTGCCGACCCTCATACTTCATCTGAAATTGATTTCGAGTTCAAGTCTGAGTCCGCCTTGACCACCCAGCGCAGACCTAAGCCAAAGGGCCACTGTACCGCTTGTCGTATCACTTCTGAAGATCCAGGTGAGGGTTTCAAGCCTTCCGGTGGTAACTTGCATGAATTGAACTTCCGTTCTTCCTCCAACGTTTGGGGTTACTTTTCCGTCAGCAACCAGTCTTCGATTCATTCCTTTTCTGATTCCCAGTTCGGTCATATTTTCGCTTTTGGTGAGAACCGTCAAGCTTCCCGTAAACACATGGTTGTCGCTCTTAAAGAATTGTCTATTCGTGGTGACTTCAGAACCACCGTGGAGTACTTAATCAAGTTGTTGGAGACCCCAGACTTCGAGGACAACACCATCACCACCGGTTGGTTGGACGAGTTGATCTCCAAGAAGTTGACTGCCGAGAGACCAGACCCTATTCTCGCCGTTTTGTGTGGTGCCGCTACCAAGGCCTTCATTGCCTCGAGAGAAGACAGAACAGAATACACCACCTCTTTGGAGAAGGGTCAGGTTCCTAACAAGTCTTTGTTGAGAACTATCTTCCCTATTGAGTTCATCTATGAGGGCCACAAGTACAAGTTCACCGCTACTATGTCTTCCGAAGATTCGTTCACGCTTTTCTTGAACGGTACTAGAGCTGTTGTCGGTGTTCGTTCGCTTTCTGACGGTGGTTTGTTGTGTTCTATTGACGGCCAGTCTCACTCCATCTACTGGAAGGAGGAGCCTTCTGCTACCAGATTGTCTGTTGACGGTAAGACCTGTTTGTTGGAAGCCGAGAACGACCCTACTCAGTTGAGAACTCCTTCTCCAGGTAAGTTGGTCAAGTACACCGTTGAGTCTGGTGAGCACGTCCTGGCTGGTCAGCCTTACGCTGAGGTTGAGGTTATGAAGATGTGTATGCCTTTGATTGCTCAGGAGAATGGTGTCGTTCAGACCATCAAGCAGCCTGGTTCTACTGTTAACGCTGGTGATATCTTGGCTATTTTGGCTTTGGACGATCCATCTAAGGTCAAGCACGCTTTGCCATACGAAGGTACTTTGCCAGACATTGGTGAGCCAAGCATCCAAGGTACTCGTCCAGTACATAAGTTCAAGAAGTACTCCTCCATCTTGAGAAACATTTTGGCCGGTTACGATAACCAGGTTATCATGAACTCCACATTGAAGAACTTGATTGAGATTTTGCGTGACAGGGAATTGCCTTACTCTGAATGGGCCATGCATTGTTCTGCCTTGCACTCCAGATTGCCTCCTAAGTTGGACGAAGCCATGACTGCTCTTTTTGAAAGATCTCACTCCAGAGGTGCCGAGTTCCCAGCCAAGAACCTTTTGAAGCTTATGAACAAGGCTGAGAAGGAAAGTGGTGATTCTCTCTTTGCATCTGTTGTTGCTCCTTTGGTTGAAGTCGCCACCAGCTACTCCGGTGGCTTGATTGAGCACGAGTACAGCTTCATTGCTGATTTGATCAATGAGTACCACACTGTCGAGTCGTTCTTCTCTGGCTCTAGCCACCGTGAAGAGGATGTCATTTTGCAACTCAGAGACGAGAACAAGTCTGACTTGAGCAAGGTTCTGACTTACGCTCTTTCCCACTCGCGTGTTTCCGCTAAGAACAACTTGATCTTGGCTATCCTTGATGCTTACCAGCCAATCTTGCAGCAATCTGCTACTATTGCTACTCCTATCAGAGAGTCTTTGAGAAAGATTGTCGAACTTGAGTCTCGTGGTACTGCTAAGGTCGCTTTGAAGGCCAGAGAGATCTTGATCCAGTGCTCTTTGCCTTCCATCAAGGAGAGATCCGACCAGTTGGAACACATTTTGAGATCTTCTGTTTTGCAGACTTCCTACGGTGAGGTTTATGCCAAGTACAGATCTCCTGCTCTTGATGTGATCCGTGAAGTTGTTGACTCCAAGCACACTGTCTTTGATGTTTTGCTCCAATTCTTGGTCAACACAGATGAATGGGTTGCTATGGCTGCCGCTGAAGTTTACGTGCGTCGTTCTTACATCGCCTACTCTTTGGGCCCAATCACGTACAACTTCCATGAGCAGGAGAAATTGCCAATCATCCAGTGGGCCTTCCAGTTGCCTTCTCTCTCTTCTCATGCTGCTTCTTACGCTAGCTTCAAGAAGGATGACTCCAGCTCTATGGGCAGAGCTGCCTCTGTTTCCGACTTGTCTTTTGTCGTTGACAACAAGAAGGAAGGTAAGGTCAGAACCGGTGTTTTGGTTCCGGTGAAGCACATTGACGATATGGATGACATGCTCCTTGCTGGTCTTGACAAGATCGAGCCTGCTGATGCTATCTCCTTCCAGGCTGGTGCTCAACCTGAGTACATGAACGTCGTGAACGTTGCAGTTACCAACATTGACGGTTACGAAACCGAGGAGGAAGTTTTGGAGAAGGTCCACGAGACTATCGAAGATAACAGAGAGGAGTTGAAGGCTGCTGCCGTTCGTCGTATTACCTTCGTCTTTGGTAACAAGGTCGGTACTTACCCTAAGTACTACACTTTCACTGCTCCTGACTACATCGAGAACAAGGTCATCAGACACATTGAGCCTGCTTTGGCCTTCCAGTTGGAGTTGGGAAGAATGGAGAACTTCGACATTAAGCCAATCTTCACCGACAACAGAAACCTTCACGTTTACGAAGCTGTTGGTAAGAACTCTCCTTCCGATAAGAGATTCTTCACTCGTGGTATCATCAGAACTGGCGTTATCAGCGAGGACATTTCCATCAGTGAGTACTTGATCGCCGAGTCCAACAGATTGATGTCTGATATTTTGGATGCTTTGGAGGTTATCGACACTTCCAACTCTGACTTGAACCACATCTTCATCAACTTCTCTGCCGTTTTCAACGTTACCCCTGAAGATGTCGAGGCTGCCTTTGGCTCCTTCTTGGAGAGATTCGGTAGAAGATTGTGGAGATTGAGAGTCACTTGTGCTGAAATCAGAATCTCCTGTGTTGACCCAGCTTCTGGCCAGCCTTTCCCATTGAGAGCTATCATCAACAACGTCTCTGGTTACGTCGTCAAGTCTGAGTTGTACATGGAGATCAAGAACCAGAAGGGCGAGTGGGTGTTCAAGTCCATGGGCAACCCAGGCTCTATGCACATGAGATCCATCAACACTCCATACCCAGCCAAGGAGTCCTTGCAGCCTAAGCGTTACAAGGCCCACAACATGGGTACGACTTACGTCTACGATTTCCCAGAGTTGTTCCGTCAAGCCACTATCTCTCAGTGGAAGAAGCACGTCAAGGATGCTAAGATTCCAAGAGACTTCTTCACTTCTGAAGAGTTGATCAACGACGACAACGGTGGTTTGACTGCTGTTGAGAGAGACCCAGGCTCGAGCAAGATCGGTATGGTTGGTTTCAAGGTCAACGTTAAGACCCCAGAGTACCCACACGGACGTCAATTCGTCATTGTTGCCAACGATATTACTCACAAGATCGGTTCTTTCGGTCCTGAGGAAGATGAGTTCTTCAACAAGTGTACTGAGTTGGCACGTTCTTTGGGTATCCCAAGAATCTACCTTTCTGCCAACTCTGGTGCCAGAATTGGTGTTGCCGAGGAGTTGCTTCCATACTACAAGGTTGCCTGGAACGAAGAGGGCAAGCCAGAGAAGGGTTTCAAGTACTTGTACTTGACTGCTGAAGACAAGGCTGCTCTTGAAGAGAAGGGTAACGCTGCTTCTGTCAACACTGAGAGAGTCGTTGAAAAGGGTGAAGAGCGTTATGTCATCAAGACCATTGTTGGTGCTGAGAACGGTTTGGGTGTCGAGTGTCTTAAGGGCTCTGGTTTGATCGCCGGTGCCACTTCCAAGGCTTACAAGGATATCTTCACTATTACCTTGGTGACATGCAGATCTGTCGGTATTGGTGCTTATTTGGTCAGATTGGGCCAGCGTGCTATCCAGGTCGAGGGCCAGCCTATCATTTTGACTGGTGCTCCTGCTATCAACAAGTTGTTGGGTAGAGAAGTGTACTCGTCCAACTTGCAACTTGGTGGTACCCAGATCATGTACAGAAACGGTGTTTCCCACTTGACTGCTTCTGATGACTTGGCTGGTGTGGAGAAGATCATGGAATGGATGTCTTATATTCCAGCCAAGAGAAACACTCCAGTTCCAATCTTGAACAGCACTGACCCATGGGACAGAGATGTTGAATTCGCCCCAGCCCAAAAGGTGCCTTATGACGTGAGACACATGATCTCTGGACGTCAGAACGACGACGGCGAGTTTGAAGCCGGTTTGTTCGATAAGGACTCTTTCCAGGAGACTTTGTCTGGATGGGCCAGAGGTGTTGTTGTCGGTAGAGCTCGTCTTGGTGGTATCCCAATTGGTGTTATTGGTGTGGAGACCAGAACTGTTGATAACTTGGTTCCTGCTGATCCAGCCAACCCTGATTCTACCGAGATGATGTTCCAGGAAGCTGGTCAGGTGTGGTATCCAAACTCTGCTTTCAAGACTGCCCAGGCCATTAACGACTTCAACCACGGTGAGCAGTTGCCATTGATGATCTTGGCCAACTGGAGAGGTTTCTCTGGTGGTCAGCGTGATATGTTCAACGAGGTTCTCAAGTACGGTTCTTACATTGTTGACGCTTTGGTTGACTTCAAGCAGCCAATCTTCACCTACATTCCTCCACACGGTGAGTTGAGAGGTGGTTCTTGGGTCGTTGTGGATCCAACCATCAACGCTGACATGATGGAAATGTACGCCGATGTTGATTCCAGAGCCGGTGTTTTGGAGCCTGAAGGTATGGTTGGTATCAAGTACAGAAGAGACAAGTTGTTGGCCACCATGGAGAGATTGGACCCTGAGTACCGCGAGTTGAAGACCAAGCTCAACAGCAAGCTCGAGGCTGATGAACACGCCAAGGTTGCCGCCAAGTTGAGTGCTCGTGAGAAGGTGTTGTTGCCTATCTACGCCCAGATTTCCGTCCAGTTCGCCGACTTGCACGACAGATCAGGAAGAATGTTGGCCAAGGGTGTTATCAGAAAAGAGATTGAATGGGTCGATGCTAGAAGATTCTTCTTCTGGCGTTTGCGCAGAAGATTGAACGAAGAGTACTTGTTGAAGATGATTGGCGAGTCGATCAAGAACGGCTCCCGTTTGGAGAAGGTGGCTCGTTTGAAGAGTTGGATGCCTACTGTTGACTTCGAAGACGACGAGGCCGTCAGCACGTTCATCGAGACCAACCACAGCAAGTTGCAAAAGAGAATTGACGAGTTGAAGAGCGAACAGAACCGCCACGACTTACATAAACTCTTTAGAAAGGATGGTGGTGCCGCCAGCGCCGCCATCAAGGATTTCTTGAGCGCCATGTCGGACTCCGACAGACAGGCGTTGCTCAGAAACCTTTAAGTTTATTCCTTATGACATAGATATAATATAATTAATACGAACAGCCCGGTGTAAGGTTTCGCATATTGCTATGTCTATACCTTTTCGCAGCCATTTGCAACCACCACAAGTCACCACCAGCAATGAGGTTCCCCCAGATTCTAGTGTCCTGGTTTCTAGCTACCCTTGTTGCCGCTTCGAATCGGCATCTTGTGGTGCTTAAAGCGTCCGAAACGATCGACTCGTTCATGAAATACGACCTTTCCATTCCCAGGGCTCATAGAGCAAGAGACTTCATTGGCAGGCAGTTTAAAATCGGCAATTTGCATGGTTTTGTGGGTAATTTCCTGTCGTCGGTGCTTGAGAGGCTCCAGCGGTGCCCTATGGTTGCTGAAGTTACTCCAGATATCGAGGTTCGGGCATTTGATGTGGTTGAACAGCAAAACCCTCCAACCCACTTATCCCACCTTTCTAGTAAAGATAAACGGCTTACGACTTATAGCCAGCAGCCGTATTATTACGACGACGAGGAAAGTGGCCAGAATGTGAACGTTTATATTATTGATCTGGGGATATCGCTTAAACATAGCGAGTTTGAAGGAAGAGCTGTTTTTGGTAAGGATTTCACCAACGAAGGCAGTGGAGATACCAATGGGCATGGAACCCATGTAGCTGGTATTGTGGGATCACGTACATACGGCGTGGCAAAGAAAGTGAAGCTTTTCGAAGTGAAAACTCTAGATAAAGAGGGCCAAGGTTCACTTAGTGGAATCCTAGGAGCCATGGAGTTTGTGGTTGCCCATCGCCAGAAATCCAGGGTGGCTGGAGTCGTGAACCTTTCCCTTGGCGCTATCAAGAATAGTCTTCTTAATCGGGCTGTGGACGCTGCTGCTGCTACTGGGTTAGTGGTGGTAGTAGCAGCTGGAAATACCAATGAAGACGCTTGCAGAACCTCGCCAGCCAGTGCTCGTGGTGCCATTACCGTTGGAGCCATGGACGAGTCTACAATGGCCATGGCAGACTTTCTGAACTGGGGCCCTTGTGTGGATATCTATGCTTCTGGCGTGGAAGTGTCTTCTGTGGATCCAGAAAGCAACGAGCCACAGATTCTTACTGGTACGTCTATGGCTGCACCGGCTGTAGCTGGAATGGCAGCTAATTTGTTATCTAGTGGTCTTTCGCCAGCCGAAATACGTCAAGAGCTTCTGCTGTTGGCAGTATCTGCCATGATTCCTCGTCTGTTAAAGGGTGGGTACAATAGAGTGTTGTATAATGGCCTTGATCCAGCAGAGAGTGAAAGTGATGAAGGTGAAGAGAGTTGGGAAAGTGATACTGATGACGAGGAGGAGGAAGATGAAAGTCGGTTCTGGAGAGGTCCCAGGCGCTGGTGGTGGGGCCGTGGACCACACAAGTCTGAAGCCAGCGGAGAGGATAAGGAGAGGAAAGGTGATGGAGCGTAGGTGGTGGTTTAGGTTATAGAGGAATAGAAGGGGCTGATTTGGAGGGCAGTAGAGGTTGGCAGGGAAGCAGTATCTTTAGAAGACCCATCTTATCATGACTGTTTGGGCATGGAAAAGCATCATCTTGTTGGTTAAGTGAAAAGGGTACTTGACATAATTTGCATTATAATAATGCCCAACTATTTTGGCCACATACTTAAATACATTGTAGCCCTTGATGAAGCTATCTAAAGCTGTTAGGTCAATCTGTAGCACGTACAGAACCATTAGGTTGTCCTCTGGCCAGGTCATTAGTCTTTGATGTAACACTTGCAAGGCTCTGGAGTGAATACAAATGTTAGAAAGCCATCAAAAGTAACCTGCTTTGGTTTAACACATGCCAGTGAGGTGGAGCGTGGGAAGCCTTGGTACTGGAAAGGGCCCCTATACTTATGCTAAGTATGCCCCGTTAACCTCAGTAAGTCTATAAACAACGACATCCAAGAATCCAAATAAAGGTGGAAGATACCACTAAAGGTATTTGGTATCCAATCACGGCATTCCAATCTTCTTTGTAGACATCTGGTTGTCCTTTTACGTTCCCTATTTCGGTTTGCAGCCATTCCAGTGAGGCCAGGGAAGGAGGACAAGAACCACATCCAAAATACACTTATGCTCGACTTAACCATCTATTTTGAATAATTTTCCATTAAAGATGTCTATGTTAACTTATAATCATACTTTATTTACCAAATTTCAAATTTCAGTATCTTCCATGATTCCACACTAAACACTCCATTTCTCACCATTCCAGTGAAATTACAGATCCAATGAAAATCCACAAAAAACCGAAAAAAATGAAAATACCCAAAATTAAACATAAACGACATTTCCAATTGAACAAACAAATCCCCCTTCCTCCTTCTTCCCCTACTCGCCCACTTCTTCGTTTCCCTGAACACCTCCTTCGTAATCTCGCCGTGCGGCTGAACCTGACAACTATATAAGGACGGCCAATTCCCACTTTTTCTCTTCTTCTTCTTTTTTCTTCTCCCTAACATTTCTTCATGGCAGGCAGGAAAAGAACCCAGAAAAAGAAAAACCCGTCGCCTAGTATGACCCACCTTTACCTCGTAGACTCTCCACTCTCGTTTCTAACAATCCAGGTCCTCTAGACGTGTCGCCAGGACATGATCCAGGAGCTGAGGGCAACCCGAAAAGTGGCGCCATGACGGCTCCACAAACAGCTGCCCCTTTTTCAGCTTTTCGAACTCCTTATCTTAATTCTAGTCACTGGGCTGGTGTTGAGGGTATGGGCCATGGCCCTGACCGTTTTTTTCGTGTTTATGGTGATGATAAGCTGTCGGCAAAGACAGACAACCTTCACGGTGGCGAGGCTACGGAACCTGGGGATCCATACCCAGCTTGGGCTCCCAGCGACCAGGTTCCTGTTTCTCGCAACAAGATTGGCGCCATCATCAGCCACTTGACTCAGGTGTTTGGATTCCAGGAGGATAACTCTAAGAACATATACCACTACTTAATGCGGATGCTTGACTCTAGAGCCTCTAGAATGGGGCCTTATAATGCCTTGCGTACGCTTCACGGTGATTATATTGGTGGACCCAACGCTAACTTCCGTAAATGGTACTTTGCCGCTCAAATGGATATCGACGACACTGACGGCTGGGCTAATGTTAAGAAGAACGGTACCATCCGGAGAAGCAAGGAAAAAGTCGCTACTTACGAAATTGCAGTTGAGCAGTGGTACAAGAATATGCTGCGTTTCTCTCCCATCGATTACGTTACCCAGATTTCGCTTTACTTGTTGTGTTGGGGCGAGGCAAATAACGTTCGCTTCATGCCTGAATGTCTTTGCTTTTTATTCAAATGCTGCAACGACTACTTCTATAGTCTTGACGATGTGACTGAGCATGTGGCTGAGGTTCCCTTTTTAGATCTCATCATCACGCCCATTTACAATACTTATAGAGCACAGTGTTATGATGTCAAGAATAATAGAATGTCAAGAAGCGATAAAGACCATTCTTCAATTATTGGGTATGATGATATGAATCAATTATTCTGGCATCGTGAAGGTATTGAACGAATTACATTGAGCGACCTGACTCCATTAATGTACTTGCACCGCCAGGCCCGTTACCGTCTACTTGGTGAGATAGATTGGAGTAAGGTATTCTATAAGACTTACTATGAAACTCGTTCTTGGCTCCATATCTTCACCGACTTTGATAGAGTTTTACTTATTCACTTTTGCGTGTTCTGGTACTACACCTCGTTCAACTCGAAACCTCTTTACACGTACAACTACTCTATCACCAGGGAAGAGAAGCCTCCTCCTCAAACGACTCTCACGGTGATGGCTTTAGCAGGAAGTTGGGCTTGTCTTATTTCGTTCGTTAGTGTTTTGCTCGAGTTGTCTTTTGTTCCTCGCAAATGGCCAGGCGCTCGTCCCGCTGGAAGACGTATAGTCTGGCTCGTGGTACTATTTATCATTAATACAGCTCCCACAGTTGCCTTGTTTTTCACATCCAGACTCAAGACAAGAAACACGTTGCTGATCGTCATCACATCACTTCAATTGGTCTTTTCTGTTGGAGTTGTTCTTTATCTAGTATTCAAGACCCATGCTAATCAGTTCGGAGCAAAACCCAACGGACGTGTTGCCCAAGCTTCAGAACTCTTCACGTCAAATTTCTACAAGCTAAAAGATTCTGATAAGTTAGCATCGTATGGATTGTGGGTGAGCGTCTTCACTTCAAAGTTTGTTGAATCCTACTTCTATTTGACGCTTTCCCTTAAAGATCCCCTTCGAGAGCTTTTCATAATGCGGGTTAACAGATGTGCTGGTGACGAATGGCTCGGGTCATGGCTATGCAATTTTCAACCACGAATCATTTTGATATTGATTGTTGTTCTTGACTTCATTCTTTTTTTCTTGGATACCTACTTGTGGTATGTCATTTGGAATACCGTTATCTCAGTTCTTCGTTCGTTTTACATCGGTGCTTCTATCTGGACCCCATGGAGAAATATCTTTTCACGACTTCCAAAAAGAATAGCGTCAAAGATCTTGGTGACTAACAATAATAACAGCAAACATAGCCAAAAGATCCAAGTTTCCAAGATTTGGAATTCCATTATCATCGCTATGTATAGGGAACACTTCTTGTCTATCGAACAGGTCCATCGTCTCCTCTACGAGATATCTTACTCCGAAGATAGCGGTAACACAATAATCATTCGGGAGCCTACATTTTTTGTTTCACAAGAAGACGATTCCCTCAGAAGCTCGCTATTCCAAGACAAGTCAGAAGCACAGCGAAGGATAACGTTCTTCGCTCAATCTTTGTCAACGCCTATGCCCGATATCAGAGAGGTTCGTGCAATGCCATCTTTTACAGTTCTAATCCCCCATTATACCGAGAAGATTATCTTACTGTTAAAGGAGATCATCAAGGAAGAGGACAGGTTCTCTCATGTTACAATGTTGGAGTATCTTAAGCAATTACACGCTTCTGAATGGGCAAACTTCGTTTGGGACACCAAACAAATGGCTGAAGAAGACGAATCCCAGGAGTCACTGTTGTCTTTAAGTCTTTCCGAAAAACATGATGATTTGCCTTACTTCTCAGTTGGTTTTAAAACAGCTACCCCCGAATACGTCACAAGAACGAGAATCTGGGCATCCTTGAGATCACAGACTCTCTATAGAACAGTATCCGGGTTTATGAATTACACACGAGCTCTTAAGCTTTTATCTGACTTGGAAATAAGCAAAGATCATTGCGCTGAATCCACCGACGAAGTGAAATTGAGAATGATAAATGACATGGCTACCCGGAAGTTTCGTATCATAGCTTCCATGCAGCGGTATAAGAAGTTTACTGCCGATGAAAAAGAAAGCACGGAATACTTAATGAGGGCATATCCTGAACTACAGATTGCTTATATTGACGAAGATCACGACGAGGAGAGCGGCGCTATTACTTACTATTCGGCTTTAGTTGACGGTACATGTCCTGTCCTGGAAAATGGAGACAGGATACCAGTCTACCGGATTAGACTTTCGGGTAATCCAATATTGGGAGATGGTAAGTCTGACAACCAGAACCATGCTCTAGTCTTTGCCAGAGGTGAGTACATCCAACTTATTGATGCTAACCAGGATAACTACATCGAGGAATGTCTCAAGATACGCAACACATTGGCTGAGTTTGAAGAGCAGCGAATTCCAGATCCTTATAGTAAGGACGCTCGAAGGTCCGTCAGTCAGAATCCTGTTGCAATTGTTGGTCTGAGGGAGTACATTTTTTCTGAAAATATTGGAATTCTTGGTGATGTTGCAGCTGGCAAAGAGCAGACTTTTGGAACCCTTTTCGCTAGAACTTTGTCCCAAATTGGTGGTAAACTTCATTATGGTCATCCTGATTTCCTTAACACAATCTTCATGAGCACTCGTGGAGGTGTTTCCAAGTCACAGAAAGGGTTACATTTAAATGAAGATATCTATGCTGGTATGAACGCAGTTCTCAGAGGTGGCAGGATCAAACACTGTGAGTATATTCAATGCGGAAAGGGAAGAGATCTTGGCTTCAGCTCCATCCTGAACTTTATTACTAAGATCGGAGCCGGTATGGGTGAGCAACTTCTTTCAAGAGAATATTTCTATTTGGGTACTCAGCTTCCACTTGACCGTTTTCTTTCCTTCTACTATGCTCATGCTGGATTCCACCTTAATAACGTCTTTATTGTTCTTTCAATTCAGTTATTCTTACTTGTGGGAATCAACATAGCGGCTTTGGCCAATGACTCGTCTATTTGTGAGTACGACAGACATAAGCCAATAACTGACCCGAGAAGACCGCATAACTGCCTCAACCTTGTCCCAATTATCCGTTGGCTTGAAAGATGCATCTATTCCATTTTTGTTGTCTTCATTATATCTTTTATTCCATTAGGAGTACAAGAAATCACAGAACGTGGATTCTACAAGTGTTTCGCCAGACTTGGTAAACACTTCATCTCGCTTTCGCCCTTGTTCGAAGTCTTCGTTTGCAAGATGTATGCTAAATCAATTATGGGTGATATAGCTGTTGGAGGAGCCCAGTATATTGCAACAGGGAGAGGGTTCGCCACCAAGAGGGAGACTTTCTCCAGCTTATTCACAAGATTTGCCAACGAGTCACTCAATTCTGGAGCATTTTCCCTACTTCTTGTCATATACATTTCAATCTCATGGTGGAAGTTTTCCTTCATCTATTTTTGGATGACCGTGTTTGGTTTGTTGATAAGTCCTTTCCTTTTCAATCCTAACCAATTCTCCAGGGCAGAGTTCTTTCTTGATTACGGCAATTATGTGAAATGGTTATTCAGCGGCAATACTACACCCAAAGACGAGTCATGGGTGAGACACACCAAGATTGCAAGAAGCAGGTTTACTGGATTGAAACTGAAACTTAGGTACGGTAATGACGATGTCAAATTCACAAGTGAGGTGAAACCAAAGAGACTCAACATAATTTTATTGAGCGTGTTACCTGAACTCTTCAGCTTAGCCTTTGTCGGATGTGCTTACTTATTCACGAACTCCCAAGCGGAAGCAAGAAATGCAATTCCTAGCTTAACGCTTTTCCGAATTCTCATCGTATCTGTCGCTCCAATTGTCGTTAACATTGCCATTTTACTCGTGTTCTTCGTGATATCAGTGATATTGGGTCCAATAATAAGCTTCTGTTTCAAAGGGTTCCCTAGCGTGATCGCCGCTGTTGCTCACGTACTTGCCTTCATAAACCAAATGTTCTTCGTGGAGTTGCTTTGGGTGTTACAGAACTTGGATATCCCGCGTACTTTACTTGGAATCGCTTGCATGATACTTCTCCAGAGAATTTTGCTTCGTCTTATCAATGCAATGATGCTCACAAGAGAGTTTAGGCACAGCAAATCTAACCAAGCGTGGTGGTCAGGAAAATGGGTAACGGCAGAATTAGGATGGTTGATGTTTACACAGCCGGTTCGTGAACTCATTTGCAAGATCAGCGAGCTCACTTACTTTACGGTTGATGTCATTGTGGGACATACCATATTCTACATCCAACTTCCTATAGTGTTTTGTCCCTTTGCCAACACATGGCATTCGTTTATGTTGTTGTGGGTGAAGCCCGGTTCGCAAATTCGGCGCCGACTCCTTTCAAAGAAGCAGAAGAGCAGACAAAGGATAGCCGTCTTTTGGAACGCAGTGCTCTTCTTTTTGATTCTTGTGTTCTTCCTTGCCTTAATCTTAGCCCCCATCATCACCAAGAAGGCATTCCATATAGATCTAGGTGACTTACTCCCAGACTTGTTGCAGCAGCTCAGACAGCCTGAAGTACTTAGATTCGGCAGGAAGGGCATGAACAGGATCCACTAACTTAGAAGTTGCTTTACCTTAATCGATACATCGTTGCCATAAGACTTCGCAGCGTCGACAACGTCGTTAATTAGCGAAGAAGATGTAAGCAGAATAACAAGGTCATATCTCTTGAAGTTTCTCATGTACTCGAGCTTGTTGATGATGTGCTGAACTGAAATGTCAGTCTTCTGTTTAAGGAAGTATGATGACGCCTCCAAGAAGAATTCAAAGAAGTCAGAATCCAACCCAGAGTACGAGAACATCTCGTCTAGCTGGAAGTTATCCAACTCAAGCACAACCTTATAGCCCTTATGCTTCCTTTCTGGACTCAATGAACTGAGTGACTTCAAATAATGCATGGTTGGAAGTTCACCAAACGAGACTGGCTTCCCTGGAGAACTATCCTTCTTTGTCTCCTTCTTCGTCTCCTTTCTATTCCCAAAGAGTTCATTTGCTATAGCGTCAACATTTGCTGATGTTGTTTGAGGAACTGTCCTCACAGGCTCTCCACTTATCTTCTGCTTGAACTCTTCAGGCAACTCATCAACCACTTCCACAGGAACCTTTTTTGGTCCTTCGTCAACTGTCTCTGGCTTGGCCTTCTTCGGCTCCAATTGGTCAAGTTCAGAGGCAGCAGCCTGGTTACCTGGATCCATTTCCAACGCTTCGTTAAACGCACGTTTCGCCATGACAACGTTTCCTGAGCCCTTGGCAGTCAATCCTTTCCGGTAAAGAAGCTTAACTTTGATCTTTTCAGCAGGGTTCAAACGCAATCCCACCTCTACGTCATTCGACGCTCTGATCCAGTCTCTCAAGTTGAGATGGCACTGGGCTCGGTTGGAGTAAAGAACAGCGTTCTCCTTATCCAAGGCAATGGCTTTGGAGTAAAGGTCGATGGCTTCCTGGTAACGCTTTTCAACAAACGCCTTATTACCTTGAGCCTTGAAGTCGTCCAGCGTCGGCATGAAGAATACCCAAGACCGTGAAGAGTGCGCAGTACTATCAAGGTTTCTTACTACTACTAGTGCGAGTAGGTATTGTGGATGCAAAAATCGAGATATGCCTTCGCAGGAACAGATTGAGGAAATTGATGCTATCAGGGCAATCTACCCGGAGAGTGTGAAGGAGCTCACGCCTCTGATATTCAATATTACTATTCCTGACCATGAGGACGTCATGGTGCAGATGAGCTTTCCAGATGAGTACCCTGACGAAAGACCGAATATCCTTCAGGTGAACACCACAGACGCCAGGAAGTACTTTGATAATGATTATATTGAGAAGAAGATTATGGAGTTGTTGGCGCAGACGTTTCGGCCTTCGGAAGTTGTGGTTTTTGAGCTCATTGGTGAGATAACTGCCTTCTTGGAGGAGTACCTTGAAGAGCATAAACAACAGATTGAAGAGCTAGCCAGTCAGCGTGAACAGCAGCAACAAAAAGCAAAGGCTTCACCTCAGCCAGCAGCTTCTACTCCAGCGGTTATCTCAAATAGCACTCAGCAAGATATAGATGTGTTTGAAGGATGGACCAGCTCGGATCCTATTCTTGATAGAGGATCTACGTTTATTGCCTATGCAAGGGAAGTTCACTCTGTTGAGGAAGCAAAGCACTACTTCAATCTTCTTACAACAGATCGTAAGATCGCCAAAGCTACACATAACATGAATTCGTGGAGAATCAAAGGTGAAAATGGCGTCACTTTCCAGGACTGTGACGACGATGGAGAAACAGCAGCTGGCAGCAGAATGCTACATCTTCTTACGGTATGTACAACGGGGTATTTTTCATGTTCTATTATACTAACTTACAGATTATGGATGCTTGGAATGTTATCGTGGTGGTGAGTCGGTGGTTTGGAGGAACCCATTTGGGGCCTGATAGGTTCAAACACATCAACTCTGCCACTAGAGATGCAATAGTGAAGGGAGGCTTTGAAACAGGCAAGCTGTCGAAGAAATAAGAAGTTTGGTTACGTCGTCTTTTTCTGCTTCTTGCTCTTCTTCGATGGTTTCCCTGATTGGCCCTCGGCCTTTCTCTTCTTGTCTTTCTTTGACTTACCCAGGATATCTTCAAGGAACTTATCGGCTTCCTTTTTGCTATCTTTCTTTGGTTCTGGTTCTTTCTTTGATGGCTTCTCTTCAACTTCAGGTTCTTGTTCAGCAGCGATTGACGCTATACTGCCGTAACCAACAGTGTTGACTTTGACGGCGCTTTTCATCTTCTGTTGCACCTGTCCACGGTTCGGAAGAAACCATTCAGAAGAGTCCTTGACTTTCTTGTATGTTGCAGGTTGGGCGGGCTCGGTGCCTTTGTTATCGGCACCTTTCATGAACTTCATGTTCAACACATTTTGGGAAAGGCCTGCCATTCTTGGTGGAGTTGGTGTTGATGCGATGCACCGTACTGTTTAGGAATCCATGTTAGTGGAAAGAGAGTCACGTGAGCACATTCGAAATATGCCTTTTCCACCACCAATATCCGTCCCAGGGTCGCCAAAGGGAAGGAGAATTTAAATCCAGCTTTAAGGTTTCCCATGATACTTTTAACGTTTGGTTAGCACCGTTGGTTGGATTGTCAATGTACTGACACCGTTCCAATGAGATGTGCACTATAAACAGCCCATACCGAAGCCATTTTACCAAAACGGTTCAAAACGATACAAAAGCACATTCTATGCCCCAAACCATCCTCCTTTTTTCCTTCGTCTTCCCCCTACTTCTTGCATTTGGTGTGGAGTGGTTGTGATATTCCTGCATTTGTGCTTGGGCCCATCGCTCTCATCGCTGAAAAACGCAGGCATCTCAAAAAAGGTAACCACCATCCAAACATGAAATCCGATTTCAAGCTTTCGAATTTGGTCGGAACGGTTTACAGGGAAGGCAATCTCGTCTTCACCGATGACGGAACCAAACTTATATCTCCTGTTGGCAACAGAGTCTCGTCCTTTGACTTGATCAACAGCAGATCTTTCACCTTCAACTACCAGCATCGCAAGAACATCGCCAGAATTGCATTGAATAAGCAGGGTACGTTGATGATCTCTGTGGACGAGGATGGCAGAGCGATTCTTGTGAACTTTGTTTCTCGTGTTGTTTTGCATCATTTCAACTTTAAGGGAACGGTTAGAGATATCAAGTTCAGTGACGATGGCCACTACTTCGCTGTGGCTGTTGATAGGTTTGTGCAACTATGGAAAACTCCAGATTTCACTGAAGATAGACAGTTTGCTCCGTTTGTCAGACACAGAAACTACGCTGCCCACTATAACGACGTGCTTTCCGTCACTTGGTCGCCAGATCTGCGATTCGTGCTTTCCACTTCCAAGGATCTTTCCGCTAGAGTGTTCTCTGTTGATAGCGAAGATAAAGCAGCTGCATCTGTTCTTCATGGCCACCGTGACTACGTTATCCTGGCTTTCTTCAATTCCACACAAGAGATCATCTACACTGTTTCTAAGGATGGTGCATTGAACCAGTTTGAATATGTCGAGGAAGACGAAAGTGAAAATGATATGGAGGATGAAGAAAATGGCAACAGGCTGGAAGAAAAGGAAGATTCAGGAAGATGGCGCATAACCTCGAAGAACTTCTTCCGTGTTGAAGGTAATGTGCGTTGCGCTGCCTTCCACGCTCCTTCCAACATGTTGGTTGTGGGATTCACCACAGGTGAGTTCCGTCTTTACGATCTTCCAGAGTTCTCTCTCATTCAGCTGTTGTCCATGGGTAAGAACGCAGTTGACACTGTTAGCATCAACAAGAGCGGTGAGTGGTTTGCTTTTGGTTCTTCTAAGGCTGGTCAGCTTCTTGTTTACGAATGGCAGAGTGAGTCTTATATTCTCAAGCAGCAGGGCCACTTTGACGCTATGAACTGTTTGTGTTACTCTCCTGACGGTTCAAGAGTTGTTACTGCTTCTGATGATGGTAAGATCAAAGTGTGGGATATCAACTCTGGTTTCTGTCTTATGACTTTCACTGAACATATTGGCGGTGTCACTGCTGTCAGCTTTGCAAAGAAGGGTCAAGTGATGTTCTCTGCTTCGCTAGACGGTACTGTGAGAGCATGGGATTTGATCAGATTCCGTAACTTCAGAACCTTTACTGCCCCAGAAAGAGTTCAATTTACTAGTTTGGCTGTTGACCCAAGTGGAGAGGTTGTCGTTGCTGGATCTCAAGAAGAGTTTGAAATCTTCGTATGGTCTGTTCAAACAGGTGCTCTTCTAGACTCTTTGGCTGGCCACGAGGGTCCTATTTCTTGTCTTGCATTTGGTGCCGAAGGCTCAGTTTTGGCATCGAGTTCATGGGACAAGACAATCAGAGTCTGGAGTATCTTCAGCAGGACCCAACTTTCAGAACCCATTGAGATGGAGCACGATGTTTTGGCATTGGCCATGAGACCAGACGCCAAGGAAGTGGCTGTCAGTACCCTTAATGGCTACATTCTTACGCATGACGTTGAACTGACAGACCAGACACATTCGCTTGATATCAGAAAAGATGTCTTTGCCGGACGTCACATGAATGACCGTTTTGAGCTGAAGAACAGTTCCAGAGCGAAGAACTTCACCACCATTGCATACTCTTTCGACGGCCAGGCCTTGGTCGCTGGAGGAAACAACAACAGCATTTGTCTTTATGATATTGCCGACGAGGTGTTATTGAAACGTTTCGTTGTGTCTGAGAACATGTCGCTTGATGGAACACTCACCCAGCTTAACAGTTCTAAGATCACTGACGCTGGTACTTCCATTGATGCCGTTGACGTCGCTGGTGAGAACTCAGACAGAGAAGACCGTATTGATACGTCGTTGCCTGGATCTCACCGTGGTGATCCTGGAGCCAGAAACTTGCGTCCACAAGTTCGTGTTACTGGTGTTCAGTTTTCGCCTACTGCTGGCTCTTTCGGTGCTGCTACTACCGAAGGATTACTTGTCTACAGCACAGACCACACTGTTGAATTTGATCCTTTCGATTTAGACATGGATGTTACGTATGCCAATGTTGTGGAGAGCATTGACGAGAAAGAATGGCTCCATGCGCTTATCATGGCATTCCGTTTGAACGAGCACCATTTGATTGAGCGCACGCTTGAGCTGGTTCCCGTCAAGGATATCCGTTTGGTATGCGCTGACTTGCCACATATCTACGTTGGCAGACTCTTAGAGCATCTTGGGCGTAAGATGAATTCTGGCGAAGGAGCACAGCATATTGAGTTTAACCTTATTTGGGTGAAGGCCATTCTTGACAGCCACGGACAGCATATCAGCGCCAAGAAGGCCGAATTCGTGCTGGGCATTCGTCTCGTACAAAGATTTTTGAGCAGAGTTGCCAAAGATGTGGTGAATGTCAGCAAAAAGTCCGGATACCTCTATGGATACTTGAAAGAGAACAAGCAAGAGGAGGAAGAAGCCGAAGATGAGCTTGATATGGACGAAATCAAAGTTGACGAAAGCGAAGGCGAGGAAGAAGAAGATGATGATGACGATATGGAAGAGGAAGAAGAAGAATGGCAAGGGTTCCAAGGAAAGTAACAAAACCCACCCAACTACATAGCATAATAGAGTCGCATAGATACGAGTTAGATATGCGAGAAATACGACGCAAAAACATGCGATGTACAGAGCCGCGTTTTGCAACCATTCCAGGGAATGGAAGGCGAGGGTAGTAAGGATGGAGCTAGGGAGGATGGAGAGAAGGGAAGTGTAGAGGCAGAGAGTACCTGGAAGCCTCGGAAGTGGAAGTTCAAGAAAAGTCTGTTTTGTGGGATGATTTGACGTGCGGGAGGTAAACCGTCGTCTAAGTCCATGTTACATTTTCATGGCCAGGTTGCAACAACGTTCTTGTAATAAATTACGCCACCTGGGCACCATTAGGCAGAAAGCCTTTACTTAGACGAAGTGGGCGTCCGTTCAGGGGCACCTGAAACTGAAACAAGCTTTGGCAGCCAGGACTATCTCTTTTGAGAAACTCTTCATGCAAGTCCCAACAGGGCCCCAGTTACAAAGCGAAGACCAGGGAAGTAAGAGGGAAGAAGAAAAAAGAAGGCAAGGATCGATCAAAAAATAAAACCAAAATATCCAAAACATCCAAAATTCCCAAAAAAAATTTCCATTCCTTTTCTTGTCCTTCGGCTTTTTGTTTGTTCAATTTTTCCATTTCTCGCCCAACCGACGCAGGCGAAAAACCCTTTGGGTTGCTGAAACAAGGTGAGGCTCTGTTCCAGCGCGCACCCCCACGCCCCATCCCAACTTAACCAAACCAGCAAAACCCAGCAGGGAGAGAAAATTTTGGACGTAGAAAGGCAAAGGAAGCATCATCTTTCCATTTCATAGTAAAACATCTTCTTTTTTTTCTTCTCTGCCGGAAAAAAACCTCCAAATCCAGGGCCTTGATGGAGCCCTTGTTGGGTGCAAAATTGCCGCTCCACAGGTCCCCTTTAGGGCGACCCCACAGACAAGGCACAAACAGGGAGAGATAAAGACAACGGGGAGGAGAGAAAGGGGGAAGAAGAAGAAGAAGAAGGAAGAAGAAGGAGGAAGCGTAGAAAGTGAAGAAAGTGTACTTTTTTTTTTCCAGTATTCACCAACAGCCACCAGTAATTGTCATCGCAGGCAGATCTCGTCGTCGGTGGCTCACCTCACTCCGGGCCGGTCTGGTGATGCAGCCAGCCCCACAGTGACAGCCTTACAAGAAAAACACAAAGAAGGAGAAGAAGGAAAGGAAGTAGAAGACGAATAAGATAGAGAAATAAAGAAAACTTAAAAGTAAGGAAGCCCCTTTTATAAACCTAAAATATCTTCTTATACTTTCCCCTTGTTCTTCACTGCCAGTTCCACCTTCGGTACTACCTGCCTGCCCCCACCTACCTCACCTGGTCCTACACAGTCACCTAGTTCCAAGTTTCCACCTACCACACTTCTTTCCCCCAGATGCCCCGTGACATCCACAACCACTTGCTTTTTGAAGTGGCCACTGAGGTCGCCCATAAGGTGGGCGGCATCTACCTGGTTTTGAAACTGAAGGCGCCAATCACCGTTGCTGAATACAGAGAGAGGTACACGTTGATCGGGCCTTTGCACTATGAGCTGGCCCAGATCGAGGTCGAGGAGATCCCATTGAAGGATCCGGCTGTCAAGACGGCCTTGGACTCCATGAGTGAAAGAGGCATTCGCTGGGTATACGGTCGTTGGTTGATCGAGGGTGCTCCCAGGGTTTTGCTTTTCGATATCCACCTGGCTCTGCTGATGCTTAACGAGTGGAAAGCTGACTTGTGGACGTCCGCTGGCATTCCTACGCCTGACCATGACCACGAGACAAACGACGCTATTCTCTTGGGTTACATTGTCGCTTGGTTTTTGGGCGAGTTGGTCTATAACGATAGGGAGAGAGCCGTTATCTGCCATTGTCACGAATGGTTGGCCGGTGTGGCCTTGCCCCTTTGCAGAAAGCGTCGTATTGACGTGACCACCATCTTTACCACCCACGCTACTTTGCTTGGTAGGTACCTCTGTGCTGGTCTGACGGACTTTTACAACAACTTGAAGCATTTCGACGTGGACGCAGAGGCTGGCAAGAGAGGTATCTACCACCGTTACTGTATTGAACGTAGTGCCACCCACCTGGCTGATGTGTTTACGACCGTGTCTCATATCACTGCCTACGAGCTGGAGCATCTTTTGAAACGTAAACCAGACGGTGTTTTGCCTAACGGTTTGAATGTGGTGAAATTCCAAGCCGTGCATGAGTTCCAGAACCTTCACGCTGTCAAGAAGGATAAGATCCATGAGTTTGTGAAAGGCCATTTCTACGGAAACTACGACTTTGACCTCGACAACACTTTATACTTCTTCATTGCCGGCAGATACGAGTTCCGTAATAAGGGTGCCGATTTCTTCATTGAATCCTTGGCTCGTTTGAACTATCGTTTGAAACAGGCGGGCTCTAAGATGACCGTTGTCGCTTTCATTATCATGCCTGGTAAGATCAATTCCTATACCGTTGAAACCTTGAAGGGTCAGGCTGTTGTGAAGTCATTGGAATCCACCATTTCCGAGGTCCAGAAGAAGATCGGTGATCGTCTTTTTGAACATTGCGCTCGTTTCCCCAACTCCAACAACGTCTCCAACACCAATGGCCAAGAAGTGCCATCAATTGACGACCTCATCAAGCCTGCCGACCGTGTGCTCTTGAAAAGACGTATTTTTGCTTTGAAGCGTGATGGTCTTCCTCCAATCGTTACCCACAACATGACCGATGACGCCACGGATCCGATTTTGAACCAAATTCGTCGTGTCCAGCTCTTCAACAAGCCTGAAGACAGAGTCAAGATCATTTTCCACCCAGAATTCCTCAACGCCAACAACCCAATTTTGTCCCTAGACTATGAAGAGTTTGTCCGTGGTTGCCACTTGGGTGTTTTCCCATCGTACTACGAACCATGGGGTTACACTCCAGCTGAATGTACTGTCATGGGTGTTCCTTCCATCACCACCAACTTGTCTGGATTTGGCTGTTACATGGAAGACCTCATTGAAAACACCAGCGACTACGGCATTTACATTGTTGACAGAAGACAAAAGTCTGTAGATGACTCCATCAACCAGCTTGTCGACTACATGTTTGATTTCACCGAGAAGACCAGAAGACAGAGAATTAACCAGAGAAACAGAACCGAACGTTTATCTGACTTGTTGGACTGGAAGCGTATGGGTCTCGAGTACATCAAGGCTAGACAACTCTCGTTGAAGAGAGCCTACCCAGATAAGTTCAAGAACGGTGCCAACCCATTCCAGAACCAGTCGAACCTAAAGTTGACTCGTCCATTGTCCGTTCCAGGTTCTCCACGCTCGAAGGTTGGTATCATGACTCCTGGCGACTTGGGTTCTTTACAAGACGCTGCCCAGGCGCTCAACACAGAAGACTATGTCAGCTTCAAGTTGGGTGAAAACGGCGACGACGACGATGAAGACGCTCACTATCCATTGACATTGAGAGGCCTGTCTGCGCCCCCACAAGACGAGTAGACCAAACGTACCATGTCATTCTCAAAATTTTCCCTGACATTGAATAAATACACTGTTTGTCTAGCTTCCTTCTCTACTTGGTTTGCAGCCATTTCGCAAGTCACTGGGCGTGCGCGAACCACAAGATCTAAGCACATTATCGTAGCATCAACTTCCACTTCCAACAACCAAAATGGTATGTCCACGCTTTGACCCCCTACATGACCAATACTAACGCCAGTTACCTTTATTCATGCTCACGAGCGTGAAGAATCAAGAGATTCTTGTCGAATTGAAAAACGGCGAGACCGTATACGGCAAATTGACCGATTGCGACTCGTGGATGAACTTGACGCTTTCTGAAGTGGTTGTTAACTACAACAAGGGCGAAAAGTTCAACAAACTCAACAACATTTACATAAGAGGAAGCCACATCAAGTTCCTCCGGTTGCCAGACCTGGTATGTATCGAAAAAGAGCCTTTTATCACCAACCTTATACTAACATTTAGGTCATGGACCACGCCAAAGAACAGACTTTGTTGAGCCAGGAACAAAGAAACAGAAACCAAAAGAGAAAGGGTGGATTCCAAAACAGAAAGTTCAACGACAACAACCGTGACCGTGAGGGAAGAGGCGGTTACGGTGGCCGTGGAGGCCATGGTGGAAGACGCAACTTCAACCACAACCACAACAATAACCAGCACCAAACCCAGGGCACCTCTGCCTAGACATTTTATTGACGATGCAACGAACGTGCTTCATTTTTTTTTTCCTTTTTTTGGATGCCATGTCTCCCATATCCTTTTCATTCACTAGTCCTCTAGTGCTGTATAATAATAGACTCCATTGGCAGGCCGCGACCGTCCTTTTTGCACCCATTTCACCAAAACTCTGGATACTACGATAATCTCTGCTTTACTCTTGCTATGTTCCATTTCGATCCAAACCGTAAACGATTTACCTATTCTAGAAAGCGTCGACACACTGGTCGTCTTGAAAAAAGACCTGGCAGAGTCAGACGAGGCATGTTCAAGGGTTCGGTAGATACTCGCTGGTTGAGGTGCTACCGTCTGAAATGCCGCCTTCTGCGGTCTCCAAAGTGCCCTTGGTGTGCTTCCTTCTCGTATGTGCCTTCAAGGCTCAAAAACGAGTATCGTCCAAGGTCCAAGACGTCAGCTATAGACAATAAGTTGGGAAGCTTGATGAAAGACCTTCAAGAAGCGCAAGAAGATAGCTTCTACGACTCATTGAGTGATATTCCATCGATGGATGGAAGCACGACTTCCAAGACAGGAAGCGTGGCGACCGTTGCTTCACATACACCTGCTTTCGTGACCAGAGCCAAGGAACAGTTCTTTAGATTAACGGCTCGTCTTTGGGGGCCTGCAACAGAAGAAAAGAAAACGAATGAAGCTGCTTTGGCGCCTAGAGCAATGAGCCAACCAGTTGTCAGCTTCGCCAGCGAAAGAGTCGTTCCACGACTTAGACGGTCCAAAAGAAAGGCACACAGGAAGAGGGTTGTCTCCAACCCTCCATTGAAGACGAAAAGGGTCGCTTATCGGTAGCTTTCTGCTACTCAACACCTGTGTTGAAGATGCTACCACCAAACATTAAAGAATTACGCCCATGAGACACTCCAACTCTTCAAATCGTCACGGTATGCCTCCTCACCCACAAGTCCACTAGAGTCACGCTCTTTCGAGGTGTCTGTCTTCAAAAGCTTACCCAAGTCTTTGTAAATGGGCAAGCCTTCACGCCAGTCGTCGTCGTTGCCAGCCTTAAATATATGCTCAACCACCTTTTCAGGTGGGTATTTGAGCATTTCTTGCATTTCAGGGTCCCATGCGGACTCTAACACATTCTTATAAAGCCCACTAACAATTGGATCCATAATGATATTATCGTAGGTTTGCCTTGGGTTGCCCTTTTGGTTAAGCGATTCCTTCTTCTGTTCATTAGGCGTTTCCTTGCCTGAATCTCTCTTTGATGAAGTGCCTCGCAGGTCTTCATCACTAGACTGTTGCTGAGACCCCTGGGAGCTTTGAGAGTTGATCACTCCATCAATTCCACCAAGCACAGCCTTTCTCAGGAACTGTGGAACCTTAAAGCTCGAGTCGCTGCCCTTCTGGCCAAGCAGCTGGCTTGTACTGGAACCCGAGTTTGCAGTGTGATGCTGATCATCAATCTGAAGCTGGGTACTGAATTCAAAGTCCGAGGGAAGCTCCTTCAAGCCCACGCTGAAGCTCAAGATGGAGTTCACCCTAGAGTCCTGAAGCAAGTACTTGGCAGTGACTGGGCCTGAAAAGTTCAAGTATTCCGCCAAGTTAAGCTCCACTCTACCCAATTCCGTCCCGTTCTCAAACTTGGACGTCTTCTCCCCCATGTAATGTACTCGAAGCAAGAGAAACTTATCACCAATCATGTTCTCCTTCTTCTTGTATGGGAACCGCAAGTTACACGAAACATGATAGTTGAACTGACACTTGAAGCTGTGAATCTTCCGCTTGGACGTTCTCACATGGATATGTCCCGATGTCGACGACACAGACCGTGATTCCGGGTCATTAGCCGAGTCATCTCCCTTCCCCACTGGTTTCCACAGAGAAAGGGCAGCACGGAGCCCCAGCTTGGAGTCCTGGACAAAAACTTCCACATAGCAGTAGCCAGTGGTATGCGGGATATTTGAGAGCTCTTTGATGGAAAAATCAAGCTTGAACTTGGGCTTCTTGGAAGAAAACATGGTGGTAGATGGCAACTTCGGAACCAGTACTTGTTTTCGCAACCATCACGCAGCAGTGCAGGCCAAGGCCAGTAGAAGAGATGGAGTGTTACAGAGACGGATAAGAAAGAGGTATTATTGGTTGGGGAGAGTAAGATAGACTTTTAGTTTTTTGATGTTGTGGCGGTTTTATTGGTTTTTTGTCTTTTTTGGGGTGGTTTTGGGGAGGTTTTGGGGGAATACAATGGAGGCTGTTGTGGCTGGGTGTAGCAAGAATGCTCATTGTTGATACTTGTGTAACTATTGGAAATACACTATTTTTTTTCTTGGGGTGAGTGAAGTTTGTCTTTTTGGGTTGGTTGGGTTGGCTTTAAAAATGAAAGAGCTGTTTTTATGGGATTTCTGGTTAGTGATGCCTTGAGTTGGTGTTGGATGGATAGCTAGAGCTAAACAACCCGGTTAGGGATGTTTGGAAAACCCAGATTGTGTATTTAGGCTTTAGGAGCACAAAATAGGTTAATTGTGTGCGCCGAAAGCTTAGTACGCTGGTACATCTTCTTAGGAGTTTCAGGTCGTGTTTCATAGAACCATGGCATAACGGAATGGAGAGTAGAGAATCAACCTCTTTCAGAAAACCCACGGGCACGTATTCTTCTTCCGCCGTCATTAGGCTAATCCCAGGCGAAGGTAAAGCCTATTACATAAATCAATCTTGATGGCAACAAACCGAGTTAATTCTTGCTTGGAAGCGAGCATTCCGAGCTTGCTTCAGCCAGGTATTGAGGAGGAGGAACAGATTTCTCGACGCCACAGTTGTCGACGGCAATTGCAATTGGTAAGATGATCGATAACTCTATAGTACGTCCCAGATTCACTGCAAACTCAAAATGGCAGAATAGCTTGTACGTCCTCGAAACCTCGTTAGTAAAAAACGTTGGTCCCAAGTCGGGTATTTGGCAGTCAAGGAAAGGAGACAAAATCTTACACGTATTAGAATCTGAATCAGGCCAAATCCAGCACTCCTCCGAACCTTTTCCGCCGTAAATCTTGTCAATGAGAGTTTGCGTTAGGCGTCTAGAAGCGGGAAAGTTTGATGGACTTCCTGTGACAAGTTCTTCAATCTGAACAAGTACACTGACAGGGTTCTTGTTGATGCAATCCCAAGAGTAAGGCGTGTCTGGGATGGTATTAAAATGAAGCCATATATCAAAAGCTTTGAAAAGTTTCATCCCAGGGACAAGAATGTATCCTAAGCGGTCGTCGAATTGATAGTGAAACTGCCGCAGAGCTCTTAAAAGCCAGCCTTCGATGTCTTTCTGGGGGCACACTGCTGCTGTATTCGATGTGAGTGAATGCCCAAGAAGACGTGGAGGAAACACAAAATCAAACCCTTTTGAATTGAGTCTTAAAAAGAGCTTCCCACGGGTTCTTAAGAGCCCATTATCGTAGTAAGGACCCCATCTATTTGTCAATGTCACCTCACAAACAACACTGGCTTGTTCGGTTGGCACAGTTGAATAACGCCCAAAACCGTCTAGTCCATATTTCAGGATGACGAGTGAGAGGGACTTCTGATCCACTTCATCCAAATTTTTTGAGACTAACATGTCTATAACTGAAACCATAAACGTCCCATTTTTGGCCTGTGATGTAGAAGTCATGTGTGTCATATATTGGTGCTTGGCCTGGCATGCCTTTTCAAACACAGCTCGAGCATTAGCAAACAGGTCGTATTCCCGCTCTGGTAGATACTGGATATCTACTGCGTTGAAGGTAGGCTTCTCATAGCCCCCAAGTATTGAATCAGTTTGGTCGCATCCTTCACGGGTAGATTTTGGTGCCACCACTATGATCTCTATGCTGTCGGTCACATAAACTGGAGTGCCATTAATTTGAAGATGAATCCCAATCTGAACGGCATAGCTTCTCATGGACTGACTAGCAAAGAATGTAGGTCCGAGCTGTGGAATAGTGAAATCATACAACGAATCGGGTAGCCTTACATGGTTGACAGCACCAGAAAGGGCTTGCGCAAGCGGTTTACTCCATTCACATAAGCAATTCTTTTGTAGAACCTTCTTGTGGTATACATGATTGTCAAATGAAATGCCCTCTGTTTTTGAAAACTTTATAGATGTTGTTAGCTCCCAAATCTTGATGTCGACGGCAGTGATGAATGCCTCAACAGTCATGCGGGCTAACTTCCCAAATCGCTTACATGTGATTAATAGCCGGATGTAATCACAAAACTGGGTACCTGGTTGAACCAAAGTCTGAGGGATTGGACCCCAGCCCTCACATGGCATAAGAATAGGCAAGACCTCAAAACCTAGGTCTCTTAATTTATATGTGAGCTGCAGCTGGTTCAAAGACTGCAAGGAATTTAAAAGCGGTGTCAGTGGGACTTCATAGACAAACTTTTGACCCTTGTAATGCAACCAATACTTGCCATACGCAATATGGCCTTGTTCGTCATAGCAAGTGTCTTCCTCGGAACAGTAGATGATAAATTTTTCCTTGGGCAAAGGCCACCGGCCAATTGACATGTAGCACGGTTCGCTTGAACGAACAAGACGATCAACCGTATTGCTATATTTGTATTCTAGGCATATTTGTGCCACGGAGATAAGTGTATCGGCTGCTCTGAAGGTCCGAATTGAAAGGGCACCTTGGCGTGATATCGTCTTGGAAACTGCCTCTGGAAGGTCTTTTCCAATGCTGAAGGAACCACCTGGACCTTCCTTAAAGCAGAAGATGATCTCTGATGCTACCATGGTGGAGGCAAAGACAGGGGGTGCGCTGAATCTGTGGAGAAAGAAACCACGAGACCTGGTTAGGTAGAAGGAGATGAAAGACTCAACATCAACGAGCAGTCTTTAAATGGACCTCAAGAGCTGAAGACAACTTCACCGAGCATGACCTGGAGAAGCCTATAAAGGAAAGTAGAATCTGGATACTGAGCGGCGTTTGCAATAACAGAAATTGCTCTACCTTGAAAGGGAAAGTCCACCATATCTTGATAATATGAGACACGTGGTGTTCATGAAAATTGCATTCAAAGCGTACACTATTTGACTGAGTGGGGCCACACCATGGTGAAATGACAATTCCATAAGGATATGGTGGAAGGCTTGGGGCTACTTTCTCCTCTTTGTTATCGAAGATGCACACATTATCGCGTGTAGATATTATGACAATGAACAGTGCTACAAACCAGTTGTAGGATGTGAAATATGCTTGAGTCTTGAAGGAAAAGTATAAAATACCATTGCCGGGAAGTCTAACTTGAGTTTCTGTTCAACTCTTCTCTTCTTCGGGCTCTGGTAATAAAGGTTTAACAGTTCGTAATGGCCATAGTTGTGGTCCTGACTGTACCTCATAATCGGATCGTCAAGGACTTGCGTAACGCTATACCTACGAACTAAAGAGGTGTTTTCAACTCACTCATGTGGTTCCATGTCCATTTCAAGGTCATATTAAGAGTATATAGCTGGCATTTCTGAGGATCGTACCTTGCACAGAGGGCTTGTTGGATAACACTACAGTGAGCACGCATAGGACAAAGAGTCTGTCCTAGCGATTCATAACACAGCTTGCCAAACTATGCTATCTTTAATACTATTACAATGTCAGCATTAGGTTGCTTGTAGGAAAGAGGTGGACAATTTGGTCAAAGCACAAAAAGCTTCAGGTGTGGAGCTTGAACCATGGAGACAGCCAACCTAACTCTAAACAAGGTCTCAATTCAATCAGAAAGGCCTTAATTAGTCTATTTTCAACCTCTGAAGTACAATTCAGCCCTAGTTTTCCAATCCTTTCTTTGGCTAGCCCTGGATCAAGAGCCATCCGTTTCTGGTAACTATGAGGCTTACATAGGCTAGAGTTCTAATTCAACGGGTACCCGTCCAGGGAGCTACCAAAGGCCCCAGCTAATCGGATTGTAATACATAGATCAATTGAGGTCTTCCATGGCTACAGACCCATCTTCTGGTCAGCTTTTGGGCCTTCGTTCCCCGCGTCCTTGCCCACTATATAAGTAGCATTTTGCAGCCATTCTCAATCTCACTCTTACCAACTACTTCACCAAACACCCACCACCAAGCAATGTCTTCTTATGAAAAGGTCCCTACTGGAGCTCAAACTCCAGCTATTGGCGCCGACGAAGAAGCATCTTTTGGTATGTATAACCCACCCAAGAAGGCTAACGTTTACTGTCTTCCAGAGCACTCTTGGTCAATCTATGAGGAGAGTCAAGCCAAAGAAGCATCCGTGGATCACTACCGTTATTGGAAAAGAATATTTTCCGTCTGCTCTATAATAATCCTCTTCGGCGGCTTAATTAACCATTTCCGGATCTCACTGCTTAGGTCCAGTTTGCAAGCCGAGTTCACCACCTTCAAGGAACTGACGGTGCCCCAGTATTGTTTCGAAGCTGGTGTCGATGGCGCTACCTGTTATGAAGAGTTGACTAAAGCCCAGAGCTTTGTGGAAGCTGTTGTTTGCGAAGTGATGAACGATGGATACTACTTCGGCCGTGAACTTTGCAACACTGTTCACGTTCAGCTTGACTGTTGGGTGCAAGTGGCCATGAATGGATACAATGCTGATAGCACCAGGGAAAGACCAGATGTCAATCCAGCTGGCTGGAGGGAAAGAACTCCAGCCTTTTTGGTCCATTTCTATCAAGCTGTGATTTTAAATGAGAAACTAATTTATCATAGGTTCATCAGGAAATTACTCATGGTGGTCTCCTTGGCTTGTACCTTTTGCAGTTTTGTATTGGCCATACTTTTCATCGTTCAATTTGTCAAGGAAATAAACCATGTGTCGCTGTGCAAACAAGAGGACCAGGAGCCTGATCAGCGGTGATAAGGGAGCTTTTAGTCCTCCATTTCATTTGGTTAGAGTAACATGTTTGTCTTTTAAGCTATTGTAGGTTTTGTAGAGCAGTTGGAGTTGTCACGGCCGTTCTTCAAGGTATCCAGTCCACTGAAGGTCCACTACGCATGTCTCTTCCCAATACTCTTCAATACCAGGTGTTTTTGCTTCCAGCACATGCCGAGATGTCTCTCTCGGTAGATTTGGCTCTCCGTCGTTGGACCTCTTGATGAATACATGTTTAGTAATGGAGCCCTTCCCAGAAGCATCCTTTCAACCATTCTCCCAATCCATCCTCATATATTTCAAGTAAGACCAAAATCAGGCTTAGACACCCTTCAAATGTGCTTTGGGCTGGCGAATACTTGTCGTTGGACTGTAAATCCGAAGTCTAGAAGTGCCAGGGCAGTCTATTCATACTAAGTATCCAGACATCATCCAACCAGCCAAGCTCTGGGGTACTTCAAAGGTACTCTTTTCTAATAAAATACCCTACTTAAGACATCATTGACTTCTAAGAATCTTTCCAACCGTAGTGGCCAGCTTCCCATTGACAGTCTATTGAGACACCATACAAGCCCATACCTAACACAGCCTGTAACCTCTCAAGCAACCATCACTCAAACCATCCAATTAGCTTCTTTTCGTTCTGTTTCCAAACAAATCTTTTCATCATCACCTCCTTCATTTCCAAACATCACTTCAAAATCTCCTTCCATCCCTCCACCACCTATCCCTCCCCAGTCCACGTTTGCAGCCATTCCTCAGTAAACGCGAGAACCTGCCAAACTTACCAGAACCTAGCAATAAACAAGAACCCCAACTTCCACCCACGAAAACCCAAAACTTCCAAAAAAAAGACCCTTCCCCTCCTTAACCACCCCAGCACTATATAAACCAGCCAATTTCCTCCTTCTTTTCTTCGTTTTTCCCCCAGCCCAGCGTACCCTTCCCATCTTGGTATGTGCCTGGAATGTAACGCCGTGCACCCACACACCCCAGATACGCACGAGAGAAGAAAACACCATCATCGTCAAGAAAAACGGCACCTCCAGCAATACCAAACGCACTTTACTGCAATTCGTGAAATTCCCTGCTTTACTGGTTTTTAGGTACTTGAAATTTACATATTCACATGTTGGCAGACCCGGAAAGGTCGAACTACACGCCGGCGGCGTCGCTTAAGCTGCTGAAGTACGCGTTTATGCTGATGCTATTACTACGAGTGCTTAATCTCGAGGATGAACAGGCCATGGTGGGCGCTTCGGCGGCTGCTAAGGCGAAATTGGACGAGGCAGAACCTCCAGAGGTGCTTCCTCAGATCACAGTGCCGCTGACGTTGTGGCTTCAGGAGGATGTGGTGTTGGCAGAACTGAAAATTAAGGTGGCATTGCTACGGGAGATCAATAGCATGCTCCAGAAGAACGTGCTGACTTTGCAGTCGGAGGAGTTGTTCTTGCTAGACGATACGACGCTCATGTACTATGAAAAGCTCTTGACGGCGTATGACTTTTTGAAGTTTAACCGTCCGGCTCCACTGTTTGACGCTTTAAGGGAGGACGACGAGTATGAGGAGTACGATGACGCTTCGTCTGTGTCGGTGTACCCATCACATCCAGATTCGATTCTGCGGCGGACCTCTGCTTCTGAGCTAGCCAGACCAGGCTCTTCAGCTAGACTGTTGAGCTCAGGTAGCTACAAGTCTCGAATGTCTACGCTTTCGAGAGATTTCAGAAAACTCTCGTTTCTCGGGCTTAATGGCCACCCAGAGCTGCCCAGTCACGAAAAAGAAGATGTTTCTCCCCCACTGCCCATTCTGCCTTTATCGGCTCCACAAAGATCATTCCTGGCATCGACATTCCAGCCAGCCTCCCTGCTGCATCCTCACAGAGACCAACTCAATGCTCTCTTGTCAAAGCTGAAGTTCTATAATAAGTTGCGTAGACGTGACTCTGCTGCATCTTATTCCAGTGCCCTATCAACACCTACCAGCATGACAAGCAATACGAGCGCCTCCTCGGTCCGCAGGAAATCTTCACAAGGCTTCACTGAAAAGCAACCGAAGAAAAGACTAAGTGATGCTCAGAAGCAAGAAAACCAGAGAAGCAAACTAGAATACTACGTCCAAGTACGTGAACTCGCCGAGAACACCAAAATTCTCGTGAGTTTCCTTGGGAAACCAGGGTCTAGAGCATCGCTAGTACGTCTCATGGACTTTGTGAAGAATAACGTATTCAGGTTGGTGCTTATCGATATCTCGTCAATGATCGTGGAGTACGCCCACCTCAAGGCAAGCCGCGTAATCTAATTCATTTCTACGTCTAACTATCTAGACGCTCTACACTTCCATATGACTGATGATTGTATTATATGTAATGGCTAATATACAGAGGACGATAAACGTCTACTTACAAGTGGAAAGCATTTGAGAAATGACACTAAGAAGCTGGTCATTCTCGCAGGCAGCAGCAACACGCTCCTTGTCGTTAAGCTGTTTGTTGACCTGATTTTCAGACTGATGAGTTCCTTCCTTGATCAAAATCCTGATTCTGAATCTAGGAGGAAGACATCTTTCCAAACGGACTCTGATGCCGAGCCCGATCAACGTTGCCAAAGAGCAGTGTGTGATGGTGGGTGTGATTTTGATGAGGACCTCAGAAAGGTCGTTTTTGGTAGCACCATGAGTGACAGTAATATCCGGTAGGTTCACCACTGCCAACTGTGCCAAAGTCAAGGGATGTTCAGGGTCAGAAATGGTAGCAATAAGATCAAAAATCTCCTGGGCATCAATAGGGTCTTCGTCCTCCTCGTCGAGTTCATCATCGACAGATTCACCCGAGTCAGAAACCAAACCAGGGGCTTCTTCGTCAGAAGCAGCATTCACATCGTAAGACACTCTGAGAGAGAGCGAAATGATCTTTTCCACAAGCTCCTGGCCTGGATCGTGTTTCTTCTGGCCAGTTTCTAGACGAGTAGGCAAGTTAGCCACGTCGATGACCGTAGGGTTGGCGTTTATAGGATCAGACATGAAGAAGTGATGAAGATGAGTTGGATCTGACAAACGAAGAACTGATTAGTGATAGAGGTGTATGCAGGTCGGCCAGTGAAAAGATAAGGCCCAAGGGAGACCACTTCCCAGGTGGGGGAATGTATGAACTGGTTATTTAGGAGAAATAAGATAGTTCCATTATTTTGGTTAGATGTGGCTTTGAATTGGTTGGTCTTTTGAGTTTGAGTGGGGGTGGTGTTGGGGTTATGGCAGTACTGGTTGGCTGCGAAATACACTAAGTAATGAGTGGAAGTAGAGGAAGCTTCTGTGGTTGTAGCTTACCAGGTTAAATTTTTCTTATCATTCTAGTAGACGTTTTTGGTAACCTAACGTGGACCGCATTTGCTTCAGCTCTTGGATTTTGAAGCGTTAGGTGGTAGAGGGCATCTGTGAGTCTCTAGAGAGAGCATGAGAAGTACTACACTATAAAGCTAAAAGCTCGGATTTGCAAGGAATCGAGAATTCTGTGATATGCTTTATTGTTCATGGAAGCGAGCTATGATGGCAAAATCTTGACGTAGATAATTACTTGCAGAAGTACTAGAGTCCATAGCTCTCATCTTCACTCAATACATAAGATCTTCTAGACATAGCTTTGTACAATGTGAAGATTTGTTAGGACAACGCCACACTTAAGTCATCTCAAGCATCATAACAACATTAAAAAACTCCATCTTGGAGCCTACTTCAATTTGTGGTTGGACTCATACTGGTGTCTTACCTTACCCTGACAGTCTGATGCACCTTCTATGAGCAACAAGTACTACCAAACTACACCTTCCAAGCCGAAAACAGAAAACCGTCAAAATCCAGTCAATTCAAATTCCATCAAAAATCCAACCGATAACCTTCCTACTTCTGTTCCCTTCCTCAAGCTGTCCTCTCGAGTCTTCATCCTTTGGCTGCGAAATGTGAGACATCCACCAATCCACCCCTGTAGTCCCCAAACAACGGCAACCACAGAAACGTCCAAATTTGAGTATACCACAAAAGAATTGAATCTCTTCTTCTTCACCTTCAATAACCAGTGCTTTCTAAATCCCCCTCGTTCCCTTCTTCCACCCACTGCTGGCTCCCAGTGTCTCCTCGGCGTTCCTGCCTAATGCATTATCAATACTACTCTGAAGCTCCAATCAACCACTACTTCCTCCTCATGGAATTCTACAACACATACCAGATCCAGCAGCTAGCGCCGCTCTTAACGCTATCTCTTCATGACCTGAACGCAGCTACACACTTGAAATCCCATTTGCAAAAGTCAAACATCTCCAATTGCGTCTGGGACAACAGTATCCTTAAGAACCGGCTACTGAGTGCCAAGTACCTTCTCCAGTTTGGCGACGAGGAGTCGAGTAAGGCGAGGATCGAGAAGAAACCGAAGGTGGAGGGCCTTCACTCGGCGCTTTCACCGTTCAACACAGAATCTGACCTTTTTCCTAATGGTATTCTCTCTGAAAAATGGTTCCTCAAGTATACAAGAGACGTGCCGTTTGCTTTCGTGCAAACACACCTTTTGGGAGATGATCCTTCGGAGGATGAGGCTTTGGGAAACGAATTGGCTGGGAAACGCCAGAGTTTTGCCGACTTGGGCGTGAAATATGTTGCTATTTTGCTCTCTGACGGTGATCCTATTGCTGACCAGGATAGAGTCGATAAGCTACGCTTGGTCTCGGGTCTTCCTAGACTTACGGGGATTTTTTATTTGAATTCAGATAGGGATACGTTGGAGAGGGATTGTGGGATCCTTGCATCGAGCCTTTTCAGTAACTTGAAGGCTCCAGCTGCTGACTTCTACTCGGGAGTCGAAGCACGTATCAAGCAGCGGTACAAGAAGTACTATACTATGCCTTCGTTTGATGCTGTGGATACGAAAATCAACCTTACGCCGAAGTTCTTGGAAGTCAGGAATATGGTCAAACAGGCTATGATTCTCCAGTTTATTCATCCACATAACGTTGAGTCGTGTTTTACCATGTTAGAGTCGTCTTATGAAAGACTCATTGCATTGACTGCGGAGCACGCTGATGTGTTCTTCTCGGAAGCCGTTTCTGAACACGATACCAGAATCTATGCCCAATTTAGACAACTTCTAGATGTCATCGCTGTTCACCTCATCAGAGGGTACCTTTCAACTGAAGAGCCAACCGCTGCCTTGCGCAAACATGAAGCCCACATTGCCAATGTCCTTGACCTTTCCAAAGATCAACTGAAATCAGATAACTCGGCATGGATGTCTGTTCAATACCAATGGCTTGCAGAATTGATGCAAATGGTGCCTCCCTCAGTTCTCAGTGATCTAAACCTAGACCACCAGCTGAAACAAAAGTCGTATCAGAACAGCATGGCATACTTTGGCGGCTCTACGTTTCACGATACATTCAACTCAAGAATCATCACTCAATCGTTCTTGATCTACCTCAAGGGATTCACCATGCTTGATAGTGTCCATGAAGGTGAAATAACATTATCTTACTTGAAGAAACTCGACAGCACGGATGCTCTACAGAGCCAAAGGTTGCAGCTACTTGATAAGGCCAAGGAAGCCCTTGAAGTAAGGGCAAAGGATAACACCCTCCATATTCTGGTAAGTGGTCTCCGACTTTACTTGGACTGGCTCACAGCCGAGGAGTACTACCTGAATGGCAAGTATAGCGAAGCTGAAGAACTCTACCTTCTGATCATCAAGCAAGAGTCTTCAAAGAGCTGGAGTGGTATTAGGCAATTGCTTTCACAGCGCTTGTTACTTATATATAAGGAGCTTGGCAACCAAGACAGACTTCTCAAGACGTTAGTGGAAGTTGCATCCCAGAAGAAGCTGCTCTCTGCACCTGCGATTGCAAAAGTGTCGTTGGATAATTCAGTTGACCTCTCTTTTGATGGTGAAGGAAAGTTCTTTGATGTTGACGTGAATCTATTCAATAAGAACTTAAAGAAGGAGTTCTTTGCATTTGATACTATCGTCTCGCAGCTCAACTTGAAGTCGTCTTTTGATCTTAGTCGGTTGGAGCGTCTCATTTCGAACAGCGAAGCTCTGCTTACCATCAACAAGATTGAAGTTAACTACGAAGGGCGCTCAATTGTTATTCAGCATAGCGACAGTGGTGCGGACCTAGACCAGATTCAATTAGACGGTCTGGCTGAATACAAAGCAGACTTTTCATCTGTTAAAAAGGGTCGAACCGTCCAGATCCTTGAAGAAGTGACTAAACCGGGGAAGTACAAGATGGAATCTATTGAGATTTACTCCACGCTCCAAATCAAGGCAGACGGGAAAACTGTTACTTTTGGCAAGTCCGAGCTCCATAACTTTCTCAATGTTAAAAAATTGGCACAGTCTTTCACTGCTTTGGCAAAAGACTCTGATGGTTCGGTTAAGCTGCATGTCATACGTACACAAGGCCTGTCAACTGTTGAGTGCACCGTTCAACCTTACAAACCCGAAGTCAGTGTCGAGTTGCCGCTGTCTCTCAATTCAATCATCATGGGAGAGAAGATAGAGCTTCCGCTTGACATTATCTACAGCAAGGCTCCTCATCTGAAAGCCACATTCTCATCCTTGAGCGTCCAGGTTAGAAGCCGGTTACTTGAAGGTGAACAGGAACAAGACTACCTAATTCCCCAGACAAACTGGAAAGACTTGAAGGATGACGAGAATCTCAACATTCTCGAACTGTTCGTGGAAGATTCAGGAAATCTTAACAGTGCCCTTCAACTAAGCATACGCAGACCTCCAAGTGTCGAGCCTAAGCTGGACTTCAAGCTCGTAATTGAATTACAACTCATCGTCGGTGAAGCCAACAAGTCCATGTCTGTTTATGATCTTAGGACCATTGAACTTCCAGTGTTGGCCAAGCCGTTCGGTGCCAAACTTGATGTGATTCCACGGTACAGAGAGGATCCCTCATTTGACATGAAGAATCCATTTATCTTGTCGGACAGAAAGAATGACGCCGATAAGAACTTCTCCATGCCTCTGCCCTCTTGGGTTTGGGCGGCAGAAGCTAGGTTCAAGGATAAGTATAATCTTATTGGGGAAGATGCTGTCAAGATTAAACAATGCCACTTTACTTTACGTTCGAAGAACCCAGAGGTTGATATTGAAACTCTTGGAGAATCCGAACAAACTCCCGAGAAGTCTTCACAGTTGTTTGTCACCAGTCCTCGCCACCGTTTCGCCCATCATCTGATTGGTGTGGTTGTATCTGCTACTTATATCTGGACCAGAGGCGACGATGGGCCAGAAAATGAATTTGAAACAGCCGAATGGGAGGTAGATTTGCCATTGCAGAATCCAAGAGTACTCTTGTTTTCTGTTGAGAAACAAGATGGGAAGGCGGTTTTGAAGTACGTCATTGAGAACCCAACGTCCCGGATCTTTACCTTTACAACTACATTGAGCACTGAAGAGAGTGCATTGCGTGGAGTCGACTGGTATTTCGACGACAAGAGTAACATTGTGCCAATGAAGCAAGGTGCTTTCCCCGTGTTGCCGTTCAGCAGGCACGAGATGGTCTTCACTGGCAGATACGAAGTCGACGACAAGGCCATTGACCTCGTGGAGCTTCCTCGTATGCAAGTGTACGACCTCAACTACAAAGTCAGCTTAGCCACACTTCCAGTGATTGAAAATGTGGTGGCCAAAGATGAGAGATTGTACATGAAAAACTAGCGATTTCGATCAATTGACTATGACTGGGGGCTTAGTTAACACCCAACAACTCCACGTCGAAAACCAAAGTGGCATCTGGAGGAATGAGGCCTGGGAAACCTCTTGGACCGTAGGCCTCGTGGCCTGGGATGGTCAACTTAGCCTGGGAACCAACAGACAACTTTGGAATACCAATGTCCCAGCCCTTGATCACCTGACCAACGCCAATGGTACACTGGAAAGGCTTACCTCTGTCACGGGAAGAGTCGAACTTCTTACCGTTTTCCAAAGTACCGGTGTAGTGGATGGTGACGGTGTCGCCGACGTTTGGGAAGACCTTACCATCGCCTTCTTGGATAGTTTCGATTTCGGTGGTTTTAGGAGCCATTGCGATGAAGGAGGAAGAAAGTTGTCTGCGACAAGTAGCTAAGGAAGGATTGAATACGGCAGTTTTGCTTAAGCGAGCAAGCATTCAATTGAGAGAAGAAAGGAACGAATTAGGGTCGGAATTGCTTCAGCGAGTGACTGGGGGGATGGCACTTTGAGGTGCACGGGTGTTTTGGCTCAAGCTCAGTCTTCTTGGGAAATGACGTTCTGAGAAATATTGCTCTGCCTCAATGAATGCTGCGAGTGTGGTTTACGTGCAGGTCATATGGATGTTAAGGTACGGCTTTTTTGCGGCCAAACGGGCCTAAACGAATATTTTGGTGATAAAAACGAAGAAAAGGAAAGGAAAGATCTCTTCTTATAAGCATTCGCAATCCCATTCTGCTTTGGATTCTGTCTGGCGGTTTTTTGCCCGCCATGGAAGCCTCTTCGGCGTTCGCGTATCGCTTATAAGCGGATTTCGGCAGAGAAGAAACCACAGTTGGAAAATTCCTACAACAGGTCGTTGAATCTTAACAATTAAGAGATCCAAGAAAAAAAGGGTCCTTCAATTTCCGTTACATTGCTTTTTTCCCCCCCTCGACGTCATTGCCTAGCCTTCACAGCATTGCTAGGTCTAAAGTGAGTGCGACTTATCGCAAATCCGATCAATAAGTCTACTGTACAAGAAGGCAACCTGGTGAAAACTGCGTTATCGGTGATCTTTCCAATTACACACTGAGCCAAAGCAGCTAGTTATAGTTGCAAGGAAAAGTCAGCATTAAAGCTTCAGATGGCCTTGGACGTTCGTGTGGACGTGGATCGCCGTGAAAACGGCGGCACCTTCACCAACTATGATGTGATCCATGGCGTCGTTCGTCTCACCACCACAGCGTCGATTTCGTTATCTTACATCCAGGTGAAGTTGGAAGGTGTGGCTACGACGCAGATGACTGTTCCTAGGACGCTTAAGAAGCGGAAGGATAAGGAAACCAGGGAGAAGCTTCTTCAGGATGTGCACAAGGTGCTTTATGATTCTGTCATCGTGTTTCCGCCAGAGAATGTCAGAAACGTTTCGAATTCCAAGGAGTTTACCTTGACTCCCGGTGACTATACGTACCCATTCCAGTTTAAGATTCCATTGAACAACTCGTGCGTGAAGACGCTGGGCATCACTAATAAAGTACTGTTCAATAGAGACAACCGCCAGGTGTTGGTGAATAACGGCAATTTCAATACGAACTTGATTAAAAACGTTGCTCAAAACTACTTCCAGGCGTACCCGAACCAAGGCCAAGGCCCTCCTGATGTACCAAAAGATAACGGTTACCATGTAAATACTCAGCTTCCGCCGTCCATCAGCGATATGGGTCTGTTCGCCAATGTGCGTTATTTCGTTAAAGTCACTTGCAAACGGTCTTCTGTGTTTAAGACCAACGTTAGAGCCTTTGACCCCTTCACTTTTCTTCCACTTGATTTAGACAGCCACAACCGTCCGCTTTTCGAGGGACAACAGTTTGAGGAGTTCAGAGAGGTGTTCTACAGAAAAGAAATGGTGTTTAAAAATAGAATCCCCGAGATCGTTGGTATCAAGGTATCGAAAAAACCGCCTGTGGACTATAAGAAGGCTCTTCCAAGTACACCTCCTCTTCCGCAGAGGAAAAGCATATTCTCGTCATTCCTCGGCGGTGGAGCACCATCTCCACCAACTCCACCAGTTCGACCATCTAGTTCTCGAAGATCAAGTGGTAGCAGCAATAGCATACGTCAAACCAGTGCTGCCTACGAAATCAGTTCTTCCAACGTGCCGTTCTCTTTTGAAGTACGCTTCAAGTATCGCTCATACCTTATACCCTCGCATCTACCAACATTCAAGCTTTACTTGTTGCTGCATCACAACCCAGCCCGTTACTCTCTCGCTCAATATGGATACCCCGATGAATCAAACGGGCTCGGTGTGATTTACTTCCAAAAACTCAGCATTGAGTTGCGAAGCACCACAAACATTTCTGTTTTAGAAACTGATGGAGCCGGTGAAGCCGTTCATCAAGGAAAGTCGGAAGAAGTGATTCAATTGTGTAACAACACCTACCAGAACTTGCAATTTGACCTTCACGATGCAAAAATGCTGCGTTCTTCGTCTGCCACAAGCAGCAGCTATGTTGATACCAACATTCATGAGCTTGAAATTCCTCGCAAGTACTTTGACAATTGCATGCTTCCAGATGGACTTGCACCTTCGTTCAAAACATGCAACATTACAAGAAAATATAGTCTTGTCATAGTTGGAGGGTTCCTGAGTGAAAGAATCGTTGACTTCAAAGACCGTGCCGAGGTAGAGAAGAAGGTTCGCTACGTGGATTTGCACTGTCCTGACGTTCAGGTGCTTTCTGGCCTCAAGCTTACGTCGTGGCTCCATTCCAATGCATCCGAGTCCAACATCAGCAGAACGTCAGACCAAAAACCCGCTCTTCCAGAAAGACCCTCGGTTAGTCTGGGCACGGAAGAAGTACAAGGAAACGGCAAGGAAGCCGAAAGTCGTCTTCCCACATATGACGATGTTGTCAGAGAGAGTTCGTACCAGGACGATGGAGAACACCTACGTGCCCGCCGAAGGTACCAAAACTAAGCCATCCGTCTGCCCCGTACCACCACGCTGTGCCACTATCATTCACCGAGAAACATTCAATTTTTTTTTACTCCATTCATTTCTTCAGTGGTACTAGACAGATCTCGGTTGGCTGCAACTCTGTCTGACCTGCACACATCTCATACGAGGTTGCCACAAGGCACCAGGACAATCCACTCCAAAAAACATCAAATACCCCAATTGAAGATAAAACTCAATTTCTGCTGCCTTCTTTACCCCAGCAGTTCCCCTTTTTATATAGTCCATTTACCCCCGGTGGCAATTTCTGCACCGGTTGCGCTCTCTCTGTATTATCTCGAATTCTCATTCGCAAGACAAACTGAAAAAAAAAAACTGTACCGAGAAAAAAAATCTATTAACCAACTGGATCAAACAACACCCACCAGTCTTTTTTTACCCATCACTTCCCTCCCAGCGAACATCGCCCACACTCGTAGCGTGTTCCATCCCTAAAAAGACCCAGGTGTGATCATCATCGAATAATGGCTGAATCAAGCTTTTTCGCTAGAAACAAGGCCGCCATTGCCCTCACGGTGCTTGCCAGTGCCGGTGCCGTGGGTGCTTATCTCTACTATGCCCAGCAGCAGGTAGAGGGTGGCATTGAAAAGGATGCTAGTGGACAGAAGAAGAGCAAGAAAAACAAGAAGAAGAAGTCCAAGGGCGCCAAGGACGCTGCTGCTTCTCCAGAGGCTGCTGCTAAGCCAGCTGACTTGGACTTGACCGATGCTCCATTCCCAGTGAACGAGGCTGGCGAGCCAGCTTTTGGCGACGAGGACGTGGAGAAGTTGTCCGAGGAACAGAAGGAGGAGTGGGCACTTGCTTTGAAGAACGCAGGTAACTCCAAGTATAAGAACAGTGAGTTTGAGGCTGCCATTGCGTTCTACTCGGCCGCTTTGAAGGTCAAGCTCGACCCTGTGTTCTACTCGAACAGATCTGCTTGTTACTCGTCTTTGGGCAACCACGAGGCGGTGATCAACGATGCTACTGAGGCCATCAAGCTTAAGCCTGACTACACGAAATGTATCTTGCGTCGTGCCACTTCCTACGAGGAATTGGGTAACTACCCGGATGCCATGTTTGACTTGACTGCGTTGACCGTTTACGGTGCTTTCAACTCTAAGTCTGTTGAACAGCGTTTGGAGAAGGTGTTGCAGAAACAGTCTATCAAGGTTGTCACTGCCCAGATGGAGAACCACTCTCCTTCCTTGCCTTCTGCTGGCACTTTGGCTTCTTTCTTTGGCGCTTTTGTCCATGAAACTAACCCAGAGGGTATTTCTGAAGAGTCTACTGGCGCTGACAAGTTCTTGTGGGAACTTATTGACGCTATCTTCTCTAAGCGTGCTGATAAATACGATGAGCTCGACAATTACGTTGCCAAGGTCGTTGCTGGCTACGAAGACGAAAACGTTACCGCTGACTCTGCCAGTGCCACCAAGGCCACTATTGCTTACGAATATGCCACCATTGTCTCTTTCTTGAAGGGCGACAAGGACCACGTCAAGGAGTACATCAAGAAGGCCTTTGACTTGAAGCCTCGTGCTCGTACTTACGTTGTTAGAGCCCTTATAACCTCCGACGAGGGTTCTATTGCCGACCTGGCTGCCGACTTCGAGAAGGCTCTGCAGCTCGATCCTAAGAACGCTGACTCCCCATACCAATACGGCCAGCTTCACTACCTTTTGGGTAAATACGATGAAGCCGAGCTGTACTTCATCAAGGCTAAGGAATTGAACCCAGACAACCTTTTCGCCTACATCCAGCAAGCTTGTGTTGTCTACAAGAAGGGCCAGTATGAGGACGCTATCAAGTTGTTCGACGAGGCCAAGCTCAGATTCCCAACTTCTCCAGAAGTCTTGAACTACTACGGTGAGATCCTCGCCGACAGAAACGAAACCCAGGCTGCCATCAAACAATACGACATTGCCATCCGTTTACAGAGAGACTTGGCTGGTGTCGGTATTGGCGCCACCCCATTGATCAACAAGGCCATGTTGTTGCAGAGAGACGGTTTGGATGACAAGGGAGAAGCCGCTGCCTTGTTCGAGAAGGCCGTTGAGGTTGACCCAAAGAGCGAGGCCGCCCTCATTGGCTACGCCCAGGTGAAGTTGAGTCGTGATAAGGCCGAGGAGGCTATTCCTATGTTTGAAGAGGCATCTCGCTTGTCTCGTACCTTTGAAGAGAAGGTGCTGGCCACGTCCTTTGCCGAAGCTACGAAGATGCAGTTGAGGATCAAGGCCGATCCTACCTTGACCAAGAAGATGGAGGAGATTCTCCTGTTGCATTCTGCCCAGGCTCTCCGTTAAAGTTGGTGTTGATGCCCGACGTTGTGTTTCTGTATATACTGGCGGGTCCACTGCCAATGCACACTGTATCGCAAAAGCTGGGGAGCTTTTTTTGCAACCACTGTAGAAGAATGGTCCATTTCATCAAGGCTGTTGTAGCCACCCCGAAACGAACCTTCAAGAGTTCCACGGCGACTCTAGATCTCGCCTATATCACGCCTCGTCTAATTGTTGCCGCTGGGCCAACTGATACCTCTACCAAGGCAGTGTTTCGTGATAATATAGCACATGTTGTGGCCCATCTCGATAAAGCCCATGGCAGAGGCAATTGGCATGTGTGGAACCTTCGAGGCGAAGGCCCCGGTTACGCCTTCAACGCCGTAGTTGGGCCCCATTGCTCCTACAGACCCTTCCCTGACCATCAAGTTCCTACCTTAGAGCTTATGGACCAGGTAGTGGGTGAAATACACAGTTTCCTTACCAAGTCGCCATACCATGTGGCGCTTATTCATTGTAAGGAAGGGAAGGGCCGGTCAGGCACCGTTTGCTGTGGATTTCTCATGTACGAAGCCCAGAAACTGGGGATCTTGGTGACGGTGGAAGAAATGGTTGCAAAATTCACTGCACAGCGGATGCGTAAGATGTTTGGCCCTGGCGTATCCATTGACTCCCAGCTTCGGTTTTTAAGTTATTGGAGAACGTACCTTCAAGTTGAATCACCCCTTCGAAACGGGTATTTGCTGGCGAATGACCTGGAAATTGGAACGGTGGTGTTCTATAAGCCTCACCGGTTCCTCTGGCGTCTGAGCCTAGTGTTCTACAAATATGAAGGTCTGAATTTGGTCAAATTATTGGAAATGCCGCTTGACAATAAATCCAACTCGCCTTGTTACCTTAAGGTTTCTGTTCCCTTGGCAGGTGTTTCGCTTGTCAAGATGCTGATAGAGACCAGTGTGGTGCGCTGCTACTGCTGGTTCAGCCCGTACTTCGAGACGATCTCGAGAAGAAAGAGGCCTGTAAGTGAAGGCGTTTCGGGGAACTTGAAGGTTACGTGGGACGAGTGGGACGGGTTCTGGGGAACCAAGTGGAAGGGCCCAGTGAAGTTGTTCGAAGCTGCCGAGGTGCTTTGGAACTACCGGCGAGTAGAGCCAGAGAATGAGAGGAAAGAGAAGGGGAACGAGGAGGTTTGAGGTTGGTAGAGAGGTTGTTTGTTTGTTTGGTTCTTGGCGTTTGTAGGGTTGGTGTGGTAGTTGAATGTACTTCCAGTTAGTGAAGGGTAGTTTAGAGGAATACATTGCCATGTGTATTGTACCGTCTAAGAAGAAATAGCACTTCTTTTCTGCTTTGGTTGATATTCCAATGAGCCATAATCCTTAGTTGTCTGTGGTTCTTCTGGGTATCTCACATCGTCTTCTTTCCAAGTCAAAGTGGCACCCCAGTGGTTTCAATCACTCAATTAACCTCGAAGATACCGGCAACTCGACAACTTTACAGAGAACGGAAGCCACTTGTCGTGTCTCCCTACCTCGCATAGGTGACGATCATCGGTCGTACGATTTCTGACATAGACGATGCTATACACCTAGGCTCGTCTAACCATCTCTACAACGCCAATTGGCACACCTCCATCACTCCCTCTACATTTCTTCATGCTATGCGTATATTAACCACCCCGTTTGCCAGGGCCCACATCTAAGAGGATCTCCCTCAATGCATTCCTCACCTCTTCTGCCTTTGGCGACCTTTTACCTCCCATCTTATTCAAAGTGTATGGCTTGGCAATCACCACATCCTTAAACACGTTGATCGAGTCATTGGGGAGCCATTGCACGTTTTCCTTGCCAAACTTCGACACCAAGCTATTGAAGATAGTCAGGGCGTTAGCATTACCATGGGAAGTCGAGTCTCGCCTTTTCAGGTGTTGTCGGTTCGGCTGATGCAGTTGATGATGTTTCAGCGTGTGTTGTTTTTCATGGGCAGGTTTTTCACTGGAGGTGGTGGATTTTTCAGTCTCCTCAACAGGCTTATACCGGGCAATCGACTCGTTCAAATCGGCCTCTAGCTTCCGGATATCAACCTTCGAGAGCTTGGGATGCTGGTGTTTATGACTGCTATTATGGTTTTTTTATTCGGCTGCATCACTTGCACGGCCTTGACAAATGCTGTGTTGATGATCCTGATCTTGGACGGATCCATCTTTAATGCTAGGACAGACTGAGACGGGTTGAACGAGTGGATGAAGCCAACGATTGACTGGTCCAACAAGTTCGTCACTTTCACCCGTACATTTACCACGTCAGACATGGTTCTAGGTTGGAAAGAAGTTACCGTGGGGGGTAGGTAAGTGGAGGGGGTGTGTGGGGGTGGAAAGAAAGGTGGATGTTTCTCTGGATCTGAGGAATATGCGTGAGGTTAATAGATCAAATGGTGGTTTTCGCAATGTGCACTACACCAAGGCCGAAGTCTTGAAGGGGAGGAGGAACAACAGCAGAAGGAAATAGATGGTGATTGGGTTGAGTGTTGATAAAGAAGAAAGAAAACCCTTCTGCTTTTATGCTCTTGTTTTGGTATTCTTTGGTGGTTGGTGCTGGTGCCAGTGGTGTTTCGCAGCTGTATCATTTTGCACCCACTGAGGCACAGTGGTTATGGTTTCAAAGTAACACAAAACACTGTACGAGACGTGATTTGAAGGTGATACCTGTTGGTTGAAAGTTTCACTAAGGCCGTGTTTGTTCTTTTTTATTCTTTGTAAAACTTCACCTTGTTTGGTCTTAATCAACTGGGTGGATGGGTACTACCTGCATTGACAGTCTGGTGACAAGGCTGCTCCATGTGTGGTACCCACAGTGGTCGGCTGGAAACGGGTATTAAAGTGGAAACGGTTTGTAGGGAACTTCTTTCCATTAGGTGAAATGTCGATCAAAAAGAGAGCCACCGTTATAGTGTTAACTGTTTTCCTGAGCATCAGTATGGCTCTAGAAGCTGTGTGTTATCCGGTTTGCGCCGTGGACGGTTGTTGTCGGAGGGTTATCTGACAGGAACGAGAGGCGGAGGGGAGAGTGATGGGGAGGAACAAGTATGACGGCTCTGGTTGGCATTTGGAGGTAGAAGTTTATGGGTGAAGATGTCTTGGATAATTAAACAGCCAGATTAAACGACCAGACTATGATTAATACCTTGGATGGCTTTTGAATGTGAAGGTCGAACAGTCTGGCTATTGGCAAAAATCAAACTTTCCATGGTAACAGTACCCTGGCTAGTTCAGCTTCACGTTGGAAATAGACGAATAGACGTTATAGACGCTGCTGGTTGGTCAGACAACAGAGTAAAGACCGGTCATCACATTTAGGGCCCAACCCAAGCCTATTCCTTATTTTTTGATTCCAGCAGGGCCCAAAAAACCATTAATTACCTTCCAATCCAAATCGTTCTCCCCTTCAAAACATAACATAAGATAGCTAAACGAGCCATGGTCCTAGACATATAGCTCAAATCAACCAAAGAACAGCCCCAACTTCCCATTCTTCCACCTCAAACTTCAAAAAACCCACCCTCCAAACTCCTCCTCCAACTCCCATTTAGTTTCCAAAAGCCCCCCTCCCAATTCCCAAAATTCTTATCATCCACACCTACCGGCCTAGTTTCCCCATACAACGTGCTCATTCACCCAAAAACCATAAACTCACCAACCCCCAATCAAAACCCCTTAGACCTCCAAAACCTCCCAATCCGTTTCCACAAATCAGCCCAAACAGCCCCCAAAACCCCAAATCAATCATAAAATCACCCCCTTGCCACACATTTTTCCCTCCTTACGTTATCTCCTTCTTCATGGAGCAACTCGTGGAGACAACCTTTTTCGCGCTGTACGTGCTCGCTAGCATATAATACACATGAAGATGTTTTTCCCTCGTAGCTTTTTCCATACCAACTACATTTTCTAGGGACATTCCAGGCGGGCCGTGCTAATTACATTTTTTTATACATCTTCTTTTTTTATTTCAACATGGGCGTCTACACTCCGGCTAATAAGCTTGAAAACTTGAAGTTGTACAAGTACTCATCGGAAGATCACTCGTATGTCTCCAAGTACATCCTCAAGAGGTACTGGAACTGGTTCACCACGTTGTTCCCGTTGAGCATGGCTCCCAACTTGATCACGTTGTTGGGGTTGGTGTTTATTATCGTCAGTGTGCTTTTGGTGTTGTACTATGATCCGTACTTGGACACTCCTTCGCCTAGCTGGGTGTACTTTGTTCATGCTTTCAACTTGTTCATGTACCAGACGTTTGATGGGTGTGATGGATGCCATGCTAGAAGAACCGGCCAGTCGGGTCCTTTGGGTGAGTTGTTTGACCACTCAATTGATGCTATCAATACGACTTTGCTTATTGTGGTGTCGTCTTCTGTCTTCCAGTTTGGCCTCGGCCTCAAGACGCTATTTGCACAGTTTTCCGTGCTTGCCAACTTTTACACTTCCACTTGGGAAACTTACCATACCCATACGTTGTTCTTGTCGTGCTTCAGTGGTCCTGTTGAGGGCATGATCCTTTTGGTGTTCTGCTACGCTCTCAGTGGCTTTATTGGTCCAGATATTTGGCTGGCTCATTTGTTTGATTTAGACTTGTCTTCATTGGGTTTCGGCTTGAGCACCTATGCTATTGACGTTTCCCACTTGATTATTGGTTTCGGTTTCATTGGTATCTACTTTAACGTCGCTGCTGCCACCGCCAACGTCGCTAAGAAGTACTTCACCAATGTTAGATTGTCTAGAGAAACTGCCGAGCAGGAGGTTGCCAACGCTAAGGAGGGATTGCTTCCTTTCGCTGCATACTACGTCTTTTTGAGTTTCTTCCTTTGGAGCTTCCCTGACGTTGCCTCTACTTACTGCTACCCCTTGATTTTCTCCACCGGCAGTACTATGGCCTTCTGCGTGGGACGTATCATCTTGGCTCACTTGACTTTGCAAGATTTCCCCTTCTTCCAAGTGCCCACCCTCGTCCCAATCTTGCAGACCTTCTTGGCCCATTACTTTATTACATTAAACGGTTACAGACCATCTGTGGTGCTTCCAGCTGTGGTCTGGGGTGGTACCGGTTTGACCGTCGGTATCCACACCATGTTCATTTCCGAGATCATTGTGGAAATCACCCAGTTCCTAGACATTTACGCTTTGACCATCAAGCATAAGAAAATCTAATGGTCTTTGCACTCTCTCTACATTTTATAGCGATATTAAACATAAAACTTACTATGATGAAGTCTGTGAGTTCATTTGTATGTACAAGTCATCAAAACGTGACAACTGCCTTATGGCTCATGAAATGCAGTTTGAATTTCCGTTATGGTGGGATTTTACTTCTGTTCCTTAGAACCCTCAGCGGCAAGAGGGTCAGCGCCAGAAGCGATCAAGTCTTGGGAGGACTGCTGCATGGCAACACCCTTCTCCATTTCCTGGAGTTGCATCTCAGAGAAGAGGGCAATGAAAAATGGGAATCCCAATAACAAACCGGTGGAAGTGAGAGCCCATAACAACGATCCAGATGTGGAAATACCAGAGGCAGTGTAGCTCTTCACCTTGTCCGCAATCTGGGACAATTGCACTCTCTGTTCTGGAGGAACAATATCCTTAAGGGCAACGATTCTATCATACAAGGTCTCGTTCTCAATGTCGTCATCTTCGAAGTCAGACTCAGAGTCAGAGTCACTCTCGTGGTGGTCAAAGACATCCTTTGGCTCCTGGGTGGCAGCGGCGGTCTCGTCGTCGACTTGGGTTAACTTGACCATTTTGGTTTAATAAATGATTTGATGTTATACCTGTTTTCAGTACTTCCTCACTGTAAGCAATGTCCAAAAAATTTTATGAAGCGCGCACGACGGTTCGCTAAGTATGGGGAGACCACAGTGAAGCTTGGAACTTTGGAACTTAGATGCATTATTCTTTTCTTTATTGATCTTCCTCGAGAAACGATGTTCCGAGGTTTTCTGTAGACACTGTGTACCCAAGTTGCTTCATTTCTTCGGGGTACCTACGCACGTTGTAGAATTGGAGAAGAGAACGGAGAGCGACTTCTTGGTCAAAGGAGTTGTTGAAATCGCTTTCGAGGTCTCTTCCACTGAGCCAGTTATCTCTAATTGTGAGCTTCAAGTTGAGGAAGACTTGTGAGATGACTTCCATATTCGTGGCACGCCATTTTCGTCCTTGGAAAGGTATGATCTTTTTGAATATCTTAAGGATTGGAATTTTGAAGTTGTCGTTGATGTAATTTAGGAGAATGAACTTCATCAAGTCAGTTGGCTTGGTTTCAATGAATGCAAAGATCCTCTGAGAAACTCCCTTGATCAAGAGCTTGTTGACGATTTGCAATTGGTTCGTCAAAATATGACAATAATTCTTATTGTACCGCGTCAACTTTACAACATTATGGTTGTCATCATCAATGCTGGAAGGTAGTTTTGATACGGGTGTTTTGTTAATGAGCTCGATTCTTTGCTTGTTATCCTGGTTCCCCGAGCACATATTAAAGAAATCGAACTGGGGAACATTTATCTCTGGATTCATAAGCTTATTTTGTGAAACAAACACTTCATTAGGAGCAAATGATTTGGTTACTTCATCGTAGTCATGAAGCTCGCTGTTGTTCAACGAGTCTGCCATAAAATCTGCAAATACATTCAAGTACTGCTCGTCAAACAAAATGGAGTTGAAGTAATGACTTTTGATTACGTGACTCACCTTAAACCATTTGATCAAAAGTACCATAATGGATGTAGACGCCTTGAGAGTGATTTCTCTAGCCCGTATTCCTTCTAGTTGTTTCAACATATAGTGCCTCATGGTGTTGTAGGACGAGCGACGACCGTCACAAAACTGCAATGCAAGAGACGTCTCAGAATTAATCTCTTGTTCCACATCACGAAGACTTATATCATGCTTATATGCTTTAACGACTTCTATCATCACTTTGGCGAGCGACAGAAGGTATGGAAGTGCATTGTTGTAGAACAGCTCCACTCTATTGAGAGATCTCACTGCAGAAGGGTTAGATTCGTCATCTTCTAGGTTATCATCCTCTGAGAGATCTGCTTCGTAGTTGCCTAGGTTTCCACGTTCTTGTGCCATGTATCGCTGACGTTCCTGCCAAAGTCTCTTCACAGAGAAACTCTCGTAAACAGCATTCTCGAATAGCTCGTTTGCTTCCTTAATGGCTGCTGGCAAGACATCCTCGGAACCAGTTGGATAAATGAAAGGCATGCTCTGGTTCACATGGTACAGCTTTCGAACCTTCTCTCCACCAGACATAAAGTCAGATGGCGTACTTGGAGGAGAAGGCACTGGAGTGGATATATGAAGTGTACTGACTGGAAGTTGGCTAAGAACGGAGTGGGATTTGTTGGTTCGAGGCATTTCAAGCAAGTTTGAAAGAGAGTTGGAAGTACTTGCAGCCATGAATTTGTGACGGTCGTCGTCGTTTGCAGGTTCGCCTTCGTCAACAAGCTCGTAGGATCCGTTACCCTTCTTCTCAAACTTTGAAAAGACAGGATACTTATCTAGTAAGTCCTCACGAAACGTATAATATTCGAGAGGTGAGCATGTCAAGCGATTATCGGAACTTTCAGCTTTGCTCTTGATATCGTGCTTCTTATTGAGGTAATCTTTCACGTCTGTAAGGTGTTTAGTATCACCAAACTCTAGCAATAAAAGCTTCCATATGAGAAGAATGACGTTCCTGATACGAAACAGGTTGCTGGGGTTGATCTTCCATTCCTCCACGAGCTTCACGAGCTTTGTTAGAAGGTCAGCATCAGATAGCGACTTATAAATCCTGGTATTCGGCCCTTCAGAAAGCTCAACGTTCACGACAAAGTACGTGATGGTAAGAAGCTTAAGTAGGTAGTCCTGGGGAAGGTCTTTCTTAGCCATAGTATCATCCAGAGCCTTCAACAAAGCATCAAGAACCTTATCAAGCACGCCCTGCTCAACAGCACGTTTACAGTTATCCTTGATACGTTTCAACTGCTCTTCCCTCGCGTCTCCAGTCTTATAACTGCCCAAAACAAAGTATAGAAGCGAATCAAGAGCTTTGTCTAGCAGTTCTAGGTCCTCCACCGAGAAATCCCCAGCTTTCTCGGCCAAATGGTCCAATCCCAAGAGCTTAAAGTCAGCAGACACAAACCAGTCGTTGAGTTCAGTATCCAATTCGTCGTAGTCTCGGTATTCATACTCCAAGTACGGTTTGGTGACCAACAACAGGTAGAAGTTACCTGAGCTCTTGTCGCCATCGCCGCTTCCACCCGAAGCGCCAAAAATCTGTTCAGCACGTTCATTGAGTTTCTTCTGGAACGTTTCGTCATACGACAGCTCGTTCAACTGCTTGGTAGTAGACGCATCTGGATTATCTATAAGCTGGTCCTCGAGCTTGTCGATGGAGATGTTTTGGTCAGACTCCATTAAGCACGACCAGGGTATTCCACCAGGAGTATTTGCAGTTTGTTGGCAGAAAGGGGTTCTTGGACGTGGGTGGGTTGATCTATGTTGATCTCTGTTGATGTATAGTAGTTAACAATGATATATAGGTATATGTGCGAAAGAAGTAGGCAACGCCTGGAGCATACAATATGGGAATGCGTCGATGATTTTGACGTTAATTACTAATACGTGTTTATTTCAGGAGATTTGGCGTCGTTTGATATAAAGAAGAGTCGTTCGGAGGGCAAAGTGTGGTGGACTGGTTGGGTGCAAAATGCGTGTGGTAGAGCGTCAGTGAAGGTTCTGGAATTGCTAGATCATGGAAGAATGTGAGTCGCCAGAGCAAGTCATACGTAAATTTGCTGTTTCTAGAATTGGGCTGTGTGTTTGTATGGAATTTGCCTTTAAGTTCTTCGCTGGGCATTCTTCAAGAGGGCTCAGTGGAGGTTACAATGTACTGAGCCTCGTTAGCCAGGGCCCATTGTGAGTGGATGGAGGGTTGGCGGGAGGTATGGACATAGGTGAAGGGAAGGGAAGGGAAGGGAAGAAAGTAGCGAATGAAATGAAGCAGAGAGGTTGTGGTTACAAATGATGGGAATAGTGTAAAGGGTAGTTCTACAACACCTACTGATAGGGTATGCCAAGTGCTAGTTGACGAAGTTACTTGGAATTAACAACTGAAATGTAATGAGATGAAATATCATTGGAAAGGAAAACAGATGATCTACTGATAGTATGGTGTCGGTCACCAGTGAAGGTTAATGGCTGCAAATGACCATCCATACATATCCATAACATTACATTAATATTAGGGTAGCTCAGAATCGATTGAAATAGGAACTACACATTCAACGAGAGCCATCTAGTGCTTACCTTTATGTTTGGTATAACGACAACGACGTAGCCGTATCTCTACTGTGGCTTCATGGCCAATGTAAGCCTCTCACAAATATACTTCACCAGCACATCAAATATTCACTTCCTAGGCTTACCTCGAATTCAAGTCTAATCATATACGCATACTCCCAAAGAACCCAAAAGCCTTTCCCATACACCACATACTGCTCCAGCTCATACCATACAATCTCTCCATCCTACAACTCCCACAGCACCAACCTACGGGCCGACGTCCCCTGCAAAACATGACATGTCACTCGAAAGGCCCTTCCATTGCTCCCAACCACGAACGATGGACGTCATACAATCCACGTCAAACACGACATACCTTCGTTTAGTCTGAGCGCTCCGTGCATCTACATACTGGTGATGTCTTACCACCAGACACCAGTGGGACCAGACCAGACCATCGAAACACAAAAAGAAAAGGTCAGACAAAACGAAAAAGAGAATGGATCGAAAGGTAAACACAAGGGGAAATCGAGGCCGGCAAAATTACCAAAAGCCAAGACGGTGTCACGTAAAAAACCCCCCAACAAAAAAAAAAATATCGCAATAAGGCGCTTCGCCTGGTAGCAAGCTTCGTACATACCTTATTTAGCAACCAAGTGTATTGCGAAGAACCGCCCAAACCAGGCCTCCCTGATAACAGTGATAAGAGAGGTATCCTGAAATAAGGAAAGATCGGGAAAATACATGTTGTTTGAGGTTATTCCCAGTTTCAGTGGTTCCCTTGTTCAGAGACATTATGGTTGCAAAATAGCCATACAGGCTTTCTTAGTGTAAGGTACCATGGCGCTTCCACGCCTCGGGGTTCCATGCCAGGGTCCATTTGCTAGTTGCTAAAGGTTAAGAGGGGCGGCCAGAAGTAGGTATAAGCAGGGTCCACAAAAGGTGCCAATGGGGCGTTTTTTATTGATAGCTTACACAAAGCTGGCTGTTTCTCGGTGTTGATGGCTGAGGGCCATAGTGTTGTAAAGGAAAGAAAGGGGAAAAGAACAGGGAGAAGATGATCAGTAAACGGCTTTGTCGGCTCCGCTGGCTTCAGATATCCATATAAAACCTTCATCTTGTCTGTGTCTGGAAGATCTGCCACCTGAGACATGCCTAAGACATCAGTAATGGTTGCGAAAAGCGCTAAGCAGGGATTCCCACGTTTCCAGCAAAAGACGCAGTTTCTGCGGCACAAAGCTGTGGCCGTGTGGTACTGAAGCAGGGGAAGCAGTCGAAGTTCGGATTTTTATGCTTTTTTATGTATAACCATGTAGATTCACCTGGGACTTTCTTATGTCTACTATCAGTGCTGCCCCGCCTCTAACTCGAGGGGCACCACCTTCCAGAGATCCCAGAAAGTCTGGCCAGCCCTTCTTTTCGAAAATGCCCAAGAAGCACCATCTTGTCACTCCCTCGCTCTATTGTCTTGATCTTATTGTTTTGTCGTGCAACCTTGCCGTGGTTCTGGTTGCTTGTTTCTCTGGGCTTCTCTGCGGCGCCACAGACTAACCGAACTAAAGAGACTAAGAGGAATTATTATTTGGGAAGAAAGGTAGACCCGTACATTTCCTTGCCCGTCTGGCCAATATATAAAGACGCCATTTTCCTCCTTTTTTTTCTTTTATAAATCCTACAAAGGGTCTCTTTCAACCCTCCCACCTCTTTTGCAGCCTGGTGGGGCCCGCTAATGTTGCTACATGGCGCCGGCACAGGTGGTCGCTTTTCCGGCACACACCCCCCGGTCTTGCGTGGCTCCTCCCTACTTTTTCCTCGCGGCATGCCCCGCGGTAATGCACACAATTACGTAGTTGTCTCACTCGGAGTATATAAATCGTCAGCCTTTCCCTCCCGGTTTTCCACCTTCCATCTATAAATTACCCTTTACTTTAAATACATCATGCCCAACTCCCCTGGCGAAAGTGCCGTTGCTGAATCTGCGTCTCCTGCTTTCCAGTCGTACCTCAACAACGATGGCATTGACCTGTTGACTCCTGCGTCCAGGAAACACAGAGTGTCGTCGTTGTCGCTTTCTGACTTGAACCAGTGGCAGACTGGTTTGACGAAACTCTCGTCCTCGACGTCTTTGAGCAAACAGGGCAGCAATGCTAATTTGAAGAAGGTTGACTCCTTGGCGAAGTTGTCGAGAAACTCGTCTATTATCAAGCGTAAGAAGAAGTCCATTATTGACCATCCTAGAGTCGCTTCCTATGCCTTTTGTTTCGATATCGATGGTGTGCTATTGAGAGGTCCAGACACGATCCCCGTGGCCAAAGACGCCATTAGAATGTTGAACGGTGACAACAAGTACAATATCAAGGTGCCTTCCATCTATGTCACCAACGGTGGCGGTAAGCCTGAAAAGGTGAGAGCTGAAGACTTGTCCAAGAGATTGGAGACTGAGATCAAGGTCGAACAGATTATTCAGGGCCACACGCCTATGAGAGACTTGGTTCCGCTTTATAAGAACGTTTTGGTTGTCGGTGGTGTCGGTAACGTTTGCAGAAACGTGGCTGAATCTTATGGTTTCACCAACGTCTTCACTCCTTTGGATATTTTGAAGTGGAACCCAGCTGTTTCTCCTTACCACGATTTGACCGAGGAAGAGAAGATCTGCTGCAGAACCGATGTGGACTTTTCAAAGGTGTCGATCGACGCCATTCTCGTGTTTGCAGACTCCAGAAACTGGGCTGCCGACCAGCAAATCATCTTGGAATTGCTTTTATCCAAGAACGGTGTCATGGGTACCGAGTCCAAGAAGTACAACGAGGGCCCAGAGATCTACTTTGCCCACTCTGATTTCATTTGGGCCACCAACTACAAGTTGAACAGATACGGTATGGGTGCTTTGCAAGTGTCCATCGCCGCCTTGTACAGAGAACACACTGGTCTTGAATTGAAGGTCCATAGATTTGGTAAGCCTCAGGCAGGTACCTTCAAGTTTGCCAATAAGGTGTTGAAGAAGTGGAGAAGAGGTATGTTGGACGAGCACTTGAAGAAGCTCAATGTCAACGACCCTAACGCTCTGCAGGCTGATATCTTGATCAACGACGATGGTGAAGAATTCATCAACCAGGCCAAGTTGGACTCTGGTAACTACGAATCCGACGAAGAGAATGCTGATTCCGATGACGAAGAAGGTAAGACGATTGGCAAGTTGGGTGAATTGACTTTGGACGACAAGATCCATTTGCAGTTGCCTCCAGCATCTACAGTTTACTTCGTGGGTGACACCCCAGAATCTGATATCAGATTCGCCAACTCCCACGATGACTCGTGGTTCTCTATTCTTGTCGAGACTGGTGTCTACCAGGCTGGCACTGAACCAAAGTATAAGCCAAAGCACCAGTGTGACAATGTCCTCGAGGCTGTTAAGTTCGCCATCGAGAGAGAGCACGAATTGGAGTTGAAGGAATGGAACGAGACCGCCGACTTCGATGAAGACAGCAAGGTTTCCTCCAAGATCAACTTCAACGACTTTATCATGACGCCTAGCGAAAAGAAGGAGGCCGAAGAGAAGGAGCAGAAGAAGCTCCAAAAGGAAAAGACCAAGAACACAAAGACAGTGGAGGAGTCTGGCGCCATCGAAGTGCCAGAGGGACTCAGTGCAGAACTCGACAAGTTCAAGGGAACCTGAGCCTTTCTCCCGTTTTAATCTCATTAGCATAGAAGTGAATAGCCCAACACCGCGCGCATACATAAATACTGGGGTAGTACGTACTTTGAAAAAAAACATCAACAAACACTGCAACACGTAATGACTGATATCGAACAAATAGGCAAGGGAACGCTGATCCCTCAGGCCAAAGAGGTGTTTGAGAACGTCACAAACACGTCCAATTCCAGTCTCCAAAACCCGGGCAAAATCAAGGAAGAACTCACCCATCTAAAGCAGTTCTTATCGAAACTCAAGTTCCAGTACTTAGAACAAGAAACCAGAGATAAGTTTCTACGGCTGCTACTTATAGACGAAAAGAGCATCTCTAAAGAAGATGTGGATAAGATTGTGGGTGAAAATCAACAGCTCAAACAGTCTTTGAAGCTGCTTAAGAGGGAAATAGAAGCTCTGACTGAACAAGCAGAAAACATGGCCGAAGAGGTTGTTGATTTGAATAAACAGCTTGAAAAGCGTAAAACTGAAGCAAACGAAAGCTTGGCTGAAGTCAATGAGCTCCAGAAAGAGCTAGATCTGTTGATGAGTGAAGGAGAGAACGAGAACTACAAGACGCTATTTAACTTCAAGAAGCTCATTGATTCGGATGATATTGGGCTAAGTGAAGCTATAAGTATAGCCAACAGTGCTGTTGAAAATGACGAGGCCACATTGAAAGAGATTGTGGCGAAACTAGAGACTGCTCAGGCTGAAGCAAGCGACAAGAGAGCTCAGTTGGAGAGATTGGAGCAGCAGACAAAGGAATTGGAGAGCCAGGTTGGCGAGGAAGACGCGCCAGTGGAAATGAACGAACAACAGGAGTACGCTCAAAAGTTGGGTGACATCAAGGCAGCACTCAGTCGGTTTGTGCCTACCAAGAGCTAAAGAAACCTTTATGGATCTAGGAGAGCTAGGACTGTTCTAGATGGGGCTACGGTGGCGTCTGGTGCAGTTACGACCATGAATGCAAGGTGGGTGTGGCTTTGGAAGTCATCAACTGGAGAACCAGTATCTGTCTGATATGTGGTTCGACACGGGTGGGACGATGCAACGGCGACCGCAAGGTTGCCGTTGAACAACCACCATTTTTATCACTTTAAAATGGAAGAAGACTCTTCAGAAGGTTCATCTGACTGCTTTCGGTGCTTCGTGACTTCGATGGTTCTTAGCGGCATTAGTGAGACGATTGTATACCAGAGGAGGAGCAAACCCTACAAGGTATTCCGTTCGAAGCGCTACGGTACTCGTATCTAAGCGGTCTTGACGGTCTCGGACTACCCTTCTCGTTGTTACAGCATGGAAGTGCCATCACTGTGTGCCCCCGCATTTCTGTCTACCTACCGAGGTCAACCCATTTTTCCAGAACCATCAAAAAGAGGAAAACATTGGATTCACTGAACCACCAGCGGCCTTCTACATCTATTTGAACCATTCTAATAATTTTCCACTGGCCCTCCTCCTCCAGTCATCTCCCCACCATATTGGCTGCGAAACGGTTCACCAGCCAACTCCCACCTCCCGCCACCACATCCTCTAATACCTCAAAAATAACCGTTCCACCAAATTCTCCGCCCTTTTTTAACCAACAACCTGCCCTTTTTTCTTCTCCCAAACACCGTCTCTTCGTAATTGCCCTCTTCTTACTGGACCGTAGCACATGCCTCGGTACGCCATACAAACCCCATTATCAACAGAGAGCGAAACAGCGACTACAAGCTTCCTCTTATACTTCTCCCTTTTTTCCCCCTTTTTTCCCCTAGCATGGCCGCCACTTCGGTTCTTCCAGCAGTCAACACAAAATCTCCATTCATCACAAAACCCACTGCAACCAAGGCCACAGAGAAAAACAAGGTAGTTGAAGATCTTCTTAAAATCATCGAGAAGGAGTATAAACTGGGGAACCTGACCATCACCAAAGACAAGTACCAGCAACTTTTAAAGCTCAAACAGGAACAAACAAGGAAACAGAGACTCGCCACTCCTCCTTTACCGCCTCCTTTATACCCACCGATCTTCCATAAGTTCTCTGTTCCCAAGCAAGAACCCCCACAGTCACCAGACCCCAAGAAGTTCCGCAAGAGAAAGCAGAAACTCACGTTTAAGAAAGTCGAACACGTGGTGATTCTGATATTGGAGTCGCTCGCTAACATTCTTGATAACTTACACTTGTTTTCCAAGCTTCCTATGTTTCCAGAGAAGTTGGTAAGTCTATTGAAACACACCAACCGGTTGTGGGTGTTGATTTTGGTTTTCTTGATTCGTAAGACCATTTCCCAGCTTCTTAATTTGATCAGGAAGGAGCGCAAGGTGCACTCGGAATTGTCCATCTTGAAGAACCAGTCCAACTCGAAGCTTTTGGAGGAGACTGATAAGCCTGAAAACGAGAATAATGTGCTCCGGAAGTACGAAAAAGTGCTTAGAGACTTGAAGTTCGACAAGATGATGCTTAGGTTTGAGCTTTTAGGTAACTTCTTGGACTTGGCGTTTAACGTGATTGAGCTTTATGCTATGGTTGTGCCAGACTGGTTTATGAACTTCTTGAACTTCGCCAGCATGGGTATGACTATCTACAGAATGAACAAAGACGACGAGTACGTTGATGACGATATCACTGACGACTTGATCTAGACGACGACGATTTGGTATTTATTTTTGGCTTTTTTTTTTCAAAGTTTGTGAGTTTATGCCGTTATATATAATGATGCTAGGTTTAGTATCAAACAAATTTCACGCCCTTCATTTGAAAGAGGTTGTTAAGGTTGTGGAGAGGGCTGGTCGTGGGGTGATGCTACTCAGTGACAAACTGACGTACGGTCCCAGACTGGCGTATCTCCCCCAAAGAGGTATTGATCTCTTGTTGATCTACCCTCCCTTTCCACCCGAACAACCTAGCTAAGTAGCCTATAATCGTATGAACCATCACGAACCCGATACCATACTTTACATTGCCCTATATACCCTAGCAGCATACATCTACGACCATCCATCCATAACCCTTTACACTGCCCACCCCAAACCAAGACCACCACCAAACAACCCAACTCCCCTTTTTACCCTAAGTATGAGCAAATTAACCCAAACCAACCCTCCTTGGCCCTATCTGCTACTTCCATAAATGGTTGCAAAATAGCTCTACCCTAGCCTCCATCTGCAGTCCATATCAACACCAACCACTGCCCATACTAAATTGCTCGTCTACTACCTCCAACCAAATACACCCATGTTGGCTCAACGCCTAGAAGAATCAACAAAACAGCTCCAGTCTGTGGATACTTGGATCGCCCAGTTTGCCCAATCCATCAAGCCCTCAGACCTTATCGCCCAGGATGTGCCTGAATTCCATAACAAGACGCTTCTACAGCTAGAGCAGAAACACCACGACTCAGCTCTGGCAGTAAGTCACCTTAAGCTGCTCTGGATTGTGAAAAACTTGATCCATGAGCTTCAAGTACTGTTTGACCCTTTGGAAGAAGGTGGATACGTTTGTGATATTACTGAATTGGAGGGGATCTTACAGAACATCAAGAGCTTGAAGAGTAAGATGGGACCGTTCGTGAAGGGGAACTTTATTATTGGCTCGACGCTTCAGGAGTCTTACGATGGGATAATTGAGTCGTATCAGAGTCAATTGGACGTGTTGTTTGGTCAGCATGTGCAGCTGAATGATGGTACGTTTAAGGTGGTTACGGTGGTTTCTGTGAATGAACAGGAACACCTGCTTCGGGACTTTTTGAAGGTGGTGGCTGATTTTGAGAGTTTTACGGGGCAAAGTGCTGTCACGGAGAAACTCAACGATTTGAAGCCGTTGTGGGATAAAAAGCTCTTGGATCCACTTGTCAATAAGAAGAAGTACCTTCTGCTTGTTCCTGAACTGGATACTGAGTTTAGTATTGAACTTGCCGATGCACTTCCGCCAGCACAGTTTCTTTCGCCTTACTACTTTGACTCTGTACGGAACTTTGTTACGTTTGTCAATTTGCTAGAGAACCAGTCGTTTAAGAACTACTACCTGACCAAGGTTAGTAACAATATCGTCAATACCGTTTCGGAAAGCATCGAAGGGTTTATGAAGAATAGAGACCTGCTTTCTGGAGAGTTGGTGAAAACTATCGGGTTGGCTTCGGAATCGGGCTGGAACGTACAGATCTCCAGAGCATTGGGTTCTCTTGATAGAATCGACAGCAGCATAAACAGACTCCACCTAGAATGGGTCACGGATAAGTACATCAACAAGCTACGCGAGTACTTCAACGGGTCGAGCTTTTCCAGTGACCTTCGTTCGCTTAAAGAGGTCGAAATCGAAGTTGAACATCCACCTGAGCCTGAACCTCAGCCTGAACCTCAACCTCAACCTGAGTACATTCCAGAACCTGAACCTGAGGAAGAAGTTGACGATTGGGACCAGCCATGGGGCTCTGACGATGATCAGGCTGCTGAAGAAGACGACGGCTGGGATCAGGACTGGGGTTCTGATGATGGATGGGACGACGACGAGCCCAAGGCCCCAAAGTCCCCAGTCAAGCCTAAGCGAGCTGCACCAGCCACGCCCAAAGCTCCACAACCAAAACAACCAGAACAACCGCAACAACGTGTTTCTATTGACATTGTCACCCGCAGTGCTGTGGTGGAATCTATCCGTGGCATCATTGATGAGTATCTTTCTGAAGTTGGCGACGAAGATCTCAGTGACATCCTTTTTGCTGTATCTGAATTTGCCCTCCTGTCATACCCACCACTTCCCCTGCTGTTTTTGCTTTATAACGACCTTAAAGCTCTTGAGTTTGAGGAAACCACCAGATTTGCTGAGATGCAGTGGAAACACACCAGAATCCAGCTTTTCGGTCAGCTCAATGCATTCTTCAGTGGCATAGATTTCTCCAACGACGATAACATCTCCGATCCTACAGACGATTCTACTGGGATTACTGCTGGAATCACTCAATTCAACGAATGTCTCACCAGACTAGTGGATTCAGATATGGCCAAGACCAACAGAGCCCTTCTTCGAACCACACTTCAAGACTTATCCAACCATGCCAACACGTGGATCGTGAATGGCATCATATCCTCCAAAGAGATTACTGAGTTCCAATGTGAAAAGTTCACCAGAGTGCTTGAAAGTCTAGATGAAGTTGAGGCCCTTGTGCTTGCAAGAGTAGGCGCTGAAAGCAACCGTTTGGCCACCTACAACAAGCTGAAGCAGGCTATCATCCTCGTGAACAACCATCTTACAGATATCATGGAACATTTCTACCAAGGAGACTTTTTCGATTTCTCTACACAAGAGTTGATACTGGTGTTGCAAAGTGTATTCATAACAAGTGATCTAAGAGAGAATTGCATCCAGGAGATTCTCGAAGTGAGAAACAGTTGATGATCAACTGATCGTCTTACCGTCAATGACCTGCTTCCCGGTCTTGGCGATGGTGTTGTACACCGCATCATAGTCAAGAGCGTCGTTGGTGGTGACATCCACAGTTTGCGACTCCAAGGAGATCTTGGTGTCGGTGACGCCGTCCAATTTTCCCAAGGCCTTCAGCACGGAGTTGGAGCAGCCAGAGCAAGCCATTTTCACGTTGAATTGATATTGGTGGGACATTATAGGGATTAGTTGTGGTGGAAAAGTGGAAGAAAAATTGGTGGTTATTGGTGATTACTTATACCCTCCTGCAGAAGATTGCCTGCTGCTACCGCACCGGGTCGGCTTCTCGTAAGCTCCGTATGGAGAGAGGCGTTTTTGCGGCGAGTTTCGGGTAATGCAATGGCGGACTTGCTAATTGGATGAACGGTGGGTGTATTGGTTGAAATTTGGAGAGAGGATGAGATTTGAGGGAAATGGTAACTTATGCGCTTAGAGGGCACATGGATGGAATGAGACGGTGAAGGGTTAAAAAGGCACTAGGTGGTGCCAGAGAGGTAACGAGGTGCTGAAGAACCAAAGTCTACATCTTATGCTTTGTTTCTAAGGTCACAGGTCGTTTTTTGCTCGGTTTTTGAGCCCAATGATAATGACCGCTTCTCGGGCACTTCTTCACCCAAAAGACAGCTACAATGGCCGTAACGGCTAGTCACATGGAATTGAGCTATCCAAGGCTTTTTAAGCCTTCCTATGCTCATCTTGCGTCGCTGGAGCCTACCTTCTCCCAAAGCACAATTGTCGTCCTACATCCACAAATCCCCCACAAGCCCCAAGGCTCTACCAAAACAAAGCCTAACCAGTCAAACCCCTAATTCACTTAATCCAACAGTGTGCTTTCCCTGCCTGCCTTTCTACGTCGCTTCAAAGAACCGTCCAAATCCAACACACTTGCATAGATGCATTTCCACACATACACCCACAGGAAGCCGTCAAAAGGTGCAGAAACTACGGACGTTCCAAATAGAAGAATTTCAGAAGCTTATTTCTCGAAATAAAAACCTCCACAAGGCTACCTTCACCTGTTGCAACCGCTGCCAATTCGTCCCCTTCAATTCCACATTCCAGGGATCTGCGGTCATTCCATACAAAAATCCACCTTCCTACACTTGCTCATTCTCTCCAAACCCACCAATTCCCACCTCTCAACTCTCCAAAACCGTAAACTTCTATCCTATAGACGCCTTACGTCAGTGCTCCTATAGAAGGGGCCTGTCCTGCGCCGTGCATTGACAATCCTTCTCTGACAGGCCGTTACTGCGACCGAAGCCTACCCGCAACACCCCACCAATCTGCCCTACCTAAGGTTCAATCACGTTGATATTAAAAACTGGCGCCAAAACCGAAGTTTCTGATTCTCGTCCATTTTTCAGAATCTTCAAATTCCCTCTCCTTGTCGAGATACGCCAACACTGTCTTCCACACACTGGCTGCGAAACCAACCTCCATAACACCCACACCAGAACCACCAGAACCCCAATATCAACCCAAAACCAACCAAACCCAACCACCAAATAACCTTCGCTTTATTATGTTTCTCTATAAATTCATCTACCAAAAAGCCTTGCCAGCCTACTTTCCCTCCCTCCTTTCCTTCCTCCCTTCTGCCAAAACCTTCCGTCATATCTTCCTGCCCCTGGTGGCGTGCACATGCCCTATCATACCGCTTATCGCCTCAGTTGCAACTACTACCTTCTTTTCCCCATGTTTGGTATTTTCAAGTATGTGTGCGTCCAATCCAACCCATTCACCGTCCATTACTAACCAACCAGCTCCTTTGTAGGCTCCATCTACCCCGTGTTCGCCTCCTATAAGGCCTACGACGATTACGCCCGTGTGGCGTCTCTGTCTGCTGCTTCCTCGGTCCAGATAGGCAGCGTTTCCATCCCATTGGGCACAATGCTTAAACGTGCTACTGCTGGCGCCGATGGGTCTGTTGAGGAAGACTACTTGAACTCGCGTTTGCTTACGGTCCAGATGTGGTTGATTTATTGGATTGTCCATGTGAGCATTGGCGTGGCCGAGCTGATGCTCTTCTTGACGTGGTTGCCGCTCTACTCGCTGTTTAGACTTCTTGTGTCTGCGTGGCTCATTCTGCCTATTGTGTTGAGCTCGTTGCGTCTTAACAGAACCAAGGCATTGACGCCTGCTGAGGTGCAACAGGAGTGGGTTGGTTTCTCCAGCCAGGGCTGCGGGCTCGTGTACTTCCAGTACCTCAAGCCGCTTTTCGACGACCAGCTTAAGGCGCTTGTCAACTTTAACTTTGAACCTTTGCTCAATTCGTTTGCTCGCTTTTCGGGCGCCTCGACCATCTTTTCTTATGCTGGCTCGCTTCTTTTGAAGAACCTGTTCCTGACCCAGAGAGGCGTGCCCGCTGATGCTCCTCCTGAATCACAGACTGCTTCTCCTGGCAGAGACGACGCGTTCCGCAATGCCGCTCAAAACGCCGGCTTTGGCGCTGCCGCTGGCCATATCCAAAACTTCTCCAACCTTGCCAAAAATTTCCAGGGCAAGCCTGAACCTTCGAAGGAAGACTTGGCCGACTACGATATGGTAAACACGCCATCCCCGTCTCCTCCAGATGCCCAGGAAGGTGTCAAGCAGAGAAACACCTCAGGCAGCAAGGAGAAGAAGCTGTGGTGGTAAATAGAGGGACCGGGCATGGTCTGCTGCTGCTTTTTGATCTTTTTGTTTCGTGTCTGGTTTCTATGGCTGTTGCACTATATACAATGTATTTAATCTGCCTTACAAATTCAACAACTTGGCGACAGCAGCTCTGTCGCTCTTATGCTCTTCGGCGGTGGTGATGTGGTCCACCTTAGCCTTCAATGCCTTCTGCGATTTGGCAGAGACGAACGCATTAGGCAATTGTGGCTTGTTGTAAAGACCTTCAAAAGCGTCCACTGGCATATCCTTATTACTTTCACCCTCAAATCTAATCTTGTAAGACATCTGCTGCCTTTCTTGTAAATTCTCGGGATCTTTCTGGTCTTCAGTCATGTCTGGCCACACAAATGGCTCCTCCATATCAATAGTCATTTTCTTAAACTGTGGACTTCTGTGGCGAGCATAGTCGTTCATACCACGGCGCCACGAAGCTGGGGCTAGCTGAACAGTGACGTTAAGCGCTCTCAAGCCGTAGACATGCCAAAGGTAATCTCTCAAATCAAGCTTGTTGAAGTTACGTGGAACAAGGAAACGGGCCTGGTACGGCGTATGCTTGGCCAAGGGACGCAAGAGAATCACTCTGGCCTTGGGAAAGTAAACCTTCTTCCCACCAACCTTGAAATGAGGAAGTCCCATGGCCACCTCTTCCTGGAATCTTTCATAGTTTCTGCGGGCAATCTGGTCACTGTTGCCTCTGTGCTTTCTAGGGACTGGCTTTCCCCTCTTCTTGTATAACTCCTTAATCACTGTGGATGGGAAAAGGGTATTTTTCACTGTCTGGGAGAGAAGTGGCTTTCTCTTCCTACGGAAACCATGCCTCAGGGGATGGAGCTCAACGTCCTTGACGTTCACCTTTGGATAAGCCTTAGGCAGCATTCTGTGGTGCACAAAACGCTTGGCTGTAAGAGCCATGCCTTCCATGGCTCTGGTAAGGGAGTTCATGGTGGTTGAAGGATTTCTTGTAAGTGAAAGATTTTTGAGCAGTCTGTGAGTATTTTGAAAAGTGGTCATCTGACTCTTGATCACGTGTGTTGATAGTGGTCGTGTGCGACCCACAAAACACCCATGCGAAAATATTCAAAGGCGACAAACATCCAAAAAACCCAGACAGCCAACCCATCCTTCCACCCCCTTTCCCTTCCCTTTCTCCCAAATGTCCACTCCCCCCGTCACGGACGATCCGTATGCATACGAGGAAGACGACAACAGCATCACGCCAGAGGATTGCTGGACGGTGATCTCGTCGTTTTTCCAGGAAAAGGGCTTGGTGTCGCAACAGTTGGACTCTTTCGATGAGTTCATCGAGTCGACCATCCAGGAGCTTGTTTGGGAAGACTCGCATTTGATTTTGGACCAGCCGGCCCAGCATACGTCGGAAGACCAGTATGAGAACAAGCGGTACGAGATCACGTTTGGCAAGATTTATATCTCCAAGCCTACGCAGACTGAAGGTGATGGTACCACGCATCCTATGTTCCCACAAGAAGCTCGTTTGCGTAACCTTACGTACTCTTCTCCTTTGTATGTGGATATGACGAAGAAGAAGTTTAAGTCGGATGACAGAGTGCGTAAGGGCACTGAGCTCGACTGGATCGAAGAGAAGGTGGAGAACGAAGATGCCCAGACCAAGGTTTTCTTGGGTAAGGTGCCTATCATGTTGCGGTCGAAGTTTTGTATGTTGCGTGATTTGGGCGAGCACGAGTTTTATGAGTTGAAGGAGTGTCCTTACGATATGGGTGGTTACTTTGTCATCAACGGTTCCGAGAAGGTGTTGATTGCTCAGGAGAGATCTGCCGCCAATATCGTTCAGGTTTTTAAGAAGGCTGCTCCTTCGCCTATTTCTCACGTTGCCGAGATTAGATCTGCCCTTGAAAAGGGTTCTCGTTTGATCTCTTCCATGCAAATAAAGCTTTATGGTAGAGATGACAAGGGAACCTCTGGCAGAACCATCAAGGCCACTTTGCCATACATTAAGGAAGATATCCCTATTGTCATTGTGTTTAGAGCGCTTGGTGTGGTTCCTGATGGTGATATTTTGGAACACATCTGTTACGATGCCAATGACTGGCAAATGTTGGAGATGTTGAAGCCATGTGTGGAGGAAGGTTTCGTCATCCAGGAGCGTGAAGTTGCTCTTGATTTCATCGGTAGAAGAGGTGTCTTGGGTATCCGTAGAGAAAAGCGTATTCAGTACGCTAAGGATATCCTTCAAAAAGAGCTTTTGCCTAACATCACCCAGGAGGCTGGTTTCGAGTCCAAAAAGGCTTTCTTCTTGGGTTACATGGTAAACAGATTGTTGTTGTGTGCCTTGGAGAGAAAGGAGCCCGATGACAGAGATCACTTTGGTAAGAAGAGATTGGACTTGGCCGGTCCTTTGTTGGCCAGTTTGTTCCGTCTTCTCTTTAAGAAGTTGACTAGAGATATCTACAACTACATGCAGAGATGTGTTGAAAACGATAAGGAGTTCAACCTTACTCTTGCTGTTAAGTCACAGACAATCACAGATGGTTTGCGTTACTCTTTGGCTACTGGTAACTGGGGTGAACAGAAGAAGGCCATGAGCGCCCGTGCCGGTGTGTCCCAAGTGTTGAACCGTTACACATACTCCTCCACATTATCTCACTTGAGAAGAACCAACACTCCAATTGGTCGTGATGGTAAGATCGCGAAGCCAAGACAATTGCATAATACACACTGGGGTCTCGTGTGTCCCGCCGAAACTCCTGAAGGTCAAGCGTGTGGTTTGGTCAAGAACTTGTCTTTGATGACATGTATCTCTGTCGGAACTGCCTCTGAGCCTATCCTTTATTTCTTGGAAGAATGGGGTATGGAGCCATTGGAGGACTATGTCCCATCCAACTCCCCTGATTGTACCAGAGTGTTCGTTAACGGTGTCTGGGTCGGTACGCATAGAGAACCAGCACAGTTGGTTGACACCATGAGAAGATTGAGAAGACGTGGTGATATCTCACCAGAAGTCTCGATTATCAGAGATATCAGAGAAAAAGAATTCAAGATCTTTACTGACGCTGGTCGTGTCTACCGTCCATTGTTCATCGTTGATGACGATCCAGAGTCCGAAACCAAGGGTGAGCTTATGTTGCAAAAAGAACATGTGCACAAATTAATGAACTCGGAATACGATGAGTTTGAAGATGATCCTCTGGCAAACCACTACACCTGGTCTTCTTTGGTGAATGACGGTGTTGTTGAATACGTGGATGCCGAGGAAGAAGAAACCATCATGATTGCCATGACCCCAGACGATTTAGCAGCTTCCAAGAGTTCCTTGTCGGAGACACAGCACAAGAGTTTACAAATGGAGGAGCAAGATCTTGATCCAGCCAAGAGAATCAAGCCCACCTATGTTTCTTCAACGCATACCTTCACCCATTGTGAGATTCATCCTTCGATGATTCTTGGTGTTGCTGCTTCCATTATTCCATTCCCAGATCATAACCAGTCTCCACGTAACACTTATCAGTCTGCTATGGGTAAGCAAGCTATGGGTGTTTTCTTGACAAACTATGCTGTCAGAATGGATACAATGGCCAATATCTTGTACTATCCTCAAAAGCCACTTGCCACTACTCGTTCCATGGAGTTCTTGAAGTTCCGTGAGTTGCCTGCTGGTCAAAATGCTATCGTTGCTATTGCATGTTACTCTGGTTATAACCAGGAAGATTCGATGATTATGAACCAGTCGTCGATTGACAGAGGTCTTTTCAGATCTTTGTTCTTCAGATCTTACATGGATTTGGAGAAGAGACAGGGAATGAAGGCTTTGGAGACTTTTGAGAAGCCATCCAGATCCGATACCTTGAGATTGAAGCACGGTACTTACGAAAAATTGGATGACGATGGATTGATCGCTCCTGGTGTTAGAGTCAGTGGTGAAGATATCATCATTGGTAAGACCACTCCAATTCCTCCAGATACTGAGGAGTTGGGTCAAAGAACACAATACCATACCAAGAGAGATGCATCTACACCATTGAGAAGTACCGAGTCTGGTATCGTTGACCAGGTCATGTTGACAACTAACGGTGACGGTGCCAAGTTCGTCAAGGTCAGAATGAGAACGACCAAGGTTCCTCAGATTGGTGACAAGTTCGCCTCCAGACACGGTCAGAAGGGTACTATTGGTGTCACTTACAGACACGAAGACATGCCTTTCAGTGCTCAAGGTATTGTTCCAGATTTAATCATCAACCCCCATGCTATCCCATCCCGAATGACAGTTGCGCACTTGATTGAGTGTTTGTTGTCGAAGGTTTCGTCCTTGTCTGGTTTGGAAGGTGATGCTTCTCCTTTCACCGATGTCACTGCCGAAGCTGTCTCCAAGTTGTTGAGAGAGCACGGATACCAGTCCAGAGGTTTCGAGGTCATGTACAATGGTCACACAGGTAAGAAATTGATGGCACAGGTCTTCTTTGGTCCTACTTACTACCAGAGATTGAGACATATGGTGGATGACAAGATTCACGCAAGAGCCAGAGGTCCCGTCCAGGTGTTGACCAGACAGCCTGTCGAAGGTAGATCCAGAGATGGTGGTTTGCGTTTCGGAGAGATGGAGAGAGATTGTATGATTGCTCACGGTGCTGCCGGATTTTTGAAGGAGAGATTGATGGAGGCCTCGGATGCTTTCAGAGTTCACGTTTGTGGTATCTGTGGTTTGATGTCTGTCATTGCCAACTTGAAGAAGAACCAGTTCGAGTGCCGCTCTTGTAAGAACAAGACCAACATCTACCAGATCCACATCCCATACGCCGCCAAGTTGTTGTTCCAGGAGTTGATGGCCATGAACATCTCGCCAAGATTATACACCGAGGGATCAGGCATCAGCGTGAGAGTATAGGGAGAAAATTAGCTTGTATTATAAACATTACAAAAGGAATAAACGGAAAACAGAATACCAGTAGATGGCGCTGAGCCATTTACAAAACCCAGTAGCAGATGGCACGCCATCTCCTGAACCTACACCTCATTCTAATCCATGCTTACTATTTACAACCTATGTCATCCTTGTTCTTACTCGCCAAGGTACTTTCTTCTGAGCTCAGCAGAAACAGCTTCCTGGCGCTGCAACTCAGCGAGCTTCTCCTTCATTGCAGGCACCTCGTCGGCGTGTGCAATCAAATTCTCACGGTATGGGTGTTCGTGGCCATCAAAAACCTTAAGTCTATCCATTCTCGCAAGCCTAAGCTTGTTCTTAGGAATCATACCCTTGACAGCTCTCTTCAACACCTCACCATAACCCTTATTGGCGATCATTCTCTCCATAGGCACAAGCTTCAACGAACCTGGTCTTCCCGTATGCGACCAGTACGTCTTGTCGGTCATCTTATTACCTGTCACCTTCATATGGGCACAGTTGGTCACCACCACATAGTCACCATGGTCTCTGTTGGGAGAAAAAGTAGGCTTATGCTTACCCTGTAACGTCAACGCTATACTGGCCGCCAAACGACCCAACGTTCTAGGATCAGCCGCCATGTCCACGTGGTGCCACACCCTCGTTAGGGCAAGCGTGGAGTTACCTATTCTTTGGGACATTACTAACTATAACAGTTGAAAGGTTGATGGAGGGTGAAAAAAATGCGACACTGGATGGAGACTAAAAGTGTAAGTGTAGTGAGTGTACAGGAACCTCACCAGAAAGTGAAAATACTGCTACCGTCTAAAAGCTCACTCCCACCAGGTCCAAGCGGTTTAGGAAGAAGCAGACATCCGTTGATCATGTTTTTTCTTAAAGACCTCTCGTTGAACTTGACGCTCCATCCGTCGTACTTTGGCACGCAGATGGACCAGTACTTGCGAGATAAACTTCTTCTGGACGTTGAGGGTACATGCACAGGTCAGTTTGGCTACATTGTGTGTGTTTTGGATTGTATGAATATCGACGTGGGCCGGGGCAGGATCATCCCGGGCTCGGGAATGGCTGAGTTTGAGGTGAAGTACCGGGCGGTGGTGTGGAAGCCGTTTAAGGGTGAGGTTGTGGATGCTGTGGTGACCACGGTGAACAAGATGGGTTTTTTTGCTGACGTGGGGCCCTTGTCTGTGTTTGTGAGTACCCACTTGATTTCTTCGGATATGAAGTTCAACCCTTCGGCGAATCCACCGGCTTACGTGAGTCCTGATGAGACTATAGAGAAGGGGTCTCGTGTGAGGTTGAAGATTGTCGGTACGAGAACCGACGTGAACGAGATCTATGCTATTGGTTCGATCAAGGAGGACTACTTGGGACCCAGTCCTTTGTAATTTTTTTGGGGCACTACTGTGTATTATAATGTTCTTAGAAACATGTCCCCAACAGTCAAAACAGTCTACACTCAGAAAGTTCATTTCCCGCCCTTTGTACATTATGTGCTTCTAGCACCATGAAATATAAAATTATTCGTCTGGCTCTATAGAATGCTTTTATTTTCTCTTTTAGTCGTCAAGCTCTATGATTTGTGAGGAATTGATTTCGCTGGGGTCAAACTTTTTCAGTCCTTGTCTGTTGAGTCGTTTGTTCCATGAACGTTCTGATGATGAGTTCAGTATAGACCGCTTCTTCCCACTAGGCGTTTCGATTGACATTTGCTCGATTCGGCTGTCAATAGGTGATGTACTGTCTCCGTTGTGTTGTTCTTGTACACGGTTGGCTTCTGGAGTTGCTTGTGGTGCAGTTTGAGCTGGTTGTGGCCTTTCACTTTCTGTGTTAGCGGCAGCAGCAGCAGCAACTTTGGCAAATGGACTTCTTGATCTTAGGATGTTACCAGAAACTTCAATGCCCAATACACCTCGTATCTTTTCTAATGCATCTTCTTCAGTCAACACATCAAATGCAGATCTAGAATAATTCTCACTTCTTGCCGGTTGTGGATGAGCTGTAGGAGCAGACAGCCTGCCTTGTTCAAGTTGAGTCTTCTCAGATGGCTTTTCAGGAAGCGATTCAGCCTTGTTTGTAGCAACTTGAGCTTTAGGCGGTCCATCGTTTCTCACTATAATAGTTGGGCCCGAAGGCTTCTCTTGAGCTCCATTATTGTTTGAACTCGTCTGCTCTGTGGTCTTCTGTGGCTGATCTCCCAGCTGCTTTGAAGTATTTAATGGACTCACGGACACAACGCTGCTCTCATTGCCTTGGAGATCTCTATTAAGCTTGAACTGTTGATTCACCACTCGCTGTTCAGAAGGTGCAGCTGGCGCAGCTGGGGCAGCCTTGTTGCTTGTATCGCTGGTGGCCGATTCTTGCGGTCTTTCATTTGAACCATGAGCTGATTGAGCTTGGGAAGGACCGTTACTACTTGGACGACTTGGAGTGGTAAGCGGAGGGCTGGATGACTGTGGAAGCGAAGGTCTGACTGGAATACCACTGTTATTTGGAGGATTCTGACTTGGATTGAGTGCCATTCTGTTGTAGTTATTGATAAGGGAAGATGACGTCAGAATAAGTTGGCGGTACCGCTCAGCAATGGCATTTTGACGATTATTCTCAGAATTATCGCTACCAACGTTTCCAGTTGAATGATGCTGCAGTTGGAGTGATGGTCTTTTGTCGGTTCCACCATTTTCAGAATCCAGTGGACGTTGCGGGATTGACAGAGTTGATCTTGCCCTCTGCTCAAAGCTATTAGTCTTCTCATTGGCTTGTGTTCCTTCGCCTGGAATACTGGAAGCAGAATCAGAGGCAACCACCACTGGCGAACTGCCGCTGTGAGATCCATTCGAATCCCCTGTCTGAAGTGGTACAGGGCCCGGCTTTTCCATTGCCGTTGATTGGGCTGAACCAGCTGGTTCTTGTTGAGCTTCGTCAGCATTACGAGACTCCGAGCCAGTCCTATCAGTCAGTTCGCCAACAGCTGTAGTTCTATTTGTCTGATCCAGTTGAGGCGACGAGGGTTTCGTAGGTGGTTTCGTACTGTCAGCTCTTTGTTCTTCGCCGTTGCTCTTGGCAGCTGCGTTAGGTGTGCCATTATTGATTCTCCATCCGAAAACAGGTTTAGGAGCCAGTGGATGGAGTGGGAGCATGTTCTGGTTGTTCACAATTGGCTGAGGATTCATGTATGGCAGGAGAGAAGGCCGTCCGATCTCAGATGCATTTGATGGAGCAGCAGACCCATTCTCGGTTCCACTTCCACTTGCACTTGCACTTGCACTTCCACTCGCATTTCCACTTCCATTGCTTTGTGGCCATCGTGGTTGGAAAGCTTCTCTTGAAACAGGCAGAGCATTCTGACGTAACCCCGGAGTCAACGTGTTAATCGAAGGTAATCTTGTAACACCTTGTTGCAGAGTATTCCCGGGCGCAGGAAGCACAGGCGAACCTTGATGAGATACCGAAGGAGACACATGAGATGATGCCAGAGTAGATCTATTAGAAACCAGAGGGGGACTCATGTGCACATCTCTTGAACGTGGATCTGGTTGTGTCGCTGTCCTCAATGACGGTAGAGAAGGACGAGCCTCCGAGCTCAGATCATGTTCGTCTGGTATGACAGGTGCCTTGCGACGACGATGCTGGATAAGAGGCACATCATCAGGAGTATCATGACGATTAGCAAGCGGTTCATTGTCAGAAGACAAATCCTCCACTTCCACTGGTTTCTCTTGTGCGTTACCATTCCAGTTACTTTCTGAGGTAAGAGCTGGAGGTAATGGAAGGCTCTGGTTAGGACCACGCGCTTGAGGAAACGACGACGAATATTGAGGCTGAGGAAGTTGAGGTCTTCCATTGCCTTGATTTGGTGGCAGCTGGTGGGATGGAGGTGGCAGGGCATGGCTGATAGGTGGAGTACGGTGGAAACCTGGGGCATCATTCCTGCCATTGGCTGGACTTCCACCTAAACTGTTCAAAGCACTAAGACCAGTACGAGCACTCAAATTACTCATTGCACTTCTTCCGCTCATTCCACTCATTCCACTCTGGGCGCTCATACCGCTCATTCCGCTATTGGCACTCATGCCGCTCATTCCACTGTTTCCACTTAAACCGCTTAATCCACTCATTCCACTCATACCACTTGCATTACTGGCAATACTACCAGTCCTTCCGTCATTACGCCAAGAAGAAGGTTGCATGACAGGGGAATTCATTCTGTTAGGATTTGATGGAGCTGGACGCTGAGAATGGCCCGATGCATCTGAAGCTGTAGATGCCACGGATGCGTTGGATGGTCTTCGATGCTGCTGAGAAAGATGTCTTTGAACATTTTCATTCGTTGTGTGATGCTGACGCTGGTACAGTGGTTGTGGTTGTCCTTGATTTGATTGCACTTGCGGTGGAGGACGGAACTGGTTCGAAGGACTTGGCTGTAGTTGTGGAGAATGTTGCGCCGATCTCTCAGCTGGTTTTGGTGGCTCTGAAGATTGAGCTTGCGGTGGGGGAGGAGGAGAAGCTTCGTCCTCGCTGTCACTATCTAGGGAGATCACTTCAATCGATTCATTAGGTTCAACTGATTTTTCGGATGCTGGAGGAACTGAAGCGGCCGCACTGGGGCTTTTTGGAGGAGCAGCTGGAGATTCATTCTTTGGATTCACATCTCCTTCCGTTTGAATTGCCCATGAACCATCAGTATTAAGCATGACAGTGTCAACCTCTTCAGAAGTCTTCAGTAGAATATCTTTCATGTAATCCAGAACGGCAAGCAGATTTTGGTCTATTTGAGCCGAACAGACAGGGCAGATCCAAGAAGGGATCCGCTCTTGCATCGTAAGGAATGACAAACCATCAAAACATTGGACATGGTCGCATGAGGTGGATTTCATCGGGTGCTTCATTCTCGCATATGTTAAAGGACATCGTAGAGAGATGGAAGAAGTATCCATGACAATATCATCATCCTGATTCAGCTCGTAATCACGCTGAATAGCTCTGGTAGTGACCTCCAGAGGAATATGGCTCCCTCCGTTTTCTATCAGTTCCACCAATGTCTCGGGTGTCTTAGCATGCACAATGTACATGTAAAGGATATATGGCTCCATAGCATCTGAGTATACGATATTCACAGTAAACTGTCTTCGGAGATTATTGACATACTTTGTCAAGTCTGCTGGACGGCAAGTGCCTGGTTTACCCTTGAGACCCTTCACGTACTGTTTTGTATTAATGCCATCGACGTGGATCTCGATTGGAGGAAACTGGATAGGTGTCTTTGCAGGGTTCGGCGTGGACGAAAGGCCAGAGAATAAATACAAGCGGGCGTCCGGTTGCAGTTGTAGAAGCTCGATCTCCTCGGGGTTCAAGCTGACAGGAACGTTACACACATTTCTGCCTTTGGAAGCAACCATCATATATGGAAAGCCATGCACCATTCGTATTAGCTGGTAGAACAACGTGCTAGGGAAAAGGAGCATGGGTCCCGTATAGCGTGGATAATATAATGAGCCGTGCAGAGTGTTCCCTGATGAGTAGCCTCCAGCCATAGGATGGTTCGATGGACTCTGCTGAGGAGGTACTTTACGCTGTGTAACCTGGCCCATACCCGACGTAAGGCGAGTGTTCTGCTGGATATTCTGCTGCAGCAACTGCTGAAAGTCTATAAGCCCCAGTTGAAGCGCATGGCAAAGATTATGGAAGTCTGGCACTGGGTCATGGTTGAGCATCTTAAGCACCACAGATCTGATCGCTAGAAGCCGTATATTCTCGCCAGCAGCGTAGCACGACCGTGTATATTGCTCTAGGCGGTCCAAAAGATCCTGTTTCTTCCCCTTGAGGGCCAACCCAACCGACTTGCAGAGGTCCTTGAGCTGGGACACTTTCAAAAGTCGAAAGAACGTAAGAGTACTTTCAAACTCCATCGCAGACAACGCCAGCCGCAGTTGCAACGTGCTGCTCAGAGGCTGGCTCATCTTGGCTGCTTATATAAAGTGGGAAAAAGGGGATATAAGGGTTTCTTCCAGCCTTTTTGGCGTGGGGTCAATATGTGGTTTTTGCTATATAGTAGTGTTTGGGTGAGTGTATATGGATTAGTAGATGGCAGCGTACTGCACGGAAGAGGCTTCTTTCTGTGGCATGGATGGATCGATGAGTTTAGTAGTTTGGTGGTTTTTGGTGGTTTTGGAGGATTTGGGTGGTTTTAGGGAGTTTGCTTATTTTAACGGTTTTTTTATTTTTATGGTTTGCCGTTTTTGGAGGCTTTTGATGTCTTGGTTGCAAATCGCAGATTCACGCAAAAAACGTGAATTTGCAGCAAGTAAAGTGAAAGTCATGAAAAGTCATGAAATGGTAAAAAAAAAATAAAAAAAACCGTTCATACCAAAACTAACGTAGGTGATGTGAATTTAAAAAATATTTTGTTTTCTATTTAAATGCTACTTCAAGTATCTCTACTTCTTGTATCAAAGTGGTATCTCTGCGAGCAATGGTTCACTTCCTACATTCATTCAAGAACAGCGTCTTTGTTATTATTTCTGGACGGAACACCGTCCCATGACTGTTTCTATATCTATGTTACATTCTCTCCACAGGAGTCAAGCCCAACAACTTCATACCGTTGTTCAACACCTGTTTGGCAGAGGCATACAATGCCAATCTAGCAGTAGCCAACTCCTCTTCCTGGCCAGCAACCCACAAGATATCGTAACACTGAGAAACAATATGGGTAAGGTTGAACAAGTAAGTGACAATGGCAGATGGTTCGTTGGTCTTCAAGGCCTTCTTGATGGCATCTGGGTATTGGGCCAACACTCTGACCAAAGAGGCAGCGCATGGCTCGGTCAACAAGTCAAAGTTGGCGTTTTGCAACTTCTCTTCAGAGATGTTGGCCTTTCTTTGCATGGAGCTCAAACGAGAGTGAGCGTATTGCAAGTATGGACCGGTGTCACCTTCAAACGAAAGCATTCTGTCCCACTTGAACTCGTAGTTGTTGATTCTCTTAGCTTGCATATCCTGGATCATCACAGCGGAAATACCAACCAAATCGGCAACCTTCTCTGGGTCCTCGATCTGCTCGTATTTGCTCTCGTTTCTCTTCATCACTTCATGCATCTTGTCCTTGGTTTCCTCCAAGATGTTGTCCAAGAAGACAACAGTACCCTTTCTGGTGGACATACCCTGGACCATACCGAAGTTCACGTGCTCCAAGTTCTTGGCCCAATCGAAGCCCATCTGCTTCAAGATCTCGAAGAACTGAGCAGTGTGCAAGTCTTGCTGGGAAGCAATAACATAGATCATCTTGTCGAAGTTGAACAATTCCTTACGTCTGATGGCCTCACCGACATCTCTGGTCAAATAAAGAGAGGTACCGTCGGACTTCTCAACAAGACACTTGCCCAACTTCTTGTTGAACTTAGTCAAGTCAATGAGCTTAGCGCCCCTGTCCTCGTGGATCAAGCCCTTCTCGGTGAAGATCTTGGTAACGTTCTTCATAGACTCCTGGGAAACCTGGGACTCACCAGAGTAAGTGTCGTAGTTAATGTTAAGACGACCATAAGTGTCAATGTACTTCTCAATGGACAACTCTCTGAACCTCTTCCAGATCTTCAAAGCGTTCTCATCGCCGTTCTCCATGCTTCTGAAGTACGCTCTGGCCTTATCGTTAGTACCGCCTTCAATCTCGCCCTCTTCAGTGATGTCCTTGTTTACCTTCACGTAAACTTCAAACAAGTGGTTGATTGGGTCAGAAGCCAACTTCTCCTCGTCACCGTACTTCTCGAAACCAACAGCCAACAAACCAAACTGTTTACCCCAGTCTCCAAGGTAGTTGACTCTCTTGACGTCCCAGCCAGCCTTTTCGTACAAGTTGGACAAGAAACCACCAATGATAGTGGATCTCAAGTGACCAGCGTGGAATGGCTTAGCGATGTTAGGAGAAGAGAACTCAATGACAACCTTCTTACCCACGCCAAGAGGCAAGTAACCGTACTCGCTGGTTCTGACCAACGAATCCTTCACCACAAGGTTAAAAAGAGTCTTTGGCTCAAAGAAAAACTGCAAGAACTGGCCCTCAGCCTTAACGTCAGAGATAAAGCCACCCTTGTTGAACTTTTCAGCGATTTCAGCAGCCTTGGCCTTGAAATCCGTGCCCTTAGGAAGCCTCAATCTAGGCAATGGAACAAGCAAGTCACCCTTTTCCATGACATTGGGCTGGTCCAAAGCAGGGAAAATCACATCCTTGGCGATGCCAGTGATGGAGTGCACTTCGTCAGTAATGTAGTTTCTCATCACATCCACAACATTGTAGTCAGGATGGGAGGCCTCCGATGGAGCCTCAGTCTGTTTGAGTCCCAACGAGGCCAACGATTGTGTAATGGTGTTTACCGACATTCTTCGTTGTTGAGTGTATCTGGGTAGGTGATGTAGAAGAGACCTGATATACATAAGGAAATTTTTCTGAGAGTGCAATGGCTTTCGCGGTACGACTGAGTCATTTCTGGGGGACGAGGAGGGAAGGTGGAAACAAGGTTTTATGGGGCATGGGTGGTTTGGGGAGGGTATAAACGTGGGGAGATGGAAGTTGGGGGATTAAAGTGGTTTTTGGGGGACAGAGGTGGGGGATATTGGGGGATGTATTGGAGGGTGGTGGAGTCTACGCATTGCACTGGGTGCAAAATGGAACTGTGTCAAGCGATGAGATGAGGAAGTGGAAAGAGGATGTGGAAAGAGAAAGTGAAAAAGTGAAGGAAAGAGTTTTAGTGAATTTTAAGGTGTTTTCTGTTTATTAAATAAGAAAGAGATTTTTGGGTTTAAGAAATTGGGTAGTTAAATGGTGAATTGGTGGACTGGTGGACTGGTATGTGGTATTCCTTATCTAAGCGCTGTGACTAATGGGTAACACTTTCCACGCAAGAGTTATCCAAGTGGGTGATTCAGTATGACCGGAATGGAAGTGGATTAATTATTTGTGATTTTAATTGCTTGGATGGTTTTTTATTAAAGTTATATTGGCTTTAGTGGTCCTAGTTACTGGAAATTGTCGCTTTACAGCGCATCCAGGTAAGTGTCTCTTCTAACTGGCGCAATGATAAAAGTATTTTCAATTTGCGTTTTTCGGTAACCTTCTTCTTGAGTAAGTAACTGTCTTCTTGAGTAGGCAACAAGAAGTATAAATGGTTACACTCATCAGCAACAAAATCAACCAAAGCACGCTAATATCTGGACCAAATCAAAGCAAAAGTCAGAACCGTGGTATAACCTACCATATTTCTTTCCTAACCACCAAACAACCGTAACTTAACGCAAGTATGCCCTCTCAAACACCTCCGTCATTTGGTCTCTCTGGGGCCACGTCGGAAGATAACTTTCCCTTACATCAAGAATTAAGTTATTCCTATAACTCATCTTCCTTGAAATGAATCTTAGGACGAAAACATAATGAAGAGTCTGATAAACAGATATCAAAAATAAAATAACACTCACTGCTGTCACAGGTGAATTGGTATCTTTGTAGCTTTTCCTCTGGGTTACAACAACACATGCTAAACGTAGTCCCATATGTGCTGCCTGCTCTAGTGCACAAAGCAGAATAGCTCTATAGATGCCAGGGGTCAACTTTTTCGAATTGGACAAAATATACCGATAAATGATAGGCGTTACCTGGTTGTTAGTATTGTAATGAGATAAGATAGATAGAAGCACAACGTACGTCAACCATGCCGAGTATGAAGGCAATGAATAGAAGCTTAACGGAACGTTCATAAGTTACAGCACAAAGTACAATCCTTAGAAAGTAGCACAGGAAAAATGGAATGTCTGCGTCTATGAGCTTTCGGCTAATGTCAACATCTCTGTATGGGTTTTCAGCATACGTTGATGGCCAGTTGTCGACGACTGCTCCTAAGCTGCTGTATTCTTCTTTTGGGTTGATGGGTGGGAGGTTCATATTTGGCTAGAGAAGGTTCCAAATCAATCGTGTCTGGATTATATAGAAAGCAGGTTTCAGTCAGCCAAAAGAGGTATCCATAAAAGGAAAGAATAGAGGGAAATTAGAGAAGCAATGTGCCACTGGTAGAGAAGCGCTGATCAAGAAAAAGGCAATTCTTAAAAGAGTAACTTGGCGGCCGCAAGAATGGCCGTGTCTTCTTGTTTTAGAAAGATCAGGAAATATTAATTGGCTATAGGAAACTTCAAGCCTTAACGAAACTGATCACGTATGTTTCCAGTAGATGCGCAAAAAGTGTTGCCGAGCCAGCCGATATAAATGACGTAGTCACATATTGATCAATAATATACGGCAAATTCGAATTGTTTCCGTATTTAAGGTGATATGACGTCGTGTCTATATGAGTCCTCCTCAGTGGCTGCAAAGCACAGCATCAACTAGTAAATCAGCAAAAGCATGTTATAAAAAACATAACCACCTATATCCAAAATCTAAATCTTAACCGTCTTCCTTCCCTGGTTTTGCTCTTCGATGCCTTACACTAACCCATGGTCTTCTGGTGCTCCCACTTGCATCTCCACGAATCGCAAGCTACAGACATCCCAGCCACACAAACCCACCAACCTAAAACCTCCCAAAACCGTCAATTCATAATCAATTTCTATATATACAAAAATATATCTCTCCTTATCTTTCTTCTCTGGTCTTTTCTTGTGGGGTGGTGGCAGACCCGTGCCCCATCTACACCCATATTAGTGCGGTATCACTTGGTGATATAGTAGTACTACAGCATCAAGGGACCGCCACAACTACCTCAATGGATACAGAACTGCAAATACAGACCCTCATGGAAATGGGGTTCCCTCGAGAGCAGGCCATAAGTGCTCTTGAGGCTACTGGGCACGATCCCAATAAGGCCATTGCTTATTTATTTGGAGAACTTGAGGATCCTAAAGATCAGGGGACGGAAAATGCCCCTATAGAAATCGATCCCGAGCCGAAAAACCAGGACCAGTACGATACTGTGGATGTTAATATGCCGCTGGACTTGCCTGACTTCTTGGGCCAGTATGCGCTGCTGGATTCTGCCAGTTACTCGCAGCCTCCTACCAGAGGAGGTCCACCTGCTGTGCCTTCGGCACCACGGCCTCAGGTGGCTGATTTCACTCAGCAGCTGACCGAGTTTATAGAGGTTGGCAAGTACTCTGAGCCTATGAGCAGCGACGATGATGATGGCGTTGGAAGCAACAGGTTCCGTGACTACTCATCTGATAGTAACTCAGATAGTAGTGAAGGCTCGTTGCCTAATATCAAGACAGAGGGCCACCTTGTGCCGCAATTGAGAAAGAAGATTCCTGGTTACAGGTACTGGGTGCCTATTCTTGCTGCTTTATGTCAGAATAAGCAGTTTGCGGATACGGTATTGCTGGTGCTGGGTGATGAGGTGACTCCATTCGTTGAAGAACTACAGAAGATTGTCAATTTCGTTCAGGATTTCAGGCGTTCGCTGCAGTGGTACATTCTCGTTGATGATTTGCTCCGCAACACATCTCCAAATGCCGTAGAAGATGCATTATCGCCAGAGGAAGAGCTCATCACTAACATATACAAGGAGCTCATCGATGCCATTCCAGAACTTTCCCATGTTTTGAACTCTCATGTTGAGAGTATCGAGGAGGAAATCAGTAACGATCTTAGCGTCCTTGAACTAGATCTGGATATCAGAAAGCAGAGCTTGTACCTTTCACTCAATGAGCAGTTTTGGGGCCAGAGTTTCGAAAAACTAGGGCTTGTCAAGTATCGCAGTGTTGCTCCTGTTGTTACTATCCACTTAATGGACGACGACGATACTTCTCAGCGTCCTTTATTTGCCAAAGAGCTCTTTTACCCTGAGATTTATAGCGATAAAGCGCTAAAAGCTGTTCAAGATGAAGTTGCATCAGCGCAACAAGCAGAGCATGAACGCCGTGTGATATCAAGAAACTTGCTCGACCTCAACTTTTTTGAGGGTAAGAGGTTAGGTAACCTTTTAAGCCAAGCTTCTGAAATGCTTAAACCTTACCAAGAAGAAGCAGGAGAGGATCTTCAAAGACTAGGAGACGATGTGGAAGCACTTCGCATTGAACAAGTGGAAAGACAAACAAGAGCACAATCTACGATCCATGGCGTACAGAAATCGATGACAGATTTTGCGAAGATTATCGATCAAGTGCCGCTGTTAAACAAGTACAGATTACAAGGAGTGATCATGAGTGATAGATGGTACTATTTCCGCCAGAGAGATACGTGGGTCAAGATGGAAGACGCCGAGCTCATTGATTTCGAGCAAGTGGAGTCTGAAATTTTTGACTGTACGAGAATGGGATCCCAACCTGTTACACTTTTATATGTGAATGCTGAAGATGAGCCAGACTGGAGTGACTACGAAGAGATTGAATCCAGCGATGAGGATGCCATCGTGATTGGAAGCGAGTCTGAAGAGGAGAGTGCCATCAAATTGACGGATGACAAGAATGAAGAAGAGAAGGTGAAGCCAAAGGATAGCAAAGGTCTGGACGACAAGGAGGTATTGATTGACTTGACGGATTCTTGATCCAATGTCGTTTCAAGCACGCTCCAGAAGTCTAGGCCAAGGCTCCAGTCTAACCGCCAGGCTCATCCCTTGCAAGCTCTGGAAGTTTGCAATGCTGGAATGTCTAGTGCCAGGAGGTGCTTACATTCAGCGGGTACATAAGCGCCGCATCCACGAATGCCAATAAATACATCAAACAGGGTCTAAAAGGAAGTCATTTGATTTGTGGTCACTTTTATCCATCAATGGCCACAAATCATCCCTTCTTCCTGCCAAGGGCCACCTTCTACCAACAATGGATCTACCTACTAAGTCTACTAGCATTGTTCGGTCGCAGCCGTTGGCCGGTCCGTACAAAGAAAACGAGCACACTACCTCTACTTTTTCAGCCCCGGCCAAGCCCCAGCAGCCTCAGCAGCCTCAGTCTTAGTCCCAACCAACAAGCAACCAGGCAACCAACAAATACCACAAAAGTATCAAACCAGAATGGCAAAGTCAAAGCAGAAACATCTAGATTCTATTTCCTTTCCATTCCAATTCAACTCCAATTTCAATGCCAATTCCAACCACCTAATCAAAGGCCATCCCAGTCTGCCCAGCCACTGTAGCCGTGCGAACGTCCCAAGCTATCCCCAAAAGTGCCCCAATCGTCCTCAATCCATCTCATTGGATCCATTTATGTCCACTTCGGTGCGAACCCTTTGTGCCACTGCCAGGCCAAATTCTAACTGGCCCTCACGCTCGCTCGCTCGCCTCACTCCCTCGCTCAATCTATTACATCTAACTTCTGCCACGCGGCTATCGCCACAAAACCTCTCCCTCGTCCACCGATCCCTATTGTTTTTAAAGAGCCAGACGAGAGAGATGTGGTGTGTGGGGCCCAAAAAAAAGTGCTTTATTCCGTTCCGTCGGTTGCCCGTTGCCTCTCTCTCCCTCTCTCTCCCTCTGTCGTCTTGTGTTTCGTCACTTTTTCATGGCACTGGGCCCTGTTTTGTGCAATAATTATCCTCACTGGAAGGGTCTCTGTGGCCGCCTCGTTTTTGGCACACTTAACCGTAACAAGAAGCCTAAAAAACTTTCTTGTCTGCGCGCTCTGCTGTCTGTATACCTGCCTCCCTTTTTGACCTCCCGAGGCCAAACAAATACCGACACGGCGCTTCTTTTTTTTTTCCACACGCAACCACCTTCTTTTTTCTTTTGCTAATCCATGTCTTTTAGATCCACAACTGGATCGCTTTTACGGAACAGGAAGGTGCTCTTCCTTCTATTTGTGGGGCTTTTTTTCACTGTTACCGTCCACACTTTACACGGCCAGGGCATTTCGGTTCAGTATCGTGAAGTGGCCCCCCATTCGCTGGTACTTTCCTATGCTACCGTGTCACAGACCATTGTGGAGAATAACTTGGTCACCGATGTCAGAATCCAGAAATGCTTGAAGGGCTTCTCTTGTCTGGCTCCCGCTCAGGGCTCGCCTAAGAGTACATGGAATAAGATCGAGACGAAACTCAACTTGCATCCCGTGTCTACTTCTTTCTACAACTACTACTTGTACGTGGAAAAGACCCATGCTAGCGACGCCTCTCGTTACGTCACTGATATCCAGTTTACTCCTTCGTCTAAGGCGCCTTCCGATAAGGACAAGTGGTTGAGCCATAAGGTCGCTAACTCGCTTTACATCTGGATCAACTATATGGAAGCGGCCGACTTTGAAACCCCAATTGTCCGTGACTTTAACCTTTTGTTTGGTGTTCACGACTTGAAGGACGCAAGACAGCATTGGAAGTACACTCCGCTGCCCATCCCATTGCCTGTGAAGCAGTCCATTCAACCCCACGCTTCCATGTTGGCCATTTCTATCAATGACGAGATGCCAATTCTCAACAAGGCCATGGAATTCGAGACTGTGCTTAAAAAGAACAGTTTCGTTACCACCGTGGAACCTAAATTCAAGATTGTTCAGCTCAGTGATTTGCATATTGGTCTGGATCAGGGCCGCTGTGAAGGTGACAACTGTAAGTTTGATAGCCAGACTTTGGAGTTTATCAGCAGTGCCATTGAGACCGAAGGCGATGTCAAGTTAGTGGTTGTCACTGGTGACATCATCGACATGGGCCGTGTTAAGCATCTTGAGTCTGCCATTTTGAAGGCATTATCTCCTATCTTGGAGCTCAAGATTCCTTTCGTTATCACTTTCGGTGACTCCGATTGGGATTGGGATAACTACCACACCAAGATCAACATCCTGAATTTCGTCGCTAGTTTGCCAAACTGCTACAACAAGGATATCTCCCAGGCTGACCACCGTATGCATGGTGTCACCAACTACAATATCAAGGTGTTCCGTGAACCACCTGCATCTGAAGGAAACGAATTCGACTACAATCAGCTTGATCTTGGTAATCCTGATGCTATCGTTACCATTTTGGACTCCGAATACGCTCAAGTTGATGCCACCCAAAGTAACTTCATGTACAGAGTGACCCTGCATTTGCGTGATGAGATGGAGCACAGACTCTTGTTCTTCCATTACCCACTTCCAAACTTCCGTCCTGATAAGGAATTCAAGCTCATTGGCTCCTACAATGAGAAGCATAAGCTCGAAACACCTACCGACAGAAAGTTCCTCCATGACGCCATCGACTGTGGCTACAAGGCCATTTCCGTAGGCCACGAGCACGAGAACGACGCATGTATATGGAAGGAAGAGAAGAACAAGAACATCTTGCTTTGTTACAGTGGTATCACTGGAGAAAGTGGTATTACGCGACTTGACGAACAATACAAGAGAAGATTGAGAGTGTTTGAGATTGATTTCGACAAGAACCAAATCTTGAGTTGGAAGAGAACCAAGGAGCAATCGCTTGACCCACAGGCTATCTGGCCTATTGGAACCAAAAAGTGAGGAGGAGACGAAAAAATGTTAATAAGCAATGCTGTATTTTAGCTAGATAATTTCAAGATATGATCTAATAGTGTGAAGTGAAAGTAGTAATGGTGCACGGGTGTATGTACAGATTCTCTAGCGATGAGATGCGATAAGCATCACCAAGGTACATTTTCCACAGAACAACCTCAAACACATACCAACATGGGAAAAGCCAAAAGACCAGAAAGTTCTCTCTCATGAAGAGAGCCATCAAGTCAAACGATCCAAAACTACAAAAAGAAAAACCAAAGCAGAAAAAGACGACCCAGAGCTCACAAAACAGGTTCCTCAAGTCAGCAGTGCTCTTTTCTTCCAATACAACGAAGCCATCAAGCCTCCATACCAAATCCTTTTGGATACTAACTTTTTCAACTTCTCGATCCAGAAAAAGATCGATATCGTTCGTGGTCTCATGGACTGCTTGTACGCCAAATGTATCCCATCGTCACTGACTGTGTGATGGCCGAGTTGGAGAAGTTGGGCCCCAAGTACCGTATTGCATTGAAACTTGCCAAAGATCCTAGAATCAAGAGACTTAGTTGTTCACATGGTGGCACGTATGCCGATGACTGTCTTGTGAATAGAGTGATGCAGCATAAGTGTTACATTGTGGCTACTAATGATGCTGATTTGAAAAGAAGAGTGAGAAAGATTCCAGGTATTCCAATCATGGGTGTTGGTGCTCACTCTTATGTTGTCGAGAGGTTGCCCGATGTGTTTTAGTGGCGAAGTTTTGCATTTGTGGAGAGTTGGAGCATGGCACAGTGATTATAGATATTGTTCTCTCTGGGTCTTTTGATAGCTATTGAGTTGAATCCACGGCTCCTGGTGGGCCGGCCAGGAAAACTACTGAGCCTGATTTGAATGAAGATCCTTAGGGGTCGTTCAGTCATAATGTGCTGATAGTGCTTAGGGGACTTAACTTTGACGTGAGCTTGTCCTTATTTTGGTATCTTGTTAACGGAGAATACTCATTATTTTGTCTTTAGATAATACATTATGGGCAGCTGCCCCACGCATTTACATCTACTATGATTTCTTTTTCGTACTTTTCTTAGCTCTAACCCCCTTTTCATAACTTCTATTTTCAGCTTTACTTCTTGGCCAGTGCTAACCGGTGCTAGTCAGTCCTTCACCGGACAAGTGCAAAGCAAAGCCGGTAAATAGTACATTCAGCATGGTAGCACGAGCACCAGGCTATGCTCAAGTGACTCTCCAAATACTAATTATTACTTCTCTACAAAACTCAAACATAATTTAATAGCATTGATTTAATAATACAGAGACAGAAGTCCATTAATTAAATTCCCGCTTAAAGCAAACAAACGAAACAAAGTAGAAGTTGGTGTTTAAACCAACAAGGCGACGACACCAGCGACAGCCAAACCAGCACCGGCAGCGGCAGCTGGAACTGGGGCAGCAGCAGCACCAGAGTCACCAGAAGACGAGGAGTCGTTGGCGGCCTGAACGGAAACAGCGGCGAAAGCGGCAACAGCGATCTTGGAGAATTGCATTATATTGTAGTTTATTGAGATAAGGTTTATAGCTTCCAGAAAAGCAGCAGACCCACCTCTACTTATACTTCGATGCTTAGAGCGCAAGGCTGACCCACGCAAGGCTTTGAAAGGCACCAAAAGGGAAACCAATATTTGCCATTAAAAGACAGGCACATGGCCTGGGCCTCTCTGGTTCCCGTGCCGACGGCAGCTTTCCGTCCATAGAAGCATAGAATTAGCGACCACGCATGGTTCTTGGTTGAAGTTGCCAGAAAGGCCCAATGCATGGGCCCCATCTGCCCGTGGCAGTGCTCCCCATAAGAAAATTCCCTACCATTTGTTAAGCGTTTTATAGAATACAAAGACACCAGTAGACCCATCAAGATCAAACACACAACCTATATAGCTGTTCAGCCAACCAGCTTCCAAAACCCAACTTCTATCCATTACTCTCAACATGTACGACGCAATGATCTTCCTTCAAATCAACCGTCTTCACCTGTCAAAAAATCTGCTTGCTCTGTACAATTACATCAGGTCCTGCCATACCCACACCAGTCCACATCCACATCCACATCCACTTTTCGCAGCCAAGCGAGGCTGCATTAGAACCATTGTAAGCCTCAGCAGCCCCATCCCAAGCCACCCACCACTTACCAGATACCACAACCAGAAACCACCAATAACCAAAATCATTGATCACTTTCTCCCACTTGGCGACGGCACTGCCACTGGGTTTCCCCGACTGGCAGGCTCTGGGATATTTCGGGCCGCAGCAACTGCCACTGCGCTTAACTGGTACTTTTTTCGCAGCCATTCTTTACTTTCCAGCCCGCCTGACCTATCCGTCTAGAATACCCTGGGAAAGTTTCGAAATCACGTCAATTGCTGATTGGATTGCTTCTTTGTTCGCTGGTGTGTGCCTGGGACCTGCCGAGTGGTTTTTCCTTTTGCAGTGTGTGAAGTTTATCGTAGTTTGCTGGGTGCCACTCGGTAAATGGTGCTTTGCGATGATAGGCTCTTGCTTGCGCAAGCTTCTTCTCTCGCATGGGTCTGCCATGCTTGACACCGCCATTTGGCTATTTTGTGTAGTTCCTGCCAGGGACCGATAATGGTTGGGTTTTTCGGTTTGTCCCACGATCTAGACAATGGTTATTTCTTGGTGCTCAGGTGGTCTAGGAGGCTAGGAGGCTTGTGGATGGGGTGGTTGGTGATGCTTTCATAATTGCTTCTCCTATACTTTCCTAATAAATTTACTAGTTTATTGCCCGGGCGGCTATTTGGGCCGTGCCCGATTCATCATTGCTTGACGTTGCCTAGATACCGTTATCCATGACAGGTACATTACGTCAGGCGTGACGGACAGTAGATAAGCTGTGCGGTTATTGGACATCGGAATTGTTTGTAATAGGGGTAATTGAACCCCTATAAGGCGATATAGATTAGTAAAAGCAGCAAGTTATTTGTCAGAGCATGGGATTATGGGTTGTTGGCGATTGGAGATGGCAACGTATCGATAGTGGCCTACTTGCTACTCCTATCGTCATACAGCATGCTTTTATTTTTTTATTGATGGAAAGAAACTACAAGTGATGGGTTACTTGTGATTCTACTTCAGAAAGTCCTAGTTTATCTGTTCTTTATTACTCTCTTATCATTCCCATGTGTCTTCTTGTTCTCATCGTATTTCCCGTACAAATAGCTGTATACAACAACTAAATTCATCATCATTACCGTAATTAGTTGCTTCAAGTCCTGTTGCAAGCCATATGTAACCGAATAAGCAGCCAAACAGATCTACCGTGGGAACCGTTCATCAGCCTCAGTTGTCTACCCAACTACAAACTACCTTTATTATATCCCAATTCCAACCGAAATTAGAAGCCCTCCAACTCATAAAAAACCATCAAACCTCTCTTTTTGTTAATCGAGAAGCTCAACCAGTACAGCTACAACCATTGTCCCAAGTACCACCACTAACTCTCACCACATCCATCCTCCATCAACACTTCCAGCTAGAACCCTGAAACCCTCCAAACCAAATCACATCCACCAACACCTCTCAATTCCATTCCCTTCCACCTCCCATCCTCACCATTCTGGGCCCAGGTAGGTTTCAGCCGTTCACGTCACAACTGCGAATGGCTGCGAAAGACAATAAGATCCACTTCCACCATCGAACACGGACCATGACAACCCTAAACAGGATAAACTCTAAAAGAAACAGGCAGAAAGTGTCTAGAAAACTCCTTAAACTGTAAAAACCCGCCCTTCCCTGAATCTCGATTTTACACGGCCACTTCTTCATTTCTCATTTATGCCCCCTTCCTTCACTGGATCTCGTATTTCCAAGCCACACGCCATTTTGCAGCCATTCTGTACCAATGCTGATCATCTCCAGGGAGGTTGTAAATTCCCACACAGCCACAGCCAATGCCATTTAAACATTCGATTTTTTCTTCTAGAACCGTTTCAAGTGTTTTAAAAACCTTCCTTGACTATGGCATTCTTTAATTTCTTGGAAAAAGGTCCGTCGCATTCCCTCGTCAGGTATGTTTCGAAACGGCTGCAACTTTCCTCGGCCAAACCTTTATAAGCTGTGCATTTCAGTGTTTTTTCTCTCTTGAACATCAATGGCGTGGAAACAAATCAAAAGGTCAGTCTCCCACTGGAGCCTCAATCTGCCTAAACTTTCTCCCAATGACGACCTTACCAGTATGGATGTCTATGATCCAAGTGAATCTCAGAGTCTGGACGAGGAGCCTATGGAACCGTACCAGGTGCTTCCAACAGAAAGAACACCCAAATCTCCAACTACACCGAAAACGCCTAATCTGATCCAGCTGTGGTCTCGGTCTCCAGGGTTACCTTCGTCTCCTTCGATTTCAGTCACCGGTAAGTGCTATAATGGGGTGGATATCAATAGGAACCTGGCGTATATACCTAAGAAGAGTGCTCCTCCACCACCATCGCCTCCATCTCCTGGAACGGCCCAAAGGCTTAAGTACCTCTTTAAACTGAGGTCCAAGCCCAAGTCCTCGTTCTATGATGCTCCAGATATGATGAAATCTTTACTACGGCGTGCAAGCATCAGCCCAAGGCTGAAGAAGGCACTTAAAAGGATTAAGGGGTCTAAGGATGAGGAAAAGGCTATCCCACGTCTGTACTTAGAGAAAAACGGAAGCCTTGATGAAAAGCTGCTGGCTCATACGCTTGTGGAGAAGAAGGTGGATATTGAAAGCTCTTCGTCTTATGAAACAGCTTCGTCGGGTGAAGAAGAGTATAGAACCCTTGATGTAAGCAAGGGAACTTCGGTTAGTGCCATTTCTATGAGCAAACTCACTATGAGTCTGGAGTATCAGTGCACTTCGCTGCCAAAAGAGCTTGGAATCGAGTCAGTGTTGAAACTCGGCCCACCAATGGTAAAACAGCTACGCCCTGAACTGCCCTTGAGAGCACCTTCTGAACCTACCAGTGATGAATCGTTTTATTTCTTTGACGGGCTGCCTCGCAAACGGGCCGAAGGTGAGGAAATTAATTGGGGTGACGAGTTGGCCGCTGAAATGGTAGAAATGCTCAAGAAGCATCGCCTTCAATAGAAAATAGAATTTCTAGATACACGAAGAGTATATGATGGGATTTTAGTAGAGAGATGTAATATTTTTTTCCCTTATAAAGAGACAATTGGTGGTCTCAGACCAAATTAGCTTCCTCGGTGTTTCTATCTAGCCCAAAAGCACCTTAAGAAGGCAAACTTCTTTTCCCAAGTTTATTTCATTGTCTAGGAAATCAAGCCATCTGTTCTTATCATCATTAAGAAATTTTAGGATTTACCCAATTGATTGGCTACTTTCCTGCTTATCTTCCTTATCATCAGCCTTGCTGCGATACAACCACCGACCCCTCCATCATCTCCAACTTCCACACCAAAATAATACAAGAAGACAAAACTCGAGGCAGATTTAAATGTCTAAAAAAATAAATCAACAACTTACCGGGCCTAATTTTTAGAGTTTCTGGTTTGGGCAGCCAATTTAACGGTCTGAGGTCACGTGCAATCACTGGCGGGAGCACGCCTCAGCGATTTTTTGATGATAGTGTGGAGAGGGTTCCCCAGATTATCAACACCAAAACACCAACACAAACTACATCCATATGGTTTCCACGGGAAGAGGAGGCGCAGGAAATATCGTCTCTGATAGAGAATCCGAAATTACCCAGGCCCAGTCTTTGCATAAACATCAAGAACAAAAAGAGCAAGAACATGATAGAGAGGGCCGGGCTCAGGACAAGCTGGTCTACTATTCAACAGGAAGAGGCGGTGCTGGCAACATAAAGAGGTCTTCATCGATCCCACTGCCCAAGCTTGTTCCTCAGGGCAGCAACACGCCGGCTATCACGCAGACGAAGTTCACCACTGGCCGTGGAGGATACGGTAATATGGTAGAGAACGAGGATCCAGAGTTCACGCGGAAGCTCCAGGATGTTGATGCAAAGAAGGGAAAGGAAGAGGACTTGCAAGCTGTCACGTCGGCCAAATCGTTTAGCGTGGGACGTGGAGGGTTTGGCAATGTTGTTTCGGCTGAAAACAGCGAAGGACTGAATGGAAGTGGTAGTAACAACTTGTACACGGTGGTGAGTAAGGGATCGAAGCACCAAGAGAAGAAGAAGGGCTTTGTGGATAGGCTTAAGGGCTTTTTCGGCGCCTGAAAACAGCATACATGATCTATATATAATATAATGACGTTTAGAGAAACAGCTATGGGGAGCTTGGTTTATTGTTGGAGAAGGTACTCTCTCAACTTGTCCAAGGCACGGAAACGGTGCGATATCGTGTTCTTGACGCTCTTATCCATCTCAGCGTAAGTCTCCTGGAATCCCTCTGGCTCAAACACTGCATCCCAACCAAAGTTAGTAGGGCCTCTGGAATCAACGATCTTGCCGTGGGTGACGCCCTGGAACAACTTAACCTCGCTGTCTGGGCCTTCACAGTATCCAAAAGTGCAAACTGCTTTGGCTCCCTTATCTTCAAACTTGTAGAGCATATCCACAAGACCTTGAAGACCAACTGCCTGGACAAACCACTTGATATATGGACCTGGCAAGTCGTTCATGGCATTGAACGCAAGACAAGTGTCTTCAACCAAAACAGCACCATTCACCTGCTTGGCAGCCTCTTTGGCTTTATGAATAGTGACAGACTCGATGGTACCTTGAACCTCATCCAAATCCAAAGACTTGTTGACGACGGTGAATTTGCCAACCTTGGAGCCTTCGGCGCTTGGCTCACCGCCCAAGATGGCAATCACTTCTTTAAGCTTGTTGCTGTTTCCAGTGACGAATGTGATGGTAGACATGAGTAGGTCTTTGGTAGTAGTAGTGAATTTTTCGCACATCTTCCATATACCGTTAGTGATGGAGATTCTAATCAGATGATCTACTCCCAACACTTCCGTAAAGAACTGTAACAGCCTACTGTTCATCTTCCTATGAGTGTATTTATATGTACATGGTGCCACTGGCGTGACTGAGACGAGCACATCGGTACTGCCCAGCCAATGCTTTAATCCTTCACTTTACCCAACCTCTTCAACAAGGCACGGCCTAACTTTCTTCTCTTTCTCAACTTATGCTTCTTCATCTTGAGCTTTCTCTTTCTTTTCACCGAATCGGCGTAAACTGTGTTATCAGTCACATCGCTCTCCTTCTCTGCCTGTTGTTCCCAGACATCTTTAGGTAATTCTAGCATGCTGATTGTGTTCACAGAGGTATGACGGTTCCAGCTCTGTGGAAGTTGAAGTGTTTCTGTGGTTCCAAAGCCAAATCTGTTGACGTTGTTGGTTTGCGTCAATACAGGTAGCTGTGGTCTGGCCACGGCAGCGAACGACCTGGCGCCAATTCCACGCGTAAGGCTGGTTAACTGCCTAAGCTGTGGTAATCTAAACATGACGAGGCGACTGTTGTTTAGTCAAATTAGGTGGGGCTTCTAAAGGAGGATTTGAAGACTGAACGGTTTTTTCTTCAATTTTTTAACTAGGCGCACATCTGTACACCACAACTAGTTGGTAGCCTAGGGAAGGTATTGATAATATCAGAGATCAACATGAAGGTAGTGAAAAAATCAGTAAAAAATTAGTTAAATAATAAATGCACGGTTTAGCTGTCTCATTTAATGTTTGTGGGTATTAATTAGTCTTGTTGAATGGTTTATTAGTTTGGTGAAGGTAGATCAAAGTGGCCTCTGGCTGCCTGCGAAATGGCTGCAAATGAATGTCTAGTTAGCGTAACGCCAGTGGTTGATTCCACCGTGAAAGGTGGCGATGATGAGATTATCAAACAAGCTTTACCAGCTAAAAGAACTGCCTGTGGTGAGCCTCTTTCTCGAATACCCTGCCCAACCTACACCAGTAGAATTGAGTCTATCAATAAAGAAATAAAGTCCCTTCTCCATGAAGCTTAGCGGGTCTCTGGCCCGTGGGAGATCTCGATGTTCACCACAATATCGTCGGTGGCCTCTATAACAAACCCTGTTGTGCCTGACACACCGTTACTGGTGGAAACGTTACCGCCGACCTGACTGACCCAGTTTTCGACATCATACTTCAAGCCCTTTGTGGTTAAAATGACTCTGTTTCCAAAAGGCAAAAGTCCCAATTTTGGCACGGGATCATGCTGGTTGAACAACTTCTTATTGGCAAACTTGACATATGTGGTTCCAGTAGGAGCAAGGAACACCAAGTCATTGTCAGAAACGAAGAAAAGACGGATATTTGGAAACTCAAGCTTCGTAGCGTAAAGCTGGTTAATTGAATGGAACGTCTGGTCAAATCTGCCGCCAATTCCCCCTGCAATGTAGGCAGTGAAAGGTACTCTTTCCTGATACTTCTTAACCAACTTAGCAAGCCCACTATCGTCGTCAACCTGCTTGTAAAGCTCATCTTTACCGCTCGTATGAGCCAAAAGTGCAACATCTATAGCCTTCATGAAATCAGTGGCATATTGTGAATACTGGGGAATAACCACCGTACCCTTCAGTCTATAGTACTGCTTCACCTCATCTCGAAGCGAGTCAAAGTCTCCCACAATGAAGTCAGGAATGTACCTTTCCCTCTCCTGCTCACTTGAAAAGTGATAGTACAACTGGTTGGCTCCACCGTCAGCACAAATATGCACAGAAGTACAAGTCCACAATTGGAAAATGGGGAGTTTCTCTATGGCAGTGTTGAGAATGATAAGCACTGCTGTCTGAGTGAGGGAGTCCGAAAAGAAGTTGAACGGTTCTAAAACCAAGTGTTTGCCTTGCGGCTCGTCAACCTCGAAGTCGTCGGGTCTCTCTATAATCAATTCCTCCATAATTTAATATAAAGTAGCAAGTTGTAGTGTGGTGTTTGTGGAATCACCAAGTGTGTAGAGCCAGTTGGGTCACATGACGCAACCGAGAATGAATTACTACAAAACATCCTCACCAGAAACGGTTCCTCAAGAAACACCCAGTGACATCCAACCAACCAATGTCTACTTCTGGTACTACTGAGTCTTCGGACGCTCCTGTTGTCCCTAGAGACGTCAGGCTTCTTCACCTTATTTTCGCTACGCAGGGTATCCAGAATTACCACGACCATGTGCCTCTACAGCTTATGGATTTCGCCCATAGATACACAACGTCTGTGCTTAAAGATGCTGTGGCGTATAGTGACCACGCTAAGAATAATGCCAATACTACCAGTTCTACGAGTACAGTGAACACTGACGATATCAGGTTGGCGATTGCTGCGAGAACGAACTACCAGTTCAAGCCTACGCCGCCTAAGGAGCTTATGTTGGAATTAGCACATGAGAGAAACTCAAAACCGCTTCCGCCTGTGATTCCAAAATGGGGCCTCAATTTGCCTCCAGAGAAGTACTGTCTTACTGCTAGAGACTGGGAGAGTCTTGAAGAGGAGGCTGCCGAGACCGAGACTCTGAAGAGAAGAAAGCAGTAAGTTATAGAGGGAGCAAGTATGCATTTCATGGAGTTCTTGCGGATTTGGTGGCTTCTGGATTGAAATTCCACCCAAATGAGCTTACATTTGTGCAAAGCCAAGTGATCACCCATAAACGTATCATGCCCCAAAAGGAATACAGAGACTGGCTCCATCAGCACCGAGGCACCCATTTCACTTCATTTACATATTTGAAGTCAGCTCGATCGCAGCCAAGACGGTACGTTCAATCCAAACGAGATCGACTTACCTATTCAGATAGCCCTGGCGGTCTTCAGGACATTCCTCGCCAAGAATCTCTGCAACACAGAATTCCAGCCTCTTTCAACATCCAAATAGCGGTGACATCAACAGGATTACACCCTCTTTAGCACCAGCTACGCCTGGATCGCATCCATGTCTTTGGTGCTCACTACTACTATTGTACTTCCAGAGGGTCCGCACTCGGCCTCCATCAAACCCACAACCTACACATATAGCACCCGCCAAACCTACCGTAATAAAAAGGGCCGTTCACGTTATCTTCCCGACATTAATCTTCCTCTACCGAACCCTCCATTCTTCCTCTTGTTGGTCCCCATACTTCTGTTGACCTGCACACAGCACTGCCCCAGCCTCTTGGAAACACTTGGTCTCCAAATCTACTAAATCGATTCTCAACACCTGTTTACATCCAACTAACGTCCTATCTGCCCATACAAAATGCTCCAGAAGTCATTGGCCTCCATCCCAGAGTATGTACCATTCAATCCTTAAGTAATTGTCTTTATTTTCCCCAATTCCTACTAACAACCAGAGCCAAGGAAGAGTACTTGGGCTCCTCAGTGATTGAGAGAACCAGTCGTCTTGTGGCCCTCAGCGACTTGGGTCCTGCCGATCTTTGTAATATCCACAAACAAGGTGTTAACCTGAAAAAGCCAGAGTTTGGCACATTTTTATACTTTACTGGTGTTGATACGTCCAGCTCGGCCTCTATAGCTGCCCAGTTACAGGGCTTGGCCACGTTGATGACATCCAAGGCACAGTACTGGTTTGGTGAAAAGAAGCACTTTAAGGTGCCTGAATTGACTTATTGCACGTATAATGCCTTTTCTAAGGTGGACATGAGAGTTACTGTTCACATTCCAGGTAAGTTCCAGAGTGCAGTTGTCAGCCATGAGGGTAAGCTTATCCATGAAAAACTTAGCGAGGAAGAGTTGGAGAAGATGTGGCTCGAGACCTTCGTTTGTTCCATTGTCAGATGCATGCTTGACGGTGATGAAGATGATCCTAACAGATACGGTACCTTGGTGGAAATCCGTAGAGAGAACCCATTCGACCTTGGAGTCGTGTCACAAGAGCTTTTGGCTAACTTTGTGGCTGCTTTCGAAAAGTTGTTTTGGGATGGTCCTAAGTTGGGCTGTGGTGTTGACTTGCCTCAGCCAACATTGATCTCGAACTACCTTGTTGACGGTTTCCTCAAGTGTATCGAATTGACTCAGAGCTTTGATATGGCTTTGGATGTCTTGAAGAGATTAGAGGAGAAGGAGCCTGCCGTGTCGACTTTGATCGCCCAGGTTTTGCTTCTAAAAGATGAAGAAGTCAAGGCTATCCAGGTCATGAACGATGCCATTCAAAGAGACGAGCGTGACTCGGAGTTGCTCTTGTTACAGGCACAGTTCCTCATGGATAAGAAGAGATATGACTTGGCCTTGCACTTGGCTAGACAAGCAGTTAAGTCATCGCCTTCTGACTTCAAGGTTTGGGCTGTTCTCGTCAGAGTCTACACCAAGCTCAACGACTTTGAGAATGCGCTCTTGACCTTGAATTCTTGTCCAATGAACTCGCACAAGGATGTCTTCTCTTTGAAGAGAATCGTGGCCTTGAGGGGAGCTGGCGAGGAATTGCACTTGCCATCCCCTGTTGATGTGTTCTTGGACGAGGTATCCAACTTGCAGAGCACTTCCATTGCTTCAGAACAGAGAAATCTCGACAGCCTGCTTACGCATTTGCCAGCCGCTACCTTGAAATCCACATTCGCTAAGGCGTACGATCTTCTCACTGAGATTGTCATCAAGACCGGCTGGGAAGCCTTGTTGAAACACCGTGCTAAGGTTTTCGTCATGGAAGAAGAGTACCGTAAGGATAGAAGCAGTGCAGCTCACACTAGAACTACTTCCGAAGTCAATGTCCCCCAGGTCGAAGATGAAGAGGCTACCGCTAATGATGATTCGTCGACCGTGGCTGTCAAGCTGCCTAAAAAAGAAGTCAATGGCTCCGCTGATAACGATGGTTTGGTTGAGAATGAGTTCAGAAAAAAGAGGCTTTGTGAAAGATGGCTAGATAACTTGTTCATGCTTTTGTACGAGGACTTGAGAGTTTACACCATGTGGCAAGCTGAATACGTCCATTTCCAGGCCCAGCAGATGGAGTACAAGAAGACGACATTGGAGTGGGAGATCTTGGGTCTGATTGCTTTCAGACTCAAACATTTCAAGGAAGGTTCAATTGCTTTCTCTAATGCTTTGGCGGGACGTTTCTCTCCAAAGGCACAAAGAGAAATCTTGAAATACTACGAGATGGAGAGAAGCAAAATCATTTCTAAGAATTCCAACTCGGACTCGCCAGCATCCAATGCGCACAACTACTCGAAAACCATTAACCAGCTCAACGAAAAGATTTTAGAATGCTGCATCAAGCTCTTGGTTTGGAACCACAGATGGTACAATGATTTCTCGCCAGATTTGATCTCGATAATATCCGACTTGATTGCCAAAGAGGGTTTGATCAAGATTCAGTCTCTCGTGCAAGCCGTGTACTCCAACAACATCAACCATGGTGACGGGTTGGCGAACAACGGTATCACCGATATGATGGATGATATCTTCAAGTTCTGCAAGGAGCACAATGTCAATGGAGCTGACAATTGAGTATAAATAGAAAAAGTTCGGACTTCGAGGGCGGCTATCCCAGATGCATAACTTACGCCTGTGGCATCACGTGCCATCACCGAATTGGCATCCTTGATCTATCCTTGTGGATACTGAAGTGGAAGTGTTTAAACTGTGTTAGTCCATCATGTCGTCGCCAATGGACAGACTCAGGATGCTCCAGAACCATATCAGGTACAAGGAGATGCGTGAGTACCAGCCAGAGTTCCCAATGATGCACAGAGTCGAGAGAGAGCAGTATCTTCGAAGGGGCCCAGTAGGAGCAATTCCTCCCGCCCTTGCCATTCGCAAACCATAGAGATGCCTATAATTTTAATGATAAGAAATCGTCAATCGTTGTTGTATGTACATGAGAGATGCTCTTTTAGTCCTTAGGAGGAGTTGAAGAAACAGCAGCTGGATCTGGAGCAGGAGCCTTGGATTTTCCATCAGGGAACGAGCCAGACTCGCCCCGTGATGCATCTTTGGCTGCCTTGGCCTTTTCGGCTTCCTGGCGGAAGCCTTCGTTGGCTACCTGCATCAACTCCTTACGAGACTCCTCCAAACGCTTCTTTCTATCCTGAATGACCTGGTCTCTTCTCTCCAACTCCTCAATCCACATCTTCTCTCTCAACTTGGCCTTTTCTCTGAGCTTCTCTTCACGAGACAGTTTCTGGGCCTTGCTTTCTGCCTGGTAGTACCAGCCTCCTAAGACCAACGCTACCAAGGTGAAGCCCTGGAACCCAACTCTGTACCTGAAGTACTTCTGAGTATCAGCCTTTCTTCCTTGTCTGATTGACTTGGTGGCAAGAATGATGGCTCCCGTAGTAAGCAACGTGCCCAAGGGTACCAAAGGCTGCTGCTTGCTACGGTAGATCATCTTCTGGAGAATGTCCATTTCACTGCAAGGTTAGACGAATCCACTGATCAAAATCTCCGTATACATACTCTTCGTCGTTGGCATCAGTGCCATCGAAGGAGGAGGGCACTCTGTGTGACATGGGAAGAGAGTGGTAGTTAACTTGGTGGGTTGTGGATACTCGTGCAGGAAGCTGAGTAGGGTCAGGGTCCCCACGGCAGAGTCGGAGGGACAGGTCTGTCTCTTTTGGGGAGGAGAGATAAGTGGAGGTTTTAAGGGACTTCCTTTTTTGCATAGTACCCTTTGGATTGGCGTTTTGGGTGTTCTGGGGAAAGTGGTGGGCTGCTTATGGTTGTGTGGTACCGTCAGTGACGTAAGGTGAGCTGAGGAGGTTAAGCAGAAGAGGCCGAATCTAGAGAAACATAAAAGCTTGACTTCCAAGTCCTTCGGATAGACCCTCCCGACCTTCCCGAAATCGTCTTTCTGGCCCAAAAGGGGTACATGGATGGTCCACCTTGCTCTGGTTCTATGGTGCTTTTCGCAGCCATTTCGCAGCCATTGATGGTCCAATGGGGACTGCTCGTGTCAAAGCTTATTTAGTGTTTTGGCTACTGGCAGATCTTAAGACGTGTTTTGGGAAATGTATGACTTCCATCGATTGCTTTGGCTTGCTTTTGGGTTGCTTCGGCGTGCTTTGTTGACGGTAACTTCCGGCAAGGTGACTGGGGGGTTCAGGAGGTCTACGAGTCAGTCACGAAGGGTGTTTGAAGGGTTTGACCGTGGTCAGCTCGTGGGGGAAGTAAATTCCGTAACTTTAATTGGAGGTGGTTAGAGAGGGAAGTTTTGGGCGAGGTATTTATTCCTCTTTGGGAGAAATGGTGGGCACGTAGGGTAAAGAAGTAGAAGCTAAGGCAACAATGAAGAATGTGTATACTTGAACCAACGAACGTAAATGGGGACTTGATTCTTTTTCATTGTCTATATGGTGACTGTTATGGTTATGTTGGTATTTAATTAATTGTGGTTGGAAGACTAGTTGACGAGTTGTGGCTGCCTGGCTGGTTGTATAATGCACTTAAAGACATCTCCAACCATCAACACGAAAACACAAAAAACCTGAAAAAGTCCCCATAGATTGCCAAGCCAGACCAATTAATCAAACAATCTTTTGAAAACGTCTATCTTTCGGCACTTTCCAATTTTTGGTGGGCCTTTCTAACTTTCCATTTTGCAACCATTCCTGTGCGCCAGTATAATCCCTTCTGCACATGCTTCGCTTTTATCTACAACTACTATGAATCCAGCCGTTCAAGAGTACGCTGCCCTAGCAGGCAGAATTGCCCTTTTTCCGTTTACTTATGTGATAAACTATGTGTATCAAATCTCCTGGACCGTTATCAGGCTCTCTTTGGTAGTGCCGTCCCAGGTTGCGTTCAATTACACAAAGGGTTATGTTTCCATACTAGAAGTGAGCCTAAAAGACATCGACTATCAACAACAGGCCTTGGTGGTGGGTAACTTGGTGCTTCGAGTGGTTCTTTTTCCATTCACTCATGTTCTTTTCTACATCGTGCTTGGGGTTTGGCTCGTGGTGAAGCATGTGCTCGTGGTGCCGCTTTTACTCATGCTTCGTATAACACTCTTTGGGTTGGTGTATCTTCCACTTACACCGGTGCTTACGGCAGCAGACGTTGATTACGACAAGAGTACTACAGTTGAAGGGCTGCTTCTTCAGTTGGTGGTGCACTCGGCACCACATGTTGCTTTTTTCACGTTGCATCTTCTTCACTACGTGATAATAGCCTTGGTTACAGGTGCCATCGTGGGCTGGTTCACTGGGCTTAACTTGAGCCTTGTAAGTAAAGTGTTTACGCCTCCACCATTGGAGGAGGCAATTCAGGAAGAGATTACAAAGACCAAGGCCAAGATGGACGAGTTGAAGGCACAACTTCCAAAGATAGAGGAGCTTAAGCCCAAAGCAGAGGAATTGATTCCTCTTAAATCAGCCGTCAAGAAAGAACCAGAAGAACAGCTTGCTCCAGCAGAGCTTTCAGTAGCCGATATCGTTCAGAATGAGCCGAAATCAACGCAACGAGGGAAGGTTGATTTCAGTGCAACCGGTACTGAACTCGCCTACGAAGACGATGATGGATATAATTACATGCGGTATAAAGACGATGAGCCTCCAAAGCCTTCAAGAGACCCACCGGTAGCAACCATCAAGGAAGAGCCCGAGGAGGCCGAGGAGGAGATTGAGGAGCATCTGGAGTCAGGATCAGCGTCTGGATCAGGCACAGGAACAGCGGAAGGATCCGAGGAGCTGGGGGCCGACACCACACCGCTTCTGAGGAGCCAAAAGAAGAGAAGACAGAGACGTCGTAAAGAAGCTGCCAAGAGCGCACTAGCTCTGGCCCTGGCACTGACCCCAGCCACGGCCAACACGCCTGGTTTCAGCGATGTAGGTGAAGCTTCTACGGCAGGAACCGAGGTGGAAGAGAAGAAACCAGGAGCCAAACAGTAAGCGTGTTTCGGGCCGAAAATAGCCTTTTCTCCCGGCCTGATCAAGATAAAGCAAGCATCATATTCGCCCATTGAGGAATCCGGTATTTCTAAGTGGCTGCAAACGAGACAAGATGGGGCTGAAGAGCGCCCAGCCTCCCACCACAAGCCACATCGTTTCGGCCGAGACAAGAAAGTCTTGGAGTTTCGGTTTCTGCGAAGAAGCCTTACTTCTTAATTGATTGGCCACAGATATTCGGTCTTCTCCCCTTCGGGACGATCCTTAGCGCTGGGCCTGCCAATTCCAGGTTTAGATGAAACAGGGAGGATTGGCTGCGAAAACAATCAAACTGCACAACAAAGGACGCTAGGAGGAGACCTAGACGATAACAAAGACAATGATGGCCTGATGGGAATGCCACTGTGAGCAAGCACCACTTTCCTTCCCATCACGCATTTTTTTTTTTAACACTCTTTGTTGTTTCGTGTTTTCTTTGGTTGCCTTGTTTCTGTGGGGGTGGCCTGCGGCTGGATAGGGCGGCAAAGCGCTTGTTTCAGGTGCAGATGTTGGAATGGCTGCGAAATCCCATTTCTACTCGCCATGCCAACTGTGGCATGCCAATTCTCCATGGAACAAACTATCCATATTGCACGTGGCTACGCTTGCAAGACAGCTAAGTTCGATACTACCCAGAATGTGCCTTGGCTTACCCAAGTGGAACACATAGACGTGAACGCGTATGTGGCTCAGCTTGAGCCTCTGGAGGATCCTATGGTGGCCATTGGTAGGGCTTTTACTCGCCACTTGTGGAGCACCGGCCTCTTGGACGATTACAATCCAAAGGAAGCGTTCAAGCCAGCGGTAACACACACTTGTGTGTTGAACTTGCTGTTTGTGGCTGAAATGAAGACGTACGAACTAAGAGTGGCATTCTACTTTGGTGAGAGAGATCTGGTTAAGGGACTGACAATACAAGTGAGCGAGAAGGAGCTTGCTGAGTTCTTGTTTCAGAGGATTATCGAAGGCAATTTGGCTTACCTGCCAATAGAAGGCAGAGCACGGTATTTACTTAATCTCAACTCTGTGAGTTGTACAATGAACGGGCTCGATTTGGTGGTTGTTTAAGGCTATCAGAGACCAGCATCAATTGCATTTAATCTAATATAATATGACTACATTTCGTTTCAGTGAATATCTATTCTCTTATCTCTTATCATTTTTCCTATATGCAAATGGTTAATGTCCCTTGTTGAAGAAAGTAAGCAGCAAAACAAAATATACTTGACTCTGGTTGAAGAAAAAAAAAAAGTGGGCACCAGCCAATATAATAGCTTGGGCCTCGTCATAACGTAGTAATAATGAATGGGGGTGACCATGTGTATGTACGTTTCACATGGCATGCAAAGTGTCGTTAAGGTGGATGATAGTTGGGAATGGGGTCGCTTGTTATTGCTGCTCAATGCTTGTTTGCTCACAGACTAGCCTTATCGTTCTTCACGTAATTGGTGTAGTATTCACCGAACACACTCCAGTGGAACTTGACCAACGTAGAAATTCTCGATGCAATGCTGACCATCTCCAGATCAGCCTTCTTGCTCTTGCCGGAAGAGCTCAGCTTGAAATCGTTGCTCAAACTGCTAGCGGTAATGGCACCATCAAAGTTGAGGTTCACCACAATCTCAGTTAAAAGCTCTTTGAAAATCTTGTCCTCCATGAGGCCGTAAACGTCCGAGTTAGGTTGGATCTGTTTAATCAACCAGTTGTAACTGAAATCAACTATCGACTGTGGCAAGTTGTTCGTTACCTTACTGCCAGTGGATGGATCCGTGACAACGTTCTTCACCAACTGCAAAGCGATGGCCTGGACGTTTCTAGTCCACTTAACGTTACCGTTGTCATCGGTCACAATGGCCAAGATCTCCTCTTGCACCTTTGTGAGATATTCAGGCTTGGAGCTGGCTGCTCTGTATGAAGCAGCTGGTCCATAGTTGTGTAAAAGTTGCTTAAACAAGACCACGCACAACTGGACACAGACCAATTGTCTAACATCAGCTCTCAACAAAACCAATCTGGTGTGGTCAAAAGCCAAAGTCAGGGGGAATTCAGTAGCCATGTTACGGCATGAAAGCAAGTCAATAATGGCAGAAACAATGATAGCCTTGCTAGTCTCAGTTTCCAGCATGTTCTCCTTATTCAACAGTTTACCAATATCACTCTTCTTGTGGAAGTTTCTGTAGTACCATTTCAAAGAGTCAGTAATGTCGATCTTGCAGTGGTTGATGAGTTGGTCAAAGTAGTCCTTCTCAAACTCATTAGCAGTCTCGATCAATACGGGTCTCAAGATTCTAATTTGATGGTTAGCAACATCCAACTTCATGGCTTCCAAAATAAAGAAGATAGTCCTCAAACCTTGCACAAGCTTCTCAACCGAGTTCTCTTCAAATGACTGCTGGAACTTGGCAATCATATCGGAAACCCACTGGTCTCTCATAGGAGCGCAGTGAGACTTGAACACCTCTCCAAGCCACTTGGCCATAGCAACGAAATCGAACGAACCGTGAGACAACTGCTGGACAAGCAAGTCAATGTCCATGATTTCGTTAACTGGAGCACGATCCTTGACAGGAAGAAGAGACAACAAAATGTCTCTCAAAGTGGTGAACAAGACGGGCAAGCGGGGAAGCTTAACTGAGTTAGGTTTGACAGGACCATTAAAAAACTGTTTACACTCAGTTTCAATCTCAGACCAGTACTTCTCAATGATGGTCTTCTTCCGTCTGCCACGTTCGCCGTCCAAGTTGGGGCGGAACTGCAACTGAGGGTCGAAAAGAATGTCGTGTCTCAACTGAGGGTTCTTCAAGATCTCATGCAAGTCGATTTCCTTCAAGGATTGTAAGTTGATTGGAGGAAGCGAAGGAGTGGCAGGGGTATGATGGTGGTGGTGATGGTGATGGAAATGCAGGGAAGAAGAAGTCGAAGGCTGAGAAGCTTGCAGAAAGAAGCTCAGGCTCTGGGAGGAAGGATTCGAAAGACCGGAGGAGTTGGCAGAGGAGTTCAAAAGCAGCCCCTGTTGGTGAGGCACGCGCTGTTGAAACATGTGATGTTGGAACAACTGGGAACGGGAAGTGTAGTTGATGATGGGGAGGGAACGGGAACGGAAGCGTCTAACAAACTTAGGAGCCTTAGAGTTAGATGCTGAAGCCACAGGCAGCACACGCATAGACTTTTTGGAGACCGAGTTACGGTGAGCCAGTCTTGTAGCCAGGGGTTTAGGCTGAGACAGCAGCAGGGGCAACTTTGGAGTCAGCAGAGGCTGGGGCGTGGCAGCAGGCTTGTTCAGCACATTCTTAGCGTCACCGTCGTCCTGCAGTTGTTGTTGTTGAGCAGGTTGAGAGTCCATGTCGACGTCTTCATCAGCGGCGGGCTGTTGGTCCGGGGTTGGCAGCGAGGGCTGGGAAAGAATATGGTGCTGAAGGAGCAAGTGGCGATGGTGAAGAGCTCTATGCTGGTTTATCAAGGCAGGAGCCAGGGTTGCTGGTTTGCCTGGGGATGTGTTTGCCAGGGGCAGCGTTGGGTTAGGCTGGATATCTTCCACGTCCAGTTGTCTATCCTTTGGAGCAATGACAGAAGCGTCGAGTCTAGCTCTTTTGGAGGAGTCTGAAGAAGCCAGGGACGAGTTGCGTTTGGCGCCTGAGTCGAAGAACACTGGCCTGAAAGTATCAGTTTCCTGAAAGACCAGGTCCTGGTTTTCGTTGGAGTTGTTGAGTTGCGAGTTCATCGGCCTGCCGTGTAAATTAGAAAAGGGCCAGGCGAGGGATTATAAAAAAGGTGTAATATAAAAAAAGGGGGAGTTCGCTGGCCAGAAGGTCCTTTCTCTTTTTTATTTTTTTTGTTGGTTTTTAAAAGGGAGTTTTAAGGGATGATTAGAATTAGGAGTGGTAGATGAGTTGGAGGGAAGGTGGAAAGGAATGAGGGAGAAAAAAGGGCGAGCGAGGGCGAGGCACAGGGTTAAGAGAAGGGAAGTGACTAAGGCAGCGAAAAAAAGAAAAAAAAAAAAATAATAATGTGAGAAAAAAGCGTACGGAAAAAGAAATGGGCCGCCAAAAAAGAACGCATAGAACAAGGGCAAAAAAAAAAAAAAAAAAAAAAAAAAAAAAAACCGTGCGAAACAGAAATTGTGTTGCCCCCAAACGCCCCCAATAAGTGAAAAAAAGGAAAAAAATATATGGTGAATGCAAGGCGTTTCTCAGCAGAAGTTTAGAGACAGAAAGCCAAAGAAAAAGTCACATTTAACAGATTTCCAGAAAGGAGACAAAAGTCATAAAAGTCACAAAACCCACAAAAAAAAAGAAGGTTTACGTGGGGGAACAAGATGTACCCAGCAAGTGGATGATGTCAAAACTCTGCCACGTCCAATTACCTGATTGGCTAAGGGCGTGTGATTGCTCCTTGCTCTAGCCATGTTCCTCGGCGTGCCCCCGACGTGCCCCCGACGTGGAATGATTATCCACCAAATGATCTGGCGGTGGTTGGATGGGTTTTTTCTCCAGTGCGATTGCGTTGGGTGGTGGAGGGAGGGTGGAATGGCGCGCGGGCGGCATAAGCCGCTGAAACTGCCCCTGGGGCGGAAACGAAGGAGGCGAGGGAGGCAGAGGAGGGAGAAAAGTGAGGGAGAAAAGACGAAGGGCATGAGAATTGGGGAGAACCCAGAAACCAGAAACCAGAAAGAAGGAACCACCACTTCAACCTTCAAAGACCGCAACCAACTTGTTTTGTGGTGCCTTGTGCCTTTTTCTATTTCTTAGAAGTAAAACGGTTTACATGTAAATTCTATAAGGCTTTTTATTTGCTTTTACGTTCTGTTTTCGTTGGTGTGGCACTTGTTGCAAAAACGGTTGGTGCTCATATGCTTCCCTTGTGTTGTCCATGTTTTTCCTTTTTCTTCCCTTTTCCTTCCCTTTTGTTCGGGCTTGTTATTGCCTTCTTTTTTTTTGTGCTGCGGATACTTCTGCCGCCGCCGCTGCCTCTCCCTACCTGGCTAAATTTGCTACGTTATCTGCCCGCGGCAATGCAAAAAAAAAAAGAGGTCAAAAGGTGCCAGGGCCAGAAGTCACCATTGAATGAAGAAAACGCATATCGGTTATTCTTCGTTTTTGGCCGCCAATCCCCGAACATCCAGTGACTTTTGGGGGTGTTTCCAGAAGGAAACACCAAATAAGACATACTCTTCTTGGGGCAACGTCCGGAAAGTCTTCATCCACGGATGGCTCCGCGGGCCATTCATGCCACTCGGTTTCTTCCTTTTTTTTTGCATTTTTTTGCAAATTTTTTGCATTTTTTTTCGGCCCATTGTCCATCCCAGGAATGTTTCCTGGCGCCCGCGGGCCCAGAAGGAACCAATCAATGACATAACATATCACAAAAGTAGCAACCCCTGGGTGGTGACCTAAGGCCCGCCTAGTCATAGGCAAATGATGGACAGTGGCAGTGACCATCACTACCGTCAATCTACCACTGGCAGTGGGGGCCAAGACAGGCCACTTCGCATCTCGTGATAAACGCACCTCTGAACGACCAGAGATGAGCTACGTATATGTATTTCTCTACACCCACCTACACCTACACCTACATCTCTACGTAACTGTACTTGAAAAAGACGTACCTTCTTTTCCTCTTTTCTTGTCGTGGCAAATGCCTGCCCAGCATATGTCTGTAGAGTTGCCTGTAGAGTCTTTCTGGCGTGTCTTTTGTCTCGGGCTCGAGAAGCCTGCCCCATGAGGAAAAACAGAGAATGAGTATATGAACACTGGCTACGCACCAAGGCAAGAAAAAAGCCTGCAAGTCAACAACCAGAGTGTCCAAGAAATTCCAAATGAGACACATCACCTTAATCTCCAGCCCTCTGGTAGTTACTGGCCGGGCTCCGTGTCTGCACTGGGGGCTGTTTTTTTCACCAAAATACCGATGTACCTCCTGGACCATACCGCAATACCGAAATAGAAACCAATCGTGTCCTGTCTGGGGCCGCACCGATAGTTGCTGAATTCGAAGAATTCAAAGAATTCAAAGAACTCAAAGAATTCGTGAAGAATGAACGGATTCTGAATTCTTTGAACCATCCCTTCCAACCAATTAGACCCGAAAAGTCTCCCTTACCTCCAATGGCAAAATCAATCAATACCTCCCCAACGTCCAACGTCCCTCCCCCAACCACCAACGTCCTTCTTCTCCCCCACCACCGGCCGCTGCACTTTGTCTTACCAGACTACGTCACTCAGGTGGTGGCCAGGGTTTAGTGTAACTTCTACCGCCTCAGCGCCCTACGGCCTGGTCCCGCCCAGGCAGGCCGAGCGAAGCCCCCTCAGCACCACTATCCAAAGAACGGAATTGGCAATGGATTTTATGGCTTCTGGGAATTTGGAATTTACTAGTTTTTCTACATGTCCATAATCAGATGCCCTATTGGGTATTTCTGACTGGCACTCGTTCTCTTCCACTTCTGTCCCTTTCACAGCCACCAGACCCTCCCTCAGTCCTCCAGTCCCTCACTGTCCCCAGTGCCTCACTGCCCTGGCAGTCCTCCACCTCTCCCACTCCATCCGTATCCATGGAAAAGCTGCTTCCTCTGCCGAACCGTCTTTGTGACCAGTACATGTACTACTGTTTTTGTCATTCTATTTATTTTTTTTCATGCCTCGTACTTCCCCTTCTACTTCTCCTTCTCCTTCGCTCGCTTTTAACCCAACTCACATCCTTCTACCGTCGTTTCACCTCCATCATCTGCTTCTTTTTCATGACCTGGTGCTGCCTGCTGTGCCACGCATTTTTCATCGTAATTGTCCAGCTTTTTGTCCAATTTTTTTTTTTCTGCCTGCCTGTCTCGGCTCGGCGCCGTTTCCCTCCATCTGAAAATTTAACCGTTTTCCTCCCAACGCCGTTTCTTCCTAAACCGCCTAAACTTCCTAAACTGCCTCCAGCATTTTTTTTTCTGCCTTTTCCGCTTTGAGCTTCGGTTTCTTCACCCACCACTTAACCGTTTTTTCCTATATACCCTTTCTTTTCTTCCCAACCTTAATTAACCTTCCCGAAATTCTTCATTCCCATTGTGTATTCTGGAAAGTACCGCCCTTCTCTTCTTTGTTCTCTGATCGTCGTGGCCCACCGCTGCTCATTCCAGAATATCCAAGGGGAGACAATAGACCCCTAAAGCATATCCAACACAAAAAACGGAGGAAAGAAAAACCTGAGATTTATTCGAAAACAAATGTCCAAGACCTTCAATTCCTACTTGTATTTTTTGTTGTCTTCCCTTCTTGTCCTCTTTGTCCTCGTCTCGTCTCGTCGGTGCCCCCACCCTCACCTCTTCTCTCGGTCCTGCTTCTTAGATACCCAATTTTCATTCTCACCAACCACTCCACATTTTCTTCTGCCACAGCGTGCTCTCGAGCTCAGCGTCCCTGGATCATCAAGCTTGCTCTTGCTTTCTGTCGTACCCATCCTTGTCGCTCCCTTCTGCTGCAAAACCTGGCTTCCATACTGCCCGTCGACTTCGCACACTATCTGGGTCCTCCATACCCAACTTGGTTTTTCTTTCTTCTGCCAACAACACTCCATCAACACCCACCACCTGCCTTCTCCAACCATGGCCTTGCCTTCTCCTGAGGAGAGTCTCGTCCACCACGATGCCTTGCGGCCTCTGCATCTTCACCAGCCTCACCAGCCACAACAGCCGCTGAACCTCCCGCTACAACGGGACCCTGAACATCATGACCCGGCTGAACACCACAACGGCTCGGTAAATACGGCTAAACCGCCTTCCCACTTACCTCACCCGCTCCCTCCACCTCACCATCACCATCCACAACAACCACAACAACACCAGTCCCATCAGCCTCATCAGCCCCAACACCAGCCCCAACCTCAACCACAACACCAGCCACATGGACAAACCATCATCGACGATTCTAGGTCTTCGGCTCCAAAGACCCAAACGGTGTTCATCCATAAGCTCTACGATATGCTTGAAGACCAGACTCTCTCGCATCTCATCTGGTGGCTGCCCACTCACGACTCCTTTTGTCTTTACCCTGGGGAAGAGTTTTCCAATGTTCTAGCTCAGTACTTCAAACATACCAACATCGCTAGTTTCATTCGTCAGTTGAACATGTACGGTTTCCATAAGGTTAATGACAGTTTCCATAGCGATGAGAAGGGTCAGGGCTGGCGCCGCAGACGCCAACTGGCCAGACTCGCTGGGAGTTCAGACACGCTGCCAACCAGTTCCGTAAAGGCGACGTGGACTCGTTGCGTTTGATCAAGAGAAAGCTGTCTAAGGTGATGAGCACGCCAAAAGAGATTGTTAACTTGAAGCTGCTTCCCCCAACGTCAAACCCTGCGTCTACGAACAACACTAGTACCAATGCTACGAACGACTCCGACTCGGAATCTCCAGAATCGGCCTCCAAACAGCAGTACCATCGTTCTCTTTACCAACAACTGTGGAAACAGCAACTGGCTCAGAAACCAAACACTCCTTCGCTGCCCAATGGTCATCCGCTGAACCCCCCAAACTCGATGTATTACCAGGGCTACCCTGCGGTCCATCCTTACCCTGGTATTCCTCATTCTATGACAATGCCTGTTCCAGTGAGTCCAAGTTCGCCTCCTTACCCTGAACATCCAATCCCCACGCCGTCTTCATATGTTTCCCAATCTCAGCTGCGTCAGGCGTCCAATCAGACTTCCATTGCAGTTGACCAGTCGATCAACCTAAAATTAATTGAAATGCTGACGTCTATTTCTTCTCTTCGTGCGAGCTACGATGAGCTCCAACATCGCTACGATCTGCTCTATGCTGGGTACCAGCAGAACCAACAGGATATGGTGCAGCTTCTTGATATCTTGGAAAGTGGAGAGGAGGAGCGTCTCAAAACTCCAGGAACTACGGGATCCACGCCTGCGCCAGATTCGCTACGAACTAGTGTTTCTGTTGACGAAGTCAGGTCGTTCAGAAAAAGGATTCTTTCAAGAAATGGTGAATCGGAAAGACCAGCTACCGTCCCAGCTACTGCTTCAGTGCAAGCATCAGCATCAGCACCAGCAGCTCCACCTCAAAATATTCAAAATGGCCCAGCCTCAGGCCCAGGCCCAGAGGAGTCGCTTTCAAGAGTGTCTTCCAATTCCAACATTGTTCCACAGCATTATCCACTCAATCCAAACTATTCCTTGTATAATAATAGCGAGAATGGGTTCCGCCACTTCAAGCTAGGCAGCGAGGATAGCCAGGCTCAGAATAACCGCCATTTCTCGGTTCTCATGGATCCATTGCAAACGAAAGCATTGAAGGGACCAGGTGAAGAACTCAAAAGCTCAAGCCCCCTTTCAGCTGCTAATCAAGCAAAGGATTCCAGACCTCCTGTTCCTTTAGTTCAGCAATACCAGCCTAAGGTAAGTCAGCAGTCTACACCTTCGCTTTACCAGCCATTTATGCGTAACGAAAGTGCCCACCAGCAGAGAACGGTCTCGCTTCCCATCCTTGACAAAGTGATGCCACAGACCTTCTCGTCACAGCAAAGGCATTCTACGACTGCTCTTCTCAACAACGAGAAGAGACCTCTTTCGCCCGGCCATGTTGCGCCAATTGGCACTCCTGCTGCTAAAACCTACACGCTGAACCCCATGGCAACCTCGGCACCTATCCAGGCACCTCCTTCTAATGCTCCATCTCCAGCACCTACGAGTTCTCTGCCGCAGCCACAGACCCAGTTTGAAGCCAAGGGAGTGCTTCCTTCAGTCAAAGAGCTCGACAAGCTGATCAAGAGAAGCGCCTCGGGAAGACTCTCGGACATTCTCACCGACGACGAAGACCCCAACATCAAAAAGGTGAAGACGGAAAATTAGGTTATGTTTTAATTTTCGTTGAAATTCCACACTTTCCGCCCCACTATGGGGTTCCTGTGGATGCGCGACACAAGTAAAAACATCACCATCGCATCTTTCTTCCCCAAATACCACCATGGCTGGCTCTGGATCTGCACAATATCCCCAGAGCAGGTTCAAGCGGGTGCTCAAAAGCAAAACTGACATGCCCATAGCCAATGATAACACAGATACTTTGGTGTATTTGGTTTACATGGATTACTTGAGCAAGCTTCTTAATGAGGCAGGCCAGGAGGGTATGAGTGAACGTCTGCTTGAAGAGAAGCACGAGGAGTTGATGAGGTACTACCGAGGCTGAATGCCGTTCCAATTGCTGCTGCTGTCGCCGCCGCTGTCCATTCCTTTCTTCTATGTTTTATTATATTGGATGCAACTTTTTGTCTATATACAAGGGATATCAAAATACACTATTTGGGTTTTTTAACGTGTCTATCATGTCATAAGCAGCCTGGGCGTCTTTCTTGTTGTAAACAAACAAGCCCTGGAGCTGCGCTGTGCTGACCTTGCCCTCGAGGCCGAGCTCTCTATACTTCTGGACAAATTTTTCACAGAGTTCTTTTTGGTCCTCGTAGAAACGCAAGAACATGCGTCTGACCTGGCTTTCAGTGGCGTTGTTGACCATGACCTTGAAGTCCACACGGCCAGGACGAAGCAACGCAGGGTCAAGTCTTTCTGGATGGTTGGTTGTCATGAAGGTGATGCACTCTTCAGCCGAGACGACACCGTCTAGAGCGTTCAAAAGACCCGAGAAAGTAACGCCAGACTGGTAGCCTTGCTCGTTGGTCTGCTCTCTCTTGTTGAAAGCGGCGTCGATGTCCTCAAGGAGCAAGATGGATCTGTTTGGAATATGGTTCATTAAGTGGTTGAGTCTGTCGTCAGTCAAATGGCCTTCAGAAAGGTTCAAGACGCAAATGTTATAGTCTAGCTCACCAGCAAGAGCCTGGATGTAAGAGGTCTTTCCGCTTCCTGGAGGTCCATAAAGCAAGTAGCCTCTTCTATATGGAATACCACGCTGGTGATACCACTCTCCAGAGCCCAAGAAGTCTTTCACGTCGTTGACAACCAATTCGCTGACACCTTCATCTAGGATGACCGATCCTAGCATTCTCTTCTTCCGAGGCTGGCCAAATGGTCTCCATTCGGGACCCCATGCCGTGTACAACACAGTCTTTCCTTCCTGAGCCTTCAAGGCCATCTTCTTAGCCTCGGCAAGCAAGTCCAGGAACACATGTCTGTCGCTGTACAAAGTAGTCAAAGTAACGGTCTCGAAAGGCGTACCCGAAGTCATATCCAAGAGCTTACCTGATCTCTCTCTGTTCACAAGCATATAAGCACCCTTATACTTAATCAAGTGCTTACCTGGACCAGGCACAAGCGAGAATTTCGTAGAAACAGCACCGTTATCATGCTGAACGTAGTTCGTCTCCACCGATAAGTGTCTCAGCGAACGATGCTTATACTGAGACATCCATTCCAAGAACCACAAGTAGGACTTATCCTTGGAAGGAATCTCCAAGTCCACGAGAAGCTGTCTGTAGATGAAACCACTTGACTTGACAACACCCAGTCTGGCCAAAGCCAAACCGGTGCCTAGAAGCATAAGACCACCACCAGCGGCAAAGTATGGGTTGTTCAAGACGGCTTGGTCAAACATGGAGCGAGCCATGCCGGTATATGAGCCGTCAGACTCGGCCCTGATCTTTTCTAGATCGAATTGTGGGGGAGATTGGTTAGCCATTGGAGGTTGAAACTCTAGTGTGTGGAGCGAGCGATGTAGGTGATGGGTCGCGGTGCACTGGTGTGGTATAGGACCCCGAGTTTCGGTGTTCAGGGGGAAGTTAGGGAAATTTAAAGAGTCATATTGGAGAATGAAGTATGGCTTTTGGAGGTAGATTTTTTCCAGAACCCCCAAGCAGCAACGTGTGTGGAACTAGCTTGGTACACCTACTTTAGTGGTTATACAGGCGCGAGAGCAAACACCCCAGTCAGCCGTGGCCCTTTAAAAGAACCCAATCGTAAAGTATTATAAAAATGATGATTACATTATATTAAACTAATAGACATCTCTATATATCCCCTTCTACTCTTCTGTAATTGTCTGGTCCACCTCTTTGCCTCCACTTCTGGCCCGCTCCTGCACTCCAGCATCAACATCACCACCAGGCAATCGTAAGAGCTAAGTCCACACTTCCCTTCCCTCCTACGCCTCGGCCCAATGGCTTCTAATCCACCTCGTCTGGGCTCCGTGCCGCTCGAATCCGCTCATACTGGCGAGTCCAACACTCTGCCAGCCGAAACCCCAGTTTCTGCCCCAGCATCTCAAGTTAATGATCATAAGTCCAGCAATCCGTTTGCCAATGGCCAGTTTGCAACCAGATCTTCTACGCAAACAGAAAGCACTGACGCCTCGTTTTTCACTGCTAACGATAATATCCACCATGTGGCGACGCTGGTGCCGAAGGATCAGTTGAAGAAGGCTCCTTTTAAGACATCAAACCGTATCTTTAGTGATCTCAAGTACACCCCACGTTTCTTCCAGCTTAAGGGTCTGCCAGCGTTTAATGATTGTCATGCCACGTCTTTGTTGTCTGGTAAACCTATAGATTACGCTAGGCACTTGCTGCTGACGTTGGTGGCGGAAAGAGACCACTTTGAGCCCTTGATCTTGAACAACGCCATCGATTACATTCCTGCGTTCCAGAAACATGACTTCCCAGAGAGAAGTCTATCTGTTTCGATTGTTCGTGGTCTTTTAGTTCGTAAGTCGACGCATGAGATTTACCACTTCAGGTTATCTATTCTTGAGCAGAACAAGCCACAGGTGTTTTCCATCGATAAGCATGAGTATCACGTTGTTCTGAAGGACGACGTTTCTCCTGATGACTTTGACGCTTTGGGCGAGGATAAGTTGGCCGTTGCCCTGCAAGTGGTCGATGACGCCTTCTACAAGTCGCTAAATACCTCCCATAATCATATCTTGAGGGTTACTGTCTTTAAGCCAGAATTCACCAGAGACGAAGTGAACGGTATCACAGACGTGGAGGTGGTGAATCAGAGATTCACTGAAGGCATCAAGAATATTCCTGACTCGCCAGCGGCTCAAGCGACAAAGTTTGATCCAATCAATTGTGTTGTTACCCTTTTGAAGGTTCTAAAGAATCCCATCACTTTGTCCGAGAACGAGCCTTTGCAAACCATTCCCAAGGTAAGATCTGGCCTCGAAGCTAAAATAGATACGTCCTTGCTCTTCAACAAGTTGAACTTCTCGTTGGACGAGAAAGAACAAGTATTCGTGCCACCAAACCTTAGCAAAGATCCCCTTCTTCGGGAAAGTTATATCCGTAAAGCATACGAGTTGCTATTCATTGGAAAGCTTCTTAGGACGTCTCATCCTAATGACTTTGACCGCCAATACTCATACAACGACTCAATGTCTCGTGCATTCACAGCGCTTGGCGAAGTGGACAAATATTCTTCGGTAACGTCATTCAGACAAGACAACTCGGACAACTTTCCGTTCTTTGTTGCCTTGAGTGCATTTTCATTTTACCAGGATGAGTTACTCATCAAATGTTACGAGAATTCAGTGGCATCTGATGAGTCCAACAAGCTCTTTTATGTTGATTCTTTCAAGCACTTAATGGCATACCGCTCGTCCAGAGCAGGTGGCAGGTTACAATCCTACTATCAGAATCAATATAGTAAGGGTCTTATTTATGGGTTCTCGGAATACAGAGATGCCTTGAAGTCTATTGGCGTTGAAGGGATTTCTCCAGATGATAAGATCGACGACGATGTCGTCATTGGCATGTACAAGCAGGCTTGCAAGAATGACCACAAGAACTACACATACTATAATAAGCAGTTGAGAATTGTTGCTACTATCAAGCAAAGTTCAGGCTTGCTCAAGTTCCTTGACAATGAGCTTATTCCAGCCTTAATTGCTCTCGAGGAATTGAGGATTGAGGAGCTCACAGAGGACGATGTCGTCATTACAGCCTATGAGTTCCGTCTTGATGAGGTTCTCCAATCGGTCAACTTTAATGCTGAATCGCAAGAAATTCGCTTCTTGAACAAATGTTTGCTCTCCATAGCTATAAGCCGGAAGAGTTACATTCTCATGACTTACATCGAGACAAAGGTTCCAGGCCTTGCTCAAGAGGAGCCTCGCTTAAGTGTTGACGAAGCACTAGACTACTTGGGTGCTGATAGACTGACAAATGACTTTGAGATTTCCGCTAAATTTCAAGAAAAGATGGCGACCTCTGAGGTTGGCGATGTCAGTGATTTCATGACCCTTAGAGGTAGTTTACGTGCCTTGGCAGAGGCTAAGAAGCTGGATATTTTATTCAGCTTTCTCAAGAACGGCAAGATTGATTCCTCATTATTGCCTCCGGAAAATTGGCCTGCTGGTTTGGACAATATCGGAAACACCTGCTATTTGAACTCCTTGCTTCAATACTACTTTTGCATTAAACCTTTGCGCGAGGCCATCCTTTCGTTTGATGATACCAACCTCGAAAGCTTGAAAGTGAAGAAGAGAAGAATAGGAGGACGTGATGTTGAACAGTCTGAACTTGAGAGATCTGGCCAGTTCGTCTTTAGACTTCAGAGCTTATTTCTGGAGATGATTTCTACAAGACACAGATGTGTTCAGCCAAGTAAAGAATTGGCGTATCTTTCATTTTTGCCATTGTCCCAGAGTGTTGATTTCAAGCAAGAGCCCGAAGTTTCCGAAAAGCCGTCGACCGAAGATCAGCAAAGAAACCCAGCCAGTGAAGGTCATGCATTCTCAGATATGGATGTCGACGCGAATGAATATGGTGACAATCGTCTGATCCAAGATGTGGATATGTCCGACAAGGAAAATGATCCATCAACTGGTTCATCGAACTTGCCTAAAAATAAGTTAGATGACTCTTCTTACAACCTTCTCGAATTATCTGAAGAAGAGCCAGCGAAGGTGGATGCTCAAGCTGATGCTCCATCAGAAGCACTTGCAGAGGATTCCTCGAAGAGTTCCGTTGATTCCCCAGAGAACGCAGAAAATGATAAACCTCAGCAAAAGATCATGAGTATTAGCACGGATCAAATCGAGAGCACTATTGAGATTGGAAGACAACAAGATGTGACTGAATGTATCGAAAATGTCACTTTCCAGATCGAAACAGCTCTCGAGCCTACGAAGATTGATGATGACGGCGAGCAGTATGACTTGGTTAAACAGTTATTCTGTGGTAAGACGAAGCAAACCATCACTCCATTAGATAAAAGCAATGGTGCCAAGTCCAGAAGTTCTTTTGAGCGGTTCTTCAGTTTGATCATCAACGTGAGTGACCATCCAAAGGATATCTACGATGCTCTTGATAACTATTTCATTGAGGATATAATGAATTTGGAAGAAGGCCAGGTGAAGAAGACTACTACAATCACCGAACTTCCTGAAATCCTCCAATTCCATGTTCAAAGAGTGCTTTTCGATAGAGAGAAGCTCATGGCATACAAGTCCTTGGAAGTCATTCCATTCAAAGAAACCATCTACTTGGACCGTTACCTTGACACCGACGACGAAGAGATCAAAAGAAGAAGGCTGCAAGTGTATGAATGGAAAGCTGAGATCAAGAAGTTGCTGGAGGAGAAAGATGCACTTTTGCAAGTCAACCCCGAGACGAAACTCTCAGCAATTGATGCGTTACAAGCTACCAAGAAATTTTTGGAGACCAAATTGGCCGTATTCCCTGAATTATCCATCAAGCCTGAAACCATCGAGGCCATTGGCACACAAATCACCGAGTTCAAGAGCAAGCTCCAGTCGATCCACGACGAGATCCGAGTACTCCAAGAAAAATCCACCAACCACTTCAACGCCTACCAAAAAGTCGGCTACACTCTTTTTGCCATCTTCATCCACCGCGGTGAAGCTTCCTACGGTCACTACTGGGTATACATTAAAGACCTCCATAGGAACATCTACAGAAAGTACAACGACGATGTGGTTACAGAAGTGCCTGCACTGGAAGTGCTTAATTTTGCCGAAGGCAACACTGCCACTCCCTACTACATGGTGTTTGTGAAGGACGAGCTCAAGGAGTCGTACGTGGAGCCACTCAAGAGGGAGATTACCTGAAGCAGGTCGGTTAAAGCATATCCTTGATTCATTTGGGTGCGAAAAGTGGTAAAAGTGGTCTCGGAGATAGAACGAGAAAAGGAGAAAAAGTGTGTGTACTGCATCCAGGCACCTCGCCTACCTTCACTGGGGTTCTCACTTGCTCAGGAACCTTTATCTATTAAGGTGAGACATTGCCTACTGTCATATAGAAACTCCACAAATAATCCTTCCATTCACTTCTCGTTTATTACTACCATATTAGACCTTTCCAAAGATATCTTTACATGAAATTCGTGTCATTTCTTCCTGCACTTTCTTGTATAATTGGAGCGTTGGCAGATGACACTGCCAGTGGCCACAACCGTTGGGCTCTAGAAAACTCCTTTGACAAGTTCCAGCAAAATGCCATTGTGAACAATGTGTTTGAAGTGAAGGGCTTTGACCGTGATGACGAAGACGACCACGAGTGTCCTCCATGTTTCAATTGCAACTTGCCAAATCATAAATGTGCACAGTTCTCCAAATGTAACACATTCACTGGAATGTGTGAATGTCACGATGGATTTGGAGGTCTGGACTGTTCAGAGCCGTTGTGTGGGTCTCTTGGGAAGGATAACTCGAAAAGAAGACCTAGAGGTAATGAAACTACATGTTCTTGCGATAGTGGCTGGGACGGTATCAATTGTAACCTATGCACGGAGGATTCCGTGTGTGACGCCTTTATGCCTGAGGGGCTCCAGGGAACATGTTACCAGAGAGGTGTGGTTATTAACAAGATCCATCAGATGTGTAATGTGACCAATCCTAAGATTATTAAGATTCTAGAGGGTGAGATTCCTCAGGCGACATTTAGCTGTGACAGGAAGAACAATACTTGTGATTTCCAGTTCTGGATCGATGAGGTGGAATCGTTTTACTGTGATTTGAGCCGGTGCAGCTTCGACTACGACTTGGAATCCAATACTACTCGCTATAAGTGCGAGGATGTTGCCTGTGAGTGCTTGCCGGACCGTATGCTTTGCGGTAAGTCAGGCTCAATTGACATCTCTGAGTTCCTCGAAAAGACAATTAAGGGTCCTGGCGACTTTACCTGTGATATCAGCAAGGGAAACTGTCGGTTTTCGGAACCCAGCATGAACGGCTTGATTTCATCGGTTTTCGGTGATCCTTACATTACGATTCATTGTAAGGCCGGAGAGTGTGTCCACAAGAGTGAAATTCCAGGCTACGACTTACCTGATCGCAGCAAGTTTACCTGGTATAATCTTTTCACTATTGCCGCTGTGGTAGCGGTTGTGGGTGTGGCCATCATTACTTCCATCTATCACATCAAGAATAGTCCGCTTTTTAAGACTGGAAGTCTTCTGGGATATGACAATGATACAGATTTCAACCCGTTGAATGAGAACTTCACGCCTACGACTTTGTCCTTTAAGGATGTGTCTTATCACCTTGGCAACGACACCCAGATTTTGAATAACATTTACGGTTTGGTGAACCCTGGAGAATGTCTCGCTATTATGGGTGGATCTGGTGCTGGTAAAACTACACTTCTTGATATCTTGGCTGGAAAGAGAAAGAGCGGCAAGACTTCTGGTGAAATTTACGTCAACGGCCAGATCCTTGACCGTCATGACTACAGACAAATTGTTGGCTTTGTTGACCAGGAAGATCATTTGATTCCTACCTTGACTGTCTATGAAACAGTGCTCAACAGTGCTTTATTGAGACTTCCAAGGGTCATGCCAATGCATTCTAAGATCTCCAGAGTAATTGAAGTGTTGAACGAATTGAGAATCTTGAATATCAAGGATAGAGTTGTTGGTTCTGACTTTAACAGAGGAATTTCTGGTGGTGAGAAGAGAAGAGTTTCTATCGCTTGTGAACTCGTGACGTCACCATCGATCTTGTTCTTGGATGAGCCTACTTCTGGTCTTGACGCCTACAATGCTAGAAATGTTGTGGACTGTTTGGTCAAGTTGGCAAGAAGCTACAATAGAACGATCGTGTTCACCATTCACCAGCCTAGATCGAATATTGTCTCATTGTTCCACAAGCTCTTGTTGCTTAGCGAAGGTGACCTTATCTATTCTGGTGATTTGATTAAAGCCAACGATTTCTTCACCAAGCATGGTTACAGATGTCCTCCAGGTTATAACATTGCTGATTACCTCATTGACATTACAATGGATCACAAGAAGGTTGTCAAGGTACCCAGCGCGGAAGAAGATGTCCATGCTGCTTTCTCGAACCCTGCTAATACCGAGGTGGACGAGACTGCCGAATGGGAACATTATGCTACTCATCGCGATGAATATAACTTCCAGCCCTTGGCTCTGGCTGATAATGGCGACAAGTTGGTCCAATTGCACAAGAAATTGCCACAGACATTTGGTGAGTCCGTGCTTGCCATTGAGCTCAAGCAGGAGATCGAGGAGTCCAAGCAAAGCTCTGCTGCTCTTGATGTTCTGCATCATCTTTTGAAGAAGGCTTCGTTGTTTACTCAGTTTTCCGTGTTAAGCTCCAGAACGTTCAAAAACTTGTACAGAAACCCCAAGTTGCTTCTCACGAACTACGTTTTGTCATTGTTAGTTGGTCTTTTCTGTGGCTCACTTTACTACAAGGTGTCTAACGATATTAGTGGATTCCAGAACCGTTTGGGTTTGTTCTTTTTCGTCTTGGCTTTATTCGGTTTCTCTTCTTTGACTGGATTGCATTCATTTGCCGAGGAGAGAATCATCTTCATTCGTGAGAGAGCTAACAACTACTACCATCCATTCAGTTACTATGTCAGCAAGGTGTTGTGTGATATTGTTCCATTGCGTGTGCTTCCACCGATCATTTTGCTCAGTATCTTGTACCCATTAGTGGGATTGACCATGGAACATAATGGGTTCCTCAAAGCTCTCCTCGTTCTTGTCATGTTCAACGTCGCCATTGCATCCGAGGTTTTGATCGTCGGTATTTTGATCAAGGATCCTGGCACTTCGACGATCCTGGCGGTTTTGATTCTCCTCTTCTCATTGTTGTTCGCTGGTCTCTTCATCAACAGTGAAGACCTCAAAGTTCAGACCAAATGGTTGCAGTGGATTTCATTGTTCCATTATGCATACGAAGCACTCGCTATTAATGAGGTCAAGGACTTGATTTTGAAAGAAAAGAAGTACGGACTTTCCATTGAAGTTCCAGGTGCTGTTATCTTAAGTACCTTTGGTTTCGAAGTTTCGGCATACTGGAAGGACGTGAGCTACTTGATCGGCTGGGCCGTCACCTTCCTTATTCTCGGCTATTTCTTCTTGCACTTCTTAACCTATGAAAGAAGGTAAGCCATCATAAACTAGATTTTTTTCGATTGATCTTTATAGAAGTTAGTTTAAACATACGATATTACGGCATTCAGTATATGTATAGAACCTTGGAAGTAGTATCATGGGGTTCAGTAAAGCCATCATTTTATTTCTAAGTGTATCAAGCAGTCTCTGTTCGTAATTTAAAGATTGGAGTATCGATTCCATCTATGTTTAATTCCATAAACTAGGTGAGAAAAACTTAAAATGGCTCTAAAACGCTCAAATTTTGCCCTAGCAAGCTCAAATTTCTCATGTGACTTTTTGAAATTTGCTAACATCTTTTGAAAGCTTTAAAATTGGTTATTTGAAGTGTCTGATTAAAATACAGATTATGTAACTACCTCTACTTCTTCCTTTAAAAAAAGGCAACTTGTCCGAGTGGTTAAGGAGAAAGATTAGAAATCTTTTGGGCTTTGCCCGCGCAGGTTCGAGTCCTGCAGTTGTCGTCAATTCTTTTTTTGCATCTTTTATCTTTCTACTGATAAGAATTAAATTCTTTTCTTCTTCTTTTTGCTTTTCCTAAATTTCTAAATCTTCTAATTCATTAACGTATTAAATCAAATATATAACGCGGGGCCCCAGCGGGATGGAGGACTATTAGTGCTAGGACACCCACCGATACCAACGCAGTGCGAGACAAACACCCATATGTTATGTTAATATTTTTTTTTATGTTTTTCTGGTTTTTTATTTTTTTGGGGATTTTATGAGGTTTTGGCTTTCAGTCTCTGTCGTGATTTAAGACCTTAGTCGGAAATGAAAGTAGCTTCGTTGAAACCAATACCTTCTTCAGTTTCAGCGCCATGCTTGATGCTCAATGGGTTGCAGAATTGGTAGATGTATGGCTTAGCTCCAGAGACACCAGAAACAATGTTCTTGACGAACTGAGGAATCTCGGCCATGACGTCCACACGCTCAACCAATTGGTTCAATTTACCAGACACAACAGCAACAGTCTCGGAGCCTGCGCCTTCCTTGGCAAAGTTAAAGGTGATACCCTTTGGAACCTTCCAGCCCACCTCGTCAACTTCAGCATCCTCATGGGTCACCTCGTTATCAATAGATGTAAGAATAATCTTGTCATCCTTAGCAACAATGGCAATGTTGACCTTGGTGGTGGCGTATGAGAGAGGAGTGGTGAACTCCATCTGCACAGCAGAGTAGTGAGGACTCTGGAAATTAAGGAAGTTCCAGGACTTGGCAGCGTGGTGGGGCTTCATGCCTTGCAAAGCCATGACGAACATGGTGAAACCATCAATCTCAACCTTGACGTTGTCCTTCAACTGGAGCTTACCGGAAACACTACATCTAGGCCAGAAGGCGTGTCTCATGGAACCCCATGGGTTCTCCAAGTCGTCACCGTAAAGCGTAGTACCGTCCTTACCGAAAACAACACCAGGAGTCAACTTCTTGACAGTCAAGTCGACCATGGAGTCCTCGCAAACAAGCGATTTCAAGTGGTAAGTGGTGCCATCCTCAGAAAGCTCAAACGACAAGTTGTTGGCGTAAAAGTTGGAACCTTCGGCACGGAAGTCCTCCAAAGCCGTAGAAGTCCAAATGCAGTTAGGATCGTCAGCACCCTTCTCGTTGTTGTACAATCTAAAGGTGAACTGAGCAGTTGTTTTCACCCCCATAAGGTTGGAGTGGATGATCTGAGCAAAACCAGTGTAGCCAGTCTTCAAGTCAGTAAAGTAGAAAGTCTGGGTTTCAACATTAGTGTAGCCAGGCTTTCTCCAGGCAAAGTCTTCAGGGGTGGTTTCTCTGGAGACAGGGTCGCCCTTCTTGATGAAATCAGTAACTGGATGGATGGCCTCACGGCCGTACTCTGGCTCGGCGGTACCGGCGACAACGGAAAGACCTGATTGGACCCACTTCAACATGATGATACTAGGAGTTGATAGAAGTAGTGGAGGAGGAGTTGCAAAAGAATGTGCTTTAAGACAACGGCAACTGATGACTGCGGTTTGCTGTGGGTCGGGTAAAGTGCAAATATGCGATATAGTAGCTATGAGCCGCGCACGACCCACTAAAAACAAGGCTTTTTGGCACTATATGAACGAACAGAGAGCAAGGGAAGACTAAGGGTGGGAGTACAATGCTTGGCTCGGGGCAAGGGTGCAAGAGAAGCAGGTAGTCAGGGGTTTGGATGGGTGGTTGGTAGGTGTTCTCACATGGGGCCCAAAAGGACCCAACCAAACCGTCACGACCCAACAAAGGAAAACAAATACTAAATGGGTATATAAAGAGAAGGAATCGTCTTTTTTTGCTATGGTTGAAAATAGGCGGGGCCTGTTTTTCAGTATAATTGGGCCATTGGGTGGGAAATGGAATGGTATGTTTTCGCAGCCATTACCGTGCGACATGGTGTAATCGAACAAGACACAAAAACGGACGAGAAAAGGGGCCATTTGGATGGTTTTTCGATGGGTTTGTTTATCCTTTGCTCGTATTATATAGTAGGTGTTTTTTAAGATAATTGTGGTTCTGGTGGTGGAACAATTGAAGGGTTTCGCAGCCATTAGGGTCAGATTAGGGCATAACAGCCATAGATAAGCCAAGTGACACAACGTTCTAAGTTGCTGTCATTTATTTGGACCAAGGGTGTATTTGGGCGAAAATCTTTTGTTTTTTCTTCACAAAGTCAAGAAATGACGAAATGACGAAAGAAATCGGTGTTTTTTTGTACTACGACATTCCTCCTATCAGGCAGTCTTGTGCTCCAGTAGCAATCAAACACGGTTAGTATGTATGGCCTAGAAATTGGGTTTATGTGAAGTTTTCTTAGGACCGTGAGCGGTGGTTTGGGGGTCTACGATTTGCTTGGGAATTGGGAGCTTTCTTTGTGGATTGGGGTGGAAATAATGGTATATTAATTGCTACTGGTGGTATAAACGTGGAGAACGACTTGCCAGTTCCTGAATGGTACCTTCTTTAGAAGCAATTACCGGTGGAATTGGCCAACCTTCGTGGCTTAAACTAGAAGTTTGTAAGGTACATTTCCTATAGATTTGCAGGCTCCAGGCACCTATCATAAGCTAGACCTGCTAAGAAGCATCCAACTAACCACCTAAAGCCCTCCACTCTCTATCTCTCCTATAACTGCCTTACGCCAGCTAGTTTGCTGGTTCTGTGCTACTACTGCCGTTGTGAGCACTTGAATTGTCCTTGTCTATTAATATCCGTGGTCCAGCGTCTCCTAACCGATAGTAATAGACGGCGGGGGCCCTGTAATCCAAGAATGTAATTACCAGGCCCTCTAAACCGTTAAAAGAAATCCAGAAATAACCCAGAAATCGTCACAGAAAGTGATAAACTTGCCATTGGCTGGATACTCATAGTAGCACTCGGTCTGGACCACCAGCCTCAACCTCAAGCCACACGAAACGCCAAACTCAACCAGCCTTCTCCAACTCTTCCCAAGCTCTCCCAAATCTTCTCCCTGCCTCTTAACAAGACAGCCTCAACCGCTACCCGTCATACCGAAATAAGCTTTCTTTGTATGTTTCTTTGTTGCGGCCCATGTGGTGATTTCGCAGCCATTCATGACCCAGCCGAACCAGAAGGTCCAACCAAACACCAAAAAAACCTATAAAAACGATTTATTTACATGTCAAGGTGTTCCTAAAGCACTAAAGAAACTCCTAAACCTCCTCTTTTCTTATCCTCGTCCCCCTCGTAGCTTCACTATACCCATCTCTTCCTCCCCTCCTTCTCCATACTTAAGCGCTTTTCGGTCTCTCCAGTCCAACCAATAACAACCCAACGCCCCAAACTTCCTTCTTTCCACCCAAAATCAAAAGGCGTTCCCTTATAGCTCCCCAAAACTTTGCCTTGTATTCGCCACCTCTACAAAAACTTACCTTATCGTTTCTGAGACTCATTCACGCTTTGCTCGTCTCCTGCCGCACAGGTCCAGACAGACCGCCAGAGACGAAGAGGTGACCGCTAAACATCCCTAAAACATATAAATACCAACCAAACGCCCCTTCTTTTTATTCTTGCCCGTTTCCAAAAACTATATAAGTACGTCTTTTTCCTTCCCTTTTTCGCCAGCGGCATTTTTCGTCCCTTGTCGTGCCTCTTCGTGCCTCTTCGGCTTCCCTCGCTCTAGCACCTCCTGGGGCGTCCCACTCCACTTTTTACATGCCTCATTCGCATTCTGCTGCCTGACTCTACTTCACTCCACCACCTTTTCCACATTCTCCCGAAACCAGGCATTTTTCACGAAGGGTTGTCTGAAAACCACTTTTTTATTGAATCCACTCAAACACATCTTTATCTGCTTTTTTTCAAACTACAACTTTCATCCCTTCCAGTCAACCCATGGTGCCTTCGGTCTCAGTATTGAATCCACCCGAAAATAGACCTCCAGATGCTGTGGCTTTACGGCTTAACCTGGAGGTTCTTGCATCGCTTCGAAAGCTTCAACAGCAGGGCGTGGTGCCTAAGTTGGTGGTGAAAAATGGCCACTTTGTATGTATTTCATGGTGCTTCTACTCCCCCCCTGAGATCCTTTTACTAACTTTCTAGCTGATCAAGGTGAACGATTCGCTTGTGTACCCTTGTTCCTCGAGTAACGAGCTGCTTCGGTTCGATATCTACCATCCGCTGGACTCTCGCAACTACGATTTTGCTGGAACCGTCACTGAACGTCTCAATGTGCTCACGGATCCTCGCCAGATCAAGGACCATATGAAAGCACCTGTGGTCCAGCCACTGAAGCTGCCGCCGCTGCTGCTGCTTCCTGAAAAGCCGTCTTTTGACCATGCCAAAAAGTCCTCTCTCCATGAACATAACCTCTACACTGTGGCTTCAGACTCTAAGGCAGAGGCCACAGCCAAATTCCTAGCATTGGTCGCCTTGGGACCCATCACCAAGAAAGACGTTGAACATCGTGTCAACAGCTCGCATAAGGTCTCTCATGCTGATATGACTCTGCTTTTCCAGACTCACACGCAGATCTACAGGCCAAACTCGACTTTCACTGAGTCCGATACCTACCCCAGTGTGGCATTGGGCCTCACCGATATCGACCCCCAGCATAGTGACGACTACGTCATCCTTAAGGACAAGGCATACAAGGAGTTGCGCCCATGGCAGTGCCCATTTACGAAGTACGAGCGGGCACTCGTCATTGAGAACACTCATCACGCTTTGAGCAGACTAGGGTATCTGGATACCCATCCGCTCCGGCGCCGCATCACGGAGAAGTCTCTGGACGACGAGACGAAGAAACATGCCGCTTTGGGCGGTGGTCTTCTCACATCTAAGGACTCCAAGACCCCTGGCTCTCCGTTTAACATTTCCCCTAACAAGAGGTCTGCTTCGCCTCGTGTGGAACAAGAAAGTAAGAGGAAGAAGCAAAAGAATGACGAATCGCCATTGAAGAACATTCTGGATACGAAAGACCAGAAGAAGTTTGTTGTGTCGCTGTCGCTGTCATCGTCTTCTGAAGATGAAAGACAATCCAAGAAGCCTAAAAAGGAAGGTAAGCGGAGCAACAGCAGTGGGAGTAACCATAGCGTTTTCAGTAACGCCACGTCTTACACTCTGCCATCGCTGATCAACGAAGAGCATAACGATGACAATGAGCACAGCGAAGACGACATGAAGCTTCTGAGCTTGCCCAGAGCTTCGCCAGCATTACCGTCGAAACCAGCGCCTACAAGCAGTGACAAGAGGCAACAATACTATAAGCAGTTGGCGGACAATTTCTACACAAAGTACCTGGAGTACAAACAATTGCATGATAACTTGCTCAAGGACCACAAGCTGGGCACGGCACAAGAGAAGAAGCGCCGGGTGTTGAAGCTATTTGAAATGCACAATCTTCTTGCCGGCTGGAAGCGCAAACTCTGGGACTACCACAATGAGAGTAACATGGCTCAAGGCATTATGCATTTGTCTCGACACAAGAAGACCAATAGTGGCAGTCATGGCACCATTCTGGCTCCTTCAACCAGCCAATTGCTGAGCCAGGACCGTTTCCAGCGTTCTGGCACCGCCAGTCCCTCTGTTAACTATGCCGACAGATTTGCACCCGGCAAGCAAGCTGGCAAACGGACCCTTGAGCAACGCTCTCCACGTCCCAAAGTCGCCTTGGACTACTAAGCATGAAGGGACTTCCAAAAATTGTTCCTTCCCATCATGGTCCATGTCGCAGCATTACTGTTATACATAGTATCAATCATAGGCAAGTTCGCGATATCAGTACGTATTGAAAAAACACCCACCTACCACACCACCACCCACTACTTGCCTCTAAAATGGACACGTCGGCGACTCCAGCAGTAAAAGAAGAAGAAGACGAAAACACCATCGTTCCTTCTTCTCCTGCGCCACCATCCATCGTCGAAGAGAACGCTTCTGGATCCCCAGACAAGGAAAAGGCTCCAGCCGAAGATGGAGAACAGGACAAGAAGAAACGCAAAACGGCCACCAAGGCGCTGCGTAAGCCTTCAGAGGAGGTCTTACAGCGTCGTAGAGAAGGCAGAATCAAGGCAGCTGCCACAATCGCTCAGAACTTGAAGAAAACTGGTATTGGCAGGTTTGAAGAGCATAATGGGTTTAAGCTTACTGCTGTCAAGACGGTGCCTTTGATTAACCAGAAGAACTACTATGCTGATTATTTAAAGAAGGATGAACAGGCCACGTTGATCAGAAACTGGCGTAACGAGAAGGTGCTGGGCGTTAGTCTGGTGAAGGGCCCCAAGAGCGCTGGATCAGACAAGAAGACCGAGGAGGATGACGAAGATGACGAAGACGACGATAATGATGATAACGACAACGACGACAACGACGATGAGGATAATGAGAACGCGACGGGCGACCAGCCACGCGTGAAAGTGAAGATGGGCCATGATACCATTGTGATCCAGCCCGGCTCGTCTTTTATCCGTCTAGGCAGAGCTACAGATTCTACTCCAGTTGCTGTGCCTGCTGTTGTCGCTTATAAACGTAAGGATGGCGTTGTTGACAAGCATGAGAAGACTCCGTTGAGAACAGAGACTGAAGACGGTGAATACGACTTTGGCACTCATTTCGACGAAATGAAGGCTGTTGTCACCAAAGACTTCAAGGCCAGAATGAGGTATTATAAACGCCGTGTGCAGCCAAATTCCAGGGAACTGGCGGCCGATTTCAATAGGAAACAGACCGGTGAACCTATTTCTGAACATAACGAACCATCCACCAGAAACTGGTTACTGAGGGATGACGAGTTACTTGAAAAGCATGAGTTTATCGCTGGGTCCAAGGCCTTGGATATCCCGATTTCTGATTCCTTCTCCCAATGGCATCACCGTTTTCCTATCGTCAACGGTACATTCAACCAAAGCACAAAAGACTACCTGTCGCCCCAGGAACTTTTTGGCGACATAATTCGTCTTACGCAAGCTGCATTAGAACAGATCAATGTTGGCAAAAGTCCGCAAGAGTTGGCTAACCTCAAGTGTTTGCTTGTCATTCCTGACTTGTACGATAAAGCATATGTGGAGACTTGGTGTGATCTTCTTCTCCATTCCGTGTGTTTCGGTAAAGTTGGCATTATTCAGGAAGCTGTAGCTGCTACATTTGGTGCGGGTGCTTCTTCGGCTTGTGTTGTTGATGTTGGTTCTGAGATCACCACGATATCGTGTGTTGACGAAGGAATGATTATCAATGATTCTAGAATCCGCCTTGACTATGGTGGTAAACAGGTCACAGAGGCATTGACAAAGCTACTATTACAGCAGCAGTTCCCTTACAGAGACATTGACTTAAGCTCTTTCAACGACGATTGGCAACTAGCTGAAACCATAAAACATAACTATGCTACCTTCAACGATGCAGACATTGCAGTGCAACTTTATGACTTTTACAAGAGAAAGCCAGGCAAGGAAACAGAAAAGTTCTTGTTCAAAGTGTTTGACGAAGTCATGCTAGCGCCTTTGGGACTCTTCTATCCTGATTTATTTGAGATCGCCAAGGAACACAGAGAAAGACCATTGCTCCCAGAGTCATTCGACCAGTACACTGGCGAGCCCAACAATCCTTACTCTAAAGCGCATGAGAACTTACAATTCGGTTCAGCTTACTCAGACATGACAGATGAAGCCTTGTTGGTGAAGCTTGCGGAAGAGAAAGCCAACCTGAAGCAGGCAAGTGCACCAAAGGCATTGAACACCCAGGGGCAAATTGATACCCTGCTGCCAGTAACTGCCCCTCTTGATAAGGCCATCATTGAGTCTATCACTAATGCCGGTATTTCTACTGATTTTGGTAAAGCCAAGAAGCTCTACGACAATTTGCTTGTTGTTGGTGGAGGCTTGGCCAAAATTGACAATTTTGATGTTCTTCTTAATGACAGAATTAATATCTGGAGGCCCAAGTTCTTGTCAACGAGCACGTTGGACGATGTTCTCGTGTATGTCAGCAAAGAAAAGGACAAGATGGATAACAGGAGAAAACAAATGATCGAAGATGCTAAGAAGAAGAAGGCTGGTAGTCTGTCGATTGACGAGGTTGAATTGACTGAAGACGAGCTTGCAACAATCCACAACGATACACAGCTCTATGTTGATCTTGATCGTGCAGATGGTCTTAGCGATCAAGGCCAGGTGGTGGCCATCAACGTTCTTCCACCTCCAAAGGACTACGATCCAAGAGAATTGACATGGAAGGGAGCAGGTGTTTTTGGCAGATTGAAGGTTGCCAGCGAGATGTGGATCACTGCAGAGGACTGGGAGCTTCTTAACTCCAGAACGCTTTACTACAAGAGTTTGTTCAACTACTAAGGGAGGAGCCCCACCAGTGGAAGAGGAAAAATGATGGGAAAATACGCAGATACCGAAGGTTTCCAAAAGCTGTTGGCAATTGGCAGAAACCTAAAGAAATATAAAAACCACGGGACATTTAAAACGACCAAAGTCAATTGAAAGCAGTCAAACTTGCCAATCCACGTAGAGACCAAAAAAATTGTAAACCAAAGTTGGTGGATTTTTCCGAGCCAAAATACCCCAATTTGATCCACCGTTAGGCCTCTTTTTCCGTCCTCCTCCCAACAGCCAACAGCCCGAAGCCGAGGACCCACAGGCCGCCCAATCCCCAAAAAATGGCAATTTCCTGAAAAAGACGGTTTTATATAGTCAACTTCACTTCAATTGATAACTCTCTGGAAAATCCACTATCACTTTTGGGCCCTTCTTTTCTTCTTCCTTCCTCTCGGTGTCCCCCTTTCAACCTCGGTGCTCGGTCTGTGGCTGCGAAAAAAAAAAAAAAAAAAAAGGTAACGTAAAAACAACGCATCCCCACCAAACATGAAAAAAACTGAACCAAAAGAAAAAAGTGTAATGACTCCGAGCCTGACTCTGACGGGAAAACCTTTCTGACTCCGTAGCCCTTCCCTGACTCTGACGCTTCAATGCCCACATCGACCACCCCAAAACGTAAAACTTCCCCCAAAACTCAACCGTTCTCTCTTACCCCAGCCAGCCCGGCGGTACGCGGAGTCGCCCCGGAACGTGGCCTACACAGTAAATGGGTTAATGTTCCGCTACCTCGGGGTTTCTAGGGATTTTTTTTTTTTTTTCCTTTGCGACTTTGTTTCGCGGTTTGCGGCGGCAGCCCATGCTTTTAAAGTATGGTGGTGTACGGATGCGCTAGGGCGGATTCTATACGCCCGACTTCGAAAAGTGAGAAATTAAAACCAACGACGAAGGTGTTCAAAAAATCTCATTAAACTCCCCCCAAACAGCACTCTTTAAGAATCTTCCCTCAATGTTGTCCAAACAGTTTGCTCGTGGCTTCGCCTCCACCACCCCAACCAAAAACTACGCTCTGACCATCAAAAACTTGAAGGTTACCGCAGACACCAAGGTTATCTACCAGGGCTTCACCGGTAGACAGGCTACTTTCCACGCTGAGCAGGCCATTGCTTACGGTACCAAGGTTGTTGGTGGTACCAACCCAAAGAAGGCCGGTACCGAGCACTTGGGTAAGCCAGTTTTCGCTTCTGTTAAGGATGCTATCAAGGAGACCGGTGCCAACGCTACTGGTATTTTCGTTCCACCATCCATTGCTGCCAGCGCCATTGAGGAAGCCATTGAGGCTGAAATTGACTTGGCTGTTGCCATTACCGAGGGTATTCCTCAGCACGACATGGTCAGAATCGCTCAGATCTTGAAGACCCAGTCCAAGACCAGATTGGTCGGTCCTAACTGTCCTGGTTTGATTGCTCCTGACCAGTGTAAGATCGGTATCATGCCTTCCCACATCCACAAGAAGGGTAAGGTTGGTATCATCTCTAGATCTGGTACTTTGACTTACGAGGCTGTTGCTCAGACCACCCAGGTTGGTTTGGGTCAGTCTTTGGTCATTGGTATGGGTGGTGACCCATTCCCAGGTACTAACTTCATTGACGCCTTGACCTTGTACTTGAACGACCCAGAGACCGAGGGTATCATCTTGATTGGTGAGATCGGTGGTACTGCTGAGGAGGAGGCTTCCGAGTTCTTGAAGCAGCACAACTTGTCCAGACCAGAGGGTCCTAAGCCTGTTGTCTCCTTCATTGCCGGTGTCTCTGCTCCACCAGGTAGAAGAATGGGTCACGCTGGTGCCATTGTTGCCGGTGGTAAGGGTGACGCCAACTCTAAGATCTCTGCCTTGGAGTCCGCTGGTGTTGTTGTCGAGAAGTCCCCAGCTAGATTGGGTAACTCCTTGTTGCAAGAATTCAAGAACAAGGGCTTGTTGTAAGCATATCTGTCTTTGATAGAATACATTGATGCAGCTCCCGCTGCTTAACGAACCGATCTAATCTTTGTAGCGCTGTAGACCTACTAGCTGCGATTTGTGCATCGCACTACTTCTCTATACTGAAAAATTTAGTATCTCAAGCTTCAACCATCACAGCTTACGTTCAGCATGTTTGCATTCACAGCATTAAAGACTCTGGCTCGTCGAGTGCTTCCGGTGAGTCGGGCTGTCTCGTTCTCCAAACCCCTTTTTTCAGCATCTCAAATGGCCGCCCCAAGGTTGTTTTCCACTACACCTGCCGTCTTCAAAACTAATACATCCACAAGAACAAAGGAAAACGTTCATGATTTGGAAACTTTCCTCAAATTGATCGGCAGAAACACTATTGAGCATTTGGACACTTTTGAAGGCGACTTGCAAAAATTCCTCGAAACCAGCTCCAAGCAAATGAAGAACTTGGGCATTGATACTTCCCAAAGGCGGTACTTACTAAGATGGAAGAACAAGTTTGTGAATGACTTGGAGCCTTTGAGAGAGCACAAGAGAGGCCGTAAGAAGAACGGTGGTGAGAGAAAGGCCAAGTTGGTCAAGGCCAAGAGAGTCGCTTTGAAGAGACTTGAAGAGAAGGAGAAGTGGGCCAGCTCTGAAAAGGCTGCTGAGGAGAAGGGTGAGAGAGAGTTCTGATGAAACTGTAAATAGATAATTCACTTATACGGGAGATCTGTGGTTTGTAGAAAGTTAAGAAACTGTGGTGGGTGTATAATGAGGTTGTGAAGAAAGGAATATAGAAAAAAGACATGATTGAATTTCCAGAAGTTTAAAGTTTGCTTATTGATAACAGTGTGCTCTTTGATTTCATATAAAAAATCAGCTTATCGCCTGCCAGCTCTGTCTGTGGAGATCAAGACTCAGTGATCATGGTACTTCAAGGCAGACACCCTCACATCAAACGAATTCCACTATCGCAAGAAAAAAATAAAATGCCCTTCTCTCTTATGCCCTTCTTTTTCTTAAGGCTTTGATTTTCCTTTTCTCTTGTTCTTCCTCTTATCTCTTCTTCCACATCTGTCACCATGCCTCGTTTGCAACCTTGAGGCCTGTCTATGGCGCGCCAACGTTCGTTCCAGCCACGCATCAAATCGAAAAATCACCATCGTGTTCCACCATCTTCTTCTTTTTCATACAATGATGAAAGCTTTCACTTTTGCTGCGATTATCGCCACCATCTTTGCTTTCTTCAAGTTTGCTGCTGCCAGCAGCGAATTGGCTGAAAACCCTCCAATTACCAACAAGGTGTACTTTGACATTGAGGAGGATGGAAAGTCCATTGGTAGAATCACAATTGGTTTGTTCGGTTCTGTTGTGCCAAAGACAGCTGAGAACTTCAGACAATTGGCTATCTCTGAGGACCCTAAGTTCGGTTACACCGGTTCTATCTTCCACCGTATCATCCCTAAGTTCATGCTTCAGGGTGGTGACTTCGAGACCGGTAAGGGTTTCGGTGGCAAGTCCATCTACGGTGGTAAGTTCGACGATGAGAACTTCACCTTGAAGCACGACAGACCATACAGATTGTCGATGGCTAACGCTGGCCGTAACACCAACGGCTCCCAGTTCTTCATCACCACTGTCTTGACTCCATGGTTGAACAACGCCCACGTTGTCTTCGGTGAGGTTCTTGACGGTAAGGACGTCGTTGACTACATGGAGAAGGTCAAGACCAGCTACGGTGACAGACCTGTCAAGGAATTGAAGATCGCCGCTGCTGGTGAGCTCGAGCTCACTGAGGAGGAGGCTTCTGCCAGAGACGCTGTCAAGGATGCCGATGCCAAGAAGGACGAGCTTTAGATTTATAGCTAATCATCTTCTTCATTTAGGTTCAATTTAAGCCCCAATTGTTCGACTGTGCTTCCCTTACCGTATAATGGGATATCATCCAAGTAGGTATTTTTATCGTTATTGGCTGAAGCCATTACCGTACTGAGAAGGTTGTTAAACGCAGTAGCCAGCACTTCGCTGTTGACGTTGGAGACGTTGCTCATGATCGAACTCAGGCCTGGTTCTCCATTGGAAGGTTGTGCTTGGATAGTACCAGGAGTCAGATTCGGGAACAGAGGAGTGGCAGCTGGGTTTTGAGTATTAATGTTTGTTGTAGAAGGCAAAGCTGATGGCGGATTAGTATTAACCTGTTTTGTAGCTGTGCTTGTGCCCGAAGTGTCCTTGTCTGAAGGATAAATATGTCCACCTTCAGAGATGCTAAACTTTGTCATGTCATTAAGCAAATCAATGGACTTGCGCATCAGCAACACGCTTGATAGAAGCCTGGCACTGAGAATATCATAGATCTTTGGCGCCTGGTAGACGTTGGCACCGATGATATAGTAGTCCTGTTCTGTCCTTGCAGTAGTAGGGTCAAGTCTGCGTTGTTTCCTGATGATCCAAAAGTCAGGCTCTCTCACATATGCCACCACAAACTCCACACCCACCATTTCAGTAAGTTTCAGCTGCATATACTTCTGTGGATGGATATTAGGTGGAATCTGTTGAAACTGGAACTGCATTCGTAGAACCTGGTTACTGGAAGTTCTATCGTAGAACGGCAGCTCAGCAAAGTAATCAAGCACATTGCCTGTGTGAAGACCAAACTGCTGGATCCATTCTGGTGATTTCCACTGGATTTCGTCGAGTGGTTCGGTGGACATGAGGAAGCGTTTGGGTAGTTTAAGTTGAAAGAAGGTTGGTTTATGATATAAGCGCGCTTGAACAGTAAAGAAACAGAATGGGTGGATGGATACAGAGAAGATGTGAATGTTTGGCAGGTTCGAAAAAATACAAAATGAAGGAAAAGTTGGTTTTTGGAAGGCGATAAAGGGGAGAATTGGATTGGTGATTTTGGAGGTGGAAGAGACGTAGAAAAATGGGAATTGGGTGGAAGTGGAATAGGATGTGCTTGTTAGGGCACTTTTGGTAAAGGTGAGGGAGAGTTATGGAATGGAATAATGGAAAGAGACGCTTTGCTTAGCTGATTAATTAAGGCTAATTGGGTACTATTTTAAATATTTCTAAAAAAAGGTAAGGGATAGGTTGTTTCTGAATAAGGTAGTATAGTAAGTCGTCAGAAATGGTTGCAAAATGGGTTTACTAGGGTGGCTGGAGGGAACATATCCAAAGAAAGACAACAATCAAACATGAGCAACAAGAACTAGTACCAAGGGATTTCTCTAGTGCAATTCACCAACGGATGTCGTGAAGGAACCTCTCTTTGGAATCATATCTGGTATTTTCATCAACCGATCCATCTGGCGATACCATAACCCAAGTTTATATAGATCAAGCAAGATACAATAAAGCCAGTGTATAAATTCTTTTAAGCTTGAACTCGGCCAATTGAGCTCATACCACTCGATACAGCCATCCATCCTTGAACTGACTTCCCTTCCCATCATCCCCTTCCACTTTCCTACACATCTTATCTTATCCAAAACCAAACGTCTATTGTGTCTATTCCGCAGTCTCAAGCTCTTGCTGGTACTTCTCAAGCTCTGCTTTCAAAAAGTCAGCCTCCTTGCTCATCACCTCAGCGGTCCTTGGATCCCTCAGATCGTCAGAGGGAGCTTTAAAACCACCGTCTCTCTGGAACGACTCCTTACGGGCAAAGAAGTCCTTATAAGCAGCTTCCAAGTCTGTTTTCTCCAATCTCTGGTAAATACCATCACCGTATCCATCAGTCTTGAACCGTGGAATCAAATGCGTATGAAGATGGGGCACCGACTGGCCAGCCTCGGGTCCATCCTGAATAGCAATATTAAGAGCATCTGCTTTGTATACCTTCCTTATAAGCCCCTGGATGAGCTGCAAAGAGGTCATATAGTCCACGGACTCTGAGGGAGTCAAGTCACCAAAGTGAAGCACACTGGTTCTTAAAGGAACCACAAGCACGTGGCCCGGAACCAAGGGCTTAAGGTTCACCAACGCATAGGTGTACTTGGATTTGAAGAACACCTGTGAGTCCACGGCGAACTGGTAGAAGAGGGTTTCTTTCGTCATGGGGTAGATGATAAGTAGTGGTGATAATTACTGATAACCTCCATATTCGCGAAGTGTGGAAGAGGAGGTATGTCTGGCTGCTTATTCCAATGGAATGGGTAATTACTTGGTAGACTCAATGGGCGTTGTCTGGGAAGGAGAATATGAAGAGGTTGAAGAGTATCAGGTACTTTTTTGTTCCAGGTGGGTTTGTGCTGGATGTATTGCCGTGCGGTTAGAACAAGACATGTGGCACCGGGACGACATTCAGCCTCTTCAGCCGTTTCTAAGTATTGGTAATGATCGGCAGGGAGTCCCTGGTTGATCCGGTCAGTCAATTGAGCAGTTTCTACAACATTTCACTTGTAAAGGTACGTTAGAGCCCACAGGGCCTATTCTCTATAAACTTATTTGTTAACCTTACCGAAGTACTCCTTGGAGTTCTTCACGTCAGGCTTAATGGTCTCGGCACCCTCAGACCAGTTGGCTGGGCAAACCTCACCGTACTTCTCGGTGAACTGGAAAGCGTCAACCAATCTCAAGGACTCGTCAACGGATCTACCGACTGGCAAGTCGTTGATGGTGATCTGTCTCAAGACACCCTTAGGGTCAATCAAGAAGATACCTCTCAAGGCAACACCCTCCTCCTCGATCAAGACACCGTAGTCTCTAGACAAGGAGTGGTTGGTGTCGGCAACCAATGGGATGTTGACTGGGCCCAAGCCACCGTCCTTTCTGGCAACGTTGGTCCATGCCAACAAGGAGTACTCAGAGTCGGTGGAGGCGAACAAAACCTCAACGTCCTTCTCAGCAAACTTCTTGACAGCGTCAGAGTAGGCAATGATCTCGGTTGGGCAGACAAAAGTGAAAGCCAATGGGATGAAGGCCAAGAGGACCCACTTACCCTTGTATTGCTCGAGGGAAACCTCCTCAAAGACACCGTCGATAACGGCGGTCTTCTTGAAAGATGGAGCTGGCTTCTGGATAACGGCGGACATTGTGTTCTATTAATCTATAGGGGTGATGTAAAAAGGTAGGAGAAAAGTGAAAAATGGCTGCGAAACGGTGTGGCTTTATATGTTCCTCGGGTGCGAATCTAGACGTCCGCTTTCTTACTAACTTTGGACAGGACCCGGCACTCTGTGCAGGAAACCGTTTCCTTTTCCTTCTACGAAAGTACCATTAATAAACCCAGCAGTGTAGAGCTGATTAAATTGGCATGTTCTCGAAACAACCACCACCCACTACAAATTATAAGCAACGCCAATTGTCGTGTGGGACCCGGTTTTCCCCGTCCCAACGTGGCGCCACAGTTCTACCGCGGTCTGGAAAAACCGAAAAACCGAAAAACCTCAATATCTGCGCATTTATCCCACCACAGTGGTTCAAGTCCGATCGCGGTTGGCATGTGAGCTGCCATCCCTGAGTCCAGGGGTCGGTGATTAGATAAGCCATTTCTGGGGTGGATTAATAAGGCTGGATGTGGGTTGTTTAGAGGATGATAGAGGTGGATGACTGAGATGTCTGGAAAGTCTGGAAAGTCTGAGAAGCTGAGAGGATGCTCATTCACATGGAGATTTAGTGAGTGGTTACGTATTTCCTTTCCTTTTTTTTTTTTTTGTGGTTTGCCTTTTGGCCCTTTTTTTGGAGGCGTAGTGTTTTAAATTCTTATTTGGGAAGGTGGACCCACTAAGATAAACTAGAGAAAAGTTGAATGGAGCTTCCGATTCGGCATCTCCATTGTTCTACTGTGGTTGTGGATCGTGTGTTTTGCAGCCATTCAATTGACTTGTCTATTGCGCGCAACACGCCATGGCCATCCGGCGAGCCGAAGGATAGAGACTTCGCCATTTATTTCAATTTTCTTATTCTCTGGGCCTAATGCTTCGTGTTCAGACGCATGGCTGGTTTTGTGATGCCACCCCGTGGATAGGGGCGCGACAATGTCGTGACTGCCTCAGCAAACCTCGAGTGAAACGGTCATATTGGGATGTTTTCGGGAGGGAAAAGGGTGTAGTGTGACCATTGGGATAGTATATGGTAGGTTATGTTGTTTTTGAGGGGGTTTCTTGACATTGACGTAGGTTTGTATGGCCCTTTGGTGATGACCAAGCGACGACATTTTTGCAACCACCCCATGGGGCAAGCCGCTGGAAGTATGATGTAAGCTTTGTGGGGGAACGAAGAAACGTGAGATTCAGTTGGATGTCGGGAGGGTGTGACAGGAGGGATTGGGATGTAGGGGGAGGTCCCTGTTTGTTTGTAGTGGTTAATTTTGTGTTGGCAATTGGAGGGACAGGCGACGTGGACGGCTGCTTATTGACGTCAGATGAACGTATCCTGAAAAGAGGCATTCTTTGATGGTAGACAGTGCCATTGGAGTATAGAAAGGTTCTTTAAAGACCCTGGTTACGAGATATATGGTCTGATTCACTGGATCTTGGGTCCACTCTTGGCACTAATAAAGCCGAGAATTCCATGACAAAGCAACCTTTCAACTCTAAATGTATGCTTTCCCAATGGAGACTTTCTAGTAAGCGTATACTGCCCCAAAGTACGGTACGTAATATAGGTGCTGCTCACCAGGCTACCTCTCTACTAGTATATCCACCTTTTCGCAGCCATTACCAAGGCAACCTCCCAATGATGTACCCATAAACGACAAATGATGCTGAATAAGAAGCCCTTCTAATTCTAAAAAAAAGACAAAAAACATCAGTTCCTTTATTTTTGCCTCCCACCTATTCCTAACACGTCCTCCTCTTCTTCCTTGTCCACCCTACAGCTCCAGATATTCACCACCAACGACAAACTCAAACATCCTAAAAAACCAACCAAATCAAACCACTAGCCAAAACCAACTTCCAAAAATGCAATTCCACCAAACCACCATTATTCCCTCCTCCAGTACCTTCCCTTACACCTTCTCCACCAGGCCAGCTCACGTGCGCAACACCCAAATATCTGGCATACCTCTTGATCTCAGACCAACCAACTACTGCTCCCATGATGGAAAAACTTGGATTCCACAGAGTATCAAATAACCCGGGCCCGGGTAATCCGGCCATCCACCATAACCAGGCACCCCCACAGCACCCAAAAGTGACGCCGTTTAAGAAACAATTGAAGGTCGACAACGCGCCAGGTAACAAGGTTGCGTTGGCCAACTTGATCGCTGTCAACCCAGATGACTTCCCTGAGGCTCAGGATAATCAGCCTGTTTTATTGGAGAAAACATTCGTCTACAGCATCCAGAAGAACCCACAGCAGGCAAGAGGTACTGTTGGATTGGCTGGCCATGTTAGAAAGTGGTGTAGAACGTCGTTGAACCAGCCAGTGACGCTTGAGCTGTTCAATATCTTTGAGAAGGCCAGCGATAACACTCACTACTTGGGCGAGGTTGATTTTGTTATTGACTTTCTTTCTGCTGGAAAGGCTAGAGAGGTTCACCTTAGTGAGGAGAAGCTCGTGGAAGTGTTCAAGCACACTTTCGAAAACCAGATCTTGCAGCCTTCCCAGCCGATTGTGATGGAATTTGAAGGCTACATCTTCCTTGTGATTGTACACGGCGCTCAGGTTCTCAACTTGGCTCAGTTGGGCACTACCGAACGTTCCATGTCTGAAGATATCACCACGAAAGGTATTTTGATGGGCAGCACCAACATCAACTTCTTTGGTGCTGAAAACACAAAGATCCAGTTGATCAAGAAGAAGGGTGCCAAGACCTCTATGGCCAACAAGCCTCGTGCTAACCCTATCATCAACCCAGACTTCAAGTTGGAGAACATGGGTATTGGTGGTTTGGATACCGAGTTCCAGCAGATCTTCCGTAGAGCTTTCGCTTCGCGTATTATCTCTCCTGATCTCGTGGAGAACTTGGGTTTGCGCCATGTCAAGGGTCTTTTGCTTTATGGACCTCCCGGTACTGGTAAGACGTTGATTGCACGTCAAATCGGTAAAATGTTGAATGTTAGAGAGCCCAAGATTGTCAATGGTCCAGAAATGCTTTCCAAGTATGTTGGTTCTTCTGAAGAAAACATTAGAAACTTGTTCAAGGATGCTGAACAGGAGTACAAGGCCAAGGGCGAGAACTCCCAGTTACATATCATCATCTTTGATGAATTGGACTCTGTGTTCAAGCAAAGAGGTGGTGGCCGCAGTGATGGTACAGGTGTTGGTGACAACGTCGTTAACCAGTTGTTGGCAAAGATGGACGGTGTGGACCAATTGAACAACATCTTGATCATTGGTATGACTAACCGTTTGGACTTGATCGATAACGCTCTTTTGCGTCCAGGTCGTTTCGAGATCCAGATTGAAATCTCTTTGCCTGATGAAAAGGGCCGTAAGGAGATTTTGTTGATCCACACCAAGAAGATGAAGGACAATGACTTGTTGGCTGACGATGTCGACTTTGACGAGGTGGCTAACTTGACCAAGAACTTCACTGGTGCAGAATTGGAAGGTTTGGTGAACTCGGCCTCCTCTTTTGCAATTAACCAGTACACAAAGAGCGAAAACATTGCTAAGGTTGACCAGAATATCGCCAAGATGAAGTTGACCCGTAATGAGTTCCTTCTCGCACTTAACGAAGTTAAGCCAGCTTTCGGTGTTAACGAAGAGGACTTGAACTTGAACTTCCCATACGGTGTTATTGAGTACAACAAGCGTGTCCATTCCATCTTCGACAGATTGACTTCCTACATTGAAGAAGTCAAGAACTCAGAAACCGAAAGACTTATCAGTGTTTTGTTACACGGTGAGCCAGGTGTGGGTAAGACCGCCATTGCCTCGATGATGGCACTCAAATCCGATTTCCCTTACATCAAAATGCTCAGTGCAGAAAACTTGGTGGGTATGTCTGAGGCCATGAAGATCGCTACCATTGACAATACTTTTAGAGACGTTTACAAGTCGCCACTTAACGTGTTGGTGATTGACAAGATCGAAACCTTGATCAACTACGTGCCTATCGGCCCTCGTTTCTCCAACGATATCTTGCAGATGTTGATCGTTAACTTGAACAAGAAGCCTCCAGGAGGCAGAAGATTGCTCATTATCGGTACCACCTCGCAGTACTCCGTCTTGAAGCATATGAGCTTGGTGGAGAACTTCACAAAGACCATCGAGATGAAGAAGATCACCGAAATCACCGAGGTCAGAGCTGTATTTGACGAAATGAACTTTATGGAGCCCAACGAGCGCGAGCAGGTGCTTGAACAGTTGAGCCGCTACGGCGATGGCCGTGTGGAAATCGGTATTAAGAAGTTGATCCAGGTGATGAACAATTGCAAGTACCTCAATGCCGACGTTAACCTGGCTGTTGAAAACATTCTCGAAGCTCAGGTTCAGTAAGGCTTTGGGACCCTTTCGCGGTGTCCTGCCTCGCTAAGATAAGCGGCTTTGCCGAAGGTGTGCATTAGCTTCTTTGATCTGCAAAAAAAGGCCAGGTGAAATGGAAGAAAAAGGGGGAATTTCATGTTTAAGGTATAAGATTTCGGGAAAACCAATCAGTTTCAGAGTATCAATGCATTCACAATCTTTTTGTGGAATCCGATGCCCTTATTTTCTGCCATTCTTCTCCTGGTCCTCCATTATTACTTGCATGCATGGTCTGCTTGGCCGGGTACGTGAACCCCACCTCGGCACTATATAAACCCTCGATTTCCCCTGTAAAATTCGAACCAAAAAAAAAGAAGAAAAATAAGAAAAGAACATCCACCGCCCGTAGACCCTCTCTGACAATGTCAACCCTCTCGGAGTACTCGTTTCTCGAACAGGAGTTCTTCGCTGGCTTTGGTCTCAACTCCGACTCCGACTGGGACGGGTTCAGTGTTCCTTCGTCCCAAAGCCTTTTAACCTTTTCAAACAGCTCAGGCTTACTTCCTCGTTCTAATAAGCTGTCAAGCTCTCCTCAAAGATACTGGAGCTGTTCTTCCCAGAACCCAATTGTCTTGACTCCTGGTGCCAGGGACAACAGCCACCAGGCTCTTAGTTCAGGCCACTTTCTTTCAGACTACTCCTGCCAGGTACGCATGGTTACTGAGACGTACCCGGAAAAGGCACTGATAGCCTCGGAAGCAGCTCCCCTGGACTGCCAGCTGGCTACTGTTTCGAAATCGTTTGATGATCCCAATCTGTCACGCCTGCAAAACAGTGTTTATCAAGATCAAGGCAAGAGCCACGAGAACACCAATGACTTCCCTTGCGTGCCTTATGTTCCAGAGAACTTGGAAATGTTGCCGCAGCCTACTCCCTCGAAATCACTTCCACTTAGCGAAGGCTTGGACTCTGCTGACAGTCAAGGTTCATCACTGCCACTAGCTCGGCCCCAGTTCCAAGTACGTCTACCCGTTAATTTTATTCCTAAAATAGGCACTACTAGTACGGGCCTTGACACCAAGCAGAATTTACCAGAACCTCAGGCGCCTGGGAGTGTTACCGAGGAAAATACCAGCCCTAGTACACAGAGTAGTCCTACTACTGGAACTCCCACTAAAACCGTGACCACTCCCCAAGAGATCTCTACTTATAGCTTGCTGAATAGCCCCACTGCTCAGCTTAGTCTATCAGCTCTTGCTGCCTTGAGTACTGGAGAGGCCACTGACACCAAAGCAACCGATAAGCACACCAAGAAGACTCGTGTGCTTCAAGGACTTCAATGGCCACAAATAATCAAACAGGCACGCTCCAATGTCTACACCATAGAAACCACAGATACCATGAAAGTGACTTTTAGGTTCCAAGAACGCAAAGCTTTCTATGGACTCTACTGCTTCAGCCGAAAATCGAGAGAATATCGCCTTCCAATTTTCAGAAACCTTTTAACCATGCTGCAGATGTTGGCTTCGGAGGACTATGATACCCTGCTGGCAATACCTGAAGATCCCGCTGTAAAGGTTATTAATGGAGGGCAGTCTTACATGGTAATTTTGAAAAGGTTTGAGTCACGCCTTACCCTTCATCAGTTGGCTTATATCCTAGGCTTGCAACTGTATAGGGTATGCCTTACAAGGCACATAGAGGGAATTGTGATTCTGATGTTTGAACAAGTTTGCAAAGTCGACTTGTCTACAAAGCGGTGGTGCAAGTTCAACAGGAAAGAGCGTGCATTGATGATAACTCACGTCCACAAGCTATCAAAATATTACTTCCCCACACTCAACCCTGAGCTACTAGAGATCATCATGCGAAGGGCATCATATTCTAAAGCACAGCTTGAACTCAAAACGAAGAGGTTGAATCGCAGAAAGATAGTTCACGATATACCACAGGCATCTACCACCAAAAAGAAAGTTAAGACATAGATTCAGGTCGTGTCAAGGGTTTTATGAAAGTCTTCTAATTGAAAAAGAGGTTGAATTCTCTAAGTTCTTTATGGAGGAGAATTCAAAAAATTGAGTGGTACGGGAATCGAACCCATGTCTGCTGCTTGGAAGGCAGCAATGCTAACCATTACACCAACCACCCTTATGTGCATAATGTGAGGTTGTGAGAAAATTAGAACAGCATGGTGAACCGTTTTTTTGAAATTGTGACCGCCAGAATGAAGCTTTTGAGACAAGAATATCTTCATATGAAGCAGAAAACGCCCAAAAACACGTTTACGCGCCCGAAAATCTCTGAAATAAACTTTTGAAGGATCCAGAGCGGAATCACTGTTTCGGCTGCTCGGTAATGAGTGTGGCCCTTATCTGTGTTCGGCGTATAATACACCGAACCCGAGCCACAACGGGCCAATTGATTACTTATTCAAAAGTGACCCATTTTAGAATCCCTTAGAAGAGCTTCTTTACGTGTTTTGACTTTAGTTTAGCACACCGCTTTTCATCTTCACGTACGATTAACCTCGAAGCGCCACTACTGAAATTCAAGAACGCAAAATATGACGCAACCTTTGAATGTCCAGATACCTGGTCCAAAACTCACAACCAAGTCGGGCCACGAAGTCAAGATCGGAACAGGGTCAGGTACAAAATGGCAAAAGATCAAGAAGGGAAGAGACCCATCTAAAAGAGGAGACTTGTTGCCAGAGGCTATCGACTATCTCGTTGATGCGATTAACAATGGTTTTAGACATATCGACACAGCAGAGATTTACACCACCCATCCTGAGGTAGCTGCTGCAATTGCAAAGAGTGATGTACCAAGAGAGGATCTCTTTGTGGCCACCAAGTACAACCCTGGTGTGGAGCCACAACCGGCCACTTTTGATAGCGCTGCGGCTTGGGTAGACGCCTCTCTTAAAGAATTGGGCTTGGATTACTTGGATTCGATCCTTATCCACTTTCCTTTTTTCAATCCCAAGTTTTCCAAAGGTCAGACTGTGGAGCTGGTGTGGAAGGACTTAATTGAAGCTAAGAAGGCAGGCAAGGTGCGCTACATTGGTGTATCTAACTTCGGTGTGGAGCACCTTAAGGAGTTGTTTAAGGTTGCCGGTGGAGATCCTGAATTCTATCCTGCTGTCAACCAGATCGAGTTCCATCCATACTTGCAAAACCAGAGTCCTGGCATTGTGAAGTTTTCTCACGAGAACAACATCCTCGTGGAAGCTTACGGGCCATTGTCTCCGCTCTTTAGAGTCGTCAAGGATGGCGAGGAAGTTAAAGATCATCCATTGACAAAGGTTTTACCCCAAATCGCCGAGAAGCACGGCCGTGCCGAGTCTCAGATTTTACTTAGATACACGTTGCAAAAAGGAATCTTGCCAATTACCACGTCTTCCAAATCAGAAAGGCAGATAGAGGCGTTGGCTATCTATGAATTTGCACTCTCTGATGAAGAAGTTGCCCAGATAGATAAGGCTGGCTCGGAGTTCGAGTTCCGTGGGTTCTTCTTAGGATTCTTTTGAAGATGAAAAAGGCCCAGTCACATAATTCTATACCTATACACAATAGATGAATTGAAGGCGTAGCAATAATATCTCTTCCAGGGCTTCTTCAGAGGGTCCCACTAATGGCTGCAAATGTGGATAGATACACGACAATGTCGTTGCTGCCTCAGCAACCCTCGAGTCAAACAGGGCAATTGAACACAAACCAACTAAATAAAAACAGTTTTGTGATCACCAAAACAGCAGCATTACGGCTATGTAATTTATTTCTGCTTTATCCCCCTAGAAGTCCCCCTTTCATGGCCAGTTCTCTCCCACCTTAGCACGACATTTTATGTTTCGCAGCCATACCATAGTCCTCAGAAGCCCTACTTATCACCAATATCGAATATCCCAAACCACCCTAAACTCTCAAACTAAACTCCCAAACCAACCCTCCCCCGCTCAAGACCCAAAACCGAAGGCCAGGACCCTGAAAACTCGTTTTGTGTCAAAGTGCCACCACGTGATCTGCACTACGGTTTCTGTCATAGTCCAGCCAGATCGAGTTGCTCGATCCCATAGTGGGGCAGGCGGCTTATAAGAAGCGACCCAATTGTGCTTAATTTTCGTCAATTGCTTCTATTTTATCGTTTGTAATGTGTGGAAGATTTGCCCTAGGCATAGTATGTGCATTTTATTTGAATTATGCGTATTTTGCAACCTCCAGTTACGTTACTAACAGTCACTAGGCCATTGACCAGTTGCCAGATAAGTTCAACCAATCTGTGCTTAATCCAAGTGGGGGCCATGATTTGACAAAGAACTCAGAAAAGAGTTACCATACAACAACCAGTGCTGGACCTGACGGCACAGAAAACGAGGTAGATATCAACCTTACCTCGTTGGACTACACTGGTTCCTTTAACATTCCTCCTACTGCCAAGGCTGTGATTCTTTATATGAACAAGAACAACGATGGATCTCAGGAGTACGTTTTTGAACCTCTGAGCTTTGGATTGGTGCCAAACTACGAGAAACCTAAGGATCCAGCTCCAGTGAAGAGAGGTGATAAGCACGGTCCTGCTTACTCGAGAGAACTCCAGAACGAGCAGCTGAAACGGTTCAATTGCCGTAAAGAGACGCTTTCTAATAACAGGTCCGTGTGGACAGAGCCTCGTAAGAACCTGCGCTGTGTGGTGCCTATCAATGGATACTACGAATGGCAGAAGACGAAGAAAGAGAAACCAGCGTACTACTTGACGCTGAAGGACCGTCCGCTTTTGTACCTCGCTGGTCTTTACGCTCATAATTATAATTATAACGATACTGAGATTGTGAAAGAGGGCCAGGAGTTCATTTCTTCGTTTACTATTGTCACTGGACCTGCTGAAGGAAAGGGAGCTAGTGATCTCCTGTGGCTTCACGAAAGGAAGCCTATTTTGCTTGAGCCAAACACAAAGGAGTGGTTTGACTGGCTTACTCCTACTCACGAATGGGACCCTAAGCTCTTGGATACATCCTTGGATCATGAGAATAATATCGCTTACAATGATACTACGACCCATGAGGTGGATAAGGCCATCGGGAACCCCGCTGTGGATGGTCCAGATAATATCAAGCCGGTTAAAAAGAATCAGAGAGGCATTGGGCTGTTTTTCAAGCCTGATAATGGTAATGGAGGAGTCAAGAAGGAGCCCAAGACTGAACCCAAAGAAGAGCCAAAGGAGGAGCACGAAAGCTCTGCCAAGCAGGAACCAAAAGAAGAGCCTCAAGATGGGCCGAGCAAAGAGCCAAAAGCGGAAGTTAGCAAGCCTAAACAGGAATCGCAACCAGACGAGGAGAAGCTTCAGCCCGAGGAATTGGATGAAGACGATGATGTTCCAGAAGATGGCGTTAACGATGTGGATGATATTGAAGACGATGAGGCGTTTGACGAAGAGGACGCAGATGATGCAGAAGTTGCAGATGAAGATGAAGACGAGGCTGCAATTAACGAGGAAGTCGACAACGACGCCGAGGACGTTCCTGATGTGAAGGACGAGGTCGAAGACATTGACGATGAAGGAGACGATATCGAAGATGAAGACGTGCAAGCCGAGGCAGAGGAGCTTGGCGTCGAAGAAGAAGAAGACGATGACGCTCAGACTGGTTCTAAGCGTGGTAAGAGTGGCCCTGCCAGCAGAACGAAGCGTGGAAAGCGCTAAGTCTGCCATATTTAACGATTCGATGTATGTTGACGAACTCAAGATATGACCCATTGATGTTGGAAGAAAACAGTAGTAAAGTAGCGAAAAAGATTATTTGAAGGCAATGATGGGTTGGATCTTACTGGAACTAGAGAATACTCTATACTGGTATAGATCCAGACAAGGTAATATAGTAGGGCTCAGAGTGTTCCTTAGTTTCGGTAAACTCAGGAAAAGCAAAAAACACAAAGTCTTCTTCTGTATTAGAAGAAGACATTCCGCCAAACAAGAATTAATATTTAGCCCTGTTTAGTCAATTTTTCACTCTGGCCTTTGAGACTCCCATACTATATATCCTGGTCCCTCACGCCTACAACCAACCATCACAGTCAACAAAACACAAAATAGAAAAAAAAAAAAACACCCAAAAGCAACAATCCACTCCCTAACCAACAAAACAAATCCTACACCAACTTCTACCCTTTTTCCCTACCAACTTCAACTACCGTCCCAGCTTCCACCCATTTGCAGCCATTGGACTGTAGTGTCGCGCACAGAAATATTTTCGCTACTACAAGACCTTGCAAAACCTCTACAACCAATCCCCAGCACGCCATGATCCCCAGAGCTATGCACAGGCTGAGCAGGCTCTCTGCTCTCCAGCAGTGCCGCCACAAGTCCAGTCCTCCAGGTCCTTCTCATGACTTGGTGTACCTCAATCCTCATAAATGGGAAGGTCTTCCAGCAGACCGTATCTTTGAGTTGCACAGGCTTCGGAAGACGCAGCTTGGCGACAAGTATGTGCCTAATGATAAGGAAAGACAGGCTGTGTTGCTGACGATTTCCAAGTTGTCAGGGAAAATAAGGCCTAAGTTGGAGTATGTGTACGAGTTGGACAACTTCAAGGAGCATGTGTTGAATAACGTGGTGAAGCCTCCAGTGCCTAGGATGGCCAACATTGAAGTTCGTCCAAGCGGTGAAACGCCCCATGTGGACCGTGCCCATGAACAGCTTTACAGAATCAGTGCCCATGAGCTCCCGCTTTTGGCCAAGTACCGCCAGGAGTACCAGCCTCCAAAGGACTCTCCCATCCAGTTGAAGTTTTTCACAGACTTGTCTGACGATATGCTGTCTGCTGAGAACAGAAAGGTGGCCATAAACGTGGCTCTTGAAGAGTTGAACCTCAATGAAAAGCAGGCTAACAAGTTTAAGCTTTTGGCCGGCAACAAGTTTAACCATAAGAACGGTGTTTTCCACATGAAGACAGCTCGTTTCAGCGTGGCTACCCAGAACGCCAGATGGCTCGTGGAAACGTTCAACAAACTCTTGGCTGCAAGCAAGGACTTGTCTGACCTGTTTGAAGACGTTCCTGTCAACACTAGACACTCACGCCCTAGAAAGGCTGTGCCCGAGTTCCCTGAGGAGTGGAAGAGACCCCAGGACGCTCCAATCAAGAAGTACCTGATCCTGGAGAAGATCGTCGACATGGTGATCGAGAAGAAGGACCAGGACTACATCAAGCAAATCACCCCATAAGCATGTACATAATAAAGAACCAAAGGAGAGATGTGTAGAGGAGAGGTCAGAGTTTGATGATATGGTATTTTGCACCCAATGCTGAGAGACAGAGGAAGCACACCAAAACACACCAAAAGAAGCAAAAGACGTCAAAATGCGTTCTATTTGAGACTAGACCATTACAAAGCTAACTTTCATAGTTTTTTTTTTCTTCTTCATCTTTTTCCTCTTATCTTCTTCATCCACCAGTGTCTTCCAGGCTGGGGTTTCGCATCCGTGCACCTACGCATGTTTTGTTCACTGCAGCGATAGATCTAACATTCAAAGAGTCAACCAACAAAGCATCTATCCATACATTGCCATTTGAATTCGTCACTGTTCATATATCAGTCGAATTAAGCAAGACATATTCGCCACTAGAAACCGTTTTTTCCAGTTCCCATGTCTAGCGCTACCACTACCCTAGACGACATTATAGACGAGCTCAGGCTCAAGTACGACTCGTCTGTTGGACTTTTGGATGGTAAAGCCATCCGAGAAATTCCCAATCTCAATACACTTTATAACTTGAGCAAGCTTCTAACGAATCTTGGGAAGAATTTGAAGGATGCTGAAGATAAGGATGAGGTGCTTCTTGAGAAGGTAGATGAGAAGCTCAGTAATCTCCAGAAGGGAGAAGAGGAGGAAGAAGAGGAAGAGGAGGAAGAACCTAAAGAGAAAGAGGATAATGACGTTGAGGATGAAAGTATACCGTTGGCCAAGCGAAGAAAGCTTGATAGTACGGTTAAGCTGAAGTCAGATAAGGAGGATGAAGAAGAAGAGCCAGAGGAGGGTAAGGAAGATAGTGATGAAGAAGACGAGGCGGAACTTAAGGATGCTAATGATAAGTTTGAAAATGAAGAGGAGAATATGGAGGAGAAACCTGCTTCTCCAGCTCCAGAGGACCCTGAGCGTGAAAGGGTTAATTCTAAGGATGATCCAGTTCCTCCAGAACAAAAGGGTTCTTATACTTATGAAAACGATACGAGATTGAAGAACCCAAAATCTGAGTTCGTGCCGTCGCAGACACTTTCAGCTGATGCTATTGCTGAACTTGGGCTTTTCTCGGAGGATAATAATGGTCTTGAAACACAGGGTAAAGAGTACCTCAAACGCAAGTACGGTGTGGCTTCCTACCCTGAGAACGATTTGAAAGATTTGCTACCCGGAGAGATTCCAAATACGGATTTCTCAAAGCACAAGGCTCCATCTAATCAGGTCCAGTTTACGACTTACCAGTCATATATTGAATCTTTCTTCCGTCCTTTCTCTAATGACGATATCCACTTTGCCAATGAAAAGTTTGTGCTTCCGCCTGGATTTGAAAAGGGTGACTACGATCCCGCAACAAGTCCTTATTTAATTCCTAAACTCGGTCCTTTCTACGCTGACGTCTGGGCCGAAGAAGATGCTGCTTTACGTTCAAAGTTGAGTTCTCCGGCTCCACAAAAACCACCATTAGAGTCTTACAAACCTAAGGGTAACCAGGACGAGGTGAGCGATGAAAAACTTCTAACAGAAGATGTATCTGTTGGACCACTTTCAAGCAGATTACTTTCAGCCATTCTCAGTATACATGAGGCTAAGGAGCAAAATGAGAGAGACGACGAGGACCCTGACTCCAGCGCCATCAAGGAGGAGGATAACCGATCCGAAGTTAACATGTCACTTGACGATGACGTCGCTACTCAGCTAGATAGCGATGCTTATAGAGTCACTTCAGACGTGAACGACTTCTATTCCATGGAGGAGAGACTTAAGCGTGAGCTCAAGTATATCGGTATTTTTATGAACTTACCAACAAAGGGAGATAAGGCTAAGCGTGGAGGAAGCATCATTGATAGTGATGATTGGCTTCTACACAAAGAGGACGACGAAGTGAGCGCCGAAATTCGTGTTCTTCAGGAAGAACTCAAAGGTGCTGTCGTCAGAAACAGACAAAGGAAGAAGGTTCTCGTTCCTGTTATTGAGGAACAGCTCGCCTACCAAGAATATTGTACTATATTGGAAGACTTGGACAACCAAGTTAACACTGCCTACACCAAGAGGCTCAAGGCCAAGAGCAGAAAGAAGAAGACACCAGAATCTACAGTCAATGTGGCTCAGCAGCAGGCTGCCAATAGTGGTTTGAGAGCACTCTTAGAGAAGAGACGCAGATGGATCGAATCCATTGGCAGTTTGTTTAAGCCACCACAGTTGATGAAGAGAGTTCCTAGTGAATCCATTTTCAAGGATCAAGTGCACTCGGACGATGAAGAAGGAGATGCTGAAGTTGATGTTGTAAACGAAGAGGAAGCCTAGGTCAGGTAAATCTCATAATTAAATACATGCATTACGTCTATAATTTTCTACCAGCTCATACCGGCTGTCAACTCCTTGTGAGAGGGCAATGTCTTGCAGTTACCCAAGGCGCAAATGGAGATAGGTCTGTCCTTAAGTCTCCAGTTGGCCCAGTCAACAACTTCTTGCTTCGTAACGGACTCAATCCGCTCAAAAACATCTTCAGGCAGTAATCTGAAGCCGGTATTAACCAATTGTCTGCCAATGTCTTCAGCAATAGCAGTAGAGTCATCGAGGGCCAAAACCAAAGAAGCTTTAAGTTGAGCTTTAGATCTTTCGACCTCTTCTTCGGTGATATCGCCAGCCTTCAAACGAGCCCACTCCTTCAAAACGGCATTAGTAAACAAAGACATATCGGTGTTGCTGTCTGCTGTGAAGTAAACACCCATCAATCCAGTGTCAGCGTAGGAAGTAGTGTATGCCATGAAGGCGTTGACCATTGGTTGACCGCTTGGGCCACCCATGGCAGCAGTGACAGTCAATGGGGATGGAGAGTCAGAACCAATACCAATAGATCTGTCCCAGGAGCCGATAAGACCATTGGCAACAGAAGAGGTGAAGAAGTCAGGAGCGGACCAGCTGACACCTTCAATAGCCAAAGCAACGTGCGTTACTGGCAAAGAGTTGTCCTGGATGAGTCTCTCAGCACCGTGGAAAACAGGCATATCGTCACCATGTTGCTTGAAAGGAACAGGGCTCTTCTCGATATGGCCAAAGAACTTCTGGGCAGTCTTTACAAGCTCGTCATGATCAACACAACCCACGCCAATGAGGGCCATTCTGTCGCCCTTATAGTTCGTTTTGATATAGTTCACCAAGTCGTCTCTGTTAATCGTTCTGATCTTTTCTCTTGGACCCAAAATGGTTCTGCCAAGATCCTGTTTACGAAAAGTGATCTCGTGCAAATGGTCAAACACCACTTCGTCAAACATCTTATCGACTTCGTCACTTTCCTGGAGAATCACGGCTCTCTCTCTCTCGATGGCCTTGGCTTCGAGCTTCAGCTTGGTCAACAAATCACTCAAAATGTCCACGTTTTGCTCCAAATCCTTCGAAAGGCAACGAGTGTAGTATACTGTGTTTTCACGGGACGTGTAAGCATTGATCTGGGAACCCAAGTCTTCAATCTCTAATTCTAGGCTGTACTGAGACCTCTTGGCTGTACCTTTGAAGGCCAAATGCTCGAGAAAGTGGGCCGTACCACTGCTTATAGGGTTATCAGCTCTGGAGCCGGCGTTAATCCACATACCCACAGTGGCAGTCTTGGTACCAGGCATATATTCACTCGCCACTGTAAGGCCGTTTGGCAAGACTGTGGTCTTATATGTTGGAGGAGGCGCCCTGGCGGCTGAGGCACTTGGAGTAGCAGCAGCAGACGCAAGGCTACGGATATGTAGTGGATTTCTAGCGAGCAGCCTAAGCATGGTGATGGTTTGGTAAAGAAAGATGGGTTTCGGTTGGAGATGTAGTAATGAGCTTAGATATGTATGAGGTGCACGGGTGTTTTGGCAGCTACCGGCTTTCTAAGACCGGCTGGTCCAGACGGTCGATGACATGAAGGGGGTATTTTTAAAAAGAAAATACGGTATGGTGGGTTTTAGTTGGGTTTGGACAGTAATTTATGGAAATAGTGAAAACAGGGAAGTAGAGGTAGGAGTGTGTTTTGGTTGGACTGCTTGTGGTCCAAAGTAAAGATGTACTATATTGGAGACCCAAGGCAGATGTGGTGGTGCTGAGTGATTTTTGTTGATTTTGCAGTTTAAAGATGTTCTTTCACCTTATAAAAGATAATTCGATCTGTAAAATCCCAATTTTTCAGTCTCCTTATGAGTGCCTTTGTGGTCTTCTTGAGGTGCCTTTACTGCGGTAGTGAGCCCATGAAAAATAGTATTCCAAAGTCCCCACAACTTCCGAACCACCAAAAAGATCACTCAACCTGAAATTCAACTCTTCAAAAACAACTTTGAGCTTCACTTCGTCTACTTTTCATATCCAACCATTTGCAACTTCTCCCTCTGGTTACATTTGCCCAAACACTGCCATTAAAAAGGAAATATAAGAATACGTGAAGAAACAGACCTTCCTATTTTTATCATTTTCCAATCCCAAAAATCAAAAATCCATTCAACCAAACCATCCCAAACCAATCCATCACGAATTCCTCCGCCACCGCCTTTAAACCTTAACAAGACAGTTGGTCTGCTTCTGATACGCAAGTTAGCCCCAGGCACAGCAGGACCGGCATTCCACCGTGCCGACCAAATCCAGTCAAACAGCGGCCCACCCAGAAAGACTTCACTATTAGAGAATGAATAAAAGAAGAGATAAAGTGCCTTATTCTGGAGATTCTTGACTTTCCTGGACTTTCTTTGTATCCCCAGGTTTCGCCTTTCTCGACCTTCCTCAGCCTGACTCTACCTTCCAAACTCAGACCACAAACTTCACCCAAACTCCTAACTCCTATTCCCTTTATTCGTTTCATGCATTCTATCCCTCAAAAGTACCAATCCACCACATTCAATATACTCACGTTTCACTGGCTACTCGCCCTCTGTGACTCGCCCTCGGTCCAGGGCCGAAGCGAGATTGGTTGCAAAAATGTCGCGACCTTGGCATAAACAGGGTCTACCCGTCAACCACAAACAAGCTTCTAGGAACGGTAGAGAAATATAAATAGCACCATTGAAATCTCCTTGTCTTGGCCATTCCAAATCACCCACTAAACCCTCAAAAACACCTCCTCAACCCAGTTTGACTCGGGGGTATGCTGAGGCAGCCACGACATTGTCGCGCTACACCGTTTCTTCCACTTTCTCTACGAAACCCATGGAAACTCCAAAATTGGCGAAAAAAAAATCCCCAAGTTGCCCTACCTCCGGCCCACGTCACTACTAAGTCATCAAAATTCTACCCCCTCCTTTATTTCCCCAGGACCATCCATTTCCAGTGTACCCCGGATTTCCCGATCGCCACACCCGGCCGCTTCCGGTCACAGGACCTTTCATGCGCATTCGCATCCGCATTCCTTTTTTCTTTTCTTTTTTTTCCAAAATCTCCCATATATACCCACACAACCCGCATTTCTTCATTTTCTTCCATATTCCCTCTTTTACCACTTTCCTTAAATATGAAGATCTTTGAAAGCTCACATCTTTTCAATTACACATGGGAACAAGTCAGTGCTGCCAATTGGGTCAAGTATCCAAACGAGCTTTCCACTCATGTTGTGTCTGTGGATATCTTGAACAGAGAGGTGGATCCAAAGAGACATGTGCTTAAGACTGAAAGGTTGATTGCATGCAAACAGTCTGTGCCTAGATGGTTGAGGGCTATTATTGGCGGTGAAGAGTACTCGTTTGTGAGAGAGGTGAGTGAAGTGGACTTGGTGAATAGGAAGCTTATCATGAAGCTGGCCAATATGACTCTTCTGAACTTGCTTTTGGTGAACGAGACTGTGGTTTATACCCCAGACCAGAAGATGCCTGCTGGAAGAACACTTTTCAAGCAGGAGGCTGAGATCACGGCGTTTTCGCCATTTTCGGGCATTTGCAATAAGATTGAGGAATGGTCTGTGGAGAGGTTTGGCCAGAACGCCAAGGTCGGCAAGATGGGCTTCGAAGGCGTTTTGCAGTCAGTGGCTGAAAAATGGGAAGAAAGCGGTGTGCTCGTAAAGGGCTTGGGCCATTCGCTTTTGAAGGAGATTGACGAGGTTAACGATAAAACGCATGAAGTTATCCACGACGTGGGTGAAAAGACCTCCAGCGTGCTTCTGGAGGTGACTAAGCTCGGCAGCTACTTTAGCCGTAGCTGATCATGATAGAATGACGACAGACACATACACGCCTTTACGGGTTGAAAGTTCTTTTTGATTTGGTGCATTTCAGTTTTACGCATTGGTTTTTCTATGATTTTCCAGCCACAGGCTGCCCTGTGGCTCGGTGTTTTGCATGGTTTAGGGCACGAGGACTATTTATTTATGATACACGGTAAGACACAAATGGATATTGTAGGGTTTTGATGGTTGGTGGGTTGGTGGGTAGGTTGGTTACTGGAAATCCGGTCACGTGCCGCCATCGCAGGCATCGCATATAGATAATTTCCACCGATCTATCAAACCGTGTTTTCCCAGCAGACCATGGAAAATAACACAATTGCGCTGGAACAGCTATTGGGACCGCATCCTCAGTACTCAGCAACAGCTTCTCACATGGTTTCCTCTGCTCCAGTTTACCCAGACTCTGCCATCGACGCAGCCATAGAAAAGGCGTTTCTGGAGCTAGAAGGCCCCAAGTTCGTCAAGCACGAGTCCCCTGAACTGCTTTCTCCTGAAGATACCGACTGGACAGCTTCTATCTTGAAAAATGACTGTTTTGAGGCTCCTCACACCACAGAAAGTTCCGTCACTTCGGTCGAAGAGTCCACTGACAAAGAATCGCATAGAGCCAACTGGGAAACCGTGGCAGCCCTCAAGCAAGAAATGGCCAACCATTCCCGTATGGTCGGCACGTACACGACAATGAAAACAGCATACTTGAAGCTCTGCAAGGAGTTCAACTACCTCTTGGGGTTGTTCAACGACAACGAGAAGACCAAGATCGGGCTCATCCACGAAAACAACCAGTTGCGCCAAATGTTGGTGGAGGTTATCAAGGAAAGGGAAATTGATAGACAACGGTACCGGGAAAGCATGGGAACGAAGTTCTGAACGTTCTTCTTAGCGCCAATGGTGGAAGGCCCAAGGGCTCGCATAGCATATACTAGCATTATAGACAATTCGCATTACTCCAGTGTAGGGTACATACATCATTCTTTTCACGTAGCATTGAGCTATATATATTAAATTTGGAGCTACCCCTTTTGAATACAAATCCCATGTCAGAGGTGTTACTCGAATTGGAAATGATCTTGGCCACAGTCAAGCAGATCGACCAGAGTGTGCTTGAGAGTATAGCACTACTAGAAAAAGGTGTTCCAGCAGGGTCATACAAAGAGCTTGTTGCCAGCAACAAGGCACGGCTCGAGCGTGTGATGGCGTTGCTTGAGGAATTATAGGGCGCTTGGGTGCTATTTTTTCTGGAGGAATTAGGTTGCTGGGTTGTCCTGGTTAAACCGTGTTTTCGTTGATATCTTATCCCATGTTTTGGTAGTGCGCAGGTAAACACCAACCACTTTTCATGGATAGAAAACAGACACAGGCCGTGGAAGGCTACCAGAGACAGAAGCTTCGGGAAACGGGAAACGAACGTGGTGCTGATAGCGCTGGCGGCGATCTGGACTCGGATTTGGACGAGTTGCTTGAAGAGCTCGAGGAAGATAGAGACGAGTCGCTGGCTCAGTATAGAGAAGCACGTCTTGCCGAGTTGAAACGTGAATTTGGGAAGATCGACCGTGCTGCTCACGAGCTTGGGCTGGATTTGGGCCAGGTTACCAACGTTGCTGACGAGAAAGAGCTCATGAACCTTGTAACCAAAGCAGATGTATGTATGGTGCACTTCTTCCAGCCAGAGTTCGCCAGATGCAAAGCAATGAACGAGAAGTTGGTCGCTGTGGCTGAGAAACACGTTGAAGTTCGTGTTCTTGCGATTAAGGCCGAGTTGGCGCCATTTCTCGTGGCAAAGCTCAAAATTAAGGTGCTTCCAGTGGTGATTGCGTATAGAAGCGGCAAGGAAGTGGCACGGATCGTTGGTTTTGAAGGATTAGGAAGCCTAAGCGGCTCGGATTTCCCTGTAGAGGCGCTCGAGACGTGGATGTTTCGTCAACGGTTGGTGAACAGAAGGGCCTTGACATTTGCAGCCAAAAACACGGTAAGTGGCTCCATTGGCGCCAGCAATGAAGACGACGAAGACGATGAATGGTATTAAATTCGACAGCACAAGTGATCAAGAAACCTTGACCACATCGAAGGCATTTTCTCCCGAGGAAGCTTGAACTCAGGAAGCTCAGCCTTGCGACGACGAGGAACCAAGTCGTTGTAGAGCTTCTGGCGGTTTTTAAGTACCGAGTCGCCAATCATCTACAAGGCAATGGACGGGGCGATCGAGAAACCAAAAGGTATATGTTGAAACGGGTGTAAGTGTGATGTTGAAATGTTGATCTTGCTGGATTGCTCGAGATCTATCAAGTGTGCTGGTCGTCCCAGATAGGAAGGACCACGAGATGAACAGAAGAGGCTGAACAGAGGTAAACGGTCAAACTACTGACAATTGCGATCCGCGGAAGAAGGGTGAAATTCGGGCGATGATGCTTGGCGGCGAGAGAAATCGACTGATGAAACTCAGAGAAGTAGATGGTGTGATGGGTGGATCGCTTGGGTCATTTTGCAGCCAGGGCGTGAGGGCCAGCAGCCAGGGCGCGAGCCCTGATTTGGGGTATGCTTACACGTGATTTGGAAACGCAGTCCTGGCTTCGCAGTCTGAAAACACATCCTGCACGCGCCGCTCAGCGCATTGAAAAAGCTTTCCCTCTCCCATTTATCTTTCCCTCTCCACCACATTGGTAAGAAAGAAGCACCTTTAGCTGCCGACAAGCCAATATGCAAATTTTCGTCAAGACCTTGACCGGTAAGACGATCACCCTCGAGGTGGAGTCTTCCGACACTATCGACAACGTTAAGTCCAAGATCCAGGACAAGGAGGGTATTCCTCCTGACCAGCAGAGATTGATCTTCGCTGGTAAGCAGTTGGAGGACGGCAGAACCTTGTCTGACTACAACATCCAGAAGGAGTCCACTCTTCACTTGGTGTTGAGATTGAGAGGTGGTGGTAGAAAGAGAAAGAAGAAGGTCTACACCACCCCAAAGAAGATCAAGCACAAGCACAGAAAGCACAAGTTGGCTGTCTTGACTTACTACAAGGTTGACAACGACGGTAACGTCGAGAGATTGAGAAGAGAGTGCCCTAACTGTGGTGCTGGTATTTTCATGGCCAACCACCCAGACAGACAGTACTGTGGTAGATGTCACACCACCTTCAAGCTTAACGCTTAAGTGTGTGGCTCTAGATAGGTATATAAGCTGAATGTCTTGATCCTTCATTCGTGCCCCTGGGCTTGTAGATGTAGAATGTTCTGAGACTTGGTCTATGAGATTGGTAAGCTTTAGATGCTGAAGAGAGCTGTTGTCTACTGTGATGACATGATGACAAACAGCTTTACTACTGATCAATCAGTTTTACAAAGGCACGCTAAGCTGCCTTTCTGCTAAGTGATCATTGATTCTTATAATGCTCTTCGATGGCAAAGAATAGGGAAGTGGTCTTGGCTTACTAATGCCGCTACTTTGTCCCATAAAGTCAACCCATTCTTATTGTCCCCAAATTCATCAAAATAAAAACCTCTAAATCATCATAAAACACTCATCTTTAGTAATTACTAAGACGCCTTTACCTTGTTTATTAAGTACCTGTTGCCAGTTTTGGTCGCAACTTGTGTAGCGTATCAGACATGATAAACTGGTCCACACAAACACAATCCCAACTAAAAACCAGCAAACCTCCACCTAAAAATCCAACAATCTTAACGAATAAAAAGCTAAAAAATTACAACCCTCCACCTACCAACCTTAATGCCTTTTCTACTTTAGCTACTATAAACGCGGTTAACCATCACCAGTTATTCCCTTAGAAGCGCCACAAAAGAACCATACAAACAACTCCCAACATCCTCTCACCGCCTCTCGTACCCCACTTACCTTCCACTTACCCTCTACTCCACCCCAGGCGTGTTTCATCCTTCCACTTACTCCTACCCTATACTTGTGGTGTACAGGTGTCCACCACCTACCTGAGACAGCTATACATCAACACTAACCAACTACAACTCTCATGAGTTTTGCCATCTACGACCTCGACGAGGACATTCGTCGCCACCTTTCCCTTGATAACTTTCTAGATGGGCTCTCTGTGCATGAGTTTGTGGAGGAATTGAGCAAAGATCATATCCTCAAAGGTGCCGAGGTCAAGAACCTCGAGTACTTGGACCCCAAGCCATATATTCGTACATTTGAGTCGACGCTTCGTCATTTGAAGCATCTCTCTGGGGAGGCCAATAAACAGCTCGAGGAGACCGAGAAAGACGTGGACGAGTTCGAATTGCGTCATAGTGAACAGGTGCTTAAGTTGTCTGGCCAGGTGGAGAACATTGTTTCTCTGTTTGACGATCTTGATACACAGATATCGCATATTTCGGATGTGATTGACCCATTGAACCAGAAATTGAACAGAATCACCAATTCTAGAGATAGGTCGGTCGAGACAATCTTCTTGATTCGCTCGTACCATGGGTTTTATACGAAAGAGAAGTACGACCCGCTCGAGAAGCTACGTACTGCCAAGGATACAGAGCTGAAGATGAAATGTGCCAGGACAGTTAAAAATTTGCTTACATTGGCGAAGAAAATCGACTCGATGACGGGGAATATTCCAAAGGTGACTAAGTGCGTTACCACAATTGAAAAATACTCGGAGCTTCTCGAACGAGGACTCGTGGAGCGTTACGAGTTCGCTAGCGAAGATAGCGATTACGATGAAATGAGAGAAATCGCGTCTATCATGTTCGAATTCAACGGCGGTGCTAGTGTGGTGCTGGCATTCATGAATAAAAGTGACATTTTCCAAGAAGCAGACAAGTCGGAGGAAGAAGACGAAGGTTCGTCTCTTTTGGATGACGAAGCTATCTGGACGAAGCTTGCAGACCCCAACTTCCAAGTCCATCGTCTTTTTGATGATGAAGAAACACAGATTCTTCTCGATAGGCTTAAGGTATCTATTCGTGGCCAGCTGAGAGTCATCCAGCAAGTTTTCGAGAAGCCAGTGCCTGTTTTGAAAATGCTTCTTCAGCGTGTTTACGCTCAAATGATTAACAATAAAGTGTCTACACTTTTGCTGTATTCGCTGCCTCATGGGCCTTTGGTCCATGTTCGTCTCCTACATGCCTTATACGTGCTAGTAGGTGACTTCACCAAAGAAATGAAGGAATATTTCGCTCTTAACGAATATGATGAAAACAACGAACTCGCTGTCACTTTGGACCAATGTTACTACGATTTGTTCATTGACTATCTTTCTGATGATACTTACTTCCGCATGGAGAAGGACATGTTGGAACGGTCCATCTTCTTCCTCGCTACCAAGTACACTGAGTTCAACGAAAAGGCTATTACGAAACGTGCTCTTGAAGATGCGCTTCAGGAATGGGAGGCACAAAACAACTCGAATGCCAATACTGGCCTAATATCCAGTGATCCTGCGGCAGGCGAAAGGCATATTTTCCATTTCATCAAGCGTAAGAGACTCAGCAAATTCAAAGATTTCATGAAGATGCATTTGCCTGAGAGACCTCTACTGACGAGGGAGTCTGCTGATGTGGCTCAAAGGAAAACCGAATATATGGAGTTTGGCGAGATCAACATCACCAAGGTCCAGATGGTCATCAAGTTAGCCATTGAGGCTATTGCCAGAATCCTAGAGCTCGCCCCTCTTAAGTCAGCAGAGTACTCTCTCGATGTTCTTGAGATCCTCTTGTTGGATTTTGGTGGACTTTACATTGGCGGTGGCCTCGAAGTTGCATTTGACAGAGCCAAGTTTGAACTTTCTGTGGCATCTCTGAAGGCTGAATGCGAGCTTGACTTCATGAAGACATTCAACTTGACCACAGAGGTCTTAAGACTCTTATCAGCATGCATAAAGAAGATCATTCTTCCCTGCGCTGTGAACAGTCCTGCTATCAGAAACAGAATGATTAGTTTGACAAACAACTATGTCGCCCGGTGCGAGAAGAGTTTGAACTTAATCTTAGCAGCTACTGTTGAACTTGTCACAGAAAAGCTTAGTGGCATTTTGCAAAAGCAGAAGAAGAAGGACTTTGTTTGCGACGATGCCAGCATGAGTAACAAGGTCTACACTGAGGTGTGTGAAGAGGTTACCAGTCTATTGGACAATGTTCACGCGTACCTTGCAATGCATTTGAATAACGAGAACTTGAACGATGTGTTGGTCAAGATCGGTATGATCACTTTGGAGCTCTTGCTTGATCATTTCAAGAAGTTCCAGGTCAACCTGAATGGCGGTCTTGTTTTGACACAAGATGTGATCAATTATCAATCCGTTATTGACACTTGGGAGATTCCAGAGCTTACTGAAAACTTCCAGATACTTAAGGAGATCAGTAACTTGTTTACTGTGCAGCCTAACTTGATCAACTCCTTGATCACAGAAGGACATTTGGCTAAGTTGAAGATCTACACTGTCAGACAGTACATTTCGAAGAGAACAGACTTCTCTCCAAACTACCTCGAACGTTTCTTTGGACGCAAATAACCATGAGAGACCCTCTTAGTCTCATCTTCTATTGTATAAAGATAGAATGCATAATATCGACCATAACAAGATTGCGCTATGGAAGCCGACTTCATTTAGTCTTTTCCTGAAAGAAGAATGCTTTTCGTGCTCGACCATGCAATGCTGCCAGAACCTCGGTAAAACCAGCGAGGAACCGGCCGACTTATCGAGATAGATCTCGATTCGTTCAGGGTAAACTATACAAGCAACCAAAATGCCCACGGCGACCAAATAACTTAAACCGTAGAACTTGGCGCCAGCATATGGAGTAGGCATGTAGCACATCATGGTTTTGTAAGTTGTGGTATCATCAGGAGATGCTAGCTTTGACTTTGGATTTGGATCGTATGGGTTATTCAACGAAAGAAGCTGAATTGCAGGATACTTGATGCCATTTGTCATGGATGCGGTTTTGACAGAAATCTCTCTGGCCAAGATTTTGGAGTTGTCGGTGTAATCGACGTGATGCATGTCACAGTAGTCGTGATCATCACCACTGAAGACGATCTTTGGCGACAACTGATTAAGAATTTGCAGGGTATATGAGTAGTCAATGACGGTTTGGTACTGGTGTCCCCTTTGTAAAGGGAACGGTCTCGAGCTTTCTCTCAACGCGTCACAGGTCTCCACACGAGGATCTCTATAAAGCGGAACGTGAGTCAATACCATCCTGGGCATGCTGGGGTTGATTTTTGTGTCTAGCGAAGCCAAAAACTCTCTCGCTTGCGTATGTACAGCTGGGTCTTCATGAGACATGGATATCGTGTCCAATTGCACGATAGTGTGGTTTCCAAGCTCATAGAAGTCGTTGGCTTCGCCAAAATAAGCAGCAAACCTCTCCATATTGTGGGTACTGACATTCTGGAACCCGATATCGTGGTTTCCAGGAAGCGACCGGATAGACCTTCTGTTCGGCTTTTTCGGGAAGATCTTGTTGAATCGCTTATACTCGTCCAACCACATCTTATCGTCCCACTCCCTGCCGCCGTCAAACATATCACCCAAAAAGATAACCGTATCTGGATCAAGGTAATATTGCATGAACTTGTAGTTCGTATGGAGGTAATTGTCGCTCATTCGTCTGAGAAGGTACCCCACGAGTCTGGGTAGTTTGGGGTAAGTATGATCATCCACAAGCTGTGGATCAGCAATGAACGCAACCCTATGAGGCGTCACGTCGGCCTTCTCGCCACTCCAGTGTTCCCAATTATCCCATTGGCACAGATTGACAGCATTTTTCACCCTGACACGTTCAAAGTAATGTATGATAACAAGGAAGTACACCAAAAGGCCCAAGATCAACTTGAACGATAACACTCTGTGGCCGTTCCGGCGAGGCTGGAAAGTTGGCCTGGGCTCTGGAACCTTCTCGTCCGGCACAACCGGGCCTTCGTGCTTCCGGTCTCTTCTCCGGAAATTCATGTTGATAATTCCCGATAAGCAAAAAGGATCTCGCGAACTTCAAGACTTATATATGGTATTTTCTTGATTATTATTTTTTTTTTCGGTCTGAGCGCGCCAGGCCAACTTTGACACTTTGGAACCACCCAAGAGCGATTGGAAAATTTCCAATGGAGGAGAAGGAAAAGCGTCGTTTGCGGCTGCAAGAACGGTCCAAGGCCGCTTCGAAGCTCTTTGACTTTGACAGTGCAAACGCTCTTTTGTACAAGGACGAGGCGATCCGGATTGATAGAAGTGGGAGGAGTGAGGGACGCCAGCCGTTCACATATTATGGGGAGATGAGCCGATTGCCTGAGCGGCAGGCCACGCTGAAATCGACCAAGGTGTCAAAGAAGGAAGTGGTGCTTCCGAGGAGGCAGCGAACGAAGGAGGACCCTTTGGGCGACGAAGTGTATGAGGCCTTTCATCGGAAGATGAAGCGAGATGAAAAGTCCATGACTGGGTCGGATAAGAATCGTATAGCCAACGAGATTGATAACTTTCGAATGCAATTGATGCTTTTGCAGCAGAATAACTGGGCTCGGCACTTGCCAAAAATGACGTACATCAATGATAAGTCGGACCTTGAAGAGCTTCTGTGGAAGAGACAGGCCACTTTCAAAGAGCTCCAGCGGCTTGTGCAAAAGTATGAGAACTGGGAAACTCGTAATGAGCAGCGACTTGCTGAAATAAAGGAGTTTGAGAGCCGACGTGACCCTGACGCTCCTGATAGTGAACCGGTTGATGAAGATGATGCTGATGATGCTATCTTAGCGCAGCCGCTGGTTCAGGAAGAACGAGAACAAGAAAGACTTGAAGAGCTTGGCCCTTCGCTGCGCTTGATCTTGCGTAACGGCTTCGATCTTGTGTTTGGACCGCTTCAGTACCCTAGGATTGAACCGCTGATTGGATGGATCACACAGTGAAATCTTTCACGGAAGTGACAAAACGAGTGAAAAGCGAACCAAAGGCGTCTGGGCGTGAAAGATTCACCTCCATCTCGAGATTCTCGAGGGGGAAGTCCACAAGCGTTACTGCCTTTGGCTGTTGGCGAAGCTCGATGTCCGGACGACTAGGCAGAAACGTCTCCATTATAGACGAAGGAACGGCGTACGCTGCTGAAAGAGTTTGACGAAGGTAAACCAACGCAAGGGTGCTTTGAGAGTGGACAAATAGAAGTTGGAGGTTCTCCACAGACATGCCCTCGCCGGTATTTGAGCCCACTGTCGAAGTAACCTTATCAGCCAAATCGATTCCCTCATGGGTGATGCTTCTGTCCAAATGATACAAGATGAGGCAAACCTCCTCTAACGACAGAAACGGCAACACCGAAAGATTTAGCACTAGAAACACAATCATGTCCCTTGTGTTGGCACTAGCTGCTAAATCTCCTGATGATATATCCACTGTAAATAAACGAGCTAATGAAAGAATGAACCTTTTCTTGCTTGCATAGTTCCGACTCACGATCTTGTAGACTGATCTGAGAAACAGAACGTTCTTCCAGAACTCGTCTCCATTCACTCTCTTATTGTAATTGACTGCTATTTTGAACGCTTCGGCATAGTTTCGGTCCGCCAACGATTCGTGCTTGTCGAAGATATCCTTATGCAAGTTGAATGCAATTCCCTTAACGTACTTGTTAGGTGAAGATTCCAATGCAATGATAGTAGGTGCACATACTTTGGGGTTGGCAAAGCCGAGTTTCATGATAAGCTCTAAGAATCTCACTGGAACGAGAGAAAGCGAGCTTGCGTCTTGTAAGCATAGTTCAAGAGCTGGACCAATGAAGCTTTGAATTAAACTTGAGCAAACGCTGTCGTTGATGTAGCCGTGAGAAGTACCGTGGAAAACATCAACGTCAAGTTTCTTATCCGAAGAGCACGATTCTTCGAGATTTCGCTTTCCTGACTCCTCGTCTTCCATCAGTAAGAATGAGTTGAACCCTTCCAAAATAGTGACTTTCATCCTATGCGAACCCTTCTCGAATTCAGTGTTGAGGAGCTTCATGACGGGCTTCAGAAGAAACATCTTTGGATGGTGGGAAGAGATCAACAAAAGGCTCTTGATGGCAGCAGTACGTACTGACACATTATGGTCTTCTTTTGTGAAGTGTAAAACAAACCTCATTAAAAGACTGGTGATAGTTTCATCAACCCTAAGACCTAACTGAGCTTTCTCAAGTGAATCTCTTAACCCTTCAAGATGACAGTATGCTCCAAAGCAACCAATTAACTGTAATAGCTTGACGATTTGAGAATTGTGATCTTTTGTTCCCTCGGGAGTACCCATTCTGCTTGTTAAGAGCTTGAGGCACGAGATAAGGGCATTAATGAGCCTATGTTGGGTGTGTGAAGCCTCTGTGAGATAGTTTAAAGTGGGTATCGCTTCATGGAGCTCCCTAACTGAGTACTTTGTCAATCTCTTCAAAGCACATCTTGGATCTCCTTCACAAAAGCCAGACTCAATGCCGCACGTTTAGGAACAGCCGACTTCAAGATCTTAAGCGTGTAGTAGCAGATATCACCATTGGCATCTGAGGAAGAAACGTAAGGCGAAAGCGATACGAGGTAATCCTGACTCAACACGTCCATATCGAGACTGGTGAACGTGGAAACAAGCTTCAATGATTTTTCTGCTCTTCCCTGGTCCTCGGTATCTATAACTTCGGTTGCAATCTCCAACGCCGTCTCCGTCAACTTCCTAAGCAGCTCCTTCGTAATCGGGTACTTTTATCTTTCGTTCCAGAAAGAATGTACTGTTCAAAAGATCTTTGAGCATGGTTGCTGTGAGTGATAACCTCTATCATTGTTTCACAAGTTACCTTGTAATCAGACTCCTCTTTTGGAGAGAAGCATATATTGTGAAGAGTCTCCTTTGCAATACCTCTAACATTTTCTTCTGGATCATTCAAATTCTTCATTAGCCTGATACAGAAATGTGACCTGATCTCAACAGTTTTGGTAAAACAAAGAAAATCTCTCATGATCCGAATAACTCTTTTCCGTACAGCAATACTTTCATCAGTCGTTCTTGCACAGATTGGCATGTAGTATCTCTCCAATAGACCGTTATTTGAGGAAATGTATTTGGCAAGAAGCTCGATAATAGCATCTCTTGACAGGGCAGCAGGACTTTCCAATAGCTTTGAAACCGAGCTACTCACCTTTGGATTCTTAAGAATGCTCAGGTCAAGCTCAATGAGATTGGATAACACCTTGATGGCTTTAGTGCTTAGTCTAACTTTCGAACTTTCAAGGGTATGCGTCAAGAGAGTCAAGAACTCGTCATACAATGAATTTAACGAAAGTGCAAGAATAAGCTTTGTGTAAACCTCTGGTGCCTTCTCGGTGGTGCTTGGCTTGAAATAGAAACCTGATAAGAGCTCGTCTATGGAATCATGTAAAGCAAGCTCGTGCTCTGATATACGACTCTTTTTGCTAGGACTGGAATGAAAGAACCCATGCTGCGATACACCAGAAGATGCCTTAGATAAAAGAGAGGAATACCTGGCAAGGGTTTTCAAGGCGATGTAATCTTTGCAAGAAGCAATAAGCATCATGCTTCCCAGGGTTAGTCTTGCAAGCTCTTTGACTTCCAGCGGATTAGAAATACCTGTATCACCAAGCTCTATGGGACAATCTAGCTTGAGGCCAAGAAGACAAACCCCAACACGACCAACTATATCTAAAGCAAGCGGTTCATTGGAAGTTTGGATTGTGCCTCTCATCAACGCTTCAATAAAATGAGATACGAGTGATGACAATATGGTTTCAGCTCCAGGACTATCGGGTGCAGAAAGAAGCTTGAGAAGGTCATCCAAAAGAATGTTAAAAGCAGCTTTGTAATTGGCTTCGCCAGATATAAGTTTTTCCACGCAAAACGATGCAACCATATTGGCAAGCACCTTTGACTCGTTGAACTTGCCCGCAAGTTTCTCAAGTATGGCTAGACGCTTGGCGTTCACAGTAGCTGTAGGGTTTGATGATTTGGGTAGCCTAAGGAAATCCTCAATTGAGGTGGCTTCTTGGTCAGCTTCCAAAGACTGAATAAGCCTTACTAGTAACAAGCTGAATGCTGAAACACTTGTACCAAGAGGGGTACGGAGCAGGTTGCTGGGACTGCTCTGATGCAGAATGCGATTAAAGTTGTTCATAATTTCGTGAATCAAGAAACGACGCTGGTGGTCGTATATGCTGAAGATGGTATGGAGGAGCTGTATCAGAGAAAAGCTTAATTCTGAAGACTTTGCATCGTTGTTCTCGTTGAAAATCACATCGAAGGATGCGTACTCTAGTTTCGTCAAAATGCGTTCGTCAACGTTGCCTTGCTCGACATAACTGGTGATATCATAAAGAAGCTTTGGGATAGCCTTTGAAACCTCTGAGGTTTCCTCTTGACCCAGGGAGGCCGTGATGGCACGAGAAACCAAATCGGCAATGCCGGTAATGTAAGTCTCCATGTAAAGACGCTTCTCCAAACCTCTAGTAGAAATGATCAAAAGAAGTAATCTAGCGGATACAATGGCCTCCAATGTCACTAAAGACTCACTGGTAACGCGATTTAAGCAAAGCTGCTGGGTTCTTCGTGTGTAATCCAGGTGAAGAGCAGGAACCCCGTTTGACTCTGTAAGACGAGTAAAAAGGTGAAACAACAGGTTAATAGCACCAAGCTTAAGTAAACGAGTGCCATTCTCGGCAACATGACAAACCAGCGAATCCAAAACATCGTCAGCATCGTCAAGGCCCACCTTATCTATCAGCTCAACTATACCAACCTTAGTAGCATCTGCAAGCTGCTCTGGGTCGAGTCTGACCCTTTTTCTCGAGGAAAACGACGAAGAGTTCAAGGTACGTTTTGGCGAGACCTTCTGACTCTCAACTTCCCTAGCAATAAGTTCATCATACTGCTCATCCAGAACACTAGTAGTTAAACTACCCAATTGAGGCACACTAAGACCTTCTGTATGTTCCACAAGATCCTCTGTTTCCACGTTTCTGGTCAGCTGAAGCAATCTATTCAAAACCTCGGGAAGTTCACGTAACCCCAGCTTCATAGCTCCATCGCTTGCAATAACCGGTTTCCTGAACCTGATGCCTTCAAGCTTCTCGTCGTCAAACGCCTCATATTTCAGAACCAACGCATCAATTGCATCTTTATAACCCTCAGAATCCTCATCCATAGCGTTGATAGCCCGATCTACCACGTCATTTAGCTTCAGATCTGGAGATGTAAGCGCATCTGGAGCTGGATGGCCCGTGCTGAAGAAGGAAAGAAGCGGACTTATTTCCCTTTTTGGAAGTAGGTGGTAGTATGGACTGACTGCCAACGCCTCGACCAAGTTTTTGGGGCCCTTTGTGGGCGGGGAGTCATGGGATGGGGAGAAGTGGGTGTTGATGTTACACTGGATCGGGAAATGTAATTACAGAGAGGTACGCGCGTTTGGGTGAGAAGCGGTGGTTTTATGTTTTGTAGTGGAGGGGCTGAAAAAAGGGTTAGTTTGGTGAAGGTTTTCTATTTTAGCGAGTGAAAGGGGTGGTGTTTTTTGTTTTGGTGTAAAAGTACAACGTGAAGAGTTTGGTTTGTATGTTGGTGGAGGGCCTCTTTGGCTGCAAATGGTGGTTAAAGGATGCAAATAAGTAAATGAAATGCAAATGGTGCCCCAGTTATGGGTGGACTGAAAAAGCTGCTTTCTAGGATTTCTGGCCTTCTCGGGAGCTCTTAAACCGTATTAGGAAGACTCCCTCGCCAGCGTATAACAAAGACACCCTCTACTCAAATTCTAAAGCTTTCAAGGGCTCGTGTCGAAGGTCGCCTTCCTTGTATGCTCCTCTGATATTTGTAAGTGCAATGCCTTGGGGCATAGCCCACCACAGATTCCATAAGTTTCTTAGCATGCCGTGGGTGTTGTAGACATTAACATACCGTTCGTCTTCGGGCTCATTGCGAGACGTACGCACATAATTAAGGTACTCTCTTGTAGTGAGATTATTAGCAGATAGAAACATGTGGAACGCTAGGAGCATTGCAGGATAAATAAACGCACAAATGCCGTATAGTGCAAGTAAGAAAGACACGGGATTTTTTGAAATGGAAGCAGAAAACGACCGCACGGCCGGGTCCTCCACCATCCTGTAGTGGTAAACATGGACCCAGCCAAGAACTGAAAGCATTATCGATGCAAGGGTGGCCAAAAGCAAAAACCATAGAAAGTAACGGTAATTCCTCAAGCCAACACAGTTATTCATAAACACACAATGATGATCGTGGACGAAAACACACGAATCGCAATTATGACAATGGCTCATCCGTGGCGTACGCCAGATATGGCAAGTCACGCAATACTTAACTGTAGTAGGTTTCGTAGTGCCAAAGTACGGAAGCGATACGGTGCTATGGAACTCGTCTGGTGCCTGGTGGCCCTCTTCCCGTATCACGCTAGGACTATACGAAACATGGATATTCCGAGGCGCAAAGCCCGGATCACAGCCTGCTGTTTTCACCATAAACATTAGCGTCAAGAACCATAGATAAGAAAACACTATAACCACAGCAGGCAGTACATTGTGCCACTGCCACGACGCCTCAAACACCCAGAACAACACGCCGCCTGCTAAAATCCCCAAAAACACCAAAACATGTATCGGCCACTGTTTCGAAGACTTGAACCGGCCCCCACAGATGTATATATGGGAAGTATTGGCTGGAGTCTTAGGATGGTAGTTTTTCGTAGGCTCCTCGAGCCGTAGCGCCGGATCGGTGATAAGCCAGTTGGTGGCTATCCAGTGGAACACATTGGACGCAGGCATGGCCGTGGGATTACATTTAATAGGGGGGATGTTTGGTGTGTAGAAGTAGTAGTAGTTCAAGTGTTGATGCTGGTTTCCTGCAGCCATGTCTTAACTATGGGAGCCATCACCAAAAGTGGCTGCGAGTTTATTCACCTTACACCAGTTCTTACCTTGTACATATAAAACACGCCAGAATGCTTCGTTTGGCTCTGAACTTGGGCAGGAGACTCCCCCAGGCCAGGGCGTTCCCGAGAACTAAAAATTTCCAGGCAATTCCACGCCGTCACCTTTCTGGCAATGCCTTGGGCTCGTTGAGGTCTGGAGGCCTTATAGCTAATATCTTTGCAGGCGCTTACTTGGGCGGTCTTGTGGTTTGTTTTGGTTCTTTGTACCTTCTTTATCATGATGCTGATAAGAGACAGCATATTCCGTACCTGGTGGGCTTGGAAAATACTGTCATCGCTGTGAAAGGTATAGGCAAAGACGATGTGCTACAGCTGCCTCGACATGCGGTGAAACATTACCGCCGGTTGCTTATTAAACTCGGGGAGGAAATTGATCCGGACTTTCTGTTTGAAGAGACGGTCAATGGCGAACGCCAGTACCGTGTCCCGTTGGTGAGCAGCGATGCGTTACTTAGAAAGAAGGGAGCTGACTTTGCTAACTTTTATATTGACATTGTGTTGCGCTACTCGCGTGCTCTTTTATCGAAAGAACACGTTTTGGAATCCATCAGCATGCTTAAACAGATTCTTGATAACGATGAGGTTTTCTATAGACTAGGCGATGCCGAGCGGATGAGTCAGTGTTGTCGCTTGTTGAGTGATATTTCGCCTTCGGATCCTGAAAAGGAGTACTACTTGAAACGTGCTATTGATATGTTGTCGCTGACGTTTCTGCGGGTGAATTTGAAGGATTATCTTCTCCAGGACGACCTGAGAGTGTCTGACGAGTTGATTCGTTCTTTAAACAGCTTGGCATTTGTGTATGCCACAGAGAGCAAGACGGCTAAGAATAAGAAGCAGAAGAACGAGTTGCTCTCGAAAGCACTCAATATCTATTTGGCAAACTTAAAGAGTGTCACCAGTATCGAGAAGGTTATCTTTTCTGGCGAATTAACGCAAGCATCTTTCCCGCTCTTCAACTGTGAAGAAGATAACCTTCGTATGCTTTCTGCTGAAATGAAAAGCCATATATCTGAAATCTTATGGGCCAAAAACTTCAAAGACAGTGCCGTCGCTTGGGGTGAAGAAGTGGTGGACGAAATCTACTTCGACCACAGGAACATTGCGCGTGCCACGCCAGTATTGGTGAGTGTTTTGGACAACTTGGTGGTCATGTACGGCAAGCTTAAAGATAAAAAGTCACAGGAACGTTGTTTGGCGCTTCGTGAGGAGTTGCGTGAATTCGACCGTGATCCTCCTTCTTGGTACGATAGTGTTGTGAACCGTTTCACGAAAATCATCTACCACAAGGGCCCTCTTGGTATTTTGGAGAAGGCTCTTAAAGAGAGATTTGGTCCTCCAGAGAGAGTGCCTGAGATTGAAGAGCACGAAGACGAAGACGCCGAGTAGGTATACATGAAATGATACAAAGAGAGGGCTTTTGAGTCCTCTGTGAGGAATCAAAGTTATCAGGAGTCCACTGGTCCTTCATTGGTAATGAACTGCCTCTTTGGACCTCCCTTCCTCCAAACCTACTTTTCCTGTCAGTTGAAAAGACGTTCAGTTTTTAAACCCCATGCTGGCAAAGGCCTTCCTGAGACATCTAAAAGCTTTGCCTCCTCGAACCACCACGCTTCACCACCTTCCAGCCATTCACTACATCTTCGTTAATGGCTGCGAAAAAGGGTCCTCCAAATATACCCCCATCGAAACACCAAAATACTCCAAAGCACACATCAAAAACACCATCCCCATAACCCCATAACCCTTCTCCACCCCAAAACACCCCCAAAAATCCCCAAACAGCTCTTTCAATCTCCCATCTGGCAACCTAGTATCGTCTGGTGTACGGGTGTCCCGGCAAAACACTGCCCAATCAAATCGCGAGTAACTGTAAGGTTAAAGGAAAACCCGGGGTGCTCACAGGGCTCTATGAAGTACCAGAAAAAAAAGGTCAACTGTGATAACTAAACTACTTCGTTTCTTCATCCTCCCCCAGAAATGTTGTCCCTTACGCGTATTGGCCTCGCCTCCCAAAGACAGCTTTTGAGACCTTCCTTGCTTCAGGCTGCTCGTTCCATTAAGACCATTCCACAGCCTCCAGGACACATTGTGGGTACTGTGAACGATGCTTACGTTCCACCAAAGCCAGCCAAGCTGCATGGCTCTGCTCACTGGACCACTGAAAGAGCTGTTGCTATTGGTCTTGTTCCTTTGATTGGTGCTTCTTTCTTTAGTGGTCCATCTGTGGTTCTTGACTCCACCTTGTCCGCATTCTTGCTTGCCCACTCGTGGGTTGGTTTCCAGTCGTGTATCATTGATTATATTCCATCGAGAGTGTACGGCTCCTACCACAACTACGCCATTTACTTGTTGACTTTTGGTACTGGTGTGGCTGCTTACGGTGTGTACGAGCTTGAGAAGAAGGAAGAGGGCGGTGTCACTGGTATTGTTGCCAAGCTCTTCACTGCTTAGATAGCGCCGTTTTATTTAGAGCATATGGCACCGTTTCCACAGAGCATACTATCATCATCACGACAATCTTATATTATTTATCATAAATAAAATGCAAAAAATTTAGGACTTTTCGTTTAGAACCCTTCCACATCTTTGAGTTCGGCTTGCGCCGGAACAACCTTGTGATCTAGCCAGTACTTGAGGAACTCTCGTGCTTCGGTAACCGACCGTTTGTGGACTTCTCCGTGGCTGAGAACTCGAAGTGTGTACCGATTGGCATTATAAGCATCTCTCACACTAAGAGACTCGATAAACTTGACTGTTCGCTGCTGCTCGTCAATCTTGGCCACGATTAGATCCTCATCAATCATTTCAATAATAAGTTGCTCTAAATTCTCGGGTTTCCCTTCTAAAGCCTGCTCTAGAGAGTACTCCCGCAAGAGAGCGTCGAACGACACTTCCCGGCCTTCGTTTTCATTGCAAACAGAAATCAACGTCAATTTTGCAAGCTTCTTGGCTAAATGGTACAGCAAATCAAGGAAGCTGTTCTTTTGTCGAAGGTAACTGGCAAAATCGCCAAATGCAAAAAGTTCAATGGTGTTGATGCCCTTCAGCAACTGCTCATCATTGGACGATGGCCAATTGGCAACAGACTCTAAAGGCTCGCGATAGCTGTATTTCCCACTCTCGCTGAGTAGATTGACGATTTCTTCCACTGACATGTAGTTGATATTTCTGGAGTTGATACACCTGAGCTTATCAGACTGAGTGACCTGCACCCAGAGGCCCCTAGTGAACCAACTCTGGGTATAAACGGCCCACGAGAAAGTCAAGGAGACGGATAATGAGGAGTTGGTTGAGTTTGCTGGAGTCGTTTAGATCGTTGCAGGCTTCTTGGCTTTCGAATCGGGTGATGGCGTTGGCAAAGTTGGCTTGTAGTTCTTCCTCGGTTTCTCCATCATATGTGAAGAACAGAGAAGATGCACCAAGATTCGAAAGAATGGTTTGGAAATTGGTATAGAGCTTTTCGGCAACTTCTTGTGTCAGCAAAGGCGGTCCTGGTTTCTCCTCTTGTTCTTCGAACAAGATGCATCGAAGGTTCTTGAGATTTGCAGCCATATCTCTGTCTTCAAGAAGAGGGCTCAGCGAGACCGTTTTGAGCAAATAAGAGCTGGCGTAGGTATTAATTTTTGATGTAAGCGGTCCCAAAGACTGAATGATTGTTTGTACCATACCAATGGCGTGAAACACAAAGGGTAAACGCTTTTGCAATGCAGCGAAGGAGTTGAACAAGGCAAATACAGGAGAATTGAAAACAGACCAGCCAGCAGTGTTCTCATCTGTGGCCATAACTTCCTCTTTCTTCACCATAGCCACCTGGGCGAGGCTGAAAATTGAAGCGTAAGTGCTCTTGGCCTTTTCTACCAAGGAGCTTTTCGTTTGAGGTTTTGGTTCCACTGTTGATATCTCAGCTATTTTGCCAATGACCGTGCCAATAATGAAAGACGGTGAAGACATCTTCATAAAAGCCTTGTTCAAAACGAAGTCCCCCACGAGACCAACAACAAACTTATCCACAATATCAGAAGAAAGCGGGTTCTCTTTCTTGGTATCAAAGATCGCTTCAAGTAGCTTATGCGTAAGGACTTCGAAGTATAGCGTTCTGGAGTCCTGAGACGATTCACTGGGCCTCGTCTTGGGATCGAAAATAGCATGCTGGGTGGCCAAATACTCGTCAATGATTTGCTCGTCTGAAAGAGATCTAGCCACACGATTCGTCTCTTCAAGAGAAGCCTTCTGAGCGTGGAGAAACCTGAATTGGCCATTTTCCAACGCTGTAGCGCCAATGTGGTCCTTCAAAATGTCAGCAATGTCATCCACCACAAACAAAAACCTCTCTCCCTCAACCTCCCGGGTCAACCTGGTAACAATATCCTTCACAATAACACACAATTGAGTATACACTTCAGCCACAAAGTCGTAGTTATCTGTACCTAGTTTCGTATACCACGAGCAAACAAAGTTGGTCACTATACTGCTCAAGAAGAGATGAATCTCAAAATTCAACTCAGGAAGCCCAGGATCAACGAGCCATGGCAATCTCTCGAGTAGCTGTTTCTTAGAAGCCTCGTTTAGTCTCTGTAAGTTCTTCCCTGGTATATATAGTTTCAGAAGAAGCGCCACCTGGGGGCATTCCGTCTCCGTGGACGCTCTGGCAATCTTTGAGTTTCCAATTGTCACCTGGTTCGTTTTAAACCGTTTCAGGTCCTTCACCAGCTTCCGAGGCCGTAGGCCCTTTTCGTGTTTCACCATGGGATGCAAATTTCACTTTGAATGACGTCCACACGAAACCTTGGCAGTTATATATCAAAGAAAAGGCTTAAAATATCCCCAATATACAGCTCCTGCTTCGAAATGGCCTTATCAGGGCAGATCAGGAAGTGTTGATGTTTCTGGTGGGAGGCACTGGTGCGCTGGAGGTGGAGGCCTCTATACTCCAGATCCGAGTCAAAAGTGAAACAACCCCATCTGGACTCTCTGCCATGCTTCCGAGGATTCTGGTGAGGGCCAAATCGACATGTACAAAGTTCCATCCGCTTAATGATAACTATAAAACGTTGAGGCATATCCACTTTCCTGGAATTACGCCTTTCCAGAAAGGCGAGGCCATCCAGGCCCAGATGGTGGCAGCCAACTTGGATTTCAAGAAGATGGAGGCGAAAATACGCAAACAGCAAAAGGATTTTCTTGACCAGGGGTTTGCTCTTTCGGATTATGAAGATAAGTTCTTGAAACAGGTGCTTCTGATGAAACCGTTTCCTACTCTTTTGACGTTTGAGTTTGATAATGTGTATACTGGAGGGAAGCAAATGAAACAGGACCCGCTGTTGGTGCAAAAGATTCACGAGTACGAGGCTTTGGGGTGTAAGTACCACCAGCTTGAAAGAGGAGGCCAGGTTACGTGGCATGGCAATGGCCAAATGACGGCTTACTTGATATTGGACTTGAAACAGTTCAGCCAACTCACAGTGAAGTGTTTTGTGGATGCCGTGTTGCTTCGGGCGGTACAGAATATGCTAGAGAAGAACTACGGCCTTGAAAGTCATACGAACGATAACCCTGGCGTGTGGATGGCACCTAACGACTTGAAAATCGCTTCTGTGGGCTGCAACATCCAGCGTGCCATCACCTCGTATGGAGTTGGCGTCAATATCAATCCAGATATGAAGTTTTTGAATACTTACACCATGTGTGGGTTGCCAGGGACCAGAGCCACCTCTTTGAAGGAGTTGAAGCCCGATGCTGACCTTCTGGTTAGAACAGCTGGCGATTTGTATGCTAAAGAAATCGCCAAGTTGCTTAACATCACTACAGTCGAACATATGGATGGCCAAGACCTTCTCGCAGAGGAACTGTAAATAGCTGGTCTGTCTGGAATGCATGTCTCACATAGACGATATACATATTATCATTAAGAAGCATGTATAACATGGTCTCCGCAAATATAGGAATGGCCACGAATTCCATTGGGCACTGAATTGATTGGGAGAAAATAAACTCTTTACTTGCTAAGAGGATACTCTGGTCTTCTTCTCCCACACGTTTGATGTTTGTGATAATCCAATTTAATTAAAGACAGACTTCAATGAGAGTACAAGTCATGGTATGAAGAGCCTCATATAGTGAATGGTTTCCCAACAATATCGTTTACGAATGGTTGAATTAATGCTTCGTAATTATTTTAAGAGGTTGACTTTGAGCATTTTTAGGGGTTTTTAGGAAACTCGACAGAAACAGCTTGTTGTAGCATATTTTAGGTAACTATAGTTGTACTTTCCGCCAATTCTAAACGGTGACATCCTTCTAATTCTGAAAGTGGCAGTGTCAAGCGATATATATACACATTTCCCTCCACTCTACTGAACTTAACGAGAATGTTGGAGCAATTTTTTGTTTTTGAGAAGTATAAGCTGGGAACAAGTAAACCAGGAGCTACCTTGCTTCCAGAAGCGGTGAAGAAGAATTACTCGAACCATGTGAACAGAGTATACGAGAAGGATGGATATATCTATTCGGGAAGCCGAGTTCATTATGAGGTGAACGAAAACATTAGCATAAAACCAATTAACAAAATCAAATCGGAAGAGACGACAAGAGACATTGGATGGGAACCAAACTTTGATAAGGAGAGCTTTTATGCTGTTTATGCTGTTATTCACCCCAGTCAGCTCTCTATAAAAGAATACAAAACGGAAAAAGAAGATATGGATATTGGGTTATGCGTGATGAAGTCAGGAAACCATCTTTTCGCCTTTCCACAAAAGTATATGTTAAAATTTCGAGGCAGTTTGGTTGACCTTTGCGAATTACCCACAGGCGGTTCGTTGACTCTACTGAACAAGCTTTGGGAGCAAGACAGTTTTATACATGATCCTCTTGACTTCATGGTCTTACCAGGCCTGTCAGTGGCTAATATGTTTAAGTTTGAGTTTGAGTTTCACTTGAAGCTGTCAAAGAAAAAACAACATCCACCTGTGACATTGACTGAGGTGACTGTGGTGCTTGAAGAATTGAGCACCACAACAGAAGTGAAGAACGACAAGGTTTTTCTTTCAAGAAGGTTGCGTCGTGAAACTCTTTTACAAAAAAAAATGAACCAGCCCCTTAGCTTTCAAATGCATAGCCATGGGAATTGGAAATGCTATCCTACTGATTCCTTCTACCAATGTACCTTGCCTGATATTGGACCTACTTTCTTCACAAGCACCCAGTCCAGAACATACGCAATGGAGGTAGCTATGAAGGTAGATTGCTCAGGTTATTCCATGACCCTAACCACTAACCGGCGGTTCGCTGTTGCCAGTACTAAGCTTCGAAATAACGAGAGCAATAGCTCTCGAGGCCCTCCACAGAGACAACGTGGAGTTGTATACATGGAAGACGTTGGTACTGACCGTATATTGGCGCTTGATAAGACTTGCAAGCTCATCGACGAGCTTAAGGAAAAAGGCTATCAGTATATATGTCATCGTACTGAGGGATACCTTTGTGGTGGGAAGGCTAGCGCCCTTTCCGTTATCACGGTGCTTCCTACTATGCTTATCCAGCACAGTCAAACGGAAATCCCAGATAAAATGCTTCGTCATTGGGGGCTTGACAAGTTTGGATCTGGTCCAATTATTAACGACAGAGCGAAACTAGTGCTTTGTGAATATGAAGCTGGAGAGCAGGGGGAATACAAGTTGCACTTTGGTCGTGATATCCAAGTTTTTGACTTCATGGTTTTGACCACCTATGGCTTCTACAAATGTCCCACCTCCTCGAGACCAACGTTTTTCAGCAAGAGCAACAAGCTACTGGTGAGATTTAATAAGGACATTTGGACTTTTTCACGATCAGGTAACATTGTGGTGCTGAAGACGAGACTTGTGCGTATGCTTGAAATTCAATACTTTCTGGAAACAAAAGACCCCCCGCTCCGTCTTCATATCGAGCTTCATGAATATATCCAGGGTAATGCTTTGAAATATAGAAGTTTCTCCAGGAAGATGGTTCTCGTGGATGAATTCAATCCCATGTATGAACCGACGTTTCATCGTGATACCTGGTCACAGCTAAGGCAGCAAACATGGCCATTCTCTGCTGATAAGAGAGCCTATAATGCAACGCTTCCTTCGTTGGGACCCTCGTTCTTTGCTGAGAACATTACAAGGACGTATATGCTTTCTATTGAAGCCGTTGCAGCGAAGGAGAGGCACAAGGTGTTGTTACCTATTGAAGTTGCAAACAAGCCGGAGTAGCGGTAGGAGTTAAACGAGCAACGTTTGAAAACCTAAAAGACTTTCTGGGGAACTCCTCAAACACGTAAAAGGCTTCAACGCGGCAGTCTTTCATCTTGTCGATATAGCATGAGTTCAATGAAGAGCAGCAATAGTGTTAAATATTACTTTCGCCCTTGTTGTAGTTACCCTCTTTAAACGCCGGCTTTTCTTCATGTGTTCTTGGCTATTCGCAGGAGCAGACCAAAATAACAAACATCATGGGTAAGTATTATTCAATTCATCCGCAGAAACAAGCAACAACATGTATTCTACTGCCGGTCCAGACAAGTGACGGGATGGTGAGTAACCTGTGTCCCTCTGCTGGCTGACAAAGCCAAGTTCAGTTACCAGACCTTTGAACGGTTATATCATCCCCAGCTTGCCTCAAATCCAAACCTATGTCTTATCTGGAGGCGGAAGCAGGGGAATCTGGCGGTAGTTGTGGAGCCGTTGACGTGACAAACTATACTTGAGTCTGTCTCTCTTCGTCCGAAGCATCCTTAGCCTCTCAAACTTAGCGCCCTTTTCAGTATCCACGCCTTTGCCCACAGCATCCAAGCGGACTTTCCGTAGATTGAAGTCACTCTCGAGCGACATCTTCTTCCGCTGCAAACGAGCCACTTCCTTCTGGAGCTTTTCAAGAAGGTACGTGATCTGAGGATGTGTTTCGTTCTTAAGTCTCGCCTGGGCGTTTTGGAGGTCGCTTTCTGGCACTAGTCCAAACACTTTCTGCGTGTCAAGCACCTGTTTGAGTCTGGGAATGTCTTTAGTAGCTTGTTCTAGGGATTCAAGCGAGGAGCCTAGAAGGTCCACTGAGTCCTCGAAGATCCGTGCACTGGTGTAAAGCGGCGGCAGCGACATGACAGATATGAGGAATTCCAATGTAATACAGCAATTCCCTTATTTAGCCCCTCTATGGTTCACCTGGACTGGAAGGTACTTGTATGTTTATATGTTTGTATGTTTATAGCGCGCTCTGATTATCAACAGATAGTAGGGTCTGGAGATCCAGAAGGGTCCATGTAAAACCTGCCCCAGACCTGGAAAATCGAAGAAAATGCGTTCTACATAAAGTGATTGTTGCCGTTTTCTATAAAGCCCTTTTTTCAGCTTTCCTTCTTTTTCCCTTTCGACTTCTGGCTTCTTCTTGTCTCGTCTATTTTGCAACCGGTAGTGCGCATAAGGGTCCACTTTCACCAATACAAAGTGGCAGAAAACGCCCAAACAACCACTGAAAATCAGGTAAATTTCAACCTAAAACGTTCAAAACGCCCTCCAGAACCTTTCTCCAGGGCTACTCTTTGAATTTCAACGCCCTTTTCAAGATCTGGTGCACGGGTGTGTTCCACCCCATATCACTTCCTTCTGATCTATCCCAAACCCACATCGTCTATTCTACATTCCAGCGTCGCCATGACTGCTACGTCCATGCAGATGCACCGAGCGCCTGCCGCTGGCAAAGATACAACGCATTTGGCTCCACCCCGGGAAAATCTCACCAGGAAACGGTCCAACTCTCAATCTCAAGTGATCCCGGCTCCAGTACCTGTTCAGTCCAGAAGTCACGGCAGAACACTGTCAATCAATGGGAAACTGGGCCACCAGAAGAAGAACAAGGCTAATTTGGCTGTGCTGGATCGGCCCCAGGCTGAGTTTTACGTGACGTTGGTGCCTTTGAACGATACGTTCGTCAGGAAACATATCCATGTGCCATATTTCCCAGAGTCGTGTAAATTAGGCCGTCCTACGGGGACAAAGGTGAAACCGTCGGTTTCGAACGGGTACTTTGACTCGCGTGTGCTTTCAAGAAACCATGCTTGTCTTTTCGTCGAGCCTAAGCTGGGACAATTGATGATCCAGGATATGGGCTCCTCGAACGGTACCTACGTGAACCAGGAGAAAATCGCTTCGGAGCCCGTGGCCATCAAAATCGGTGACCGAATCAACCTCGGTTTCAATATCCAAGTGGAAACGAGCCATAAGCAGATCAGCGCCGTCGTGGAGGACGTTAATGTTGTTTCCAACACCCCATCCGTTCCTATTCTCGACGAGTTGCCCAAACTTACGCCTGAAGCTATCTCGAAACTCACCGGCTCGGAGAAACGACACCTAGACTTTATTCAGGACCTCTTTGAGCAGATGCTGGGTCGTAAGAAAGAGCCCGAGGAAGAGGAGGAAGACCCTTATACCGCTGGACTAAAAACGACCAAAGCCTTTGAACAAGGCATGTTCTCCGACGTTACTCCGTCCATGGAGGACGTCTTTTCTGCATCCACCGCCGACCCAGTAAGCAGTGGCATATTTGTGAACTCCCACCTTGTGAGGCCCCACGATCTAGAAAACACTTTGGATTCGTTGATTGTGAACTTGGCCAAGGTGAAGCAGCAAAACAGCTCTCTCAAGTCGCTTGAAGCGTTTTTGGGCAACTACCTGATTAAACTTAACGAATTGAACGATGGATATCTAAAAGATGAGGCCAAGAAACAAGAGGCTCGTTTCGATCATGAGCTTGATGCCCAGCTGACGAAGTACGAATCGCAGATTGAGGATCACAGGAAACAGATTGATGATAAGAGCAAAACTTTGAGTTTCCTAAAGGCAGAGGTGAAGAGATTGCAATACGAGAAGGCTGATCTTCGAACCGAGCTCGAGCAACAGAAAAACGTTGCTAAATCGAACGAGGAACGAAAGCTAAGTATTTCAAGCCAACAGGAGGACGATCTTCCTCGCCGGATTTCCATCGATATATCCTCATTCGACTTTGGCACCGGAAGGCTCGTCAAAGACTCCTCCTCGGGGTCCGAAGACGTCGATGAAATCTCTAACAGTTCAGATATAGGAAGCGAAGATTCCAATGGCATCAAGGGAGCAAAGCTACAAAGCAAACTCGATTCCCCAGAGGGAGCAGAAGTCAAGAACCCATTCAAGGGAGAACTATTCAACCAGGCCAACCAGTTCCGGTCCAAAGGAGTGGCTGTGGGCCTAGTGGTAATCCTTGCTGGATTTGTATACCAATCGTGCCACCGATGAAATTTGAAGGTCTTGCTTTGGCGAAACTTTGCATCGCCTGAAAAATCTGCTGATTTTTTGCAACCGTTATATATGCGCGATTCCTCCAAGGTGTTCGCGATCATAAGAAAAAAGTGTTGATCATACCACAATCTGCTTAATCTTCAACAGAAGTATGCTCCTTTCAAGAAGCCTGGCTTTGGCGAAAACCCAAAAGAGGAATTTCATCATTCCGACTGCTCTCACTGCATTGGGCTCGTTGATGTTCAACGAGAATAACAGGCTTGCTTCCAAGATGGAAAGAGGTGAGCTCCACTACGACGATCCTAATAAAGCGCTTAACAAGAGCAATCAGACAATGCTGGAGTATAAGTACTGGAAACGCCGCGAGCCAGAATATCCTGGGCACGTTCCGCTTTACAATTTCGAGAAGGCGCTTATGTTCCTCGGGTCGGCGTTAGGCTCTTATTTCCATCCCGAGAGAAACGAGAACATTGTCGCTTTGGGTGAGTCCACAGCCATCAGGCCTGTCTTGCGTCGTCTTCAAAGACAGATGTTGTCTGACCCTGTTGGTAGACAGATTTTGAAAGAGAGACCACGTATAACCAGCACATCGCTTGACCTCGACTACTTGCGGTCGTTGCCCGACAGCTCCATTGGCAAAACGTACATTAAATGGCTTGATCGTGAAGGTGTTTCTCCAGATACCCGAGTCCCTGTGCGTTACATTGACGATGAAGAGTTGGCATACATTTTCCAGAGGTACAGAGAGTGTCATGACTTCTACCATGCCATTACTGGGTTACCTATTATCATTGAGGGCGAGATTGCGGTCAAGGTGTTGGAATTCATGAACATGGGTATCCCCATGCCAGGATTGGGTGCTCTTTTCGCTCCGTTGAGGTTGAAGCCATCCCAAAAGGAGCGTTTATACAACATCTACTACCCATGGGCGATCAAGAGCGGACTCAACTCGACGCCTTTGATTAATGTCTACTGGGAAAACATCTTGGAAAAAGACATTAACGAGCTCCGCAGAGAGCTCGGGATCGAACAGCCTCCAGACTTGCGGAACTTGAGAAAGGAGTACTTTGCCAAGTTGAAGGCAGCCAAGAAGATATGAGCAGTTTCACGAAGATATGCATTTCACGACGAAAAGATACTACATGATTAAATATACATAACACCATGTTGTACGTTTAAGCGTAGCAGCCCAATCAATCAAGTTTTTACCTTATTTGCTCTGCCATTTTGTCTCACTTGCTTCTGACTCAATACCGCTTGACAGCTTAATGCATCGAAGCTTCGCTGCGAATGGCTGCGAAACAGCCTCACCACGCCAAACACAAGAAGCTTAATGAAAAGAAACTTTCCATATTGTCCACCGCCCTTCCTTATCCAGCCAAACAAACAACGGTCCTGGAAAATCCCACTTGTCAGATCTTGTCCCCTCAAAAAGCCCAGGTTGCTGTTTTGGCACATGCGGCTGACGTGCGAATATGGCTGTGCCAGTATTGCTTCACCACAAGAGACCAGACGGCAACCACTTCCACCATAATGTCGCTGCTTGTCTATAAATATTTTCTTCAAAAGGTATGTCATTGAAGGTGTTGTGTAATCTGTGTTTTGCTAACGGCAGACCGCTCTTGACCATGTGGTCGCAATGGGGCCTGAGGAGGACCCGTACCATGAGACCATTCCCGAGGAAGAGTTGCACTTTTACCAGCGTAAAGGCGCTAGGAGAAAGCGGAAACTTCCTGACTTTATTCCTAAGCATGACTTAAAGGTACTCAATTCGGTGAAACGTAAGGCGTACCGTTTGGACTTGCAGCTCAGCCTCTGTGGGATTCGTATTGGCTGGGCAGGCCTCATTGGTCTTATTCCAGGAATTGGCGATGTGATAGCGTTGTATTTCGCCTTACGAGTACTCAGAAAGGCCCAGCAGATCGAAGGAGGCTTGCCACCATGGTTACACCTGAAAATGATGGCCAACATAGCGTTTGACTTTGGCATTGGTCTTATACCCGTGGTGGGTGACTTTATCAACATCTTGTACAAGTGTAACCTGAGAAACTTTGTTTTGTTGGAGAAACATCTCGTGGAGAAGTACAGCAAGGAGCGACCGGTGGACCCGTCCAAGGCCCAGCCTCCTCCGCCTCCGCCTCGACAGTTGGAAGAAGTCTAGCTGATCTTGTCAAATTCAGTCTCAAGGTAAGCCACTCTGGTCTTGAAATCGTCCACAAACAGGTAAAGCTGGTCAAGCTTCATAAACAGAAGCTCCAAGTCGTCACACTGCTTTAGGAGTTTCTGTGCCTGGGCAATGTTCTCGTCCATATGAAGCTGGTCCTCAAAGTAGTCCTGCTCGATAAGCCTTTGTTTTGTTTCTACAGACTGGAACGTCGTCTCCAGAAGCGACTCTATATGGTCGTGGATCTTGTACATGAGGTAATCATAGCTGACGGCGAGGTCTTTGATGCGGAGGGGGTCGTCGTCTTCGGGCATCAACAGAGGGAGGAAGATGGAGTAGGAAGGTGGGTTTGGCTGATTCGCACTGGTATGGAGGAGGTGCCAGTAGACACTAGAATATAAAAGACAATTAAGAAGATGTAGCAGGGAAGGAGCTGTAGTTAGGGGTGGTCTTTGGATGTGCTTTGGAGGTGGTTTATGGGCCTGGTTTAGAATTTGGGTGTTTGGGGTGGCTCTGCTAGGAGTATATGGCAGCGTAGAGTAAGACGAAGTGAAGAACTGTAGAAGAGCTAATTTGGTGTAGAAGAAGGAAGAATGTCATATTAGTCATATTTTATGCTTTTAAAATAACCATATGTTTCAGATCAATTGGCTTTCTCGAGGACGGAAGATGGGGAATAAGGAGACTGAGACATGGAGACTACCAAGAGGATATGTTGTAGGAAGTGGTGGACTGGACTGGCCACAACAAGATGGATAATGATATTGTTATGCTAAGTGAGCTTATTTTCTCCTGTTGGTTTCCAATGGACTTTAGTGAGCCATTGTTGGTGGAAGTATCTTCTATGAATGCCCTAGTATTTCTCTACACTCACTTACCTCCTTCCTGGACCTCCAGATACAGCCATTGACTGCTGAAGTTTGGACACATAATACACTTGACGCTCATGAATCTCTTTCTAGTAGCCACACCCCAGTTTCCTTCCGTTTTCCTTGAATAAAAAGACCCATCTCTCTCGGAGCCGAGAATGGCTGCGAAAAGACATATAGCCAGCCGAAACAGCCCTGGAACTCTTCATTTCGGGCCAATTCGGGGTCGTAGCTTCTTTCATTCCTCGATATTCGTCGGTATCCAGTACCCTTTTCGGTACCTTCGACTTTGACAGAGAATAACCTTGCCATATAGCTCCTCCAGCCACCAGTACCAGCTCCCCAAAACCTCCTACTCCCTTTCACTTAATGAATTCCCTCTCTAATATTAAGCTTCTAAATTTGTAAAAATACCACCAGTAAGCAAATCTTTCCAATTGAGGCCCTGAAACGACGTTTACTCCCAGTTGACCTACAAAAGCACATTACGGTTAGGAGACCCCCTAAAGCCCAGAAACACCTCCACTTCCTCTTAACCAAACACCTCTCTTCTCCTCCAGCCCCCAAAGAACCCCTAATTATATTCCCACCCTCCTCTAAAACTTCCCTTCCCAAAACGCCCATACTCCCTTTCTCACCTTCCATTTTGCAACCATTCCGTAGATCTGCAAGATAAGCAGCAAGCACAGAAAACATAAAAGACCACCAAAAATCGAAAGCCACCAAAACCTCAAAACAATCACCACCATTCAAAACGTCTTCCCAGCCACCACCCTCTACACTTTCCCCCATCCATTTTCCTCCCTCCTTCACTAACTGTCTCTTGGCTAGTTGCTGGCAAACTGGGGCCTGCTGTGCACCCGTGCACCACTATCACCAGCACATCAGCACAGTATTAACCACCTCGTTCAATTCCACCAGACGCCATGGGTGAATCCTTTTCCCTTTCGAAGATCAATCCTAAGCTCTTAAGGCGGATCTGTACGTACCAATGCATCTGAATGCTTTTTTTTCGCTTTTAAACTAACCTTCCAGACCGGGCTTGTAGGCCTACATTGACGGAGCCCAACTTGGCTCTTAATCTTGAAATCTGTGACTATGTCAATGCCAAACAGGGCTCTACGCCTAGAGAAGCTGCTGTGGCTGTGGTGAAACTTATCAACCAGAGAGATCCACAGACTGCTGAGTTGGCGCTTGCGCTTTTGGACCACTTGGTCAAGAACTGTGGGTACCCATTCCAGCTCCAGATCTCTCGTAAGGAGTTCTTGAACGAATTGGTGAAGAAGTTCCCAGAAAGACCTACGTTGCGTTATTCTCGTGTCCAGCGTCTTATCTTGGCCCAGATTGAAGAGTGGTACCAGACCATTTGTAAGACTTCCAAGTATAAGAGCGACTTCGGCTACATCAGAGATATGCACCGTTTATTGGCCAACAAGGGGTATGTGTTCCCTGAGGTCAATGTTGAAGATGCCGCTGTTTTGAACCCATCCGATACGCTTAAGTCGTTGGACGATATCCAGAAAGAGGAGGCCGTGGTGCACAGCGCCAAGTTGCAAGAGTTGATCAGAAGAGGTAAGCCACAAGACTTGCAGGAGGCCAACCGTTTGATGAAGCTTATGGCTGGATTTAAAGACAATTCGGAGGAGAACAAGAAGAAGGTCACTGACGATGTGGCCCGTTTGAAGAGAAAGACCGAGATTTTTGCTGAAATGCTCAATTCCGTCGAAACTTCAGGCGCTGGCATTTCCAATGACAACGAGACCATTTCTGACCTTTATGGACAGATCAAGTCATCCCATCCAATCGTTACGAAGATTGTCGAGGAAGAGCACGACGACGAGAGCTACGTGCTGGAGCTCTTGGGCCTCAATGACTTTATCAACCAATTGTTGGAGAAATACCAGTTGTTGAAGACAGGCAACTCTGAACAGGCCGCCCAGATCAAGGTCAGCGGCGGTGCGCTGGGCGCTGCGGCCGCCAAGGAGTTGAACTTGATCGACTTTGACGACGACGAACCGCTTACTGGTGACAACACCGGTAAAGACCAGCAGGGTTACAACGACTTGCTCAGCGACTTGAGCAATTTGAACTTTGGCGGTGGTGGAGCCCCCTCGTCCACCGCTGGCGGTGTCAACCCCTTGGACCTTTATGGAGCTGGTGGCTCTATCTCTCTCGGCGCACCTTCTGCTCCTTCTCAGCCTGCTCCATCTATTGGCTCGAGTGCTTCCCAGCAATCATCGTCTCTGCAAGCACCTCAGAAGTCTGCTTTTGACTTTGACTTGCTCTCAGACTTTAAGTCTCCATCGCCAGAGCTCCAAAGCAACAATAACACATTCAACTCTGCTAGAGCCTCTCAGGTGCAAACCTCAGGCAAGCAGAATGCCCAATCGATTATTGAAGTGGATGGCTTCAAGGTCGAGGCTGAACCTCATAGCGACTCGTCGCCTACTTTCTACAAGGCTCGTTTGTACATGAGCAACACTCTGGACGTGACCAAATCGGACGTTTTGCTCTCGATTGCCGTGCCAAAGGGATGCAAGTTGGACTTGAAGCCACAAAGCGGGAACCTTATCTACGGCCACACCACAAGACACATTTCCCAGGATGTCACCATAGAAAACCCTGCAAACAAGGCGTTGAAGGTGAAGTGGAAGCTTCTGTACACTGCTGCTTCTAGAGCTCACGAGCAGACTGGCGTGAGCGTATTGACTGAATAATTAGACCCCATTGATTTAAAAGAGATAATGAAAGGCAGTTGAATACTGTTAAAACATCTTGATTGTAGAACTAAAAAAATATAACTGAAACATGTAACGAGGCTGAAAAAGTCTGGGGTACATCGCATAGTACGGCTAACGTGGCTTGTGGTTCACCTGCGGTTCCATTAAAACGGCAGTCAAGTCGGTGGCTTAATAGCACACAGACAAAGTAAAGAAGCACGGTAGTGCCAGATTGGCAAACTTTACGGTCATCCTTGACCCTTCCTCGAAAACGGCAACAAATCGGTCTCAAAATCCATATCCAATTCTCCTGTCTGAATCTGCAATCCATTCCTAGCAGATCCAGCACTAATTCCCATTGATCTGGCCAAGTTGAAGCCTCCAAATATCACGATACGATGTAGCTAGGCGAGACAATCCTATCATCTCTCTTAACACATCGCAGGAAGCTCCAGCAAGCCCAGATCCAATTCAACGAACTATAATTCTCCTGTGGCAGCTCGGGCAGAAAATACCCGGCAAACCCCAGATAAACGGCCTAACCGTCCAATTAAGCCACTTATTGTGGCTTCACGAAGCTATCATCAATCACTAAAACGGCTCCATCATCAGCATAATACACAGCCAACACGTCGATCCAGCGACCACCCAGCTCGACTCTGAATGAGTCGGTGGCAGCATCGTGGCGAATCACAACCCTCTTGTTATCAAGCAGAAGAAGCACAACCTCATCCTGAATGCTTGAAAAGTCACCTTCAAACTTAACCAAATGGGACTTTACGAAATCTTGAATATTGGCACTAGCATCGTTTTCATCCTCAACCTCCCTAGGGAACTCCCATGGCTTGTGACCGTCCAACTTACTGGCCAAAGCATGGTCAGTAGGAGCCACGATAACAGCAAACGGAGCACTGTGCAACTCGCCCAAAAGCGATTCCGAGTCTCTCAAGTACCCAGCAAAAACAGAAACGTCACGGACCTGCGTAAGCACGTTTTCCACCAAGGGGCCTTGCATGGCAGTAATAACATGCTGTGAACGCTTGATCTTCTCGTGGAAGAACGACTTAGGGTCAACCACTCTTCTGGCGTCTCTCTTGTCGTGGAAAAGAGCTTCTGGATCAACAACCCTTCTGGCGTCTCTCTTATCGTTTTCGACGTTTTCCTGGTCTTCCTGGAGGAGGTGGTTCAAGTTTTCAAGGTTGGCAACGTTTTTCCTCTTTTCGTTTTGAGGATGGTCCTGGTCGTACGCATTGAAGAGAGCATCCAAGTCGGCAATGTTTTTGGGTTCACGTTTTTGGGCTCTGTCTGTGGCGCTTACTGCAGATAAGGCCGTGGTGCAGAGTATCACGAACGTAGAGAACTTCATGATGGTGTTGGTGGAATGATTAGTTTCAGGAGAAGTTGTGAAGGTGGAGGGATGGCTTGTGTGCAGGAAACTTAAGATTAATGCAATGGGTGCAAAAAAGTAGAGGCTGGCTACTGCTACAATATAGTATATGATCTTATGGGGAGTATATTAAAGCGTGTTCGTACGACAAACAAGTGTTGGAAAGACCACGATCAGAAACGAAACATAAACAACGAAAGAAGAACAAAATATTAAGAGCCGTTGGAGTACAACGGTTTTTTAATGTCACATTGAATGCACGCAGTAATAATGAATGCTCTTCTAGCGCTCTTAGTACAAGGCAACACCAACACCGGTGAAGGCCAAAACGAAGGTGACCAAAGAGACCAAGGAGGTGGAAACGGTGACACCTGGGGCGCTGTTGCCGGAAGAAGAGGAGCCATTGGAGGAGTCAGAGCCAGAACCAGAACCGGAACCGGAGGAACCAGAGCCAGAGGAAGTGGACTGACCGTTGGAGTTACCGCTCTTGGAAGAAGAAGAAGAAACGGTAGAAGAAGCACCACGACAGTAGAACTTGTCACCCTTGACGTTACCCTTGGAGTTCAACTTGGTGAAAGAGTCACAAGACAAGTCACCAGTAGTAGACAAGTTGAAACCACCAGCAACTCTGTTCAATTCTGGGAAGGTTCCGTTGTCAAAGTCACCGTCAATGTTGACGGAACCGCCAATGGTCTCCAACTTGTCAAAGTAAGAGAAGGACTTCAAGTTCTCGTTGTCAATAATGTTCAAAGCACCGCCAATGGACTTCAACTTAGGGAAGTCAAACTCCTCCAAGTCATCGTTCTCGGTGATGGAAAGAGACTTACCAATGGACTCCAACTGCTTGAACTCGAAGCTCTCGAAAGTGTTCTTGGAGATGGAGAGAGAACCGTTAACGGTGGTCAAGTTAGCAGTGGAAAGAGAAGAAATCTTCTCGAAAACGACATTGTTAGCAGACTTCAACTGGTCCAAGGAAACCTCAACCTTGTCGGCGTTGTAGTTGATAGACAAGGTGTCGGTAACAGCCTGCAAAGCAGAGTCGATGGACTCAATGTCACCGTTGTTGTTAACGTCAAACACCTTCAATCTGAAGACGTTGATACCGTCCAAAGAGTGCAAACCAGTGTTGGCAATGGTGATGGACTCAGCAGAGGTGATACCAGAAGCCAAACCGGTCTTCTCCAAAGCTGGCAAAGAGTCAAAGTGCAAAGTACCAACGGTGGTCAATTGAGCCAAGTTGGCGGTAGCCAAGATAGTGGACTGGGCGAGGGACAACTCACCAGAAACCAACTGCAAGTCTGGGGCGTTAAAGACGGTAGCCTTGGTACCGTTGATCTTCAAGTCACCGTAGAACTCCTGGACACCAGTCAAGTCGATCTGGTCAATGTCAGATCCAGAGATGAAAACGTCACCGACAGCGGTAGCACAAGCCTGGACAGAACGAACCTGGCCGTTCTCGGTGGCGGTGAAGTCATCGAAGGAACAGGAGCTGGCGACAGAGGGAGTCGCAGTGGTCAATGTGGAGTCTAAAAGTTAGTATTTATTGTTTTAGTTTCCTAAACGGGATTGCGAGGGAGGGTTTGGGATTCTCGGCATGTATGATGGAAAAACTTTGTGTATGTCGTGTGTCGTGGAAATCAGGAAAAAACAGAGAAAAAAAAATACCGCACCATAAACAAACGAATGGCTATACCGGGAAAGCAGCGGCTTTCCTAGTCCAGAGTCTTGGAAGCAATTGTTCGTAAAAGGCAAGGCAAGGCAAACTGAGGCGAAAGGCTTTGTGGAAAAAGCCACCTGAGAACGGAAAGTTGCGGATCAACTGGCCCGGAAAAAAAAATAAGCAGAAAAAAAAAAAAAACCAACCCACAACCTCGAAACGCAACGTAATTAGGCGCAGGGACATGCTTGTGCGTCTCGCACAAACCTGTGGCCAAAACAAAACGCATCAATTACATCCGCATTAGGAAGGTGAGGAGCCGGATCTCAACGAGGCGGAACGTTAACCACCGAGGAGAAAAAATTGGGTGGAAACTGGAGGCTTGGAAGGTTGGAGATGGTGGATTAGGGGCTGAAAGGAGGGCTGAACGGGGCGGATGGAGGCGGAGGGAGGCGGATGGAGGCGGTTGGGGGCTGGATTTCTCGACACTAGACATGGAAAATGGACATTGAAATGGACTGGAACATGGATATCACATTTAGGGGAGACAAATCAACGAATTGAACATACTATTGGCAACAGCCAACCCGGTAACGGCGGCCACAGCAAACAAGGACTTGAATTGCATAGCGAAGGACAAGCAGAAAACGAGTTGAAAAGGTTCAAGAAGGAAAAACGAAAAGACAGAAAAGAAGAGGAATCGGCAGATCAGGAGCAGATGGATCGGTATTTATACTTGAGGAGCAGGAGGGGGTGTGGGACGAAGGTAAAAGAACGCAGCAAAAAAAAAAAAAAAAAAAAAAAAAAAATAATAATAGGCATGCAAATGCAAGTGCAAGTGGCTGCACGACCGGGCCATTTGGGGACGACAAAAAAGACACACTTCCGAGGGTGGCGGTAAGTATGTAAAGTGCCGATGCACGAGGCCCCGCTTACGCAGGTGAGCTCATTTCCGGGGGCTTGGCCGGGGGGAACCCGGGGGCCCCACCACCCTACCAACCTCTAATAACCAGAAACCCAGTCTATGCTATTCCGTTGATTCTATATAAACCTAGTATCTTTATCGATCTCCTTCAGCATGCCAAGCGTGAGATCCCCGGGTAATGTGCGGATCCTCGAACGGATCATTTGTGGTCCGGCAGCGCCAGAAGTTTCCAGTGCAGAAGTGTCTCAGGCAATGGAAACCGAAAATCCCATGCTGAAGGAGTCAAAATGTGAAATAAGCGAGCCCTAGGGATCAAGCAAAGTTAAACAGCGAGAAAAAATCCACAAAAAAAAATGGCCTTTTTCCCACGGTGATCCGGCCCTGATTAGTCGTTGTGCTTCTCTCTTCCTTTGTGGCCGAGAACCCACGCCCCTAACACTGTTTGGACCAAGTCTGGCGGCTAATTCGAAAAACGAGTGAAAAAAAAAACGAACGAAGGAGTTTTATTGGACTAGGTGTGGGACATGGAGATTTTTCGTCTTTTTTTCATGTGGCGCTGACAGTGTGAGAGGATGTAGTTCGTAGTGAGGAGGCGTCCATGGAGGCGCTCCATGGCTTAGTGGAGCCGTTCAGGGAAGTATTGGAGTGGTTGTAGAGAAGTGGTGGAAGGAAGAGGTTGTAAAGAAGTGGTGGAAGATTGTGGAGAGGAGTTCTGGAATGGGATGAGTAGTGAAGAGGTTGTGTAGGTGCAACGAAGAAGTGTTCAGCCGGGGATCGCTGTAAAAGATGAAAAAAAGGATGAAAATGTGAGAAGAAGGAAGAAGGAAGAAGGGAAGGTGGAAGGTGGAGGGGGAAAGTACTGTAGAAGAGAAGTCCATGGGAATACCACTACTGATGTCTACATTGGTAGTGTAAGAAGGATACTCTTCTATAGTAGAGGGAGAAGGACACTCTATCTATAGTAGAGGGCGTAGACAGAAACTTCCAAAAGACAAAAACCCAGACCATAGAAGGCAAGCCATGTAGATTCAGAGCATTACTTGGGCTCCAGCCAACGAATGTCCAAAAGCAGCCAACTACACATGCCCTCACTTCCACTTCCAACCTTCAACAACACTCAAAGTCCACTGGCGACTCAAAACCACAACTCAAAACCCACCCAACTTGGTTTAGTGATTCGGCTGCAAAGCCAGTTTAACCGACCTCTCCACCCCACCGCCCATAACAAACCACAAACCACAAACCACAAACCACAAACCAAAAACAGCCACAAAATCAAACATCCCTACTATTCCCCCAAAAGCCCCCAATTGCCCCAAATACCCCCAATTGCTTCTCCAGAAGCCTCTCAACCCGTCCCACCCCGTCCCATCTTCCTTCTAGCGAGTAGCTTATCCATCCCAATGGCTGCAAAACACTTTCTCTTTGACGCACCGTCTCAGTGCAATAAGCTTCTGTCAGATCTACAGATCCCACCTTCCTCTACCACATCTCCACTCTCTCTACCTTCTATCTTTAGCTGGCGATAAGACCCATAAGACCAAAGACCCTTCAAAGCCTTCTCTGATCTGAGCCCCATGTGGCTTCCTCTCCTTCCTCTTACTATCCTACCTTCTCTCTCCTCTCCTTCCCTTCCACCTCCTTTCTCTCCCTACCATCCATTGCTTGCTTCCTTCCTCTTCCCCCTTCTTTCCCTATCACTGTTCCATACTACTCCACAAAATCACACTACAAAGTGCAAAAGCACCACCTTCCCGTCCCACACCGGCCATTTCACCCAAGGCAACGCTGCTTATCTCCATGACGCTTCGTGGGGTCCTTTTCTGTAGATTGGCTGCGCCTTCATTCTGTTAGAAGGGACTGTTTTGCGCAAAATTCCTCTTCCATCAACAGCCAGCCGCCCTGTCCTACAACTGCCGAGAAACCGCAACCAAAGAGAAAAGGGGTGGTGAAACAAACCCAGGGCGAAAAAAGAGTATGATCTGCGGCTCGACGGGGTTCCATGGGATATCTGGGGAAGAGAGTGGTTCTGGTTTAATTTTTTCTGAGTGGTTTGGTCGTCTGGTGATGGGAGGCTTCTTATGAAGGCTTGTAGTTTTGGGTATGGCTTTTTTTTGTTTTCTCCACACTTCAATGGCCATAGTTAAGCCTCCCGAATGACCTTAGCCACACAACTATGCCCTCGTATCTAAGGGTCCTAAGAGCACTAGTCTGCCTCTTTATTTGCTTATCTGCCCTTTTGACCTCGGGAGAATGTGACGCTACCAATTACATATCCTGATTCGGTCGGGGCGTCGAGCTAATGCAGTGGGACGAGCATATGGGTTGATTATATGCAGTACGACAATACATTTTGTGTCGACTTCCGAGGGTAGACTGTATATAGCATGCCGTAATTATGCACTCTTCCATCACACACTCAGACATGTCTGTCTTTCTTCCTTCCCATGCCATGATCCCATTTGGCGTCGTTAGAGTTGCTCAATGCAATATGATAGACACAAAGCAACGAAGAACTCGGTGATTCACTTTTTTTCCATTTTTTACGGCTCTTTCTCCCTCACCTACGCAACCTTCTCACGTGGATCTATTTTTAGCAACATCCACTGGGCGACCTACCCTTCCCCCCTCGGATTGTTCTTTCCAGCAACAATCAACGAAACCCAAACGATGTATATTTTCTTGACTATTACGGAAACCGAAACGTAGTTAAGCGAAGGGCAATAAAAAGAAAGAAAAGAAACGAAGAACACAAAGTACACCAACTTGTAGTACAGTAAACAGACAACCTTCACTTAAGGCTCTCTACAACCATAGTACTACTTCCAACTGCCCCTGGTTGACCTGAAAATCCTAAAAGTCAGCCTCCCTTCAACTTCACTCCCTGTGCTTACAAACTACTTAATAAGGCAGGCGCCACGTCTGGAGACTAGACAATCGGCCAGACGAGGATCCCAAAGCTTAAATTTGCGTTTCGCAGCCAAACACCCTCTTTGGGCCAGGGCAATGTTGACGACGGGAGAGAGGTTATGTTGACGATTTCGGCCAGGGTGGTAGAAGGAGGAGTTTGGGAAATGCTGGGTATGCGTGGAATGGGCTCAGGGTTCGGGAAGGTCCATTGCCAATGGCTGCAAAATGTGGTTTTCTGGTAACAGAGGGGATGATCTGGGATGAGAATGTAAGGAGGGGCCCAAGAAGAAGGGAATGAGGGAAGAAATGGAGGGCATAGTGGTGACATTTTGGTTCTGGGAGCTGTCTAGGGATGTGGTGTGGGAGGTGGAATGTGTGGATGTCAATGTAGATGTATCATGAGACGCTGCCTGTGAGGAGTTAGTGGAAGTGGCTTATTTAACTGGCAGTAACTGATTAGCCTAGGGAATGAGCAAGTAGAAGGCACTATTTGATGCCTTAGTCGTGGTTTTCTATATATAGGGATGATACCATTTCTGGTGGTCTTCAGCTGTCTGGGTAATAGTGATTACTACTTACCAGTTCACCATGTTCGACATTACATGATATGCATTTAAATGAACAGTTAATGACGATGTTTGACTGATCTCTCAATAATGCTTCTACTTCTTCTAGCCCCAATTTCACCTACATCTCTTTAATAACGTTTACATTTCACATCAAATATACATACAAGTCTTCATCTTCGTCGTCTAAACCTTCTCAGCAAGTTCTTCCAACAATTTAAAGTTCCTCTGCTCCACAGCACCGTTACCTGGCAATCTCGTGGCGCCCATCAAGTAGTTGTCAACCTCACGGGCACACTGTCTGCCCTCCTGGATACCCCAGACCACCAACGACTGTCCTCTTCTACAGTCACCGGCAGCAAACAAGTTCTCTTGGCCACTGACTCTGTATCCACTTGGGTCTTGCGTGGTAATGGTACCTCTCTTGGTCTTGTTCACCAGAAGCTTGTCGGTCTCTGGGCCAAGGAAACCCATCGACAACAAGACAATGTCAGCAGCAAAGAACTCTTCAGAACCAGGCACCTCGGCCATTTGCCAGGCGCCAGAGTCAGAACGCTTCCATTCCACTCTGACAGTCTTAATACCCTTGACATTGCCCTCGTCATCACCCACAAACTCCTTGGAAAGAATAGAGTACTCTCTTGGGTCCTTACCGTAGTGAGCTGCAACTTCACTGTGGCCATAGTCCACTCTGAACACACGAGGCCACTGTGGCCAAGGGTTGTCCTTTGGTCTGGCGTCTGGAGGAGTAGGCAACAACTCAAAGTTGGTCACCGACTTGGCGCCGTGTCTGGTGGATGTACCCAAACAATCGTTACCGGTATCACCACCACCAATGACAATGACGTTCTTGCCAGTCACCTGCTTCCTGATTTCCTCCAAGGTATTCTCCAAAAGAGCCTTGGTGTTGGAGTGCAACAACTTCATGGCAAAGTCAATGTTCTTGAGGTCACGGCCTGGGATGCTCAAGTCTCTAGGAATGGTGGAACCAACAGCAAACACCACAGCGTCGTTGGACGACTGCAACTCTTCCACAGTGATATCATCACCAACAGCAGTGTTACAAACGAAGTCAATACCTTCAGCAGCCAACAAGTCAGTTCTTCTGGTGACAAGACGCTTGTCCAACTTCATGTTTGGAATACCGTACATCAACAATCCACCTGGTCTGTCTGATCTCTCGTAGACTGTCACCTTGTGGCCAGCCTTGTTCAACTGGTCAGCAGCAGACAAACCAGCAGGACCAGAGCCAATGACAGCAACAGACATGCCGGTTCTGTGGGTTGGAGGAACAGGCTTGATCCAGCCTTGCTCGAAACCGTGATCAATAATGGCACATTCGACCGATTTGATGTTCACTGGGTCTTCGTTGATACCCAAAACACATGCACCGTTACATGGAGCAGGACAAATTCTACCAGTGAATTCTGGGAAGTTGTTGGTCATCATCAACCTCTGCAAAGCGTCGAACCATCTGTCCTTGAACACCAACTCGTTCCATTTAGGAATAACGTTCGAAATAGGACATCCAGTGTCGGAAGTACAGAAAGGCACACCACAGTCCATACATCTGGCGGTTTCGTACTTCAACTCTTCCTTGGTCAATCTCGATGTCATCTCGTCCCAGTCCTTGGTTCTGCCCTTGGCGTCTCTGTACTTTTCGTTTCTTCTCTTGTACTTCATGAACCCTCTGAGCTTGTCCAATTGGGCAACAGCCTTCTTTTCTGTCTCAGGGTTGGTGATGGTGTCTTCAAGATCCAAAACCTTAGGCTCCTTGGAACCAGCCTTGGCTGCCACAGCACGGTGCACATGGCCTTGTCTGATTTTGGCAGCTTCACCATTGGTAGCATCACATTCAGGGTCTTCCTTGATGTTCTTCAAGAAGTTGTTCAATTCGTTCTTCTTGGCCTCCTCCTGCTTCTGCTTTTCCTTTGCAAGCACCTTCTTATAATCGTGAGGCAACACCTTAACGAAGCGGCTCAAGATTCTGTTAAAGTCGTTCAAAATCTGGCCTGCAACCTCAGAACCAGTGTAGTGACGGTGGTCCTCGATCAAGCCTCTCAAGAAAGCAATTTCAGCTGGCTCAGTAACACTAGACAACTCCACGGTCTGGCTGTTGACCTTCTGGTTGAAGTCCTGGGCCATATCCAAAACGTAAGCAATACCACCACACATACCGGCAGCAAAGTTACGACCAGTGGAACCCAAAATAACCACACGGCCTCCAGACATGTACTCACAACCGTGGTCACCAGTACCTTCGGCCACAATGTTGGCACCAGAGTTTCTGACTGCAAATCTCTCGGCAGCAACACCTCTAATGAAAGCAGCACCAGAAGTAGCACCAAAGAAAGCCGTGTTACCAGCAATGATCTGGTCTTCAGCCTTGAACTTGGAGCCAGATGGTGGGTAGACAATGATTCTACCTCCAGACAATCCCTTACCGATATAATCGTTAGCATCACCTTCAAGCTCCAATGTAATACCTGGGGCCAAGAAAGCACCAAAAGATTGACCAGCAGAGCCCTTGACGTTGACATGGATAGTGTCGTGAGGCAAGCCTTGTTCGCCAAATGTCTTGGAGACTCTGTAGGATAAAGTAGTACCCAACGAACGGTCAGTGTTCACGACGTTACAGTCAATGGTAACAGGCAAGCCCTTCTCCAAAGTAACTTCAGACTCATCGATCAACTTGTTATCGATTCTAACGTGCAATCTGTGGTCCTGCTTTCTCACACAGTGAGTGTCAACACCTGGTCTGATGGTATGAGCTGGAGTCAAGATAGGCAGCAAGTCGATGTTGGCGTTCTTGGTGTTTCTCAAGTCGTCACGAACCTTCAACACCTCAGTACGTCCCACCATCTCGTTGATGGTACGGAAACCCAACTTGGCCATGTACTGTCTCAACTCCTGGGCCATGTAGTAGAAGAAGTTGATAACGTGCTCTGGAGTACCTTGGAACTTCTTTCTAAGCTCTGGGTCCTGAGTTGCAATACCCACAGGGCAAACGTTCAACTCACAACGACGCATGAAGATACAGCCCATGGCGATCAATGGAGTGGTTGCAAAACCCCATTCTTCAGCACCAAGCAAACATGCAATAGCGATATCACGACCAGTCTTGATCTGACCGTCAGTCTGCAAAATCACTCTACCTCTCAAGTCGTTCAAAACCAAGGTCTGGTGAGACTCGGCAAGACCCAACTCCCATGGCAAACCAGCATACTTGATAGATGTCCATTTGGCAGCACCTGTACCACCATCACCACCAGAAACCAAGATGTTCTCAGAACCAGCCTTGGCCACACCAGCAGCGACAATACCAACACCAACCTCAGAAACCAACTTCACAGAAGTTCTGGCTCTAGGGTTGGAACACTTCAAGTCGTACAACAACTGCTTCAAGTCCTCAATGGAGTAAATGTCGTGATGAGGAGGAGGAGAAATCAAACCCACACCTGGAGTAGAGTGTCTGGTCTTAGCAATAGATTCAGAGACCTTGTGGCCTGGCAATTCACCACCTTCACCAGGCTTAGCACCCTGGGCCATTTTGATTTGCAACTCATCGGCATCAGCCAAGTAGTAAGAAGTAACACCAAATCTACCAGAAGCAATCTGCTTAATGGCAGATCTCATGGTATCACCACTTTCGTTAACCTGGGATCTGGCTGAGTCTTCACCACCCTCACCAGTGTTGGACTTACCGCCCAATCTGTTCATGGCAACAGCAAGAGTAGAATGAGCCTCCATGGAAATAGAACCATACGACATGGCACCAGTAAAGAAACGACGAACAATCTCTGTCCATGGCTCGACCTGATCAATGGGCACAGGCTTAGCACCTTCATAGTCAAAGTCCAAAAGACCTCTCAACGTACAGTTCTTAATGGCCTCGTATTCCTTTTTGCAGTAGGCATCGTAAGCCTTTTCGTTCTTGTTTCTAACGGCATCTTGCATTGAAGCAATGGCAGCAGGATCGTTAACGTGCTTTTCACCGCCATCTCTCCAGTTATATTCACCAGTCTCAGGCAAAGCAACAGGCTTGATGGTTTCTCTGCTTGGGTAACCTCTCTCGTGCAAGGAGAAAGCATCCTGGGCAATGTATTCAAAGGTGATACCCTTGATTCTGGAAGCAGTACCGGCGAAACAACGGTCAATGACAGAGTTATCAATACCCAAGGCCTCGAAAATCTGAGCACCTTTGTAAGAAGCCAAAGTAGAAATACCCATCTTCGACATAACCTTCAAGATACCAGCATCAACTGCGTACTTGTAGTTCTTGACAATCAGCTCGTCGGTGAATTCCTTCTTCAACAAGCCCTCGTTCTTCATTCTAATCAAGGTCTCAATGGCCAAGTATGGGTTGATACCGTCAGCACCGTAACCCACTAAACAACAGGCATGGTGGACTTCTCTGGCCTCAGCAGTCTCAAGAAGAATGGCAACCTTGGAACGCTGCTTCTGTCTGACCAAGTGGTGGTGCACAGCACCAGTAGCGATCAAAGCAGAAATAGGAACTCTGTCGAAAGACGTAGCACGGTCAGACAAGATGATGATCTTACGGTCCTCGGCAATGGCCTTGGAGGCGTCCTGGCAGATCTCAGAGATCTTGTTGATGTAGCCTTGAATACCTTCAGCCTTGTCGAAAGTGATGTCGATAGTGGTGATGGACCATTTAGGGTAGACCTTCTCGATGTTGCGGATAGCATTCAACTCGGCAGTAGACAAAACTGGAGACTTCAACAACAAACGGTTACATTGGTCAGGCTTCATTTCCAACAAGTTGCCCTGAGGACCAACGTAACATTCCAAGGACATGACAATTTCCTCTCTGATTGGATCAATAGGAGGGTTGGTCACCTGGGCGAACAACTGACGGAAGTACTCGTATAACAACCTTGGCTGTTCAGAAACACAAGCCAAGGCAGCATCGTTACCCATAGACCCAAGAGCTTCCTTACCCTCAGCCATTGGAGACAAGATATTGAGGATCTGTTCGTGGGAGTAGCCAAAGGCAACCAAACGAGGGTCTGTCTGGACGGTGACGTTTGACGTTTCCTTGATTTGGTGGTCCAAGTTGATTTCTCTGGCGGCCATCTTGGCGTTCAAGTCGTCAAGAGTGATGGTGTTGGCACTGACCCAGGACTTAAAGTCGAATCTGGAGGCCACGGAGTGCTTCAATTCACGGTCGTCAACGACTCTGCCCTCCTTAGTGTCCACAAGCAACATTCTACCCGGTTGCAAACGTCCTTTTTGCAAAACCTTCTCAGGCTCAATGTCAATGACACCAACTTCAGAAGCACAGATGATTCTGTCGTCGTCAGTGATGTAGTATCTGCAAGGTCTCAAACCGTTTCTGTCCAAATTGGCACCACAGTATCTGTCGTCGGCAAATGTGAATAAAGCTGGACCATCCCATGGTTCCATCAAACAAGCAGCCCATTCGTAGAAAGCCTTCTTTTTCATGTCAATGTTCTTGTCGTTTTGCCATGCTTCAGGAATCATGGTCATGACAGCTTCAGGCAAAGAAAGCACACCGTTGATGACCAACAACTCCAAAACGTTATCGAAAGCAGCAGAGTCAGAACCGCCTTCTTCAATGATTGGGTACAATTTCTCCAATTCCTCGCCGAACAATTCAGAAGACATAACACCCTCCTTGGCTCTCATCCAGTTCTTGTTTCCTCGTAAAGTGTTGATTTCACCATTGTGGGCAGCCATTCTCAAAGGCTGGGCTCTGTCCCACGAAGGGAAAGTGTTTGTGGAGAAACGAGAGTGGACCAAGGCGAAATGGGCCTCGAACTCAGCATTGGCCAAATCGTAGTAGTATGCGTAAACCTGGTTGGGAGCCAATTGACCCTTATAGACAATGGTCTTAGCGTTAAGCGAACAGATGTAGAACCAGTTGTGAAGACCAATGGTGTGAGACAGCTGTTTACGCAAAATGAATAACTTCTTTTCAAAGTCTTTTTTGTATGTTTTTTCAAACTCTTCAGGCTCCACTTCGGTGCCGTAGACGTCAGCCAAGACAATTGCAGGCTGCAAAATCAAAGGTTCTCTAGAAAGAGAAGCAGGCCCCAATATGGAAGAATCATGAGGCACAGCTCTCCAGCCCAAAACCCGAAGACCAAGCGAAGAAGCGATATTTTCAAAAGTGTTTCTCGACTTCTCGTAGACAGCCTCGTCCTTCTTGAAAAACACATTACCCGTACCGTACTGGCCCAAGGGAGGAAGGTCGACGTCGCAATGGTACTTGAATTCCCGCTTCAAGAACTTATGAGGAAGCGAAGACATCAAGCCAGCACCGTCACCATCCTTAGGGTTCAACTCACCACCACGGTGGGTCATATTACATAAAAGGTTTCTGGCGTCGGAAACGATTTTGTGGGAAGCCAGGCCTTTCAAGTGGCAGGTGAAACCAACACCACAAGCATCTTTTTCATATTCTGGATTATACAAGCCTTTGGCCACGGGAAGAGCAGCAGCCCAGGACGTATTTTCCGGAACCTCGTCGTAGGAGTAGACCTTTGGCGGCAAGAGGTCAGATTGCATAAATAGTTGATTTACAAAAAAAAAAAAAAAAAAAGAAGAAAAAGAAGAAGAAGAAGACGAAATAAAAAACAGTGAAAAAGTCCTCATGGCCTTGCCTGCCCTGGAGGGGTTTCGCGCAGAACCGAGCAGCAGGCGAGAGACACTTTTGGTGTCAAAGCAGGCATACTAGGCATATGGTAGCAGGAAGGCCATTGTCCCAGGGTAGTGGGAGGTGCGGTTTGTGGGCTTGTGTGCAGTACAGGCGTAAGATTGGGTGCGAAATCGTCCAATCGCCATGGCTCTTTAGTCAGACCCAGAGATAAGGAAATGGGAGAGGGAAGGTGAGAGAGAGGGAGGAAAAATGGGAGAGTGAACGGATGAAGAGTAGCTGTTTGAAGCTTTCTTTGATCGAGTCTAAGGCTCTCAAAGGGCTCTCTGAGCGGCGGTTTCGTCTCGCCCAATACAATGCCACCGATAACGCTGATAGCGAAAAAGCTTTTTTGCTTGGTCCCCGCGGATCCTGGTTCGCAGCGCCGACCCGATATTGTGCTATGTTCTTATCAGTGGGGAATGTGAAAAAGGAAACACACAGCAAATGGGTCTTATCAGTGGAAGCGTTATTTATTATATGAGTCTACAGGCAGTTAAATAAGGTGTGATGTATTGGCTGGTTTGAATTTTGTATTTTTTTAATTTGCCTTTCGTCATTTCTTTGGGATCGTCTTTTCTTGGAGTCCACCCTTCTCTTCTCTGTTGCACGTGGATTCTTGGATTATTCTTAGCTTCAGCCGTTTTGCCGGTTCTTTCACATGGGCCAAACACCGAGGTCCAATAAGAAATGGGTTATTACTGGCAACGGCCTTTGGTATGAACGGCTGAAAGGGAACTGCTGGTACTGGCACAGCGGAAGAGGTAACTGCCGGTGGGGCGGTTCAGTGTGAAAAGTGTGAATAAGCCTAGGAAGTGTAGATGTAGGTGGTGGGCTGAAAAAAGTGAAATGTGATTGGACGATTGGGGGTTTGATGGGGAGGTTTTGGGAGTTTGGTGCCCGGGCTAAAGGGCACGTTTTGCCGTTTGGTTCGATGGAATGGCGTTTTTGTAGTTTGTGCTTTGTGTGTGTAATTACGGGTTGCTAGTAGGGTCTGTTCCTGCGCCCTCGTATTTCTGCTTATGTCTTTTGCAGCCGTTGGAGGTGGTTAGGTGGGATACTGGGGTAGGGTGTTTGGGTTGGTCAATAAAGAGATGTGCTGTTTAGACTTGTTGATTTCTGTTGCTTGTTCTTTGCTGAAGGGCCTTTTTTGGTTTGCTTTTTATCTCTCTTGTTGATGGGAACGTTCTATGGTACTTAAATGTATCCTCTACATGCGTAGTTCGTGGCTGGTACAGGGAACGCCGGGTCTCTGTTGTTAGCGAGATGGTACTACTACGCAAGCATTAGGAGCATGGTGTCACTTTACAGGGGAAAAGTTTTCGTAGTATCCTGGTCCAGGTATTCAGAGCATCTGCTGAGCCTACGGCTACTGCGAGACAGGTCTGACAAAAGAGCTACAGTATTCGAACTTTGACTGTACTTTTATTCTTTTACTTTGAAGGCTAACATCATTTTTTACTGTTTACTTTTTTCTCTCAATAAGGTGGTAGATCCTGAGAGCAGGGTATGTTTCTGGTTTCTCACTGGTGATACCTCACTACTACAAAAATCAAAAACTTTACCTTCGAGTTAAAAATCGTAAACACATTACATTGACCTTATTTCTCTTCTATTCAGTTCTCTTCTATCCCTTAGACTGTTGGCAGGCCATCTGTCTCGTCCCAAGGCTCCATTACTTTGGTAGAGCTTCACGCTTCCATCACGGCATGTCTGGCTACGGCAGCTTGATTTGCCTTACCTAGAAACCCTCTTTTTCCATCAATACGGCTGTGAAAAGACTGTTAAAAGTCACGTTACACATTTACCAGCCTCAACGGGTGCATAAACGTTTTCGTTTTACAGCCGTTGAAGAACCCTGTCTCAAGCCTACCAGACAATACATCTTCTACAATACTCTATTGAATCAATGGAAGCTTTCCAGCTCCCTAGCGGCTTTTTTTTTGCCAAATTTGACACGTCTCCTGAAAGCCTAACAATGGACACTTTTGGGGAAGGTGCTACTCCTCTTATACCAACCATGATGTTCCACGAAGTCAAACCTCGAATCTTCGCCATAAAAGAAATCTGAAAGAATTGCAATTACCCCGTTGATTCTTTACACGGCTCTTGAATCTTTGCGTGACCATTTCCAGGGAAAAAGAGTTGCAAGTCGTTGTACTTTCCTTGTACGACCTACTACCTCCACTTGCACGGCACTTGGTGAGCACAAGCCCAAACAGGATATACGCCAGATTTGGACTTGCCTAAAACCCACCTTCTGGGACATTCTACGGCTTCCTGGCGAACATAAATAGAGGGCCTGTTCCCACTTTTCAATTTTCTTCTCTACCACTTTTCTTCCGCAACAATGACTAGAATTCCAATGACTCTCCGTTTTACCTCGACCACAAGTCCAGCTAACGTCTTGAACAAGACTATCAAACCTCAACAACGCAAACGTGACCGTATTTTCAGTAGACTCAACAGAGTTACTAACAAGGTTGGAACATGGATTCACAAACCATACTCCAAGCTCAAGTCTTCAAGCTCCAGCAGCTTAGACCTTGCTGAGAAGGATGCTAGTGCTCCATCGACAAAGGTGTCAAAAGAGCCAACTACAATGCATTCCCTCAAGCAGATGAAGAAGTTTCTCTTCTTTAAGAGCTCTCGCCTCGCCGAAAGCTCTGACTTAACTACTACAGTGAAGAAGCTTCTTGAAGAGCAGAACTGTACTATTCCAGTGTTGCTCTTCAAGAACTACCCTTCCTCTGATTCCCCTGACAAGGGTTTCGCTTTCTTTGCCAAAATGGTAAGACAGACCGCCAAGATGAGTCTGAAGCTTCTCACTGAGACAGCTGTTTCTACCGATGGCTGGCAGACTGTGAAGCCCAGACGTCAGAAGAAGAAGGTCGAAAGATCCTCTGACCCTACACCTGTCCTCATCCCCAGTACTCTCAAGAATATGAGGAAACTGCAAAAAATTACTATTGGCAAGTCGAGTGAGCCTGTCCAGGACCTCAGCAAGCTCAAGAGGAAGAACATCTATGATCATCTTCTGATCTGAGGCACCTTGATGCACCAATAGACCAACACAAAGCAAAACAAAACGTAAAAAAAAAAAGAACAAAAAACAACGAAAAAACATAAAAACGCAAAAAACCAGAAAACATAAAAAAGCAAAAAACTTGAAAACAAAAAAAGCAAAAAATGATAAAAATAAAAGAATAAAAAAAAATCCCCCATAAAGTTCACCGTAGAAGATAAACTCTAGGCCCACAATTGCAACGACAGTAGCGAAAAGATGTCAAAACAACACTCCTCTTTCTTTCATTTATGTTCATGTTTCTTCGTTGGTGACGTTCCTGTGGGTCGTTTTTTGTGTTGGTGGGTGTTGGTGCCTTAAGTATAAGGCCATTTCGCAACCTTGATACTTCAAGATTTCCACACAAAAAAACGTCTAATCTACAATATTACCAGTAAATCGAAATAATAAGGGCTATCTAAAGCAACTGCCACCAAAATATCATTACTTTTCATTCAAATAACCCATATTACTGGACCCTTCAACTCTGCGCACGTGACCTCTTCGCCTATACTCGTCTCTACATAACTACATCATCACCACCTACTTCCTCATCAAATGGCCACAGAACAAAAGGTCGTGTTTCCTCCGTCCGTCTTGGCGAGAATTTCGCCTGAGCTTACTCTCCAGCGCCATTTGTCCGAAGGCGTTAGGCCCTGCTTACGTGACTTCACTGAGTTTCGTGATGTCGTCGCTTCTAAAGGTAACTTGGGAGCTGTGGGCACCGATGCCGTGGTGGGCTCGTCTGTGGTGAAGCACGGCGACTGTCACGTTTTCTGTGGAATCACATTGGGTATCAGTGAGGTGAACAGACCAGACGAGTTTGCTGCTGCCGAATCGGAGAGTTCCAAGTACACTTCGGTGTATCCAGTGGTGGAGGTTGCCAGAGGCAGACAGGGTGCTCCTAGCGACGAAGAACAGATACTTTCACAGAAATTGTACAACTACATTTACCACCTGCGCCTTCTTCCGTACTCGTCGTTGGAGATCACTCCAGGTTACGAGCTTAAAGACGAGGCTTCTGGAGAAGTGTCCATTATTTACCCTGATGATAAGTCTTTGAGTGAAGATGAACTCCTTACATTGTCTACGACAGTTAACGTGAGCAAGAAACAGCATAGGTTCGCTCTTTACGCACACATCAAGGTTTTCTCCAGAGAAGGCCCACTTTTCGATGTTGTCAGCCATGCTCTAATAAGCGCTTTACAAGATGTTAAGCTTCCACGCATCTACTTGGCTGATTCTGGTGTGAATGCTAATGTCAGAGTGCCAGTGAGATCTAGAGGCAACTTTGGCCATTTGAACCAGCTGGCGAACCTTTTCTGCATTGACGCTAATAAGGATATTGCTTCACCTTTGGAGTTGAATAAGTCAGAAGTGGGTGTATCTTCTAGTTTTGGCTTGGTTGAAATTGACGATGCCGCAGGACAGATTGCACTCTTGGCTGATCTTGAAGGTGAAGCAGAGGAGGCATGCTGTGAAAGTAAAGTAAACATTGTGGCATCCAAGGATAACCTTAAACATGTCAGCATAGCAGGCGGTGGTGCCAATGTTAGTTTGGACTCATTGCGTAAAGCAATTAGTTTGGCTAAGGAAAGAGCAGAGAAAACTAATTAAGCGGTAATATGCTTTACTATTTTGGGGGACATTATTATGACGTGGTGGGATCTTTTGTTGGTGATTCAACCTCTCCACCAGATCCAGCTGGACTTGCAACATTGGACACTGACGAAGAATATTCATGGTTGATGTTCACAGACCGAGGCAGATCAGCGCCTCTAGAGAGCAACCGCTGCTTTCGCAGGTTTTCAAAATCAGTATTGGCTGGCTGCACCAACGTTGGCCTTACTTTTTTCATGCCACTGGAATTGGAGTCTGCGTAAAGGTCGTCTTCGTCCGAACCAGAGGTTATTACCTGTTCCTCGTCATTTTGATGGTTGTTCTGTTCGGCAGCCCGTCTTTCCGCTTCAGCACGCTGCATTATATCATCTCGGGCCTGTTCAAAGAGCTGTACTTGCTGACTTACCGCAAGCAGCTGTTCCTTTAGGTTTTGCAATTTCAGCTCAAACGATTGACGGCCCTCTCTCAAAAGCTGCTCAACAGAATGGCCTCCAGCAAATGCTGTGGGCTTTCTCTTCTTATAGAATAAAAGATAAGCGGCACCCTTGATACATTCCCTGGGGTCTTTGACTTCATTGACTCCGCTATCGTTGAAGTAGTACCACTTCTGATCTCTGAAGTTCTTAGCGTAAGCGGTGTAATGACCGCCTCCCAAACCACCGTAGTGATTATCAACTGCAACCAAGTCGTAGATGAGCGGCTCAGTAGTACCAGCCTGAGCAAATTCGTTCATTTCCAAACCTTCAATAGGGAAGTCAACCACCATGTTAATTTTGTCACTAAAAGCTCTAGCCGAAGAAAACCTCTTCAAATGAATGGTCAAGATATCGCCTGTCGACCAGATCTGAATAGTTTTCGTCGCACGCTTATGATCTTTACAGCGTGGACAATACCACAAGTCTTGTTCTCCTAGCACCTCGGGAGTGCTAAAGTTCCGTAGACAGTCATAAAGCGACACTGTGGACTTTTGTTGCAACGCCAACTTTCGCTTGTTATCCTCCAATACTGGGTTGGCAATAAAAGGTAATTCCTCCCAAGCCTGTTGATCACGATCCTTAAAGAAACGGTCAAACACCTGTGAATCCCACTCGCAAACAAGCGTCGTCTTGGAATCCACGAGAAGAGGCTTCACTTTATCATTCTTTATCACTTGTTCTGGCTTTTCTTCATGGCCAGGACTAGCGATATCACTTTGCACTTCTTGATCAGATTCGCTTGAAGGAATAGGTGGAAGAGTTGGTGGCCTGAGAGAGTCAGCATGTCCAAGCGGTAACATTTCATCATAATTAGAATCACTTTCTTCGTCTTCATCCAGTTGTGTTCTGATATTGGCGTCGCTGTCTTCAGCTACCTCCTCAGCCCTGTTATGCAAAATCGAGACATGCTCTGGTTCCTGCTTGACCTCTTCTTCTTCGTTAGCTTCGTTATTCAACTTTTCGTTTCTTTGAACCTCTGCGGCGTAGGTTGGATAATGATAGTACTTCCGCTTCAAGTCAGGAAGCTTATCAGCCAACAACGGTAACTTCAAGAATGATGGCCTGCCTTGTGGTATGTTGAGTGGACGTCTGTTGGGGTCCTTGTCCTCCAGAAGCAACAGCTGGTAACGCATTCTCATGCCTGGCTGGTACCTTCTAGGTCCACGAGTTGGAGCATGACGAGACCCATCTTCTTCGTAATACTTGATCGCGAAGCCAAAGTCTGCACCCACCTCTGGATGTGCTAAAGAGATATCCGAATCGTAATCTTCGTCTTTGAGTGCCGGTGTTTGTTCTGTATCAGGTTCAGCCATTTCCAAATCACCCAGTTCTTCCTTTTGGAGCAATGGAAAGCTGTCTGCTTTAAAGCGGGATCCGTTCGAGTCGCCCTTGATTTCTTTGTAGCTGGCTTCCATGTCTGCATTGGTAAGATGTTTGACAGTTTGTTCAAGCTTCTCTCTGATTGTACCGAAACTAAAGACATCGGATTCCTTATTCAACGTGACGAAAAGGGGAATACCGAAGGGCTCTGCCATATCGTAGGAGGAGTCCTCATCACGGACAGTGTTGAGCAATGGAACAATGATGTCAGTTGCTGGATTATGTGGAATGATGTAAGCAACAATGACATCGTTGTCAGAAATGAGCTCATTGATGGGATAGAACTTTGACGCTGCGCTGTTTTCTTGAAAATCCCTGTAAAAGAAGTTTGAGAAGAGCTCAAACAAGAATAGGTGCTCTGTTGGAACACGCAAGAAGTTGCTGATGTAGTTGATTAAATCATCGAAATTCGAGGACTTGTTGAGTTCGACTTCCAATTTCGAGAGTGGCTGTCTTCCGGAGGCAGCGTGGTCACCAGAGAGGTCGACGATTATGAGCTCATGGTACCATTTTTTGTTCACAGGCAAAGGAAGAGTCAAGTCGTTGAAGGGATCAAAGGTCATGGACTCCTTGTTACACGTGGGACAGACCAATGTGGACTGGTACATACCGGTGAACAAGTCCACGATGACAGAATCATTACGTTTCTTGTACTGGTCCCAACAAGTAACAGCCAATTCCCTGATAGCCTCGGGAATATTGACATCCTCATCCTTGAGTTCCGGTTTCTCGCAATATGGCTTTTGCTGAATTCTATTAAGATCCTCGTGGAGGGCATCCAAAAGCCAACTTACGAATTCCTGGGAGTCCTGTTGTTGAAAACCATGGAAAATGGAAGAGTGGCGTCCCACAGTGTACTTAAACTCACGTGGAGTAACAGCCGACGGACTGCCAGAGCCGTAGAGCTTATGCAATAGACTGGAGAAAGCAACAGCGACATCACCCTTGTAACCCAAAGGATTATTGGTGTTCAACTCCTTCTGGTATAAATCGAAGAAGAAGTAGTAGTTGAGTTCTGGGATATGGGTGAGGCACTGAAGAGCCGAATTCATGTAGCAGGTATTTCCCAAGTTGGAAAGACCACAGTGACCACCAGAGCTGGTTATAGCATCATAATCGAGCACATCCATGTGGCTTGCCAAGTACGCATCGACCAAGAAAGTCTTACGGTCAGCAGGTTCCACGATCAAGTGGAGTCTTGACGATTCAATGCCCTGGCTGCGGAGCGTGGAGCCATACAAGTTCGGCGTGACGATGCTCTTGCGGCCCACAGCATCTATAAAGCTGCTAACAGGAATCAGCGAAGGCATATCTTTCGCAGGTTCATTTTCAATGAACCACAACCGAAGAGGCGCCACGGCCCTGGGGTTCTTGTAAACATGGGACCGCACGGCATCGTGCAACTGTTGAAACGTGCTGGCCAGCGATAAGCTAAACGCCATGCGACTATGCTGTAAGTTGTATCTTGATCTGGGCGAAACGGTAGTTTCTTTCGAGAGAACATGGAGAATGAAAAACGGAGGCATGCGTTCAAGAGAAACGCCAGACTCGTCCACAAGCATATTTCTCGCTACCGGGTTGCCATTTATCCCAAACGTCTGGCCCAAGCTATGGAAAAGCTCAGGCAGAACCGCTAGGCATGGCATACTCTCTTCTTCAGGGTACATGGCGCCGTTTTCATCCACAAGCAGGGCCAAGTCGATCTTGCCAACAAGCAGAGCCAACTCTTGCAACGACAGCGCTTGCGTAGAACACACCTTTTCCCAGAAAGGACGTGGAATCACTCTCCACAAGTCGCCGTTCTGAGGCGTTGCCAGCATAAGACGGTCCCATTCATCTCTGGCGCGTGCCAATTGAGAACCCTGATCTTCAACCGGCAGCAGGTCCAGCGGTGGGGTCTCATATTCGTCCAGCATTCTGCGATGTAACGTTGCAGAAGTCAAACGGGTGCAAAATGCAAAATGAAGATATGGTTTTGCAGTGAACGGTTGGATCTTCAAGACTTGATGTGCGCGACCTGGACAGAAGCCTGTGGGAGGTGGATGGGGCGGATTGGCTTTGCTGGGGGAGTACCAAGAGGAAGAAAAAATATTAATGGAGGAGTGGAGGTGGTTTTAAAGGGCTAGGTGCTTTTTGGATTTTGTTTTGGTGGGTTTTCAAAGAGGGAGGGCTGTTTTGGCGGGACCTGGACGTCCAAATGACGCAACCGATGGCTGCGAATTACAATAGTCGCTGCATCAGTGTTTGATCAAGAAGGTGGGAAGAGAGGGTAGGAAGAGGAAGGAAGTGGTGAAAGAAGGGTGGTGATATTTGTTTGTTGGATTAAAGGGGAGAAATTTGGCTTTGGTTTCTTTCTTTTGTTTCTTTTTGGTCTCTTTTAGAAGTGTCGTTGGATGGACTGGGTGTGGATTGCCTGGGCATCTGTCAGTCTATCGTAGAGAAAGGGGGAGTGGAGAGGAGGGTAATTTTCGTACCAGGATGATATCTATCTGTAATTTCCAGAGGCCTTTATTTATCAATATATATTTGGGTAATTCACTTGTTTACCTTCTGGGGCCCATTGGTGGACGTGGTGGGGCTTGGAGTATGGCTGCAAAGTGTCAAGCAACGAATGAAGAAGTAAGGTAAAAGTAGGGGAAGAGGAGCAAACCTGGCTGATTTTGAGCTCTGGGGTGAAAGTAAAAGGCACTTGTTTTTCCTTTTTTTATATTATCAAAGTGTTCTTGTTAAGGTCCAGTTGGTGGAAGCTCTGATATACCTGAGTTGGCTTCCATGCATACCGACATCGAATATGTTTTATGAAAGTACAAGTATAGCTGACTTCTCCACGAGACAAAGTAAATAAATTTGCTGATCAACATAAAAGAAGGCTAGGAATAACCAGGAAGACTCATTGGCTGGTACCCACTTCCACCCATCTAGCCTCTGCTTGTTAGGTAGTACTACAAATGGACTGAGCCACGTCAAACACTGCATCCACCAGTTATCCCACCTAACCAGCAATACCTCCATTTTCTACTACTTTCCCAAAAAATTCCCCTAAATCAGCATTTTCACTGAAAACCACCTCACCTTCCGAAACCCTCGTCTTGGCTTCTCCATAGTCAAGCTTCTTCATTGTCTATGCACCTTCTGACAGCCCACAGAAGCCCCATATTCCACCATCCAATGTCCAAACTGTCAAAAAAGAACTAACGAAAAAGATCAGGTTCCTCCATTTGTAGCCTTCCCTTATATAAATAAACACATTTTGCTTCACTTGATAGCCCAGTTAACTTCTGGGGCTCAATCGAATGGCTGCGAAAACCGGTAACGGCTTCCTCGGTCCAGTCAGATCCCAAATTTCAACACCTCCACAAGCAGAGCCTTTAATTAAAAGATCAAAGTACTTCGTATCCAAAATCCCCAAAAAGAATCCCCCGACCACCAAAGACTCACCGTTTCTTATCGTCACCTGCCTGGAGAAGTCTCCCCACAAAACAGCAACGAGACACTACTGGCCCTTCAAAGAACACCACAAATACCCCAAAACACAGCCACATTTACACCCCAACCCAAATATCCCTCCACTTTTCACCTCCCACCTTCTCCATCTCTTATCGCTATGAAAAACGGCCCGATTGTTCTCTAATCTGTCATTTGCACGTGATCTATCAACCCCATGGTACACCTCTAGGCTGCATTTACCTTTCGTAACCTGACTCCATTGAAGACACTTAAGTCTACCTGCCACCACTTATCCATGTCTGACGACGCTCTGGAGACATCCTCCTCGCCAGATTTGGCAATTGTCGACTTTGTGACCAAATCAGTGCTTTCAAACTACACCATTGATGATGAAATCCTCCGCCACTGGCTGGCTGAGCTAGGCGACGTGGTTGGAGATACTAAGCTTTTGGCTTCGGCGATCCAGAGCAGTGCTTTGGTGCTGTTGCCCTTTGAAAACGAATACTTCAGTACTTCCCACGAGGCCGCATGGTCCAAATGCTTGTCTATGCTTAATGACCTTGATAACGAGGTGTATAGCGACTTCAAGCTGATAATATATGAGCTACTTCTCCAGGCTTCTCGCTCCAACACGGCCAGGCTACAAATGCTAGAGATTGGCTTGGTTGACGTTTTCGCTGACGATTATTTGAGCAACCTTGATGACCTCCACCTTCCGCAGAAGGCTGCGCTTCTTTCTGCCATGATAGAGTTGAGTTGTCATGTGAAAACGCTCAAAAAGCTTCTTTCTCCGCTACTTGAAGGCTCTGCAAAGGTCAATGCCTCTTCGAAATCCATTTTGCTCGACTTTCTCACCTCAATTGTCCATGAGTTTCCATCTCATTTTACTGCCTTGACGCTAAACAGCTTCCGGAACAAGAACCTACCGCTTCCTTTAGGTAAAGAGTTCAATTCCAAAACCTTTACGTTGCAAACATGGATTAAAATTGACGTACCGGTTGAAAACCTCGAGGATGATAGCTTCAGCGTGATCCCACTTTTCCTGCTTGCCAATGCCTCCAGTTCTGCCTCCACCTCGATCCGTGTTCAGCTTCTTAACTATACTCAGTACATGGTGGAGGTTATAAACAAATCAACTGGATCTAGAATGCAATACTCGTTTAACCAGCATGTCGATCTTCTGGATACCACGAACCAGGGCTTTACGCTTGTTACATTGACATACGATCATTTGCGTAACATTAACCTCTTCATTAATGGCCAAAAGAGCGAGTCGATTCCATGCACTTTAATCTCCAAAGAAATCGGCTCCTGGAATAAGCTCTATATTGGTAATCCAGAATCAGATGACTTCCTGAAGAGCAGCAGAGACGAACTTCGCTTTAAAGACTTGATAATCCTAGACACAGAAATGAGCGAACAGTGGATTTTGACTTCCTACGCTTTAGGTGTTGGCTTCAACTGGTCTCTGAAGGACCTCACTGAGGAAACCATACCTGACTTGTTCAATCATTTAAATCCATCAGGGCTCACTGATCTAGGAGCCCAACTCAGTCGCTTATTAGAAGATGGGTCCTCCCGCAGGCGGAACGCAAACAGATCCTCCCTGGTGGACGGAAAGCTTGAAGTATTTGAAAAACCGGAAATCGTACATTGTTTGGTCAAACTGAAATTTAGCAGGTCTAGCATTCTCTTTGACAGCAATGAATCGGGCTTCATTGACCATATACGCAAAGCGAAAAGTAAAGACTGTGTTGCTCATGTTCCTGACTCGCTCAACGGCGGGATATACTGTCTAGGAGGTGCTAGTTTCCTTTTGACGCTTGTCGATTCGGTCTCAAACGATCCGCAGCTTGACAGAGCCGACAGGGACAAGCTTACTTTCAAGTCATTGCAATTTCTTCTCGTTTGCTTGAAGAATAGCTGGAGGATCTACAAAGAGTTTGAAAAGAATGATGGCTTCTGTATATTGATTCTTTTGCTCAAGCAGTACAAGGAACGTTACAATAGGCGCCTTGAATTTGATGGAAGTATTCTAGATATCTTTCAAAGCTTTGCAGGATACGACATGCACAACAAGACGGGTTACATCAAGAATGCCTTAGCATTTAAGCTACTCGTTCTAGACTTCCATCTCTATGATGGCACCGTGGACCAGGAAAATCTCAAGGACTCGATCGTGGATATGGTGAACTCAGACGAAAACAGGCTCCACAACTTGAAGATGCTTTCCAGACTAAAGCTTTTGAAGCGTCTTGTGCATTTCATGGAATTCAAGCTTTTGAGCAGGAGGGCTACTGATAAAGAAATCGAGGATTTCAGTGCTGTTCTCAGCTCCATCTTACGCACTGATGTATCTCTCGATACGATAAGGTCCTTCTCCCACTTCATCATCTTTGCCATTTACCGAAGCGAAGAGAGCGGCTTGATATCACAGAAGATCGGTTATGCCGCATTGGATTCATTGACCAGCCAGCTCTGTGACTCGAGTTCATCTATTAAGCAGCTCAAAAAGTTTTCTCGTGCATTGACAATTCATTGGTTACTTCTTTTGTTGAATTTTCGTTCCATTGAGGACGACTCCGAAGCTAAGCAATTTGATAAGAAGATAGTCTGTCGTGGTTTGACTCTCCTTATCCGTCTTTTAAAGATTTTAGGACCCCGCATTCTGAAACGGTTCTTTCAAATAAGTCGTGGCCTTGATGTCTTGACCCATTCACTTAAAGTATGGTGGGGAGATGATGAGGTGATCAGTCTACTCTTTTTGGCTGGCTTTGGATTGGATACCAGAGTTGAAGACCTCTCCATGTCAACACTTCCTCAAATATTGGAGACTGAGAAGGTTAAGAGCATCAAAACCTTGGTTGCCCCTGAGTTTATTCTCCTTTTGAACAACATGGTTCTTAGCTCGATGTACGATTTGAGCGTTCGTCAAGGAAGAGTGCTTAGCGTCCCAAATTCGCCCCAAAGATCACTGCACAAGAAACTGCAAGAGGAAGAGAACTTTGCTATCACTTTCAATGCGATTCATCTTATCAACCAATATATTGATACCATTAAGGCTGGGTTGAATGATTCGCCAGCACTTGCTTCGTTCTTCACAAGCAAGGAATGGCTCGAAGGTATCTATGAGTTACAGGGCCACCTCAAGCTTTCGGTAGAGTGGACCGACTCGACCTTCACCAAAAGTTTCAAGAAAGCTTCTGAAAAACTTACTGTTGCTTTAAGCGATTTATTTGTCTCCTATTTGCATGACTCCAAGCAGTTGTTCCGTATCATGGAGCCGCTTAATGAAAGCACAATGAACATGATTCTCGATTCCACGTTCCCTCGAGTATTCCGTCATTTCAACCAGTTCTTTACTGACTCGAACTTTATGACTAAAGAAGGTGGACTTCTAGATGGAACGTCAGAGCTCCTTCTTTTTTACTTTGAGCACTTCATTGACCTTAATTATTATGTTCATGACGAGGACATGGATGCGTTCCTCAATGCCGCTTTGAATGTTATTGAAGCCAACAGTCAGCATAAGCGTCGCCAACATAGCCAGCAAAGACTTAAATCTGTCACTGGACGTTCTTTGGTGCTTAAGCTTTCGAAGTTACCATACATTTCCTCCGATGCGTCGAGTCAGGAAGTTGGAGAAGAGCTCAAACAGCTGCTTGACGAAACAGTGAAGTTTTTGCTCTATAAGCAGATTGTTTTGCTTGATCCTGAAGTCTTGAATGAATCGCTTTTGGCTCAAGTGATTGAAATATTGATGGTTCAATTCACCAAACTCAAGACTGAAAGCCAATCAGAGATTGCCGAGCATTTTATTAACTTCCTTCGAGCAGCATATATGATGCGCGAGAGTACTTTTGATGGTGTTATCCAGCAACTTACTAACGCTTCTGACTATACCAACTCAGGCGACCTTATCCGTGACTTTCTTCAAATCTTGGTCAGCCGGAATGACCAAGACATTATCAAGCACCTACAGAGATACCCTGCCATCAAGCATATCTTTTCAAAGAATCTTCATTACAGATTAAGCAAGTTAAAGGATGTTGGAAAAGTCAATGTACTTGAGATGACTAGGGTTATGCTCAATAATGGAGGTCGACTCGGTTACATGGACACCATTTACATCAAGAGTTTCGAGAAGGATTGCGAGAAGCTAAGAGTCAAGATCATCAACGAGGAACTTACTAACCACAACCGTGAGTTACAAGACATTGACGACAACAATAACTTCTTTTCGACGTCTTTCGCTGCCCTCAAGAATGAGATCACGAGGTTATACCAAGAAGGGAATTTGACCAACCCTAGTTATATGTTGGACTATATCGAAGGCACTGACAGAATGAGAAAGCTTTTGGTGATAGAGGACCAATTGGCCGAGTGTGATAAACTTACCTATTCGATCGACGTCCCAGTTAAGAAGATCAAAACGGTCGAGATGAATACGAGTGATTTCCAAAGCTACGAGTATGCGATTTCTCAAGCTAATGTTGGCGAACTTACCCTTGTTGATGCTCCTGAAGATGACTTTGAAGAAATTGATGTGCCCTCAGAAGTGAATGGCTCCGAGGCTTCTCTCTTTGAAGACCGTAACCGCCGTGTCTTGCGCAGTTTGTTCATGGGAGACCATATCCAGCATGTTTGGAACATTTCCAGAATCAACGGACTTGAAATTGTCGAAAGTTTAATGATATTGGGAGTGACCCATCTTTACCTCATTGAGAATTACTTCCATTGCTCGGATGGAAATGTGATTGACGCATCTGATGCACCCTTGGAGCTTCGTGATCCTTACCTCCAGCTTATCAATAGCCAGCCTAACGGAAGCAGTGGTGATGCTCCTAAAACTCATCGTACCAAGAGCTGGTCGCTTGAAAACTTGAGTTCCATCACAAAGAGGAAGTTTTTATTAAGAGATATTGCACTCGAGATGTTCTTCAGCGATGGTGCAAGCATCTTGGTGACTTGCATTTCCAGCAAGCAGCGGAACACCGTTCATGGCAAGCTAATGCCCTACGCTTCAGGAAAAAGTCTTGATAAAGACCTTGCCACGACATTGGAACATTCTTCACATGTATCTCATAGCAGTTCCCAGACAAACAACAACTCGTTGACTTCAAGACTTACTTCTGCTTTTACAAATAACTTTACCGGTGGTCAGTCGGGAATTGCAAATGCTACCAGGAAATGGCAGCAGGGAGAGATGTCCAACTTCTACTATTTGATGTTGCTTAACACTATGGCTGGCCGTACTTTCAACGACTTGACTCAGTACCCCGTTTTCCCTTGGGTAATTGCAGATTACGAAAGTGAGGAGCTCGACCTTTCCGACCCGAAAGTATTCCGTGATCTTTCCAAGCCGATGGGCGCTCAGAATCAGTCTCGAGCACTGGAGTTTGCCGAAAGATATGAAGCTTTGAAGAGTTTGGATGACAATTCGTCACCTCCTTTCCATTACGGTACTCATTACTCCTCAGCAATGATTGTTTCCTCCTATATGATTCGTCTCAAACCATATGTCCAGTCATATCTTCTCTTGCAAGGTGGAAAGTTTGACCATGCCGATCGTTTGTTCTACTCTGTCGAGAGAGCCTGGTCTTCTGCTTCCAAAGACAACACAACTGATGTGAGAGAGCTTACTCCTGAGTTCTTCTACCTCCCAGAATTCCTTGAGAATCAAAATAACTTTGAGTTTGGCTCTTTACAAACAGGCAAGGTTGTCGATAATGTCGAGCTTCCGAAATGGAGTAAAGGCGACCCTAAGATCTTTGTTGCTCGCAATAGAGAAGCTTTAGAGAGCCCATATGTTTCTGCAAATTTACACAAGTGGATTGATTTGATATTTGGTTATAAGCAGACTGGTGATGAAGCTGTAAAGGCGTTGAACGTCTTCCATCACCTGTCTTATGATGGTGGTGTTAATTTGGATGATGTCGTTGACGAAGTTCAGAAAAGAGCCGTTATTGGGATGATTAACAATTTTGGTCAAACCCCCATGCGTATCTTTAACAAGCCGCACGCTGCTAGGGAAGTATTGAATGGCCCTGATTTGTATCTTCAAGCTCTTGACGTTCAGAAGTATCCTCCAACCATGACATTTGAGTCTAAGCTAAACATGCCTATTGAAAAGTTGGAAATCAGTGCAAAGACGAAGAAATGGATTGGCCGTCCTTCGTGTGTTACTTCAGAAGATGATCTATTGATCAGGAAACCGCTGCTGCAAAGACTGGTGGTTGGCAGTGGCTCGCTCATCATCAACACCTCGTACTTTATGAATCTTCACCTGAGCAACATCACTTCTATCGCCCAATTGGGAGACAAGACATTTGTTACAGGAGCTCAGGATGGAGTGATTCAGGTATGGAAGTATTTCGTGAAACCACAACCGACCGTGCGCTTTCAACACATTCTTCGTGGCCACGAAAGTGAAATCAGATCACTCAAGTACAGCAAGACGTTCAAGATCGGTGTCAGTCTTGATGACACTGACAACGTCATTGTATGGGACTTTACACGGTTTATGTTCGTTAGAAAGCTACGGGAAGGTAGTTCAAAGAAAAGCGGCGGACCGCTTCACATTGCCATTTCCAATGATACGGGCAATATCACCATCCTAAGCAGCACTCGCTACGCCAACACCTTGAACGTGTACACAATCAACGGAGAGAAGGTTATGGAGAAGCAATTGGCGCCAGGAAAGATCAGCGCCGTGACATTTGCCGGCCTCAATGGCACAATGGTGGGTTCTTCTACCGACGTTCGCCACGCCTACTGGAACCATGAAATCTTGGCCGTGACCTACGACACACCCAGAAAGCTGCTTCAGTTTTACGAGCTCGAGTGTAACAGCAATGGATGGCAGCTTCTGATGCTACAGAGCGTGGCATTGGATACCCACGTCAGCGGGACAGTCACAGCCTTAGAAGTGTTCAAGCGGGCTGAAGCTGACAAACAAGATAAGCTTTGCCGCGGTCTGTTAGCCGCTGTTCTTGGAGACTCCCAAGGAAAAGTCTACGTCATTGCAGAGAACTAAAAATGCCGTTTGTCTATAAATTCCGTTGTCCTTGGATCCCCGAGCAATCTACCGCTGGCAAGGCTTCCGATGGAGTGGGTGCCAGCAAAGTTTGAAGCCTCCCAGACTCCACTTACCGAAAGGTTGAGCAGCCACAGAAGCTTCTTACAATGCCCCCAAAGTGTCCATTTCCACTAACCATTAAGCTTCCCAAGCCCTCGCAATGGAATGCCAGCCATTGGCAGACGAAACACAAGAAAATTCCGTTAATGCAAAAACAACTAAATCATCGTTCCCTTGCTTCGCCCAAGTCATCGCTCGCAATGCCGGACCGCTGATTTCTTGTTTATCTTTGTTGCTCCTTTGCTGTTGGCTGCAAATCAACTCACCGTTTTCGTGGCTGCGCTAGCCCAAAACAGCAGGACCCAGCGCGCTAATCGTGGAGCCCGCAGATCGGCGCCCCACTGCCACTGTGTTGTTGCGCGGGTTTCCTGCAGGACGAGAGATTTCATTTCAGGTACCGGCCAATCCTTTTCTCTAAGCCTCATCGGGGTAAACTATCGAGACAACAGTCCAAAAATATCCACCTGCAACTTTTTTTTTTCTGGTTACTACTTATTTGTTGTTTTCTTCCTTTGGCTCCTTATACAAAAAAAGGCTCAACATGGCCATGGCACACTGGCTTCCGCCATTTTCCATGAAGACGGTGCTTATCTGCGTTCTCTGGTACCTGGTTCTGTCTTTTACTTCTCAGGTGACAAAAGTGATAATGGTGGAGTTGCCGTACCCGTTATTTCTTTCACAGTTCCAGTTCTTGCTAGGGGCGCTTCTATCGTTGCTGACGATTCAATTATCCCGGAAATTCTCCCAGCTTAACCAGATTTTCCCCGTCGGGACGGTCCCCGTGGACGGGGCTAATGCTGTGTTGGATAAACGCATTTTCATTAAGGTTCTTCCATTGGGTGTTTTCCAGTTTTCTGCCAAATATTTTTCACTTTGCGCCACGCTGTTGATTCCAGTGGCTACAGTGGCCAGCGTCAAGGCGCTTTCTCCTTTGCTTATCGTTGCAGGCTACCGCTGCTTCTACAAGGTTCACTTTCCATTGCTCACCTACCTTCTGTTGGTGCCGCTTGTTTTGGGTGTGATTATGATCATCATGGCAGACGCTGGCCCGGCTGTTCTGACTTCCTTGGCTCCTATCTTTGACGAAGCCCACTTTAAAGGGTTGCTCTTTTGCATCATCAGCACCATCATCATGGCTACGCAGCAGATCTACGGTAAGGAACTTATTACTTGGGACACGGGCGCCATTTCCAACCCTGCCTCCTTGGTGTTGAACACAGACCGGAGCCGTGCAGTGACACCTGAAATGGGCCCATACCACCACTCGCCCAAGCACGAAGGTTCGTCTAACGACTTCCTTCTGCCGCTGTCGATCTTTGGCAAAAGAAAAGACACTCTTCGTCTTCCTTATTCTGTGTCTGACTTATCGCTTGATGAAAAAAATGAATGTCTTCAGAATAGATCCCAACATTACGATAGAGAAGTGCAAGAAGGAAAGAGCGCCACCAACCCATTCTCGGCTCTCGCGTCTGCAATCAAGGGCGTTAGAAAGCCAGACAAGTTCACAGTCATCTTTTACATTTCCTTAACCGGATTTGCATTTTCTTTCAGCGGGTTCTGTGCCAACGAGGCGGGAAGCTTATACAGAGACTTGTCAGAACCACAGCATTTCGAAGGTGTGCCTGAGGAACATCAAGATGTTGTCCGGATGTTCGTGTTGATCTTGATGAGCAGCTTATCACATTTCTGCCAGACAGTGTTGGCTTTTGTGTTACTAGGATCGGTGCCGGCATTGTCCTACTCCATTGCATCTATGATGAAGAGAATTGTGATCATTGTCGTCAGTATCTTCTTTGCCTCGCGGCTCTCTGCGGACAAACATGAACGTTGGTTCGGTGCCTTGTCAGGTATCCAAATCCAAGGGCTCTTGCTTATCGGGCTAGGGCTCTACTTCTACGACAGATGGGGCTCCCGAAGCCTCAAGGAAAACCGGGTCTAACCACGACAGACCCCCAATAGCATAATACAGATACCCCTCACATTTTTACACTTATAAGATGTTTGGAAAGGCTAGAATGTTCAGCTGGAATGAGAAATGAACAACGTCCACAACAAACACAAGGTCCATTGCAGCCATTGCTCCTCTTAGCCTGCCAAACCCGCAAATCCCGTGACTACCCCCGGCATTTCTGCCGTGACTAGTTTACTCTGGTATGTGTTGTAGAGAGCCGCAACTCTGGGAAATCAAGACGAAAAAACGTCTCGGAACTGTAGCTCTACAATAATACACATACGTGGTACAATAGAGAAGAAAAAAAAAAATCTGTACCCATCCATGAGTATTTATACTGGTGATCGCGCACTCCGGGTAACCGCACTTCCTACTATACTCTAGATTATAAGTACGCTTTAACCAAGAATATATACACCAGTAATGAAGCTTTACAGTGTATTGGCGGCTGCTTTTGCTGTCCAGAGTGCTGTGGCGCTCGGCTTTAAGGCCCAATTTGTCAATGTTCCCGAAGAAGCCCTAGAACTAGAGAATGTCAGGGCTGGCAAGACTTTACCCATTGAAAGAAACTACCAATCACGTATAGACGCTCAGATTGTGGGATTGGGTTCGAAACAAGGTGAAGTTCATAAGTACCTTGTGAAGAAACTGTACGAGTTTGATGTGGAAGGTTTGACTACTGGAGAGTACGAATTGTTGGTGCATTCACATGATTTCCATATTCGCCGTAGCAGGTACCGTGTGACGGTTAACGAGAGTGAAATTTCCGTTGTTGATGACTTCTTGGGTGATGAGGCGTTAAATAGAACATTGGCTGTTTCTGTTAGTGAGAAGAGTCCACTCTTGATCGAGGCTCTGACGGTGAAGATATTCCAGGAATCGCCTAGAAATAAGCTTAAAGAGATGTTGATGCAGAGTCCTTTTGGCTTCATCTTTAAGAACAGAGCGTACACTTTGATCTTCCTTGTGTGTATGGGTCTTATGATCACCCCGCTGCTTATCCAATGGTTCTTCCCAGACCTTGCGGATAAGTTTGATGAGATGCAGAAAGAAGCCAACGAGAAGAGGTCTCAACGGGTCCAGGCAGAGAAGCAGCAGGCTGCACCACAGAACGAGAAGCCCAAGAAGACAAAGAAGAGAAGCTGAGCTGGATCCCCTTAGATACCCAGGGAACAGTTGGAATTGCATTCAAATAACGAACAGTCTGGCTTAGTCACCAGACACAGCTAAGGTCCACCGCTACACGGGAAGATCGTCAATTCGTTAAAATTATATAATATTACACCACCTGATATAACCACCGTTTATACAAATCTATAAAACCCAGTCTAAACCTTGATGTTGATTTTGAAGCCCACAATGTACCAGCGGCTCACGATCCACAGAATCGTGCCAACAAAGGCAAACACACCACAGAAAATAATAAAGTTACGGTACTCGTCAGGAGAACCGTCGCCGATCAAAGCGGCACCAACAGGCACACCAAATAAAATACCAGTACTAGCAAACGTGTACATGAGGCCGTATCTCTGGCCGAATTTGTCTACCTGGGAAATGGAACCGAGGCAGAGGGGGGTCAAACCCAAAATGGAGGAGCTGAAAAAGCCACAAGCAACTGTAAAAACGTAGAGGCCAGCTCTGGTGTGGCCCGCAGGAAGCCAGATACAGAAGATGGAAATAACAAATCCAATAAGCATAAGCACCATAACGTTGAAGGTACCAATTTTATCAGCAAGATGGTTGGGGATGTATCTGCCGAAAGCACCTGCAAGGTTGAAAAAGGTCAAAAGGTACAAGGACGCTTGTTCAGAAAGACCATACGACATGGCGTAAGTAGCCAAGTAGGTAAGAATGGACATGAGAGCAATCTCCGTGCTAAACACACCACCGACAAGGAAAGAGAATTTCATATCCTTGAAAGCAGAAAGGTCAAAAAATGACTTGGTGGTGGAAAGAAGACGCTTATGCTTACCCAAGTGGTCCAGATCAGGCTCAGACAAGGACCTTTTGAAACGAGACTTGACCAAAAGAACGGAAGAGATGGAACCAGCCAAACAAATAAAACCGCAGATCCGGATACCCCAGCCGAAACCCACTGAGCCATATAAAGCGTTAAGTACAATGGGCCAAATGATACCGCCAATGGAACCACCCAAAGTAGCCACGCCCATGGCTTTTCCTCTGTTCAACATAAACCAATGGGACACAGAGGAGACTAGCGGGGTAATGGCAAGAGCCTGAGCGGATCCCATACAAATGGCAAGGGAAAAGATGAAAGCGACAATCAGGTTCGAGAAACTGACAGCAATGAAGCCACCAAAGAGTAGAACGGTAGCTGCAATGAGAAGCGGAGTGGCGCCCTTAGTATCGAAGATGGGCCCCACAAAAGCACCCAAAAAGAAGGGCAAACACATATAAATAGAAAACACCCACGACACAGAGCTCACTGGTTCACCAGCCAACTGGTGGTTGGAAACATACGCCTGAATGGCACCCACAGCGTTCAAAAAGCCAAAGTTGATCACCAAGCCAATGAAACTTCCCAACACCACCAGCCACGCCTTCAATCCCCCGTCTGGGAAAAGATCGTTAGGCTGAGGCTTCATATTAGCAAAAACATTCTCCTGTTCGTCCACCTGGAGAGGCGTTCCAGTAGGTGAAAAAGACGTTACAGGGTTAAGCGTTTCTTCAACCGCCTGCAGCAGCGACTGGCCTTGGCCCAGGGTCTGGGCACGAGAAGCCGTTCTATCCACAGTAACCACGTTCACGGGAGCTTCTGGTTTGGCGTAAGTTTCAAGCTCGATTTCAGTGGACATAGTGAGGAATGATGAAAAAATGGAAATTTGAGGAGGTGGAAATTGGCCCTTCCCGCTTATATATGCATGGGAGGGTACTGCGCAAAAAGAAAAAAGTAAGAAAAAAGAGGCATATCGGAACCACCAAGCCGCGCTTCGAAAAAAAAGTGGTGGTTATCAAATCGGGATTGTTTAGTGGATTGGAGGTGCCGAAATTTAGCAGTGCCGACGTTGTCAGGTGGTGTATTTGTCGTTGTACGTTGTAGCCCGGGAGATATTTCACCTGTGGCCTGGGAATTGACAGCCAAGGGCGTGTTTTTGCAACCACCGGTGCAGGCTCTGAGGGACTTTTCGAGGTGGAATAATGACAAGGAGGGGGAACAAACAAAGGCAAGAAAAAGTGAAGGAGAAAAAAAAGTTAGAAAAAAGTCCTAGCCTAAAAGTTAATGTAAAGAGATTTCCAATAACCTCTTCAAATAGATATCATGTTCTTCATATTCCTCTCGCTTCCCATCATCATCCTGGAAGCCGCAACAGCTGCTTGATAATGGCTGCGAAATCAGTTTCCACACCTCCACTTGTGACCATCCACTTACTCCTTTTGTTGTTTTCCAAGTTCTTGCTGCCCGAAGCTGTTGCTAGTGTAAATTGATGATGTCCGGGATACTACCGGAAAACTCTAGAACGGCCGGGATAGAAGACATCCTCATTTTCTTGACCCTGTGGCTTCACCTGTTTTAGTGCGTACATAACGGTTACGCTTAATGGGCGTATTGCAACCGGCAAAGTACGTCGAAAATCCGACTCTGCCGAGGAACAACGACGTGGTGGAAAAAACAAAATACGGCTTATGGATTTTTTGGTTTAGGTAGTTTTCGTTTCCCAAGACTTGTCTCCTGCAGCGGATGCTGTCTTCTTTGTGCCCTAGTGATGCACAAGTCACTTGGTTTAGCAGCTGGTGCATATCTAGAACGGCCTCGAGAATCGTGAAATTCCGTCGCTTCATAGCTGATCCAGGGTATTTCAAACCAACCACGGGTCTGCTTTTTGGGAAGGCTTTGTTGTGTATTGACGAAAGAAGTTGTGCATCGCCTCGGGTAGTCCATTGGCTCGGTAGCTTCGTGGGTACTTTGTTGCCGAGGTACAAAGAAGCCGTTGTAGGCTTTGATAGATTTACACATGGCTGCCTTCCATCCGATAGTTGATTGTTCTCTACACAGCCTTTGTATGTAATTTGAATATTAAACCAATCCTGCCATTGAACCTAATCGTTGCTATAGATGAGCTCCTTTTTGGCCTCTTTACTATAATCTGGCTTTTGTCCGTCAAACTTGGGATTGCTCCAGCCGTTCACATAGTCAAAGTCAGTTTTAGCCCAAGATGCAAATGGATAAGTGGGAAGCGTTTTAATAGGCTGGTCTTTCTCAATTAAACCTTTTTTGACCTGCTCTTCGATGAGCTTATCCAAATACTCTGCAATGTGGTCCCTGAAAAAGTCAAAGTTTTTATATTTGATGATATCGCCTGGTCCCTCATATAAGATCTTCCTGATAAGCGAAGGCACCATTGGTTCATCCTTCATCTCGTCTAGCGAATAAAAAACAGGATGGTTGGTGAAGATGATCGCCTGCGATTTTGGTAGTCTTCTTAACGTCTGTCTTTCCACTCTGACATTGAACGATCTTGGTTCAGTCAGCTTCATAGTAGCCTCCAAGTCAGGAACAATCTCTGGAAGCTGGTAAACGTTGCTCATTTTGAGTTTATGGTCCCAACTCATGTACCATGAAGCTCTTTCCACAGGCAGGTTAGGCGTAAGACGCTTAAACCACCTTTCCATGGAGTTCTTGAGCTTTTCTTTGTAGTAAGGTACATCTTCGTGAATAGCATCAAGATGGTTCCCGATTTTCGTCAGAATGTCAAATGATCCACCAGGAAATGGCACAGCGGCAGCTACCAAACGGTGCATTCCGTCTTCTGGGTTATACTTAACCACATAGAAATCCTCCTTGGCCATTTTCAGCACATAAACCAAAGGGTGCTCCTTCAAAGGAAAAGTCATGTCCAAAATCTCATTTGTAAGTTCATTCTTGACAACTCTGCCCTTGGTCTTCTTATCTATCAACACAGTAAATAGCAATGGATACCGATCTATCATATGCTGCAGCACCGTCTCCATAAGCTCCAAACAAGCATCTCCAGATTCCGGTAACCAGTCAATGTTCTGTTTCCCGTACTTCATAAACACCCTCTTCTTCTCTTCGCTATAGTGCCAGTAGTACTTATCCATATCCAACCAGTGGTTGATGTCAAGCTTGAAAATAGACATGGTCTGGTGATAAGGCCATCTGAAAGGTCTCCAAGGCCTGTCGTCATAGTTCTTCACCTGTTCAGGGGTAATCATAAGTGGAGTAGGTTTAGGAAGCTCTTCATCTGAAGAGTAGGACCCTTTCCTGCTCAGTGCTGGAGTCCCAGGATTAGATACACTGATGTACTTGTAGTAATACTTGGAGACAGCAGCCCGAACCTCTTTAGAGGCCAAAAGCACTGCTATCACTAAAAGAAAGATTTGCCACATACTGAAGATCCCATCAGACCGTTCCTGGCCTTGTTCTTTATAAACCTTATTGCTACTGATAATGGCTGCGAAAAGCCTTATCTATGGTGAGCGGGATCCAGGAAACTTTTTCCCAATGGGGCATGTGGAGACACAGATAATGTGGGAAAAGGTGGGAGGAAGGAGAAAACGAATCCGGAGTACTTGGGGCCGTTTTTCGGAGTTGGAGAAATTTGGGAGGTGTTTTTTGTGTTTTTTTCTAGTGTTAAGTGGAGGGTCGGTTGGTTTGGCTCAATGCGGGAAAGGTATGAGCGTTAGGTGGGTTGAGTGATAAAGCAAGAGTGGGAGTTTGAGAGTGTGGGGCTCTGTGTGGTGAAGGGGGATAGGCTGTTTATGTTTTTTTGGCTTCTTTGGTTTTTATGTTGAAGGTTTCAAGGTTTTACCGTTTATCTGGAGAGTTGATATTATATGTATGTGAGAGAGCAGGTAGAAGTGAAAGGACCTTCTAAAGTGACTCAATGCAACTGAAAAATAATCAATCAGCAAGATTTTGCATAAGAAATGTGAAAGATTCTCTTGAGAAAAGCTTCTTAGGAAACGGTTGATCGCTGTTGTTCATGATAATATCTTAAGAGAAGGAGAGCATCTCATACCAGTATCTTCACCAAAACTGCTCCGCCTTTTTCTTGTGTTATAGCTTCAACTTTTTCTACCGTCCTTGAAAGACTACTTTTGCTGTCTTGATCTCTTTTGTTCCCCTTTGCTTCTGTACATCAGTGCTTGTGTCCAATAAATAATACACTTCTAATGGAGCGTCATTGCTTTCTACAGAAGGTTTAACCCCACAATCCAAAAAGTCATCAAAAGTCAAATATTTCTTTCTTCCACTTAGTCGCTTCATTTTCCGTTGCTTAGCGGCTTCGTAGCTTATTCCGTTATACCATTGTGTGGTATAGACGCAAGAGCAAATACACTGAAATAGCTAGTGGAGAAAGCATAAATGATGGAAACTGGCGTTTCTTGAGTTCGCTATTACATAGGTCCGATAAGAATAAAATATTCAAAGGTAGTTCAATGTACGGCTGAAAGGTTGACGGCTTCATACAGAGTGAGTAATAGACATTTGCAGCCATCATCTCCAGGAACCTAAAGACAGCTAAAGTACTGGATTTTCAAGCAAAGTGTTCTAGATTAGTTTTTCATTGCCTTTTGGGGGTAATAGGTTCTTCTTATGCTCAGTATTTGCCATTTAAGTGACTGCCCACTTGTAGCACTCACGCACGTATACCATGCCACTAGAAGCTATGTAAATTAGATGAAACCATAATTTAAAGAAGTTCGGTTCTTCAAAGCTTTTTAAAAGCCTTCAGGGGTCCTTATAAAAAAGTATATATATTCTGGGAACCTGTCAGGAATGCCTTGTTTCATCCATACTGAGACCTCAAGCAAAGCCTCCGAACCAAGGAAGCAGATGCTACAAATCTCTACTTCTGCACTTATCTACGAAGCAACATGCAATTAATTAACCTAGGTGGCCTTAATTAGGAACATCCCATTCCTTATTGCTCTCAATGGCACGGTCCTCTTCTGAGTACCTCTTGGAGCATCAGACTTGAAACATGCCACTTTCATGCCTATACCTCCAACTCCAATCTCCATTCTACAAACCCACTGTTGCCAGCGGCTACACATTCAATCTTTCTCTTAAATGTACATTTATGACGAGTAGGCAAACCCCACAGGGCAGGCGCTATCTACATTAACCACCACAGAGCACCCATAGCAATAAAGAAGCTGCAGCACTCTTACAATCTTCTACCTCTTCTACCACCCTTTCTTCTGGTAGAGTCGGAAGGAACAGGAGTAACATCCTCGATTCTGCCGATTCTCAAGCCGGATCTGGCAAGAGCTCTCAAAGCAGACTGACCACCTGGACCTGGGGTCTTGGTCTTGGTACCACCGGTGGCTCTGATCTTGACGTGAACGGCGGTAATGCCAACCTCCTTACACTTGGCGGCGACATCCTGGGCAGCCAACATGGCGGCGTATGGAGAAGACTCGTCTCTGTCGGCCTTGACCTTCATACCACCAGTAACTCTGGAGATGGTCTCCTTACCGGACAAATCGGTGACGTGGACGAAAGTATCGTTGAAGGAAGCGTAGATACGGGCAACACCGAAAACTTGGGAACGGTCGGCAGACATGTTGATGTTTCTGGTTGGTTATGGAGGGTTTTTCAGAAAGTGATGGGTAGAATTTTTTGTCGCAGTGGGTGCGGGCGTGCAGGTAGCGAGCGAATGTTCAACTTTTCGGTCACGTGTGGGTGGTGAATACTAGGGCTCGAGCCCTATACTTCAACACCTTTCGTCACTCCACGCCGTCAGATCAGCCAGACACGTTTAAATACGGTTTTTAACACATTTCAATGCCTAGGATATGTCTATGGAGCCTCTACGATAGCTGGTGGTTCGTTTTGCAACCGAAGTGGTGAACCACTAGTAAATGTACACCCGTGCACCAGCTTATCCCAGGCCGTTTGAACCGTCGTCAAACCCATCAGAATCGGTCTAAATTACAATAAAACCGTATCTGGTACAATCTCGTGTCGTTCCTGATCACAATGATATCCATATAACCGGTCCTACGTTCCTTTCTCTACACTTTGTCCTCAGAGTAGCCTCTATTAATAAATGTACAAAATACCCCCGGCACGCTTAGTAAACGAAACCCAAGATCTTACCGGAAACGTGCTTTCTTCTGGCCTCCTCGTGGTCCATGATACCAGCAGAGGTGGTCAAGATGACGAAACCGAACTGTCTGGCTGGCAACAAGTTGTCAGTCCATCTCTCAATGTCACCAATCTTGACGTTGAATCTTGGGGAGATGACACCACACTTGTTCAATCTACCGGTCAACTGAACAACAATCTTACCGGATCTGTGGTCGTCAATGTATTCGAACTCACCAATGTAGCCGTGCTTCTGCATAACCTGCAAGAACTTGATGATAACCTTGGAGGAAGGTCTGATCAAGACCTGACGCTTGCCGGTCTTCTCAGCGTTGTTGATGGAGTTCAAGGCGTCAGCCAACACGGAGGTTCTGGTCATTATTAGATGGTAGTTGGAGTAATTGAAAAAACGCTGAAAAATTTAGAAGTAGCTTCTGCGAGTGCGTGATAGACCCGTGCACCACATACTAAGGGAAAACAAAGGAACCACACGCAAATTGGGAAAAACGCAGTCACACTGACTACCGTAATCTACGCAGACCCGTACACCCACACTGTAAGAGCTACCCTGCCTTGCCCCATACCTGCAGGACATCTCGAGAACCTCCCTCACCAGAAAAAATCTTCAATTTCTCTTCAACTCTTCACCAACTAAAGATGCCAGTATGTACATATCAAACAAAGGGAAACTAAGGCTTTAGCGAGAGTTATATATGGACGTTTAAGGACATGTCTTTTTCTTTATGGCTGTCTTGGCGTTCAGGCGACCGCTCCAGGTCGTAACCACCATTGATCCAGCAAGTCCAGAAGGAGGAATAAGGAATATGAAAAATCCACAAATTGGACCATCCAGATTTACCAAAAGATGTTTAAGACTTTCCATAAGCTTTCCTGTGCCTTCTGAAAGGCTTATGAAGCTCCCGCTTCCCTGTTCACTCAAAACCAACCACGTACTAACAACCCAGGCTAACAAGAGCTTCCACATTAAGCAGAAATTGGGCAAGGCTTCCAAGCAGAACAGACCTTTGCCACAGTGGCTCAGATTGAAGACCAACAACACCATCAGATACAACGCCAAGAGAAGACACTGGAGAAGATCTAAGTTGAACTTCTAAGAGTTCTGGTTATTGTTAGGTATATCTAATACACTCATGCTATAGAGATTTGTCAGCCATCACGGCTGGATGTAGAAGCAAAGATGGACAGGTGGGTTATGTCGGACTGGAAATGATGCCCATGAAGATACCTGGTTACGCTGTGGCAGTGCTAACGTTGGTATCTTGTTCATTGCAGCTCAACACTGTCATCTCGTATTGTAGTAATGAAGATCTATCGTTCTTATATCACTGACATGCTAAGTGGCTTGAGGAATACGTTCAGTCCGTTTGTGGTTCGATGAAGATATGATGATTCTGGACATATAAGGGAAACAGACCGCTTCATGATCCCTTAGTCTTCTAGAGAAGAGAACTTCTGTTGAAGTTGAATACCGCTTGATGGAGTTTGTTATAAAGAACACAAGAAGATTCGTTTCATTATAGAACCTAGTGCCCAATAAACCTTTCATCCATCAAATAAAAATATCTTGAGGCTCGCAAGGCCAAACTACAAAAAGCACCATCATCTTTTTGATTTCTCTTGTTGTAATCCCTCTTAATATCAATCATATTCATTCCACACTTCTCTTACTGTGTTGTGTTTTGAGGATCTTGTCCTTTGAGTCCTGTGACCTTTAGAGAGATCCTGCTTCCATCTACATCCCATACCTCGTCGCCTCGGTATAAATATTATTCCAGCCCTATTTAAAACATTCTCTTCCTGTGTTGATGCGGATTATGACATTTCTCGTGGCATTTCGCTCATACTGTCTTGACGAGAACTTAAACCTCCTCCTCGAACACAGTCTCGATTGGCTTCTCCATGAAAGCAGCATGGGTAAATACACATACTGACAGAGAGCCAATCAACCACATCAAGGTGGAAATTGGGCTCGCCAAAATGCCCAAAACTAAAGATACAATTCCCAAACCCATGTATAACTGAGAAGGTGGGAAACGGCCGATTGGCAAAACCAAGTCTTCACCGCCCAATCTGCTAATACCAAGCAGACCCAAGACAGCAAATACAATCAAGAAAAGCAAAAGCAAGTTCGTCACAAGCGCATAGATACTCAAAGCTGAGACAATCAAAATGTAGTTGGCCTGGTAGTAGCCCAAGTTGTAGCCCACACGAGACTGAACCTCGCCGAAGTCAGCTGGCTTAGAAAGTCTTCTGATATCGAAAAACTCCTGTGGAGGCTTGAGCTTCGAAACTCTGGTCTGGAGAGAGGACACGTCGTTCCTGAGTCTTTCCATGCTAAGTCTCTCAGAGAACTGGGAGAGCTGGATGTTAGTGCCATGTTCATATAGATACTGATGGGTTAGCCGAGAAACGCCTGTTACAAATACATACTGGAATGTAGGGAATCGTTATGCCAGACATGATGAGTGGTAGAGTTAGATGTGGTGTTTTTCTTTCATTTGAAACGGCTATCGCGAACCGCGCCTTGGAAAACTATGGGTACCTGACAGGACTTACACCCGTGCACCTCAGCTATTTTTTGCAACCATTCTCTACAACCCAAGATCCTTCTTCACCATGGCCTTGCAGATTGGGTGGTAGCGGCTCTCAAACTTCTTAAAGTACTCCACTGCAAGGTCGTGATCGACACTTCCCAAAAGCCTGTACCCTGGTCTGGCAAACTTCATTCTACCGACAGTACCAAGCCATTCACCAAGCTGGTGGTAGAACTTCTTGTTTTCACCGCCAACCTGCAACACGAACCAGCGGAAAAGGACTTCGGCGTTGGATGACTTTGAGTAGGCGTTGTACACTTTGTCAATAACATGCAATGCGTCGTGGTGGTCCTTCCAGTGGAAGTTATCGAGCTTGTTGAACGAAGACAAGGTATCCAAGAAGACAACGGACTGGTTGGCAGTGAAGCTCTCAATGTCTGATGGCTTGAAAAGCAGCGACAAGTCCTCGTTCTTGCGTGTAGCATTGACCCACTTGTCAGCCAAGCTGTAACATTGGTCAACCAAGGTAGTGTCAAAGTCTGGCTTCACAGGAGGCATGCCGGGCTTGTAAAGCCACAGGTCCCAATCAATGCTATCAAGCTTCTCCTTGTGGTCCTTAAAGAATGCATAAAGTGTGTCGATGAACTGGTATGTGTCAAGCGAAGAGTACTTGAATTTGTTGAAGTAATGAGGAATGAAAGGATCAAACACTTCCTTACCGCCAACGATACGTTCGATGTGGAAAAGCAAGGTAGAACCCTTCTCGTATGGAACGGTAGAGAAAGCGTCATCTGGGTCACTGCGGTCCTTCAAGTCTTGCACCAAGGTGGAGTATCTCTCGGCAGAGTCGCCCATGGCTTTAATGCTGTTCTCCAAGTCAGACCATCCGATGATGGCCGAGAAGTGCCTAGTGGGTTCGCCGTGGATAGCTCCCTGGATACGTCTCTCCAAGTACACGGTCCAGCCTTCGTTAAGCCAGAAATGCTCCCAGGAGCAGTTGGTAACAAGGTTTCCAGACCAGGAGTGTGCAAGCTCGTGGGCAACGACATCCACATTTTCTCTGTCGCCACTGATCAACGTAGGAGTGACAAAAGTGGCATTGGGGTTCTCCATACCTCCGTATGGGAAACTCAGAGGCAAGACAAGAGCGTCGTATTGGTCCCACTCGTAAGGGAACACCAACTTCTCTGCAGCCTGCAAGAAATTCTCCATGTCGTGCTCAAACTCGTGCTGGCAGGCCTTGACACGGCTTGGTTCACTGTAAACGTGGGATCTTGGCCCGATAGGCAACTTGGTGATATCTCCAGAGGCAATTGCAACCAAGTACGATGGAATCGGAATGGGCTGTTCGAACTTGTATGTTGTGCCTTCAGCAGAAACTGGTCTTCCACTCATCAACGTTGGAAGCGACAGCTCCACAGAGAAGGAGTAGGTGGATTTGACGGCTGGAGTATCGAAACAAGGGAAAAGACTTCTGGCGTGGATCGCCTGGCACTGGGAGAAGAAGTATGGTTCCTTCTTGCCATCGGTAGCATCTCTATCGAGGAATTGCAACGCCGTACACTCGTCAGTAGTGCTCCAAGTGAGTTCCAAGGCAAACTTGGTTCCCTTCTTGATTTCCGTCTTGATCTCCAAAGTCGAGCCCAAGATACCTCTTTCGCCCTGCTTCACGTCAGCAGTAGTACCATCCACAGTGGCGCTCTTCACGTCCAAAAACGACGAATCCAAAACGATAGAACTCACCTCATCAAGCGCCTCCAAGTCTATCTTACTCTTTCCGTGGAGAATCTTCTTCTCCCAGTCAACTTCAAAACCAAGTGTCGTGTGGAGAACCTTGAACAAGTAGTAGTTCAGCAAACTGGAGGGGTCTCTCTCAGGAGACACCTGGGGGCGGTGAGGGGCAATGACGTCCATACTGATGGGGAATAGCTAATTGAAGAAAGATGTAGCTTCTAAAGTATGGGCCTGAGAAATCTGCGCGCCATACACTGGAACGGCTCTAACGGGACCATCTTGGCTGAAGTGAAAAAACCAGCATTCATGGGTTTTAATATTTTTTAAGTGTTTTTCTGGTAAACAGCGTTCTTCTCTTATATTCCAAACCCACCTCTTCATAAACCCTTGGTTGACTGGGTAAGGCTTGTTTGTTCTCTGGAATCCACAGTTGCGGTAGGCTTATGGTAGGCGCCCTGGCCTTGACTGACCAAGGTGAAAGTTCCACAAAAATGAACAAGATGAGGTATTATTGTTATTTGCCTAAGCTTCCATTCTGGCGCCTTTTTACGAACATTCGCCTCGAATTTGTTTATTCTTTAAGTGCACCCAGCGTGGCTGAAGACTCTGCAAAGGTTATATCTGGGCTGTAGACCATTGCGTTTCCAGTGGTGTGATGCCATTGGTTGTTTTCTTGGTTACATCCGCTTTTGAGACACTTTTTTTTACTGCTGGGTTAGAAGCACTAAAAGCTGTTGTGTTTTGCCGGTTTGCAGTGTGCAGCTATTAGTGGTGTCTGGTGCTGTTTATTGTGGGTTTTGCAGCCATTCACGGTGTTGTGGCCGGATCGGTGACACTAAAGCAATCGAGATTGGAAATTAAGCTTTTGATGGACAACACGGCTGTTTGTTTGTTTCTTTGTTTGTAGCGTTGTTGCTGGGTGATGGAGGAATTCTGGAAGGATATTGTGTGAAGTTTGGGCTGGAATAACCCTCAAGGCTGAAATAACCGTAGAATGGAAGAAGTGGTGGTATTTCCAAGGAAGCTCGGTACCTGATTTTGTTTTGTGTTTCTAGGCATATTTTGTTTAGATATCAATTGTAACCCTGCTAGTGAGTAAAGTCTCCAGTCGTTTCACCCCAGTAATGAGGGCTAGTTAAAGTTACTTCAGTAAAGCCTCTTAAAGAAATTTAAACCAAGAACGAATTCAACTCAAAAAGCTTAGTGGCCATCTCTAAACCCTATTTTCACAACAAACAAGCAAGTTCCTCTTGTTTTTGGTACTTCACAGCTTTGTGGGGCAGGTTCGGCTTTATCACGGAAAGTCACATCAATCCACGCCAGAAACACTTTCCACGCCTCAACTAACCAAACAGCAGCAATCCTCTTTGGAAAACCAATACATCTTCAATTTTCCAAATCTAGCATATAACAATTGGATCCCCTAACCCTCTACTTATGTTGCAATTGTCCACACGTGACCTCCATACAAGTACTCCACATACTACTTTCTTGGAGCACTCCATGGACCATACTCTTTTACTGGACTAAAAAGCCTGTTGCGTCAACATTCCCGCCGTCTTTCACTAATTATGCCCCCGGATAACCCTCCTTACGGCTCCAAAACGCTCGCTAATTCAGTGGAACTGCCGTTGCATAGGCTCGAACAGGAAATAGCCAAAGATCTCAGATCCGAAAACCACCAGTCTAAACGGCCTTCTGACGCCGCCTCCTTATACTCGTTTGACTCTGTGTCGACTTCTGGTAGGTTGCTTGACCGATTGGACTTGGATACTGAAGATTACGATGACGACTTCCTTCGAAGACGTGAGTCTTATGCCCTGATACAGTCTACTGGTCGGCTCTTGGACCGCTTGGGGTTGGATGATGACGGTGAAGAAGCTTCTCTGCCGCTGCTGCTTACTCTGGCAGGCTTGCCTTCGAGTTCTGGTGGTGACCCACGTTTTAAACCTGTGAGAGCATCATCTGCCATCAGCTTAAACAGAATGAAGAGTACCCAGTCTCAACGGCCTCCAATGAGAGCACTCAGTTCTAAAAGCTCATCTAATGGCCGCTTACCTATACAAAATGTCGGCTCAACTCAATTCAAACAACCCTTCGAGAGGCCTGGTGCCTCTGTTGATTCGTTCCATGCTGACCTAAATTCTTCTCGCAACAGCCTGTTCACTCGTTTGGCCAATGCCCAAAGGTCGCAGTCTCTGGGCTCCACTGGCTCTGGTATGTCCATGAAAATGCCTGGTAGCTTTGATAATGGCTCCATTGATGAGCTTTCTTCGGAAACAGAAACAACAGCTGTGGAAGAAAGATCGTCATCTCCACTGCCAAAAGTACAGCCTGCGCCATTTCACGCCCCACTTAAACCAAATTTTGGAACTAGACAAGCCTCGGGCTCTTCCCAAACATCTACCTCGTCTACCGAAGTTCCTATTTTCAATCCTAACGTAAAATTCAACCCAGCATTGGAGAATATGGTCAAACAAGCCCTTCTGCTAAGAAATCAAAACGATAGAGAGGCATCCTATCAACTTCAAATTACGGGGAATGCACCTAATAACTACCCAAAAGCAATGTTACTATACGCCCTGGCACTTCAGTTCGGCCTCGGTGTCAAAAAGAACGACATACTGTGTGTGAAATGGTTGTGTCGATGTATACTAGTGTCTCAGATTGTCGAAACCAACCCTGTGGACCCACCTTCGCTTAATAACTATGTTCAAAGACTTCATGAACTTCTCCCGCAGGATTTGGTGAAGATGGTCTGCAAACTGACGCCTAGCCTGGCCGATCCTTTTGACTTGTACGATGAATACCTGGGCATGAACCAGTCTGTTATTTCAAAAATTGTGTCTCTCAATAACAAGGAAAACAACACCGTCGCTGCAGCTTACCACAAGTTGGGAGAAGCGGTCCTTCTTGGCTCGGCCTACCTTCTAAAGATACCTTGACTGCCATCCAACTTCTAAGCAAAGCCGCCTCCATGGGTTATCCTTTATCGATGGTCAAACTCGGTGAGTTATGGGGACAAAGTCTAAACACCACAAAAAGACATCCACAAAGCAGCTGCTTGGCTTCGTCTTGCTGAACTTTTCGGTAAGAAAGACATCGGCAACAGCTGGATCTACAAGTCAAAGTATATGGTGAGACCCAAAAAGTGATCATCAATTACTATATCTTTTTCCTGATTGGAAGCTGTACTTATTTCCTTCGTTCATTTCCGACCCATAGAGCTCCATAAACTCGCGTAGACAGCAATATAGATATCCACAGGCATCGCGTAAGTCCGAGTAGGAACCAACAGGAGCGTAGTATTTGTCCAGAGATGGACTGAGCGGTAGTTCATGATTGGCTTTTTGAACAGGGGTAGCCCGATTATGCCAGCTTTTAGGAAATACTGTTGATGGAGAAGGACATAGGGTAAAGAATGACTGGGCTTCAGCGAGAGTGTCCGAGATTGTCTGGTGATCGGCAATGATTTGCAGTTGGAGCTCGAGCGTTCTGCTCTTCGATTGTGTAGAGTTCTCAACTGCAGCTTTAAGACTTCCGATGATTCTCTTGAAGACGAGGGCTTTTAACGTTGTGAGGACTCCGACGAGGAAGGTCAAATATGCCTTTTTCTTGTCTTGAACGTTATGTGTCTTGATGTACTTTTCTATGCGAGAAACGAATGGGGTATGTCGTCGAGAAAAGTTGTCCATATCTTTCCGATATGTGTGCTGCTGGGATTGGATGCCTTCTCTTCGTAGTCGTTGGCGATCACCAAGCAAAGGATCCAATCGAACTGGATCACCACCGAAAAGAGCGGGTCTTTCGACCTAACACGATCCGCATGGGACATTGCGCTCTTAGCAAGCTTCTGCCAGTACAAAGCTGCTTCATTCTTAGGTGAACCAGCTGGGCTGGTTGGTTTGGAGTCAGAAGCAGCGGCTTCCGTGATTCCCAAGCCCTTAAGCGCCGTTTTAGGCGTAACATTCCGAAGACTCAGCAGCGAAACAGTCATCCTGACAAGGAACCTGGGCTTCTTCAGGTCATTAAGCTTGTTAACCCACCGCACCCGAGCCTTCAGTGGAGATTTCCGTGGCGACTTCGACAGCGTTTCCGAGCCGCCATGTTCCAGTTTAGGCTCAAACATCGTCGGTAGCGTGGGCAGTAGAAGCGAAATAGGCAAATTGTCTATATCAGATGCATGTGGCAGCCTTGTAGTGTCTTCATCGTGTTCGTAAGGGTCATGTTCGTCGTTGTCGTACAAGTCTGGAAAGTCAGGTTTGGCAAATTGTGGAGGCAACGTAGGCGAAAGAAGCTGCGGTAGCTGGCCCAGCACACATACAGCGATATCATATCGTCAACGTTCCACGCCGACAGTTTAGGAGCCAGCACTGGCGTAGTGGGAGCAGGCGAGTTCGGGGTCGCTGCAGCTGGAGAAAACGGCAGCAGAGACTTGGCCTTTTTCTGGGATAGCGTCCGGCGAAACCCTCGTGGCTTGCTGGGTCGTTCCAGTTCCAGAAATATGGCTGACTTCATAGCGAATGGTGGAAGTTCACGTAATATCTTTACCTGCTGAGGCTGGTATTTCTGGAAAGTGGATCAGATACCCTCACCTGGTACTTATCTGCATGCTGTGGTGTGGGGCGCCTATTGGGGTGGAAGTGTTGGGGCAAGTGGCAGAGAAGGGAAAGAAGAGGGAAAGGAAGGTCGAGGGGTGATAAGAAGAGGGGAGGATTTGGTATGTCGTTGTTTCTCTATTTTTTCTATTTTTGTGGTTTTAGTTGGGCTCTGTTGTATGTATGGACTGGCTGCAACGAATCGGGAAGCGCTCTTCTCAGACAGGAGCCAGGATAGGCTTTGAAGCGACAGACAAGGTTTATGGGTCTTGGAGGAAGGATTTGGCTGAGGGCGCTGGAATGATCGGGCCATTGACCTCTGGTATGTTCTGGTTGGGTTTGGGAAGGTATAGGGAAGGCTGGGGAAGGCTGGGGAGGTGGGAAACATGGATGTACTGTTCCGAGAGGCGTGGTGGGTCCCTGGTTCTACGAGTTTGTAAAGAGTAGTTTTCAAGCACTGGGTGTTGGCTTGAGCATTTTTTAGTAGTAGAGGTAGACCCACCTTCTATATAAATATCATCTCTGTTGTCTTGTCTTGTTGTCTTCTTGTCCTATGGTGTATACTTCCGTTTCCACCTGTGCACCATCAGTGTTGCCGTGCTACTCCAATTACCGCCCAGTGATCCCACAGAGGCTATGCCCGTCATTTGCCATTTTCCATATAAAAAATAAACTCTCCAGCTCATTCTTTGCCCTTATTAATCAACCTAAGCTGCTTCTTCCTTCCCTTTCTCCATAATAAAGCGCATCCGGTTCACTGGCGCACCCAAGACAAGCCAGCTACCGCCAACACTTCCAAACCCACTAACCAACCCAAGACACTCGGATTAGCTGAGTTTTACCATCCCTTCCAAAGATACTCCAGCTTGGGTGGTTGCAAAAGACACTGTTTACCTTTCATGTACGTCATGTATACAGCTGTGGTCTACTCGTATATCTGCAGCCTTGGTTTGAACGTCCCCCTAACCCATTTCAGGTGAAACAGGTCAGTCTTCCTGTCTTTTAAGACCTTAGAAACGTTCATTATTGCCCCTGCTTATTAGTGTGTTTTTTTATTTCAGTTGAAACCTGGCTGGGCTGATGTTTACTCGCTACTGGCTTCTCAATAGCTCCTTTAGCTAGGGAAACCCAGAAGAGGACACCTACCATGACCTGAAACACCAGAAAGTTCCAAAAGACATATCTAATAATACCTCCTTCCCGGAATATGGCATTTCGACCTTCTTGGTCACCTCTCTTGGTAGCTTGATGCCACCAGGAAAACATCACCAAACTGCCCTCACTGAGCATATCCAAGCCATAGAGACGATACATCAACGTTCCAAAAACACCCAAAAGGCATAAAAAGAGGTATTTTTTTGTTAATTAATGTTCCCAAATCCCATAGACCTAAGCATCTTCCCTTAAGAGCCACATATAGACAAATACTACACCGTTCCTCCTGCTGAACACAAGAAGCCTACGAAACCTATAACCATCAACGAACAGTCCACCAAAGCCTACTTACCGTCCCTGGGTCACCATTCCCATTCTGAAGGACTCCTTTAACCCCAGCGCCTACACTGCCTTTTTCATTGATACATTCTTAACTATTTATGACTTAATGACGAGACACACGATGCTCGTAAGTGACGACAACCAACGGCAGACAGCAGAAGAGAACCAGGACATTCAGTCGGCATCATCGATTCAAGAGGCCCCCAACCTCTACCAATGTATACCTTCTTGCAGTCTTGATCCATCTCCCACTACCCAACCGCCGGCAGCGCACTTAGGCTTTCCCAAGCTTCGAAAGCTTAAACATGCTGCTTTGGTCCAGCAAAGCAGATGAAATGGCCTTTTTGGCAGCTTTCTTGGCTTCTCTCTTCTCGTTGTTCTTCAGACGCTTCCCTTTGCCAATAACCTTGCGGGCCTTGGTGCCCTTTTCGTTCTTGGTACCCTCGTCAGACTTCGAGCTCCCCAACTCGTTATCCGACTCAAGCGCCAAGAGCTTGACTTTCGATGGCTTCGGCAGCTGCTCTGGTGTTGTCTCAGTGGTACTGGACTCCTGAGGTTTGTCCATATCACTATTGTCACTCTCCAACATGGAGTCGTCTTTGTCATCCTCCTTCTTCTCCACGTCATCATCATCATCCTTCTTGTTGTCACCGTCGTCATTCTTCTCCTCGACGTCATCCCCTTCAGCATCTTGCTGCTCGTCGGCGGCCTTCGATGGTGCCTCGGCGCATTCCTTGTCGTCGTCGATGCTGATAGTCTTGTGTGGGACCTGCTCAGGGCAGACCTCGGGTACCTCAACAGGCACATGTGTTTCCAACGACACGTTGTCATTAGCAAGGCGCTCGGCCTTAAGATTCTTCACCTTCTCTCTGATGTTCGCCTTCCATTTGTTGACGAACTCACACCAGCGGGTCTTCTCCTCGAACTCCTCCCTCACCTTGTGCCAATAAATCTGCTGAGCGATGTCTCTGGCTCTGGGATCCTCCTGGCCGTAATGCTGCTGATAGGCGAAGTATTGGAACTCGCCGGGCGCCCACTTAAGCAAGATGCGCCTGTAGTCGTGGCTGATGAGGTCTCCGTTAGGAAGCCACACAGTCTTTCTGACGTCGGCCTCGAGAACGCAGTCTGGACCGTACCAATACGGGTCCAATTCGAATGACATTGCTAAGGCGGTTAATTGATGAGTAGTAGAGTGGTTACCTGTGGTTACCTGGTGGCTGGTGGCTGTGTAAGTTAAGTGTGGTGAAGAATAAGTTTCTGGTTGGTTGGTATGTGTCAATCAAGAGGGTTCCTGATTGAAGCTGCTACTGGAGTGCTGCTTGAATGAATAAACTTTCTGTGGTCACTGGCGTTCGTATTCTTGTTCGAGTAGGCTGTACTTGGAACAAGGGTCGAAAAAGTGGAAGAAAGGTAAAGAAGAAGAAGAAGAAAAGAAAAAGAGGATTTCTGAGACAGCGCTACTTTTATAGTACAAACACAGGGAAACCGGTACCGCTGTGCGAGACTCATACTGAGGAACTCTGGAGGTCAATGGGCACGTAACTGAAACCAGAGCCAAATTCAACCACCAAAATCATATTTTAAGTGGATTATGTGCTTTTTCCACGATGTTATCATGCATTGCATTTATGTGTGGTCTTGATGTATGGCTGCGAAAACTTGACGCACGTCATGATCGTATTTAGTACTCACTACAGGTCCGAGCTGCACGAGAAGACCCTATAAAGGCTGACGTGAGGCAGGTGGAATGGGACGAAACCGTTATGGAGATTCTAGAAATCGCCTCTTTAGGTCCTTATTGGGCCTTTGGGGTTTTTAAGGAGGTGAAATGCCGCGAAGGAGTGACGTTGTCGTTGGTTTTCATGAAATTCTGGTAATCTTCCATTGTTTGAGGAGGTGCGTATTGAGAATACCAAGAGGTTTAGATGGTGAAGAAAGAGACATTATATGATACAACGTTGTCAAATGAACAGCAGACACTTGCTGCTGTTGTTGCCCTACAATGCCTGAAGAAAGCTAAGGAGTCTTCTGAGAGGGTGCATTCCAGTTAGGAGCCCTAGGGCCCCTTAACTCGTCGTCTTTAAACTGTATTCCCCCGAAAATACACTATAGAGTACTACAATGGTTGTATCTCTCAATTTCCACCAGGAATTGTACCGTAGTATCCTTCTTCCATCATCATGTCGGTGTATCGCAAGATTCCCAACTTATCTCACACCTAAACCATGGATCAACCCCAAACCGATGAAATCCCCCTTCTTAGAACTGCCACCCTGTCCTTTCTTTCACATTGCCTTGCAACTTCCACCCTTAATAATATCTATACTTGCCAAGTTCGGCAATAACCACACTCACTCGTCGCAGCAGTTGCAACCTCCTATGTCCACCACTTTTGAACCCAAAACCAATGAAACCACAAAAGAAACTAAAAATCAAGCTTCCCAGCTTTCAACTACTTACTCTAACCCATTTATATCTTCAGGCAGTTCACAACCCTCACCACTAACTCCTACACTCGAACCTCATCACCAGCCACTCTCAGCAACTCACCAACCAAACCCACCCAAAGAAAACCAGTCCAGTATAAGACGACGGCAGCCTCAAATAGAACGCCTCTTTCTTTTTTTACCTAACTTTGACTAAAGCAACCCATCTTCCGTCTCCAGGTGCTGCCAATCAGACTCTGAATCATATCCCTGCATTCTGATGCTCTCCCACCAATGCGGATCATCGAACAGGAAAAACGTCTTGTCGAAACCTGAAACCAACCAGCTCTAAGGAACAATCGCTTTTCCTGAAACCAAATTTTTACCCCTCCATCCCAATTAGTTTCCATGATAAATATCTCGACTGGGGTTCCATATAAATAAAGATTTCAATCCATTGGTACGTATTAACCTACACAGCATATGAACGGACGAGACCAAGATCGTCCAGGCCCAGCGACAGCTAAGCGGCCGGCCAAGTCAGGGCCACAACCAGGCAAACCCAAAGCTGGTACGAGACCTAGACCAGCCAAAGCAACAAAGCCGGCGAAGGGGAAGGCCCCAAACCCACCAAACCCTAATAAGGGAAAGTCTGGAAAAGCTCCAAATGCTGGTAAAGTTGCCAAACCAGCGCCTAAACCAGCCAAAAAGGGACCGAATGGAAGTGCTAATAATGCGCCGAAGCCTACGCCGGTAAATTCAGCCAATAGAACGAAAACGGGAACGAGACCCCACGGAGCAACAAGAGTCAGAAAAGGTCAATCTCATCCAGCCAATACCGTATCTAAATCACCTCTTTTACCGAACGAAATCGCTGCCCTCAAACTGGGCTTGACGATTGTGAAAGATGGACAAGTGATCGAACCTAGACTGAATTCTATGAAGAAGGGTACACGTCCACTTTCACCGGCAGCTTCAAGGGTAATGGGAAAGGCCCCAAGGGCCAATCAAGCTGCCGACACACAACGAAGCGCTCCCAAGGCAGCCTTTGAAAATGCCAGTCAGCCTGTCATTACAGGCTATTCTCTGTCCGAAGAAGAATCCGATGGGGTCGAAATCTTGGACGATGACTCGGACGTCGAGGAAATCAAAGATGGCTCAGATGATTCGAAATATGAAAGCGGTTCTTCTTCTCCTAAGTCACATGTTCTGGTAGAAGCTGCTGATTCTAAGGATGCTCCGATCGAGATCATCCCCTCGGAGCATGACGACAATGCAAGCGTTGAATCAATAGTGGATTTGACTCATGATGCTAATTCTGAGGAAGTAAAGCTGAAAAGCAAAGATGATCAGCATCAGAGCACAAATCTCGAGAAAGATGAGGAAGAAGATTCAATTGAAGGAATGGTGTCACAAGACGGATCCCAATCCTATGACTTTGAAATAGAGACCCAAGGTGTGCTTCCACAGGTAGCAGAAAGCCCTAAACCGGGCTCAAATGAAGGCGAAGCATCTGCAAGTTCGGGCACCAAGATTGCTGAAGAGCAGCCTCCAAATGTTATTCCTAACAACATTCGTTCGACGCAGGCCCCAAATAACTCCGGTCATAACAGTCCTTTAGCTAATAGCCCGCGTCTTATGCTGCCTTCTCCTGCTGCAACAGTGGAACAAAATTCTAGACCCGCCGTCGACAAGAAGCGACCTGTGGGAGCTTACGACTCATCTGAAAGAAAGCGTCAGCGAATGGAAAGGTTCTCGTCCCTGCCCCAAGTCTACACAACTACACCCAGCCTACCTGTCAAAAGAAGTAATACACAAGGGTTTTTGGGACATTCCACCGCCTTGGAAAAATCTTTCTACAGACTTACGTCTGAGCCAAATCCAGCCAACGTACGGTCACCAACTTTTCTTCAAAACTGCGTTCCCTACGTGGTGAACAGATACAGGACAGAAGGCCTACTGTATCATTACATCAACGACCAACTAAAAGCTATTCGTCAGGATTTGACTATTCAACACCACAAATCCCAATTCACCAGACATGTCTACCAAACGCATATTCGAATTGCTATAGAGAATGCTGATTTGGGTGAATTCAACCAATGCTTGTCGCAATTGTTCAACTTGTACGCCATGGACCCGGCAAACTTTGAGCTATCAGAGTTTATCGTTTACAAAATACTCTATATGACAATCACTGGAAACAATCCTGAGATTAATAAGCTTCGATATAGGTTTCTTGGCCAAGAGGACATCAAAGTTGGAAAGAAATCAAGCGAGTTCGATGAATGGATTAGACCAGCATTGGACTTATCCACAGCTGTCACGAATGGTGACTACTATTCCGTCTTCAAGTTGTACGAGAAGTTCAAAACGAGCAATAAAAAGCATGCAATTCAATTGCTAAAGGATCACATAATATCCAAGCAACGCTTCGTGACGCTCTCGATGTTCTGCAAATCATTCAAAAGGCTATCGACAGAGTTCCTTGGCCAGCAACTACTGTTGCATTCGGAAGACGGTAGCATCGCTCGATTTCTAGATGAATTTCGTCTAGATAGTTTTGTTCATGGACCTGATATTGATCTTGTGCAAGCCAAACCACAGATCAATTCCATTCTTGAGCAAGGCGTCTACATGAAGACTTCTTAACTGCATATCTTGTCCTTTTAAAGACAGTCCGGGGATTAATTCAAGTATTTACATGGATGGCGCAACAGCCATCAAGGCGAAGTTATTTCTCTGAACTTCGTCTGTGTTATCCATATAAAACTGGATCTTGTTCACCAACTTGGAGTCATCGAGAATATGACTTTCATTGCTTTCTCCTAAATCCACAGGGCCGGTTCTTCTTCCATCCAACTCATACAAATGGCCGTCTGAACCTTTGACATATGTGATGAAGTGGTACTCAATGGAGTCATTTGCATCCGGTGCTTCAGTCTGTCCTTGAGAGCCATAGTTCTCGTCGAGCTGAATATTCTGCTCCAATGTCTCGACTAACTTGGTAATCTCTTCGGTCAGCAACAGCAGGGAGAGCTGCAGAAGCAAAAGCTTATTCAACATCAGGTTTTCAATGATGAAGTCACGAGGCAAGTTGGCTAAAACATGAAGCAATGCGTATAAACCACATCCATTGCCGATTGTCTGCTTAAACCAAACTGCACCGTTTGAGTCGTTCTTGGCTTTAGCATCCTCCAGCTTTCTGTATTCCTCATATGAACTAGTCAATGGGAACAACATGACGAGAGCCATGACCGGTTGGGGCAAGAAAGCTAGCAACTCAGGCTCAGTGATCGAGTAAACATCATGGAACTGGAGAACTGGCGAAAGGCCGATTTTGTGTGCAAGAGAATTGAAGATCTCTGGATTGGACTCGAGAGGGATAACACGCTTGGAATCTGGCATGATGGAGATGGATTAGATTATAGATCGTGGGGGCACTTTGTCGTTAGACTCGGTCTGAGATAGATCACATGGTGGTGGTCATGTGACCACTTATCAAACAAAACACCTTACTGATCTGGAGACTACCAAAAGCAGCTTTCGGAAGAATCGAGGGCCTTATTTACCTTTCGGTTAAAAGGATTCAAAGCCCTGCTTGTTAGCGAGCCACCAAAGACACACATTCCGATGCATCGGTCATCATTGGCACTAAGGAATGTGGACCGCCCCCGCCCGACTTAACGTTCACCGTTCCACAAAGTTAAGTTCCAACGCTGCTTATCAAATATTTTGGATTATTATGGATTGGTTCTGTAGGCTTGTTTCCATTACATCATGCCAGAATAGCACTTTTTCACGGATTGACGCATCATTTATCATTGTAATATCATTCTACCTTTAATAAAACTAATACTTTTTAACGCCTCCCCAGTCCAGATACTGGCGCCCATACCGTGGCTCCTCTTCCCTTGTTTACCACATACAACATTCTCTCCACACCTCTGTTTGTTCCACTTACTTATTCAGAAAGTGCTATCTCGGACCTGCACCCGGCACCGTATTAGACTTACCCTGGGGTGCTAGACTTTCCCTCGCCCTATCACATTGCTCGCAGTCCGCCTTAGTAATCCCCATATAAAGCACACAGACCCCACCAGAAGACACATTTAACAAAACAGAAAGACAGTAATACTTTTGTTTTAGTTATTCGAATCTGAACTGGATCTTCATGCTTTGGGGTTCTTACAAGTTTGTGGCGATTCCGCTCATACTCGTCTTTTTCTTACTCAGCTGTGGCACTCAAGTGATACTACCCAAAGAGCTCGATACACATCAAAATGTCATTGTGGTTTCGATTTTGACCCTTTTATTTCCAGCGGCAGCCTTCTTGGCTAAAGTGGCCACCGTGCCTTCTACGCTGTTGCCCCAGGAGCCTCCCAAGGGCGCCATGAGGCTTCTTTGGCTCCCAGTTGTATTGGAGTCATTCAAATTTTGCATTTTATTCATCGCCAGCAGGATGGGCAGCCTGGCGAAGGTTTTACATCACGCCCTTAACGTTGCATCATTGCTACTGTTTTTTGTGGTGGCGCTTACACTTTACCAGAATGCGCCACACAATATGGGACTATACCAACGGTTTTATAGTCTATTGGATATTTGGGAGGATTGCCGGTTAGCGCCGCTCCCACCTTCGAAAATCAAGCATCAGGGTTCTATTGCATCGTTAGGCTCTAATGGCTCCGGAGAATCAGAGGAGGCGCCTTCCTTCAACTTGAATTCCTTCTCCGGTAAGTCCAACAGGGTTCTTTCCCAGAGCAAGCTGATGCCTATATTATCCACTCCGCTGCTGTCAGTGCTGGGCGCTATTGACCGCTTTTATTCTGTCTCCCCCAAGAATACATTGCATTTGGCGTCCGATGATGAGTCCTTACATAATGGGCCGCACGGTTATAATCCGTACGACAGCTTATTTAGAAGCGGCCTGTTTTCGTATGAGCACTCAGACGTCCCAAGCCCTCTTGATGGCCCTGACGTTAGTTTCGAAGGTTCCATAAACTCTTGTGATCCGATGGATCCACATTGCTGCAATGGGGCTGGATCCTCATTGAGCATCAACCAGTTACCACCAAAGGATAGCACACATTCAAGCTCTACCTCATCCTCGGCTTCATCGAAGTCCTCGAGGATCGGCTTCCTTAAGTGGTTCCATTGGTTGTTTCCCTTCAATTTCTTTCAGAAGCGCAAGTCCAAAGCCTTCTACCGCAGACTTCAGCGGGTGCAGATAAAGCAAAGGTTCTCCACATTTAGTTTGAAGAACGAGGCCTCTTCTCTTTTATCAACTGAGAAACCTCCGCTTTATGGCTCGCTCGATTTAGAAAGTCAGACGTTCACGCCAGCGTACACTCGCCAATACAACTGTCATGACTTCTATCAGTTTGCAAAGTTCTCAAACGCCAACTATGATGAATGGGTGTCAACCACAAATCAAGTTGATCCTATCTTCAGGAAGTTTGGCGTGACTATTGACCAATTCAGCATATTCTACTTTGTTGCATACGTGACTGAGCTTATCTTAGCTCAGTTCGTCTCTACCATGACCCTTGCATTACCATTCTACATGTCGATCCTGGTGGGTCAGACATTGGCACTTTACTCAGGCATGTTCATATGTCATTTATTTTGCACAAATTTCCTCAAGAACCAGAGTGAAAGATCATACAAATTCAACATTCTCACTGCGTTAACAGTGAGAATTTTAACCTTCAGCGGCCTCGTTGCACTTTACGTGAGTGCATCTTGAGCTGCTACAATAGGAATAGCATCTAGATTAAATATATTATTAATTTATTAAGCGGATTGTATTAGATGGCCTTCTCTCTCAATGTGGTCATCAAGTAGCTCTCGTTGGTGTACGTGAATCCATTAACATGCAAAATGTCACCAGGACTTTTGCTAGCCGGAAACAATGCTTTTGATTCCTGAGGAGTGAAGGTCATGCTCGTGAACTCATCATCGAAGTTTTCTGCCAATATAGGATCTGTGATGACTGGTAATATTGGTGGAAGAATTGGTATGTCTTGCTCTGCAGAATTTTCCACTTCTTTCCAGTCCAAATACCGAAAGAATCTATGGCCTTTGAATTTCTCAAACTCAGTGTCGACATCAAGTCTTTTCTTTGGGTCTGGCTGTAAGAGTTTACGAAGAAGATCCTTTGCATCCACTGAAAGATAAAATGGGAATTTCAAATACTTCTTGGAATGGACGACCTTATCCATGATCTTCTCGTTGGTATGACCAGTAAAGGGAGGTGATCCTGTGAGCATATCGAATGCAACACAGCCTAAAGACCACCAGTCGACGGAGAAATCATAATCCTTGCCTAAGATAACTTCGGGTGCCATGTACTGAGCAGTTCCAATCATAGAATGGCGAGTTTCGTCTCTCGACGAGACCTTGGAAAGACCAAAGTCTGTAAGGACCAAATTACCATCAGCGTTGAGCATGCAGTTTTCAGGTTTCAAGTCTCGATAGATGACTTTCAAGTAGTTGTGCAAGTAACGCAAGGCCAAGGCAATTTGGGCGATGTAGTAGGAGGCGTCTTTCTCACTCATGAACTTTTGCTGTGCTAAGTGATGGAAAAGCTCACCTCCGTCTAAGTACTCTAATATGAGGTATACTTTATTGTGGTCTTGGAAAGCATAGTAGAGCTTTACAATGTTGGGATGTGCAACCTTCTCCAAAATGCTCTTTTCGTTGAGGGTCCGTTGATAGTTTGTCTTGTGGACCTCGTTAGTCTCGTTAATTATCAATGAAGCTTTGTGCAACTGTTTCTGAGCAAAGAGCTTGCCGGTTACCTTTTCTCTCACCAAGAGCACTTTCCCATAGGAACCTTGACCAAGTACCTTAATGGGCTCAAAGTCGTCCAACTTTGGCTTATAATCGGAAACGTGGCTCGTTTTCAAAGATGAAGAAACGTAAGATTCGCCAAGTTCGACTTCATACGCAGAAGATACGCTGCTTCTACGGCGCACTTTCATGGGAATACCGTGTTGCGGCAAGTCAGGAACCGTGTCGAAAGCATCCTCGCTGCCATTTTTGGAAGCAAAGGGGCTGGGGCTATCCACAACTAAAGGAATAGGCCGAGGAGGAGTTTTCTCGGGCGATGTGGAAGAAGATGACTCGCCAGGGTCCGGAGGGTCATCAGGCTCGTCCAAAAGACGGTAGTTGAGCTTCAGGACACCGGAGACCAAGTGGTTCACTCCAGCGTCGTAGTCGTCCATGGCAAATATATCGGCCATTTAAGCGATAGGTTTAAGATGCTCTTACACTGCGCTGGGAAAACATCAAGAAGCGTCAGTTGGTGGTTTGAGACAAATTTGGTTCTTGATTTTCGCGTACCGAACGTGGGACAGGACCACTCGATGAGGAAAGTGGACCCGTCCAGGGATGACTATTATTTTTTAAGGATGAATTCTCCAACTTCAACCTTGCAAGAATACCAGGGGAAAAAGCAAAAAATCTGAAATGGCTTATCGTGGGCAGAGATGTTTATTGGTGTTACAGGTAATGCTGGCTTTTCGCAGCCACAAGGGTCTGAAAACGCCGTTTTTCCCATTTGAGCGAAAATACAGTCATTTCAAGAAATCAAATTTCTTTTGTTCTACTTCTTGCCTTCTTCTGGTGATTTTTTACCAAACCTGGGACATTTTCAAGTCGTCAACGCTTCAAAGTGTGTCTTGTTGACTGTTGCATTGTTGATGTTATACTTGCTGGTTGCAAAACGCGAGTAGTTGCGCTGGATGGTTAAAAACCCATCGTGGAGGGTAAGTAAAGCCTTTTGGTAAAAAGAGTAGAAGACAATACTGAAAGCCTAGATGGAAAGCACAACCGGAGTGCGTCTGGAATTCGCTTGTTTGTTCTTTGCTCGCTAGTCTCCAGACGAGGCATTCAATGTAACAATAACGCTACAACAACAAAGGCGTTTGAAAATTTTCGAGATTACCAATGAAGCGCAAAATGTGAACCATTTGCTTACCAGATGAGGTAGACTTCGACGAAATGTCTGGAGCAGGTGACTGTGTAGCTACCATTAGACACTACGCAATACAGAGAACCCAACATAGAAACAACATCAGGCGGTTTTAGTAAGAAAAACCTGGCACATCATGTAAAGCGGAGATGTCAAAATCATCAGACCAAATTTTAGACTAAAATAGGCCAAATTGGATTTTATAGAGCAAAACAAGGTTTGCAACTTTTGCATGGAAACTCCAACCACACTAAAAAAACGCGATACTCCCCCCACTTCGCAGCCACTCCTAAAAAACCAGTAATGTGTCACTTTTACCCTTTATACTCCTTGCCGAAAAGTAGTCACACCAACGGTTCGGCAAAACTTGCGTCACGGCTTTAGTCGTTAAAAGTCTACTAATTTCGGCTACAAGTCAATTTATGCACACGATATTACACTATACTATTAAGATGATACTTTCACATATATCTTGCTCTTGGCTTGAATGTACCCCATCATAAAATCCTCACATTCACAATTGTAGGGGTCGTCACAGCCGCCAGGGCTCTTGAGTGTGACTGAGGGTAGGGAAGAGTCAGGGAAAACCAAAGAAATCTTAACGCCTTCTTTAGCACATGGCAACTTGCCTGCAAGCTTAAATAGAATCACGTCAACAAGCTCCATCAGGCTTCGGAGACGGTCTTTACGAAGCTTAAGGGCCACAATCTCCTCCAAAGACTCGCGACAAGAGATCTTGAGTTTAAGCACGTTCGCTGGATCTAGGCCAGAATCCTTCGCCAGTCTTCTAACGGAACCTTGCCTCGAAGGAGGCGAGTTCAGAGTCAGATGCATTTTCCTTTGGGCGTGGATATGTGGGGGTATTTGCCAATTGGCAGTTCTAGGGACCAGGGACAGCAGTGAAGAAGGCTTTCTGGAGCTCAATGTCCTTTCTCTCGTGTCGAGACGAATGTTTTCTTTTTGAGCAGTCATTTTGCTGGGCGGAAGCCGAAGGTCAGCCAGTGTGGTGGAGTATCTCCTTTGAGTGTCAGTTTTCTTCCGCAAATGGCTCTTCAGAGAAGACTTCACTAGGCTGGAAGCTCTTCCTAGGCCATTGGGAGCCTCCAATGGGAGAGGTGGCGTCACATATTGCGATGTTGGCCTCGATGGCCTTATGGTATTATTGTTTTCTGTCTTGGCAGCGACTGCGCTGTTCTTAGGGCTCGAGGCTTTTCTGAGTTTATGCTCTTCTTTTAGAGCTGTCGACGACGTTGGGCTGGAAGGAGCCGAGTCGAAAACCGACGAACTATCACTGTCTGAGTCGGATTCTGATGAAGTCCTCGTCGTGGGCTTATTAGTGTAGGACCCTGGCATCGACATTGTGACAGATGTTTAATTCAAAACAAGCGAAGAAGAAACCGTCGTTGTTATATTGGGAATGGACGCAAGTTATAAACAAAACCGTCTTCTTCAAAGAAAAGAAAAATTGGTACGGTTAGGAGGGTATGAAGAAAAGACGCTCTGGCGAACAAAGACAAAGAGCTAGTTAGCTTTGGATACTGGTTTTGGAACTTATTGTTCAACTTGGGCCACCGAAGCAGTGCAGGAAGAACCAGCCACTGAGAGAAGGATTTTCCTCATTTTAAGATACAAAGATAACCTTCTTTTCTTTTTATTGATATTGTGACTGAATATCCGCATGTACGGTAAAGGAGCGCTGGCGCTCAACCCCGAATAAGGTTCTCAGTAGCGCCTGTGTACAGGTTTCAAGAGACAAAGCTATGCATTACCGAGCTTCTAGGTTGGCTTTATACGCGCCATACTTCTATTAATTAATTGTTGTCGCCCAGGTGTGCACTTACCTTGGAGGTTACAATTGGGGTTTCCGACCAGTCTAGGCCCTTCTGCTATAGTTATACAACAACAAGTGGACTCTTAGTTATTTCAAGAGTCGGTCCCTGCATCCCCTCCTGTCTTTCTGATGCGTCTTGCTAGGAGCCTTCCACTCCTTGGGATCCGCGCTGGAGCATATGCTCTCGTTTATTTGCGCCCTACTGCAATGCTCACTTCCCTACCTGCAGGACACTCTCTTCAAAGCCTTCAGTGAAACGCGCATGGAAGTCTTCCCACTACCTCGATGCAAGAAAATGCACTCATAACTACCTCATAAGAGTCGCTCAGGCGTTTTGTGAGCCTCTCCGAAGAAATAGAAGCCTCATCAACGCCCAGGGGTGCTGTATTTTCCGCAGTCAAACTGCGAGATAAAGAGAGATAATATTGATAACATTCTAATGTTTCGTTGGGAATGGGTCAAGTGAGTTTTCTCCTCTTCGTTTTGGTCACCAACTCGCCTCTTGTAAATTGTTCTCTGGGGAATCAGTAAATCCATTCTCGGCCTCTCGGTCTCTTTTTGGCTCTTGCTTTGCTACAAACGATCAGGGATCCTAGCCATCTTTCACCTGCCAAATCAACAACATGTTACTTGTGCGCTTGGTTACATGCCCCTACAGAGCGATTTTCTTCTCTGGCTGGTGATCTACTTACGAGACTGATCTTCACAATTCTCTACGCTCTAATAATATTTGGGTTTATTTTGAATTCGCTAAGGTACGGATTCTACATAGACAGTGGAGATCGACGCCAATGCCCAAGCTGCATGTGACTGAGAATATTTAAAAGAGGGAATTCGTTTGCTTGTTTCTACCTGTTGTAGGTAAGAGCTTTAAAATGGTTCCCCTCCGTCGTATTCACTTTTTTCCTTTTTCATTATTTTTTATTTGATTGTATTGTCTGTGAGGGATAAGCTTTAAAGAAGAGAGTTCTGTATTGAGAACAATTGTTCGCCGAGTGAAGAATTTACTAAATAAACCGCCTGCCAAAACAACTAGTTAAGGTTTAGGCAAGCTTGTTTAGAAATGTTCTCGACGCCTCGAATAATACAAGCTTATCTATGGCGTTTACCTCGGCACAGGAAGTACCCGGTCCAATTCATTCACATTGTTCTCATATTCTTTCGTACACACTTTAAGAGCTTTTACACCTATTATAATTAGCGGGCCCGCTGAAGCCGAAGGTGTGCCTTGGGCCTTGTTTTCACGTAGTCTAGAATTGCGCTTTCATCGAGCGCTCCGTCAACGCTGATCTCGTCAAAGGGCCTGAGAGTGTAGTGGTGGATGAGCCCCGAGTCTTTATATATCTTGAACAGCAAAATATGCTTCAACGCTTGAATTGAGTGTAAGTCGCTGCGTCTGACACGTAAGACAACCTTGTCGTCATCCTCGTTGCATAGGGTAACTTTAATTCTCACGTACTCTCCTCCAACCGGTTGTTTATTTTTCGTGTCTTGTGTTATTGTGGCGGTGGATGAAGACGCAGACATGTAAGCCTCTTTGTGTTTCTTTGGCAGTAAAGGCTTAATCTGTTCCTCTTCCTCGGCTTCGAAAAGCTTGGGAGGGTATCTAGAGAAGCTCTGGTCGAAACCCATAGTTGGAGTTTTTGGTTCACAAGACAGGCTTTTGTGACGAGACGAGTTCAGCATAATTGAGTCTTCACCACTGGAGTAATGGGTTGTACTGAGACCTTGGCTTCCGATCGTAGACACAGAATCATGGCTCACATCCGAGGCCGGAGGAGTCAAAGCATCCTTTGCCTTGTCAAAACATTTCCGTGGATTTAAGTTAAGGCCGTCCGACAACTCAATTGGTTCTTGTAAAGTAGTTTCGTTCAGTGTTAAATGATTGTCGCTGTCTGTAGTTTCGGCGGATTTGGTCTCTTGAAGGTTATTCAATTCATAATTAGCATCGTCCTCTCCGTAACCTGCAAGAAGCAGTGAAAAGGTGGAGAGTGTCTGGGAGCTCTTGGATTCAGCCATGGGCGACTCCAGGGCAACCTTAGTCTCCTGCTCTGGCGTGCTTGGCATTGGGGTGACGTTTGTAGGGGACATGAAGGATGGCATCAAAGCAATCAATGATGGAGACATTGATAACTTTTGTCTATTTTTGGGGGCTGCTTTTTGTTCGACTGTCGAAGGAGGTGTGTTCTCAACGGATACACTTTTGAGGGACATGTCAGCTCTCAGCAAGGTATCCATGATGTTTACCAGATCCTTGTGTAGCATATCGTTGATCTTAGCATCTGAAAGAGAAGCATCGCCAGGATAAATCTCGATTCTCTTGAACTGTTCATCATTAATGAATTCCACGAATTCGTCGCAGCATCTAATTTTTTCTAATATCAAAAGCTGTCTCATGTACTTGCTTAGCTGGCCGGCAACCTCTAGCAAGTTCTTGACATCAGCTCTGTTGGGGGAAGCCTTCAGTGTAGCTCTTTCCATCAGGCCTCTAGGCTTGGGAAGAGAGGGAAGAGGCACAGTGCTTCCCAAGGAAGTAACAAGGGCCACGTGCAAGTTATAAAAGTCCTGGTAATATTTGCAAAGGTACATTTGCTTGCCAGAACTCATGGTAATATCCAAACGGTACAAGTACCGCATCTTCTTGTTCTGTAGCACGGTGCTTATCTTGATGCTGTTAATGAATTCTGGCTTGCGGCCCGAACGAGGTCTGTTCTCAAGTAGCCAGTCAAGGGTAATAGGATTCTGTATGTCGTTAGCAGCTATGTCAACATAGGAAGCAGGAATAAGGCCGCTGTCAGTCTTGTCAATGAACTTAACCAACAACCAGCCATTGCCAGGTCTGTGGACGAGTTTAACGTAGTCGTTTCGCCTGACACTTATTTCAACAGGCGACTCAGCATTGAAGTCGTACTTTGCTCTTAATACAATCACAGGTTCTCTAGAATGAGGCGAAAACACTGGCGATGGTTGTAGGGATTCGCTTGGAGATTTAGCATTTATAGGCGAGGAGATGGCCAATTTCTTCAAGTTCCTGGAAGATTTGTACTGCTTTGCAGCGAAAAGGCCAGTGGACATGGTGAAAGGATGGGTGTTGTGAAAGTGGATGGAGGAATGGAAATGAAGGGAAGCACCAATATATCAACAAGACTGGCTAAGAGGATCTTCGAAAAGGTACAACCAAAGGGCAAAAACCAAAACACACAAACAATGCCACCGGAGATGTGAGTTGGAGGTGAGTGGAAATGCAAACAATAAGCTGAGAATATTATTATATTCTCTTTAGGACGGTGGTTCTAAAGGAAAAAATATATAGTAGCCGGGGATGGAAAGCAAGTGGAGAATTTTTTTTTCCTTCTCTGATAGACGTGAAGGCAGAAAATGGGAAATTGTAAACAAGTGGAACCTTCCCGCTTATTAGTCTAAAGTATATGCTGGGAGAAGGAAAAAGGCCAAAGAGGTTACCTAAGAATGAAGTGCATTTAACGATGGAATGAATTTATGCGTGCAACGAAGAGAGCAAAACATTAGCTATTGTGAGGGTGCCTCGTGCATGCATATCGCCGCACGCGCCCTCCCAAAAGACCCAAGTCTCTAAACCGTGCTGGGAAGAGCTGCGTCGGCTCGCGCGACTTTCATGCTCCTCCACGCAACCACTACGTCCTCATACAGCGGTTTTTTTTCTCACCAGGCGACAGTGGGGTGATTGTTCTCCAGCTGCGGGAAGAGAAGGCTGCTTGGGGTTATTTTAAGAGGCTGGTACTTTGACGACCACTACTAACCACTGCATAGGACTTGTCTGATATAAAATGCACTATTTAAATGTGAGGGTTGTTTTGCCGACGGATGTGTCTTTTTGTTATTTTTTTTTTCTTTGGTCGAATGCTTGTCGTCTATCTTGTTTAGTGTCATTATTTGGCGCCACCACAGGCTGCTGCCTGTTGTCAATTGCAGACCCACAAGGGCCCTAATTTTGTCTATTTCTTTCATTTAGCTCGTGGCACATGAATGAAGTTCTCGTGTCTCTTTTTTTTTGGGGGGGCTTTCTTACGAGAACAGGCCTCGATGTTTTGTTTAAGGAGGAACGCATTTTTCTACTAAGCCTAGTGCGCCAACGGTGACTTCAAAGACTTTTTTGGTCCCGTCTGTATTTGTGTCTCCGACGATTGTTCGGCTTGACGGTTGTCTCTACATTCTTTTTTTTTTTTGCGTAGTATTATAGTTGTTGTAAAATTACATCGTGTTTACCGTGTCTTTGAAATAAGAAAACATTCCATCCATGGTGCGGCCGTGCTTTTGGCACATCGCATCAATGTTTTTGACATTCCGGATTCTGTCTTTCAAAAGCTAAGACATTGCCACACATATTGGCTGCTGGTAGTCGTGTTTCAGGCATGGCTAGTGCAGTAGATTAAATATTAGGTTTCGTTTGTGGTCACAAAGACACCGAAGGCGGCGAGCGATTAATTCGTGAACATCACAAAATCGACTTAGGTACGAAAAAAGGTTTAGCTCTAGCTTCCTAAAACAACAAGCATCTCAGGTTTCCGGCACCGGAGACTACCAGCAGTCCGCTTTACACAATAACCATCTCGTCACTGGTGGAACCCGTTTAGGTAACAAGCACATTTACATTCTCACAAGAACGAATGTGCTCTAGGAGGTCAACCAGGGTAGCATCCATTTCTTCGTAGGTATCGGACTGTGGCATGTTTATGTAAAGATTGTTAAAAGCAACTTTCTGGTAAATCAAGCGTTTGAACTCAGCCAAGGAAGTCACGTCTGGTTTGTTTATCCTAACAGAAAGCTTATCTTGATTCTGTGTTTTTATCTCACACTTTATTTGAGGCGTGCCAAGTTCCGGCGTGCCCTGAATCGATCGACTTTGTGTCGAAGGAGGCAGCGAAAGAATGCTTGTGTCAAATGAGTGATCCCCGGCTGAAGTTGCGAGAGAAGTTGTCCGCCCTGAATGATCAGAGCCGCTCGTGTTCCTTACAGACTTCATCCTTGCAAACGGATTACCGTTGACAGATCCGATTGACACAGGCTTAGGAGGGGGGCTTGTGTGAACCATTGTGGGGGCAGTGGCGGCCCGTTGGGGCTGTAGTGTTGTCTTCAGTCTCGTGAACGGACGATCAGGTTCTCCAGGGGGAGCCTTTCTTGTTGGGCCCTGCCGGATATCCTTCGCTGTCTTCGATCTTTGAAGATCACGAGTGGTTTTGGCGCGTTGAAGGTCGCCCTGGAACCCAACAATTTGTTGGTAATGATTATAAATGTTCCGTGACACCGGCTGTTTGGGTTGCTGCCTGTCATTTGGATTTGGAGAGGACATGGGGAACTTTTTCGCTTGGTCCTCCTCCTCTCGCTTATCCAAAACAGCATGGAGCCTTTCACTTTCGGTTCCGTTATCGATCTTCGCTTTAGAGTATATCTTCACAGATCCCGGCAATACTTTCTCGTTGATGATATCATTAGTCTCGTTCAACTGCTCTGGAACAATAAAGCCGGGTGACTTCTCGTACTTTGCGTCCAACCACTTGAGCAACGGAGGCAGAACTTGGTAATGCTTATTCGAGATAAGCAGGTTGATATACTCATCAAGGTCTTTGCAACGTTTGACAAGGAGCTCTCTAAGCTCAGAAGACTCTCTTTTGTTACTGGGGATAGGTTCCGGTAACTTGGGCAACTTCAAGAAAGAGGGTAGCTCCTGTTCCTTCGACGCCAGCAGCCACTGGTCTACATGCTCAAGGAGAGACGCATGTAAGGTATAAAAGTCCTGGTAATACCGACACAAATACGCCCTTTCTTGGGTACTATAGGTGATGTCAAGCCTGTACCAATAGCGATTGTCGTACATGAGAAAGTTGTTGATAGAAGCAGCGAGCGGGTAAGGTCTGTTGTTGATAGTGATAGGCGAGTTGTTCCTGAGAAGCTGCTTCACTTCAGCGTCGTAGAATGTAGTGTTTCCCAAAACTGTGGATGTGGAAGTGCTTGTTTCATGAAGCCACTGTAAAGTAATGGGATTGAGCGTGTCATTGACAGCAATATCCACGTAAAGACACGGCACGAGTCCTGGTGAAGTTACACGTTCAACGGACTTCACGAGCACCCAACCATTGGAGAGCTTGTCCAAGAGCTTGAGCACGTCACCCTTCTTGACAGACAATTCCGAAGAGGACTCGGCGAGAAAGTCGTACTTGGCGACAAGGATAACATTTGCCCTGAGTTTCGAATTGACATGGTCTGCCACGGAGGGGGAGGAGATCTTCAAGTTTCTGACCTGGTGGCCTAAAACTGGCATTGTTTATAACTTGGTGGAAAGTGTTTTGAGCGCTTTTGAGACAGTGGATGAGATGGTGCTTTCGCGAGACGCAATACAACGCAGGGGACGTCCAAAAGGTAGGTTGACGAAGAAAGCAAGGGAGAAAAAAACACTTGGTGGAAACGAACGACGGGAAATATGTGGCAATAAAAAAAAAGTGGTTGTAAGGATACTACGAAACACCGACGTGGGAACACCTCAATTCCCAGAAGTGGAGGGCACAATACGCGACCTTGTACGGCTGGTAAAGTACGGCAGCTTAACGACGCGGCTTGTTTATTTTAGGACCAGGTGAAACTGTGGGAGCTAATTTTGGTGGGTGAGACACGACAGGGTGGAAATGGGAATGTTTTAGATACCCATAATAAAAATTGTAGAGAAAAAAATGGCCCTTTGAAACTCAGTTTCTCATCATTAAACTTCCGTTTTCTCGGTTCTCCACGCGTTTATGCCAAGAGACATATGTCGATTTGCAGAGGTGGAGGACAAAAAACGCGGCTGATTGGGCCATTGTAGCCGAACTGGGGGTTACCCCCTAAGAAGATAATTGGAGAGATTAAGGGGCTTTCAAAGGGCTCTAAAAGTGCCATTCTTTGACAGATGCTCGTATCCTCTACACTAAAAGTAACATGGGAAAATGTGTCCAGCACGCGAACCGAGAAACCACGCTGCCGAGGCAGTTAAGGCGCCCCAGATTATATAATGCTGGACATTCTCTCGTTCTCCTTTCGGCCATTTGTGCTCCACCGAATGGAGGCAATGATCGGTATCGCTGGTAATCCGAAAGTTGGTAAAATATGTGAAGAGGAAGCAACCGTGGAAGGAAAAATTTTCTGTTGGCTCGCAGCGCCAGGGCAGTGGGCGTGCGCGAACCAGAGTTCTGGGTAACTATAGGGCTTTTGGCGGGCAGAGCGTTTTGTGTCAGTTCGTTGAAAACGTCGTCGGAAACGCCTGAAATGGTTAGATATTCGTTTTTTTGCTTTTAGTTCTTTTCGGCTAAAAGGTAGATTTTGCCCTTTTTTTTTTTTGTCATACGGCATTTTTCCGAACGGCGTCTTTCTATTCTTATACGAAGCTCCTTTTTTTTATTTTTTTTTTTTTAAGTTTGTTATCTATATATATATTCCCCTTTTAGTTTCTCCTTTTGTTTTAGTTGTTCCGATATAAATTCCCCTATTAACGTCCTAGGAATATCAATGGTATTTCGGAGTACACTTTGGAATATATTATGCCTAAAACAAGGCTTTGTTTATTCGAGAAAGCTTCTACAGAAATGTTCAAAATAGCAGGACGTGCTTCTATACGCCGCTACGACAAAGTGCAACGATCTTTTTTATTAAAAGGAAACTAGTTCATGATTTTTGATTAGTATTACTATCTTTCTCTCCAATTATCTCACCTGTGAAGGTTTAGATCTCTTCAGATTGATCTCTCTCCGACGTGCGTCAAGGCTCTTTGAGCCATAGTTAATTGAGCCCGTTGCAATTGCCTACCATGTACTTCCCAATTCCCCTATGGCTTAGCGGTTGCACTTGCTATTTTCCTTCTCTGGAAGCAAGACATAAGTACGGCGGTAGATATTCGCCTTCAGAAGGCTTTTGTCAAGTGTGCTTCTCGGGACTTCGGGCAAAACAAGGCTCAAAATTATTCTTCTTTGGCTCCACGGATAATTACGGCTTTGCCGCTTTGCGCTATGGATCCAACTTCTGGATCAACACAACAAAGCTTTTGCAATTAATTCACACATTTCATTTCAGCATCTCACCAATAGCTAATAAAGGTATTAGTAATGTAAACACACAAACTCAAGACTTCGGTCTTGTCCGAGAAAGAATATCAAAAAATAGATTGCGTAGCAATACGGGTCGTTAAGAGGAACATAACCACCATGTGGCTAGCCAGCCAAGGAAGTTAATGTTGGCATGAAGCTCAGCGGGAAAAGCGAATTCCTTTTCAAGGCACCGTATCGTATACCGCTTCGGCCCCTGGCAGAGAAAGTTCTTCTTTTTTGTTTTTCTTTTGTGATTCTTTTTCCTTCCTCCTAGCGCTCAAGCCCACTGTTGCCGGCGGCGGTCCTAAAACAGGAAAAGAAGATTGATGCATGCTGTACCTTGGAGCCCCGAAGAAGGTGCAAACATATGGGAGTCAATTTTTGGCTGAAACAAGGGCGGTAAGCTGCAGCAATTTCTTCTGCGGCATGAATGATTCCTTCGAGTGCAGAATACGAGACGTTGTTTGCTATGGCTAAATGTGAAAGCAGGTTTAGATGAAGAATGTTTCATATATCCCGAGAATATTCCGTAAGGTGTAAAATTCAAATAAGCTTTCCAATCTTTGTTGCACAAAGTACAGATACATTGACGAGTGGTTCGGCTTTCCATATCACGCTTTAGGCATCCAGGCAGCAATACAAAGTGCCTCAGACCAACACACTTACAGAAAGCAGCCAAGATTCAACACGTCCAATAAAAAAAAAGACCACAAGGGTATTTTCCTTCTGGCGCCGTTGACCACGGAAGAGCGGCAGACATGGGCCAACCTCTGTTCGTGTTTGCAGCTGACAACGCATGTTTCCACTGCGTTTTTTCCATCTTCGGGACAGAAGCGAGGCGAGGCATCATTTTCCATGGCAAACATAAGAAGGCGGCATGATCAGGGTCTCCCCGCTGCATCAGTGCTACAAAAGTGAAGGTTTTGAAGGTGCTCTTTTGAAGTCACTATTCTTGCAGAATATTTGTCCGCACCGTTACCAGTCGCTCATGATGCAATTCTCAACTTTAGCAAATAATTTTTAGTCTGTAAAATATAGCACAACTTTCTCCATCCTCCCATCAAGTAAAATTATTTACAATCCTCTCCTTCTTTGCCAATTCTTGTGTATTTTCCAAATGCTTGAGGCTCCCCTACGTGCATCGAGAGAAGACGCACAGTGGGTTATTAAGCGCTTGCATCGGTTTGAGCGCCATGTCTCCTGGACCGGAATCTCCTACCGCATTTGTTTCCAGTACCGAAGAGCGAGGAGGCATAAGCGAAGCAGCACTCTTTGGTTGTAAAAAAAAAAAAAATAGTGGTGAAATAATATACGAAGAAAATAGCTCCAACGTCGTGTCAGTATCTTGTCATCATGATATCGCGAGTAGTGGCTCGATTGAGCATGCGTCAAAACCCTTCTGGACCCCTCTCGCTGGTTTTACTTATTGGTTGCTTCAGAAGAGGTTTCCCTGCGTTCTAGAATAGTACAAAACATATTTTTGGTACTTTAACTTTGTGATCAAAACACATGAGAGGGGGGTGGTTTGGTCATGGAACACCATCTACTGATGCTTGACCCTGGTCCTTGAATGCGGTTAATTATCGTGCAACCCTTTCTCCACCTTATGATGAACTATTTTTTGACCGTAATTGACTATTTTTTTACTGACCTTAATTGTATGGCTTTTTACTGGCTCTTTTTCTACTGTCCGTTACCTCCCCGGTGAATTTTACCAGTCTCACCTTGCACGTTATTTTTTTCCTTACGTTGCTTCATTCCCCCTCCGGCAATGTCATTCGGCAGCTGAAAGAGACTATTATCACGATTTGTAACGTTGAATTGCTCGATGGAAAGCTCCCAAAAGGGGCCATTAATGGACTAAATCGAGTAAAGGTGTTTCATCTAGAAATGCCCCACTGGTGCTCACCTTTCTCGCCATATCGCCACCAACATCTCTAGGTGTGGATCTAATGGTGGCAAAGAGAATGAACAAAACTACTTCAGCCCCGAATAAAACAAAGACCAAAATTAATCTACCTTCAAAAGAAAACGCTGTACGGCTGGGAGAAAAAATGACAGCATGGCAAGACGTATGGCTTCAAAAATATTATTTTCGCTATGACACAACATCTTTTGCTGGTTTCTGTTTCGGCCATCTTCTACGATCTCCTAGGGGCCAGCAAATACTGATGATAAAAAATTCCTAGTAACCATACGATGAAGCATCCGCTGATTCCAACAACAAGGATGTTGAATTAACTAATTTCGTTTCACATAGGTGATGCACGTAAAATTAGGTTTCTAGCGGACTCATGCCCAACTTGCTCTCGCATTAATATAAATACCCCTGTCCTCTCATCAGTCCCCAACAACAATACACATTTTCACTACAACCAGTCTTCAAGACCCAAAAAAAAACTTTATTGGCTAGGCCCAATAGCTCGAAATTACTTAAGCAATAATTCCACCAAACTTTTACGGCGCACCCCAATTGTTCAACTCGTGAAAAAACAAGGTTAAACGCAACCGTATTCCCCTCCTCAGAACATCCACGCAAGGTTTCTTTGACCAACATCCACCAGGGTCAAGAAAGAAAATAAAAAGAGCTAATCCTTCCAGACTCGCCAAACAGTACTTTGCAGCTTGTCGCATCATCAACGGCCCGCTAAGAAGTTCGAGACATCATCTGAAACAACCCAAAAAAAAATAAAAAGCCGACTTTCTTGTCGAAAACAGATCATCCAGCACACGCCGGCTCCGAAACAGACCGCTTCTGCCTATAGTGAAAGCCCATCGTCGCTCTTCAGGCCATTTTCCTGCTTTCGTGCTTCGCTTTTCGTCTGCCTGTCGCGTAGTGATAAAAGCCTCCCCAGTGGCTTATTGTACTGTCCTGCGCCACCTGTACCGCTTGTTCGCCTGTACCTTAACAGCTTGCGTACCCGTCTGGAGCCGTCTCTAGTGCCGTGCCAATAATCAGCCAGTCTAAGCCCTTTCAACGAGGAAGTTTAGGCCAGTCAGAGCGAAAAATAAAAAAAAAGGCGCCTGTCAGTATCGGCTCTCACATTAGCTGCACAGTGCTAAAGTAAGGTTTCCCTGCCGTGCAGCTGCTGCAAAAGCTCCTACCGTCCTTTGTTCTGACCTCAAAGCCCAGCGTCTTTGTCAACGTACGTTCTGATCGTACAGCCTGGCCCCATTTTTTTTTTTTTTTTTTTTTATTTGCTGCATTACCCTTTTATTTTTTTTTTTTTTTTTACCTCGTTAGGGGCACTTCACAGTCACTTGAGGCGCTTTCCATTTTTGTCAGCTGCTGGTAGCTAGCATTATTTGGCAGGCCTCATTCATTTTATCGGACTGAAAAAGGCTTCCCCCCCTTGGCCTTTCTTGTTCCCGCGTGTGGCTCAATAATCACATTCTGTACCATTTAAGTGGTGGTATTCGCTTACCTCGCATCCTCACCACTTTTTGCAAGGGTCCTTCCCCCATACTTTACTGGGTTTTCCCCTTATTCAATTAGGGTCTATTATTTTTTTCGTCAAGGGTATTTCAATTACCTCATCTATTAACTTCCAGTATCCTCCTTGATCTGTCCGCTCATTATCTGCTGCATCATTCGCTTTGCACCGTCCACCATCCACACTCACTTATGACCTCCTTCTTCAATTCACCAGCATCAAAGCCCTCCATTCTAGACGGCATCGATTCAATTAATTTCGACTTCCTTGACACCCCCGAGGCTTTCTCATTTGCAAGCACCCCGTTGGAATTGGCTGCGAAAATCTCCTATCATCAATCTTTCGCTTACCAACCTCAGATGGATCCCCACAAGCAAGACATGTTCAGGGCTTACAACCCTGATTTTGAGGAACTACCCCCTGATACCCACATGCAAGTATCTGAACCTATGCATCGTCAGCTTCATGCCCAATTGCTTCGACAGAATGCTTCTGACATTCTGGGTCAATGCGCACCTCCCATCGATACCTTCGGAGCAACAGTATCAGAGCTGTGTATCATTCCAGAATTTGTTAGCAATCCTGTCGACTGTTCATTTATGGAGCTGAGTTTCACAGACTCTCATGTTGACTATGACCCTTTCCCTGTGCTTGATAACGGCCTGTTTCGTGGACAAGCGCTCCAACAGCTGCTCCAGCAGCCAGTCCCAAGAAAGCCCGAACCACCCCAGCGACAGCAAATCCATTCCACTCCCTCATCAACAGCACTGTCAATCTTAACGCCAGTATCTTCGGTCGCTGATGATACTTGGGCACAATATCCCGCATTTGCAGCCAGTATGGGCCATTTTGCAACCGCACCTACTCCATTACGGCAACCACAGGGACCACCAGCCCCTCCATATGGGCCTGGTGCCCGAAAGCCTTTCAAAAATACTACACGTTCTTTTGCTCGTACCCCTGAGCTGCCAATGTGTCTCATCAATCATCAGTATCTCAACAGCGCTGCTCCAAATAAAGCAGAGGTCGCCCTCAGTTGGGCGTCCTTGCCTCAGTCCCGAAGAAGACTAGCTGCCAATTCGCCTTACACTTCAAGTGCCTCTCTGACGTCTACGGCGCCGGCGTCGTCTCGTTCTGCTCTGATGCTTCTGACCCACACGGAAACACGGAAAGAGACAGCCGTGGCGCCACCAGCACCAGCACCACCAGCACCACCAGCACCGGCTCCACCGAAACGGCCACAACGGCACCAAAAGCTTATTCAAGAGCAGACTAAGGAGCCTGAGCCCGTGCCCAAGAAGAAGCACAAGAGACGTCATACCCAAAATCGATCGCGTCTGGGGTGCTGGATCTGTCGCATCAAGCATCTTAAATGCGACGAGACAAGGCCAGTTTGCAACCACTGCAAGCGTTTTGGCGTGGCTTGTGACTACAATCCTGAACGGCCCGCCTACGTGTTTGACCGGAGCCTAAGACGTAAGAAGCTAGACGAGCTAGCTGCGCAACGGCGCAGAAAAAGACGCTGAATGCTAGAGGCATGTAAATAGAATTGACGAGATAATGTTGCATGATAATTTACCTGAGCTGTAGGACTTCTGATAAACAGACATATTTTTTGCTCGTGGGATACCAGTAGAGTCTGGCTTGGCTTCTTGACGATGCAAAAGTATTGCCACTTCTCCCAAGGCTAAAAGTTAAAAGTTAGAATCCTCGTAATTTGACCACAATAGAACGTGAGTTCATTCCCAGGTCAAAATTAGAATTTTTCACACTTACTTGCGCTCACCAGTATTTCTTCCATTAGTCCTTAGCGCTGCCCGCCCATCTCCTCAATCTCCTCAAGACCCTTGTTATGTCAATGGGATCAGCCACCTTTGTCCCTATAGCTTTAGAAAACGATTATCCCCTTGAATAAGTCTATTGTGTGCTCTGTCTATGCCCTCGCGTTTGCACCTATTGTTCGAGATTAGGCTTGCCTCGAGACAATGCCTCGCATGGTGTAGATGCCGTAACTACCGATGAAGCTTAGCTGAAAAATTCTCATCTAATACTTATTGGGATATTTGCCCGCCATCCCGGCCTGAGCCTCGTTTAACAAGGTACGATAAGAACTCTTTTGGGCACAGCTGGAGCTTGCCGTTCAATTGTTTAACGATGCCGTGCATCGCTCTGAACAGTCTCACCATGACAATACGTTATCTTCGGAGGTTTCTCCTTTTCTCCACATGCTTTATGACATAATTAACGGTGCTATAGCACTACTGCGAACCGTTAATTCCGCTGGTTGGCTTAGTTGTCGGAGACTTCATGTTAGATTTCCCTATATGCTTTTTAGGCATCTTGGAGCCACAACCTATTGTGAAGTGGGTTACTAACCTCTGTACCATCACCCTGTTCATCTATTGTCGGTAGTCAAGATGAGCCAGCATATTATTCCCATTCTGCAGCTTGGATGCGTTTGCGGATAACAAATTCAGAAACAGGGCCAGTGTACTGTTCAGGCTCTGCTGAGTTTTCTTCGGCCTCGGCAGACCCACCTCTTTTCCGGAACTCGACCATTGATATATGATCACCATCGAAACCAATCCATGGTCCATACAACGGATCTCTGAGATAAGGATGGGTGTAGTCTGTGAATTGTTCTCTCTCTTCATCAACTGTAGACACCTTCCTGCGGTGTCTGATTGCTCCTGCGCTATAAGATATAGAATAGTCGCCATCCAAAAGAGCAGAAGTTTCTGTAGGCAGTAATACGTCATCCGAACATGGCGTAGGATACCCTGTCATGTGTTCAGGCTCTGGTACTTGTACTTGTGGAGGTTTTCTAGCAGTGAGGCTATCACTGCTAGCATTCAAGCCACCATCGAAGGAGAAGTTACGCAAAGAGTTGGCAACGACCAGCAGGGAGTCATCATTGAACTCCTTGTCAAAATTGTGAGGGCTTTGAATTGCTCTTAGCGCAATGAAATCATGTAAAGGCACATAGAACTTCTCGAAATTCCACCAAACGAGAAGGGTCACAATAAATAAGGGGGTACAGAGCACAGACAACAAAATTGCTCCCTCCAAGGCTAATGTACCACACATAAATAGTTGAAATATCAAAAGACCGAACATCAACCTCCTAAATATCATGGGCCAAACTTTTCCCGTTGAATGAGGTGGGTGCACGAAGCTGTAAATAAGCTGATACTTATAGACGAAATGGCCCAAAAGGAAATATACTAGTCCGCAGGCAACGATCTTGGTAGACACAACCGAATAAATAAGAATTATGATGAAAATTAAGATATGTTGTGGTAGTTGAATACCGAAGTCAAACACTGGCGGAGTGAAATAAAAGAACCGATAATCCCGAGGGGTCTTAAGGAACATGTCTCTTAACAAAAAGAGTTTGCCCACAATATTGAGTATGAAGAAATCACCCACCTGAAGAAGACGAACAGGAAACATTGCCAATCCTTGCAAAAGAATCAAGTCAGCGTAAAATAATGATAGCTTTTTGAGTGAGCTTGCCAATTGAGATGCAAATTTCGTGGTATCCCCAATTGAGGTGAAGAAATCCCACAATGTTCCAGTGATGGTGAACACAACGAACAAAATGAAAAAGACGAAAAAGAAGTTCTTCAGCAAAGCAGAAAGCTCTACTTCACTCGATGACGCGTACCCCTGATGGCGAGAAAGATAATTGTAGAAATATGGGATGAGGACGTTAATCATGGAAAACAACATTGGAGGCAAAATACCAGTAACGAAGGTACTGAGCCATTTGGACTCGGCAATCTTGTGTCCTAAAGCAGGCCAGACCTTTGTAATAGTCTTTACATCGATCAAAGTAGACAAAGACGTGACCAAGAAGAAGATAACGGAGTAACTGAGAATGATGAAGAATGTCACCATGTAAGATTTGAACGCCTTCTCATAACGCGAAAGCTTCAAATTCCTCCATTCAATGTCTTTGGCGGCCGGCGCCATGGAGACCATTAATTTGTACACCCTCGGATCCAAGACGGTCTGGGCTGCCATTTGGGCAGAAGCAACTGAATCCATTGTAATAAAAGCTGAAGGCATGATTGAAAATTCCAGGTCATCATCTATGGGTATAGTGGATGTCCTTGGGTCATACTTGTTCTGTAAATCCAGAATCTTCTTGTCCACTGATATGAGCTTCGCAGCGAGCGTATCGATTTTCTCTTTAAGATGACTCTTTCTTGATGAAGATGCAATAGGGAGTTCTGGAGCATGCTCTGGAATCACACGAGGTACTTTACTTTGATTGTAAAGATCGATGTTCAAACCAAAATACCGAGAGTACAATTGCTCAAGTCTTGAGATCAATTCGTTACGCTCATCGAAAAGCTTCTCCAAGGGCGACCAGTCATATATCAACTTCACATCAACCACATGGCCAATTCCCAAGCCCTCAATGAAGTGCTTGAGGCGCACAGGATCATTCTGTCTAATCAACTTTTTCGGTATTCCATCAAGTTTTATAGTACGATCAGTGATCGAGTCCTGGGACGCAAGATACTTCTGACGTGTCTTAATTACCGCTGTTGTAAAATCAAAAAGTTTCACATAAACAATGGTTGAAAAAATCCACGTAAACAAGGGGTATACCCAGAGATAGCTTGGAAAATCATCGTCCATGTGAGAACCAGCATCCAGCTGAAACATATTCAACATAATGTTGTCTTTATCATAGCTTCCAGTGAAGATGTAACGGACTGGACTGAGCACTAACACACCCCAGAAGGCAAGGAGCAGAAAGATGTATATGCCCATTTTGAAGAACGTGAGCACAACGTACGCGTCTAAGCCCAGACACTCGAGAACATCTGTCTCTGTAATAGACCATACCGAGAATACCCATAAGAATAAGTCATTCGGTAAGGATTTCTCTCGGATCAGGCTCTTTCGTAGCGTTCTGACGGCGTACATGTGAGGCCACTTTCGTCTCAAGAAACAGAAAAGCAAGAACATGGATGATCCGATCGCTAAAGAAAGCACTAGCTGGGTCTTAAAGACTCGCAGCTGACTTGGACCATAGATCTGGTTATCGTCGTCGGCCATTTATGGGACTTCACTGGCTTTGTTTGAGGAGGAGTGACGTTACTTCAGGGTGTTGATTTGATGTAGACGAGCGTGCCAGACAGTGCAGGAGGTTGCTGCAAATTGGGGTATCTGGACTTCCAACACCTGAGATAAAAACATACCTAGCATAGCAAATGAGGTGAAATTTGGAATTTTGGAAATGATGCTTTCCTTGGAAGGTTTTTTGTTTCTGTAATAAGGAAGCTTTGAAGCATGGTTGGATGAGGCCCTCAAGATTAAGCGAGAATGCAGTGCAGATCGAGCTGTCAAGCCCAGTATACTCCTTGGCAACCGAGAAAGGTTCTTGGTTTGGGTTAATTCGTACCTAAAAAAGTGTCTATTAAGCCATACTATGTTTGCTAGTGTTTGTTGTTGGATAAAGATAGCATCGTAGGCTGGAGCCTATCAGCCGCATGTGACCATGTGAGAAGGGCAAAGATGATAAGATACCAGGTAGCTCTACACCCGTGGAAATTGCATGTAACAGTTCCACTGGAAGCGGGTAGGATATTATTTCAATTCTTGTCTCCTTGGAATAATACCCAATATACCTGGATAGGGCGTTTCATCTCAACAAGGTAGTCTGATCCGGCAGAAGGCCCCAAAAAAGTTGTTGATGTCTACCTACACCTTTACCAAAACTACACTTTGGCTGCAACGAGTCTAACCAGCTGTCACTGTGTTACGTAACGGTACCCAGAGCTGCCCGGGGGTCTACTTCTACACCCTAAGTATAAAATAAATCGATATAATATAAAAGTGACAGGATTCTAAAGCTCCAGTGTTGCTGTCACACCACACATGGATCAAAAAAGGCGAAAGCGACAGCGTAGCGAAGCTATCTATCTCTTTCTAGGAAGAATTGGAACGGCTGGAGTCGCAACAGCTATCCTGGCTGCCAAAAGGGCATCCTGCGAAGAAGGCTTGGAGGAGCCAGCGACCTTTGAAGAACGATTCAACAAGTTCTTCTTGGAGTGACAACCATAAACGCGAGCATGGTAATCGCAATGAACGGGACAGTGATTGGAACTAACAGTTGTGCTGGGGCTGATGGAGCTCTTGGAGGAACGAGAACTCTTGGGGCTGAGAGAACTCTTGGGACTGGGGGAGCTCCTGGCGCGGCTAACTCTGGGGAAGACAGAGACCAGCTTAGCCAAAGGAAGTTTTGCCAACGGCACTTTGTTAGTAGCTTCACGCTTTGCAGGTGAAGGACGGGAAGGTGAAGCGTTCAATTTCTGGGGCGCCTTAGCAACAACTGGGACGGTCGTCTTGGGGGCCACGCTTCTCAACCTTCTCAACTCACTGTTTCTCTTTATCTCTTCTGCATTTTTTTTCCACAAAGCTTCAAGAGCGGCTTGAGACACTCTAAGACGGGCACGAAGAGAGAAGATGGAATGCTGCGTTTGTCTGACACGCTCCTTCTGCTGGAGTTCGTCTTGGAAACGCACAGCGGTCTCTCCTTTTTGTTGGTCCAACTCCTTTTGGACCTGTTCGAAGGCAGCGGCACGAACACGAGAAAAGAGAGCACCTACCAGGCGCTCGTATTGGATATCATGAAGACGTTGTTCCTCAAGCTTAAGGTTCTTGAGCGTTTCTTTCTTCTGGCGACGGTAGTTTCTGTCCTCGCGCCAGTTTTCTCTGAGCCTGGAGGCACGAGATTTCAAGCGGCTAGAAAGGCGACCGATGGCCTTGAATGCACGAACAACCCTTCTACCGCCCGCGGCAGAGGAGTCGGTTGGCTCATCGAGAAGCTCTTCTGATTCAGACTCGTCTTCAGAAGTGTAATTGATATCGTCATCAAGCTCGTGCTCGAACTCGGGTTCGACCTGCAAGGCACCAACAGAGTAAGGTGCTACAGAACCCTTGACGTCAAGAGCACTGAGTGCGACGGAGGCCTGAACCATAGGAGCTTCAGGCTCTGGGCTCTTGGCGGCTTCCCACTCGGGGCTCTCAACTTTGGCGTATTCGAAATCCTTGACAGCGCCAAGGTTTCCGGTCTCTTCGACAATCGGCTCGAAGAAACCCAAATCGACTTTAGCAAATGTGTGTTCTGCTTCAACTTCAACGGCAGACTCCTCCGTAGGAATCTCTGGTACCCCACCGGCACCGAGAGTATCCCAGTGTTTAGAGAAAGTTTCTCTAGGTTGCGCCTTCTGGCGACTTGAATTGCAATGAACCTGGTAGGCGATCTCCTTGACAAGCTCGGAGAGTTCGCAGTTAGGGTCTTTCTCGAGGGCACGCTGGTAGGCCTCGAAGAGGGACACTTCGTCATTTCCCTCACAAAGTTTGCCGACTTCAGCAATACGGTCGCAAGCCCAGTCGGGAACTGGTGTGGCCGCCAACAGCATGAATTGCTTGGAGAGGCGAGCAGGAAGGGTGCTTCTCCTTTGTCTCTGGAAGGCGGCGGTCAAGAAGTCCTCGCCCTGCTGAAGACGGTCAGCCATGGTGGCTGCATGAGCATGATGAGGCATACTCTGGTAAACGTTCCCTTCGTAGGAAGCGCCGCCGAGTCCCATAACCTTGAGCAGCATAGCTCTGCTCTTCATGGGCGAGTGGGCGGTAGGCAAAGAGAGAAGTTCGCTCGACACTTGAGGTTTGGTCGAGCCAGAAACACCGAAGATGTCAGTCAACAGTTGCTTCTTTTCTTGACTGATGAACGCGGCGGAAGCCCGCATGCGGTCGTCGGCCTCGATGTTGATTTTCTCCGAAGTGGAGTGGGTGAAGGTGGTGTTGGCAGGCTTCAATTCGCTGCCGTGGTAGAAGGAGGACTTCAATGGGTCCTCGTCAGAAGATGGAAACAACACGGGAATTGTGGCGGCGACGTCGTCGGTCGTCGAAAGGCTGAAACTCTTGAACACGGATGGTACTCTGAGTCTCATTTTGGTCTGGTGTTGCTGGTGGTAAGGAAGAAAAGGGAAGAAAGAAGAAAAGAGAATCTGGGGCACAAACCCACCATACTAGTAGACTGCGTTTCGCAGCCATTTATTATATACAGTACGCAGCTGTCAAACATATGGACCACTTGACAATCTGTAGGCTGCTAGGGGGGTTGCAATCACTATTCAAATCGTTCTTGTTGCTACATCGAGAAGTCTCTTGACTTAAATTGCTTCCTGGATTGTCTATTGGATTTTTCGACTCATGTGTAGCCTGAAAGCTTCTCACACGTATGCATGATGTCTAACCAGTACCCCCTGCGGCGAAGATCTCAAGCCACACATTTAGCTCGGTAAGTCTTACAAATTAACCTTTTTCCTTAAAATGGTCAAGTTGTCCGCTGCTGCCTTCATTGAGACAAACCCAGACGTATCAAAAGCGTTATTCAACGCTACCGCTACCATTGACGAGTCGAAGCTCGAGAAGAACGAGATTCTTATCACCGCTTTGGCCCTTCCTATCAATCCTTCGGACATTTTCCAGGTTCAAGGGTCATACAAGACTCCAATCTTGAAACAAAAGCTTGGAAATGATCCTGACGAGGCTGAGGTTGCAGTCGGTGGAAACGAAGGCTTGTTTCGTATCACTGCTGTGGGCTCCCAGGATTTGGGCTACGCCGTGGGAGACTGGGTTATACTTAAGTTAACCAGCTTCGGTACTTGGCGTTCCCATGCCATCGTCAGAGTGACAGAAGATAACAAAGATCCTTTGATTGTGGTGCTGGGTGACTCTGGAAAGATCTCAATTGATGACGCCTCCACTATCTCGACTAATCCCTCCACTGCGTATCAGTTGATCAACAACTACATCAAGGACTGGAATGCTGGTGAATGGATTATTACCAATGCCGGCAATTCCTTTGTCAGTAAGTATCTCTTCCAGCTCGCGAGGTATTATAAGCTCAACACTTTGGCAATCATCAGAAAGAAACTGGAAGAACACTTTAAGGACACTGCGAATGAGCTCTTAAGTTTGGGTGCCACCAAAGTTATCAGCGACAAAGAGTTTGAAGAGAGCAGCTTTGTCACCGAGAAACTCCCTCAAATAGTGGGTAACGATCCCATTAGGCTTGCATTGGATTCTTTGGGTGGCCCAACAACTCCCAACTTGGTAGCGTCCCTCTCTCCTGACAACTACTTTGTTAACTACGGTGGCCTTGCTGGCGGCTTTGTTTCGTTTGACCCTAGGGTTCAATTGGCCAAAAACGTTACTCTCAAGAGCTACTGGTTAACAAGAAACACTAGAAATAACCCCCAGTCTAAGGTGGAAACCGTGAAGGCCTTGATTAAGTTGTTCGAAGAGGGCGTCTTTGGGCCTGTGAAGTACAACAAGGTACCATTCAAAGCTGGTGATAATCTTCGTGATATTTTTGTCCAGGCAATTCAAAATTCATCCACCGGCAAGCAAGTTGTTACGTTCGAAGAACATTTTCCATGATCTTACTACTTTATGGAAGCTTTGGCCAACAAGAACCTGTCACAGTGCGATTCTAGTTTGTATTTTAATGAACTCATCCGTAGTGTCTAAAACGTACATGGTATCATGAACCTCACAAGCCTGACTTCTGCTAGTAATCCTGACTCGTACCAAGTTTCCGCAGCCAGTCACAAGAATGACTTTTCAAAGCAGCTGAGGAGCTAAGAGGCAACTATGTTGTTACTACTCGACACGAAGTAATCCGTTTCATGCTAACTACACTTCCTCCTTCCATTTACGCGAAAAGCGCATTAGTGTATACCTCTATGGGCAACGTTATGACATGACAAATATTGAGCTATTTTTATAGCCGTCCAAACAACATGAAAAGAGCAACACATGTTTTGAACTCATGATGTGATGATTTTCGGTAGCAAACTAATGTCAAGCAGATACCTGTAACATCTTTTATTTTTTCCGCAAGTAGCCCAGAGCATATCTCGGTCCCTGGCTATTCGAGGCCGCGGTGCTCTGTACACAGTGGAAAAAAATCAACGAAAATCTCAAGTCACCTACCACTCCCTCTCCAACGTACCCAGCATGTCTGACATTTACGTGGTTGTTCATCTCGAAACCACGTGGGATGCCTCTCCCCATCAGCATCAACAGCAGCGCCATTCACCCTCTGAGCTTCGCAGCCTCCTGTGGTGTATTGTGGACGCTGATCTGTTGGAGCAGCTGAAGCCGGAGTGTCTCCATGTGGGTGTAGATGGTGACAATACAGCTTTACCATTCAAAGATGCTATCGCAGCATTTGATAAAAGTGTTTCGGAGGCCGTTCGGCTGAAAGACTTTTCATTCATCACTACAGACATGCATAATTTGAGAGTTTCCTTGCCCCGAGAGGCTAGAGACAGACAAGTGGTGCTACCCGTGTATTTGCAACACCCTCGCGTCTTTGATTTGTTTAATGAATACCTGAAATGGCAGCTGACTCACCCAGAGGCTTTGAGCTATCCCTCGTCATATCTCAGTAATTTGGTCACGGCGTTGGCGGTTGACGTGCCAGAAAACTGGGCCTCAGATGACTCTGATGTACCTTTGGTTGATATCCATGCTCGCGTGTTAGCCCAGCTAGCCCGGAAATCTTTACCGGTCGACGAGCATCCCACTGTGCTTACGAAGCCCTACGATACTGCTCATGATGCTAAAGTTTTCTTGGCTGAACGTTCAAAGATCTTGTACTTATCTAACTTGCCATCTGATACGACGCAGTCAGAATTGGAACTGTGGTTTACACAGTATGGCGGGAGACCTATCGCGTTCTGGACACTTAAGAATGCTGAGGGCGAAGGCAAATCGCAAAGCAAGTCTAAAGGCATCTGTGGCTTCGCAGTGTTTGCCAAGCATGAAGAGGCAGCACAGTCCTTGTTCATGAACGGTCGCGTTCTCAACGACAGAGTTGTTGAGGTTCAAGCATCCTCAACCCGAGTTCTTGACAAAGCAGCTGATTTATTGACCCCATTCCCTCTGTCGAAGAATCGTCCTCGTCCCGGTGACTGGACCTGTCCATCCTGCGGCTTCTCCAACTTCCAAAGAAGGATCGCATGTTTCCGCTGTCTGTTCCCTGCGACTAGTGCAGTTGCCATTCAGGAGCAAATGTATCCTGGAGCGATTGATTCGACCAGTATCCAGGCTCCGCAAAGACGTCTCAAACATGATGATAAAGTCTCACAGCCTGCTTACAATGCATATAACGATTACTACTCTGGCTCACAGGTGAAAAACAATAACTATAATTACGGAGGAAATTTTAGTCATGGCCATATGGCTATGAATACCGGTGGGGGGACTGGAAATTCTAACAACGGGGGCCATCGGATGCACTACGGTAATAGTGTTCCGTTCCGTGCTGGTGACTGGAAATGTACAAATGAAAACTGCCAGTACCATAATTTTGCTAAAAATCTGTGCTGTTTGAAATGCGGCCGGGCGAAACCAGCCTCGGCGAACTCTGGTCACAACCACCATAATAACCATCATAACGGACATCATAACAACCAAGGTCATTCTAACAATCAGCACCACCATGGCCATCAAAATCACCATAATAGCAACAATCATGGAACTGGTGCTAGTCATAATAACCATAATGCTGCTGCTGCCGCTGCTGCCGCTGCTGCTGCAGGGTCCATTCATTCCGTCAACACTACTGCCGCTGCAATCGCGGCCGCTACAGCCAGCGGTCAGCCTTTAAATCTCAGTAACAGTTTCTTGGGACTTCAGCAACCTCAACCTCATCTGACAAGGCAAGGGCAAGGATCTCATGGTTCTCAATCATCTTCTTCTTCACCCATCCAGAATGGTGGGCTTTATTCGAACATATCCCATTTGCAGCAACTCCAGTACCCACAGAAACTGGGACTGCTGAACCAACATAGCCAAGACCACCTTGGTCAAGGTGCAGCTCACTTGCCACAGCATTTGGCTTTTTTGCAAGGACAGTCGGCATCCCCACATATTCAGGGCCAGCAACGTCAAAAGTCCAACCTGTCTGGTAGCTCCCCGGGCCTTTATGTACAAGGTTCGAGTTATCAATACAAGGGTCAGCAACACCCAGATGATGGCTTACTTAATGGTTCCGGGATCAGTTTACTTGGAAATCAAATCAATTCATTGAATCTAAACGATCAATGAACGGGAAGGTTTATTATCTGTTTTTCTTTTTTTTATTTTAATTATCAAGAGGGGAAAGGTTGTCGAGGTCGGTGAGATTTTCAACCCGGTTTACTAACATGCGCCAGAGCCGCATATTCATATCATATTCGAACGGATTGGGTCAAAGTGATACATCCGTAGGGGGCTAGAACGAGGTAAACGCGGAAGGTTTGATGAATAGGATATATAGCTGTATAATTCTTAAAATGCTATTTGGGTGCAAAAAAAAAAAAAAACGTCAATCTAGTAGAAGTATGGTGACTCTGGGATTTTCCGGCACATAGTGCAGAACACGTACCCTTTCAAAATCTCTGTATCAGATCGTGAATCAAGCATAAGAAGTGAAGGTGTCCCCGTACGAAATGCCCGACAAATACTCCATTATCTTGCCTACGTATAACGAGAAGAAGAATCTTCCAATTCTTGTCTATCTCTTGGACAAGACTTTCAGTCAAGAAGGTATAAACTGGGAAGTCGTCATTGTTGATGACAACTCTCCAGACGGTACTCAGAAGGTAGCTGAAAAATTAATCGACATCTTCGGACCAGAACATATTCAATTGAGACCAAGACCTGGTAAGTTGGGATTGGGAACCGCCTATGTGCACGGATTGCAATATGTGACTGGTAATTACGTTATAATCATGGACGCTGATTTTTCCCACCACCCGGAGGCTATTCCTAAGTTCATCGCTAAGCAAAAAGAAGATGATTACGATATCGTGACAGGTACTCGTTACGCTGGTGATGGCGGCGTCTTCGGTTGGGACTTAAAAAGAAAATTGGTTTCCAGAGGTGCTAACTTCCTAGCATCCACCGTGTTGAGACCCAACGTGTCTGACTTAACCGGATCTTTTAGACTATACAAGAAAGATGTCTTGACGAAGGTTATTAACGAGACCAAGTCTAAGGGTTACGTTTTCCAAATGGAAATGATGGTTAGAGCAAAGGCCCTTGGTTTTAACGTGGGCGAGGTTCCAATCAACTTTGTTGACAGATTGTACGGTGAATCAAAGTTAGGTGGTGACGAGATTGTTCAATACTTGAAGGGTGTATGGTCGTTGTTCATCAGCGTTTAAGTGACCGATAGATGACAACGGATTTGAGATTCACAATTTTGAATATAATAATGAATATACAAGAGACATATTATATTATTGGGTTCAGGCTGCGTAACTTTGAGCAGACAATTTTGGCAAATTTTGCTATCTTTCTAGCTGTAGTTCTTCTGCTGCTGTGTTGTTTTATCTACGCTGTCTGAGGAGCACTGGAGCCAGGGACAGATATTTAATTTTGTTAAATGTTAAAGACAAGATATCAAATTGCTTGTCCTTTTTTTTTTTTTTTTTTTTTTTTGTTGAATTCAACTGTCCATGCCTTCTGAACAGGAGATGATGCAGTGTTAGAAGTAGCTATCTCCTTACTTTATACATTTCCTAATATTTATTTTATAAATATTTTCGGATACTCTTTCAGTTTAAACTTACGCGAACATAGTGCAAAAATAACCGCACATTGAGAACTTCACATTTAGATCGCATAGATTTCAGCCCTCATAAAATCAGGAATTCACTTATATAAGAGGCTAGCATCTGATTCGTAGATTTCATTCCCTGAATTTCACGTTTAGCCATTCATCCCCATGAGAAGGATAGAAACATGCAAGTAATAGAGAATAATGGCTCGCGTCATACCTAAGAGATATTCGGTAGGGCTATCCTTCACTTTTGACACCCATGCACCAGCTCTCGGTTGATATCATTAAGCTCTAGTTACTACCTAGATTTAATCGACAAATGGCAAAAGACACATATCTCCGAAAGATCTTGGGATCTGAGAGACTTGATCGCGTGAAATCATCTAAAGTTGTCATGGTGGGAGCCGGGGGTATTGGTTGTGAGTTGCTTAAAGACTTGCTCCTATCAAGCTTTGGAGAAATCCATATCGTTGACTTGGATACAATCACATTATCTAACTTAAACCGCCAATTTCTTTTCCGTCAGAAGGATATAAACAAACTGAAGTCTCTTACTATAGCACAAGCGGTGCAGAATTTCAACTTCTTCGGGTCCAAATTGGTGCCGCATCACGGCAATGTGATGGATACGAGCCTTTTTCCACTTTCCTGGTGGTCCCAGTTTGATTACGTTTACAATGCGCTAGATAACTTAGAGGCACGGAGATACGTGAACAAGATTGCCCTATTCCTTCGCAAACCGTTGATGGAGTCGGGTACTACCGGTTTCGAGGGCCAGATTCAGCCGATCTACCCCTACAGCACCGAATGCTTCGAATGTCAGCCAAAGGCCACACCGCAAACTTTTCCCGTTTGTACAATTAGATCAACTCCATCGAAACCAGTTCACTGCATTGTTTGGGCCAAGGAGTTTTTGTTCACTCAACTTTTCGACGCTACGCTGGAGAATGAAGTGAGCCAGGCAGAATTGAGGCAAGAGACGGATGACCAAGAGGAAATTGATAGAATTATGCTGCAAGCTAATGAGCTCTCCTCTTTGAAGAAATTGGTTTCAGATGAAGACTTCCCTGCGAAGCTTATTGCCAAAATCTACAAAGATGACGTCGAGAAATCCCTCAGATTGGAAAGTCTTTGGAAAAATAGAGATCCACCGGTACCTCTTGAGTTTGGTAAGCTGTATGAAGGTGATTTAAAACAACTTTTGAATGATTCGGATAACTTGAAGCTTTTGTCGGACGACACGAAGACTTGGTCAGTATTAGAGAATATCTATGTTCTCTTCAAGGCAACTGAGGCCCTCCAAAAGAGAATCATGTCAGGAGAGCAAAGCATAATCACTTTTGACAAAGATGACGAAGATACACTCAATTTCGTTACTGCAGCAGCAAATTTAAGGTCATTCGTCTTCCACATACCTTTGAAAAGTAAATTTGATATTAAGCAGATAGCGGGCAATATTATACCTGCGATTGCAACTACTAATGCAATAATCAGCGGCTTTTCGAATTTGGGGTCATTGCTGTACTTCAATCCAAACTTTTCTCCTAGTGATGCTAAAAGTGTTTTTATCTCGATCAAACCTAACAAAAGAGTGACTTCTGCCTTGGTAGAAGGACCAAATCCAAGATGTGCGAGTTCCGGAATAACAAAGGCTATTTTGCGGCTTACTAGAGATGACTTCAGTATGACCCTCCAAGAGCTTGTGAGAAAAGTTAAGGCTAAATACGGTTACAGTGGTGACATTTCAGTCATCCTTGGACAATCAAAGTTGATCTACGACTTTGATTTTGATGACAACGCTGATAAGCAGCTTCATGACATCAAGGGGCTTGTTACAGATGAAGTTCTTTTATTTCAGGATGAGGAAGAAGAACTCGAGAACCTCGAGCTTTATATCCAAGAGGTGAAGCAAAATGAAGGTATTCCACTTCCTGATATCCAACTTAGGGCAAAGGTCAAGTATGAGGAGCCTGATTCCTCAAGTGATGAAGAAATGGAAACGACAACTATTGTTTTGGACGACGAGCCTCCATCGAAGAAGAGAAGAACTAATGGGGCTGTCGAGGACATCCTGATCATTCTTTAGCATAAGGTCTAACCATGCACACAGAAATATAATATAGAATTCATCGCTACTTTAATTTACGCAAAAAAAGTACACGTTACCCGTTATGTAAAGACATAGACATATTCCAAGCTACCTCTTGAACGATGCGATCGGCCCATCCGATCTCAGCCTGAAGGGGTTCGAGATCCGTACACCTATAGCCACATAAGTGAGACTGACATGGCAAGGTATAAATTCTTTAGGTATATAGCTAACCACACTTTTTCCACACAATAACTAAGCTCAATGTCCTGGAACGCTTACACAGACAGTCTTAAGTCAACTGGAAAGATTGATAAGGCAGCTCTTTACTCGGCTGCCGGAGACTCACTCTGGGCCGAGTCAGGTGGGTTTCAAATTGCTCCACAAGAGATCCAATCAATTGCTGGTGCTTACGCCGACCCACTGAACTTGCAAGCTCACGGGTTGCACATCGAGGGTCAGAAGTACTTCTTATTGAAGGCTGACGAAAGGTCTGTTTACGGCAAACTTGACGATACTGGAATCGTTGCTGTCAAGACCAAACAGGCGATTGTCATTGCCCACTACCCATCCGGTGTCCAGCCACAAGAGGCCACTGCTGTAGTGGAAAAGTTGGCTGATTACTTAATTGGAGTTGGCTACTAGAATAATATTAATAGGTGAATTGACGAGGCTATCGGCACAATGTTGACGACTTGACCACGTAGAACAATTGCTAACTATTCGTGAGATGGAAGAGGTGACGAGCTTGAGAGAACCCAGTATTCAGCCCACAACGTTTTTATATTATGGGAAAAGCCTCTCATTAATCGTGCTTACATTAGTGTAACCTTTCTCAATGCACGAGAAACCATACAAACCAACAAAAAAGCTGAATGGTGGGACGGACAACCCGCATGTGTTTACTGATCATGTCATCTGGTTCGTAGCACATCTAAGTATTCTTCAAAGCAGCTCCCGAGTTTAAGTCTTGTAAATGATAAGAATGTGTACCACCAACAGGTACTAGCGTCGTCCACCGCTAGTACCGCATAGACAAAAAAGTAAAGAAATGAGAAGAATATTAGAAAAACAGAAACAATTAATTAATGAATCAGCAATGATAATTGGAAAAAAGAAAAAAGAACAGCAAAGTTTTCATGGATAAACGTGTGTCAGACTAAGGCTCGTACAAGCACTCTGATGACTCTTAGGGTTCCATCATGTTCTCAGGCTCGAGGAGAGAATACCAAGAAGAAGGAATACATTCGAAAGATCATTCGATTTTTCCGTATGTGTTACGAACATCTCATAATAAACCCATCTGCAGCTCAACGAGCTAGGTCTCCATCGACTGTTGTAAGAACAAATTCGCAGCCATTTTGGCCAACTAGCTTCTTGTGTCCTGCCGCTAGGCTCACAGAATTTTTGTAGCACCCTTGCGTGCGTTACTCAATTGAAAACCAGCTGTCTCTCATTGGCCAGCGCAATTCGCATCACAGTGTATTCAATCCCGTTAATCTCACTTCACCCATCAACTGTTAATCCAACAAACATATCATGTTCAGGGCCTCCGCTCGTGCTACTAGATTAAGCTTCAAGAGGTTCAACTCGTCAGGCCATCATGATGCGCCAGCGCCCACTCAGAATGAGATTGACGTGACGAAAGTGTTTGGTGTCGCTCTTTTGGCTGGCGTTTCTCTCTTCTTCTACAGATCTTCCAAAGAGCCTGTCATCAAAACTCCATTGTATAACCAAGTCGAGGACCGTGTGCAAATGAGGAATGAGGCTTACGCCAAAAAATACAAGGCTTCTTTCATCAAGTCTTTCATCAGAGATAAAGGAGGCATCGGCCTGAAGCAGCACAGAAGACAAGCCATCGGTGCTGTGCCAACTGTTCTTATTCCCACACATTCCCCATACGCCAACCAGTTCGGCGCTGGTATCAAGACGGCCGATTTGGGTCCCAGAAAGGAAAGAGTCAAGTACTATGCTCCATTGGAAAACTAGTCATTTGACATGCACGGTGTCCCTGCAAAGCGGTGGATCCACAAATCACCCGGAGACTATGGCGAGATAGCATGATGCTTTTATGTATTTCGTCATCGTCATCTTCTCGTAGACGAGGAGCCGCTCTTCATTCATTTCACTCGCGGCGACGACGCTGCTGAATGACAGCAGCCATTATTTGCTACGAATATTTCTGCATTGAGTAATAACGATATAGAGTATGACAGTTTCGACAGTTTACTTTCTTTAGTTACGATAAATATACATCACCCGAAAGCACCGGTCTGTAAGCAGCTTAGTTGAGTATGTGGAGCTTTAGCCCTCATTTTGCTTCCTCTTTTCTTTCAGTCCCCTCAAACTCATTCCAAACACATGCGTACGCTGCCGTATTTGCTTGAACCCTGAAACATATTAATCTTGTGATACACAAAAATCCAATAGAAGAGCACTCGAAGCTTCCATATAGAATCCTTAAAACTTTGCCCTCTTCTTTTTGTATATATTGTCTCAACAAAAAATATTTATGGAAAGAGGACATATAAATCTGCCGTGTAGTAGAAAGTCATAGTTGTGCTAGAGAACGAACATCCTTTCCCAGATATGAAATCCAGATTATCACAGCATCCTGTCCTGGCGATTCGTAACTTCTTTCTTCTATAGCTCCAGAACGCGCCAGTATTACTAGCTTATACTCCTCCACAGTATTGATTAATAGTGAAAGTTAAGAAATAAACTACAAAATAAGACCTAAATGATGCCCTTACCAGAATATATTATATACAATAGTGAATTTTCATTCTCACAAAGGTTCCGGTCCTATAGTGTAGTGGTATCACCTCGGATTCTGATTCCGGTAACCTGGGTTCGAACCCCAGTGGGACCTTTTTTTTTTCGTCAGCATGAGGCCTCAGGATTCCTCAGTGGGCGCGCAGATTGAAAGTTAACGACAACAAACCATACGGAAATGACCAAAGTTGAATGGAACGTTATTGTGCTTGACAAGCCAGATGCTGATAGGACACCAGTGAGAGCGGAGCACGTTCAGGGAATCCCGTCTACCGTAAATGATGGAATTGTGACTTCTGTGGGTGCACTTTACAAGGATGTGGAGAAAACCCAATTTGCTGGAAGTACATTTCATTTATACGCAGAGTCAAGAGAAGAAATCCTTGAGTTCTTGAAGAAAGATATTTATTACAAAGCTGGTATCTGGGATTTGGATAGCGTAATTGCCAACCCGGTAGGTATTGCAGCCAGGATCGGTAAGAGCATGCCCGGAGTGAAGATTTAGGCAAGTCTAGCTAGTAATACAATATGGCAGAACAAAGATTAGGGTAAAAAAAAAATAAGAACGTATACTACACCTTAACGAGTGATAAGCGCTTGAATAAGTCACCAGAAGGTCGGCTTCGAGAGTGTTTGGCAACGATAAGCAGGTTCTGGTGCATTGTCATGAGTAGTGATTACATTGAATACAACAAGCTCTCGTACGTGAATAAGCCCCACCTTTCTTCACTCTCAGACGGAGTTGAGCGCCGTATCATTACCCCAGTTCATCCTCAAAGGCTTGGCTTTTCAAGATAAATAGAGGCCTTGGAGGCTCGGAACCAACGGCTGGTTGTCTTCCGGATTATCTTGACATGGCTTCTTGTAAACCCACGAAAGACACATAAACACAGCCCTGACGGGGTTATTGGGCCATTCGGGTCTCTGGGAGATCCGAGCCCGAAAGTCGAAATATGTGCGCATCGAAGGCTGCCCCTCATGCATATGGCGTGCTAGCCGTGCGGCCAGGTCTGGGGAAAAAATGTTATGGCTGTAAGACCTACGCTACCCTGCCCTGGAGCACCGTATTAAACCTCGGCTAAGTAGAGCCAGGATATAAAAGGTATACTGTCTAAAATTTCTGTTTAAAAAAATCTCCCCTCCGCCTTAGGTGTGTGCGCTTTAACTGATGCAGCGTTAGTGGGTCTCTCGGCCGGATCCCATTTTTTTTAACCGTTCCGGTGGCTGCGAAAGGTAGCTATAAGTAGCAGGCCTGCCCACCCAAGAAATATCATCCCCTACCGATTTCCTTGGACCATGCCTTCGCTAGCCGATAGTGAGCACTCCAGTACAGAGCAGTATCAGGGCTTCACAAATGAAATTGCTGAAGACATCAAGCTGCTTGCCCGCACGGCTACCAACAACTCCGAGACTGGAGAACTGGTAAACCATTCTTTGGCTAGAGCCCTCAGCAGAATGTCTGCTCCGGGCATAAGTCCTATGGGGCAAGATAATATCGATCCTCGTTTAGATCCTAATTCTGATTCTTTCGATTCCAAGTTCTGGGTAAAGAATATGCATCAGTTGGCATGCGCCGATCCCGATTATTACAAACCTTCATCCTTAGGCGTTGTTTACAAGAACCTTAGAGCATACGGCCAGGCTGCCGATGCAGACTATCAAGCAAATTTTGGAAACGCGGTTTACAAGACAGTATCTCAATTCATCCAGAATCGTTCTCTGGGGCACCGGGAAAGAACCCGATTTGACATTTTGAAGCCCATGGATGGGATAATTGAACCTGGTTCTGTTACTGTCGTTTTGGGAAGGCCAGGTGCTGGCTGTTCTACATTCCTAAAGTCTCTTGCGGCCCAAACTCATGGATTTCATATCGATAAAGACTCTGTTGTGCTGTATGATGGACTATCACCAAAAGATATCAAAAAGCATTTCAGAGGTGATGTCATTTATTGTGCTGAGACGGAGTCACATTTTCCACAGATGACTGTCCAGCAGACCTTAGAATTTGCCGCTAGAATGAGGACGCCTAGAAATAGGCCCGAGGGAATCTCAAGAGAAGAATATGCCAAACATATGTCTGAGGTTGCAATGGCTACTTACGGCTTGTCTCATACTAGAAACACTAAAGTTGGCAACGAATACATAAGAGGTGTTTCGGGTGGTGAAAGAAAAAGAGTATCAATTGCGGAAGTACATTTATCACGAGCCTGCTTACAATGCTGGGACAATTCTACACGTGGTTTGGACTCTGCCACTGCTTTAGAGTTTGTTCGAGCCTTGAAAACCTCTGCAATGGTAACTAAGACTACTCCATTAATTGCGATTTATCAGTGTTCACAAGACGCATACGACTTGTTTGACAACGTTATTCTTTTGTATGAGGGCTATCAGATTTACCATGGTTCTGCAAGAAAAGCAAAAGAGTTTTTCACTGACATGGGGTATCATTGTCCTCAAAGACAGACGACGGCTGATTTTTTGACTTCGCTTACAAACCCTGTTGAGAGAGAGGTTAGAAAGGGGTACGAAGACAAAGTGCCACGGACGCCTAAGGAGTTTTATGACTACTGGCAAAAGTCAAAGGAAAGATCTGCCATAGTCAAAAAAATTGATGAATATTTGGATTCCAGTGAAATCGAGAACAAGCGTAAAGAGTTTAGCGATTCCCATCACGCACGCCAGGCTCGGAATTCTAGATCGAAGTCTCCGTTTACTGTTTCTTTCGGAATGCAGGTGAAATATTTGATGGCACGTAACTTCAGCCGTACGAAGGGGGATCCTTCCATTACATTATTTTCCGTTATTGGCAATGTCATCATGTCAGTGATTGTCTCGACGATGTTTATTGATTTAGATCCTGATACTGATTCATTTTATAGAAGAACAGCAGTGTTGTTCTTTGCGGTATTACTTAATGCCTTTGGATCATTATTGGAAATCTTCTCGCTTTACGAAGCCCGGCCTATTGTTGAAAAGCACAAGACATATGCCCTCTACCACCCAGCCGCTGACGCATTTGCTTCAATCATGACTGAGTTACCGCCCAAGTTAATTCAATGTATCGCGTTCAACGTTGTGCTTTACTTCACTGTCCACTTGAGACGCAGCGCTGGCCATTTCTTCTTCTACTTGTTGGTTAATTTTTCGTGTACGATCGCTATGTCTCACTTGTTCAGATGCATCGGTGCTGCCACCAAGTCTTTATCATCTGCAATGACTCCTGCGTCTTTGTTGCTTTTGGCCTTGACTATTTTCACTGGGTTTGTGATCCCCCCTCAGGACATGCATGGCTGGTGCAGGTGGATCAACTACATCGACGTTGTCGCCTACGCTTTCGAGGCTTTAATTGCCAACGAGTTCCATGGAAGAGACTTTCCATGCTCCACATATGTACCTACTGGCCCAGGCTATCAGCCACAAGGTGATAGTGTCATATGTGCTGTCACTGGGGCTAACGCTGGAGAAAGCTTTGTGAATGGAGATGTATACATCGATCTCTCTTTTGACTACAGGAATGCTCATAAATGGAGAAACTGGGGAATAGTTGTCGCGTTTGCTGTGTTCTTCTTCATCGTTTATATCTTCTTGGTTGAGATTAATAAGGGTGCGATGCAAAACGGCGAAATATTGGTCTTCCAAGAATCGGCCTTGAGGAAACGAAGGAAGCAATTGAGGTTGTTGAACGATATTGAATCAGAGACACCTGATGAGAAGCTTAAAACTGAAGATCTATTTGAAGAAGATAATGAAACTGATGATAGTGATAACAAACTCCCCAACACCACTGACATCTTCCATTGGCGTGATTTGACCTACCAGGTCAAGATCAAGTCTGAAGAGAGAGTGATCTTAGATGGTGTCGATGGGTGGGTCAAGCCCGGCCAAGTTACCGCTTTGATGGAGCATCTGGTGCCGGTAAGACAACCTTGTTGAATGCCTTGTCTGAGAGGTTGACCTCAGGAGAAGTCACGAAGGGAAAAAGAATGGTTAATGGGCGAGAATTAGACTCAGCTTTTCAAAGATCGATAGGTTACGTTCAACAGCAGGATTTACATTTGGAAACTACTACTGTCCGTGAAGCTTTGAAGTTCTCAGCATACTTGCGACAACCTTCATCATGCACGAAGGCTGAAAAGATGATTATGTCGAGTATATCATCCGTCTTTTGGAAATGTCAAAATTTGCTGATGCAGTAGTCGGTGTTCCAGGTGAAGGTTTGAACGTTGAGCAGAGAAAGAGGCTAACTATTGCCGTGGAATTGGTGGCGAAGCCTCGTTTATTGGTGTTCTTGGATGAACCAACTTCGGGCTTGGACTCACAAACAGCTTGGTCTATTTGCAAGTTGATAAGAAAGTTAGCAGACCACGGCCAATCTATTTTGTGTACAATTCATCAACCATCAGCAATTTTGATGAAGGAATTTGATCGCTTACTTTTTTGCAAAAAGGAGGGCAAACAGTTTACTTTGGTGACCTAGGTGAAAACTCACAAGCTATGATTGATTATTTTGAAGGAGAGGGTGCACCAAAATGCCCACCCGAGGCGAACCCAGCAGAATGGATGTTGGAGGTCATTGGTGCAGCTCCTGGATCCCATGCTGACAGAGACTACCACCAAGTTTGGCTCCAGTCCAAAGCCCGCAAAGAAGTGATTAGGGAACTTGATGACATGGAGAGAGAGCTCCCAAAGAGACCTGTTTCTGAAGATCCAGAGAAATACAAAAAATATGCGGTAAGCTTCTGGACGCAATACAGACAGGTTGTCAAAAGAGTGTTCCAACAGTATTGGAGAACGCCATCATACACTTACTCGAAAGTATTATTATCTATTGTGGCATCGATGTTCAATGGCTTCACCTTCTTCAAAGCTGATAAGACACTTCAAGGTCTTCAGAATCAAATGTTTTCGGTCTTCATGTTTATGGTCGTTTTCAACACTTTGATCCAACAATATCTTCCACACTTCGTTTCTCAAAGAGACTTGTATGAAGTTAGAGAAAGGCCTCAAGGACATATTCATGGGTGACTTTTATTCTTGCGGTTGTCACTGCTGAAATTCCTTGGAATATAGTATGTGGAACATTGGCATTCTTTGTTTGGTACTATCCGATTGGGTTATACAACAATGCTGTACCTACTGACACTGTGAATGAGAGAGGTGCCACGATGTGGTTCGCAATTGTTTGCTTTTACATCTATACTTCGACTATGGGACAACTTTGTATTTCATTTTCGGAATTGGCAAACAACGCAGCCAACTTGGCCAGTTTGCTTTTCAGTATGAGTTTGATGTTCTGTGGTGTTTTATCTTCAAAGGATGATATGCCTAGGTTTTGGATCTTCATGTACAGGGTAAGTCCATTTACTTATTTCGTTTCTGTGGTACTTTCGGTTGCGTTAGCCAACTCGGAGGTAACATGCTCAGATAGGGAGTTGTTGAGGTTCACTCCAACTCTGGGAACATGCGGTGAGTACATGGAGCCTTACATGCTGTTTGCCGGAGGTTACCTTGTCGATGAAAATGCTACTGAAGTATGTGAATTTTGTACCGTCAAGTCTACCAACGCCTTCTTGAGCACTATTGATGCAGATTATAGTCAGCGGTGGAGGGACATGGGTATCTTCATTGCTTTTATTTTTATCAACATCATAGGAACGTTGTTCTTCTACTGGCTTGCAAGGGTACCAAAAAGATCACGCGAGAAGGCCTCAAAAAAGTAACTAATAATGTTTAATTCTATTTACGTATATGTTTGAAATGCAAGGAAAAAAAAAAGCTTGGTAACAAATTAGATTTAAATCGAATTGAAATCACCATCAAGGTGAATGATAAGGCTCTTGTACTAGAGCTCATGGTCTTTTGGAGAACTTGCGAAGTTCTGTGTTGTAGAAGTGTGTACCATAAACATGATTTCTGAACAAGGACTGAGTTCTGGTTGATGCCTTCTTCAGCAGGCTAGTAGAGAACCTCGTAGCAATAAAATCAGCTGCCACGAGGAATACTGGACCAATAGCTAAGACAGTTCCAGTGGAGAGACCTCTCATGATGCTAGGTATTTTGGGTATCAAATGACGAGATGAATGACTCTATTGGCAAGAAGCAGGTCGGAAGTTCATTTAAGGAATTGTTCCTCTTTAGCTGGGGACGATATTGTTAAATAGTAAACACGCTCTTAGTCCGGGATTAAGCTCTGCTTTTATATTTGGTGTCTTTTCTTTTCTTTTTTTTTTTTGGCTTTCTGTTACTTTATTTTTTCTCCCTGGCTCATTCCTCCCATTGTTTCATTTTGTACCATACAGACCGCGCCGCAATTGAGGAAAAGACAATCTTATAGTGTTAGAAATCCGTGATGCCAAATCGGCGGCCTTCTAATCCAACATACTGTTCGATAAAAGATTCTGGCATCGAATTTACCTAACCATTTTAATCGCTACTGCTACGGAGAATCAATGTTCCAAATTTTCTACGCAGGATTGCCCCACAATATGCGGTAAGTGCAAAATCGACTGGCTAACACTAAGGAATCTTTCTTGTTGCTAAGGTTGTACTATTTCAGAAGGACAATATCGAAAAGTAGGCCACTAACTATATAAGTCATCATCTTCTGCTTCATTGGCAAATGCTGCGCCTGCACCAGACTCGCCAGCGATACCTTCATTTTCGGAAAATCTAAAGTTAGTGAACTGACCTCTAGACGCTTGTAGCTGCTGAGCGTAGGCCTCGTAACGACGCAACTCGGCATCTGACACAGATCTCTTTGCAGTCTTCATGGCTTCCTCGAAGTGATTCTTGGTGATGTAGGGCACTGGGTCTTCCTGTTCCTCCTCATCTTCAGCCTTAGGCTTGTCAGTCATATCAACGTCCCCACTCTCTTCCTGCTTCACGTCGCCCTTATCCTTAGTGATCCTGATATGGGCCTCAATGGAGTCTTTGATTGCAAACTTAGCGGATCTTTGGACGATGTACGACAAGTCGGCACCGGAGAAGCCGTTAGTAATTTTGGCAATTTCAGTCAACTCCAAACCAGGTTCTAATGGAGTGTTTCTCAACTGTGCCTGTAAGATAGACAATCTAGCAGCCTCATCGGGTAATGGTACGTAAATCAACTGATCCAATCTTCCTGGTCTCAACAAGGCTGGATCAATCTGATCAGGTCTATTAGTTGCACCAACGACAAAGACGTTCTTCTTAGCATTCATACCGTCCATCTCAGTCAACAATTGGTTAACAACTCTGTCAGATGCACCACCAGCATCACCGTGAGAGCCACCTCTTGCCTTGGCGATAGAATCCAATTCATCCAAGAAAACGACAGTAGGAGCAGCAGCTCTGGCCTTATCAAAAATATCTCTGATGTTAGACTCCGACTCACCGTACCACATACTCAATAATTCAGGTCCCTTGACAGAAATGAAGTTTGCGGATACCTCGGTGGCAACAGCTTTCGCCAATAAGGTTTTACCAGTACCAGGAGGTCCAAAGAACAACACACCTTTGGAGGGTGCCAATCCAAACTTCTGATATTGATCTGGATGTAACACTGGATACTCGACAGTTTCCTTCAACTCATTCTTGATATCATCTAAGCCACCAATATCATCCCAGGTGACATTAACATTCTCAACCACGGTCTCACGCAAGGCGGATGGATTGGAGTTACCCAAAGCAAAGCGGAAATTCTCCATAGTGACACCCAATGAATCCAAGATCTCGGCATCAATGGTCTCTTCCTCTAAATCGATGAGATCCATCTTTTCACGAATTTGCTGCATGGCTGCCTCAGAACATAAAGAAGCAACGTCAGCACCGACAAAACCATGTGTTTCAGACGCAATAGCTTCTAACTCAACATCATCCGCTAATTTCATGTTCTTAGTGTGAATTCTCAAGATTTCCAACCGACCAGCTGCATCCGGAACACCAATGTCAACTTCTCTATCGAACCTTCCAAATCTTCTCAAGGCGGGGTCGATAGAGTTGGGCCTATTAGTGGCAGCGATCACAACGACATTGGACCTTGCCTTCATTCCGTCCATTAAGGTTAACAACTGAGAAACAACTCTTCTTTCGACTTCACCGTTTGTTTTATCTCTCTTTGGGGCGATGGAATCAATCTCATCGATAAAGATAATAGCAGGAGAGTTCTTCTCAGCTTCTTCAAATGCCTTCCTCAAGTTGGATTCCGATTCACCTGCCATTTTCGACATAATCTCGGGACCATTGATTAAGAAGAAGAAGGCACCAGTCTCATTCGCCACAGCCCTAGCCATGATAGTCTTACCAGTACCTGGAGGACCATACATTAAGATACCTTTAGGGGGCTTGATACCAATAGACTTGAACAACTGTGGGTGTCTCAAAGGCAACTCAACCAATTCCCTAATCTGTGCCATCTGTTTCTTACATCCACCAATGTCATCATAGCCAACTTCGTTCATGTTATTCTCTTCGTCTTCACGATTGATAGGCTCGCCCTCGCAGTGAATAATAGTATCTTGGGCGACAATGGCGAAGTCCTCAGGTTCCACATCCACCACTTTAAACTCCACTTGTCTCATACCACCTCTCACAGTGAACAAATCACCCTTACGAACTGGCCTATAGGCCTCAACAAAGTACGGTTTCAAATAGACATCGAACAATGAACCGGTGATACCCTCGACTGTGTCAGCAATTGGCAACACAGAGATTCTTGAAGCATACTTGATATCAGGGCAAGGATGAATCGTAACAATATCGCTTAATCTCACTCTCAAGTTATTACGGACACAACGATTGATTCTAGCAATCCCATCTGGCATTTCGTCGTCAGAGAGAACAACCAAGATAGTATCTTTTCTTCTCTTTCCCTTGACCAACACAGTATCGCCCCTGAACAACTCCAAAAGTTCCATTGTTGCAGAAGACATAGTAATGACGGAATTGTCATCATTGGTGGCATCATCGACGATCAAAGCGTTGTCCTTCTTCTTTCTTCTCAAGATAGCTGTAGCGGTGGCGTCGTCATTCTCGTGGGCGCCTGAGGCGTCCAAAAGTGGCTTCTTGTCTTCTTTTGTCATTACCAGTGTTTCTTATCGTACGTAAAAGATTCAGGGCAGTTAAATCGTATATGGATAAAAAAGAAGGTAGACAAGTATATAAATGATATCCGATCAGGCTCGCCACATGAGTATTGTGAGATTCGTTGGCCACCGCGAGAGGGAGGGTGGGGAGGTACGGGTGTGTCTCGAATGATTGTGGGTTCCTTCACATTCTCTAGGCTTCTGAAAAGAGAGATATACTTGCTATTGCCACTTTATGCAATTGGCTGCGTAGACAGTAACGGACTTATAACGCTAGCTGATTAAGATGTTCCAGTAATGTTCTAAATGTCTGAACAGAGATCGAAGTAATTGTAGTTCACCATGAAGTTGCTAACATAATGAATGATGGGACTCAATAAGACTTGAGAATGAGACTGACTACAACATTCTTATCACATATGTAATATTATGTTGGAACGCCGGACCCAGGACCATCTCTGTGGTAAGAACTATGAAGTATGCTCCCACTAGCCGCGATGTCAACTGTGCACATGTGGGCTGAACTACTATCAGTTAGGTTTGCCAGCCATGTTGAATATACTTAGTCCCACCTAGCATTCGATTTTGGAAATTCCTAGAATTTTGACAGACTATCGGCACCCGTTCTGTATCGTACAAAAGTTACTCTGGCTCCATCTGGGGTAACTGCATTGATGTCCGCGTGCAAAAAAAAAAATAACGGTTGTGCCCTTCATTACACTAAGTTCCAACCTCTCACATGTCCAATAACGACAGAAGACCAAATCCCGAGGGTTGGATACCTCCCAAAGCACCATACAATCCTTATGATCCCACAGATGCTCGTCCCGCAGAAGGATATCCATCGGAATTTAAGCTTCCGGGACAAGAGCCTCAAGGCTTTTCATCTATCCCAAAAACACCCACGCAATATCAAAAGATAAATGAAACGATGAGGAAGCTTAACTACACTCCAAGGCCGAGATCCAATATATATCCCGGACAATATATGGTCTTGCGGAAAGTAGATACCAATCAAAGACTCAATACTGGTACTCGATGGTTTGGAACGTTTCTAACAGGGTCCATCATAGTTTACTTTTCATTTTTCTACAGGTGGAACGATGGAAGAGAAAACGTTATGTCAGACTTCTACCGTTATCGTCTCGTGATTAAAGAGAGGCTTGTTGGCCTTTCTGAAATAGAATATGACGATTTGTACCATCCTAAGAAAGCAAATCATGTCATAAAAAATGTCAGAGACTCGGACTACATTCCCGACAATATGAGAGTAACCAAAGAAGGTGACTATGCGCTCAACAGGCCATCAGAGAGACATGTATTAGAAGCTCAAAGAATCCAACAAGAGAATGAAGAGGCTATGCTTCAGGAGTTGGACAAGCACCGTCAATATGCCAAGGAGTTCATGGAAGATCCTTCCCCAAAACCCAAAAAAAAGTGGTGGCTATTTTGAAGTCGAAGTATCCTGCAATTTTATCATTCTCGCTCACCGTCGTTGTACATAGAAACTAGCATCAACATGAAGTCAAAATTCCACTTCGAAAGCGACGTTTCTTTCGTCAAGGCCCGTAACTTTAGTATTCTCTCACAGTCCCAGGAACTTTTATGGGACCATATGTATTTTGCAGCTTCTACTACAGTGATTGATGACGGAAAAACCGAAAAGCGTTGGAAAGAAGATCGTCTTCACACAGGTTCACAGCATTGCAATAAGAAAATGAACCGAAGACCCTCGTCGATAGGAAGAACGAATTTGACTATGGTGGCAATGGAACGTCATCGCCATCATGACGAAGGATTTAGCGTTGAATTACAGTGTGCGGTTAAGAAGACGAAAGAGGTCTTTGACCTTTACTTTGATATGGTAGACCGAAATAAAAGGTTGAAGCAAGATCTTAAGATGACCAGGAGATATTTAGGATATCCTTTATGCCCTGAACACCTTCCAAGGCAAGACTTGCTTCAGACAACTTCGCCCAACGGTGATGTTAAACGCAAGTGCGAAGCTAATTATGGAATAAGCCGTGCTCTACTGGTTAAGATGAAAGTCTTTTTTAAACATGAAGGCAAAATTTTTGATTAGACAGAATACACGCGCAATCCGGTTAACTCAAAAGTAATCCGATAAAAGAAATGAAAGCCAGCAGCGGTGATCTTTGTCTTGGTGGGTTTCGTTGTTATGCATAACGCCGCCCGATGCCCTTGGCCCTCTGAGAATGACGCTCTGTCAATGTGAGTATCAGTCAAAAAGGAAATAAAAGAGAAAAAGTTATGCGTCACGCTCGCTCCGATAGTACTAAGAGCTACGAAAGACAACTTTCGCCCCCTGATCTCTGCTAGCTGAGAACTCTGGCTGTGAGCATGATGCGACCCAAAGTGAACATGAACCAAGAGCTTACCCGGCCGCGACCTGACAGGATAAAAGAGAAAAAATTGCAGCACTAATTTTTTTTTTTTCTTAACGCTAATTTTACAGCCATCAGCAACGCTAAAGCATTCCGTCGAGGTTGAACCCGTCAAGGCGTTCCTGGCCCATGACAATCGGGGTATAGTTGTAATTTTAAAGCGAAAGTTTTAATCTATATGATGGACTGGAGATCAATTGGTTGATCTTGGGTGCAGCGTCTCATCAGTTGATACTCCGTATCACTAAGGGATTACCTTCGTGTGCCCGTATGGGAGATGGTGCAATGATCAGCTAAACATTGAAAACTCTTCTCTCAAGTCTTTTATTTGCTTAATTTTATCGACAAGCAACCATCATCATTCGGTCGTTTGCCTGCCTTTTTCTTCGGTTACAGACACTTGACTTCTCTCTCTGTGTGTGCGCTTGAGCCAATATCCTGGTTCTTGTATAAATCTCTTGACCTTCTAAGCTTTTCTCCTTTCGTTATTTATCTGAAATGTACTTGAGCTTTGAAAACAAAGAAGCTCGATATCTAGACGCTTTAAGGGCTACAATCTGCTCTACATGCCAAATACCACTACAGGGCCCTGTGACGGTCCTCGCACTGCATAGCACAGCCCTGATCGAGAAGCTGATAACACTATAATACCAGTGACAACTGCCGAGGAAATCTTCAAGAGAAAGATTCGCTAGTCACAGTGTATTATCTCTTCCATAACAACAGCATGAAAGCACGGCACTTCATTTTGTTGATATTGACATCACAATGCTTTGGGTCGACCGAACAGCACTCTCAAGCTGCCTCCGGAGTGACAGACTCTGGGCCCTTGACGCTACCATTCCAGCGCATCAGCGACAGCACACCGACAAGTTTTACAGACTCCCCACACAACCTGTTCCAAGAGCATTCACTGTCTGTAACGGTTTGCAAAGATCTAAATGCGGTGCCCCATTCTCTCCAATGTGCGCATGTGCATAAGTATTGCAATACCGATGAATTCAACATTGGTATTCTCAATTATTTGGCTATATACGCCTGCTACTTACCGAAAGCACTATCGATAGCTGCTGCTTTAATATCCATCTCAGTGAGCTTCGCTGGGTTGGGTAAAACCGCCGCAGACTTTTTGAGCCCAAACTTGTATACCATTTCAAAGGTATTAAAACTTTCAGACCATTTGGCTGGCCTCACGCTTTTAGCACTAGGAAATAGCGCTGCAGACATATTTGGAACATATAAAGCATTAAGTATTGGCTCTGCTGAGCTAGCTATTTCTGAGTTGATAGGAGCTACTCTCTTCGTGCTTACGGTGGTTGTAGGATCCATATGCATTGTACGTCCTTTTCCAGTTCCAAAATTTCACTATGCGAGAGATAATGCATCCTACTTGATTGTTCTTGCAGTTATAGAGGGTGCTTTAGAAAACGGGGCACTTTATATGTTCGGGGCATCATGCTTGATGGTGCTTTATGTCATATACGTCATGGTGGCCCTACTTAATCACTCATGGCTCAAGATACATAATCGAAAAAAGCTTACAGCTGCGAGAGTTCGAAGTAACTTTGATGTTCTTTCAAGGACATTTTTGGATGGCGGCAATGATATGGACGGAGTTCCACGCAGGCCTGGAATAGACTCGCTCGAAGATATCACTGAAGAGGAGAGAAAAATGTTGGATGAGCTTGAAGATTACTTTACTGCTCATCCAGAAGATGAAGTAGAAGTGCCAGTGCCAGTGCAAACAGGATCCTATGGACTCCGGATATTGCTCAAAGAACTAAGACACCACTCGTCTCATCAGGAGAATCGCATCTCGAACTATTTTGCGAATGACTCCTCGTCTATGGAGAGAGACGAAAGTTTATCGCATCTTGCCGACGACTCGCGGGGCTTAATACCGGCCCGAGAGATAAGGTCCACAGTAAGAGACGAGCAAGACAGATCGTCTACGACACCATCCTCAACAATTGAAAGAAGTTTATCAACCAGGTCAAGTATCGTCAGAGAAGTCTTGCACTCATTACGACCGAGGTGGAACCCAGCAGATTCAACCCTTCATAAGCTACTTTTTGTTATCTCCTATCCTGCAAGCATCGCTCTTGCGTTTACAACACCAGTTAGAGAGAAAGCTTTGACACACGCCAAAATTGTTGTACGTGGATCGAATGCTTTTACTCTTACTGTCCCAAGCCAGGAAAGTCTCGCAATCACCGAAGAAGACTACGATATTCGTCTTGACTTACTTGCTTTTAAATTACAATTCACTCTTTGCATCACTACTTTGTCAGTGATGTACTTGAAATCGCATTATCTTTCTTTCATTTTGTTACCATTTATCTTCATTTGCTCCTCGATGATTTCAATCATATTCCTTCCTTCCAGATGCCCGCAGTTTGAAGATCAAATGAGCATTTTCAAAGCCTGGAATTATGTGGGATCGGTTTTAGGCTTCATACTTTCTGTCCACTGGATAACAGTCTTTGCAACTGAGGTAATTGCTGTACTTAAACAATTTGCTCTTATTCTAGATCTCAGTGACGAGATATTGGGGGTTACTGTTTTTGCCATGGGAAACTCTATTGGAGATCTTATCTCGAATTTGACAATAGCTCTGATGGGGATGCCTCTTATGGCGTTCGCCGCATGCTTTGGAGGGCCTTTATTATCACTTTGTTCGATGGGTGCAAGTTCGTTGATATTGATGTCAAGAAACGATATTGAAAGCATTGCAATTATTAACTCCATGACTCTACGTTTGAATATAATAGTGATTTTCAGCGTCCTTGTTTTGATGAGTGTTTACTTTTCATTGCGGTCCCACTACGTTGCAGATAGACAGCTTGGAGTATGTCTCATCTTGATCTGGGTCATCACCGTTGTTTCGAGCGCATACCTCGAGCTCACTTGATCTACATTCTTGCGTTTTGGCACAACAAAATTCAACCTATAAAAAATTGGTAGCATAAAAGACAAAGCTTAATCGACCTCTTCCACCGTTGGCCCGGATTCGCCAGTGTTCCCACCATCTCCACCGGATGTTCCTCCACCCTGAGATCCAGGGAAACCGCCATTTCCTCCGGATGCACCACCAGGGCCCCCTGCTGCTCCATACGCAGCAGATATAATAGGGTTCGCAATAGATTCCAACTCTTTATGCTTATCATCGTATTCTTCTTTTGAAGCTGCCTGAGAAGAATCCAACCACTGAATTGTTTCCTCAATGGCACTCGTCAACTTACTTTTATCGTCAGCATTGATCTTGTCCTTCATCTCGCCATCATTGATGGAGTTCTTTAAGGAGTAAGCATATGATTCCAATGTATTTTTCGACTGAATACGTCCAGCCTCTCTCTCATCCTCTTCTTTAAATTTCTCAGCTTCGGACACCATTCTTTCAATGTCCTCTTTCGATAACCGGCCTTTATCATTTGTGATCGTAATCTTCTGAGTCTTACCTGTACCCTTCTCAACTGCTGAAACATTCAAAATCCCATTTGCATCAATGTCGAATGTGACTTCAATCTGAGGCACACCTCTGGGGGCTGGTGGGATGCCCGAAAGCTCAAACTTACCTAGTAAGTTATTATCCTTAGTTCGTGCTCTTTCGCCCTCATATACTTGAATGAGAACACCAGGCTGGTTGTCTGCATATGTCGAGAAGGTCTCGGATTTCTTCGTTGGAATTGTAGCATTCCTGCTGATCAATTTTGTCATAACACCGCCAGCTGTCTCGATTCCCAAAGATAATGGGGCAACATCCAACAACAACAAGTCTTGAGTCTTCGAAGAAGTATCACCAGTAAGAATAGCGGCTTGAACAGCAGCTCCATATGCCACCGCTTCATCAGGATTGATAGATTTACAGGGATATTTTCCATTGAAGAAATCAGTGACCAATTTCTGAATCTTCGGGATTCTGGTGGAGCCACCAACAAGGACGATCTCATCTACTTGAGATTTGTCCAATTTTGCGTCTTTCAATACTTTCTCCACTGGATCAACAGTTATCCTAAACAAGTCAGCACAGAGTTCTTCAAATCTCGCTCGAGTAATTGAAGTGTAGAAATCTATGCCTTCAAATAAGGAATCGATCTCGATGGAGGTTTGGGCTGAAGAAGATAAGGATCTCTTTGCACGTTCACTTGCAGTCCTCAATCTTCTCATTGCCCTTTGGTTAGAGGTCAAATCTTTTTTGTTTTTCCTTTTGAACTCTTGGGCGAAATGGTTCACTAAGCGATGATCGAAATCCTCGCCTCCCAAGTGAGTATCTCCCGCGGTTGCTTTAACCTCGAATACCCCTTCATCAATTGCCAAGAGTGATACATCAAAAGTGCCACCTCCCAAGTCAAAAATCAAGACATGCTTTTCACCAGCTTGTTGCCCTTTTTTGTCCAATCCATAGGCTATGGCAGCCGCCGTGGGCTCGTTAATAATTCTTAGGACATTCAAACCAGCGATTAAACCAGCATCTTTTGTAGCTTGTCTTTGTGAGTCGTTAAAGTAAGCAGGGACAGTTACAACTGCATCATTAACAGTCCCACCCAAGAAACCTTCTGCCGTCTCCTTCATCTTGCCCAAGACCATCGAGGAAATCTCCTCGGGGGTAAACACTTTTGTTTCGCCTTTGTACTCAACCTGAATGTTTGGTTTACCATTCTTATCAATTACTTTGAATGGATAGTGCTTCGCATCCTCGATAACCTCGGGGTCTTCGAACTTTCTTCCGATGAGCCTCTTGGCATCGAATACCGTATTGGCAGGATTCATGGCAGCTTGGTTCTTAGCAGCATCACCAATTAACCTCTCTGTATCTGTGAATGCAACATAAGAGGGGGTTGTTCTGTTTCCTTGATCATTGGCGATAATTTCAACCCTGTCGTTGGTGAAGTGAGCGACACAGGAGTACGTGGTGCCTAAGTCAATTCCAATTGCTTTCGACATAACTTAAATAAGAAATTAGTTTGAAGAAAAGATTCAGTTGCTACCAGAGAGCCACTATTTATATTGTTCAGGGGTACCACCAGAACGTTCGATTGATTTCCACCCCACATAAACGCTTGCTGGCCATTCTCCTATCATAAATCGAAGCTTCGAGAAATCGACGGAAGCGGAGTTTCACGTAAACAAGGATATGAATGTACAGGGAATAGAGCTATGGGAGATTTGGCCGCTCCATATCATTTAACAAGCCCATCTGCTATGTCGTGTGTCAGCTTGATTAGCTTGATTCATGGCCCAACAAGGATCGAGTGCGAATCAAGGGGTCCACGCAAGACCATATGTAAAATATATTATACAGTATTGAATGATAAAGGAATGCTTAAAGAGCTTGACAATTCACAAGGTTGTTAAAACTCGAAGAGACAGCTCAATTATCATGCAGCCCTAGTTGATAGCTGGCTACAGAACAGCTATATTCTAAGAATGGGTGTTAATTTTCTTTTCTTTTTTTTTTTTTTCTGGAATCAGCCCATCTGTATCTTATTTTAGCAAAAGTCACTATACATGTCCTCACATAGAATTTAAAGCGGTTTATTGATAGCGAAGAAATCAACAACAAAATATTGTTAGAGGGGAAATTATGAACGCAAATGCCCAAAGGTAAAACGAGAGCGCTCCTCTTCTGACTCCTTTACGGCGCTGCGTGGAGGAATCCAGTAAACTGAGGAGTGTGCATTTGACTCCGTTTGGATTTTCGACTCTCCACTGACTTCCATCTCTTGTGAAGCGCGCCAATCCCTCCTATAAAACTCTCTGGATATCCTTCACTTATCATCCACCCGATAATACTCAACAGTTGCCCCACATTATGCTTAGAACCTTGACAAGACAGCCTGCTTCTCGCTTCTTCTTGAACAACATCACAAGGAGCGCACCAAAATCAGCCGTGAGATTCAATTCCAGCAATTTCCGCGTTAACACCCAATCTCATGTCTGGAAATACCACGAGGAAGGTCCTCAATACGTGAAATTTACCAACGAACACGAGTGGTTAGCTGTGCACAAGGATAATTCAGCCTTCATTGGAATCACCACATATGCCTCAGAGGCTTTAGGTGACACTACTTTCGTCGAATTACCTGAAGTGGGAGTCACTTACGAGGTAGGCGATTCCATCGGTTCCGTGGAGAGTGTCAAGAGTGCGAGTGAGATCTATGCCCCAGTTGCAGGCGAAGTGGTTGCAGTGAACGAAGATTTGGAAAGTAGACCACAGTTGATTAATGAGGATCCTATGGGAGGCGGCTGGATCGCTCAGTTTAAATTGGCGGAATCTGCTGACGCTGTGGCGGCTAAGGAAGAATTGATGGATGAAGCTGCCTACGAGGCAAGCTTATCTGAACATTGATAGTGAAAGTACATAAGCCATTTATTCAAATTAAAAATAGGTAACTTAGTAGACTGAGGATCTGGATATCTCCAAGTCTAGGAGAAGTGAACAGCAATAGGGACAATGATCACAATTAATACGATGATGATGCCCAAAATTATACACATACGCATCTTCATATCCTTCCACCACATGTCTTTGCGAACTCTGTTTGCACCTCTTCTGAATCCTTGAGCAGAAATTGCAAGATTGTCAGTCTTATTCTCGATGGAATCCAACCTCTCTCCTCGTTCGGCGACTTTGTTAATATTATCTCTCATAATGCCCACGGTATCATCAATTTGCTAGATAGTTAGTAAGAAATCAAGTGAGGCGCAGATGGCTCTTCATCGTCAACATACCGCCTGGATTGCCGCTGTCCTGGAATTGGACTCATCACCAGTTGTTTGGTTAGGAATATATGGGTCGTATGGAACACTAGAGGACATCGCAGATGATCTAAAAACTTTTGAAGCTGGTGTATTTCAGAACTCTTAAATCGTTCGCACGGTGCCCGTGACTAAGTACATGACCTGGCCTTTTTAGTAGGGGACCAAATATCGTTGGTAGAGGCAAAAAAAAAAAAAAAAAAAAAAAAAAAAAATACTGAAAAGAAAAAAAAAGAATAAGAAAAAAGATCAAGAGAGGAAAAGAGAGAGATGTAAGAATAAGTAGAAAAGAATGAAAAACTTAATGGGACTACTCAAGTAATCAGGTACTGGTAAGCTGCTAGTACCTCACTATGTATACTAATACTCTATCTTCGTATACGTCGACATTATCTGACAAGAAGTGAATAAAGCGACAAATGTACATGATAGTAAATTAGAATCCGAGCAGTTAGATATCTTCTTCACGAAGTGTTTGCACTTTACGGTGCCGCAAATGCGAGGGAGATATGCGGCCGTAAGTATTTCCAGTATGAAATAATCAGCGCAGACGGCTAGGTAAAGTGCATCTCATACTGGACGGCATCATCTTAACCGGAAGCCTAGAGTAACCGCGTTAATTTTGAAATCTTCTTAATTCATGACGTGTACTTAAGCACTTTACATTTTAATAGGGCAAGCAGTCTGGGATTGAGAAAGGTAAAGTCAAGCCTACGCAAGTAAATGTATATTGATTTTTGGCAACATTCAACGTCATGCAAGTCTGTTTGAAGTGCTTCAAGTTGGTCACAATCTGTCAGACAGACGGGCATAAAAGCACGAAAAAGGACCTTAGATGTATACTTTCATGAATGCAGTTATTCAATTGACCAGTGTCAAAATCTTAACGTGTTTCTTGAAGCTGTAACAATCACGCCTGTCCGTATTGTAGACTAGTCCTGCAGGGCCTATGCCAGCTCCCAAAAGAACCAGGAGATACCAGTCTATATAGCGGAACGGAAACCGATTCGGGAGTAAAGCTGTCAGGCAATCCAATATGTAGACTGTAAAATACTGGTTTCGTCTTGTGGCAACAATACTTTTTTTTTTCTTTCACTTTCTTTCCATGTCCAATCGTTGGGCTAAAAATGGTTTTGTGACAAGAGGCGAGCAAGTCGGGCTACTTCAATCAAACCGAGAGGCGGGGGGTTTCAGTGCGCGACAAATCATAGGACGAAGAACGGAAGAACAAATAGAAATTTCGGAAAGAGGACAAGAAAACGTAAATAATAACCAGCACGATTCAATTCACTTATAGCCACTTGTACTGTCACTAATATTAATAACTGATTCGAGTAAGACTGAGTATAAATTTTAATTTACTGATATGAAGATAAACTTAGTTGGCTTATTGTAGCGAAATCATCACTTGTCCTTATCTCGACTGTGTTTGCTTAAAGTCATACCGAAGGTACCCAAGAGGCCACCTAGGCCACCGTCCAATCGTTATATACAGTACAGTTCGCGTTCGTCTTGATGGGTTAAAATGACAGCGTTCATTTTTTCCAACATCCTCACTTTTTCTTTCTCCTCTAATTAGAAAAATCAAATAAGTCAAAATGGACGGTGGTATGTATCAAACATTGCCGATTTACGGCTTCTTCAATCCTATATCTAGTTCCTGAATCTCTGTGGAAGATTTCAGCGAGGGAATTGCATCTAATCATGTCTATCATGTCTATCATGTCAGCCATGAATAGGTGGCTCATGAGAATAGTTTACGTGGTCATCATGCGAAACTCATACGATAACTCAGAGAAGGGGACCAATCCCCCTTGAGTTTGAATGGGTTGTTCCCATTACAAGAGTCGCCTCAAATGTCGCTTTTAAAATTGCCTTAGAAGTCATGAACAGTAACAGTGGTGCCTACCACTGGCCACTGTACTCGACCAATACACTGCAATTTGTTAAATGTCGTTGCATCTGATGCCAGGTCGGTCAACAACTATTTTAATGAACTAGGGACGTTGTTGACACCGAGGCTAACAACTCTGGTGTATGGATGTGTATCGCACGCCCCTTTTCGTCGAATGTGGTTGCTTCGAGGCGCGGCTTGGTTTGATGATTGAAATCTTCGGCCCTGTGCCGTACATTATGTGACATTGAGAGCTGAACATAAGGATGAAGAAGATGTAGGCAGTTTTGGATTGTTTACTAACATTTTTAGAAGAAGTTGCTGCCTTGGTTATCGATAACGGTTCCGGTATGTGTAAAGCCGGTTTTGCCGGTGATGATGCCCCCCGTGCTGTGTTCCCATCTATTGTTGGAAGACCAAGACACCAGGGTATTATGGTCGGTATGGGTCAGAAAGACTCTTATGTTGGTGATGAGGCTCAATCTAAGAGAGGTATTTTGACTTTGAGATACCCTATTGAGCATGGTATCGTCACTAACTGGGATGACATGGAAAAGATTTGGCACCACACTTTCTACAATGAGTTGAGAGTTGCTCCTGAAGAACACCCAGTTTTGTTGACTGAGGCCCCAATGAACCCTAAGTCTAACAGAGAGAAGATGACCCAAATCATGTTCGAGACTTTCAACGTTCCTGCCTTCTACGTCAACATTCAGGCTGTTTTGTCTTTGTACTCTTCTGGTAGAACCACCGGTATTGTCTTGGATTCTGGTGATGGTGTTACTCACGTTGTTCCTATTTACGCCGGTTTCTCTTTGCCTCATGGTATCTTGAGACTCGACTTGGCCGGAAGAGACTTGACCGACTACTTGATGAAGATCTTGTCTGAACGTGGATACACCTTTTCGACTACCGCCGAAAGGGAAATCGTCAGAGACATTAAGGAGAAGTTGTGTTACGTTGCTTTAGATTTCGAGCAAGAGATGCACACTTCATCTCAATCGTCTGCTATCGAGAAGTCTTATGAATTGCCAGACGGTCAGGTTATTACTATTGGTAATGAGAGATTTAGAGCCGCCGAGGCTTTGTTCCGCCCATCGGATTTGGCTTTGGAGGCCGCTGGTATCGACCAGACCACTTACAACTCCATTATCAAGTGTGACGTCGATGTTCGTAAGGAATTGTATGGCAACATCGTTATGTCTGGTGGTACTACTTTGTTCCCAGGTATTGCAGAGCGTATGCAGAAGGAAATTACTGCTTTGGCTCCATCCTCTATGAAGGTTAAGATCATCGCTCCACCAGAGAGAAAGTACTCTGTCTGGATTGGTGGTTCTATTTTGGCCTCCTTGTCGACCTTCCAGCAGATGTGGATCTCAAAGCAGGAGTACGACGAGTCTGGACCATCGATTGTTCACCACAAGTGCTTCTAATCAAATGGATATGCTTTGTATTCTTGCTAACTTTTGCTTCAACATGATAAATATATTTTTGAAATTATGATTGAAGCATCTTCAAAATATTAGTTTAGAGAATGGAATTCTGAATGACTAGTTGAAACTAGGTGTACGTTTATTTCTTTAACTCTAATTCTGGGGCCTTTCCTTTCAATCTGCCCAAAACACAGCGAGGGGCGTATCTTCGTATCACGTCATCCTCATGCAACATATCAAAACTTTCCGTCGCGTCCTTCCCTGCAAATGTGATGATAGAATCGCGACCCCCCGGATGATCGTCTAAGAATTCAGTTAAATCTAAAACGACATTCTTCACTATAACCCAACAATCTGTCTCGGAGTTGTGTTTAGCAATTTCTTCAGCTGTAAATTCTTTATCGGGCACTTGGAAGACTGAGCTGCCCCCTTTATCTTTGGTAGACTTCGCCAGTATACTGGGTGCTATCTCAGAATTCGTAGCCCCAGGCTTCGCGACTTGAGCTTTCCCAACACCAAGATCCATAGAACTATCTTTTTCACCACCAAGGTCAATAACGATATGCTTCTTATATGGATCGATATGTAAGCTCAACTGCTGCAATCTCTCGGTGGCATTGTTCGTCTTTTCATCCGGAGCGGCCGATGCTAGTCTCGTCAACAATAGACTGGACGCCCGATTCGCAGCCAACCTTCCGTAGACTACACACGCAAGCAAAGAAGACCCACCCAAACGATTGTGGCCGTGAACACCTCCTGCTATCTCTCCTGCGGCGTATAACCCATCAAACGGAATTTCCGAATCGCCGTTGTATATAACCTCGGTCTTATCATTGATCTTGATCCCACCCATTGTGAAGTGCAATACCCGTGTCACAAAGGAAACATGATAGACTGCGTCATTTGACATGGTAAAGGGTGTCGCAGGGAAGAACTTTTTTCCAAACGGATCTTCCAGTTCTCCTCTTGCTGCTCTATTGTATACCTCCAAGGTTTCCAGTAGCTGTTCTATGGAAACTCCCAATTCTGCCGCTAACTCTTTCCCAGATATAGAGCGCATAAGGGACCGTTGCTTGTAGTGCTTGATGTGAAATGATAGAGCATTATCACTTTGATCGTTCAACACAAGCCTCAAAGGCCCCTTCCCTTCCCTGATCTGTGCTTCCATCTCAGCACTGACATAATCACGAGTACCTAGTTCATCACAAAATCTTTCACCATTCCTGTTCAAGATTATTCCACCCTCTCCACGTAAAGCTTCAGCACCGAGAAACAAGTATCGAGGTTGGGAGCGGCCTTCGATTACATCCAAATCATTAAAGTCGATAAGGCCGGTGGGGTGTACCTGTACTTTTTCCATGTCAATGCCAATACCCTTGTGTTTCATCACAATTTTCTGGCCGTCACCAGTGGCATGATTGCCATTAGTAGATGGAAGATCGATGATATCCGGTCGATACTTACGCAACAAGGAGTTTTTTGTAAAGTCCGCTGCATAGCCTCCTGTGGCTAATATTACGGGACCATGAAGATACCCCTTCTCCTTAGATTTTAGATTCTTATACTTTACACCAAGCACTCGAGAGGGATTTTTTTCATCGATCAAGAGATCAATGATTTGTGTGTTCTTGAAAATTGCAACCCTTTCGGGTTGTTCTTCTGCCAAGTTCTCCAAGGATTCTAGAAGCCTATATGTGATAGCCATGCCTGGGAACTTGGCATCCTTTCCTCGATGGGTTCTGGGCTGTGAATGTCCCCCTAATCTGGAGACAACTGAAAGGTCTAGATTGAAGATTTCCTGAAGCCAATGGACAGCATCAGCACTCTGGTAAGTCAAAACTTTGATCAAAGCTGGATTTGCTCTGTCCTTCGCAGTCTTCAAAGTGTCATTATAGAACTGCTCTACCGAATCTTGAATTGATGATTTCACTTGTGTGCGTGTAAGTGCCCCATTAATCCCGGAAGTTGCTTTACCGCTGTTTCCACTAAGAAAACCTTGTTTATCGAAAAGCACCACATTAGCTCCTCGAAGGTATGCTTCATGGGCTGCTGATAAGCCTGCTAGACCTCCTCCAACGATAAGGATCGAATTGCTCGGTGTTGTCAAGCCTGTCACACTCATTTCGATCGTCTGTTGATAGCGCTATTTCACTCAAAATTATTACAATCTATGTTGCTTTTTTTTTTCCCTCTTACCCCTTATATACATATGCAAAACGGAATCTCGCTAGTCCCTAGAATACATTAGTGGGGTTATGCTTGGTTAAGCCCTTCTCCCTATTCGCTGCCCACCGAGGGGTCGTGGGATGTGCAGTCCACTGCGGGGTGAGGTAGGAGATAAGGCCACCAGAGACTGCAGACCGTCGAGAAGTCTAACAAGGACATGGAGCAAAGTTCCATTCCAATCGCCTTAGGATTTATGGCATAAGGTTGCCGATGTACAACGGCTATATCAGTGCACAATCCTAGTTCTACGAGGATGTTATAGCTTGACAAGCATCTGAGTACAAGTTGAATTTGCTGATAATGCCTTATTAATTTTTCTAATGTGAGACATATTGGAAGGCGAATGAGACATCCTCAAAAACACTTTCATTCTTGAGAAGACGATCCTCATTGTCTACCAATGCATCATGGTTAAGATGATTCCATGTTGTTGCGTCGCCGTATAACATAAGAGGGGCTTTCTCCACCTGGCCGCCGCCCTTCGCACATCGGCTACACTTGTAGCTTTCATGGGTCTCGCAATCGGTATCAGTCATATATTTGAAAAGGAGCCTTAAGTTTTCGCCACTAAAGATCCTCTCCACATCCTCCATGTTATCGACGACACAGGAGGAGAGCGACTGTTTCATCGATTGACGCTGGAAAATCTTTTCTTCAATAGTACCAGTACTTATGAATCTGTAGATAAAACAATCCTTCTTCTGACCATCCCTCCACACCCTAGCAAGAGCTTGCTGATCAGCCGCCGGGTTCCAGTCAGGATCCATGAGTATCAATCTGTTAGCGCCTATAAGGTTAATTCCGCAGCCACCAGCTTTGGACGAAAGTAAGAAAATGAATTCTGGCGCATTGGGGTCATTAAATCTATCGACAATCTTCTGTCTCTTATTGATGTTCATCGTTCCATCGAGCCGGAGGCATCCAAATCTCCTTTGCGAACACAATTTTTCAATGAGATCCAATGTTTTCGTGTAGTTCGAAATAATCACGATTTTGTCGTCTGATTCATGTCTCAAGTTAGTGATAAATCTTTCAAGAACAGAAAACTTCGCACTTAACGATACTCGAACTTCCTTGCTCCGGCCACTGTCCGGACTGTTGAAGTCGTCAGGGAGAATCGAGCGACAACCTTTTATATCACCAGGTAAACGAAGAAGGTCGGGGTGGGTACATAACTTCTTCAACAAATCGATGGCCTTGAGCGGTTGTGAGCCGATAAGCGCTCGATTGTCTTCTGAGTTGGTGAAGTGTCGGTAAAGAAGTCTTTGTAGGGGAGTGAGACCAATAAAGACCACGTACTCGTACTTCACCGGCAAATATTTTGAGAGAATGTCATTTGTTCTCCTGATAATGAACTTCGAGACTATTTGCGAGAGTTCAGTTAATTTAGAGTCCCCCTTTTCCCTTTCGGAATCAGTGGCGTCTGCATCACGCCCTCTCAATATCGCATTCTCGAAGTTCTTCCTGAAGTCATTTCGGCTACCCAAAAGACCAGGATTAGCGAAATTAAGCAACGAAAAATATTCAGAAAGATCATTCTGAATAGGGGTCCCGCTTAAAATTACCCTCCGCTCACATCTTAAAGAATTCAAAGCGTTGAAAGTGAGGGAGTCGCCGTTTTTGAGTCTATGCCCTTCATCCGCTAAAACCAATCCAACTTCAGTGCCAGCGAGTTTCTCGACATTTCGTCTCAATGTCTCGTACGATATTATCAAGACGGGACGAACGATATTGCGACCCGAAGCAGTAGCCCATTGTTGTAAGGCTTGGTTAAGATCGGAAGACTTCACTGATTTACCATCCACGGCGAGTGGAGTTAGCAGACCTTCGCCGAGCCACTTCACGATTTCATTTGCCCAGTTTCTCACGAGTGACGACGGACAGACAATAATACATTTATCAATAGTTCGCCTACCCCTAGGGCTTTGCTTAAGTAAGGTCCACATCAATGTTAAACATTGCAATGTCTTACCTAATCCCATTTCGTCGGCCATGATGCACCCTTTGGCAACAGGATCAACTAACCCTGATGTACATCTGTAGAGAAACTTGACTCCTGCGACTTGATGAGGCCGAAGAACTTTCGCAAGTTGAGGATCTATAACTACAGGCGCATTTGGATGAAGCGCATTATCATGGGCTGCGGTTTTAATACCGAGGATATCTGCCAAAGGTTTGTCGCGTCTTCTCCGCTTGTTTCTCTGTTCGTTTTCTGGAGGTGGTTTTGGAACTGCTTCCTCGCTTATACTGCCGTTTAGTTGGGGAAATCTATCAATTGTAGGATCATATAGTACTATGGCGAATTCACTAGTTGGATCATGTAGTGGTCTTGGTGGTAGTTCGATCCTCCTGCGAGTCCCAAGTGGAGGTGGTCTGGATGCACCTTTAACAATCCTGGATGGTGATCCACTGGCGTATGGCACTTCGAATGAGCGGCGGAGCTTCGAATCAGACTCAGTGAGTTTATTGCCATGTAATATACTTCTTGGTAGGATTGCCCCTTTCTTTTTTGTTGTGTAGGTTTCTTCGGGTGGAGAAGGTATGTCCTCAGAAGTGCTATCACTAACCGCATAAGTCTTTACCCCTTTCCTTGCCTCTCGAATAGGAACCCGCAATGTCGATATTCTTGCGTTACCCAAGACATTTGTTTGGTCTGCAAATGGTACACGAAACTTTTTCTGCAAACGATGCTCCGAGTCGTGTACAGCCGGTGGTCGTTTCTCTTTGGAACACCAGCTCCCGATCCTAATGGCGTCGTGAACTGCTTTAACGGTTTGCGGACAGCCATTAAGTTTGATGAAGTTTACCGAGAATGATACGCGATCTTTTGTTGATGTGTTTTCGCACGAGACTTACACACTGTACCCAGCTTGACGCCGCGACCATCTCAGTAACTGGCAACTACTGTGCCTCATAGTATTAACTAAGAAGCTGGGATATCTTTGAATACTTCGGAAACTCTGGATAGCTAGATCAACGTACCTGAACCGTCATGGATGATATTTTAGCAAGAGCAAGCAATCAGGCAGTTTCGTTCGCGATTCGATCAGGTATATCTTTGGCCTCCGGTTATGCAATAAAAACCCTCTCGAGGTTCTTGGATCGCATACCTGAAGCCAAGCAGCATCCCATCTTCAAGGCTAAGGAAAAGCTAGATAGAAAGCTCAGCAGTGTTACACAATTAATATCGTTGATAAAATTGGAGAACGTGTCGAAGAACTCCATCTTGAAACCAACAGTCGACCTTATTGATGACCTTGAGAAGGATATCAACCAATTCAATGATCGCATGGATCAAATGGTCCATTCGACTTCTCCCATGAATACAAAACAAACCATTGAAGTCATACAGAAGGACCTATCTGAGCTTAATCAGTCTTTAAACGAAGTCGTACCTTACATAAATCTAGCTCTTAATGTGACGGGTCTAAATTTCAAGAATGACTCTACGGATATTTCCTTTAGTAGTCTTCTTCGCGCCTACAGCTATTTGTTTGCAGTTGGTCGGCACTCTGAAGATGTCACCACGGGTCCTGAATTTGACTTCAAGTTCTACTCCGTCTTTTACAATCCCAGTCGTGTGAGATATATAGAGGGAGCGGCCTCTTCTGTAAGTGCCCTATCATGGAAAGAAGAATATGCTAGGTGCCGAGTCCAATTGATAAGGGAATCTGCATTTCAGTACCACATTCAAATAACCGAGAATTATGATGATGGAAGATATCACGAGGATGAAGTGGTGCAAAGAAAAACTTATCCTGTCAACAATGTATTGCGTCAATACTACACTGCAAGCGGTAAACTTCTTCGCCTTGAAGACTCCGATTCACCCATTTTGGTTATCAAAGTAAAGGGGAAAGAAAATGAGCTCGACTACATTGCGTTTTCACTATATGAATCCATTGAAGCCAGCCAACCAGCCGACGCTGAAGAAAGTCTATCTGAAGAAAGTGACACGTGCAGCGAAAGCGATGTAAAGTCGACGGGTGATGCGAGCAAAAACTCGAGACTTCCTCGTATCAAAAAAGAAAGCCCGAGCAAGCTCAAGGTAGACACGCAGCATACTTTGTCCAGCTTTCAGTATTTGCTTAGATTAGCAGCTGTCGAAGAAAGTGAGCAAAAAGAAGTTTGTCGTGTGGAAGACGAGAAGTTGCAACAACTCCTCGGGTCTCGGGTGCAGCGTGTCCTAAGCTTTGAAAAACAAGAAAATAACGCTGGTCTTACAGAATCGCAACATAACCTAGATTTGGAATCAAGCACCCGTCAGTTAAAAAATCTTAGCCTTGGATCAAATTCTTGAAAGCCACAGGGGGCGCTAATCGCCGTGACACGATTATACTATTGCGAAATGATGTCGCATTCTTGATACAACACTCATTGTATGTATCGACTTCTGATATAGTTAACAGGGACCGCTTTGCTGCAGATTTAGCAGTCTATCTTTTTTTACCCAAGCTGTAGCTTTATGTTCAGATGATGGCATCCATTCTTGATTTGTTATGGTTGATGAGTTGTTCGGGGTGTAGGGCTCATTTACATTGGCGAACGTAGTGATTTCACTTTCAAGGTCAAGATCAGTGGAATTAACAGACTTAAGGGGCATCAAAAAATGATCCTTGCTGGTACTGTTATTGTACTGGTGAACTTGAGAGTGCGAGCGAGAAATAGAAGCCTTGCGATGCAGCTGCAGAGTTTGCCTTGATGGTATAGAGGACTGCGGAGTCGCCCCTATACTGAATGTACGGGTACTATTAAGGAAATCCTCCTGATCACTGGCGAGGGAAAGAAGTTGTCCATCATTACCGAAGTTTGCTGTGTCAAGATAGTTCCTATGAAGTTCATCGCTTGAACCAACCTCACCATCGTGATATGGCGGGAAAGCTGCAGAGCTGGACAGCTTTGGAATACTTTGGAGGTTCCCAGAGCTCTCGAATAAATTCTGCTTGCTGGTATTAGACGAGGTCGAAGCTATCAGAAGCACGCTCTCGGGTCGTTTTGGCCTTGCTGAAGTGTGATGCATCCCATGGGTAAATGATAGGGATGCTCTCAAAGGACGTGGGTTATGAGTGGACATGCTACCGTTGGATAAAGTAGGATCAACTTTGCCTGTTGACCCCGAGAAAACATCACCCATGGCTTTTTCTTCCAGATCATGGTTAGGATTTTGCAGTGAGACAGGGAAGGACTTACCGTCATGCGTGACAGAACTATCATACACCAGATTACCGTTCAAGTTTGGCATTGGCAGAAGTGGTAAAGAACGACTATCGTCGAATGAATTTGCTCCTACCAAAGGAAACAAAGGAAACATATTCTCCATTAGGTCAAGATCGGCGTCGGACGGGGGGTTAGGCAATTGGTCAAGACTATAAGATTTTGATCCACTAGTATTATTCACTTGATGTTCAGCCGATGCCAGTCTTTTACCGTCTTGAAAAAAGTCAAGAAGACCCTGATCGGTATCAAAAGGTATTAAAACATCTTCAATAAATATGTCTTGCTCTTCTTTAGTTTTATGAAATGCCTCGCTTGGTTCCTCTTTGATAGCCTTTCCAGTCATAAGGGAAACATCGTTACCTTTTTGTCTTATTTTGCCTTCTTTTTTATCTTTCGATGAACAAGTGCAGTGTGAATTTTTATGACAAAGACATGAAGCTAGATGTTGTCCTGGGGATTTACCCTTTTTGCCACAACTGCAAGAAGAGTGCGTGTTCCTGAGCTTTCTCAGCTCTCGGCAATGCAGACATTGAGAAGCTGGCCTTCCCTTAGGTTTAATCATGGTCAAAGGTTTGTCTGTGTGCGTGCACGAGCTAACACGATGACCTCGTATACAACGCTCGCAGGCGTATTTCACTCCATTTAAAAGTACCATGGAACGACTTTTGGCAACGTCCGCAATGTGAAACAAGTGGTTGACAAATAAGTATTGAAAGTAGCTGATAGGCTAGCTGGATGAACGAGTATCAGTTGCAGACTTTCAAGATAAAGGTGGAAAGCTTGTGTTGCAATGAGCAGTTCAACCCTTGCTTCTTTTCTTTTCTTTTCTTTTCTTTTTTTCTTTTTTTTCTTTAGTTATGTTTTCTTCGTTCGAAACCTTGAAAGTGGGGCCTTGTAACGCAGTGATGGTCGAATAAACCACTTACCCGTGCTACTTGTCTCACTTCACTTTTTGGCTGATGATCACTCGTTGATATGAATTGATGCGTTGAAGTTGTTATCCATTAGAGTGAGGTAGTATCAGGTCAAATTTTAAATCGGTCGTGCATTACCGTTGTCTGAGACTGCGCACATCCTCATAATAATCTTTGGACAGGCGGAAATATCCGTACTGCTATGGAGGACCCTGGTAAAAAGAATGTTGGCATGCTGGTACTTCCTGTTAAACCTAGGGTTCATGTCAAAGAGTTTTAGTATTTAATAGTTACTTTTTGGTGAAAATATTGGCAATGGGGGGAACGCTATAAATTGAGATCAATTACTGTTTTGCAAGGGTGTACTTGGCTTATCTACGAATTCATGTACTTCGGTGGTCTACGTCACAGGTTAAGGGATGTCTCGATTTCTCGTTTTGGCCAAAGCAAGTAGAGGGGGATGGGGTGGAGAGACTATCCGTTCGCCTTGCGGTTCCTGCAGGTATTTCAATTTCTCCACAAACAGATAGGACATAACGGAAGTAAGGTGACATAACTCGCGGCTTTCATTGGATAATTGCTAATATATAAATTGGAAAGGGGTTCCGATATGTCTTGAAAATTGTTTCGAGTCTATTTTATAACCTGCCATAAAAGAACGGCTTCATCGGCATAATAAGTTGGTTTAATAATTAATCAAGCGGCAAAAGAGCAACCTGCTAGACCTGTTCTCTTGACAAACCAACCTTTATATATCTAATGCTTACATACGAAGAGGTATCGAAACATAATAAGAAAGATGATTGCTGGGTGATAATACATGGCAAAGCCTTCGATGTGACATCTTTCTTGGATGATCATCCTGGAGGCTCTGGTATCATCTTGAAATATGCTGGCAAAGATGCGACGAAAGCTTTTGATCCAATTCATCCCAGTGATACACTTACCAAGTATCTCCCTCCCCAATTTCATTTAGGTGCGGTTGATCCGTCGAGTAAGAAACGCAATCAGGCTCGAACAAGCAGTCAAATATCCTCATTGGCTCACAATACTCAAGAACCATTGGTAGGAGGTGTAATCGCGAGCGAACCACGAAGCTATCCACAAGTCAATGAGTTTGATGTGGAATATGATGAGCATGAAGGTAAAGAAGCTCTTTTTGTGACCAATGTGGAGACGGGATCTTATTCCGAGGCAAGTAAGATGACACCACGAAAGTCTGATCCGTACGACGATGCAGACGACGACGAGGATGAGCCCCCTTCGGTTCACGAGCTAAACAGAAGGCAGATGATTGCAAAGAAGCCGGACCTTGGCCAGATGTATAACTTGCACGACTTCGAACACGTCGCTAAAAACACCATGGAGTTAACAGCATGGGCGTATTACTCGTCAGGAGCTGATGACGAGATTGCCTTAAGGAATAACCATTTAGCTTATCATAGGGTTCTTTTCAGGCCCAGAATTTTGATGGATGTTACGAGAATTGATTTGCTGACCACGATGCTTGATTGTGAAAGCTCTGTCCCATTTTATATTACTGCCACAGCCCTTGGAAAGCTTGGACATCCCGACGGCGAAAAGGTGCTTACTAGAGCTGCGTCTCGCCAGGGAGTCATTCAAATGATACCTACTTTAGCATCCTGCTCGTTTGATGAAATTATGGATGAGGCTGACGGTAAACAATCACAATGGTTTCAGTTATATGTCAACTCTGACAGAGAGGTCACCAAGAATCTCGTGCAACATGCTGAAAGAAGGGGAATAAAGGGATTGTTCATCACGGTTGATGCGCCACAGTTAGGCAGACGTGAGAAAGACATGAGATCGAAGAACGTCGAGGACTTAAGTCATGTACAAGGTGACGGTGAAGATGCTGATAGAACTCAAGGGGCAGCTCGTGCAATTTCATCTTTTATTGACACATCCTTGAATTGGCGTGATATTTCATGGTTTAGGTCAATAACGAAGATGCCGATTGTCTTAAAAGGAGTTCAACGCGTTGAAGATGCACTTCTCGCAATTGAACATGGCGTTGATGGAATTGTAATTTCGAATCATGGTGGAAGGCAGCTTGACCTGGTAAAAGCTCCTATCGAGGTTTTAGCTGAACTTCAGCTGGTGCTTAAGGAAAAGAATCTCTATTCCAAAATGGAGATTTTCATAGATGGCGGGATAAGAAGAGGAAGCGATATCCTCAAAGCAATTGCTCTCGGGGCCAAAGGTGTGGGACTTGGAAGACCTTTCTTGTATGCCATGTCTACATATGGCGACGATGGGGTCTACAAGGCTATTCAGATTTTGAAGGACGAGATGATCATGAACATGAGGCTTCTTGGTGCGCGTTCTATTAAGGAGCTTGATAGTGGTATCATTGATACTTCGGCTCTCAACAGACACGTTCCCGAAGACAAGTTGTTCAGCGAAATTTACGAACCGCTCAGCTCACCGGCCTTTACTGATAAACCGAAATTATAGTTCAATTCCCTGCCTTAGTTACGTTTTTTGCGTGCGTAGATCAAATCCAAATCGCGTACGATGTTAATTTATATGCAGACGTTCACGTGATAGGACCGCGTCGACGGCCTACTGTGAGAAAATGTATAGTTTCGTGTACAAAATCAACTATCCCTTACAGCTCGAGCGTTTCAGGTGGGTACCAGCTTTTTCTACTATTTCTGGGTCCAGCATATCATTCTCCCATCATATCTTCTTCATTAGTAAGAAGAGCTCGTCATCTTTAGAACCACAGGTTTGTCGTTTGAACTGGTCTGCCAATAGTTATCTCGAGTCTTCTTCGTTTACAATCTTTTCGACTTCCACAACGACGTTTGAATTTCAATGATTTCGTCTTACGACATAGGAACGTATGTATTTAGCATCTGACCTTGCTATTATTTTTATATCAATCATCGGATTTTGATATGGTGGCAATACCGTTTTTGACCCATGGGGATTTTCGATGTTTTTGTTCTATTACTAACCGTTGCAGCCGCTGTTGGTATCCTGACGAAGCTCAAGGATGGATAGGTGTGAAAGTCATATCTAACAAAGAGGTTGATGGTAAGTTCACCCTCCAATTAGCCTCTGAGACTGACGAAACAATCTACACGGTTGAAGCGGGTCAGCTCTCGGAAGATGAAGCTACTTTGCCGCCATTGAGAAATCCACCCATTTTAGAGGCTGCTGAAGATCTCACTTCCTTGTCGTACCTTAACGAGCCGGCCGTTTTGCATGCTATCAAAGTTCGCTATTCTCAATTGAATATCTATACCTACTCTGGCATTGTTTTAATTGCAACCAATCCTTTTCAAAAAGTCGATCAGCTTTATTCACAAGATATTGTTCAAGCCTACGCAGGCAAGACTAGGGGTGAGCTTGATCCTCACCTATTTGCAATAGCTGAGGATGCTTATCGTTGTATGAAGAGGGACGGTCAGAATCAAACAATCGTTGTTAGCGGAGAGTCCGGTGCTGGAAAAACAGTGAGTGCTAAATACATTATGAGGTACTTTGCATCTGTTGAAGAAGAGTCTGAACTTGAAAGTAAGGTGGGCACTGAGCATAAATCAGACATGTCGGATGTCGAGAAGCAGATTCTTGCAACAAACCCGATCACCGAAGCGTTTGGGAATGCAAAAACTACCAGAAATGACAACTCTTCGAGGTTCGGGAAATATTTGGAAATACTCTTTGACCTGAACACAGCAATCATAGGTGCTCGAATCAGGACTTACTTGTTAGAGAGATCCAGGCTAGTTTTCCAGCCGAGCGGAGAAAGAAATTATCATATATTTTACCAAATGCTTGAGGGTATGAAAGTTGAAGAAAAGGCGGCCCTCAGCTTGGGTACAGCTGCAGACTATTGCTACACAAATCAAGGGGACGCGATCGCAATTGCTGGTGTGGATGATGGTGAAGACTTCATTACAACAAAGCAGTCCTTGGGCTTGATTGGAATTAACGATGACATGCAAAAACAAATCTTTAAGCTTTTGGCAGCAATGTTACACATCGGTAACATTGAAATTGCAGCCACTCGGAATGACGCGTACCTCTCTTCTGATGAGCCTAACCTCGTTAAAGCATGTGCTTTATTGGAAATTGACGCTTCCAATTTTAGCAAGTGGTGCGTCAAGAAGCAGATTACCACAAGATCAGAGAAAATTATTAGCAGTTTGAACCACAAGCAGGCAATAGTCGCCCGTGACTCATTCGCAAAATACATATACTCTGCGTTGTTTGATTGGCTTATTGATTTCATCAATACTGATCTTTGTCCGCCTGAAGTTGGAAAAGAAATATCCTCTTTCATTGGAGTTTTGGACATTTATGGCTTTGAACATTTCGAGAAAAACTCTTTTGAGCAGTTCTGCATTAATTATGCCAATGAGAAGTTGCAACAGGAATTCAACCAGCATGTGTTTAAGCTAGAACAAGAGGAATACATGCGTGAAGAAATTGAGTGGTCTTTCATTGACTTTTCCGACAACCAGCCATGCATCAACTTGATTGAGAATAAACTCGGAATCCTCGCACTTCTTGACGAAGAGTCGAGATTACCTGCTGGAAAAGATGAATCATGGGTTGAGAAGATGTATCAAAGCCTTGATAAACCGCCAACTAACACAGTTTTTAAGAAGCCTAGATTTGGACAAACGAAATTCGTCGTTAGTCATTACGCTTTGGATGTTACCTACGATATTGAAGGTTTCATTGAAAAAAATAGAGATACCGTTGGAGAAGGCCACCTCGATGTGTTGAAAGCAACAGAAAATAACTTGCTTGCAGACGTTCTCTCTGTCATCGATAAAAATGCTACAAAAATGGAAGCTAGTACTTCCACAAAGAAGAGCATTTCTGCGAAGAAACCGACTCTAGGCTCAATGTTTAAAAACTCACTTATTGATTTGATGAAGACCATTAATTCTACTAATGTTCATTACATTCGATGCATTAAGCCTAATGAAGAAAAGAAAGCTTGGGAGTTTGATTCACTTATGGTCTTATCTCAGTTGCGGGCTTGTGGTGTTTTGGAGACTATTCGCATATCCTGCGCTGGTTTTCCCTCCCGATGGACTTATGTGGAATTCGCTGATAGGTATCATATACTAGTACCATCTGAAGAATGGCTTAAGGTCATGGGAGGTGACACGACTCAAGAGTCTGTCTCTGGTTTATGTGACAAGATTCTTTCTAAAAACATCGAGGACGAAGGGAAGTACCAATTGGGTAACACTAAAATTTTCTTTAAGGCCGGTATGCTTGCCCATTTCGAAAAGTTGCGGTCTGATAAGCTTCATAGGTCTGCCGTCATGATCCAGAAAAACTTAAGGCGCAACTTTCACAGAAAACAATACTTGGACATTAGGTCAAGTTTGGTGAATTTGGAGTCATTGGTAAGAGGTTATTGCACCAGAAGACGTGTTCAGCACGAGAAGGAGAATGCGGCTGCTGTCATGATTCAGACATTGTTGAGATCTCATCTTATAAAGGATCGGGTTAAGAGGGCCATTGGAAGCGTTCTCACCTTACAAAATGCATTGAGAGGTTACCAGGCAAGACGTGTCTTCCAGAGTTCTAAATTGGAAAAGGCTACCGTAATTCTTCAAAGTGCATTCAGATGTCGTCAGACCCGTGAAAAGTTCTTGAAAGAGAGGACTTCTGCCATTGTCATTCAGTCGCATGTAAGAAGGAAGTCTGCTCGTCGTGAACTCATGGCATTGCGAGAGGATGCAAAATCTGTCAACCATTTGAAAGAAGTGTCTTACAAGTTGGAAAACAAGGTTATTGAGTTAACTCAATCTCTAACAACAAAAATTAAAGATAATAAATCTTTGATGGAGGAAATTGATGGCCTAAAGAACCTTTTGACGCAATCCAGTTCGGCAACTGAGACCCTTAAAGCCCGCGAGTTGGAGTTCAATGAAAAATTCGACGTACAGAACGAAAATTATAAGAAGGAGGTCGAGCTGTTAAATGTTGAACTTGAATCTATTCGGAAGGAATACCAGAGTGCCGAAATGCGAATCGAAGAATTGACCAGAGAGCAGGCAGAGCTTAGACAAGAAGTGAAGCAAAATATTGAAGAACTTCACGAAGCGAAGGATGCACTTGTGAAGAGGGATACCATTGAGGTAGACCTCAAAAGTCATATCGAGCAGTTGCAACTTCAACTTTCAAGCCTTCAATCCCAGACAGCTAACGTGCAATCCGCGAAAACGCGTGGTATTGGCAATAAAAGACATAGCAGCGCGGGTGGTTGGAATCCTCAGCATGTTTTCGACCTGCAACGACCAGTTTCTGTCATTGCTGTATCTAACGAAGATGTGGCAGACGTCGACGATATTAACGACGAGTTGTTCAAGCTCTTGAGAGATACACGCCCACTTCATAGAGAGATAGTGGAAGGTTTGTTGAAAGGTCTCAAGATCCCTCCATCTGGTGTTGCTGCTGATTTGACCAGGAAAGAAGTGTTGTTTCCTGCTAGAATCATCATAATTATCCTCTCAGATATGTGGAGACTAGGCCTAACAAGAGAAAGTGAAGAATTTCTTGGTGAGGTTTTAGCGGGCATTCAGCATATCGTCTCAGCATTGAAGGAGGATGAGGTGATTTCGAATGGTGCGTTTTGGCTCTCCAACACACATGAGTTATACTCATTTGTATCGTATGCACAACAAACGATTATCGCAAATGACTCCTTATCTCATGATATGAGTGAGGAGGAATTTGATGAGTATCTTAAGCTAGTGGCTGTGGTCAAAGAGGACTTTGAGTCTTTATCCTACAACATTTATAACATGTGGATGAAGAAGATGGAGAAAGATTTGGAAAAGAAAGCTGTTTCTGCTGTTGTCATTTCACAATCTCTTCCAGGCTTTATGGCTCCAGAAAGCTCCCCGTTTTTGGCAAAGGTGTTCTCACAGGGTGTCCAGTATAAAATGGATGATATCTTATCATTCTTCAATACCGTGTACTGGTCTATGAAATCCTACTTCATTGAAACTGAAGTCATGAATTCGGTCATCATTGAGCTCTTGCGGTTTGTGGATGCGTTATGCTTTAATGATTTGATAATGCGCAGAAATTTCTTATCATGGAAACGTGGTTTACAGTTGAACTACAACGTCACTAGGCTCGAGGAATGGTGCAAAAGCCATGACGTACAAGAAGGATCGATCCATCTCAACCATTTACTACAGGCTGCAAAGCTTTTGCAGCTTAGGAAGAACACACCAGAGGATATTGACATTATTTATGAGATTTGCTTTGCCTTAAGACCGATTCAGATCCAAAAATTGATATCGCAATACTTTGTTGCCGAATATGAGACGCCAATTGCTCCTGATGTCTTGCAAGCTGTTGCTGACAAAGTGAAGATGAGCGATGGTTCTAACGACGACCTTTTTGAAGTGGTGGCTACGGACGGCCACTTCGACGATCCATTCAGGGATGTGAACTTGCGGCCTTTTTCGAGAGTGGAGGCATATGTTCCTGCGTGGTTAAGTCTTCCGGTGATAAGGAGAATAGTTGAACTTGTTGCTAAAAATGCATCAGCACAAGAGGACAACGTGCCGTCCTCTACTGATCCATTGGTGAGTTAGACAGCTTTTTAGTTGGCCTCTTCGTATATGAATCTATATTTTATTTTCGGTGTTGCTTCAGCTGCTTGATTTCGTCCTCTTGAATCGTTCTTGTCGTCATTTGAAGAGCGTGGAGGCCTTTACTATTGAACTCATCCTCTAACAATGCGTATACCAATCTGTGTCTTGCTGGTAAGGTTTTTCCAGAGAAGCTATCACTCACAATTTCTAGCCTGAAATGTGACTCCTTTACGTTTTCGGCATTTTGCATAGGTTGGTGATGGCTGTGTTTGTGGGAATCATTCTTGACGGTCAAGCGACTGGGTGCTAGTGATAACGAAATCTTCTCGATGATCAGCTCTTCAACTGGACCTGTTTCGCTACCTGACCGCTGTATGTTGTTCGCCAAACCACCCATTTTTCTTGCCCAATTAGCGAACCTAATCATGTATACCATTTAGAGTCTACCTGAATTCGACGGATCTCAAACATGATGTTGACGTTATATGCATTCCTGGCTATATAAAGATATAAATGCTTATGTTCGAACTTTGACTGAGGAAGCTCGCTTTGACTGAGGCCTCTTACCGGATGTATTCTCCGTTGGCTTGATGGGGCCATCTCTACCTGGTAACAAGAAGCTGCGGAAGATTCCTATCAATTTGTACAATGAGAACCCAGGTATCACGAGGTAAACAATCCACGCCTTGTTAGAACCGAAAAGTACCATTAGAATCGTACAAAACCAAGTGATGTAAATACAATCAAACATGTACTCGTAAAGCCCCGGCCCTTTGATATCGTCAATGGTTTTATGCTTTCCGTCAATCACAAGGGGTCTTCCACGTCTTTCCAATGTGTACTGGCAAAAGCCCGCCGGAAGCGAAAAAAGCACATACATCCATATATATGAGGGTCTGTTTAAAAAAGCATAGCTCGATATTGCCAACAAGTTTACAATGATGGAAGCGAGATGCAATTCCTTGAGAGCATGAACATTGGTTTTTGCTATCCTTTTATTGCTCAGTGAAGCCATGATTTAAAAACAAAATTGAATTAGAGAAAAACTTAGCCTCCTCTTCTGTGGATCAACCTTTGTTCCCTCTCCTTTATCTTGCGATTATGGGATGATATATGTTCTTTTCGTTTAACTGTGACCTGTAGTTGTGCGCCCATTCGAAGCGCGGATGCGCGAAACAGATGAACTGTAACGAGGTGACTTCTGTGAGCAATTGCCTATGTATGACGTACTTGTTTTTCTTTTCCAGAACTCGAAGGATAGAATTAAAGTACGTATTCACCTTTTTGCCCTCAATTCGGCCAATTCGGTCTAAAAGCTAACACCCTAACACATATGTTATACGCAGGCTATCAACTAGACATGTGATCACCCATGATGATTTTCGAGCAACTCTTGAATAGTTGAGCACTTCTTTCTATTTTTTTTTTTAAAGAATGGACTTTTGTTTCTTCCTTGTTGGATGTAAGTGATACTGATGCTTAGCTGAAGCCGAATATGGCTTTGAGTTGATTTTCAAATACTAACTTCTTAGTCCACGAGCGAAACAAGCCACTTAGTGAAGGCGGCGACATACCTTGTTATTGTGGCAGGTGTCACAATCAATCAGCATTTGCTGTGCGGACAAGTAACTGGGTGACCTTGTTCTTTATTCCTTTAATTCCTTTTTATTTTGGTAAAGGCCTCAAATGCAACATTTGTGGAGCAGCAGGTGATCTAGATGACAGAGGATTACAGATGTTGAAGGAAGGACAGCCTGTCGCCATAGGCGGATGATGTTAGGTATAGATCAAGGTATCAAAAGAAAGCTTCTACGAATGCACGATGCTGAATGAGCCAAATTAAAACAATCTTTCACTTAAAATAAGGTTGTATTATTCAGATGAAAATTCTTTGTATGATGAATAGAATCATTAAACATAAAAAGAATGGTAAACCTGTTCACCAGCTCCACTCCCAAAATACTGGTGTGTAACTGCACCACGGTCTCTTTCTTAGAAATCTATAAGTTTCATTGTTGCATATCCGACAGTAACAACGACTGTATAAGCGATGAAAGAACTAGGTACGCCCCTTGTAATAAAGGTCCCAACATTTAAATAAGGGTTTCCGAGGTCATCCGTCATACAAATTGCAGTAACGTTGGGGAAGCCAGACGTCGGCAATCCCATTGCAGCTGAGCATAGTAATGCACTGGCCATGATCAATAATCGGGGGTGAGGGTCATCTAACTTACTCCCGATTTCAGACACGAGCGGAATTACTATAAGGGCTGCGACAGTGTGACTCACAAATGTGGCCATTGTCAATATTAAAAGCCCAAAGGTTAAGACAACTCCGAAGAGAGAAAACCCCTCTACTTCGCTCTGGATAGAAAGCGCTATGGTCTCTAATAAACCAGATGATGCAACAGCTTTGCCTAATGCTGTGCCACCCATAGCGAGGATGACAATATTCCAAGGATAGTTGTTGAAATCTTCGGTCGTTAATAAACCCGGGCCGAAAAACAATATTAAGGGGATCAACGCAATTATACCCATTTCTCCAAAAATTCCTTCGAGACGGGATGCAACACACCAAAGGACAATCGTGATGGCGGACACAACAACAATGTATACTTGAACAGCCAGAAATCTGTCATCAATAGTCCGGATCGCCACTAAATGGGTATTGCTAGAGTTGCAATTGAAAGTAACAAGAAGAAAGATCCAGATTAAAGCAAGTGAAAGGACGCATACCGGTATTGAAATCACAAACCATTGGCCCCAGGATGGTTGTGGTTCCATTGCGCCAATAGCGATCATATTTTGAGGTGATGCGATAGGTGAGGCCATGCCACCAATATTGGAGGCTAGAGCAATTCCCAATATAAGCGCCTTGATGAAACTTGATCCTTTTGGTAATGTTCGCAAGAGGGGCTGAATTAACGAAAGACATAAAACAGGGGCAGCAACGTTAGAAACCCACATAGAAGCAAACAACGCGATTGCCATGATGGTGAAAAGGACAACAGAAGGATTTGTTCCGGCTTTTGAGAGCACCCAAGTAGATAGCAACTTAGCAATATGGTACTTAGTAAGCGAAGCTGCGAGTGTGAAACCGCCAAGAAGTAATAGAATCACTGAGTTCCACATTGACGAGAGAATAAACTTCGAGGATGACACGGTATCCATTCTTGAGCCATCTTCATTCTTTAAAACACCGAGTGTTACAACTAATAGCGGTATAAGTAACGATGTCACAAACAAGGGAAGTGTCTCGGTAGCCCAAAGTAGTGATGCACAAACAAGTAAAGCGAAGCAATTTTTTTGTTCGGCTTCCTCAAAGGGGGAGAAGGTCAAAAGGAACACGGTTACCGAAGTTATAAGAACGAGTTTAAGCATAGCAGAATTCTTCACAGAGAGATTGAAATTTGAAACACCAGAACCTTTCTTTTCATCTATTGCGATGCTACTATCCTGCGCTGTAGCCGCTTGCTTTTTTCGTTCTATTCCGATAAGATCCCTCCAGACAGTGTTTCGTTCCCATACGACATGTTCCCTCAAATGTATCGAAAGTTCTGACCTCGCCAATTCTAAATCATCTCCATGATTGCATACTAGCGCGTATATCTTCACAAGAGTGTTGAGCCTCTCTAAAAGGTTTGCCATAGTTCCCTCGCGGAAAATATAAGACTTTTCCGGTAGTTCATGAAGATAAGGTTCTTTCAAGGACGTTTCCAACGATTTGTCGAATTTCTTTAACGCCTTTTTAAAGCCTGTGTGATTAAGATCAATGAAGCTCTTGAGCTCGGACACTGTTGTATATAATCCAATAACCCTTTTCCGCAAAATGACCCTTGTTTCGGAGAGCGCACTCAAGTGAGGAGTGGTGTCAGGGCCGAAGTCAGAAACAATACCTTCACGACTGGTTCCAGGATACAAAGGTTCCTCTATCGATGACTTACGTCTTAATGATGTGTAACTCTTACTTGGCTGGCCCAAGAGCGGCAGTGTCGGTCCTCTGTAGTCTTCCACGAGTTGACTCTCATGGTCATGTAGAGGAGTCTCATCAACGTCTCTGTTTAACAGTACAGCACCTACGTCGCTGTCTTCCTCTGCATTAGTCTCTTCCATGGCGGAATCACTGAAACCACTTACTCTAGATGTTTGCCGCTTCTTTGAAGGTTTACGACCAAGTGATATCGTGTCGACGTCGGCATTGAACTTGTCAATATCTTCAAGTAAATCATCAATGCTTTGAAACAAAAATTTCTCTTGCTTTGCGTAAAAATCATCTATCTTATCGAGTTCGCTGTCTAATGCTGCTCTAAAAACCAGTGCTGGGTCGCTGTTATGTGTTGGATCGTCACCAATCAAATAACCCGACTCACTATCACCTTTTCGGCGACTCAAAGACTCACGCTGTAAGGAGTATATGAGCTTTTTAAGTGTTGTGTACGAAATATACTTCGATGACCATTCAGGAACAGCATTAAATTGTATTGAGTGGGAGAACTTCATAGTTGACCTACTATAAGTCAAGTTACAAAATGCGGTTTGTCCTCAACAAGAACGGTGGTGTATATAGCCTTTAGATAACACTTCTCCTGGTTTTTTTTTTTTTTTTTTCCTTTTTTTTTTGTCGTTAATTTCAATTGTTTTTTTTTTTTCTTTGAATCGAATAGGAAAAAAAAAAAAATCGTTAAAATCAGTTAAATGGTTTTTGTAAAGAGTATTAATTTCACTCGTTTTTGTTTTCTATCAAGCAGATTTCAGGAGATTGATTACTGTAAGCAGTTTTTGGTTTTATGATGGAATTGCGAATCTGCAATTTAACGGGATTCATAAGGTGAAAAAGTAATACCGTAGATAAAATGTCCTTTATTGTGCCTGCGTATCGAAAGAGAAACGATTACCCTAAACTAGGTTCCATGAAAGAAAAAAAAAAAAAAAAAAGAAGACAAAAAGATCATTATTTGTATAAGTATTTATGTATCTAAAAAAAAAAAAAAAAAAAAGGTATGTATATATACATACTCTTTCTCGCCATGATCAAAGACTTTTCGAGTAACAAACAAAATTTCTCTAATCTCTCCAAAGTATAGGATATACACTTCTATCCATGGTCTTCGAAATTTTGCTACGAAAGACAAACTAGATATCAAAGTATAGTGACTTTTGGTGTCTTGAAGTTTATGTCGTTAAAGGTCTCTATGCGATTCTCGCGTACTGTGCGGCATTTTATCTTCGCCTTCACAGCTTCGCTGTATCCATTTGAGGTTCACCATAATAACCTACCGCTCATGTTTTCCAAAAGACCAGACAAGCACACCGCAGGGCTAATTAACATGCGCAATGATTGTTTTGCGAATGCCTCGGTTCAAGCTTATTCATCTTTGCCAGGATTCACAGAGTATCTTAACACCTTCATAACAGTCTATGGAAAAATCTTCGAAATGACTGAAAAATACAAGATCGCCCTCGAGACCGTGATTTCTCCCGATGATATTCTTTCGGCATTGCAATCAAAAGCAAGCAGGCAAAGATATGATGTGGATACAGCGGCTGGGCCAATCCAGAGACAATTTCAGATAACTTTGCACGTCGCTTTGGCTAAGATGATCAAAAAACTTCAAGATACCCAGATGAGCACAAGGACTCTATCCGTGTGGACTTTCTTGCACGAGCTTGAGAGAATCTATAACGCAAAGATATCGCGGTCACAACATGACGCTCACGAGTTAACCCAGCTCATCAATGAAACCTTGGAAGCTGAAAACATTGTGTGCATGAGAATACTGAAGAAGCTAAGAGAGCTATTGGCCTTGCAAGGTGTTCCTCAGAGGGACATAAATGCGGTTGACATACCCGAATTTCCTTTTAGTGGACTCTTGATGTCTCAAATGAACTGCCTAACATGTGCGCATGTTTCGAAGCCAAGTTTTAGTCCTTTTCTAATGCTCACTTTACATCTTCCTCAGTCGCCTTCCAGTGACTTGATTTCGCTTCTTGACGATAATGAGTCCGAAACCATCAGCGAGTACCAGTGCTTGAAGTGCCGAATCCTGGCTATCATTAACTGTGAGAAGATGGATAATAGTTTTGATGACAACAAACAAATGCTGCAATTAGCTCAGCTAGATAATGATCCCAATTTATTTATTAACGAAGACATTCCGCCATCACTTGAGGCTTATATCAAAGGTTACTCCAAGAAAGATTTTAAAGCTGACGCGGTCTCTTCTACTGTTCACCGCAAGACCCTGATTCTCAAGCCCCCTGAGGTTTTTGGTATACATTTGTCTCGCTCTACTTTTAATGGTGTGAGCGTTACCAGGAACCCATGCCGCGTCACATTTAACGATAAATTGAGTCTATCAATTGGCCACGAGTATGTGGATGAGTTGCAAAAGTTTCAAAACTCAGACCCAGAAGGTGGGCATACAGTACGGGGGTCCAATGTACTTACAACTGACGTCGATGATATGGAGGATGAAAGCGTCCAACAAGAAGATGTTGATGAACAGGATTATGAGTCAACCTCAATAGAAAACAGTGATACTGATGAGGCTTCATATTCGATGGACGATTCTGATTCATCATCAGTTTTGACTGATCGAACACGTCCACCGTCTTTGGAGACCGAAAATACTTCAAGAGGCTTAGTTGACGGAAGAGGAGAAACTCTCAATAACACCCCTATGTCTGAAGGGCAAACTGTCAGCCTAAAGCGCCACTTCCGAAAGTTCAACTTTGATGAGAACAACACATATAAGTATCGCTTACGCGCCATGATCAAGCACCAGGGCTCGCATACGCAAGGTCACTATGAATGCTTTAAGCGAAAGCCCTTATTTGTCAAAGATACATCTGGAAACATACTTAAGATTGCACAAGAAATCGACGAGGAAGCTTTGGCCAATGCCCAAAGACATACAAACATCAACGAAGGAACCAAAGGAACGCATCAATCTATTGATCTGGGTCAATTTGAGGATGGACCCGGTGCTTTGAGAAATAAGCTATCTAGTCTTATGGGTCGCAGACATTCTATTACACAAACAGACCCTACTTGCGTTAACTTACAAGAGATCCCTAACTCCGGTACGGCTACACCCGCTGAAGTGTTGGTTGATCATGGAGACTATTTTCTGGGCCCTTCAACAAGCGACTTGGACCAACAACTCCATAGAATGAAGCTCTCTGAGGGACCAGGTAAGGACAAAGTCAAAATGAAGAAGATTCCGTCTTCCATGAAACATCCATATTGGAAGGTCGGGGATTCTCAAGTTGCCGAAGTATCCAAATCTTCGGTGTTGCTCGAAACGGCAAGCGTTTACATGCTTTACTATGAGCGCATAGATAGAAATCTGACGGAGGTCAGATAGAAGGAGTGCGTATAGAGTTTTCATAGATCAATACATTCTTCGCTCATCTACTCTGTAATTGAATTACATGTTCAATAACTCCAATAGAAACCCAAAATCTACGCCGATAAGCGGGACCCTTAATTTACCGGATCGCCTGACATCAAGAAAGAAAGTCGTTCTAGCTCCTGGTCATTCACCGCTCGATTGGGCCGACCTCACCGCCCGGTCATCCGACAATGCTTTGAGAGGACTACCCTCAGGTACGCCCCCTGCACCATATGTTAGAGTGACAACAGCCGAATTAAAACAACATAAGATAAAGGCTGACTGTTGGACATGCATAAACGGCAAAGTCTTCAATATAACTCCCTATATCGATTTCCATCCAGGTGGTGAAAAAGAGATCATGAAATGCGCAGGAAGCGACGGTACTTTCTTGTTTAACAAATACCATAGTTGGGTGAACCCAGATAGGCTACTAGCGAAATGCATGGTGGGAATATTGGTGGATCACAGGTAAAGGTAGAATGAATATTCTGTTACATTACACGCCACTGAAGACTTCATCGAGATTCCAGTCATGATCTTCTGTCGGAAGATCCGGTACAATCTGTTCCTTGAAACACAAGCCGATGAGGTAGGGCTTATGGCCATGCCTTTCAAAATATGTGGCTAAAAATTTGTCATAGTACGCAGCGCCTCTGCCGAGGCGTTGCCCTTTTTCCGTGAAGGCTACTCCAGGCATTAAGAGAACGTCAAGTTTACCAGATTCCATCAAATTTAAACCGGATGTAGGTTCGAGTAGACGAAATTTGCCTTTGGGCACCAACTTTAAAACCTCATCCATGCTTTCTAATCGGAGGAAGTCCATTTGGGACTTGTTCCCATCATTGTGACATCTCGGCAAATAAACGTCTTTTCCAGTTTGGAAACAGAACTTGACAATCTCCATTGTTTGTACTTCTCCCGTTGGCATATTCATGTAAAGACCGACGGTTTTTGCATTCATAAATGGGACATTTGCTGTGAGCTTTCTTAAGATTTCGTCTGATTGCCTGTGCGCCGACTCTGCGGTCAAGGATCGCAACTTTTCATATATAAAATTTCTGAGTTTCTGCTTGGCCATGGGTGTTCGCATGTCGTGAAAGTTGAGAGGCGGAAACTTTTGTCGATTAAGGATGTCCTAAAATATAGAGAGCAAAAACTGTGAAAGATCGAGGGGATTATCATACATATGCACAACTTTTAAGCGCCTCAACTGAAATGAACAGACTTCGTGTCAGCTTTCCTTTCTGACGGACGGTTTTCCTGCGCGGCGGAACTTACCGACTTTGACTCATCCTTGCAACGTTTGCATTTGCAAAGAAAGCCCCAATTAACGCGTAGTTCCTCTCGTCTTTCTTGAAGTACGTGGGTCGGATTGACATAGGTTGTGGTAATCTCTTCCCCAGCACGAATCGGGCGAGAGGCTTTAACTTTGATCAGTGTATCGCTCCTTGCTTCCCCAGTATTCACGTCTGTGTTAGGTTCACAGTTATGGTTCAAGTGTGACTGGATAAGGAAAATAGAGGAATCTAAGTTGTTGATGTTATAGGCACCTAACATGAATAGGAAATTCTCAAAAGAATAATCCGAAACCAGCCGCAACTTCGGAAAAACATTTAAGAAAAGTTCATGACCTTCTTCCCATAATTGCTCATGCTGCCCATCTAGGAATGAAGAGTCAGACGATACCGATCCATTGGCTGAAGCTCTAGTCCTAGTCTTCTGCGACACACGAGCTAAGGCGTCGAATTTCTCTTTCTTCATACCAGATTCATCAGCAACTATTTCTCCAGTAATAACTGTGATTGCATAAAGAGCATTCCATTGCTCTTTCAACGAATAGTCCAAAAGAGAAACGAGCGCCCCTGGTATTACCTTTCTTGACTCCAATGGAATCTTGGAGACTTCATGCTTCATAAGATTATGTAGCCTTTGGTTCTTCGACTTACATGCTTTAGAGCACCAAACCTCAGGACACATCTTACATTGTTCCCCCGATAATACTGAAACACCTGCTCGCAGTCTTCGGACAAGTTGACCACAAAATGAGCAAGCGTTTCCCTTCCTTATAAGCTCTACGTGAGCAAGGGGCGGAACAAGAAACAAAGGCTCTTCTTCCCAAATGACCTCACCCTCGCTTATATTCAGCTTGGCGAAAAGTCCTTTCCCTCGTTTGGAAGTCATGGTAAGTTTGATTTTCTCTGGAAGTATAAGTCCGGGAGTCTCTAGTGATGTTATATCCTTGGCGTATGTTACTTCAGATTCAGTTCCTGGAAGCAAATTAAACTTTTTCAAAATGGATTTCAAACGTTTCTCCGATAAAGACCAATCGCCGTTTTGACGTTTGATCTCTTCGAGGAGCCTCTTAACTCCAAACCCCTCTGAAACAGGATCTAACTTCCATGTCTGGATCACCGAGTCCATAACGGCTCGTTCATGAGGAACAATAACTGATTCCATCCTTGTAAGGTCATCGAACTTTACAGCTTGATGCGAAGAAAATCTACATCTCATATAATCACATGACCACTTACCACCGTAGTTAAAATATCAGCCATTTACTAGACTCAGATTCAATCAATAGTTTAGAAGCTCTTCCGGTTTCCACGAGATTTGCCTTTCCTTTCACAAGAATGCGCCCATTTGTTGTTTCTATGGTCGATATCGCAGACAAAAAGCCGTCTCGATCCGAAGGTACTGCCGTCGTTTTGATGACCAAAAATTGATTTGCTAACGCAGGAGCCTTATAAGAAATGCTTAGGGTAGTTACCATAAAATCATCCTTCAATTTCAGCCCTTCGCCTGCTAATGATACGTTCCTTTTGAAGGTCTCGTTTAATAAAGTGGCCAAGATGCCGCCATGGACTAAGAATGGATATCCACAGAGCTTATCACCAACATGAACTATGGTAACTGTGCATTTTTCAACTGGATTGTGAAAAATCGTTGGTTCTATGATTATACCACCAGGTCTAGCAAGTGTGGAGTTAGTCAATGTGGATGGCTCAGGGTCCCCTCTAAACGTTGAAGGGGACTTTGCCGTTTCCTTTGGAATCACCATACGATCCAAGTTTTCCCAGGATCGAAGCTTGATCCACGGCGCACCCTGGCGTGAAAGACGCTCATATATCGAAACTTGCTTAGCATCAAAATCAATCTTCACTGGGTTAAGGGAGTTATGCCTTGAATCGGAAAACCTCGAGTAAATGTCGAGTACAGTCTCCTTGTATGAGGCGGAACATCCACCAAGGAACCCAGCAATGCAAAGTTTCCAGTTAAGAAAGGCAACACCCCTATTTCTGATTGAGTAAACCATTGATTATTTAGCCGCATGCGCAAGACCAAAATCGAAAGAATACCAGGTATTACACGTGACTAATGTGGGGACCACCCGAGAAATCGTACAACTAGATGAGCATGAAAAATAAAATTCAACAAGATGCGTTAAAATTCGTAGGGTTAAGGTAAATGACCGTCAAGTTAGCTCTCAAATACATTTTTCGAGTTGTAGTTTAGCAAGAAGGACCTGTTCCTCCATTACCATACTCCGGCTGCATTAAATACCTCAGGATAACTAATTAACTATAATATGGAAAATAGAAAAAAACTGCAGCAATCTATAATCCGGTAATACAGCCTACAATCAGCAAGAACTTGGTGGAGTGAAGAAGTCAATGAAAACCTTATGAGAATTTGGCATTGGAGCATCGGAACCCACAAAGCCAAAGTAGTTCAATCGGTTCACGAATGTGGATCTGAATTTCGGCAGTATCATGCGACTGAGGTGTGAAGGAGCCGGCTTGTAAAACCACCTCTATTGTATCTGAAGCTCCGCAAGTATCAGGCATGCTTAACCATAGGGCAGCTACTGAACCTGCTTTCAAATATCTTAAGCCCTTAGAAGATTAAACCAGGGCATCAAGCGTACGACAAGGTCATCTCAATTTCATTTCTGGCGTAACTAAAGCAGTAGAAGGACTTCAACATGAAAACATGAATTCGTTTACATTTGAACTTGAAAAACTTGAAAAGATAATAATACTCCAAATGATTCCTTTATTTGACATTTCCTACAACTCATCATTCGATTTAAAATCAAACCGATTCCCTGTTAAAACCTAGTGAAATAATCTTTTTTGAGAGCGACAGTTTTTTTCCGTGGATTCTGAAGTGCCTTACGGTGATCGGTTTTGCTAACATCCATGATTAACAAAGAAGGGATACAAAAGTTGGGGTATCTCCTCACCATTTACTGATAGCGCTATGCTTGCAAATACGGAAAGCGAGAGCTAATCTATATGCTTTTTATTCTAAACAAACGTACCCGACGGGCTTCAATAAAGAAAGTTGTAGAATATAATAATGGTAATAGTTGGCAAATTGTTAAAGTCGGATTTCATCTCCTAGCTGTCAAATAAAAACAATCTCTCGCTTGTTGAGACTAATGTAGGAATAAATCAAATAAGATATGTAGAGTCAATAGAGAAACAATGTTATAAAAATATGGTGATCAGCTATCATTTTAGCCATTCTTAAGTCTATCTGTTAGCATGAGGAGTGAAAGATTGACAACGCAGACACGTATAACCCGCTTATTTTTAAAAGTACTATGGATAGAACATAAAAAGCTCCGTTAACATCTGTAGAAAGCGCCCTTATTTAATGCTAAGTAATCTTCTTCAACCTTTTGAAAAGAATCTTGCTGTAGATCGCATCAGGAGAAGGATCATATCCTTTTTTCTTCGTACGGATTTACGAGGATAATTTAAGCAGTCTTTAACAATAGTGGTTATGGAAGTCGACTGGATCAAGTCACAATGCCTTGAAAATCTTGTTGAATCGGCTTTGGTACCCTGTGGTACCTTGGGTTACGTACTTCCCATCTTTTCAGGTTTTTTTTGTTAACTCACAAAGATCTGGCGGCTGCTAGCAAGATCTTGCTTATCTTTCGCGGGTGGTATTATATTAAATGTGAGGAATTCTGATTGAAGTATTCGTATAGAAACTTTTGTTACAGACCGTTGTTTACGCTGCTACATTCATAAGGAAAGATGGATCGGAGTTAGCCTGAGCTGTTGGTTTGCTTCGTGAACGCTTCAGAAAGGTTTGGTATCGTATGGATATGTACGTTGAAGTGATATGCCCCGAAAACTTTAGACGTTTTAATTCAGATGAATTCGTCTGGGTGATACGTTTGAACTGGGTTAGTGCTACCTACGTGACGAAATAATTCTATCAATCCTTCATTTCTGTTTTGCGCATGAGTTTACCGGCTTTGTATACTGATCAGTAGTAGCATTCGTCGTGCAAAGTTGAAGTTCAATATCGAAGCCAGTTCTTCTTAATCATGTACGGCTCGTTTGCTTTGGATTCGTCTTCGAAATTGGCTTTACATACAATGAATTTGCTAATGTTGAAAAATTCTGTTGACTTCTTATAGTGCAGCTATTTGGTGAATTCGGAGGACCTAGATGTACCTGCAATGTGCTAGGGTGTTATATCTCCATACCTCCTATAATATCGCTATCGTTCATATAATCGTTCTCATCTTCCTCATCCCCATCATTGACTATATCAACCAGTAGTTCGTCATCGGATGATTGGCTTGAATGTTTTCGATTTTCTGTATCCTTTAAGTCAGCTTCATAAGGGCTTCGGCTGCGCTTCATTTGAGAATAATGAGACTTATTGATGGCGGTTAGGTAAAGGAAACAGACTCTCTTCTTCTTCTTGTTGTAAATAAACCAGTAGTTAGACCACATTGTTTGGTAAGGGTAATTTAGATCTTCCAAAATGGATTGGTCGGACGGTTGAAACTCATATACTTTGCAATTGTCGGTATCATTTTGTAACTCAGTATTCGTCGTTTGAAATGGAGTGGTTGAGCTCCTTCTCCGGCGTGGGATGCTATCCACAGGGTTAGACATATTGGTTGGCTGAATTTCCATGTAGACGTTGATGGTATCCCAAATCCAGCTGAGTAAATCTTCTCTTTTACCAAGCGACATTAAAATATTGCTGAACTGGTGTCTTAAATCATCGAAAGCTTCAATCCTGTGGAAATTCTCGGTTGTCGGCTGCAAGTTTGAAAAATCATGATCGGGGTACGTTGTATTTAGGATGGCAATCAAGTATGCAAAGACCCTTCTAGTAGAAACATCCTTCAACGAACCGAACGGCGATTCGTCATTGAAGTGGCCGTCACCCCTCAGTGTACTGATAGCACTACCAAGAAATGGGGAGCCTTGATCAATCTCTATGCCATCCGAGATATTCAGCGACGCATTTGATCCTCGTCTGGACAAATTGGTCGGTTGGTAGCCAGATGCTCCGGATGGCGACGCTGAAGATCCTAGTAGAGAGCTCATTGATTGCTTTCGCTCCTGATCGATTGATCTTGAAAGTTGATTGTCCTCTAGTATCTGATCTAAGTGTCTATCGATCGTCTTGAACAACTTCCTGTCTGAACCAATAGGCTTTGTTGTGAACAAATCGCATCCTCCCTTAATAATTAGGTTGTCGTCAAGAGAGTTAAAGTTGAGCTCTTGATTGACAAGCTCTAAGTCAACTTCATCAATAAACTGGAGTTAGTATTTTGCTTGGTTTCTAATGCGAAGGTACACACTTTCATTTTCCTGATGGATTAGTATGGTTGACGTATGGGAATAGATACCGCGCTGCATGGGGTGTAGGTAAGAAAACTGGCAGCTCACGTTGCCAATGTTGTAAATGTCTGAGGTAGAAAAAAAAAAAAAAAAAAAAAAAGAATAAGACCAAGACAGTAATAGGAAGAAGAAAAAAATAGAAGCAAAAGAAATTAGAAGAAGAGAAAGCAAATGAAAGTGTAAATCGAACTTGAACGCAACTCATAAAGACAAAGCAAGGTGTATCTGGTAAACCTGATACTAATACCTCGACCATGAGATCCAACAAGGCCAGAGATGCAGGGTAGATGTGCCGTTCTTGATAGCGAGCGCATTGTAAACTAAGCACACGTAATTCGAGTTATCATTTCTGATTTCATCGAGTTGTGGAACTTTCGAAGATTTTGATGGGGTTATCGGCGCAATTTATATGTGTATTCTGGATCACGAACCTTGTGCGTTTCATTGTGCCGCCAGGTCCCACACAAGTCCGCACTTTGCTATGTGAAACGCAGGAGGGCGTAAAATACCATAATTCAGGGCAACATTGAGTGATAGGGGTCGGGCAACCGACAGCTTGTTGCTGATTTCACCGTTTGTACAGCTAACATCTCGACATTTCAGCAAGCGAACCCTACAAGTTACTAATCTGGACCAAAGGGTTCCAAGAGAAGCTACCGATGGTGAGTCTTCGTCCTGGTAAACGGTACTGTTATGTGATACGATTGGGTTATGTATCAACGAAGGAATCTGTCCCGCAGATTGCTGAAGCCCAAAGCTCCAACCTGAGAATGGTCCCACTTGCTGGTAGAACTCTAACGGTTGAGAAGAGGTTGGAGTAGAATTTTCGGACGCAAAGTAGTCTGACACTTGATTAGTCAAAAGGATAGGCACTTGGTGTATCCGACTTAGTCTCGCCAACTCTGCGTAAAGTGACATGAGATAATGGGCTCTTAGGATCCTATTTCGAAATGATGTGCTGAACTTGTAGAACTTATTTCGGATGTCCCTGGAGGTGGAGTCAGTATAATCGCATCCGTGAGAAGTTATAATTGCTTCTTGCTCTCTAACCCGCTCCTTGAGGAAAAACTGAGAGCTCTTGAAATCATCACTGCCGCGTAAATGGTGTGCTATACTATCAATGACAATCAAATTGATTGTTTTTCCTTCTAGTTTGGCACGATCTAGTAAGACAGGAAGTTGTGTAAAGATTATATGATCGAACGAGTCGAGGTCTGGACAATATGTGTAGGATATTTTCAGAAGGTAGTTCCTATCCGTTCCTTCTCCACTAATATCAGTTAATCTTCGAGTCTCCAAAGGAGACTCGGTACAGATGACTAAAGACTCTGTCGATGTATCGTCGGTTTGGTGACTGAGGTTTGCAAGAATACTAGTTGTGACCAAGTGCGACTTGCCTGTGCCGCTTGTCCCGAATATCTCAGTTATGGACCCCTTATCGAGTCCGCCTCCTAAGTAGTCGTCTAATGACTTCAAACCTGTTGTACAATTCTGGAAGGACGTATCTTTGATTTCTTGGTCTTCAATAGTCTCTCGAATGGCGTCAATGAACTCTTGTGCGAACTCTTTTCTTCCAGCGTTTTCCAATGTGTTTCCTGCTTCGTTCCTAAGTGCTCTTTCCAGTTCAAGAAGTAAATCAACTGTTGTTTTGCCGATGAAGTCATTGTCAAAGTCTAAATCAGCTAGTATGTCTGGCCAGCGAGTGGAGATGCCGGGAATCTGCTTGTGTATGTCCATGCTATTATCCCTTGACGCGATGTCTTTCGTTTGGAGTAAAAATCAATGCGCATACCAGGGTAATATTGCTTCGTGGAGAAAAAAGAGGGGCAAATGAAAAGCTGAAAGGATGTATTGCTGATTTCAAATTCTCAAGCTACATATATAATTGTAAACGCGAAAGCGCGATGCACCTGCATTAAATTGCTCAATGGGCTCCAGAAATGAAGAACCACTTGTCAACAGATTTGTCGATTGGGGCGGCTGGTTGAGGTGAGGCATCAGGCACGTTGGCTGTCTCCACAAAGGACTCAGAAGTAGTCAAGGTGGTATTGACCAAGCTAATCTCACCTGCATCAGCAGAGCCTTTAACTAACCTGTCCCATGCCTCTGCGCATTCTCCAATCACTTCGTTAGCATACTTCTTGTTCTTACACTCTCCTGAGAAAGCAAACTGGTTCTCAGGCTTTCCATCAGGGATCTTGTAGATCCTGAACCACTCATTTGTAGCTCTCAATAAGCCGGGCAAATGAATTTCCACATCTTCGATGTCGTTCAACTTGGGAGCTAAAGGATCGTTTACGTCAATGACGATCACCTTCCAATCGGTCTCACCCTCATCCAACAACGCCATTACACCTAAAACCTTCACCTGCTTGATCTGTCCGACAGTTGCAACTTGTTCACCGATCTCACAAACGTCCAAAGGATCGTTGTCACCCTTTGCTTTTGTTTCTGGGTGAGTCTGGTGAGGATCCTCCCATGTCTGCGGGAAGGCACCATAGTTATGGATATAACCGTGATGAGGGAAGCAATTGCGAACAAACCTCAATTTCCCCTTCTTGGTATCCTGAATGATAGGGTTCAATGGTTCTTCTTTGGAAATTTCCAATTTGGCATTTGTCCAGCGTGGCACTTCGACGATCATGTTCAACACTGTTTTTTCCTTGTTGGCGTACAACGGAACATCGTGGAAGGCAGAAACAGGCTTTCCATCCTTTTCAATAAAGACCTTGTAGTCCAATGTGTTAGCTGCTCCGATTTGGCGTGTTGAAAACGACATTCTTTCGTAATTAGTGGATGAAATTTGAGTGGAAGATCAGGTTCGACAAATTTTGTTCCAGGTACTGCACAATGGGGTCACGCGGAATCACTCAACTCATGATAACCCCCTTGTAAAGCTTTCAACTTAGCATCCACATAACTAAAAAGCGTATGGTCTTCCGCGTTGGCTGTACCTATCGTGTTCATTTCTGCTTTCTTAAAAATAAGTAGGCCTCTTGTTAGTTCCTGTTTGAGCCTTCTAAACGTGCAAGCTTCAAATCTTTTGTGTTGCACAGTCCCCTGATGTGTCGCGGACGATACTCTCCGTAATGTGGATATGATCAATAAGATATCACGCCTACTGATCGTGACCCAGCCCTTTCTGTAATCTAATAGGAACACTCCACCGAAGCTCATTCTGGCTCCTTCTCTACCAAGAGATTTTTTAAAAGATAAGAATATGTTGACACCATAGACGTCGGAATCCATAAAAGCAATTATGGGAGCATCCTCACATAAGGTGGAGACGTTTTTCAAGAACCTAGTCGATGCTTGATCGGGAAACCCTTTCGCCGTCATGAACATACAAGAGAACCTTGAGGCGAAAGCGACTTTTCTGTAATGATCACAATATGACTGGAAAACAGAATCCTTTTCGAAAATCACTATGGCCGATGGTTTGGACCGAATACTAATACAGTTCGAGAAATGGGGTATAAGCTGTATCTTGGAAGAGTAGGTGAGAATCATCTTTTGGGATGACTTCTGGATGAACTCTATGCCCGGCCCTCCGTACAAGTACCCTTTTGGAGATGGTAAAACTTTGTAGTCTTCACTTAAAGATTCTTCATGAATTAGGGATACATTGTGTAAAGCTCGGCTCAATACACTCTGCTTATTTTGAAAGGAGGACACGTCTTTGTAAAAGAGTTCACGAACGCTTGCCACTCGATCATCAAGTTTATTCTTAATCAACAATTTTATTGCCAATATGTGTACGATAAACCTTCGGCTTTGTGTATGATTCTCTGCAAGATCAGTAACCAGCCGAAAGCTTTTGATGTTTTGCTGATCATGACTCCGCTTTATAACAGGGATCTGAAGTAAGAGCTCCTCAGATATCGACCGCATCTGATCCAGAAGTTGAAGCCAATCATGGTGGAGAGACATCGTTGATGTTCCATTTAGCACTTTAATATGCTGTTCACAAGCGCTTCCAAGGGACATCAAAAACTTATCGAAAGATTTATCGGCCAACTTGTCAGGTGTGTGGGGATGCGATATTCACTTACGAGCAAAAATGCTGTTCCAGAAAGCGACTGCTGTTATCGGAATACACGAGGTCATCAAAAGAAGGTTATGTAAACAGAGAGAGAAAAAAAAAAAAAAAAAAAAAAAAAAAAAAGAAAGAAAGAAAGAAAGAAAGAAAGAGTCTAAGTGGTGAAGTTGTAGTAGCATGGTAATCGAAGTTCATAAAATTTCAGGATGTTCGCATTGAGTGCACGAATATCTCATCCTTAATGGTTTTTTTGGAAATAGAATGAAGGTAAGCCACTTGAGGAAAAAAACAGTTCAATGATTATTCCACTTTCTTGAATAACCATAGACGAAACAACAACAACAGCAAAAAAAAAAAAAAAAAAAAAAAAGAAGCTCTTGAAATATTTTGGTTGATTCATTCTTGCGCCATACCTAGTACTGTCATTGCCGCATTATCCGCGGATTCGGGATCCTACATCTCTCCACCAAGTCCAAAAGTCGGCTATCATTAACCTTTAACATGGGTACAAAAGAACTTCAAACCAGGGATGATTACTACAGCGGTGGTAGCTGGTCAGGAGGAGCACGCTGGGCGTTCTTCGCTATATTTGTTGTTTTGATCGTCATTGTCATTCTAGGCACCTTACGAATAAACAGAGCAAGATCGAGGCAGGGAATACAACCCATCTACGGAACACGTTGGATGACACCGCCCTCATACTTTCAATCCCAGGACCAATATAACCAACCGACTAGACGTGAGCCCGACATGCCAAATGTATACGTTCCAACTTACACTGAGCATGCTGGGGAATATGACATGGGTTACTACGATAACCAAGGAACGTTTCATCCGAATCCTAATGCAAAAGAACCCGCCATGCCACCACCGAGTCATCTACGAGATTCTGACGCAGCGGACGGCGTACCTCTCTCTAATGAATTTCATCAACAACCCTCTTCACCGCAAAATGGGCAAACGGACTTCACAAGAACACAAGTTGAAAATGTGGATGAGGCATACAGCAATAGGCAAGCCAATAGCGAGAGTAGACATTAGAAGGTTTGCAACATAGCACCACTGCCAAAGCAATTATAGATGAAGGTAATCCGGAAGCATCGGACAGATACTCAAAATCAATAAAATCTTATAGGAGTCCCCTGTAAGTCTACAAGTCGGCATGAAGTTTGCGAGAAATGGCCACCACGCCAATGAACCGGCGTCGGTGACATGTTTACCCCTGTTGCAGTACAAGGAGTAGGGAACAGAAGATTGCCATGGCAATCCATAACCATTTATACGTAGGGGAATGACCAGTACATAATTGACATGGAGGTGAAAAACCTTGCTTCAGCAAGCTTAGCAGTATTGAAGTGACAGAAATAAGGTTCTGTTCAAGGAACTTGCGTAGACCAACTTCTTGACGTCAAATTGTTCCCAGTGTACCTTGCATATTTCGAAGGGCAACAAAATCATTCTTCCTTCGCCAGCGCGGCTGAGCTCTTTCCTTCACATCAGTCGCGCATTCCGCGGGATGTGTATAGCCTCATCATCTTGAGGGTTTGCCCTCTTTTGGAGAAAATTCTGAACTGCTTCTGTCGTCATAGTAGTCAGAATAGTTCCGAAAGCTAGTCATTTATTGTTAGAACTGAGCCAAGCGCTGTTTTTTTTATATATAAAAAAAAAGTATGCGGGGATAAATCGGGCAAACAACAATCTTCACATGCCAGGATGCTTGCATTACGTCGCCAGCCACTTGACTCGTGACCCGCATTACGCAGCGAACGTTCTTTGTTTTGATGCTTGCTGCCAAACTCGATCTGATACAATATTTAAGAGAAGAGATTTCCAGTACAATTCAGAAATTATTCCTCACCAATGTCGGATTCTAGTTCAGGAGGTGGCAGTTCTTCTGCCTCCCAGTTGTTATCTACATTGATTCCTACGTTCGTGATAAGTGTGGTCTTCACATCAATCTTTTTGTTACTCCGTAAGTCAGAGAAAAGAGTCTATGAGCCAAGGACCAGTGTTGAAACTGTTTCCAAGGACTTGCGTCCAGAAGATAGTCCTAAAGGTATGTTCGCATGGGCGACACACTTGGTTAGGAAGCCTACTCCTTATCTTATCCAACAATTAGGTGCTGATGGGTATTTCTTTCTCCGCTTTTTGTTTGAGTTTTCGTTTATTTGCTTCCTTGGTTGCCTCTTGCTTTGGCCCATCCTTTTCCCTGTCAACATAACAAATGGCAATGGCAAGGAACAATTGGACATGTTGACTTTCGGTAATGTCAGCGACAAGAATAGATACTTTGCACACGTATTTTTGTCGTGGATTTTTTTTGGTGCTGTGATATTCGTTATCTACAGAGAATTGGTCTATTACACAACGTTTAGACATGCATTGCAAACTACGCCAATGTATGACTCGCTATTGTCGTCTCGTACAATGCTTCTCACAGAAATTCCCGAGGTGGCCTTACTGGAAACGGAACTAAGAGGCTTCTTTCCAACTGCGACAAATATTTGGTACGCCAGAGACTACAAAGAGCTTACGGAGCAAGTCAAGGAAAGAACCAAACTTTCTGCAAAGTATGAAGGAGCATTGAACGGTGTACTTTGCAAGGCTGTGAAATTGAAGAATAAGCTTGAGAAGAAAGGTGAACCACTCCCTGAACCTTCTGATGACCTCAATAAGTACTTGAAGGAAGGTAAGAAAAGGCCGACACACCGCTTGAAGTTCCTCATTGGCGACAAAGTAGATACGTTGGACTACAGCGTCGACAAACTCGGCGAGTTAAACAAAAAAATTAAGAAGGGCCAAGCTGAGCATAACTCAAATTCTCAGATTCCCTCAGTATTCATTGAGTTTCCTTCGCAATTGGAGTTGCAACGGGCATACCAAGCGATTCCTTATAATGACAGCTTTAAAGGAACCAGCAGATTTACTGGTATAGCTCCAGATGACGTGATATGGCCAAACTTAGCATTGACCAAAACAAAGCGTCGCTTGAAGAAAATCGGTGCTTCTACTCTCTTGACGCTCACAATTATCTTTTGGTGTATTCCAGTGGCAGTGGTAGGTGCGATATCTAATATTAACTTCTTGACGGAGAAACTTCCTTGGCTTGATTTTATCAACAACTTACCGGATCAGTTGATGGGAATCATTACATCCCTTCTTCCCGTGGTCGCTTTGGCTATCTTGATGTCGCTCATACCACCATTCATCAAGAAAATGGGCAAGGTAGCTGGCTGCATTACCGTACAGCAGGTGAATTCGTACTGCCAGAATTGGTTTTTTGCGTTTCAGGCTGTGAATACTTTTTTGGCAGCTGCTATTGGTTCCTCTGCAGCTTCTTCTGTTCAGGAGATCATTGAAGAGCCTTCCTCTGCGATGGAACTTTTAGCGAGCGAACTTCCCAAGTCCTCCAATTTCTATCTTTCATATTTGTGTCTTTACGGTCTTGTCTTTTCTTCGAAGGCATTAGCGAACGTTGTTGGGCTCGCATTATCTAAAGTGCTTGGTCGTATTCTAGACAAATCTCCAAGAGCGAAATGGACTCGTTATACTACATTAGGTCAACCTGACTTTTCGGTGCTCTACCCATCCTTCCAGCTCATTTGTTTGATCGCTTTGACATACTCCGTCATTGCCCCATTGGTTCTTGGGTTCGCAGCAATCTCGTTCTTCCTTATATTTTTCGCCTTCCTTTACACCCTCACTTACGTCCTTCAGCCAATGCAGACAGATGCGCGAGGCAGAAATTATGCAACCGCATTATTCCAGTTATTCGTTGCTCTTTATCTTGCTGAGGTTCTCATTTTGGCCCTCTTCGTCTTCAGCAAGAATTGGGCATGTGTGGCACTTGAGGGCGTCTGGATTCTTGTTACTGCCGTCTGCCATCAGTGGTTCAAATGGAAGTTTCTTCCACTTCTTGAAGTTGTTCCAATTTCTGCCATTAAATACGCTTCGGGCGATCGCACCTTCCAATACCCTATGTATGATCAGGGTCTCAAGGAGATTAGAACTGAGGGGGAGAACTATTGGGAAGGTGGCAACCAATTGGGTCTCTCAAACTCTCCTTTGGACCAGGTGTTAGCTGACCCTAGAACGGATGAGTCTGACGCCTACACACGGACAGGAACGAACGAGAAGGAGTCTGCCACAGAAACTAAGAAGTTTGAGCCCGTTCCCGTGCGGCCATCTAGTGAAGCTCAAGGTGGTGCATTGACAAGATTCTTCAAACCTAAGACCAACTCATTTGACATGGTAAGGGAGGAAATGCCTAATGCTTACCTCAACTACATTGAGTATAACCCAGAGTTCGTGCGTACCGCCTATGATGATCCTGTCGTTAACGATGAGGAACCCCATATTTGGATCCCCAAAGATAGCATGGGATTATCAGAGATCGAGAAGAATAAAGCTCTTGAAAATGGTGTTGATGTGAGCGATTCTGATGCTGGATTTGACGAGAAGGGAAGAACGGAGTACTACGGGCCTCCTCCGTCGTATGAAGAGGCGTTGAAAGTGTAGGACACGATAGGCGGGCATTTTATTTGTATTATTTGATTTATATTCAATATGATTAATGTTTCTATCAACCATAGTTTGAAGTATCAGATTAACAACGGAATGATGGGGCCGAATCTTTTTGGGTAAACAGGCCCATACGTTTCGAATCTTCGCTAGCGTCGAGTAACCATTTAACTGCATACTAAGGACGTACTTGCTGTTGAAGACTACTTCTCAGTTGCTGTTGTGACAGTTTCAAAGAGAGAGCGCAGCAATCTTGGTTATATGTGACGTAAGACAGACGCAAGTCTACACGAATATAAATATGAAGATCCAAGCAAGTATTTGATCGTAAACCAATTTTTGATTTATAGACGTGAGCAGACATGAGATTACCTTATTGTTTTACTGGTGCAGCACGTTCTTTGCATTACAAGCCTTCGAAGCCTTCCGTTAACGTTAAACAGACGACAGTTGCAAATGCTCTCGGTTCGAAAGTAATGTCTCCTACTATTATGAACGGCGCCAAAGGAACGCCAACCTTTCCCAAAGGAACTTTTCTGCGGATAGTGAAAGACCGTTCCCCATATTTTATTTTCGGACTAGTTACTGTGACGTGCTTAATTGGGTGGCCTGTACTATTTCAACAAGGAAGCGTCAAAGCCAACAATGTGCCACCGCTACTGGAAACGGCGTTAGTCCAAGAGACAGAGGAAGGCTTTACCGTCGGTGAGATCCAAGAGGTTCATCGGGATATCCCCGAAGATGATGACGAATAGTCAAGTCCAAACTGTATAGGTCAGATAGCATCGGCATAGATAAAGATACAACTACTTCTTGGCAGTATGTTCAACATAATTCTGTTCCTCCACATCAGCATCAGAGGTGTCACTAGTTTCCTCCACCGCCTCCTCATTACCATCCTCGTATCCAAAAGTTCCCTCCCACCCTTGGTCAATTAGATAATTCTTAAACTTGATGTCTTCTCTCATCAAATCATCATCCTTGAGCTGCGGGATAAACAATAATGCGCTAACAACACCAGCGAGACCACAGATAGCGGCAATGATGAATGTCCAATTCTCACCCAATTTGTCTTGGATAGGTGTGAATGTCTTAGTTCCAACAACAGCCCCAACCTTTCCGATAGCGGCAGAAAATCCGTAACAGGTACCCCGGATAGGCGTTGCAAAAGACTCTGATGACGTTAATCCCATCATATTACCCGGACCTAAGTTACCCATTGACATCATCAAGCCGTAGAACACGATGAACAATGGGATTATATTCTTGATTTTATCAAACGAACAACCGATGATTAAGCCAAAGACGATATACCCCGAAAAGCCAATAGCAAGGGTGTTTCGCCTGCCGATGATGTCACACAAATAAGCACCAACAAAGATACCCGGAACTGCGATTACTCCAAGCAAAAGTTGCCATAGAGCGACACGTTCAAGGTCTGAAGTTTGGGACCCATCTAAAACAGACGAAATAATCGTGGCCGAGAAAATTCCGTTCGGAAAGGTCACAAAATCGTACAAAAACCAACAAATGCATGTACCAAATAATCTCTTGTAATAGAACTTCAATGCCAACCAATATGGAGTATTCTTTCTAATAGCCGCCTTTTTAAATAGCACAGAGGTAGCCATTTTGTATCTGAAGTAAAAGACTGAAAGCGGCCAGAACGCACCAACAGCAAAAAGTGTTCTCCACAATCCATTCGTGACACCATTGGTGATTTGATAAACAATCAAGAAGATAATCAAGGCAAAAGGTCCTCCTAAAGAAAGCGGGAGATTAGTCACCATACAAAAGACCCCACCTCTCCTCTTGACTGCTTCGTTGGCTGCTTCATTGGTTGAAACAGAGCACGAGGGATATTCGGCACCAATTCCGAAACCCGTGACACCTCTAAAAATGATCAACATCCAAAACATGCCATTCACAGTCTTTCCGTGAGCTGCTGCACAGAGCACAGTACCAAAAACCAAGAAGACAGTTGCAATCACGATAGATTTTTTTCTGTCAAGTCTATCAGCTAAGATACCGATGACAACTTGACCAAAGATCGTTCCCACGAGAGAGGCATTCGACACAGCGGTTTTCATTTCCAGATCGTATTCTTGAGGGTAAAGCTGAGCGAAAACTGTGTTCAACATGGTCATGACGTTGTTCTGATATCCGTCAGATATCATGGCAAACCCTGAACAGATGATTGTAAAGATCTCTGCAATGGAGCGTCGTTTGATTCTTCCTTGACGAGCAGTAGCATCGTACTCAAAGTAAGATGTGGCCGAAGTTGTCTTAGTTACAGCCTCCATCGTTGTCGATTTGAAACGACACCAGCAACATGCTGATTTATATACATATCTACTGAATTGGAAAATTAATTAATTTTTGCGTTACACAAAGGGTAAGCATGGGCACTAAATTAACCCCGCCCATTCCAACATCCTTGTTGATCTATCTCAGAATAGGGAGGAGACTTATCATCGCATGCATATAAGCGGTATTATGTACGGCTGTTGTACCCAATTTGCCCACGTGGAAAACTGTCAAAACGCACATTGAAAGCGAGGGACAAGGTGGGGTCAAGATGACAGCCACATTGCCCATTTGATGTAAAAGTCGGTTTCCACTTCTTGCAAATTTCGTTTACAAAATAGCTCCTTTGTACAAGTAGTTGAAGATAAAAGCAAAGAAACTAAAGGAACGGAAAAAAAAAAAAAAAAAAAAGAAAAAAAAAAAAAAAAAAAAAAAAAGGAAAAAGAGAAATGAAATAAGGAGATAAAGCCAAATGACGCTAATACAGCAGAAGGCATGATGTACCACGTTCTCCTAATTTGGCTCACTAGGGTTATCCAAGACAGCAACGGACATCGGATAAGAGCCTTGTGTCTACTCTTAGCATGTCGCTTACTCGCCAAGAAACAATTTACTTATTACCTTGAAGCGCCTTCATCAGTAACCCTTACAGAATTGGACGACGTTTGCAGATTTTTTTTTTTTTTTTTTTTTTTTTTTTTTTTTTTTTTTTTTGATGGGCAACAGACCTTGGCAGGAGGCACTCGGAAAGGTTCAGTTCAATCTTTCCGGATTAGATCATCTTCTTCTCCGCTGAACGAGCTTGTAGAGCTTGTAAAAAACTTGTCCACGTTTAAACGCTAGCATCATATTCACCATCAACATCTGCCAGTCCTTACTTCTGACCAGGAACAAAATGCACTGCATGATTCCGCCCTGTGATTGTTCGGCACCAATGCCCGCACCCTCAGTGTTGAGGAATGCAAAGGTCCAACGGAATAACAAGATTCTGTATTGTCCAAGCGGCATAATAACATTTCGACATCTCAGTGCTACAATACTGGCTAATCGCTCAATGTCTCGATGCTCCCAACTTGACACAACCTGATATCGATTCAGTCTATGGAAGTATCACCAAAACGGTTAACATCACGTGAAACCAACATCGTGCATTCTTGCAGATAAGGACTTATTTGAATAAGGAGGAAGTCTTTAAGCTGAGCAGGTGAGAGTATATTCAAAGCAAGAGTTGTAATGAGGTGATATATAGGATTAATATTAGGAAATGAAGAAAAAATAGTATTCTTTATTCTGGCTACGTGGCTTAACTAATTAGGCACTTTTACTTGATGAAGGGGTTAATTAAAGCAAGAGAATTACACAGCTTCCACTAAAACTGCATATAAAACAATTCTCCATCCTACAGAAGAATAAAAACCAAACGTTGATCTGGAAACATTGAAATATCGGTAGATAGAAGGTCACGATGACTTACGACAATGTTGACATCAGCAGCACTTTAAAGCAAATAAACGATGCAGAAGCACAAGCTTCAATGTTAGAGAGAATGCTCGACGCTTTTGATGAGAAAATGGATTCCTTACTTGAAGCAATGGACGAGCCCGTTGCAGACATCGACGATGAGGGAAAAATAGAAAATGTGGAAGTGGAACAGAAATGAATTCAACTTAACGACTGTAATAGTGCTGACAGCTTGATGACTTCAGGTTCTGTAGTGTTTTGAAACGGGTTTACAGGAAGCCGAGGGTTGATTATAGCCTCGTCAGATGCCACGTTTTCCAGAAACTCCTTAACGACTGCCTTCGCTGGCAAACCCCTTTCAAGCCACCATTTTGACGATTCTGAACTTGGAGGAGGCATATCCTTCTCCGCCACGTCTTCCACAAACCTGAGCACGTCACTGCCAGTGAGGAGATAGTTTACTCCTCCGATAACTCTTTTATACCCTCATAGATCTCATGAGAAACCTGTTTCTTGACTGACTCATTAACCATGACAACCGATGCCTTGAAAGTAGCAAATACCGGACGGTGGTCCGAGAAGATGATGTCCTCACAGCATTTGTACGTCTCTTGTTTCAAAATTTTTGCCCTGGAGAGGCTGAGAATCCTATCCGTCCACGCGGGATCCTTTGCTTATCAGATGTATCATAGTTGTATGTGTGGTTGTCGAACTTATAGGTTGGTGGAAATGTTATTTCCATTTCGTCGTAGAAAGGGAAGGATTCGCCTTTCGCCATTTGCTTGTTAAGCTGATCATACTCAAATAATTTCGCATAGTTCTTTTCTTCGACCAACGATCTAACTGTTTCATTCAGCATAGAGATCCTATAGTTGAAGTCCCCAACCCATATAACTGCATCATGGTCTCTTATCTTCCTGTTTTTGGAGAAGGAAATTCCTTTTGAGATGGCTTTGTAATTTTGGTGCCTTTCGTCGAGGTTATTTAACCCTGCCGCGAGGTGGGAACAGACAAAGCAAAACTTTGTTCGCAGATATTCTAAACTCACTGCCATGCCTCCCTTATTTGCACTCATCCCACCTAATCCTGTCTTCCGCACGGCGCTCTCGACATTCGTTATGTGGCCCACATGTTCCGCTTTAATGAAGAGAAGAATAGCCAAACCGCCCATTTGGCCACTCCACAACGCCACGTACCTCGTTCTTTTACTGTCCGAGCTTTCAAGAACTCTCTTTATTTGAGCTTCCCATGCAAGTAGGTTCTCTGAACGAACGTTCATCATTTTTCCAGGGGTAAGTTCAACGATTTCTTCCAAACCAATGAATATTATGTCATGCTCATTTGACCCCCACATGAAGATAACCAGCGATCAACTTCTCCGTCCTTACATACATCTCCATTCACATTGAACGTAGAAGCAAAGACTTTTATGTCTTTCTTGTAACTGTATTCGCTGGATCTCTTCTTCATTTCAACACTGATATACTGGTGCAAAGGGTTGTAGATCCTGACAGCTTCCTGGTCCTGCAACCGACCAAGGAGTTTTCGCATGGCCATCTCGTTTGGCCTAACCTCACCCACAACATTGAGATACTTCTTTGTGAGTTGAGCTTTAAGGCTTCTCTTCGCTCCTCTTCCTGTTGGAATGCTTGTAGAAGTCGATAAATAGTTTTGGGTGAGCTCTTTTAGCACATCATCGTTTTCTTTCCATAACTTTGCATGTTGCGTACGTATCTGTCCATCTGCACGGATATTCATATCCCTGAAAGCCAAGTCAATTACCTCTTGGCATATTAGTTTGGAAATGAAGTTAGCTTTCGCAAGGCAATCAAAAGAATTCACTCTGAAGATACCAAGTTGCTTTCCAACATATGTCTCTTGACTAAAGTCATAAAAAAGGGCCCCGAAATTGACAATTGATTCTAATAGTGGACCAATAAGCTCGCTTGGGTTTGATAAAGAGTAGCCAATTTTTTTCATAAATGACGTGGAGATAGGCATATCAGTTGCAGAGAGATTGTAATTCGTTACTGCGCCCGATGTATCCTTCTCTTCGTCAGACGTTCTCCCAGAAGTCTTACCTGTTGAAGTCCAATATGACTGCAAATGCTCTTTAAAATTATCCTTAAGCTGGCCTTTATAGCTTGATTGGTCCCTCAGAAGACAATCAATAACATGAATATCGCCATACTGATTACCAAGTGAATCAAAGTGCTTATTGAAGGCGTGCTGTGCGGCTTCGAATGATCTTGTCAAAACAAGTTTTTTGGAGTTTTTTGATATTATGGATTTTTTGCTGAAAGAATTCTGCAATTCCCAGAAGCTAGGAACGTTTCCTCGAAGTAGAACGTACGCAAAACAAAACTTCTCGCAATAGATAACAACTTCACTCTCAACAAAGTTAGATACGGCACCATCATCATCACATCCCCAGTCTCCAAAAAGAGGACCATTTTTCACACATGACTGTTTGGATATGAGCGTCAAAAGCGCCTCCTCATTATTATCGAGGCTGATATTTATTGTTTTGGCGTAGCCCCTTGTTATTATGGTCAAAAATCTCGCTGCATCGAAAGATTGTTTCTCAATAGGATTTAAGCCGTTCCGAAAATCAATTATTTCTGATATCATGTAAGTATTCCACATGAAGCTTTTGAAGTAGGGAGTATCTGCTGAAACACGGTTGCTGTCTATTCTGGAGAGTCCGCGTTCTTGGAGGTTTGAGGTAATATCGAAGTCATCCAGGTAATAGAAATGACCCAGTCTTAGAAGCTTCTGCACGGATAACGACGGGAACTTATGATGTATATCTGTTTCTTCATTCAGCATGTGAGTGTTCAGCTCTTCCTCACTTAGATTTATTGTGCTGTCAAACTCATCATTGTTCAAACAGTAGAATGTCACATCATTGACCACATTAATATTCTCATTGATTCTCGGAGATGCTACCCTCGTTGACCGGGTGATAAACCCAAGGTGAATATTTCTCTTGACGTAAAGTAAACCTATGAAGCCCAATAGTGTCTTATTATGTTTCGTTCTACTGGGCGTTATATCTTTAAAGGAAGATAGATCAAGGAATTCCGTCTTGACAAACTCAACTATGACTTTATTAGATGCTCCGGAAACATGGTGAGGATTACCTCTGTCCTTATTCTTAGTGCCATCGTGATGTTTGTGTACTGCGTGGCGCTTCACACGATTATGGCTATTGTACGTCGGATTCGGATGTCTTAAAATGAGGGAATAATTTGCATCAAGTACGATGAAGGTTCTTGGACGTTCATTTAAATAGAGACGCATTCCCGAGGTCTCAGCAAGCTGTGTTCGTTTCTGAAGGCGTGAACCTTGATGTCTGTTCACGTGCCTATCTTCTTGCACAGTTGTGATAAAAGAGGCTGTACTACATACGAGGCAAAATAAAATCGTAGACCTATATTCCGCACCTCTCAAGCCAGGATTGGATGGCAGCAATATGGTAAGGTGTTTAAGTTGAGCCACTAGTATGCTTTTCTCATTTTGCTTTTCTGTTGTGTCGCCTGGTGGTGTTTCGGGATCCATTCTGGGTCAAACTTACTCGACTCCCTGGGCTTTGGTTGAGAAGTTGCCCTTGAACCCTTCAGAAATTCAAATAGGTGGGGCGATCTGAATTGTAATGCAATTATCCCAACAACTACTAGAAGAACTTCCAAGAATAGTAGTTGGGGATCTAACAAAGAAAGAGGAGCGTCTTTCACAACTAATAGCTGGGATCTGGCCTGTATTGCCTTTAATTCATCTTTGTAAGCGACAAAAACTTGAGGCGACAAGATATAGTTTCCAGCTTCAAGATCCAATGTGATTCTTTGACCAATTGATGAAGAACCTTCCGGTGGTACTACCACTGGGCCCACGGCACTCGATGTGAGGTTTGCGATTGAGTCACCCGTCAAAAGACTTTTAAAAGAGCCACCAACACCCACAATCGTGATATCTGTTTCCTCATTATTCCTAAGAGTATAGAGCAATTTGATCTGCTCTCCCAGATTCATCTCGGCCACGGAATCATGAGCTACTTCTTTGTATTCTTCAATAACGTAATCAAGCTCAAAATCGTTCAATTCAGTGGCCGTTGATTCATCGTAAATTTCCTCTGAAAATGCAGCTGGTGCACAAAAGAGCGTTCCTAAGATCAAATGTCCGAGTTTCATAATTCAATCTTTGAGTGTACCATCATGCGGTGTTTTAGAGTGTGATTAGTCTTGACAGAGAACTGCATAGAAAATCTCAGAATGGAATGGTCCTTCAAGAACAGTCGGGAACAATGTCAACCAATTATGGTTCAACGGCTGAATCCTTTTTCATTTACTTCCCCACTCATCATTTTTTTTCTAGAAAATGGTTATACCTCTTGTAAGATTGGTTGCTCTAGTCCCAAGTTAATATAGTTTCATCATCTCACACTGTCCTTGAGCTTACTATTATCTGCAGTCCCTCTGTTCTTGGTATCCCTGAAGCTTCACCAATCACATGAGTACAGCACGATGTCACACACAGCTACAATTACATATGTATTATGGAAGGTAAGAAGCCATTTAACAATTATCAGTGGCTGAAAGTCAAGACTTACTCATACTTTTCTCTGGCCCGTCTCATCACCTCTATTTTTTTTTGTTTTATTTTTTTTTTTTTTTTCCCTCCTGCCTTTGCATAGTTCTACTTCGCGATCATGTTAGCTTCGTTCAAATATTCATTAGCGAGATTACCCAAATCTCATGCTACGTCTGAAGTGTGAAACTACCTTCCGCTTAGAATCAAAGCGACGATTACATATTCAAGCGCCTACTTCAAGGATGAACGTGTCGAGGACCATTCTTTTTAGGTCCCCTCAACTGAAGTTGTTTCTACGACTTGTGAAGAGCCCGAGCCATATGCTATTCCTTGCTTCAAACTTGGCAATCCTAGTGCACTTGCAATATTTCTCTGCAACACGGCTGTTACACTACCCCAGGGGTGATCGTGAAAAATTAGATCGACTCAGAGCCCAAACGGCAGAGTTGCGAGATCTCGAAGAAGAGGAGAGAAGAATAAAAGAGGAAATTGAAGCGCTCAAGGGACAACTTCCGAACGGTAGAAGAAACGACCTTGATCAGTGCAATGAAGCACGTGGAGTTCACATAAGGAGAAAGGAATTATGCCGAAAGCAAGATAATTTGAAATTAGTCTCCAAATTTGATGGGCAAAGATCCGCCATATTCAAAAGCCTTCTAAAAGACGTCAATATTCATAATCTCTTTGCCCACCGCTTTGACTCTGGTGGATCTTTCGACGATGATGCTGACGCTCCAAGTGCACTCAGTGAGGCGACATATGTGACTTCTCCCGATAAGAGAATCATATCGCAGGTCATCCTTCGTTGTTTAATCGGCGATTTGATAACTGAAACTACCTCAGGATCGGAGGTTATGGCAAACCAGACTGAAAGATCAACATTCGGTGGAAAACTGCTTCGCTCAATAATATTCGATGCTAACTCGAGGCTGTTGACCTATGAAGATTCTGATATGACAAAATTTATTAACTGCACAACATTTAACGTGGGAAGGTCCCCTCACATACCAAAAGAAACGATAATAACAGAACTCGAGGCCGCTTTCGATTCGTTCATTTTAGGCAATGGAAATGGTTCAAAACGAATCTTGTTGCTTAACGTTGCTCGCTCGCTAACTCGAAATAACGCTTCAGCATTTCCAGACGATCTAATTTTATTCCTATACCATAAGTTTGGTTTACTGAAACTTTACAAATACCAGGCGATGCTTCTAACTATTTTACCCAACCTTCGCATCCGAATAGAGCGCTCTGTATACGATGCAGCAGAGCTACTGGCGGATAAAGAGCCCACGAATGAGAGAACGATAAGGCTAGATAACCATCGTTCTATGGTGCCAAACGGTCAACATTTACAAAGCGCTGCTGTCATCCTGCAACCAAGGTATTTATGTAAAAGTGTGGCTGAAGTTTATACTGCTTGTTAAAGCAATATTATGATCAGATGTGGAAAAAGTCTGGAGGAATATCACTAGTAATGTGGTCTGAAATGCTCCAAGATACAGTTGACAAACTATCAATGACTCTGCACGAGTACAAGCACGTAGCTTGCTCGACGAAGAGATTTGCTAATATCGGCGGCGCTTTTTATGCACTGACACATTCAGGCTTCAATATGCTCGATCTTGAACAAATGGACCACTTTTTTTTTTTTGATAGTCTTCCGGTCATCTGCAAGGTAATCAAGTGCTGCTACTACGTTCGTCTATATACACACCAAGAAAAAAAAAGAAGGTACCTCATCATTGGCGATCTTCTTCTATTCCGAGAGCTTGATTTCTTCCCAAAGATGAAAATAATCACAACAAATTTTGTCAAATGTGCCGCTAAACCTTGTGCCTCGGCGGCAGATTCATTTCCGCTACAGTTTTCTGATTGCGAGATCCTACAAACCACGCAGGAGTTCGACCCCATATTTGTGGCTCACATGCTAGACCGTTTGAATTGGAATGCATTGATAGCAGTTGCAAAAGATCTCGGAAATCAAAATCTTCCACCTAACAAGCCAGCGAATCTTGATCCTATAATGGAAGACGATCAGGCGGTTTTGAGAGAACTTCACACTTTACTTATAGAAACTCAGATAGTGGAAGGTAGAATGGTTTGTAAAAGTTGCAACCACACTTATTTCATCAAGAATTATATCCCGAACTTTTTATTACCTCCTCACCTTTGCTGACGAAGTGTCGAGTCGTAACTTCAATTTTATCAACTTACCGGCAGCTGCTTCTGTACGTTTACATTATTTTATCGAGTTAAATATCTTGATTACCCAATTTCCCCAGAGTAGCAAGACTTTGTCCAGATCTTAATGGCCTGGATAATGTTGTAAACGACCAATTTACGTACGTATCGTTGCCATTACCTAGTCAAGATCATTCTTCTTCACGAGGAAACCCGTACACCAAGTATTTCCCATGAGTGAATAGGAACACCTGGGAATCTGCGACTTCGAAATTACTAGTGAATTCAGGGTGCAATGTCAGGAGCAGGGAATAGGGAACAGGTCTTCCCAACTAGAATGACTCTTGGTGTTATGAAGAGCAAGTTGAAGGGTGCTCAACAGGGTCATTCGTTGTTGAAACGTAAGTCAGAAGCGTTAACCAAGCGCTTTAGGGACATTACTCAAAGGATTGATGAAGCAAAACGGAAGATGGGACGAGTGATGCAAACTGCCGCCTTCTCTCTTGCAGAAGTTCAATATGCTACGGGTGATAATATTTCATACCAAGTTCAGGAAAGTGTTCAACGGGCTAGATTCCAGGTTAGAGCAAAACAAGAGAACGTGTCTGGTGTCCATCTCCCAACGTTTGACAGTAACGTTGATGAAGACATCAATGATTTTAAGCTCACTGGTTTGGGTAGAGGCGGACAGCAGGTTCAAAAGGCTAAGATGGTGTATACCAAAGCTGTGGAAACCTTGGTAGAATTGGCATCTTTGCAAACAGCTTTTATCATCTTAGATGAAGTGATTAAAGTCACCAACCGAAGAGTAAACGCCATTGAGCACGTTATTATTCCGCGGACTGAGAACACAATTAGTTACATCAATGCCGAGTTGGATGAAATGGATAGGGAAGAGTTTTACAGATTGAAGAAGGTTCAAGAAAAGAAACAGGAGGCGTCTGCTGCTGCAGAATTGGAGGAGAAGCTTTCAAAGAATGACAAAGAGCAGATTTCGCCCGATTCGGAAGCAGAACTTGCAGAGGGCGCTGATAAATTAGACGTGGTCGAGAGGGACAACGAGTCGACTGACATTTTGAAGACGAATGAAGATGATATCATCTTTTGAATGATAGTATATCAATTACATGTTTTGAACACTACGTGCTCTCTCTATTATGTGGGACACCTCTTTGTCAGATTCATTGGAAATGAAAGTGAAGTTTCATCCATGGTTGGTGTAAAAGTTACCAGGATAAACATCCGTAGATTTTCATTAAATCATTATGCTAGTAGATTGAAATATTTCTTGCAATCCTCAAATCGGCTTGCCCAAACTGAAGCTTCGACCTTGAAACTCTCAAAGAAAAGACTGTGTCCCGGACTATCTCGGCTTTACGTTTTTGATGCGAAGCGTTAACGAATAGAAATGCGCGATTTTTTCATTACTAGCTTCCCCATATATATCCATACATATTGGCCGTTATTGCTCGCGACGACTTTTTTCTTATAGGAACTACACCCTTCGAAAATGTTAAGAGCCATCAAGAACTTCTCTACGTCTGCTGTGGCTAAGCAGGTCATTGGAAATGCGAAGGGAGAGACAGCTAACGCTACCAAATACCTAGGCCAGAAATACCATGTCATTGATCACGAGTATGATTGTGTGGTGGTCGGTGCTGGTGGTGCTGGTCTCAGAGCTGCTTTCGGGTTAGCCGAGTCTGGCTTTAAAACAGCTTGTATCAGTAAGTTGTTCCCTACTAGATCTCACACTGTGGCTGCCCAAGGTGGTATCAATGCTGCGCTTGGAAATATGCATAAAGATGACTGGCATTGGCATATGTACGATACAGTGAAGGGGTCTGATTGGTTAGGTGATCAGGATGCTATTCACTATATGACTAAAGAGGCACCCCAATCAATCTATGAATTGGAGAATTATGGTGTCCCTTTCAGTAGAAATGACGAGGGCAGAATCTATCAGAGAGCTTTCGGAGGCCAATCAAAGGAGTTTGGTAAAGGTGGACAAGCTTACAGAACATGTGCTGTTGCAGACAGAACTGGCCACGCGTTGTTGCATTCCTTGTATGGCCAATCATTAAGGCACGATACCCACTTTTTCATCGAATTCATGGCTATGGACTTGTTGATGCAAGATGGCGAGTGTGTCGGTGTTGTTGCTTACAACCAAGAGGATGGTACATTGCATAGGTTTAGGGCACACAAAACCGTTCTTGCAACCGGTGGGTATGGTAGAGCTTACTTTTCTTGCACCTCAGCTCATACCTGTACAGGTGATGGTTATGCCATGGTTTCAAGGGCAGGCTTGCCTTTAGAAGACCTCGAATTTGTTCAATTCCATCCATCAGGAATCTATGGATCTGGATGTTTGATTACTGAGGGAGCTAGAGGTGAAGGTGGATATTTACTTAACTCTGAGGGTGAACGTTTTATGGAGCGTTATGCTCCATCAGCGAAGGATTTGGCATCGAGAGATGTTGTCTCTAGAGCCATCACTATGGAGATTAATGAAGGCAGGGGTGTTGGTCCTGACAAAGATCATATGTATTTGCAGTTGTCCCATATCCCTGCATCAGTGTTGAAGGAGAGATTACCTGGCATCTCTGAGACTGCTCATATTTTTGCTGGTGTGGACGTCACAAAAGAACCAATCCCCATCCTTCCAACTGTTCATTACAACATGGGCGGTGTTCCAACTAAGTGGACCGGTGAGGTAGTCAAGAAGGCGGAAAATGGAGAGGACGAAATCGTTCCCGGTTTATTAGCTTGTGGTGAAGTAGCCTGCGCGTCCGTGCATGGTGCCAACAGATTAGGTGCTAACTCTCTTTTGGATTTGGTGGTATTTGGCAGAGCGGTTTCCCACACTATCAGAGATTCTTTAACGCCAGGCACTCCACTTAAGCCCGTCTCCAAAGACCTTGGTTTAGACTCTATCGCTAATCTTGACAAATTGAGAAATGCAAATGGCACCAAATCGACAGCTGATATCAGGGGGGAGATGCAGAGAACCATGCAGAAGGGTTGTGCCGTTTTCAGAATGCAAGAGACCTTGGATAAATGCGTGGAGGAGATCAACAGCGTCGATAAAGATTTCGCGAATGTGAAGACAACTGATAGGTCAATGATCTGGAATTCTGATTTGGTTGAAACTTTGGAATTGCAAAACCTATTGACATGTGCTACCCAGACTGCAACTTCTGCTGCTGCTAGAAAGGAATCAAGAGGTGCTCATGCGAGAGACGATTTTCCTGACAGAGACGACGTAAACTGGATGAAGCACACACTTTCATACCAAACCGAGTTTGGTGCTCCAGTGACATTGGACTACAGAGATGTCATCAAAACAACGTTGGATGAAAACGACTGCAAGCCTGTACCACCTGCAAAGCGTGTTTACTAAGCTACGCCACAATCGTGGTCGCTTGTACCGCAGTTCTAATTTATTTGAGGAGATGTTTTCGAAAATATGATAGCCTTGGATTATAGCTCTTTTGAAATGCATTTTTGAAATTTCGCTTCGTGTTTCTTTATTCCATGAGTACAAACTATGAAGTCAAAAACACTGTAAACACCTTTAATCGAAGTACGAATAAACTAAATCCGTATTATCGTATTACCCTCTTTGTACCAATGAGTAACTATCTCAAAATGAAGGCTAAATATTTCTTTTCGTGTTTTGTTTGGCGACATCGGGAGTAAGCATCGCCCCCGAAAAGCCGGGAGGAAGCTTTGCCGGCCCCCTGGATCGATTTGCTAATTCTTGTCTCCCAGTTGATGGTATAATCGTAGACTGGGCCAGGTTAGCAGTTCGGCTACCTAGAGTAGACTGATTAGCGTCACTTTGACTGAATTTATGCAGCATACTTGAAGGATGTTGGATGTCTAGTGAGGTATTCAAGTTTTGCATTTCTGCGTTCATCAGCATGGCATAGTTACGGTTAGGTTGCAAAATTTTCAGTCTAGGAACTTGTTCGGCCGAATCTCTGGAACCGCCCTTGATCAGAGCAGAATTGATCAATGCGTCAAAAGTACCCGGTTTCTGCAGCTCATTGACAGGAGTTCTCTCAGCAGGTAATTCCTTCAACCGATTCTCGACCAATGTGTCTTGAATAGCTTTGATAGTATCCATAAACCTGATAAATTCATTTCTATTGCAGTTGTCACACCCAAAGGCTAAACGAAGACACTGTGAGAGCAGCAGCTCAACCAGACTGTCGAAGCCTTTGACTATTCCACTGTTCGTCTGGTCAACGAAGTAGTTGATTGCAGAATCCACAACTCTCTTGTCCCGACTTTTGAGATTTTGAAAGACGGGTAAGATAGAGTCCTTAATAGTTGCTTCATCAATGATGTTCTTGTTCACAAATAACCGAAAGGTCTCCATTGTCTGCAATTTGGTAGACAAGATGGTAGTCGTCTTGAAAACTTGGCATATCAAGGGAAGTAAATCATTCTTTATATGAAGATAATCAAACAGATCAACAACTGTACTCAAACTCCCTAAGAACATATCCTGTAACTCAATTTGCTCTTTCTCCAGATCCACTTCATTTGGCACATACGTGAGACATAGCGTGGAGAGAAGTTTGAGAATTGTAGTTAAGTCCTTTCCGTTGAGTTTTTTGTGCAAGATGGATAGCTTTCTCACCAAAACTAACCGTACACTGATTGAATATGTCACAAGTGACTGAAGGGGACTTGCAGGGTTCTTTTTGGATGATTTGTCAACGAGAAGCGCACCAAAAATGCGATCTTGGAATGAAAGATTGGACAAATCACTGCCCACTACCATTACCAATTCAAGGGCCTTAGACACAAGATTGTTCAGGGTTAGGGAAGGTGTTTTCGATGATGTGCATGCTAACTCATTAAATATAGTTTCAATCATAAGTGGAAGTAGTTTATTGTTCTTGAATGTGCTTGGTAATTCTTTGATGAGCGCTTCGTTGTCTAGTACCCCATTCAAGAAGATAAGTTTGTCTTCTGGAGATTTAGTCGAAAACTCATCTATAAACCACATAGTTTTGATGAGACTACCGTTAAAAAAATCGCTTTCAATAAACTGATCAATAGTAAGACGGTCGGCAGGATATCTCGCTAGAATCTTCATTAAAGTTAGCCAAAGTTGTTCTGGAACCAGTCGAAAGATATATGATAGTTGTGAAGCAGAATGATTATAGAAGCGCTGCTCAAACTTCTTAAACGCCTGCTTATACTCGAAGATACTAGTATTGTCAAAGCACGCTAAGAGACAATCGCCCCTATTGTAGAGATAGAAAATAAGCTGACCAATTGACCATACGTCGTTTGCAAATGCTAGCCCGGTTCCAACAGTATCCAATATTAGTTCCGGAGCAACGTAATTAAGATTTAAATTAGCAAAAGGAACCACCGAGGTCACATCCATGATGAGGTAGTTTTCACGATCTCGAGGGGTTATCTCCTGAAGCGTCCTCAAGAAGTAAAACGAGGATAATTTCCAGTCACCCAGGCTGTTAACAAATATTGAATTGGGCTGAATGTTCATGTGAACCGTGTCGCATACATTGTGCAAAAATTGTACGCCCTTTGCTACTTCCAAAATACCTTTCTGGAGTTCTGCAGCGTTGTTCTCATCGAAACCGATGGTCTGTAAGTTCCCTACCACCGGTTCGGTAACAAAGAGAAACTTCAGTTTAGTCTCTTCTAGAGCCTCTATGACTGTGAGGATTTGCGGATGCTTGAGCTTAGTAAGTTGCGAAACACCAGTTCTGATAAGTTCGTAGCATTCCGTGGTAATGAGCCGGGGGTTCTTGGTGTTAGGAGAGTTAGAACATAACTTAGAAACAAGATTTTCGAAACTTGTTTTATCGAAAATATGTACAGAAACAACCTTTCCCGTTTGCTTATGCTTAGCTGGATATATTTCCCAGTAATCGGAATGAAACGATGGAGTTTCTGAAACGTTGTATATGGCACGAATGCCACTTTTGAAGACGTTTCTAAACATTGGAAGCTACCAGTCGGCAAGATTATTGACTATAACATGCGCGAAATCGATGGATCACTCTCAAGACACTTGGCAACCAAGCTTTCGTGGAATGAGAGAGAAACTGAAAAGGAGGAAGGAAGAACAGCAAAAGGGTGGGAAGTAAAGGGCCCACACTTTATAGTTTCGCGAGGGAATCTAATTCTTCAAGCTGAAGATGCGTTTGTAAAGTTATCTTAACAAGTACGGTGACTCCGTTGATGTACAGGATCATAGTACTACTACTTTCACATATTTTAGTATTGCAACAGTAGTTAACAACATGGACCTTCTCGAAGAAAATTATCATCATTCTGCCGAACGATTAGACAAACCTTCGCAATACCTTATAAGAAAAGCAGTGAGGCGCCAAAACTTTGACAGCTTGTACAAAGCGGTCCATTCGAAGACGGTTTACGTTGGCAATCTCACCCATTTTACGACGGAAGAGCAAATCCATGAGCTATTTTCCAAGTGCGGGACAATCGACAGAATTATTATGGGACTAGACCGCAATAAGTTAACACCATGTGGATTTTGCTTTGTAATCTACAAACGCGAGGACGGCTCCCTAAACGCAATCAAGTTCCTTAAAGGGACCCACTTAGATGGGCAAGCATTAGAAATAGACTTGGATCCTGGCTTCAGAGAGGGCAGGCAATTTGGTCGTGGCATCTATGGCGGTCAAGCTAGCCAGGAAGCACAGCATAATGATAACGGTTTTCCTAGAGGCTCTTTTCGTGGAAGTGGCTTTAGGGGCCGTGGAAGAGGCAGAGGAAGGGGCAGCCAGAGAGGGAATTTTAGGGGTCGTGGTCGGCCTAACGCTAATATGAGAGACTCATTCGTGCCTAGTGAACGATTCTGATGCCAGCATTGCCAGCCAGCAAAGTAAAGCTGAAAAAGTCGGCGTATTATCAAAGACTTCTAGCTATAATAATCACTTCTCTTCCTTGAAGTTAGAAGTTCGATACTTTCTTCAGTTTATCTACAAAGAATGACAATAGATTAAGTGGAATCGGAACAGCGAGAGCACAATGATGCTCACTGTGAAAAGGCATTGGGTTCTTTCCCTTTGTACTCTAGTGTAGGTTTTCTCTTAGGGCTTCAATATTGGATAGCTAAGATTCAAGAGTATCTAGCCCCATCCTCCCCATACTGATTTTAACGGAACCGAAAAAAACAATCTGTTATTTTTTACCTTGCGGTGGTTGCAAAGAGAACAATGAATCACCTTGACCTCGTTAGGATGCGTATGAAGAAGCTTATGTTCTCACGGTTTATGATATAAATATATGCGTTCACTTCCTTCTAAAAGGCGAGGTTCCAACTTGAGCAGCTACGATACAAAATCTATAAATGGGATTGAAGGACTTTGCGCTTTGTTTAATGGTATTGATGCTCCAAACCACGAACGCAAGAATTATAGTCATCAACCGTGAAGCCTATAACGTCGCAATAATTGTTCTGGTAGCACTGCGTCGTCACTTTCGTGCCATTTGTACAGTTGGGCACATACGGGTTTTCACGGAACATGAGATCAGCATATCTCTGATTAGTGGTAATCTCCAGAACATTTTTAAGCCTTTTAACCACGAATTCATCCCAAAAGGTTGCATTCAATGGTGCGCGTGCTGGCCATTTCGCTTCAGGATCGTATGTAGCTCTAGTATCGTATTCGTAGTTCCAAGAGGGTTCCCTCGCACCATTGACCCATGTCTCGTTCAATCGGGAGTAGTAGTTGAAGGAATTGAGTATGTTGAAAGATTCTTCTTGTACTTCATAGTACCTCCATGACGGGTTTGCTGGTCCAAGGGGCGTAATCGCTTGCGATATCCACGCCATACTAATGGCCGTCTCATTCTTGTAAAGCAACTTAAATTGATCCCTATGGGTATGACCATAGAAAATATTCGCGATGGTGAAGGGGGAAAAGCGTTCCACAATCTTAGCAAAAATACTTGATTGGATAGGTAAAGTGTCGTAGTCACCAGCAGGAATGTGGGCGATGATCCATACTCGTTGCCCAATTTTTTCGCTTTCAACCAATTCATTGATAAGAAAGCTCCATTGACCAAAGAGGTCGGGATCAGCTTCCATGTTTATATAGGAGTATAAGTTTTTCTGGTAGTAACAGTTTGAGTTGAGAGAGATGACTTTCAAACCGCCTTTGGTGACAGTGGCATATGACGAATAATGGCGTCTAATGAAATCTTTAAGAGAAGACTCAATCCAGCCGTTATCCACCCAAAGTTCACTTATAAGTTCATCATTCCAGTGAAGTGAGATATCTGAGGTATTGATCATCAATTTATTGGGCGCTAGTTGCCCATAAGGGAAGGTGTCGTGGTTACCCAATGTCGGGTAAATAGGTAGCTTATTAAGAAAGTGTTTCATGATTCTGTAAGATCTGGTTTCAGCATATTTCGTAGTATTAGCATCGCAATGTGCAACATCGTGGTCAACAATGTCACCAGTGAAAATGGCGAATTCATAATCGTTCTGGCTAAAAGTTGAAGAGATAAACTTTAAGCTGTGGTTCAACATTACTTCAGGAGGGTCACACTTGTAATTACCGAAAGTAGTTGCAGGTTCCCAAACCGAGTTCCAACCCCGGTAAATGGGAATATCATAGAATTGGCCCTTCTCATAGGTGCCACCACCGATGAAATGGGCTTCTGGATAGAACGAGAGGTCAATTGAACTAATGTCAGCACCTGCAGCTTTATAATTTGCAGTGAAATTATATTCGTCGGGAGTGAGTTCTTTATTGAAAGACTCGGGTAGGCAACAGAGCCCTTGAGAGCAATTGGCTTCAGCACCTACCTCAAATCGCAATTGATTATGAAAATCTGAAAGATGGAGGACATTAAAAGTTTCGGAAGCTTGATTATAAGCTGGTTCAGAATTATGCTTCGGTTGCTTTGCAGGCCACATAGAATCCAAATCTATTATAGTTGATATCTCCGGTGTTTCAGGTAAATCGCAATAGTTGCCCTTATAGTGACAGTAATAATCAAGAGAAAGTTCCGAGGACAAGTTAAAATGCCTTACCATTTCGGTAAAATCATTATAAAAAAAGTTAATGGAAGTTGCTTCTTTTGTGTGAGTCAGTTCTGTCCCTGGGTGACCAAAGTTGTTTTGGTGAGAGGTGAAGACAAAAAAGTCCATGAATTCACACTTGGAATCTTTTCCCAGATTCTGTTCCAAGCAATACTTATATAAAGTGAGTGAAATCAAATGTTGTTTATCAGGGTTGCTGAACAATAGGTATTTGGCATGTTTTATCTTGTTGTGGCAAGTCTCACATCTGTTCCCCTCAAAATGAGAAAGGTTTTGCAAGTTATAGTCGATAAACTTAGTCTCCTCTAAGTCCAATGCTTGATAGATACTGTCGATTACCGAAGAAGAATGCAGCCGTACATTCAATTGTGTTTTTATTGAATCATAGTTTTGAATAGTGTACGCCAATGCCATTGAAATGGCTGCAAAAAAGCGGACAAAAAGCATTGAGAACAATGGAAATCGTGTCAGATTAGGAATCGAATTTACTGTTTCTCGACTGTTCTCCTAATTCCATATAAGAAGGGAGAATGATATAAATATTGAAATATAGAACAGGAAATGAGAAAAAAGTAGGAATGCTATCCTTTATACGCAAGCCATTCCAGACCTTATCTTTGTGCCGATGGAACACACACGTGGAGACCAATTGCGCCTTGCATTGACGTAGGTCAGCCAATATAAAGAGAAGCTTTTTTAGATTCAACCTTTTATCTATAGCAGTAGCATCAGTTCTGCTTTGACATAACCATTTAGTAGCTCAGGAATGGCATAACAAATTTTGTAATATACTAGCCGATCAAGGGGGTGTCGTTTTCTCCGACGAGAATAATTGCGCCCCTACGATGTAATCTACCAGGCGTCCCCCCGGGTTGCCTTTCTGATATTATGATGGTTCAAGCGGAGCCTATGCAGATAACTTGACATGTGGAAATTTTCTAGAATTCATATAGCTATACAAAAGGTCATCAGGGAATGGAAAAATTGGCCTTATGAAACACGCCTCGATTCAGTAATTGAAGCCCTGCCAAATTGCAAAGGCCATAAAAAAGCTGTAGACAAAACTACAAGCTTTTATTCATGAAGCGCCTTCTGGTGAATGCTAGCCAAAACTTGCTCGGGGTACTTTCGTCGTCGGCGTATACTCTTTTCAACAACCGGTCTGCCAATTCCTGGCGAAATTGCTGCAAATAGCCCCGGAGCAAATCAGCATCATTCTTGGAGGAGGGGGCCTGGTAGAGAGCATTCAAAGGGAAACCAATGTCACCAGGCAAAGCAAACGAGTCAAGAGCTAAGTTGTTCAAGACCCTTGTAGCTTCCCTATAGCTGATTTTACCATTTAGCTTCGATAAACAATCGCTCACAAACAATATACCGTAAATAAGTAATCTATCAGCAGGACCCTTGATATCGAAATTCTTGAAGAAGGAGTTAGCTCTGAAAAGGTCCAAAGTTTCCTCAACAATATCATACTCCGATTCGGGAGGGTATGATGGGCCACGGAATTGGGTATGAATTGGCAACAAGACAACGTTTCCAACAACTCTCTCTGAGGAGCTATCACCGAGGAAGGTTGAATGATATGCGGGCATGGTGGTGAAGTGTAATCGATTGAAGTTAAACTAGCTAGGTGTCTTGATCTTGAAATATTATGCACTCCATAAAAGCCACTGCGACAGACCCGACAATGGTGTTTCTCTAGCAGAGAGTAGAAGATGGGAGACAACGGTAAAAATCTAAAATCATAGGTGGTCTCATGAAATGAGTGGTGATGACGTTCATTTTAAATCATGAGCTCGAATCTTAACACTCAGGCCAATCACCTGTCTCCTTAACATATTGGCGTGAGTGACTTCAGTCTATATGGAATGCGAGTGTTCTTTAAAGGGACATAAGTATCTATCTACATCATCGAAAAATTTCAGAACATTAATTAAGTACTGTCAGACTCTGATACGCCTCTAACCATTAAGATCGCTCAAGCTATAAGCCATTTCCGAGAGGTGACCTGTACGCTCCTCGCTTTCAGTCATGTTCTTTAGCAATCGAAATCGCTATTTTTTACTGGCGACGCACGCTCAGTAGAGGCGCCCTTTGTATGAATCCTGGTCTCACGCTTACCCTGATGCGGTTTAGAATAGACGAGTAACACTAGAATGTCGAGGCTGCTAAACAAGTCGAAGATTTTTTTTTTTAAAAAAAGCAAAAAGCAAAACAAATGACAGAAAAGAAAAAACAAACCAATAACAGCTATTAAAGAGTTTGTGATTCCATTATCTATTTCTTACTTTACGTCAGCGAACGATTATATGTCCAACTTCCCAAGTCGACGAGAGGCGCCTGCATTTGTATTTTTTTTTTCTCTCTATCAGCGAACTGCCTAAGTCCCTTTCTCTAGGAATCGTCAGCCATTTCATCTCGACTTGCAACGTCCAGCAATCTGTGAGTGATTTACTTACTATGTCTTACGGTAATTCTTCTACCAGGCCTGATGGTGTTAATCTTCCAGAACATCTAATACCCCAAGGCATGTTTGGACAAGTAGGCCGAAATCAACGGCCTACGCCAGAATACACATCTACTTCCAACTATCCAGATATCCATTCACGACAAGAACATCCAGGGTACAATTCATCTCCAGCTAAAACAACAAATCGGCCTTACCAAAAGCCAAGTAACATCTCTCATTCTGCCCTGCTGCTAATATATGAGTCTCCCCAACAGCTACCGTCATTACCGGGCAGCCAGCCATCCAAGGTAAGCCTACAAAGTCCTCAGAGCCGTTCCCTGCTGTCTCATGATCAGCCACTGTCACAGTTACCATACCCGGTCTCCAGCACCTATTCTGACAACGGTAAAATAAGCGATTTCTCTTACCATCAGGATTCCGCTTACAATGGCAAGCCAAAGGGGTACATATCGGCCCACCAGAGTGATCGTCCACCAAATCAATACCAACGCCTGATGCTGAGCTTACTGAGCAACCCTTACCAGACATCATCGGCTGGTCCGATTGGTGGACAACTTCCCAGGCAGGCCCTGCGTGGCTCACTCCCTGCCCATAATGGAAGCATTCAGCAGGGCCCTTCTGTGTATCATGATACCTTGCAAAACTATAGCCAGGCCCCTGTTGCCTTTGGCACCGTGCCCGAGGACGGCTACATAGAGGTCGAGAGTTCTTACTCAGGTAGTGATGCTGGCTTTTACCAGAGCAGCGTACCGCCATCCCAGCCCGGCATGTTCGGATATACTCCATCACAGCAGTTAGTCACCTCACGGAAACCACCACCACCTATGAAGCCAACCGCGGATGGCCGTAGGATTGTATCATCCCCCACTGTGCCTAGCTACCCGCAGATCCCATCTTGTCAGGGTCAAGTTGGCCAACAGCATGCACAGCAATTAAGGATGGAAGCTCGCACAAAGTCATTGTCGTCCTCATCATCAAAGCATAACAGTGCCCCAACTGCGGCGCACAATCAACCGCAATCTCAGAATAATCGCAGTGGTAATACCTACTCGGGTTCCTCACACTCATTCTCGCTTTCATCAAAGTCAAGGTCATTCAGTTCACTCGGCAAATTATCTTCATTATCAACGAAGAAGTTCTCCTCTTCGGCGTCCCTACAAAAAGGGGGTGATCGCAATGTTTCTTCCTCAACTCTTACATCCCAAAAAACTATGGCCATGTATCAATCCCGCAAACCTGCTATTTATCCGGCAGTTCTTTCTCGTGTTGCTAAAGCATTCAAGGATTCCATAGTCTTAACAATCAACATGAAAGACGGCCTAGAATATCACGACTCTTTTACGGGTGATACAGCGGTGGACGCTATTTGCAGTATAATCAGGACGAATGATCGTAATCTAGCTTTGCTTTTGGGTCGTTCATTAGATGCTCAAAAGTTTTTTCATGATGTAACATACAATCACAGACTTCGAGACTCAAGCCATGAAGTCTATGCCTTTAGTCGCAACTATAACGATGTTGAATTTTTTGCGGAAGATGCCACCGGGAGCAACAATAATTCGAACCGAGGCTCGTATAATGAGCATCAGATATCAGTTCTGCCGCAGCCTCCGTCTACAGTTCCCTACCCAACCTCATCGGCTCCACCGAGTATACCACCTAGTCCTGTGGACGGTGGTGTTGCAATGTTTGGACAACCACATAAAACAAGAGATCAGGAGGAGTCATCAGGAGTGAATGGCGTGTTCACAATATTGAGCAATTGCTATTCTCCAACTTGCACTCGTGATCGCCTTTGTTACTCAATCGCTTGTCCTCGCAGGTTAGAGCAACAGGCAAGGCTAAATATGAAACCACGAGGTGGGCTCAAGCGAGCTGTATCAAGACTCTCTTTACACGATAATGAAACCAGCAAGACGCTTTGGCATGAAACTGTCGATGAGCTGGTTTTGGCAGAACTTGATAAACACGAAAAAATGAGACAGGAGTTGATTTACGAGCTTATTTATACTGAGAGAGATTATGTCAAGGATCTTGAATTTATGACAGATTTCTATATTTTACCACTTCGCAATCCCACGAACAATATCATTCCGGAAAGGGAGAGGGAAGCCTTCATTCGTACTGTCTTTGGTGGTGTCAATGAATTGCTTCGCTTGGCAAAGAACCTTAGCGAATCTTTAACGAATCGACAGCAAACTGAAAAACCCGTCGTTGAGAATATCGGGGATGTCTTCCTACAATTCGTTGGCAGCTTTGAACCCTTTATAAAGTACTCGGGCAACAAGGTTTTTGCAAGCTTTGAGCATGAAAGGCAGCAGCAAGTGAATATGAAATATGCAAGGTTTTTGGATGCGATTGAGAAGAAGCCAGAGTCAAGAAAGCAGGATTTGTCGTCATTCTTAATTAAGGGAGTGCAGCGCCCAGCGAGATACCAGCTACTCCTAGGAGGAATTTTGAAAAACACGAAAGAATCTTCGTCAGATTACAATAATCTTTTGAAGGCTAAAGAAGAAATCGAGAAAGTCTTGAATAAGATTAATGTTCAAACTGGAGAAAGCACCGATCGGCACAAAATTATGGTGTTGCACAGACTTTTGGGCAGACAAACGCTCGAAGATAGATTCAGCTTCAAGCTCAACTATAACAACAGAATAGTTTACCAGGTGACGCTCAACCGTAAGAGGGACAACGAAAAGATTGATTTGTACCTTTTTGAGCACGCTTTGCTTCTCGTTAAACATAAGATCCAGAACAAGAGAGAAGTACACAAGGTATTTGAAAAGCCCATATACTTACCATTGCTCTTCGTGAATAGTGGGTATGACTCGCCAGGCATAAAATCTATCCTACCCTTTAGAGAGAATGGTTCAATCATATCGGATACAAACTTAAGGAATCGTGCAGAGGTTTCCAATTACAATCCGGTCTCTTCTTCCCAGCAAAAGTTTCAAGTCAATTTTTTGGGTCTTGGGAACAACCCCGTTCACGTTTCTTTATACGCTGATGATGTTACCAACCAGAGTCAAATCTTGCTGCAAGTACAGCAGCAACAGAGAAAACTTTTGGAGAAACATGACATTTTCTCCTTAAGTAAATACGAGACGAGACGGTTCACTGGACACAACCGGATCAACTGTGCTGTTCCATGTTATGGTGGTAAGAAGTTGTTATATGGAACGGATGCTGGCGTGTGGGTATCTACAGTTCGTTCCATTAGTATGACATCCAACGAAAAAATTTGCTCTGATCCAACAATGGTGATCAGTAAACCTTACATTTCGCAAATGGAAGTGCTAGTTGAGTACTCCAAATTGCTAGTGCTATCTGAGAAGACGTTGTACGAGTTTGACTTATCTTGTACAGATTCCCTTGACCACGTCAAGAATACAAGAAGTGGAAAAGTTATATTGAACTATGTGTCCTTCTTTAAAACTGGAGTTTGTGATGGCCGGTTGTTGGTTTGCGCTGTTAAGAGTGGAAGCGCTAAGGCAATTAGTATAGTCGAGCCTACTAACCCCTTTGATTCGAAAAATAGAGGAAAAGGAAAGAAACCAGAGGTTCGAGAGATTGCTTTCATGTCAGAGCTTGTATCCATTTCGTTTTTGAAGACTAAGTTATGTATTGGCTGTACTAAAGGCTTTGAAATTTTATCCTTGGAAGCTGGGAGGAAGGAACCAATTCTTGACGAGGCTGACCCATCTTTGGACTTTGCCACTCAGCGGGAAAGTGTTGCCCCGCTTGGAATCCACAGGTTGGGCAAGAACTTCCTTTTGAGTTACAGTGAATTCTCATTTTTGATTAACCGTAACGGTTGGCGAACGAAGCATGACTGGGGCATTTTCTGGGAAGGGTCGCCACAAAACATTGCCTTGTTCTATCCTTATCTTTTGGCATTTGATCCTGGATTTATTGAAATCCGTGACCTTGAAAGTACAACACTTATTAGGGCTTTGATAGGGGAGAACATACGATTTTTGCATTCTAATGAGCATGAGGCACTTTACGCTTGCGAAGAGAACGGATTTGACATAATCGTTTCTATTGACTTCTTGAACCTTAAGCCGAAACAGAAAGCATAGGAGTTGATAATAGCTTTTATCCTAAAGCCAAACATTTACGAATTTAACAAGCGCTATATCATGCAACGTTTTCAACAAACTTGTAGACGAGCTACATTGAATGTAAAAAAGAAGCAACACAGGGCAACTGAAGTTACAGAAGAATAATAGAATTATATATGGTCATATTTAAAAGAAATCATGGAAGAAGCAAGGAACAAGGAGAAGTGGTTTTTCGGCTGCAAGAGTTGATTTTCCAAAGAAACTGTCATGAACGCGCCAGAGAAGCCTGTCGTGCAGCAACTCTTCTTTTATTGCAGCATGAAACGTTTGACAAATGATCTAACGTACCTTGACAGCGAAAAAAAACTCCACTTGAAAGAATGGAGTACGTGCCATACTACTTTCTGAAACCCGTCTGATATACTGTTTCTTTCCAAACTTGTTTTATGTACATCTTAGCTCGTCGATTTGCCCATGGTCTGAGCCTCGGTAGAGTCGCGGAGATTTTTTTTTTTTTTTTTTTTTTTTTACCTTCGCTCTGGCAGTTTGAGATTCGAATACAACTCTTGTCACCCACCTCTTTCCATCGATGTCAGCCTTTCTTGAACAACTTCAACCAGAGCCGATCTTTCAAGTGGGGATTCCTTCAGTTGACAGACCTTTCGGCCTTCATTTATGGCCTCTTTTCAACGCTGTTTTTCAAAAGATTGCTGGATACCCGGCCGAAGAGTTTAGGTTTGTTCACAACCAAACCTTTTTGGCGAACGGTTGGCACGCTATTGGCATCATCGTTGTTTACTATGTCATAATTTTTGGCGGTCGTGCTCTTTCAAATGCCGTGGGAGTACCGGCTTTAAAGTTGAACATTTTATTCCAAGCTCATAACTTGGGTTTGACTATAGCCTCTTTGGTTTTGTTGTTGTTAATGGTGGAGCAATTGGTGCCCATTTTATACAACCATGGGCTCTTCTATGCGGTATGCGACTCAGGTGCATTTGCCCCAAAGTTGATTACATTGTATTACTTGAATTACTTGACTAAGTACTGGGAGTTGGTTGATACCGTCTTCTTGGTTTTGAAAAAGAAGAAGTTGTTGTTTTTGCACGTGTACCATCATGGAGCAACTGCTTTGTTATGTTACACCCAGTTAAGAGGTTCAACAGCTGTCGAATGGGTGCCAATTTCCTTGAATTTGGCGGTTCATGTCGTCATGTACTGGTACTACTTCTTGAGTGCTCGTGGCATCAGAGTTTGGTGGAAAGAGTGGGTCACGCGCTTTCAAATTATTCAGTTCGTCTTGGATTTGATTTTCGTTTACTTTGCCACGTACACACACTATGCTTTCAAATACTTTCCTTGGTTGCCACACATGGGTGACTGCTATGGTTCCGAAATGGCAGCTGCTTATGGATACTTCATCTTGACTTCGTATTTGCTTTTGTTTATCTCTTTCTATATCAAGGTTTACAGAAGCAACGTGACCAAGAAGCAGAAAAAGGAAGAGGCAACTTCTTCTAAGGTTGAGGGTGGTGTTTCTAGTGGCGTCTCTGTCGGCCCTAAAGGCACGTCCAAGGCACGTTCCAGAAAAGCCTAAATGTTGCTGGACGCCTAAGAACTAGCATCATCGGTATGTAACACCGGTCCTTTGTTTGCCCTTTAAAAATTCATCATTTAATTAGACAATAAGGGTATGTTAATTTGCGTCAATCCGAGATTGAGAATAATTGAAACCACCTTGATCCAGTAGAACTACTAGTAAGCTTGCTTTTTTTCAGCCGTGTACTTCAGCCTTGATGTATGGCCAAGCTAGCCACTCGAAGTGACGATTAAATGTCTCTGCCTGTTTGATAGAGGGAGAGCTGGTCTAGCGCAATCAAATACACAACCGACCTCAATTTCTGACTTAGTAATGGGGACCTTTATGGTCTACACATGTGCTTATCGTATTCATAATTATCGAAACAATTTTTGTCTCCTCTTTTGCTTGATGAAAAAGACAGGTGGGACACGAAATGGCTCTACGGTAGCACGGAAGTGCGGCATGTAGGAGAAGCCGGGACCAGCATAATTCGCAATGGCTGAGAGAAGGAATGTGTAATCGACTGTCTTTAGCCGCGCAGGAATAATGAGGTAACGTACAATAACCAGCAGCTGCAGCTTTTAAGAAAATCAGAGAATTCATTACCAGCTCTTCTGAACCTACTGCATGGAGGTAACAGTTGGCTATAAGCCAAAGCATTTCTTGTCCGACCGTGTACCAAAAAACCTTGCGCGGTTGCTACTCGCACGGCTTGTCCGGAAAAGTATGCAAGGCTGAAACAGCGGGGCGAACGAGACAAGCGTTAGAGAAGGGCCTCGGCAAACTGAGGAAAAAAAAAAAAAAAAAAAAAAAAAAAAAACAACGTTGAATCAAGTAGAAATAGAAGGAAAGGCCTGGCTGTGATTTCTTAAGTGCCATGTGTTTATCGTATCGGAAGAACGAGTCGTCAACATTGGCAAGTTAGTCCTACATTTTTGGGGAGGAATAAGAAACTAGCACCAAGTCTCTTGGCAGCTAAAAGTCCCACAATACAGTCAGAAGTAGGGGCTACAACTTTAATAGCAAAGGGTAATCGTGATAGCAGAAGAATGAAATATAAAATAAACTAAAACGAAGGAAAGGGCAAAAAAAAAAAATGGTATGTTCGACGTAAGGGAGCTGTAAAACCGGCATACCAGGTGTGTTGTCCCGAGGGAGAAACTGGATACGGCTGTAGCGGAAACAGGCATTATGCCGATGAAACCGGTGGGAATAGGGGAAACGTCGGGCGGATGCCTGCGGCATTGAAAAGGTTCCAAAATTGCAACAATATCTTAGGGTTACTTGAGAAGCTCTCCAAAATAGAGATCAACAGAAATCTACTAGAATGAAATACAACAATTCCGGGGCCAGAGACACTTATGATAATTTTGATTTAGAGAAGCTGTCGCGATTTACTCATTCGCGGGAACCGCAATTGCATGAGTATGATTACGTCAAAAAGGAGAGTACACAAAATCTGGCGAGGCGAGCGGCTTAAGCAGCGGGAACTGGGCGGATCCGCCCCTATAACCAGAAATGAGCAAAACTTGCCATAGCCTCGCCAAGTCTTATACCTGAGCCCAATAGAGTTATGGCGTATAAGAGGAAAGCTCACAATCGTTTAAAGAGTTTTTGGCAGACAACTGAATAGCAGGAAAGTTTTAAAGGCAAGTAGCAAATGGGCAAAGCCAGAAAAAAAAAAAAAAGACGTGGAGAAAAGGTAACAAGAGATGGATTTGCAGGCCATAAGCTCAGAAAGGTAACAACAAAGATGCGGGTACCAGGACCAAGGCAATGGGGCTAGGCAACTTGCCGTATGAACCCCCAGGTAGAGCGCAGCAGACCCGAAGATACCGGCAATGTGTCGGCGGATATCAGTGGACCCGCACCAGCGTCAGAGCGTGGAGTGATCGGAAACAGGGTGCTCGCGGCAACCCATAGGGGCACAATTTCGTTTAGGGGAGCTAGGCAATATCAGGGAGCAACCCCAACCTAGCGCGGAAGCCCCAGAGCGGCCATTTTGGGTTCGGCAATGCCGGCAGGAATTCTTTCCGGCCTGGAGCTTATGCAACGACCTGTCACCGGCTATGCGCGCGCCGAGCTTGCCGCGCCTGGCTAGGCAAGTGGTGTAAAAGAAATGTCTCGTAGAAGAACATGATGGAAGGTCTAATGGTCACTACGGTCACCTTGAGATAAATCAAAATGTATTTTGGAATGTCCAAGAGAAAAAAAAATAATTGTGTCAACAACCTCGGTTTTTGGACTTTCCGCTTACTCAGCATTACGCTTGCGCCCGCCAATTCTCCGGTGGCACAATAGGTCGGTCTACACTGCGCTGCGTTGGGGCCGCAGCAGCTAAATATCTATACTTACCTCAGCCGTCCCGTGGTCGCCGCGCTCAACTTTCGGACCTGGCGGATCCCGGCTGGTATATATATTGGCAGCGTCTCGCAAGACCCGTGGCAATTTTTTACTAATACATTTTTATATCACTACCTAACACTTTGTTTTTCTGCCGTTGTCATTATCACAATCTCGTTAACTACCATGAGTAACACTTGCAAACTTCCTTCCATACGACTGCTCTCGCTTGATCTCCCTATACCGGGCCAGGATCAGTATTCGAGTAACACACCAGCTACTGGACAAAATCCACATTATCAAACATATGCCCAGTCATACGAGCCTTACTATCAAAACCTTCAAGGATCATATAATGCCTACGCCCCTATGGGGCCTGGCCCCGCGCTTGGCAACCTTGGCGCCACGCCCTCGCTGGTGAACCTGCTGTTTCTGACCCAGACTCAGTCCCAGGGCTATGATCACGTTCATGAACGGCCAATAACTCCATACTATCACCCGGTACCCCAACAGGCTTATTCATTCCAAGCTGCGCCGCCATCACGGCTGCCTTCCTCAGTGGCGTCGGTTTCGGGAGTGGCACACACTGAAGGGGACCTGGAGCACAAACCTGCCATCACACTTCCGTCTGCGCCCGCCCCACAAGCTATGGCAACTGTAACAGCGCCATTGCAGCAGCATAACCAGACCCCACCGACTAACCACCTTTCGCCATCGGCTACTGCATCGCCTCAACCGGCTTCGTCGTCGTCGCTGCCTCAGTCTCCTAGAGACTCTGCATGGAAACCACGTAAAAAGAGGCAATGTCCTGAATGCCATCTTTTCTTTTCAAATTTGGCCACCCATAAGTCAACTCACCTCAAACCCACGAGTAGACCGCACTTGTGCAAGCTCTGCCATCGTGGATTTGCGAGACCAAACGACTTATTCCGCCATTTTAAGTGCCACTGGAAAGAGATCGGTGCAGACAAGGGTCAATTTCGCTGCCCCTTCAAGAACAATTCGTCTGATGCAACTGAGGACCATTGCTGTCATACGCTGGGTATTTTCTCTCGATGCGACACCTATAAAAACCACTTGAAGGCTATTCACTTTCAGTATCCTTCAGGTACCAAAAAATCACAGCGTAACAACGTTCCGGGAAACTGTCGTTTGTGTCAGCGGCAATTTGCCACGGTAGATGATTGGATCGCTAATCATATCGACACAAACGACTGTCCATTTGCATCTCATTAGACACGAGCATTACGTGAAAGATATGCCAGAGCATCTGACTAAAAATTACTGCCCGGCTCAGTGTTCTTATTTTAGCCATGACTAAAACAGATGCAAGGCCACGGAATTGTATTTATGAACGCCTAGCGTATTACGAACTTAAGCATGAACGATCTACCACATTGTGGTACACGGAGGTCGACGGAATATAAAATATAGAAATTCAAGGAGAATCAGATTGGGAAATAATGGAAAGTAGCTGTTAATACAGGCGGATTTTACATAAATGGTAAACAGGCTTCGTTATAGTTGGAAAAAGGCTCACCCGGAACTAAAGGATCCATCTTGTTAGGTACTTGGAATACTCCAAAACTGGACCGTTTTTACGTTTAGTTGGATTCTTTTCTACTTTTTTGTCTTTTTCCTTATTCCTTCCTTCGATATGATTTATAGTTTTGATTGATAAGACGCAAAGAACAAGTGTTTATTCCCTTACCATCATTCATCGGAAAACATGCGTTCCGTCCGAAGCCGTTAAGTTCTCACTTTAAGCCTCGATGGAGAACGGCCCAAAGAAGGAGCCGAGTGGCCCCTTCGCGCCGGTTAAAGGCAAGAACGTAGTAGGCTGAAAATGAAACAACAGAATGGTATTTAGGAGGAGAACGGACCTTCCTGAAAACCCCCCTTTTACCGGTGGGTATGTTTAAAGCTCCGTTGTTCCCAAAGCTGCAGATACTCTTTCCTTTCTGTTCTTTCCATTAGGACCGTAACGGTATTCAGAGAGTATGGCGAGGCGAGGCGGGAGAGAAACTTGGAACACAATCCAAAAGATCCAAAAAAGTAAAAATAAGAAAAAGAACAGAGGACTTCGACAACAGTGAGCCGTGAAATATAGTTCCCTAATTCTGAGTTACAGTACATTCGCGATGTTTGCTTCCTACGAGCAGACTCATAGCATGTGTTCTCTTCAGGTATATAGTTGTCGAGCCATAGTGGAGACTCTCTCAGCAAGTCTAGAGTGTCCTCTTCAATAAAGTATGAAAAAACAAAAAAAAAAAAAAAAAAAAAAAAAAGGATATCAAAGGCGCTTCCATAAATTTGCGCAAAGTTTAGTCTGTGTTACACCTTTCCTGTCCCGTACGCACTTCCTGAGAAGTCGTACGCGAGACCGCTAAGGCTGATAGATGCATAACGCCAATACCCAATCCTGACTTTTCACATTGGTTGCTTGCCAACATCCAAAACGTGAAACCGAAAGAAGAAAGGTAGAAAGGCGGGAATACCAATGGCAAACGGGACCAAATCTACGATTTAGGCCTCTTGGTGGGTACGTATCTTAAGAATTTGGTGTTTGCTACTACCCTCCCTGACAGTGTGGAGCTGCTAGCCGCATTATGTTGCGACCTACAATGGGAGTTTTCACGTTCAGGATACACCGAGGAACTGAAGAACGCCCATGCAGGCGAGAGACAGGTTTAAACGGTACTGACCTCCATTATGTTCGTCCAATTTTCAATAACAACGTTTCTTCTTCAGTTTCTTATGGGCTTGCCAACCGCTGTTAAGGTCCTTGTGGCCGTTTTCCTTGCCTCCACGTACAAGACGCTTCCTCTTGTCTACGTCGTGAGGTTCTACGCCGCCGCCTTGAAGAGCATCATGTTCAAGAGAAGTCAGTACAGAAAAACTAGACAAAACACTTATGGTATTACCGGGAAGAACCCAATGGACGTTTTTAGAGCTATCCCTTATCATACCTACTGTTCTCCACTCGAGCTCGACATGTTTTTGCATAAGTCTAACTCAACTTACTTCATTGATTTGGATATCGCCAGAACGAAGTTCCTTTGCCAAATGTTCCAAAAATTGTTTTTGGACTACTATGACAATGCCACAGGTGATTTTAAAGGGAAGAGCATAAACAATTTCCCCTATATCCCTGTAGCTCAAGTGCAGTGTACATTCAAGAAAGAAATTAAAGTCTTCCAAAAGTTCTCTATCCTTAGCAACGTCTTGGCTTGGGACGACAAATGGATCTATATTTTGTCGAAGGTTATCCATGCTGATGGTAAGCTTTCTGCTTTGTCTATCACCAAGTATGTCTTCAAGAAGTACGGCCGTGTATCTATCAAACCCCAGGAGTTCCTCACACATTGTGGGTTGTACAACGAGGCGGTCGAAAAGATTAACCAAGAGAATATCAAGCTCGTTGAGCATATGAACAATACTGCCGAAGGTTTGGAGCAACTTGCGGAGAAGATGGAGACCACATCGTCTTTGAGAGACCACCATATATAATATGATAATTATAATTTATATTGAGAAACGTAATAATCATTAAACTCATTTTGATTCAACTATATAGCTCAAGCCATTCCGAATCCCTCGTGTCCTTCTGTGATCGCCAACAAAATTGAGCCCCTTAATGTCTCGTATGACTCGTACGCTGGAAGATCAATTTGATTGAAACAGGTATGCGAAGAGGGAAGTCGGTCAGTTGAACCATAATCACGATGGATACTAAACTTGCACGTCCCATTAGCTCCGCGAAGCTCTTTAAAGCCATTCAATGGCACTTTAGATGTACCAGTGGCAAACTGCAACAACTTAGCCCGCTCTTCATTGTCAAAGGATTTCACTGCCCTCCAGAACCATTGAATTTGTTCCGAAGATGGTGAATAGTTATTGTACGTGGTATTGGCTTGCCAATCTCCAACCTCAATATCAGGCAAGCCACTAATTAAAAGCTCAAGTTCTTGCTCATCAAATATGCCAACCAATTCTTTCGGAATAATCTCATGGAAGCCAACACTAAAATTGCTCATTTGCTCTTCCACTGATTTCTGTAGCCTGTATTCGACGACAAGTCTAACGTAATCTTGCTTGTTTTCTTCTGTAACAGGAATGTTTCTTCCATTCGGCACCAAATCGATGATTTTATGTTCGCCATAGTCGTCCGATTCAACAGAGAAGTCCTCAGTCAAAATATCTGTGATATCATTATCAAGCATCCACATCAACGACTTGAAATATTCCAAGTCAAGAGTTTCCATGTCTTTAAGTGACATCGGACGATCCAATATTTTTTTGTAGACTGCTCTGCTAAAATGACAATCCAAGAAACTGCCGTCAAATATTGCCTTACCGATAATTCTGCCAATGAACTTAAAGAAAGACAAATGTTCTGGATTGACGTAAGATGTTCTGTTTGGATGGAAGGTAGTCTCGTCACTAGCGATAGCACTAAACAATGCATAGTCAGGATTAAACATTTGACGAGACAACACTTGATACCACTCTCTGGTAACACCGCCTGCATCAATACCTGATTCTCCCTTGAAGTTGATCTCTAACTTGGCTTTCCTGAATTCGTCGACAGACTTAAAGAAAAGAGCTCTATACGAATCCAAGAAGACTTGATCCCTTCGAATACTAATAGAGAGCTTTTGACCACCAGCTGCTTTCTCATGAAGCTGTCTGTCAAAGTAGTTCTTCTTGTTGTCGAATTCTAGAACTCTTGGGTTTCTCACGAGCATACTAAAGGGTCCACTCATGAGGTTAGGATTCGTCCTAACCATCTGATTGAGAATCTTCTTGTGTTCATCCGTAAAAGAGAAGAACAAGCTTTCTATGGGTTCCTTTGTGAAATCAATCTTTTTTGCCTCGTACTTCACCACGTCCTTCATTTGAAGATCCTTGACTTTGCTATGCTTGCAGACAACCATAAGTGCCTCGATCAACGGAAGCAAGGCAGTTGCAATATTAAGTAAGGATGGGGCATTTTCTAGAACCCTCAAGCAAACACTAAGAGCACCCCATAGTTTGCCAAGCCCAAGCTTCTCGTAAAGGTTAGTGAGTTCAACTGTCTTCGTATCTTTTTGCTTTGCCTCTTTCTCGGTGCTATTCTCATACATGTAATCTAAAGCGGTGAGAATCCGCAAGAGTTTGGCCTGATCGGAACTTGGCGCAGTAAATTTTCCAAGATGCTTGCTTTCCGTGCTGCTCACCATACCACTCTCGAGCTCCATTGACAAGGACTTCAAGTCTGTAACTATGTCATGACTTAACTTTGTAGCCTCCTGCGATAGCTCAGAGGAAAACACATCCTGAGCATTTTTCATAATAGAAAGATTCTGCATTGCGCTGATAGTTCTCCTAAAAGTGGTGTTAGCACATTCATTGGAGCATAAAATGTGAACAATCAAACGAAGATTTGATTCAGGGATTGAAGTCGTAGAAATGGGAGGGTGTTGCTTGTTACTTTCCTTGAGAAGCAATAAGGGGCGTGTTCCCACATGAAGTACGCTGGCCAATAAATCGATGAACATATGTTGCTCTCTCAATAAAGGGTTTTCAAGAAGTTTGAGGAGAAAATTAATAGGATATTTGTCCTCGGATGAAAGGCTTTGGAGCTTCTTCTTCTGAACCCTTCGTGTAACAAAGATGTTTTCATGCTCAGTCAAAAGATAATAACGAGAATGAACATTCTTGTCTAACAAAAGAAAACCGCTTCAATCAATTGAATTCCCACGACGACGGGCGTTGCCCCGACAGGAAACGATTTCTTTGTACTCTCATCTTGTGACTTTTTGTTGCTAGCTCTTCCACAAATCACATAGAACAATTTTTCTAAGGCTTTCTGGCTGTGCAAAGCATCATTAAGGATTGCAATCAAGAGACTCATGACTTCGGCTCTAGTCTGCTTGTTATTGCACAATTGAGATAACGTCGAGTAGATATGGCTCCTCTGGTGGAATGGTTGAGGGATAAATAGCAAACGAGCCAAACTAGCAACTGCAGCTTTGTCAATAAGGGGTGTCGAAAACGTCTTGTGTTTCTTCGGCAAACTTCCATTACCTTGGTTATTTGCTCTGCGTCCCGGAGGATAAATGGCAACTCCACTATTCATGACAATTGGATCGTGTCTCTCTGTCTCTTCATCCTCATCCTCTTCAATTTCGCTATCATCATCTTCATCGGCTTCCAAAAAGCCAAGGCGACCACTTGAAAATCTTCGGGCCATCGCCTCTTGCTGAAGTATCTCTTCCCTTATTTGATCTGGTAAGGCATCAAGGAAATCGGGATCAATTTCACGTACTTCTGCTCCCGTATTGTTAGCATTCGCCCTCCGCTCCCGAATATGTTGTGTGAAGACCTCTTCCCGCATATCATCTGGAAGCGCTTCGAAAAATTCTGGGTCGATATCCGTGCCACTTATGTCCACTTCGCGGTCCCCAATACGAAGCATAACTGGTTCCCTATCAACCTGTGGATTGTGTTGTCTTTCAAGATCACGTTGCTTTTGCTCCTCTTCTCGCTTCAACCGTATTTCTTCACGACGCTTTTTGGCCTTTTCCTCGCGCTCTTGCTTGATTCTCTCTCGCTCTTCATTAAGTTTGTAAAAATTTCGAGACTCTCATCGTGAATCTTCTTGGTAATCTGCGTACGTACTTCTTCGACGAGTTCCGATTCACCGTGACCGTAAAAAATGGCATGTGCATCACTCCAACGTTCCACCGTAGACCGGATGTAAACGTGATTCAATGAACCCTTTTGAGCAGAGTTTGGTTTATCGTTAAGAATGACCTCAAATGCGCGATCAAAACCCGGAAGCATACTGTCATTCCCACGATGGCCGCTGACACGAAAAGAACTCCTCAATCGGCCATTAACAAGTCCCTCAAAAATGTTGGAGACATTTTGCTGACGTAAAGCAGGTCTCAAGACATCGAATATAGAGGTCATGAACTCCCGGGTGGCACTATTGGGCTCATGGCCACCGATCTCTTCAATATCAGATTCAAAGGTACTTTCTCCATCTGATCCATCATTTTCTTCCTCCTCGGATCGAATATCAATAGCTGAGTCATCTTCATGGTTTTCCACCGGAAACATGGACCCAAATCTGGGATTACCACTATCTTCTTCGTCGCTTTCCCCATGATGACCGAAAGTGTCAAGCCATCCATCCAATTCCGCATCGTCGTATTCTATCTCATCATCATCATCGTCTTCTTCAATAAATTCGCCTTGGTCATATTCATCCTCATCGAACCCGTAGAATTCAGAGATATCGGAAGCGTCGCGCTCAGAGTCTCCGGAATGGGAACCAATATCGAGTTCGTCAATAATTTCAATATCTCCTTCGCTATCACCGCTATCATACCCCTCGAACGCCCCGTGCTCCATCATTTCGTCATCCATATGCTCGTCATCCATAACATCATCCATCTCACTCGAATCATCAGAATCATCGACATCGTCGTCTTCGTCATCTTCTTCGTCGTCATCTTGAGATATATCCGAGCCCGACATGACAACCTCCAACGGATCCCCCTCGTCATAGAATTCGTCTTCAGATTCGGAGTTCGCATCGTACATACCAAGCGTGGAGTTGCGGAAAAGATCAGGCGTTTCATCACGGTCCACCACATCGTCAGGTAAAATATCTTCCTCATCTTTTTCGGAATGATTTGTTTCAAAGTATTCGCCGTATGTTAACTTGATCTTTGATAAATGCGACAATGGCTTTATACCAACCTTAATAAGCCGCGTTACGCTTGGATAGTTGAGGTCAACATCAGCAATCGCACTTGCAAGTTGGTTAGGAAGTTGACGCTCAATAAAAGCGACAGCAATAAAAAACTGGTCTAATCTTGTCGCCGATTTACTCAATAATGGAAAGCACATTTCGCGGAACTTGGCTGATAGCAAGCATGAGCATAAATCGAAGACATCGTAAAGTTTGCCATAAGCAGAAACTGAAGATACACGCATCGTTAGACTATCTTTGATAACTTTGGATATAATGTCCATGACAAAGCGACGAACAATAGCAAGATCGACATCTTCCGATTTCGGGCTTGGAGAAGCATCATCCTTAAGCACTGGTGTAGACACAAGAGAAAGAAGGCAAAGCTTCGACAAAGATGATATTGCTTCTCTCCTTTGGCTTTCGTCGTCTCCAATGTTATCCAAACTCTTGCTTGGGTTTAGTTGATGGATGAAGAAATTAAGCGATGTTGAACGGGGTCGATTTCTGTCCTCGAATCCTTCCTTCTTCGAGAAGGTGATGAATTCAAGCTTAGCTTGCTTGTAAGAGCCCAATAATTCAGTAACAATCTGAAGCAAAAAGCAAAGGTAAGCGAAATTGCTGTTCTTCATGAGAAAATCAATCTGTGGCTCTTTCTTTTGACCAGCAGACGATATAACATCCTGTTCTTTTGACGGAGTTGACGTCCAGTCACTTTTACTGCATGCCATTAATTCGACCAAAAGGAAGTGCATCAAGCCACCAGAGCCAGGTCCTGTCACGTTCTCGGAATCTTTCATTTCGACATCTGCATCTGATTCAGCTACTTCGTCGTAATCAGCGAGGAAAAGAGTTTCTCCATGGTGTGCCTCGCCATCATAATTCTCCAATCTCACGAGCTTCGAAGCGACATTAATATAAGTAGATGGATCTCTTGACACCAACTCAATGCTCTCCTCTAACAAACGCCTAAATTCTTTTTTACCATTTGGTTGCCTCTTAAACGCCTTAACGATCTCAGAAGAAAACACATTTTCTAGAGTGTTCGAGTCCTCGAAGCAAACTCTTACCAACAATATTGCAGCTTTCTGTAGTTCTTTAAGATCATCAGACAAAGATTCGGAGCTATCACGTATCGATTCAAAAATTGTCCTCAAGATGGCTGATGATGTGATCACAGCTTTATATTTATCCTGCGACGCATACAAGTACAACATTCGACAAATTGCCAAGGAGCATCCGATGTCTCCTTTTGGTTTCAGCGACAACAAAACCTCAAGTAACTCATCTTTAAAAGAAGAGCCATCATCGTCAAAGAAGGGAAACAATCCGGGCAACGTATTCGGTGGTGTACAGCTCATCGCCGGTTGTAGGAAGCTCAATGCAGACTTGAAATATGGCTCATTTGCAATTTCTGGATCATCTTGCATGCTAGAAATAAAGATTCGAGAAAAACGCAAAAATGCTGACTTGCGTCCCGTGGATTCTTCACCAAAGAAAACGCTTGTCGTGTATAATCGACGGAGGAGATTGAGTGATAAAGCTCTGCGTTTGAACGACCAATCCTCCTTATACGTTTGTAAACTTTCAATGTAATCGACTATGGGGTTTGCGAGGCTGATGAGATCATTTTCCTCAATCAATACCGCCACCTTGTTCTCAAGTTGTTCGACGAATGACGCAAGTTTGATAAGGGGCAACCCAAAAAGAAACCTGCCCTCTGTCTCCCTACCCATGAGAATAACTCCCTTAGAATCAGTGTCCCTTGGACGATGCATGAAATGAACATCCTTCCGAAGGGTCTCTAATGCAGTGGATTCTTCGGCACTGGGAACTTCCTCATCTTCTGCACTTTCCGGAGAGTGATCACGTCTCATGTATTTGAGAAGTTTAATAGCTCTTTCTTGGCTAATGTCAAGACTTTGCATTAAATACCGGAGATAATCATAGGGCGGAGTACCATAATCTTCATGAAGCTCGTAATAGTAATCCACTGGGTCCACCCTCCATGTGGCTATGACAGCATCGACAAGTTTGAGATTCACTGAGAGAGGAAAGTAGCTGTAAACGTCTTCATTCTCTTCGCGAGAAAGAGGCGAACTCGTGCCGACAGTTTCTTGAACTACCTTCAAAGTAAGTTCGGCTGCTTTTGACGTTATACCATCCGGAATCTCAGCATCAAGAGCGCAATACTCTTTGTGGAAAAAGAGATGGGAGGATGGTATTCTCGGAACATACTTATCCTCCGTCATCTTGACCAAAAATGACAAAGCCTCACTAATAAAATTGTTCTGGATCGATAAGCGAGAGTTACCGATAAAGTCCAAACTCTGTACATCGAGTCTTTCATCAATAGGCTCACAAATGACCTCCTGGAACGTGTGAATTGCCAGTGAGGTAATCTTCTCCATTAGTTCGGTATGATAGAAGAAACACAGAGCCAACGCAGTAGAAAAGACATCACGTCCTTTGTCCTTACTATGGGATATGAATGCAATCAAATTTGTGGAGATCAAACGATAACTCGGAACAAGGACTGCGTTCAAACGTTGCCCTCTTTCAAAGAGACATTCTAATTCTGCCGCTAACTTTTTTGTTTGTATCACGGCTTTCCTTCGCCATTCAAAAGAAAAGAAATCCTGTCTTTTCTGCATGCAACTTCTTGAGATATCTGACAAAATCAATGCGATGTTATGTTGAAAACGATACGATAGGAATCTCAATTGTAAGGTATTCTTAAATCTGGTATCAGTCCAAGTAACGTTAGTCGGTTCGTTCTTAGGTTTCCTTCCAAAAATTTGATACGGAGGGACGTTTTCAACTGGCTCGATTACTGGTGCTGTTAACTCTACAGCCTCGGCCAGAAGAGGAGTCCTTATGGTAGCTTCTTCAATGATACTCCGGCCCATCAACTTGATAAGATTATTGACCACCGGATATGAAGTTTCTTCCAAAATATTTATCAAGCTCTGAAATTTTTCGTTAACCATATTATTTGGAAGAAGATAACTCTCACACAAAATAAGAAGTATGTTGTTTATTGCATTCAACTCTTGCAATAGCTTGGAAGCATCCCCGGGTTCATTTTGTAATTCGGCAAAATATGAATCAGATGTGTCAGAATTGATGAAGCCTTGCACAAGAGGCGAACTTAAGTATTGAGGAAGAATTCTGAAGAGGCTTGGGAAGCCATAATTCTGTTGCTCATCCTCTAAAAATTTAAGAAGGTTCATCAAGCTCGTCATACCATTCGAGGTAACGTAATCGATCGGGCTGTTTGGAAGGGTGATATACGCAGCCCAATCGGCAAAAGGAACATCTTCAGTGATGTCTTTCACCCATTGCCCACTGTCTTGTAGAAGGCCTCCCAAAAAACCGAAGACGTTATCAATCAATGTGGACCCTTCCATCGACTCCCAGCTCTCGATCTCATCCTCTCCTTCCTGAACCTCGAGTGAATTGGACTCATCTGAAGCGTAGAATACACCATGGTTAATGCGAGGATAGAACCTGATCGGCTTCAAATATTGACCCGCGTAGCTTGACATCCCCTTAATGAGCTTCTTGATCTCACCTAAAATAACAGGCTTAAGGTCAGGAAAATGTCTACCGAGTTCATCCATTGAAACACCAATACTCGTTGAGACGTCCCCACGAACAAGCTCCTTCGCTATCTTGATATCATAAAATGACCTGTAATAAATGTCCAAAACTTGAGTTTCTATGACACGCTTCAACCCTTCCTTGTTCAATGAAATTGCCCCAAGCACTTCAAGAAGGGCCATTTGCAACTCATTCGAAGGCATGAAAAGTGTTTGGTAATTGTTAAGTACCGAGTCAATAACACCCGCCTCGTTTAAGATTGAAAAGGCGGTGGGCTCGTTATGGACAATATATAAAACAGCATCGAGTGTCGCACCAAGTACTGGTGGACCGAACAATGTAGGATTCTCAATGACCTTTTTAAAAGTGGTCAAAATGGAAGAATCAAAAAGGTTTCTCATACGATCGCTTCCATCAGCTTGAACAAGTTGAGAACAAAGGCGCAAAAGATTCCTCAAATAATTAACTTGTCTGATGCTTATATTGTAGTAAACCACAGCATCCCTGGGGGGACCTCCTGCAAAATCAGGATTGTCCAATGCAAAATCAACCTCATGATTAATTGTCTCGATTAACAACCGGAATCCATCAAGGTTAATGAAATCGGAGATATATTCAGGAGATGAACGTAAAAGCAGAGCTATCGTATTCACCGCTGCAGAACAGGACCAGCGATATTTTGTGCGCATGTTGAGAAAGGTCATTAGCTCATTGAGGATCCCTCCCGAAGCTAGTCTGGGGATCAATGATTTATTGTCGATAAAATGGCTGATGAGAGTGAAAACCAACAAATTCGCTTTCTCAATGCATGCATCTGACTCATCTTTGATTTGCTTGTTCATGCGTCTCAATTGTTGGTAAAGCAAGCCATGGCTCACATTTCCTCCCATGTTCCTGATAAGGTCACCACCCCATTGCCTCCTATGAGCAATAGCTTCTAAAGCTTTGATTGCTCCAAGGTACACATCGGGTGGTACATAAGGCGAATGTTCAGGTGACATGAAATCGACCAAAAAACTTAGTAAGTAAGGTTCTGCTTCAAAAAGGTTTGAAGAGGTAAACTCAGCACTACACATGAGTGCAGTGAAAGCTACTGAGGCACATTTAATCTGTATCAACTTCTCCCGAAGCTTCATGCACTCATCCGACCTTGAATTGAACGCTTTGGCGTTGTGCACAGCAAGGGAGAAATTGAACCAAGTAGTCTTTGGCAATACCTCAGTCGCCTTGTCATATACTTGCTCAAACGATAGTTTCCGAATTGAGCTTTCACACAAGGAGAATGTGTTGAGACCTTCCTTTTCAGTTTGAGTGGATTTTTTATGCTGCTTCTTATCCTTCTTACTGTCCTGTCTTGCATCAACCTGCTGCACCTGAGGCGACGTATAATAGTGAAAGCTAAGGCTTGACCATTTGCTAGGATAAACTCTCCGTTGGTCAAGGGTATCAACCAAGCTGTAATGTTCGCTACGTGATTTTGCATCACTGGACTGATCATTCGTATCGACTTGCTTTTGGATAAATCCAGTTGGAACGGAGGGTGGAAACGATTTCGCCATATCAAGAACAAACTGTCTGGTTTCCTTTGGGGCACAATATTTCTTCACATATGTCGAATTGACATATCTCTCGCCGAGACGTACAGCAACTTCTAAAGCTGCCAATCGAACATCAATTGTCGGTGTTTTGATCAACTGGTATACTCGCTCAGAGCTACCATAAATGTTTCGGTTAAGACAATGCTCCAAAAGAGTATTGGTGAAATTCAAGCAGGCAGTAAGGACGCTGGAATCCGCCTGGGACATGACCATAAGCTTTGGGTATGTGCTGTCCAAACCATAATGAGCGATCTTCTTTTCAAAAATCTCATCAATATGGTTGAGGAGTTTGATCCAAGTAATCAAATCACCTCTAGGCCTTTCCCATTTAAGATTAGCATTGAGAATACTAGTTAAACCGGCTTCATCCAGAGAGCAAGCTTCATCAATGAAGGCGAGTAACGGCCTTTCAGACTCCTGTTTATCCATATGCGATCTTTTGGAGATAATCATCTTCGTTAGATATAGAATTCCAGATAATTGGGAGCAAGTAAGGAAAACAGTGATAGAAGTGGGTGTGATTGGTAAAGGTGCAATGCACTGCTTTCTAAGGAGATCTCGAAAGGTAAAGGTTTCCTGTTCGCAGACCCACTAGTCTGAGACAGATGTCTATGTGCATCTACCACCATACACTGTTGGGAATAGCAGCTTGCCATGTCCGGTGTAAAAGGGAAGCAATCCATGCTTCCGCCTATCAATCTTATCTTCAAGTATCTCCAGCAACAAGCCGTTGTGACAATATGGCTCTATGAGCAAACCCAGCTGAGAATCCAAGGCAAAATTCGCGGTTTCGATGAGTTCATGAACTTGGTTGTGGAGGATGCTGTAGAGATATCGACTACAGATGGAAGCAAAGAATCGCTTGGACGGATATTATTGAAGGGCGATAATATTACATTGGTTTCCTCACTTGATGTGTAGGTGATCCGATAAGTGAGATCTTACATGCGATTCCAACTAGCGAGTTTTTCGATATCAAAAATCATATGAATCAACCGCTTGACACAAGCATTTTAGCGAATATTACTGATATATCTCGGTGTCTACTACTGAAAGATTTATTGTCAGCTGCCATTGCAGTAACCTAGGTTTCCCTCGATAGATAAGAAAGGGGCCATTTCATGTATATTAGCAAGTATAAATATCCAATGTATTCGTATACTGTCCTTCCTTATGCTGATCAACAGCTGGTGTGACGTGAGGCACAGAATATACCCTACTAACCCAACTTTTTTATCTTGCTTATGCAAATCTCTTAGCAATAGTCATGTATCCTTAAGTCTTAGCATTACCGTCTTCATCACTGGCCACTTTTTGCATCGACCGATTAGACAACTCAAAGCTTACTCGCTTCTTCTTTCGTGGAGACTGGTCACTTTCCTCACTGGGATTCTCTGTTCCCTGTCCGTGGTTGGCGTCATCAGAACCATCGCCGTGTCGTAGAGCATACCTGCGTCGTCTTTCCTCCTTGGTTACCTTTTTCTTGTACTCGAGTATTTGCTCTTGTCGTAGTATGGAGATCTTGTCCTTCTGGGTGGACGACTTCCTCTTCACTGCAACATCTCTTTCATCAGCCAGAGTGTCATTTCCTGGTTCCCCATTATTTGGTATTCGGTTCATGACATCTGGATTAAGTCGCGAATACCAGCCGGCTCTATACCAGTACTACCTGAGCCGCCTCACCTCTCTTTTCATTCTTTCTCTTTCCTCTCTTTGAATTCAATCTCCGCTCTTAAAGAAGCTTTACATGCTTTCTTCTCCTCTTTTTCCTTTTATTTAATCTTTTTTTTTTTTTTTTTTTTTTTTCAGGTTCGTGATATTATTCCTTTTACGGATCATGCTACTCGCAAAGCGTTGTCTAATCCAACTATGAAATATGGCTTAGGAGATAGGGAGTGCTATTCAGCATCTATCTTCTGATCCATCTGCTGGTCCACTATTATCATAAAGCCCTAATGCAAGTGAGTCTAGACAAATCATCGTTGGATATTTAGTAACGCGTAATACACGTACTTCGGCAAGTGAAAGGGATAGCTACAAGGCTCTCACAACCAGCTAAGTCAAACTAGTATGCCTACTATGAATACGCAGCATCAGTTTCCTGATTTATTAACCTATTTATTTAGCAAACTGCTCTTCTCTCCAGACCCGTGTGGAAGAATCCTGCACCTCCCCCCACACGTAAACAAGACGCCTCTCAGCTTTGAACCATCGATCTGTTACTACTCTCATCATGCAACAGGGGAACCAAAACAGGCCACCAAATAATGGCAGACCCGCTGGTATGCCTCAGGAAGAAAATGCAAGACATGCTCCACAAGCACGATCTTTTACCCAATATCAAAGTAATTCGACGAGGCCATTTAACGCGATTCCTTATAGCGAGGAGGAAACAAACGCTATTCAGGGGCGCCTCAACAAAGTTCTAGGACCAGAATATGTGAGTTTTCGTCCCGGAACAGGTGGCCTGAATGTTTCTTATATTGAAGGGTGGAAAGCTTTGAATTTAGCGAATGATATATTTGGATTTAACGGATGGTCCTCCGAACTCATCAGCGTGCTGGTGGACTTTTTAGATGTACACAACAATGGCAGAGTCTCTTTAGGTCTCTCTGTCGTTGCAAGAATCACACTAAAGGATGGAACTTTCCATGAAGACTTCGGATACGGCTTTATTGAGAACGCGAAGAATAAAGCAATGGCTTTTGAGAAGTGCAAGAAAGAAGCGTTTACAGACGGCTTGAAACGTTGTCTACGGTGCTTTGGTAATGTCCTAGGTAACTGCCTTTACGACAAGACTATCATTGGCAAAATGCAAAAGGTAAAAGCGCCTCCACGAGAATTAGAGCATTCTGACTTTCATAGAGATCCATTGGTTCTCAAGCGAGAAACAAACATCCAGCGGAAACAGCAGCAACCACAGGAACAGCAAACCTCACTGGTTAAGCTAAATCAAAACCCAAATGCAACATCCAGAGTTTCTGATCATCTGTTACCAAGAAGTGCATCGGTTCCTCCAAAGCCGTCAGCCAAAGCAGGGCCGCCTGCTATCAAATCAAGCGATTTTAAAGACCTTGATGACCTGTTTCAGTTTAGCGATGAATTGGGCGAAGAAGAATTAAATGATCGGCTAGACGATTACGAACTTGAACTTTTAAAGCATCGGGAAGTTGAAGCAAAAAATGACAGCGATCCGGCCTCAAAGTCTGATGACGCAGACGATACATCTTGTTCCACCCCTGGTCAAGTCTTTTTCACAAGCTCAAAGAAGGCCTTGGATGTCCAAAAAAGCCAAGATCCAAACAGCATCCCAGTTTATGATCATAAGTTCATCTCATCAGGAGTACGTCGCACAATTGACCCTTCTAAGTCTGTGAAAGTTAGGCGTTCCGATACCGTGCCTCAGACGCCTCCTACTGCTACTCAATCGGGCATTGTATCACCATCAGTAGGTACAGGGCCAGGGAAACGCCCGTTGGGTATGCCCCCCGGTCAACGTCAACCCATCAAGCGACTCCATAAAGACGTTGATGATCCCGAAAAGGAGAACAAAATAGCCAAGCAGCCCTGATTGCAATGATTCCAGACATATTCGCATTCATATATTTTAAAGCCTATTTAGCCCTGATTCTTCCAATGAATCTTTCCATCAATCAGATAGTCTTACAAATACAAGTATATATCATTAATTTTTCCCTAGATTTTATTCGAGGCAAAACCGCTTCAGATACATTGAATCGGTGTCTTGTTCTGTGTCTTTGTAAGCGCACGCTATCAAGCGCACCGATATTTATCATACCATCAGTCCCAGTGTCCCATCCGCGATAGCCATGACTATATAATGCCTCGAGATAACTCATCATTTAAAGAACTCTATGAAAAGATAGGACCCTATAACGAACTTCCGGATGATTATGAACCATCACAATCAGAGGCAGGGCTAAGCAACTCCAATGTTCTTGTCATAGGCGCAGGTGGATTGGGTTGCGAAATATTGAAGAATTTAGCCCTCACAGGGTTTAAAAATATTCATGTGATAGACATGGATACCATAGATGTTTCAAATTTGAACCGTCAGTTTCTTTTCCGTGCCAAAGATGTTGGAAGACCGAAATCAGAAGTCGCTGCCGAGTTCGTGCGGGCTCGAATGGGGGATCCTCTGCTTAAAATTGAGGCACATACCTGTCGAATCCAAGACAAAGACGTCGAATTTTACAAAAGTTTCAGTGTAATAATCTGCGGTCTAGATAATATAGAGGCAAGACGATGGATCAATGCACTTCTAGTTGGAATTGTGGACGACCAACTCAATAACTTGATCCCACTAGTCGATGGCGGTACAGAAGGCTTTAGAGGCCAGGCTAGAGTCATCATGCCCAGGATCAGCTCGTGCTTTGAATGTTCCCTCGATATGATATCCCCGAAGGTTACATACCCTGTTTGCACGATTGCGAACACGCCTCGTCTACCAGAACACTGCATTGAATGGGCAAGTCAACTAGAATGGCCTCGACGCTTTCCAGGAAGAAAGTTTGATGCAGATTCGCCCGATGATGTTGAAATAATGTATCAACTTTCTTTAAGTCGGGCCCTAGAGTTCAACATAGAGAATGTGACCAAGCAGCTCACCTTGGGTGTTGTTAAGAACATCATTCCAGCGATTGCATCCACTAACGCAATCATCGCAGCCGCCTGTACTAACGAGGTGTTCAAGATCGCGGTGGGAACATACCCAATCCTTGACAACTATATGATGTACTCGGGTGATGATTCTATTTTTACTTACACATATTCTCATTCGAAGAAGCCGTCATGTGCTGTTTGTGGAACACAAGTTAAACGAATTCGTGTTCCCCGTTGGTGGAAACTTCGTCATCTAATTGAAGATCTAGCAGAGAGGCAAGAAATAGCCTTACAAAAGCCATCTCTTGCGACAGCCAATGCGAATCTCTATTTGAGACAACCTCCTTTTCTCGAAACTCAGACAAGACCAAACCTTGAGAAGCTCTTAACTGATCTCGTAGCGGCTAACGAGGAAATTGTTGTGACAGATCCCAGTCTTCCCATTTCTATTCTGATAGTAATAGATGCATTCGAGGGAACGCAAGAAGAACCGGAGGATATTTCTTCTCTCCTCAGATCGCAATAATTTTAATGTTCATTTTCCATGCCTTTCATCTCCGCGAGAAGTTTTTTGTTGAAGAGCTTGGAATTATCCAAGTACAAATGATGCCCAGCATTCGAAATTAGCTCGACCGTACTTCTTTGTGGGTCTTTAGTTATATTATTGATGATCTTGGAGCACAATTGACCCCCTTTTTTGTCCATCCAGTCGTCCTCACCATACCACCACAGGAGCTTACAGCGTAGCTTGTGGATTCCTCTTTCAATAAGAGGATGTCTAGCGTCAGCTCCAGGCGCTAACAAATAGTTAAGCATATATTCTCCGGACCCGGGGCTTTGGAAAATTCCGTAGGCATATTTGTGTAGGAGGCTAGCTTCTTTTTTGGGCAAGTCAGCGAAGCGGCGAAATGACCACATGCTGACTAGCTTAGAACCTATTGGGCCGGTATTCCTAACAAGGCAGAAAGGGGAAATGTTTTGCTCCCAAAGGCGAGCGAAATATGCTGGTACAGGCACTTGCTTCCTGTGCTTGATGATAGCACCAGGCGATACCATCAACATTTTGTAACAGAAAGATGGATTGACTTTGATACCATAAGTACCCATTAGGTACGCTCCCATCGAATGAGCGAGAACAAGATTATTGTTCGGTTTTTCTGTGAGACCGCGGAGCTCCAACCATTCACTGAATGAGTCGTGAAACCATTTGTCGACCCCATGAATGCTCTCTTCTTCTAACTTAAATGGGGGTCTTGACGAGCAGCCATAACCCAACAAGTCAATAGAGTGTATAATCCAGTTATCTTCCTTGGAAATTTCATCAAAGTTCTTGAGCCAAAAGCCTAAGCCGCCTCCATACCCATGAATCATGATCAAATGACGACAGTTGCTATACAACTCTTTCTGTTCCGCATCCAGTTTTCCATAAAACGATTTCGGATAAATAGCAAACTCGTTTATGGAATGTCCCGTCAGTAGTTTCGTTTGTATAACCTTTCCCTGACGCCCAGTGTCATCAGCTTCAGGGTAAAAAGGAAGCGTGGCAAGTAAGTCGTCTTGAAATTTAAGCGGATTATGCCTAAATCCATAGTCTTCGATCAGTTGTTTTAAAGATAGTGGGAACTGGCTGGAGAAAAGCTTGCTTAAAGGCACGGATGTTGGGTGTGACGGACGGTTGATATTCTTTTTAACTTGGGTTTTGGATTTTGCAACCGTTTTTTTTGGGAGCTTCACCTTTTGGAACACATGCCAAAGGTTGGACAGTGATGTTGTTTTGCATCTAGAAGTGTACGATATGCGACGAGTGATTTGAAGCAGTACCTGCGACAGCATGCCTAGAGTATTAAACTCATATAACGAATGTTTGTATAGTGAGTGGTTCTCTCAGTTGTAGAAGTTAAGCGATCAGAAATTTAATTGCTATATGCAAACCAGGCGGTTGGAATTCACCTTAGTGCCGAAAGATAAAAACGTATACTAGCAGTACATTATGAGGTTTGTCAACTTCCTCGAAAATAAAAAGTAGTCATGATAGACATAAATTTGAAAACCCGAGAACTTTTGGCTTAAAAGTCCAAGTCTGACGCGCACAAATTCGGGATTGCTACCTTTGGCAGTTGTAATCTCAAAAATCATCAAGATGAAGCGATAACTACTCAGAAGGCGATGAAGAACTATCTTTGAATGCTAACACTTCATTAGCGATCGGTTTGACGCATACTACTTTAATCTCAAAGCAATTCGATTTAAAGAACCATATCATGGTCTCTTCAATGAGAGGTTTCTCATTCGATCAGACAACTTAGTTACATGCAAATAAAGGCAATGTAATGTGACCAAAAATCTATGATGCTTAATTCTCTCTTCTCTTAGCTGTGGAGTTAGAGATAATTTCGTAGCACGCCCCACCCTGTGCAAGCATATATTCTCTACGTTTTTTCCATCTGTTATTTCCCTCTATGAAATTCTTCATTCACAAAGAGTATCTCGCAAGCAGCCATGATAACAGTTGAAATGAGATACGTCTTGATTTCCAACTGACCATATATGGCTGTTGTTCGGCGGAAAATCTACGACTATAGCAGCTCCAGAGCTCTTTATCGTGCCCTGTCACAATACTTAAAAGGCTAGAGTCATGAATACGTCCCAATTCTTCATCTCTTGCAAACACAGATCGGCAGTGGCCATTAGGATAATTTGCAGAACTGCGATAATGATATACTCCATTACGTCAATTGATTGACACACTGGTAGTGATCAGCCCAGCCACGCAAATCCCTGATCATTGCTTTCCATGAGTGGAAAACGGAAAATGCAGAAAAGGAGGGAAGTCCATTCTCGCAGGGGATACTAGCATTGGTGCTCTACGAACCGAATGGCCGACCATTATCTCGCAAATTCGCAGAAAGCACAGCAGCCCTGCTAATAATATAATCATCTGCTGCCAATCTTAGACGCCCACTGGCTAGAATGAAAACGAGAGCCGCCTGATTTATTTCCCGGCTTTCTAATGGCTTAAGCAAATCGCTTATTCGCCGTTTGGTCCACGCAGGCGGCGTAGACTACCACTTTCTGAGTGGCCCAATGCTGGAAGACGCCCAATGATAGATACAGGGCTGCAGACGAGGCTTTCACGAAATGTAACAAGTAGATGACGTCCGATACTGAATTAATTGCAAGTGTTCGAATGACATATGCCCAGGTGTATCTTCTTTATAACTCAGTTGTTCTTAAAGTTCTACTTGGCTTTTCTGTAGCCTTATTTCCCTGTGAAAGCGTACTGGTTTTGTTCCTTACGAGGCCGCATGCAACTCGCGACTTCTGTCACTTTTGCCGGACTGCCGAACTAGCACAGAAAATGCAAGTGCCAGACAGGAGGCATATGCAATTAACCAAAGGTAACTGGTAATAGCATAGGGCTAAGCGAAGTTCTTAAGCGAAATTAGGTCACTTTTTATAAGCTTTTTGAACGTAGTTCCAGACCGAGGCCATTAATTCAAACTCTGGGCCGCACCCGGTCTCGTACATATGAGGAGGAAAGGCAGGCGAGCCTTCTAATTCGCCCATTCAACAATGAGACGGTGCCCCCAACATTGTGCTGCCACAATGGCCAAAAATGTCCAATGGGCTAAAAAAGATTTTTCAACCTGTCAACGATGTCAGTTCCTGGGCGCCCTCGTATATTATGAAGATTACCATATTTCATTAATGACCCGAAATTTGCGGTCAAATTGTAAAATACCTTCGTTTTACCACCGCTTGTGCTTGATGTAGATACTCTTTCCTACTAAAATCCTCTTCACCTCCTTTTACCCACGACTTTGCCGACATCGGAATATAATCAGATAAATCTACTTTTCCCGCCGCACTCCTCTGTCAGTGTGGTGCGTCGCCTCGCGCAGGACAGCCTTCATGTCAAAGCCTATGTAACCCTGGCCACTTTCCTGTCTGGCCCGCCAATTTTTTTGTCCAGTATATATTTGCTCAAGAGTCATTTAATTTTCCTCTTTTTCTTCTTTTTTCTTCAGCCTGTTCTTGGATCTTGTGGAGGGACCCAATTTTGTCTTTTTACATGCAGATGATTCAATTGTCTTATCTCTTTGTGCTTCTCGCTTCATGGTCAGCGTTGGTCGCTGCCGAAACTCATACTTGGTACTTTGAAACCAATTGGGTGAAAGCAAACCCAGATGGAGTCTATGAACGTGATGTTATTGGTTTTAATGGATCTTGGCCCTTGCCTACTTTGCGTGTCAAGAAGGGTGATCGTGTTAACCTTTACTTGACTAATGGCTTTAAGGACAGAAACACTACTTTGCACTTCCATGGTATGTTCCAGAACGGAACTGCTCAGATGGATGGTCCAGAAATGGTGACTCAATGTCCTATTCCTCCTGGAGAGACTTTCTTGTACAACTTTACTGTCGCTGACCAAGTGGGTACCTACTGGTACCACTCCCACACGGCTGGCCAGTATGGTGATGGTATGAGAGCTCCATTCATCATTGAGGAAAAAAGCAAGGATGATTACCCATTTGATTTCGATGAAGAGCTCATTTTGCCTATCGGAGAATGGTATCACGATACTGCTGATGTTTTGCAACCAAAGTTTTTGAACAGATACAACCCAACTGGTGCTGAACCAATCCCTCAGAACCTTTTGTTTAATGAGACTAGAAACAATACTTGGAAGGTGGAACCAAATACCACCTATTTTGTACGTATTGTTAACATGGGTGGTTTCGTCTCCCAGTATTTGTACATGGAAGACCATGAGTTCGAGATTGTTGAAGTTGATGGCGTTTACGTGGAGAAGAACACCACTGATCTTCTCTACGTTACGATTGCTCAGCGTTACGGTGTTTTGATTAAAACTAAGGAGAAGGCTGACAAGAACTTTGCTTTCATGAATGCCTTTGACACTTCGATGTTGGATGTTATTCCCGGTGACTTGATTTTGAACAGCACCAATCTCATTCAATACACTGATGACACCTCAATGCCAGATGAATACTTGATTGACAGTTTTGATGACTTTTTTGATGATTACTACTTGGTGCCTAAAGATGGTGAAAAGCTTATGCCAGATTCTGACCAACAAGTAGTTATTTCAGTCAAGATGGACAACTTGGGCGACGGTGTTAATTATGCTTTCTTTAACGATGTTACCTATGTTGCCCCAAAGATTCCAATTCTTGCTACAGCTATGTCATCTGGTGATCTCGCCACCAACTCTATCATCTACGGTAACACCAACGCTTTTGTTTTGAAGAAGGATGAGACTATCGATATTGTCCTCAACAACGAGGATGATGGTACCCATCCTTTCCATTTGCACGGACATACTTTCCAGCTCATTGAGAGAGGACCAGAATTCCCTGATCCTGTTGCGTTCGACTACGATAACCATACTGATTTCCCTGAAGTTCCAATGAAAAGAGATACCATCTTCGTGAGAGGTAACTCCTATGCTGTGATGAGATTTAAGGCTGACAACCCTGGTGTTTGGTTTTTCCATTGCCATATCGAGTGGCATTTGGAGCAAGGTTTAGCCATTGTTCTCATTGAGGCTCCAGAGGAGATGCAAAAGGACCCAAGCCAGCAGTTCACCGAGAACCACAAGGAAGTCTGTCAGAAAGCTGGTATGAACCTTACTGGAAATGCTGCTGGTAATTCACATGACTTCTTGGATTTGACTGGTATGAACGTTCAACCTAAGCCTTTACCAGCTGGATTCACTGCCAGAGGTATTGTTGCTTTGGTCTTTTCTGCCATTGCTGGTGTCTTAGGTATGATTGCTATTACTATCTACGGTTTGGCAGACGTAAAGGACATCGATCAGCGTGTTGCTCGTGATTTGGATGTTGATCTTGATGACGCTGATGAGAGCTCGGAGCTTGTCGCCGGGGACTCATCTTCTCATAACAAATAATGGGGAAAATGCGCAAGAAAGAATTAAGGAAGAGGCTATGGGTTTGAGGAATTTGTACAAGAGACTTGCTATTAAATTGTGTGTGTGTCTGAAGAAAATCTCTTGTCTCAAATATCTCAAATGCTTATGGAAACCATTACCATTCTCGACACCCTTTCTTGCGATACAATATCTTCCCACTTGATTCTTAGAACGGCTCGACTATTTTTTTAAGACCCCTCCCACTTTTTTATATTCAATTTTTACCTGTTATTATCATGTTGTAGCTATGGCATGAACGCATTGTGCCTCCAGATTCGATTACCCCGAAGGTTACTTACTATCGTTTAATTCTTTTTAAGAAAAAAAAAATTATGTTATACCCCAGTAGAGCTACGTCGAAATACTTGTTTTTTTTTTTCTTTTTCCATCATGATCGTTCCTTGAACCGATGTCTCATGGCCTACAAATACTCAATTTTTCACCAGAGTCCCGCAGTGTTTGCAGACTTACCGCGTTTTTGGTGGATTTGAGACAAAACCTAAAGATTTTAAGCTTATTAAAAAAAACAACTAAAACTCATGAAACTACATAAATTATGCCTTAAGTAGAAAGTATAATTTTCAGACTATACGCCAAGCCTTAGTAAGTACGTAGGCCAAAAGTTCGAATATATTGTTGCTTCAAGTGTCAGGCACTAATTGTAGTGTTGAGTGTTGCATCAGTACACCTGATACTACTTCTCACTACGTACTGATAACCCAACCTGTGTAACCTTGACAAACATGTTCGAGGCAGTGTACATTACTGATGCTAAACATGCGCTTGTTTACGAGTATCTTGTACTGCTGTACTCACCTCATTTCTTACTGATAAGTCCAGTTATAGAGGCCACCCGCTACGAGGAGAATTCTGACCCTCTTAAATCAAACGAGGCTCCACTTCCATTGGTTAAAGTAAACCAAGAATTTCATGTTTGCTCACGGAAAGATGAGGGATTGATATTGTACCTTCTCTTTCTGACGTCAGCTGCTGAAAAAACAAACCCACTCACACCGTTCCTTTTCATCAACAGGTTGTTGGATGTAATGCACGAGTATTTCGGTGCCCCGCTTACAGTGTCGAAAGTTGATGCTAATACCGATACGCTCACCCTTTTGCTTAACGAAATGATCGATAATGGCATACCAAATATAACAGATTCGAATCAGCTTCGGGATTTGGTGCTGGTGAAGAGCTTTCTTAGCAAAATTTTGAGCTCAGGGACAGATATTGCCTCAGCAGCATCCAAGAAAACACTCTCCTCATTTTCTGGCGTTTCTAAGCCCCTGGTATCATCCACACCACTGAATGCTGATAACGAAACTGTGCCTTGGCGCAGAGCAAATGTCAAGTACACGAATAATGAAATGTATGTTGATTTCATTGAGACGGTGAATGTGATCCTTAAACCCAAGAAAAGCAGGAAGAAAGTTGAGCTTCTATCGTCTCAGAACTTTGATTCAGTATTCTATTCTACGTCAACTGTGACATCATCATCCAACAAACTATCTCCTGTCACCGGTTCCATAAACGGGCAGCTTGACTTCCTATGCCGGCTTTCAGGAGAACCATCCTTGCAAATCGCTTTCAATTCTGCATCTTCGTACATTGAGGCTCCACGCTTCCATCCATGTATCAATGTAGACTCATGGCAACGAAGCAAGGATACACTTTCTTTCATCCCGCCTGACGGTCAATCTACTCTTATGTCATATCAGGTTGATTTGGACAATCTTCCACAGAAAAAGTCTCTATCGATGCTTGGGTTGCCAGAGTTTGATTGTCAGCTGGGACTAGGCATTAATGAGAACGAGTTTGAAGTGCGGGTTATCACTTCCAAACATCATGGTATCTCAAAGATCGATGCAATCAAGCTTGAGGTTTTTGCCTTCGAACAAAACGTGTCACTTTTGACAGGCGGTGAAGTTAGTGACGATGATGAGAACGAATCTAACAATATGGTCAATACCATAAAATCGATCAAAGTAACTCATGGTGACTTTAGATACAAAGGAGAGGGAAAAGGTGAGTGGGTAATGAAGGACCTTGTCCCGGGCGTACAACCCGTCTTTAGAGGCTGCATTCATACCGCCGACGATGATGCTCTTACCGATTCATCAAGAACTCCTTCATTGCACGAGAATCTCATTGAAGTTACGGATGAATCGAACAAGGCCTCTGCAAAGAAACCAGTGGCACCTCTCTTCTACAATGTGTCATTCACATATAAAGGCGGCCTAGCCAGTGGCCTTAAAATCGATAATTTGAAAGTTATCAGTTCTAAAGGATTAGGCGACTCTGTTAAACCTTACAAGGGTGTCAGATATATTACCACCACAGGGGATTATGCTATTCGCATGTGAGGAACGAAATTCCAACGCAATAATATTAAAGACAAACAACAATATATTTATAGAATGATGATATGCTAATCAACTCTTCGACCACGCGCTATTAGTCCTATATTGTTAATACCTTGTCTGGAAATTGGATTATTCAGATTTCTTACTCTTTTTAGCCTTCTCCTTCTCGGCGTTCTTTATTAAAACATGGCCAATGAAAGAGCCAACGGCCAATACAGCTATCAAAAGTAGAAGGAGCGGCAATTTGATAGCGTATTCACGGGGCAAGAAGAAGCTTTGGATCACGGAGTCGTCACCAATGAAGGGCAAGACAAACACCCAGGTAGTATAATATGAAAACACAAAAGTTGCCACAGCAAGCATTGCCAAGCCAACGAGCTTATCACAGGACTGAAGGTTAGTGAAAATTATTACTTATCGGAGAATTTGAATACCATACCATGTTGATTGAATGCTGGGGACGCTACTCTGAGAAATCAGTTTACGTGTTTCCCAAATTCAAGCACCCGTACCTCTCACACTACAGTTGATCCAAATAAAAAGGGATACTGAAGTAAGCTTGCTTGCAATGACTCGGCATTTTTTTTTTTTTTTTTTTTTTTATTCTTTGTCGTTTCATCTTCTCTATAAGCAAACTATACAAAGGAGGATATTAAAATGTATAGATACATGTATAATGAAGTTTACAATCATCATCAATTGCTTACTGTTTCTTCCGACCAAGAAAATGCCCAATTTAAGCCAAGTGCAAGACGACTGTCCTTTGCACAAAACTCAACTCTTCTATAAAAATTCTTCATTTTTTATCAAGCTGGATCCAACTTCTTCATCATAGCAAACCTGGCTGTGTCCCATCTCTTGTGCAGCCATTTTTCGCAGTCAGCTCGGCTTCATGCACACATCAAGAATCGCCAGACCTCCACTCTTCTTTACGATATGTTCAATAAATTGAAGCTGAGGAAAGCTCCTCTTTCACTCTCTTCTGTGTCAAATGCTATAAAGAATGCAGGGAATGCAGACTTATCACCGCAAGATCTCGCACCAAAGCATCTAAAGCTAGCGGTTGGGGATCAATTGGGTCTTCCCCCAGATTCCATCGTAACCGCTGCATATGACCCCGTTCAATCTCTTTTGGCAATTTGCACGAAGGAAAATACCATCCATGTTTATGGTCAGCAGACTGTTGAGGTGGTCTTCGAGTTCAAGACATCAAGCACCATTGAACATTTGAGGTTCATCAAGGGTGTTTACTTGGTGTGTGTTCAATCACTGGGAGGAATCACCGTGTTGTCGTTGCACTCCAAATCCATTTTAGCCAACTATACTTGCCCTGGTACTGTCACGGCAGTAGCATCAGACCCTTCTTTGGATTGGTTAGCTGTTGGGCTTAACAACGGTTCGGTTGTGTTTTATGATGTTGACAGATTTACGCTTGCTCCTTTACGAGTTGATAATTTGCAAAAGATGGTCATACCCAAGCAAAAGATGTCACCAGTGCTTGGTATCGAATGGCATCCAAGAGATATTGGCACTCTTTTGGTAACTTACGATCATTGTGTAGTCCAGTGGTCTATTACACTGGGCATTATCAAGAACGCATTTGTTTACCAATTAACTCGAGAATGCAGAGGATTTGAATACTCTAACTTTGTTGAGCGTGGAGGCAAGAAAAAAGTGTTTGGGTCTGCCAAGGAGATTATACCCCTGGTGGCAGAGGCCCATTACCACCCTAACGGTCTTCACATGGTGTCCGTACACAACGACGGAACACTTGCTTTTTGGGATACAAACTCAGCGACTTTACTTGAAGCCAGGACAGTGATGGCAACGGGCCTTCAAAAGCACGGTGAGCCTGCCGGTAATCTCAATTTTGAAGAAGCACCTTTGGCAATTCGAGCAAGGTGGATAGCCGGTTTGGACCCCGAACTTACACAACTTCTAGTGACCGGTGCTTCTAGATCAGACCCTGAATGCGTTGATGTATTAGACTTTGGCTTAACGTTGAAGTATAGTTTAACTTCACACGAGAAACAAGGCGAATTCTATTCTCGTCCTCAGGATGGCCAAAGAAAGCTAACGGTAGCTTTCAATCGCAGAAAAAAGGATGATGGACCTAATGAGATTATTGAAAAGATTATCCCTCTCGCACAAGACGGACTATTATACTTCAATGGCTGTCATAACCCATCTAGTATACTTTTCATTTCCAATTTGGGTGCAGTTTACTTGACCAAGTACAACCCAGAAGCGGGAGGCCTTGCTACTACCAGGAACCTCCTTCTTCCTCCATCATTGTCATTTACCGTTCCACCAACGACTTTCTTCTCGACAGTTTCTGTCAAGAGGATGGAGTGGTTCGGCGTGCTCTCCAGCAGGAAAAATGCCGCTGCTAATCAAAATGATCTGGCTTTAGTCAATGGTGGCGCTCCTGTGAACAAAAGCTTTCCAAAAACTGTTGGGTTTGATGATAACTACCACAATATTGTGATCACAGGACACGAAAATGGTGATGTGAGATTTTTAGACGTCACAGCAGGCGAGTTTCATAACGAAGAAAAGTTGATTGCTTTGGAATTCAGAAATACCCTTTTTAACGGAAAAGAATCAAGTTCTTATCGCATTGCACAAGTGTCATGCAGTTTTGAGAGCAGGGAAATGATAGTTGGTCTAGCGAACGGAAATGTTGTGATTTGTAAAGTCGCCAAGCTTGGCCATAACCCATTAGCACAACCTCCTGCAAACCAAGGGTATGATCAATGTCCTGTTCAACACCGAAATGGACAAGCCCGTATTGTCAATTTGAGGAACAGAATACTGGGCCCCTTTTCCTCCTCTAGTTTTCTTCCAGAACATCTTTTAGTGCTCGACCTGAAAGATAAAATCACGAGCCTTAAGATGTCGCAAGCAGGATTTGCCGCTGTCGGCTACAGGTCGGGTAGACTTGTTGTTTGCGATGTATCCAGAGGTCCGGCTGTCATATTAAACCAAGAATTCGTCTCTAGCTACGTTCCCTCAGTCTCTGGAGAGTGCTTCGTGACTACAATTGAATTCGCTATCATGGAATACGGACAGGAAGGCTATTCTTCTTTGTTGATGCTTTGTGGAACCAGTGCCGGGGGAAATCTTCTTGTATTCAAGATCGTTCCTCTTCCATCGGGAGGATTTGAGGTGCAGCTAGCAGACAAAACTATCGGTCTTAATTATAGAAGTTCAGAGAACAACCTGGATAGTGGGCTTGATAAAATCATTCCAATCAATGTTTCAAACGGGTCTCTGGCTGTGGCCACCCTTGATGTGTTCCAAAGATTAGCCCAGGGTGTTCAGATTCAGGGCTTGATCGTCACCACATCCGCTCGGGACATCCGAGTCTTGAAGACTCCAAAGCAAAAGCTAGCGCATAAGGTCGTGGATGAGAATTGCGTTGCGAGTGGTCTTGTGAACTTTCGTGCCGCTAAGGGTGTTGTTCTTGCGCTGTTAACAAAGAACGGCTTTTTGAAGCTCTTTTCTTTACCTGCCTTGAGTGAGTTAGCGGACATCAAATTACCCAACGATGTTTACAAACGTATCCAAAGAGTTTTGGAAGGCCGGAGTAGTTCAGGTTCCGAAATTCTTCCATCAGGTGAAGTCATCCTCAAGCTCAACCAATCCGAAATGCTTGACTTTATGCTCTACGACGAGAAATCACACAAAGAACCCAAAGAAAAGCTTTCAGATCTTTTGTTTAATGAAAATGCAATCATGCCACCACGCCCGGCAGCTGGTGCATTACTGTGGGCAAAGGGACAAACCACTTTTGTTACTCCAAAAGATCTAGCTGCCTTGATAGCCGGTCCAAATAGGAAACCAGCGAAGCATCTCGAGAGTGACTTGGCCTACAATATTAGTCCGGAAGCAAACCCAAACCAATCTTACGCATATGGCGCACCCTCAACGAAAGGTGGAAGAAAAGATAGAGCCTACGACGAGCCAGTCAGGAAGTCAGCAAATGCCAATCCATACTCTTTTGGAACGCAAGGGTTCATGAAATCAATGAGAGATGGCTTGGATTATGTCGAGAACGGTATTAACGACTTTGGAAGCGGCCTCTCTGAATCGATGACGGAGACAGCTGACAGTACCAAGAAGTCATTTTATTCGCTGGCCGTGAAGTCAAAATTTGGATTTTAATTACCAAAGGGACTTAACAAAAATCCATTTTTTATGCGCAATACTATAGACCTTTGAGTTTTTTAATATAATCTAGCTAGGAGAGATTTTCGGGCTGTTCTCTATATAACTTGTTTGCCTACTCTGCGCCGTGTGTACAGACCGCGATCTGTGTTTACCTTTTGATATCAGCAAACGGCCTTCTACTCTACAGAGCTTGTCAGGATGTCATACCAAGGAAAAGAAAACGTCGAAACGACCCCATCTAAATGCGGTGACAAGTCTTTCGCTGAAAACTCTCCCACTCCCTCCAAGAGAACCCTTCGCCCTATTTCGCCGAATAAACAGAATACCGTTGGGGTTGGAAAGTTGAGCTTTCTCCAAAGTGATAATATTGACGACCACTTTGAGCAAATCCATGGCTCCAGCGAAGAAATAAAACAAACTTTGTATGATATACAGACAAATACCAAGCAGACAAGCGTTGATCTTGGACAGCTTATTGACAGATCGAAGAATAACAATCAGAATTTGAACCGCGTGCTCGAAAGCATCGCCAAGTATTCCGAAGAGGTCACTACGGAGGGAAATGCAACAAAACATGACGTTACCAAGATCCTAGAGAGACTTGATTCATTCGACAACGTTGGGACAAAAGAAGAGCTTCACCAAATCCGTGAATTGCTCAACTCCGGGCAAGGGGAGGGTCATATTTCTGAAGTACTCACGCTACTTAATAGTGTCAAAGAGGATAACAAATCCTCAACATCAAAAATTCGTGAAGATCTCGACAAGCTTTCACTTTCGCTTGAATTACAGGAGCCTTCATCGCAACAACATTCTCCCGGTCTTGCCAAAGATATAGATGCGATAAGAGCGATAGTGGAAGAGCAGTCTCGCACTATTCTGATTCTCGAGCGAAAATTGGACTTACAGAAGTCTTTCCAGGAGCTCGACAAACGGAATGCTGAACTTAAGCGCAACTACGCTCTTCTTAGTGAAAGTTATAAGGAGAAGTTCAACCAGTACACTCATTTAAGCGAGCAGTATAATACACTTGAGCTTAGTGCGAGACAGCTATCGAAAGATATTGAAGGAAGCAGCACGCAGAAGTATAACAATCTACAACAATTACACTCCCAAAGACTTGGTGCCTTTGCTGATGCATCTAATGGAGGAGGCATAGACATACCAAAGAAGAGAGTGGTGAGTATGCCTCTCAAGGAAGTGAAAGAAGAAGTTTATGGGGCTAACGAGGAATTTTAATGGATTAATGAACAGACTATTTACAAGCTTCAATCTAATTTTGTGTAATGACCTTTTTGCCATCCATGTATGGTCTGAGTACATCAGGTATGACAACCGCATTCAGTTCAGAATCGTAGTTTTGTTCAAGGATGGCAACGATCATCCTTGGAACAGCCATGGCCGTCCCGTTGAGTGTGTGTATATGAGAAAACCCTTCCTTTGTCTTATAGCGAATACCAAGTCGCCGGCTTTGGTAGTCAGTACAGTTCGAACTACTGGTGAGTTCACCCCATCCTCCTCTTCCCGGCATCCATGCTTCGCAATCGTACTTCTTTACCGCAGGGGCACCCAAATCAGTAGTAGGCATGTTCAACATTTTCGCTTTGATACCTAAGTCCTTGATTATTGACGTCTGAAACTCACGCAATTCTTCTAGTTCAGAAACAGACTTGTCGGGTGTTGTAAAGTGAAAGAGCTCTACCTTGGTGAACTCATGCACTCGATAGAGACCAGTAGTATCTTTACCGTTTGCTCCAGCTTCTGCTCTGTAGGAGCGTGATACACCAACATACTTAGCTGGAAGTTGATCTTCCAGCATTGTCGAGGAGGAATGGAGAGCACCCATCGGGATTTCTGCAGTGCCAGTAAGAGATAGAGACTCTCCTTCTAGCTCGTAGACCTGCTTTTCATCATTCTGATCTCTTGGTTTAAATCCACAGGCATGCGTAATCTCATTTTTGACAATACTGGGTGGAATGACCATCGTATAACCAGACTGTCTCGCTTTTGATAAGGCATATTGAACCAAGGCTTGTTCCAAAAGAGCTCCATCTCCGACAAGATAATACCAAGAGGATCCTGAGATTCTAGAAGCAACGGTGAAGTTCACTATGTTAAGCTTTTCTGCAATAGCCTTATGGTCCATCAGTGTGACAGGTAACAGGGAGATTATAGATTCTTCGGATGCTTCATTGATTATTGAGTGAACTTCTGGCACGTCAGGGTCACTAGGAACGGAACCATCTAACCAATTAGGCAATGATTCTGTATGCTTATGTATGAGTTCAGATAGCTGTGAAAGGCGACCTTCAAGCAGTGCGATGGTAGGTTTCAAAGAACCAAGGCTCTTTTGCAACTCTGCTATTTCCGCTTCAGTTGCCCCCCTAGACTTGAGCTCAGCTAGTCTAGATCCTCCCTGCTTTCTTTCCTTTACTAACTGGTCTCTTTCTCGTTGTAATTCCCTCTCCTTGTCTCGATTGTCTAGGATGAATTCGAGATCGGCATGAGAAAGACCACGACGCCGAAGGACATGCTTCATATCCTCGCTCTGAGCAATTATGCCTTTAACATCGAGGATGGGCTTCTTAAGAGTGGTTGTACTTTTGAAAGAGCTTAGGCATCGGCTCCAAGTTCGGAAAGGTTTCATAATATACTTGTATTAATATTATGATGAGTGCGTATGTATGGATGCAAATCAGTGTGGGTGCGAAGATCGAACCGTTGAATTATACAAGTGATTTGAGTGAAGTAGTATAATTATAAATATTTACAAGTGGCCTATTATTTCCATAGCCCTAGCATCACCCTTACTTAATTCTTCGTCATCTAATGCTTCTGCTAAGCATTTCCAGGGATCACGGGCACCGCCCCATTTGAGTATACTCTCCTTGTACTTCTCGCCTGCAGCACGGCTCCAAGGATCGTCTTTGAAAAGGCCGTTCCAAACTTTTTCAGCTATGGCTCGGTCCAATAAATATGAGTAGTAAACAGCTCCGTACGAAAATAAGTGCGGGAACTTTCCATGCCATGTAGACCACTGATCAGCAAACACCTTAAGCTCACCTTCGAGATGGTGGTATACAGAAGTCGAACTGAATTTTTTGAACGATTCATGATTGCTGAAGTCCACTACCTTCTCATCATGCAAAACTTGATCAAGAAGGGCCATTTTAGATTGCATGTAAGATTCACAATGTTTGAGGGAGTCTCTCTTTGCCTGATGGTTCCTTAAGAGAGATTCAGGCAACAGTTCACCTGTCTTGTAATGTTTAGCGATCTTACAAAGCACTCTTGGGTCATTACTGAAGGACTCCATAAGCACAGAAGGAAGTTCCACAAAGTCTGTCAGACAGCGAGTGCCAGACAAGTTATGAAGCCTTGTACGCCCGAGCATCGAATGCATTGCATGGCCCATCTCGTGGAAGATTGTGTCCACCTGTTCAAGTGTCAAAAGAGTCGGCATGTCGCTATCTAAACCAGCAAGACGACCCATACCGGTACTTTTTGGTTTCTGGAAATTGCAAACGAGCGAGATAACTGGAAGCTGATAATCTTTATCTTTACTGAGATGAACAGCCTGCTCCATATCTTCCCTCAGTTCCGTACCAATAGAGGTATTAAGCTCTCTTGAGCACACGATAGTAAAATGAGATGGAAGCACTTTCTCCGACCAGAAGTCAACGTATAAGTACCCCAATACCTCATTATTCGTGAGATCCATGTACTTGAGTTTGCGAACACTGCTGTGATCCCATGTTTCGCCCTTGTCAGTTCTCTCAGGCACAAGAGAGACGTTATAGATACTCTGGAAGAGTTTACTGAGCCCATTCATGACAGTGCCGACAGACAAGTACTCAGATATCTCTTCATCATGCAGACTGAGGTCGGAGTCCTTCATCATCTTCGCAAGCAAGTAATCTCTGTCCCAAGGTTTGACTTCGGAAAGGACCTCATCATTCGAGACAGCAAGGCCACTTCCATTCTTGTACTTGTACAACCTTCTGAGTTCACTCATGACTCCCTTTTTCTCTGAAAGAAGAGTTTCCTGAAGGTTGGTCAAGAATGCAATAACATTATGTGGAGATTTCGCCATCTTGTGCTCAAGCTGATAGTCTGCGAATGACAGATACCCAAGCATATTGGCTAATAAAGCACGGTACTTGACAAAACTGTCCAACGTCTTTATTTGACGCTTAGGGGAATTATGCAAAGCTATCCAAACCTTTCTTCTTACCTCTTCATTAGAACATCTTACTAAGATAGAATAAGGTAACAGTCCAGCGAGTGGGATGGATATACCGTGATTAGTTCGTGGTGCTTTCGCCTGGAAATCTTTTATCTCAGATTTGAGCCTTTCGTCGCCGATCAACTCGAATTCTTGTGGACTGATAGTGCACCAAAAGCTTTCAAGATCATGAACTTCGTTGTTGTACGATGCACCTAATAGTGAGATCTGCTGAGTGATTGCAACGAAGTTATTTCTAGTTTCGGGATCCATCGCAATACCAGATCTTTCGAAGTCCTGGCGTAAGTACTTTCCGACGTCGATCTCTTCCTGACTTAAGTGGTGCACGATATCCAGATCAAGTATCTGAGCTAACGTACGATACAAATCGACGTTTGTATTGAGCTGATTCATGTATTCAAACATTATCTCGTGGGTATTCTGGGCCGCCGCTACCCATTTCTGGCTTGGATGGACCACTCTTATAAATTCAGCAGCATCTATTACACGACACAATATATCACTAAGCTGGTCAAGTTTCCGTATATAACTAAGCTTGCCTTGGTCAGTGTTTTTCGCTTCCAAGAGCATGGTCTTGACTAAGCTCTTAGCTTTTTTAAGAGACTCTTTCGAGAATTCTATGAGCCCATCTGGGGATTTTAGTTTCTCATTTCTGAACAAACCGACATGCTTCGTCGAGAAATATCCGCCAGGTGCCTTGTTAAAATTCGAGAAGCACTTTTGGCTGTCGAATAAGCGAGTGAGCTGGTCGCCTTGGATAGGTTTTCGTATAGCGACCGAGGAGGAAATCGCCCTTGTTAACGCTAGCTTTGGCAAGCTACGTAGCTGTACGGACGATGCAAACATGCTTGTAAAAGGAACGATGGAGGCAATAAGCAGGTTCTTGGTCAGTTGGATAAAAGTTGCAAATGTACTGCAGGAGATATTTTCCAGCTACTGTGAGATTTCCTGACTTCGAAACATAAGCGGGCAGGATCCAGAATCCTAGTCGGCAGGAACGAAGGTATTTCATTAATGTTTTGGAATACTAACTAATTTTTTTATTTTTTAATATCTTAGCATTCTAGATAACTCAAAAATGGCTTTGGTTGGTTCACTATAGCTTTAGGGTCCTGATAAGGCGCATTCCAGATGTGACGTAATGCTCACAGGCCCTTTCGCAGCCAATGTCGAAGTCTGGGGTCGAGAACTCCTCACGCTTTGTTATGCCAACCGTTGCAAATGTTCTGCTACGGTAAAAGATGTCCCAAATAATTTAACTGTTGTCAAAAAAAGTATCTTTTTGTTCCACCTACAATTTTTCTCAACTCCCCAAGCCTTTTCTAGCGTGACACCAAGTCTCTATGTAGCAAAAGACTTGATCTTGTGCTCGAAAGGTTCGTTCGAATGCTTGTGCTACATGAAGGGTGACCAAGCACTCTTCAGATATCCACTAATGGGTTTAGACCTCGTTTGATTCTGCTCATCTCTGCATGCCCTCATCTACCTGAAAACATTATGAATGGGCAGTGTAGCATCCTTTTAGGAAAGAGTAACGAATTGGTTGACTTTTCTTGTGTATAGTGTCGCTTCCCTCCTATGACTAGTACACTTCTCTACTAATTGTAAGACCTCTTATAACACAGTTTAAGCTTTACGAATATTGGTCAAATCGCCTGAAGAGATATACCATGGTTTCAGCAACCCCTTGATAACCTGAATATCCAAGAAAAGTTTGACCCCGTGTAATCCGACAAAAGCTTGTCCAAGTGAGACATTTCGCAGCCAAGTAACTGACTCGACAAGTCGACACATCGCAGAGAACAGCAGCAATTAGCAGAAGATCAGGAGTCAACGCAGCAGCCAGTGAGGTAGAGAAGAAAAGCGGAACGTTCACAAAAAGCCAATTTTACCGTTTACGCCTTTGTGCCTACAATTCATCGGCCCAGCCATTATTCGCACCGAATAGGCCTATCCAAAAACACAACTTGCTACGGTACCTAGCTTGCGACTTCTGGCACATACTCTCGTGGCTTCAATCTATTTACGTCAAACGTTTACACCATCAACCAAAGTACCCCGAGAAAAGCTAGCTTTCTGCCCTTTACATACCAGTCCTAGACTAGCCTTGCATTCTTCCACGATCCCCTTTTTTGGCAGCGTTTCATCTTTCCATAACTCAACCAGTTAAGTTGCTACTAGTCCATGTCAACTCAGACCCAGCCCTCAATGGTGGGCAATAACGGGCCCCTGGGACCTACGGAAGGTCAGAAAGACGTTAATGGTACCAATCCACCTAGAAGAAGAACAGCAAGAGACTATCAATTTGGCACTAGGATCGGCGAGGGCTCTTACTCGACCGTCTATTCTGCCATGGATCTCTACAACAACAAGACGTATGCCATAAAAGTTCTCCTGAAACGCCATATCGTGAAAGAAGACAAGATAAAGTATGTTAATATTGAGAAGTCGACGTTACACCGCTTGGGCCAACAGCATCCAGGTATTGTCCAGCTTTACTATACATTCCAGGACGATGCCAGTCTCTTCTTCGTATTGGATTTCGCCGAATACGGCGAGCTTCTTTCCATCATCAGCAAGTTTGGCTCCCTTTCAGAGCAAGTACTGAAGTTCTATATGATTCAAATAATTGACGCTGTTAAATTCATTCACCTGAAGGGAGTCATACATAGAGACTTGAAGCCAGAGAATATCTTGGTTGGCTACGATTTTAATTTGAAGATTACCGATTTTGGTGCTGCAAAGCTACTTGGGGAAGTTGAAGACCCTCAGGGCGAAGCCATTAATTATGACACAGTGCTGGAGAAACCGCAAAAGGATAGGCGTGGATCTTTTGTGGGTACGGCCGAATATGTTCCCCCTGAATTACTTCAATACAATGAATGTGGTTTCGAAAGTGATGTTTGGGCCCTTGGATGCATCTTGTATCAGTTTTTCAACGGGCTTCCTCCATTTAAAGGTCCCACAGAGTACTTGACGTTCGAGAAAATTATCGGCGTCAACTATACCTATAGAAACCCTGTACCTCCAGGGGTCAAAGAAATCGTTGATCAGACTCTCATTGCCGAGGCACATCAGAGACTCACAATTCTGCAGATTCAATCGAAGGCTTGGTTTGCTGGAGTACCGTGGGACGATCGGAACTTCATATGGAATCGAAAAGTGCCCAGGTTCGAGCCTTATCACCCCGGTGCTCCACCAGCATCGCAACAGAACTTCGGAACTCCAGCCATGAAGTCAGGTTCGAGCAGGAACATCAATAAATCGACATCGAACTACCAACTTCATTCACAAATCCAACTGCTGGCGGATTTCAATTTGGTACCAACTATGGCGGGCAAAAAAACTCACCAACCACCTACCAGAATAAAGAAAGGTATGAGCTCAGGAAGCATCCCGACAGTTGCGGCCGCTGCGGCTCATAGACCAGTGGAAACGACCACTCAAATTATGCCAAATGATCCCAACTTTTTGCCTCCCAACCCGTCTCAACAAGCCCGCAAAATGCCACCGTTAAAGCAACGGCCATCAGCAGATGCGAGGATGCCTCCGCATGGTGGCATGGGACAGCTACAGTCGTCTCCGCAGTTTCAATACCACCCACCCCACCAACCAGGCCCAATGATGCAAAAACAGGCAGCTTCACCCGGGCAAAGACGCCCTATGCCTCGAACGCATAACTCTACCCCATCTCAACCTGGTGGTATCCCCGTTTTAGAGAACAAGATGGCAGAGACACAGATATCGTCAGGACATTCGTCTCCTCGCTCTCCACAGTACAAAGATTTACGCTCTGGTACCGCATTCGCCAGACCATCATCTCGACCTAGCTCTGCCTCTAGCAGCTCGCCTACTTCGCCCAAGTTGCCACAGGGAAATGGTGCCTCGCTGGCTGCTAAGAGTGCTGCAAATCTCTCTGCCAACAGAGCTACCAGCGCAAGCAAACCAAAACCACAAGCGGAACGTGCACGCACACCTGTTAAGAAACCAATCGTCGAGAAGTCTCCGGAGCCGGCTCCAAATACTGTTACTTTCAAGGAAATCTCCTCCTTTTTGGAGCCAGATGAGAAGGTTATTAAACTTGATACAATCCTTAAGCTGCAATTAAGTAACAAGCTTATCGATCGAAAGCCGGGTAGCATCGATGATGAAACAATCGAACGTCTTGTCGATAGATATCAGGATGTGCTCGATAGAAATATGGTTCCCGTGGTTGCTTGCGTCAGTAACAAGGCCCGGATCTTTTTGATTTATGAAAATCTTGAAGTCATGCTGGTTGATCTCACTGCGAACCAGGGAGGAGATTATCTGATGTATGACTATGAGTTTGAAAGTGTTTACGTTGACGACGAAGACACGAGTCCTTCCCATGGTGAAGAGGTCTACGGGTATCTTATCCTTGAATTGATTAAAGAAGGCGGGGATCTCGTGTTCCTTAAACGAGTTAAGGACGATCAGAAATTCAAGTATGAGAAGTCTGCTCGTGTTGTTGATAAAAAAGGCGATGTGGTACGTATTGGAGAGCACTTAGGTTGGATTGATTGCTTGATCTGGGCCAAGGACTTGGTTAGCGAACAAGCTAAGCAGCCCAAAAAGACAAACAGCAAGAAAGCTGCAACCAAAACTGCTCCGAGAGCTTCCTCAAAAACACTCACCAAGAACGGCGCCAAATCTGGTGGATCGAGGTCGTCCTCCTCCTCTCAAAAGGCACCACCCAAGAAGTCCGGTAACGTATTAGCATACGCTGCAGCTGCCGCTGCTGGCAGATAGATTGATAAATGTACAAATAGAAGACAATTTTTAAAGTTAGTTATACCCCTATTTACTAACCATGTCTGCAAATTGTTGGAGCCAGTCCTTGTAATAGCACTTGTCGTTGAAGATTTTTGTTGTCTCTTCTCTTATGATCTTCTCCACATTCTCTTCATTGCGAACCCAATTCTCTATCGTAGCTCTTCGAGCATTTTGCTGTTCAATCTTGTCAAGATCGTCCTTCATTGCATACGGGTTGGTCCTTAAGTCGTAGTCTGCTGGATTGGGCCTCGAAGCAGCCACTTCTTGCTCTAGTTTCTTAGCATAATCCGAACAGAATTGAATGGCATGCGCTCGAGCTTGCCACTGGGGAACAATTTTCTTATTGAAATACGAGTCACAATCAGAAGGCCTCGTTTCGTTCAAATGTTGGCTTATCGTATCGTCTGTGGCGATCCTAGAGAGTCTAAGAAAAGCCCTTATCCTAGAGGAGTCTTCGCAGTTTGCTGTAGTAAGCAATTCCACAGGTGCAACCAGCAGCTGATTAGACAGCTTTTTATAGAAGAAATCTGACATGGAGGAGGCACGTTGGCGTCAGCACCGCTTGAACGTGATTTTTGAATATGTAGTCGATAAGAGATTCGCAATCGCGCCTAGTACTATGTTTGGTGGGGGTTGATGAGAGGGAGTCCTTAAGTCATTTCTCACTGTCAAAATATTACACAGGCTTTGTTAAATCATCGAGCTTTCTCGGTGAGGATTCTTTCAATATGGAGCTCTTATGAAATGAATCGGTTTATATGGAAGTAAAAGTGCATTCAAATTTTCTTTTTATCCCCTTCTTTCATTCCGACTTTTAATTGGCTTGCTGCTGGCTCCGAAATTTTTCTTCTTTTTCAAGAACAGTCGATAACGTTTTATTATTTGGGTTAACAGGTGGCCCTCAGTTGCCAAAAAGCTCTCATTCTCTGCTTAAGCCGACCTCATTGAGTTCAAAGTAGGGGTGATATAGAAAGTGTGAGACATGTCTATGTCAAGATAGTGATCCAAATTACTGGAATCTCCTCATTTCATGCAATACTCATATTATCAAAGCTTAACAGAAAGATAACATTTCAATAGCAATTTTGACTTCTTTAACTACCAAGCATCAGAAATGTCAAGGGACTAAAGAGGGTAGATTGAAAAAGCCGTAGACTCTAGATGCGAGATTGAGGCGGACATATCTCGATATGCATCTTATGCTAAGTTCCTTGACACCCGCCTTGAGGAGAAAACCTTTGTGGTTTAAAAGTTGCGGGATCATTGCGCCTCAAAGGATGAAGACTTTAAATTGAGCCCATTCTGCTGAATTTGGAAATTAGGGGGAATCACTGCTCTTGATGACTGAGTTATACGATATCCTTTCGCCTAGTTCTCAGGAGTCATATAAGGCTTGGTCAGCAAACATAACATCATTGAATGTGTATGAGCTGATCGGACCTGGAAACTCTACATACTCCGTTTTAGCCAGAGTCATTGACGACCAGGAGAGGGTTTTGGAGTCTATAATTCTTGAAACCATTGTTCCCGCTGGTGACTGGTTAGACGCTTATGTGGAGAAGTTGAACAGCGAGATCGAGGGTACAGACGACGTTTTTGATGGCTTCGAAGAGTCAACGACAACTGAGACTACTTTGTGAGCTTTCGGTTTGTTGGGGATGTTTCGTACAGTATATGCTGGTTTACTTAGATCAATTGATTATTGGATTAGACACTTTCCTCGTGCAATATATGCTAGTTCTACATAGATAGATTGGTACTTCAATGAGCCCCTCACATAAATCTGAGAGTCCATCGTTGGCTACTTCTATATAGTTAAATTATCGACGAGTCTGGTTCCTCATTCTCTCTTCAGAAACCGTAGTCATCTGTAACTTCAGCGGGTTATTTCCGTAACATGCCACTTCAACAGTCACTGAAAACAGACAAATGCACCGCCATCCACCAGAAGCTGAGCAACGTCAATGTACGTGTGGTGCGAAATACGAGGGATGGATTTCGATGATGTTCAGCAAAGGTGGGGGACTGTCGCACTAAGTTTGGCGTATCTTCTTCACTCAGTAACCTGGAACACCCACGCACCATCATCTATTTATTGATCACAGTACCCAATTGATCGCCACAATGTTGGGCTTTTCTGACGAAAATTTATGGCGTTATGCCACCCGTGAAGTACTCAAGGAACACTTGGCGCTATATTCTACGAGCTTCAGCTCTCCTTCAACATCTATAGATCGTGAGAATCTGGCCCGAATGAAAGAAGATTTAGCGGCTGTGACAAGGTTTGCTGATACTGCAACGGCCATAAACTCCGGTATGGAGCATCACGATCCCCCATTTGCTCCAGTATCGAAGTATTTGACCGATTTGCTTCTTCCACCAAGTGTCACGTTACGTTACATTGAACTGGTCAACGAAAGGGTCGATGCCGAACCTGTCGAGAAGGAAAGGGAGGAAGAACTCCGTAAGACTTTGCATATTATTGGCAGTACTGCTGCTTCCATTGCCCTGGGAGAGACCCTGGCTGAAGGCAAGTTTGCTGCTCTATCTGGCGTAATGGCTGATCATCTTGAAAGCCTAATAGATTGGGCTTTTAAGGCCAACTCACCTATTGGAAACGAGCAAGTGAAGATCCAGGCTGTCGGGAGTGAACTTAAACGCAACGCAGTCGGCTGTTCATACTCCAGCTGGTTATCCACATTCCAAGCTGTTCTCAAATCACACCTTGATGCTGCTGGCGCCTCCGAGGACAGGCAGCGTGCTCAGAAGAAATACATTCTTCAACTTCGTGAGCTCGGAAATAATCTCATGACCAACCTTTCATATCCCCAGGCAATCAAGGTCTACACGACTGCAATTGACTCATGTTCAATTTTCACTGCTAACAACCTAGCCCAGCTCCATACGAATCGAGCAATTGCATTTATTGGACTTAACTGTTACCCAGAAGCAATCCAGGATCTTAAGTTGGCCATTCTGAGAGACAGAACATTCGTGCCTGCTTACGCCCAATTGGGTTACTGTGAATTGTATATGGGCCGTACTCTTCACGCCTTACGTGGTTACAAAAATGCTCTTGATGCATTGGCTGGAAACATAGATCCTCCATCCACTACGCTCGACTTTCAACAAAAGGAGGAATACAAGGATGCCATGGCCAAGTCTGCTTTCCCTCAATTTGTACATAAACTTGTTCAGGCCATAATCTTAACCGAGAAGAGAGCTAAGCAGCAAAGAGTGTCTTCAAATGATCTCAAGTTTTATATGACAGAGATAAAGAAGACATTGACTGAATTGCAACGGGTTGCAGACCCTGAGGAGCAGCACTTGTTCAATTATGTTTATGATGAGAACTTCGATCAGGTCAGGTCTACTGCGGTAAGAGCAAATCAGCATCGTCCATCCATCTTGACCCCCGAAGTCGCTCTGGATATATTGGCAGGCAGTCTGATGGAAGCTTCGACTGTCGCTATCCCTCTCACGGGTATGCCTGGAATGCCCAATTTAGCTCAACCTCGTCGTCGTGAAGGAAATACGAATGGCGCCAATCAAAATGAAACGACGGGTGATACGACAGCAAATGATGAAGGCGAAACAGCCACGAATGGGGAAACACCACAGACCGATACTTCAATCAGGGGCTTGATGAACCAGTTGGGTGACATTTTCGGGGACATGATGCAAGCACAAACTCTGAACTATTTCCCTAACGATGCCCCAAGAAACGGAGAGGGCTCTAATCCCCCACCGAATTTCGAAATCCACGTCGAAACCGTGGGTGGCCCTGTGCCTCATGGAGGACCAACCACTGATACCTCCGGACCAACAAACACCACTACAGAGAATAATAATAGGGCTACTGATGAAGGAACATCCAGCAACAATGCCAACGAAAGTGAAACGGCTCCAAATGGTAGAACAGAGACTACTAATAACGCAAATGGTTCAGGAAGAGAGAGCAGTCCAATGTGGGATTTGACAGAATCTCTCAACCACATGCTCGCTGGTGATTACCAGCCGGTATTCAACAACCTTATGCGCCATTTCGAACTGAGAGGTGGAAACGGAGCCCAAGGTGATCAACCAGACGTTGTGAGAGAAATCGTCCGCCGGGTTCGCGAGACACAGGCCAGCCAGCGCCTGAGTAGTCAGGGTAGCGAAAGCACGCCCAACCGGACCCAATCTCAGCAAAGCGAACGTGACGACCAAAGCATGCCTGATGCTGCTGATCTTGATTAGCTAATTATTTAAAATTTTATAATTACCTTCCCGCCAGGTTCGTATTGTAAGGATCCCAAATGTGGCTGTTCCTGCAGTTGATGTGCTGAGATAAGGAAAGTCACCATGTAGATACTACTCCCACTACTCAGACCTCAGCATATAGCACAGATTAGACGACCATGGCAGGACTCGAGCAATCACTCTTTCAACTAAAATTTACGGCGAAGCTGTTGAACCGACAGGCTTCCAAAGCTGCGAAGGAAGAACTTTCCGAGAAGGCAAAGACCAAGAAGGCAATGATGCAAGGGAACAGCGACATCGCCCAGCTTTACGCCCAGAACGCCATCAGAAAAGCCAACGAAAGGGTAAATCTCTTACGGCTAGCATCCAGGATTGATGCTGTTGCCTCACGAGTGCAAACGGCGGTGACTATGCGGTCAGTGACGGGTAACATGGCGCTGGTCATAAAAGGCATGGATAAAGCACTTCAGACAATGAACTTGGAGAGAATTTCTCTTGTCATGGACAAATTCGAAAACCAATTTGAAGATTTAGATGCATCTACTAACTACTACGAGTCGGCTACTAACAACGTTAATGCCTTGACCACCCCACAAGAGGAAGTAGATGAGTTGATGAGCCAGATTGCAGATGAGGCCGGCATTGAGATGAAGCAGGGACTCAACGAGACGAAGGTTGACATCCAAAGCCCCCCAGTGGCAAATATCACTGAAGAAAAGGAGGATAAGCTAGCAGAGAGATTACGTGCGTTGAGAAACTAGCGTACCGAAGCTTCCACACCACACACAGCCACACGAGGCCGAAGCAGGATCTTCTTTTTAGTAATCACATTGTATTGGTTTACAGACTTACATAGCAACATTACGCCGTATAGAACGAGCCAAGAGGCATAGTTGGTGGCACCATACCACCTAGTTCCAGCAATGTAGCATCTACAGGTATAGCGCCCACGAAAAAACAGGGGTGGGATTTGCAACCATATGAATGAATAATGAAATGCACTGGAACTCGTGGGCGCTCCAAGTTTATAGTGTACATGTAGCGTTAGCAATCGAGGCCAACCCCACAGACCAAAATTAAACAATGAAAAATTGGATTCATTGCAGCTTCACCAGAAATCCAAAGGCCAGGATGACTCGTAATTGCATTTCGCAGCTTATGGTCCCAGAACAGCAAAAATTAGGAAACGCCTGATGGCTAAAGCGTTATTTCTCGCACCTCTGTGGCCCCGGCCACATTTCTGCCTCCACAGAACTGCGGCTATTGCTCGGAGCCGACGTTCGAAGAAGAGGAATACGGTACAGCATTTTTTAGTTAAAAGGGTAAATGATTGATAATAATTGTGAAAAAAAGATCATCCGCTTTAAATTATTAGATGTACTACTTCTATTAAACTTTTCTCTTGTGGGCCAATTGACTCTACCACACTACATTGTCTAACGCCATACTTTGTAACCGGTCCCCATGAACCAGAACAACCGCAGTTGGTAAGCAGTCTGTCTCCTGTACGACCCTGCGCAATGATCCTAGTGAAACACCAAACGATCGGTGGAATTGGGACAAGCACGGTTCCGACCAAGTACTGGGGAACTGTCAGATGTTAGTAATCATTTAATTGCTCACGAGCCCTTCATGTGTTAACCGACCAATAGAAAATCCAAAGTGTGGGCCCCACTATGAGGAGTTGCGACCTGCACACTGGCAGGTCGGAGCCATATATATATGGGCGCTATCCCGGTTCCCCGTGGTCCATTGCTAGTTTTCCAAAGTTAAACTAACTCAATCAATTACTCAATGTTTACCGCCCCTATCAAAGCTAACAGTTCCCGTGTCGGTGCCGCCGCTTCTGGCGCTGCTGCTTCCGCAATTGGTGCCGTCAGACACAAGGTCTCTCTTCCAGACTTGGACTACGAGTTCGACGCCTTGGAGCCATACATCTCCGGTCAGATTAACGAGATCCACTACACCAAGCACCACCAGACTTACGTCACCGGCTACAACACTGCCATTGAGCAATTCGCCGAGGCCAAGCAGAAGGGTGAGGTGAAGAAGACCATTGAGTTGCAAAAGCTCATCAACTTCCACGGTGGTGGTTACACTAACCACTGCTTGTTCTGGAAGAACTTGGCTCCAAAGAGCCAGGGTGGTGGTGAGCCTCCATCTGAGGACTCTGAGCTTGCCAAGAAAATCAAGGAGCAATACGGTACTCTTGAGAACTTGCAGAACATCACCAACACCAAGTTGGCTGGTATCCAGGGTTCCGGTTGGGCCTTCCTTGTCAAGAACAAGGAGAACGGTGGTCTGTTGGACGTTGTCACCACTGCTAACCAGGACACTGTCACTGGTTCATTGGTGCCATTGGTTGCCATTGACGCTTGGGAGCACGCTTACTACTTGCAGTACCAGAACGTCAAGGCTGACTACTTCAAGGCTATCTGGAACGTTGTCAACTGGAAGGAGGCCGAGAAGAGATACGTTGTTAACTAAACGGTTACCTGAAGGTCACCTATGTATCACTGCAATGAATATTTATGCAATTGCTATCTAAAATGTAGACGTCCCGAGCATAGACGCTGCTTTCTTGGCATCAATCGAGCTAGGATCAATATCAGCCTTATTTTTGAGCCCTTCTTCTTTTTCCGCTTGCTGCTGAGTAAGACTTCGGAACTTACGTGAGCTCCATAGATCACCATTGGCACCCTGCGACTGTGCTAGGTTATGCTTCATTTGACTTAGGTGTTCTCGGTTCAACCGAGACAAACCTCCGTTCTCGTCAATTATTCTCACATCAAGTCTGATCTTCTCAAAATGATTCAAGAGCTTACGGTGTTGTTCCACCCTATTAAGCGTGAATTGTTTTAGGAGGGTCTTCATCTTCTTCTCCGTAAAGTCTACCACTTCTTTCCTCTCAAACATCATTTCACCGGATATTCTCTTCACTTGCATGTGGAGGCTTTCTTCTGACTTTTGAGCGAACTCAAGCGTGCGAATGGCCTCTTCGGCTCTGATAGGATCCAATGATGCCTTGCTTTTGATTTTAGTAGCTTGTACATGCTTGGCTTTAGTGTGTGCTTCAGCCTGTATTAGCTCTCTCATAATGAGATAACGGTTAGTTAGAGCCTCCTTGATTTCGAAAAAGTCAGCACTCATTGTCCTAGCGCCATCTCCAAGAGATCCCATGTCACTTATCAGCTTGATAAGTAACAAGTCGGCTTGAAATTGAGTTACTTTAGAGAGTTTTTCCCACAAGTTACGCATTCCAGGATGCACAGTTTCAAATTGAGAAAGACCTCTAAGCTTAGTGCCTAGTTCGCTGATATTTGTCAGAAGTTGGCGCTCCTGCTTATGGTTCTTATCCATGGTTTTGTTCAATCGCTGGCATAACAAATAAGCAGACTTGACTACTGGACGGAAAGTAGCTAGTTCCTGATAAGGGTCATAAGGAGTGGGCAATTGTTTCATAGTCTTTCTCACGAGCCCGCTAGCAACCAGGTGCTTTCGGTTTGAGTTGATAACAGAGTAGCCAAAGTCGCTTTCGATGAAATAGACGAATTCCTCGTCCCTCACCAAAATAGGGTTTCGCGTGATTCTGCTAAACCATTCCAGCCAGTTGTACAACTGTTGCTTTCTCTCATCCTCCCCGCCAGCAGGATAGGAGGTGACCGGACTTGGAATCACCGGAACGAACACCTCAAGGTTAGATACAATCAAGTACTCGTTGAATTTATGGACCTCATTATACGTCCGTCTGATGTCTTTATAAGTCTTCTCCCTGAATTTGGGCAATCCTCTTACGGATGCATCAAACCTGAGAATTGGATTATTTGGCTTGTTTTCTTCGATCTCACGGAGGTGGATTCTCATCAGATACTTGTTCGTGAAACGTTCAGGAAGAAGTTTTTTAAGATCTTCTTCCACTAACTTACCATTGCCACTTTCCTCGGATTGCTGGGTTTCCTGTTGTACTTTTTGTTGTTCCTCTTGCTGTTCCTCTTCTTCGCCTTCGATAGGATGTCCATAGAAACCACTGGTCAGATCTCTTACCTCAGGCTCAGCCACATCCTCAGTCATGAGCCCCACGTTGACAGTGGGAGAATCTTGCCCAGGCTCAGCAAAAGGATTATTATTTTCAAAGTCTTCTGGATCGTATGGTATGCTAGTTGCCATTGTCGTGGGATCCTATTCCATTCGAGTGGTTGTTGTAGATAAAGTTCACGCACTCCTGTGCGAGCCCCAGATTTCGGCCCGGCGACGTTTCGCTACTATTATATTCTATCATACAAACATTATACAATTGCCATTACAACTTCTCCTCTGTCAACACCTCACTCGAACGAAGTATATTATAGCCCCAAAAGCCAATGACATTAAGCACACCCACTCTCCAGCCATTGAAAAGACCAAGAATCTTAAACCTCTGCCACACAGAGAGTGCCTTTTTGCTGGTTTCACTGGCATGAGCGGCATCCCAGCTGTTGAAATTGACAATGAGGTCTTCATCTGGATTATCAATTGTAACAACACGATGCTTGTCCTCTTCTAAAGTCTTAGGCTTCAATAAGAACCTTACCTGTTCCTTTCGTAACAAGTTTTCCATCGGTAGTTTGATGAATAACTCAGCAATCAGCAAGATTAAGTTTGCCATAGTGTACCAGTTGGGAGCCGAGTAAGCGTCGACGTTATAGCGGATGAACAAGATGTATGGCGAAGCTTTTCTGAAGACTGTAGTAGAAAATTGGTGCAACACTGTCAATAACGTGATCGTTGGTGGAGGATGCAAAAGGTACTTGATTGGATAGTTTCTGATGGATTCCCTAACAGATCTTGTATTAATAGATCCATCGTGAGTTTCCTGCTCAGGCTCCGCTGAGCTTGACGAGTCAGATACTTCAGAGTTCGTAGGCACAACCTTCTTAAACTGAGTAAGCATAAGACGCACTTTTATGAGATCAAGAGGCATCAATACCACGCCTGCTAGAACACATGCCAGAACTGAAAGCCAGAGAGACTTTGCAGGCTCTGTCAGGTGTGTAAGATCAAGGAAGAAGGGATCTGGTATTCCGAGGAATGGCGAAAGGAAGCCAGTAATCCAGGCTTCTATAGTATGGGCAAGAGTGTGGTGAATGAAAGAAGCGTTAACACCTCTGAACAACGCAAATGGACCGTCCTTAGAAGCAATTGCAGTCATTATGTCCACTGTGTGCCTAGTTATAGGCTGGATCTTTGAGCTCTTCGAGCTCGTTCTGGAGCTCGCCAAAGAATTGCTTTTCTTGGGGCTCGAAACGTCTCTAGTCAGTTGGAAGAAATCAATTTCTTCGTCTCCGTCGGAGCTGGATTCTTGATCCAACTCGGACGTTGTTGAAGTAGTGGAGCTTTCCAAACTTGCCGCAAGCCGGCGATGCTTCTTAGGATCTTTCCGTTTTGGCGTTTGAGAGAAGTCAAAGTAACCCACTTGAAGTACTAATCTGACAATCTCCAATGGTTGTGAGACAACAACCTTACAATAGTTCCTGAAGAAGTTCCAGAAAAGGTTTTTGAGAAGCTCCAGGAGATTGCTGAAGTCGAAATATTCCAGGAATTCTAAATCATAAACATAGTTCTTGTCCCCTCCAGAGCTGATGATTGCGGACGAACCATTTGCTCTGGTTCCATTGATCCCTAAACCCTTCCCGGCTAAAGAACTCCCTAAAGACTGCCCTAAGGATGCGATGATTGGTTTATTCGTTGTGGTATCAATAAGCCCGACACCAGGCTTGAATATGACCAGATACCCCGCATTGAACGTATCGTGGTCGTAATATGGACGTAAAGTAGGGTCTCCAGGCATGCTGGGGAAGAAGTATGGTAGTGGCGCTGATTGCGTGGTGATGTTTGTTAGGGTGGACTGTGCAGGCGTTAACCAGGGTAGGATCCTATCTTACGCCATGATTGAATACAAATAGATAGAAGAGAAGTATTATTAATTTTGCTTTATATTTTACACTTTTCTATTGATTCCAATGGTGGTTTGATGATGGGCAGGTGTTCATAATATGCGAAGCGGTTCTCGTTGATCAAAGCATTGTAACAGCAACAGTAGAGAAAAACAAATCCTCATGTATCTCCATAGAGAATGGCCATTAAAAGAATTTCATTTGTCAAGGGAGACCACTATGGTCGCCGGTATTCGAAACCTTTTACAATTGATACCATCTGAAGGCATTGAAAACTTCGGTAATACCCGTAACACATACCTTCAAGCTGGACAATTTCAGATGAGTAGCTAAAGATATTATCATAGGCAATTATAGGCATCATAGGACCTTCGTCCCATAATTCGTACTCTATTGCGTCTCTTCTTTTTTGAGCTCGTCTGAGCGTTGAATTAAGAAGTTTCCAAGGCTTTTCAAAGGATCATCAGGTTTTTCTTTACTAACCTGCTTGAGTCCTTCTAGTAGATGCTGTGTCAAGTGTTTGTTCAAGTACTGTCTGACCGAAGAACCACCGACGATCTCGTGAATAGGACCTTCTTTATGCTTGGGAGTAGCGTCTTCAGTTTTGAGCTTTTTCGCTGGAGGCGATTCTTCACGCTTCACTTGAGCAGGGGGCTCCTCTGCAAGCATGGAATTGACAGAAATACCATGGCCATTATTCGAACTTTCTGGGGCTGACATTGGTGAAGTTGTAGATAATTGCACATTTTCGCGTTGTGCGTTCTGCTGTCTTGTAATACGGGTTCATTCTCTGCACAATCGAAACCACCAAACACAACCGTGATAAGGCAAGCGAAATCGAAATAAAGTCGGTTCGATTAGCATTTCATAAGCATTATAATAGTTTTTGTTGGACTTTCTGATCTTGAAAACAACGTCACGTGATTTTTTTGGCCTACTATTGATAGACTTATACTAAATTGAGACGCAATAGATAGGCACTTTCTCTCCATGGATCCATTCAAAGAGGTGGAGGAGGACTGTTGGTCCCAGATCCATTCGTTGGACAACTTTATTAAACGTGTTACTCACATCACTGAGGATGCTAAACTAGATTTTCTGAACAACTACCAAGAATTGGCCGAAACCTTAGAGGACTTGAAGCAAGCAGTGCAAATATCAGAGTCCAACCCATCACAGTTTAATTTAAACTCCTCTGACATTGTTGGAAGGAAGCAGATTCTTGGCCAATTGCAGCTGAAAATTGCAAGCCTTGAAAACGAATGGAACGAGAGGGTCAGGAATCCTCAGCGGCAAAGGGAAGTTACCACCATGTCCAATCGAATAAGCCAGGATGATGACAGGGACAGTCCCTTCAGCGATTCTCAAAGAATAGACAGAGAGTTCAACCTGTTCCAACAACAAGAACAGATCGAAAATCAAGACTTGCAGCTAGACCTGATCCACGAAACCATGCGTAACCTTAACCAACAAGCTCAGCTCATGGGAGGAGAACTTGAAGAGCAAGGTTTCATGCTCGATGATCTAGACCAGGAAATGGATACAGTGGGCAACAAACTTCAGAGAGGTTTGAAGAGAGTGAACTACGTGATCGAGAAAAACAGAGAGACAGCCAGCAACTGTTGCATCGGAGTGTTGGTGGTCGTCCTCTGCGTCTTGCTTGTTGTTCTTATCGTGGCATAAGAGTATAATAATATGGGTATACGGCAATTCAAAGTAATGCTTTATGTTAGTAGTGAACATTAATAAGTGTAAAGCAGTAAAAATCAGCCAAAAGTAAAAAGGTAGCTTGGTTTTTTCCACACCGACAGAAAGTCTCGAGCCAAATGCACTCAGAGTCATCATAATACTGCAAAAGTAGGTAACATACATTTTAACGATGTTGTAACAGTTGAGTAGAGGAATAAAGTTGGAAATTTTCCCACTTATATAGACCTCTTCGCGAAGCGGTTACCCGGTCCAACAGTACTAGGGCACTTCACCAGCTTACCAAAGGCCCACAGACGTATCAAAAAGGCTAATAGACGGTGATTTCCAGCTTACAGCTAATCAATTTCTTCATAATCTCTTTTTCTTGTTACTATTTTGTTTGTTTTGGAATATGAAGATTGTGTGGCTGGGCTATGACCTAGCATGGTCTACCTTAACTTCACTGAAGCCTTGTCTTGCAGACTCTAAAAGATTTTATTGCCAGCTTCTATACCAAGGATAGTGTTGTGGTCAAACGGTGAAGAAGTGGTATCCATGTCATCAAAGTACTCGCTCTTATGTTAGTACTCTATCTTTGACAGTCCTATCATAGCTTCTCAACTGTCCACTAATATTTGACTTTTTATCTCTTGGAAGTTATCTGGGTTTCAACTTTTTTTCTAAAGAAATCTTCTGGATTTATCTTTTTTTTTTTGTCTTTTTCAACTTTGGTTCGTATCTACACCTCCAGGTTCAACTACTGGTATCTATATGTGCGCGATAATACTAAAAGTAAACTACCATCAACTCACACTCATGTCGAACTCAGATAAGTACAGGTACAGAGTCGAGGTGCAGCAGATGATGTTCGTCTCTGGCGAGGTCAACGACCTGCCTGTCGAGACAACATCGCTAATTGAGGACATTGTTCGAGGACAGGTTATCGAGATCCTTCTTCAGGCTACCAAGACGGCAGCCAGTAGAGGAACACGGTCTATTACTTCTGAAGATGTGATCTTTCTTATACGACATGATAAGGCCAAGGTTAATCGTCTTATTACATACCTTTCGTGGAAAGATGTCAGAAAGAATACAAAAGATCAAGAAGGCGGAGGTGCTGAGGGTCTTATTGAGGGAGACGCAGCAGGACCAGCAGCAGGCTCGGCTCCTGGAGCAAGTGACCAATCTAAAATGATAACTCGTTACAAGAAGTCAAAGATCAGATTGCCCTGGGAAGTGCAGTTCATGTTCAGTGAACAACATCTAGAAACTGCGGAGGAGGCAGAGGAGGTTGACGACGAGGAAAAGGCTGCTACTATGGCCTCCTTGAAAAGATTGAAAATGGCAGATGACCGTACAAAGAATATGACAAAAGAAGAATACGTCCATTGGTCTGAATGTCGTCAAGCTTCTTTCACATTTAGAAAGACTAAGAAATTTAGAGAGTGGGCCCAGATAACCCAGATTTGCGAGTCGAGACCAAATGATGATGTCATTGATATCCTTGGATTTTTGACCTTTGAGATCGTTTGTTCACTCACAGAAGTGGCTATGGCCATTAAAACGGCGGAAGAGAAACTTATACAGCAGTCACTACTGAAAGCAGGTGCCATCAACAAGGAGATCAACAAGAGAAAGCGGAAATACTTGTTCGAGAAGCCAGATGAGCTTGCCAAACCCATACAACCATATCATATCGAAGAGGCCTGGCGCCGACTTCAATCTACAGACTTTAAACATAAAGCCGTTCGTTCATTTGGTGGGGGTATGCTAAAATCTAGAACCAGATTGATCTGATCATCTGTTGCTAAGAGGGAAGGTACTGAGAACGGCTTGTGTTTCGCTTTGGAATCTTCGCCAGCCAAGATGAGTTTGAAGACTGATATCCTCACCCCGTTCTCTCCTTTCCCTTTCAACGTTGTCGAGAGATATTTGGAAACGTGCCCAGTGACGGGCATAAGCTGCAAGGTCTAAAATAAATGGCAGCTTGTTCATACTGTAACATACTGATGTATCCGGTAAACCTTGTGTATCAAGCATAGGCAGATCAAAAGATGATTCGTAGGAGCGACTTCTTGTCGAAGTTCGGAAACTTTGGTACTCTTGTAGTATCTTCGGCATCTTCTTTGTTCTGGATGCAATGAAAGCTAAAACTGTTTCCCGAATCTGGTTGAAAGTCACTCCGTTCCTCCATAGATCTTCCTTTCCATCTACCATCTCCTTTATAAAGCTTCCAATGTTGCATTCTTCAGGTTCAGGGGAAGGATGGAGTGTTTCGCCGTCGTCAACAACGTAGAGATCCAAAAGCTCATTCGGGCGAGTCTCTTGAAGTTTCAACGAGCACATGTTACTCTCGATTATATCCGCTGCAGAGAGAAGATCATATTTGTCAGATAATGCACTCAATGAATCCAGTCCATTCCCCTGTCTCGTATTGTTAGTCAGGAAATCAAGAGTGAGCACTTCATCCGAGCTTAAGTCTTCATCAGCAGCACATATCCATTGACTTGCCATAAGAGCACCTCGTAAATCGAACGACGCTAGATTATTTTGCTTGGAGACCCACGATAATACCAGTTCTGTCAAATCAAACCCCTGAGAAAAGCAACAGAGCCAGATATATTGCTCAAAGGCTGATATGTCATTATTTTCAAATGAGAGAACTGCGTTCTGTTCCGCTGCCTGCTCCCATATAGATTTTGGTATAACAGAAGGATCTTGGACAGAAAGGACTATCGGCCGCTTGGAAAAGTTTATGACATCTTGGACTGCTACCCAGAATGTCTTGTCTTGTTCAAACAAAACGTCACAATCCTCGAAGAATACCAAGCCTCTTTGAAACTTCTTTTCTTGGTCCTTTTTGTTAATGATATTAGTGGTACAAAACTCCTTAAGCGGCCCATATAGTTCTCTCCTCGAACGATTCAGGCCAGAATTGATCTCGTAAACATAACCATCCATAGAATTCATTGCGGCATAGACAGATGCAGATTTTCCCGAGCCTGACAGCCCTTGGATGATGAGAACTGGCACAAAGACATCTTCCTCTGTCTCTTCGGAGTCTTCCTCTAAATCATCAACTATGAATCCTTGCATGGTATTTCGTTGACGTTGTTTCTGTTGCTGTTCTTTAATCTTGATGTTTCTTGGGGTCTTGGTCGACTGCGTTTTGAGGATTGCAAACGCGTTCTCTATCCAGCGCTGTAGAGCATACCTTATGTTATGATCTAGGAGTAATTGATCGGCTTTTCGAGGGGCAAACTTGTCAGGCCAGAGTTGATTGCTATCAGGCGATTGGTTCTGGATAAAATCTTTATAGATTCTGATATGAGGCTCTGCCTCAAATGCTAGGGGTGCCCTATCAGCCACGAAGTCACATAAGTCGTCAACAGTGGATATAGTAGTTCTTCGTTTACATTTGAGCTCATTTGACTGTCTGTTTAATTCCAATGTTGTGAAGAAATTTTCGTTTAGCTTCGATGTATCCGGGGTATGTGTTGATCTAGGAACGAGAGACTCTAGAGGATTTGATACTGTAGCACAGTCATCCTGCTCTCGGATATGCATTTGACCTCTTTCTATCGATGGAGGCTCTAACTCCTTTGCCTTTTGAAGCGGAGTAAGTTTAGGGTATGCGGAAGTGCTAGCGCTTTGCATCATTTGAGCAAATACATTACTGGCACTTTTTCCATTCTTGGTTCCAGAACTCTTGGTGTAGAGAGGATTAAGTGACTTTTGAATGGATTCAAGGAAGTCGGAAGGTAGTCGTAGCGTGACCATTTTCGATGGTTTTTTATGCATAAGCATGTTGAACATGCTGTTCCCGCCCGCAATATTACCTCTGGTTCTCAAGGGATCGTCGTACTTTTTGATTTCTGCCAATTTGGAAGGGCTTATCTTGAGCTTCACGTTTAGTTTCCAATTCCCATCTTTCGTCTTCACTCTTTTGGGTGCGAAATTTGAAAATATATCACGAACATTGACACCAGGCGTTCTGTTTTCAACTACCTGGACAAGTTCATTGTCGGAAGATTCACGGTCTGACACGATTTCAACGCATTCTTCAGGCGGTATGGACTCTACTTTCTTCTCCTGCCGACGTGATTTTAAAAGATCCATGGCAGACATTGACTTTTTTGAATTGTACATTCGCTGTTCAAGCTGCTCAACGGTTTCGGGTTTCGTCGCCTTTACTTCAGGCTCCAGGATGTCTGATGAAGTGAGTGTGACAGTCTCTGATTCGTCCTTATATGGTTCATCAAACGACATAGAGTCCTCTTGCTTTTTCTGTTTCTTCTTCTTACTATTCTGCTTCCCCGATAGTAGCTGTAAGAGGCTCAAAGGCTTCCCCTGTTGCTCTTGTTCAGGACGTTCCACTTCATTGTCCCGCTTTTCATCAACGTCTGTGATATCTTCAGAAAGCAAACCACTACTTGGAAAGGCGTCATCGTAGCCTTCATCTGAGTCGTCATAAGGATTTCGAGGAGCAAATGGGTCTGGGTGATGCTGTAGATATTGTTCCAGGCCCAGCATCATCGCTGGTTAAAGTAGTAAATAGTTGAACGCGAAACCGATCTACCGCGTACTGGTATACTCCACAGAGCAACAGTTGAGTCAAAGCCATCACACAAGCAGTGCAGGGTGAAAATTAGAGATAGTGAATTATGCAAATGTTGCTTAACAAACCCGCTGAATAAAGTGGAAGCGTTTAAAACTCTTTTTCCTGTGTCTTTTAAGACCTTCATTGTCTTTACTGTTTTGCTACTGCGAAACGGTTGCAAAATGCGTTTAAGAGCCTGGAGTTCCCGAAAGAGACAACATCCACATAACTCTCCCAGGGCTTTTTTATTGAACAGTTATGTTATAGTTTTGATGAAGACTTAACATATCTTATAGTATCTGAGTAGCTTCGATAATTTACGCTCATTTAGGTGTATATCTCATTCCATAGCGCCCTAAACTTTGCAAGCTCATTCATTTTCGAAAAGAGAACTATCATTTTCTATCTTTAGTACCGATTTAGCTATGAAATTTACGTTCCTATACCTTGGAACCTGGTCCACGCCCATGTACATTCTGTGTTCGGCTGTATCACCTCCAACTCATCTGACCTGCACTGGCGCTATATCAACTAGACTTCTTTATGGGAGGGTTTCTGCTAAACCTCAAAGGAAAGGTTCAAAAGCCTGGCAAGCCTGGTAATAGACAACTTAAAAAGCCCACAATCGGCAACAATGCCCTCCGAAAGAATCTACTAGGAGAGAACGAGGATGCTGAGAGCAATACAAAGACCTCGATTGATGCCTTCCTGAAGAAGGGAGCGATGGCTGGCGAGTCTGCCGTGGACCAACCTAAAGAACTAATCATCAAGCCTACTAAGCTTACAACGGGTCTTCTACGAAGGAAGAAAGATACTCGTTCTAAAGACGCCGTTAATGATACTGTTGAAGACGAGGCACGACTGAGTCTATTGAAAGGCGAGACTTTTGGCGCCGATTCAGGTCTAGTCATAGCTAGCGAAGATGCAGAAGAGCTAGAACCTGTTGAAAACGACTACAACGAAGTGCCGGTTGATCAGTTCGGTGCCGCCCTCCTACGAGGAATGGGATGGGACGGTAAGGACAACTTGAAGGAAGATAAGGCTATCAGCCATAGACAACGAGGAGCTGTACTAGGGATAGGTTCCAAGCCGTTGAAAGAAGACCTAGAAAAAGAAATCATGGGAGATAAGAACACGAAGTTACAAGCGCCACTTAAGAAACGTGAGACGTAATTAAATAAAGATGCTATGTACATTAATGCAAAAAAGTTTTGTTATGCAAGGACTCCGAGTCCGAGTAACAAAAGCTGGCTGGCCACAGTTTGAGACCAGGTGCTGGCCTTCTCCTCGAGAATCCTATTTTCATCCTGTTTGATCATCTTCAACAAATCGTCATAAATATCGCTGACAATAGCATCGAAGATACGAGTCTTTGTGATGTTGTCGAGATTATACAAGTCAACGAGCTTCTCGATGACTGTTGTCTTGATAAGAATAGAATCGTTCTCCTTTTCCATGCTGTTGATGTAACCGATTAATGCTCTGAGTTTCTGAAGAGTGATGAATGGAAGGGATGTCGAGGAAGCCATCGGTAAATGCAGAGGCATTGCTGCCTTGAGGTTCTTAAATTTCACCTTGACATTGACGATAACATACTCGCTATCATTGCGAGATCTTGTCTCGTCGATATCATTATTCTTCGTAAAAGTTTCATAAATGGCGGCGATTGCACCTTTGAGAAGGCTATTGTTGTTTGGTTCTCCTTCCGATGATTCTTGTGGTGCAGAAGTTGCGGTCTTGAGGTCATTCCAGAGTTGCTGAAACGTTGAAGCGGAGGGAAGGAAGCCAGTGTCGTCTTTCACTTTGTCCATTTCTGGAAGACGAATATCAGCGAGAATTTCAGCCTTACCGTTAACAATCCAGTTGAACTTCAGCTGTGGGTTGGCCTTTGAAATCGACTCCATATCAATACTATCAAGCTTAAATCTGACAACATTCTCGTCGGTGAATGACTGATGCTTGTGGATAGTGAACATCGAGTTGTTCACAGCTCCAGTTACATTATTTGCATTGAAGAAATCGACAATCAAGCGATCCCCACGAAGTCTTGGTAGATCACAGTTGAAGATGGTCACTTTGAAGGGTGTAGTATCCTGATTTTCGTGGAGTTCAACGACCGAATCATGTAGTCTCAAATGGCCGAGTTGGTAATTGGGAGCCATAAAGGCCACCTGATTGGATTTGATATTCTCAAGCTCTTCCAACTTGTGTTCGTGGAAGTCATTTTGAATGTTGTTGCTGTCGTACTTGCTCATAGACATGGCGAATGAGCTGATGGTGTCTGGCTGGTTAGATGAATTGGAAGATTCGATTTGTGGGAAGGATTCATCCTTCTTGTATACCTTTGCATGCATTCCAAACACCTCCATATCTTCAATAAGACCGTTGCCATCGTACCATTTCTTAAACGACAAGGTTATGTTGAGTTCTTGGATCTTTGCAAGAAAACGGAGCGACTCATCTTTTTCGGTAGAAACGACCTTCAAGTTCCTGAACTTGAGCATACCATCAGCAAGTTCCGGCAAGACGCTACCCTTTTCGAACATGAATCTCATTCCCAACCCCTGTGACAAGATCGATCCAGCGAGATATGAAAGAAAACTCTTGTCCTTTGCCTGGGGAGCGACATCCTCGTCATTCTCGTCATCGCCGCTGATGGTGTTCCAGAATCTATCAAACGTGTGAATAGAATACATGGTAACCAAGCCGAAGGTCGTAGTACCAAGTACAACCCACAAAACATTGCCCATGACAAGCCATGACGCAAAAGCCGAAAAGTCATCAATGGAAAAAGGACGGTTATTTCTCGTCAAGGGCCACTTAACATGAATCCAAAACCGGGAAAGCTTCGAGGAGGCGTCTGCAAGGAGCTGAGACTTTGTTGTCTTCAAAGGATCCAAGTCTTTGTGGCGTCTTATACTCCCAGAAAACGGCCTTTGGGAACGCCATAATGTTTGGAAACTTTGCTGGTTAAGTGGCTTGGGGTGCCGAAGGCCCACGAAGCGAAGGCCGCTTAGCGAGGGCAAGGACCGGGCCAGCCCGGGCACTAAACCTTTGAACATGTTTCAAAAAAAATCAGAAGAAACGGTATGGCGTTGCTTCTTTTTGCAGTTGAATGCTGGTTAAGACAGGAAGGAAAAGAGGAAAAAAAAAAAGAAAATCCTGGGGAAGACTTACAGATATATCGCGCGTGCTTGTACAGAGCAAGTCTTAAAGGCCGAAACATATAAAAGGCGAAGAGGCGATTAATTAGATGGAGGAGGGGAACTCCAACTCGAGTTGTAATTATTTCGTTTCGGGCAAGCTGAACGTGGTCGCTAGATGGCCGTTGTGGGCAAAAGTCAGTCACGGAAGTGTCGTGTGAGCGAGTGTACATTTTTCAGCCAATTGCTGCGAAGTCAGATTAGCGCTTAGAGTATATTTGCTGAGGAAGCAACAACGAGTCACGACAATGATCCGATGAAGTTGAGAGGTTGTGAGTGATGTGGAGAGTAGTTATGAGAAGGTAAAGGAAGTAAGTATTGAAAAGCGTTTCAAAATGAACGAAAAGATGTGCAGCTAAAAGTGAAAAATTGACGGCTAGAATCAGAAACGTGCCGCCAGGTCCGATTCCGCTCACTACTGTACCACTTTGCGAAAGGCATTCCAGAGGACGACAGCAGCTGTGTCCCAGGTAGACAATGTAGACAAAGATAAATGATTGAAGGGTATTTGGAGTTTGGGTGATGTGTGTTGCTGGTAAAATAAAGAATAAGTTGACTCTCTTCTGAAAAGCTGACAGCCAATAGTAAAAGGTTATTGAGAGAAGGCAGGAAAGGAGAAGTAGAGCAGAACTGCTTATTTCTTGTCTCGTCTTGCAAAACCAAGCTCGAAACACGAATGTTTGAGGAGAACTGCCACAAAGATTTAGGCTTGTGTGTTTGGGACCACACTGGTGTTCTTTCCAGTTAATAACCACAAAACCAGAATGGCTGCGAAAAATGAAATTTCTTTTAACGTACGGCTTAACTGCAATGTTCAGAGTGGAAGAACATGCCCAAAACCAAAAGAGGAGTGGCACTTCCGGTAGAAAGCAAACACTTTCAAATCCTTCCAAAATTTGATGAAAGTGGGCTTCAAAGAGTGGTAGTTGTGGCTCTCTCGTCTACTACCTCATTGCTGTACTTCCAGAACAATGGGCCACCCACACTTGATGGTCCACTTTCACCAAAACTTCAAAAATTCATATTTTAAAAAAGTAAAAATACCTCACCATTGCCACTTTTCTATCAAAGTATTGATTCATCCTCTGAAGTACCTATTCAACAAAAAAAAAAAAAATACCTTGGTTTCAATACTCTGCTTATCTGGGGATCCATCGCGGTGCAGTACATACTCATCTCATCACTTACTTTTTTCTGCTCACTACTGTTGAAGAAACCCAAGCATGACTGCCCCAACGGCCATTAAAAAGCTTCCAGAGACTGTTAAACCACAGGAAACTACTGAAAATGAGCTTTTAGTTGATGTCAATAACATCCCTAAGGAGGAGCCAAAACCAGCTGTCGAAGATGAGGACATGAAGGAAGACGAGCCTCAGCCTGAATCAGTTGTGCTAGATGAAAGCGGAAAGCCAAAGTTCGCTGCTGCTGGAAAGAGTGGAATGAAGGTGAAGTTGGAGAGCAGAAAAGTTCCAGTTCCTCCACACAGAATGGCACCTTTGAAGAACACATGGATGAAGATCTACCCTCCTTTGGTTGAACACTTAAAGCTACAAGTCAGAATGAACCTTAAGACCAAGACTGTTGAGTTGAAGACTAACAAGCATACCGAGGATGTTGGTGCTTTGCAAAAAGGTGCTGACTTCATCAAAGCTTTTACTCTAGGTTTTGATGTGGACGATGCCATCGCTCTTTTGAGATTGGACGATCTATATATCGAGACCTTCGAAATCAAGGACGTGAAAACCTTGACAGGTGACCATTTGTCCAGAGCTATTGGCCGTATTGCAGGTAAAGACGGTAAGACGAAGTTCGCTATTGAGAATGCCACAAGAACAAGAATCGTTTTGGCTGACTCCAAAATCCATATCTTGGGCGGCTTCACGCACATTAGAATGGCTAGAGAAGCTGTTGTGTCGCTCATTTTGGGTTCACCTCCAGGTAAGGTGTACGGAAACTTGCGTACTGTCGCTTCCAGAATGAAGGAGAGATATTAAGCAACACCCACTATAACCACTGGAACCCGTTCCATTTGCATCCTTGTATATTAGATTTTGTATTCCTCAATTCTACAATAATCGTATCCCCAGTTTAGATAAGATCCTGAGTGAAGTCATCCTGCTCTTCATAACCGTGATACGGAAGCATCTCCTCTAGCTTCAAATCCTTTCTCATTGCATAGGCATCCTCGCCATCCTGGTAATAAGACTTCTCGATGTTCGTCATCTCAAACAGTAAGGAGTCCCTATATAAATGCAATGCTGCTCTGTTGGACTTTCTGACATGGAGTGAAACGTACTGAGCCTTGAACACCTCATACATAGCGTATAGAGATTGACGCATCAACTTCTCAGCCAATCCCATTCTTCTGTATGTTCTCATCACCGCCAAGGAAGTGATGTGTCCATGTGGGGTCTTATCTTCGGCTTCTGGGTCGTCCTCCATCTTTCCCAAGACGTAGCCCACGATCTTCTCGCCCTTTCTGATGTATGAAGTATCACCCTTTGGATCTTCGGAATCTATGTCTTCCACGGGTTCTTCCGCAAGGACTTCTCCATTTTCATCCTCTTCTGTATCAATCGTGTCGTGCGTTGTAGCGACGAAACTGGCCTGGGGCCACGACAATATATGGTACATGTAGTATTTCAACTGGTAGTTCTCGGGTAAGTTGAGCAAGTTGGCATTTTGCATTGCCTGGACATCCTCGATTGTGGCTCTTCTGATGTTGATCCCCATGCTGTAATAGTGTTGATGTTCTGAGATTCAGTACTGCTGAAAAATTGAGGTCGTCTCAGTCGTGCATTTGCCATAGGTTGACTACACCATGGGAACAGATTTTCTCTTAACACTAAAAGAGTACTTTTATTTTTCTCTCTTTTCTTATACTTTCGCCCTATGTTCTATCTAATTGAATCTGATCTCTTCTCTGAGAAGTAGTTGTTCGTCTAGCTTGATCAAGAATACTGTGCGAAGCGGAAGGTTGTCCAAAGGAGCTGAATGGGCCACAACAGTGGCATGAAAGCCAGAAGAGTCTAGGGCGCCTTCGATTATCCCAGCGACGAATGCCAGACAATTTAAGTTTCCATATTCCTTAGGTATGCTGATAAACTTGGAGATCACCGGAAGGTTGTCGATAATCATGTACTCGTCATTCACGTCCTGGGACTTCTCCAAATCGTTGGCCGTCTTTCCGAATACACTTTTCCAAAAGGGACCATGGATGAATTGTAGAATTTCGATGATTTTCGTTTCTCTTTTGCCGTGTTTCATGCCCTCGCGTAGCTTCACAAGTTCCAAGAACCGCTGTCCAATCTGGTACCCGAGACCATTGAGTCTATTCTCTAAGTCTTGAATTCCTTTTGACTGTGACAGCGCCCAATTCACCACCTCACAGAAGAGGAATGCCAAGGACGATAGACTGATTTCGTTGACTTTCTTTGTATTGACTGTTTTGTCGTATATGGAGTTCTGAGACGTGGGCGTCAAACTTATGGATCTCTTATTAAGAAGAATAGATGATGACTCTGGCGTGATAGCGTTCGATGAAGGGCCCACTGATGGATTATAACCAAAGCCGTCTTTGGAACTATCGTTGATGGTAAGAGCCCCCATGGACACGATTGAGGGTAAAATGGGCTTTTCAGACATTATGTGTGATCCTTAATTATATTATATTAGGATATTTCAGCACTGAATTGTTCGCTGTATGTATAAAGCGTCTTGGGGTGGAAAAAGAGTGGTTGTATACTTGGTGCGATCCATGTCCACGATAGTTTCCTACACTACGTTTCGCAGCCAAGTACTACTCACAGTAATGAAGACAGACGTGCTAGGGGCGCTTAAGGGTACTTAGGACCATTGATAATTTCAAGAACCATGTCTAACTTTTAGGATATAAAAGTAAGCGGAAACGCCAAATCTTGGAAAATAAGAAAGCGTTGAAGAAGAGGAGTCTTGGTGAGTTTGAATGTGACGAGCTGTTCTCATCCAAAGAGCTACATCGTATTTTCGAGAGTTCTGGTACAATCAGAGCTTGTTCTACACCAATTAAGGAAAGGAATGAAGTTTTTGGGAAGCTTTTGGATGTCCAGGGAGCGAAGAAGGGTGCTTTAGAAAAGGAGTTAGTGAAGGCGAATGAGTCTAAAACAGCGGCCAAGGCCAATTTGAGCAATCCAACGACGACTGAAGCGCCAAAAGAAGAGTCAAAAGTTAAGAAAGCGTCAGGGAAGCGATCCAATTGTTCGAAGGGTTCCAGAGTGCTCACTCCATCTACAAGAGCCAATGAAGTCATTACAACCGTCCGGAAACGTCCACAAGAAAACCCCACGCAAAAAAAGAGAAAATCAGCTTTTTCTTCGCCTTCCGCAAGCTTTGAAGAAATCCCCAATCCTACTGATGACTTCCATGCTTCTCCCACTCCGATTGCTGCAAAATCCATCGCACATTCTACGCATGAGGACGAAACACTCCCTCGTCCTGCCAACACAAAAAATTCAGATGAAGATATATCAGCAGAGAAGCTTCGAGTCAGAACACTTTACCGTCTGCTCCTTGCTAAATGCGCCTCTGGGCCCGACCCGTTAACGCTTCTCTCCTATAAAAAAGTGCCCTCTAGCTGACTCAATATCTGCAGGCGAACATCAAAGTGAGCCTGACAAACTGGTCCAACTACATTGAATATACTACTCGCCTTCAATAATGGGACCTAAATCCTTGACTCCAGAGGAGTCTCTTACACCTGTTGGAACGCCTCAGATCCATGCACATCCAGCCGAGAGACCACAGCAAGCAGAGGCGCCAGTTATAGATAAGGAGAGCCTTATGGAAAAGCTCCATGATATTCCAACCGAAACCCTCAGAAGTATCCTCATGAACCAGGTGGACCTTGAAATTCGTTTAAAGCATAGAGAACTTCGGTTAACCGAGGAAGAAATCGGCAAATGTGAGGCCCAGATGCTAGCGCTTCGAAAGTTCTTTGACGTACCCTACGATGTCTCTTTCAACAGTGAACCAAACGACTTTACCCTCAAGTACTATGATGTGCTTAACAAGTCGCTTTCGGTCAGCTATACGAAGCTTCAGCAGCAACTGTACCAGGAACAACCGAAATTCAACGAGGCAGTATTCGAGACGGCTCCGCCTGAGCCCGCTCACTACAGAACAAGATCTACAACCTCGTCACTACGTCCCAGCATAACAGGCCCTGGTCTCCGAGTGGCCGGGTGCTTATACCGCCGAACCGATGGCATTATCGTGAAACTTACATGTCCAGATTGCCATAGAAGTAATTTCTCGTCGGCCCAAGGTTTCCTCAATCACAGCAGAATAGCACACACCAAGGAGTACACTTCCCAAGATGCAGCGGCATTACGATGTGGTGAGCTTTTGCCAGACGACTTCCAAGACGACGAAGGCGTAGCTAGTCTCAAAAGCTTAAGGCAGAAAGAGCTCGATCCATCAAGAAACCTAAACGTCAATGAAATTTACTTTGACGGACTCAGCTCAACTCTAAACACCGTCCACAGAAACAGCGAAACTCCCGCCTATTCACACAGCAGAAGTGCTTCAGCAGTGCAAGATGAGGAACAGCTCCATCCGCCAGTACGCAACACCCACGAGGAAGAAAACAAAGAGCTCATGAAGAAGCTTATTAAGAGTGGTGTGACCCAGGATGCAAAGGAATACCAGGAGCTAGTGGAACTGGCACGTCGAGATGTCCCAAACTCTCATCTTTTCGAAGGTGAAGTGGAAATCGAAAGCGACAGTGAAGGAACGCCCCAAAGCACGACGCCATTACACACACCAGCTACACCCCGGGGCCAGGCCGAGCGGCCAAAGCCTTCCGAAAAGCAAACTTCAAGGCGAGGGATCGTTCAGGAGGAAGAAGTCAAGAACAGACATCCAGAAACGGGAGGGAAGTATGAGAACCGGTTGCGAAGAAGGAAGTCTAGGAGTTTTGCCGATCTCGAAGGGATGAGACGAGGCGAGGAAGAAGCTCCCAAACGGCGTAAGCGATAAGCAGGCAGATCAGATTTGCTCGCAATCCACAAGAGAGAATGGAGCGACTGGCTCTGGATGCAACGAGGGTAATTTGCAGCCGCCGAAAGGAGTGGCCCTGGGCGACGATCGACAATGGAAGGAAGAGGTCCTGGAAAGAAGAAACAAGCCGGTAAAAAGGGGGAAAAAGAAAAATAGACGGTCCAGTCAATCAAGCACCCCCAACTAGGAAAAGCAATCTTAGAATGGAATGAATGGCCCCCCGGTACCACTTGATCATGGAGCATGTCTCGGAGGCCCAGTCGCGATTTGTCTCACGCTGGACCCTGCCCCGCCCGCGCCAATACTAGAGATTTGTGTAAATTGTGGCCGCAACTTTACCTCTATCGCTCCACAGCCAGCACACACCCACGAGCGCTAAACGACCAACTTTCAGAATGCTGCCGTACCAAACTAAGAGCATTGTGGGTTTCTACTAAATTAACCGGCCAGCGTCGCCAGATTAGGCCAAGGGAGTCAGGCGGGCCTGGACCAGCGGCACAGTCCCCCCACGAATATTATGCCAATGAATGTATCTGCCCCCCTCTGATTAAGTCTGGCTTGGCTAGTGGGTGCAAATACGCTTCTGGCGCGCATCCATGGGGGGCCCTTTTAGGCCTAGAACCGGGCCAGGGTTGACTATGCGAAAAGGTGCACGTCATAAACGTCAGAGCGTTGAGCCCTGAACAAAGGTTTTTTTAATACACCGCCACAGATAAAATTAGCAGGCGGCTTGGTAGGGGCCTGGCTCGGGAATGCTGGGGTTCGAGAGCCTGTAAAAAGTGATGTGTTGCTAAGAAGGGAAAGAAAAGTGAAAAAAAGGAAAGAAAAAATAAAGTGCCATCCCTTCCCAGGTCTCACCTTCTGACCGTTCGTTTTTAGGAGTCCAGCCTCGCAGGCGTAATTTTGTGCGCTTTTAGCCTCCTACGTCATTCTCGGCTTTCCGTATTTTTTTTTTTTTCTCTTCGCTGGTACTATAAGCAGGTGTTTACATTCCTCGGCCCCATTGGTCCCACAACTGCCACCTACTCCTGAAGCTTTTTGCTGAAATACCAGACCAACCACTTTCTTCTTCAACAAGGGTCTTATTTTGTTGTCGTTGTTGTTCTTCTTCCATGAGCACAAGCCCTTGTTGTACGGGGTACAAGTTCCCCCAGTATACGCCTGGTGGGACTTTAAAGATGCCCAAAACCGACAAGGCTGATTACTTTTCCCTTGAAGGCGGCGACGTGAACGATACGATGACCAAGCTACATCTCCAGCTGCCGCTTCTTAACTTTGACCACGCTGACTATTTTTCCAACATCCCGCTGCATACTTTTTCCCGTGCTGACTCGGCCTCTTCCTTGGTCTTCTCCAAGCCAAAATTACATAAAAACGCCACCAACTCCATCTCATCCTTGGCTTCCGACTCTACTGTGGTTGGCGACAGCTCTACTTCCCTGGCTGATCTTTCCATGTCTACAGATACCCTCGTTGGCGAAAACAGCTCCACAACCTCTCCCACAAGATCTCGCCGAAACGTGCTCCAGTTGAAGCTTAACGTGCCAAAACGCTCTTTCCAGCAGCCTCTGTCGTCGACTTTTCCTCTGGGTGTAAGCGAGCCACTCTATGAGTTTGATGAAGAGGAGTCTAAAAAGTGTGCTTCCGCCACTACTCCAAGCTTTAATTTCGCCATCGAGGCGCCTGCAACCCCAAATATCTCATCAGCAAAGCATCCATCCCTCAAGCAGTCACTCACAGCGCCACTTACTTCCACGGCATGCGAGTTTACAGCTCCTGTTATGAAAAAGCATCCCACCTCCTCAGACTTAGGCACAAGGGGCGACTTTGTGGCTTCCATCAAGTCTGAACAGAGCAGACGTCTCCATCATGTACCATGCCAGGAAAATATGCGTGAAAGCATCGTTGGTGTGTCGCCATCCATAAAATACATCTCCAAAGAAGAAACAGTGGCCCTCTTAAGAGCCCGCCATTCTCTCGAAGCTACACAGCTTCCGAATGTATTAATTATTGATATCAGACCATTCGCTGACTTTATCAAGGGCCATATCTCCGGCGCTCTTAATGTTTGCCTTCCACTGACACTTTTAAAGAGAGCCAACTTTAATTTCCTTCGCTGCATGAACTCCTTGCCCACATATGAAAAGAGCATCATCCAAAACTACATGCATCATTATTCTGACGAGGGTCTTCAAGGCTATAGCATGCCACCCATCATAGTCTACGACAGTTTCAACGGTTCAAGTGGACTTTTGCACATGTGTAAGAAGTTAGTGGACGGCTCAAGCTGGGATACGAAGAATGGCCCTCCAATTTATTTGATTGATGAGCATTTCCTGTCTTTCGCTAACTATGCTTCCGATTTCATCGATACCGGCAAGGAGGATATTATTGATATCAACCAGTTAACGGTCAAGCCACAGGCTTTGGGAGCTCCATCCGTCACCAAGCCCTCCCTTTCCATCGATACCATGAAGCGCAGTCCTGTGCAGCAACGTCGATCTCATTCCATCACAGGTGTCCCATGTTTTGGTGGATCATTCCAGGATGTTTCAACTCCTGTTTCCAACTTCAAACTACCTCAGCACATGCCCACTACAAAGTTCAAAATAAGGCACAATGAGGAGGTTTTTGAAAGCATGGTCACTCCTGTCTCGGAGCAGTTCAGTCTCGCTAGCTTGACTCCTGGAGAGATCGCTAGGCTTCCTGCCTGGCTTCAAGATGTTGAGAACAATTCTTGCCTTGTTACTGACGAGTTTAACAAACTCGAGCAATGTGAGAAGGATAGGTTAAACGGCGCTTTCTCCTTCACTTCTGAAAAACCAGAAGTATGTTCTCCAGGAGGCACTACAGAGGTTTGCCCACAAATCAACTGCGGACTCGATTATGGTCACAAGAATCGTTACAAAGATATCTTTTTGTTCGACCACTCTCGTGTGCGCTTAACGGATGGTGCCAGGATAAAGTCGAAGCGTCAGAGCTGTGACTACATCAACGCATCCTATTTGAATCCTTTGGGCTCTTTGGGTAACGTTGTTCGTGATGGTGTCTCGCAGGACGATAAAGATGAATTGAAGTATATTGCTACACAAGGACCGTTGAGAGAAACAATTGGTGATTTCTGGAAGTGTGTCATCAACCAGAAATGTCTCTTGATCATCTCGCTTTCTGGTGAACTCGAAAATGGCGTTCATAAATGTTCGCCTTTCTGGAGGGCTGGCGTCTACAGATCTGGGGAAAACATCATCAAGGTGGAAATTGAGAAGGAGGAGAAGCAAGGAAACCTCATGTTGCGCTCCTTCAAGCTCAGTTCTGACTCTGAAGTTTTCCATCGTGCATTGCAAGTTCATTTGTGCAATTGGGCTGACATGAGCAGCTCGGTGGATCCAAAGGATTTGATTGACCTTGTGACGATCAAGAGACATGTACTCAACAGGGTCAGACATCGGTCACAGTATCACACAATTACCCATTGCTCAGCAGGTTGTGGTCGTACGGGTGTGTTTTGTGCCGTGGACGCTATTGTGAATCTCTCGAAGTCCAACGGAGGATCATTTGAGTTTGCAAAGAACCCAGTGTACTCAATGGTGAACAATTTACGTCGGGAGCGTATTCTGATGGTGCAAACGATGAGGCAGTACTTCTTGATTTATGATACCCTAGTGCACCATGTGCTTCATGGAGCAAAGCTGTGGATCGGCGACCTCAACATCGTCAACGACTTCATTTCACGTGTCAATGAAGGCGGTAATTAATAGGAATATGGGTTTTAGGTTTTAGGTAATGATAACGACTACAAATAAGCATATTTTCTTCGTAAGGGATTATATTTCGTATATAGCCAATTAAGCATTGGCAGCCAAAGCCTGCTTCAAAGCGTTAGGGTTGGCACCAATGACCTTCTGGATAACATCACCGTTCTTGAAGAAGATGATGGTAGGCATGGAAGAGACCTCGTACTCCTGGGCAACCTCTCCAACCTCGTCAACGTCAACCTTGACGAACTTAACAGCAGAGTACTCCTTGGAGAACTTGTCCAACAAAGGAGCAATCATCTTGCAAGGACCACACCAGGTGGCGAAGAAGTCAACAACGACCAAACCGTCGTGCTTGAGAGCTTCCTGGAATTCAGCTTTAGATGCGACTTGAGAAACCATTATAAGAATTGAGTTGTAATTGCTAGATGTATCAACTTGGAGGATGTCGACCTTGCCTTTTATACTCGCACAAGGAATCCTGCATTAGCTAAGCACCACGCACTAGACTCTTCTTTCAGCGCTTACAAATGGCCGAGGATTCACAAAAGCAAGGCCAAAAAAAAAAAAAAAAAAAAATTGCATGCCTCCCTCTCTACTAAGCATTAATCATGTACATAAAGTCATCTGTGGAAAGCTGGAGAAGATGCTGGAGAAGCTCGTGCTTTGCTGCAAAATAGCTTTGTAATTGCGTGCTATCGTATTGCGTGGCAATTGCAGCCAAAGTAGTGTAATCGGCCTTTTTGCTTGTTTCCGCAGCTAACTTAAGCAACGGTTTAGTAAGCTCCACTAGCTCGCGGATCCCGTTCTCGGAGTCTTCCCATGTCTGTTCTAATATATTTGGGACGCTCACGTAAGCATCTTCGTAGACAACACCATAAGCAGTTTCTGTAGATAAGATGACTGGGTTGTTTTCTTCTTCGAAAATCAATTCCTCAATGTCCTGTTCGTCCTCCTCGATATCCGCTTTCTCAGTCCTCCATCCAGAGTAGTATGTGAGCCCTGGCACCATCAAGAGTGGAAGCCGGGACTCGGTGAGATCCACACGCACCTGGCCTTGGGAAGAAGTTAGAATAAGGCGAGGCATGATTCTGAGCCATTTGGCCATCTTAGTATAGTCAACGTCTTCGGTTTTCTTTGTGGTGTTGACGATATCGTTGAAACGAGGGAGCACCCATTCGTACTCTCCATCGCGAGGAATGAACCCGTAGGTCTTGAAAAACATTCCTTTATCGTTCGAAGGCGAATAGCTAATGAAAACTTCTGCATCTTTAGGAATTGCGTGTATGGCTCGAAGCACCACGTCTCCAGTGGATTTGTCCACATCAAACACTGCGTTGTTGTCCCTGGCATGGTTGGCGAAATCTAGCATTGGCACGAGAGTCACTCGCGTAGTGAATTGGTAGGTTTCGTCTTCTACAGGATGGGGAATCTCGAGAACTCGAGACTTCACTGCCTGATGAAGTCTGAATGCTGTTTCAGGGGAAAGGTGCTGTGCTAAGTCAGGATGAGCCTTTATAATCTCCGTCCGCTCCAGCACCACCCGCTTCTTCTGTATGATCTGCCATTGAACAAAGCTATCCAGCGCTTCTAGGTTCTCGTCCACATCAAGTATCTCTGTTGTCTTCAACACGTCCAAGTATGGCGAGATGAGTTTCAAATCAACTCCCATAGATTGCAAGATAGCGAAACTCCATATGTAGCCACGTATGACTGTCGTCTCTGTAGGGCTTAAAATCAGCGAAAGCACGTTGCTAACAACCTTACTAACCTGGTCATTCTCCTTTTGAGCTCTTCAGTGTACTGGAGTAATGTTTGGATATCGTAGGTGCTGCGTTGAGGCACTCGAAGGACTATAGCATCTTCCTCAATAGGCTGTGAAGTGATGATACCCAAACCACCAACGGGTGACTTATCAACAGCCACTGATGGAGATAGGGAGGCGCCTCGCTGTTGGGCCCAGGTAAGGAGTGTCTTTACTTCGACCATCAGGAAGAGTATGTAGTTGGTCTTAGTAGTGTATGAAGAGCGTGGTACGTTAGGTCAGCTTTTGTGAGCTCAGAGGGTAGATTGGGTAAAAAGTACATTTGGAGTGTGATTCCAAAGCATTTTCAGGAAGATTTCTTTTACTATGTTGATTTTTATTTTTGTGGAGTTGGTAATGGTTGAGTAAGTATTTGAAAAATGGCTGCGAAATGACGTCTTTGGTGAAGAATCGTGAATAGTGATAAAAGTCAAACGGGACGATAAATTCACCAAGGAAAGTAATCCAAATTTCGAAGTTCAAAATCAATAATGAGGATAAAAGAGATGTACAATTTGATCTCTTGCAAGAATTGGGACCAATTAAGGGCCATTTGTCGACCGTTGATGGCACAGACCATTCTCACAATAGAAGCGCGTAACATGATGACATCTTCGCTACCCAAAACAACCAAATTGGGTATGAAATATCGATATGGAAGCTACCTGAGTATTCATGAACCTTTAAAGTAACCTTTAAGTTCTCTAAACCCTTTTCCTCTTGTATTCTATCTTCTTTACTCTTACAATTGATATTATTGAATACATGACAGAGAATAACCTTTGGTCCTCCATTGAGACCTCAAACAACGAATGCCACGTCTACAAATGACACGTTTCCGCCATTGCCAAAAAAGAAGGCGAATTCGAGGAAATCCATTCTTTCCTCAAATATATTATTTCTTTCCTAAAACACCACCTGCTGCCTTCGACACATCACGGCTTCCCAATGTGGGCCGCTGTTCGGATGAACAGTAATTCCCTTTCCTGCAGACAAGGACTTATATAAAGTCATTACTAAAGGTGGTGAAAATATATTCTGAGCAGAGATGAAGAAAAGTAGTATATAGTTATAATATCAGGAATTGCAAAAGACCCAGATTATATACCCCGACAATAGAGGGGTAACTCATGAATGAGACTATACCACTTCAGGGGTTAATTAAGGTTTGAGGATATATTTCCCTGTCAAGGGAGTGCATATAATGGAGATATCCAACACCCCCTCTTAGACGAAGACCTCAATCTATAGTATCAGTTCTTCTTGAGTATTCCTTAGTCTTTTAAAATCAGTTTGCTTCAAGCCTTTAGTCATGAGGTCAGCAAAATTGTTCTTTGTATGAACTTTCAATACCTTCACATTTGCCTTCTTAACTTCATCATTAATATAACTAAGACGAATCTTAAAATGCTTAGTACGATCAGAAGTAAAATGCTCTTGGTCACAAACATCCTTACAACCCTGGTTGTCCACATATGTGATAATCCACCGCTGTAGATTCCAAAGACGTAATTCAGTAAGTAGAAACTTTAACCAGTTAGCACTTCTAACACATTCACATAATGCATAATATTCTGCCTCTAATGAAGAAAGAGCAACTGAAGTTTGCTTCTTAGACTTCCAAATAACAGGAGATTCCTCAATGAAAAATATGTTACCTGACACAGACTTAAATGTCTCTTTGCAGTTAGCCCAGTCTGCATCGCTATAACTTTTGATATCAACGTAACGTTTTGGCTTGCTGACTTTTCTGTAACGAATTGCAAAATCTGACGTTCCTTTGAGATACCGTAATATTCGCATGCATGCCTTATAATGCTTCATGGCTGGCTTACTTGAGTATCTCGCTAACGCAATTGTTATGAAGGAAATATCATACCTCACAGTCGTACAGGCAAATAGTAATTTCCCGATTATCTCTCGAAACTTAGTGGGATTGGGATAAAGTTCATCAGTCACTAAAGGACATAACAAGTCTGACCACTCTGAATAATAAGGTGTTTCACACGGTTGAGAAGACTGATCCAAATGCAAACTAATAAGCTTAGAAATGTAATCCTCCAAGGATAATGTAATCACTGAATCAGACTGACTAACATTCATTCCCAAGAACTTCTTCGCTGGACCAAGGTCCTTAATCTCATATGCCATAGACAAACCTTGCTTAACCTTTTCAATAAGTTTAATATCAGAACTCATTATCAACATATCATCCACATAAAGAGCCACTAAGAGCAAAACACCACTCTCATACAAATAATAAAGACAGGGTTCCCGGACACAAGGAACAAGTCCAATAGACCTTAATGTCTTGGACACTTCCAAATTCCAGACCAAGGGAGCTTGCTTAAGTCCATATAATGCGCGTTTAAGCCTTAAGACTTTGCCCTTATTCTGACTTGTCTGTAGACCTTCGGGTACAGTGAGATAAAGATCAAGACCTAGGGGACCATTGAGGAATGCCGTTTTAACATCAATCTGATGAATAGTCATACCAAGATTAGCTGCCAAAGCAATAGACAATTTAATAGTATCATACTTAGCAACTGGTGAATAAGTTTCTTGATAATCCTTACCTGGCACTTGTGAGAAGCCTTTCGCGACCAACCTAGCTTTATATCTACCACCGTCTTTAATGGTAAATATCCACTTATACTCAATCGGCTTACGACCTGAAGGTAAAGTCGTTTCCTCAAATGTTTCTTTCTCTCTCAATGAATCAAGTTCAGAATCTATAGCAGTTTTCCACTTATCAGCTTCATCGCATGAGATAGCTTCCTTATAGGTTTCTGGTTCAAAGCGAACTTTAGTAAACATAATTCTTGTAACATTGTTCCTCTCAAAAGCTTCAACAAACAGAGCGAGTGATTTGGAAACGTAATCATCTCCAGGAGTGACTGACAAGATCATAATATCTCCCCCTCTCAAAGAATGAACTCTGTTGTCTCTTTTGCCTGATAACTGACGATAGTTAAGTTTATGCTTCCCAGCAAGACGACTCAGCATACGAGGACTATGTTGACTTTCATCCTCAGTAGCCCGTCGGTTAATATTATCCTGTTCAGGAACTGCTCTAGGCAGCTCAACAGTCCCACTTCGTTCGCTTTGCGGGTGCAGTGCACCGTTATTCAAAACCGAATGTGACAATTCATTTTCCAGCCTGTCTCCGGAATCCTTATCACTCATGTTGGAAACATCCTCCTCACTTGTCTTATTTAAGGAGGTAAAACCACCATGCGGTTCAGTGGACTTTTCTTGCTGATTAGACACAACACTTCCATCAGTTTGGTCAACTGGAACATAATCTGGACTTAGCATTGAATCATCCTCTTCCTCAGGATCTCCGCAGAAATGGTTCGGATGACTCTCACTCATAATATGACTCTTCATAGAATCATGATCAACAGTCCAATGGACACCCAAGAATGGAAACTTCTTCAGTATAAATTTAACCTGATGAGTTTCAACAATTTGCTCAGTAAGTTTATCATTATCAAGGACTATAACTCTCGTGGCTTTGCGATTTAAAGCAGGGCCTAGCGAAATACACTTACCCCCACGAGGATCAACCTTCTTACCAGCATTCACCTTGTACTTTTTAAAGTAACCTAAACAACCGAAAGGAGATGCTTCCCATAGTTCAAAACGTTCATATTTTCTTGGGGATAAATATGACATAGGAATAATCCAATGATTCTGGGATTTCGGGCTGTTATTCAAGGTGAAAACAGCAGTCTTAAACGCTTCAGGCCAGAATGTTAACGGTAAACCACTCTGAAGTAAAAGAACTCTAGCTTTCGTCAGAATAGCACGAATGGCTCGTTCAGCGAGACCATTTTGATGTGAACTATAAGGTGTGGTAAATTTCAAGGAGATGTTAAAATGATCGAAAATATCTTTGTGTCCTCTCGAATACATTTTAGAACGAAACTCTCCACCGTTGTCAACACGAACTTGCCTGAATTTCTCACCGGGGAATTCATCAACTAACCTCTTAAGTATAGCATAAAAATTGCCAAGTGTGTCTTCCTTACGAGTCATGGGCGAGCAATAATACATCCTCGTAAACTTATCGACAACCACTAAACAAAACTTCAGACCATCAAAACCAGCTGGTGATATAGGACCACAAATGTCCGCATGCAAGTACTCCAAAGGATGGGTAGCAATGGTTTCTGATTCACGATCTTTACGAAAGTTGACCATGGTACCCTGTTGACATGCATCACAGTGTTCTCTGATGTCCTTATCAATATTAGGAAGAAAAGAAAATTTCTTCTGAAGTTCGAGATATTGTTGATATGTAGGATGTCCAGCACGAATGTGATGTTCCATATCCTTTTCTGCATAAGTTGCTTTTGTCTCCCACCTCACGGACCTTAATGCATACACATTGACTAGATTAATTTTCATGTCATCATGCGCTGCCTTGATCTCCGAGTGAGAAAGCGTCACTCCGGGATTGTCATGAACCTTGCAATCCAAATCGATCATATAATGACCAGGACTGCGACCCTCACCAATTTTGACTCCATCACTATCGAACAAATCCAGTCTATATTTCGAAACAGATAATCCGAAATCATGATAAGCCGAAATAACATTAGCAGAGGCATCAGGTATGTAATAGACGTTCGCCATCGTGATTACTTTACCAGAAATAGTTCTCCCAGTAACCCGGCCATAACCAGGGGCTAAATAATGGTGTGTGCCATAGTCACCAAAGAACTTCGGACATTTAACATAACCACTCAAAAGGGTCAAATCACTCACAAAATGTATCGGACTTCCCGAATCCCAAATGAAACACATTTTCAGACCACTAGATTTAGACAGATGAGGACTAACTAGAAATGACTTAGCAGTTTCTTCTCCCTTAGGCTTTTCTTGTTGGCTCTTGTCCTTCTTTGCTTTAGCTCGCTTCTTATTTTTAATTTCTGTCCAATGAGCCTTCTTCTTTCTCTTATTCGCTTCAGTTCGCAACTCAGGATGCTTTAAGAAACAACGGTCTTCAGTATGACCTTGCTTACTACAGTGCGTGCATGTTCTCACAAGATTTACCAGCAGGTTAACAGTGGAAGGAATAAAGCTCGTAGCCGAATTCAAATCCTTTCTCAAAGCCGTAACTTTCTCCCTCTTGCTAGGATTTTGACCTTCATATGCAAGCACCAATTCATTAGTAGGGCAGGCAGATTCTCCACACAGTTTGAAAAGCTTTTCTCTGAAATCATAGTTATCCACATTCATGGACCGAAAGAGACTCTTTATGATTAACTCATCATCATTATCTGGATTACCCAAGGCCAAAAGGTAAAAGAGTTCTTTCCCAGAGAAGGAGTGTGCAACGCACATACGGTACACATCCATAAAATCAAGCTCATTATACGCTCCGAACAGCACGAAAACTTGTGCAACCTCATGAATTAAATCCTTAAATTGCCTTGGTGTATACTTCGTCATTGTCTCATGTAAATTACACAAAGTGTCAAGACTTTGACTCGATACTTTAATACCCAGCAATATTGATTGATCAATGCCAAACATTTTCACACGTTGAGCAATATGCTCAGCATAACCATTCACGGGTCTCCGTTCTGGAGGTTGGAGATCTGAAATACTTCCCCTAGCATCCTCTTTCTTATGAAAGTAAGTATTAATATATGTTGCGGTAGGATCACCATAAACCTCTCTTATCTGCTGAATAAAGATTTGATACCAGTAAACATATTGTGTATGGTCTTTCAAAATAAATGGGAGTTTAAAGATAACCTCATATGGGCTCGTTGTCCCGTCTTTATAAAGATGAACAGTAATTCCCTTTCCTGCAGACAAGGACTTATATAAAGTCATTACTAAAGGTGGTGAAAATATATTCTGAGCAGAGATGAAGAAAAGTAGTATATAGTTATAATATCAGGAATTGCAAAAGACCCAGATTATATACCCCGACAATAGAGGGGTAACTCATGAATGAGACTATACCACTTCAGGGGTTAATTAAGGTTTGAGGATATATTTCCCTGTCAAGGGAGTGCATATAATGGAGATATCCAACATCGGACAGAGCGCACGTGACCTCAGGGCTGGTAAAACGCAAAAAAAGCGAGCTGTAGAAGCCATAGAAAACTACTTCAGTGAACATGTCGTGGGACGACGAGGACTTTGACGTTTCTGCTAAAACTGCACCAACCGCTTCTTGGGAAGATGAGGCTGACGACGAGCCAGTGATGGAGTCGTGGGAAGTCGACGAAGAGGAAGAGGCCAAGAAGAAGAAGGCCGCAGAGGATAAGAAGAAGGCCGACTTGAAGAAGAAGCAGGACGAGGCTAAGGCTAAAAAGCAGGCTGCTAAGTCTGGTGAGAAGAAGCTTTTGGATATCGACACTGTTGATGAGAAGACCAGAAGAGAATTGTTGAAGAAGGCTGAAATTGACGCTGACTTGAACAACGCCGCTGACTTGTTTGGCGGTTTGGGTGTTGCTAATGACAAGCTCGATGAATTGACCGCTCACCCAAGAGAGAGAGCTGCTGCTGCTGCCGCTGCCAAGCAAGAGCCTTCTTTCACCAAGGATACGCCGTTGGAGCTGCACCCATTGTTCCAGCCTACCAACAAGCAAGAGTTCGAGAAACTTAGAAAGACATTGGCTCCTATCTTGACTGGTTTGGCAAAAGACTCATCATTGCTTTACTCTTCTAACTTGGCCATTGACTTGATTAGAGACCTCGTGCAGCCATTGTCTGTTGAAAGCACGAGAAAGGTTGTTTCTACATTGAACGTCGTGCAGAGAGAGAAGGAAAGACAGGAGAGACAGGCTAGATTACTGAAGGCCGGAGGAACCGCCACTGGTGGTGCTGGTAAGAAGAAGGCCAAGCCATTGGTGAAGACCAATGTCAACGACACGCACTTCAAGAAAGATGCGCTCGATGACTTGGACAACAACTACGACGACTTTGGCGATGACGACTTTATGTAACCTTAGCTACTTGCTGACGAGTGGCTTTTCTGGCATTTTATATAGAATACAATACCCTAATTATTCATGTCGTTGTAGGTATCTGGTCACGTGCGCCATCTTCGACTCGCCTACTAGTCTCGGTGATCGGTTCTATGTACGCTCAGAAAATCCATTGGCATTTTTGCATTCGTCCTTGAAATCCCCTACATGAATTAATGAGTTCTCTAAAAGATGCTCTTATACGTGTATCTCGTGTTGCACGGAATGTAGAGCAAGTCAAGAAACCACTCCGACCGCCCACACCTCCAAAAAAGACTTTTGAAAGTCCTCAGCATTATGAACTACCGACTCGTGAACGCATACCAAAGAAACAACTAGAGCAATATAGACACCATTTGAAAGGGTACCAGAAGAAGCGATTCCAAGATTTTTTACGACAGCTAAATATTCCCGATTTGAAAATCTTTGATGAGGATTCACCAAAGTACGATGTCTCGAGAGCAGAGGCCAACTATAAGGCTAGAAGCAGCACTGACAAAGGTGTTATGTTCAATGTCTTTCTTAATGATCGATACAATTTTAATGAAATGCTTGACTTTCTAGTGCATCTTACGCCAGACCGTCTCAAGTGTGAAGAAACAGTGAGTGATCCAAGTGCACTTCAATATGTTTTAAAGCAGCAAGATGATGAGTATAGAAAAAGCAAGTTTGTGGTTCCTCGGTACCACTTTCATGAGATTCCTCCATTCCCTGAACCCTTGACTCCTGAATCGTTCCAAGAGTATATCTACTTCCTCACGCATGTCAAGATTCCTTTCAAGAATTCGTCATCTTTACTCAGTGGTATCGTGCCTGAGATCTTACTTTACACGCATCTGTTAGATAATGACGAGTTCAAGAATCTCAGATCAGTCGAGACTTATAATTACCTTATCAAGTACTTTGGTTATGACAAATTTCAAGCATCATTTGCGAAAGAGCTTCTACTTGTGATGGCTACTGATGGGAAACAGCCCAATTTAGAAACCATCAATGAGCTTCTAAAAATTTGCAGGGTCCATTCAACGCGAAGATCGCTTTTTAGCTCCTATAAGATTATCCGAAGATACCTTACTATCATAAATCGGTTGAAGTTGGGTGTCAATCTCACTACCTGGCTAAGGATTTATGAATGTATCACCAATATCTTCTTAAGAGAGATTTATGTTAACAAAATGGCAACGATTAATTTGCCCATTCTGAGCCATATGTGCGTCCGGGTTCTTGAAGATTTTTGCCAGACCACTCAAGATACACAAGAAGTAATAGATTTCTTGTGCAACGAGCTTAGGCGTCCCAGCTGGAAGCAATACCCCAGGCTCGCAGAAAAAGTGATTTTGCACATTGTCTCTAGGGCAAAGGATTCCTCGCAGTTGAAGCCAGCATTTGAATTACTTGAACAGGTCGAAATTGATGAGGCCACGCTTAATGCATTCAGCAGAACAGTTCTTCAGAACAAGTCTTTGGAACAACCCACACTCATTCTTTTATCTTTATTTGCACGTTTCGAACATATGGTGAACACAGAATCTGCCGACGTTTTATCTAATTTACTCGTGGCCATCACTACCGATAACATTGAACTTTCCCAAGCAAGTTTCCTACTTCGATCGTTTGTCCACAAAGAAGCAGTCGAGAAGTTAAACTTGCCGGTTGAGTTTGACAGTCATGGCGACGATCCGAGAGAACAAGCTCGGCCTCCTAGCTTCCAGCTCAAAATCCCGAAAACGCATATTTCAGAGCATTACCGAATCATGAAGAGATTGACGAAGGACCATTTGACTGACTTTGAAGCTCGCATCTTTCACAACTACCATGATGGACATTCCATCCCTTGGCAGCCACTCACAGATCAAGAGAAAACAGAATGGGAAAATTATAAACATAAATTGAAGAATGCTGACCCCTTCTGGTTGGACGTTGAAACCACAAGCCGCGAGCTCGGTCTTCAACTGGCTGCGAAAAATACCCCACCGTATGTCATCGATACCTACAGAAAGGCGAACGCGATCAGGGCCAACGTCAGCCGCGGTGCTCATTTGGTCCGCCGTCTACAAACCGGGCTTGATGAACACTTGGAGAATGAGTTAGACGAACGAGGCATTCGCCCCAAAAAAATTGCATAACTTTGTATATAGCATAATGACGAAGTGTGGACCGTTTGGTCGAAAGATCAAGGGTCTATCACGTGATGTAAACACGATTGGATGCCTATAGACCTCTGAGTATTGATCTGTCCAACGACACTAATCTATTCCCGATGGCAAGGTTTGCAAATGCCTACTGGTCGCCTGACTACAGGTCAGGAATTGAGCTGCTTTCCAAGCAGCTGCTTACCTCGCTCAATCAGCTCCATGAACTCAGACGGTTTATATTCAACTATATGAACTATCACCATTCAAACAGTGGTTACATGGCAAAATTGGCCAAAGAAAGTCTTCCAATGGATAGCTCGTTCCGGGAAGAAAGGGAGGAAAAACATATATTAAGTGGATCCAAGAAGTCTTCACAAGAACAAAAGCCAAGAGAGGTCGATGTTAAATACGTTTTCAAGGAGTTCGTCGATAGAACAGCATTGGAGCTGCAACTTCAACTAAATGTGGCCTCAGAGATAGAATCCGAAGTTCTTGGAAAGATTACTGGCTTCATCAAACTTCATGAGCCCCAGATCAAATCTACGCTCGATCGATTTGAGGACCTTCTAGACGACTACGATGAATCTCGACGTAAGATGGAAAGAACGAAAGGAAAGTACGATGAAATGGTTCGCCTTGGAGAGCTTGAAGGTCACGACCACAGAATTGAGCATGATCCAGATGAATCAGTTTCGTCAGTGCCTGGCACTCCAGAGAGGCCAAAGCATGCGTATGATCTGGAGGACGAGGCGTTAGAGGATGGGCAATCTCAATTGAATCTATCATTCCCTCTTCTACTTGGCGGAGGACTTAAATTTGAGTCTCCAGACAAGCTACAATCCTTTTTGGCGAGGGCAATCGCCAGCATATCCACAATTAAACGTAAAATACCCTTTCCGGGCTACAGAAACGAGATATTCAGCAGCGACCAGTTGTGCGATTATTTGAAATCACACAGGCCCCATGGCTTCAACCCTACAAGGTCAAATCTTGAAAAACTTGGCCAAAGTCTAATTGATCGGAAACTAATTGTCGGCTTTGGCTTGTTTAGCCAAAAGTTCAAAAGTGAGGGAATGTGGTTCGAATGGTCGCAAGAGGCCGTTGAATTTACTGAGTTGAAGAGTCACAGAACTTCGTCAATTTCCAGTGTGGCTCTGCCGTCTTCAATTTCTCGCCTCAGCATTGAAGAGTCTTCAAGAAAGGTTAATGAGGTCGCCGGCTCGACGTCGAAGCGCTTCAACACAATGTTCAAGAATGTTAAATCTTCGCTATTGAAGCCTAAGTACTCTGAAGAGGCGATTCACGAATTGGAACTGGAATACAATGAAGCGTACGAAGAAGTACAGAAAGTGAAGCATCTTCTTGATATGGAGATCTTCCAGAAATCACAAATCTTTGAAAGATTTGAGATGGTTAGAATCGAGGTGACGTATCAGAGTCTAACAAAGCTTCTGGAAGTGCTTTACAGAAACTCCGCTTCGGCAGTCTCATCACTACACAATTTCACGTCGAACTTCATTGAGAAACTCAATAAGCCTCATAATTACGAGAAAGATCTCCACGACCTTCTTCAAAGCAATAGCACAGGTATCTATTTTCCTGCAATTGTACTGCCGCATCATGGACTGAAGGAACACTTTGACCCCAGCCTACTCAACACAAGCTTCCAGAATATTAAGTTTACATTTAACTTATACAAGGATATCCCTCTTCAGGTCAAGAATTCCGATGTTGACAATGAATCACTAATGAGTACGAGGTCACTTCCCCTTCTATTAAAAAGTTTGGTCGAAGCAACATTTCTGGCTGACAAGTCTGAGCTTAAAGAGCTTTGGATTGCCCCAATAGATCATCAAGAGTATTGGCTGTTGAAGCAAGAAGTGATTCAACTCATCCAGGAGTTTGACCCACCCGATGATCTCAATGTTCAAGATGAGAAGGCGGTCGAGATAGCTATCGTTAAAAAGGTCGCGGAGCGACTTTCAGCGGCTTCAGCAAACAGTCTACTCAATTTCTTGAAGAACTGGCTATTGGAAACGAGTGATTCTGTAATACCTTGCACGATTTATGATTCGTTGCTTAATCTACACAAGGATTCCAAGGGTGATACCGCAAACGAGAGCATCAAAGTGCTTTCTTCAATCCCAAGGAGCAATCTTTGTTCATTGATATTTATTCTTGAGAGTGTTTCTTTCATTTTTGGACTTCAAAGTATCGATGAATACGGCCTGACAGATGATGTGGCCATACAAGATCACGAGGAAATTGACGTGGCGCCTTTTGTTGAACAGCTCAACTCTATGGACTCGATAGGATCCGTTCCATTTCTTCATCTCATATTACGGCCGTCTGTTGTAAAGAATTCAAGCGGTTTCAAGCCACCTAAAGAGGCCTACAATGCTCTTCTCCTGACGTTGCTTGATATCAACGTAAGGGAAAAACTTTGCATTGCTTTGATAACCCACGAAAAGAACTTTTTGGAAAGGACGAAACGCCAGGAGCAAAATCTTGGTATCAACAAGGGGGCTCGAATTGCGTCTAAAGATAACAGCGCCACTCGAAATGATACGCCCAAGGTCGAAATCCAGGCTGAAACACCCACAAAACCAACAAAGCATGTCTCATCACCAACTCCAAAGTCACCAAACCCCGTTTCAGGAGACCAGTTCTCACTTAGACCTTTCAGGACGGGAGTAACACCTAGGCCATCGCCTGTGAGCTCACCTGTCCACACTAAGCGGTTTACAAACGAACGTTCGAGAAATCGAAGTGACTCTGGTCATCTTATTTCTATAGACAAGGGGGACGATGAAGAGAATGATTAAAGCTTCTTTTGGGGTATTTTGCTTTTCTTTGGCAAGTCACTCATTGTGATTTTTTGCACCTGTCTAAGATGCTTAAGGGAATAGAAAAATAATAAAACCAACGCAATCAGGCCAAAGACGACAACGGCCTCAAAGCCGCCGTCGATTTCTTCAATGAAGTTCTCCAAGTTCATACCATACAAGGCCGCAACGTAAAGAACGGCACCCATGGAAAGTAAACCGATGGAGAATCGTAAACCAAGTAACATCAAATCGTTTCTATTAGCATCCAACACAAATTTGATGATTTCCTCTGATGTTTTTATCTGAGAAATGAGATTTTGACTCGTCTGGACAATCTCATCGATTGTGGTATAATAAGACTCGAGCAAGAGTTCTACCTCTTGATGGTTAAACGAGTACCTCGGACGTCCTTGTTCAATCTCGGTAAGATATAAAGCATTTAGCTCATCATCCTGATTCAACAAATCATCCAACAAATCACCTGTCAACTTGGCTTTCTGATAAAATTGAGCTAGTTTCTTGGACTGGATGAGAAGGTAACGAAGTCTTGTTCTTTCGATCGAATTATCTAGACTTGCTAGAATATTGGATAGCACCGTTTTATGGACCTTGAGCTCGGTATTGAGGTTCGAAGTAACGTCTATTAGAATGGCCTCAAGAGCTCTGAATTCATAAGGTAGTTTGGGAGCATCTGGGTGATCAGTTTTAAGTCTCTTTGCCAACTCTTGAAGAAAAAGGCCATGAGAGTGAGATTCATGAAACCTTGATGAAGGTGAAAATGTGGTTGTGGGAGCATCAAAGACCACCAAAGTATCGTGGCGAATGAGGGCCCTGATGTTCAATAGATTCAACAAAATACTTCCGTCTCTTGTAACGAGCAGCGGCACAAACTCCACGTTTGCCTTCATTCCTGAAGTCCGTGTTCCTGGAGAATGTGACCTGACAACCTTCCGTAGATCTCGAGAAAGAAGGCCATAATCACGCATAAACTTTGCTTTCCTGATATTCTTGCCATGGCAAACCATATTACCTTTGCTGTCGTATATCGTACATTTCACATATTCGTTTTCCAGCTTGTTCGTTCGTAGAGTGTTGGTGATGAAGACATCATTGAAGAGATCTTCTAGTCGTGTAGGAGTGGAAGTAAAACGTCGAAGCAGACTGCCAGCAACCAAAGAAGGAAGCCTCCTAGTAGAAATACCCAAGAATCTAAAACCAAGCATATGTTGCTGCCTCCACCGGTATGCCCTTGACGTTGCTAATACTATCGTTATCGAGTGCGATGTAGATGCATGCGTCTATTTACCTTTCGCAATACAGTAGCAGCCATCCGAAACACATACCTAGTGCTTCTTCTGGGTCCCTGATGAACAGAATTAATAGCTCAGATGAGCTAGACGTTTGTGAAGAGGTTGGGCGAGGAGGCTTTGGTGTTGTGTACCGAGGAGTGTTGAAAAACACTGGCAAGGAAGTTGCAATCAAACAGATAGACTTGGAGAGTGAGCTGGCTGATATATTCGAGGTGAATAGGGAAATCACGATCTTATCAGAATGTCGTATTCCTCAGATCACCAGGTACTTGGGCTCTTTTGTCAAGAACTATAAATTGTGGGTGATAATGGAGTACGTCAGTGGAGGCAGTTTGTTTGACTTGTTGAAGGCAGGCCCTATTACCGATGAAAGACTCGTGGCTGCTATAGCCAAAGAGGTGCTTATAGCACTTGCTTATTTGCATGATCAGGGAAAGATTCACAGGGACTTGAAGTCGCAGAACATCTTGCTAGGCCATGATGGAGAGGTGAAACTTACAGACTTTGGCGTGTCAACGCAACTATCGTCGAACTTTTCTAGACGAAACACCACTGTGGGCACTCCGTATTGGATGGCTCCTGAAGTTATACTTAACAGTACTGGTGGTCACAGCTATAAAGCTGATATATGGTCATTGGGCTGCTGCGTTTTCGAGCTCAGGAACGGCAGACCGCCTCTTCAAGAACACTTTGCACCAATGAAAGCACTTCGACAAATTTCAAGCTGCCAAAATGATGGAGACTTCTGGGAGCTCATTCAAACAGAACTGAGCAAAAGCTGGTCTCACGAAATGATAGACTTCTTCCACCGTTGCTTTGTTTTGCAGCCACAAGAACGATGGTCTGCCAAGAGACTCTTGAGACACAAGTTCATCCAGCAAGCCGAACTAATATCAGATGATCAAAGGAGAAAAGATCTCCGTAAGTTCATCACCAAAAAGCATTTGTGGGACCAGGAACATCATATTACAAGAACTAGAAGATACTACGCGCCAACGGAAATCCAAAAGAACCAAGAGAGATGGATAAACGGTGCATCTGATTCTAAGGGAGAGAATAAAGAAAATAGAGTCGAGTTCGATCTCAGCTCCGTTAAAGAATACCCGAAAACGGTCAACGACCATCAAGATTCTAGCGGTAAGACCACTCCATCCCCAGCGCCAGCTGCGACTCCTCTGAAAGCCGATACAAGCTCCAGCAGAAACTCATCAACTGAATTTATCAAGATTTTGAATAGAGTCTTTCACAAGATTGAGCAAAGGACAATGCTACCCACAGAACAGTACGACCAGCTTGTACAATTGAACGACAGCTTAATTAATCTCTTCGTGCCTGTCAGGACCAGTGATGATCTGGAACCTTCACAGAGTCGAATCCTAACTGCTCAATACCTCCGGTACCTTTTGAAAGAGCTTCTCAAGCCGCAAACAGATAATGCAGCCAGGCTGCAACTACAAAGGCAGATTCTTCCATCAGCGGTTCACGACGCAATCCCTTCAGACCCAGCCACACTTCGAGGAAAAAAAACCAACAGCACACTTGATGAAATAGAAAGAAGTCTTCTCGAGTCGTGGCTAGATAAAATGAAAAGTTGAGTCTTCCTCACACTATAAATCCAAGCGCGACTACATCAGCGCGATGTATATTATTCCAACTCAAGTACATATTCCATGATAGAAAACGGAGAGCATCTAGATAAGAAGGCCAAACTAAATGGCTCCTTCGATCAGTGGCAAGGACTATATAAAGAGCGATACAACATTCCAGGAAAGCCTCTGGAACTGCTCAACTCGGTGAAGATTTCTCCAGACCGCCTGTTACTAGCGACATGCACCTCAACAGGACTACTTCATATCTACAATTACGAGGACGGAACGCATAAAACGACTCTTCTGGGTCATAACAAAGGCATATCTGACATTGCATTTTCTCCTGTTGATAGCAGTATCATTGCTTCTTGCTCAGATGACTTGACTGTGAGGATATGGTCTATCACCAAAGGCGCTTGCATTCGTATCTTGAAAAAACACACTTTCCATGTTTCGGCACTTTGCTTTAACTCCAAGGGTAACCTACTTGTCAGTGGAGCTGCAGATGAGACAGTTGTGATCTGGGATCTTACCACTGGAAGAAGTCTAAAGACACTCGCTGCTCATTCAGACCCTGTCAGCTCTGTCAGTCTTACTCCAGACGACACCATCATCATCAGTGCTTCATACGACGGCCTTATGAGACTTTTTGACCTAGAATCCGGCCAGTGTCTTAAGACTCTCGTTTATAATAGTTCGTCCCATGGTACTGCCACGGCGTCTACGAACGACGTGGTTAACTTCCCTATTTCGAATGTCCTGATTACGCCGAATGGGAAATACATCCTAAGTACCAGTTTGGATGGTAAGATCAGGTTATGGGACTACATGAATAATAGGGTCGTCAAGACATACACATCTAATGATTCTCTGGCAACGATATGCGAGAAATACAATTGCAGCACTTCCTTCATTACTGCGACTGAAGAACCATTGATAGCTTCTGGCAGTGACCAATCTGGTGTGCTTTTTTGGAGCGTTCAAAGCAAAGACATTGTCTTTCAGCTCCAGCCTGGGTCGACTGTTCTCGGTATTGACTCATGTGACGGTGGTAACGAACTTGTTACTTGCAGTCTTCAAGGAGATATACGTTTTTATGATCTCGAACCCCAGTTCAAAGTTGTCAATGGCAATGGCCACTTAAACACAACGTCTGGAGCATCTTCCCCAGAAGCTTCTGATGTATCGCACACAGAAGGCCAGGAAGCCGAGGGGAACGAAGACATTGAAGAAGAGGAACAAGAAGCTGAAGAAGATAAAGGAGCTGAAGAAGATCTGAGTTAGAAAATAATAATAATTTACACTTGACAGACTCTAGTAAAGCATTCGGTAGCTGTGGTGGTTTGCAGCCGCCATGGGACCTGTACATCTGTAGTGCGCCCCGGATATCGATAAACTGGGTTTCCAATTTGACCCTTTCCAACTTCCTCCTTCTTCAACAATGGACCAACGCAGAGGCCTTTTTAGATTCGACGCATCCCTTCTTCGTCTTCCGAAATCTCAAAAGCTTAGATCTGCGGGAGTTTATCTCTCGGGTGCATTGTTCGCAATTGGATTCTGGTCTATGGTTGACGCAGCTATATACTCCAAAACAGTCAATGCCAGCGTCGTACACATCACTTTCGTGGACTGGATCCCGTTCATATGCTCTACTTTGGGTATGCTTATTGTGAACTCCATTGAAAAGTCTAATTTGTTTACCGAGGGGCAAAATTCCTTCTTGGGCGATGGCAACACGCACGCCTGGGCAGCAAGAGTCATTTTGTTCTTTGGCTTCTCCTTGTTAGCCGGTGGATTGGCTGGTTCATTCATGGTTTTCATTCTCAAGTTCTTGATGAAGCACTATACCTTCCCTACTTTGGGTATGGGTGTTTCCAACATCATCTGTAATGGATGCATCATGCTAAGCTGCATAGTCTTGTGGTTGTCTCAGAACATCGAGGACGAGTACAGCTACAGCTTGGCCTTGAACTAAAAGCATACTTAAACGAAAGCTTCATGTCATTATTTGATCCTATTGCGACAATCTATCTAGTTATCCATAGTAATATAAAAAAGGTGAAAAAGAGTTCTGGCCAGCAGTAGGCATTTGAAGTATGGGGAGGGGAGTTCCCATTACATCAAAGTGCTGGTGTAAGCATCGTACCAGTGGAGCTTGAAAACGTCAACGAATGCACCTGATGAAGGTGCCTGCTCCACGTACATGCAAGATGAGGCCAATCCTTAGAGGCAAGGAAGCGCCAGACTAAATTCTATAAGCGGTTCTCAGTCTGAATTACTACCTCTTCAAAAACAGTTCCTTGTAAGGCCCCATCAAATCTAGCTCGTATGGGGTAAAATCAAGTAAATTTAGTTCCATAGGCTCGTGTGCCCCTCTAGGGTAGACCTGGAAGTTTTCCTTTTTTAGTTCGTGGAAGAAAGGATGTGCTAGCACGGCTCTCGGGCTGGCTCTGAATTCTGGGTCGTAGACAAGGATCTTGAGCAATAAGTCAATAACGTCTGGAGGTGAGGTCGAGAATATCTGCTCGAACCGTTCTTGGACTGAGCAACTGAACAACTTCGTGGAAAACATGTTTCCTCTGTATTGTGGGTTGCTCTTGAAGAAGAAGGTCTTTGGAGGTGGTCCCAAAAGCTTCGAGATTTCCTTCAATTGCAATTCGGAAGACTGTCCCTGGAATATTGGTTTACCCAAGAACATCTCGGCAATGACGCATCCCAAACCCCAGATATCAATCTTGGTCGTGTACACTGTACATCCGACAATAAGCTCTGGAGCACGGTAGTATCTCGAGCAAATGTAACTGACCGAGGGCTGGTTTGGTTCTAACTGCTTAGCAGAGCCAAAATCGCAAATCTTCAATCTAACAGTTGAAGGATCAACTAATATGTTAGAGGGTTTGATATCACGGTGCAGAATATTGAGGCTGTGCAAGTAGAGCATTGCCCTGGTCAACTGAAATGTGTATGCTTTCATATGAGGATATGGGATCGTGTACTTCGACTGGCGGTAGTATTTGATCTCATTCTGCAAATTGGATGGCAAGCATTCCATCACAAGGTTCTGGTAAATCTTACCGTCTAGCTGATTTTTCTTGTCAAAGAAGAATCTCAACGAAACAATATTGGGGTGCTTGACTGTTCGTAAGATCTCTAATTCTCTGCATTTATACTCAGTTTGAGCCAAGACTCTCTTAATAGCAAAAGGTCCAAGCCTTTCAGCTTCAGGCTTGTCATTATTGTCGACATAGGCCAAAGCAGCCTCGACGACGGTACCAAAGGCGCCCTCGCCGATTTTCTTGTACTCCTTGACAAACATACGTCTGCATTCGGAGGTTTGGTTGTTAACAACCTCGTTGAGAATATATTCGTCCTTGTGGGCGTTGTCGGTCAACATAGTTGAGGATTCGGAGCAAGTATCAGGCGTCGCTGGCGTATGAGCTCTAAAAAAACGTCGGAATCGGAACAAATTTAAGGATTGAACACTTGGAACGGCTTGTCGCTATATCTTCACAGATGGTTGGATGATGGTGGAGCCTTGCCAGAAGTACTACGGAATCCCGACTTGGTGGAGGCGCGTGGAAGCCTTTTGTGAGGCGTAGATGGACGAATAGGGATAGGAGTAGTAAGGCAGCTCGGTGAAACAGGTAAAATGGTATCACGAGGCCGAGGAAAGGACGTTGTTAGGCTTTAAATTCGCAAGAGACACTGAAGAACTTGGAGCTGTGTTGTTATCGGTTTTGACGGTTTGAGGTTGAGGTCTGGCGATGCAGGTTGTTGTCACGGTCACGTGCGGGTAACTTGACTTTTGCCATAAAAACAGGCAAGCGGAGGCGTAATTGGGGAAAAATAGGAAACATGAAATGATCAGAAAAACATGACTTTATCATTACGGAAGCTTGTGGCACCAAAATGACACGTATAGTGGTCATTCTGTGGTGACTTATTTCTGCCGAAAGTGGACAACATTCATTCGCGGTAGACCCCTGGACCAAAAAGCAGTCAGTGGGGGAACTGGAGTACTACAAGAGGTGATGATTCTGGAAGGTGAAAAATTGGCCCTTCTGGGAAGCTACAAGTTGGAAGAAAGTCATTCAGGGTAATTCTCGCCTTTTTCCTCAACCTAAAAGCAGCAATGGCTGACTGTGATACCTAGAGTGTGAGGTAATTTGGCTGCGAAATATGCCTCACTTGGTCACAAGGGGTAGAGGAGTGACATGACAGGTACTTACTTTAGTAAAGGGCAATGAGTGTGGCTGGTTCGTGATATGTAACGTGGTAATTTGTATGCCATTGTTGGTTTATGGGCAAAGTAAGGGTGGGAAGAGATATTGGTGTGGGTTACTGTGATGGTCTAGGCAGCACAAGACATAGTAGCCACAGCAGAGGGTAACCTTGGCAGGCACAATTTGTATTTATTGAGGGAAACTGTGTGGGGGGTGCCGACATGGTGGTGCTTTTAGAAAGAGTAGGTGGTGATTTTTGATACACTACATTTTCTTATTCGGATATTTCCAATGGGGCTTATGGTCGCTTGACTGTAGGTATTGCCTAAGCACTGATGTCTGGTGCGCTGGTTTACATGGTTTCGAGACCAATTCACAGCCATTTGATATAACAAGGGGCACTTGGCTTCTACTATTTACTTTCTGGTTAATTTTCACACGCTCTGCTTTAAATCGTAAATCATACTGCCATTGCTAACTACACTATGTCTATGGCCAAAACTGAGAAGCGAGAACAACTTACTGTATGGCCCGAAAACTTCCTATAATATTTGAAAAAACGAAACAGCGTATGCTAATTTGAACTGAAAGCTAAAAGATTTTACTATCCCTTTACTTTTTCTATCCTTTTGGCACTCCATGGCCTTCCCTTATGGACCTTGGTGTAGACACCCGTGCACCTCACCATGAAAAAATCTCAACTTGTTAGACATCTACAAGAGTCCCGATTACCTCAGATCTAGCATGTTTTCAGGAATCAGAAATGCCCTTTGGGGTCGCCTGAGCATGGCTTTTGCCGCCCAAAGAAACCTCACACTACTGAGTCGGTTGTGGTCAGCTGCCGAGACTGCTGCTAAGCCAGCTGCTAAGGTTGACCAAACCCTCGGCCCCATCATTAAGACAGAGAACGAAAAGGTTGTGTTGTGGAAGATCTACGCCAAGTGCAATAAGCATAACACACTTTGCTCCCTTGTTGCCGTCACTGAAGACTTGGATTTCATGAAGAACAATGAACACCTATCATACAACGAGAAAGTCCTTTACTACATGCAATTACCTCACAGATCCAAAGTATTCGTCACCGCCGGTATGCTAGGCTACAGACACTCCCAGAAAGCCGAATACGAGGCCGCCTATCAGGTTTCCAGTAGGCTTTTCAAACTTATAGAAGAGAAGAAGTTCATTGGTCCTAACGACAAGGTTGAGGTCATCTTGACCAACTTCGGTAAAGGAAGAGATGCATTTACGGCCTGTTTGGTTGGTAAGGAAGGAGCCTTCTTGAGACCAAACATTGTTAGAGTCTCTGACAAGACACCATTGCAATACGGTGGTAACAGACAAAGGGCCCAGCGTCGTTTGTAATCCATGTACATAGCATATTTCGGGCCGAGTGCCCAAAAAGAACATTTAACGACTTTGCTTTAGGCTAATTATGCTGGTGTAGGATATTTCCCTGGCTTTACTGTCATTGTTAGGATATCAAGTCAATAGTTGATATGGAATCAAGAGAAACGCTCTCTACTCGCATCCACTTCTTGATACGCTTGGAGCCAATAACAAGTATTGATCACTCATAACCATAGATTATCAACTGGACTTTAATAATCTATCACTTGTGGATAATCTAAAATGTTCAGTTATATTTTTGTCTCCAAAGCTATAGCTGGTGGAATCCTAAAGTATTTCCATGTCTTGGTGGGATCATTTTGCAGCCTAATTGTGTGTGGGGCTCCAGCCCTAGCTGTTCGCACGTGCCATTCCGCACAATATACAAAAAATTTGTACTGTCCCGGCTTCTCAACTGCCCTGTCTGCAGTGCCCAGGTGGCTCCGCGATGTAGAATTTTTTTCCACCAAAAACTTGACTTAGGATTCCTACTTCTGTATAACAACGATTCGAGATGGCTCCAAGTATGTAAAAACGATATAAGATGAAACGTTGAATGCTCCATATGACGATATACTCCCTTTATGTTGAATTAAAACTCCCTATTTGCATTATCCCCGATGATTGAATGTGCTTTCCCTTGAGATGGATATAGAAGACTTTTCACCAACAGCAATATCCCACCAGTTTACCACCAGTTCCTCCAAAATTACAGTATTTGTCAACCCCTTCAAGACGTCGTTTGCTGCATTCTTTTTTTCGTCCCCTACTTTATTTCACATAAATACTAACCTATAGACGCTGCTGCTGCTAAGAAATCTGCTTTGAAGGGTACCAACTCCAAGAAGGCCACTAAGGTGAGAACCAACACCACCTTCAGACTTCCAAACACCTTGAAGTTGGCCAGAAAGCCTAAGTACGCCAGAACTTCCGTTCCTCACTACAGAAGATTGGATGCCTACAAGATCATCGAGTCCCCAATTGCCTCTGAGACCGCCATCAAGAAGGTCGAGGACGGTAACACCTTGGTTTTCCAGGTTTCCTTGAAGGCCAACAAGCACCAGATCAAGACTGCCGTTAAGGAGTTGTACGAGGTTGACGTTGAGAAGATCAACACCTTGATCAGACCAAACGGTACCAAGAAGGCCTACATTAGATTGACTGCTGACCATGACGCTTTGGACGTTGCCAACAAGATCGGTTACGTGTAAATTTCATGCCCTCATCAGTACAATAGTGTAATTAATAAAACATACGGAGAGATAGATTGTAGATGGCCACGGCCCTAAGTAGAACGGAGAATCATGTTGTGTATCACTATTTTCGGTTTCTTCAAGCTTTGCCATTGGTCTTGGTTCTTTTTATACTGCTAAGAATGGCATGTTGCAAGCCAGCTAGACGTATGACGTATGGGGAGCGAGTATCACGAACAGAAGCTTTCACATAATGAATAAAACTTGAATGTTAATGTTCAATGAGAACAAGAGTGACCTCCAATGAACGCCGGCATTATTGGTGGTATATAGGTTTAAGTTTGAGCCATCATTCGATTGATGGAGACTGTCTGAAGCAATAAATCGTAATAGGCAAACTCTTCAGGTAGAATTCTCCATTCTCTACTTATTTCTTGAAATCCTTTAGCTATTCAATTATTAGAGAGGTAAGCTGATCATATATTGCCTTGAATCCTAGCTTTCATTTGTCATAATGAGCTTCGCTGATTTTGAGCTCTTACATATTTCACGCTTCGATATCAATCACCACCAAACCCCTTCCGCATATCCCAAGCCCTATCTGTCAATTAGACTCTCAAATTAATGAAAGCTAGAATTCAAATCAATGAAATGTAGGTACTACAAAGCCAGTGTTCCTAGTCGGATCGAACCTTGATTAAGAACAAACTCCACAAAAGCTATATCCCCCCAAGGACCAATACCCCACTAACTCTGGAACACCGACTCCTTCGAAACCTCTTCTACAATCACCAACGGACCAATCTCGCGTTCCAAAGCCAAACAAGGGCTGCCGATCACCGGAAACCTCAAAGGTATTGCCGATTACATCCCATAACCTTTTACTGCTTCCCGGCAAAATAAAATTTTGCAAAAGCCCTAATGTAACCTCCACTAGACCAGCTGCCCTTGCCAGATATTCCATCTCCCTACCATGACCATTTCACTTACACCTGGGCTTCCATAACCTCAGTGATCCAGACGATCAAGATCAGCTATGGATCCCAGAGCGATCTTCGAATCTTTTTATAGATAATTACTGTCTGAACTGGCCAATCGCCAGCTTCCCACATCAAAGAACGCCGCCCCTCCTCTGAAACTTAAATGCCATAAGAAAAAAAAAAAAAAAATATTTGCGCCAATATAAGCTTTTCTAGGATTTCGCAGCCACTGAAGCTTCACCAGAGCCATCTACACAGCCCACCTTTCCACCTTTCCACCACCCAATTACACACCCCAAGCAGAATAACCGCCCTCCTCGCTCATCTCCAAATCACACTCTATCGCCCCGAAAATTTTAAATTCCACTTAGACTTTCATCTCACCCATCTTTAACACCTTATGCTCTTAAACCGTGTCTCTCCTGCGCAGACGCGAAGGACTGAGCCGACAAGGAGAGGTAATGGCAGTAGAGAGGCAGGTGAAATTCATTGAAAAGGACCAAGTTTTCTTTGCCAAAAGCAAATACAAAGAAAAAAAAAAGTCGTCCAAATGCATCTTCGTTTCCGTCTCCTATTATTCCATTCACCCCCGCTTTGTGTGTTCTCACTGCCATTATGCCCAGGTCTTGTCATATCTGATTTCTTCCCTTTTCGCAGCCAAGCCAGTCGCGCTCCCTGCCAATTTTCTGTTTTGATGTCTGCACATGGGCTTACATCTGGGATACGCTAGACGCCTTTGCTTTGTAGACATTTTTTTTTTTCTTTTTGCTTTTCCTTTAGAACCTTTGCCAAAGGCTGTTCCATAAACAGACCCTTTTTCATCCTTTAAACTTGACTTCCACTTCACTTGGTTGTTGCCTGTTGCTGTTGAGATCCTCCTTTCATTTTAAACTTCACGTTCCCGTGGCCCGGCTCACCCTTCTCAATCACTCTTTTAGATAGAAGGAAGCATGTCTCACGTCTCCAAACTCCCCAGTTCTTTCAACGGGCCTCAATCGCCAATGCTTACGTCTGACTCGCCGTTTCCGCTGTTCAAGTCCGACTATCGCTATAAAGGTGTCTATGAACGTGCTGGTTTCGATGTCAATTTGAACAGACGCCAGAACGGTGGTACTGGTTCGCCCAGTGATACCAGAACAATGGCTCTGGCACGCAAGAAACCTGAATCTCCAGCATCCCAGACCTTCAGCTTCAAGTCTGCTCTTAGCTCATCCCAGCAAGGCGTCAACCATTCGCTGAGATCGCTTCCCATGAGCGCCAGACCTCAGAACGTGTCTCCAACGGAATCCAGATCTAGCTCCAGCAGAGCCGTTCCGCAGACGAACTCTGCTCCTTACAAGCCAGCATCGCCTGTTAATCAATACAACAGTCCGGCTCCAGCTTCAGCTCCGGCCTCGGCTCACCCTGACAACGCGCCTGTTAATTTTCAGGCGTCCAGGAAGCCTCCAAGAAACCCGTCATTACAGCAAGGCTACCCTGAATTCCAGACGTTCCAGCCTTTCAAACCAGAGACTGATAGACAAGTTGTTCTCGATGAACAGGGAAATGCATGTTCTGTGGGTGACGCCCCTCGTTCTGATAGAAACATTAAGAACCTTTGCCTACACATCCCAGACAGTACACACAATGATAACACAGACTTTTCCAAGCCAGATGCCGAGTTCCATTCGAATTTGCCTTCGGGCATGGGTTCAGAATCAGACATTAATTCGCCTACTTTCGACAATGCTGAACGCGTCTCCACTGCGCATACCTCGACTACCTCCTCTCGTGAATTCAGAAAGAATAGTGCAGATTCTGGCATGAGCGTGAAGACTTCGGAACTTGTTCGTAATACCCCATACCCAACCCTGAACCAAATTCCTGTCATTCAAGAGCATCAAGATTTGTCTACCATGCTCGAACTGTTTCGTCTGGACGTCGAGGAGCATAAGAAGTATGATCCTAGAAGAAAGATGTCTCGTTCGGCTACCAAGCTGCCTGATAATGCATCTCTGTTTACCCCTGATACCACCAACCATTCAATGAGACTCGATGATTGTTACAGCTCAGAGTCGTCTTTCAATTTCACAAATGAGAACATGGCTCCTGCTGAACCTCAGAAAGCTCAAGAAGGTCTGGACTACCAAAACTTCCTTGAAACATCAGCTGCGGGCGACAGAAAGCTTGCTAGGAATTCGAATCTCTCCACTATTTCTTCGATTATTTCGAAGCTGAATGATGGCGATGACGAAGCTCGTGATGACGAGGTTGATCCAGAGTTGCACCGTCAATTGGAGTCTCTCAAAGCTGGTTCTCAAATCGAAGAGTCCCCAGCTTTTAGACCAATTGACAATGATTCATTTGTCACAGCATCTAACCTGCCCGAACATGCTAACAATCCTGCCCCTGTTCCTGTCTTCAAAATCCAGGATGTCTCGACCGCAGAGGAAGAACAGCCAACTGAGGCCTCCAGCCCTATTACTGAGAAGCAAAGAGTCTCAAGTGGTACCAGCTCCAATCCTTTCTTTGAAGGCGAGGAGGGTGCTGATGAGTTTCAACCAAAGCCGGCCGTTCAGGAACCTGTCGAAGAAGACCTTGACCTTAACGATGAGCCTGAGGAACAGTTCGAGAAAAAGGCGCCAACCACACCATATACTGTTGGTGGTGAGTTCGAAGACCCTTACTTCCAGGGAACTCCCGAGACTATCAAGCCATTGAGCCCCAAGAATCATAAGATTGAACAGGAGCTCAAGGATATGAACTTTAAGTATGCGCTGGACGTGCAAGATCTTGAGTCACCTGTTATACCGCCTAGAGCTATTCATCACGAGGCTGACGATGCCATCTTACTGCAGAACCGTCCACCAGCTGAATTCAACCCATTTCCACAATCTGTGATCGGGTCACAGTATCCAAAGTTCAGAGATAGTGATTTGCCAATGAAGACTCCTCCAGGCCAAGGAAGGTGCCGTGGCTGTGGAGAAGATGTTGAAAAATGCGCAAAGGGACCTCGGAAAGCTATCTTCTCGAAGACTGGTGAGTTATCAGGTCAATGGCATAGAGGCTGTTTCTCTTGTTCTTACACTGGCTGCGATGTCAAGTTCAACAAACACACTGCTTGTTATGTGCTTCTCGATAACGCGTTTTGCAACCATCATTATCATTTGCTTAATGGAACTCTCTGCCAATCGTGCAATTCCGGGATTGAAGGTGAATGTATCGAGAATGAAATGAGACAAAAGTGGCATCTTGATTGTCTTAAGTGTAACAAGTGTCACACGCATATAAAGGATGATTACTTCTTGATCAACGGTGAGGTTGTCTGTGAAAACGATGCAAGCAACCTTATAACCAAGATGGAAAACGAAGGCATGTTAAGCACGGACAAGATCGAAAAGAGAAGAACGAGAATGATGTTTGTGGATCAAGTGGCAGAATTTTAAAGTTCTGGACGCAATTGTACTATAATCAATGGAGGGCATGTTACATTATATAATTCATGGAAGTTATGCTTCCGCAATATAGAACGCAATTATAATTAGATCTAGTAGTCTCTATATCTTTTTGGGGTAGCTTCCAAATCCTGGGAATCGAGGTCATGATCCAACTTCGCTAAGCTATCTCTGCCTGCTATGTTGCGCAGAAGAGAATCATCCTCCTCTGGGTCATCATCTTCGGTGATTATAAAATTATCGTCATCGTAATCGTTAGATGCTAATTCAAGGTTCTGGCCCGACTCTATGTCATCGTCGAAGTTACCAAAAATCATGTCATCGCTTTGTGGATGCTGGTGATAAGATCTCACCTTTCTTTGCATCTTGACGTAGATAATATAACTGGCCAAAAGGAGCGATGACCCTGTAATAAGGACACTAATCACATCGATTATCTTAGCGGAAGTAGGTCTGTTGGCATCTCCAAGGGTCTTCATCGTATGACCAACAAAGACATGGATAAGCAACTTCGGCGATGTGATAAACGATGCAAGAAAGTAAGTAAGCGTAGGAAGCTCAGGAATTGCAGCAAGAGCGCCGTTGGAAAGAGAGTATGGCAAAGGGCACAACCTGAGCAATATGAGCACTAACAATGATGCATCCTCCTTCAAAATCTCTGAAAAAGCCCGGAACTGCTCACTCAGATGAACCATTCTTTCAGCTTGGTTATGAAGAATATGGCGGAAGACCAAAAATGAAGCAAGCGACCCCAACACAGAGGCAGAAGCCAAGATGGGCCATCCCCATGGGAAGCCATATGTCATGCCGCAAAGCATTGCAAGCGGCGTGAAACCCAAAAGTGGAGGGAAGCCAACAAAGAAAATCAAAAGCCATAATATGAGTTTGCCAAATTTCAACTCCACCCAGGCATCAGACATCTTCACCAACAACTCTAAGAAGAACGAATGAAATATCAATACAAGGATTGTGATAATGATACATGAGATACCTCCAATGGCCAAGAGGACCTTTTTCCCCGTCGGCTGTTGGTTATACCAATCCAGGTACTTTCTGCTAGCTTCTGATATGGAATTCATGGGCCCAGATGTAGCGTTTCGTAGGTCGAACATGGAACACTGTTAAGTAGCAGTCTTATCGCCTTGGCGCAGTTTGTTACTGTGCACCACCGGGCCGGATGGGCCGTTGAGCTACCCGTTGAGCTAAGGCTGTGGGCCGTTGGGGATCGGAACCGACTTGAAGTGTTTCGAGGCTGAACCTTCAATTTATACGGTTTTCTGACATGAGTAGTTCACTGATCTGTGTTCTTGGCAGTGGTATAACCATAAGCTGGTAAGGCTGTATCTTATGAGTGTAGCACAAAAAGAGTAACCGTTGAATTTGCTGAAATTGATGACTTGTTCAAAAAACTTAAGATTCGTAGATGGCCATTTGTTAAACGTTCGATATCACCCCTTGTTGTGGTATTTTGTTGATGAAAAATAAGCTTCTGTACGATTGCAGATCTGGGGAATTCTCATCGCATTCATGTGTTTTGCATTACTGCGCTGAATGGTTGCAAATAGTGAAAAACTACAAACATCAAGAATAAATGGAAAAGAAAAAAAATTCAAAAAATAAACCAACAAGAACAATAATCCATCCCTTCTATTCCCCCACCTCCTTTCTTTAGGCTGCGCCAACCACACTTGCCATATTGCAACCTTCTACCCATTGGTGACGTGAACGCAACCACGCCTCAGCAGCTTATCTCCAAAAATGCCATTTTACGAGTCCAATCTGAACCTCAAACAAAGCCTCACTAAAACTTGTAATGCCCGCGTAGCCACAGTTTACCAAGTGTGGCATCAGGAGCGTATAAAAAGCGTTATCAGCAAAATGAACAACCATGACTCGCCCTAGCAAGATCGTGGCCTCGCCCTATACTGCTCCCGAACACCTTTTAGACCTTTCCCTGCTAACTCCAGTTCTCCAGGACGTTGCTTGTGCACTAGGCGATTTCGCACCCACCTCAGCCAGATACGCCTACGATAGCTACATCGACAGCTTCAATGTTGCAGCCATAGTTTCGCAAGTCCAGAAAACCGCCCGTATAGACGAACCCATCTACATATATGTGATTGTTTTCCGGCTGATTTTGAAAAAAGAAATCGCCGCCAACCCAGAAAACACCGCTTTGCTCTACGAAGCAGACCGTTTGTCCCACGCTGAAGCAACCGCTCTGGGAGGCCTTCTCAAGTACTGGTATGGCGTTCCTGACCCACAAACAGGGCAAAATTTGGCCACATGCTGGTGGCGAAGCCCCCAAGATGCCCGTGCAGGCGGCACCGGCAAACTGCACCAATCCAGTGTGGGCAAGGTGAAAAACTGGTACAAACTCTGGCGTGTGGAGCAGTATGAGTTAGAATTGGGTGCGAATTATTGGAATTGGCGTCACTTAGCCTGACGTAACATGCACAGTTTTGACAAGCAAGGTCCATGCACGGCGCTGCACTGAGCATACAGGGAGCACCCTTGGTGCAGAGGGTTAAGTGGTATAGGGTTGTCGTATTAATCCAGGGCAATTCGCTTGCATAGACTTTTTTTTTGCCTTTTTCGTCTGCAGAGCAATATTAGCGCCCCACTCTTTTAGATCTTTATATAAGTATACAAGAGATTGTCACTCATTGCTGAGAAAGTCGTTAGATCTATTTCCTTTCTAAGTATGGGCAATGAAACTCCTCCAGTGGAGGTTCAAGAAGACGTTGACGTGAGCCTGGCCTCGGATTTCTCCTCGGAGCTTTTTGATACTAACGAGTTTGGCGAGGTTTACATTAGAAAGTCGCTACTTCTTACCAATGCTTTGGACGAAATAGGCTTTGGACGGTACCAGCTCGGGCTTTTCTTTGTTGCTGGGTTTGGCTGGTTTGCTGATAACGCCTGGCCTGCTGCTACTTCATATATCCTTCAACGGTTGACAGAAAAGGACCTGGTTCAGTATCCAGAAGGAAGGGCTCCATATCTTACGCTAGCACAGAACTTGGGCCTTCTAGCCGGAGCGTTGTTCTGGTCGCTTTCTGCAGACATTATCGGTCGTCGCTGGGCTTTTAATTGTACGTTTTTGTTTATTGGCATCTTCGGTATTTGTGCTGGCGCAGCACCCAACTTTGCTGGTCTTGGTTGTTTCTGTGCTCTTTGGAGTTTTGGCGTGGGAGGCAATTTACCCGTTGACTCGGCCATTTTCCTCGAAGCTCTTCCGACGAACAAGAAATGGCTTTTGACGGTTATGTCGATTTGGTGGGCTTTGGGACAATTGGTCACTGCCTTCATCTCGTGGGGCCTCATCTCGAACTATAGTTGCGAGGATACGAGCGATTGCTTAAGAGAAGACAATAAGGGCTGGAGGTACTTCCTTTTTACCATTGGAGGTCTTAGTTTGTTGATGTTTCTTGCGAGATTCCTTATGCCAGTGTATGAAAGCCCTGCTTTCTATTTGGCCAGAGGTAACGACGAGAAGGCCGTCGAGACGATTCACAAGATCGCCCATATTAACAAAAAGCTGGTTAACCTCACACTCGAGGATTTATTAGCCATTGATGATTTGGAGATCGATAAGGGCCATAAGCAGAATCGTGGTGTTATCAGAGACAACGAACTCTTGAAATCGAAGCTCAAGCGGTACGATCTCTCGCACATACGGCAATGCTTCGGATCCAAGCGTCTAGCATTATCTTCAACCCTTGTCATTACTTCTTGGGCCCTTATAGGACTTGCATTCCCCTTGTACAATGCTTTCTTACCATCCTACTTGGAGCAGCGTGGACTGGCCAACGAAGAACTCAGCGTCACTACAACCTACAGAAACACTCTTATTGTCGCAGCCATGGGATTTCCCGGAGCGATAATCGCTGGCATTCTAGTTGAGCTCAGAACAGGCCGTAAGGGAGTGCTCTTTGCTTCGCTTATTCTCACTGGAATTATCCTATTTGGCTCTACTACAGCCAGAGACTCAGACGCATACTTGGCATGGAACTGTTTCTTCAGTTTCTTCTCCAACATCATGTATGGAACACTTTATGCCTATACCCCCGAGATTTTCCCAACCAAGATTAGAGGCACTTCAGTTGGTCTAGCAGCCTCAGCTAACAGAGTTCTCGGAGTTTTCGCACCCATTATTGCTATCTTTGCCGACTTAACCACCTCAGCTCCTATTTTTGTTTCAGGAGCGTTATTCCTAGTTTCTGCGGTTTTGGTGATATTCTACCCCTTTGAACCCCACGGAAAACTGAGTTTATAAGTCGACCTATGATGAACCCACTTGCGCAAATGCATCCCTATTTAGGCAGTCAGATCCATAGTGCGCAAGTATAAGTAACTAATTTCTTGCACCCCCACACATACTGTAAAACTCCACCAAACATGTCTTTCACCACCAATGCTGAAATTGCTCAATTCCAGGGCACCTTGTATAAATTGTCACATGAATCAAACACCACAAACACCAAAATGGATGTGAACGTTTTCGTTCCTCCTTCAAAGAACGATAAGATTCCGGTGTTGGTCTACTTGTCTGGGTTGACTTGTACTCCCAACAATGCCTCTGAAAAATCGTTCTTCCAATACTTTGCTACGAAATACGGCTTTGCAATTGTCTTCCCTGACACTTCTCCTCGTGGAGCCAACATTGCTGGCGAGGACGACTCCTGGGACTTTGGCACTGGTGCTGGTTTCTACGTGGATGCCACCCAGGAGCCATGGTCCAAGCATTACAACATGTTCAGTTACGTTCATAAGGAACTTTTGGAGGGCCTTGCTGGTCACTTTAAGCAATTGGACTTTGAGAACATTTCTATCACCGGCCACTCCATGGGTGGTATGGGTGCCCTTGCAGGCTTCTTGAAGAACCCTAACAAATACAAGAGTGTCAGTGCTTTTGCCCCAATCTGTAACCCAGTTGATTGCCAATGGGGTGAAAAGAACTTCGGTAACTACTTGGGCTCTGACAAGGCCAAATGGGCCGAGTACGATCCTACCCACTTGATCAAGCAGTACAAATCAGACAATCAACCTCCAATTCTCATCCACCAAGGTGAAGGCGACGGCTTCTACAAGCCACAATTGAAGCCAGAGGCTTTTGTTTCTGCTGCTAAGGATGCTGGCTACAAGGGTGGTGTCTCATTGAACGTTGTCAAGGGCTATGATCACCTGTACTTCTTCATCAGTACATTTGTTGAAGACCACGCCAAGCACCACGCTAAATACCTTGGCTTGTCTCAATAGGAATTTGGGGAGCTGGGCAGCAAGCTTTAAGTACATGTAACGAATAATATGTCTAATGCTCGGTTCTATACACCTTGTAAATTATTTAGCATCCTGCAACTCTTTATATTTCGATTCCCATGAGACACACCATTTGACCTTTGTCTCGTTTGATTTGTTCACGTTTCGAAGAACACTGATAATCTTCAAACACGCCTTTTCAATGCCTTTATCTAGATTCTCGACTTCGTCGTTCAACTCTTTGTTCATCATGAGCTCAACGACGAGCAGATCGACTTGACGGGCGACAGAGTTCTCTGTGGCATAGATATCGTCAATGTCGGATCCAGAAGTCATGCTAGGAAGTGATTTGTTGATGGAAAGGAATAGAAGCTTCACCAATTTCAACTGCTTGAGCCACTGTTCACCAAACTTCTTGAGATCTTCATAATCGGCCTCATCCTCAGACGCCTCATCATCCTTAGACTCAGCAGCAGGAGGTTCTTCATCAGAGAACTCATCGTCTAGGCCGAAGAAATCATCATCATCTGCATCTTGTGGGTTCTCAAGCCACTCTTCAAACTCTTCTAGTCCATCCTCCATCAAGGAGATATTTAGCGTTGTTTTCAGCTGCAAGTATTTGAGGTTTCCCTTTTCGATAAAGTCAACTATGGTGTCGCAAAGCAGCCAAATCTTACCTACTGAAAGAAGTCTTGGGTTCACAGCATTATCATCACCACCTTCTTCTTCACCATTGTCTTCATTCTTTGTATCCAAGATTTGGAGAAGCTCATCGGAAAACAGCGTAGCTAATGCAATTAAGTCTTTGGATTTCTCTAGGATCTCGTTAAGGAATAATGTGGAAATGGTCTTTGGTGAAAGTTGTGCAAGGGCAGATACGTAAAAAACAAAGGTTTTGGACAATTCAGCTACCGTATCATGAGGAGCCTCTGATTGCTTTTGGATATTTTTAGGAGCAAAGACAATACCAACTTTGGTTGTCTGGGCTTTGATGAGTTTAGCAAGTTTAACGATCTCTCCAAGTGGATCTTCAACTTTAGCAGGTGGAATAGACTTCTTGAGCTCTTCAGGCTTGGCAATCTGGATGGACCAGAACAGAAGAGCTTCTTTAAAAGGCTCAAGCACCTTCTCAGGCAGCTTATCGTCACTCATGGTGCTACAGTGATGATATGGTTACAGTATTGGATTGATGAGCATCAAATGTGCGCGAACCGGATTTGGTTGCAAAATATGTTGATAATGGTGAGCTAGATCCAGTTAATTTTATTCATTTACCATTCTTCGTCGTCTTCGTCGTCACTACGGGCGACCTTGTTTTTTCTCTTGTTCAATGCTCCGGCTAAAGCATCAGCCAACGATTCTGGCTGGCCACCAGCGCCGCCACCACCTCCAGAGGAAGGAGGAGGATCCTCGCCCTTGGCCTCTGAAAGTAACGCCGTAGGCTTATCTAACTGAGACTTATCGGTTTTCTTAAGGGCTCCAATTCCACCAGCACCCCTAATAGACGACAATAAGGCATCTCTTCCGGAATCCACTGCAGGCAATGGAGCTGAAGGTTCCGCTGAGCTCAAGTCTGGAGGAGGTGGAGGCGGAGGAGCACCACCTGCGGGAGCAGCGTTCTGCTGAGGAGGCATTGGAGGCGGTGGTGGAGGGGCCGATGCCTGTGGTTGTTGTTGTGGAGGTTGGGGTGGAGCCTGCTCGGCAACTGTCCTTTGAGGAGGAAGCTGGTGCTGCTGAGGAGGTTGTGGTTGCTGAGCTTGTGGAGGTTGCTGAGCTTGTGGCTGCGTAGGCTGTGGTTGAGTCCTTGCACCTCTCGCTGGGGGTGGAGGAGGGGCACCTCTCGCAGCACGAGGAGGAGGTGGAGGAGGAGCACCTGTCCTTTGAGGAGTTACAGCATTTCCTGTTGGATTGGCTCTCGGAGGTGGAGGTGGAGGCACGCCGCCTCTTGGAGGAGGAGCAGGAGGATTTCCTCTAGCCGGTGGAGGAGGAGGATTACCTCTCCCAGGAGGTAGAGGACCGTTAGGTGTAGCACTATTGGCACGCCCTGGTGGAGGTGGAGGAGGTTGTAAGCCCTGAACCGGTTGACCATACTCAGATACATTTCCGAAGAGAGGAGGCCGCTGTGACAGTCCTGAGCTACCAGAATTTTGTTGAGGAATAGCAGGAACAGGTCTATTAACATCTGGACCTGAAATGGACTGTGGAACCTGTGGCACATGTGCTGAAGAAGGAGGAACTCTGAACTTGTTCTCAGGATGAAAGTTAACTGGAGCTGGCGAGCCACCGGAGCTTTGCGTTGGCGTCGGCGTGAGTTCATTAGGCGTGCTGTAGTTTGTAGGTGTTGGCGTGAGCTCTGGAGGTGTTTGAGCAGGTGCTCCGGCCGGAGGAGGTGGAGGAGGAGCCTTCTTATTCTTCTTGGAGGGCACAGCTGGCCGGTCATCGACTTGAGCATGATCGTCAAACACATTAGCAGGCGGAGCAGGCGCAGCATGCTTCCTTGGAATAGGAGGTTCAAGACCGACCAAGGGGCCTCCTTGTTTAGCAATATAGTCCTTGATAAACTGCCGGTTCTCGGCAATCATATCTTCTGTGATACCGGCAGAAGCCAACTCAGCATATAACAGTCTCCACTCCGGAGGAGGCTGGTCGTCGTAGTAAAGAACACCTCTTGCCCTACGGGATCTCTGGTCTGTTTGGACATTGACGTACTCTCCTCTAGGACCAATCTTGGCAGCCTCTGGCGCCAATTGACCCTTCAATGCAATAGCGTTCTTGTTCTTCGAAGTATCCTTCGAGGCGTACTTCTTTCTGTTCGACACACGCTTGAAGAAGTGGCCAGCATCACTGGTATCCTCGAAAAGGAGTCCCACAAGACAATCCTCAATCTCAAACGTATGAAAGAACTTTCTATCCTGATGGTACTCAAAGTTCACATAAAGTTCCTGATCCCAAAGCACACCTTTGGAACCTAGAATGTCCACAAGCTTAAGGAAGAATGTATGGCCGACCAAATCATCCACCAAGGCTATAGCCCCAACCAAGCCAGTATATGTCCATTCATTGGGGTCAGGATGTGCAATGTATAGACGAGCGACGGTGGCGTCTATGATCTTATTGGACGTTTTGGGAACGGCACGTTTGATCTTCTCCTTGTCTGCCGTCGTAAGTATACCCATTGCAGTGGTTACTTTCGTTATCTAGCGTAGTAGTGAGGTGTTGAGATTTGCGAGTGCACTACAGGAAGTGCAGCAAGAAAGGTACGACTGGGGAAGAACAGGAACAAGTGGGAGATGAAGGAAGTGGTGGAAGAAAAGGAAGAGAAGGGTAGAAAGGCATGGATTTTGTTGTGTTTGGACTTTTTTTTTTCTTTTGTTTTCGTTTTCCCCTGACTACCTACACTGACTTATTATCACCACATTCTCTCCATTGGATATACTCTAATTACAAACTTATTAACTGGTCTATGTGTTCGCCTAACTCTTACCGGCCACAGCCTTTGGCTTGTGGACATGCCCGTTGTGGATTTCTGGAGCTGCCAACTTTGGCTCCTCCTCTGGTGCATCTGGCTCGTCGAAAGCGATCCACAGTGCAAAACCGTCGACAAACTCGTTTTGCAAGGCCTTCTCAATCTTGAAGAGGTTCTTGTCTCTCGTGAGTCTCTCGTAGACCTTGTACTCTTCGTCGTTGAGCAAACACTTGTCGAGCTCCTTAGTGATGGCCTCCTGGTCAATGCTCAAACCGATGAAGACAATCTCGTTTCTACGGTCACCAAATCTGCCTTGCATGTCTCTGTCAATGAGCATCTGGGCCTCTGGTGGGTAGAACTCCTTACCGGCAACGGCGAACCATGGAATACCTCCACGCATGGTAAGCATAGGACCAGCAGAAGACCATTCACCACGGATGATGTGACGGGAAGCAAGCCAGAAGAAACCCTTGGAACGCAAGACTGGACCAAACTTGGAGTTCTTCTTGGTCTTGATGATTTGCTCCTCAGATGGGTCGACGAAGTTCTCACCATCAATCTCAATCTCGTCGTCCTCTTCTTCTTCCTCTTCTTCTTCTTCTTCTTCTTCCTCTTCCTCTTCTTCTTCTTCTTCACCATCCTCAACCTGGCCTTCCTCGCCATTTTCGTCAGCAAGGCCAGACAGCTCAATCACGACGAACTTATCTCTGATAAGCTTGTAGAGTCTCTCTGGGTGGAAAGGCTTTCTAGACTTGTACACGAAGTTGTTGATACCGTACTCCTCAGTCTCTGGCTTAGGAGTAAGTTTGTTGCCGTAAGCCTCTCTCTTGGTCATCTCGTGAAGACTCTGCAACCAACCAGCGGAGGAAGAAGCCTTCTCGAAATCAAAGAGGCCGGTGCCAACAACATCGGTAACATCAACACGACTGTAGTTAGTTCTGATAACCTTGGCAACAGGGTTAAGAGATTTAATAGTCTTGAAGATCTTCTTCTTTTGTTTTTTGTTAACCAAGTCGATCTTGTTAACGATGATGACATCGGCGAATTCGATTTGGTCAACCATAAGGTCACAGATGGTTCTCTCTTCTTCGTTTTGACCAGAAGAACCAAAACGGTCAACAAGGAACTCGGTGGTTTCCAAGTTGTGGTAGAAGTTTTTACCGTCAATAACAGTGACACAAGTATCTAATTTAGCAACCTTTTCAAGTCCACCCAAGTCCTTGATTTCTTTCAAAATTTTTTCGTCCTCAGCGGTAATGCCTTCCTGGTTGTCAAGGTACATGTTGGTGAACTCAGTAGTGAAAGTTTCAGCAACTTGCATTGGTTCAGAAATACCAGTAGATTCAATAACGATATATTCGAAAGCACTATCTTTAGCAAGGGAAACCAATTCTTCCAAAAGGTCACCTCTCAATGTGCAACAGATACAACCGTTTTGAAGCTGAACCAATTTCTCCTCCTTTTGAGAAACACGATGGTTCTGAACCAAGTCAGCATCGATGTTCAACTGGGACATATCATTGATGATAACGGCAATCTTAAGGCCATGATCTTTAGTAAGAATGTGTTCCAAGAGGGTGGTCTTACCTGAACCCAAGAATCCTGAGAGCAAGGTCACAGGAATAGGCTTTTGATTTGACTTAGCAGACTTGTTAGCCATTTTAGAGATCAAATAAAAATAAAATTTATATAATAGAAAAAACTGAAAATTATCAGAGGATGCTTGGGTATTTATTTCATAAATTTTCAAATAAATTAGTGAAAAAAAAAGACCTCATACGGCAGCACCGTTCTTTACCGCTGTGGTTACCAGCTGCAAGAGGAGCATCACCTAAGCAAGTAAAGCGGGTCTAAGGGGCCATTTTAGTGGAGATTTGCAGTAACGACAAGCCCGTGAGAATGCTTTTTTGCACCCAAATAACCTTCGAGGTGCATTATTTGATTCTGCGAGCATCTCATTGGCCCCCTGCGACGCCAGGCCATAACCACCACGGTGGGTGCCCTGTACAACGGCTTAAACAAGCTCTGTGTCCCCTGGACGTATCTCCTTCCAATGGCCGGGCTTGTATTAGGGGAGACTAAGTCAGGTTTAATGCTCTATCGCTAAGTATGGGGCTCCAAATGGTTGCGAAAAGGATACCAAGGGCCATATCCGATTGAGTGGAAAAAGAGGAAAAAAATAAATGAAAAAGGTGAAAATTGAATTTTTTTAGAGTAATTACATCTTTTTCTGCAACAGCTCACTATTGTGAAAAGTGTTTGCTAATTTGGGAGAATTTGATAACCACAACAGCTTTTGGGGACCACAGTGGTGTTGCTGCAGGAGCGAATGTGCAAAAAAAAAAAAAAAAAAAAAAAAAAAAAAAAATAACCTCATCACCAATACTACAATATGTCTGGACGTCAAGGTGGTAAGGCCAAGCCTTTGAAGGCTCCAAAGAAGAAAACCCAGGACTTTGACGATGAGGATGTTGCTTTCAAGGCTAAGCAGAAGGCCGACGCTGCTGCTAAGAAGAAGTTGGCTGAGCAGGCAAAGAAGGGTGGCCCCATGGTTGGAGGCGGTATCAAGAAGAGCGGTAAGAAATAAAATGTAGTAGACGAATAGACGAGATGACGTAAGTGGATATGCTGTAGAAGTACAAAAGAAAAAAAAAAAAAAAAAAAGGTTTTTTTATTAGAGAAGATGAATTTTTCAAATTTTTCAAAAAAAAAATGAAATTTTCAGATAACGAAAAAAAATGCGACCTCGGTGAGGGTCGAACTCACGATCTTAAGATTAACAGTCTTACGCCTTAACCAACTTGGCCACGAAGTCTTTCTTGAGATAAGAAGTTTAGAGAGTGAAATAATATGTACATATCGGTAAAACCTTAAAAATCAGCAAAAATAGTGATGTTTATGTTTTTAGGTGTCTGGGACCAATAGCGTGGTAAACTTTAAAATGCCGAAATTAGCCGGATTTCGGAACTTGCGCAGAAAAGGCACTTAACGCCATAATTCTGGAAATATAAGCAATTTAACGCATTAAATCGGCCTGAAGTAACCCAGTGGAAGTTGTTTGATGTCTATCTCTTGCGTCTGCGTTGTTTAATCATGTATAATGTTGTTCTGAAGTATGGCGATGTATGCGAAAGACATAAGTTTAAACTTCTCACAAAAATCCTCCAAGACATCCAAACGCCCATATAAGAGCAAATCTTACCTAACCAACTCCTCTAATATCTTTTTATTCCAATTATCCATCACTACCCACATTTACTTCCACCTTCACGTCCACCATTTTGCAACCATTTCTGTGCCGCGCACGTCCGCTCACAGAGGAAAAAAAGTTGATCTTCAAGAACCAAAGCTCTGTGCAACCAACATGCCTGCCTTGAAGAAGTTTGATGCCAATGTGGCTCGTCACGTTAGGCTGATGAACAAGAATCTTTGTGCAAACATGATTCGCCATGAATACATCGTCACCGGCAGAACCAAAGCCAAGAGAGCACAGGCCAAAATCGAAGCCTTCCTAGGAAAGGCCTTACACGAGAACAAGCAGATACAAGACCAGCCTTTGGAATACAGATACAACAACGTGAGAGCTTTGAACTACTTGCAACAAGCCGACAAGAAAGAAGTCGGGTCCAAGGTTCTTGAAGAACTCAGCAAGAGATACGCAGACAGAACGCATGGCTTCACCAGAGTGACCAAGTTGGAGCCCAGACTCGGCGAGGACAAGGCGGCCATGGCTATCTTGGAGCTTGTGGATTCGGAATTCGAAATCAAGTTCTGGTATGTAGCTAAAACCGTTGCTCGGTTGGAGTTGCAAGGATTAAAGGTGGACCCTTTGACCCAGCACAATGTTGAAAAATTGGTCAAGAGGAGATTTGACGGGGAAACCAAGTTCAGAGAAGCCGTGGAACAATGCAAAGAAAGGTTTTTCAACTTTAGCCCTGAAGAAGGTCGTGTGGTTGACGAAGAACTGGAGGCCAACTTAAGGAATGTGCCCGCAGATAGCGAAGTGCAGAGTGGAGCCAAAGCGCCATGGCCCACGAAAACCAGACTCAATACCAAACCAAGAACGCAAAAAAAGAAGGTGGAACTCCCCAAATCTCCCTTTTTGGCATAGACGGCACGCACACGTGGCCATATAATGTAAATAGCATAACAATTCACAAAACTCTCGCAGGAAACAAGGCACTAAATTTGCGCTTGGTATCGCCCATTATTCGCTTTTCCGTCTCCTCAGTTCAACGGTTTTATCAGTAGAAAAAAAAGGCTGTACGCACTGCTATCGCAGTCGCACAGACTACTATCTTTCTCCATTATGTGGTGGTCCAAGTCCCACTTCAAGCCCGCTGGCAAATTAGCTCTTATAATAGGCGCTTCCCAAGGCCTTGGTGCTGATATTGCTTTCAGATTATACGAACAAGGCTGCTCGGTTATCTTGGTAGCGAGAACCGAGGCGAAACTTGAGAAACAGGTAGAACGCATTGTGAACAATGGTGATAAGTCTTCAGAACATGGATTAGCGCCCACTTGCGAGTACTTGGCGTGTGACGCTGCCAATTACGACGCCACCGCCGAGTTATGGAAGGTTTTAGTCCAGGAAAAGAACGTCGATCCCGATTACATCTTCTGTTGCGCTGGTTCATCGGTACCGAAGCTCTTCGAGGACCTTACAGGTAGGGATATCGCGTTGGGGATGGACGTGAACTACTTTTCCGCTGTCAACGTGATCCATTGCGGTATCAAGGCGACGGCGGGCAAGAAGAAGCCAAGACATATCATACTTTTCTCGTCTACTGTGGCATCGTACCCTTTTATAGGGTACATCCAGTACGGACCCACCAAGGCGGCCATTCTGACGTTTTCGATGATCTTGCGTCAGGAATTGAGACATAAAGACTACAGAGTCTCGTGTGTTTTCCCCGGAAGTTTCTCCAGCGAGGGATACGAAGAGGAAGAAAGAACAAAGCCCAAGATCACCAAACAGATTGAAGGTGCCAGTCCTGCCATTCCCTCGATGGACTGCTGTGACTTTATCCTTGACAAGTTGGCTAAGGGCTACGATGCCATCTACACCGATATGATCGGCTGGCTCTTGGGATGTATGGTCTTGTGCGTGCAACCCAGATGCTGGAGTGTTCTACAGGTGATTGTGGCATTGTTCCTCCTGGCGTTTGCGCCATTAATCAACTGGTTTGTCAATCAAGATGTGAAGAAGTTCTTCCAAGCGCAAGAACAAACAGAGCCAGAGCCCATTGCATCTGATGACCACACCAGCGAGGCCTTATCCAAGTAAAAGTACCTCAAACTTATATCATATGACCACCACCATTTTCTTCTGTCAAATATGCTAATATATTTTCTCGTAATTATTTACCCTCTTCCTTGCCTGCCTCGGCAATTTTTCTCGTCAACTTGTCGGTCAACTTGTTCAACTTGCGGTCAGCATCAAGCCCCCACTGGTACCAGTTGATCGAATACACCCAGTTCACGCCCTGGATGAACTCCTCGTTCCAGTAGTCCTTGCACGTTTCTAGAATTGAAGGCCTCGTCAACTGCGTAACTCTTCTATTAGGTGGTTGTGGGTTCTTATCGATTCCCTTGTCGGTGAGAATACGGTTTTCAATCTGGTCCTTCATTTCGGTGAAGTTTGTATGGTTGAAGGTTTCCATCTTCTGCATCAACCCCTTGGTGGCGCTGAACACGGCGCCCGTAGCAGTCACACCGGCCAAAAAGCCAATGATTCTTCCTCCCATGCTGCTGTGTTGATGATAGACTGGTTGGTCGCAGTTGGAGTTTGGTTGATGTGATTGGGCGTACACAGGACCCTCGGCGTGTTTGCTGGAGGGAGCCAAAGAAGGAGGGAAAGGGAGAAAGGAGGGGGTGTTTTGGAAGGAAATAGTGGATGGAGTTGAAAAATTAATGATCTGAATATTTTGAGAATATTTTTTGGGGTTTGCTTATTGTGGTTGCTGTATGTTATGGTTCGGTAGGTGTCGTTGAGGAACTGATGAGTGCTGGGATTCGCTACAGGGAACGTACAAAAATCCCAATTGATGGAGCAGTAAGGAATTTGAAAGCAGTAGATACATATTCACAATTCAAGAAACTATTTTATTGATTCTGTGACTGGAAGTGTTGGATATGACGTATAATTTGCAACCATTAGGGCAAGACACCCGTGCACCAGCTTACCCTAGGTCGTCAGACCCTCCGTCAAAACGACCATAATCGAAGGTTTATGTCATTTTGAAGCATTAAATAGACTGATATAATGTTTGGAAAGTACCATGTGGAGTTTGGTGCTGTTAAATCGAGTAGTTCGTCGATAATCAGCAAATAGTATCTTCGACCGAAATAGACTCCAAGCTGGGACCAGCTTGCTCTAATTTTGTTTGGGTAATTGGCAGAGAGAAAAATTCGTTGATACCATTAAGCTGCCAGTTTGTTATGACCACTCGAAGTACCATCACTTGACGTGGTACAAAAGCAGATAGTGGTTGCAAAAACGAGCGGTGCATGGGTTCATGCCAGTGAAGAAAGTGAAGACGCCAATGGGACGTTAACAGATTTAGTGGTTGTTTCTGGTACTTTCTTACCCCCGGAAGTCCCTGTGAAGAAACTTCTTCAAGCGTCTTTCAATGCCAGTAAACGGTGTGTTGAGACTACCTTAGTCCACACAGCATAGAGAATCCACACCAGATAGCATTTAGCATGGCATGTCTGGACCACAACTATCCAAAAATAGCACGGAACCTCCTTCTATCAAGTTTGCTTGGAGACCAAAACTCAGCCATTAACAGTGCAAGGAAAGGGTCATCCGCAAAGCGAGCAATAATCATTGCTGTTAGCCGGGACCGCTTCCCAGGCACCAGGGAAAGAAGAATCTTAAGAGAACCCCTTAGAACAGTTCTCCCAAAATGATTTCCCGCTTCCTCGTCTAAACCTCTAAACAGATCCAGTCCCCACAAACCACCGTATTTTACGAATCTAGGTCATTCAAGTACTCCACCTGCTTAGCCTCGGTAGACGCCGTTAACCGACCCCTGGATGATCTTATCGCTACACCTTAAGTCTCGCCAAGAGGCCTCCAGGATCAAGAAGGCCCTGCGCCCCGAGTGATCCAGAATCCAGACTTCACTCCGACAAGACTCAACAGACATGAACCAACATAGATCTTGTAGATACCACATCGGAAAACCCAATCCGAGTAAATTGCCCCATCTACATTAGACCCTCTACAAAACGTGTCCAATTGTCATGTGGCCGTAGGTAAACTTTAGTCGGCACAGCAGCATTATCGTAAGTAGCCACTTTTCCAGCACCACCAGTGCAGACTCGAACAATGGCAGACCCAGGCTAATCTTCCCAAATACTCTAAATCATCCCTGATATCAGCTGCCCAGCAAGTCGGAAACGTACTTTCGGATAGCCGTTTGAATCGATAGCGCCATGTTTTCTTAGCCTTTCTCTGACAGAGCTTGGCATGGAAGTAAGGCTTTGTGAAACGTCCAGAGGGGGGAAGTGCCCCTCCAAGTGGAACAACTGAAACAAGAGAAACAACAAAAAACGGTTCCAGACCAAGCTAAAACATGTAAGGGGTACTTCGCCCCTCATACACAATTTTCCAAATTTACAATCACCGTTTCACTATCCGTTTCACCATCTATATCTTCTTCGTTCACAGCGCCTGCCCAGATAGTAGATTCGGCCCGGCTCGGGCCCTCATGCGCCCTGGACTAAGTATGTCTCCAGAGAAGATAAAACAAACCACCACAAAACAACCCCTTCAAGCACTTGTAAGGCATTTCTAAGCATAACGTAAACGAAAAAAACGTAGCACGGCAAAAAGCGAACAAATCAGCAAGTTGCAAATCACCCAAAGGTTAGCGAGGCGCGGCTGGAGATCGTTTCGATAATGTGGATGCAACTTGTGCCTGAGTCGCATAAGTTATGCGCCTGGCAGAGCAAAGGCAGTAGTTTAATTAGAGTTGAAGATATATAGAAAAAACGAAGAAAAAGAAGTGAAAAAAAGAAAAAACTTGATCCTGGTCATTAGCTTAACCCTCGGGTTAATCCTCTGCTGGGTAAATCTCGGGGAGATCTCCGACAATGCCATTCTGTTCCACAACTGGAGGCTTATCCTCATCGTTGCCGAAACAGGACTACCGCTTTACGTCTGCGCCTATTGACTAAGCTGACAAATTGTAGTAGTAGGAGTGAAGAGTGTGTGGGAAGAGGCCCTAAATGCTTGGGCACGCTGGGCGGCTGTGTTCCTGGGTCGCTGTTTGGCCTGTTGGCGAAGCGGTGGGCTTTTGCCAAGTCTTCGGTTGGGCTTTTTGCACCCATATCGGTGTGCTACACTGGCGATGACAGGTCCAGGTTTGGAGTGAATAAATACCACTGGGTTCCGGACGTTTTGGAAGGGTTCAGAAATCAGGAACAGAAAGATGAAGTTAAATGCCTTGTTTCTTTGCATCCAGCTTGCTGCAGCTTTAGAGTATTTCGATAAGGCTGATTCTGGCTATAAGGCTTGCGGGTATGTCCATCAGGCAGTGGGCATACCTGGTCTGAGTGGAAGGTACTTGGAAGCAGCTAGGTACTGTAATGTCGACGACCAGCCTTTCTTGGGCTCCATGGCGACTTGTTTGGTTAATACTTTTGATAGTAAGGACTACGTTGACCATTACCTTTCCATGTGTCTGGGATCAGTTTCCAGAGAACAGTTTGTCAAGGCTTATAACAATGCTACAAAGCACCTTATGAACGGTAGTTTGCCTTCGGCAGCTGAAGAAGCTCAGTATCGTCCGTTGTACTTCCCCAAAGAGGTGGTTCTTGCTCAGGCTTCTGATACTTACAACTACGACAGAACCAACAACTATACCATCATCTACGGTTCAATTCTTACCGCATACTGGTTTGTCGTTTGCATTATTGCTGGAATTATTCACTGGACCAAAGCGTTCATTCCATCCTTCTCAAACGCCTTGCTTGCGTTTGTTCCAGCAAACTACATAAGAAGATTCATTGTGCTTCCGCCTACTTTCAGCAAGTCCCACTTCAACACCAAGAGACTTGGGCCTATCGAATGGCTTATCCCTCTTAGGCTTGAATCTATTCTTTTGGCTATTTATTTTATTCTCAGTGGTGTATTCTGTGGCACTGAGATCAACAACGCTTCAGATAAACCATTGGAGATCCAGGTGGGAAACAGAAGCGGTGTTCTTACAACGTTTGCTTTGCCAGTTCTCATTTTGTTTGCTGGAAGAAACAACTTTTTGCAGTTTGTCACTGGCTGGCAATATACCCGCTTTGTTGTTTTCCACAGGTGGATTGCAAGAGTGACTTTTTTGTTGCTTATGGTCCATGTGGGTACCATGACAATGACACTTAAATTCTATGGTGGCTACCAAGAGTCTTTGAAAGAGCTGTACATTATTTGGGGTATTGTTGCAACCGTTTGCATGGGCTGTTTGGTTTGGTTCTCCATGTTTTGGCTTCGCCGTAACAGGTACGAACTCTTCCTATTTACCCACTACATCTTTGCCATAGTCATGATCGCAGGCGGTTGGATGCATGTCAAAGTAATGCAATTGGAAGGTTTCTTTATTGCTAGTGTTGCTGTCTGGGGTTTGAACTTTTTCATCAGAGGTGTTCGCTTGGCGCTTTTTGGTATCCAGGATGCCACTATTGAGCTTAAGGCCAACGAAACCATCAGAGTCATTGCAAACAGACCATCATGGTGGCGCCCACATCCAGGAAGCCATGCTTTTGTTCACTTCTTAACACCAACATCATTCTGGCAATCTCATCCATTTACCTTGGTTGATGAGCCAGTGGACGAAGGAACTATTGGTATGTATGCCAAAATCAAGGGAGGTGTCACTCATGGACTTTACCAGCAATTGTTGAATGCTCCAGAACACAAGGTCAGAATTAAAGTACTGGTTGAAGGTCCATACTTTGAAAAGATGCCTGTTGAGGATGTTGAAAGAGCAGTCTTTGTTGCATCTGGTAATGGTATTCCAGGCATGTACGCTGGTGTTAAGGATTTGGCCATCAACTATCCACGCAAGCCAGTCAAGCTCATTTGGATTATCAGAGACTACATTTCTATTTGCTGGTTCTACTCCGAGCTTAAACAGTTGGAGTTGCTCAATATCGATATTGTCATCTATGTTTCCAGAGGATCCAAGGGAGACCTACAAGGTCATAGCATTGAAAGAAGCACATTGAACGAAAAGTCAGATCAGTCTAGTGGATCAACGAGAATTGGTAATAGCGCAATTACACTGGTCAGTGATCTCAAGCAGAGTCTTTCGTTTATTCAATTTATCGACGGAAGACCCAACATTCGTGCATTGGTGTCTGAAGAAGTCATTTATTCTGGCAATCACAGTACAGGTTTCGTCACTTGTGGCCATCCGGCCATGGTCGACGATATAAGATTGCAAGTTGTCGATACGCTTGCAGTCGACCCATCACGGAAGGTTGAGCTCTTTGAGCAGTTCCAGATGTGGTAGATACTATATAAAATCAAGAATACCGAAAACCGTTATTACTATGTACATATGCTCATTAACTGAAACTATGCCGATTCTTCCACGGCGACAGCCTCGGCCTCTATAGCCTGGGACAAGGCGTTTCTCAAGAATGGGAAGACATCGATCTTGTCGAGCTTCACACTCTGGCCAGATTCTCTTAGCGTCTTCACCTCTTCAATAGCAGTCTCAGTGTCACGCAACAAGAATGGTAATTCCTCCATGACGCCGTTAAGAGGCAAATCTAGCGCATCAGGATGGTGCTGGGCCAAGTATCTCTTGACCTTCAAGTTTGCAACGTACTTGAGACCATCCACGAACCTGACAGTGATGTCTCTGTCCAAGTCGTAGTCTTCAAGGGTAGGTTCAATACCAAAGATAGCATACTGCAAACGAACAAGTTTGTCATTAATGAGCGAAGTGTCTGCCTCATTGGCGTTCACGTACTGTTCCTCGAACTCAGCCAAGTACGCGGAAATCTCATCAGTCAATGTCTGGGCCTTCTCGATGGCTGTTTGTCTTTCAAGAAGAGTCTGCTTGATTCTCTTTTGCGTTAACTTGAGCAGTTCCTTCAGCGCACCAAAGTATGTAGAGTTTCCCGTGGCTTTTGCGACATGGAGCTCCGTAGCGATTATGTTTCTTTCCTTCAAAGTCAAGTACCAGATCTTATGTAAATCTTCAAACGATTTCCTACGCAACTCAGGCATAGTCCAAGCACGGACATCTTTTGCAACCTCATCATGGGTTTGTAAAGCACGCTCGGTCTTGTTACCTTTAGGGAAGAAGGCCCATAATGGATGGTCTGGAGAAACATCGAAGTTGGTATGCTTAGGCACGATTGGCTCCCTGAGCTTTATATCGGCAGTAGGACCAAAAGTTAAAGGCTTGCTTCTGGCAAGAGCTCTGCTGGCCACGTGGAGGCCTCTATTGGGGACGAACATGGGACACACTTGTTGGAAGCTTTTGGTATCTGCAAAAATTTTTGTTAGCGAGAATTTGTAGTGAGGTCACGTGCAGCCAATGGTATTTTGCAACCATCCAAAGAACACCCTAGGAAAGTGGTGGTTGAAGAGATTGCCATTGATACGTGATTAACCAGGAAAAACCTTTTGTTTGTAATATAAAATTCCATGGATGTTTGGTGGTTATTTGGAGAACTACAGTTGGTGAGATTTAGGGCTTCTCGTTCAGTATACATAGCTAAAACAACGAAAAGTGCTTTAAAAAAATGCAGAAAAAATAGAAAGCATTTCAAACACTCTAATAAACCTCTCTAAATACTTCATTTTTCAAAATCCTCCCTTGGTGGTCCCTTTGGTGCACCCTTTGTTGATGTCCACTGAGTGCATCCTGTACCTACTCCATATTGAGATTTCCAGCAAAGGCTTCTTTAAACCACTCTGCAATGTCCACCATACAAACAGAACAACAGCAGGAAGAACCCCTCGATCTCATCAGATACCAACTAGACGAGTACGTGCTCGTGAAGTTGAGGGGAGCACGTGAGATGAAAGGCAGATTGCAAGCGTACGACTCTCATTGCAACATTGTCTTGAGCGACGCCGAAGAGACCATATACGGCGAGAAAGAAGAAGATACCGTTGTCAAGAAGACGGAAATGGTGTTTGTGAGAGGTGACTCTGTCATTTTGATCAGTTCCACCGACCAGTAGCTCGGGCCGCCCCTTCTGGCTCGTGGCTCTTTGTACATTATAATATACCGAAAAAGCATGGCTTTTGCTAGCTGTAGAGCTAATCCACCTCCATTGACTCGTCGAAACTGCGCAACATATCGTCGACAGCTTGTAGTTTTTTGGCATTGGCCAACCATCTTTCTTTGGCGATGGCTCCTCTTGCTACGAGATCCTTGATGTCTCGAGCGAGCGCCTGGTTGGTTTGTTCATACTCATCAACAGACATGTACCTGGCGTCCTTGGGAATATCTATGGACCGCGTCAAGTCAAACGAAACCTTATCTGGGCCTAAACGGCGCAGAGCCCTGGATCTGTCTATTAGCTCGTTCAAGTGTTTGAGTGTGTCGATTGAGTGCAGCTGAGTCCCTGTCTGAGGCTTTTCTTCACCACCTTCGTCAATTTCGTCCACTGTTTTAAGGTTTCGAAGTTCCATGTCAAGAGTCTGCAAAGACTGTTCAAGCTCCTCTCTCATGAAAACCGTAGACTGGTAGTCTAGGTATATACCCTTTGGGTTTGGTGCGCTTTCTCTATAGGCAATAGTAGTAATAGGTCTGCCGTTCTTTTGACCCACTCGGCCACTTGCAAACAGCATTTCAAACTTAGCCACCATCAGGCCCATTCTCTCGACTATTGGCGCGTATTCCTCTCTCAATGTCTTGAGGTTGGCCTTGAGTTTCTCGTTCTTCTTTGAGAGTTCATCGTAGTTCTGTTGAAGCTCACTCACATACTGAGGCGTGTTGTTCTCTGCAAAGTCGATTCTTCCAGAAAGACGATCAACGTAGGCTGGATAAGAGACCTTGAATTTCTCGTTTTCGTATTTGAGCTCTTGCAAGCGTTTTAGCGTTTCTTCAGATACCTCACCGTTCTCCAGCTTCTCTTTCTGTATCTGTTTAAGGTTTTCCAACACACTCAGACGAAACTTCAAGTACTGATATGCAACATTGTCGTGGGTGGAAATATAGGAATCTATAGCAGCATCAATGACGCTCTGTTGTTGGTTGGTAACTAAGGACATCTAGTTGTTGTAGGCTAGTTGAGATGTGCGAGCGAAGATACATATATGTCGCACATACATAATGTTTGGGTGCAAATTATCATGGAGAAACGTATGCTATTCTATTTATTAACGTCGCTCTTTTGGCGCCGATGGCCCAACCAAGGCCGGAAACAAACAAGTTGGAGAGCTTGTCGCTGGCATGGGAGGTGGTCTTGGAGGCTTCGTTCAATAATCTGCCTGCGTTCTCAGGGATCTGAAGAACCAGAGGCTCTATCTGCATTTGGCTCGTCTGCTCACTGTACTGCTCAAGGTGGTCAAATATGACATCAATGTCTTTTTCTTTTTGCTTGAGCTGGTTCAAGATAAGTCGACTGTTGTCAACTGTAGAACTGGTTGGCTTGGAGAGCTTGAGTGTGAGGAATAGAAGCTCTCTCTGCTTGAGGTAGATTTCAAGCTTCTTCTTTTCTATCATGATATCATCGTCGTTGAACCATTCAGGAGAAACGAACTTGGCAGTTTGGTAGAACGTGAGCCAGTATTCGCTTAGGTTGAGCGTGTTATCGGAAGCGTAGTGGTCAAAGAGGATCTTTGAATGTTTGTAGGCAAAGTCAAAGTTGTTGTCAATCAATGCAGACTCGATGCAAGCGGATTGAATCCTAGCAAATGGGACATGCGATAAGGCGATCCCCAAGTAGATGGCCAAGTCGTTGACGATACGGTAAAGCTTTTCATAGGCATGATAAGACTTCGGATTCTGTTCCAACACTAGGGAGACGATTGAGAAAGGCGTGAAATGCTCATTTTCATCCGTTCTAGTGATTTTGCTAAGGAGAGCCAGAGGCCTTGCAGAGCTCTTACCATCAAGCGAGAGCTTGAAGTTCTTCAAACTGTTGAGTGCTTTGAGCAAATGCTTGAGTTTCACAACTTGTCCTTTATACGTTTCGTCTAACTCTTGGCTAGATGAAAGCGTACTCAAGAGGGTTATACACTCGTGAGCCTGTTTAAGATGGCCAATGCGCTCGTCCAAGCTATTAGCTTCATCAAACTCATGCCTGAATTTCTTAAGTACGACATCGAATGCTTGGTTCACCGAGAGAGATGCATTGTTGTTGTAGAACTCTGTGGCAACAGGGAAGAGGCCCACACCAAGTAACCTTTCGAAAATGACATGATCTAGTTCTCCTTCTAGTTGCTTGTCTCCCTTTACAAAAGATGAAGAGATAAGCTTCACAGAGTGAAGAAGCTTTTCGTGGTTGGATGATTCCAAGTGGGCCAATACACGAAGAACTTCTTTCTTGACAGACTCCAGGTCTGCCAAGCCGTCCTGACTGAGCTTCAAATATTTGGAAACAGTAAGGCCGTTCACTGGGAATACCTGACAACATGTTGCGATCACGTTCTTGAGGAAGGCAATACATGCTTTCAAATCCAGCCTAAAAAGTGGTTTCAATGGGTTTCTTTCGCTTGACACGAATTCCGAGAAACTAGAATATTCAGGCAAGTTATCAACATCAACAGTCTCTGGAAGCAAGGAGCCACCGGAGCTTGTCACATCCAACAGCTCTATTAGAGATGTTAAAGAGTTATCAATCATGTCATAAGCTCTGGACACATCGACGGAAGACACTGACGATTCCCCGTAAAAGGCAAAATAGTATGCTAGGGCAATGTAATTGCTTACAAAACCGGTCAACGATTCAATCGGTATGCTCTGCCCTTTATAATCAGTGAAGTTTAAGACACTCTCAGTAGTGTTTTGAAAAGTCAGCAACCTAGACAACCAAGAAGGATGCTTTTTATCGGTGTAAGTCCAATCTAAAAGTGGTGAAAGATCTCCACCGTAGTAGAGAGCCAAAGGAAGAAGAACACTAGTCAACAACTTCTGAGGACTAAAAGCAACATGTGCCTTGTCGACTGCAGCATTATATGGTTGAAGGAAAAAGTCTAGTTTCTCGTTGTAAGTCTCACGGCTGAGGTACTCAAACGCTGGCACTTCAGCACCAAGCACGGTTCCAAAATGATGTCTGAAGTTGGTGTATGGAACAACAACACCATGGTACCAAGCCGCTAAACCTTCTACACCCTGAACAGTCTTGAAAAGGAAATCATACTGCTCGAGATCCGTAGTGTAGCGTGAAAGCTGAATGATCTTAGCCATAATAAAGCTAGCGTACGTTTCACACGACGTATATCCAATCAGCTTACTCCGCTGAGCGTAATCGGCCTCAATAGCTCTGGCAGTTTCAATGGAGTCTTCCTCGCCAGGCAATTCGATAGAGTACTCATGGGCTGTCCACAGCAACAAGTTCTCCACATCATCAGAAAGCTCAGCAGTATCAAGCAGCTCGCTTTCCAGTTCCCGAAGTGTAATCTGCTGAGCGAATTGAACCAACACCTCCAAGTTCACAGTAATAGAACTAACGCCAAAGATAAAGCTTCGTAAGATATTAGCAGGTTGGTTGAACCGTAGTTGGCCAAGTTTGCTCAATGGCACGATCTTTGCCAAAAGCGGCTCCACATCTTCTGGATGACTTGCAAGGACGCTATTTAAGGCTGTAAAGAGCTGAGCATCAAGCCTTTCGAGAGATGCACCAGACATTCTTGCTGGAGCGTAGCAGTTAAGTTGTTAGCAGTACTAAGTACTGGTGCGCACCTTAAGTAGTAGGCAAATCAGGTCCACCAAGGGTCCACCAAACGGGGCCAAGGCGACTTTTTGGAGCGAAAAAAGAACATACATATACTAAAGAAATGTGAATAAATTCAATAAAAAACTTAATTTTATTGTATAGGCCCTGGAGGGCCGAATAATTGGGGGTTTCCATATTTTGCACGTGACGCGACTCGTTTCTTCCCTGACGCCTCTTCTCTGTTTATCGCTATCTTTTATACCTAGTTAAACTTAATACCCCGACAAACCACCCACCATATGCTAAACGAATAAGGCGTTTTATGACTTCAATATCGGTTCGACTCTTTATACGACGCCTGCCCTTCTCATTCACAGCATATCAAAGAAGAGCCTTCATGAACGGTCCCCTGGCTCCCATACAATCGCTCCAGAACGGCTCCAACTGGCAAGGATTGGTTCCCACTTCAGAGAACTTGAACCTGCTACGAGACTTTGACTTGTCTTCGTTTTCCGAATCCCAGCATACTCAGCCTGACTCAGACAACTTGTCCGACGACCCGTTTGACTCGCAAGACTTGATTGGAATATGTGAAAATACGCCTAGCAAGACGAATACTCCAGTGAAAATCAATGACGTTCAGAAAAAGGATGAGGTTTTTATGAAACAGGAGGCTCCTTCGTCGCCGCTTTTTGTTGAACCGTGTTCACTGCAACGCGTTCTGCCACCAAAGAGCTCACAGAATATTCAGCAACCTGGCCAAGTTAACACACAGTCTCTGCCACTGAGGATCCTGCTACTAGGATTGCCACAGCGTAAGAAACCAAAGCTAGAACCACAGACTAGACAGCTTAGTACAAGCGCACACGAGGAGGACTTCATCCGGCTTCCAAATTCATTTTCAGACGGTTCCACATCTGATGCGCCAGGCCTATACCAGCAAGGTCCTCCAAAAAGAGCACCCTTACGAGCTCCATTGTCAAACCCTACATTACAGTTCGCTACACAGAAACCTCTTGCTCCATGGGAAAGAGATGCGTTGGACTCTCAGAGCAAACTTACTGAAAAGGCAAAGAACGTTACTCCCTTCATCTTATCCCGTGAGCAGAAATATGTGATGGATCTTGTTCTACGAGGAGAATCTTTATTCTTCACTGGCTCAGCCGGTACAGGTAAGTCCATCCTTTTAAAGAAGACGATAAAGGCATTAAAGGAACTTTACAAACCTGGTGAAATTGCTGTCACGGCATCAACAGGTTTAGCGGCTCACCATATTGGAGGCACGACCGTTCACAGTTTTTCGGGAATTGGTTTAGGTACGGGAACGGTCGAGCAACTTGTGAAGAATGTGAAGCGAAACCGTAAAGCGGCTTCTCGGTGGAAGGATACCAAGGTTCTCATTATAGATGAGGTCTCCATGATTGACGGAAGACTTCTCAATAAGTTGGACTACTTGGCCCGTGAAGTACGTAGAAAACACCATCTTCCGTTCGGAGGTATTCAGTTGGTGTTATCTGGTGATTTCTTTCAATTACCGCCCGTGAGTAAGATCTCATACAACGAAGAGGGCGTTGAATTGAAGGATGAGGCTATTTTCGCTTTCGAGTCCGATGCATGGAAAGCTTGTGTTTCCACATGCATAGTTTTAGAGGAGGTTTTCCGTCAAAAGGGTGATCAAAAGTTCATTGATATGCTTAATGATATGAGAAGTGGGCTTGTGACACCAGAGTCAGAAGTTGAGTTTGCTCGTTTATCAAGGCCACTTTCTTGTCCCGCTGGAATTGTTCCCGCAGAACTTTATGCTACTAGAAACGAAGTTGACCGGGCTAATAATCTCCAGCTCTCACGGTTACAAGGTGATGCATATCTCTATGAGGCTATCGACAGCGGTGAGCTTCCGCCAAAGATCAAGTCAGCGTTACTTGCCAACTTTTTAGCACCTCCAAGATTGCACTTGAAGAAGGGTGCCCAAGTAATGTGTCTTAAGAACTTCGACGAAGGCCTCATCAATGGTTCCATCGGAAAAGTGATCGACTTTGTCGACCGCGATGTTTACATGGGTTACGAATTGTTAAAAGAAGACACTGAATGTTCCTACGAGGAGTATAAGAAGAGGCTCCAAAAGAAGAACATTCAGGCGCCGCCTTCTCCTCAAAAGAAAGGCCCTATGAAAACAGAAGATTATGAACCTCATAATGAGAGTGCTGGTGTTAAGGCTGAAGATAAGGTAATCAAACAGGACATGGAAGCAAAGCAAGAGACACTACTAGATAATGTTTTTGACTTCTTCTACGAAGATGGTAATGGTTTGAAGAAACCGGATATTAAACAAGATAAACAAGCCGTGGAGACAAAGGAAGAGCCTGTCACGATACCCGATGAGTGCGATCTCAGTCCATTTGAGTATAATCGTCGGCGGAAACAAGAGCTCTTTGAAAGGCTTCAAACGCTGTCCAAAAAGACCAAGTACCCTCTTGTGAGATTTACAAACCCAGATAATGTTACAACGCGAGATGTACTTGTGGAGCCAGAAAGATGGGAGCATCTCAACGAGAAGGAAGAAGTCATGGTTGCTCGTACCCAACTTCCCTTGATGCTTGCATGGGCTCTTTCTATTCACAAGTCCCAGGGTCTTACGTTGTCTCACGTTAGAGTAAACTTGAACAGGATTTTCGAGTATGGCCAAGCCTATGTCGCTCTTTCAAGAGCCGTTTCCCGTGATTCCCTTCAAGTCATCAACTTCAGGCGAGACCTTATTAGGTCGAGTTTGATCGTGAAGGACTTCTACGGTTCGCTCATGACAGCCAATGAGCATAGAAAGCTTAACAGTTAGATTTGCTTGTGCGTGATATTAGATAAGTTTTATAATGGATGAACGGTTAGAATGACTTGATAGGTAGAAATCGGCGAATGTCGCTTGCTAGAAGGATCTGTTCTAGCTTTACTGAGTCTAACTCGATTCTCTCTCTAGCCTCTTTATCAGTCGACCTAGCAACTTCCTCTTTGATGAAAACCAAGTTTGCCTCTTCAATGGCTGATCTCGAGGCCATAAGCTTTTTGAGGTAAAAGCAGAGAAGGTCCATATTAGGATTAAGAAGTCCTAGAAGATGCTTTGCATTTGGATTTACATCGAAGGCCGTTGCAGCAAGTAACGAGTCTTGACCAATTACCAAGAAGTTTTGAACACCAAGAAAGCTCTGGCCAATAAGATGATGGGGGTGAATGCAAAGATGTGATTTTTCTGTCTCAAAGAACCGCTCCTGGACTTCTGGAGTTTCGGAGGAGATATCGTTGATCGTCTTTATTGGAAACTTGGGTCCCAGTTCTTGACTAATACTGTTTAATGGTACCGAAGGAGGTAAAACGATCAAAAATGGTGAACTGTTCTTAGAAATTGAATAAAACTTCAGCAATGTCCTGTTTAGCAACACTTCAAATCCCGTGTGATCATTGTCTTTCTTTAATGCAGCCCTCTTCCTGAGGTACTTCTTCTGGTTGTCATTCAGACAATACTTCTTGAGCTCACTGAGATGGGTCACATTATCGGATAGTCCTTGCAAGTAGTTCAGCTCAATAGGCTTTATTTTTGTCTTTCTGTAGGTTGATTTGCTCTTTGCAGCTCCCAAGTAGAACGTAGGATAATTGCCAACAAACAGATCAGCCCATTGCTTGTGGTTGTCTAGACTGGTCTCCTCTATATCTATAAGTTTGCGTAGTTTATGGTGGAAGCTGGTTTCTTTGGAATGAAGCTCAGTAAGATGTTGAACTTCAGCAGCCGTTTTTGTAGAGCCATCTATGGATTCTGGCATTGGTATGGTTTGCTCAGCGGTTATGCAATATTGGATAGGACGGTAAACCAAGCCTGGCTTCAACGAGAAGAGCTTCTGGGCGAGCTTCTTATTAATACCTTTTGGAATACCCGTATCATCTATGGATTCATCAATTGGCGCTTTGAGCACGAAATCTGATGCAGCAAAGTCTGTATCTGAGGCATAACGAAGTTCCACCTCATGAAGCCTCTTTTCCATTCGTTTAACGAACGCCTCATGGTGCACTCGATACATCTGCTTAACGGATTCCACCAATTTGGACCGAATCCTTCCGTTTTCGCCCTTTTGTACGAAGTTCATACTATTTCCACATCCAGTAGAGCTCATCATGAAGTCAAAGTCGTCCAAAGCCACAAGTCTTACGGTTGAAAAGATATCTGTAGATCCCGAAAGCAAATTATGAAGACCTGTGGGAGTCAGTACCAAAACCTGGGGCAGTCCACTTTCACCTGTAGCAATTGAACTGCTGTTTCCCTCAGAGTCCACGAACTTGGCACTAAACGGCTCATACTCAATGTCAGACTCTTGTGTTTCTCTAAATGGACAACACAATTCCGGCAAACCAGCCATAGACGTCTCCAAGTAGTACTTATACTTCTCCACGAGACTATCCGTAGGCACAACAATCACCGTATCAAGCAACCGTCTCAGTCTATCTGGAGCATGTGTAAGGGCTCTATTCAACGCCATAACAGCAATAGCCAAGGACTTACCTGACTGGGCAGTGCTTCTAAGAAACAAGTGGTTATTTCCTCGAATGACATCCCAGATCGCTCTTTGTTCTGAAGAGATCTTTGGCTGTGTCACTTGTGGTTGGAGCTTCAGTATGAGACCGTAGAGGTTCTGCTCTACCTTGGGCACAAGCACCATTGGCTTTGTGTTTTCATCGTATGCTGAAGTGTCATGAAAGGGTTCAGGGAGATTGAAGAACCGGCGTCCGGCGTATCGAACTATGGGTAGGTTTCGTAGTAGAAGCATTGATAAGTGATAGTATGGAGCGATGCGCATCGCACATATATAGTCCTAATGCATGTATTTGAAAAACTATGTAATGGATGAACTTTTTTTATGTTTTGAAATCGATTTAGATGGAATTTCTTCTAAATCTGCTCTTTGGATGTGATCCTTCCTTCAGTTTGAGGTTGGTCACTCCAGCAAACTTGGGTAACTTGCCTTCTTTAGCCCATTTGCCAATAGTCTCATCAGCATACGCCAAACCGACATTGTAGATCTCGTCAAACTTCATGAAATCCAAGGTGGCGTAGTCGTCGATTGGAGGACGAAGGTACATCACACCGGGCATCTTCTTGGCGGCCTCGAGGGCATTGACACTGGCAACATATGCTAACCGCAATTGGATATCCATCATGTTTGGCACGTTGGGGTGCTTGGAGAATGGGTTCCAACGGTTGAGAAGAACCCAGAATCCAGAGAGCGTGTCACCGTAGTTCATGGGAGTTCTGTCGTCCACAGATCCAACATCCACGGCAACAATATGTTTAGCACCTCTCACCTTCATTTCCATCACGGGAAGGTTATCAAGGTATCCACCATCAAGAAGCATCAGCCCATTGAAGGTAATAGGAGGAAGAAGACCAGCCAAAGACATCGATGCTCTGATGAAACGCCAAGCGTAACCTCTTTCGTGAATTTCCATGGTGGAAGTGGTGATGTTGGTGGAGTTGCAGAAGTAACGGATCCAAAAATCTTCAATCTCATGAACTCCAAACACTTTCCAGATACCTCTGTTGAATTCATGACCTGTGATGTACGAAGTAACAGGGTATGTCAAATCAAAAAGCATTCTCCAAACTGCGCCAATTCTTCTGGAAAACTTCTTCGTCATACCATAGATGGACACGATATTGTTCTCTTTAGCGTACAACCCACCAACGAAAGAACCAATGGAAGTACCGCCAATCAAATCAACAGGAATACCATGTTTCTCAAGAGCAGTAACCACACCGACGTGAGAGATACCTCTGGAACCACCACCACCAAGCACAAGTCCAACAGCTTCATTAGACAAGATTCTAGCCAACCTCATGAAATCATTCTTGTACAAAACTGGAACATTTTCAGCGTTGTTGGCTCTTGCGTTGAGTTTGATAAGTGAGTTCATGGCTCTTGATTTGACGTTCTCGAACTTCATCTTGATATTTGGATTAGCTTTGGTACCAAGCTTGATGGCGAGATCAGTAAGAACGTTTGGCTTCTTTTTCAATGGCTTCTCCGTTTGCTGCTTGTTGACTTCCATATGAATATGGTGATGGCCTTGCACCCATATTCTGTTCTTCAACCAAATGCTAGTAGAACCTGGGAAAACTGAGGCCTCAGGGTGTAACAAACATAAGTCAGTTCTAGCAGTAGTCTTGAGCTTCAAAAGAAGTCTTTCATAATCGCCAACATTGGCAGCACATTCGTAATCCTCAGCATCAGCCAACAACAAAATACAATCACCTTGTGAAATGCATGTTGAGGTCCATGATGACTTCAATGGAGAGTCGCAGATATAAACCACAGTTTGATACTCCTCTTCCAAATAGGCAAAGTAACCAGAGAGTCTCAACTGAGCAAGCCTTTCATCAAAAGCATGTCTACCCAAATGAGATAATGTAGAAGTTCTGTCTAACGCAATGACATGACGATCGAGTGCCCTGAGAGCATGTACCAATTTATCAGCAAATTCACGAACTGGTAATCCATTTGTAGCTGGCAAAATCGTAATAGTCTTATAGTCATTGTTGATCTCAGCGAAGGAACTCTTAGATGTTGTAGCGATGAGTGTATTGGTCCTGTCTCTCTTGCTTGCTTCAAGACTTCGGTTGGCAACAATTCTGGAAACCTTAACCATGATGGAGGGATTTTGTAAAGAAAGCATTTCGAATAATGTTCTTGGAATTCTTGCTGTCTCTGAATCTCTCACCGCAATAAGAGAAGTAGTTCTTCTGGATGCTGTAAGCACCTCAACCTCACCAATCGAGGCACCATGGCCGTACTCACCAAGAACCTCAAAATCTTCGACCTCATGATGATGCTTAGGTATGTTGGATTCGTCAATGAGGTTGTCGTGCTCAATTTCAGCGTCGTTAGCCACCTTCATTTTCTTATTCTTCACAACTCTAAAACGGCCACTCAAAACAACGTGGAACCCATTAGCCAAATCTCCCTGAGAGCACAAGACTCCTCCAGCAGGGATGTGACACCATTCAAGCGCAAAGTCAATGGTAACAATGAGGCTTGGCAACAAGGTCTTGAGCTTAGCTGCCACAGGTAATTGAAGAAAGTAAAACTTATCCATCAACCGAGTGAAGTCATTCTTAGATATGTGGGCCACAATAGCCCCTTCATCTTTAGAACTTTTGATTGAAACCAAAGAACGAAGTCCAACAATGGAGCTGAGGTATCCGGCCAATCCACCAGGCTTGACTGAATGAAGGCGCTTGCTGCCGTGCTCATACTTATTGTCATTTTGGGACTCATGAATGATATCTAAGCTACCATGAATGACATAGTAAAGGCCTGGACTGAGTTCATTCTGCTCAACAATTACTTGTCCTGGTTTATAATACTTGACTTCAATGTGCTTGCTGAATGCGTTTTTGACAGTAGCAAAGTTGACTTCAGAGCTAGATTGGGATTGTCTTCTGGAAGACAGAGGATTCGATTTGTCCGCTGGTTCAGACTTCGAGTGATGGATAGTGTTGTAGAACTTTTGGGAGCCTTGAGAGATCGAGGTCCTATATCCAAAGTAAGGTGAGTTAAAGGAATGATCCCTACCTCTTTCAGGACCTGATTCAAATATGTTCCGCTCCACATTCACAGGCAAAGACTGGTCACTCATTAACGAAGAAAGGCCAACCATGGAAGAATTGGCAGAAATTTGAGCGCTTGTAATTCCAGCCATGTTGAGCAGTGACGAATTCTCATCTATACCCAAGAGCTTGAATATGTTTTCGACAATGGCAATACGCAAGGAGGTCTCTTCTGTTTCCTCCCTTTCATCAGAAAACGATCTGTTTCTGATATTCTCTCTCTTCTTGAGTTTAGACTTCTTGAGGATCGGCGATACATGGCTCTTGGATTGTTCAGCTGAAGGTTGCTTTTGACCATCCCAGCTGGTCAAAGTGGTTCCCTCGTCCGAAATAGATGATGCATGCAGCTTACCGTAGTCAGAAGTTCTTGAAAGTGGTACCGAGGAAAGCAAATCACCTGGATGCGAGGGCTTGGAACGATTGGCAAGCACAACATAACGGGAAGAGTTCTCGCGATGAAGCTTTCTTTGGCGCTTCTTGGACTTGGAGAAAATGGGCATAGATTCATTATCTGCATCCGCTGCTCTTTGTTGTTGGTAGCTTTCAATGACACCATCATATAAATAGCTAGGCAATTTGCACTCTTCATGGATCGAATTCAATGCCGTCTCCGAATCAAAGACTTCCCTAATCAAGCCAAGATACGTATGGACAGTATTCATGGTAACCTTGTACAAACGAGCAAGCACCATAGTCACGATATGAGAAGTTGCCTTGGGATACCTAGCTTGCACTCTTTGAAAAGCCAGACCAGGGATAATAGCAATGGTAGCAGAAGAAGGAAATTCCTTATCGGTAGATACCGGCTTTGGACGAGCTACAACTTCCGGCAAGTCAGGGAAGTTATGATCATAGATAGGAAAGCTTCCCTGCTCGAGTGGTGTGCCTACCACCGACTCACCCTGAGGTTGAGAGCCAGATGTGCTGATGCGAGGAGAATTGAAATAGTTGCGTTGTTCGTCAATCTTGCCTTGAGGCACTGGACTAGGTACTCTATCGGGACTCAACGAAAGGGGTTCAATAGACGTACTTGTGCTCAGATGTCTCGAATTGAGTCGACTGTGTAAGATAGGCTTTGGGCGAGCCAAAGGATTGGGTTTCTGCTGTGACAGAGGGGGCAAGGTTGGAGAGGACATGGCGGTGTTCCTCGTATGGAAAAGATCCAACGTGCTAAGCAAAGACGATAATGCCGAGCCACTCTTCACTTCATTAAGCAATTGGTAATGCTGGCCCTTTATCACCAAAATATCCTCCTTCTCAGCCTTATCAGTATCCTCATCAAACTCAAAATGAGCGCCATGCTTATCATGCAATTTGGTGTAAACCTGAACTGTACCTTCCACCACAATGGAAAAGCCTAGTTTCTCATCCAAGTACAAGACCTCATCCGCTTCAAGCCGTTGCGTGGTCATATTCTTGGTTAATTCATGAAACACGGGTCTTTCAAGGTACCCAAAGACCTTGATGGCACTCAAAAACTCGTCAAGGTACGTTTTGGAACGATCGTTACCGCCACGTTTCTTCAGCCCCGTAACATAGTCAATCCCACGGCTTGTGTGTCCCAAGTTATCCTGCTTAGGCGGAAGCGTATCCTTAGAGTACCTAGTAAGGTACTTATGTCTCACAATGAAGTAGCACAACGAAACCGTCACCACCAAGCATATCATGATCGACAGAAGTGACATCGTAATCAGAAAGTTCATCTGAAGCATATTCAAAAAGAGCGTAGGGATAACCACCACCACATAGTTCATAATGGTGAAAAATACCCACAGCCAGTACCATAAGGAAGCAGTAAGGAAGGTTATGGAGGAGCTGGAATCTTTGGCAGACGGGAGCGTCTCAATGCCATGAGACGTTAGTGAAGACGTAACAGCCGATTCCACAGTGTCCATTTTCTCTAATGTGCCTTGCTGGAGGGGATAAAAGTAGCACGTGCTGGTTGAAGGAGTTGCTTAAGCTTTTGGAATTTCTACAAAAGGTGCGTGCGGAATGTATGTTCGCATTATCTACACTTTGCTACTACTGGCAATGGTTTATCACAGGTCACTTTTCTTGTCGTAACCGGCAGGCAAGGCGTTGAATCTGCGAAGAATACGCTCAACACCGTCCATGCCCTTGACCAATTGTGGCAATTCAGGACCGTAACTGATTCTCACGTAGTTGTACCAGATGACATCTTCAAGTCTGGACAAGTTCTGGGGGTTGATGAGGAAGAAGAATCCAGGCACCACAATCACCTTCTCGTGGAGACACTCGTGGAAGAAGCCAAGACAGTTGCTGAGCTTTCCAGGTAAGTGGGAGAGATTGAGCCACAAGTAGAAGGTGGAGTTGGGGATATTCCTATCACTGAATGGGAAACCCATATCGCTTAAACGGTTGATGATATAGTCACGCTTCATCTTGAAGTGCATTTGGAGAGCCTTCATTTCGGCTTTCACAGCCAATGGCTTCAAGAAGTCAATGGCAGCGTACTGGAACGGAGCGTTGGATCCACCATCTAGGTAAGATCCAGCCGAGCTCAATGCGTTAATGTACTCCTCTGGGCCCAAGATCCAGCAAATACGCCAGCCGGGTAAACGGAAGGCTTTCGTAAGACCGTTCAAGATCAAAACAGGGTCTTTATTCACGTCCTTGACGTACTGAGCAGAAGAGATCGATGATCCCAGGCAGTCGTCGTCGTAGTAGTAGTGGGAGTAGAACTCGTCCATGATCAAAAGACACTTTTCTCTGCAAATCTTGTGGAGACGTCTCAATTGGTCTGGATTCATACAACGGCCAGTAGGGTTTCTTGGATTCGACGTGAGGAACGCAGAAACACCTCGTTTCAACTCGAGATCAATGTGGTTCAAGTGCATCTCGTAGTTGTCTATTTCATCTAGTGGCACCGGGATTGGCGAGAAGTTCTTGAAAAGCGAAAGCATCTCGGCGTAGGCGGTGTAGTCAGGAAGGAAGAATGAAAGGTAGCAGTCGCTGATAATGGAAGCAATTCTGATCAACCCAGCTCTTCCTCCAGGCACAATACACACATTCTTATAAGTATACTTGGAGTCCTTGCCTTCACGATAAAGCGAATTGTACAAGTTAGCCACCGACTCACGAAGCTCCTTAACTCCAGCAGTTGGCGCATACTCTCTGCTCACGTCAGGCACTTCAATCAGCTTAGGTCTCTTGAACGAACCAGGAATAGTATCTCCATGTTCTGGAGCACCCTGGCCCAAATTAGCCCACGCGTCGTCTCCATTACCCTGGAACCCATACTCGTTAGCTCTTTCAGTCACCCACAACACACCAGTCGAAGACTGTTTAGTGTTCATGGCAGGTTTATGGATCTCCTCGTTGAAGTCAGGACGAGGAACAGGAATAGGCGAACTCTCCCTACCATTTTCCGACATCGAGAGTTTCAGAAGCAAGTGTTGATGGTGAGCTCTCTGCTGGCCTCCAAGCGAGTTCAGAGGCGCCTGGTGATGTGGGACACGAGGAGTAGGCGAGTCAAGATTTAAGCTCAGCAACTGCGTCAGAGAACTGTTAGTAAGTTTCTCCAAAAGCGAAGACGCAGACCGACGAAGCGGCTGGGGTAACGTCGATTCAAGACGCTCGAATTCCGAAACAGATTCACTATCTGAGTTGTAAGGGTCCATGTTGGTGAAGGAATTGTAGTAAAGAAGAAAGAAAAGGGAATTGAGTGGTTAAGTGAAAAATATGGGGTGCATAGGCGGGCCGTTTTAGCAAGCGGCAGAGCGGAACCGGAGAGGGTGCAGGTTTGGGTGCAAAAAATGAGTCAGGGAGGGATAGTAGGAGTCAGATGATGGAAGTTTGGGAGGTGGGTTGGGATTTATGGTTGAAAAGGGTTTTTGGAGGGATTGGTGAGTATGACTTTTATCGAAACGGCCTTCTTTTCTTCTTGGTTTTGGGGAGGGCGGTTGCTCGTTGACATGTGCTGGGCTGAGTGGGTTATGGAGCGTTGGAGGCATGGACGAGGCACAAGAGAAGCATAAAGAGGGCAGGAAGGGAGGCTTGTGTGAAAAAGAAGCGGTTTCCACGGGTACCCATTGCTTTAGTTTGTATCGGTTCTTTGTTTTGTGTACTGGAAAAGACGACTGGTAGTCTATATTGCTTAGGGAGACAGATAGCACACTAGTACTCAGATAGCACTTCTGCTGAAGCCAATTTCTCCAGGCACATTTTGATTTCTACCTGAACTTCTTGAGCAATCAGATAACCTAGTGGTATAAGCAAGCTGCTTGAGTAGGTGTCGATGGGTGGTCTCCCACTTGCCTAGGCTCTGTATTGTCTTTCTGTGGTGGCTTACCACTCGTTGATACCACCACCTACTCACTACTACAACGGTCCTTGTTTTTTTTATTTATTTATTCCTATATACCCTACATAACTACATAACTACATATCTACATATCTACAAAAACCTCCCAGCTTAGTCGACCTTTTCAAGAAACTCGTTGAGGTCGGAGTCACTGGTATCAGACTCATGGAATCCCCACTTCTCAAAGAAGCTCAATTCTTCATTGGATTCACTTGACGAGTCTGATGCATTATCTTTGATAATAATCTGGAAGGTATATGGCTTTGGCTCGTCTGAAGCTCCATCATCATCCACCTTCTTCGATGATTTGACAGCGTAGACCTGGATGCTTGAGTCGTCGCCAAAGTACTCGACAAAGTCTGAAGGCAAGAAGGTTTCATGCTCCTTCTTCAACAGCTTCTGCCAGAAAAAGAAATCCTTAGGCAAGAAAGCTTCATTCTTCTCCTTCACCATCTCTCCCCAGAAGAAAAAGTCCTTTGGCAAGAAGGCCTTTGTAGAAGTCTTCTGGACTTCTCCCCAGAACATGAAGTCCTTAGGTAAGTACTCCTTCTTCTTCTCCTTGAGAACGTTCTGCCAGAAGTAGAAGTCCTTAGGCAAGAATGGTTCCTTCTCCTCCTTCAACAAAGTTTCCCAGAAGAAGAAGTCCTTGGGCAAGAAGCTTTCATTCCTTTCCTTCAACTCTTCTTGCCAGAAGAGGAATTCCTTAGGCAAGTACGCCTTAGTTGGCTCCTTCTGAGCTTCCTGCCAGAACATGAAGTCCTTTGGTAAGAATGCCTCCTTCTCTTCCTTCAATACACCTTCCCAGAAGAAGAAATCCTTAGGTAAGAAAGTTTCCACGGTGGACTCCCTCACCATATCCTTCCAGACGTAGAAGTCCAGAGGCATGTACGAGACTGGCTCCTCTTCCTTGGTGATGGTGTCCCAGAAATGGAACTCGTTAGGGAACTGTGGTTCATAAACATCTTCTCTGACAACATCTTGCCAGAAAAAGAAATCCTTAGGCAAGAACGTTGGAGGCTCATTCTTCTTCGTAATCTCCAAGAGGAATAAGAAGAAGGGTACCAATACAAGGCAGAACTCATAAGCCATGAATTCATACTTCTTCTCACGGATCAAGGTGAGAGTCGCCTTGTAGGAGTTGAGCTCTTCAGCCAAGTAAGACTCCTGACTGTTCTCCTTGGTTTCAGTCCATTCATCGAAGAAACCTTCGAAGTCACCTGGCAAGAAGGCATCATTGTTCACCTCCTCGATGTCTCCCCAAACACCAAAGAAGTCTTCAAAGTCGCCAGGCAAATAGGCTTCTTCATTCTCTTCAAAAGCTTCATCTTCACCCTTAGCTTCATAGAATTCTCCCCACACACCAAGGACATTCTCGGTAGTGTCAACAGTAATAGAATCATCATCATCCTTGGTTTCCCCTTGGTAGTATTCGCCCCAAACACCAAGAGCACCTTCTTCCTCTTCTTCCTCAACCTTTGCCTCGTAATATTCACCCCAAACACCAAGAATGTCAACCAGTTCTTCTTCTTCATAGTTAGCTTGGTAGTAATCTCCCCAGACCCCAAAGAGGTGGTCTTCCTCCTTGACTTCCTCAACCTTGGCTTCATAGAAGTCTCCCCAAACTCCAAAGATATTCACATCTTCTTCTTCTTCTTTTTCATGTACTCCCTCGTAGTAGTCTCCCCAAACACCCAAGGTATTATTGGAGCGATTAGCTAAAATCAGCTTATCCTTTTCCTGAGCCTTTCTCCAAAGAGTAAAGAAGTTTTCAAATTGAGCTGCGGCGGGACCCTCGTAGAGGCCAAGCTCCTGGAGCTCACCGTACATGAAGAAGTCTTCAAGTGAGTACGCGGACTTGGTCTTAACCTCGTCGTACTCGAAGAAGTCACCTGGCAAGTAGGTGATGTTAGGTTTCTGCTTACAGAGAACCCTATAAAAGTGGAAATCGCCAGGCAAGTACGATTGTTCGTTTTTAGCCGGCTTCCACAAATTGAAGAAATCGCCCGGCAAAAACGCTGGATGCTGTTTCTCATTTGTGTCTTCCTTATACTTGTAAAAGGAAGTTGGAAGGTAAGTGGTAGGTTCCTCTTCCTTCACCATCTCTTTGTACTTATAGAAGTCATTTGGCAAGTAGCTTCTAGGAGGGGCCCCCTTCAACGCCCTCTGGAAACAGTAAAAGTCTCCTGGTAAGAAGCTTTCGGTAATGTGAGGACAGGTTTCTTCATTGACCACTTGCATAAAGCATGGGAAGTCTGTCAAAGTGTACCTGCCTACATTTCCCTTGGCCAAGGCAAGCGCCTCTTCTTGGGACTTCAAGTACCTACAGATGTTATTGTTTAAGTGAGGAAAGCATTCCTGAATTTCATCATACCATTTTAGGTAGAGCCCGTAGGCTCTTCTTGTAATTGCGTTGTTCGCAAGCACGTAGTTAGTCGCAATTGTCTGGCGAGTAGTCGCTGTGTGAGTCTTTGGCATGATCATTTTGAGAGTTGGTAAAGAAGAAGAAAAAAAGAATTCAAAATTGTAGGGAAAAACCACCGCTTCTTATAGTTCGCTGGGAGGCTCTCTGCTCCAACAGAGGAAATAATAGCATGGAAAGAGCTTGAACGAGGTGGAATACTATGGAACGAAGGAGCTACGAAAAACGGCATTCTCATGTTTTTCTCGTTGATTTGAGGTAAGTGGTATTTTGAAAAAGGTGTTGGAAAGCATCAACAGGAATGTATAACGGCGAGCGTGGAAGACAAAAAGCTTCCATACCACAAGGGAAGGTCTAGCGACAGGCCCCCATAGTTAAGAAAAAATCGTAGAAGACCAGAGAAAAGGAAGCTCATTTGAGCCGTACAGGGAATGAATAGCAGGCGGAGCCAATTTTCAGGGTCAACCAGACCCCCCAGGGTGTTAGCAATGAGAGGTGAATTTTCCATCTAGTCAATAGGGATAAAAAACAGTGAAATTTCTTGCAGTAAATTAATTGGAATAGAAGGAAACAGTTGTGGAGAGGAATTGAGGTACAAGTGGTAGATTCTTATGTTGTTCTGGCACAGCCTGGTAACGTGCTCCCCGTTTAAGAAACGGTGGAAGAAGAAAAACGGTAATGCGAGGTATGTGCGGTTGAACGTTACCAAAGGCTTATCAGGTGAATCAAAGTACCGTTCTATGATCCTGATAGAACTGTAGTACATGACAGAAGTAATACAGAGTGGTAGACAACAAAGGTGATGCCCCCAAAAGCACACCTAATTCATGATAACTGAGCGAGTCAAGGATCTGAAACGTATCGACAAAACTTCAAAATCTACTTAGTGCCCTACTATTCAAGTAGAGATTGAACTGGCGACACTCGTGAAACACACATCGTGTATATTTATATATATAATTATATAGATAAAGAACCTTAAAATCCCTTCAAATCACATACATACAAATAATCCCCCTCCTCGACCGCCCGTCCAGAACTCCCTTCCTTATCTTATCCCAATAAACTTCTTCCATTCCACTGGTTCTTCTCTAGAAGCATGCTTGACAGGCTTCCTCACTCGGAGTCGCACATTGTCTGTCTCCACTTTGCTCCACCCACTGCCTTTTATAACCACCAATAGCAGCCGCCAGAGGAAGAAAAGCGCCATAAATAGGTGATATTTCTGAAACGTCTTCATTCATTTATCGTTTAATCTAGAACCTCTTCAAGAAGCATAAAAATCTTTTTCATCTTCTCTACATCTCTCCATCCACCTGATCCAGCCAGTCCAGCCAGTCCAGCCCAAAGTGGCATGCCCAGATTCTACTTCTCCACGGCCCAGAACGGCCTGGAATGATCACTGTTTCAAGGTAGCCCCTCAAATGGAAACTCGCCTAGTTGTTGAATTTTCGTTCTACACGTTTTTACATTTTTCATCCAAGCTTTTCTAAAACTCCAGTAGTCCCCTTAGTCAAGTGGCATTTCGCAGCCATTCGGTCAGAGTCACCGAATTCTCCATTCTACCTCCAATTACAAAAACCTAAAAGAGCTTAGAAAAATTCAGAAACCAAGCAAAAACAACCAATCCCAACCCCCTTCCTCTCCCACCATACAAAATATATTTTCATCCCCTTTCGTCACGTTCCTGGGGCCCTGCCACTGTAAGGCTCTTTACGCTCGGTGTCCCCTATTATAAGACACACCGAGACAAGAAGAGCCCCACGTTTTCTGCCAAACACCCATCCAAAAAAAAAAAAAAACTATATAAAGACCGTAATTCCCACGTTTTGTAACCACTTTTTCATACTTTTCTGCTCTTCTCGTCGCCCCCGTCCATCTAGTTCCCTCCCTTCCCGCTCCTTTCTTCTCCACCCCCATACGGCATTCGCAGCCTAACCGTTGCACCCTGTGTACTACTGCAAACACCTGCCCCAGTCATCAATAACCAGACCCATACAACAGGCTCACCACCACCACCTCACCCTTATACTCTACAGCCTACTTTCACCTTTCCAAGCCTAGCTTAGTTACTCACTAATCTCTTTCTTCCCACGTCACCCATTTAGCCGCCACACAGATCGGCACACCCGCACCTCAAGATCAAGATGATATCCTCATCGTCAACATCGCTAGTACTGTTCTATATGGGTCAGACACAGCTGAAGGTGGCGCCTCAGGGCCATGAGAACCATGAGGGCCAGTTTGGGTTCCACAGTGAGCCTGCTCTCCGGCGGGAGAGGTCTTCTTTCAATGTGCTTCCTTACGCTGCTCAAGAACACCAGGGCCACGGCCTGCTTCACGACCACAGCGGCCGTGGTGGCCTCTTTTTGCTGCCTGTGGTGACAAACGATTCGCTGTTTTCACGGGAAACGGCTATGCTGCTGATGCTGGCTTCTTCTGTGACGAAAAACTTTACCTTGGTGGACCCAGATGTGCTTGACGAGACAAAGTCGGAGTCCTTCTCACCTTTGCTTTCGCTTCCAATGGAGATCTTGTACCAGATCGTGGAGATTGTGTATTATGACGAAACCACGTCGTCCATTCCGGCGAACCTTGAAAAGTTCCTGAAAACTATCCCAGTGCTTCTGAAAACATTCAACCAGTTGGCCATGCGTTTCTTATACAAGTACGCCATTTTCACTCGTCCACATTCTTTCGATAAGTTCCTTCAGAATATTTTGAACCAGCCAGATTTGGGTATCTACGTGGAGTTTTTGGATTTCCAAACTTTCACGTCTATTGGGCTCGGCAGAACTGGAAGAATGAACCAGGAAATCCAAATGGTCACTTCACAGACGATTGAGTTGGCCCTTCGCATGTGTCCCAATTTGATTGAATTCATGGCATCTGAAAATATTCAGGACGATATGGATGTGACGGTGTTGCTGATGCTCTTCAACCATCTCCCAAAGATCCAAGCTTTGGACTTTTGCGGTGCTTCGCTGAGAGCTTTGGCTATGGCATTTAACGAGCTTGAGATCGAGGACGCTGACATGTCCGAATCTGACTTGATGACTGACAGTGCGCTGACGATCTCTTTGAAGAAAGGCTCTTTAAGCAACCTTTTCAAAATCTCCTTCCATGACTGCTCCAACTTGGCACCTTCAGTCTTTGAAAAGCTCTTGCCTCACTTTACGCATCTACGCCGTCTTGACCTCAACCACACATCTATCACATCTAGCATTTTACACTCGCATCTTCCACATTCATGTCGCCTTACGCACCTTTCACTTGCACGGTGCTCTAAGCTCACCACCAAGGACTTGATCAGTTTCTTGGTGAACCATCCTGCAGTGTCCATGGACTCACTTGAGTGGCTTAATCTCCAGATCGACTCAAACGTTGTTTCACCACTCTCGGACGTTTACCTTTTGTACGTCCTTAATTACCTTAAGGCTCCTGACTTGAAGTACCTCAATTTGGGTGGCCTCCCAGTCAATTCTCGCATTCTCAAGCTCATCAAGAACAAATTCGTAAAGTTGGAGAGCTTGACCATTTCTCATTCCTCAGTTGACATATCTGACTTGGAGGACCTCATGCATGAAAATGAAACTATCAAGTTCCTTGATCTCACGTCGGTCAAATGTTTGGATCGCTGGAAGCTCACGAACTTCCTCAAGACGTGTTATGGTACCAATCTTGAGGCCATTGAGTTCGATTATAAAACACTTTATGACGTCACAGGTGGTAACTTCGTCAGGGTCGACGCAGTACAAACTAATTTCAGCATTCTGGGAGACCCTCAGTTACCACAAGTATGGAAGTTTTACGATAACGAAGGCCGCAGAGCCTGGATCTACAAGATTGATGCCACCGACCCTCTGTACGATTCGATCATCTCAGGAAACAAACTGAACCAGAGCTTTGCATCTAACTTGGTGTATTACGATTTGGAAACCGGTGCCAAGATTGAAACGAAGCTGGTTAAGCCATCTTTCCTCAAGTACGCCTCGAGAAAGGTCAATTGCTCCATTGGCTACTACAACCTTAACAACACCAAGAAGAAGAAGTATCTCAAGGGAGACTTGCGTGAACTGGTCTGGCCAGTGGAATTCAGTCAAAGAGGTATCTACAATTACTACTCATTGAATGTGAAGTAATTCAAGAATCACAGAACGGCACATTTCAAGAGAGTCGACAGGCAAGATTTAGATCTCTTTCTCTGTGCATTGTGATCTGCGGCAATACAAGTTCCACTGACGACCAGATGGGCCAAATCAAGGTTCTATAACGTCCGGATGATTTCTCCGACCTAAGCCGGTTCCTTTACATTCCGCCGAGCGATCAGCTCGTATGTACTATAAACTTTGCAAGGAGGTACTACGAAGCAGCCGAGGTTCGTGGCGATCAATTGAAGCATACACCAGGGCAATTCCATTTTATGGTGTCATCTTGCCAGAACCTCTGTCGTGACACCTTATCGGCTCACCGAGGTACCTCTACAAATACAAAAGACATCAAAAGCAGAGAAAAAAAAAGTGCAACAGCAATTGTAGCCACCAAGGACCCGTCTCCTCCGAGCCAGAATCCTATATCCGTAGAAATCAGCCCTCCCACAGCCCTTATCGGTTTTCCACGACTCGTGGACATTAGATTTGGATATATCCGAGGACACAAAAAATGTGGGGAAAGAAAGTGCAGTAGCCTTTGACATATCTCCCATACAAATCTCTCCAAAGCTCACCATACTTTTTCAACCTACCCCATGTTCGACGTCACAGAAATCAGAAACCCCATTGACATAAAATCCATAGAGAGGTACTTGACGAACCTCCCTTCCTCGGCTATAAGAGGCACCGAGGTGCCCCAGTTCAAGGCGCCTTTCAAGATGGAGCAGTTCAGGTTTGGCCAGTCCAACCCTACGTATTTAATCACAGACGGTGCCCAAAACCACTTTGTCTTGAGAAGGAAGCCTTCTCCTAATAAGAAACTTGTTTCTCGGTCAGCACATGCCATTGAGCGTGAGTTTTTCATTCTTGATGGTATTGCTAAGTGTAACCAGTCGGTGCCTGAGGTGAGGAAAGTGCCAGTTCCTAAGGTGCATGTTCTCTGTGAGGACGAGTCCGTGACGGATGCTGTGTTTTATGTTATGGAGTTTGTGGATGGTCGTCCAATAAAGAGACCAGACTTGCCTGGTATTGCAGAGTCTGAGAAACAGAGCTACTGGGAAGCTCTCATGACCACCATTTCTGCTATCCATTCGCTTGATGGTAACGAGCTTGTGAAGTACCTTCCAGCCAACCACTTTCCACAGTTTCAGCCTGAGAAGCTTGCTAAGAACAAGGGCGGACCTAGCTACTTCCAGAGACAAATCAAGACTCTCAGTGGTGTAGAGAACTTGCAAGCTCAGACGGTGGATCCAATTCCTAACTTTAAGGAATTGATCAAGTACACTGCCGAGCATGCTCCAAGGGATCCTTCAAAGTTGACCTTGATTCATGGCGATTGTAAGATTGACAATTTCCTCTTCCACCCTACAGAGCCTAGGATTATTGCTGTGTTGGATTGGGAATTGTGTACTTTTGGCCATCCACTTTTCGATTTGGCCAACTTACTCCAGCCTTTCGAAATGACCAACGAGTTGAACAATGCGTTCTTCAAACCAGAAACGGTGAATATCGGCAGACAAAAGCCAGGATCCAAGGAAGCCGTTCTTGATAAATTGCGTCTTTACCTGAAGAAGCTCGGTTACCCATGGAACGACGATGTTCCCGAGAACAATCCTGTTGACTTGTGGACAGTAGGTGTGATTTTCGGTATCCTCAGACTCTGTGTGATTTCTCAAGGTGTGGCCATGAGAGTTGCCAAGGGTACTGCCAGTTCAGCCATTGCCTCTGGCTACCTGAGCTTGTATGTTCCACTTTCTGCCTTGGCCATGGAAATCATCCAAAAGAGTTCCAAGTTGTAAATGCATGTATAGACAATATGAAATTAACCTATTTATTTTATTTTAAGAAAAAGACTAGGTCATTTGTAGTGTTTCACGACTCTAGGTATTTCGCAGCCTTGGAAGATCTCGCATAGATCAAATGCGGAGGAACTCATCTACAACTTCCTTCTTTTCATCCTTCCCCACCAAAACGAACCCAAAACCTCCCATATCCAGCCAATCATGTCGCTCGTTGGCTTTTCAGAAATCCTGAATAAGCAGTTCCCCAAAAGCATCGTTCGTTGTCCATTTGGAAAATGCAAAACCAGAATCATCCTCATGAACGAGACGCTAGCAAAGAGAAGAAGAGAAATAGGGAATGCCCCGCCGATGGCAAGCGATTCGAAGCATTTCTTTGAACTTGACGATGTATGGGATTTTGATAATATTGGCGTTTCCAAAGCCGCTCTGGAACTACAGTCTAGTCTGAAAGTTGGTGACCTAGAGAAGGTGGAACGTTTATTAATTTGCAGCGAATGTGATCAAGGTCCATTGGGGTTTGCCGGTTTCAGGAACCCAGAAGAAACCGATGTCAAAAAGCTATGCTACTACCTTTCTTGTGAAAGTGTAATGTACGAACAGGTCTAGTGGGTCCATGGTATTCATCATATATATTAAACTACAACTTAGCAGATGGCTTGAACTCGTCAACAATGCCGGAAGAAATGTGTCTGGCACATGCCATGGTGGAAACCATAGGGTTGGCACCAGAGGCGGTTGGCAAAACACTAGCGTCAGTGATGTAGACATTGTCACTCTCAAAAGTACGGCCTCTCTGGTCGCAGACACCGTATCTCGAGCCCTTACCAGTCATACGACAGGTAGACATTTGATGGGCAGAACCGTAGGCGGTACCGTAGGCAGACAATGGGGTGTCGGCAACCTTCTTACGCCATGCCTGGTAGTCAGCATCGTGGATGGAGCGCTGCTCCTTTGGCTTGTGGCTGACAAACCTCTCAACCTGGTAAGATGGATGGATAATTTCCTTACCGCCTTCAATGTAAATCACGTCGGCAGTCACGAGCATGGCCTGCAAGATGGCGTTACGGTCGTACTTGTTGACGTCGTAATCAATCACCAACTTGTCTGGTCTGTTCTTGTCGAAAGTAACTGTTCCAGAGGAAGTGTCTCTGGTCAACAAGATGAAGCAGGCAGCGCCCTGGTACTTCAAAAGATCCTGGCGCATTTGGTTGGAGGATTCCCAAGGAATGAAGATACCTTCAAGCACAGGAGTATGCAAAAGAGTCTCGATCTTGGCACCGTGAGCCTTACCATCGAGATCGTCAACCTTAGTACATACACTTGTCATGATGGAGTTGTAGTGAGGGTCAGTCTTTTTGTCAAAGACACCAGTCAAGGCGGAAATTGGGTGCAACTTAAGGTTCTTACCAATGTGCTTGTTGCGGAAACCAGACTTTTGGAGAAGGACTGGAGATTGCAAAGAACCAGCAGCAATAATGAATCTTCTTGGACCCTTGATGGTGAATTTGTTACCTGTTTTCATGTCGACACACTCAATGTGGGTAGTGATGCCGGCCTTGTTACGCACCAAACGGTCCACGAGAACCTGGTCCATGAATTGAGCGCCACGGTCAGCGGCAGAACGGAACCAGTTCACCAAGGAGCCCTGCTTGACACCCCATTTACAACCCAAGTGGCACATACCACAAGAATGGTTGGTGTGGGAACCGTTGTTTTGAGGAACAGCCTTGACTGGGTAACCGAGCTTCTCGCAACCGTCCATAAGAGTCTGGTTGGAGAAAGAGTGAGTGATGTGGTCGGTGGAAGCACCCATTTGTTTGAGCACGTACTCCATGTCATTGTCGTAAGCTTCGGTGGCAAACCAGTCAACACCAAAGTCGTCGTACCATTCCTTTCTGACCTTGAAAGGAGTCTTCAAACAGGCGGACCAGTTGACGGTAGAACCACCACCAAAGGTAGCACCAGCCAAAACCATTGTTTGAGAGTTTGTGGTTGGAATTTGGCCACGGCCTTCGTAAAGCGAGTTCCAGGCAGTCACCTCGTCAAAGTCCAACTCGGAGCGGTGGAAGTACTTACCCTTTTCAATGACAAGCACCTTCATGCCAGCCTCGGCCAAGGTGTGAGCCGTAACACCGGCTCCGGAACCGGAACCGATAATCACAGCGTCAATGTTTGGCAAATAAAGCTCAACATTATCGGAAGCTGGAACATCCATCATGGTGTAACGGAACTCGTCAGGTTTGTAGCCCGCGTACAACTCTTCACGAACATCGGACTCAGGGCATCCCATGGCATCCTTATGGATCTTAGGAGCAATACGCTGGTAGGTGGAAATGGTCAAGTTGAACATAAGACGGAAGAGTCTCTGCTTCACCTGAATAGGCGAATCACGCCACGAGCGAAGCATGGCTTCCATCTGCTCGTCAGACATATCTCTCACCAACGTCAAAGAGCCCGTAAGCGCTGGAGCCAACACCCTCGAGTCCAAAGCAAGCATCAAAAGGCCAAAAAGCTTGATACTCTCCGAGGTGTTATTCATAATCAGGTCTCTGATGAATTCACGGAACCCAGGCATTTTACTGGGCCGCCCCACGCTGGCAGTATACTCGTCAATCCTATCCTGAGGGAAATCCCTATCAACATATTCCCTAATGGTGGCCGGGTCGACTTCCCTCAAGAAGCCGTCCGCAATGGCCATAAACACATCCAAGTACTGGTCGGTGACGGAGTCTGGAAAAAGGCCCATTACTAACTTGTCAAGACTATGTAAGTATCATTTTGCATGGGCTGGGGAAAAGGCATATTATATAAGGACACTCCCCCCACACATTGCAGAGTTTTTTGCGAAACAGCCTGTGAAAAAAGGACCCCTACCAAACGACACTCCCACTCGCGCAGGGCGGTCTTTTTCCGCCCTGGCCCTACTTTACACCCGCGCTGCCCTCTACTAAGAAATCGACTGATGTTGTGAGTGCACATGCCAAAAGGGCTGAGGGGACACGCCATTTAAGCAATCCGGGTGTGATAAAGGGTCAAATTGAAGGGAAGACCTGGTGCTCATTGTCCCCTCCCGGATATACTATAACTCCGAAGAGAAGCGAGGGAGAAAGGGTAGGAGATAGAGAAGGAGAAGGGACGTTTTGACCGTTTTCGTTGGAACGTTGGATGGGATTGGGTGGTGCTGGGTGGTAGTGGTAGTGCTACTGGAGATGGTGTTTTCGCAGCCAAAGGTACTGATGGAGGGGAGATAAGGTAGGGCACGCTCTTTTCCAGCCGGCATCGGGTGGTTTTGTGATCCGGATTTCCGAAATCTACATATCCACTTTTGGAGGCATTTCTCGAGGAAAAAAATTTTCCCCTGGTAGTTTTTGTGGAAGTTCCATGTGTGTGGTCATGGATAGATGCTGAGGATGTAGTTGGCCTGTGTAAAGAAAGTGATGGAATGGTGCCAGAATGGGTTAGCCGGGAAACCGTGCGATGTTTCCAAATAGAGACACAAAACGTTGGTTGCAGTCAGCAACAATCTCGATTCCTCATCGAAGGCGCCAGCCTTTCGATGAGAATTGAAGTTTTAGAAATACATCTTGGAGATATAGCTCAGAGATGAGAGACACCTCAACGGAATAATAGGATTTTGTATTGTCTCAACGGAATAACAGGATTTCTCATCGCAGCGTTGCCATCCAGTGCCACTGCCTCTGCCTCTGACTTGACGCACCCCAACGCTTCGGTGCCAAAATATTCAGTTCCGATCGCCATGTGGCTTTCGATGATGGCAACACCGTTTGCCAGCGTTTTTCCAGGACTTCCAGGGTTTTCATGTTTTTTTGGGGATTCAGGGGGTTTGGGAATCATGAGATAAACGTTAGTTGCTGGATTTTTTCTATTGTTTATTGGTGCTGACTTGTTGTGGTACATCTTCTGTGGGCCCTGTCACTTCCCCAGATCTCATTGTGTAGGTGCCTCTTTTTTCTAACATTGTAGACACCTCTAATAATATCGCTAATTGGGAAACTACTGAAACGTATTCATGCAACTGGTCTCGCCTAATTAATATTTGTCCGGGTTTGTTAGGCTGAAATTCTTGGTTCCTTCGCTGGTGATAATACTGGGTATGAGCCATGGAATGCATCTCCAATAGGCAGAATTAGTGGGTTGATTGTGTATCTGGTTGGGAATAGGGGTACAGAATGACGTGGAAGGCTGGGGAAGTGGCTTCCAAGCATAGAATTTGGTAAGTTGGAGCTGTAAAGATGGTGTCATTTTATGTATGGCAAGGTTGAAGTGTCGGTTGGACCTAATTGGGTAATTAGACTTTTGAATATGGGGCAACGGTTATGAGTTTGTGGAGACAAGCTGGTCGAGTATTCATGGGGGCTTATCAAGGTCATGAAGCCTCGAGGCTCCTCGTGTCCATCGACATCCCATCACCTACAGATATATCTAGTAAAACGTGAATATGCTATTTGTAACTTTTAAATCATGATAAGGGGAGTATTGTACCCCTGTGTTCGTCTATGCATCATAGGGTCCATGGTGCTTCTAGGTAAACTGTAATGTATGAATATTTTGTTGTACCGGATCAGTACTTTCTTGTATCTTTCACTCTGCTTTGAGTACTTCTTCCTCCTTTACACTGTCTGATTCTCCCATGTATTGCGTTCTGTACCGCTTCATGGCGTAAGCATGGGCACGCCAGGCTGGTACTTCAAACAAGTAATCAATGGCTTCCAACGGCACGCCTTTGGTCTCTGGGTACACGAAGTAGACCACCACAGGGAAGACAATGGAACAAGCAGCAAAAAGGAAGTAATAACCGTAGCCAATAGAGTCCAAGGCTTCACCAGTAAAGTGACCAAAGATGAATGCCCAGAACCAGTTCGAGGAGGCGTTCACAGCTTGAGCAACTGTACGGACAGACTGAGGAAAGATTTCGGAACAAATCACCCATGGCGTACCGTTCCATGTCAATCCGTAGAATACTGTCCAGATGTAAAGTAGAGCTTGCGCTGCCGTGCCTCCAGGCGTACTTCCCGTTTCTCCATCTTCAAGACGCCCAGCTGGGTTTTCAATTTTAACGTATGCTCCAATGTACCACATACAGACGGTGCACGGTAGACAGATCCAAATAAGACATGCTCTTCTTCCAAACTTGTCGACCAAAAAGAAGATCCAGAAAAGCGAAGCGGCAGCTTTAAGTACACCGAAAATACCCGTGGATAGAAGCGTAGCATTCGAGCCATTCACACCAATCAGCTTAAAGATTGTGGGTGAGTAGTATGTGACAGCGTTGATACCAAACCCGTTTTGCATCATAAACAAGGCAGTACTAAGCACAAGACGGTAGACCAAGTGTTTCTTTGTGAACATAGCTTTCAAAGGAGCAAAGAAGCCACGACCAGTCACTGCAAAGTTCTCCTCGATCGATGTACAGATAGTGTTCAACTCATAAACGGAGTATGGGTGGTCAGGCAGAAGACCACGCAAAAAGGCCAAGTTCTTCTGTGCCTGGTCGATTTTTCCCCTGGAAATAAGAAACCGGGGAGATTCAGGAAGAATAATAGTAAGGCCCCAGAAGAGTCCCGAAGGCACGAGCTGGATAGCGAAAGGAATGAGCCATTGTTTGGTAGAAGGTTCAAGGTTCTCTAGCACACCATAGTTGATCCAGTAGCCGATCATGCCGCCCACCTGCCATGATATTTCCCAGCATCCCACGAGTTTACCTCTAATAGCCGCTGGCGAAATCTCAGAAACATAAATTGGAGCAAGCCCCGAGCAACCTCCAATGCCGAGTCCGGTAAGCACTCTACCAGCATAAATAGCACCCAAGCCTCTGTCCAGATTAGAAATCAACGAAATGGCAGCCCCAAACGTTAGAAGAAATCCCAGTAGGAAAAGCCCAATACGTCTTCCTAGAAGTTCACCCACTGGATAAAAAAACAAGCACCCAAAGTAAGCACCTGCCTGAAACACAGACACCACTATAGAAGAAATGTTATTCTGTTCAGCATGCAGCATTTCGTTCAAACCAAACTCATCTTTAAACGATTCAAGCGACACCGTTCCGCCAATAAACCCAGCATCGTAGCCAATAATCGTAGCTGCCGACGCAGCAGTCACCGCTAGAAGCACCAACTTATAGTTATAAATCTCATTCGGAATCGGAGGCGCCAGCGCTTTTTCAGGTTCCGGCGACGGCGTGGGCGGCCACGACTGGCGAACCTCGACCGATTCAGAATCCTTTTCTTTCATGTTTCTGCCAGCCATGTGGGGTTGACTCTAGTGCTGTAGAAGGTTTTATAAATTTTCACCTCTTTACAGCCTTGTGCATCTCCTGCACTGGTGTGGAGAAACCGTTACCGGACAAAAAGAGGGGCCGGTAACGGCAACGTAGGGAAGCTATTGATTTAAAAAAGAAGGGTGGATTCTACGATTTTCCAGCATTTTCCATGTTTTCCTGGTCTTTACCAACCGGTGGTTGACATCTTCAGTCCATCTGTCACTGCGTTAGTGTCGCTTTTTTCGCTGCACTTGTCTCAATAAGCAGCCATTGTGAGCGCATCTGCGGCTGGAAGCGAGAGTCTAAAGATGGAAGAAGGAAAAGGGAAAGGGGAGGGAATAGAGAGAAGAGAAAGAGGATGATATTTTGGTTTCATAGGTTCAGTGGATATCCCGTTTATATCACATTTTTGGGGTTCATCGATCGACATCTTTCACGGAATGTTTCTCGTTGACACGGTCCAGCAGTGCACAAAGGCTTGGCTTAGCTTGGCTGCGCTGGGTAGCATTGACTCATACTTAGGGAGAAGGAGTGAGGTATGCTAGGGGAATGGATGAAGGGTTGGTTGAGCGAAATGGGTATGAAGTTGGGGAAATGGTTGCCTATCCTCATAGATGCTTCTTTTTGTGATTTGGATTTTGACAGTGGTTTCGTTGTTTGGTGGGGCCAGACTGGTGGGTTTACTATGGTAATGGCTTTTCGCAGCCAGTATGGATAAGTGGTGGGATCGCTATGATAGGGTGCGTATGGGTTTTGTGGTAGCTGAGAAGATATGTAGTGTTTTAAGGGTACGAGGATGACTGTGGTAGGGCTATTGGTGGCTTCATGGTTAGTGGGAGGTCATTTGGGTGTGCTATTTATGTTAGTCCACCGGGTGAAACTACACTATTGTGAAGCTACACTTTTACCTCCGATAGCGCTGGTATAAACATCTTATTAGGTTTTCCTTTCCGGAAAGTATGGTCTTATATTCTTTATCTCTTTAGGCATAGGCTGAGCACTTTGCACCTTTCCTTGCCTCGGCCATTTGTGTAAATCTCCGAGACCTCCGAAGACTACCTAGTTTTACCTTATCACCTAACTACTGGAGTCTCGAGCCTTTAAAAGCTTTTTTCAAAGAGTCCCTTTAGTTTAGGTATGCATTACTTGGGGTAATTGCATATCCAGATGGCTCTGTCAGTACAACAAGGATATCATACTACTTCTTGAGGAAAGTCGCCAATGTACTCCATTAAAGCCTAAAATTTACTTTTCTCTTGACAAATAAAAATTAAACCAAATAGTTAGTTTTATTTTGTTCTCTTCATTTAGCCTTCGTTCCTTCCCTCATAGCAGCATGCGATTAGGTATTATTGGACCATCACATACCAAAACCACCACAAAACAATAAGCGATCACCAATCTATTTAGTATACTTCTAACTGGTTTATTGGCTTATTACTATCAGTTTAATTATTATTAATTCTTAAAATCATTTCCATATCCCGGCTCCACCATCTCTACCCATCACACCCGAACACCCTACATAGACATCGCAGTATAGGCTTCTACCTTTCACTATGGACTCTTTGGCAGGATATACGTCAGACGAAGAGCCAGAAACCGAAGAAACCCAATACCCTCTGGAACAGGAACAGGAACTTCCAGCATTCGATAACTTCGTCCTGTACTCCGAGAACTATTCCATGAAGCGCAAGAACCTCTTTTCATCTTTCGTGTATCTTCCCTGGAAACCAGAGATACGAACCAGGAAGTTGGTCCAGCAATGGTACGATGAAACGATGCAAAAACTATATAAGGAGATTCCTGGCTTGAAAGGCAGGTATAACTTCTATTCGACCATGCAGAATAAAGTCGAGTTGTTTGGACGGTTTGGCCTTACACAGAAGTCACAAGTGAACATTCCACATGTTACGTTGTTTCCAAACATATACGGTGACGCTCCCACATTGAAGCAGCTTGGTAAGCTTCTACGGAAAGAATTGAGAAATGTCGAGCCTCCTAGTCAATTGGTAGCTTCGCTGAACCTGTCGGTTGATGCTATATTGAGTAATCCAAAGAAGAAGATATCTCTTCGGCTAGAAGCAGAGCCCTTGACTTTTCTTAGCTCAAGAACAGATAACGTTTTTATAGTCGTTAAGGTCGTCAGTGACGTTGATGGCCAGCCGCTGCCGGAAAAGGTATACCTACGAAGCTTGATGCGGACCATTCAGGAACAGGTTGAGTCTCTAGGGCTTGAATATTCCTGGGCGACGTTGGGCGATAACGTGGCGTACCATGAAGACGGCTTACCTGAAATGGTATATCATGCAACGATAGCTATGGGCGAGTTGAAGGTTTTTGATAAAGCCATGGATTCTGCGGATTTGAAGGCGGTAAAGAAAGTGATCAGTTCTAGCAGTTTCAACGGGAGACTAACGTTTGAAGCCGATACTATCGTGAACCGTTCTAACGCTAAGATTCTTAACGAGTACACTATCTGGCAGAATAACAGTTAAGAAATCACACGCTTAGCTTGGGTATGGTGTCGTTGTTTGCATAATTTATTAGATCATTGTACATAGATGAGTTCATGATGTGGAGCTAGACGTTCCATGGATCCCTCATTGCCTGAAATAGAGTAGAATAAGAAACTACAACCCATTCCACTTGCCTACCATGGACTCCAAAAAAGCTACAGATACTACCTTTCTTCCCTCGGTGGAGATCTAGGCGGTTTCCCGAACAGTCCACATCCATTGTACTCCCCTCTGAACCATTCCAACTCTTGGCCCACCAATAATTTCTCTCTGATTACCATTTACAATTGACGCCACGTCTTTTTTTTTTTTTTTTACCTTTTCAAGTCACTCCCTCCATCTCTTCAACTTTCCTAGACTACTTCCAAATGGCTGCGAAAAAACAAGTGTCCAAAATAACCATAAACACCATCCAGCCAACCCACCAACACTCCCTCAAAAACCCCCAAAATCATCCCTAAAAAATACAAACCCTTACATAAAACCCAGCCATCACTGGCTGTTTCTTTTTCACCCACTTTTTTTTTCCTTGCTTCCACAAAAACACTACATTTTTCACCGCCATCTCTTCCACCTCTTTTGTGCACTGTTCCTGGTGCCTGCCAGACCCTGCGAGCTCAACAGAACCCACCACATTTCCACGAAAATTCAACAAAAACCACACTTTTTTCCCGTAATCTCTTAAACTGCACTCAAAACTTATCTCATCTCATCTCTCCAATTTTCCTTCCTGACTTTCATAGCGGCGCCGATTCGGCAGCGCCAAGAGCAGCAGGTCGCTAAACGAAAATGGATGGTGAGTCTCCTGCAGCCACGGCAGTTGAACCGCACCAGCCGAAGTGAGGTTTCCAACCACCTGTTTCCTCCAGTTTCAAGTGCCAATGTTCAAAAAGAAGGATAAGGAGTCGAAGAGGCAGCTCATCGATATTGTTAATAATCGGAACAACTTGAACAGATGTGGCGAGTGTGCGGCGGAGTATCCTACGTGGGCATCGTGGAACCTTGGCGTGTTGCTCTGTGGAAGATGTGCTAATGTTCATAAGAAGGTGCTTGCAGGTGATGGGCCTCTGGGGAGACCTATTTCGAGGGTGAAATCACTTACGTTGGAGCTGTGGTCGGACGAGCAGATCGAGCACTTGAGGCGCATCGGTAATAAGAAGGCTAGGAATAAGTGGAATCCAAAGAGAGTTCCATTTCCGCATGCTGATGACGATGAGGAGGGTCCTGTGGAAGGCTACTTGAGAGATAAGTACATTCTCGGTCGTTTCCGTGATGATAACATTGAAGGTGACGATTATGATGCCCGCAGCGCTCGTTACTCTGATCATAGCGGTCCTCTGACCCCAGCTGGCAGAAGATCTCGTCTGTCTACGGTCAACAGCAACAGAAGACCCCTCCCACGCTTGTCACACAGAAAGCTTACCAACTATGAGCAGTCGCTATACCCAACGCAGTTGCGCCAACTTGTCAGTATGGGCTATTCAGATAAAGACCTCGCGTTGGAGAGTTTGATCTTGGCTAACGGTGATACCGAGCTGGCTCTAGATATCTTGGAAAACGATACAAAGGTCAATCCAAGCAAAGCTGAGATTCCTCCTGATTTGCCAAGAAGACCACGTCCTTCTACGGCCTCGAGCGCTGTAGGCAGCGCCAATGGCTCGTACACTGCTCCCACAAGCCAGCCTTCGAGCACTGGTGCCACGGCAGAATGGTGGAATGGCCAACAAGGTTTACAGGTTCAACAAACGGCGCAAGCGCAACAACCTCAGATTTATCAATACACTGACCCAGTCACCGGTCAAGTCTCGTATGTCGACGAGCAAGGTAACCAGTACTTGGACCCTAACAACCCTCAGCACCAGCAGATGCTTATGCAACAATCAAACCCACAACTTGCAGCACAACAGACGGCAAAGCAGAATATCATGTCGCTCTACGGACAGCCCACAGGCCAACAACAGACACAGCAGACGGGCCAGCCTCAACAGGCGCAGCCCTCAGGATTTCAAACGGGACAGCAGACGCAAGGACAAGGACAATTCAACCAGTTTGGCCAGGCTAATCAGTTTGGCCAGGCTACGGGTATGCCACAGCAGCCCACCCAGGCAATGTACGGACAACCTCAACAGGGCTTTTTCGGTGCACAGCCTAATTACCAGTACGGTCAACCCCAGTACTTTGGATAAGCAAACTTGGTGCATATAGCTTATAAACGGTACGACTCAAGTAAAAATGTTTTAGTAATGAATAAAATAGAAACGACAAGAACTATAGAAAGTAGAAAAAACAAAAAATAATGCCTTCAGCCAGATTCGAACTGACGATCTCCTCATTACTAGTGAGGTGCCTTACCAACTTGGCCATAAAGGCGTAACTTGAAAAATTGGGTGCTTCTAACAATCTGTTGCATCAGCTCAAATGCCGAATTTAAATGTCATTTAATTGAAATTGGACTTTTCAGGAATAAGCTATACTAAATAACGAACATTTTCCCCAAATATGGGGCAAATTGGCTCAGTATTCCACGAGTTAGAGCATATAAGAGAAAAAGCGTTACTGAAGTCAAAAGAATGCCATTTTCATTAAATATTGTGGAATTAAATGTCTAGGCTCCTAAATTAATGATAGATAGAATAATTAGCACGATAGTTGATAGTCTTGATTCTTCTCTTGTCCTAAATTTCGAGACAACTAAGACAACCTTTTTGGAAACTAATCATCGTCCTTTAGTATTATACCTTCTCAGAGTCAGTAGTCAACGGTATATTTGAGTACACTTAATGAGGTTATGGATTTCCACAAGATTGAGATCTTATTGCATTTGCTGTTTCGTACTTTTCTTTGGTGGTTTGACAACCATTGCCTCCTTTCTCTTGGTACTGGAAATGGCCCTACGTAGGACGGGTTCCGTACGCCTGCTCGGGCCCCTCAGACACAGAAACTGTAGGCGAATGGTAATTGGTACATGTGTTTTGCAAGGCTTATTATTGTCGTTCAGGATCATTAAGCTAGCTATACATGGCCTGGGAACTGGGTACACTGAACACTAGGCATTGTCAATTCTAGTAAACACTGGTTTTTATGGTAATGCTGAAGTTAATGAAAGCGTAATATATTGATAGTGAAGTTCTAAATTTAAGTCATATAAAGTATTTAGGCCAACATAAGTTCGTAGATTGTAACATGCATATTCAATGTACTTTCAGAACGATGGTTCAGATGCCTCACCTCCCAAGTGAAACACACTCACCACACAAACATCTTCATAAACGCCCCTTGAACCCCACAATTACCGCCAATAAACTCCCAATCAACAAATAAGTCAGACCAGCCATTCAATGACATTTCCTTTTTGGGAGTCCATGACTTGACAGTGGCACCACCAACCCCATTCGCATAAGCTTTACTGCCCGTCCACAACTCTAAACCGCAACAACAAAGACAATGAAGACCCAAATAGCACCTCTGCCTTTTATTGTCTTACTTCCTCTGCTATTTTTTTTTTTTTCTTTTTTATTATCCACCCCGTATTGGTCTGTCAGACCACTATCCATTTTGCAGCCATCCAGTCAACCTGCATATATCTAGAAGATTCTAGCACTATCTCGCATCCTCTTTACTCTTCCTTGCATCTCGCCCTCGCCTATATAAGTAGCGTATTTCCCCTTGGTTGCTCCACATCCAAATAATTGTCTACCAAGAATTATGGACGAAACTCAGTTCACAGAGAACGCCTTGCAAATCATCAAGAAGGCCACTGAGCTTGCCAAGGAGGGTTCCCACTCACAAGTGGTGCCGTTGCACTTTTTGGCAGCCATGGTTCCTACCGATGAGGAAGGCTCTACTTTATACCTTAAGACGCTTATCCAGAAAGGCCGTTACGAATGGCCGGATTTCGAGAGAATTGTCAATAGGCATCTTGTGAGATTGCCTTCGCAGAACCCACCTCCAGATGAGGTGAGGTTGAGTTATGCTGCTGGACAGATGCTCACCAACGCTACCAAGATCAAGGCTGAACAGAAGGACTCTTATGTCGCTCAGGACCATCTCTTGTTGGCACTTTTGAAGGACAGCAGCATAATTGATATCTTTAAGGAGGCTCAGATCAATGTTGATACCATTAAGACCCAGGCCTTGGAGTTGAGAGGAAACCAGAGAATCGACTCCAGACAAGCTGACTCTTCTGGAAAGTTTGAGTTTTTGAGCAAATACTGTGAAGACTTGACTGAGAAGGCTCGTGAGGGTAAGATTGACCCTGTCATTGGCCGTGAAGAGGAGATCAGAAGGGTCATTAGAGTGTTGGCCAGAAGAACCAAGTCTAACTCGGTTTTGATTGGTGAGGCTGGTGTTGGTAAGACTTCCATTGTGGAGGGTGTTGCTCAGAGAATTATTGATGGTGACATCCCAAGCATTTTGGCCAACTCCAGGCTTTTTGCTCTTGACCTTGGTGCCTTGACTGCTGGTGCCAAGTACAAGGGTGAGTTCGAAGAGAGAATCAAGGGTGTCTTGAAGGATATCGAAGACTCCAAGGACATGATTATTCTCTTTATTGATGAAATTCATATGTTGATGGGTGACGGTAAGTCTGACGCTGCTAACTTGCTTAAGCCCATGTTGGCCAGAGGTGCTTTGCACTGTATTGGTGCCACTACTTTCGCTGAATACAGAAAGCATATTTCCAAGGATGGTGCATTCGAGAGAAGATTCCAGAAGATCGATGTGCCAGCAACAACTATTCCAGAGACCGTTGCCATCTTGAGAGGTTTACAGCCAAGATACGAAATCCATCATGGTGTCCGTATTTTGGACTCTTCTTTGGTCTCTGCTGCTCAATTGGCTTCTAGATACTTGACCTACAGAAGCTTGCCTGATTCTGCTGTTGATTTGATTGACGAGACGGCTGCTACTGTGGCTGTTCAACGTGATTCCAAGCCAGAAGAATTGGACAACTTGGAGAGAGAGTTGAACTTGATTGAGGTCGAGATCAATGCTCTCGAAAGAGACAAGGATGCCGACTCTGAGTCTGTTGATCGTCTTGAACAGGCCAAGAGAAGAAAGGCTGAATTGCAAGAACGTCTCATTCCTTTGCAGGAGAGATTCAACGAGGAGCGTAAGGGCCATGACGAATTGATTACCCTTAAGAGAAAGTTGGACGAGTTGGAAATTAAGGCACAAGATGCTGAAAGAAGACATGACAATGCATCTGCCGCTGACTTGAGATACTTTGCCATCCCTGACGTCAAGAAACAAATCGAAGTCATGGAGGTCAAGGTTGCTGAGGAGGAAAGTTCTCACTCCATGTTGAACAATGTTGTCGGCCCAGACAGCGTTGCAGAGACCGCCGCCAGATTGACCGGTATCCCTGTCACCAAGTTGACGCAAGCCGAAAATGCTAAGTTGATCAACATGGAGAAGGTCTTGTCCTCTGAAGTTGTTGGTCAAAGCGAAGCTATCAAGGCTGTTTCCAATGCCGTCAGATTGACCAGATCGGGTTTGGCTAATCCTAACCAGCCTGCCTCTTTCTTGTTCCTCGGTTTGTCCGGTTCTGGTAAGACAGAATTGGCCAAGAAGGTTGCTGGTTTCCTTTTCGCTGACGAAAGGGCTATGATCAGAATTGACTGTTCTGAATTGGGTGACAAGTGGTCTGCTTCTAAGTTGCTCGGTGCCGCCCCAGGTTACGTTGGTTATGAAGAAGGTGGTATCCTTACGGAAGCAGTGTTGAGAAAGCCATACTCTGTCATCTTGTTTGACGAAGTTGAGAAGGCAGCACCTGAAGTTTTGACCGTCTTGTTGCAGATTCTTGATGACGGTAGAGTCACCTCCTCGCAAGGTAAGGTGATCAACTGTTCTAACGCCATAATTATCATGACATCTAACTTGGGTGCTGAATACATCAACGCATCTAAGGGTTCCAAGGTTGACCCACAAACCAAGGAGTTGGTCATGACGTCTGTCAAGTCTCACTTCAGACCAGAGTTCCTTAACCGTATCTCTTCCATGGTGGTCTTCAACAGATTATCCAGAAAGGCCATCGCTAAGATTGTCAAGATCAGATTGGAAGAGGTGCAGAAGAGATTTGCTGCTAATGGTAAGTCGCTTGCTTTGGACGTTTCTGACGAAGCGTTGGAGTACTTGTGCTCTAACGGCTACTCTCCTGACTTGGGTGCCAGACCATTGAACCGTCTCATCCAAAGTGAAGTTTTGAACCGTTTGGCCATCTTATTGTTGAAGGGTCAGATCAGAGACAAGGAGACCGCTCGCGTTGTTCTTGGAAAGAAGGGCTTGGAAGTTGTGCCTAACCATGAAGCTGAAGACGAAGACATGGCTGACCCTGTCGAAGACTGGGAAGACAGCGAAGATTACGACGATATTGAGCCAGTTGAGCTCGACTAAGCATCGCATTAAGGATTGATTTTGGAGTTAATACAATAGAATACTAATAAATTAATGAAAGAGAGAATAGTGTAGATGGGTAGCTTAGCTACTATAAGAGAACGTATAGCATGTAGTAGAGTTATGATAAGTGTCTGAATGAAAAAGCCATATATCCAAAACATCGATATGCCTACCATAGCTAGCAAAATCTGAAGAAATACTCAAATAATTAAAGAACCTTCTTGAATCTATAGACTTACTTGAAATGCTTCTTTGCTGTAAGTGAAGTTTCGCAGCCATTATTCACAATATGCGGGCTGAATGCATCACCAGAAGCCCAATACACTTCAGCAATTAACCACAATTCACAATTTAACCGCTCATAGAACAAAACAAAAATAACCCATTAATCTGCCCAAACAGATAGTTTCTACTCATCCCACCTCCTTTCGGAAATATGAGTCATTATGAATCCAAAATGGTGGCAACTGATATGAACCTCGCACGACCGCAGGCTCATCACAACCACTGAGAAAAAAAAGTACCCTACTATATATATAAGGATACATACCCTAGCACTGAACCAAGGTTTTTCTCATACATCATGGCTAGCAGAACCCAATTTGAAAATTCGAACGAGGTGGGCGTCTTCTCCAAGTTGACCAATTCATACTGCCTTGTCGCCGTCGGCGGCTCAGAGAACTTCTACTCTGCCTTTGAGGCCGAGCTTGGAGATGTCGTCCCCATCGTCAGAACCACCATTGCCGGTACCCGTATTGTGGGCCGTATGACCGCTGGTAACAGACGTGGTCTCTTGGTGCCAACGCAAACGACCGACCAGGAGCTAATGCATTTGAGAAACTCGTTGCCAGACAGCGTCAAGATCCAGAGAGTCGAGGAGAGATTGTCTGCACTCGGCAATGTCATTTGCTGCAACGACTACGTTGCTCTTGTTCATCCAGATATCGAAAGAGAGACGGAAGAGTTGATCGCCGACGTGCTTGGCGTGGAGGTGTTCCGTCAGACCATCGCAGGTAATGTGTTGGTTGGCTCTTACTGTTCGTTATCTAACCAGGGTGGTCTCGTGCACCCACAAACCACCATCCAGGACCAGGAGGAGTTGTCTTCGCTTTTGCAGGTTCCTCTTGTGGCCGGTACTGTCAACAGAGGTTCATCTGTTGTCGGCGCCGGTATGGTTGTCAATGACTGGTTGGCTGTCGCTGGTTTGGATACCACGGCGCCCGAATTGTCTGTGGTGGAGTCTATCTTCAGGTTGCAGGACGCCCAGCCCGACGCTATTGCGGGTAACTTGAGAGATACGTTGATCGAGACATACACTTAAGGGGATTCATGAGGTTAGCATCTGGCATTGTACAATAGAGGCTTCGGCCACCACTAATATACCATCCGGGAATCACTTTGTAGAAGTTGTAGAGAGCTTTTCAATAGCATCTTCATTATTTCCTCTTCTCTACTTTAAGCCCCTGGTAAGCCTATCTGTGTAATCATCCAGTGGTAATTTTTCATGTGTAGCTGCTGCGAACCCCACAATTGTGCCGTGGTCCATCATCCAAGTCAACCAAACACGATACCGACATTTCAATCACACTACTGTACTCCCCAGCGCCCGCCCATCACAACCATCCAATTTTCATCCTCTTATCTTCCCTACAGCCCAAAATCACTGGCCCTCTCCAGCTATTCTAACCGCTTTCGGCAACTTGTCCTGCAGACCACGCCCTCTTCTTCCCTTCCCATATGCTTCCCTTCTCGCTTATATAGTGCTCCATACAGAACCCTCTGTTTATTTCAACATCCAACCACTAATTGTCCCACCACCAAATCATGGATTTCAGTGGTATTTCTAGAGGCTCCATCCGGGCCCGGGCCTACCAGAAGTTGGCCAAACTCTCTGTGGAAAACACCTCTGGTGTCACCAAAGAGAACTTCAATGTCTTGTTCACCTCCACGTCCCAGCCTACCCAGTTGTCTCTGGTGGCCATGTCTTTGAACGAGTTTGAGGTGTTGAGCGCTTTGTGTGACGCCGTGGACTCTTCTATGGCTAATAAGGACCAGGCTCATGTTTTGGAGGGCAAGTTCCATTTGTACTTGCTTGAATTGCCTCGCCAGAAGTTCTCGAGTGCTGTGTTTGAGAGGTTGGGTAAACAGGCTCCATGGCACGTTTTGGGGGAGAAGCTTGCTAAGGCGTTGCTGAAGTTGGCGTTTAAGTTTGATGGCGTTTTGCTTGATAAGGTGATTGAAACGTTCCAGATGTTTGTCAAGCGGTTTTTCGCTAACCATGATCTTGAGCTTTCTGACTACTTGACCTTGTTGGGTGTCATGAGTGGCCTTGTGAAGGGTGCTCTGTTGCTTTCTGCTTCTCCTCAGGCGTTTAAGATTTTCCTCCAGTTGGACGTTTGTATTGACAATTTCGATTTCTTGAACGATGTCGAGTCGTACATTTCCACTGCCTACTCGTATGGGGACCTTAGAAAGTTCCTTGACCACCATGGCGTGGGTGAATTCTCGCCTATTTTGTTTGTGGAGCGTTTGAGTTTCTTGATGAGTGCCATTGCCAACTCAATTCTCGGTTTGGACAAGTCTACCACCTTGTTGGACTCCTTGTTGGCTAGAGCTGCTGCTGACCTGGAGGAAGATTACGACCCATTGGCCGATCGCTCGAGACTTTCCAACGGTACTGCCTTGAAGAACATCCCTAACGGTACTATCCGTTCTTTTGCTAGCAGCGAGGAGGTCTTTTCGTTGAACGAAGACTCCCCTGCTGGTCCTTTGACTGCTGAGCAGATGGACTTCCTTGCTCAGCTTGCCCAGCTTGCTCTTGCTAAGATCAAGTTCTTGGACCGTGGTGAGTCGTACATTGTGTACTCTACCTACAACCGTTTGGAGCTTGGTTACCTTGCCAAGAGCAGCTTCTTGCTGATTATTGGTTGTGGTGCTTACAACAAGCTTGTGGACGTCGAAACTGCTACGAAGATCTTCCACAGCTCTGTCAGTATCTACGATGTTATGTTGGACCGTAACCTCGGTGCTTCAGTGATCCAATTGGGTTCCTTGCTTACTTTCTTGGACCCATCTGTTGGTTCTTCTTTGACCAGATCGTTCACCTCCTTGGTTGCCAACCCCAACTTTGACTCTCAAAGCTGTCAAGTTGCCTCTAAGAGTGTCGGTGTGGCCAGTAAGGTTCTTTCCCAGGATGCTGTCGTTACCACCATTTATGCCTTGACTAACTTGTTGTTCGTGGGTAATGATGGTTTGCAATTGCAGTATCGTGCTAGAAGAAACACTGGTCTTAGAGGCGCTTCTACCGCTGATTCTTCTGGTAACCAACATGAGAACAGCGCCACTCGTCTCATCTCCCGTAACAGCGTGCTGAAGAGAGTTTCTTCTACCGCTACCAAGGAGAGCTTCAACTTTACTGAAACGGAGTACAAGAAGGTTTGTGAACATGCCGTCATTGCTATTTCTGAGGTTGTTGCCGCTTGTGGAGACGAGAGTGTTAGTACTTTGGCTACTACCATTTTGTCCCAGAAGGCTTTGAAGTTGAACCACGTTACTGCTCCTTTGTTGCTCAAGGGTTTGGTGGCTACAGCTCCATACTTGCCTGAGAAGGAGTTCGTTATTTTGGTTAGATTGATCCACAAGTTGACCTTCGATGCCTACGACAACAAGAAGACTGAGCTTTTGGACATCCTCCAGGAGAATGCTTGTGACTTGTCCAGAATCCTCAAGCAAGAGAACCCATTGTACTTGGTCTATTTGTCTGAGCTTTTGACCGCTATTGTCAGTAAGGGTGACGTTCAGGTCTTGGACCATCACCGTTCTCACAACGAGATCAGTGCCATTGGTGACCAGATTTCTATCTACTTGAAGCCTTTGGCTGCTCTTTTGCCTGATGTGCACAAGGATGAAGCTCCTTTGACCATCAAAAACAACAAGATTGTGGACTTGTTCAGAAACATCTGGTTCAACATGGTGGTGCATGGCTACTCTGTCAACTCCACTCATGGTAAGACTTTTGCTACTGAGTTGGAGAAGATTGCCTACAACACTCCACCATTGGCTTCTGAGGTTTCTTGGGACAGAACCGAGACTTCTTTGGAATTAAACACTGTCTTGAAGCGTGGTTCCTCTAACCATAACGTGAAGGACCACAGACACATTGTTGGTGACGTCTTTGAGATTTCCAGAACTTTGTCTCACTCCAGGTTGATGTTCTTGGCGGCCGCTTTGTTTGTCGAGTCGCTTAGAGTGAAGACTGGTGACTGTCACACCATCTTGAAATACTACTCCGACCCTTCAATGAGAACAAGTGGAATTGACAAGTACATCGGGTCTGTTGCTTTCCATATCAACAAGGACTTTATTGAGTTGATCCACTGTGGTGCCGACAAGCAGTTCTCTGCCGACAACATTGCCGAACAGCTCACTCACATGTTGACTTTGTGCTGTTACGGACAAGAGGATTTGCAAGATGCTGCCATCAAGTGTTGCGACTTGCTCATTAACAAGGTTCCATCTTCCTTGTGTCACCACAGAAGTTTGTTCGCTTTGTTCGATGTGTTGACTCTCTTGTACGACAGTGTTATGGATGCTGAAATTAGCCAGTATGAGCCTACTTTCGCTTACACTGCTTACAAGACAGGTATCCAATTGAACTTACCTGACTCCTATGTGTGGAGACAGGCTACCTTCAAGAGACTTCATGAGAAGGCCAAGCACTGGACTACTTTGCTCTTGGCAAAGTGTTCCTTTGACACTAAGAGTTTGATTCAGTCTTATGTTTCGGACCCTGATGGACAACTGTCCAGACAAGGAATCCAGTTTGGTGTTTCTTTCGCTTTGGAGGCTGCCGGTAGCATTGGACCTACTGATCGTGAGTTGGTCCACCTTTCCCAGGCTAACCCTGCTGCCCTGACTTTGCTTCCTGGTCTTGTTGCTCAGTTGACATGGAGATCCAACTTTGTTTCTGACTTGATGAACAGAGTGCCTTTGCATACTCCTGAGGCTGCTGAGGAAGCTATTCGTGAATTAAGAATTCAGGTGAAGTCCTTGAAACACTTGATCAGCGATGAAGGTCAGCACGTCCCTAACAAGGATGTTCTTGACCTTATGAGTGAACTTGCTGGATTCTCTTTGATTCAGAACAGTAACTTGGCTGAGGCCATTCGTTACTTGGTTGAGATTCCATTTGTTATCTTTGAGTCAAGCATCATGAAGGGCGCCCTTGGAATCTGGGGTGCCGTCATGAAGGAGAAGCCAAATCTTTCCATTCTTGTTTTGTCTGAAATTACCAAGAGATGGGAGATGTCGATTAACATGAAGCAAGGTGTCTACTCTACTGAGTTTGACCTCGAGGATCCTGAGTTCGCTAAGATGGAGTATGCTCCAAGTAACTACAAGTATGCTTCGAAGAAGGCTACAGCTGTCAGCAAGACTTTCCAGCCACATTCTGAAATTATCAAGTTGCTTTCTTCCAACTTTGAGGCTACCTTGAACCAAAGTGACCATTTGTTGAAGCTTTTCACCAGGTTTGTCAAGACTGGTTTGCTGAATTTGAGATCTGCCAGTTTGCACCCCTTCGCTAGATACACCAGATTTGAGTTGATTAGATTCGCTTTCGATGTTTTGAACTACCACATCAAATTGAGATCCAGATCTGGACAACGTCTTACTGAATTGATCATCGATGGATCTTTGTCCTGGTTTGAAGGCAGAGCCGGTTTCCCATTCGGCTCTAACGTCTTGAAGATGAAGGCCGACTTTACCTTGTTGAAGGAGGTGACTAAGATGTTGAACAATGTTAACACTTTCCGCAGCAGCACTTTGGAACTGAAGAAGACTTTGTTAATGTTCTTCTTGGACGATGAGATCTCCAAGATCTCGGTTTGGTTGAACCCAGCTATGCCTAACGATACTAGAGGCACCTTCGCTACATCGCACTTGAGCGGTGAACATATTACTAAGGCTTACGAGATCAGTCCTCGTTTGGCTGTCAACTTGGCCAACCGTTACAAGCTTAGAAACTTGGACGAAATTTTGCAAAGCTTGATCACCAAGAACCCTGTGCCAGCACTTACTTGCCCAGATGCTGTTCAGTACTTCATTGGTATCAATGCTGGTTCGAGCATGCCAACACATTACTTGTTGTTCTGGGATGCTCTTGCTCCAATTGACGCTATTACTTTGTTCTTGCCTCCATTTGGTAAGAATCCTTACATTTTGCAGTACACTATGAGATCGCTTGAGCACCACGATGTGAACTTGACTTTCTTCTACGTTCCGCAAATTGTCCAGTCTCTTCGTTATGACGCTAAGGGTTATGTCAAGAGATTTATTGTTGAGACTGCCAGAGTTTCTCAATTGTTTGCTCACCAGATTATCTGGAATATGTTGGCTAACAGTTATAAGGATGAAGACGCAACTGAACCAGACTCTTTGAAGCCAGTTTTGGACGAATGTCAGAAGTTGATGTTGGACAGCTTGGACCAGGAAGACTTGGACTTCTACAAGAAGGAGTTTGGTTTCTTCAACGAGGTTACCTCCATTTCTGGTAAGTTGAAGCCATACATTAAGAAGTCTAAGGCTGAGAAGAAGGTGAAGATTGACGAGGAAATGGCTAAGATTGAAGTGCAGCCAGACGTTTACTTGCCAAGTAACCCTGACGGAGTGTTGGTTGATATCAACAGAAAGTCTGGTAAGCCATTGCAGTCGCATGCTAAGGCTCCATTCATGGCTACCTTCAAGATCAAGAAGGACGTTGATGATGTTGATGAGTACGGCAACACCGTCAAGGTGCCAATTGAGAAATGGCAGAGTGCTATTTTCAAGGTTGGTGACGATTGCAGACAAGATGTGTTGGCATTGCAGTTGATCTCTGTCTTCAGATCTATCTGGTTGGCAAGTGGTTTGGACCTTTACGTTTTCCCATACCGTGTTACCGCTACTGCTCCAGGTTGTGGTGTGATTGATGTGTTGCCAAACTCTACCAGTAGAGATATGCTTGGTAGAGAGGCTGTGAATGGCTTGTACCAGTACTACATCACCAAGTTTGGTCCAGAGACATCTATTGAGTTCCAGAGAGCCAGAAACAATTTGATCAGATCGTTGGCTGCCTACTCGATCATCTCGTACTTGCTCCAGTTCAAGGACAGACACAACGGTAACATCATGTACGACGACCAAGGACATGTGTTGCACATTGATTTCGGATTCTGCTTTGACATTGTGCCAGGTGGAGTGAAGTTCGAAGCTGCACCATTCAAGTTGACCAAGGAAATGGTGATGGTGCTTGGAGGAAACGACCAGACGCAAGCTTACAAGTGGTTCGAGGAACTCTGTATCAAGGGATACCTTGCATGTAGACCATACATGGAAACGATTGTGAGATGTGTGAATCCTATGTTGGAGAGTGGCTTGCCATGTTTCAAGGAGACCACGATCAAGAAGTTGAGGAAGAGATTCTCTCCAGGCAAGACGGAGAAGGAGGCGGCGCAGTTCTTCAAGGGCTTGATCAAGAAGTCGTACGAGAGTTTCTACACCACCGGTTACGATGAGTTCCAGCGTCTTACCAACGGTATTCCATACTAAGGACAATGAGTGAATAAATACGATCAATACAAGAGCGAGTGTTAGGTTGCGTCATAGTAGGAGGAGCTATTTTAAGCTATCGAAGATTGGGGCTAACGCATAACGATCTCGGGACGCCAGATCGGGAAACGAAGCACAAGGGAATTCCAGGGAAAGATTAAACGATAGTAGGGCCAGTAGTTGAAGGGTACCGTGTACCAGTAGCAAGAACCACCCAAGCCAACCCAAGCCAAGCACCGTCCAGGCCAAGTACCGTCCACAACAGTTCTTATGAGCAACATCCGGGAACAATCAAAATCATAGTCTAGTTGGTCTACACTGCCCCTGTGACAATGCTCTTAATCGAGGCTTGGAAGACATTAAACAAACGGTGTGTCAACCAGCCAGCAACAACACATTAGCCTAAAGAATCTTGGAAAGTGACTTCACCGTTGCAGCAGCAATATATTACCATTCAAATTTCAGATACCAGGTGGCCTTGCAGTAGCACAAAACCGAAGAACTTCTACAAACTGGCAATGGCTGCAAACGAGCACCAGCACCAGTACTACACAGCTACTGCAAGTGGGTGCAAAATTTGCCAAAGCCATGCAAAACACGATGTATCCAGGAACCCACCAACCACCAAAGCGTCCTAAAAATCGGGTCCCCCTGCCTTCCCAACGAAAATTACATGCCCCTCTTCAGCTGCTCCAACCAACCACTCCTTCTTCACGAGTCGTGAATACTTGGAACCGCCAAGCGGCTTGGCCAAATTTCCCAAGCGCGGCTGGCAGTGCAAGAGAAGTGGACAATTTTCAATGAGGAAATGGCGAGGACAAAAAGAGGTAGGGAAGCGAGAAAACGAGAAAAAGGGAAGAAATGGGAAGAAAAAAAGACTGGAAAAAAGAAAAGGATGGCAGGAAGTAAGGCAACTGGGCCAGTGAAATCCGCAAAAAATACATAAATCTTACTTTTTGACTTTTCCAGTGCATTCCTCTGGCCTTTCTGATTATTAGGATGTCTTTTTTTTCTCTTTTTTTGTCTTTTTTTCATATTCTCCCTTCCCTCTTCCTCCCTCCCTTCTCTTCGCTTTGGTTGCGGGCTGTACCACAGCCTGGGCTGCGCAACCTGCACCGCAACACGCCCTGTATGATCCACCCCAGATAGGAATGGGACTGAAAAGAAAGGGCTCTATTTTTATCATCTTGCCTTACTCACTACTTCATTACCTACCACACTTTCCACTACTGCTGAGTTTTTTTTTTTTTATTTGGCCCACCATGAAGTTTCTGTTTCTACTGGTGGTGTACTGCTTGATGGCAGCCGTGGCCGCCACGTCCAAGCTTCAGGCAACCTCCTTGTTGACTTGTATGGACAATTCCCAGATCTCTGCTTCGTACTTGGACGTGACGTACTTTGATCTGAACCACTCGGTGGTGGCCAACGTTATGGCCATTTCCAACGTCAACACGAACGTCACCATCAACATCGAGTTGATCGTGTACGGCTTGAAAGTCGTGACCCAGAACGTTTCCTTGTGTGACTACGCTGACCTCGGCGCCGTGTGCCCGCTTATGCCGGGCCATTTGGATTTCAACTTTGACCAGGAACTCTCCAGCGATATCACTCGGCAGATTCCGGGCGTGGCCTTTACCGTGCCTGATATCGATGCTAGAGTGAGAATCGCCCTTTACGATGACAACACCGACAACGCCTTGGCGTGTGTGGAAGCGGTGGTTTCCAATGGTAAAACCGTGCAAACAAAGTATGCCGCCTGGCCTATTGCTGCTATAGCTGGTCTAGGGCTTATCACGTCGGGTGTGGTGTCGGTTATGGGTAACTCCAATACGGCCGCTCACATCGCGTCTAACTCCATGTCTTTGTTCGTCTACTTCCAATCGCTAGCTATTACTTCTATGGAAGCTGTCGCTAAGGTTCCTCCTATCGCAGCCGCTTGGGCTCAGAACTTTATGTGGTCTCTCGGTATCATTAGAGCGGGCTTCATTCAAGATATTTCCAACTGGTACTTGCAGGCCACTGGTGGCACGCCTACCGACATCTTGGGCAACAGTTACTTGTCTGTTTCTGTCCAGAAGAAGATGAAGAGAAGTCTTGAGTACCTTTCTGATGCTCTTTACGATAACAAGGTCACCAGAGCCGTCAACTTGCACAAGCGTTTTTCCATTTCCGTGGATTCCGATAAGTTTGGTCTTTCTGATAACTTGAATACTACCTTGTACACTACCAACGAAAAGGATCCAGAACTTGGTGGTAAGGTCTTGATTTTAAGAGGTATTCAGAGAGTCGCCTACTTGGCTGGTATTGAAATCACTGATTTGTTCATGACCACCATCATCTTCTTGTTCTTCTTTGCTTTCGTTCTTGTGGCTTGTATGATGTTCTTTAAGGCCATCATTGAAATTTGCATTCGCTCCAAGATCATGCACGAGGGTAAGTTCAACGAATACAGACTGCAGTGGTCCAGTATCATCAAAGGTGCCATGTACAGACTTTACCTTATTGCTTTCCCTCAAGTCTGCGTCATGTGTTTGTGGCAATTCACTGCCCATGACTCCGCTGGTTATGTGGTGGTTGCTGCGTTCTTGTTCCTTATTTCGATCGTTCTTCTTGGTTATTCCGCTGCTCGTGTGATCGAGTTCGGGAGAAGATCTACTAGAGTCCACAAGAACCCTGCTTACCTTTTGTTCGGTGATGCCAAGTTCCTCAACAAGTTTGGTTTCGTCTATGTTCAATTCAGAGCCGACTGCTACTGGTTCGTTGTTACTTCTATGGTATACACCTTCCTCAAGTGTTTGTTCGTTGCTGTTTTGCAAAAGCAGGGTAGAGCTCAATCTGTCATCATTTTTGCCATTGAGCTTATCTACTGTGTTCTTGTCTGTTGGATTAGACCTTTCATGGACAAGAGAACGAACATTTTCAACATCACCATTACCGTGATCAACACTATCAACGCATTGTTCTTCATGTTCTTTTCCTATATCTTTGGACAGCCTCAGGTTGTGGCCTCCGTCATGGCCGTTGTCTACTTCGTTTTGAACGCAGTCTTTGCTTTGTTCTTGTTAGTTTTCACCATCGTCACATGTGTCCTTGCCTTGGTTTACAAGAACCCAGACACGAGATACCAGCCAATGAAGGATGACAGAGTCTCCTTCTTGCCTCGTATCCATCATAAGGGTGCTCAACAGAACTCATCTGATCCAGATGACATTGAATTGGTTGCATTGGGTGCAAGTGCCATGAAGGGCCACGAAAACGGTGGTAAGCCTGTCTACGACGACGAGTCAGTGTACGATGATGACTCTAGTCAAACTAGAAAGGGTAATAGCAACACCTATGTTGATTCAGAGAGCTTCTCCAAGAACTCATTGAGTGTGGACTCTGCCGAGGCACAACAGCCTGCTTCGACTATCGTTGGTAACTCGACGAACGCTTACTCAGGGTTCCAGACTCAATACAATGGCAACAACAGGTATGCTAACGACGAGGCGCCATACCGTGGCAATTACGGCAACAGTTCTCGCCAGAACCACAGTCCGAGCTACATCTAAACTCGCTGTGACCCAACAACCATAAACGAAATGCATGACCCCATAACGGACTTGAGCTGAAAACTACCGAGTCCGATCTGTATCCATAAGGCCCCAAAAAAATGACCACTACTACAATTAACGGAAATATTCGATATTTAGAAGGGAATAGGTTTTTCCATATATATGTAGAGAGATCAATCTACATTGAAGCCATGAAAGCCATTGTAGCCCGATTCTACCGGGTCCTCTTCCTCATCTTCGTCGACAGCCTCAGAATGGACTTCTCCTTCGTTCATAAGACTCACAGAAGAAAGCTGTTCACTTGCCTCATCCCACTTATCCGCCAATTCCAACAACTTATCGTCGAACTTCTCGTCTAAGTTAATAAAGAACTCTTTTGGATCATCAGCTAGGAAATCCACATTATCACTAACCCTTTCAGTAGCCAGCTTCACTTTACGAAAGAGCTGGCTCAACATCTGGGCAGTTACCACTGGTTCTTCCCGCTTCTCCTTCTTCGACTCTCCAAAGTCAAAGCAGAAAAGAAGCAGTGGTTCTCTGGCGTCTCTCTCACAAGACAACCTCTGTTGCAATGGTACATCACTGCCACCCATCAGAGTATCCAAGAATTCGAGAAACTTCCGAGAAACGACCTTAACAAACTCAGTATCCTCCCGAAACTTCCTATCCACGTCCAAAAGAGTCGGGCGGAGTTGGTGTGATAAGTCGCTGTGCTTCGACCTCAATTTAGCCGCCGTTGCGTTGATCTTACCCACAATAGTGAACCGCTGGGGCTCGTGCATTGACAGGTTCTTGAAGCGAGCCAACGAGAGAATTGAAATGAGGTCTTGTTCGACAAGAAATGCTGGTTGGAGGAAGCTAACAAAGCCATTCTGTTGGAAAGGTATGGTGGTGTTGGAATTGGAGTCTGAGGCGCCAAAAAGGTTGAAGGGACCTCGGGCGTTGCTATTCATTTGGGGAATAACAAGCCCGTTGCATAAAACAGAGAAAAATAGAAACGGTGCCCAAAACATGTGGAAAAGAGTGGTTGGTGAAATGGCTGCAAATAGGGTGAATGTGTAGTTGGTGCGAGTAGGTCTAGCTATATTATGCGTACACAACAATCTTCTTTTTACCTCTGGTGTCGTGGTTCTCAAGAGGGTACATGTCTCCAGTTTCTGTAAGATAGTATTGTGGAAGCAGGGCGTCGTTGCTGTAATGCTGGGAGGTGATACGTGATTGGGGATTAGGAACGGCACCTTTCTTGCTGTAGTCGAAGTTGACATCTTCAAGCAAGTTCATTTTGGAAATGTATAGCGTGGTAAGGAACATAACGAACATACAAAGCCATAGAAAGAACGAAAGAATGGCGAATGTAGATAACGCTTTTCTCATCTGGCAGATTCCAGTGGTGGCACAGTTGTTATTGGTAGCAACGCTTGTAATGGATAGAATAAGGGAAACACCGGTAAGCACACACGCTAGAAGGCAATAGAAGATGCCGTTTCGTCTATCAAAATTTATAGCTTTCGTTATGAAGAGTAGGGCCACCACCAATGTGATCACACCGACTGCAATGAAGTACCGGTAAATGCCCAAGGAGACTAGCTGGTCTTGGGACCCCAACGTACTTGCCAAGGTAATAATTACAATCCCAAAAATGACTTGAAAAATATCCATAATGTTGCTTGCAGTGATGTGGAAGTTCCTTCGTTGTTCTTGTGGATTAAATGGATCTACGTCCTTGGGCCCAAACGTAAGCACAGGACGGTTCATGACTCGGTCAAGAAGATGCTGTTCTTGGGCCTTTGTTTCTTGTTTTTCTAGTGGAGCTTGAGGAACGACAGTAGCCTGACTGTCTCTCTGTTTCATGTAATCTCTTGAATCCTCCATTGGCGGGAGACTATCCCTATCTTGGTACCGTGGACTGAAGTAGTCCACGTCTTTTGGTGGAGGCTGCGGCGGCATCAGCTTGAATTGTTGTAGATTATTAAGATAAGGTGCCTTTGGTGAAGGTGGAGGTTGTGGGTTGTGTAGTTGATGTGGAGTATTATATGGCAACTGCTCCACTATAGACGGTGGGTAAGGAGCAAACTGTCTTATAGGTTCTTCGCCGGTAACCAGCGAGTTAGCGTAATGTTCGTAAAAGTCGTTCGTTACAGGTACCTCCAGGGTCTCTGTGTCGCTTTTAAGTGACGTTGGAGTGGTGTTTCTGGACCGGTTTCGAGGCTGTCGTTTCTCGTACTCGAACCTGGACAAATCACTAACAACCCTAGTATCCTGGCCCCCGAAAGGCCTTATTAGCGTCATGATCCTGTAGTTTTGTGGAGTTGCTCCTCACTTAGGCCAAGATCTGGATGACAGCATGGGGGTTTGATGTTGCTGCCAAATCGGGTCTGAAGGTAAACAGCTGGTTGGTGAGGCTATTGTGAGGAGGCTGGTTGACGTACAAGCAGTGCCAGCCAGGGGCAGTGCGTTTGACAGAGGGGGTCAAGTTTTATTACAAATTTCATGTGAGATATGGTTTGAGAGAAATAAAGGGATGGTGGAGAGTTGTAAGTGGGTTCGTCTTGGGTTGGTGGTGAGTGGATGGCTGCGAAATATGCAATGTCTATGTGGGGTGCATTGGCTGCGACAAGTGCTGTCAAGTGGTAGGTGAGAGAGGAGAGATGTGGCTAGTGGAGTGGGTCAGTGGGATGGTGCTGGGACGAGAAAAGTGGTTTCCCGTATTTCTTTTTGACGTTTTTCAGGGGGTGGAAGTTGCTGGGGGTGGACCACGTTTATGTGTTATTAGGTGTGCTGGGGGTTGCTGGTGAAGGGCATTGTGCGTGGTAAGGAACCATGTGAAGCGTGCAAAAGTGGAAGGGATGGGAGGAAGGGGAAGGGGTGAGAAGGGGTGGTTTATTGCGTTTGATTCTAAGGGTGAAAAGGAGTTGGTATCTTCGCTGGGTGAAGCGTTGAAAGGATGGAGAGGTTAACTGGTGCTCTGCGTTGGAATGGACTACTTCCTGGACTTGATTGGAAGGGAAGCTTTTACCGGTTTTTGGAATGAAAGCAGTAGATTCAGAAGGGAGTAAGCTTTTCAAGCCCTTGGGCTTCATTTTATGATCTTACATTCTAATTGGCATCGCTGCTTCGATTCTATTAGTGTCCTTTAGGGCACACACTGAGATACATCAGACAGACAGATGAAGGGACATTGGCCAGTCCGTAGCAATGGACTATACTGACCGCCTAGTGATCAACCTTGTATCACTAGTGCCTTGCCTTTTTCATTCTTCTTGTCATTTGAACGAATTTGTTAAAGACAACGACCTGCCACTATAGTCTTCACGAAACGTCTCGCTGGGACAGATCCCCCTGCCCTCTCTCTTCTTTGATTTCAAACAAGCATTATCATTCAAATGCCCGCAATGGATATTTGACATCTACGTTCAAATAGACGAACGCTACGTCGTTTTCCTGACCAGATTCTAACGTTTTTGGTCATTTTTGAGCTTTTCGGGAGCCGTAGTCCAAATCAGCCATTGGAACCATTACGCTGCCATGCATCTCCAGCTGCTCAGATCCAAAACATACGCATTTTTCACGTTTTCCAAGCTTCCCGCGTATATCTTATCTGCACATCGTGTAGTGTGTAAACTGCCTTGCTAGCTCAATGGCTAGAGCGTGAGACTTTTAATCTCAAGGTTGCGGGTTCGACCCCCGCGTAGGGCTGTTCTTTTTTATTTTTGCACTCCCCAACTTACTTCCTCCTATAAACCACCATCTAGCCTCCCTTCCAAACCCCTGTCGCCACTCTGGCGTCACTTTTCTCGCCCATAAGTCATCCAGATCAAACCCGGAATTTCACCTCCTGCACACTTCTCGGTGGGTCTTCGGACTCGTCGGGGTCTGTTTCATACCACCAAACCCCAAACCAACAGGCAAATCCCAAACTCAACCAGCATAAAATAGAGTCATTTGGGTCCATCCGAGTCGAAAGATGTCAATTGCCAAAAGTCAAAAAAATACCTTAACTTCTTGTACTTCCCACCGCCCCTCTTTTTGCAACCGTTTCGGAGCCTTAAGCATGCCTCCAGCGAGCCTCCAGCTCGGAATTTCTGTGCACTCAACACACCCCCACATCTCCTCCGGGACACCAATCCCAGAAATATAAAAAACAAAACCCAAGGCATCAATTTCCATAGATTTAGTGGTACCAGAAAATCATCTATTCCACGTTTTCTGCCTTCTTTTAGGTGTCCCCACCTGGGCTGGTCTGACTTCTCCAATTCGCGGCCACTAATTGGCTGAACCCCGGCGCTTCTCGGAGCCTGGATATAATTGCGGGCCCTGCCAGGCTTTTTGGGGCACCTCTTCGAAAAAACCCACTCAGGTTACTAATACCATCTTTTCCGCTTGTTATACAACTGCAAAAGCTAAAAAACAAAACCATGTTATCCAGATCCATCAGATCAAGTTTACGTCGTATACCCGCTGCCAAACGGGTGTCGAGCTCTGCCATGGCTGGTGGCTTGAGAATGTCTCTGGCTACGAAAGCCTTGCACACCAAGGTGCCTAGTGTTGGTGGAGCCAGCAGTAGGTTTTCTGCTGCTCCAGCTTTGACTTTCAAGAGATTGGCTTCTACTGGCGTGAAGGTGCCTGAGATGGCTGAGTCTATCACTGAGGGTACCTTGTCTGCTTTCAACAAGGAAGTGGGTGACTACGTTGAGCAGGATGAGCTTGTTGCTACCATTGAAACCGATAAGATTGACGTTGAGGTGAACGCTCCAGTGGCCGGTACCGTGACTGAGCTTTTAGCCAACGTTGAAGATACCGTTGAGGTTGGCCAGGAGATTCTTAAGATCGAGGAGGGTGCTGCTCCAGAGGGCGGTGCCAAGAAGGAGGAGCCAAAGAAGGAGGAGGCTCCACAGAAGGAAGAGCCAAAGAAGGAGGAGCCAAAGAAGGAAGAGCCAAAGAAGGAGGAACCAAAGAAGGAACAGCCTAAGAAGGAGGAGCCAAAGAAGGACGCTAAGCAGGAGAAGAAGTCCGAGGAGCCAGTCTCCCTTGGTGGTTTCTCCAGACTGGAAGAGAGAGTCAAGATGAACAGAATGAGATTGAGAATCGCCGAGCGTCTTAAAGAGTCCCAGAACACCGCTGCCTCTTTGACCACCTTCAACGAGATCGACATGTCCAAATTGATGGAGATGAGAAAGTTGTACAAGGACGAAGTCTTGGAGAAGACCGGTATCAAGTTCGGTTTCATGGGTGCTTTCTCCAAGGCCTCTGCTCTTGCTTCTAAGGATATCCCAGCTGTCAATGCTTCTATCGAGAACAACGACACCATGGTTTTCAGAGACTACATGGACATTTCCGTCGCTGTGGCCACTCCAAAGGGTTTGGTTACGCCGGTGGTGAGAAACGCCGAGTCCCTTTCCATCTTGGACGTTGAGCAGGAAATCACCAAGTTGTCCAAGAAGGCCAGAGACGGTAAGTTGACTCTTGAGGACATGACCGGTGGTACCTTCACCATCTCCAACGGTGGTGTTTTCGGCTCCTTGTACGGTACCCCAATCATCAACTTGCCTCAGACCGCTGTCTTGGGCTTGCACGGTACCAAGCAGAGACCTGTCACCGTGGACGGCCAGATTGTGTCGAGACCCATGATGTACGTTGCATTGACCTACGACCACAGAGTGTTGGACGGCCGTGAAGCCGTCACTTTCTTGAAGCTCATCAAGGAGTACATTGAGGACCCAAGAAAGATGTTGTTGGCTTAAACCCACACCGACTGCATTCTTTCTCATCCGCACTATATACTAGAAACAGAACCCACACATTTATTCTATAACGAAGCACAAACATTGTAGCCGCTGCAAGCAGTATAGAAAGATCCACTCCAGGGTCCAGAGATTCGTTATACAAACGGCGGTGAAGCAGCAGAAGCTTATAACCTTTTTAGGCTCAAACAATAATACCTTTCCACTAGAAAGCCTCTTCGCAACCACCGGCATATATGTATCACTTGCGTTTTGATGTGTTTACCATTCACCCAGAATAGGCAACACCTTTCAATGATCACTGATTTAAAGTGCCAATGGTGAAAACAGCTCAATTAGGAAGAGATTATCGATCTAGCAATCCCGCCCACACTTGCGTTCTTCCCGTCTTGCTCGATTTCTCAAATCTTTGCTCCCAACAACAACTTCTTTTTCTTCGGTCGAAGCCATCTATAACCATTGGCTGCAAAACACATCCATTTGTTCCATTTTTTTCCAAACCACCGTTTTTCCCTTTTCCATCCCATCCCCATAAGATCATCTGTTCCCCAGCCTTGCCATGGATCCCTACTGGGACGAAATCAGCTTCGCTCCGAAGCCTCGTACGCCTGCTCCAGAGGAAGAGTTCAGCCAGTACTTCTCCGAATACAAGAACTTCGATAACCTTTTCAATGAAGCATTGACCACCCTCCAGGACTTGGATGTGCCTTCGGGGCCTGTCCAGCCTGCCCACATACCGCATGGGTTGACATCTCCATTTAAACACTCCAAGAAGCCCAGTGGTACTGCCATCTTTGGCTATGCTGACCATAACAGAGAGCTTTCGATCAATGGCATGAATAATGAGTTTCTCAAGCACCTGAGGGTGCCGCTGGAGGCTACAACGTCGATACTGCCGGTGCAGCTAGCCAGGAAGAAGGCTCCGCCACCCATGTCTAATGATCACCTAGATTTCAACTTTTCGCAGCCATTAGAGGCATGTAAGCCTATTCACATTAATGAAGACGATGAGTATAACGAGGTGAAACCGCCTAAGCAGAAAGAAGACGACTTCATTGTCACTGGAGCAACACCTAAACAGTACAAGTTTCCTCCTGACCCTGAAGACGAGGACTTTGCGCTTGACTACTTGAAGAAGATGCCCTCGGTGAGCCAGCCTATCCATATTCTGGCCAAAGAAGGCGCCGAACCATATCCAGAGGAAATTGAGTCTCTTCTAGAAAGCAGTCCTCTGCGAAAGCCCAAGTATGTGCCAATTCCTGTTAACCAGCCGGCGGCTCCAAGACGTAAGAGCCCTCTTCGTGGTCCTCAAGACCACCACCAGCATCATCCTGACATAGACCCTAACTTGGACATGGACATGAACATGAACATGAATATGAACATGAACGTTTACCTTCCGCCGCCAGGAAGCCAGACCGATAGCGTCAATGACTACTCGTCGCCTGAACCTGCCAGTCCTGCTCTACCGCAGGCTCATATCAACCACATGTACCTGTCACCGCAACGAATGGCTCCACCGCAGGCGCCTTCAGTTAACAGTCTGCCTTTTAACAATAAGAAGAATTTCTGTAATCCACAGTTCTTCTCTGACGGCACTGAAAACTCTGAAAACTACTACCTGGAGCCTTCTGTCAAGTCGCTGCCTTTCCAGTCACTGCCATTCCGTAATACCACGGAACCAAGATCGCTTAAATCGTCTCCTCTAAGGCAAAACCGTACTGCTAACGATACTTGTCCTGACGAAACGGTTACTGACGTGAACGAGACAATTGTCCAGCTTACGCCTCTTAAAAACTCCACTACTCCATTTACGCCCAGCAAGAACAAGATTACCCTCGAATGGAGTCCAATTATCTCGCCAAACTCCAAGGCCACGTCTGATGTACGTAAAGCCATCCAAGAGCTTTCTCCTAAAAAAGTCATCAAAAAGACTTCTCTTCTTCCACCTGGTGAGCTCGACAGATACTGGGTGGGCCCTGATGAAGATAAGATCTTTACTTGTACCTACGAAGGATGCAACAAGAAGTTCACAAGAAGATACAATGTTCGTTCTCATATCCAGACTCACTTGAGTGATCGTCCTTTCACTTGCAGCTACTGTCCTAAGTCATTTGTTCGTCAACATGATCTTAACAGACATATCAAGTCACATTTGGTAACAAAGCATTGTAAATGCAGCTGTGGTAAGGAGTTTACTCGTGTGGAGGGCTACAAAAGGCATTTGGCCAAGGGCATTTGCCAGAAAGGCACAGAGACTGATTTGGGTGGTTCTTCCAAGGGCATTTCAAAACCAAGTCCTACTAAGCTTAGACGTGGTGAAGCTGTCTTGGATGGACTCACTTCTAACCGTCTTAATGAGGACCTAGGGTTCAAACAGGAACATTAGTGTACGATTCTTGAAGAAGCATACTTTTCTTCCTATTGTTTTTTTACTTCGACTGACATTCATTTTCTTCTTTTTGGCGTTTTCGTTATTTCATGTGCTTTAAACCACTCCTTGTTTTTACTTTATAGGTTAATCAATATCCGGGTCCTTAAGTTCCAAATTGTATCCATTACCTTATATGCGTTTAATCATGCTACGGCATCATAATCTTCCTCCTTGATGATTCCAGCTGCACGGGCTGCCGCTTCTTCTTCCTCCTGCTTGTGTACCTTGATGTGTTGATTGAGGTTATCAGTTCGGCTGAATTTCTTTTGGCACGTCGGGCACTCATATGGCTTCTCTGTAGTGTGAAGTGACCTAAAGTGCCTCTTCAAATGCTCCTGTCTTTTGAATCTCCTCAAACAATATGTACAAACGAAAATTTTAGACAGATCCACCATGTCGGCGGCTTTGTTCTCCTTACGTCCTCTGGTACGGACCTTGGGGTTGATTGTAGGCACAATTTCAGTGTCGGGCGGAAGGTCAAGCGATTGTAAATCGATCTCAACAACATCGGACTGTTGAGCCTCTGCCTTGGCATGCTGTGCTTTCTTTTTTAGTAGTCTCAGCCCCAATATTCTCTTTGATGCATTGGCAAAAGACAGTGAAGCCCCTGCGGCAGCAAACTCTTCAGAAATCGACGAATGCTGTGAGAGTGAAACACTATTCGCCAGACGAGAGTCGCCCGACTGTTCGGCACTCAGACGGTTAGCATGATTCAACGATGACTTCTCTGTAGCTGAAACAGACGATCCAATTCCAGAATCCGGTTCCTGTTTTACTGTTGGTTTCTTATTTTTCATTCCTCCTAGCCTTCTTTTGCCCATGTTCTCAAATAAAGATGCATAATCAGGTTCCGGAGGCGGCTGAGCGTCGACCATCTGAACATTGCCCAGATTGGAAGAGTTGGCTGTCTTCACGGAGTTCTGCAATGAGTGTTGTACCACACTTGAATTCTGATGAGAACTATCATCTCTTTCGCTTGAGGCCACTGAACTATGCGTTTCCTGTTTCACAAGCTCTGGCTGGGGTTCTAGTGGCTGATTTTTTCCAGTCTTGAATCTGTTGAATAAATTCATACGAGTACGCTTGGCCTTTTTTGATGGCACCGGGTTTTCAGCAGTATCCTGATGCATGTCGCCATCTTCGTCTTGATCCACAAGAACGTCTGCTAAAAATGGCGCAGGATCATCTTCAGGTTGTTCGTTATTAGATTTGAAAATGCTCCGTATAAGATGTCTTGGCTGCTGCGGTTGTTGGTGCTGCTGTTGGCCCCAGTCAGGCAGCTGTTGTTTTCTATCTCTGTCACGCTCGCCCATGAATGGAATATAGCTCGAGAACGACCTAGGGTTACGGGATGGGGGATTAATGCTGGAACCCTGGCTATCTAGCGACACACGCCCGCGGGGGTATACGTCAAACGATGGTCTATGGATCAGCGAAGGTGGCTGTTCAAACAGCGAGCGGTGGAATTGGTTGGCCGAGAAGAAGGAAGCCTGTGCCGAATACACCGAGTTCATGGACGGTGTAAGTGAGGTGGTTGTAGTCAATGGCAGGAAATCGGCTCCTACAGCCAGAATAGAAGTTCGATGGCTTTGCGTGTTGCGACGAGAACGGGCTGGATGGCTATGATCGTCGGCTTCAGGGGTTTTGTTTGCAATAGAGCTGAAAGCATCAACACTGCTGGCTTCGGCGTGCGGACTTTCATCCACTAAACTACCGAAAGCCTTAGCTGGGCTGATGCCGCTTTCAAAAGCAGTGTTTTCGTCCATAAGACCGCCGTCCATATCACCGTAAGCGTCGCCATACGTCGAAGGATTATCGTGGTCGAAGTTTGCCGGCGTGGAGTCTTCAAATTTGGTGTGGCTGGAGGAAGGGTTACTATGCTGGTGATGCTGCTGCTGGGAAAGCAGGTCGATATTAAAGTCGTTCTGGGTATTATCAGGGAAACCAGAGTTTTCTAGGCGCTGAGCGTTCTGTTCTTTCACGAATTGCATGAATGAGCCGTCGTCTTCACGGAGCGGATCACCTAGACCCGTATTGGAGTCCACGTACATGCCGTTTTCCATCACTGGCGACTGGTCCATATCCATAGCGTCTTGTCTAAACGCACCAGGCATATTCCAGTTGAGGTAGTCTTGGGACGGGCTATCCATTTGTAGCATTAGGCCCAGGTCTTGTTGGAAAGAAGGCATACCGTTAAAGTCGTTCTGGGGCATTTTCGAGTCAAACACAGCCTGGGCATGATCTGGGGCCGTGCCGCCAGTGATATGTGGATCAAAGTCGTCAGTTGATGTGGCGTGCCTCGAAGCACCCGAGTTCGGTGCCTCCGGATGGTCTTCTCGGTAGTAGACACCCTCAGGAGAGGCTGTATTGCCGTTCATAAAGAAAACGTCTGTCTTGTATCTTATATTCCACTAGTAGCAGGGCAAGAGCAAGGGCATGAAAAAGAAGGCTGAACGGCGTAAAAGACCGAATCACCGTGGGGGGGCTGGTGGAGGTGGTTAGACAGTTGAGGAAAGGTTTTCTGGGGCCCGCTGTTGATAGTGCAGGAAGAAAAGCACAGGACGAACGGTGGGATATCTGGGTGGGCTGAGAACTGGGGGTCTGGCAAAAATAATATAATTATCGAATGGAAAGGGAAAGTAGAAGCAAATCTGGCAATGCCATGGACTTGGTGAAATTGGGTTTGACTTTTTTTTTTTGTGCAATTTGGTCCAACTGTGTAGAGGTATGGACCTCTGGCGGTGGTTGGTTGAGGTGGCAGGTCTGGCCTAGGCAGATAAGAAAGAGGAAGAAGGAAAGAGTTAGTAAGGAGTGCACGCTTGGGGCACCTGAAGAAAGCAGTATGCTGAAAAAATCATAGTTCTTTCTTTTCGTTTCGTTACATTTCCCTGCCAGTGCTTGTGACGGGCGGACGCTGGCTCGTGACGGTTCCGTTGTGGCCCCACAGCTTCTTATCTCTACGGCTGTGGCGAGGCGAGGAGGAGGACTGGGGCTGTGGGAAAAAACGAAGGGGAAAAAAAACAAGGGGGATTTAGGGGGTATTTATACTTGGGAGGGGATGGAAGGGGTGGTTGGTTTTTTGTTTTTTGATGTGTTTAGGAGGTATTGTTGGACCTTCTCGTCGCCTGGGGCTCGGAAGAAATGGCTGCAAAATGCGAAGCGTTTAGCCACGCCACTGGTTGGACCATCGAAGGTCAAGATGGTCCAAATTCCGTGGCCTCCAGGTACCACGAGTGTTCCATGCCAAAAGAAGGTCATTTGGATTTTCGGATCCTTCCTTCAATTCTTCCAGGTATATCCATTTTTAGATCTGGGTTGATTTTGTGCTACTTCTCTACGACATTTAGTCTTCACAGGCTCCTTGGCTCCGTAACTCTAATTGGTATTGGTACATATGCCACTCCGTAGTGGTCTTGTTAACTATACTATTACATCATTTCGACGGCGTCCGCTGCCGTATTGAATCGTCTTCGTCCTGGCTTTGCAGATCAGGGTTCACTACCCGTAGCACACTCTTCCTCTTGGAACTCACCAACACTTGCACATCCATGCCTTCATCACAAGACGAACCGTCTGCTTCTTCCTCTTCCTTATCTTCTGCCTGGAAATCAGAGATTCCCATGTATCCGCCCTTTTGTGTGCTCTTCCTGAGTCCAGGCAGTGTAGGCGGTGTAGTGCTATATGAGAAACTCTTTCGAAGCTGGTGAACACGAGCTGGAACGGCTGGTTTGGGATCGAGTTGGCTCATCTCTGGGTATACAGAAGTCACCGACTCTTCGTCATCCACAACCTCAGGATGGTTATTAAGTGTTTCATTCAGCCCAAGGAAACTGTGTCTTCTTACTGTGCGTTGTCTCTTTGAATCGTATTCTTGCCTCTTCTTTACCCAAGAGTCAATGGACGCCGCTTCTAGCGTAGACTCACTGCTTGTGGATAAACGACGGTGGTATTCTGGATGTGGAATATCTGAAGGTAAATCTGATCTGGTACGGAAATGGCCAAGCTGGTAGTCAAATGCATCAAGAACACTTTCACGTTCTGGCTCACTTGTGCCCTTACGTTTCCAAAGGAACACACCAACAGCTGCTGCCATGGCAAGAGCAGCAACAGGCACTAAGGTACCTATGAGAGCTTTCTGTGTAGTGGAAGTGGTACCTTTATCGGAACTTTCAGTTTTCTTGGTATTATCAGCCAAGGACTTTACTTGTTGGAAGTTGTTTGCAATATCGTAGAGCTCAACAGTGTATCCAGAGTCGCCTCTCTTCTTGCTGCCACTGTCTCTGACCAAAACAAGCGTCTCAAAAAGCACTGCTCCACCAAGAACATCGTCCACTTTGATATCTGTTTCGACAGTTTCCCAAGCCCAAGTGTTTGCATCCACCTTCAATTTAGCCCATTGAGGACTTGCAGCACCCTTGGAGTCATTACCACCAATAAGAATCATCGAATGTGGTTTGTAAGTGTTTTCAAACGTCGATGTCGTATTGTCTGCCAATGGCGAAAATATAGGTAACAATAAAGCATTGATTCTGGAATTGACACTAAACGAGTCGTTCTTCTGGACCGCCTGGAACGACCAGCCCGAATCGTAATTCCATGTAGCCAATTGGTACATGTTGAGCCAACCGTCGTTCGATCTGCCACCCACAACCAACGAGTTCTGTGGGTTTGGTGCCCACTGGCTAGCAGCACCAAAGAAGCCGTGTGGTTTGGTAGAAGTGGTGATATTGGAAAAGCTCGAAGTCTCCATATTATATGAAAGAAGACGATCCGTGGCCACGCCACTAGATGGACACTTGCCTCCGTAGATATAGATATCGTCAGAATCTGGATTCGTCAAAATAGAAGAACCCTCGTAATACGAAATATCTGAAACGTCAGCAAACGTCATGTTCTCTGTTGCTGGACTCCATTCGTTCTTCTCCAGCTTATAACTCAAAAGCTGGAATATCCCATCCCCACAAACATCATAAGCGGTTTCCTGGTCCAATGCCTTGAACGCATACAACCCATCCTTATATAGGAACACGGTCGAGTTCTCTGGCGGCTGTGCTATAGCATCTAGACTCAGGCCAGCAGTAATATCAAGCTGTTTCAGCGAATATTTGGAAAACTTCTCTAGGTCATTGAACCCCGTGATGGAGAAGTTCAATGGCACTATATCATCGTTCTTCAACCTCATATACACCTTACCCTCAGTGAAAGAGTAGAAGGTAGCCCATTGCGCCCAGCAAGGCACAAGCACAAACGCTAGAGCCCAAAGAAGCATTTAGGTAGAATGGTGTAGTAAGAGATATCCAGCTCTTTTTAGTTTGAATCTCCAGCCAGGACTTCTCGTCATGTTCCGAGTGAAGATGTAGCTGGGAAGTGGTGTTTACGTTTTTCCCAATCGAGCATCATTACACGCATTGTTTCCCCCAACAGTGACCCACAATAAGAAAAAGGTTTAGCCTGTGGGGGGCTTTTGTTGTGGAATGTGCCGTTGGGTGTTTGCAGAAGAGAATGAAATGGGTACAATAGGGGGAAGGTTGATGTGATTGGGTGATGTGGAAGAGGCGGTTGATGGCAGATAAGACGACTGGTCTGGCCTCAGGCCAGAGCGGTCTATATTCTGTCTTTGGAATATTCTTTGTCTTTGGAGGGGTTCTCTTTTTAGGATGTGAAAAGAGAAAGGAAGAGGTATTTGGGTATTTGAGTTTTTCTGTTTTTCTATGTGAAGTTGGTGCTTGTAGGTTTATGGAATTCGTAGTATGTGGAGAAATGGTTGCAAATTCGCACTTTTAAGGTAGATTTCTTGATGTCGTGCAAATCGTGTAAACTGTTTTGGCTACGAAAATAGCAGTTTTGAGGAATGTACTTTGATTTGTTGTTAGGGATGTTTGGGTGAATGGGACCATGGAATATGGCCGCCTTTTTGTTTGGTGGAGGCCTTTTTTGGTGTTTGGGGCGTTGATGGTGAACCGATGCAATAAGCCACCATGGATTGATAGACAAAGCACGGGGAGAGGTGTAGTTAGGGTAAATCGTGGGCTTAGTGTTGCCTTAGGAGGTTGTTTAGCGTAGTTGATGTCGATTTACGAGAGTGGGGGTAGTGGGGATTAGATTTGGTAGTATGATTATGGTATCGGATTGGAAGAGCGACAAGGACAGTTAGACTGTCAGTACAGAACAGTAGGTGTTGCCATGAATATTACAATGAAGTAGAATGGAAATAAAACGATGACTAAAGTTATAGGCGAGCCACCGGTTGTGAATAACTCTCAACGACTGGCTCATTGAGTGAGATATAGTTTTAGTGAGTCGTACTTGGATACTAAAGGTGGGCTCCTATAGACCACAGGTGAATAAGAAGAGAAGAAGAGAGAAAATTGAAGACATGCTTTTGTTAAGAGAAAGATATAAAAGAGAGCAATATTAGAACAATATTAGATATAGTATGTGAAGATAGAGTAACGTTGACCCTAGCGAGACACTATAAAACAATACGGAACTAGAAAAGAGATGAATTAGTTTTCTTCCAATTTCGCCACTTTATCATTCAAGCAAACTTATCTATTTCACCTCTTTCTAACGATATGCTGCCAGCGATGGTAGAAAGACGAACAGGACCATGCCATTTTGCAGCCATTACGAGCCCACACCACCTCCACCAGCAACCTTATCAAGTCCATGAAACGAAGAATTCCTTGCAATCAACAAAACCCTCTTAAAAGCACAAATCAAGCAAGAACAGAAAAAACCAGGAATACCCTAACCTCGAGTGGTCCCATAATGGCCCTGATTAGTCACCACTGAGACACATAGACAGCCAGACACTAAAGGGACCATCCAGTCCACGCCGACTCCTTCGAAATTCCCCCAATTTCCAAACCCCTAAACATCCACCCAAAAAGACCATAAAAACACCAAAAACCATCAAATAACACTTCTGCCTCTTCCTTGACCCTACCCATCCACGTTCATGCGTCTCATGAGTCAGTGCGACGCTGATAAAGATAGTATGCGAAAAAAAAAAAAAAAAAAAGAAGTCAATTTTCAACCTTCACTAATCACCAAAAGTCACCACCAAAAGTCCTTCTAATGTCCACTTTTGGAAATATCTTCAGAGTCACCACCTACGGTGAATCCCACTGCAAGTCTGTTGGCTGTATCGTCGACGGATGTCCTCCAGGCATGGAGTTGACAGAGGCAGACATCCAGCCCCAGTTGAGTCGAAGAAGACCAGGCCAGAGCAAACTCTCCACGCCCAGAAACGAAAAGGACCAGGTCCACATCCAGTCGGGTACAGAGTACGGCAAGACGTTGGGCACGCCTATTGGCATGTTGGTTCACAACGAGGACCACAGACCTCATGACTACTCAGAGATGGACTTGTACCCCAGACCATCCCATGCTGACTACACTTATATCCAGAAATACGGAGTCAAGTCTGCTTCTGGCGGCGGCAGGTCGTCTGCTAGAGAGACCATTGGCCGTGTTGCTGCTGGAGCCATTGCTGAGAAGATCTTGGCCAAGGCTAATGGCGTGGAGATTGTCGCTTTCGTGTCTTCGATTGGCGAGGTTGCCATGGACAGAAACCCACAGAACGAGGTGTTCCAGAACGTGTTGAATACGATTACTAGAGACCAGGTTGACGACGTGGGTCCTGTGAGATGTCCAGATGCTTCTGTCAGAGAGGAGATGGTCAAAGTGATTGAAAAGTACAGAGACGCCAAGGACTCTATTGGCGGCGTGGTTACGTGTGTCATTAGAAACTGTCCTATTGGTCTTGGTGAGCCTTGTTTCGATAAGTTGGAGGCTACTTTGGCCCATGCCATGATGTCGTTGCCTGCCACCAAGGGCTTCGAGTTTGGCTCTGGTTTCAACGGTACCAAGATCCCAGGTTCTGCTCACAACGATGCTTTCCACTTCTGTGACGATTCCCAGAGATTGAGAACGAAAACTAACAACTCTGGTGGTGTCCAGGGCGGTATCTCCAACGGTGAGAACATCTACTTCTCTGTGGCCTTCAAGTCTGCTGCCACCATTTCCCAGGAACAGCCAACCGCCACCTACGAAGGCAAAGACGGTGTTTTGGCTGCCAAGGGTAGACACGATCCATCTGTGACTCCTAGAGCTGTGCCTATTGTGGAGTCCATGGCTGCGTTGGTGCTTGTTGACCAGTTGTTGATGCAAAAGGCCAGAGAGTACGGTCGTTCGATCGTCGCCTAGTGTAAATAGAAGAAAAGGAAAATAAAATGAAAGTAGAGGAGAAACAGTTGTAGAGGTGGTGAATGGGTATATGGATTGGGTGCAAAATGGTGTACGGGTGCAGCTCTGGTTCTTCGCAGACCACTTCGCTTGAAATCCAACGTTAAAGCACTATCATGGATTCAGTACAGCTCATTCTAGCCACAGCAGTGCTAGGGCTTGCTATTTTTTTGGTGGTTTTCACTCTTCAAGGAAAGAAGGTCACTGCAGGAAAAGTCAAATCCCAATACCATAAGCCTACGTTCTTGGTTGTTGGAGCCAATGGAGCAGGTAAAACGTCACTTTTCTATAAGTTGCAAGATGGAAGCCAGCAGGTGAACACGGTTTCTTCGCTTGAACCTAATTACGGGAAGATCTCAATTCCTTTTAGTAATCCAGCCATTCTGAAAGACTTTCAGTTTGTGGATTGGCCTGGTCATTTGAAGTACTCGCAGCTTTTGCGTAAGTTGATCATTGAAGACGTGACGGTGAAAAACCTCAAGGGGGTGATTTTTGTCATTGACTCTTCCAGTCAGAGTCTTGGCCAGGAAGGCAAGGTTGCTGCTATTGCTAAGTTTTTATATGATTTGTTGAGCATTACAGAGAAGACTCCTATGGGAGTGGACTATCTTTTCGCTATTAACAAGCAAGACTTGTTCGACACGAAGCCGGTGTTTAAGGTGAAAAGTTTGATTGAAGAGGAAGTTTCTAAGCTTGTTCAGGAGGAGCTCAGTGCCAAGGGCCTGGCTCGTGGCGGTTCAGGGATCGATAACGATGACGAGGAGGAAGGCTTCTCCAAGGAAGAGTCAACCAAAGAGTTCTGGAAGTCGCTCATGGGCCGTTCAACAGCGTTCAAGTTCGAGCGTTTGGAAGGCAACATGGAGTTCATTGGCGGATCAGCGCTCAAGAACAAGCTACTGAACTGGCAGAACTGGTTCGACGAGAAGGCCATGAACTACGGCGGCATGTAACACGAATACGAATAGAATCACGGTTTTTGCGGCGTTCCAGTGGGCACCGACGGGAAGTAGGACGGGTTTTGCATCTCTTTTTGCCGGGCAGACCGGACCCGAGCCTGGATATGGCTGTTGACTCGAGCCTTGTACATGTTCTTATCTAATTTGAAGCATTTGAAGTCAAACGCAGCGATCTGGTCGTTTGTCTCTCCGAGTTCTTTCTTGACTTGTTCGAGATGCAGCACGTGTGATTCATACGACTTCTTGGGCTTATCCTTATCGTCCTTGGTATCCTCGTCCTTATCTTTCTTCTTACCCCAGCTCACGAGCTTATCCCAAGCGTACGGTTTATTAAGCTCCACCTGTTCACGAGCCTGAACAAGACTTTTTTCCTGAGTCTTCCGTTGTTCTAACAACTCGTTATACCTTTCAGGATGCACTGGTGATGCAAAAGACACATCCTTGAGATGAGCAGCACAGATATAGAAAAAGTCAGCTTTGTTCGCCGCCAAAAGCACCGTCTGCGTGGGCTTGTAACACACCACACATGCTTTTTCGTCAGCTGCTCCTACGAGACGTTTATTGTACTCGTTGGGGAACGGCGGTTGGCTCATAGATAAGACTGGGAGTCGTTAGATGTACGGATGTGAAGGGTGAATTGTGGAGAGTAGCTGAATGTGAAGATGAAGCTTGAATGTGAACATTGTGCAAACCGGAGCAACGCGGGTGGAAACCAGCGGGAATAAGAGATGAAAGAGAGGCAATTAGGGAGGGAGAAGGAGAAGGAGAAGGCTGATTTAGGTGACCAGTCAGGTCTTTTTTTTTTTTTTTTTTTTTTTGCACCCATATACTCTTTGTTGTGTTTACATATGACTTGCTCCGGGTAGCCGGGTTTGCAGTCACGCGAAGAAGGGCCCATGATCCCGGGCTCGATGGTTGCTTTTGCTTGGATTCTGGTAGTGAAGGCGGTGAGTTGGGAAAGGGCGGTTCTATTTTTAGCCCTTTCTGAGTTCCAAGAAGCTTGCTTAAGTATAGGGATTCACGGTAATGGGGCGGGTTTGGGGAGGCTGAGCACGTGACATTTTCTACATTGGTGAGTCAAAACAAGAAAAATCATAAAAAGGTGGTTTGCCCAAGCAATGTCGCGGAAATGTCGCGCGGATGGCTGCCGCGCCGCAAGCGGATCACGTCGATTTCACTCACTAAAAGGAAAAGGCGCATGACGAGAATGAGGCGATAAGGCGGGTAAACCAATTTAGGGTTCGCCTTAACTATGGACGTTTAAGGGGGAATTGAGAGAAATTCTCTTAATTTTTTAAAGACCCTTTAGAAAGACGTTTTAATTGCTTTTTAAGATGTATCTTTATTTTTCCTTGCTTTTGGCCTGGCCTTGAAACGACGCCTTTTCTTTGGCGCGTGCCGAGGCTCGTTTGGTTGCTCCAGAAATGGTTGCGAAAAATAGCCCATCCTTTTTGCAAGCCTTCAATAGTCTACAAGTGTTTACCCTTCAAAAACATGAAATTCCATTGAAGATCGCCTACTGGCGACCCCAGAGTACCTAAAACAGCCTGGCTACACGTTTCTGGCACGTCCCATGCCTGGCTCTTACAAACCCACACCTCTCTTATCCGCACCTCTCTTATCCGGACACTTACCTCAGCAGTCTATACCCTCCGCCAAAAGACAAAAACCGGCAGACTTTTGACTAAATTAATGCCTAGGGGTACTCAATTGGGGTCGCTGAACACGAATATGGACTCGAAACTTTCATAGATGTTGTTGTTGGTCCGCTAAGAGCCAATTTGTAGGGGCATCACGTGACCGGCAACTGCAAAAATGTCGCGCCTCGTTCACCCCTTGGGCGTACAAAAAGTGCGCTGTCAATACACACTGCCCAAAAAAATGCCATACATTTGTATATTTTTTTCTCCCTCATTATAGTGTTTTTTTCTCTGTATAGTTGTATTTTTTTTTTTTTTTTTTTTTTTTTTTTTTTTTTTGCCTTCCCTCTCGCTGAGACCACCTTTTTCTTAAAAATTCCTTCTTTTACTTCTTCATCTTCTCCTGGCAAAACCCACCACCCTTCCACAAATCCACCTCCAAAAAGGATCCCCCTTATTAAAAAAAGTCTTCGCCTGCCGTCCTCCCTTCCACCAAGTCAGCCAGCGTCGCCTTTTTTTTTCCCCCTTGCCTTTCATCCTTTTTTTTTTTATTCCTTTAATTACACCTGCCTTTTGTCCTCCCACATAAACATCCGAAGGTTCCACCAAGTTTTCACACTTTTCACCTTTTTTTCACATTTACACATAATTCCTTCCCATGGCTGAACATCAGGAAGCTGATATCGATTCCATCGTCGATAGATTGTTGGAGGTGAGAGGGTCTAGGCCCGGAAAGCAAGTGACCCTCCTTGAACATGAAATCCGGTACTTGTGCACCAAGGCCAGAGAAATCTTCATCCAGCAGCCCATTTTGTTAGAGTTGGAGGCGCCCATCAAGATCTGTGGTGATATCCACGGCCAGTACTATGACCTATTGCGTCTCTTTGAGTATGGCGGGTTCCCTCCTGAGGCCAACTACCTTTTCCTTGGTGACTATGTCGACAGAGGCAAGCAGTCCTTGGAGACCATCTGTCTCTTGTTGGCGTACAAGATCAAGTACCCAGAGAACTTTTTCATCTTGAGAGGTAACCACGAGTGTGCGTCCATCAACCGTATCTACGGTTTCTACGACGAGTGCAAGAGAAGGTACAACATCAAGTTGTGGAAGACCTTCACCGACTGTTTCAACTGCTTGCCCATCGCCGCCATCATAGACGAGAAGATCTTCACCATGCACGGAGGCTTGTCGCCCGACTTAAACTCCATGGAGCAAATCAGAAGAGTCATGAGACCCACCGACATTCCTGACGTGGGCTTGCTCTGTGACTTGTTGTGGTCCGACCCCGACAAGGACATTGCCGGCTGGTCCGAAAACGACCGTGGTGTTTCTTTTACCTTCGGTCCCGATGTTGTGTCTCGTTTCCTTCAAAAACACGATATGGATTTGATATGCAGAGCCCACCAGGTTGTGGAAGATGGTTACGAATTCTTCTCCAAGAGACAGTTGGTCACTTTGTTCTCCGCTCCAAACTACTGTGGTGAGTTTGACAATGCGGGTGCTATGATGAGCGTGGACGAGAGCTTACTATGCTCTTTCCAAATCTTGAAACCAGCAGACAAAAGACCTAGGTACCCTCCTCCAAACAGCGTCGGTAACAACAGACCGGTGACTCCTCCAAGGAAAGCAAAGCGTGGCTCCAAATAAGTGACGTGTCTCACTGCCCCTTAATTGTTTCTCATTGAGAGAAATACCCCGGGGGGCCACTCGTTGCAAGATTGATGATGATGTTTTCACGATGTCGGAATTGAGCTTCGCCAAACCTTGCCATTTCCATTACTTTTTTTTATTCCTTGGTTTTTCCTATTTTTTTATCTGCTGTGGCTTCTATCCATTAGAAGCCGTGTATTTTAGCCGAATGCCTTTCTCGTCACTACTGAGAGAGGCATGCCAGACTAATCCAGTCATTCTTTTACATGCATCCCATTTTACGAACGTCAGAATTTTTTTATTTTTTGCTTTTTGGATTTTCGCTGCTCACTACTTGAAACTGTCGCCAGCCCAGAGTTACACCCCTCCTACCTTGCAGCCAGAGACAAATGTATATAACTTTGAAATAGGGCTGTTGTGAAGCGTGTGCAAAGATCGATTTGTTGGTCGATTGAAAGGAGAAGGAGCAAGAGCAGAGAGCATTAGAGTCAGCGTTTAACCCCTGAAACAGCGGACCGGGACCAGATACCACCGGAAACACACACACATTGCGTAATTCCAAAAAGTCAGTAAAGCCATATAGATTTTGAATTGTGTGTTTAAGGTCGGGGATCTCCTCGGGTCTGAAATCAAAAGCTTAATACTTATCTATCTTATATAGTCCCTATTTTATATAGTCACTTGATAGTGAAGTACATGCAGCGCAGTGAAGAGATGATTGCCAGGTCTTTTGGCTCCATTTGGATCTGAAAGTTCTGACGGGACGGTGAGCTGGCTGCTGTTCGAGAATGTCTGGAGAAAGGATGGCCAATATTATTATACTTTTTAGTTTATTATGTTTTGAATTGATATGTGCCTGAGATGACGACGAAGTAGCGCCAAATTTAGCCACATCAGGCCATATCATCAAATGTTTATAAAGAAGGTTTAAAGGGGTCAGTAATGTATTTTTGGGTGTTTTAAGGAGTGTTGATGGTCCGTCCAGTGGACTTAGACGAGCATGAATGAGGGTAGCTAAAAGAAGTACCAGTTCTTCTTATACCTACCAAAAATGGAAACAAGTAGGGGAAGATGGAATTGTATTATCTTTCAAGTTACATAATTCTAGTTGAGTATTTTATACATCTGGTGGCCTTGTTGACCCGTGATATGTTGCGAGCTTAGAGGGCCAAGTAAGAAGCCTACTAAGCGATTCGACGTATTTCAAGATCTTTGACGAGTAGTGATATTTTTTTGTTTTATTTCTCTTAAAGCTAGAGTCAAATTTTATACCTATTTTATTTCACTAAATAGGTGCTACCAGAAGATATGAATTATGTAGTGAGATCATATATATATATGAGACCACAGCTTGCCAGTTTTATTTATTAGAGCCGTGGCATCCCCAAGAATAATTCTTCAATGAAATGTACCATGTTATATATCGGGAAAAATCCAAACACAAAATAACACATTTGCATTTAGAGTCTGTGATCTATCTACTTTACCCTTGTAGTACCACAGCCTCATGTAGTCTTATTGCCTGCTACCTTCCGTGAACGCTGACTAAAGAAGAAGAACCAAAATGGCACAATTCTTAATACCTCTTTGATAAGCAAATAAGTTCCATTTAACTTTTGCCTAGTATCTAAGTCAAATAGAGCACGTCTTGTTCACCCACACCTCCACTCATGGTCCCTACAGGTCTCAGGTAGACCGCTTCTCCCACCCAACACAACTTCGGCTTCCCCTATACCTTCCAAAGCATTTTCACCCATTCTCTTAAACGACTACATCCCTATACTGTGGCAAAACCCCACTACATGTCCTCCCTTCAACTTCCCTTCCACCTCCTCTGGGTCCACTTTTCGCAGCCATTCTTTATCCACCCCAATACTCCCACACCTCCACCATTTCCACCCAAATCACATCCCACCGCCACTTCCCACCACCTACCAACCGGCAATACCCGTCCCTACCCTTTCCACTCCCCCCTGCCTCCCCAAAATGTCCCACTGACCACTCCCAAAAGACAGTCACAGTACCACGTGACCCATCTACACCCGTGCCTCCACACCATCACTGTCCCACATTCGAGCCTCAGCTGCGCACACAAGACGCTAAAAAAACCCCATACAAAGTGCAAATAGTGCGGTAAACTCGAGTGCCATACAAAAAAAAAACCTTTCAAGAAACCTGCACACAGGCCGAAAACTCCCTTCGCAGCCGCCTTTCCTTGAAAAAATTATCACTTCTTCTCAAGTGAAAACTCTTCCTCATTCAATAGACTCAAAATGGTATGTGAAACCAGCGAATCCACGAGAATCAACACGTCCAAACGGCATGCCCGGCTTCCACGAGAAACGTCCATGTGTTCTTGAAAAATTTCCCGAACTTGCACCCTTCCACAGGTGAAGCCTTGAAATCGCCATCCGCCAACGAAAAGACCCACTAAAAACGTCCCCGATGAAGATTCCATGAAAATGACATACGTGAAATGACTGTTCAAGGGCTGTTGCCGTGTTTTCTCTCCTCTCAACATCCCAATACTAACAATCCAGGTTTTAGTTCAAGACTTGTTGCACCCAAACCCAGCTACTGAAGCTCAGAAACACAAGAAGAAGATGTTGGTGCAGGGCCCAAGATCCTATTTCATGGACGTCAAGTGCCAGGGCTGCTTGAACATCACCACTGTCTTCTCCCACGCACAGACCGCTGTCACCTGTGACAACTGCTCCACCGTCTTGTGCACCCCAACCGGTGGTAAGGCCAAGTTGACCGAGGGCTGCTCTTTCAGAAGAAAGTAAATGCTTGGAGGTTTTAATTAATAAAGAATAAAAACATGCATATATGTGAAAAGTGTGGCCGTTTAGCGGCATTGTAGTGATGTAGATATAGTTGTGGCGAGTGCCCAACAGAGATGTAATAAGGAAGAGGAAAGTGGCATTTACGATTGATATCATGTATAAATCCTATGTTGTTTACCTCTAAAATGGGCTTTTTGTGGAGATAGATATCAGAGACTTGGTCTCAGCACCCAGTTTCAGGTCAACAACTCAATAAGACAGTCACAATGTTAATGTGGCCAATAAACATCCTTCTCTTCTAATACTCAATCTATACTTCTTTGTGCTTCTTCGCCTACCTTGATACCGTCAGATCAATAAATACACTCTCTACTGTTCTGTAATGGTCGTGAATATCGATTAGTATATAACTGTATTACCCTCAAATCCTTACAACTTGGACTTAGCAAAGTGTCTAATAACCTCGTCAAAGGCCTTGGCAACCTTAGACACATTGTGCTCATTCAAACCAGCCACAGAGGCTCTACCAGACGACACCAAGTAAACACCGTGGTTCTTCTCCAAACGAGCAACCATGTCGGCGCTCAAACCGGTGAAAGAGAACATACCGGTCTGGTTAGTAATGTGTTCCCAGGTACCTGGAGTTCCCAACTCTTCCAATTGTCTTCTCAACTCCTTTCTCATGGAGATGATTCTAGAAGACATGGTGATAAGGTCCTCCTGCCATTGCTGTCTCAAAGCCTGATCCGTAAGGATAGTAGCGACAATCTTAGCACCGTAGGCTGGAGGGTTGGAGATCTCAGACCGCGTCAACTTCTGCAACTGGGTCTTGATGGCACGCTTCAATGGGTCTCTCGTGCTAGCGTTCTCGCTAAGAGGCAAGACAACGTGGATGGCGCCAACACGCTCACCGTACATACCAACGTTCTTAGCGAACGATTGACAAATGAGAATAGGAGAGGTGATGGTGCCAGCCTTGATAGCCTCTCTAATTGGAGCAGCGTCCTTATCCAAGTCACCAGAAGCGAAACCCTGGTAGGCCGAGTCGAACAAAGGCAAGTGGTCGTATTCGGCAATGGTCTTCAAGATCTGAGTCCATTGTTCAGCTGTAGGGTCCAAACCAGTTGGATTGTGGGCACATGCGTGCAAAACGAAAATGGAGCCTTTAGGAGCAGACTTGATGGTATTAAGGTAGCCGTCAATGTCCAACTTCTTGTTCTTGGCGTCCCAGTATGGGTAGTTGTCGACCTTGAAGCCCAATGACGTGAAAATCTGGTTGTGGTTGGCCCAAGTAGGTTTCGACAAGTAGATGGTGTGGTTGCCAGCGTAGAATTGCTTCAAGAAAGCGCCAGCCAAATGCAAAGCACCAGTTCCGGACAAGGACTGCTGGGAAACAACAGCACCTTCCTTGATGGCCAGGGAGTCATCGCCCAAAATCACCTTAGCACTCTGCTCCAAAAATGGCTCATACCCAGAAATCAGAAGGTACTCGTGGTTGTAGCCATCCAGGTCAATCAATTTCCTCTCTGCCTTTCTAACAGCAGGCAAGATCCATGGCTTACCGTTGTTGTCTCTGTAGGCACCAATACCCAAGTCGACTTTATCCAGACGGGAGTCGGCAACGTAACGAGCCTTCAAACCGAAAAGAGGGTCTGGGGGCAATTCCTTGACTTCAGTGAAATACTTTGACATTATTGGAGGTTTGAAAAACGCGTTTTAAAAAGATGGTCTTTTTTATATAGGGGAGGAAAAATTGTGGAGGTTTTTTGGCTCGCTTATATATGGGCTCGGAATAAATGGTGGGGTCAGCGATCACAGGAGTTCCATTGAGCCGAGCGGTGTTTAACGGCGCAGGACAAGAACGAATATTTGGGGAATCTGGGACGAAATGGGGGGTAGGGCAGTGCACTATGTGCAGGACCGAGTGTCCCGAGCCAGCCAGACAGTCCAGTGCCGCACCAGGCAAGAAAGGAAAGGGTGGTGAAAAAAGGGTTAGAAGGGGTAGAAAAGTGCAGAAAAAGACACATGTTGGCTCAGAGGATTAAGGCAGAGGACTTGTCTTTTTTGGGTGTTTTTACGGGCTCTGGGGGACTCTGGATGGCCCCTGGAGGCCCTGCAAGGCTCGATTTGCACCCAATGGCCGCAGGCCGCCCTAAACCAAAATAAGGTGCCGTTGGAGGCCCTTTTAGAAAAAAGAAAAGGTAAATAAGAAAAAGCCAAAAGAGTTGGATAATATGTGGAATGTTGGCAATTTGAAGGAGATCTGGAAGGTTCAGTGTGGGCTTATTTTAAGGGAAGGTGGATGAATGGAGGCCTCGCGAGACCAGTTCCTGGAAGTGAAGGGCAAGCAATTATCACGTCTAGGGTAGAACCGGAAGGGGTAGATAAGGCACCGCTATCTCGTCGATTTTTGCTTGATTTTTGCATTTCAATATTTCACCGTTTACGGTTAAGGGGGCAGTTTTTCAACAAGTCAAGGCGTTTCTTTCCTCCACTGAGGGTCCTCTTGGCTGAGGCGCCATCGTCTTTGTTGGACTATTTTGGCTGCGAAAACGGCCGTGGCCGTGAAACGAGCTCCAGTGGTACCTGAGAGATACTGGGGGTTCTGGTTACGAACTCCAACGGAATTTCACGAAATCTCTTTATTCCGTTGGCCCCCATTGTTCCTCTTGATGTCTCTTTAAAAACAAAAGATTTTCCCCGAACTTACTATGACCCTTCTTGCCTCTGCTGCTGCCTTCTCCATCAGCGCACCTTCTGGCTCGGTTTGTTCCTGCCCCGGCTGGTAACGGCTGCCCCACGATGCCCCGCCAAGCACCCAAAGACACAAAGTGAAGGAAAGGCTGACACTGAAAAAGAGGCAACTGGGAGTTTCTTGCTTTACCTGGTTACCAAAAAAGTTCATACTACTCTCTCTCTTCTCTCTCTCTATCTCTGCCCTTCTCTTTTGACCTCCTTTGGCCTTCCCTGGTTGACTGTCGGATCCATTTTCGCAGCCATTTCTGTGTCCACACTTTTAGCGCATTGCCAATTGCCGTGAATGCCTGCGCTGTGGAGAGCCCATTTGTGTATTTCCTTTTTTTGTTGTCTTTTATTATTTTCTGTTATGCCTTGCTTGTTGTGGCTTATTGTTGCTTTATTTGGACCTGCCTTGCTCGGTCATTTTCGGACTTTCCAGGGTCCGCTAAGGTTCAAGCGAGGAGGCTCGTTTTTGCACCCAAAGCATGAACTGGTGCCACTTACGATATGGATGCGGTGACGGCTTAGCGGCTCTTAGCGGGTTCTGTGGGAAACGGTGGATGAGATGTGAGATGTTAGGGAAGAGAGTTGAGTGATATGGTGAATTGGAAGGGCAAGTAATGAGAAGTAGGAGGATGGCTGTGGTAGCATGAGTTGTTAGGAGTGGACTATTAGAGTTTGGGTGGTTCCAGTGTTCTCCTTTCGTTTGATTTTTGTTTTATGGTGGTCTTTGTGTCATCTCTTGTTATACTTATTGTATGAGTTCCACAGGATTGAAGGACAAGAAGCTAGCAATAGCTAGCGGCTTCCAGTTTACGTTTGGTCAATGGCATTGAACTCGGAATTGTCATTATGTAAAATGGTTTATTCTATTTTGAAGAGTCCATGTGTTGTCTTAGGGGACCCTGCATCAGCTTCATTGAACTGTCGGGTTGGCATGATATCATAAACGTAGCATCGTAACAAATCTGACCTTCCTAAAGGCTTATTTGATGAATTCCTGATTTTCAAGATTTACATGTCTAAGTATTCATCATCTCACCTTCAGCACATTTAAAGATCCAGATCTTTAAATTATACAAAGCTTCAATGGAACGTTATGATCTAACAAGCAGAAAAGCCTGTTCTGTACCATCAAAACGTATTTAAAGATCTGGATCTATAAATGATCACAATCGTTAACTATAGGCATTGCGTTCAACTAAAGGACCTATCAAGCAGACAAGCCTGATTTCATTCAGTAAAATCCATTTAAAGATCTGGATCTTCAAATCATTAGTTCACCAACGTCAATCAAGAATTTCGATCCCTGTCTTCAATGCCTCCTATCAATGTTCATCCCCTAATCCACTTCTCTCTCTATATCAAAGCCTTCTCCCTACACCGTTTCACAGTAATGCATTAGATTATTTTTATATACCTGTCCCCAACTAGACAACGGACCTCACCTCGAAAAACCTCTTCAAGTAGTAGATCTGGAACAAAGAGTTGGCAGCCACCACGATAATCTGGAACAAAGACCACCACTTGACTCTCGAGTTGGTAGACTCAGCAGTGTTTCTATGTGTTCTCTCTCTGATAACCAAGTAGTTCTGCTCAGCCTTCACGTCACTGGTCAACTCGCCCAACTTCTGGATAGCATAGTCCAAAGTGTCCGACTGAGGGTCGTTCACGTCAATGTAAACCACGCCGTGCACGTTGAAAGACACGTCCAAGTCAACTCTGGAAGACTTCTCGTTGGAGAAACAGTACTTGTATCTACCGGTCATATCAGCCTTCATGCTCTCGTCACCGTGGTCAATGCTGGTTCTGGAGATTCTCACCTTGTCGTTTGGAGCAATGATGTAGAAGTCAATGGTGTATTGTTCAGCATTGTTGGGGTCTCTGGAACCCACCTGGTAGCTGAGGGACAACTCATCGTTAGCCTTGAGGTGTTCGAAGAAACACTGTTTGCCGTGTGGAGGCAAAAGAACAGTGTGGGCCTGCACCACGGCCACAAACATGCACACGAGGGCGAGGAAGTTCATTATGGTGTGTTGGAGGGTGGATTGAATTTGGTGATCTGGAAAAGCTGCGTGTTTTCTTCAACGCGGTCCGTGCACGACATTTGCAGCCATTTTCCACCACCAACGACGGGGCCGAACCAGGCCAGGGGGTTGGGGGGTTCGGTGAGTTTTATTCCCTTAAGATATGCTTTTATTGGACTTGGCCTCTTGCTTTTGTTGAGTTCAAATACCACCTTATGTTTGGATGTTACTGGTGTTCTATTTATGGCTGTGCCAGAACCCTACCCTATCTTCGTCTTTCTTCATTCGTCTCTATATGCTATTCTAAAAACGGTTTCATGATCTCCTCATAGAGAAGCATCTTCAAATCCTGGATCGACAACTCGTCCTTGTGCTTGTTGAAATCAAACAAGTTATCTGGAATTGGCTCGCTGATAGGCTCGTCGTTAGGATCGTGGTACATGTTAAGATATGGATGCGCTAGCGCATCTTCCACGGTGATACGCTTGGCTGGGTTGAACGCTAGGAGTCGTTCTAGCAAGTCAATCGCCAATGGGTTCACTTCTGGTACATGCGAAAAGAGTTCACTGAACGGCATCTTCTTGCAGAATGGAAGCAGTCTGATGTACTCACGGGCACGTTTGGACTTGATATTGTTGTAGTCTTCGGAATTGGGCGTGCCCAAGACCTCCATAATCAACCATAGCTGGTTATGGTAGTCTCTGCCTGGGAAGAGTGGGCGACCACTGATCATTTCGGCCAAAATACACCCAACACTCCATACATCGATAGCTGTAGTGTATTCCTGGAACGTAAGCATGATTTCAGGCGCTCTGTACCAACGAGTAGCCACATATTCTGTCATGAAGCCAAAGTTGTCCTCAGAAGAAGCCACCGACCTGGCAAGGCCGAAATCGCAAATCTTAAGGTCACAGTTGGAGTTCATAAGCAAATTCGAAGGTTTCAAGTCTCTATGGAGCACGTTAGCCGAATGTAACGCTTTAAGCGCTCTAAGGGTCTGGTAAGTGAAATACTGGACGTGGTCGTCCGAGAGCTGCTGGGTACGGATAACCTTGTGTAAATCCGTTTCCATGAGTTCCTGGATCAAGTAGATCTCGTTAAACGATTCGTATGAGGCCGGCTGTTGCAAGGCCAAGATGCTGATGATGTTTTCATGGTTAAAGTGTTTGAGGAGCTTCAACTCACGAAGAGTCCTCAAGCAAAGCATTTGCCGCTCAAAAGGCTCAATCTTCTTGATTGCCACCTTCAGTTGGGAAGGCAAATGCACAGCTGAACACACCACGCCGTAGGCGCCCTGGCCCACTACCTCAAGAACCTGGTAATGGTCCAGCACGTTAAACTTATACTTGTCACCCTGGCCATCGCCATTTTGATCTAGATGTGCTTGCTGGTACTGTTGTGGCTGTTGTTGCTGCTGTTGCTGCTGATGAGCTGGGTACTGTTGTGGCTGAACCGGAGGTTGCTGGGCGTGAACTGCTTGGTCCATGGAGGAGAATCGTGGAGTAGTTTGTTGGATGGGGAGGCAGAAGGGGCTGCGTGTGAAGACTAAGCTTAGGGAAGTAGTGGTGATGGCTTAAGTGATTTGGCTTAAGTATATAAAGACTGTGGAGTGGCCGTAGTGTAAATGACAAGCGCCCCGGTAGGTAGAATAAGGCTTTCGCAGAAGTAGGTGCTGGCGGGAGGGTATATATGAGGGAGTTTCATGAGGAAATGTGGTAACGCGATGTGAGGCAGCGGCAGGACGATCCGCCTGGGAGCGGTGGGCCACCTGAAACAGGCGAGTGTGCAGCGGGGAGGGCAATAGTGAGGGGGGAATTAGTAGTATGGTTTGAATCAGAAAAGGCACTTTTGGCGGTGGATTTTTTGCATCCCCGGCGAGTCTTACCTGGGGGAAAGATAACTGGGGTATTGGCTGGAGAAGTAGTGGCTGCGGAAGGCTGCGACTGCGAAAAAAGTGGCTGCGAACGAAGAACGAAGGAATAGGCACTGGAGGCGGTGGAGTGCTTGAAACACGGAAACATGAAACCCGCAAGGGCCCCGGCCCTTGGGAGCCCTTCAAAAGACAAGCCAGAATTACGTAGATGGAAGTTTCTGGCCAAGAGAACGGTGTTTCAGCCTCACGGTGTGTTTCAGAGCTGCCGGGACCACTGATTATTTTCTGCGACCCCAGGTCCAGGCTTAGCTGGTAGAAACGGCTCCAGCTTTCGTCGAAGACAGTCATGGCCTGCCAAAGACATGCCAAAGTCGCCCAAGACCGTCCAAGGCCTTAGCGGCCTTGGGGCCTTGAGGCGACACGGCTGGAATGCCTAGAAATACCCTCTGCGCTGCTGTCCAACGGTCAGCTTGCATTTTTCATTGGGCGGGTTTGGGCGCGGCGAGATAGACAAAGTATGGGTGTTTTTCTCAGTAAACCTTAATGAAGGTTTGGCTGGGAACGAGGAAAAGGAACCCTCACCGGGCGGTGCCGTTGGGAATGGCCATGTAAATTCCATGTATGGTATTTTTTTTTTTTGTTCTCTTTTGTTGTTCTTTCTTGGATCGCTTTTTATGCACGCTTTGCTTGATTTTGCTTCTTTTTCTTCGTTTTTTGGGCCATTGTTGGGGGAGTTTGAATGGGTCCTGGTAGCCTCTCCAAATGTAAATGTTAGTATATGGAATTCGCAGCCAAAAGTAGTTGATAAGAAGAAGGAGAGTGACAACATGTCATGTAACTACGGGAACATTTTATTTACATATCCAGCAAGCATTTCCTGGTTGTGGTTGTTTAAACATCATATTTGTATTTTCGGTGGTTTCCTGGTTCCTGGTTCCTAGATTCCCTAGATTTGATGTTAGCCTGGTCTTCCTAGTTGAGGCTTTCTCAATACACTACAACATCATTTGCAGCCATTCTTTTACCACCTCCAACTCATCCCCTGACATTGCCTTCCCCTTCCTCTCCTTCCCTTCCCCTTCCTCTACATATCTTTGTTTCTTGGCATTGACGTTTTCTTCGTGACATCAGTTACAAGGAACTGTTCCTGACAGGACCCCAAACGCTTAACCCTCCGCGCAGATAGTATCCCAGATCCAAGATCAGATCAAGATCTGGGGAAGCAGGGGAAGCAGATTATTAGAAATGGAGTTTTTAGAAGGTAGCTGGGTTTGACCTTTTTAAGTATGGCCGTTGTGGGTGCTGTGATTGGCGGTGGCTTGTCGCTTTGTTCGACAAAGACTGGGCGTTCCACGACAATAGCATCGACGTTGGGGATGGTTCATGGTACATGAGAAAAGGAGAGTTGTTTTACTGGATTCCTAGAGTGTTAAGAACTCAATTTACATCTCTTTAGAAGTTGAAAGTGATTATCTGGAACTTTTGGTGACTCCATGAGGATGTCTACGTAACTGACTCTCTCTGGGTAGCCAAACTGCCCTGGAAAGAGTCAACAGAACAACAAAACAATGTCCATAATACTTTTTTTTCAAATCCAAACTCCACCACTAAGCATCCTCCCGCTTGACTCTGAATCACCTCTTCATGACTTCTTCACTACTGCCCCAAACCACACAGCCTCACCATCTGGTCCCAGTAATGGACCCATTCCAACTACAACCACCACCACTCTGTGTCCCTGGAACTCCGCAAAAACAACCACCATTATCCTTCCAATCCCGCTAACGTCCCCCAATCCCTTTTTGTACGATAAACCCAAAAACCACTCCCAAATGTCTCTTCACCGATTTGCCGCTTGTGTTCCACCAAAAGGTGTTTTGAGCACTCGAACTGGCTTTTCGCAGCCAAACGTATGCGCCCTAACGCACTGGCCTTGGAGAAGAAATACTCTACAAAACTGGTTACTGGCGGTTTAAAGATCTATAGTTAAGCCTACCTGGTAATCCCTGTGAATTGGCCCATCCCACAGCCCACCTCCTTCGGAACGACGTACGGGATATTCGGGGCTGCACGTCGTGCTAAATAAGGTGGCAGGGTGAAAAAACCAATCAGGCAACGTCACCACCAGATGGGATAGCGGGCAAATGCTAAACATCATTCATGAATGCCTTGGAAGGTCTACATTAGGCAAGGGAGACACGTAAACACGCATTCTAACTTCAGCCTTTATCTGACAGTTGGGGTAAGAGAGTCCCATTTCTATTGTCTTATTCGCGTGTCTCAACACGGGGGTCGTATACAACGTAAAAAATATCAAAAATTCATAGCAGCCTAGCAACCAGCACCGGCCACGTAGGAGCCAAGCAGAAGTACAGCAGCTGGCTTACTTCTTACGGCCGAAAAGACCCTTCTTCTTCTTCTTGCCATCAGGCTTCAAAGACGAAGCACTGTAGTTGTTAGCCTTGTACATGGCCTGTTCGCCTCCGCTGAAACTGGCCACGGGCCTCAGGTAATCCTGGCCGTCAGCAGACTGGCCCTGGAGACTGTAGTGAGGGAAATCTTCATGGAAGCCCCAGCCCAAACGGTTCGATTCAAGCTGGTCTCTGTATGACATGTCACCGGTGATCTGGTACTCAAACCCGCGGATAGTATCCAAGGGACGTTCGTTTCTAGATCTAGCTGGGTTCAGCATATCTGCCTGGCGGATAGGCTGGCCAAAGGGGTCCTTCAAGTCACCAGAAGCCTGGGACAAGTAGGAAGGTCTTCTACCGAAATGGCCAGCGGTGGCCTCTTCAAACGGCTGTGCCTCGTTCACAGCTTTAAGGATCGGGTCGTGGATAGCAGAAGTGTCCATTTTGTAGTGGGAGCCGGCTTCATCGCCAGCGGCGCCGTGGTGGGAATTTCTGTGTTCCATTTGGGGTTGTTTTGCTGCACGAGAGGAGTTTCGAAAGATGGCCATGGTGGAATATTTATGTTGAGGATTTCAGCGGGAGGGCAGGGCAGGCAGGGCAGGGCAGGCAGTGCAGGGCAGTCACGGAACTCTGGGCACTATGCACGGAGCACTAAGAAAGATAGGGAAGGGGAGTTAACGGGAAAAACAGTAGTAGCAGGAAAAAGCATCAAAAACAGGGAAAAACGGCGCGAGACCACTGGTTTTATACGGGCGGTGCCTTAAATTGGGGCAGTCCGGCTACGCCCATTTTTTCTTTCTTTTTACCCTTTTTTGGCTGGATCAGGCTCTTGAATTTACGGGGGGTTTGACAGGAAAAAGTCGCTTGGTCCTGCGCGCAGCGCCTCGACCCACCCAGCCTAAGCCCATGTTATTTAGAGAAGTACGTGTGCTACGAGGTTTTGGATAGTTCGTGTGTGTTCTCCAGGGTCACTTTTGGAACCAATTTTTATTTATACAAGGTAAACCTCCCAGGAACATGCTTTTTCTCAACCGTTAGTGGTCTGCGGCACGTCAAAAATATACGAGCACGTGCGACTTTTTGCGCCGCGGCTCCACTACCCACCGCCAGCCCGGCTGTGCCCTCTACTGGCTGCAACTGAATCCCTTGGCGAAACCCCTACTGTTGCCAGGCTTGTTCTGTTTTTTCTGCTTTTTCTGCTTTTTCTGCCTTTTCTACCCAATTCTGTCCTCCACTTTGTGACTTTTCTACGCCTGCTTTTCTTGTGTTGCCACGACTCTGCGGTGTGTCTTGGTGTCTTGAGTGTCTTGGAGGGTCTTGGTCTGGGGCGCAGCCGGGGGCACGGAAGTCCATGAGGGAGTAGTTTTTTTTCGAGGGAAGCAGGGTCCAAGGAAGGGCTGGCGAGGATGCATTATAGAAAAAATTATCCCTCCATTGTGCATTCTGAAATAGTATAAAAGGAACCTGGTTCCTCCAATCTCTCTTAGCTTCTTTTTGTCCCTGCGCCTTGTAGCAACTGTGTTCCTGGCCAGGTTGGCAACCCATGTCTGGGGCTATGTGGGCTGTGGGTCTTGTCTACTGCAAACGCTAAAATGGGGCTCAAAGCAACTGTGAGGCCATAAAGAGGTGCCGAGTTTGTGGCTTTTTTCTTCTCAGTTTATGTGCCCCTGGTTGGTGTATGGAGGGCCCTTTGTGTCAAGTTGATGAAGACTTTTTGTTCAATGTGTGGGTGCATTTCTTGGCTGCTTTAGCGCTTGGCCTGGTACGGTAGTTTTCTTCTCGCTAGCTGCCCAGAAGACCGTTAGCCACGTCATTGACGGCATCTTTTCTCTTCTTCTTGCCGTGTTCTTCATTGTTAGCTGATGCTGGCCAAGACATCCACGGCGTTGATGCTTAGGGGCCGAGGGCCATCTATTTTGTAAGTATCACGTCTTGGTAAACTGGATACTTGAACCGTTCAACGTTGTTGCATGGAATTGGCTGCTTCGTGGTTGTTACACCTCTGTTGCTGTTTCTTGTCCGTGGTTTATTTGCTTGTAGATTTTTCTTTGCCATTGTCTGTGGTTGGCGTCAGTGGACTTGCGTCCTGGCACGGTTCTTGGACGGTTAGACAAGAGGAATCTCGGTAGAAGGTGACGTTGCTGGGTTTTCGCTAAGCAGACGGAAGAACTTATCGATATCGTCGCTGAAACTGTGTCGGCGTTGAAGGAGCGTATTGAACTCGCTTTTATCTTCGATAGAAAACCGGTTCTTTTCGTATTCGAGGTTTTTCGGGAACAAGTTCAACAGCATGCCGAAATCCACCGTTTTCCCTTCGTCTTCCTTCACGGCCTTGATCAAATCGCTATAAGTCAGGTTGACTATGAGATGGTCTTCGAATGTCCTTACTTTCAGCTTAAGCAACGATGGTTTGGTTTCCACTTCCTTCTTCACTGCCACCTTGGCTGGCGTACGGAACTTAAGTCTTGCAGGTTCAACCATTTTATGCTGTTCGACTTTAGAAACCCTCCGTTTCCTTTCTTTCTTCTGTACTGGCTTGACTTCCACGTCTTCTTCCCGTTTAACTTCCACATCCTCTTCGTCCTGACTGCCACGTGTCTTGCATCTTCTCAGTAGAAGCCGGCGAGTCCTATCAACCGGTTCTTTCTTAGCTGGCACTTCAGCTTGTTTCTTTACCAGTTTGGCAGTCCTCTTAGCTGTTTCTGGCGCTTTCTTACCCACAGCGTCTGTCTTCCTTCTCGGCGGCATATCCTTCTCCAATTCGTCTGAACGCAGTAGAAGCTCGTTGTAGCGTCGTATACAATCTTCTAACTCTGCCGCTGACATTAGCATTTTATGGGAACTCATCTTGGTAGTTTTGGTGGTTTTGGTGATGTTTGGTGAAAATCTGGGGAAGCATATATTCGCACGCGATGCTCATCGCTGGATCAGATGCGATGAGATGGTGGTGGGTGGATGGATTAGAGGGTATGGTGGGTTAGAGGAAGGGGGTTAATTGATGGATTGTTTGGGGAGAACGAAAGGTAATTTAAAGTGTTTGCCTTTTTTTAATGGTCATTTTATGTATTTGGAGGGATGGCTTTGGTTCGCAAAATGGTTGCAAAAGTGGAGATTATAGTGAGAAACTGGGAAAAGTAGAAATGTGCGTTCTTTGGAATACTTAATAAATTGAAGATTTCTAGATGTAAAATCATCCGATTGGGGTTTTGAAAAGAAATAGAAGAGAGTACAATTCGGTATCCTTTTGACTTTCGGTTCAATAGATGGCAGAGAACTGACTCTTTTTGCACCCATTGGAAGGAGACAGATCATTGAAACATTCGTCAGACTTTATTTATCCACTTAGCCTTTTTAAGCATGGAGTATTTTATGTTGATCAGTTTTCAACACGAGAAACGCAAACAATAACGACTTCTGCTATCATTTGCAGTCACTTAGACAAATGAGGCAGTTAAACGAATTATTTGGGCAAAATAGACGCCAGAATCCTAATCTAGGGCCCAAAATAAGTCGATTTATGTATTTTTTATTTTTAGAGCTCAAATTTTGAATGAACGAAATAAAAGTATATTATTTACTAAAACGACTTATTTAAGGCGCAACCAATCAAATCGTTAAAGTCCGATATAGTGTAACGGCTATCACGGTTCGCTTTCACCGAGCAGACCGGGGTTCGACTCCCCGTATCGGAGCTTCTTTTTTGCATTTATAGATCATGCATTTTTTTTTTCTATTCAGCTTTCATCTATTTCGTTAGAATATTATTTGGCTATATGTATCATGCTATATCGTTTTGCTCCTTGAAAGTATCCCAGGCTTTGTTCAAAGTGATGAACACCGCCTGACAAACCATCTGGTCCTCTAACTCAAACTTCCCTAGTTTGTCTGGGTGAATGGCACTGATGACTTTCATGTAGTTTATCTTCACTTTCTTCGTGAGCATAAGATCGTTAATGGTAAGCTTCTTATCAGTGATGAACGGGAAACCAAGTCTTTGTGGAAGGACGTCACTAAGCGACATGAGGAGGTTTCTCAAGTTATCCTCTTTACCACCACTCCATGCTTGGACTCGTTCATGCACTTGATCATGCAATTTGAATTTTTTCTCTTCCTGCTCCTTTTCGTCTATGTTATGCTTCCTGATCTTTCTTACCTGAGCGTTATTAGCAGACGTAGGCGTGCTTGTTGGACGAGGAGCCGCCTTCTTTGGAGCAGGCTTGGGTGGGTTGACAATATTGTTGACCCTTCTTTTGGCATCCATGACTTTCTTCTCGTTGATGCCATGCTTGGAGATGAGCTCCATGTAGCAGTCAAGAGAAGCAGGGAAGTTCTCTAGCATTTCAAGACTCTCTGCTTTTCTGATTAATAATTTGACGTACCAGTATTTGATCTCTTTATTGTTCAAGACCCAGTCGCTGTCGTTGATATTTTCACCAACAAGAGCAATACCATCATCACACTGCTGCATAGCCAGCTTGTAGTTTCCAAGCTTGATGTTGGTGATGGCCAAATTAGATGTTATAACAATGCGAAGCTCGTGTTTACCTGGAAGACTCTCAAGACACTTGCTATAGGAGTTGAAAGCGTCGTCGTAGTCACCGTTAGTAAATGACTCTGTTCCCTTAGCTTTAAAAGTTTCATAATCTGATTGTTGGAAGGCATTAAGAGGTTCTGCAGTTGCAACACGAGGCTTGGAAGGAGTTTGGGCTCTCCGCCTTCTAGCAGGAGAAACATAAGCGGCATCATCTTTCTGAGAGGCCTTGAAACGTTCACTAGGAGTGAGAGAGCCGTCAGAGAGCCCCAATAGGTCATCTTCGACTGGAGCAGGAGCTGGGGCAGGAGCAGGCTTCGTACGCTGGCCATTAGGATGTACTGGCTGGGAGACAGGCCTAGAAGGTTTTGCTGGAGGTGTTTCGCCTCTGGAAACCGACGCCAGAGAAGGTCTTTGAGGCATTTGTGGTTGTGGAGACAGACGAGCCAGACTGTCTCTGCTGCTTCTGGTAACGCCTTCCTTCAACTTATCGATCCTCTGTTTCTGTCTCTCCTTCTCACGCTGCTTCTGCAACTTCATAATACGCTGGATCTCCTCCTGGTCGATGTTTTCCGCATCGGTGCCGTAATCTTCAAAAGTAGTGCCATCCTTCTTTCTCTCCAGGGCTCTTTCTCTGTATTCTTCTTGCTGTCTCATCCAAGCGGGCATAGAGCCCTGGCCGTCACGATCACGAGAGTTCTGGAACTGCTCGATATTCTTAGTAACTGTTTCCTTTGATTTGGCAAGAAACCAAGATGCCTTTTTGAACATATCTGTTGAAAAATCCTGGAAAGCGGCACCCAAATCTTGCTGAGACAGAGGACTATCACGGCCACGTTGTTCCTGGTTCCTAGAAGACCGAGAAGACCGGCTTGGAGCGCTGGCAGGTGTTCTTTCACCTCCACTCATGATATAATTCACACAGCTCTGGAGATCAGGTCCCACCTCGTCAATGGCTTTATTAGAAGATTCCACGGAAAACCCAATATCCACAAGCCCGGCCAAAACCGAGTCTCTTCCCGGCTCGCCAGACTCTTCCAGTTCTCTGAAATCAGTTGGTTTCTGAGCCACAGGCTGTCTGATCTCAGGCTCTGGTTCTTTCACAGGCACCGGTTCAGGCTCTGGCGTATAAGCATCAGTAAAATCGTCATCAAGAAGGTTCCCCACCAGCGATTCCGTTGCCTTGTTCACTGGAGTACCACTAGACTTGGCTGGAGCTGAAGGCTTACTAGGTTCACCTAGGCCAAATAGTAGATCGTCATCGATATTTGAAGGAGGGGACTTTTTCGTTTCAAAAACCAGAAAAGGATCAATATTAGAAGGTTTATTCGCCGGTGGAGGCGTGGAATTGCCTGAAGATAACACATCCCAGTTGTTGAATGGACTCTGGGACGTTGGAGGTTTCTTGGTATGCAATTGTTCCTGCAAGGAAAGTTTGTTCATATTTGAGTTCAACGGGGAGCTCAGGCCCGAGCCTGCTGCAGACAGAAACAAATCAGCAAATGCATCTTTCTTAGGGGGAGCCATTCTGGAAGAAGCAAGTGTCAGGGTTGGAGGTCTTGACAAGGTGGACGATATATAGGCGGTGAGGTCACGTGATGCGGTTGCAAAATCCACTAAAAGTAGCCTCCCACGGACGTTCCACCAATATAAGGTAAAAAGAGACGGATAGGACGAATCTTTAGGAGATTCTCCTTCTAATGGTACCCCTTGTTCATGCAAAAAACAAAAAATAATGACTCCGGCGTGATTCGAACACGCGCATCTTACGATAACAGAACTTGAGTCTGCCGCCTTAGACCGCTCGGCCACAGAGCCATTAGATATAGGTCCCAAAGTGGTGGTTTAATATGTAGTGGGTAATTGATAAATGATTAATTTTGGGTATTTTAGTGTTTTATTTGTAAGTTTAAGCAACTCAGGAATAGTGTGGTAAACTCAAAATGTGGAAATTCTCCCGGAAATGCTCATTTTAGTTGTAAATCTGGCGCTACAGACCTTCTAGAAATAAAATAACCATCCTTATAGATTCAAGACAAAACGAAAATGGCAGAAAAAGTACCATTATTTCTCTTAAGTGTGTGGCGTGCCAGAAAGCTGTAGGGTAGCTGCTCAGTACTAGAAGAGCCCTCTCAGAGACACCATCTACAAAGTCACCAAAATCAACAAAAAATGAAAATTTTGATAACTAATTGAACATCAAGCGACCTCCAGGAACCCACTGAAACCTTTACTTTCCAATTTCAGAACAAATATAAGACGTATTCTGTCTCCTCTTCACCTTCCAGCCACCCTCACCTAAACCATCCAACTTATTCACCACCCATTTAAATTTCTTCAGCCAAAAAAGCAGCAAACAATACCGCCCCACCAAATAACCAAATTCCATCACCTATTCCTCAAAACTGGCCTTCCCTCTCCAAATCTCTACCATCCTTCTTGTTCATTTGCAGCCGACCATGTCTGGTGTACTGATGTGTTCCACATCCCACCCAGTGAATTTTTTTGAACCTCATCTCAGCCAAATCTTCATCCTCCAAATCCCAAACCTTCCCATCCACAATGCATTTGATGTACACTTTGGGCCCAGACGGCAAGAGAGTCTACACTTTGCAGAAAACCACCGGTGACGGCGAGATCACCAAGTCTGCCCACCCTGCCAGATTCTCTCCAGACGACAAGTACTCCAGACAGAGAGTCACCTTGAAGAAGAGATTTGGTTTGTTGCCAACCCAGAACTAGATGCGTGGAGCGTGAGCTTGACGGTGTGGAAGCCGTTTGTACTATAATTCAGCATATTAATACATGTTACTTTTCGGTTACTTTGAATGGTGCTGCCGTGGTGAAGGTGGACCAGCTGTAGGTGATAGGAAGTAGGCGAGAGCCTTAATGAATGTAGGATACAAGAGGACGTAGAAGAAAGGGTTTCCGATAGGTTGCTGTGGCTAGGAAACAACATCGTACATGGTATGTGGATGTATTTGATAGGCCGTAAAGCAGCTAGTTACGCTCGGGCTGTCGAAGGCTTTCTTGTATCCTTCATATGTAAATCAACAGTGTTGAACAGTATAGATTAACGGAGCATAGCAAGTCAATGAGGTTTCAGATGGCTAGCTTCTTGGTAAGGCTAGCTTCTTGAGAAGCCTTACAGGCCGTATGGAAAGGGCCATGTGGTACATTATTACCTCAAAACACCTAGATTGAAGCGACAAGTATCCGTTTAGAGCATGGGTGGGCTAGCTGGACACCGTTTTGCTTCTTAGGCAGTGAAGCCCATGAATGATCTGAGAAGTGCTTCAACTAACGCACCATCACATAACCACCAAAGGACGTTGAACGCAAACCAAACACGTCAAGCTGTCCATTTCAGGGACTCAAAATCTGGGGACCTTCATACCCAGTAATTGTATATTTCTTCAGCTTATGGCAGTGGACTCTGGGTTTAGACATCACCATGCAGTGTACCCACCATTGCCCATCAAAACAATCAAAACAGCCCTCCTCCTTCCTTCTTCACTTCATTCCCAGACATAACCAGATGCCAGGATTTCAATATTATCAATTGTTTTCTTCTATCATTCACAATAACTATCATTCAGTGCGCTTCAAGTCCTCCACCTCTAAAGTGGTTTCCGTTTCTGGCCCGTGGCTTCAAGATTATATTCAGCATTCTGAGAGTAATTCTCCCACATCTGCGCCACAATATCTATATTTTTATTGTCACTGTTGATTTTATGCAAAAACAAGTTCATATCGTGGACTGAATCATTTAATGCTTTGGTGCTGTTGATGATACGAGCGAGGAGCGCCAGCTGCTGCTGCTCGTGAGGGTTGACCATTTCCGCTTTTGAGCTCATGTTAGTGATTTTCTTCTTTGTTTTTTAGGTTTTAGGTGGAATTCAAGAAGAAGACTGGGTGTGGAGAGACTGGAAAGTGTGTTTTGATGTACGCGATAGTGGGATGGGTTTCATGCAGCACTATCAAGAAGATGGAAACGACAGAAGGATTGTATAAACAAGAAATAAAAGCAGGTTTGGAGGTTTCTATTGGTCAGTGTCTTCAATTAGGATGACATTTTGACGATTCTGACCTTCCTGTTGCAAATGTCACAAGTACTCATCACCAGTCAATGGCTGCAAAACTTAGGCATGGAACCCAAAGTCGTTCATAAGACTATCCACATCCTTCCAGATCAAGTCACTGTTCACGTCAAACACATCGAGGTTTCCAACGCCCTGCGAAGGAGACTCGTCAAAGCTCAAGTACATCTCTGACGCCTCCTTGTTCTTTGGTCTATGAGGGTTGCGCATGGCGTTGCCTGCCACTTGTATTTGGGGTGTGGCAGGGACATGATGATGGTTCTGGTGCTGCTGGTGATGTTGATGATGGTGCTGCTGGTGCTGGTACTGTCCGTTTTGGTGTGCTGCAACTGAGGCTTGGTGGGGGTTCTTGAGAATCGACCCTGGCGATCCAGAACTGCGTGAATGGGACTCGTCGTTTCTAACACTGGGTGAAGTTTCCGCACTGGTGTTCACCACTTTAAAGATCGAGCTTCTCTTCGACGCAGCAATGGGCTGCGGGTCCAAAGGAATGGTACGTATAATACGACGGGCTTTGCTTTCGGCGTCACCAACGTTCGATAAGGATCTGCGTCTTCTGCGGCCAGAACTGGTGATGCTGCCTGGCGTGGACTTCTGGCTTGGTGTCTTGCTTTGTCTGCGGCCTTTGGTATCAACGGCCACTTCTTCATCAGAGGAAACAGCCTGTTCTTCGTCTTCTTCGTCTTCTCCATACAGATTACTCTCTTCGTCGTTATCTTCAGCTTGGTCTCTGACATCAGTACGAATACTGAGCTGGGCCATGCCCACTTGGTCACGAAGAAGCGACAAACAGTCAAAAAACAAGGATGCAGCCATTCTGGTTCTTGTACGAATTGAAAGAGTGGTCATTTGTTTCTCATCAAGAGTCTTAAAAAGCGGCCACATGTTTCTCATAATTCCACTGGCTCTATAGGCGACATCGTGCTTTAAGATAGATGCTTTAGCAACAATGGTGATGGCGCTCATGTACGTCAGCTTACCCAGCTCAACATTGAGCACCGATTTGAGAGGCGAATTGGCAAGTTTCACAATGACAAACGACGCCTGCCAAATGTTCAAAATGGATACCACCGGCATGAACTTCACAAAGTCCTTTTCAATAGCAATAAGTGTTTGAACGCAAGTAATGAGTGAAATGGCAGCGTTGTAAAGTCTCACTAAACCCTTGGAAAGCTCAAAAGGAGGGATGTTGGTGGCGTCCAAGAAATAGTGGGTCAAAAGATGCACTCTAGCAACAATGTACTTGATTTTCCTGTAACCGTTATCAGGCACATTATCAGAAGTAAGTTTAAGCTCAAGCTGGTCGAGTTGTCGAAGAAGAACCTTGATAAGTGAAAGGCGCTCGTTGACCTGATGGGTTCCGTAATCAACACGGGTATTAGAAGTCAACGATCTCGCTACCTGGTCTTCAAAATGGGCAATCTCCATTAAATGCCTTGTAGCAACAGGCAAGTCCACGTACTGAGGACGTAAAGAGTCGAATTGAACGAAAGCTGGGAATCCAAACACTGTAGCGATATTCTGAGATACTATGTTGCACACTATCCATGTTTTCATTTGCTCCTGAGCCATAGCATACTGCTGAGGCGGAATTGGTTCCAGCTGGGCCTGATCAAGCACTTGGCCTGAAGAATGGAGACCGATACGGATACTCTGGAACAAAGCCACACCGATAGTGTTCCAGGAAGAGTCCGAACTAAGCGAGGACGTCAATGGTGGCCAGATGGAGTATATGATAAATGCCTGGACAGAATAAACCGAACAAGCGTTCATGATAGGTTCATCTTCTTCTGTTGGATGGTACCGTGTGATTGGAGAGATGGTGATTTCCGAAAGAATGTCTTTGATTAGCGGCAGCAAAGTCAAAAGAAGCGAACCATTATCGTCGTACCGACGCAGCGCAACAAACATAATTACCCAGAAAAGCGACGGACAAAGACGATAAATTCGTTCAGGGCCTCTAGCGACCTCCACCACGGGTAAAGTCGGATGGTAGTAGCGAACATAGTCCATGTACAACAGCACAATAGCTTCAGGCAGTAAAGTGACAGTTCCAAGCGATTTCTCTTCACAGAGCAAAGCGTGGTCAGGCACCGCAAAGTGGTGAGCCTGGGACGGTTTTTCTGTAGGGTTTATATTCAAAAACAGCCTCGACTGGGGTCCTTCTGGCGACTGGTGAGCCTCAAGCGGAACATGTGGAGGTTGATGAGGAACCTGGGGCACCAGATGAACCTGAGCAGACTGTGGAGCCTGAATAGCAGGAGCAGTCTGTCCCTCATGGCCTGGAGCCGGCAGGTACAGCACCGAATGAGGCGTTCCTTCAGAAGAAAACGTCCTTCCAGGCACCAGCGGAACCTGTGGAGCCTGAGGAACCCCTGTTACCGTCGTTCCCAGCCCCACGGGACCCGTAAACGTCTTCTTAAGCTCCGCAAACTCCTTCTCGATCAGCGCCAACCTCGCTCTCTTCTCTGTTCTCTTGAAATCAGCCTTCACCACACATTCTATCCCCTTCTTTTCACATCTCGTGCACGGAAGCGGATCCCTCGTCTGGGCATCACACTTCAGTTTCTGCTGCCGACAAGAAGTACACGCTAGTCTCCTCGGCTTAAGCCCATGGTCCCCCAGCGGCGTATCCAGCCTGTGTCTCTCCCCATGCTGTCCGTTCGCATGGTTCCCATGTCCATTCATATTTCCATGGTGCATCGCACCCAAGTCAGTGTCGTGTGTATCCGGTGTTTTCTCCAGCTTGATCTGTCGGTCAAGCTCAGTAAGCTCGTGCGTGATGTTGGCGATGTGCGCTAACCGGTCCAACGAGGACTTTGTCTCCATAAGGGGGGTATAGAAGGGAGGAGCTTGGAAGAGGTGTTGGTGAACATCAACAGATGGAGGGGGACTGTCTCAGGGCATCGCGCGCCTGCACCACCAGACGAGTGGAGGCCACACTTCTTTAGAAGAAGACAGAGAAGACAAAGAAGAAAAGGTGCTTAGGGGACTTTTTTTTTTCGGGGGATTTGGCTTCTTTATATATTGCGGGTTTTTTGAAAGCGGGGTACTTGAGACTTCTGTGAGTGTGTGTTGATCTTTTGTGTACTTGCTGGTTGACGTGGTTCGACGAAGGTGCAATAGAGGTTACTGGTACTTTGGAGGTACTTAAAGAGGAAACTTGGAATTGGGCTTTTGGCGTTTCAAGTGTTCAAGAGTGCTTTGAGGTTTGTGTTTTGGTGAAGAAAACGTCTTTCTGGCTGGTTATAAGGTTCACTGTTGGACGGTCTATTCTCCATACAGTTATTGACGTCAGAGTTTGACATACTTTGTTCAAAGTGAAGAAAAAAGAGAAAAACTTTCTCATTCTACTGTTCATTCATCGGTTTGAATTCACCATGACAGCACTTGGAGAAGTATCGTCAGACGTGCGTGTGTTGCTTATATCGGTGTTTCTTCGTCGAGGAAGCTTTGGGCTTACAAACCAGGTGCTTACGCTTTTTCTTAAAGCTGTGGGGGTTTCAAAGTCCCATATTGGGCTTTTTATGACGCTTACGCTTCTTGGAGATACCGGTATTTCGTATGTGCTCACATGGTACTCAGATCAGCTTGGGCGCCGTTTGGTGATGGTAGCAGGAGCTGTGTTGATGCTTGTTTCTGGTTTTGTGTTTGCGTGGTCGCTGAATTTCTGGGTGCTTTTGACAGCTGCCATTTTGGGTGTGATTTCGACATCTGGCGACGAAACTGGTCCGTTTAAGACGGTCGAGGAGGTTTGTATTTCTCATTTGACGCCTCCAAAACACCGTGCTTCTATTTTTGCTCTTTACGGGTTCTTGGGGAGACTTGGTGCTGCTTCTGGAGCACTTATGTGTGGATTCCTTGTTGATTACTGGAACTATGCTCTTGACTGGGACTTGGAAAAGTGCTATAGGGCCATTTTCGTTGTTTATTCTGCGATTGCGCTTATCAAGCTTGTTCTTGCTGTTTGTTTGAGTAAGAACTGTGAACTTCACGAGTACTTGGGCGACGATTCAGGCCCTGAAGTGACAGAACTGGAAACTGAAGAGTCACAGTTACTTGACGAAAACGAAGGCCCTAAAAGCGGGTTCAGTCCTCAAACAAAACGACTCTTACCCAGACTTCTCGTCGTGTTCATGCTTGATTCCTTGGGATACGGGTTCATGCCGCCAGCGTGGATTGTCTTTTACTTTAAGAAAACGTTCCATCCAGCTGCTTCTGCATTGGGAACTTTGTTCTTCTTTACCAACATGGTCGACTCCCTTTCGTCAATTGCATCTGCAGTAACATTCAACTTGCTTGGTCCAGTCAAAGCAATTCTAGCTGCCCAGCTTCCATCTGCTGTGTTTTTCTTCAGCATCACTTTCTGCAAGTCTTACCTTCTTGCAGCTACCTTCTACTTCTTGTTCTGTGCTACAGGCACAATGGACGTTGTTCCAAGACAAGTGCTTCTCACGTCGATTATCCCCAAAGCAGATCTTCTTAGGGTAATGGGAACGGTGAATATTGCAAAGACGTTTGCCAATTGTATTGGTCCATTCTTTACAGGCCATTTGGCAGAGCACGGGTTGCTCCATCTTGGTTTTGTAATCAACGGTATTTGTCTTGTGGTGGCAGACACAATTCTTGGCTTCAGCTTTGCCCATCTCGATAACGACGTTTTGGCCAAGCACCGTTAATCTACACTTGTATGAATGCAAGTAAAGTATATTGACCTTCTATAAAATGCACCTAGCGGATCGTAATTCGTAAGATATTTTTGTTTTTTGGAGTTCATGCTTAAAATAAAAAGTGGTACACTCTCTTGTACCATGGTTTGGCTTTAAGAGCAGCCTTCTCTTCCAGGAGTTCTTGTTGCAATTTGTCAAAGTCTGTCTCGCAACGACCAGTGTCGATATCCATGGCAGACAAGGGGACCAAGAAGGTCCAGCGCTTCTTCCAGAAACCAGTATAAAGCTTGTGGCCCAAGTAGAAGCAAAGCACAATGACAGCACCCAAGTAGTTCTTGAAAAAGACAGTAGCATCTGGATCAGAGCCCAATGGGAACAAGGAAACCCAGAACTGGAGACACAAGACGACAGTCAAGCAAACAGTAGCATAGACAGAGCCCCAGACACCAGTTTTGGAAAGGTATGGCAACTCAGTAAGTGGTCTGCCTTGACGCTTCATAGCAGCTCTGAATCTGACGTGACCCAAAGTACAAGAAGCCCAGGTGAACAAGGTGGAAAGGGCAGAAAGAGCCACCAACCAGGCAAACACTTCACCTTGTTTTGGCGAAGCAGCGACAAAAGCCATCAAACCAACAATGGCAGAAGTCAAGAAGCCCACAAGCGGTCTACCGTTTCTGTCGACATAGGTAAAGATCTTTGGAGCCAAGCCTTGTTCAGCCAAGGAAAGAATGGTTCTGGAGAAACCGTAGACGGCCGAGTTACCAATGGAAAGAAGCGAGATGATCACCACCACGTTGAAAATGGAAGGAAGCGCAGTGATACCACCGTTCTGGATGGCAATGACGAAAGGCGAGGCAAAAGCGCTATCGCCAGAAGTCAATCTATCTTCAGTGTAAGGCACCAAGAAGGCAATAAGCGTCAAGGTGAGCATGTAGAAAATGATGATTCTGTAGAAGACCATCTTGATGGCAGAAGGTAAGGCGATTCTAGGGTTTGTGCTGGACTCGGCAGCTGTAAGAGCCACCAATTCGGTACCTGCCAAAGAGTAAGTAGCAGTAACAAGCACAGAAACCACACCCTTGAAGCCATGACTGAAAGCACCCGGATCGTGCCAGTACTTAGCGCCAATGTAGCCAGCGTCGCCGCCTCCACAGATCAACACAATGGCCAAAATGTCAAAGCCCACCACACCAAGCAATTTGAGAATGGAAGCCACCAACTCAGTATAAGCGAAACCAGCGGTACCGAAAAGATTAAGCCCCAAGATGAGCACGTAGAAAATGGCCACCCACACGACAGTGTTGATGTTGGAGTTCCAGAACTCGATAGCCAACGACGCAGCCACCAATTCCAAGGGTAAAACCACCACCCAGAACATGGCATAGTTCCAGCCAGCAGCAAACCCAAAAGAGGGTCCACGAAACGAGTAGCATACACAGCGAAAGCTCCAGAAACAGGGAACGTCGACGAAAGCTCAGCCAACGCTTGCATGACACAGTAAAGGAAAGAAGACACAATGGCCCAGCCTATAAGAATACCAGCTGGACCACCAGCCGCCAAAGCCTGGCCTGAAACGACCAAAAGACCTGAACCGACACATCCACCAAGGGCAATAAACGCCTGGGAAACCGGGTTAATTGAGGACTTTAAGCTTGAGTTGGCTGTTTTCCGAACTGCTCTTTCCATCAGATCTATGGACTGGTCATCAGAGACCTCTTCTCTCTCAGCAGGTTTAAACGAGTCTCTGAAACTCTTCCATTTGGAGCCTCCAGACTGCTGTTTTTCGGGTTCTGGAGATGTAGAAAGATTGGTATGAGAACCATAGTCTCTGGAATCATACGACAAGTTGTCGTTGCTGGATTCCTTAGACATTATGAATATAAGACGACTTAGGGTTTAATGAATATGGAGTCTCTCTTTTTGACTTCTCTTGACTTCTTTTGTCTTTCTGACTTCTTTTGTCTTTTTGATTTGTCTTAAAAAATAGGTGGTTTTCGGATTCCACGTCTTTTACGTCTTATAAAGCCTGGAAAGTCCGATGCGTTAGTCAGAGGCTTGTGCAGAAAAAGAAAAGAAAAAAGAAAGTGTGCGTCAGAGGTTGCAAAAAGCAAAGAAAACTGTGAGGAAAAGGCGAAGATTCGCCGTGCCAGCGGCGCGGAACCGGCCACTTGTGGGAAAAAGAGAGATGGGAAAAGTCGTGGGTTTTTGACCAATCAGAGGCTAGCGGAAGTGCATTTCCGGAGGCCGGTACACCAGCAACCCATCCACCTTTTTTTTCTCCATCTCTCCTTTTAAATTGAGTGTCTTTTGGAGACGAGTTCAGTGGAGGTGGTCGTCGCGTGAGCTGGAAAGTCACCGGTGCGAAGAAAATACAGGCGGTGGAAAAAGTGCCTTGAAAAAAGCCGGTAACGGTGTGCTTGTATGCAGGATATATGGGTACTTTTTTTTCCATTTTCCAGACCAATCGCAGTGAAAAAGTATCACTAAGCGGAAAGGCCCCCACATTTCGGTGAGTTCCGTAGAGGCCACGCCTGAAACGGGAAATTTTCAGTGGGCCCGTTGGCGATTGGATTTTGATAAGGTAGGGGTAAGGCGTGGTGCACGGGTTTCTTGGTTTGTAGGTTGGAGTTGGAGTTGGGGAGGGCCAGCGGAAACGGCGTTTCACTGGGGCAAGTTCCCCAGGTTTCGTAGGTCTTAGAGTTGGACATGTGAGAGATGGAATGGCGGGGAGAAGGAGGAGGAGGAGGAGGAGGGAAGTAGGGAATAGGAGATGTGAATTGGCTGAATTGACTGAATTGGGTTGGGTTTGGTGGGAATTGGAAGGACTGGTTTACTACGGAGAAGAGGTGTGAGGAAGTGAAAGTTGTGAAAAATTGGAAAACCTGAAAAATGGAAAAAACTGAAAAACCTGAAAATCAATGAAATTGGCATTTTCTGCATTTTTTGTTTTCTTGATTTTTCTTTTCTTGACTTTCTTCAAAACCCTCCAATTCCAATAAATTCTGTCCTTCTCTGAAGCTGTTGGCTTGTTGGTGTTCCACGATTGGCAAATCGCCAAGGCGAATGTAGAGCGGTTAACACGGTAAGGAGGAAATCGTGGAGTTGCGGAGACGAGCAGGAAATGGGACATAAGGCGTGTTTTTCGTTTGGAAACTGGTTTGATTTTGTGGTGGTTTAGTTGGAAAGGTGGATGGAGGGTGGATTGAGAAAGGGTATGAGTAGTTAGTGGAATATGGAAATGAATGGGTCCAGTGGATTTTAATGTGGACTGGTGAAATCGGCAATTGACCAGAAGGAGACAAAGCAGCCATTGGACTCGTCTTTTCCTCTTTTGTTACTCCGTAGACTTCAGAAGTAGACGTTCCTGGATTACTCTTTCCACTGAGCACCACTCAGTACCACCTACAACCTACTACCATCCCTTGTAATCCATTCTAGACTCTTCCCTCGTCCTCTCCCTCTCCCTCTTCCTCTCCCCTTCCAATACCACCTCATAACCACCTCTAGGCCACCTCATAACCACCTCTAGACCACCCTACGTCCAAGCGAATGGCTTACTCTCTACTAGGCCTCGTAGATTGCCGAAAGCCAAGCTTGAAGTCAATCCAGAATCGTCACTCGATCGGCACCAGCCGTGTCTTTATCGGTGACCAGACGATCGTCCCGGTTTCGGGGCGGCAGATCAAACACTAAAGCTTATTGGTATTAAGGTTTAGATGTGTGCCAGTCCGACCAAAGCGGGAAGTGAATGAGGAGAATGCACTGAACTGGATGAGTGGTAGGTTGGCTGGAAGTTTGGCAAATAGGGAGGGAGGTTGGCTGGAATTTGGTACGGAATGGAGGGTTTGGTGGTGGTTTGAATGGATGAAGTCATGCAAATAGTCTGTAAACGCATGGTGGGTTTATCGGAACACCGTAAACGTAAGAGCGTGGGAGAAGGGGAGGTATTGAGTTTAGGGAAGTGGATGGGAATTGAATGGGAATGAATGGAGAGCTGGTTGTCTGGAGTATTGGAGTATGCTGCTTGGCTGGGAAGTATCGAAAAGGTGTTGGATATGAAAGGCAATGAATGTGGTTCATTGGAATGGCCTGGGTTTGTTTAAGAATTGCACGGCTCCAATTAGTGAATTGAAATCGAATCGGACTAAGCGATTGACAGGTCTAGGAATTGCCTTGGACAGCTCTGGAGTGGGATACTTGTATGGGTTCTTAAGTGACTGTCATGGTCTAAGACTGGACTCCAGGGTCCAGCAGATGCCTAACTTCTGTCTTTCACTAATTTAAGATATCAAATAAAAAAGGGAAATCGACATTCAATCTCTATTGGCATTTCTTGACCTAAGTTCAGCTGGTATATCACTTATAGTTCTCATTTAGTAAATCTACCACAACCAACTCCGCCCTCCACCTCCCTTACTTCCACCCACAACCAAAAGAACCCCAATCCATCGAACCCGTCCAGACCAACACCGCCTACCACCATCCACTGCCCCTTACTTCTCTTCCCTTCCTTTACTTCCCTTCCCTTCCCTCCACCAACTCCAGCCTCAACCTCAACACCTTCCATAACCGGCTCAAACAAGCAACAGCCACCACTCTGCCTCCTAAACAGTGCTACAAACGTCCAAAAGGCTTCCAGAACGCCTATCCACGTCTAAGTGTCACGGTCACAGCCCCAGTGGAGCCTCTGTGGGTTCATAACCGAGGAATACATAGAGATAAGACAAAGAGATGTGGACAAAGGGAGAGAAGACGGGGGCTGGGCATTGTGGATGGATTCGAGACAAGTGGATGGGATTGTGTTTTGTCGAGGACCAGTGGGTACTGGGCTGGATGTATGTTGGTGTTGGTGGATATCTGGTCAGGTGAGGTGAAAAGAGATAATGTACGTTCTAGAGAGTAGGAAAACGAGAAACTAGGATGGGAGGAGACAAAGGCTATGGAATTACGTGGATAAACGGATTTTGGCTGAATTTGAATGTCTGGAAACCAAGAGGTGGTGGAACATCTACAGATCTGGAGAGTCTCCTATCTTAAACACAAAATCCACCATAACTCAACCAATTCTCGTCCAAATTGAGCCGAAACTAGTTCTTTGTGTAGCTCTTCTCTCAAGCTATCTCCCTAATTTACTCACCAATTCCCAAAATATCTTTCCTCTCTCCGATAAGACAAATAAGGTTCACGTAATCGGTTGGCGAGCCTCAGCCGCCGCATTTTGCAACCATTCCAGTGTAAGCGAGGGTCGTATAAAGGCCCCGCCAAAACGCCCAAAACGCCAAAACACCCCAAAACAAACCACACCACCATACTCCACCCATTTTTCCGAACACAACGAATCCCATAAATCCCCAATCCAACCTCCCCTTACCCTCTTTCTACCACCATTTCGCTTCTTCGGTGGAATACGTCACCACCTGCACACAACACCCCAAATGCGATTATTGCTCTCCACAAAAACCACCTAATCCTACTAATCACCAGTTATCAACTTCTGAATCAACACCAACCGCCTTTCCAATATGAGTGATTTCAGATTCAAAACAACCGTCGAACCGAAAATCCTCCACCAAGTTTTCGCCGTGTGCGGCTCCGAATGGGGCCAGCCAGACCCAGAAGCGTTTGCTGAGTTTCAGACAAAGCTTCTTGTGGACGCCATTTTGAAGGGCAGAGCTGCCAAGGCGTTCTATTTGGAGTCCAAGGAAGGAGAAATCGCTTGTGTATGTGTGGTGACCCAGCATAAAGGGTTTTATAAGGATTCGGGTACTGGCGGTATTGGAGTGCCAGATCCAGCTGCTTTTGGAGTGAACCCAGCCACAGGCCTTAGATTGAGTTATGTGTTTACTTTGGCCAAGTTCAGGGGCTTGGGGTTGATGGGGAAGCTTGTGAAGAAGGCAATTGACGTCACTGAGGAGGAGATCTTGAAGAAGGAGCTCGATAAGCTGAGTGATAAGAAGGGCAGCTTTAGAGATATGGTGACGGACCTGACGGGCCGCGTAGACCCTCAATTGGCGAAGTATTACCTTGGAAAGAAGTACTTTTGGTACTTGTACTCGGCGATCAAGTCGGCGTACAGTCAGTTTGGGTTTAAGCCGTATGTTGCTGATGGATATATCATTCCTAGATCTGTTTTGGACAGCGAGGCTGCCAGTCTCGTGCAAAAGCTTCTTGACCAGGGCAGCGGTGTTTCTGAGCACGTTCCAGGCAAGAAACTTACGTTGTTGGACGGCTCGAAGCCTTTAGATGAGAACTTGATTGCGCTGATCTTGCAGCTGCGTGAGTTGGACTTGTTGACCGACTTGAACAAGACTCTTTTCCATTCGGAATTGTCTGGCGGGCGCAGGTCGCTGTCGTCGCTTACCAACGTGCAAACGGCTCTTTCTCTGACGAAATTGTTGGGTTCACAAAATGAGCTTTCTTCTGTTGCTGAACAAATGAGTGCTGCTCAGATCGATCCCAACGCTCCAAAAGATCCCGGCCTCCGTAAGAAATCGTCTATGCAAAACCTTACTTTGCCTAAATTCTTCTTGCAGCCCGATGTGTCCAACGTCCGCAAGCATCATGCTGCAGACGAGCCCAGAACAAAGAAGAAGAGCGGCGACCTTGACTACGCCAGGATCAAGGGTGCTGTGTTGACCAACGAATTGCAGCAGAAGAGCTACTATATCTTGTGGTCGCTGATCATGGACGGTAAGACGTTTATCATCAGTCTGGGAGAGTTGAAGGTGGATCCATTCGGCATGCCAGTTGAAGCAAAAGAAGATAGACTGGGTAGAAGAAGATCCTCTTTTACCGCCCTCAACGACTTGGGTGGCTTCAACTTACAGGACTTGGAGCTCTTGATCAGTGCTGCTGTGCTTGTGGCTTACAAGCGTGATCCAAACCTCGACAGAATTTACGTCACCTCCCAGGACTTGCCTGACACGGTCCCCAGCTCTGTCTTGTACGACTTCTTCATTAACTACTTGCCAAGAAGCGTTCCTAACGTGTTGAAGAAGGACGACGAAGGAGCTAAAGAAACCAATACTGTGGAGTACGTGGAAGACTTTTCAGGTGAGCAGCACCTTTTGCCTATGGCCAAGAGGTACGGTTACGATTCCCCAGAGTTTGAGCTTGACTGGATGGCCAGTGGCAGTATCATCACCTGGGGCTAGACTCAAAGTCTGGATAGAAAAGAAAAAGAAAAAAATAAGCTGGCAGTTCCTACTTGCAAGTGTTGGGCAGACGGGCAATTCAAGAGAAAAGTGGTAGTGCTCCTCTTCGTCTTCCTCTTCTGCTGTTTGCTTGCTAGTGACTGACTTGCTGACATTTTTTTTAAGCTGTTCCTGTTTAGGTATCCCGAGGCTATTGTTGGAGAAAGAGAATCCCGGTTATGTTAACCTCTACGGTCACATTCCTGGTCCCCGTTACACTTGATGCGTCACCAAATCTGCTTATTGCATGGGACATTGTTGTTAACTTCGAGATATGTTGCAAATTGCAGTCAGCGTGAAAGCCCTGTTTGGGAGTTACGAGGCTGACGGTCGTCAAGAATGGAAGCGAGCGGGGCTCCGAAACGGATCCCTCTAAAGGGGATGGTGGTACGGTGACTCTTTGATCTGACGGTATCTCTTGGGAAACAGCTGAAAATAAGACGGTTTAAAGAAAAAACGTTGAGGTGTTTCACGCTGTAGAGATGTAGAAACAATGGAAGATCGTTGAATGCTAGCGAACACTTGGCGGAGCACTCCCAAGAAATCGACACATCAACACATTGCCGTAACCTCGGAAGTCGCCAAGATTGCTGTGTCAAGTGGATGGTAAAGAGACAATAGACCGCCAGTGTCGAGTTTTCTTTGTCTGTTCAGTCACCTTAGACGACGGTGGGAGAGTTCTAGCCGGATTCGGAACTCCATTGGTGTGGATATCGACTTTCCTTCGTAAAGACAATACCTGGGAGCACCGTAAAGTGCCAGTACAATTGCTATTGTTGGAACTTAAAAGGTTGTACAAAGGGATGAAGTGAATGTTGAGGTGACTGGGAGTATGTTGATTTATATTACTCCAGGGAACTAGCGAAGGCTGGAGCGGCTTAGAGTATCAGCGGTATACCCGGTGACGCCTTGACGAGAAAAGCCAACAGTGAGCGAAGCGAACTGTTGGCGATGAAGAGATAATTGAGAGATCCAATTGAGAGAGTTGTTTGAGAGACATTCTATCAAGAGGTGTTTAAGAGATGTCTAAGAGTCTTAAGATACCTCAAACAGGGATCTCTTTGGACCATCTGGAGGCAACTCTCCACGACTTCGTCCCTCCCTTGACAGCAAGATAACCATTTAAGCAGCTCGACAGCCATTCTGGTCTGATACAGAGGAGCAGGCCAGTTTAGGGATTGCGCTGGGAGACTAAAATGAGGGTTCTTGATATTCCATATTTTGATATGCTCTTCAACAACCACACTAAACCAGCCAAAAGCAGCAATCTCCTGGCATTCCACTCGCCGTGTGACGCTTTTCACAAACAAAAAAATGACATCCCCCAAAAGGCAGTCTACGCTTTTGTATCCTCGGAACATGCAACTTAGGCGACCAGACATCAAGTCAGAACGGCCAGGCAGATATTGCCCAAGCAGGATTAAACCCAAAAAAAAAGCATAAAAAAGCATAAAAAAAGAATGAAGCCAAAAGGGAAATAACAGAGTTCAAAGAGATATCAAAAAGACATTCCTAGAGGTATCTCAACGTCAGAGACACCTTCTCTTCTCGGCCACAGCCTTGTTTTTAAACAAGCGGGTTCCCCTGAAATGCCTCTCGTTCAGCCTCTTCCCGCTTCTGCCTGTTCCGGGAAAACCCTACATTCTACACGCTAGAATGCCCCTAAACGCTAGGGAACCTTCCCGATTCCCGTTCCTGGCAAGGCTGTGGGCAGCCCCAGCCGCCTCAGAAGGTCACAGCCTTGGTCCTGGCAGGTTTATGCCTGTTTTATATACCTACATATTGGCGCCAGCAAATCAGAGGTGGATATATGGACTTTTCACAGATTCTTCTTCTGTATAAGTTGCATACAAGATGGGTACTGATAGACAGGCATTCTCCTATGTGTAGCCCGAGGCTTCTGGGATGGAAACGGTCGTGTTTTCTGCGCCCCATTCCGGACATATAGATGGAGGTGGTATTGATTAATAGGATGTGATATATGAATATTGGTCACTGGAGCCCCAAGGATGGTGGGGGAGGGGTAAGTTGATTGGGGATTTCTGTTTCTTTTTTTTTTTTTTTTTTGGCCCCGGAACTGGACACATTTCCGAGGGTAAGGGTGTTAGTCGACATGAAAGATCTTCGTTTTTTTTTCTCAAATCCGGGGGCAATCAGCCGTGTAGAGGATCACAGATAATTTCGAGGCTGTGTGGTGGGGTGGGGGGGCAACTAACAGTAGGTCTATTGAAATAGAATTTCTGTTGATTACGTCGACACGGGCGTTTCCCACGCAGCCTACTTTGGATGCAAAATACGTGGGAATAAAAAAAAAAAAAAAAAAAAAAAAGTCACTGGAAGCAGGTGCTGCAGGGGAGACGCGTACTGCAGGTACGTCAGGGGAACATTGCTGCACTGGACCATCTTGCAGTTACGTAGACCTGGCAGTTCTGGAGTGGCGACGGGTAGGTGGACGTTGTGGAGGGTTGCTTTCCACCAGGAACATTAGGCATTGCTAGAAGTTTGGAGTTGTTTTTGTTCACCTACATCGAACTTCGTGTGAGATCTTCATTCGCTTTTTTTGAGAGGTCCTACCTGCATACACCTCACCTACAGCAAACAAAGGCTCACCCGGCCTTGCCTTACCTTGCCTTGCCTGCCTACTTTTCCTGCCTGGATCTGTCAATGACGCTGTTAATTTTCGCACCTCTGCCGTTTTATTATCATATCACGAAAGTAAATAAGTGGTTGATAGGTTGGGGCAGGACAGAAAAGGGCTCCTCCCCTGGCTGTCTGCAGGAATAACACAGTGGCATAGGCCCCGCATGCAGTCCCAGGACCTGCGCGCCGCCAGCACAGCCTTGGCTAAGCCGCCTTCAGTGCCCCTGGCTCAATGTATTTAGCCGTCGTGGGCCACCATGCAAATGCCGAAACCACAATGGCCTGGGTCGTCCTGCGTATGCAGGTAGCACCCTCCCATACACTCCGTGCAGCCCCATACATGCCTCACCTCTATTTTGACGTGCATGTCCTCCTCCCATAAAAAGTGTCGCTTACGTCGACTATATATATAAGTAGGATTTTCCCCCCCAATAAGTCCAAATCCTTCTTTTTTCTTTTAGCCTTCCTTATATTTTTTTTTCCCCCGGACACATGTCCTATCCCGTATACTTCCAGCAAGATTACCTGATGGCCAGGCCGTTCCAACAAATGGGCCCCTCTGTCGTGGACAATTCCCAGTTCCAGCAACTCCCTAGTCTGAGTACTCTTCCAGGGTCCTCCAACTACCAGTATAACCAGCAAATGCCCCAGCAGATGCCTCAAAGAATGTCACAGTTGGTGGACTATTACCAGATTCAAAACCAGCAAAATCAACAGAACCAGGGTCAACAAAACCAGCTGCAGCAGCCCCTGCTGCAACAACAACAGCACCGCCAAAGCAGACCCATGGCTTTACCTCAAATCCACACGTCAGGCACTCCCCAGCCTCCTTCTCAACAGCTAGACACTCCTTCGTCACAAGACCCAAAGCTCTCACCGCCAGCGTTCCTGTTGCTGGTGCCAGTGCCACAAATGAACCTTCTGGGCATGGCTCAGCCGGTGCCTCAGGGGTACCAGCAGAACTACCAGCAACAGCCACAGCCTCAAAATGCTATACTAGTGCAGCCGGTGATGACTTCTCGTTACCTGCCGCTTGCCAATGGAGCACAAGGAGCTGGTCCTGTTCTGTCGCCAGGACACGGATACCCACTTAGCCCGAGTCTGATGAGTGGAGAGGCACAGAGAAGAGATAGTGATGAGCTGCTTAAGGTGCCTGGAACAGGCATCAATTACAATTCCCTAGTGAGTTACACGGTATCCCCAGCTAGCAGAAGACGCCGCAGGTCGGATTATAAGATGGTTGGGGCCGAAAACGGACAGGCAAAGCATACGTGCCAGACATGTGGTAAGACCTTCCCCAAGCCTTATAACCTTAAGCTGCACATGAAGACACATTCTACGGAACGTCCTTATAAATGTCTGATGTGTCCCAAGTCGTTTGCACGTTCCCATGACCGCAAACGTCATGAACATCTTCATCAAGGAGTGAAGAACTTCAAGTGTGAAGGCTTCCTCAAAGATGGAACGACAAAGTGGGGCTGTGGCAAAACGTTTGCACGTCTGGATGCATTGGCTCGTCATTTCCGTACGGAAACCGGCTGGCTTTGTATCAAGCCGTTGATGGACGAGGCGAAGGAGGTGGAACTGGGTCGTTTGCAAGCCGAACACCCGCTGTACTTCCAGCACTCTATAGCGCTTCCGCCACTCCGCCCACAATAGATAGTTTGAGCGGCTAAAAAAGACGTTGGTGGTTCTTTTACTACTTGGCAGCAGGCAGCAAGAGAGAAATTGAACCAAAACAAAATAAAAGAAAGGAATGAACATGCTTTATTTTTACCTGGCTGCACTGGGACTTTTTTTTTTGGGTGTATATTAAAGAAACAAAAAGCAAAAAACAAACGAAACTACTTGCCAGGCTAGCAAATATCGCCATATACGATTGGTTTTCTTTTGATTATCTTCGTCTATACTTCTTTTTTTTTTTTTTCCTATCTTTGACGGGATATAAGCCTTGTATTTGCGACAAGTTGAAATGCCGCGCCGCATGTGGTATTGTTCCAGGACTATGTGCAGTCCAAATACAAAGAAAAAAAAAAGAATCACAACAAAACCCAAATTGGATCTCACCATAAAAAATAAAAGAGCTGGTGCATCTACGGTTACCCCCTGCGGCGTTGAGATAGCCGCCTCCTAAAACTAACTATACCAGTTTAAGTTGCTACTTGCCGACCCGTGCCTCTCGAGGCCCCCCCACGTCAGCGACCCTATTGACGTAACAAGCGAGACCTTCATCTTATTGACGCACCGGCGATCTTATTATCCGCGCGGCATTGTCTTTTGCAACGTCCATTCTCATTGGTTCCTGGGCTGTATGCAGGCGCACTAAGGCGCAAGCCTACTTTTCCCCTTTCTGCGGCATTCTTGGCCGATACATGAATCACAAGGATGTCATTTATTTTTTTCAAAGAGTAGAAGCGTCATGCTAAATATTATTTGGTAACGTTGGGCGTTAAGTATGGACATGTAAATGTCCCAAAAGGGTATCAGCCGCCGCAGCTCTTCACCCCCTTCCACTCACCGTATCTGTCTCTTTCATGTGTCCTACCAGGTTCTCAGAAAGCCTCGATGTTGACAGAGGCTGGGGCTGAGCCTCATTTGGTGAATCATGTGGGAAACCTGTACACCAGACAACTTCAAAAGGGTTTCAGAGGGCCTCCCAAGGCCCTCCCAAAGTCATAAAAAGGACATTTTACGTTGTTTTGGTAGTTCAATAGTTTCATTGCAGCTGGCATTACTTGTCATTTTTTTCTGGAAATTTGGGCGTCTCTGGAGCATGTTCTGGTGAAGAAAACAGTAATATTTAGACCATTTACCATGAAGTCAACGAATAAACCGGGTTTCTTTGCATTTTTCCCATGGCTAAAAGCATGGCTTAATTATTTATGCTAATTTCTGTACTTCCCTTAATTTTCTGGGCCGTTTTGGCCTTATTTTTTCTTTTTGGTGGTTGGTTCAAGGCTCCAGGAAACAGTACATGAAAAGCCCCAACAGGTTTGGTTGATATGATGTAATAAGGAGATTTGAAGGGTGGAGGGTTACTGGAAAGTCAAGGTTTGGTTGGATGGGTATTTTGAAAGGCAGGGGTTGGTTGGAGGGTTGTGGCTGTGGTGGACTGTAGAAGGAAGGTTTGTGGTGTTTGGGAAGGTAAGAAAATAAGTGACTTCTTGGAAGCTGGTTGTTCTTTTGGATTCTTGAAAGGACGTTCTGTCGTTTTTAGTGACAATTTCTTTGGTAGATCGAGTTGGTTGAAGGCTGTGGAAGTGCAAAGGCAGTACATCAATCTGCATTGAGTTGCCTCTGAAGGGGTATCTTTAGTTAAAGATGAGGCCATTTTTTATCTCAATAAGCTCTTAAATGCTTGGAGAAGATTGGGTGGAAGTGACTGGAGGGGTGGAGTTTTGGTGACTTTGTGTCTGGAGAAGTAGTCCACTTATAGTATCAACTATGCAATAAAGAACGGATAGAATGGCAAGAAACAAGACTGGAAAGTCACTCGTAGCTGTTAGCAGGTTATTAAAAAGCGTCACATTTCCCTTTTGCCTTTTTTCTTTCACCAGTGACAGATAGACCTTGTGAAGGTGCTTCATGTATCATTATCTCATCAGGTGCTCCATTTCCATGAACAAGATTCCCTTGAAACTGGCAAAATGAATAACTCGTGGACTTCTAGGACCCAAATGGGCCCCTTAAATTCCATCTCCTGTTCAGATATTCCCTATTGACTCATTTGATTGGTCCTCTTTGACATCCTCCTGGTTTCAATCCATCAAACATCCTGCCCTGCCACTTTCACCACCATTTCAAAACTCTAATGGAAATGCCTCCAAACGCCAAAGACACGTATATCTTAAGCCAAAGTAATCTGCTGGCATTGTGGCATTCTATTGGTCTAAGCCTTGAACTCTGGTGCACTACTCGTCCTCTGGCTTATCCAGAGGCATCATGATGGTGAAAAGGAGAAAACAAAAATAGAATACTACATTTGCATTAATTAAGAAATGCAAGGATCCATGTACTGTCCTTTTTCTGGTGCATATGCTGACTACCTCTCTTACTCAGCTATACCACTACTTAGCTATACTACTGAACATACCCTTCAAGGACTTCAAAACTACTTAAGAAAAGCCCAGTAGAAGTTCATCAATTTTAAGCACCCATATCACTTATTCTGAAGCGTTGATATTATCTACCATGTAATGGATATATCAAGTATTGCCTGGTAACTCATTCCTTGTCTGTCTCACCATTTACCTCCACCAAACCTCCCCAAATGCCCTCTAAACCCCCACTAACCCATAATACCACCCCCAAAATGCCCTTTTTGCATTAGGAACATAAACTCCATCCTCCATCCTCCCTTCCTCCCTTCCTCCCTCCCTACCTCCTTCCTTCCTTTCTCTGGCATCCCACATTCCCTTACTCCCTTCCCAGCCCTCCCTCCATCAGCCTCCAATTCTCCGTCATTCTCTAGCCCACCTTGCATTATCCAACCCCCATTAACTTTCACCGTACATCCAATCCACACTGCCTTTAAGCTTATCGCGTAGCAACCTCTTCCTGAAACCCTAATCAGAACACAAAAGCATAATCATTCTTTAAAGAAAGCCTCCAAAACCAGTGAAAAATACGTCCACCCACCAATACTAGCCAATCTAAATATCCCCAACTCAACCAGAACCAACCTAAGTAACTTCCTTCCTCTTCCTTCTTCCCCCAATATATGCCCAAATTCAGTTACTACAGGTCCACCACTTTCGCCCAAATCCACCTAAAAACTCCCAAAAAAAGACCTCCCCGTTACTTTTCACCGCCTAAACAACCTCCTCATCCCCCTTTCCCTCCAAAACCCTCACTTCCATCACTTCCTCTATCTGACTAAATACGGACCTTCCATTGGCCGCACTCCGAGATGCCCATTTTTTGCACCCACCAGAACCGCCACGCCAGCCACGTTTTTGGCAAATCCAAGTGAACAGTTGTTCGTAAAATGTTTGAAACCACTAGAATCTTCTTTTTTCCAACTCTTTCAGAGTTGATGGGACCGCTGGACCGTAATTAATATTTATATGGTCCTGCATATACGCGCCCCACCCTAACCACCCCCACAATTTAAAACCCATTTTTCTGGGGTATATAAACCCTCCCATTTTCCCACTTTTCCTCTCCCACTTCCCCAGTTTTTCCCATAATGAAATACTCCCTTTTTCAGTATGAAGAAGAGCTTCCCCGCCTCCCCGTGCCGACGTTGGCACAATCCACCAACCAGATTTTGGCAGCGTTGAAACCGCTTCTTTCTGCCGAGGAATACTCCGAAGTGCTCAATGAAGCCACGCAGTTAATCAACAACAGAACGGTTCTGTTGATCCAGAAACACTTGGAGGCGGCGTCGAAGAACCCGGCCGTCACGTGCTACTTGAACGCCGTCAATGGCGAAAGTTATCCAGGCATTTATGGCGACTTGAAGGGTGATATTCTTCCTCGGAACCCGTTTTTGGTGCTTGAGGAGGATCCGTATGCCCAGACGATCAACCCGCCAAATCAGGCCCAGAGAACGGCGTCTTTGGTGAATTCTACGTTGAAGTTTATTGTCAGTTTGAGGAATGGCACGTTGAAGCCGGATATGACGCCTAAACTGGGCTCTCCCCTTACAATGAAGTGCTATATGAACTTGTTCGGTACGACCCGTGTGCCAGACGAACTGCAAGAGTACCACCACATCACAATTGCCAAATATAAGCATTTCAACGACTCCCGCCATGTTTTATTTATTTGCAACAACCAGTACTATACATTGGAGGTGCTTACGCCCTGTGAAGATGTGAACAAGAACCCTAAGCACCAGATCTGGTTCAACGACGCTGAATTGGCGCCTATAGTGCAAGAAATCATCAATCAGTCGTCGCAGGTTGACCAGATCACCGCTGTGAATAACGGTATTGGTGCTATTACTACGCAAACATATGGGTACTGGAAATCAGCCAGGGTTGAGTTGAAAAAGACAAACTCAAAGTACCTCGAAGCCGTGGATAACGCTCTTTTCGTGGTGGTTTTGGATACAAGCAGTGCTCCCAAGACAGACCAAGAAAAGACCCAGGTGATCTCCCACGGAACGTCCAGATTATACGAAGGAACCAACATCCAGGTCGGTTCTTGTACTTCCAGATGGTACGATAAACTCCAGATGGTGGTGACTTCCAACGCAGTCGCAGGCGTTGTGTGGGAGTCGTCGCTGATGGACAGTACGGCCATTTTGAGGTTTATCAGTGATATTTATACGGATTCGATTTTGAAGCTCGCCAGAAACATCAACGGCGCTGAGAACACCTTGTTTGACGAAAACGTGCAGTTTGTTTCTGGCAAAGATAGCGATTTGAAGCCTGATTCGAGGGAGCTTCGTTTTACCATGACGCCAGAGCTCCAACACTTGATCCACCTTTCCGAAACAAGACTTGCGGATCTTCTCAACCAGCACGAGTACAAGAGTTTAACCATGAAGCTTGATACTCACCTTCTAAGCAAATCAGGATTGCTGCCTGACTCGTTCTTACAAATTGGGTTCCAGGCTGCCCATTACGCTTTATATGGACGAGTGGCCAACACATTGGAACCTATTACTACCAGAAAGTTCCGTGACGCCAGAACCGAGTTGGTGGCTGTCCAGAACGACCTGATCAACAATCTCGCCAAATTATTTATTACTTCTGCGGACAACACCAAGAAGTGGACCTCCTTCAAGGCCTGTGCTGCCCAGCACACAAAGCAGTACCGTGACGCGATGCTTGGACAAGGTTTTGAGCGTCACATTGGCGCCTTATTACAGGTTTTAAAGAAGCCAAGTGCCGTTGACAGCTTAAACCTGATCAACAAGAATATTCAAGGATTGGAGCCTATTCCGCCGGTGGAAGTCATGGCCAACGAGTACATCCCATTCTTATCGAACGAGTCGATCGAAAGACTCACCGGTGCTGAGCTTTTAATCAGTAACTGTGGAAACCCAGCATTGCATCTTTTCGGTATCTCTCCAGCCATTGAGCAAGGGTTCGGCATTGGCTACATTATTCACAAAGACAAGGTGGTGGTTACAGTATCGTCAAAGTTCAGGCAAACCGAACGTTTCCTCAGCACATTCCGGTCGGTGATGAAGGAAGTAAAGAACATTCTTCGCGGAGAGGCCGATCTCTTGGAAGAAATGGCCGATTCCGAAACAAGAAAGTACGAGCTCAAGCGTCTCAGAATCGAAAAGGAGTTGAAGAATGTCAACAAGGAGTTGTACCTGACCAGACACCCCATTGATCTTCGTCTTGACTCCACGGCGCTGTTCAAGTTGCCTGAGAGCCCCAAGAGAGAGATTCCGCCTGTTCCACATGAATCCGGCAGCAATTCGGACGATAACAAGGACGACGAGTTTAATTACCTTGGTGGTTACGGGTACTTTGACGTTGGCGAGGTGGATATCAGGAGAGATGAGATCACAAGAGATGAGTCTTTCTTGAGTAGTAACACTTCCAGCATGACATCCAAAACGGGCTCCAGAGTCCATTCCAGCGGCAATTTATACGGAATGGGCAAACTGCAAGGGTTCCTGCTTCCCCAGCAGCCTGATCTCAAGCAGAAGATGTCGTTGAACGACCAAATCAGAGACCGTTTGCAGCCAGACGTGCTGTCGCCAAGTCTTGACGAGGTGATTACGCAACACGAGTGGCCCCAACAAACGCCACAACAGCAGTCAAAGAAAAAGAACCAGATCGGGCGTGAAGTGACAATGTCGTCAAAATTCTAACCCAAACAAACCAAGACTATTTATTGAATATAGGTATAAAAACCCCAGTAAAGTGTTGATATTCCTGTACACAGTAGATACACCTCACTTTCTGACTCTGACTAAGCACTCCCCCCACCAAAACCCTTATCATGTCGTGGAACGGAATCGCCCGGATCCCCCGGGCCGTGCTCCAAATCAAAGGCATAGATGCCTCCAAGTTCCTCAATGGACTCATCACAACCAGGCTTTTGCCCAACGTGGTCAAGAAAAAGCAACATACCATCAGCGACAACGAAAACAGACATTTGGAGCTCCAGGAGGTTATAGACCCGCAGAAGAACTGGGGACTCATGCATGAGGACATTTACGACCCCGAGTTCAATATTTTTGTAAGAAGAGACGGTGTTTCGTCGATGTTTCTCAATTCCAAGGGCAGAGTGGTCAATGACTGTTTTGTGTATGCCAATCCGTACCATACACTTACCGAAGCGTTCAGGGAGACGATTAAGGAGCCTAATTTTTTGGTAGAAGTCGATCCGAAGTACGCCTCGGCGCTCCAGTCGCTTCTCCGGATCCATAAGCTCAGTGCTAGAGTGAAGATAGAGCCTGTGAAGAGTGTGTTTTCGTATTACTACTATAACGAGACGCCCGAGTTTGAGGAGTGGCTTGAGGAGTTCCAGATGAATTACTTGACGACAGGAGACCCAGAGGGAGCGTTGGAAAATGCCAATAAGGTGGTTGAAGAGGAATTGATCTTCAATAAGAAGTTTGCACCCAATGTGGCTGGATTCGCTATAGATAACCGGATTCCGAACTTTGGACTTAAGATCCTTACGACCGAGGAGGCCACGGACCCGGCAGAGATCTTTTCTGAGTCGTTTAAGGCGCTTTTTGACGTTAAGGAAGTGCTGCCGCATTCCATCACCGATAGAAGGTACGTGAACGGTCTTTTTGAGACATCTGATGCGCCTGCTGGCATGTCTCTTTTGCCGTTTGAGTGTAATTTGGACTATATCAACGGCTTGAGTCTTGAAAAGGGATGTTACGTGGGCCAGGAACTCACCATTAGAACGTATAATGGAGGAGTGATCAGGAAACGGGTTGTGCCTCTTTCGTTCACGGGAGATGAAGGTGATTTGGCTAAATTAGGGGATGCTGACGTTACAGAGGTTTCGCTTGAACCTGCGGTTGAAGAAGAAGCTCCAAAGAAAGCTGCCTCGCCATTTGGTGATTCCAAGAAAGCTGCCTCGCCGTTTGGTGATTCCAAGAAAGCTGCTTCGCCGTTTGGGGACTCTGGAAAGTCTGCTTCGCCGTTTGGCAGTTCAGGAAGAGCTCCCAGAAAGAGCAAAATCGGGAAACTCCTTTCTGTACGTGGAAAAATGGGTTTTGCATTGGTTAACCTCGATAAGCTCAAGAAAGATAACCGTCTCAAGGTTCTGGTTCCTGGCGTTTCCAAGGAGTTAGACGCCACCGCCCACGTCCCTGAATGGTGGCCAGAGGACATTTAGGGAGTCATTCACGTTCAAAACATAAAAAAGGGTTTCCAACCCCATTAAACAGCTTCAAACGACGTTTCTGCTTCTTTGTCGCTACTTGTTCATAGTTACTGGCGGGTTCTGCTGCCAATGCATCCACACAGCCGTTGACGCTTCACTGACAACTTCTTCCTATTGTTGCCTATCCAACACAATGGCTAAGCAAAACACAATACCGCATCCCACACATCGTTCCAATTCTATATTCATTAAAACTAGTAATAGAAATTTCCACCCCTCTACATCGCTGCCAGGTATATATCCCCTTCCCAGTGTCATGCCGCTCTATAGACTATAATTTAAAAAAAGCAAAACTCGTCACTTACTGGAACGCACGAGGAGCCTCGCCTTCTGGTCCAATGAACTGGGGGTCTCTCCAAGGACCGTAGTCGTTCAAAGCCAAGTCCTGATTGCTCACGTCGCTCTGACCGCCATACTTCTTGGGCAAGTTTGGAGGAGGAATCTGCTTGAGCAACTCCTTCTGGTACGAGGAGCCCAAAATATGGATCTTTTCCACCGTGACAGCGTCCAAAAACGGCTTGAACAACTTGAACAACGTGGAAAACCCAAACGGAGCGTTGATACAGTAAAACTTGCCCATTCTCTCCGGGTAGTAGTCCTGGCCAATCTTGGAAGCCTCCTTGACGTAGCCAATCACCTGGTACGCAGCACTCATGGAAATCCCCTTCAAGTCCATGATCGTACACGAAGTCTCCACCAAGTAGCCCTGCTTTCTAGAACAAGCAGGCAACCGGTACTGAGTAAACAGCTCATACTCCCACACCAAGTTCTTCAACATTCTCTCCTGGGTCGTCACCTTCAACATATCCGGCAAGTACACCTTGCCGAGCTCCTCAAAGTACACCGGTCTCCCGTCCTTATCGGTCTTGTGGTAGTACTGGGGGTACATCTGCGCCACAAGCGGTTTTTCCGTATAATGGAAGTCCTTAAGAATGGTGTTGGTGCCAAACTCTTTGCGCCACTTTTCACACTCCACAAACATAAACTTGGCCTTGGCCAAATTGAACTTCCGTGCCCGCAAAAAACGAAGAAGCGTGGCGTCGTCCAACCGGTACTCGAACCCTTCCTTGACGAGCTCAGCCCGCAACTGCGCCAAAACCTGTTTCTGGTCTTCGCTCAAGTTCGATGTGTACCCAGTCTGTGTCGTAGGGGCGTTTACTTGCGGGTAAGACGCCAAAATCTCCGCTTCCGTGGCCATGCTCTGAGGTTGTTGGTTGGTTTGTTTGTAGTTGGTGAAAATGTAATTTGAGTGCGGTTTCTGTTTCTTTCCGCAACCGTGCTGCTTATGTAAGCAGGCGCTCGTGGGTCAAGCAAACGAAGCGGAAAGGAACCGTAAATAATATTTTTGAGCGTGGAGTGAGTTGATTTGGGGTGGGAGAGCTGGCGACGGCGGTTTTGGGGAGATTGGGGGTAGTAGGTTGAGTTTTGGTGGACGCTTGGTGGGAAGATGCTCCCGGGATCGCGGTTTGCAACCGGGAGTGGAGGGAAATTGGGGAAGTGGAAACAATTGTTGGAGGAAGGGTTTGGAGGTGGAGGGAAAGTTTTGGGAGGTTGAGGAAGGTTTGGAAAATTTGGTTTATTGGTTTTTTTTGGTTTTTTATTGGTTTTCTGAGGCTTTGGGTTGGACTGGCGTCGGTTGGTTGCTGCAGATGACGTTTTTCACCGGATAATTAGGAACACCAGCGTTGGAGCCGTGGCAGAAAGGGGGCAGGGGAGGTGACGGTGGTGGTGGCTGGAGGGGCCGAGTTTGGGCTGGAAGGGGCTGGAACGGTGGGTTTTTGGGGGAAGTTTGGGGGTGTTTTGGGGGTTTCAGAGTGGAATTGGTGGTTTGGTGGTTTTTCGAGTTGTTCCGGTGACACTTTAACCGAAAAGGGGTGTAGATGGGCGGGTTTGGATGGTACGGACTTGAAAGTGGTACGGTTGGAATCGGCGGAGTTTTCTGATTCTTTTGGTACCATTACCGTCTTGATCGGACGGCTACTTGCCAAGTTACCTGGACATTCCTTCTGCTCCCTCGCTTCCCTACCCTCCTAACTTCACCTATACTTATCCGATTTTAACCAAACCAACACCAATCTACTCCAAATTCTCTCTACATTCCCTCTACCCCTTTAGCTCTACACTTTCTTTGTTCTGCAAGGACTCGTACAAATGTGTCAAAGTCTCGCACTTGACACACCCCCAGCAAATGGGAACACTCGAATTTGTATTCCACAAAACCACCAATTTTCTCTTATTAGTACATTTCATTATTCACATGGAGTTCAGTTTTCACTCCTTTTTTAACCACCGCTTGAACGGGTTCTTCGATGGCGTCCGTAAAAGACTGCCCAACGAGTTGGTGCTGAAACTTTCGCTCATCAGCGTTCGGTCCATTTCCACAGGGAACTTGAGCTTAAGGGAGGTGATGCCGTTGTCACGGAGCCTCTTTTGGCCGGGAACCATGGCTCCTTGGAAGTTTTCATCGTAAAAGACAATAGAGTTCTTGGAAACATCAACACATGCTGTTTCAACTACTTTCACCACAAACGCTTCCCAGAGTTTGGTATCGTGTTGGAGATCTTCACAAACTTCTGGTTCTTCGAGTTTATGTGAAAGTTCGTCAATACGATGTATAAGGTCGGTGCTTTGTTTCTGGAGATCCTTAAGTGAAATGTTGGACGTGATGAATGAAAAGATCTCTTCGTTGCTGCGGCACAACGACTTGATGAACCCTTCGGTTTCGTTGTCGCCAACCAAATCAAGAAACTCGGACTTTTCAAACTCTAGGGATCCAATCTGGTACGTGTTTTTGTCATCGTCAAGCACGATTTCGTCGTTTTGAGGTGCTAGGTTATCCTTGAACGGCAGACGAGCCGCTGCATTTTGTGATGGCGTGTTGTTGTTGCTTCTGGCGAACGTCAGGCTCGAAAGCATCGTCGTGATGGAACTTGTAGATGTGGAGGCGAGTTTTTGTGATTGCGTTCTGCCTGTTCCACTCAATTTAAGAAGATGGATCAACTCTGTCAACCTCAAGTACTTATCGATCAAATAAGGCGTTGTAGGAAGTTCACTCGACGAGGCGTCTCCTCCAAGCCCCAAGTCAAACCTGTTGACTTCGTGGCTCAAGTCCAAGATTTTTTCATTGAAATCGTTCTTTCTTCCGGTAATTTTGTCGAAATAGTCCAACATCTCTCCCAGATGCTTTTCAAGGAACTTGTTCATACGCACCAAGTGTGGCTCCTTGTGCTGACTGAACTCTTGTCTGTTGGCAAGGTTCAACAAGATCTTGGCAATCAACGTCAAGGTTCTTTGGGCGTTGCCTGTTTGGTGGTTCTTTGTCAAATAGAACAACTTAGGGTTGAGAATGGCAGGACAGAAGAACCGAAGGAAGATAAATGCACTCAAACAGTTGAGAGCGGTGGTTTTATCTTCTGGATCACACGCAAAATCAACCTTGTTTCGGAAGTTCTTAAGTTGAAGTTTGATCTGTTCAGGAATATCGTTGGATGTCGAGTAGATACGGTACCAGAGCTGCTCGGCGTAGTTCGTAAGGGTCTTGTAGTTTTTGTCAATGATCTCCTTGACATGTTCTTCACGTTTCTTTTCCGTTTCAGCATCCACATCTTCGTCGCTTTCGTCGTCTGAGTCGTCTGAAGCTCTTGGATTGGCTCCTTGCTTGGCTTTCTTGCGTTTGGCAGCTTCTTGTTGTCTGACGTACCGAGGATCGATTTCACAGTTGAGCAGCTCCATGGTGATCTTTTCAAACAAGTCGCCAAACACCTTTTCCAAGTACTCCTGGCCAATTCTGAAGATATACTTTTCCAAAGACTTGGTGAAGATGGAAGAGCCACGGAATAACGTGTTAAAGACGTTGTTGCTTGACGTGGAATTGCCGTTTCCGTTACCCTTGTTAACGTAATTCTTCCTCGTCATTTTATCCACACCAACCAACTCAGCTTCCACGAGCGTTTTAAACCACCTATCTTCAATTCCCAAGCTCTGGAAGATATCAAGCAAGATGAAACTGACGTTTTCAAATTCAGACGTCGACACAGCACTATTGCAGAACTCAATAAGCTCTTTCATTGGACAGTTCGCAAGCATCCGTTCCAAGGGCTTAAAGTACGAAGGGTTTGGTATTAGGTACTCCTTGAGGTCCACAGTCAACAAAAGCTTACCGATTGGAAGGTTTGTGGCGTCGTAGATGGAAAGACGTACAGAGTTGTTATTATTGGCCATGGTGGCTGCTGCCACGCCAAGTGAATCGTTTGCAGTGTGGCCAGGGACATTAATGGTGTTTCCTGCTGGATTAAGGCTCATCATGGTGGAGAACGTGTGTCTTTGCTGGGTAAGCACGTCAGGAGTTAAGTAGACCGTTCCCACGACCTTGTCTGCTGGAGAATAGACGTTTTTCGAGGAAAGACACTTTTTGATGACGATATGGACCATCTGCGTCAGAATAGGCAAATACGTTGAAAAGTTCTCTTTCCAGAACGGATTAGACGTGTGTTGAACGAAAGCAGTTCTGGCCCATGGGAATCCCCACATCACCACCTCGGCATAGATTTTGTTAGAGTCTTTAGGACTGGCTGGAGGGTTATCGAACTTGGCCTCGATTATATCAACCGTGAGTTTTTTAGAAACACGTAAGTGCTCACGAAGGTACCGAGAAAGCTGTGGGTGCTCTTCCTCGTGTGATTTATGAGCAGGGCGTTGGGAATGGCCGTTTGAAGAAAGGGTCAAATTCGGATTCAGCCCGTTTTCGTGGTTTTCCGACCCGTCCAACGTCGTATCGTTATCTATCGTGGAATCAATATCCACAATGTGTCTCGTAGGCGGAGGACGAAGCGTAGACGACTTATCGTAAGTGCCAATGTACTCACGTTTACAGAAGTAATTGAGCCCCACGAACCAGTCTTCGAGGTCAATGTGCAACGGGAAGTCAATAAGGATTCTGGAGTTGTTGGCGACGGGTTTGCCGTCTTTGGTAAGCAAGCTGGGCAGAAGCTGGGTAAGCGATTCGAGCGTCAAGGCGGTGGTAGACTTGATGACGTTATTCCAGCGCAAATCCTTGATATGGCCAATAAAGAGGATATTGGAGGAATCGCAAATGGAGTGGTGAACCTCCCTTATCTCCAGCAGAAGAATGCTCTTGATATCTATCGAGTAAAGCAACGTCCCGTCAAGCTCAGAAATAAAGTTAAGCGTACCGTTTGACTTCAACACGCCCATAGTATAAAACCAGCCCTCCAGGACCGACCCTTCGTGACCCTGCAGCGTTCCAGACGTATGGGATGGGTCATTATGGGCGTCTGTATCGTAAGGCAGCTGGTAAGGCGGCGGTCTGGGCATTTTCACGAGTTTCAAGTTCTTCACCTTCGCTGGAATCGGGCCAAAGATCCGAAACCGTCCCACAAGCACCTCGTGTGGGTCTGCCAGTACCACCAACGCCGAGCTGGAGTTCTCAGCGTACCATTTCTTCGCCAACCCAGCCGGTTTCATATTCTGCCACGCCATAAGCGCCAGAAGCACCATTCCAAACGTCGTTTTCGACGCGATCCGAAGGTAAAGCTTCTCGTTATCGTACAGCCGTATAAATATCACGGGCGGTTCATCGTAAGCAGCCTGTTCAGGCTCCACTTTCTTCAGGAACCGTCTTCTCCCGTTCAAAGCAGGCCCCGGGCCCACCAGCAGGTGTACAGACACGTGGCAAGCCTGCAAAGACGATGCAAGCAACGACAGAGGCTCAGTTTCGTCGTGGGCCACGATTTGGCCTCTTTTCGTGATTTCAACCTCGTTTGGCGCATACCACGTTAGAGAGTCTCTCAGGTACGAAACGTTGGTCGCCACAAGCGAGGCTTTATCTCTCGCAAGAGCCTTATAGAAGGGCAAGCGGGACATATTGGATTAAGGATTAGGATTAGGATTAAGGGGGTTTGGGTGTTTTGGAAGAAGGTGTTTGGTGATAGTTGTATATGAGATTAAGCGAAAAGTGTATGGGTGTACGCGGGAGGATTTTTTAGACGAACAAAGGAAGGGAGGGAGGGAAAGGGACGTGTCTGCTGTGGCGGGAGGTGTTTCAGAAGGTGGGAGATGTGAAACAGCGTGTTTCAGCGTGCTACGGGTGTGTGTTTCAGGTTTGGATGGGTCGTAGGGGGCCTGGGATGATCTGGGGGGTTTTGGTAGCCACGCTTGTTTTAGATTTGCCTCGAGAGCCGTTTTGGCAGCGAGCCGCAGCAAGCCGCAGGTGGACTGGGGGCCGCCAAAAGTGGTTGTAAGAGGTTTTGGGTGGTTTCTACGTGTTATTTAGGTGAATTGAACCCTGGAGACGTTTTTTGGGGGTTCTGGGGGTTATGGGGAGCTGGCTAGACCGGGCGTGTTTCATAATTGGCTGTAGGTATTATGTTGGTACTGCAGGTAAGCACTTTTGAAACATCCTGGGGTTTACACCCCAGGGGGTCTTTTGAGCTGGGAAAAGTTGCTAATTGGGCTATTTGGGGTCTTTGCTACACGCTGGAACTGTCAAACACGTCGAAATGGGTCGTTTTGGGCAGATTGGCGGAGGGTTAAATGACCTGAGGTAAGCTGGTGTACGGGTTTTTGTGGCTGCGAAAAAAAAAAAAAAAAAAAGGACGCAAATTTAAAAAAAAAATACCCCCGCCTCCTCCACACAATGGATCCCCATAATATGGCTTAAAAAGGAAAAAATAGTTTAAATTACATGGACAGACGTGTCATTTTTTCATGAAAAGCCACTTTACCAAAAAACTAACGTGTCCACTGTGTAGAGACGAAAATTTGGAGAATTCTCGTGCAATTCCCGTTCGTTTTGGCCGTGTAATGATGCGTTTTGGCGAGGTGCATTGACGGCCATTCGGTGAAAGCGACGAAGGGAGGGTGATTTGAAGGAGTTTTCAGATTTCGATGGTTTCTATTGGTTGGTGATTTTTGGTTGGATATTTGGGCTTTTTTTGGGAAGTTTTGGACGTTTTTTGGGGGTTTTTGGTGGAAATAAGTGGGTTTATTGGTGGTTGCAAAGGAAGAAAGGGAATGGATGGAAGGTTTGTGGAGAACGAGTGGAGTGGAAAGTGAAGAATTTAAGAAAGCAGGGTTGGGGTTGGAAAGTTTAATTAGGGTATCTTTGGATTCCAGGGAGGGTACTAAGCGGATTGGAGACTAATTGCTTGTAGTATTTGAATTAGGCTCAATTGATGTCTAATTGATGTCCAATTGATGTCCAATTGGAGGTGCTTTTATAGTCAATTGGCAGTCAGCGAATGATGAAGAATATAGTATAGATTCGGTTTTTTCATGACATTCTTTTATCTCGCCGTTTAAGCTTCCTTATCTTCTGGGTTCAACGGTATGTGGCTTTGATCTGGAATGGAAGGTAAGTACGAGAAGTTTTGAATGGGAGAAGAGATGTGTCTTTAGAGAAAAAGCCTGGAAAGGTGGATAGACTGTTATTGGTTATGGAAATCAGTGCTTAGTTGAAGCTCAGGAAGGTATAATGGCTGTAAGTAGAGCAGTTGGAGTGAAAGTGAATCCTGACTTAAACTACCTTCATTGACCTTTTTTGATCTCCATTGATCTCTTGAACAATGAAAGTCTAGAGGCTTTTGGTCATCTAATTGCACAGTGGTGGTCTGATTGGTTAAGCCATTGAAAGAGGTAACTAAGGTAAGCCAGCTGTCATTGAAGCCTTGTGGGGTGGATTAAATGACATTTGGTCGTTTAACAAGGCAGTTAAAGCAGAAATCAATCCCCAAAAGTACCTTTCTTACGTACCATAACCCACTTCACTCCTCTTTCCTTGCCAGTCCTTCTAGACACCAAAACGACCAGAAAGTCCAAAAATCATATCCAGACAGCTCCTTAATCCAACCAAAATCCAACAAACAACCCCCAATCTCCTTCCACAACCCCCAATAAATACAATCTCTCTTTTCCCATAAAGCCAGAACAAACCTCCTTTGTCCTCCTTGCTTAACAATACCTCTCCAGAAGTCCAGACCACAAACAAACCAGTAACAATCCAAGACTAGTCGCCTCCCTTTAACCTCTCCCTCCTCCTTCGCCTTCGCCTTCTCCTTCTCCTTCTTTTCTCGTGCACTTCGTCTGTTCGTCTGAACAAAGACTAAAGATGTGCATCGCCAGGACTCAAAACAGAAACTGTAACCGTCAACGACCATCCTTCACTTTAAGCCCGTTTTGGTGGTTATCTAAACCCGTTGGCGGGCGAAATGGCGGTGGTTGCTTGTTTAGGCAAGTCCAGTGGAATGTGTCATTTACATAGAAGAAGTGGGAGTGAGTGTGTGTTTCTTATCGTGGTTTTCCAGGTGTTTTCGTCGTGTGGGTAAAGTATGGGGTGGTTGTGGTGGTGGTTTGTGGCTGGTGGATCAAGTATATTATGGAAATCAGTGGATGTCAATGAATAAAGAGTAGTAATAAGTAGTAATGAGCATCCATGAATACTAATGACTACTATTGGACTTTGGTGGTAATCAGAGAGGCTTTATTTTACGAGAAAACTTGGTTAACTTGATCTTTAAAGGTATTTTTATTGCTCTGCGTATTGATTTGATGGTGGTAAAGCTAAGTATGCTTAGCCAGAGGTAGTCAGTTCGATTATTGGTACGAAATCTTCCAGTTAGCTCAACTCCAAAGAACACAACTCTGTACTTCAAATCCTTTATTAGGATACTAAAAATGATCAGACTGACCACCTTAGATTACTTTTGAAAGCAGAAGTTAAGTGGTGCCATAACTATACTCTCAGTTAATCATGAAGCGTCGTATACTTCTCTACCTTAAAGACCACACAAAGTAAGTAAATGGCTGTTACCTACCTGCCTTCACTCAGACCCCAAAAACTGAACCTCTCGAGGTTCAATTCAACCCGACGCTACTCTCCAGTCTCTTGACATTGCTGACTACTATGGGCTGCAAAATCCATATACGCATGTAAAAAGACGAAGTTTCTTGACAAGTGAGAAATCGGCCTGGGAATAAATAAACCGGCTTTATGGAATTAATAATACGGAGACAGGTTTCGGCAATAAATTGACTAACCACAGCACCAATATCCAGTAGATTTCAATAGATAGTGATGAAAAGTGACGAAAAGTGATGAATACTAATGAATAGTAATGGATACTAATGAATACTAATGAGTAGTAATGAGTAGTAATGAATACTAATGAGTAGTGATGGTTATTAATGGAGTTTGGTGGTGACAAGAGAAGGTTAATTTTACCATAAAATGTAGAGAAAATGATCTTCTAAAGTACTATCATTGCTATCTGTATTAATTTGATGGTGGTTGGAGGAAGCATATACAGCCAGAGATGGTCTGCAACAGTAATGACACTAAATCCTCCAGTCAACTCAATTGCAGTAAAACCACAACACTAACATCCAGTAAAGCCTCCTTTTTCAAAAAAAAGAAGTATAAAACGGAAAAACCAGCCATTTGGCGAACCTGACTCCTCCAGTACTATCCATCTCATTCAGTCCATCTACTCCCCCACCAACGACCTCCAAACGAATCCAAAACCTTCCAGTTCCCTAAAAGCCCCATAAACTCTCCTCCCAGCTTAAGCTCCCCCACCAAATCCACCCACTTCACACTCTTTAGACCCTCTCTTCTCGCTCTCTCACTGTCCTCCATCACCTCCAAAAAGCACCACCAAAATCCACCAAAAACACTCCCAAACCTTCAAAATATAATCTTTTTACCTCTCCATCCCCCTCCGCCCTCCACCGACCCAAAATCCTTCCCTCCCTCTTCCCCAAAACTCCAATCCACCACCTTCTTCCCTACACTACCTACGCACAGTTAGATCCTCTAAATCCTCTAAACTATTGAATACTTCCCTCATATAACTTCAAATTTAGCGTCTTCAAATGAATCGTCTTCCATTTTTAAAGAAGACCTGGCCTCGTTTGATATTCCAAGGTCTAACTAACTCCACTTATGGTGAAATGTCTAAACATTAAATCTTCATGGGAGTTTGATCTTCACGAAGAAAGATCCACTGTCACAAGCCGTAAACACAAGCTCATCGTTTGAAGGCTTTTAGTCAGTTTTTCTGATTTGAGTTCTGTTCCATCTACTTTTGTTATATACTGTTATTCCATGTTCCATAGTAACATCTATATATGGTATTTCACACATAAATGGTACTTTATCCATGTAAGATAGTTGTTTTTTTTTTTTTTTTTCTATTTCCATTTCTTACACATTCCCATTCTTTTAATTCAAATGCCTCACCATTCAGGTTCATTTCTAGGTTCATATATGAACCTTCTTATACAATCTATACCAGTGAGCATGTATAAGATATCCAACATTCCATCCAATTATTATCACCCAAACAGCAGTTATACTGAAGAAACAGCAGTGAATATCAATGGAAAACTACAAGCTGAAAGTTTAGAACCACATTTAGTGAATCTCCCATACCCTTAGAATCCACTTTTCCTCACCACCCACCAACCCCCACCAAAATCCCCCAAAACTCCCCAAATCCACCCCAAATCCACCAAACCCAATTTTCCAGCCCTCTATCAACCCACCACGTTCTTCCCCTGATAATTTCCACCACTTCCCCTGCCTCCCCCACGGGTCTCCCCCAACCTGCCCCCAACTCCTCCAAACACCCCCACAACTCCCCCAATCCGCCTCTAAACTTCCCCAAACTTTCCATACACCTCCTCCACCCTCCCGCCACCCCTCCACAACCCCCAACCCTCCTCCACATCCACTTCAACCCCCAAACCCTCCACTTTCCACTTCCCTCCTGCACATAAATTTTTCACCATCACCAAACCCATCAAACCATCTCCAACAACCAAACCTCCTTCCAAACATCCACCCTCCACCCATCATGACCCTGCAAATCCCCCCACATTCTCCCCTCCTGGACCCGCTAGCCCACGTGCTACACCCCCAAACCCCCTCAGACCGCCCAGCCTGCGCCTACTGTGGAATAGACGCAGCCAACGCCGTAGTCAAATGTGAACTGTGCAACCGCTGGTTCTGTAACGGCAAGCTGCACGCTGCTGGGTCTCACATCGTCACTCATTTGGTGCTTCTGAAACACCACGTGGTGTCTCTCCACGCCGAAAGTGCGTTGGGCGCCGAAACGTTGGAGTGCTACAACTGTGGAAGCAGAAACATCTTCATGTTGGGGTTTGTCAGTGCCAAACACGACAGTGTGGTGGTGATTCTCTGTCGAATGCCGTGTGCACAGCTGCGTGACATCAACTGGGAGACGAACGAGTGGCAGGCGTTGATCAGTGATAGACAGCTTTTGCCCTGGGTGGCTGAAGTGCCTGGAGAGGAAGCTATGGTTAGTGCCAGGAAGGTTTCGCATGAGCAGATCACGAAACTTGAGGCGCAGTGGCGGTTGAATAGGGATGCGACGATTGAGGATCTTGATAAAGTCGATGCCGAGCTGGAAGAGTTGATGCCGGTGCTTTTACGGTACCAGGACTCGTACCAGTACCAGAATGCGTTTGCGCCGTTGGTGGAGGCCGAGGCGGTGTGTGACCGGAACTTGAAGGAGCTGCAGGCGTTGGAGCATATTTCTGTGGCGTGGCTGATGGCGGAAAACGGGTGTCCTGTTGCATCTTTTGCACTTCTGACCCATGAAAAGGCCAATTTGGTGGTTGCAGTTGGGGACGAGATCATTCTTCATTATCGCGAGCCAGGAGCAACCGACGCCGATACTTGGGCGGGAAAGGGCTTTATTGTAAGACTCCCCAGTGCTCGTCTGGAGGAATTCAGCTTGGAACTCTTCCCAAACGGTGGAACTCCAGATACGCCTCCTCCAGTGCATGCAACTACAGGGTTCACAGCTGAGTTTGTGTGGAAGGGCACGTCGTACCAGCGGATGCAAAAAGCGCTCCGTGTGTTTGCTACCGAGGAAGAGTCCGTCAGTTCGTTTATTTACCATAAACTTCTAGGCCACGAGGTTGTGCCGGTGGTTTTCTCCACCACGACGCCGAAACTGCTTTCTGTGAAGCGTTTGGCGAAACTCAACGGTTCCCAGGCGAACGCTGTGGCCACGGTTTTGCAGCGTCCACTTTCACTTATCCAGGGCCCGCCAGGAACTGGTAAAACCGTCACTTCAGCTACAATCATCTACCATTTGGTCAAATTGCACAAACACAAGGTTTTGGTGTGTGCACCTTCCAACGTTGCCGTGGACCACCTTGCACATAAACTCGATACTATTGGCATCAAGGTTGTTCGGTTGACAGCCAGAAGCCGTGAGGATGTGGATTCGTCGGTTTCTGACTTGGCCTTGCACAAGCAAATGGAGGATCTGGCATCGAGAAACCTCCAGAAACTCATGCGCCAGAAACGGGAAGGCGAAAAGCTCTCTGAGGCTGGAGAGAAGTCGTTGTATAACGGTATGAGGAAACTTGAAACCGAGCTTATTATGAACGCTGAGGTTGTGTGTTGTACGTGTGTGGGCGCTGGCGATTTCCGTCTTAGCGGGTTCAATTTCCGGTCGGTATTGATTGACGAGAGCACTCAGGCCACGGAACCTGAAGTGTTGATTCCTATAGTGAAAGGAGCCAAACAGGTGATTTTGGTTGGAGACCACCAGCAGTTGGGCCCGGTGATTATTGATAAAAAAGCCGGCGAAGCGGGGCTCAAACAGTCGCTTTTCGAGCGTCTTATTGCCTTGGGCCAGCTGCCGATCCGTCTTGAAGTCCAGTACCGTATGAACCCAGCGCTCTCTGAGTTTTCGTCCAACATGTTCTACGAAGGGTCCCTCCAGAACGGTGTCAACCTGGAAGAAAGAGCGTGGCGAGGCCTGACGTTCCCCTGGCCCGTTCCAGACTGCCCCATGATGTTCTGGGCCAACTACGGTAAAGAGGAAATCAGTGGAAGCGGCATTTCGTACCTCAACCGTGTGGAGGCCATGAACGTGGAGAAAATCATCACTCGGCTTTTCAAAGACGGCGTGCGTCCAGACCAGATTGGTGTCATTACGCCGTACGAGGGCCAGAGAGCGTACATTGTCCAGTATATGCTGATTAACTCGTCGCTTGTGGATAGAAGAGCACAATACGCCGATGTGGAAGTTGCATCCGTGGACGCTTTCCAGGGCAGAGAAAAGGATTTTATTATTCTTTCGTGTGTGCGTGCCAATGAAGACAGAGCTATTGGGTTCTTGAAAGACCCCAGACGTATGAACGTGGCCTTGACGAGAGCCAAGTACGGATTGGTTATTCTTGGTAACCCGAGGTCGCTTTCCAAAGATAATCTCTGGAACTACTTGCTTATCCATTTCAGAGAACGTGGATGTCTTGTTGACGGGCCTTTGGACAACCTCCAGATGTCCATGGTGCCCTTGGGGAACCCCAACGAGAAGAAACAACGGCAACACGATGCACCAGGGCCTAGGGTGCATGCAAACGACTTCGATACGCAAAGCATGCTTTCTTATGTGGGAGACGACAATTTGTCAAGCAATGTGTTTTCCAACGACAACGAGCAAAAGTGGCCCAAGCTTAATGGCGTTGAACTTGATGAGGATATGCGGAAAGCCGCCGAGATGTTTGCTTCTGGGCTTAATCTTTAAAAGAAGCTTCTCTGGCCTCGTAAGTGTTGCAGCCACTAAAAACACGATCTTGCATAGGAATCAGGCGATTTGAAAGACCCTGGCATATGGAACACAAAAGGGAAAAAAGATGAGGAAGTAAAAGGAATGGAAAGAAGGTGTTTTTGACAGGCTGTATTGAAAATTCCATATGCGGATGCACAGTCTAAAATGGCCGATTGATCCACTGGCCAATAGCAGCTCGAAGGGAGTTCCGGGGAACCCCCAATTTACAAGAAACCTCAAAGGTGCTGCAAGGCCGCTTTTATAAAGAACAAGAGGGATTTTGTACGTTGTTGTTTTTCCCTTTCTTTTCTGGAACAAGGGACCCAGCATGGCCAGGGCTACATTTCCAGCAGAAAGAAGAAGACGAGGTGCATAGAAACAGACTTCCAGAAGCCAGAAGGAGTAATACGGACGGAATCTCTCGGTTGCTGAAGGACCCTGCCGCTAAGCGACGGGCTAAACGGCTGGCTGGGGCAAACGGCTGGCGACGATCGGACGAGGCTACGAGTTGCTGTTGGGCAAGTTTTTCCGTGGTTGCTGAAACCTCTTTTTTACTTTTGATTCCGCTGTTGCATCGGTGGTAAGCGTACTGTATCGCCGTTGCTGCCGGTTGGGCTGTTTCAAGATCAATAAGCTTCGTTGACGAGGCAAAACAGGAAAAAGGCAGGAAAAAGGCGCCCCCCAGCAAGGCAGAATGCTGCATTTTTTTGGCTTTTGCTTGTTTCGGCTGGTATTCTTTTTCTTTCCGTGCACCGCTTTTGAAAAGAAACCAGTATCAAGAGCCCCGGGGCCAGCGTCTATTCCTGCTGTTTCCTTTCCTCCTCTAAAATCTGTGCTTCGTGGTGAGATGAGATTCGCTTATTGTCAGTTGCATGGCGACTGGTTTTGTGTATCTTTTTTACACTCGGCCTGTTTATTCCACAACCGATGTGGGACGCCGGTTTGGTGAGCCTATTATGTGGAGCTATTCCGGTGTCTTTTCATGAGAAAAGGCTCGATAGCCGTGAACGCAGCAGTGTGGTTTCTTGCTTTTTGCTGTGGTTTTTACCATTTTGCATTGGTCTTTTTTTAACATTGGGGGATCTTTGACATAAAAGGATCCTTTCTTGGCCGGTCCCAGCAGTCATTAACCAAAAAAAAATAGCAAAAAAAAGAGAACCCTTTGTTTCATTCCAAGTTGTTTCAACCGTCTTTCTCCTTCCCAATCAAAATTCAGTCTCTCCCGTCGGTTGCAATGAGGCAGCGTCTGAAGCTTTCCCACATAGACGTGAAGCTTATTCTATGGCTTATTGTTCAGATCAAGCCTTTTAAGTATGTGGGTGACCGCACGTTGAGCCAGAGCAGAAAGTGGGATTTGATCCAGCACCGGTTTGAAAACGAACGTATCAGGCTGTCCAGTAACCATGTGGTTCCTACGGTTCGAACGTTGCAGCGTCAGATGGCCTCGGCGCTACGGAAAGCTCGAAACAGGAAACTAGCTTCTGATTATAAACCGTACGCTGTGTTTGAAGTGCTTCATCCTCGTCTGCTGTTCCCAGACTTGGAGCTAGCGGTGTTGGAGCTCCATGACCTTAGTGAGGCCTACAAGAGCGGACAGATGGTGGGACCGTTGCCGCCACATATCAAGGAAGAGGTGGATCCACATGTTCTGTTTGGCGAGAGAAAGAGACGCCGGCTGTCGAACGCCTCGCAGCTTTCGTCTTCGTCTTCTGCGTACCTGGGTTATTCTAGTCATGCTCTGACAGATAAGTATGAGGTTCTGGAGGGTGAAACGACGGCGGTGGGGCTTTTACGGGGGATTATGGGAGAGAATCGACGGTTCCATGAGGATATGATTCAGATGATGAGGAGGCATGCGACGGTGATGAATGGGCGGTTGGAGAAGCTTACGGAGATTTTGGAGGCAGGCGAAGAGGCCGGCGAGGCCTCTGAGTCTGGCGACGAGACTCTCAAGTCTGGCGAGGAGGCCGTTGAGGCCTCTGAGCCAATAGAACCCACTGAACCCACTGAACCCACTGAACCCACTGAACCCACTGAACCTACGTCTCTAGCTCCAGCAGCCCCAGAAGCCGAACCTCCAGAAGCCCCAGTCGTTCCTCCTGGGTCTTCTGCTTCTGGGGAAAAACGAAGCTCCCTACGTGAAGTGCTCAACTGGGACGGCCCGTAACCTCCACTTGGCTCTGGCAGCTGGATAATGTACTATACCATCCTCCCAGAAACCCGGGACGATCGACGGCCTCGAGGAAACAGCCATTCAGGCACGGCAGATCCCCCTGAATGGAAGTTGATCCTTTCTTGTTGTTTGGGAGGATTCCATTGGATATATAGAAGATCTGGGAACGAGAGGAAAGCTGGAGGAAAACTGAAGGAAAACTGGAGAAAACTGGAAAGGGGAGAATTCCCTGGGGGGTCAGTGCCCCCCCAGTGGCCCCCTGTCGCTGACTCCCCGGCTCGTTGTTGTTGTTGGGGACGCTTTGTCCCAGAACAATGGCCTTTCTTCCTCCCTTTGATTGTCTACAAAGCAAAGGCTAATACAAAAAAAAGACTAAAACGACAAACTAAAATCTCTCAAAGAGACTAAAATCCTCTCAAAGAGACTAAAATCCAGAGAAGGAATCTAAACTGTAGTTTAATTTAACAAAGGCTCTTTACGAGATTAGAGTTATTTGATGCTTTTTTGCTTTTTCTGGTTATCTGCTCTCTTCTCTGTATCTGCCTTGTCTCTTCTCTCTCTTCTCTTCCCTTCTGCTTCTGTAGAGACGGCTAAAGGGCAGCGGCGCCGGCGCCGGAGGAGTTGCTTCTTCCAGTATGGTTAGATTCAGACCAAAGTTTAAAAAGTGGTTTGAAGCTGGAGATATGGCTTTTTTCGGTATTTGGGCCGGTGGAGGTTCACGGAGCAATCTCTGGAAGGGAACGTAATTCCGTGGCGAAAGCAATACGTAGAGAAGTGGAAGATTCTGTTGGTTTATGGTTTGGAGAAATTGCAAAGTTTGGGGGAAAGGTTGGTGGAGGTTTATGAATATTAGGTGGTTTTGCGTAGATGGAGAAGAAGTGGGAAGACAAGATGAGCGCTGAAAAATGGAAATGTCAGGGATTTTGGGAGGAAGGGGTTGATTTAGGGTAATTCGGGGACGCTGGTTACGGTGGTGTTTTTAGATTTTTCAAATTGTGCCTGGTTCGTGAGTTAGCTGGGGGTTGGTGGAAATGTAGGTTTTGCGGGTGGAAAGTACCCATGAAAAGTACACAAAACGGGGGATTTGGGGGAACGAGGGAGGGAGAGTGTAGAGGATGGAGAAAGGGTAGAAAAGGGCTGGATGGGCCTTTTTCTGGAGCTTTTTGGGTGGATTTGAAGGTTTCTTCGTTGGGTTGGTCCCATTTGCAGCCATTCCAAGAACCAAGACGTCTTTCTTGAGTGAATGTGAAAAATGGTTTAAAAGAAGTGGATCTGGGTTTGGAGAGCCGCCTGGAAAGATAAAATGGGTGTTGGAGGAAGTGTTCAGGGGCGGTTCTGGAGAAACGTGGCTCAGAAGGGTATATATGGAGGGAAGAGAAGAGGCAGTGAAGTGGACGGGAGGAGGTTTAAGAGAAGGAAGAGAGAGTAGAGGGAGTGGAGGAAGTGGTGAGGAAGTCAAGGAAGATGTTTTGGGAAACGGAGAGTTTTGGGTTCCAGAGTTGCTTGTTCTTCGTTGTTGACTGGACTGGCCATAGAGGGTTCATCTAAAAGGACAGTTAAGAGAAGAAGGGAACCGAACTTAAGGAGCATTTAATACCTTGAGTATGAAGAACCATTTTATTAATCCACTGCTTCCTGGAATTACGAGGTTTTCTGTGGCTGGACTGAAGACTTGGACCAGTCGGTGTCCACTGAGTGATGGCTTCTTGTTTAACACTTATCGTACTTGGTATCACTAGATCCACACTTACGAAAGCATTGGAAGCTTCTTATTGTCATCCTGGTTTTTATACATTTCCAGGAAGCTCACCTGAAAGCCTTTTGGCCATAACCAGCCATATCGTCTTAACCAAAGATTCACCTGAACAGGAATCAAATCGAGTTCCAAGTTTCTGGGAAAGGCTTATGGGGTTAGATGTGATATTAATGGTTGGCATGTGGTGCCAGGGTGACTTGTTCTGCATCACCATCTTTTGTACCACTCGTAGTCATAGGCCATTGGATACTGTTCTCTCCAGAAGTCTCCAGAAGTCTCCAGAAGTCTCCAGAAGTCTCCAGAAGTCTCCAAAATGACCATTGAAGGCGGAAAGCCTCCAAAAACAGGTACGAAGACGTTGCCAGAGTTCACACGTCAACTCTGATTGGCTTTTGAAGGTTGGCTGTGAAAGTGACGAGATCGTAGTTGGAGCAGCAAACGACCAGTAGTTGTTGATTATGGTTAATTGGAACAAAACTGGAGTCCCTGACGACCTCTGCTGAACAAACAACGTACTGGGAACTTCCAATTGTTCTTCGAAAGCAGTATTACTGCTTCCCAAAAGTCATTACTGGAACTACCGTCTTCCGTCAAGCATTGACAAACCAGAGCCTGGTCTTCTTAGAGGAAAAGGAGGGCTTCATTTTCTTCAAAATGCCCAAGAAAGGTGCTTCTGAGCTTTCTTTCCATTGAAGCTTCGAAGATGGTACTTGGACTGCCAAAGTCGATATCTCCTTCCAGCTCAATCTACCAATGGGAAGTCCAAGTAGAACCTGTAGAATACTTCTAGAAACCACCAAAAAACGCTTATTCTACGTTTCTACGACCTCAGAGTAGCTGTCTACGACCCCAAAAGATGGTTTCTACGTTTTTCTGGACCTTTTTAGTCCCCTGGTTCAGCAACCCACACAGACATCGAGAGCCTTTGTAAGAGACGTCCACCAACTCACCAAAGCGACCCATAAACCACCAAAAACCACCAAAAACTATCAAAACAGGTTTTCCTCGACTCCCCAGTCCATCCCAGTCACTTCTCTACCCACTACTACCCTTCCCCATCCACTTCTACACTTCTTCCCCAGAGTCCCTCCAAAGCCACCCAGATCCACCCAGACCATCCAATTACATCCAGAAACAAGAAAGCCACTGGAACTCATCTGGGCCTCCTGGCACCTCTATTCTAAGGAAACCACCAGTAGATATGGTAATTCCAATTACATGTGGTATTCTAATCTCTGGCCTTCAGGTATTCCACGTTTACACTAAGTATGAGTTGTACTCTAAGTATACACGGTACACTAGTGTAAGGTATTCCAAGTCTATGGTCTTTCAAGTCCAAGTGAATATAACACTCTAAGTCCATGGACTCTAAGTATTTGGTATTCTGAGTAAATACAAGTACATATGGCACTCTAAGTATATGGTACTCTGAGGAGACTACTAAGTACTTATGGTATTCTACTGAAACTGCCTATAAAGCCCTCTGGTTTGCAAAGAACGTACCTTATTCTTCTGTTTAGTGGTATTCTTCTGATTAGTGGTATTCCAAGTCCATGGTATTCTAAGTAAATATAAGTCCATGGTATTCCAAGCATTCATGTCATTCTAAAGACATACGGTATTTTAAGTCTACATGGTATTATAAGTATATAGTATCCTAAGTATATGGTATTCTAAGTATATGGTATTCTAAGTATATGGTATTCTAAGTATATGGTATTCTAAGTATCCATATTCCAAGGACATACCATCCCCTTCCACTGCCTCCCCCTCCCCTTTGAATCACCGTGGCATGCGTTTCTGCCCTCCCACCTTCCCACCTTCCTGTTTAGCCACCTTCCTGATTAACCAGCTGCCTCTGCCCCCAGACCAACCAGGCTTTACCTTCAAAGCCCACCTTCCTGTTCAGTCCAAGCAAGACCTTCCCTTTTGGTCAGATTTGTCCCCAGAGCCTTCCTGATTAGTTTTGAAGGGGTCTTCGAGGCTGGGGAGATTGTTCACAAGGGCTTAGCATGGGTGGAGCGTTGACGACGGCCCAATCAGGGCATCGCTGCCAGAAACAGTAAATGAGGTGGAAATAAGCCACCCAGGGAGGGAGGAGGGTTGCAGAAGGAGGAGGGCAGTTTGGGGTTGTTTGGGGTGGATTGGGGTCGGTTTGGTGGTCTGGAAGGGAGAACTGGGCAAGTGGAGGAGGATGGGTTTAGGGAGAACTGGGGGAGTAAGGAAGGGCTTGTTTTGTTGGGGAATGGACGGAAGGTTGGGCTGGAGACGTTTGAAGGGCGTTTGAAGGGTGTTTAGAAGGGGAATATGGAGGTTCTGGTTGGTCTGGGTGGATGTATGAGAGGAACAGAAAGTGTGAGCTAGAACACGAAGGAGGGTTTTACAAGGGCTGTTATGGGTACCGTTGGAAAGCCCTGGACTCGGGGAATCCAACGAACCTGGTTTCATCGATTTCCCATGCCTGTGGAGCTTTTTGCCTGGCATATTCCTCTGTAAACCACTCTCTATAGCCAGTCCCAAACAACCACAAAAGAACACCCCAAAAACTCACAGAAAAACCTCCACAAAGTAGCCAGTAACCTCTTTAACCTTCTCCAGGCCTCCAATTCCTCTTAAGCCCATTTCTTCACGTCTTCTCACTGCCTTTGTAGTCCTCCTCCAACTCTCAATCAAACCACCAGTAAATCCACCCAAACCCCCCCAAAACTGCCCAAAACTCCTCCAAATCCATTCCCTCCTGCTCTTTGTCCCCCCTATACCCCCTTCGAATGTCCTACGGTTTCTGCAAGGCAGTTTCTCGACATGACACAAAAAGCACGTCGAAAAGACTAATCTGGACGTTCTGAGCCGGGGGATACCGTAAAACCTCTGAAAAAGCGTTCCCTGAATTCCCTTTCTCTCCAGTAACACAGCAATACACCTTTGAATGACCCCTGGTCTCTCTCTTTCTGTTGATGTCTCTCATAACCGGAAAGTGGGGAGCAGTGGAAGAGTAACCGAAATATCCACCAGCACGGCGGCTAAACCGGTCGAAACATAAAAACCAGATAAGTGGGGAAGACGCAAACGGCTTTGAATCTGGGGAATACAAAAAAGATAAGCACAAGAGGGTAATTGGAGGGCTTTGGGGAACCAAAGAGTAGCGCCTGGCGTTTTGAGCGATTTGGGGGGTTTCTAATTTGCCAATCGTAACAAAAAGTATACAGAAATGAAGCCCTGATTTTTCTTAACAAGATGATGGTATTTTTGGGCGGTTTAACCGACAAGCAGCGGCGGGGATTGGTCTTTGCTAAGCAACTGTAGGAGAGGAAGCAGAAGGGCTGGAGGAATTGGCGGTGGGAGGGTGGAGGAGGGGAGGAAACCGTTTCCTGGGGGATGTCGAGGAAGGGGTGTTTTTTTGGACCGGTTTGGGAGACTTTTGGAGGTGGTTTGGGAGAGTTAGGTGGTGAGTTGGAGCGATGTACTGGGAATGGAAAGGAGGGCTAATTTACGAGTTCTGCTGATTTGGAAAACAACAAGGGAGGAGTGGAGGTTGTAGAGGAAGAGTTTCTGGTTGTTTTGGTTGTTTTTGGGAGTGTTTTGGATGGGTATTGGTCGAGATACGTTGAGCCTTATACTATATAGTGTCTCATACCAAGACCATCCAGGAATGTCCACCAAAAGGCAGGTAAACTGGCCAGGAAGTGGTTGGGTGTTATTTAGAAGGTTTAATTACCCTGGTTGACTTCTTTTTGTGGTCTTTTTGGGCCATTTTCTGCCTCTTTTCTGGCCCTTTGCTTCTTCCATATACTGTTTCATAAGTCCACCACCAGAAGCCCCAGAAACCCCAAAAAGCACCAAAATGAAGCGGATTCAACGTACTTTCCATCTATACTATTCAATCCACTTTATTCTGTTCTTTTTTATCTTTTTTGTCCCAATAAGTGTCCCTTTTTCTTCCTCCCCATGGCAACCGTAAACTGCCCAAATCTCCACCAAAAACATCCCAAAACAATCCCCATTTGTTCCCTAGCAACAAAAACCAACTCCCAAACACCTCCAAATCGGGAAAAATACCCCAGGATTGTCCCTTCAAGGACGGTTTTCAGAAGACGAAAGCCGAGAAATCAAACACAATGGGGTGCAAAATCACATCTATAAAAAGTCTCTTTCGGCACAAAAGATACCGAAAAGTGGAAAAGACAACAAAAGAAAAGAAAAACGTGAAGATTTGGTTGTTTTTGGAAGGTTTGTGGAGGTTCAGGGAAGGTACGTTGGACAAGAAATGGGAAGTGTGGAGAAGGGGCAGACAGAGAGGGAAACAGCGAAGATGTAAATACGAGAGATGTACGAGAACAATTAGAGGGTGGGAAGGAAGGGACTGACGAAGTTTGGGTTGATTTGGGGGTGTTTTGGTGGAGATTGATGGAGGTTTGGTGGAAAGAGGTGAGAAAGAGAAATGGGGTTATAGAGGCGTAGGCAGGGATTTAGGGGAAAGAAGATGGAGTGTTTTGGAGTCCCTGAAACTGGAGGATTCTAATGAACTTGGTTTCGTGGAATTTGGATGGGTATTGGTGGAGATAGGTGGTGGTTTTGAAGTGTTGTATGAGAAGAAGGAAAGGGGACGTAAGTGGGTCAAAAGTGGACGAAAAAGGCTCAGGAAAGGACCAAATGGGTTGAACTGGGGGTGTAAAGTTGACTGGAGTGGTTTAAATTGGGTGTTTATGGGTTCGTTCGTGGAATAACTGGACCTTCTGGGGAGTAGAGTGAGGAGGACGAAAAGGTCCAGAAAAGGCGCCAGAACGGGCAGAAAAATTTAAATTGTAGTAACCAGAAGGCGTTAAGAATCATGGAAATGAAGAATTTAAAGCTTTTGAACCGGTTTAGTGCTTTTCTGGAGCTCAAAAGTGGAAAATCTCGTCCATTTGCAGCCAAAAAGAGCTTCAATTTAAACCTCCATTAAACAACGAAAAAAGTCTCTAGAAAGACAATCTAAAGCTTCAAAATCCCTCCAATTCCACAATTAATCCGTTTTTGACAACCCAGGAACGTTTTTTCCCAACATTATCCCACTTCTTGTCAACCCTCTCTGAGCCCTCATACTACCCACTTTGAGACGCCACAAAACCACCGCCAAACCACCCCAAACAACGCCAAAACCACCAAAATGACCGTCTAAACCGTCCCAGCACCATCAATAACATCATATTACGTCTTTTCCGGGTCTAAATCGCCCAAAAAGTGACCTTTTCAGGTTCATTTCTTCATCCACCAAAACGTCACCAAACAGCCCCAAAACAACCCCAAACATCACCAAACGTCACCAAAACATTCTTTGCCGGCTCCAGCAAAGGAAAATCTACTTTTTACATCTTCTTTCTATCTGAGTGTTTCATTAATATACATGGCAACGAGGGTATAGCAGGCAACGAAAACCAGGCCTGGAGGCAGCGAAGCGGATCATAAATAAAGCAGGACAATCACAAAGTGACCAGAACCCTGGAGGATATCGAAAGATTGAAGTTGGGATCGAAAAATCGTAAAAAACCGTAGACTATGACGAAAAAAGCATCCAAAATGAGAAAAGCCTGGGAGGGCACCGAATAAAATGAACGTAGCGTGAAATGGGAAATGGGAAATGCAAAAGGAGCCAAAGACGAATGGAACGAACGAAAAAGCACCGAAAAAGAAGGTCTTTTCGTCGAGTTATGTATGAAAAATGTATGGGTATCCAAAGAAAGCGAAAGGGCCAATAAGAAACCGAAAAACCGAAGAAACCGAGGACCGAAAACGAAGGGGGATCCAAAATAAATATGTAGCGAAAGCATGAAGTGAAAGAAATACCAAAAAAGGCTGTTTCTGGGTATGAAAAGTGGACAATTAGTGAGTGGGAGCCAAAGTATCAACAAACCTCCATCAAAAGCAACCGCTGCGGGGCCACAATCAATAAAGATTGGTATACAAAGGTAAAGAGCGTGCTGGTGGTTCGAACGAGCCACTTTCTGGCCCGTTTGGACTGTTCTGTCAAGAGTTATGCAATAAAGTGTGGATTTGATGAAAAATTCACCAAAGACCACCAAAAACAGCCATTTCATGGCCGTTTTTGATGTTTTAAATTTGCACAAAGCTCAGAAAGTCAAACCCCAACTCCCCTTCACTCTCTGGCGAGTAACTGAACGGCGCCATCTCATCCACCATCTGTAAATCAAACCCCTGGCCTTGTTCAACCTTAGGCATATGTAAAAAGTCCTCCAACGTCGTAGGAGGCGTAGGAGGCTGTACCTTTTGCACCTGCTGCTTCTTGGCAGGCTCCGAAAAGCATCTGCGGTGGTTATTTGTCTTCTTCTTCTTGATTCCATTGCCTGGACCGGTATAACTCTTAAAAGTGAATCCGCCAGCGGATTTTCTTCTTTTTTGCGAGTGCTGGGGCGTTTCTGGCGACGCCAACTGTTGAACCGGCTGTGGAGCTTCAAATTGAGCCAGTTGGGGGAACTGGGGAGTTTCAAAACACCCATTTTGCATGCCCATATTCACTGGAAGCTGAGGTTCCACTGGTTGCATGGATTCTGGGAATTCCACGCCCATAAGCCCCAAACCAAGTAGCAGCTCATCAAAACAAGGCCCGTACAAGTCGTCTGAAGCATAATTGTAGCTGTAATTCAGCGTATTCGAATAGCTAGACGAAGGCAGATGGCCTGAAAAGACCGTATCCACAGTTGGCGAAGAACAAACGCTGGAGTTTGAAGAGGAAACAGCCTCCTCTCCACTTTCCTCCAGTTTAACCGGCGAAAGATCCACAAAAACAAAGTCTTTGGGCATTCCAGGCTTCAGTTTGGGTCTTTTCAATGGAGGTCTTCTCAGCATGAATTGTTTGCCGGCGGCAGAGATTTTCTGGGAAGAATTGAAACATTCAAGCGACGACAGGGCGTCTGCCAGCGTGGGCAGGCCTGAAGAGACCAGTCTTTTGATTCTCCAGAGCTTCTTGCCGTTGGCAGGAGGAAGAACGTTCATTGTATGAGATGGAAGTGGAAATTGGGAAAACTGAGAGTGGCAGGGCGGACTAGGGGGTTTATATATCATCGAGGAGACATTTATTTGGATAGGGACTAATGGGGGTATTTTTTTTTTTTGCATTTTTGCATTTTGGCATTTTGCAACCCTGCAAAAACCTGCCGTGGCTCGAGCCGCAGGGAGTGCAGGTAGGCGATGCAAGGAGTGCATATAAGCAGGATATGTCGACACAAGCGGAAATCCCATAATAAGGGTACGGCAGGTTGTATGCACGACATTAGACTAATTAGGCAGGGTGATGGCCCCCTCTTTGGTAGTTCTGGCAGCGAGTAGGGCCCTTTGGCAAGGTGCCCTTCGGGGCACCTTGAGAGAAACCCTCGTTCACCCACCCCCAAATCGTCTTTCTGCCATCTCCCAAAACCAGCGCCCACGGGCCCCCTGGAGGTGGGCCGGCAAGTGTTTTCTTTTCCTAATTGGGAAACCCTGCACCTTCTTTACCCGATCGGGTAAATTGCGCGCAGCTCTCTGCATACTCCGCACCCTAATCGGGCAAGTGCTCAGGCATGTGTATGCGCAAGTGGAGAATTAACAATTTGTCACTCACAAAAGAGACCCCTCCTAAGCACCTCCGGTTATATTGCAGTGGTGGCTCCTACGACGCTTGTAGCTCCTTTCCAAATCGCCTCCAGTTGTCTCCGTGGAACGCAGTTTCTGGAGACGAAATTTCGGCTCGAAAACACCCGTTTTACCTTATTATTTGCCGCAACAAAAAAAGTTTAATTTTCCAACGGGCCATTTCGTCCCATTGTGGCTCGCTAAAATGGGCTTTTCTTCAAGGGATCGGCCTAAATGGGTTGCAAGGGCACTTTTGGGAAAAAGCAATTGGTTGTGAAATTCCGGAGCTAAACGAGGGTTTCGGCCGTTTTGGGAGCAAATTGAACGAAAAAGATGGTCTCCCTCTTCCCACTGTTGAAGCCTCGTTGGAAATGGCCAGATTTCACCGGCCAGGAGTCGTCAAAGGGGGTGGTGGTTGCAACTTCATAGTTCATGCACTAGTCGGCCCAATTGAGCCGAGATTTTTCTCGTTTCAGGGACACCTTAGGCGGGACGGGACGCGGACGATGGGGACTTTCAGCGGACACAATTTCCACCCCTCTTTTTCGTTTAATATTGACCAAGAAATTGGATCAAATACAAAGTAAGTGTAGGGTTGAAATCAGTAGGGTGGGACACGGACTGCATACAAGCACGTTCTATTGTGCGGCTCAATCCCAATGTTAACCTGCGCCCTCAAAAGAGCCATTCAGGCCTAATTAGGCAATCCCCTCTTTTCAGTGCTTGCAGATATACGATATGCACGAGGCCTAATGGGGCAAGCCCAATCTCCTGCAGAGACATGCGGGAAATGCAGGAAATGGCCCCCCCACCCACTTGTTTCTTCCACACTTTTTGTTCGTTTTTGTGACGATGTCTCTGCTGACCCATCCCAAAATTTTGACTTGCTTCTCGCCAGATCTTTTTCGGACTTTACCTCCGTTCCCAACAAACCACGCCGCAATCAAACCCAACGCGTGGTGGTTAAACCAGAGAGCCTCTGGAACCGAAGTATCCCCGGATTTGTCACACTCCTTCTTTACATTTTCTTTAGAAAAATATTCCTCCCCACCTTCCTTTTTAGTTGTTAGGGATCCCTTTTTTTTTTTAATGCACCTTCCGGGCGCAAGAACCGGGTTGTGGAGGTGAGTGAGTGTTTTTTTTTTTTTTTTTTCGTTGATGCCCTTTGCGGGCGAGGGGAGTGCCCGGGAGGTGCATGCATATAACAAAAAGCGATAAATAAAAAAATTATATTTTTTTTCTCCTCTTCAATGCGGAGAAGCGCTTCATGCAGGATACCACCACCACTTCTCTAGGGCGCTTAAATCAATCAATCCAAAAAAAAAAAAACTGTTTAGTAGCCGACGTTGCCGATTCACCTGATAGCAATCGTGAGGGGAACGAAGCCCCCCCCTCAGGTATACTTTGTAGTAAGTTTTTCCCAGGATACGCAGCAGAAGATGCTAAAACCAGTAGCCGGACCACCGGACCCTTTTCACTATCTTCCATGTCAAATGCACTTTGCGGACGTCCGTAGCGGCGAATGCGGGTTTAACGAAAAAAGGCTCTCAAAAATCTATCTCTCTCTAAGAGAGAGAGACATGCCATTCTGCAGGACGCGTCAAATTTACTTTCCCTTTCAAAAAAATATTTTTTAGGTAAGTAAGACGCGCAACTAATTACCTTGCCCGTTTAGGCCGAAAAGCGCATATACTGCAGGATAGACCATGCAGCCGATCTCTCTCTCTCTCTCTGTGACGTCGTCGTTATCAGAAAATTTTTTTGTTGTGCATTGTTGACGATCCCCCCTTAAACGGAAATGGCCTAATTAGATGAGGCAGAGTCAAAAAAAAAATAACCAGTGTGGCTCGTTCTTTATTTTTTTGGTTGCGATAGCAACATAAAAACGGAGATCCCCGTTTTCCTCGTTTAAAAAATTATCGAAAGGTTTCCAACAGTCAACCAAGTCGTTTAGGGAAATTGATATTTTCTGGGAAAAATGTAAAAAACCCGTACATCCGAGATATACGGGTGTCTCCCCCGCAAAAAAAAAAGTGAACGCCTCGTGAGCCGCACCAGGGATTTCCTCTTGAAAAAAATCCTTCAATGAAACCTTTCCAAATGAAAAAAACCATATTCCGAAATTGAAAAATGTGGGGGTTTTCATCCTCGGATCAAACGGGCATGTCCGTTAAGGGCGTTTTCATTTGGCAGGAAAACGGCGATAAAAAGAAATACCATTATTATTTTCCACCTCTTTCTCTTCTCTTTTGGCTGCAAAAGTATCACAAAATCACAAGTCCTTAAACTTTCCCGGACGCCTTGAAAACCCCCCTAAAAAAAATGGTCTGGCGGTGACATCACGCCCAGAAGGAGGCGCCATGAAAAATTTTTGGAGCCATACGGATTGATCTGGCATCCATTTTTGTGCTTTTTGTGCACAATGTGCAAGTAAAAACAACAGGTTATGCAATATAAGTGGATGGGCTGGGTTAGCGGGAAAAATTGTGATTGTAATGGTGCTTTTTGGGTCACTGGAGGTGGGTTTTTGGGATACTTGTTGGACAATATAGGTTATAGTAGGAAATGATGGGAAAATGGGTAATAAATGGACCGTAGACCGCTCCAAAGGGCTCCAAAGGGCCAGGAGACGCGTTGGCAGTGACCAGGGAGCCTGAAGGTAGTTTGTTTCTCGAAGAGAGCTTCAAATTCCATCGATTACCGCTCATTTCATGGATATGCATGGAAAAGCACCAAAAGGCACCGCCAGGCGACCGGAAAACCGCCAACAATCAACCTTAAATGGTGACAATGTGGGTGGTAAAATCAGGAGATCACCAGGGGATGCATTTGGCGTTGGAAAGGTTGTTTTTTAGATCAACATCAATGAAAATCTGAAAAAAATCGGATTTTCTTAATGGTCCACCACCAACGATGATCAGGAACTGCCAATACACTTGATTTTCGGAAACTCCAGTGTCTCTTTTCCCCAGGAAAGTCCAATTTTTGATGATCCACGATCGACTGATCGGAAAATCTCCGTTTTTTTAGGTCCAATTCAAGAAACCTTAAAGTTTGAGTTTGGACGGGATGGGAAAAGAAACGAGAAATGTCGTTGCCAGGTGGATCATTGGATGGATTGGAAGTGTTTTCACTGGAAAAGGCAAAGTTTGGAGGTCTTTTTTGGGACGGTTTTGGACGTTTTTTGGGTCGGTGAAAGTGGTCAATGAAAAGTTGGAAGTTTTGGGGAATTGGTCGACTTTGAGGACGTGGGAAGCGTTGGAGAGGGATATTGGAGGTGGCGGGTTGCATTGGAAGTGTTGTTGTTGATTTTGGACCAGAAATTGGGTGGTTTTTGTGGTACTTTTGATGGTTATGGTGAATGGACGGGAAATGACTGAAAAATGGTCAAAAAAACGACGAAAGAACGCTTAAATGGCGGCCAGGGCAATTCAGACACGGTTGTTATGGATCTGGCGGTGTTTTCGGAAGCTTCTAAGCGTTTAAACTGGTCTTTTTGGACACTTTTGGTGAAAAATCACCCAAACCAACCAAAATCGGCCATTATTGAAGTTGAAGAGACTTCAACACCGCAAAAACAACTCCAGACGTTTTATTAACGTCTTAGCATCCTTCTTCATCGAAAACCTCGTCATTTTTGTCGACTTCCACGTCTTTTGGTTGCGAAAAGCGTAAAACCAACAACCACCAGTAAAGTCAACGAAAACCGCCCAAAACAACACCAAAACAACTCAGAAAGAATCCAGCGACGTCAATATACCTAATGGTACCACTTTCAATACCAAACACTCTCTCCTTTATCTTCTTAACTGACAAATCCCTTCCTTACCTCCAAACCCACTAAATCCCACCTAACTCGACCAATACTGGTCCAAATCTCTTCAAACTTTCACCACCATCATCTCCTCTACTCCCTCTTTACTTCTTCAGCTCGTTTCCCTCCTCAATACGTCTCATAAGCCTCTCTTTCGCCTCAGGCGTGTATTCCAAGCTTCTCGTCTCCAACGACCGAATTTCCAAGCCTGTGCCCTCCTTTTTTCTCCGTTCAATCTCCTCAGCCAGTCTAGGCTCAAACTTAATGAATTGAAAGTCTTTTCCAACCTGCCAGAAGGCCCAGGCGCCGATTATCGTTGCAAACGTGCCCACAACGACTTTATGCGACATTGGCGAAGAAGGAGGAAGTTTCATGGCGGGAAAAGTGGATTTTGGGTAAACTGGGGGCGTAGAGAACGGCTAGACGGTCAGAATGGTGTAATTTCGTGCTTTTTTGGGTGGTTTTGGAGCACGTTTGTGGTTGTTGTGGATAGGTGAATGTGATTTTTTCGCGATGACTTTGGGTGTGGAGTCTGGGGTATACTGGGGAGGGTGGAAATGGATGTGAACGA